CAACCCCAACCCCAACCCCAACCCCAACCCCGCAGCAAATTGTAATATTAAATTTAAAATATTATATTTATCAATTAATGAGCTGATCAAGTTGATAATCAGAAAAAAACTTTTCTAATGAATAAAAAAAGAATATGCTTGTTAATAAGAGAAAATATTATTATCAAAAAATTATAATATACGTTTAATAAAAGAATTACTTTGAAAAAGATATTGTCAGACTAATTAAATTATCCCTTAATAAAGCGCATAATAAGTCAATTAATTAAAAATTTAGTGAAAAATATCTAAAAATTTTTTTGTAATTTTAATAATATGAATAAAAGCATTTCATTAACTAGTAAAAAGCACTACAGTATTTTGTTGATAGGAGGTACTGGTGTAGGTAAATCATGCCTGAAAAATCGTATAATAAGAAAAAAATTTTAAACTGAAATAAGTACAGTAGGTATTACACATTTATAATTAATTAGCTATTAATTTTAGTTTTCTAATTATATCATTTTAAATGAACTAAAAAAGGTGTAAATTAGCAACATTTAGACTACACTTATAAAAATAAGCAAATTAAGCTGATGATTACTGATACTGCAGGATAGGAGTAATTTAAATCTATTACCAAATCATATTATAAAGATTGTTTTGCAGTCTTATTCTGTTTTTCGGGAGACTCACCTAGAAGCTTGAAAGAAGCTGAACATTATGCAAGACAATTTTAAGTAAATTACTAAAATAGCAAGGCTCCTGAAGGTTTTGCACCAATTTGCTTGTTCGTAAGAAACAAATGTGATATGTCTGAAAATATTTTCACTTAGAATGTTATAGATAACACTATAAATGGAATTTCAGAGTTGTATTAGGAATTCAAAGGTTTCTAAAACATTAAGTTTTTTGAAGTAAGCGCTAAAGAAGGAACTAATACAGAAAGCTTACTTTAGTATGTTGTTGAAGAACTAGACAAATAAAATGTATTCGATATAAAGGAATAGAATGGAACTGTTATTCTCAATTAGAATTAGGATAAAAACTAGGAAAAAAATAATGAATCATCATCTTCTGGTTGTTGTAAATGATCGCTTTACTAAAAGACAATAACAATAAAATAAATTTATAAAATTCTATATAATAACAAAATTAATTTATCAAATTCAATTTTAAACTCATTCTATATACCTCCTACCCTACCTTCTCCTTTCCTTTTAGAAGTCTTCATGAAAAAAAATAAAAAATTTACAAAATATAATAAAATTGTATTAATAATTATGGTAGATAGTGCAAGTCTTGCCCTACATTCAAATACAAAATAAGAGCTGCTCGGTCAGGATAATAAGATTAATTATTGATTATATAAAATTATAAAACAAACTGTCTTTAAAACTAAAATTGTTTTTTCTTACTAATCAATAAATTTCATTCTGTAAGGATGGATATTCTTAAAGCTGCCTAATGTTATTAATTAATTAACTAACAAACTTAATAAGATTATGATATATGATTAGAAAAGTTATTTGATTAATTAGCATCAATTTAATTATATATTCTATTAAATTACATTTCTATCAAATTTTTTTCTTTCTAAAATTTAATTCTAATTTTTCGAAACCCTCCCTCCCTCCTTTACTTAATTAATAGTTATTATTAGTTGATTTTTAATTTTCTCTTTTATTTTGGATTCTAATATTTTTACTATAATAAATCAGTATTTATGCTCACAAAATAAATAGAATTTCCGCCTAATTTAAATTTTATAATTCATTAATTAATTTATTCATTTAAATTATTATTGTCTTTTGACTGTCATATAAATTAAATTTATTTAAAAAATATTGCAAATTATAAAATTTTAAAATATTTGATATGAACTATATGGAGTCTTCTGATGAATATATAGAGCTTAATAATGCCATTCACACAACTATGAGCAGAATTAGCGAAATAGATAAAATTACTTCTGAATTAGCTCTTGAGAAATTGAATCTCTAAAAGAAGTTAGAATAACTAAAATTATAAATTTAGAACATTCCTTATCACACATATTAAAATGGAAGAACCTTTTATGATGAGTATGAAAATAACTAGCTCGGTTTTATGAATAATGGAATAGACAATTACAGTGATTTTCCTTCTATGGCTTGTTAATTTCCTTACTATAATAGAGCTTAAAATCTAATTTAAAATAACGGAAATGCTAATTCATACTACACTCATGATCAAGCTATGATAAATGACCATGTTGATGACTATTTTGATACAGATTTTAATCAAAAAATGTACTATTAATAACAAAAATAAGTTTCTAATGAGAAGTTCTCGTCTTTCAATAACTTGAATTAGGATAATCATATCATAGAAAATAATCTTCAGCTTAGCAAAGAAGATTTAACTAAACCATTTATTAATAATGAAAATTTAAAGTTGGACCATGAGTTGTTGTTGCCCCTAAATAATAACAGTTAAATGTTAAATACAAATTCTAAAGATTCATCGAATAACATTATTTAAAATGATAACATTCCAATATCAATTTATTAGAATAATAGTTAAATTGCTTCTAAAATATAAGAAGAGACACTCGAAAATTAAGAGCAAAAGAGTGTCCAAAATAATAGTGTCATATAATCGAAATATAGCAACTTCCTCTAATAAGTGATTAACCCACAAAGCAAATAACCATCAATAGAATCAATAGAGCAATAGATTAATAAAGATTAACATGAAAAATAGTTAAGCCCTTCATACAGCAGACAATTTAAAAAGAATAACAAATAAGGTGACTTAATCCTTTAAACCCCTCAGCAAAACGTAGATGATATGTTGGATTATGAGAAATAGGAAATGACAAAATAAAAAGGTGTGTCTGGTTTTAATAAAATAAAAAAAGAAAAAAATAAACACTATAAAAAGAATAGTGCAAGCGAAACAATAAAATTATGTAAATATAATCATGAATAGAATAAGAAGAAGAATACAAAATGTTTTACTAAAGAGTAATCTTATTCTAATTAAGATTGTTTAAGTTAGTTTGAAAATAGTTTTCTACAAAATATTTAAAACCTAAATCACGACGAGTTAATTTCTAATAACAGAAATAATTAAACCCAAATCACTTAAAAAAATAATGTTCATATTGACTAAGCAGATAACGAAAACTCACAACCACTTAACAAACTAAAAGAAGAAAACATTGAAAAATAAAAGTTATTGTATCTCTCATAGAAAAAATAATTTTTAGAAACATTACCAGAAGATTCTTTAAGATTTTAATACAGCAAATAGCTTCAATATCTTTAAGATATTAATTTAGGAAAAAGTACATCTGATGAAAACATTGAAATGATTAACAATGAAGAGCAATCTTTCGATAAATCTGCAAAAAAAAGTTAAAAAAGTAAATCTGATTTAAAATAAAATAACTCCTAAAAATAAGTAATGCTAGAAATAGCTGACAATGTTATGAATGAGCAAATATACACAAATGAGGATATTTAGAGAATGTATTAACATTTTTTGATTACTTTTAATAACAATAAAGTTAAATATACTAAAAGAGGCAAAGGTTATTACAGATATCCAAGCACTTTAAAAATGAAGGTTGTTGAATTCTCAAAACACATCAAACTAATTTAGATTTAAAAAGACACTTAAATCAGCTAAGAAACTATAAGAAAGTGGTAAAAAAGATATACGGAAATACCTGACTAAATGGTTGAGTATGATTTCATCGAGTGAAAAAAATAACACTTTAAACAAACTTTTGTAGTATTTTAATATAACTGATTATTTCAATATTAATTTTATATTTCAAAAAAAATATAATATTATTAATTTATGTCTTTTATTGTAAGCAATTAAATATAATTCAATTCTTTTTGTTTTTAAATATTTCATGTAAATCCTTAAAAAGATTCTTTTGGTTAGCAATATTTTATAAAAAGCAATTTTGTGGATAAAAAAATAAAACTTTAATACTATTTTTTATATTTTTGTACATTGTTTAAATAATTGGTATTAATTTATAATATAAATAAATTATTTTCTACTGTTGCTTTATGCATTTTAACTATTAAATTGTTTTTTTAATTTTTTCATTTAACTTAAAAATATTTCTTTAATCTATCCAAAAGGTAATTAAATAGTTCACAAATTTTTTTAAAATTTAAGATATAATGTTTTATAGAATTTAATTATCTGTAATTGCTAATATAATTGGTATTAATTTATAATTTAAATAAATTATTTTCTATAGTTACTTTACGCTTTTAACTATTAAATATTTAATTTGTTTTTTTAATTTTTTCATTTAACTTAAAAATATTTCTTTTATTTATCCAAAAGCTAATTAAATAGTTCACAAATTTTTTTTAAATTTAAGATATAATATTTTTTAGAATTTTATTATCTTTAATTACTAATATAATTGGTATTAATTAATAATTTAAATAAATAAATAATTTTTTATTCTTGATTATTTTATTTAAAAAATTAATATATTCATTTGTTTTTTTAATAGCTTTTGAAACATATAAAAAATTTCTTTTTCTTGGCCATAAATTTTTTGAAAAATTTAATAATTTCAATACAAATAAATTATAAACAGAAAAATTATATTATATTGAAAATAAACAATTTAACTTTATAATATTATTAATTATTCTTCAGTAAATACTAACTCTTTTTATCACAACAACTTGTCCATTATGCTTAATTAAATAAAGCTTTTATCCGTCAATTGTCTAAAAAAAATTAATATAAGGATTCTTTTCACTTTTATTAATTAAGAATATGTTTTTTTCATTCTACATTTATAAAATGTAAGTATCTATAACTTCAAAGTGGGAATCGTAGAGAAGATAAACGTAATTAGAGTCTTTGGAAAATTCTGCTTTTAGTAGTTTTTTTACCTGAGTATTCATTAGTTCCTTTTCGAAAACTAGATTCTTTGATGCCATATAGAGAGATATTGTTTAGTTCTACTAATCATCTTTTTATGAAACTAAAAGAAGGTACTTATAGTTTTAAGATATGTAGTATTCTTTAACATTCATTTTGGGTTAAACTTTAACTTCAGTCAGAGAACCATTGGATTCAAATATGTCTAGTGACTTGTCAGATTTAATTAATAAAAACTCTGAAAGCATACTCATCTCTTTTTTAAAGTAGAACTAAAAATTTGAGTTGATTTCATACACTACTTAGAGAGTGTTGTAGTTTAAAAGTATGAGCTTATTCAAATTTTATACTGCGACCAGTATTCTTCTAAAATAAAACTAAACTTATTCGAATTTCTCATTTATAGAAAATTTTAATGGTATTTTTTAGAGTTAAATTTTTTTGGTGTATTGGTTATTTTATTAGTCGCATAAGCACAACTAAAAGAGATTAAAAGCATCATCTTTCAAAATAGCAAAATATCTTTCGCAACTTGAGAAGTCAAAATCTTTAATATTTTAATTGCAAACTATGTCAAAGTTTAGCTTATAATGGCTAAACTTTTTCTAGTTTATCTAAGAATAGATTTTAAGATGCATATTGTTTTCTTGTTTTATAACTTGTCCCATCAAGAATCCATCAAAACAAAATTTAATAAGTTCTGGTGAAATATTATTATCGTATGTATTATTGTTTTCTACATGGAACTTCTTTAAAAGTTTTGCTTTTTCTTCAGAAAACCAAGTGTTTGCTCCTTAAATTTCTTAAAAAAAAATATTTTAAAATAAAATTCTATCAAAAATCATTTTAAAATAAAACTCTTTAAAAAATAATTTTAAAATAAAATTAAAAATTACGAAGTAAAAAGTGATTTATTATTGAAAGGATATCATTACAAAAGCCTTACAAAATATTAAACTGGACTTTAATGTTAATTTGTTTGATATTTTCATTTAGATTATGATGCTTGTTATAAACAATTTCATTCAGATTTTTAATTATTGTGTTGTAATTTCTAGCTTGCAACCTCATGAGAGCAGTCTCTTTATTAATTTCAAAGATATTATAAGATTTACTTCTTATTTACATTTCTCTTTGAGATCTGATGAAGGTAAATAGGTTCTGTAAAAGATGATCTAAATATCTATTATACATAGTAATACAATCATTTATTTCTATTACTTATGCAACATGCTCGGCAGGGATCAAGCTTGTATCTTCATTTTCTATATCGAATTTAACTATTTTATTTTTCCTTATACTTTTTGATAGCAAGTTAACACTATTAAAGAAGTTAATTTCACTGAAAAAACTCTGTTTAGAAGCTACTTCAACAAATTAGCAAGAGGAGTCGTGAGATTTTGATATAGAATGAAAATCACAGTTCATGCAAAGTAGTTTAAATCTTAAGTAGCAGTTTTCATTTATACAGGTTGCAATCTTAAAATGATTTGGTTTCTTTCCACAGTAGAGCATTTATTACTTGAAAAAGAAGTTTTTGTCTATTAATTTGCTAATTTGTTAAATTAATTATAAAGTAAAATTTATTCTAATTATTAGAAATTAGAATTATTATTTGTTGGGTAGATAGATAGATAGATTTACCACTTATTTTTTGATTTGAGGATTCTTTAAAAAATTTATTTTTAATTTTTGTTTTTAAGCAATTTTTTTTAATTAATTTCCTTCTAATAATTTTCTTATTTGTTGATTAAAGAAATTTAATAGAGTGTTTAAAATAATTTTTAAATAATACAGGAGGATGAAAAGAAAAAAATAAATGACATAAAATCATAAAAATTTTAATTTAATACAAAATTATAAAAATAAATGACTGATATTCCTTATTGGCTTATTAGAGCTCATAGAGATAATTTATTTGCCTTGCAGAACTGCATAAACAATCCTAGTCCAGCCGAAAATGAGTTAGCTATTGAAATGTACAAGACTTTGCTTTCTCATGACTCTGGATTTAGTGACTTTAAATACATCATTCTTAATGAATGGTGGGTCAATCCCAATAAGCCCTGGCTTGGTAAGGGAGATCTTGCATTCACAAACGGAAAAAACATATTAGTTGTTGAAGTCAAGCGAATTAAAGGCTCTACTAAATAGCTAAAGTTGTAAAAACTAACTAAGGTAATAAGATAAGCAAGATACTATGCATTGATGATTAAGAAATTCCGTGATAGATAGAGATTTCCTATTCCTGAATACAATTAATATTTTTGCAAATCAAAAATTCATGCAGCGTTTTACACTAACTTAGACAAAAATATTATTTTAGTTAAACACCCCAAAAGAATTAGTTCAAGCAATAAAAAAAGATTAATAGATCTTCCTAAAAATTTAACCACTTAGGAAGTAATAAACACAAATAAATTAAATGTAGAGTTAGTTGAAGACCAAACTCCAATTCATTAAAAAATTTTTTCCTCTTAAGTTAAAATTGAAGAAAACCAAACACAGCAAAAACAAAATATTTAACTAATTAAAGAAAATAATAATTAATAACAATTATTTTTAGTTAAATAACCTAATTATAAAATAATAGAAGAATCTAAAGATAATGAGATTATCTTTATAGATCATAAAATTAATCTATAAAATACTCCTTAAAATAAAATAAAATCAAGTAACAGTGCTTTGAAAAAATTTGATGATGTTATTACAATAAAGACGGACTCAAAAAATAGGAAATTTTTAGTTGACTCGATAGAATGGGATCAAAAGGAACGAATTGAAATATCTTCAGATGAAAATGTTGACCCTAAAAAATAGGTCATAATTGATCAAGCAATAAAACCATATTTTAAAAATAGTACTACGGCTAACTAGAACTCTCTTAAAAACGATATTATTTTCTTAAATGAAATTAAACCTTACAAAAAATAATCTCCTGATTTAATTTTATTGAATTCTATTTAGAATAAAATATAGATACCAATACAATCTGAATCTCCTAAGATTATTCCCTTTAACATGTCTTTAGCTCTCTCAAAAAATTTTGATATAAATTGCTCTTTAAATTAGTTGAGTGTTCCTCAATAATAAAAAGAAGTGGTTGAAGATGATTATTGTGATGTTTCTCTTTGCAGTTTTATCGATATAGCCAGTTTTGATTTAGATAATTCTTATTTATAAGTAAAGAATAATAATCATATAAATAATAACTATAATAGGTAAAGTAGCATCTTATTAGGTCCATATAATAATAATTAGTAGCTTTATCAACCTTTGAAAGATATAGTTCAGCAAAAACTTTTAGAGTTTAACGATAGCACATAAATAAATAATAATTTAAATGAAAATAATAAAGGCCTTAGCCAGCTAGAAAAAATTATAATTGAGCAAAATGATATTTTGGTTGAAATAAATGATTCAAATAAAGAGAGTAAACAAAAATGTGGTAAATCTCCTTTAAAATAAAAAGATGATGATTTGTAAATGTTAAAGAATAACTTTAATACTGAATAGATTATAAATAATTAAGATTAAGTGATTATATCCCAATAATGCTAAGAGAAAAATACAGAAAGTGTGATTCAAATAGATGCTTTAAAAGAAGATTGTACTGAATAAAATAATAACATAAATAATTAAAACAATAAGGATGAATAAAAAGATTAAATTGAAAATACCAACTTAATTAGACATAGTGAAGAAAATTAATAGATTTAAATTTAAAGTAGTTAAATTAATTTAAATGATTAACAGACACATGAATACTAAAATGATTCTTTTTATGAATTTATGCTATAATAAATTTTAATCTAAGAATAAATACAAGAAATATATAACGAAAAAGAAGTTTTATATGATGATAAAAATATAGAATTTGATTAAATTGATGAATAAATGTTGGGTTTTCCTAAAATATACAAAAATTTGTTTTAGAAAAATACTAAAGAAAATTTTCCTAGAGTAGATAAGATATTGTAAGTAAATTAATTAAATGCTTAAAATATGTAACAAATGGATATATTAAGCGAATAAGAAATATAATCTGATTTCTGTAACATTTAAAATTAGGAGAAAAAGAAAAAGAAAAAAATAATCAAGATTAACAAAAATTAATTTTAAGATAATATTGATGAAAAAAATTTTAATTTGAATTGCATTCAAGATAAAATAATAGAATTAAGCTAAAAATCTTTTAAAATTATTAAAAAATTTGATATATCAAAAGATTAAAGCGCATCTTGTTACTAATAACAAATTATTCCTGAATAAGAACTAAGAAATAACAACAACAATTATAATTATTTAGGATAGTTTAAGCTTGAAAAGAATTAAGATATTATTTAAAAAAGTCCTTCACCTAAAATCACCTAAAGAATTTAAAATAAAATGACTAAAAAAATAAAAATTGTTAAATCGGATGAAATATTTAAAGGTAAAAAGATAAATATTGTGTATAAATAACCGTGCAGAGAAAAAAAATAGTAATTTATTGAAAGCATGTGAAAAACGTTAACATATTTCGATATAATCAAAAGATTGCATCTTTATTTTGCTTTAAAATAAACAACCATATCAATTAAAACACGGTCTCTTTCCTAATATAAATTAATAGCAATTATTTATAAAAATTTAAGGAGATTTTGACAGATATTAAAAAAAAATTATTTAATCTGTCATACACAGTTTTAATAGAACTATAAATGATTAAATTTAATTTTGAGCTTTTAACTAGAAAGCTGAGTACTTTATCTATAACTAATAAACATGGCTAAATTTAATAAATAACCATAGAAATTATAAATTATTTACAAATATTTATTAATAACTTAATTTAATTGTATTTTGCTATATAAAATAATTTTATTTATATTTTATTCTTTTATTTATATTAATTATTATTAAAATTGATCATTTTCATGCAGCTTATATTTATTCTTGTTATTATTATTACTAATCTTAAGTCTTCTATTATTATTCTGGTTGCTTTTATTAATTATGGCTTAAGCTCTCTTAACTGTTGCCACAATTAATATTTTTTTAAGATTGAGTTCTTACTTCTACCATTTGAATTTATTGTTCTATTGAACCTTTTATTTGTTCTTCTTCTGGATTTACTTGAGCTTTTTGTGAAACGAATTTATTGTTAACTGCTTCGATTCTGCTGTGCTTGAATTTTTCATATAAGTATTTTCCGAGACAGAAATGAAGGAAAGTCACCAAAATAGCTGCGACGGCAAACACATAACTCATAATTGAAACCCAACTCATAACTTTATATACAGGCTTTGTTAATAAAGTGACAATGAGGTTATCAATAAGATATGCGATACTAGCAATCAATATAGGAATATAATGTTTCCATTTAAATGCAATATTATTAATAAAAAATTCAATGTAAGTGCAAAAGAAAAATCCACCGTGATAGCTTGCAGTGGTAAACATGTACCAACTACTTTCCTTATATTTTTCTTCTACACTTGGGTAGACACCAATCCAATAAAGTAAAAATATGGTAATTTCTACTGAGAAAGAGATTTAAAATAAAAAGTGGCAAACCTACCAAAAAGATGTATATGTTTTTTTAGTAATTTTGAATCTTATCATATCTATGATAGTAAATAAAAAGTAAAGATTGACTAAGTTAGCTCCACAGAGTGTAAGATATTTCAAATTAGTAATTAAAGGTAAAAAAGTGAAATCTCCAGCGTCTTAATCATATATTTGACACCACCATAAAAAGTGGACATATATAAAAATAATTAAACGTATTGCTAAAAGCAAGCTATAATTATTTTTAAGTAGATAAGACTCGTGTAATTGAGATTTCTCACCCTTATAGAATACCATTTTTTTTCTTTTTTCTTTTTATTTTTATTATTTACTGTATTAATATTAGTTTTACAATTAATAATAATTATAATTCCTCTCAGTTAACTAGTTTTAATAGCAGATTATAATTTTATTCTATCCAATCTATTGACTAGATCTTTGATCTTTTAATTTCAAGAAATTTGAACTTTTTATCAGAATTTTGCAGTCAAATACATATTTTGGTTCTATTAACACAATCGAGTTAGTAGAAATATACTGGCTTATTATTAATTTTAGTTGTATAAATTGAGATGTCTTGCTAACATTATATTATTAAATGAAGTATTTTTGAATGATTTATGTTAAATTTTAAAACTTATTAGTAATCTTGGATCAAAAATTATTTTTATTTTCGAAGGTGGAGTCGTCCTTTTATTACCAATTTTTACTTTACACCTAATTAATAATAAATAATTAAAGACAGACACTCCTCTTCAATGATATTTTTCTTGAAAATATTTAGCGTTAATGTAAATTGAATTACGTAATATTTGTTGTGTAAATTTTGCAATAGATTAAAAAGACTATGATGTATATTTGTAGTACGAAACTTATCAATCAAAATGTATTTATGTGGGTATAGTTGATTTAATATATATTTTTAATTACAAATTATTGAAATTTGTTAATTTGTAAAATATTCAATAGGGGATTTACATTATTTAGAAAGTATCATTAATGAGTGAATAGCCATAAATTTAATTTTAACTAATTTATCACACTAAAACTCCCTTTTTACTAAAAATATGAAAATCTTGGTTCAGATTTTACTGCTTATGTTAAAATTAATTATTTTATAAAATAAATCTAGCTCTTGCCTATCTAAAAATAGATATAAAATTAATAAATTTCTAGAATGCAAGAATTAATTTGTCTCTGTTTATAAGTTATAATAAATAAATAATTTAATTTATTGTTTGTTTGTTTGTTTATTTCTTAGCAACCAACAATTATTTAAATTATTTATCAAAATTTGATTTGAAATCACCATTCAAAATACATTTTTCTAAATCATATTTTTTGATAATTCATTTTAACTTACATTAATTACATATACAAAGCGTTTTACAAAATTTAATTCATTATAATCTCTTCACAACACACACGTGCAAACTAAATAATACTTTTTTGATTATAATTTATTTATCATCTCTTTGATATAATTATATTTTAATAAATCAATCATAATTACCCCATTATTTTACTAGAATTTTAATATAAGAGTTATCAAAAATTTTCTTTTTTCAAGTGAAAAAATCAAGAAATTTCATCAACTCTACAATTAATTATATCACTTGAATTAAATTTTTTCGTTACTAATTTTTAATAATAAAATAGAAAAAGTTAATTGTAAACTAATTAATTTGAGCTTTTAATAAAAAATCCAAGTACAAATTCATTACTTTCATAAATTTTACTAAATAATACAAAATAAGTAATATGAATATCAATCATACTAAATCCTGCAAAAAATTTAGACAAAGCTATAAAATTGATAATTTTATCAAATTACTCTTTTTATAATTTCCATCTAATTTTAAAAAATAAGTTTGCTAAAATTTTTAGAAAATTTATATAAAACTCAAAAAGATATTTTATTATTCTCAAAAGAAAGTTTGTAACAAAATCATAAACATTATTTAAATAAATAGGATTAATGATAATTTTTTAAAGTTTTAAAATATTTAAATTCATTAAAAATAAAAAATATTAAGTAAATTATTTCAAATATGGTTAAATAAATATATTTTTTACTACAAAAAAGGTCTTTATAATTTTCATAAAATGTGATTGATAGATATAATTTTATATTTTAGAAGGAAGAAAGTAAAAAGTTTAAAATCTATTAGTAAAATATGTTAACGAGCTAAATAATTAAAATTTGTAGTTTTTTTTAATTTAATGATTTGATTGCTAAGTATATTTATCATCAATATTTTAAGTATTTTAAATATTAAAAATTAAAATTTTATTTGATAAAAAGCAATATAACTCAGATATTAACTAGGCCAACTAATTATTTAAGGAAAAATAAAATATTTTTTACTACAAAAAAGGTCTTTATAATTTACATAAAATGTGATTAATATAATTTTATATTTTAGAGGAAGAAAGTAAAAAGTTTAAAATCTATTAGTAAAATATATTAATGAGCTAAATAATTAAAATTTGTTGTTTTTTTTAATTTAATGATTTGATTGCTAAGTATATTTATCATCAATTTTTTAAGTATTTTAAATATTAAAAATTAAAATTTTATTTGATAAAAAGCAATATAACTCAGATATTAACTAGGCCAACTAATTATTTAAGGAAAAATAAAATATTTTTTTGAGTTAATAATAATATTCTTTCAATTAGCTTTAAATTAAAAATTATTAATGGTATTCTAAAAATATAAAAGGCTAAATAATTAAGATATAACTCTTGTTTACAATAAAATTTTAAATTAGAATATTAAGTGATATAAATAAATAAATTAATTTTGATATAATTTTCAGAATCTACTACAAAAAATTTATGTAGAACAACCAAAATATTAATATATATCTTTGTTGCTAATTAAATTTGAAATTAATATCTTACTAAAAAATTAAAATCAATTATTAATCCCGCAATTAAAAGTAGCTTAATTAGTTAGAAATACATGAATGAAAATTAGCTAGGAGATTTATCCTATTAAAATATGAAATTCTTAAATGAAGAAAACATATCTAAGTTTTTGCATTGCCCAATATGCAAAAAGATTTTTAATAATCCTAAGCGCTTGCTATTGTGTGGGTACAGCTAATTTTTTTTTGCTTCTAACATTTGATTAAAGCTAATATTTATATTCATATATTTGAATTTTCTTTCATTTATTAACAATTAGAGATACTTTTTGTGAGAAATGTTTGCAGGTTAATGATAGTAAAAAAAAAGGAGATGTAAAAAAATGCTTTGCTTGTGGTTAAACCTATAATTAACAACAAATCCAAGATGATTTAATACCTAAAAAGATTATAGAAGACATCAAAGTTCAGTGTACAAGAACAAAAGATTGCTAGTGGGTTGGTATTCTATAAGAACATAAAATTCATATATAAAATAATGAGTGTGTTGAATAACCAGAATAAGAAAAGAAGTAAAGTGAATGATTTAATTATAATAGACGCAAATTAATTTTTCAAAGAGAATTTTTGTTTTTTTTGTTCGTTCGCTCATATTTTTATCTATGTTTAAATAAAACTCTTTCCAAATATTCTATTTCTTATACCTAATTTTAATTAGTGTTGGATATTATTCACTCATATGCAAATTATTTGTTAAATTTATTCATTTATTTGTTTATTAATTTTTTACTGTAGTCTACTACTTTAGAATTAAATGGTTAATTTATATGATTGATATAAGTATTCATAAAAAATATAAAGAAAAAAAAAATATTTATTAAAAACTAAATATTATTAAAGGAGAAATAAATTAAAAATGGAAAACCTCAAAAGCCTCGAAAATGTAAAATTTGTCAATTAAGCTTAAGTATCTAAGCATTTAGAGTGTCCTATATGCAGTAACTTCTTGCATAACCCTTTGCGTCTGACCTGTGGGTAATCATTATGAAATTTAAAGAAATTATTGAAAAACATTTTTGAAAATTATCATTAAATATTGGTTACTTATATTTTAATTTTACTTCTCAAAAGTCACACGTTTTGCTAATCATGTTTTGAAGGATTAAAGGCTTCAATATAACACAATTAAAATTTAAGATGTGCTATTTGCAGAGAAGGCATTGATTTGAGGAATATTTCTCCTGATAAGATAGCTAAAAATTTGTTAGAAGAATAAATTGTATATTGTCTTAATAGAAAAAATTCTTGTCTCTGGTAAGGGCCACTTTCCTAGTTAAGCGAGCACCTTGATAACTGTACATTTAAAGAACATGATGAGATTAGTTAAAATTTAATAAATCAATTTGATGAAAAAGTGCAATAAACAGCTAAAAACTCTGATTTAAATACAGTCATTTAAAACTAAACTTTTTTTGTAAGCATTTATTTACTTAACTTTAAATAATAAATATGGCTAAGTAGTTTTCACTAATGATGCTTTATATTTTCAAAATTAGGATGACAAATTTTAAGAAAACTACAATAAAAACGTAGGTGGATAGCTAATGGCTCGTCTTCTTAACAAAGATAAAAACTTAGGCTTACAAATTGGTAAATAGAACTTCTTAAAATTTTATTCAATCAAAGATTCAAAAAAAACTCTAAAGAATTTTATGAAAAACTCAAATGGGATTTAAATTATTTCTTCCCTCCAAAAATTTCAAATAAAACTAGACAATATTTTATAATTTTATATAAAATTGCATTTGTTTTCAAAATAATAATAGCAAAGACTTTAAGCTTAAAAGAAGACTCTAGATAATTTGGGAATAATACAAAGAAATCTGCTGATGAAAAATAGAATGCAAACTAATCATATGATACAGAAGGATTTGAAGAATAGCAAGAAGAACAAAAAAAAAATGTCGACGATCTTGATATAAACGATTTAGATGATGTTTTCCAAATGTTTTCAGATGAAAAAAGTGATACCAAAGACATCATAAATTCATAAATAACCTAAAACAATGAAAATAATGAAAAAAAATAAAATCAAAAGTAAAAAGGAAGAAAAAAATAAAAAAGTAATAGTGGAGGTGATGAGGAATATTTGCCTTAGTAAGAAAGAAAAAGGGGAAATAAAAAGAGGAAAAATGTGGGAGATCCCTTAGAAGAATTATAATTGTAATAATAATTATAGCTTTATGAATTATATGGAATAGATATAAATGATTTAGATTGAGTCACAAATAAAAACAAACCAAATAACAAACAAATGATAAATGATGGAGTCTTAATTATCTATTTATACAAAAATTTATACACTAAGCAAATAAAATATGAAACATCGAGTAATAATATATTAAATTAATATATATATAATTTATTTTTCACCTTTAGTTTATATTCAAAGTTTTGTTTTAATCTTAATTTAAGCTCTTCAATTTGTCTTTTACTTAGTTAAAAAGCTTGCTAATTAATTAATCAATCAACCAATCCAAATTTATAAATCTTTTTTTATTTGCTAATAAATGAAGCAATTATTATTTTTCAATAATTAAGTTCCTATGTTTTAGAATATGAGTAATTTAATTAAAAGAATATTCTAATAATTAGATCAAAATATTAGTTACAATAGCTCTATTCTCACAATATATAAAAATGGTTAGAATATTGAATGAAATTAAAAACATTAAATTTGCAAAGATAACAAAAAGATTAATGATAATTCCTTAAAAATCTAAAAGAATAAAACTTAATTTTGTTAATTTTAATAACTGATTAAAATACTTTTAATAAATAATAACAAAATTTTAATTTTTATCTATTTATCTATTAGTTAATTAATTAATTAGTTGATTTTTTCAAATAAGATCAATGTCGTCATCATCATTTTTTATAACTTCTGCTCTCAGTTAAGCCTTTTATTCTTCTTACTTTTATTCTATTTCTTTTAATTGTTCTTCTGTAACTGGAATAATTTATTTGGGTGGCTACTTGTTTTGATTCAAGTGGCTATAATCCTTTTAATTATTTAGCTATGGATTTACTTTTACACTGTACTTCTTGTAGTCATAGTAATTTTTAAGAATACTCAAACACATCAGATTCTATTTAATGAAAAAATCTTCTTAGTTTATTTTAATTAATTTTAATTTTACATGGCAAATGTCTACTATAATAGTATAAAAGGGAACTTTGTAATCAACAAAATGAATTTTAGGCATTAATCCATTCACTATATCAAGTACATTTTTTCTATTGAATTTGCTGTTGTTTCTAACTTTACACTCAAGCATCCACTTTTATTTAAAATTTATTTAATTTATTTTTCTCAATTAATGAGTTATATTTTACAGATGAAGGAGCTTCAGTCTAGATCCTCTCTTTAATTAACTACTCCATATATTTCTTTAAATTTTCAGTATCAGCTCTGAATGCATATTCAGCTGGATACATTCTGTGGCAGAATCTGTTATTTATATAATTTTTTTAGATTAGTTTAAAATTAATTAATTTTGTTATAAAGCTAAATCTAATATATCTAAATAGAAATTTATTTTGATTATTATTTCTACTAATTAAATAAATAAAATTAATTAATTAATACCTGGTAAGTGTTGTTTTTTCTTAATGAACTTTATGCATGATATTTTCTACTACATGTGTTACATCTATATCATTCATGAGCTTTGAGTTCACTTTCAAGAATACTGTGCACTAATTTGTTACAATAATAACTAAATAATTATTGCTATTAATTTTTTACTCTAACGTCTGTATTAACATTATAAAGGAGTTTATCTTTCTATTATTTTAAAGCATTAAGTTCTTAATCTAATTTATCATTTGCAGTTTAGATTGTAGTTTATTCATTTGGCTTTTCTTAAGTTTGATTATCATCTTGTTTTTATTCTTATTCTTCACTTTCACTCTCTTCTTCATTATTTTACTCTTGCTCTTCCTATTAATCAATTTCATTTTCATTTTCATTTTCAACAGGTTTTTGCTCTTCTTCCTATTCTTATTTCTCATCAATTTAATTTTCTTATTATGAATCACATTTTTATTCACTTTCTTGCTCATTTTCTTACTATTTTTATTCTTGATGATCATCTGTTTTAATTTTTTTTTAAACTGTGTCTACCTGACTATTAATTTTTTAGCCTATATCCTATAAAGCTGGATAGAGCTCTTCTATTAACTAAAAATATTTCAAATAAACTTTGTTTTTAAATTTAATCATTAAATTAATTACAGGTATGAGGAAATTATTTGCATCACTAACAGCGTTTTTTTCTCTATCTTAGTCGGTCATAATAATAAAGCCTTTCATTAAATCATCGAAATTGCCGTGACCAATATTTGATCCACCTCCATTTTTCTATTTCTTTCCTCCTTTTTTATTAAATTTACCTTTTTTGTTATGCTTATGACCCATTTTTTATCTCCTAAAAATATTGTAATTACTTTTAATTTTATATTTAATAATAATAATTTGTACTAATAATTGTAATAATTAAGCAATCAATTAGATACTTATCATGTCTACTAAAAAATAAGTAATATCCAAAAAAAACAATAAAACTAGTATAAATATAAATAGAATTAGTAAAACTAAATAAATAAATTAATAAAAATTTGAGATAGAATTTTAAATTAAATTAATAATTTTTAATATTTAAATTTTCTATTTAAAAAAAATTTATAAAAATAAATAAATTTCTTTTTTTAATATTATTATAAAGTCAATTTATTTTAAAAATATTTATTCGTTATTATTTACTGAGTAGAGGTATAGTATTTTTATCAATTGATAAAATAAAAATAAACTATTTTATTGTTTTAATGTTTAAATAATTATGATTAGCTTTTAGATTAAATATAAAAAAAAATAATTTTTAAAATTTATCTTAATATCATTGAAGTTATATATTTTATAATTTTTATGCTCAGTTAAAATTTAAAACTTGGAATCTCTAAATAGATATTTGTAATATTACTTAAAATCTAAAGAATATAAATTTGAATAGTTCAGAATCTATAGGTTTTGTCAATATTTTATATTTTGATTTACAAAAATAAAGATTATATTTAATAATCCTTTTTTCCAAAATTTATTGAGGAAATTTCATAAATAAATTTAAATTTAGAATATTAATGAAAGATAAATTTCTGATTAAATAGAATGTGAGAATAAAGGGTTATTATTTAATAACTTTAAAAATTTAATTTATTACTTAAATTTTGAGTAAACTTTAGGTATAAAATCATTATTAATTAAAGCAAAAACTTCGTACAGTCCTATTACGCAAGAAGACTTCAATCTATGACGCAAATCATGCAGTAATTCGAAATATTAATTAAAAATAATCTTATATTAAATTTCATGTAAAAGCATATTTATTTGTTCATTATCTCATGACCTTTCTTTAAATCTAATCCATTATATTCATTTGAATAATAAAATTATAAATTAAAAAAATAATAGAAGTTATTTAACTATCAAAAAGACCATTTTATTTATTTATTTATATTAGGTTGTGAAAAAGCAAATAAATAAATACAGATTTACCATTTCTATTTAAAAATAGATAGTGTCATTCTAATTTAAGCAAGCTCAAAAAAAATATTAGTAAAAGTCAATAAAGCAAAATATAGATAAAAATAATATATAAAATGGAACATGCCAAAAATAAGTTAAGAATTCTTTGTCTGCATGGATTTTCAACTAATTAGAAAATCATGATGTATTAAACTCGTCAATGGCGCAGCTATTTTAAAGATTTTGTTGAATTTGACTACATTAATGGAAAATATGAAATAAATTCAGATGAATTTGATGATCCAGGTTTGAAAAAGATACTTGAGAAAGATGAGTGTGTTTATAGTTGGGCTTCCTGGAGCTCTAGCGACTATGAAAATTAGCTTATTAGAGACCTGTAATACATTGTAGACCATATTGAAAAGGAAGGTCCTTATGATGGTTTGATGGGATTCTCTTAGGGAGGTGGAATGGTGAACTCTCTTTTACAGTTTTACCATATTGGAAAAATAAATATCAGCTCTCTGCCAAAGTTTTTCATTATTATAAATGCTCCCTTCTTCCACCTTCCAGTGGGAAAGCCTTAACTTGATATCCCTACTTTGCACTTCATAAGCCCTTAAGATTAAATTCTATATGATAGACCATTATTAATGATTACTTTTTATAAAAATCCAATGATTATTTCTCATTCACATGGTCATAAAGTTCCAAGATTAGAACCTGCTTAAATAGTAGATGTTAAGAAGTTTATATTAAATGCAACATAATAATCGAAAAATGCTTACTTCTCAATGCAAGCTTCTCTTTGAAAAAATTAAAAACCTAACCAAACAGACAACAAATAAATAAATTCCTTATAATAAATTGCTAAAATATGTAAGAAATATAAAATTTGTCAAATGTAATTTAAAATAACTAAATAACATTTAAATCCTAAAATTAGTTAAATCTAAATTATCCAATTAAAATCAGTAATTCAATTTATAAAAATTTATTTTAAATTTGTAAATTTGCAAAGTAAAAAAGTGTAAATTTTAATTTTAATGAAATATTTTTTAATACAAATCTACAATTTTATAAAAATAAATAAGATTATTTTATTATTTAATAAATACAAAATCAATTTCATTTTAAATTCAATTAAATTAAAAAAAGCCAGTGAATTAATTCAGTTAATAAACATAAATTCATTCTAAAAAACCAATAAACTAGTTCAATAAATTATTAAATTTATTAGTAAAAATAAATAAATTCATTTTAAAAAATGAATAAATTCTTTGTAGAGTAATTAAATTCATTTTGGAAAATCAGAGAAACTTCTATTTTCGTCTTAAAATTCTAACTTTTTTTAAGGATTAGAAATCTGTTATTGGTACTTCTTCATGTCTTTTGTTAAGCTCAGTAGGCATGATTTTATTTTGTATTTTATTTTATCAGAATTAAGCATATTTAATTTAGTTTAAATTTCTTAAATCTATTGGTAATTAAGTCTACTAAAGTCTTAGTATGATTTATATGTTATTGATAATATGAATAGCTGTAACATGCATAAAATGAATCTATATAATTTAAATTTAATGAAAAAAAATTATAAAGTAAACAAATTACCTAAATGTTGTTTGAAAGTAAGATGAGTTTATGAAAAAAATATCATTCCTTAAAAACAATCTTTCAATAATAAAACATATCCAAAGCACTAATTTGAATAATTTATTTATTAGATATTTATTAATCTATCAAATATTTACATAAAAGTGAACTTGTTCGACATTAGCATAGCTTTTTAAAGGAAGTTAAAAGCATCAATAAAAAAGAGAAACCAAAATAAAAAAGAAAAGTTGATAAATCAAAAAAGTTGTTTGTTATCCATTGTTATGCTATTTTAATTTCATTCAGTCCTTCAAAGAGATCACTTAGTACCTTACTAACTTTATCTGATTGAATTAAAATTTGATTTACTATCTATTCGAATGATGTGCTAATTGACTTTTTTAACTTTTCAAGGTTTGTATTATTTTCCTTATTTAATAATTAAATTTCAGTAAATGATACATTTTAATCTATTAATACCTAAATAGATCTGTTTGCCTCTTCTTATAACTAAAATTGGTTTTACATTTGTTAGTGAATTTGGTTCTGTATATTCTTCATTTATAGAGAATTATTCAAAGCTTCTAATCTTATTTTAAAAGTAATTAGAAATTCCTGATCAATAATTTTATTTTACATAAGTAAATTTGCTTTATCAGAATTATCAAGCAAATTAGATATCAATTATTAAGTTTCTTTCTACCAATTCAGTGCTTGGTAGTAAAAGCAAATGTTGTCTATATGCATGTAAAAGCTAGAATATGTATTCCTATTTATTTATTATTCTAAAATAATAACTTAACAAAGCAATAAAATTAACTTACCATGAATCCCCATTTAATTCCTAAGAACAAATTTCAAACTACACATCATCTGAACAAACAATTTGTCTTTTACTAGAGCGGATTAGCAAACAATTCGTTAGCTTTAATGATAACTATAATTTATCAAATTAGTCATTAATAAAAAAAATATTTTAAATTTATTTTACTCTACTTTTTTAATCCTCAGAAAGTTGTTTGCAATCTGAAGAAATATCCTTTATCAACTAATAAGCGCATCCATCTGTCTTTGAGAGATTATTCAAATATACAAAACTATCTAAAATAATAATCGATGATTAAATTAATTGGAATTTAAAAAGTACTTTTAACATTTTAAGAATCCTCTTAAGTAAGATTAATAGGCTTAGAGTTTGAATAGCAAATTATCATCAAATAAAATAAAAACAATCTCATTTATTATTTAGATTAAATAAAATTTTTGATCAACTTTATTTATTATTTTAAATTCAATGGGCTTCTATTTTTAAATAGAACTATTTTTGAAGACACAATATTAAAGTTGAAAAATGAGCCAAATTTTAAATTAAAATGCTTATTTTATTTTAATAAAAGCAAATAATCAATCCATTTATTTAAAATTCATATTTATTTTATCTAAAACTATGTAAAAATAAATAACAATTATATTTATTTATTTAAAATATATTTTATCTATCAAATTAAAATAAATTGCTTATTGAGATTATTATTTGTTACAATATTAATTAAATCTCATCAATAATAAATAACAAATAAATTTTTAAGATTTCATTTTTCGAAAATAAAAATAAAATGTTTGCAACTAAATTCTTTTTAAGTTAAGAAGACAGACCTATTTTCATTAGAGTTATTATCAACAAACAATTAAATTTATTTTATTTATATGAAATTTAAAAAAAATAAAATATATCTTTTAATTAATATTTTAGCTTTATTAATTGATAAATTAAATAAATCTATTATTTATTTTAATAGCATCTGTTATATATTATAAATAAATTCAACTAATTATTTTGAAACGATGAATCATTTTAATAAATTATTATTTTATTTTAACTATTATATATTTTTTATTCTTAAGATATCTTCAGTTAAGTTTAATACCTGCATCTTAAAACATCTTCTTTTGAAGTTCCTTTAGGGCAGCTTCATCTTCTTCATCATCTTCATCATTCATATCATCAATATTTCCTCTATCTCCACCAAGCTAGGGAGTATAAGATCCATTAGATAATTTAAGATTAGCACCTGTATTTTAGAGAGGATCAGAGTCTCCTCCATATTCTTTAATCAAATTTTATTTGTTGAAAAATTAAAGTAATTCACTATCTTCTCCCAACACTTTTACTTTTTTACTTGTCTTTTCACTCATAAATGTAGCCACTACTTTAAAAGCAGCTCTATAAAACCTATTTATTTTGAATAAAAAATAAAATATAATTACCTAAATTCTATATAAATAGTAATAATAAAATAATCAACAAATACTTAATATAATAAATATAGTATAACCAGAGAATAATAATACTTTATGTTAAATAAATTTTGTAAATCAATTACCAATTAGCTCCTAAAACATAAAACATTGACAATCTCTCAGGGTAGTAATCTTGCAAGATAGGAACAAGAGCTCTCATAGTTTTCATAGCATTTTCATCATACTATTTTTTAGTGTATCCACGTCTATCATAAATAACGCAAATTGTTCCTTCAGAACCTAATTTAATACCTTCTTTAATGCCTTATTCTAGCATGAATAGGAAAAATCGGACACTTTCTTCTACAGATGCTAACTTTGGTACATGGTATTTCATTCTATAGTAAAGACATGGTCTTCTTTCGTTATCAAATTTATGCCAAAAAAGTTTACCAGTTGATAATTATTTTTATATTGTGGATTCTTTATCGCTAATTAAATCAGGACGATATTCTTAGTGCCATTTAATCCACTTTTCCCACATTTCAAAACTTTTTTATTCGCTAAATTCTCTAGCATTCATAAAGCGTATAGCTGTATCAACACTGGAGTAGAGCTCCTTGAGTTCTTAGCTTATGTTTGGGTGAGTCTAATTTATTTATTTTTCTATTTTTTTCTAAAATTCTGCAATTTGCTATAATTGCTACTCTGTGCAGTTATAGTTATTGACTTCTTCAAAGCTTTTAGTATTCATTATTTCGAAATGCTATTTTTCAATCAGCTATTTTTATGATGAATTTCTTCTAAATAACTTTTAATATAATAATTAATTTAAATTAAAAAATATCTTCGATCATAAATTAATAGAATAAATCTAGAAAATATTACATACAATTTAATATTAATTTATAATTAAATGTACATAATTCAATCTACTCTATTTATCCCTTCCTTCTTATTTACCAAATACTATTAATACAAAAATCAATAAGACTATATTTTAATTACCATTGGCTGATTTTAATTTTTATAATTAAATTGAGTTCATAAATAATCACATAAAGATAATAATAAAATATTTCTAGAAGAATTTAATAGCATAAGTTTATAATTTATTTATTTATTTAAATATTGTTTAAGACAAAATAATTAATATGAAACATTTTAAAACTATTCATTGCAAGATTCTCTATAGTTTTCAATTATTTCATGAGTTAGAAATTTATTATCTTATTTGACAGTCTTATTGGCATACTTAAAACTTATTGGTCTCTTTATATCTTTTAAAGTTTTTGTAGAGTTATAAGCGACTTAGTTCTTATCTGATTAACTAATGAGTTTTTTCTTAATAGGAATAAATAACTAAATTAATTATTTTACTTTAAAATATAATTTTTATAATTAAATTTTGTTATTATTAAAATAAAAACAAATTTATTTCATTTATTTGTTATCATTTTCAAATATTAATATACAAAATTTAAACATTTCTAATCATTAATACACATATATTAAATATTTATAATTTATTACTTTTTAAGATGAAATAATATAGCTAATATTTTAATAATTAAATTATTAATATTATTTCAAATTATTTATTATTTATTTTCTTTTTTACTTACTAATTTATTAACCTATATTTATTTTTTCTTCTAAAATTGGTTTTTAAAATAATATACACTGATTATTGTAAAATTTTATTCACATTAGCTTCAAGATTTCAATTTCTTTTTTCCATATTTTTTCTCTCTCTTAAAGGTTGAATTATAACTTGCATATTATATCCAAATTCTTAACAAATGAAAGTATATTTAAGATTTCTTATGGCAAATTCTGTTTTAAAAATGAAAATTAATCTCCACTCCATGGAGAGCACTTTAATTGCAATAATTCCTATTTTATTAAAAATATTTAAATTTTAAAAAAAACTTCATGTTATTTTACTTTAACCAGCTATTTGTTTTCTGTAATGAGAGCATAATAGAGTGGAGTTCTTTTCATAGAATCTTAGGCATCTATTTCTGCACCTTTGGATATTAAATATTTTGCAAGGAATAGATTTCCTTTTTTGCAAGCATGGTGAAGAGCTGTCATATGAAACTATTTATAAATATTTTTAAGAGAGAGTTAATATAAGATCAGTTAAATTACCTAGTCAAAGTCAGAGACATAATAAATATTCTTTTCAAGCTGTTATATAACTTATTGATTTTATCCCTTTTTGACAGCCTCTATAAATGCAAATGATCCTTTATTTTCATATGGAATTGTGCTAAATATAGAAACTGTATTTATCTATATTTATTTTAATAAAAAAATTATAATAGAAAAATATGAGCAAATTATGTTCATACATCTTTTGCTTTAATATTCATTTTAGCGCATTTTATTAGTAGTTTTCTTAGTTTTTATTTAAGTCTTCTCTTTCTTTTAATTCTTTCGCAATTAGGATCAAAAATAAGTTTGTCATTGTCATATTCTGCCTAATCGAGTTCTTTCAAAGCTTTATTAATTGCTTGTCTATCTAATTGTTAGTTTATATCAATTTTTTGATTTTTTTTATTACCCTAAACTTACTAATAAAGAGAAAGAGCAACCTAACTGCTAATTGAAGAAGGTTTCTTAGAATGTTTATTTGAAGTTTTATTTTTTTCATAAAAAGAATTTATCTTACTCCTTAGTTCTTATTATGTAAATCTTTAATTTGTTATTTCTATGTTGTTATAAGATTTAGAGTAAAGATTTTTATTCATTTTGATAGGGCTTCTGCTTTCTCTGTTTGACACACTGCCTCTAGGAGGGCTAAACTATTCCTATTCATTAGCTTATTCTAGTATTTATTCTTCTAACCCGATCTAATTAAAAAAATTAAATTAAAAAAATAAATAAATGCCTTTAAATTTAATTTACAGATGTGAAGTTAGATTTTTTATGCCTGTCTTCTTTATTGTATTTTATGGGAGTTTGCTGTAATGAATAGTATTTATTTTGAATAGAATTTTGATTCAACTATTTGTTATTTTGATCATTATTTATTATCTAAGAATGTGTATTAAATTATTCTTTTATTGAATCTTTTTATAAATCTCTTGCGAAACCAACACTAGAATTAGGTCTTAAAAATACACCAGTGGGACTTTAAAAATCTTTATTATTATTGATAGTACTTTAAGGTGAAACTAATGAAATTGACGGAGAATATCCTCTGGGAGATTAAAAATCTAGAGTTAATTTAGGTGTATTAACTGTAGAATATTAACTAATTGAAATGTTCGTTTTATTAAGAGAAGCATTTTATTAATTTAAATTAATGGATCTAATATTTTTAACAACAGAATCTAAATTAGAGCGTATGTTGTAATTATTTCTTTCTTTTTGCTCTCTTGTGTCATTTTCTATTTAAACATCTAATTTTTAAACTATTTTGGATGCTCTTTCCACAGATTTCTTTTACACAACCTAAGAAACGAAAAAGCTGTTTGAAGATTAAGGACGAGTAAGTTTCCATTTAGTTATATCAGAACCTATAGGAGTTCCTTATGAATATATTTACAAAGGCTGCTTTGCTGATCCTGATTCAGAAGGAATTTTATTGAATAGATAATCAATACGTGTTTAAAGACATGTAATATTTCTTGCAGGTCCAACTTTAGAAAATTCTACAAATTTTCCAAACCTACGCAATTCTTTATTAAGTAGAGATTCATTTTCTTTTTTCATTTCCTTTCTTTTTCTTTTATCTACATTCTCTTTAAAGTATTTGATTTTCCTTTTAGATGAAAGGTTTTAGGATGAAGATGTATTATTTATAGTTTATTAACTTGCCACAGTCTAAGTGTTGTTTTACTATCGCTTAAGAGAAGATAAATTTAATTAAAATACTGCTGGATTAAGGCTTTTTTATTTTTATAGCTGTTGCAAATGCTGCTATGGCACCCATTTTTAAAATATATCTGCTTTATGAACTTCTACATCTAAGAGATATTCATATTTCTTGGTGTTAGTATCATACATAGAGTCATCACCATTAGTAAAATTAGTATTAAATTAGTTATTTGAAGTGCTACTTTATTGAGTTTTTTGCATCAACATTTATTTTTTCTTCTAAATTTAGTCAAATACCTATTAAGTTTGATCTTTACTGTCTAAATTCTTCTATATTCTAGAAAATTATGATAAAGTTTTTGAGTCTATCATTTATTTTTTTAGTTTTCTAACTCCAAGCAATCCAGTAATTGAATTCTTGTCAATATACTCCTTAATTTGCTTAGCTGAAGGAGTAATTCCTTACAAAGTTGTTTTATCTTAAGAATTTATAGAGAGTTATGAAGGCTTTCTGTAATTACCAATTTTTTCATTACGGACCGAGGGAGTATTTTATTAAGAGTTGCCATTAGATATTGTTTTGTTTTGAATAGATTGTTACTGCTAATTGCAAATGTTAGAAAAAGAATCTAATTTATACTTGCTGTTTATGGGAGTATTATTCTTAGATTAGTTACCGTTTTACTTGGTATTTATGCTTTTAGGAGAAAAATTATTTATTGAGTTTTACTACAACTATATTTATTTTAGGCTAACTTAAGTGTAACTTTACCTTTCATCTAACTACTCGTTTTAGAGTGATATTATCTTTATATTCTGCATTTGCATTCTTTGTTTTAATTAACAAATTTTAAGATTTTAATATTTTTTGCAATCATTTAAAACATAAAGAATTAATTTAAAATTTTTGTTCTTCCAGCCAATACAAATTATGTAAGCTATACTTCTAAAATAAGTTAAGTATTTTTTATACAAATACAAAAAAAAACACTCCTTAATTTTTTTTTTTACTGAATACTTCAGTTTAGAAAAAGCAATAAATAAATCTTGGCAAATACTTTAAAGATACAGTAAAAATTAATCTCAAAAAAAACTCCAAAAAAAATAAATAATATTTTTATTTTGAATTTTGGTATCAAATGAGAGAACCAAATTTTATCAATTTGGAAAATAATAAGTTTAATATTTCTGAAAAATTGTGTGATACCTTAAAAAAAAAAATAACCTCAATTTACAAATTAAGAAATAAATAAATTATTCAAGCTAATTATTAGTATTACTGTAAAAATATCTTTAATGTAAAAATTCTTTTTGTTTGTAGCAAATAAATCAAAAGTATAAATTAATGAAAATGATTTTACTTGGATAATATCAGTGAATTCTTTTACTATTAATAATTTGATAAAGTATTATTTTTTTAATATTGTATTAATAAAAATCTATTTTGTGTATCAATAATCTTAAAATATAAATTTGAAGTTTATTATAATTTATCAGTAAATATTTTTGATGTCATTGATAATCTAGCTAGGTTTTTAATATTTTGAAAAAGAGAAGATTATTTGAATTTATTTTTTTCTTTCAATAAATTTAATGTATCTATCTGTGGTTGGTATCTTTCTTAAAACCAAAAAAAATCATCACAAAATAAAAAAATATTAATTATAAAAAATATTTAAGTATTTTTTATTATCTTTTTTTAACTTATGATCTTTTAAGCTAAAAACAGCAATAAATTAATCAATTAAAATTAAAATATTGGCAAAGGATAAATTAATAATAATATTATTATTCAACAAAAAAGATTTATTAAAATTACTAAGAAAATATAAATAAATCATCTTAATTTAACCAATAAATTTTATTTTAATTTTAAAAGTGGTTTGCTTTTATCTAATATAAAATTTAAAAGAAAGAAATTAGTTTTGTACTTTAATATGTTGCATGATATTTTTAAAAAATTAATGGCTTAATTTGCAAGGCTAGATGAAATTTATATTGGTATGAAAGAAAGAATGGTAATATAAATTTTTCACTTGATTATATTTAATCAATGATTAACATATATATTGTTCATTAAATTTATTTCAATAATTTTATGTGGTCAGTAGAAGAAGAGCATCAAGTAATTAGAAAATTTATATACAAAATACACAATATAAATATCGCTATTAAAAGGTATTTATTTATTTATTATTTGATTAAGAATTCATTAAAAGCACAAGCATTTATTATAAATGTTAGAATCTTATGGGATTAAATTGAATAAGGTTTTTTTGATAACTAGTTTATTAATTTAAAAGCAAAAATCGCCCTTAAAATTTTGCAAGTTAATAGTTAAGATTGGCAATTAATTATTCTATTTTATAGTTATGCATTATTAATTCAAAGCTTTTCAGGCTAAGCTTATTTCATTTAGTGTTTGTTTATGCCTTTCTTGTTGCCATTTTTGTTATAATTTTAGTGTTTCGAATAAAATGAAAGGTAGCTAACAACCTCATTTTATTTAAAATTTACATTGTTTAAAATTAGAGAATTTATTTGTGCTTAGAATTTTTATAGACTATATATATATGTCATTAACTGCGAGCGGTGAGCATGAAATTTATTGATCAACTTTGGTAGTATTCCATAATTTTTTCGCATTCTTCGCAGTAGGCTGAACTAATCATACCAGTGCTGCATAAATCATCGAATTTTTCAATTTCATCTTTAAGCTCACCTGTACAAACTTTGAGTCTATCTTTTAAGCATTATTACTCTTTACATTAGTTTGATTACTTCTTTAGGCTAAAGAAATTCTTTTAAAAGTTATTGCCTTCTTCCTCTTACACTAAGCCACATTTCTTCATGCTTTGAAGTGGGTTAGACTTTTATAATTTCTAAAATGTTTAAGCACTCATTTCAATTAATTATATTTTGTTTTTTATAAATTTATTTAATTTTTAGTTAATTTTAATAATTATTAATTGATAGTCCTACTTTCTTCTTATATTTTTTTAATCAATTGGAAAACTTCAAATTTATTCTAATTTTTCTATCAATCTTCTGACATCAGAGCCATAAAGTTAAAAGAATTAGCTTATTACCAATAATTCCTTTCAAATAAAATATGCTGCTATAGTTAAGCAGAAAAAAGTATAAAGCTAAGCAAACAAACATATGTTCAGTATTTATAAAAGAAAAATAGGTTTATATACCTTATATATTTATATATGAAAAAAGATTTTCAGACAAGCTACATAAAAAAAGAATAGTTATTATTAACTTAATAATATTTATACTGACTTATAATTAAAATAGGAATATTCAGTTAGTAAGTTAGGTACGTAGATACATACATACATCCATTCATATATATTAGGTTAGAGTATTTATGTTATTATTCGTATTTTTAATAGTAAATTAATTTATCTGAAAAATATAAAAAATTTAACTCTTTTATTTATAATTATCAGATTTTATTCAATGACTAATGCTTTCTAAGTAAACTAACTCTTCTACCCTTTGGCATTTAGATTTTATATCTCTTCCAACTAATTTATTTAACTCTTAATAGTCCTATTTTAAAACAAACAAAAAAATTAAAACATGACATTTCGAAAGTAAAGATTCTTACCTAGTTACTCATGTAATCGCGAGATTTGATGAAATTATAAACTTTATTAAATTGTTCTTCTGTTAATAAATTTATGCATTCTTTTCTTAGATTATCTACTTTACTGTTGAAAGATTTGTTTTCTTAATAAGGTACATCTCCTTTTCCTTGTTTCTGGGGTGTTTGAGGTATATATTCTCCCGACTATTCATGAATAGCTATTTATTTTTGTGTAAGTTAATTTTAATTGTATAGAAAAATATTATTTAGATAGAAAAATTTTACATTCCAAATCATTGTTTTTAAATTTAAGATTATCTTTATAAATGTTGACGACGTCTTCTCTTTGAGATTCTGTAGCTCTTAGAGTAAGACGGTTTTATGTAGCAGTTAATGAGAAGGTATTATTTTTTTCATCTTCTTAGTCACTATTATACTCTTCGAAATCATCTTGATATGCATCTAACCCATTATTAGTTGCATTGAATTTGTTACCATTTTAAATATCAGTTTTTATGGTCTGATCATTGTGTTATTAGTACTAATTCATAGCTTATTATTAATTGTAAGGGTTATTGTATTAGTTATAATTGTATTCGTTCTATTATTGCTATTGGCTCATATTTATAGGCATGTTATACATTTACTGAGGCTATTTTTTAAATATTTTAAAAGTAAATACTTTTTATAAAAACTAAAAAAAAATAAATAAATAAATGATTAGATTTACTTGATAGGAATGATCAAAAGGCTAGTTATAAAATTAGTTTGTGTTTTAAGAAACGCTGAGCATTTCCATTTGCTAAGTGAGCATATTCATATTTTAGTTATTCATAGGTACTTACTATCCTTATTGAGGATAGAATTTTTAGGTTGAAGAATAGTATTGTTATTATGGCTATTGTTACTGACTGTAATATTATTACATAGTTTAAGCCATGTTTTACTTTTCTCTTGCGTTTTAATGATTTAGCTATTCTAGTTTACGCTATTTAGCAATATTTACTAATGATGCATTTTCTCTTATAGCCTATGTCAGCTCTTATGCCTTTTTATCGCTCTCTTATTGCTTTTTGATTTACAACATTTACTTAGCAGTTAAATTTCCACCTTGAATGTTGACAGATTAAACAGTGTCTCCTAAAGTTTAATCATAGCGCTATTGTTGTGTTTGCTACATTGAATTTATAGTTTGACCTATTGTAAATTATGTACCATTAGCTTGCTGAGATTTTACAGTTTCACCTAATCCATCATCATATTGCTATTGCTATTGCATTTACATATGAGTATTAGTTTTACGAATTGGAATTTCAGATTAATATATGTTTTATCCCTAATTTTCCACAAATTCTTCCATAGTTTTAGTTAAAAAGGGACTTGCTAAAACTTAGCGCAAATTAGGTCTTAATGCATCATCTTTAATAAACATTTACCTTTTAATAAATAAATAAAATAAATGTTTATACTTTGTAAGGTTTTAATAGATTTTATCATCATCTTTTCAATAAAAATTAACAATTTTACTTTACTAAATTTTTTAATTCATTTGAATATATTTCAGGAATATCTTCAACTTACTCTTTCACAATCTTGTATACTAATCCTAAAAGATTGTTTGAGTTAAAGGCATGCTATATATAAAATATAAATTGTTACTTAGCCTATTTTTAGAAATAATTAATTAGTAAATACCTTTAAAGTGCATAGCTCGTATACGACACAGCCTAGAGCCCACACATCAGATTTTTGAGTATAGGGCTTGCTTTCACAAACTTCAGGGCTTTATTTGATAAAAATTAATTAAATTAAAGTAATCTATTTTCATTATCTTTAAAAAATAAAAATTTTTTGTTCATATTTATAATGCAATAAGAGTTATTTATTATTTTAGGTTTAGTACTGATGCATTTTAAAGGCATAAACATATCTTAATCATTAATATTTTAATGGTTCTATTTCTTTTTTTCATTTATGCTGTTATAAAATTGAAATTGTGAATCTTTCTACCTCATATAGTATCTATTAATTAATATAAAAATAAATTTCATTTTTATCTATGAATTATATTTACGGTGTTCCAACTACAGTTTAGGCTTAATCTTGTGTGTGCTCAAGTACTCTTGATATACCGAAATCTCCAATTTTAACAGTTCCGTTTGATGTCACAAATATATTGGAAGTTTTAATATCTCTATGTAATATTTTTTTATCATGGATGTATATGAGAGCGAAAGCTATTTGCAAAAACCAGTTGAGAATTACTCTCTCGCTAAAATACTCCTATTTATTTTTTTTGCGCTTAATGTGAAAAGCAATATCACCCTCTTTTAATTAGTTATTTATTTATTAATAAAAAAATATTTTTATTTTGTATTTATTTGAAAGCTTTATTGTTAAATTCATAAATTAATTTAGAGTTTAAATATTTTTTTTACCTTCACAATACTCCATGATAATAATAAGAGTACCATCTATCATAAAGGAATCTTTATATGCTACTATATTTGGATGCTTCAAGCTTTTTAAAAGTTCTGCCTAAATTATAACAAGAATAATCAATATATAAATAAAGAGTTTTTAAAGCGGCTTTACTTCTTATTTCGCTGATTCCTATTCCCTTTCTTTGAGTCCAGCCAAAATAATTTTTTTAGCAATAAATAGAATCTATGTAGCTATTTCTTTAACTAATGTCGCAGAACCTATATAATAAATATTTAAATATGGATTCTAATCTATCAAGCTAAAATGATAAACGTAATAGCTAGTTTTTAAAAGCTTGGTTTATCCTAAATCTAATAAACAAATTTTTATTTACCAAAGTTGCCTCGACCTATAATTTCAAGTTCTTAATACTAGGCTAAATAAGGGTTCATTGATAATTTTCAGCTTCGTGCTACCTTTTAGAGCTATTCCTTATCTAAAAATTATTGAATGATTTAATAAATTAATAATAATATATATTTATTTATTTTGCAGTTTTTTGTTATTTTTTTATTTATTTGATGAATGTTAAAATTTTGATCCACAACTTATGGGATTTTATATTTTATCTATCTATCTTTTTATTATAAAAATAATTAAAAAGATGTGTTTTTGGCTTACTAACCATACTTTCCTTCTCATTTACTGACGATCATTTTTTTTCCTTTTAGAAATATCAACTAAGATCCTAAGCTTAGATATTTTGCGAGTATTCAGAAATAAATCTTAACAAAAAATAATTTTTTTAAAAATATTCATCAAGTAGTTAATGAAGAACTGCCAAAAAATATTTATTTTGTTTATAGCAAATTAAAATTTAATAAGGTTAATTTAAAATATAAACAATATAATAGCTGTTGAAACAATTTTAACTTTAATAATTATTTATTTAAGAATTTCTACACTATTTTTATTGTTTTTCTTCATAAGAAAATGTTTCAAATTCATCTTAATTAACATTTTATTATTCTATTTGAGGATAACAAATTAATCAATTGGATTTGTTTTATAAATATTTATAATATTAAAATTTACTATTTATAAATTTAAAATTTTTGGAAATGTTTATTTGTAATCTACTATTGATTTGAGTAATTTATTTTATGTAAAATAATCGAATAATCTTAAAAAACAAAAATCAAATATTAATTAATTTAATTTAATTATTTTTAACGAAAGCAACTTAATTAGCATTATATCAAAAAGCAAACACTTATTTATGTCGGAAATAGCAAAGGACTCATTTTATAAGGAAAGATATTACTAGCTTTCTTTAACTAGTTGGGGAGAAGATGAAAAGAAGTTTATGGAAAATAGAAAATTAAAAGAATTGAGTAGAAATGTTATGACAGAAGAAATTATAAAATCTTCTCTTGGTACATTAGGAAAGACAGCCCAAGGATCACATTATGCATTTTTATCATTTAATGCTAGCAACAAAGATTTATATAGCATAGGAGTAATTTTGCTCTTTATTTTATTTTTGAGAATTTTATAATCTTTAAAAACAGTCCTCAATTAACAATAATTATTTAAAATTTTAGGGAATTGAAGATTTTAAACATTTGCAATATATTGATGTATCATTTAATAACTTGATCACTCTTAAGCCTTTATCATAATTGAAATATATCACTTATCTAAATATTTCGCATAATAATTTGACAAAGCTCTTAGATTTTAAGTAAAGATTTCATTTATAAATAAAATTAGCATTTAGAATATGGTTGCTTTAGTAAACTTTAAGATTTTAAAAAGCTAAATAAAATTGACTGTTTCATAAATAGAGTTGATTGATAATATAAAAATAGTCTTACTAAAAGATTGATTATTATTTTTTTTATTAATCAATATAAATAATAAAATGCTTTTTTATAAATTAAACAGAATACTGAATATATTTATTTTATAATTTTAAAAAACATAATTATTTAAAATAGAGAAATTCCATATAACCTAGAGGAAGTAATATCTAGTCATAATTAAATAAATGAAATCAAGGATTTATCTGAGCATAAATTCCTCAAAAAATTAGATTTATCTAATAATTAAATTGAAAAGATAGAAGGCCTATCTTCCAATAAAGATTTATAGATTTTAAAATTGGCTTATAACAGAATCAATATTATTGAAAATCTCGATCATTTAAATATTGTAGAACTTGACTTAATGGGAAATCAAATTGTTCATTTAACTGGTTTGAATTAATTAGTAAAATTAAGAAAATTAAACCTGTCTTCCAACAAAATATCTAAGTAAGTAGATTTTTTAAATTAAATAATATATTTTAAGGATGATTGTAAGCAATTAAATAGCAATAAACCAAAAAAAATTAATTTTAATTTGTGAAAAATTACAAATAAATGGAAAATAAATATAATTATAAATGTTGATTATTTAAAAAAAATAAAGCTTTTTATACAAAAATAATATTGTTTGACATAATTAAATTAATTTTAAATTTTATTTATTTTAATAAGATTAAAAGGTTTGGTTGATTTAGTTTAGCTAAGAGAGTTGAGACTTTCTGATAATTTGATTCACAGAGTTAGAGAACTTTATTATTTATAAAACTTGACATTCCTTTCTGATTTAGATTTGTGTTTTAATAGAATTTAAAATAAAAGATTTTACAGATATTAAGTAAATTTTTAAGATTAATCGAAAAAAAGTTATCATAGCTAGATTTAATTTTATTTTTTGTATTCTAAAAGGTGCTTTATAGACTACCTGGATTAAGAGTGCTTGATGGTGTCAATACCACTTCTGAAGAATTTGTTAAGGCTGAAAACTTATATGGAATGGACTTAGAAGATAGAAAGCGTATATTTTATGAAATTCTTCCAGAAGAGGAATTTATAGATAGAAGAATAAATATTGCAGATTTGATTGAACCTGAAACTGAAAGTGACAATGAAGATGGTATGTAATTTGTTGATCAGTATGACAAAGAAGGTAATTTAATTAAAGCAGCTGATTCTGGTACAAGTAAATCACTTAGAAATTCCTAAGTTTCTATAAAATCTCAGCATTAAAAGACATAATAAAGTATCCCCAACTTTTAAGAGTCACAATCAAGAACTAATAATTTTAACACTAATCAAAGTATATACGATTAAAAAAGCAGAACCCTCTAAGAAAAATATGACTCATTAAGGAACAACAGCAGATCTTCTAACAGCATTAATTAAGTTAATCAAAATCTAAATTTAAAGAGCAATTGAAAAAAAATAAAAAATAATTTCATAGGCAATTAAAAATAAATATGAATTTTATTTATAATTGTGGAGTATGTATTTATTTATGTATATATATTAATCATAACTTAATTTTACTATAAATTATATCTTCTTTATTAATTAATTAATTAATTTGCTTTGTAAATTTCAATAATTTTAATTAGTCATTTATTTATTTATATATTTATTTATTGCTGAAAATTTAAAACTCAAAATGAATGATTAAAAAGGAATAATGTATTTGTTATAATATAAAATTGTTTAACTTTAAATAGATTAATAAGATTTCAAGATACAGCTGCCACATCGTTTATATCGTCTTCGTCATCATCAGCCCAGGGACCACACTCTTCATCCATTTTATATTAATGACTGTATTTGTTAACTAATTCAGATACGTAGTTTTATATTTTTTTATTAGATGTTAATTAAATTTTTTTATCAGGCGATATTGAATAGGAACTTTTGTTATTCTTTGATGTATTAATAATCCTCTAAGATTCTATGCACAGTGATCTTCTCTTATCTTAGATATTTTAAATATGATAAAATTAATGTGGCAGTGTTTCTCCGGTTCTATTGGAGTAAGGTATACTTAATGATCCTCTTTGACTTATTATTTTCTTATTAGGAATCCTCTGGAAGCTGTTATTATTACTTGATTCGTTATTTTGTAATTTATATTTTTTAAAATTGTTTTTGTCAAATAGATTAGAAGTCTTTGATGTGAAGGAGCATTTATTTAAGCTCTGTTTGCTATCTTTTTTAAGAAATGAGTTTTCATTAACTATTTTATGTTCAATAATTTAATCATTAGAGCTTTCTGCATCCTTTTGATCTTAGATTACTAAAAAATTATTCACTTAACAATCTTATTGAACATTGTTTTGCTGCTGTAAAGAGGTTAGATTTTTTACTTCACTATTTTTCATAGTATTCGAAAATCTAAAGTGTTTGATAACCTTATCGGTAAAACTACTTGAAACAGAGTTTACAGAATCATTGATTTCTTGCTAGCTTTAATTCGATTCTGGGTTTATGTAAAGATTTTACTTCTTTTTAAAGTTGTATAAGTATTACTATTCATATGATATCTAATTGTTTTCATCAAAAGCATTTTTTTATTTTTTAGAACGATTTAAAGATTAACTATAAGGTCTTTCAATATTTTACATTTTTGCTTTTTAGCTTTGTATTTCAAGAGTACTACTTTATTATGCTTGATTGATTATTAATTAATTATTGAATATTTCATTAACATCTTATGTGCTTCTATGTGTTTCTCCTAAAATATCTTATTCTACGTTTACTAATGAGCAATTAATGTTCTCCTTACATTCTTAATCATTTTTAAAACTATAATTTTGACATAACTATTAAGATTAAGGATAAGCATTTGTTTAAAATTTCTCCTTAGAACTACTAAGTTATTGTTATAAATTTGCTTCTAAGTTATTATATTATTTAGTTGATGTTAAAGATTCTTGATTGCTTTTTGTATGCAAATTTATATATTTTTACTTTCTATTCCAATCCTATTCTTGCTAGTTAATTAAGTTATTTAGTCTTTTAGATTATTTAATTAAATTCTAGTAGAAACTTTGGGTAAAGTTAACCTAATTCTATTTATTAACTAATTTCTTTTATTCTTGTGCATTTTGAGACTAATTTATTTATAATTGTTTTCTTTAAAGCAAATTCTCAAAAACAGAAATGCCTTTTCCATACGATGTATTTTTACGAGTTCTTTAAACTTACTTTCCTACAATTATTCCACCCTTCAGTATACGTTAGTGATCTTCTTCTTAATACTCCATCTATTGCTAAATTTAAGGAGGGTAGCTGTATTGAAGCTTATTTTTTAGGTATTCTCTATAATTATTTGAAATATCTCTTCTTTAGCTATTATATTAAATATTAATTTATTATTACTATTCTTCCTCTTTAAGTGTGTGCTTGCTTTACTTTAGATTATCTTCGCCTATTATTTTTTAGGAATTATCAGCTAATTTAAAATTTTTGCATTCTAAAGAGTTTTAATTTGATCTCCCTTACACTTAACCAGATAAATCTTAACTATAAGAGTATCTATTTGATCTAGCATTTGATTTCTATTAATCTAATAAATTACTAATCACATTAAATCCTTAGTTTTTAATTTTTTGAATTGTCTAAAATTATTAAATATCATCTTAAACATAGTTATTTTGTTGTTATCCCTTTTCTTTTGAATTAGACATTTTATATATTTCAATTACATTTTTAGGTTTATTAGATAAACTTTAATTATTATTATTATCATCATCATCTCCTTTTATATTCTAAATTTTTATTTCAACTTTTAAAGAATTTTATATTGATTAATTCACTATTTCAGTAGCTTTCTTTCCATCTAAAGTGGAGAAGCTAGATCCTTTCGAATTTTATTTGTTTATTTTGATTTAAATAGGTTCAATTTGCTATTGTATATTCATGAAAGAGTTTTCATTGGTACTTTTTTAACATATTTGTTATTTTACAGGGCTTAAATTACTGCTATTATTTAATGTTAAAGAACTACGAACAAATACCTGCTGAACAAGTTTATTATCCTCAAACAAACCTTCTGAAGGAGTTTCAGCTCTTTCAAAATATCCTTATTGAAAATTTAATATGCTTTCTTTACTTTCTTTGCTTGATAATAACTTTTTACTAGAGCTAGAAATATTGTTAACCTATTCAAAATTTATTTTACTTTATGATTTAAACTATTGTGCTGATTATAGCTTGCGTTTTTTTCTAATAAATTAACTTGTAACTTAGCTTTTTTATTAAATTTGATCTTAATGAAGAGGAACGGATGAGGAAGCCAGCTCTGTTTGCAATTTCTAATTCATTTCGCAAGATAATCTTTGCTATTTTTATTTTTTAGTACAATAAAACCAAAAATTATCCCCTTAAATAATTATGTGATTTTTTTAAGTTGAAAAATTTAGTTTTACAAAAAAATAGATAATTTGGAATGAAAAAGATTGTGGAGAAAATTTGCTTTATAAATCTAAAAAATCAATAAAGACTATTATTATTGCATTTTACATTTATTATCTATCAACCAATCAATCAATAATTTTGTAATAAAAAAAAGTTTTTATTAACAAATTACATAGAAGTTGACTTAGTTAGATTACATTTATAGAATAAATTGCTTTTACACACTAAACAAAGAAATTAATAAAATTAAACTTCAAAAATAGTTTCAATTCTTATTAAAATAACTAAAAAATTTAATCAAATTATAAAAATATTTTTGTACTAAAAAATAAATTATTAAATAATTTTTAATCGCCATATTAATTAATTTTTTTTAATGACTTGTTAAAAAATATAAGTTATATTCATAGAATTTAAGGATTTTTTATTCTTAAATTATTAGGAATTTAGCAAAAGGATGATTAAAAATTATTTTTTTTAAGAATAAATTTGTTTGCATGAATATATTTATTAGGATATGAAAAATCTTTATTTATTAATGGGAATCAACAAATATATTTTATTAAAATTAAATTGAATTTATTTAAACTTGATTAACTTTATTTTTTTTATATAATTTTTTTAGTAATTAAGCAAAATGTTTTGCTTATTATAAGAATAATTTAAAATGTTAATTTTTTTAATAAAAATTTGTTTGAAGTAATAAAGGAAAAATATTTATTTCATAAAAGCAATCAAAAAAAGGTTGATATTAGAATATATAAAATTTATAGATAATTAAGATTTATCACTTCTTTTTTAGATATTTAATCTAGATTTAAGATTAAAATAGAGCTCCTAAAAATGATTTTTTGAATTTGTAAAATAATTAATAAAAATAAATACTCGATTTTGCTAAAAAGTAATTAGATGAATAAACAAAAATATACTAAATAAATAAATGAACTAATTTAAATTAAAATTAGTTGATTTTGCTATATAATAAATATTAATCTTCTATCGTGTATTCTTTAAACTAATTATTAAAAAATTGTCAAGTTCAAACTCTTCAAAAAAGAATAGAAATTTTATCAGCATAAAAGTAATTTATGAGTAATAGAGCTTCTAGTGAGTAAAGCACATAGATAGAATTCGATAAAATAAAAATAAATTGCTTTACTATATTAATTATTGAAGGAATACAAGCATTTTTCTTTGATTTGTACACCACATTTCCAGGTTATGATCAAAGCTTCGAAGAAGAGTGCTAAAAGTTGTGGGATTGGTCATTTGCAACATTTTGCACATTAGGAGTGTCTGTAATATTTTGTGGATTAAATATTTTAGGAGCTTATTATAAGAAGGCAGGATTAGTTAAATTTTTCTCAATGATGGTGGGTTTTAGCTAGCTTGCCATTTTAGTGACATATTGTGGAGATTGGATTTATTTAAATCACAATTGTGGATCACTTCATCATTTAAATAAAGTTATTTTTATAATTATGGTAGGAATAATTAGTATTTCTACTCTAGTTTAATTGTTTAAATGGCTATCAAATAAATTTAGATGAATATCAAAGCAAACACAAATACAAATTTTGTAAATATATAATAAAAAAAATATGATTATATTATTACTCTGTAAATAAAATATTGGTAGAGTCAAACAAATATTTATTCAAAAAAATAAAATAAATAACCAAAGGGCTTCATATTTTATTGATTATAATTAATGGCTAATTGAAAAAATTAGTTAAAATAAAAAATATTTAAATAAAACAATTTTAATTTTAGTTATAAAATAATTAATTTATCGCATTTACTTTTTGTAAAAGTTTTTTTGTTTGTTTGTTTGCTTGTTTGCTTATTTGTTTGTATTTCTAATTAATTGTAAATCATATCAAATAGATTTTAAGTAAAATTTGAATTTTAAACGAATAAATTAATTATTTAATTATCATCACATTTAGTATCGCCTTTTAAATTGTGTAAATTAATCTAATTAAGATACTCGATTTCACAATGTCAATATTACACACTAATTTTATTTTGGATAATTTAATCTTACTGTATATCATCCATAAACAATAAATTTTCTTTTAGCCAAGAGTAATCTTTGACTTTTTAATAATTTCTGAGAATGCTTGAAGAAATTTAGGTGAATCAGAGCAAATAAGCATTTTACACCTAAAAAGATATGATATTCTTCTCATTTAAAAGATTTATTAATACAAAAAGTTGCAATTTGAAAATTAAATAACATGTTTATTGTATTTAGGATAAAAAAATGAAAAAAATTTTTAAAAATGCTAAGATTTTTACTTTAGTAAGATTGGAGTAAAAATTCTCAATTTTTATTTGCTTGCTTAGTCAAAAATATAGATTTTAATTAATTAAGGTTGAAATAAAATTTATAGTCGTGTTTACAAATTTCAAACAAGTCAAATTTAGTTTTTCTTTTAAGTGAGTGTACTTACTAATTTTTATTAGCTTTTTGCTGCATTTTTTATCAACAGACTTCAGAATATTTTTTATCATTCTATAAAAGTTTAAAGAAAGCCTTTTATAAGAAAGGATAAAAACAGACTAGAAAAAATAATAAGTGAATTAAAAATTGCTTTATATTTATTATAAGTTAATTTTATTAGTAAACTTATTAAACACTTTTGATAATTGTTTTGATAGGTAATAGCAAATTTTTGATGGCAAATAAAATTATCTAAATTTTAGATTTGTGTTTATTTAATATCTAAAAATTTATTTCATGCAAATTTGATTAAATTTAATTTTTTTTTACTTATTTTTTTTCTAATTTTAGCTTTAGACATACATTCAAAACAGTGTGAGAGATAACATGTTTTTTTTTATTTTTTTTTGTACTTTTGATCATTTAATTATAATTTTTCTTTTATAATATTATTAAAAATAGTAAATGTCATTTTTATTTTCCTTATCATTTATTTTAGTACTTGTACTTTTTTTTCATCAATAATGGGATAAAAAAAGATACTTTTATAAAAGTTTTGATTTGAGTTGCGCAATCGTATTTTCACTATTTATTAATCAACTTTGTTTGCTTGTTTGTTTGTGTTTTTATTTGTGAATCTAAATAAATGTTTAGTTAGGATTGGTATTTTAACCTCTAAATAAAGAAAAATTAATTATTAAAAAGTGGATGTAAATAAACTATTTATGGGTAGAATAAGAAAGCAAAAACAATATTCAATAATTTAATTAAACAATCTTCTAAATAAATAGATAGATACATAGATACATAGATAGATTTAGTCAAATAGTTTTTGGTCAGGTCCTTATCTATATAATTAAAAAAATTATTAATTTTTTTAAACTAGGAAATATATCTTATTTAACAAAAAGTAAAAGCCCAACAAAATTTATGTAGCAAGAGCTCGCGCGCGACATAGACAAGTAATCTTATGAAGCTGAAAAGCGAAAAAATGGTAAATATTCAGCAGAACTCATGAACATGAATAATTCTGATGAAGAACATAAAGATGAACTATTCAAATCCCTAAATAATTAGGGCCATGATGACGCTACAAACGCTGGAAAATCTAGTATCAATTCATAAAGTAACTAAAATAATTACTTAAACGACGATATTCATTAAGGTAGAAGTCATACAAATAACTCTTCAAGTCCATAGAATACATTAACAAGCCCCTAATACTATACTGAAAATCTCGTAGAAAAGCCATATAGAGTTTAATGCATGATGCTTTTAATGCATATTGGTCTTCTATTAAAAAAGAATTTTTTGATCAACCAGCGCCATAAATTAGTTTTCCTATTTAACTTTTTAACTCCTGTAATTGTATGTCTCATGCTGATTATGTGGCAGTAAATAGCTGATAGATTGATATAATTTTTAATTATCGAACCAGATATTTATGAATAATCTTTGATCCCTCGTTGCTTATCTCCAGAATATCTTGATTCTCTGGATCCAACAGACTTAGAAATCAAAGGAAATAAGCGTGGTTGTATTACAGTAGGATATCATATCATCGGAGAAAAGTAATTATGGGTAGAATAAGCTATGGAATATGTGGCCTAAAGAAATAAACTTGAATTTGGCAAAGATGTAAAGCTACTATCATAGGGAGACCCTTCTTAATATCAAAAATATATCCGTAAGCATTTAAATCGTACTCAAATCGGAGTTGTTTTTTGCACAACAAGCTATCCACTAAAACAGTTCGGATATAATTTAGACATTCCATGCAATATCAATTTATAAGATAGTGACTATTCTCAGTACTTGCATGTATCAGGATATGATGTAGAGCGTTTTAAAAATATAAAGACTATGGTATATACAATTATGTATAACGGTACTCTTAACTATAAAACTCCTTATTTAGCTGATCCAAAAGCAAGTGTTGGAAAAGATGATTTAGTGAAATCATTAAAAGTATCGTTAGACAATGCTTTGATAGAAATAGTTGCTTAAAATACAATTGACGAATTCTCAAAGGTTTATGATGAAAGCAAATCACGTGACGAGCAAAGACTCAAAATGGATTTTAATAGAGAGCGTATGCAAGTAGTAGCACAAGACTATCCTAAAATACCTACAAGATTCACCCAAGGCTATGATGTATTTGCAGGTAATGGTGCTTTTTATCTGTTTGTGCCAATCATGGTGACTTTTATTCTGCTTATTAATGAAATTCTTCGTGAAAAAGAAAAAAGACTGAGATAAGGCTTAACTACTATGGGATTAACGCATTTCAGTTACATAACAAGCTGGGTTTTATATACTATAATCACTTTAGCAGTTTTAGAAGCAATTATGGTCCTTAGTGGAGTTTTATTTGAATTCGATTTTTTCACTAGATCTCCTGTTATAATTACTTTTACCATCTTATTCTCTTTTGGTTTATCATAGATGTCAATAGGTTTTTTCATCACCACCATTTGTAGTGATGTTAAATTAGGATACACTGTAGCTTATGCATTTTTATTATTCTCAGTTGTTATGGAAATGTTTATGTCTACTCCAGCTTTCATTTTTTATCTCTATCAAGATGATCCAGATTTGTTTGTTGAAATCCTTCTCAAGATATTTAGTCTCTACCCCGCCTTCCATTACTCTAAGCTTTTCCACGATGTAGCACAACGCACAAATAAGCACTATGAAATAGCAGCAGGACGTTGGGTATAAGGCCCAGGTTTCAATTATGAAGATATATTTGAAAATTTCAGTGGAAAATTCCCTTATCCTCCTAAAGAGTATCACACTCCATCATGCATTACTTCATTCGTTTACTTAAACATAACTGCTATTCTTTTCTTCATCCTTGGTTGGTATTGCGATCACGTAGTTTCTAGCGTAAAATTTTAACTTTTTATATTTATAAACTTAAATAAAACAATAATATATAGAATAGAGGAACATAAGAAAGTCCATTGTTTTTCTTAGGTAACGATTATTGGAAGTGTTTAAGAAGAAAGTAAAAAATTAGAAGAAAAGTCAGTGCAAGTCTCAATAAATGTAAAAATAAAGAAATCATAAAAAGAATTTACATTTTTTTTATCAAAATGAAAATTAGTTGAAGAAAATAATTAAGAAAGTACAGGAATTAATTTAAATGAATCAGTGAAAAATGAAAGAGAAGTAGTTTTAAAGAATTAATTAGAAGATGCTTTTGTAGATGGAATAAGAATTTAAGGAATTAGCAAAACATATTATAAATATCCATTCGGCATTAAATCAAAGCATGATAAGACAGCTATTTCTGATATATTTTTTGAAATTAGAGAAAATGAGTTAGTTTCATTACTTGGACATAATGGTGCTGGTAAAAGTACACTTATAGGTGTGTTGACAGGTTTATTAGCTCCTACATAAGGAACTGCTATAATTAGAGGTTATGATATCAGAACTAATATGGGTTAAATCCGTTAAATGATGGGTGTTTGCCCTTAATTTGATATTTTATGGGATGAATTAACAGCTTATGAACATCTTGAAATGTACTGCAAGATTAAAAATGTACCCTCGAAATATATAAATTAAGAAATAGATAAAAGAATGGCAGAAGTAAGAATGAGTGATAAAAAGCATTATCGTGTAGGAACATTTAGTGGTGGATAAAAGAGAAGAGTTTCCCTGGCTATTGCTGCCATAGGTAAAAATATAAATTAAATTAAAAAAATGTATTTATTTGATTTTGAATAAAGGTGATCCCAAAATTATATTCTTGGATGAGCCAACTACTGGTATGGATCCTAAAACAAGAAGAGAAGTGTGGAATATGATTAAAGAAATGAGAGTCAATAGAAGTGTAATTTTAACAACTCATGCAATGGAAGAAGCTGATATATTGAGTGATAGAATTATAGTTGTATCTGATGGACGCTTAAAAGCTATAGGAACTCCTCTTTATCTTAAAAATTCTCATGGAGATTCTTATAGGTTGTGTCTTATTCTAAATTCATCAGACCCCCTTTAAATAGAAATAGCAAGAGCTCAAATTAAAAAACTTCTTCCTTCTTCTAATAGTATAACTTCAGAAGGTGCAAGTATTATAGTAGGAGTCTCTCATCGCCACATTAATGAATTAAAGCAATTCTTTTAAATTATTGAATGCACAGATATTCAAACATTAAGCTAAGAAGAATTAAATTTCAAAAATTAAATCAAAGAATGGGGTCTCTCTCATGCTACTCTTGAAGAAGTATTTTTGCACATAACAGATCATGCAGAATAATTCCAAAGAAAGAAATGAAAAGATTAAATCTCTTACTTGATTCCTCCACTATGAAAATCCATCTATTTGTCGGTTATGTATCAATAAAATCTTATTAAAATAAATTATTCATAAAATATTGTTTCAATTTCCTGAAATATTCTAAATATGACCATTATAAATAAATAAATAAATAAATAAATAAATAAATAAATAAATAAATAAATAAATAAATAAGTAAGTAAGTAAGTAAGTAAGTAAGTAAGTAAGTAATTAAATCAATAAATAAAATTATATTGAATAAAATTAAAAATTATTATAATAACAATACAATTATATCAAATTAATTATTTTCATTTATATTGCCTCTAGTAAATTATTTTTATAGCATTCTTTCTATTTTAAAACAATTGATATTTTTAAAATTCAAACACTAACACTTGTACTGTAACTTAATTGTTGATTATATCAATTTTCTTAGGAATTGTAATTATGAGTATTAATTACTTCTTAGAAAATAAATAATACTTTTAATTCTCATTTATATTTATTATATTAATATTATTTTTAAATAATTATATTCATTTTTATTACCTTAAATAAATAAAGAATTTTGAACAAATTCTTTCAAATTTAAAATTAGCTAGTTGTATTTTTAGATAAGCATAGTTTATTTTATTACTTAATGATATAATAAGCTCTTTATTAAGTAAATTTAATTTTTTGAAATATTTTAATTATTATCATTTTAAATAAGTAAAATATGATACTTATTCATTCATTATAGATTAAATTTAATAATATATTGCTTTCTTTGAATTAATTATTTTGATTCCAATAAATTATTTTTAATATCATATTACTTTAATCTTTAAAGTTTAATTCATAACTCAAATATTAAATATCTTTAATTTTAAAAAATATTTTAATGAAAACTTAAATAATAAACAAATAAAATTCAAACAATCTATTTAAATTTTCTAATATATTTTACTGATGATTATTAAAATAAATAATATTCAAAAAATATTTCTATTTTCTATATTAAACAATACCATCAAATCATTTAATTCACCCAAAAGTAATTAAAAACAAATAATCACATATTGAAATTATGAAATAATAAATTTTTATTTTCAAAATTCTAGTAATGAATTAATGAATGAAGATATTAAATTCTATTTGTAAAAAACTATCAAATCTATTTAAAAATAGACAATTTTATTTTTATTATATTGAACACACTGATAATTTTTTATTTTTATTTTCTTTTTATATTAGTTCATTATTTGTTATTTCTAGCTTTAAAAGCTGATAATCCGGTTAATTCTCTACCAGCTACTAAGGCATTAATATCATAAGTGCCTTCATATGTATGTGTTGCTTCAATATCAAGCATAGCTTTCAAAATATAGTCATCTTCATAAATACCAGCACCCTCTTATTTTATTTGATTATTAAAATTTTTAACTTACAAAATATAAACTAATTAATTTATTAATTACCCAATAAATCTTTTGCTTGAGTGCATATTTCCCTTGTTCTGGTTGTAGCATATGATTTAGCTAAAGCAACCTAGCCTAATGTTAGCTGTTTACTATCATATAGCTCAGATACTCTCCATGCCATTAATAGAACACTTTGTGTATTTGATATCATACTTAAAACTTTTTTCTTTATCATAAAATTAAAATGGTTTTATTTCAGTATAAAATTTACTTTAGGTTTCTACTTGGGCTCAATATATTGTAAGGCTCTCTCACAAACACCTCTTGCTATACCGGAGGATATCCAAACAGCAACAATTCTTGAATGTTTTAAAATCTTATTTGTTGATTCTTAAAAGCTCGTAGCTAAAGGTAATTTCATATTGACTGGAATAAATACATTTTCAAAAGTTAGATGATAATTTTGAACCATTCTCACAGCTAATTTATGCTCAATAACTTATCTAGTTACTCCTTTTTAAGTTAGCTCAACTATAAAACCTTCAATTTGTTTTGTTGTTTAATTCTTAGCCCATACTACAACAATATCTCCATTTCCATTCCCAATCCATCTCTTAGTTCCATTAAGTATAAATCCACCTATTTTATATTTTTAAAAGAGATTGTTGTTTAAAATCAATACAAATTTGGTTAAATTATCAATATTAGTTAGCAAAAAATACAATTTTTTTTTTTACTCTTTTTACAAATAATATGATTATATTTAAAAATCTACTTACCATCAATTTCTTTCACATTTGATTCTAAACCTGAAGCATCGGATCCGTAATTAGGTTCTGTTAATGCCCAGCCTCCAATTTAATCGCAATCAATTAATTTAGGCAAATATAATTATTTTTGAGCTTCTGATCCAAACCATTCAATTGTTGTCATTAAAACAGACCATTATACAAGCATGAAAAGAGACAAACCTGAGTCTATCATAGCCATTTCAGATATTAAAATTCCAATTAGTCTTGTTCTCCTTCCTTCCCCAAAGGGAGGCCCCACAAATAATTTGAACAAGCCAAATTCTTTTAATTTTTATCTTACAAAAGTAGGAAACTAAGCTTTTTCAATGTATTGATTAATATGAGGTTTTATATCTCTTTGAATAACCTCCCTAAATTTTTTTCTAATAATATTTTCTTCTTCATCATATAGAAAATTATATTCTAAAATATCTAATGAATCAGTAGTGTAAAGCTGCTGACTTATTGATTATACTCTTTCCATATTTAAAAAAAATTTAAAATAAGATTATTTAATTATTTTTCAAAAAATAACAATCCAATTCTAAGATATGATTTATTAATTACTCATAAGATTGCGTCATTGCATGTACAAAGATTACACATCTTTAAATACAAACAGCTCTTTACTATCTAAAAATAATATGTATTTTTTATACATTGAAAACAAATAATTGATTAATTTACCAAATAGAAAAATTCAATTCTATTTTTTCATGGAAATATTATGCTAATAAAATGACAATTATTTCAAGCATGAAAATTAGAAAAGTAGTAACATTTTTATATACAAAATAAATAAATAAACAGATAGTGTATACAGATAATTTTATAGTAATAATATATTTAGAATTAAGATATTTAAGATGAATTTAAGTTAGATTGATCATTTATTTATCATTTTTGATTATTTTTAAATTAGATTGGTCATTTATGATTATTTTTTTTAGGTTGATCATTTACAATTATTAAGAAGTTTGTTATTAAATTATAATTAGTTTGATACTAAAAATGGTTATTAATTGTTTTAATTAGCATTTTTTGAGTACTTTTAGAAAATTTTTACATATTTCTTTATTCAGAAAAAGAAATCCCAGTGGTTTGAAATAGGTGATACCAAAATTCCAGGTAAAAACGGGGCTACGTGCTTAAAGTAAGCTTCAAATACTAATATTTGACGTGAGAGTATAAATTGATTGATTTATATTTTTTTATCTAGTGCAATTCTAAGATCTTAAATGCCTTCATCACTGTTTAATATAAAATGAAAATAGTTAATATAATTTTAGCATTTTTTAATTAAAATATTAATGTGTTTTATGTAAGTTGTAAGAATTTAATTAATTAATTAATTTTTATTTTACTCGATGTAAATCTGATATTATAGTAAAGAAGATGGTTTCATCAAACTTAGGAATAATTACTACTCTGACCTTATAGAGCAATGATTATACTTAAAATTGATTTTTAAGAGCAAAATATCTCTTAAGTTCTCTAAGCTATGAGATAATTTTAGAATACCAGAATCTTGAATTTTATTGTATGAAAAATCAAGATCTAGACAACAAAGTCTTTGTAATTTAGAAATACCCTATGAAATCATAATTAAGCCTTGATCGCCTATCCAATTTTAACTCATAGAAATAGATAGAGCCTTTAAGTTAAACAGTTCACTCAAACTATTTCCTAATTCATAGCATCCTGCATTTCCTATTTAGTTAGCCCAGAGTTATATTCTAAGGTGCTATAGATTCTTCATTTATTTTAAACCTTTTGCTAAAGCGATACATCCCTCATCTTTTAGTTTGTTATAACTTTAAAGAATAATAAATTAATTAATAAATTTGATTGTAAAATATCTTAAAATCTATTACTTTAAATTAATTTGAAGAGACTGCAAAGAATCTAATTAATTAATTGATTGAATTAGACTATTAATTCCTTTTTCGCTTATTTTGTTTCTATGTAAAGAAAGGTCAATATCTTCTAACTAAATCATATTGCCTAAGCACTATGCAAGATCAATGCACATAAGATCATCAAAATCGACATTTCTTTAAATATAATAAAGAATAAATTATCAATATTTTTACACAATCTGAAAATATTTTAAAAAGAAAATAAAATAATAAAAAAATACATTAAGTAGAGTCTTAAGTGTTTAATAGATTTAATACTGCTTATAGATCTAAAGATATATTTTAAATTAGCCTTTTACTGAATCTCACTGTATCTTTAATTAATAATAAACAAATTTAATTAAGACTTTGCTTGCGTAAAAATAAATGAAATTACTCTAACTAGAAGCTCAAATATTCAAGGCTCTAAAAGTTGAGTAAAGCCTAAGAAATTATATCAATATCTTTCTACTCTAGATGTTCTTTTCTAAATTTGATAATTAAAAATTTAATTTGTTTGATAAATATTGAAATAAACGCTTACTGGTATCTAAAGCTAGCGCTTTTTAAACTGTTAATATTCTCTAATTCTTAAGCATTAATAGAATTTTAAAGAGCAGAATAGACTAGGAAATCACTAGCCTATAGATGTTGGTTGCTTTGTAGCATGTTTTGAGAAATTTAAGAAGATCTAAGAAGATTCTTGTTAGTTTTTGTTTTAGATTGTATTTTTAAGAGTGTGTTTTTAATTTTTTGTTTTTGATATGCAAATAATAATAATAATAATTTATCAAAAAATTCTGAACTTTAAATTATTTAAAATTGATCAGGTGTAAAGAAAATATTGTATTCAACGTCTATATTTTCAAAAGAAAGAGACAAGTAGCTATTCTTAATAAACAATAAACCAATCTAATTTAATTTAATCAATAAATAGTATGTAAAATTTGCTCATCAATAATCTTTGTTCCCACTACCACTAAAATATAATATTAGAAATTAAGCTAATAAATAAAAAGGAGGGGGATTTATTTTTATTTTACTCTAAGCAATTCGAAAGCAAAGATAAGCATAAATGGGAAAGAAATGTTGATTGTTAGAAAAAAATTAGTTTTTAAATTAAATTCAAGTAATAATTAAATTATACATAGTTATGTTTGTTGAATGTATGTATCTATAAATATTACTTTATTCAATTTTTCTAATTTAAGCTAATAATAGTAGTAAAGAAATATTATTAATAGATATTATTAGAATAGTAAGATTTTAATCAGAGCAAGGCTTAAAAAGCTAAGCTGTGTAAGTAGCAAAAAATAATAAAAAAATATTTTTTTAATAATAATTGACATAAATTCGATCATTTCTCTCTATTTTTTCAAGTTATCGATTAATTTATTGTAATTAAAGATAATTCTAGGTTATTGTGATTATTATCAAAAATTTTATTTTTAAATTACAATGATAAAGTAATATTTGATAATAATTAATTCATTACAAAATTTTATGAAATAATCTATATCATTAAGTAGAAGAATTTATATTTAATTAACTTGTCTAATTTAATTTCTAAATTTGTAAGAATTGTAATTTTTATTTATTTATTATTATTTTTTTTTAATTACAGATTATATTTGTTAAGAGAAAAAACTGATTCATAGAGAATTTATTTAATTATAAATGTTAGAATAATTATCTATTTATAATATAAACAGACAAAGTTATAAATATATTCTTTTAGTTTTTATGGTAGATAATATTTTATTTTTAAATTTTATTTTTCATTCAATACTAATAAGCTTCTTCTATCATACCTCTGAAGGTGTCATAGAAGTTAAAAACAATAGAACCAGATATCATGTAATAAACTGATCTTGCCCAATATCCACTAAAGAAGAGTTTGGGCCATTTTTCTTCTCTAATAACTGTTTTTAAACAGTGGAAGAATCCATCATATTTAGGATATTATTAACTTACTAATCTTGTAATTGCTAAATCAAAAGGATTGCTAATCAAAATAGCAAATAATGATCCTAAAATCATACCAGTGATTCTTTTATTGTAATCAGATTAATTTGGAATAGCCCTATCTATATGTCTCTAAATTAATTAACGTTAATAAGGATCATTATTGGAGTACATTTAAGCATAATTTTAACCATGAAGGCACAATTAAAACACTGTATTAAAACCAATTCTGTATGTCAAATCTCTGTTTTATAATTTAAATTAATAAATATCTTTTTAAAATGTATATTTTAATATATATTACCTTAAAAGGCATGGCAATAAAACAGATCTCATTCCATTCATATATTTATTAAAGCTTATTTCTCCAGAATTCATTTGGAGATATATTTTACGGACTTCAAAAGGAAGTCTGAAAGGAGCAGCTAATAGATCTGCAAAGCAAAAACACATAAGTTATTTTTAAAATGTAGACAAATTGCTAACAAATTAATTTTTCATCATTTCAATATTTATCCATCTGTAAGCAGCATTATTCATTGTAACACCAATAAAAGTTCCCAACATGCCTTATCCAATACCTCTATATAAAGCTTTATTTTTAATGAAAAGAAAGATAAATCTTGATAAAAAAAGCAAAAAGAAGCGAATATTAAATGAAATAAATAAAAAATAAATGCATAAAAATAAAATTCTATCTAATTTTTAATGTAAAAAAATGCAAAAGTATTTTTACGGTATTTAGAAACATTATTTTTAGTAAAAAAGCTTATATCTTCTAAAGGATGTTTTGCTTATACTCTTGTTTTAATTGTATTGAAAGGATAGCAAACTAGCAGACAAATGGTTTCCATGGTTAAATTGCTAGCTAAATCTAAATTTTTTCTAATAAAAGCATGATAATATTGAGGATCCTTCCATGTGTATGATTTTGATTCTTGTCTTAATTTTTCTACCTTTTTAATTCTCCCTAAAAGATCATCAAGCTCAGATTATTTTACTATTTTATCATCCTAAAATTAGGATTGCTTTTAAAGAATATGAGATTTTTTATAGATTTCACGATAAGATTAATCCTATTATAAACTTCTCTATTCTAAAATATCTAGTAGCTTTTAGTCTTCGTAAAGCTTTCTTGAATCAACTTTTTCCCTATTGTCTGCCATTTGAATTAAGAAATGTGTTTAATATCTAGATTTATTTTGTTTGCTTTAACAACTAATTTAATATCAAAAAATCTTAAAAATTAAAAAGATATTAAACAATTTATTTAAAACATACAAAATGAACTCGAACATTCGAGATTATATAAAAAGTTATATGCCTACTACTTATGTAACATTTATAATAATTAACATTTATCTAATAATTGAAACTATGTTTTTTTATTGATAAACAAATTTACTGAATAAAATGTTTATAAAATTATTTTTACATTTATATAAAAATAAAATTAAAATTAATTAAATCAAAATTCTTTAAGCTATAAATACATTTAACAAAAAATATAAGTAAAAATTACACTCTTAAACAAATTATTGTCATAGTTTTAAGTTTAGCTTGAAGTAGTTATTTTTAAAATTAATTAGGAGCTTGCAAAAATAAGTTTTATCTATAAATTCATTTTAAGAAACGAGAATTATTTGGATTATATTTGCTTTAGTTTGCACTATTTCTCATGGTTGAAGCACTGAAATTTCCTGATAAAGTATTTTTTTATATTTAAACTAAAAGTGAAGGATTTTTCAGCTTTATTAGGTTTGAAATGTCTTCAAGTCTACTTTAAACGAAAAGCATCTTTGCCTTTAAAATATTATACCTATAAATAACATTTTATTTAACTAAATCTTCCTCACAAGCTACGAAATCTAGAGAAAGTATTTCTAAGAACTTATATTCCATATTTTCTATCAGTTTCAAGTTTGCTCTTCCTTCTTCTTCCATTTCAAATATACCAAAAAAACTAATTGTATAAATATTGATATTAAACAAGCTGTTAATTTTTATCATAAATAAATTCATAATATTTTTTAAATGAGAAAATAACTAAATCTTTTGTTTTTTATTATTGTTTATTATTTATTTGTTTTTATTCTTAAAAATAATATTAATAGTATTTTTATTACTTATGGGGTTCTTTATAGCATTAATTAAAAAGCTTAATCAACTACTAGAGGAATTAACCGTACTCCATTTTTAACTTATTGTCTTCTTTGATTTACTTGAAAGATTCATAATTGATGCTAATTTTAAAAATTGTTATTTATTTAGTATTGATTGTCTAATTAAATATCTAATATCTACATTGTTATATAGAAAAAGAACAAATCTGTTTCGCTAGTAAATTCTATTTTAATTGCTTAATCACTTAAATCACCACCAGGATGTTAATTCTAACTGGGCTATATATTTATTATAATGTTAAAGTTTTAGATATTTCTCAACCAGAAGTAGATTTTGATTAATTTTTAAGTTAAAGAATTTATTTTCTACCTTAATTAAAATTTTGACTTTAATGCTCTCAAGACTTCCTACTTCTTAGGATTGCTAATTGTTGATGATTGTTCTATAATAAGTAAATTTTTTAAAACTTTTAATGCATTTAAAAAGATTATGTATACCTTAGCTCAAGAGGTACTTCTCTATCATACACTATTTAAAATCCATCCTCTTTAAATATAAATTAATTTGATTCAATCAATATAGTTTTAAAAGCTAATAATATTTTACACAAAGAAGGATCTATATCTTCCAATGAATTCATATTATCATAGTTTTATGATTAATCTTATATGCTATTATCGAACTATCTTGACATTTTAAAATTTTATTCTAATTAAAAGCTGCTATATCTTTTCTTTAAATTTTTCTTTATATCAATTTTTTAATTTATTAACTGATTATCTGAATCTCTTTCACTATCAAAATTTTGAAATATTAATTTTTATTTAACTTTTAGTTCTGAAATCACGAAGCTATTTATTGATCATCTATTTATTAATTTATTTATGCTTATTTCATAAAATTTTGAATTTTATAAAACTAAACAAATCCAGCCAAGCTGATAACTGTTTGTTAATAACAAACAAATATCATTTTATTTTATTTTTATGATTTTTATGATTTTGAATTTATTTTTAAAAAACTATTTTAACTAATCCAAATAATAATTTGTTTTTTCATATTAATTTGTTATAAAATTTACATAAAAATAAATTTGATCTATAAATTTATCATAAAATAATATTTTAAATTAAATTGCATTAATACTTAATAGCCGCTTAGCAAATAGACTTAAAACCCTAGTAAAAACTTTGAATTGTTATTAACATTTATAAAAATTTAATATTTTGCATTATATTTAAATTTTTAATATTAATAAAAATTCAAAAAACAAAGTTAATTTATAATTACTACAATATGAGCAATATCTTCTTTAAAAATATATTTAATATGTTATTTTTTTAACTTCAGTAATTAAAATTTTAACATATTATTTTAGATTAAATTAAATGATCCTTTATTCTAACTTACTCAAATCTCAATTCATGCAAAAAATTAATGAATAATATTACCAATAAATTTCATTTATTCCAGTAATTATTTATAGAGTAAAATATTCTTTTTACTAAAAATTTGATATATATTGATAACTTAGGATATTTATTATATATTAAAAAATTTTTAAGTTAAAGTATAACAATGTCTTTAGATAGATTTGATAAAGGAGATATTAGTAATTAAGAAGATCAAGATGAAAATATTGCATTAACTTAGAAAAATATTCAACAAACTAAATAAGATATCAGAAAAAGCAAAATAAGCTTGAGAATTAGCAAAGCATAAATTGCTCAAGCAAGTTAAATTAATGTTTAATAATCATAACTCGATCTTAATGGGAAACAAACTTTATTGTAAATTAGACCTAGCACAATATATGATTAAGGCTTATATCAACATAATCCTGAAGATGTTTATACTCCTTAAGAACATGCCGAAGCCATACAACATATTTAGGAATTTGTAAAGGCTACAAATAATTTGAATGATAATTTGCCAATTTATGATATTGTTAAAGAATATTGCAAAAATAGAAAAAATAGATAGCTTCTTATTTTAAATGGTAATTATAATCTCACTTTATTATTGTTTTAGTTAAAATAATTTAAATTTAGATTTTCACCTGTATTTGAGAGATGCTTATATGGCTAAATTTGGAAAATAATAAACTATTCTAGAAATAATCTATTAAATATCTCTTGAAAAGGATTTTTGCGATGAATTGGCTTTGCTAGGAGGGCTAATTGATGAGGCGTTTGTCTTTTTACAAACACATTTAAAAAGTTACAATAAAATTGATGTAGATGATTATTATAATAGATAAAACAAAGATTCACTCAATCAACATAATGTAGAAATTATAGACAGTGCTACGCTATTAAAACTTGATCTCTGGATAAGAATTATTTCAAATTTTTGTAAGAACGATCAAGTTATTGATTATGTAGCCAATAATAAAGAAGACTTTATCAAATATATGCTAGTTTTTCTACAGAACATAGATACTGTTATAAAAAAGAATCCAAATCTATCATCTATTAATTCAGTAATCATAGGTAAATTTATAGTTTATTACCTATACCTGTTTTATTTTATTATGGTTACTTTTTATAATAGCTTCAACAGTAAAGACAGGGGTTTTGGAAGCTATGTTTTTAGTGACTTAAATTGATGAAATGAAGAGAAAAGTTATATTTAATCAATAGTATTTTAGTGCTATTTATTTAAACTTGTTAAAGGTAAAATATTTACGGCTTTTGTTTTTTTTTAATAAATTTATTTTTATATTAGAAAACATCGAATCAGACTATTTTTTCTAATTTGTGCAAACTTATGTCTTAGTTAGCTCAAAGTGATAAGTTTCCTATCCATATTTTAGGACTTAATATCATTGAAGACTTTTTGTTGAGCTACATGATGAGAACTATCTATAATGTAGGATTACCTAATAGTGATCCATAAGATACTTCTTAATCTTTATGGAGCTCTATTCAATAAGAAAGAGAGAGCAGATAAAACTTTTTAGCAGAAGTATGGCTAGCAAGAACATTTTTTTATTTAACTACTAATTCTCATCAAAGGAAATTGCTTATGAAATCAATAAATGGATATGAGGATCATGTTTTATTTAGGTTTTTGTTTAAGTGTTTTTCTAATAATTTGTTTGAAGCTTAGATTTACATGTTATTAGGTTTGACACAATTAGCACAAAAGGAATAACTTCAAGCAACTAAAGATTATCATAAACAGTATAGCTTTTTATTATTATCTGAAATTTAAATTTATAATTATTTTTCCAAAATAGAATTGTCATGTACATTTACCAATAGTGCGAATAAGTTTACATAGAAAAAGATGCTAAAGATGATAAATAAAAGATGCTAATTACTATTTTAATGACAAGATTTATTAAATTTTTGAACTTTAATAAATAAGAAATTGAGAAAATTTTAGAGTTGATGAATGTAAAATTAAATAACTCATTAAAAGTTCCTGGCACAATAACTGAACCAGTTATTGTAGATTAATATTTGTTATAGTAAATGTAAACTAAAAAAACTAAGAAATATGAATAGAATGATGAAGTGTATTAGAAAGAAGTAATGGGATATAATGTTTAAGGACTTGTAATTTAAGAGAGACCATATAACGATAGTGTAGATTATTCTAGGCTTATTAGTGAGATGAGTGAAGGAGACTTTGAAGATTCGCTTTTAGAAGATTAAATCTATCATTTAAGATTAAATTTTTCATCAAAAAATAATCCTATCGAAAATAAAAAAACAGCAAATATTAAAAAAAAAGAAATTTTTGATAGTGAAAATTAATTATTTAACTTTGAAAAATTATTTTATTCTAAGTACAAAAATCAAAATGAGAATGAAATCAAAAAGCAAAATTAACAGTAACTTTTAAACAATAGTTTTTTGAAAGAATAATAAATGCTTATCGATTAAAAAAAATACATAACCAAAGAAGAATAAGCACTTAATCAAGAAAGCATTTCATTTGGTTTAACTCCTATGGCAAGAAATTAAGCATAGATTAATCCAGCAAGTTTTAATATAAGTGCAATTTAAAATGATAAAGACATCAAAAGTAATAACTAATCCTACGAATTAATAAAATAAGACTTGAACATAATGAATAGCAATTAAAAAGGTAATCCATCTAAATTTAAATAAAACGCATAAAATCAATAATCACTAAGTAGTATTTAAGATATTAAAAATGAAAATGAAATTATAGATAAAATCAACAATATTAGCTAAAATAATTAGTTAGAAAATTAATTTATTTAATAACCTATAAGTGAAAATATAAATTTTAATAAAAGAAAATCATCATTAAACACTTAAAAATATCCTAAGCAAGTTAATCAAATAATTGAAAAATAAGATTAAATACCTTTATATCTGAATGAAAAAAAATAATGTTTTATGTTTCATTAGCATTATTAAAGGAGATGTGAATACTGTTAAAGTATTTTTTATTCATTTTTCGATCAACCTAGCATATTAGTAGAATAGTGGATATTTAATTCCTAAGATTGTTCTTTTGATGATGTTTTTTAGATTGACTTCTTTTATGAAAATTTTATTTAGATAATTCATAGTTTGTTTTACTTTTCGATGGTGGTAAAAGGAGAAATACCATTTAGCGTATTAAAGTAAACTTGTATAGTTTTAGCAGATGAAAATAAAATATACGCTGATAGAAGATATAAAGCAGCTATTATATTACTCCTTTCTCATATTGTTAAAATAAATCCTTCTTATGTTAGCAGACTTATTTAGATTAATTTTTTAAGCGTTTAAGATTTTATTCTCACTCAATTTCTTAATTGCTTTGGGTATAAGACTTTCAATTTAATAAAACTTATAAAAAGAGGTACAGGAACTGTAAATAAATAACCTATTTTCGAATAAGTTCAAAGAAGAGGCAGCAAACTATCTTCACTTAATGAAGAGGATCTTGAAGGAGAACAAAAAGATAATATATATGAGAATTTTTTAGTTCAAAGCACTCTTTAGCTTGAATTTGATGGAACATAATTTAATGCAAGTGAAGTTACTTTATCTGTTAAGCAGTCAGCCGAATTTTTAAAATAAAATCAAGACAAAGAAATAGATAATCCTGAGCACTTATGTATGATTTTATTTAAAATTGATTTTATTAATAATTAATTATCTTAAAGAAAAAGAAAATTACACAGATTATTACCTCTAATTACATTCCATTTAGCATATACTTGACTTATCTTATAAATTGTTTAAGTATGCAATCAAATAAAAAAATGAGTTGGTTTTGGAAGGAGCTCCTAATCTAATTGAGTAGCTCATTTACTTATTGATATTTTTCAATGATATTAATTCTTACGAATACCCAAGGATTCCCTTTTATATTAATACAAAATGTTGGAGATAGAATAAATTATTGATTTAAAAAGGGTTTTCGAACGTTGTAAATATAATCAAATAATTTTTAATTCAGAAGCAAGTTGTAACGGAGTATTACAAAATAGTAATTTTTATTAAAAATATTTCAACAAAATTTTAATTTCTATCTTATTTAAAGCAATAAAATAGCCCTCATTTGTTAGATATCATAAAGATGGCAGAATTCTTCCCTTCTTTTAAAGGATGCATTCTTCTTTTTTAAATAGTATATTACATATATAAATACAAATCAGTTCAGAGGAAAAGTTTTGATAACTATGATCTCTAAGTAATTAAATAATTATTATATATTTTTAAGATAGTTAATTAATCTTATATTTTTTGAATCAAAATACTTTAATTCAGATAAAAATAAATAAAGTATTCAAGATAAAATTTTATTTATTCTTCATTTAAAAAATGTTTTTTTTTATATGAAATTAATTAGTGCTTTTGTGCAGGTCTTAAGTCCTCAGCTTTAGCTCAAAAATTGCATTTAGAATCAAAGAAAAAATTATTAAGTTATGATGTAAAAATGCTCTAGAAATTCTTGAAGAACAGAAACGATGAATAAAATGTTGGAAGAATTTTGAAGTTTTAAATAATATGTTTATAGTTTTTCTGTTCTTTTTAAGGATAAGAAATGCTTAAAACTATTAAAAAAGAAGGATATTAAAACTTAGAGCTATACCTTTCGGAAATTTTCACAATTTTAGAATTATGTAAAAAACTATAATTTATAATTTATAAGAATAATCTGAATGTATAATCGATGCAAGATCTTGTGATAAATGGTCAGAAAATTGAAAATTAGGTATAAAATGAAAATATTAAAGATGACAACTCTCAGTAATACAAAACCGTTGGTAATCTGGAAAACTTAGTTAATGATTTTCAATCATCACTGATGCTTTTCTTAAGCATGCTCTGTGAATATAGAAATTTTTCTGACACCATCCTTTCTCATCAAACTTTTTAATATATAATGAAAAATATAAAACACTTAAATTTATCTAATGAAGCATAGTTTTGTTTTACTGGCACAATCCATTCTCTGGCAAAAACTAATGCTTGTCTTGATAACCTCTAAAAGTATTTCTTTAATTTCAGTCTTAAACAATAGTTTCTAAATTTTTTCTTTTTAATTATGAATTTAGATAATATAAAGAATTTTCTAAAGATTTAACGCTGCTACTCTATTAAGGAAGAATCAATAAGAATAATTTGATGCCATTGTTTAGAAGTGTAAGAATATTATTGTAAAATCGTCATCAAGATTCATAATACTTCAGGGAAATGATTCCAAAGCTAAGAGAGTATGCAGAGATATCTTAAAATAAAAACAAAGATTTTAAAAGTAAAAAATTTAGCATGTTTCATTTTTTAAATGATATTTAATAAAATTATAGAGTTAGAGGAAAATTTGGGAAACCTAAATATCAGCTAAATTAACTAAAATGCTGAAAATAATATCAATTAACAATAGAAAATAAAATCATAAGAAAACAATTAGAGTTTTATAAATCAACAAAGTTTTGTATAGATGCTTCATGTAAATGGCAAAAAGCCTGTTGAATCTTTCTTGGATAATGACGAAATGACTTTTCTTTAAAACATGAAGTAAATTTTTTATTTTTAATTCATTAATTTTATTAAAATACTATAAAAGAGACGAGAATGAGTCAGCTGTTTAAAATGTTAATGAAACTGTGAGTATATTAAATAAAAATAAAAAATTATAAGATATGAGTAAAGTTGAAAAAAAATAATTCTTTTAAGAAATGTTTGTAAAAGAATCCAGACTTCTTTTAAAACTGTTAGTTGTTATAAGTGAGAATGAACTTAAACAAAAAATTAAAGACATGTAATTAAATAAAGAGTTTAAAATAGATGAAGCAGGAACTCTTTCTAAAAAAACTCAAAAGCAATAAATTGATTATGAGGAAAAAAAGAAAAATATAATATAACTCCCTCATAATGAAAGCTCAATATATGGATATGATGTAAAAGTAAACTACGAACTGCCTTTATCCAGAGTTCCAGACTTCTATAAAAAAAGTGCTTATGAACTTTATGAAGAGAGAAAAAAGTTAAAAGAAAAATAATAGATGAGAGATAATGAGCCTATCCCTATTATTCAATTAAAAGATGATTCAGATAGTACACTAATTAGAATAAAAAATGCTTAAATTAATGATATATTTGAAAAAAAACCTGAATTCTTACAGGAAAAGCAATCAATTTAAGGTTAGTAAAAGCATTTCTCATAAAAGGGATTTTCTTAAGAACCAAATAAAAATAGGTACAGTGCATAAAGTTTATAAGAAAGTAATGATTTTAATAAATAAAATGGATAGCAAGTTGAAAGCTTAGCAAAATTTATGAAGCAACAGCAAGAAAAGTAATACTACAATAATGCTAATTCCAAAAATATTTTACCAGCAGATTTCAGTAGTTTAAGTTCTATTTAGCAGTTAAATAAAAAGGAAATTAACTTTTAATTAAATTAAAATGCATCTTAGTAAATGTTTAAATAGTAAAAAAACTAATCATCTAATATCCTTTCAAATGATTATTCAGTTCTAAAAAGTACAGGTTAAAATATTTTACTAGATGTTGATGAAGTATATAAAAAAATGTATTAAAAAAAATTATTTTAATGAATTTAAAATAAAATAAAATTGAATAGTTTATTTAGCATGTCTTGATATTTTATGGCAAATTAATTAACAAATATTAAATTTATTTAAAAATTACAAAAAATTAATTTTCTAATAAAAAATAAAGTTGAAATGAAATTGAATTATAAAATTAAGAAATAAAAAAGTGAATTAGAAAAATAAATTAAAATAAATTTAATTAATTGATCAATTTTCTAATTTTCTGTATGGTAACTTTTTATAAGAAGAATAAAATAAAAATAAATTAAAATATTGGAATAAAATTAGTTATTTATTTTTATGTTTTTTAGTCAGTTTTAAAAGAAAATAAATACAATATAATAATTTATTTATTTATCTTTTATTATTTTAATTTCACTATTTTCAGTCTACGTAATTTTTTTGATCAGAAGTGTTTAAAGCAATACTAGAATACTCACCTTGATCTTTTTGTTAAGGATCATATAAATGAAGTATCTCTAATTTGCTTTTATCTTTAGTTTCTTTAACCAAGAATAAAGTGAAGGTTGCACAAGAAAAGCAAACAACAGAGAAAAAAATGAATAGTGGCCACAAATGATCAAAATATGGTATTGAAACAACTACTATTGTTGCACTTATCCAGTTCAATGTTGTAGCTATGCTAAATTCTTTAGATGAAAGAATTTCTGAACTATATAACCAAATGACAGGGCCAAGAGAAAAGTTGAAGGCAACAAAGTAACAGCTAATAAAAAAAAATGCAAGAAAAGAAATTTATTATATGTCAATAATTTATAAAAGAGCTAATAGGAGCAGAAATATTCCAGCAAATGAAGAACCTGTTATAAGAATGGCTCTCCTTGTATACTTTTTTACAAAGTACGTACTAAGAATTGAGGCTATTAAGTAAATAAAATTAGAAAGTAGTGAAAGTAAATTTGTCATTCTAAATGAAAAATGTTCTTTTTAAAATATTTAACCTAAAAACATAATAACTGCATTTATTCCAGAAAACTACTAAAATATTAGCAAGGTACATCCTATGAACAAGCGCTTAATATTATAACTCTTGGAAGTGTCTTTGCTGCCTTGCTTAATTACTTCTTACTAAACTTCTAAAAGTATTTTGTCAACATATTGAGATTTATATAATATTTGTAGTAATTATTTGCAGCTATCAGGTTGGTTGTTAAGGATGTAATAAAAAGGAGTTTCGTGATTGAAGAAAACTTAAAATAAGATAGGACGGCTAATAGTAAATATTAATGGAAATAATAGTACAAAAAAGCAGTATTAATCTTCTTAAGAAGGATTTTGACTAAAAAACTATCCATTTAAACTTGCTATAACTATACCTAAAGTCAAAGATATACTAAAGACTATACCCATAACTCCTGTTAAACTAATTGGAGTAATTTCATTTACATATTTAAGAACAAGTGAGCTATTTAGTCCTATGACAAATCCTGCACATAGTCTTGCTAAAACAAGCATATTTATATCACGAGTTAAGACTAAGAGTCCAAAAATGGTTCCAATAGCATCAGCAAAAATCATAGAGTTTTTTCTGGAGCTATTAGAAAGAAAGCTACCAGGTATGATTGCTCCAAATATAGCTCCAAAAGGAATAGCAGCAGCAAGAAGAGAAGAGTAGAAGTTATGTTAACTTTCTTTAACTTCAAATACAGTAAAAACGGTATCTTAAGCTAAAGACATAACTGAGAGGTGGTATCCAAAATATAAAATTCCTAGATTCGAAACAATTACATTAATTAATATATACAAAAACGATATATATTCCTATTCTTCCTATTTTTTAGAAGATTTTTAGCCATCTTCAGTTGTGATATCCATATTATTTAAGCTTGATGGACTTTTCATATGCTCTTTTTAATCTTGATTATTCAATCAATTTTTATATGATTTCCTTATTTTTTGTTTTTTTGTTTTTAATTTGCAAATTCTTTCTATATCCAAACTTAAGGATATAATTTTTACCTCACAAATTAATTAAAAATAATACTACACTAAAGATTTGTCCAAATAAATTAAAAAATATTGAATAATTACTTAAAAATATTTAGATTCATAACAATCATTCAATAATGTTGACCACAAAAATATCATAAGGAAAAATACCTGTTTTAATCCAATATTATCTCATAATAAAAAATGAAAATATTTATTAAAAATAAGTTAAATAATATTAATTAAAATACGATTAAACACGTTTTTAAAAATTTTTTTAATTAATGCTAATGAATTAATAAAAAACTTGTTTGTTTGATTAGCTTTGTTTTTATTTAATTTTTTTTTTAAATAAATAATAATTTTATAATGTTAATTTTTTTGCATACAAAATTGAAAAATATGAAAATAAAAATGGGGGTTTAGTTAAAATTATGCTTTGGATTTCAAAATATTTTTATTTTATCAATTGAACTAAAAAAAACAGAAAAACGCGTAATTAATTAATTTAAAAGGAAAATAATTATACTAATTACTTGTTTTTTCTTCTCAATTTCTGTTGTTAAAATTAATTTGAGCAGCTTTTCTGCCTACTAAAAAGCTTATCAATAATACAAATTCTTTTATTGCTTGCTTTAAAGTTAATTTTTTTTCTAAAATTTAGCTTAAGATATTCATTATATTAATAATCTATTGATAATCTGATTTAAATATATTTTTTTTAATTTATAAATGACGATAACAAAATTAAAATGTATTTTTAAATTAGGTTTTTGGTTTTATAATTTTTGATATATCAATAAAATGTTTGTATTTTAATAATGAATGGAATTTGCAATTCATTTTTGGAATTTGGTATAGATTTGATTAAATTCCCTCCTTGTTTAACTTTGAGCTTGAATAAATAAATTTGTTCAAACAAATTATTTAATATTTTTTGGGTACATTTATCATAATAAAGTTTTCTTTCTAAATCAATTTAATTGATTCCTTTGTATTTATTAGCAATCATTTAAATTTTTCTATTTATAGGATTGATATACAAAAATGCAAAAATATAAAAGAAGTGTTTTAAATGGTTGCTAATCATCAAACTACTTTTTTAATTCTATTATCATTAATTAGCATATATCAATTTAAACCTCTTAGTTTATATTTTAAATTACAATTTTGTTTCTTTTTAGATTTTATATTAAAAGCCATCATCAACATTAACTATTTTTCTTATTATTTTAGAAAATCAAAATTTTTTTAAATTTTAGATGAAATGAGCCTATAATTAATCGTTATTTCAAACTATTTAGAATGATAACAATAAAATTTAATTTTATTAATTTAATATACTATTCTAATATTAGCATATAACAATAAAAATTTTATTTGATATTTTAAAAGATATCCTATAATTATTCTTAAAATTCAAAATATAAAATAAGTAAAGACTCTCATAATTATTTTTCTGTGGAATAATGTATGTTATCTTTTTATTCATATAAAGCTTATATTAAATATTTAAAATTTGCTTGATTTTAATAAATATATAGCTTATTAACTTTTTAAAGACTAGTGATAATGCTTCACTATTTTTTAAATGTTTTGCAATTAAAAAATTTATAACAGAAAATTGGGTAATTAATTTAAAGATGAGTCAGTGTACCTAACTAGCATTAAATTTTTTACAATCGATTAGAGATGAGAAAAAGTTTATTTAAAAAGCTCTAATCAATTAAATTAATGTATGAAAATCAACAAATTTGTATTAATATATTAGTGCCTTTGAACATACATATTTAAATTAGATAAATAACAAAAGGTTTTTAAAACATTCAAAATAATTTATGGAAAATATATAAATAGTATTAACATAAAAAAATAAAAAAGAATGATAATTTCAATTACGATTACTTCTACTTTCTTAATAATAATACTTTAAGTAGTTAAAATAAAAGCTGTAGGGTGTCCTTTTAGATTAGATGGATGCACAAATTAAGATTTAAGGGTTAAACAGATTTTGTTACTAAAATCTAATCCTTAAAGTGATGTCTAAGATATCGCAGCTGTAGTTTACGATCCTTTCACTGTTGGAATTTTTAACTTTGAAATTAATAAATAACTCAAAGTTATTGAGCAGTAGGAAAATGTTTCCTTCTACTAAATTGATAAGGATGACAGGTCTCAACTATAAGCTTCAATTATTCATACTTTGGACGCGAATGGTAGAATAATAACATGGAATTCAGGTAACGGATTCAAATAAAATGTAGTATAAATACCAAATATTATTACAATATAACCTAATTCTTGTCTCAATTCTGAAGAAATGCTCGTGTTGACTTGGGATGATACAAAGGTAGAATAAACAAAAAATATATTATTTTAACTATCTTTTTTAATATTAGATTTATATTATCGATTTCTCTTAACAATAGAATATTCAGTTTGATAGTTTAAATGTTGATAAAGCTAAAATATTTTAAAATTGCTTTAATGATAAGATTAACAGAAGGTTTTTAATAATTAATTAACAAGGGTAGTTATACTCTTATGACATATAGAAAAAATTATTTAGCTTATAATTTCAAATTAATTAATTCAAGAGCTTATAATCTCTTTTTAGCACCTAAAATCAAATATCTATTTCTTACTAGTCAAGTTAAGGTTAAAATTTTGTTACATCTTATAAAAATAATACTTTGCAATTTATCGCTTCGTTTTCATAAATATCGACAAATGTTTTAGTAAGTAAGTAAGAAGATATTTTAATCTTAATAGGAAATAACAACTTATTTACGATTTGGGAAATAAAATCACAAAAAATAATTTATATCCCAGATTTTTAGAAAATTTATTGCGATTAGAGAGATTCAAATAACACAAAAGTTGATGGAGTTATAAATTTTAAGTTTGGCTCAATAAATGAAAAAGATGAAGTAGCAGTAGTTTCTGATTCTTATATTTTTGTGTATTCAATATAAGAGAAAAAACCAATTCTTTTCAAAAGCTAAAATTTAGGGTTAAGTTGGTTTTAAGCTTTTGTTGTTTAAAATAGTGTAATCCTTAGCCAAACTTACTCTGTTTCTAGCATTGATAAAAGGACGTCAAGAATCAATTATTTAATGAATTATTTTTCGAATGGATAATCTATCTATGATAGACCAGTTTAGCTAGAAGTAGATAACGAATTGAACAGGTAGCTTATTTAATTAAATTTATTTTGTTTCTTATTATTGGCATAAAATAAATAGAGTAATATATAGTGATTTCAAAGGAAATTTGTAAATTTGGTCTTAAATTAACAATCAATAGGAGTATTTCATTTCAGAATACGGTTCACCATTATTTTTCATTCTAGATAAGTAACTTAACAAGGTGATTAACTCAATTTATAAAATTTTTACCATACTTTAAAAATTTTTTAAATTAATTACTTTTATTTGAATATTTTATCAATTTAAAACTATTTTATTTTATTCTAACACTATGATTACTTTTTAAATTAAAAAGCAAACTTATAGTCCATTTTTAACATTAAGCAGCTTCCAAAAGTTTTAAATCCTCTGGTGGATGAGGAAGCTCCAGAATTTAAATTAAGGATTAATAGCTTATTTGATAAATTAATTAATTAAATAATTTTATTTAATTTGTCATAAAGGTCTTCTTTCTTAATAATTTTTTATTTTGAATACTCAGTTTTAAACATTAGATTTTATCCTATAATTTATTTAATTATTCAAATTCATAGTTTATACAGGAATTGAATTCATGAAAATAATAATAATTTTTATTTTAAATTTATTTATAGTTAGTTTTATACACTAATTCTACGGTATAGGCAAAGATTTAAATCTATGATTATCAAGAAGTAAAGCTATTAGATACTTTATCATTTCCTTACTAAAATACCTAATTGTTAGATACATTTTTATTGTACCAAGACAAAACAAATGGATATCTATTGGGTTTCGATAAGGGAAATACAAATTATGTTATTTACAGATTTACGGAGGAATCTAATTATCCTACTCTTTATAGTTGTACTCTAATTAAAAATGGCATTATTACAAATACTAATATTTATTTGTTAGAAAATTCTAAATAATTTTTAGTTCAAATAGCAGGAGTTTTGTACATGTTTAGCTATTTACCAGAAAATGGAAATAGACTTACAAGTTTCACTATAGCTGGATAAAATATTTAATATTCATTCTTTTAATATATCAAGTCAGCTTAAAGACTTATATGCGTCCAGGACACATCTATATAAGTAGTTTTTAATTATTTTTAAATTTATTTTAAAATAATTTCATAAAAAAGATTTATTAGTTTAGTAGTGGCCAATTTAATTTATAAAATCAAATAAATTATTATTCAGGACAAAGTAATTCAATATTCTTAGCAGAAGCATAAAACACTTTGATAATTTAGAGAACATCTTAACTCTTTTTTAAAAACTACTTAACTTAAAACGATTAAATGATAAATTTTAATAATCTCTAGATACTACGTTATTAATACGACTCCTCTCAATCACTTTTGATATGCTTAGATAGTAGCTTTATGATTACTGTAATAGATGTGTTAGCAATTAAATCTTTATATCATATATAAATTGAAGAGAATAAAATAGCCTTCTTCAATATACAAGAAGATATTAATTTCATAATAATTAGCTATTATAATGGTCAAATCTTAATTTATGATTATTAAGCGAATGTTATTGTTTCAACTTACAATAATTATTTATACAGTTTGCTCTATAAGTTTGATAAATCTAACAATAATTTAATACTTTAATCTTAGCTCTAAGTAATTTTTGAAAAAAAATTTCATTAATTCTATATTTTTAAGATTTTTGATTATTTTTAAATTTTTTGTAAAATCTTTTAAATTATTTTAAATTAAAAACTAAATGTCTAATAAAAGGTTTCTTCAAAAAGATTGACAAATCTTGGTCTTATTAGTCAGATAAATAATTATTCACTTTACTATTTTTGGGTAGATGAAATGACTGGACTAACTTTTATTTTAACGGATTAAATTATCATTATTTATAATCCATTTACATAAGAGTATCTTCCACAATTTTCTGTTGATTTTGATTTTTCTTTAATCTACGCTATATATTATATTCCACAATTAGATTTTCTTTTGATAGGATATTTTGACTACTAAGTAAATAAAATATATGTTTACAAACTAAGCTCTTAAGCACATCTTGCTACTTTGGATCACAATATTAAACATTGCTACTACGTCTATACCTTCTTTTATGACAGTTACTCTAAAAGACTTTTTTCTGGCTGCGCATATCCAGCAAGTGTAATAGTTTGGGACCTAAATAACTTTTAAATGATTAAGCTCCTTGATAAGATACTTTAATCATCGGTTGTTGAATCAATTAAATTTTATCCTCAAAAATAAATTATTTTAATGAGTGGTGTAAGTTAGCTTAAATCTTTCACATTTAATAAACTTTTTTTTGTTTTAGTATAATTGGTGGGGTGTTACTGTAGATTATAATACACTAGAGAAAAGATGCTAAATATTGGGTATATTTGGAGAAATTGATTATAGTCATAATCTACAAATTTTGTGGGATGTATTTTTTTTAATTTTTTATTAGTCAAAAAAAATAATTTCAATAAATTAATTTAAAAGCAAAATGGAGATTTTCGTATTTTTGATATAAATTGCCACTAAATAGCATTTTAGCATGCTCACACTGGGTGGATTAAATAGCTTTTAATAGATGAAGCAAATATGTATCTGACAACATTAGGGTAATTTTCTTGAATAACTCTATATCTAAAATTAATAATTTATTATTAAAAAGTTTTGATTAATATGTTAAATTATGGAACTACTAAAATATTACTTAGCCTATATTAATGTAAATAAATTAATATCATGTTCAAAGTAAAGTCTAATATTATAATTAAAAAATAGATCTTAACGCTTTTTAACATATTCCCTAACATATGGTTTGTTAGATAATGATAACAATTTGGTTTTAGTAGTAGACTCCTAAGGTTATATATATATTTTATCTTATCCTGATTTAAATCTTCTCAAAGCAATTTAAGCAACTTTTGCTTAAATAGATATGATTTCTTTGATTAAACCATTTAATCTTATTGCTATAGGTAGTTACGATGCTAGTTGTTTTTCATTTTATAATCTTTTTGAATTAATTTCTCCAAATTAAAATGAATTGTATTTTAGATACGAAGGTAAGTTTAAACAATTAATTTGATATTTAAAAATAAAAATGTTTATACAATAATAGGTATTTTATCTACTTTAATGACTGATCAAGGAGTAATATTCCACTAACTTGGAAATATAGTCTAATCTTGGAATTATTCTACTTAAAAACTAATTTATGGGTTTTTTGTAAACAGTTAGTTTGAATCTTTCGAGGCAGAAAGTAGATTTTTATCTTTGAGTAGATATTAAAACTTAGCGGTTCTTTTTACAAGGGATTAAACGATTTTCTTCAATACCAACACTTTAGATATAATTAATGTTCAGCAATTAAAGTGTATGAATAGTATTTAAATCTAAATATTTTTAATTTGCGCATTAACTAACAAACTTACTGTATTTAGTTTAGATAGCTTTTCTATTTATTAGTAAATTGTACTAAATCCAAACTAAAGCATTATATCATTGCAGCAAATATTTCAAACTGATTCTTTCTTCGCTACAACTACATAAGGAGAAATCATTTGTTACTCACTTCAATCAAATTAGTTTTTGAACAAATTTTAAACCAAAATACTAAATCAAGCTATTGCTAATTATTAATAGATCTAATAAAATGAATTTTACATTATTTTAGCCTCTGCTTTTGATGGAAGTTTTGGATACATTTAAATTTCAATAGATTTAAATAATATCAATTAACTTGATTTTAATCTTCCTGGTAAAAGTTCTCATGCTCACAAAATTATATATTTTAACAACAATGTAATAACAATCAATTTTTAATTTTTAACTAACTAACAAATTTATTTTTTAACAAATAAGCTGTTCATAAAAAGGATTTCAGACTACTATTTAGGTTTATATAACATAAACACTATGAATTAAATTACTTAGATTAAAAGTCCATGTGTGGGTTATACATATAAACTAGATTTCAGTTAAGAGTACGATTTAATTTTACAGAGCTGTGTAGGAAATTATAGAATTAATTAGCTATCTACATTTTAAGATATAGTTTATGGTAGGTTTACAACATAGCTTAAATTAACTAAAATATATACAGAAACATTAAATTAGATCATTTTTATCAATAAAGATTACTTTATAGATGCATATGACCATTAAATATTTATTTTTTAGATAGATTATAAGTAAAGTAAAATTACTTTAATTGGTAGTTACTAAGGAGATCATTCATTGGGTTCAATAGTAAGCTATAATATTATAAATGATTAAAATAATATATTTATTTAGCTAGTGCTATATTCTGTCAGCAAAATATCTAAAGTTTAACTTCCAATCTAAGGAGATAATAGCTGCAAAGAAATATTATCTTATAACTAAATATCAGAGGTCTTGCTTTCAATACAAGATGTGTATTACTAAATTTCAAATTATTTTAAAATAGAAGAAATGATATTTACTTTAACTGTAGATAAATACACTTACTTATAGCCTTTATCCCCTTTTATATTTTCATAAATAACTCAGTTAAATATAATGTCTGATCCTGTCTAAAATATTAAGTAGTCTATAATAATCAGTTAAGAGCTATTTAACTCTTTCTAAGGATATGATTATATATCTTTAGAAAACTTTAATATATAATCATCAAAATCAGAATCAAATAATTAAAGTTTTATAATAAGCAATTTAAATTCTTTTACCCTCAAGGACATTTTATTTACAAATCTAAATCTGTTCTAATTTGATATAAGTTTAATATATACCTTAATTTTTCAGAATATATCATTTAAAAATATGTAAATGAGCAGTCAAATATAAGTAAATTTATTTAAATTCTCTTCAATAGACACAATAATAATTAAGGATGTAGAAATAGTTTAGTGCTCATTTAAATAGATTACCCTGTTTAATTTTTAAGATGATATTAAAAATAAAAAAACCTCAATTTTATTTTCTGGTTTGATAATAAATAGTTCAGAGTTTAATTATGACAATAATTTATTGGTTGCAGCACCCTTATTTATATCTAATTATAACAAAGTTGAGATATAAAATTTCATCTTAAACTCAAATATAGGAAATGGAATATTTTTCATACTAAGTAAAGTTATTTAAAGCATGTCCATTAATGGAGCAAGTTTGCTAGATAATAAAGATATTTTATTTTTATCTTATAGTCATAGCTCACAATAATCTTAGTAGAACATTATTGCTGTAGAATAGATAACTGATGATAGTGTTTAGTTATAAAATCTTATTCTATTTAATAATTTTTTTAATATTAGCTAAACAAAAGCAATTACTTCTTTTATAGATATTAAAACTAGTAACTTGACATTAAATTAATGCTAAATATAAAAAAATAGTGTATTTTAAAATAATTAAATATCTATATTAAGCTTAAGCTAGTTGGTATACTTCAATTCATCAGACTTAAGCTTTACTAACAATCAAGGATTTTAAAACTTATTAGCACTTTCAGATTCCTAAAATAAAAACTAAATAAGCAAAATGATTTTTTTGAATAATAAAGGAAATATTTTGCTATTGATCGCATAATCAAACTTACTTCTTAGTGATTCTTAAGTATAATAAAATCTGTCATAAGAAGCAAACTAGCAATAATCCTTGATAAGTATCCTTTCTAATTCTTCTGTAATCATGAATAATATCTAGTTTGGAGAGAATATTTCTAATAAGGGAGGATCTATTTACGTATAATAAAGCGAATTAATTATATTAAGTAGTTTATTTAACAATGATAAAAGTTCATATGGAGGATCTATTTATTGTGACAATTCAAAATTAAATATTACTAATTCTTAATTTGATAATTGTACATCTTCTTTTGGAGGTTGCATATATGCTTTTCAAAGTAATTTAAGCTTAGACAGTGTTAATTCCAGTTATTCAAAAGCTAGTTAAGATGGAGGGTTTTTATATATCAATAATATAAATAGGTTTACTTTATCTAACATAAATATATAATATTGTTCTGCATAGAATGATGGAGGATCAATTTATATTATTAATTCTGGTGGTATTGATTCTTTTATCACATCATCAAACTTTAATAATAATAAAGCACTTGGGTATTATATTTAAAGCTTATTTTTAGTTTTTATTTCAAAAGAATTATATTCAATATATATTTATCTTTATATATATCTTTTTAAAATAAATAGAAGTGGAGGAACATTGCTATTAGATAACTCTGAACTGATGATAAATTATACTAGCTTTAAATATAATTCAGCTGGTGTTGGTGGTGTTATTAGATATTTAAATTTAAAGCCAAGCTTTTTATTAAATACATAAAAGAATGTTAAAGATTCTTGCAAAACCTATAGTTTTAACTACTGCAAGTAAAATAAAGCTATTATATTTGGAAATTAAATAGCTAGCTATCCTACATACGCATCAATTTTTCCAAATAGCAATTTTAATGTAGATATAACATAATACCCTAATATTACATTTCATAATTTTAGAAGTGGACTAAATAATTTTGATTTATTTATTCAATTTTTAGATGAATTCAAAGATACAGTAAAATAAATAGATTTCCAAAATTAATGTAAAATATTAATTTATTTTTTAAATATATTTTTAATTAATTTTCTTAAGCCATAGTTGATTAAATTAGCTAAAATTTATTGAATGAAATCAGACAATATAGTTGTAGAGTGTATATTAATCAAAATTTTACAGATTTACAATCAGAAGTAATAAAATTAGATGGATCAACTTCAGCTGATTACTCCTTTTATGGATAAAATAAAATTGGTTGCTTAATGAACAATTTTAAAATAGCTGGCGTACCTGAAAGTAGTTCGTTTTTGATGCTTTAACTTAATGGGATGAGAGTAACTAATAGCACTAATTAATTTGTTGATCTTAATAATATCTAAATTAAGATCGAGTTTAGACAATGCGAAGTTGGAGAATTTTATACCCAAAATTGTGAAGGATGCTAATTGTATGAGTGCTCATAATGCTAAAATGGGACTTACTCTTTAATTAAACCTGAAAAAAGTAAATAAATTGAATGTAAAGAATGTGATAAGTCTCAAGTCGAATCATGCTACTTGAGTGAAATTAATTTGAGAGAAAATTATTGGTAAAATAAATTTGAAAAATTCATTTTTATAACTTGTTAATTAATTAAATAGGAGAACAAGTAATTCATCTGATTAAATCTATGCATGTAGCAATTCCTTTAAGTAATGTAATGGAGATTAGTCAAAAGGTTATTGTAATATTGGTTATACAGGAGCTTTATGTTCTGCTTGCGATAATTACGGCATGTTATGGGGAGATAATTATGGATAAGTAATTTCCTTAGAAAGTTAAATACTTCAGTGTGAAAAATGCTCTGAAGTAAGTCAAAATTTTTATAAATAAACTTTTATAATCATTTTAGTTTTATTTTATTTAATTTTCATGACAATAGAATCATAAAATAATAATTGTAAGATTTGTTAGATTAACCTCTTACAAAGACTAAATATTTTAAATATGGGAGTCTCACAATTCATATTTTAATCATCAGTTATTCTCAAGATAATAATTAATCAATTTTATATATTATCTATTCTCAAATATATCAACATATCTGAGTCCTTTAATAGAATTATTTCGATGCCTTCACTAAGTTCATAGCATGCATACATATTTAAGTAATCTCTAGACTGTTTTTTAGTATAATTAAATCTAAACTTAAAATTACAATACTTAAGGTTTCTATACATATCTATTATACTTCCTTTGCTTATTCTTGCTTTAATGTATATTTTCATAAAAATTATTTTGGCTCTTTGGATTTATTTCAAACCTGAAAACTATTTTTATGAAAGTGCAAAATATAATAATAAGAATATGGTTATAAGTACTTTGATATTATTTTCTTACATTACAACTTCTAATATATAATAATCTGCTTTAGAATTAATCTTTTGTGAAAGATTTGATAATTAATATTTTATGAAAAGTCAAATGGATGAAAATTGTTACACATAAGAGCATTATTTCTATATTGCATTTCTTATTTCTCCAATTTTAATTTTAGTTTCAGTTGTGTAGCCTGTGATAATTTTGTATATATTATACAAAAATATTAAAAATGCATCAAACAGTAAATAATTTACTGTGATAAGAAGGTATGGCTATTACTTTAAAGAATATAAGAAAACTAGGTGGTGGTGGGAAATAATCAAGACTCAATAAAAATTTATAGTATCTATTCTTGCTGCAGTATTTAAAAAAAGCTTTATAACTTTAATTTAATCAATATTATTTTGTCAAACAATATATTTGATAATACTGATTTATTCCAAGCCATATGAGGATAGAAAGATCAATAGGTTGGAAAGAAATTCTGCTATTTTAACATTATTAATATTTTGGGTAGCTTTACTTAACTAATAGAACTAAGATAATTTTATTTACTAAGCATCTTAAGCTATAATAATGCTACTTTTCATAATTTTATTTGGTAATTACTTATAAAATATAGCTTTTATTAAAAAGAAAATTAGCTTATAGTTATTTAAAAATAAATAATAGTGTTTATTATAATTGAATTACTAAATAAATATATATAGTAACCAAATATAAATATATATTTTTTTTAATAATAATGAGCAAAATTTTTTTTTATTTTGGCAATAATATTAATATTTTATATTAAAAATTAGGTTTTTTGGCTTCAAGCTTTTTAGGAGTTTTAATAAAAAGAAATATATATGTGCTTTTTAATTTCAAGTGTTTCTTGTGGATTAGATAAAAGCTGAAAAATTATACTAATAGATAAGATAAATAATAATTAATTGTACAGTATCTTAAGGATCACCATTTTGGCTTGTATAATATACTTTTCAGTGAAAACTAAAGTTAATTTAGAGTTTTTAAAAAGTAAGTATTTATTTTAATTTATTTATTTAAATTATTAAGAATAAATTATTTTTTTTTAACAATTTTATTTATTAAATGATGGATTTTATTTTTTATTAAAGTTGGAAGAAAGTTAAAAGTCTCATTTTAAATACTACCTCAATTCATCTATTTTAATCATAGATCATTAAGTAAAAGAAATTAAAATATATCTAAAGTAATAGATTTTCTTCTAATAATATCTTTAAATAAAAAAAATAAAATGTGATTGATATTAAATAAGATTCCAAATTTAAATTGTAGCATAAAATAAATAATGAAAATTAATCAGATTCACTTAAGTAGCAATCTGTATAAGATTCAGTTTGATGATATATTTGATTCATTTATTAATAATATTATTGCTATTTAAAAATTATATAATGTCTTTTTTATTTGTATTGTTTTTTTTAAATTAAATATATAATTCATTAATTAAATACATTTTTATTTAAAATATAAACTATTTTTATGTTTTTTTTTTGTTATCATATTCAGATTTTATAAATACTTTTAAAATTAAAATTTATTTGATGTGATGTATTTTATTTTTTTTTAAAATATTATCTATCTTATTTGAATATTAAATAATAGAAATCCTCATTAATTAAGGCCCTAATATATTAAGGACCAAAATATTATAAAATAGAAAATAATCAAATTTTATGAATTTTTACAAAAAATTAAAAGGCCTTTATTTTTATAAAATCACAGGTAGATCTGATAAATTCTGACAAATTAAAATAAAAAAAGCAAGAAGGCTACTTAGCTTTCAAATTTTAAATAAAATCTTATTGAAATATTTTTTATTTTAGAGTGGGATTAATTTTTTGATTTGAAATTAATAAAAATAAAGCGACAAAGCCTTCGCAATCATTATGGCTATTTTTTTTACTTAGATTTATTAATTTATCTTTGAACTTTTTATTAACTTTAAATTAATTTGAATCAGAGGGAGTTATTTAATTATTAAAATTATTTTTGAATAAGAATGGTTTATTGATATGAAATTAATAAAATCAAGTGACCCAAGCTTTGGTTATCAGTGCAGTTATATTTTAGTTTTGGTTTATTTGTTGATTTCAAATCTTAGTAATTCAATATTTATTTTTAAATTTATGCAACTGGCAACATTAACTCTACTCATAAATTCGAATCTTTGATGAGATTAGTTAATTTTGAATTTTAAATATTTTTTCATTTTTTGTTGATTTTTAATTATGAATGAAGCGATTTTATTTTTTAATTCTAAATTGTTTTTGATTATCTATTTAAATTATTTTGATTTAGTTAGAAAAGTTTATTTAAAAAACTCTAATCAATTAAATTAATATTTGAAAATCAACAACTTTGCATAAATAAATAAGTGTCTTTAATTATCCATATTTAAATTAGATAAAAAGCAATAGGTTTTTAAAACATTCAAAATAATTTGTAAAAAAAAAATTATAAATTAACACAAAAATAATTAAAAATAATGATAATTTCAATTTCCGTTACTTCTACTTTCTTAATAATATTACTTTAAGTAGTTAAAATATAAGCTGTAGGATGTCCTTTTAGATTAGATGGATGCACAAATTAAGACTTAAGGGTGAAACAGATTTTGTTACTAAAATCTAATCCTTAAAGTGATGACTAAGATATAGCAGCTGTAGTTTACGATCCTTTCACTGTTGGAATTTTTAACTTTGAAATTAATAATAATTCAAAGTTATTGAGCAGTAGAAAAATGTTGTCTTCTACTAAATTGATAAGGATGACAGGCCTCAACTATAAGCATCCATTATTCATACTTTGGATGCGAATGGTAGAGTAATAGAATGGAATTCAGGTAATGGATTTAAATAAAATGTAGTATAAATACCAAATATTATTACAATATAACCTAATTCGTGTCTTAATTCTGAAGAAATGCTAGTGTTAACATGGGATAATTCAAAGGTACTTTAAACAAAAACATATTATTTTAACTATCTTTTTTAATATTAGATTTATATTATCGATTTCTCTTAACAATAGAACATCCAGTTTTATAGTTTAAATATTGATACAGCAACAATATTTTAAAATTGCTTTAATGATAAACTAAATAGAAGGTTTTTAATAATGAATCAAATAGGCTAATTATACTCTTATGACATATAGAAAAAATTATTAATCTTATAATTTCAGATTAATTAATTTAAGAGCTTATAATCTCTTTTTAGCACCTAAAATTAAATATCTATTTCTTATTAGTCAATCTAAGGTTAAAATTTTGTTACATCTTATAAAAATAATACTTTGCAATTTATCGCTTCGTTTTCATAAATATCGACAAATGTTTTAGTAAGTAAGTAAGAAGATATTTTAATCTTAATAGGAAATAACAACTTATTTACGATTTGGGAAATAAAATCACAAAAAATAATTTATATCCCAGATTTTTAGAAAATTTATTGCGATTAGAGAGATTCAAATAATACAAAAGTTGATGAAGTTATAAATTTTAAGTTTGGCTCAATAAATGAAAAAGATGAAATTGCAGTAGTGTCTGATTCTTATATTTTTGTGTATTCAATATTATAGAAAAAACCTATCATTTTCAAAAGCTAAAATTTAGGGTTAAGTTGGATTTAAGCATTTGTTGTTTAAAATAGTGTAATCCTTAGCCAAACTTACTCTGTTTCTAGCATTGATAAAAGGACATCAAGAATTAATTATTTAATGAATTACTTTTCTAATGGATAATCTATCTATGATATACCAGTTTAGCTAGAAGTAGATAATGAATTGAACAGGTAATTTATTTAATTAAATTTTTATTGTTTTTTTTTATTGACATAAAAATAAATAGAGTAATATATAGCGATTTCAAAGGAAATTTGTAAATTTGGTCTTAAATTAACAATCAATAAGAGTAATTTATTTCAAAATACGGTTAATCATTACTTTTCATTATAGATAAATAACTTAACAAGGTAACTCAATTTTTAAAATATTTTTACTATATTTATAAAAATATTAAAATTAATTGTTTTTTAAATTAAAAAACACAATTTTTTCTCAATTTTTAACATAATGGAGCTTCCATGTTTTAAACTCTTCAGGATGCAGAAGCTCAAAAATTTAAATCATTGATTTGATGATAACTGATAATTAATTAAATATATTTTAAATTAATTTATAGATGGTTTTATACACTAATGCTACAATATAGACGAATATTTATATCTATGATTACCAAGAGATAAAGCTATTAGATACTTTATCATTTCCTTACTAAAACACTTAATTATTAGATATATTTTAATTATACCAAGACAAAACAAATGGATATTTGTTAGGTTTCGATTAAGGAAATACAAATTATGCCATTTACAGATTTACGAGTGAATCTAGTTATCCTATTCTTTATAGTTGTACTCTAATTAAAAATGGCATTATTACAAATTCTAATATTTACTTGTTAGAATAGTCTAAATAGTTTTTAGTTTAAATAGCACGAGTTTTGTATTTGTTTAGCTATTTACCAGAAAACGGAAATTAACTTACCAGTTTCATTATAGCTGGATAAAATGTTTAATTTTCTTTCTTTTAATATATCGAGTCAGTTTAAACACTGATATGCGTTCAAGAGACATATATATAAGTAATTTTTAATTAGATTGAAATTTATTTTAAAATAATTTTATAAAAAGATTTATTATTATAGTAGTGGTCAATTTAATTTATAAAATCTAATAAATTATTATTCCGGACAAAGTAATTCAATATTCTTAGCAGAAGCATAAAACACTTTGATCATTTAGAGAACATCTTAACTCTTTTTTAAAAACTACTTAACTTAAAACGATTAAATGATAAATTTTAATAATCTTTAAATACTATATTATTAATACGATGCCTCTAAAGCACTTTTAATATGCTTAGATAGTAGCTTTACAATTACTGTAATAGATTTGGTTGCTATAAAATCTTTATATCATATATAAATTGAAGAGAATAAAATAGCAATCTTCAATATACAAGAAGATACGAATTTCATAATAATTAGTTATTATAATGGTCAAATCTTAATTTATGATTATTAAGCTAATGTTATTGTTTCAACTTACAATAATTATTAACCCAGTTTACTCTTTAAGTTTGATAAATCTAACAATAATTTAATACTTTAATCTTAACTAGAAGTAATTTATTATCATTTATATCTTTGATTTTTTTTATTAATTAAAATATAAGCCAGAAAAAATGAATAAATAATTTCGTTTATTCAATTTTTAAAAACATTTTAAAGAAATTAAGATTATTTTTAAATTTTTTATAAAATCTTTTAAATTTTTTTAAATTAAAAATTAAATGTCTATTAAAAGATTTCTTCAAAAAGATTGACAAATCTTGGTCTAATCAGTCAGATAAATAATGATTCACTTTAATATTTTTGGGTAGATGAAATGACTGGACTAACTTTTATTTTAACTGATTAAATTATTATTATTTATAATCCGTTTTCATAAGAGTATCTTCCACAATTTTCTGTAGATTTTGACTTTTCTTTTATATATGCTCTATATTATATCCCTCAGTTAGATTTTCTTTTTATAGCATATTGTGACTACTAAGTAAATTAAGTATTTGCTTACAAACTAAGCTCTTAAACACGTATAGCTACTATGGATCATAATATTAAACATTGTTACTATGTCTCTACCTTGTATTATGACAGCTACTCTTAAAGACTTTTTTCTGGATGCGCATATCCAGCAAGTATAATAGTTTGGGACCTAAATAACTTTTAAATGATTAAGCTCCTTGATAAAATACTTTAAGCATCGGTTGTTGAATCAATTAAGTTTTATCCTCAAAAATAAATTATTTTGATGAGTGGTGTAAATTAGCTTAAATCTTTCATATTTAATAAACTTTTTTTTGTTTTAGTATAATTGGTGGGGTGTTACTGTAGATTATTACACACTATAGGAAAGATGCTAAGTAATGGGTATATTTGGAGAATTTGATTATAGTCATAATTTACAAATTTTATGGGATGTATATTTTTAATTTTTAAAAAGTAAAAAAAATAACTTCAATAAATTAATTTAAAAGCAAAATGGAGATTATCGTATATTTGATTTAAATTGCTATTAAATAGCATTTTAGCATGCTCACACTGGGTGGATTCAATAGCTCTTAATAGATGAATCAAATATGTATCTGACAACATTAGGGTAATTTACTTGAATAATTTTATCAAAAATTAATAATATATAATTAATAGTTTTGATTAGTATGTTAAATTATGGAACTACTAAAATATTACTTAGCCTATATTAATGTAAATAAATTAATATCATGTTCAAAGTAAAATCTAAAATTATAATTAAAAAATAGATCTTAACGCTTTTTAACTTATTCCCTAACATATGGTTTGTTAGATAATGATAACAATTTGGTTTTAGTAGTAGATTTCTAGGGTTTTATATATATATTATCTTATCCTGATTTAAATCTTCTCAAAGCAATTTAAGCAACTTTTGCTTAAATAGATATGATTTATTTGATTAAACCATTTAATCTTATTGCTATAGGTAGTTATGAATCTTATTGTTTTTCATTTTATAATCTTTTTGAATTAATTTCTCCAAATTAAAATGAATTATATTTTAGATATGAAGGTAAGTTTAAACTATTAATTTAATATTTAAAAATAAAAATGTATATACTATAATAGGTATTTTATCTACTTTAATGACTGATCAAGGAGTAATATTCCACTAACTTGGAAATATAGTTTAATCTTGGAATTATTCTACTTAATAATTAATATATGGGTTTTTTGTAAACAGTTAGTTTGAATCTTTCGAGGCAGAAAGTAGATTTTTATCTTTGAGCAGATATTAAAACTTAGCGGCTCTTTTTACAAGGGATTAAACGATTTTCTTCAATACCAACACTTTAGATATAATTAATGTGCAGCAATTAAAGTGTATGAATAGTATTTAAATCTAAATATTTTTAATTTGCGCCTTAACTAATAAACTTACTGTATTTAGTCTAGATAGCTTTTCTATTTATTAATAAATTGTACTTAATCCAAACTAAAGCATTATATCATTGCAGCAAATATTTCAAACTGATTCTTTCTTTGCGATAACTACATAAGGAGAAATCGTTTGTTATTTAATTTAATCAAATTAGTTTTTGAACAAATTTTAAACCAAAATACTAAATCAAGCTATTGCTAATTATTAATAGATCTAATAAAATGAATTTTACATTATTTTAGCCTCTGCTTTTGATGGAAGTTTTGGATACATTTAAATTTCAATAGATTTAAATACTATCAATAAATTTGATTTTAATCTTCCTGGCTAAAGTTCTCATGCTCACAAAATAATATATTTTAACAATAATGTAATGAGAATCAATTTTTAAGCAATAAATTAATTAATTTATTTTTTAACAAAATAAGCTGTTCATAAAAAGGATTTCAGACTACTATTTAGGTTTATATAACATAAACACTATGAATTAAATTACTTAGATTAAAAGTCCATGTGTGGGTTATACATATAAACTAGATTTCAGTTAAGATTATGATTTAATTTTACAGAGCTGTGTAGGAAATTATAGAATTAATTAGCTATCCACATTTTAAGATATAGTTTATGGTAGGTTTACAAGATAACTTAAATTAACTAAAATATATACAGAATCATTAAATTAGATCATTTTTGTGAATAAAGATTACTTTATAGATGCATATGATCATTCAATATTCATTTTTTAGATAGATTATTAATAAAGTAAAATTAATTTAATTGGTAGTTATTAAGGAGATCATACATTAGGATAAATAGCAAGCTATAATATTATCAATGACTAAAATAATATATTTATTTAATTAGTGTTGTATTCCATCAGTAAAATAACTAAAGTTTAACTTCCAATCTAAGGAGATAATAGCTGCAAAGAAATATTATCTTATAACTAAATATCAGAAGTCTTGCTTTCAATTTAAGATGTGTATTAGTAAATTTCAAATTATTTTAAAATTGAAGATATGGTATTTACTTTAATTGTAGATAAATACACTTACTTATAGCCTTTATCTCCTTTTACCTTTTCACAAATAACTCAGTTAAGTATAATGTCTGATCCTGACTAAAATACTAAGTAGTCTATAATAATTAGTTAAGAGCTTTTTAGCTCTTTCTAAGGATATGATTATATATCATTAGAAAACTTTAACATATAATCATCAAAATCTGAATCAAATAATTAAAGTTTTAAAATAAACAATTTAAACTCTTTTATCCTCAAAGACATTTAATTTACAAATCATAGCTTGTTTTAATTTGAAATAAACTTTATAAATACCTTAATTTTTGAGTATATTTCATTTAATAATATTCAAATGAGTAGTTAAATATTAGTAAATTTATTTAAATTTTCTTCAATAAATGCAATAATAATTAAGGAAGTAGAAATATTTTAGTGCTCATATAAATAGATTACCCTGTTTAATTTTTAAGATGATATTTAAAATAAAAAAACCTCAATTTTATTTTCTGGTTTGACAGTAAATAGTTCAGAGTTTAATTATGACACTACATAATTGATTGCTACACCCTTATTTATATCTAATTACAATAAAGTTGAAATATAAAATTTTATCTTAAACTCAAATATTGGAAAATTATCTTATTACTATTGGCTTCATTAATAAGTAAAATAGTAGATCTCTTTTTGCTATAATTTTTACCCTGAGTAAATTTGTATTTTTCAATTAATGTTCATTTTGGCAAGACTTGATAAAACAATTAGGTTTCATTTCTATAGAATATGTCTCTTGTTTGGTAATATTCGTAAAAATTAGGGAATTTTTTAATGAAGTTAGTAGCGCCTATATGGTCTGATGATTTTATATCTCCACTTATAACCTTAAATGAAAGTTAATGCCTATTTTTGAAGATGTCAAGCGATCTATTTGACGCTACAAAATATAATTTACCTAATTTTTTTTGCCATTGATAAGGCCGCCTCTTTTAATATTGGTCCTGATATAGGGAGATCGAATGAACAAGCTTTAATATAAAACTAAAAAACTAAGATATTTGTATCTTCATTTTCAGTCTTTCTGAGCTTTCTATAAATTGCATTCTTATTCATTTTTCCATTTATAAAAATTACTATCTTCATTTTTACTTATTTTAAAATTTTCAGTAACTTATCTTTAGAATTTGTCATTATCTATATTTTTTATAAATAGAGCCTTTTCCTCTAGTCTCAATTCATTATGTTTTATACTTTACTTTAATTCATTTATATGATATTTGTAAATAATACTTACTAATGTTATTTTTTTAATTTAATTGTTTGTAAAAATTCAAATTTGAAATTTAAAGATTTCTGAATTTTTAATTTAATAAGATTTATTTAAGATTCGCGCTCTGATAAATGGAATTCCGACTTCCGAAATTCGAGCAATCGAGAAATTATGGTAATAATAATTTTACTATGTTACTTTTTTTGCATGAAAATAAAAAGGTCAAGTTAATATTTTGATCTGGAATTCAAAATATATTTATTTTATCGTCTGAGCTAAAAGAAGGATAGAAAAACTTGTTATTATTAAATTTAAATGGAAAAATAATATGCTAATTAATTATTTTTTTTTTCTTCTTAACTTTCTTTGTTAAAATTAATTTGAGCAGTTTTTATGTTTTCATTAAAGCTTATTAAAAATACAAATTATTTTATTGCTTGCTTAAAAGTAAAATTTTTTTTAATTTAGCTTAAGATATTTTTTCAACATTAGATTAATAATTTATTGATAATATGATTTAAATATTTCTTTTATAAATTTATAAATGGCGCTAGTAAAATAAAGCTATATTTTTAAATTAGGTTTTGGTTTTATAATTTTCGATATACTAATAAAAAAGTTTTTATTTTAATAATGAATGAACTTTGCACCCAATTTTTGGGATTTGATTTCGATATGATGAAATCTCCACTTATAAAGCTTAATCCTTGAATAAATAAATTTTTTCAAACAAATTAATTAATATTTTTTGGGTACATATATTTTAATAAAGTTTTCTTGCTAAACCAGTTTAATTTTCCTCGTATTTGTTAGCAATTATTTAAATTTTTCTATTAAACAGATTGATTATTTGATATAAAAAATACAAAAATATTGAAGAAGCGCTTTAAGTGGCTGTATATCAACAAACTACTTTTTTAATTTTATAATCAATAATTCATATTTATGCAGTTAAACCTTTAACTTTATATTTTTAATTTTGATTTTGTCTACTTTTTTAATATTAACTTAAAAGCCATCATTCAAATTAATTAGTTATCTTTCTTTCATATTATTTTAGATAATCAAAATATATTTAAATGATATATGAAATGAGCCTATTAATCGTTATTTCTAACTATTTAGAATGATAACAATAAAATTTAATTTTATTAATCTAACAAAAATATAACTTTAATCCTATGAATTTTTTATACTACTTCAATTTTTTAATGAAAAATATAATCGAACTTTGAAATGACTTGTTTATACTTTTATTAACTTCTTTTTCTAATTTAAAATCAATTTATAAGTATTTTGGTCTAGGTTTATTTATTATCAGTAGACGTAAGAAATGATTAGTTGTGAAATTTGTTACAAAACTTCAAATGTAATTTAAATTTGAATATATTTATATAAATAATAATTATAATAATTTTATTTGATATTTTAAAATATATCCTCCTATTAATAAATATAAAATAAGCAAATACTTTTATTATTATTTTTCTATGGAATAGAGTATGTTATCTTTTTCTTCAATAAAGCTTATATTAAATATTTAAAATTTGATTGATTTTATTACATATATATAGTTTATTGTCTTATTAATCTCCTTTGCGTCACTATTTTTTTAAATGCCTTAATTTTTTAAAAAGTTAATAACAGAAAATTGAGTAAATTTAATGATGAGTCAGTGTACCCAACCAATATCATATTTTTTACAATAAATTAAAGACGAAAAAAAAGAATTTAAAAACTTAATCAATTAAATTAATTTATGAAAATCAACAACTTAGCATCAATATAATTTTTATTAAGATAAGTGTCTTTCCTCATACATATTTAAATTAGTTAAAAAATTATTGATTTTTAAAACATTCAAAATAATTATTAAAAAAATACAAATAGTATTAACATAAAAATAATTAAAAATAATGATAATTCCAATTACGATTACTTCTACTTTCTTAATAATAATACTTTAAGTAGTTAAAATAAAAGCTGTAGGATGTCCTTTTAGATTAGATGGATGCACAAATTAAGACTTAAGGGTGAAACAGATTTTGTTACTAAAATCTAATCCTTAAAGTGATCTCTAAGATATCGCAGCTGTAGTTTACAATCCTTTCACTGTTGGCATTTTTAACTTCGAAACTAATAAATAACTCAAAGTTATTGAGCAGTAGGAAAGTGTTGCCTTCTACTAAATTGATAAGGATGACAGGCCTCAACTATAAGCATCAATTATTCATACTTTGGATGCGAATGGTAGAGTAATAACATGGAATTCAGGTAATGGATTCAAATAAAATGTAGTATAAATACCAAATATTATTACAATATAACCTAATTCGTGTCTTAATTCTGAAGAAATGCTAGTATTAACCTGGGATGATACAAAGGTATAATAAGTAAAAAACATATTATTTTAACTATCTTTTTTAATATTAGATTTATATTATTGATTTCTCTTAATAGTAGAACATTCAGTATGATAGTTTAAATATCGATACTATTAATATATTTTCAAGTTGCTTTAATGATAAGATTAATAGAAGGTTTTTAATAATGAATTAACAAGGGTAGTTATACTCTTATGACATATAGAAAAAAATCTTTAGTTTGTTATTTCAAATTAATTAATTTAAGAGCTTATAATCTCTTTATCTCACCTAAAATCAAATATCCATTTCTTATTAGTCAAGTTAAGATTAAAATTTTGTTACATCTTATAAAAATAATACTTTGCAATTTAAAGCTTCGTTTTCATAAATATCGACAAGTATTTTAGTAAGCAATTAAGAAGATATTTTAATCTTAATAGGAAATAACAACTTATTTACAATCTGGGAAATAAAATCACAAAAAATAATTTATATCCCAGATTTTTAAAAAATTTATTGTGATTCGAGAGACTCAAATAATACAAAAGTTGATGAAGTAATAAATTTTAAGTTTGGATCAATAAACTAAAAAGATGAAGTAGCAGTAGTTTCTGATTCTTATATTTTTGTGTATTCATTGTTAGAAAATAAGCCAATTCTTTTCAAAAGCTAAAATTTAGGGTTAAGTTGGATTTAAGCTTTTGTTGTTTAAAATAGTGTCATCCTTAGCCAAACTTACTCTGTTTCTAGCATTGATAAAAGGACGTCAAGAATTAATTATCTAATGAATTACTTTTCGAATGGATAATCAAGCTATGATCAACCAATGTAACTAGAAGTTGATTATGAATTAAATAGGTAATATATTTAACAAAATTTGTATTATTTCTAATTAAATCATAAAAATAAATAGAGTTTTATATAGCGATTTCACAGGAAATTTCTAAATTTGGTCTTATTATAATAATCAATAGGAGAAAATTATTAAAGAATTTCGTTCAACAGTATTTTTCATTCTAGATAAGTAACTTAACAGGGTAATTCAATTTATTAATATTTTATTTTAGTTTGATAAAATTATTTTGTTTTATATTAACACGATGATATTTTTTTAAATTAAACAAAATAATTTGTTTCATTTTTAATATTAGTAGTGTTTTCAGTTTTAAATTCTAACAGATATATAAACTCAGGGATTTGTTATTAAATAGATTAATTAAATAAATAATTTTATTTTAATTTTTCTTTCATTATAATTTTTGTTTGTATATGCAGTTTTAAATATTAGATTTTATCCTTTATTTACTTTATTAATCTAATTCATAGTTTATTTAGGAATTTTATTTATGGAAATAATATAATTTTTTATTTTAAATTGATTTATAGATAGTTTTATACACTAATTCGACTAGTTTGGCAAAGATTTAAATCTATGATTACCAAGAAGTAAAGCTATTAGGTACTTTATCATTTCCCAACAAAAACAGCTAATATTTAGATACATTATCATTGTACTAAGACAAAACAAATGGATATCTATTAGGCTTCGATAATGCAAGTACAAAATATGCCATTTACAGATTTACGGAGGAATCTAATTTTCCTACTCTTTATAATTGTACTCTAATTAATAATGGAATTATTACGAATGATAATATATATTTCTTAGAAAGCTCTAAATAGTTTTTAATTGAAATATCAAGCGTTTTGTATATGTTTAGTTATTTTCCAGATAATGGAAATACACTTACAAGTTACATTGTAGCAGGAAAAAAAGTTAAATTTTCATACTTTTAGTATATCAACTCAGTTTAAACATTGATATGCGTCCAGGATGCATCTATACAAGTAACTTTTTAATTAGATTTCAATTTATATTAAAATTATTTTTTTAAAAGATTTATTAGTATAGTAATGGTCAATTTAATTTATAAAATTAAATAAATTATTATTCAGGACAAAGTAATTCAATTTTTTTAGCAGAAGCATAAAACACTTTGATAATTTAGAGGACATCTTAACTTTTTTTTAAAAATTACTTAACATAAAATGATTAAATGATAAATTTTAATAATCTATAGATACTAAATTATTAATACGACAGCTCTAAAGCTCTTTTAATATGTTTAGATAGTAGCTTTATGATTACTGTAATAGATGTGTTTGCTGTATAATCTTTATATCATATTCAAATAGAAGAAAATAAAATAGCCCTCTTCAATATACAAAAAGATGCTAATTTCATAATAATTAGTTATTTTAATGGTCAAATCTTAATTTACGATTATTAAGCTAATGTTATTATTTCTACTTACAATAACTATAAATACAGTTTAATCTTTAAGTTTGATAAATCTAACAATAATTTAATACTTTAATCTTAGCTGGAAGTAATTTTTTATCATTCTTCTATTAATTAAAATATCAATTAGAAAAACTCAATATAAAATTTAATTTAGTAAATTTCAAAAAATATTTTTAAGAAAGTTAAATTATTTTAAATTTTTTTGAATCTTTTAAATTATTTTAAATTAAAAACTTATCTTATGATAAAAGGTTTCTTCAAAAAGATTGATAAATCTTGGCTTAATTAGTCAGATAAATTATTCACTTTTTAATTATTGGATAGATGAAATGACTGGATTAACATTTATCATTAGTGATTAAATCATTGTTTATAATCCATTATCTTAAGAATATCTCCCACAATTTTCTGTAGATTTCGACCTTTCTTTCGCTTATGTTTCATATTATATTCCTCAGTTAGATTTTCTTTTGATAGGATTTTAAGACAACTAAGTAAATTAAGTGTTTGTTTATAAACTAAGCTCTTAAACACTAGTAGCTACTTTGGATCACAATATTAATCATTGCTTCTATACCTTTTACTTTTTTTATGACGTCTACTCTAAAAGACTTTTTTCTGGCTGCGCATATCCTGCAAGTGTAATAGTTTGGGACCTAAATAACTTTAAAATGATTAAGTTACTTGATAGCATACTATAATCATCATTTGTCTGTTCAATTAAATTTTATCCTCAAATAGAAACTATTTTAATGACTGGTGTAAGTTTGCTTAAATCTTTCATATTTATTAATTTATTTATTTTTGTTTTAGTATAATTGGTGGAGTGTAACTGTAGATTATAATACACTAGAAAAAAGATGTTAAGTTATGGGTATATTTGGAGATTTTGATTATAGACATAATTTACAAATTTTGTGGGATGTACTTTTTTAAATTTTTAATAAATAAATAAAATAATTTTAATTAATTAATTTAAAAGTAAAATGGAGATTTTCGTATTTTTGATATAAATTGTCATTAAATAGCATTTTAGCATGCTCACACTGGGTGGATTTAATAGCTCTTAATAGACTAAGTAAATATGTATCTGACAACATTAGGGTAATTTATTTGAAAAATTATATCAATCATTAACAATTTATCATTAAAGTTAAGATTAATATATTAAATTATGGAGCTACTAAAATATTACTTAACCTAAATTAATGTAAATAAATTAATATTATGTACAAAGTAAAATCTCATAATATAATTAAAAAATAGAACTTAACGCTTTTTAACCTATTCCTTAACATATGGTTTGTTAGATTATGATAACAATTTGGTTTTAGCAGTAGATTACTAAGGTTTTTTATATATATTATCTTATCCTGACTTAAATATTCTCAAAGCAATTCAAGCAAATTTTGGTTAAATAGATTTTATTTCTTTGAATAAACCATTTAATCTTATAGTTTTAGCTAGTTAAGAAACTAACAGTTTATCATTTTATAATCTTTTTGAGTTAATTGCTCCAAATTAAAATGAATTGTATTTTAGATATGAAGGTAAGTTATAATGGTTTATTTGATATTTAATAATAAAATTATATATATAATAATAGGTATTTTATCTACTTTAATGACAGACCAAGGAGTAATATTTCACTAGCTTGGAAATATAGTCTAATTTTGGAATTATTCTATTTAAAAACTAATATATGGGTTTTTTGTAAACAGTTAATTTGAATCTTTAGAGGCAGAAAGTAGATTTTTGTCTTTAAGTGGGTATTAAAATTTAGCAGTTCTTTTTACAAGGGATTAAACGATTTTCTTCAATACTATCACTTTAGATATAATTAATGTTCAGCAATTAAAATGTATGAATAGTATTTAAATCTAAATATTTTTAATTTGCGCCTTAACTAATAAACTTACTGTATTTAGTCTAGATAGCTTTTCTATATATTAGTAAATTGCACTTAATCCTAACTAAAGCATTATCTAATTGCAGTAAATATTTCAAACTGATTCTTTCTTCGCGACAACTACACAAGGAGAAATCATTTGTTATTAACTTTAATCAAATTAGATTTTGAGCAAATTTTAAATAAAAATACTAAATCAAGCTATTGTAAATTATTAATAGATCTAACTAAATGAATTTTACATTATTTTAGCCTCTGCTTTTGATGGAAGTTTTGGATGCATTTAAATTTCTATAGATTTAAATAATATCAATAAACTTGATTTTAATCTTCCTGGTAAAAGTTCTCATGCTCACAAAATTATATATTTTAACAATAATGTAATAACAATCAATTTTTAAACGTTTAATTAATTTATTTATTTTTTAAAAAAATAAGCTTTTCATAAAAAGGATTTCAGACTACTATTTGGGTGTATATAACATAAACAATCTGAACTAAATTACTTAGATTAAAAGTCCATGTGTGGGTTATACTTATAAACTAGATTTTAGTTAAGAGTATGATTTAGTTTTACAGAGCTGTATAGGAAATTATCGAATTAATTAGTTATCTACTTTTTAAGAAATAGTTTATGGTAGGTTTACGACATAACTTAAATTGACTAAAAAATATACAGACAAATTAAATTAGATCATTTTTATCAATAAAGATTACTTTATCGATGCATACGATCATTCAATATTCATTTTTTAGATAGATTATTAATAAAGTAAAATTAATTTAATTGGTAGTTACTAAGGAGATAATCCATTAGGTTCAATAGCAAGCTATAATATAATAAAAGATTAAAATAACATATTTATTTAATTGCTGCTATATTCTATTGACAAAATATCTAAAGTTTAACTTCCAATCTAAGGAGACAACAGCTGCAAAGAATTATTGTCTTATAACTAATTTTCAGAGGTCTTATTCTCAATACAAGATGTTTATCAGTAAATTTAAAATTATTTTAAAATCGAAGAAATGATATTTACTTTAACTGTAGATAAATACACTTACTTATAGCCTTTATCTCCTTTTACCTTTTCACAAATAACTAAGTTAAGTATAATGTCTGATCCTGCCTAAAATAATAACTAGTCTATTATAGTCAGTTAAGAGCTATTCAGCTCCTTCTAAGGATATGATTATATATCTTTAGAAAACTTTAACATATAATCATCAAAATCTGAATCAAATAATTAAAGTTTTAAAATAAATAATTTAAACTCTTTTATTCTCAAGAACATTTAATTTACAAATCAAAGCTTGTTCTAATTTGATATAAGCTTAATAAATACCTTAATTTTTGAGAATTTGTAATTTTAAAATATTTAAATGAGTAGTAAAGCATTAGTAAATTTATTTAAATTCTCTTTGATAGATACAATAATAATTAATGAAGTAGAAATAATTTAGTGTTCATATAAACAGATTACCCTATTTAATTTTTAAGATGATATTAACAATCAAAAAACCTCTATTTTGTTTTCCGGTTTGGTAGTAAATAGATCACAGTTTAATTATGACAATACATAATTGATTGCAGCACCCTTATATATATCTAATTATAATAAAGTTGAAATATAAAATTTTGTTTTAAATTCAAATATTGGAAATGGAATATTTTTCATAGTAAGTAATGTCATTTAGAACATATCTATTAATGGAACAAGTTTGCTTAATAATAAAGATATTTTATTTTTATCTTATTCTCATAGCTTATAGTAAACTTAAAACAAAATAATTTTAGTGTAATAAATTACTGAAGATAGTGTTTAGTTAAAAAATCTTATTCTATCTAATAATTTTTTTAATATTAGCCAACAAAAAACAATTACTTCTATTATAGATATTAAAACTAGTAACTTGACATTACATTAATGCTAAATATAAAAAAACAATGCATAATAAAATAACTAAATATCAATATTAAGCCTAAGCTAACTTGTATACTTCAATTCATTAGACCTAAACTTTACTAACAATCAAGGATTTTAAAGCTTATTAACTCTTTCAGATTCATTTAATATAAACTAAATAAGCCAAATGTTTTTATAGAATAATAGTGGAAGCAATTTATTATTGATTGCATAATCTAATTTATTTTTTACAGATTCTTCAGTATTATAAAATCTCTCTTACGAATCAAACTAGCAATCATCCGCTATAAGTATTCTTTCTAATTCATCAGTAGTAATGAGCAATATTTAATTTGAAGACAATATTTCTAGTAAGGGAGGATCTATTTATGTATAAAATAGCGAGCTTATTATAGGGAATAGCTGGTTTTATAATGACAAAAGTACATATGGAGGATCTATTTACTCTGAAAATACAATATTAAGTATATCTAATTCTTAATTTAATAATTGTACATCTTCTTTTGGAGGTTGTATTTATGCTTATCAAAGTGAATTTAAAGTAGACAGCATTAATTCTAGTTATGCAAAAGCTAGCTAAGATGGAGGGTTTTTATATATCAATAATATAAATAGGTTTACTTTATCCAATTTGAATATATAATATTGCTCTGCATAGAATGATGGAGGATCAATTTATATTATTAATTCTGGTGGTATTGATTCTTTTATCACATCATCAAACTTTAATAACAACAAAGCACTCGGGTATAATATTTAAAGCATTTTTTTAGATTTTATTTCAAAATAATTATTTTATTAAAAATATATTTTTAAAACAAATAGAAGTGGAGGAGTATTGCTATTAGATAACTCTGAACTGCTGATAAACTATACTAGCTTTAAATATAATTCAGCTGGTGTAGGTGGTGTTATTAGGTATTTAAATTTAAAGCCAAGCTTTTTATTTAATAAATAAAAGAACATGAAAGATTCTTGTAAAACCTATAGTTTTAACTACTGTAAGTAAAACAAAGCTATTATATTTGGAAATTAAATAGCAAGCTATCCTACATATGCATCAATTTTCCCAAATTACAATTTTAATGTAGATATAAGATAATATCCTAACATTACCTTTCATAATTTTAGAAGTGGATTAAATAATTTTGATTTATTTATATAATTTTTAGATGAATTCAAAGATATAGTTTAATAAATAGATTTCTAAAATCAAAGTAAAATATTTTTTTATTCTTTAAATATATTTTTAATTAATTTTTCTTTAGCCAAAATAGATTAAATTAGCTAAAATTTATTGAATGAAATTAAATAGTATAGTTGTAAAGTGTATGTTAATCAAAATTTTACAGATTTGCAATCAGAAGTAATAAAATTAGATGGATCAACTTCTGCTGAATACTCTTATTATGGATAAAATAAAATTGGTTGCTAAATGAACAATTTTAAAATAACTGGGGTACCTGAAAGTAGTTCTTTTTTGATGCTTTAACTTAATGGGATGAGAATAACTAACAGCACTAATTAGTTTGTAGATCTTAATAATGTCTAAATAAAAATAGAGTTTAGATAATGCGAAGTTGGAGAATTTTATACCCAAAATTGTGAAGGATGCTAGTTATATGAGTGCTCATAATGCTAAAATGGGACTTACTCTTTAATTAAACCTGAAAAAAATAAATAAATTTAATGTAAAGAATGTGATAAGTCTCAAGTTGAATCATGCTATTTAAGTGAAATTAATTTGAGAGAAAATTATTGGTACAAAAAATTTGAAAAGCAAATTTTATAAATTATTTATTAATTAAATAGGAGAACAAGCAATTCATCTGATTAAATCTATGCATGCAGTAATACATTTTAGCAATGTAATGGAGATTAGTCAAAAGGTTATTGCAATGTTGGCTATACAGGAGCTTTATGTTCTGCTTGTGATAATTACGGAGATTTATGGGGAGATAGTTATGGATAAGTAATTTCCTTAGACAGTTAAATACTTCAGTGTGAAAAATGCTCTGAAATAAGTCAAAATTTTTATAAATAAACTTTTATAATCATTTTAATTTTATTTTATTTAATATTCATGACAATTGAATCATAAAATAATAATTGTAAGATTTGTTAAATTAACCTCTTACAAAGATTAAATATTTTAAATATGGGAGTCTCTTAATACATATTTTAATCATCAGTTATTCTTAAGATAATTATTAATCAATTTTATATATTATCTACTCTTAAATATATAAACATATCAGAGTCCTTTAATACTATGATTTCGATGCCTTCACTAGGTTCATAGCATGCATATATATTTAAATAATCTCTAGACTGTTTATTAGTATAGTTAAATATAAATTTAAAACTACAATACTTAAGATTTATTTACATATCTATTATACTTCCTTTGCTTACTCTCGCTTTAATCTATATTTTCATAAAAATTATTTTGGCTCTTTGGATTTATCTTAAACCTGAAAACTATTTTTATGAAGATGCAAAATATAATCATAGAAATATGGTTATAAGTACTTTGATATTATTCTCTTACATTACAACTTCTAATATATAATAATCTGCTTTAGAATTAATCTTTTGTGAAAGATTTGATAATTAATATTTTATGAAAAGTCAAATGAATGAAAAGTGCTACACATAAGAGCATTATTTCTATATTGCATTTCTTATTTCTCCAATTTTAATTTTAGTTTCAGTAGTTTAACCTGTGATAATTTTGTATATATTATACAAAAATATTAAGAAAGCATCAAATACTAAACAATTTACTGTGATAAGAAGATATGGCTATTACTTTAAAGAATATAAAAAAACTAGATGGTGGTGGGAAATAATCAGAATTCAATAAAAGTTTATAGTATCTATACTTGGTGCAGTATTTAAAAAAAGCTTTATAACTTTAATTTAATCAATATTATTTTGCCAAACAATATATTTATTAATACTGACTTATTTCTAGCCATATGAGGATAGAAAGATCAATAGGTTGGAAAGAAATTCTGCTATTTTAACATTATTAATATTTTGGGTAGCTTTACTTAACTAATAAAATTAAGATAATTTTATTTACTAAGTATCTTTAACTTTACTGATGCTACTTTTCATAATTTTATTTGGTAATTAATTAATTCATAAAATATTTTTACAATAGAAAAATAGAAAAGAAAATTAGCTTCTAGTTATTTAAAAATAAGTACTCGTTTTTAGTATAATTGAGTTACTTTATAAAAATATTATTTTCTTTAATTGAAAAATAATCCGAAAAATCATAAAAATAAGAAATTGCTTATTGCAGCTTAACTTTTTTTTTATGGACTACTTCTTATTTAATTAAATAAAAAATATTTTTATTTAGTAACTCAATTAAAGATACTTAATTTAAAAAAAAACAACGAGAAAAATTTTTTTGTATTCTCTCAAGAATAATTAATATTTTATATTAAATATTAGGTTTTTTGGCTTCTAGTTTTTTAGGCGTTTTAATAAAAAGAAATATGTATGTGCTATATAACTTCAAATTTTTCTTGTGGTTTTAATAAAAGATTAAAAAATATACGAATAGATAAGATAAATAACCATTTATTGTAAGGTATCTAAAGAATCACCATTTTGATTTATACAATATACTTTTCAGTGATAGCTAAAACTAATTTAGAGTTTTTAAAAAGTAAGTATTTTATTTTATTTTATTTTTTTCGTAATTATTTTAAACAATTTTATTTATTGATGTATTTTAAATTTTATTAAAGTTGGAAGAAAGTTAAAAATCTTATTTTAGGTACTACTACTATTCATCTATTTTAATCATAGATCATTAAGCAAAAGAAATAAAAATATATTTAAAGTAATAGATTTTCTACTTAAATCAGCAATATATTTACTTAAAAGAAATAAAACACCATTAATACTAAAGTAGATTCAAACTTTAAATTGTGGTAAAAAATGAAAGATATAAATACATCTGATTCTCCTAAGTAGCAATCTGTATAAGATTCAACTTAGTGATAAATTTGATGAGATTTTTTTAGATTCTATTAATAATATTATTGTTATTTAAATAATAAATACTCTCTATTTTATTTATCTCGTTTTTTTTTTTAAATTAAATTTCTTACTCACTAATTAAATATATTTTTTTATTTAAAGTCAACATTATTTTTATAGTTTTTTATTTTTTTATTAATTTCAAAAAGATTATAAACTCAATAATTAAAAAATATTACATAGTTATAAAAATAATTTTTTTAACATCATTAACTAACTTACCGTACCATTTTTCTTCTGATTCTTCATTACTTTTCTTAGATTTTATTTATTGTATTTGATTTTTAAATTTATTTAAATTATTATAAACTACATACAAAATACATGAATATATATAAAATACTGATATATAAATTTATTTAATATTATATTAATTTCTATTAGAAAGATAAATAGTTATAGGTGTAACCTATCACTATTTATCTCTCTATTACATAAAAAAAAATCCGCAATTAGCAATAATTCCATTAAAAATAAAATAAAGTAAATAATTTCTTGCATAATAAAAAATTTGATTTAAAATAAAGTAATATCAAATAACTACCATTAATAGAGGTGAAAATCATTTATTTAAAAAACTCAAATCATTTAAAGTTAATTTAATATTTTCAAATTAACAACTTAGAGTCAATATAATCCTTAAGAGAATAAGTAGAAAACACATATTTAATTTTTCGATAAAAATAAGAGGTTTTTAAATTATTCAGGGTAATTTATTTAAAAAATACAATTAAATTAACATAAAAATAATTAAAAAGAATGATAATTCCAATTTCGATTGCTTCTACTTTCTTAATAATAATACTTTAAGCAGTTAAAATTAAAGCTGTAGGATGTCCATTTAGATTAGATGGATGCACAAATTAAGACTTAAGGGTAAAACAGATTTTATTACTAAAATCTAATCCTTAAAGTGATTTCTAAGATATCGCAGCTGTAGTTTACGATCCTTTCACTGTTGGTATTTTTAACTTTGAGATTAATAAATAACTCAAAGTTATTGAGCAGTAGGAAAATGTTGCCTTCTACTAAATTGATAAAGATGACAGGCCTCAACTATAAGCATCACTTATTCATACTTTAGATGCGAATGGTAGAGTAATAACATGGAATTCAGGTAATGGATTCAAATAAAATGTTGTACAAATACCAAATATAATTACATTATAACCTAACTCATGCCTCAATTCTGAAGAAATGTTAGTATTGACCTGGGATGACACAAAGGTATAATAAACAAAAATATATTATTTTAACTATCTTTTTTTTAATTTAGATTTATATTATTGATTTCTCTTAAGATTATAACATTCAGTTCGATAGTTTAAATATTGATACTGCTAATATATTTTCAAATTGCTTTAATGATAAGATAAATAGAAGATTTTTAATAATGAACCAACAAGGGTAGTTATACTCCTACGACATATAGAAAAGAGTATTTATCCTTTTATTTCAAATTAATTAATTTAAGAATTTATAATCTCTTTATAGCACCTAAAATCAAATATCTATTTCTTATAAGTCAAGCTAAGGTTAAAATTTGGTTACATCATATAAAAATAATACTATTCAGTTTATGGCTTCGTTTTCATAAATATCAACAAATGTTTTAGTAAGCAAGTAAGAAGATATTTTAATCTTAATAGGAAATAACAACTTATTTACAATTTGGGAAATAAAATCACAAAAAATAATTTATAATCCAGATTTTTAAAAAATTTATTGCGACTAGAGAGATTCAAATTATACAAAAATTCAAGGAGTTATAAACTTTAAGTTTGGCTCAATAAATGAAAAAGATGAAGTAGCAATAGTTTCTGATTCTTATATTTTTGTGTATTCATTATTAGAAAAAAAACCAATTCTTTTCAAAAGCTAAAATTTAGGGTTAAATTGGATTTAAGCTTTTGTTGTTTAAAATAGTGTAATCCTTAGCCAAACTTACTCTGTTTCTAGCATTGATATAAGGACATCAAGAATTAATTATTTAATGAATTACTTTTCAAATGGATAATCTAACTATGATCAACCAATTTAGCTAGAAGTAGATAACGAATTGAATAGGTAACTTGTTTTATTAAATTTGTATGGTTTCTAATTATTTTTATTAAAATAAATAGAGTAATATATAGTGATTTCGGAGGAAATTTGTAAATTTGGTCTTCAATTAATAATCAATAGTTGTAATTTATTAAGGAATATAGTGCACCATTATTTTTCATTATAGATAAATAACTTAACAAGGTAATTCAATTTATAAATTTTATTTAGTTTTACAAATATTAAAATTTATTACTTTCATTTCAATATTTAATCAACTTAGTACTAATTTATTTTATATAACACAATGATCACTTTTTAAAGTTAAAAAAATAATTTATTGCTAATTTTTAATATTTATAGCACTTCTATGCTATATTTATCTTGATTTTTATTTAGCTAGATTAATTAAATAAATTTATTGTAATAAATAAGCCTTGATTTATAATTTTTTAGTTTGAATATGCAATTTCAAATATTAGATTTTATCTTTTAATTTACTTTAATAATCTAATTCAAAGTTTATACAAGGATTTAATTCATGAAAATAATATATTCTTTTATTAAATTAATTTATAGATGGTTTTATACACTAATTTTACAATAAATGCGATGATTTAAATCTATGATTACCAAGAAGTAAAATTATTAGATACTATACCATTTCCTAACAAAAACAGCTAAGTTAAAGATACATTTTAATTGTATTAAGACAAAACAAACGGATATCTATTAGGCTTAGATAAAGGAAGTACAAATTATGCCATTTATAGATTTACGAAGGAATCTAATTTTCCTACTCTTTATAATTGTACTTTAATTAAAAATGGAATTATTACAAATAATAATATACTCTTCTTAGAAATGTCTAAATAGTTTTTAGTAGAAATAACAAGAGTTTTGTATATGTTTAGATATTTTCCAGAAAATGGAAATACACTTACCAGTTATATCGTAGCAGGATAAAAAATTTAATTTTCATACTTTTAATATATCAACCCAACTTAAACACTAATATGCGTTCAAGATACATCTATATAAGTAGTTTTTAATTTTATTTAAATTTATTTTCAAATAATTTCATAAAAAAGGTTTTTCAGTATATTAGTGGTCAATTTAATTTATAAAATCAAATAAATTATTATTCAGGACAAAGTAATTCAATTTTCTTAGCAAAAGCATAAAACACTTTGATAATTTAGAGAACATCTTAACTTTATTTCAAAAATTTCTTAACATAAAATGATTAAATGATAGATTTTAATAATCTCTAGATACTAAATTATTAATATGACAACTCTAAAGCTCTCTTCATATGCTTAGATAGTAGCTTTATAATTACTGTAATAGATGTATTTGCAGTAAAATCTTTATATCATATAAAAATAGAAGATAATAAATTAACCGCTTTCAATATACAACAAGATATTAATTTAGTAATAATTAGTTATTTAAATGGTCAAATCTTAATTTATGATTATTAAGCTAATGCTATTGTTTCGACTTACAATAATTATTAATCTTGTTTAATCTTTAAGTTTGATAAATCAAACAATAATTTATTACTTTAATCTTAGCTATAAGTAATTAATTATACTTTTTATTTTTATTATCATTTTATCTTTTATTTTTTTATTAATTAAAAAATATTTGTTATAAAAACTGAATATAAAATTTCATTTTAGTAAACTTCAAATAGAATTTTTAAGAAATTTAAATTATTTTTAAATCTTTTGTTAATTCCCTTAAATTATTTTAAATTAAAATCTTAATGTCTAATAAAAGATTTCTTCAAAAAGATTGACAAATCTTGTTCTAATTAGTTAGATAAATTATTCACTGACAAATTATTGGATAGATGAAATGACTGGAATAACTTTTATTTTAAGTGATTAAATTATTATTTATAATCCATTATCTTAAGAATATCTTCCACAATTTTAGGTAGATTTTGACCTCTCTTTAGCCTACATTATACAATATATTCCGTAGTTAGATTACCTTTTGCTAGGATTTTAAGACAATTAAGTAAATTTAATATTTGTTTATAAACTAAGCTCTTAAAAACTATAAGCTACTTTGGATCACAATATTAAATATTGCTACTAAGTCTTTTACTTTTTTTATGACAGCTATTCTAACAGACTTTTTTCTGGCTGCGAATATCCAGCAAGTGTAATAGTTTGGGACCTAAATAATTTTTAAATGATTAAGCTGCTTGATAGCATACTTTAATCATCGTTTGTTTGCTCAATTGTATTTTATCCTGAAATAAAAACTATTTTGATGACTGGTGTAAATTTTCTTAAATCTTTCATATTTATTAAATTTTTTTTGTTTTAGTATAATTGGTGGGGTGTTACTGTAGATTATAATACACTAAAATAAAGATGCTAAGTAATGGGTATATATGGAGATTTTGATTATAGTCATAATTTGCAAATCTTATGGGATGTATTTTTTTAATTTTTTATTAATTAAAAAAAATAATGTTAATAAATTAATTTAAAAGCAAAATGGAGATTTTCGTATTTTTGATGTAAATTGTCGCTAAATAGCATTTTAGCATGCTCATACTGGGTGGATTCAGTAGCTCTTAATAGATGAAGCAAATATGTATTTGACAACAATAGGGTAATTTATTTAAAAAACTATATCAATAATTAATTAATTATTTATACTTAAAAGTTATGATTAATATGTAAAATTATGGAACTACTAAAATATTACTTCACCTATATTAATGTAAATAAATTATTATTTTACTCAAAATAAAATCTCGTTTTATAATTTAAAAATAGATCATAACGCTTTTTAACATATTCCCTTACAAGTGGTTTATTAGATTATGATAACAATTTGGTTTTAGTAGTAGATTACTAAGGCTTTATGTATATATTATCTTATCCTGATTTAAATATTCTCAAAGCAATTTAAGCAATGTTCAGTTAAGTAGATTTTATTTCTTTGAGCAAACAATTTAATCTTATAGTGTTAACTAGTTATGAAGATAACAGTTTTATATTTTATAATCTTTTTGAATTAATTTCTCCAAATTAAAATGAATTGTATTTTAGATATGAAGGTAAGATTAAGCATTTAATTTGATATTTAATAATAGAATTTTATAACAATAGGCATTTTATCTACTTTAATAACTGATCAAGGAGTAATATTTCATTAACTTGGAAATATAGTCTAATTTTGGAATTATTCTACTTAAATGCTTCTATATGGGTTTTTTGTAAACAGTTAATTTGAATCTAATGAGGCAGAAAGTAGATTTTTATCTTTGAGTGGATATTAAAACTTAGCAGTTCTTTTTACAAGGGATTAAACGATTTTCTTCAATATAAATACATTAGATATAATTAATGTTCAGCAATTAAAATGTATGAATAGCATTTAAATCTAAATATTTTTAATTTGTGCATTAACTAACAAATTTACTGTATTTAGTCTAGATAGCTTTTCTATTTATTAGTAGATTTTACTAGATCCAAACTAAAGTATTATCTAATTGCAGTAAATATTTTAAACTGGTTCTTTCTTCGCAACAACAACATAAGGAGAAATCATTTGTTTTTCACTTCAATCAAATTAGATTTTGAGCAAATTTTAAACCAAAATACTAAATCAAGCTATCTCTAATTATTAATTGATCTAATTAAATGAATTTTACATTATATTAGCCTCTGGTTTTGATGGAAGTTTTGGATACATTTAAATTTCAATAGATTTAAATACTATCAATAAACTTGATTTTAATCTTCCTGGTAAAAGTTCTCATGCTCACAAAATTATATATTTTAACAATAATGTAATAATAATCAATTTTTAAACATTTAATAAATTTATTAATTTATTTTATAAATTAGCTATTCATAAAAAGGATTTCAGACTATTATTTGGGTTTATATAGCATAAATAATCTGAACTAAATTACTTAAATTAAAAGTCCATGTGTGGGTTATACGTATAAACTAGATTTCTGTTAAGAGTATGATTTAATCATACAGAGCTGTGTAGGAAATTATCGAATTAACTCATTATCCACTTTTTAAGATATAGTTTATGGTAGGTTTACAACAAAACTTAAACTAACTTAAAAATATACAGAGACATTAAATTAAATCATTTTTGTGAATAAAGATTATTTTATAGATGCGTATTATCATTAAATATTCATTTTTTAGATAAATTATAAATAAAGTCATATTAGTTTAATTGGTAGTTACTAAGGAGATTATTCGTTAGGTTAAATAGCAAGCTATAATATAATCAAAGATTAAAATAATATATTTATTTAACTGGTGCTATATTCTATCAGCAAAATAACTAAAGTTTAACTTCCAATCTAAGGAGACAATAGCTGCAAAGAAATATTATCTTATAACTAAATATCAGAGGTCTTGCTTTCAATACAAGACGTGTATTAGTAAATTTCAAATTATTTTTAAATTGAAGATATGATATTTACTTTGACTGTAGATAAATAAACTTATTTATAACCTTTATCTCCTTTTACCTTTTCATAAATATCTCAATTAAATATAATATCTGATCCTACCTACAATATTAATTAGTCTATTATAGTCAGTTAAGAATTATTCAGCTCTTTCTAAGGATATGATTATATATCTTTAGAAAACTTTAACATATAATAATCAAAATCAGTATCAAATAATTAAATTTTTAAAATAAACAATTTAAGTACCTTTGTCCTCAAGAACATTTAATTTACTAATCAAAGCTTGTTCTAATTTGATATAAGCTTAATTGATACCTTAATTTTTTAAAATTTGTAATTTTAAAATATTTAAATGAGTAGCCAAACATTAGTAAATTTATTTAAATTTTCTTCAATAGATACAATAATAATTAAGGAAGTAGAAATATCTTAGTGTTCATATAAATAGATTACCCTTTTTAATTTTTAAGATGATATTAGCAATCAAAAAACCTCAATTATATTTTCTGATTTGACAATAAGTAGCTCACAGTTTCATTATGACAGTACACAATATGCTGCAACACCCTTATATATATCTAATTATTTTAAAGTTGAAATATAAAATTTTGTCTTAAATTAAAATATTGGAAATGGGATATATTTCATACTAAGTAATGTCATTTAGAACATGACCATTAATGGAACAAGTTTGCTTTATAATAGAGATATTTTATTTTTATCTTACAGTCATAGCTCATAAAAAACTTAAAACAATATAATTATTCTGCAATAAATAACTAATGATAATGTTTAGTTAAAGAATATTAATCTATAAAATAATTTTTTTAATATTAGCCAATTAATAACTATTAATTCTATATTAGATATTAAAACTAGTAATTTGACATTAAATTAATGCTAAATATAACAAAATAGTGCATTTTAAAATAATTAAATATCCATATTTAGTCTAAGCTAGCTATTATACTTCAATTCATCAGATTTAAGCTTTACTTAAAATCAAGGATTTTAAAGTTTACTAGTTCTTTAAGATTCTTAAAATAAAAATTAAATAAGCCAAATCCTTTTATAAAATAATAAAGCAAACAATTTGCTATTAGTTGTATAATCAAATTTACTTTTCATAGATTCTTAAGTATAATAAAATCTGTCTTAAGAAACAAACTAGCAATAGTCAATAATAAGTATCATTTCTAATTCATCTGTAATTATGAACAATATATCGTTTGAAGAGAATATTTCTAATAAGGGAGGATCTATTTATTTATTATAAAGCTAGTTGATTATATGGAGTAGCTTGTTTAAGAATGATAAAAGTACATATGGAGGATCTATTTACTCTGAAAATTCAATATTAAATATTTCTAGTTCTTAATTTAATAATTGCACATCTTCATTTGGAGGTTGTATATATGCTTTTCAAAGTGATTTAAGCTTAGACAGCATTAATTCCAGTTATGCAAAAGCTAGCTAAGATGGAGGGTTTTTATATATCAATAATTTAAATAGGTTTACTTTATCTGATATAAATATATAATATTGCTCTGCATAGAACGATGGAGGATCAATTTATATTATTAATTCTGGTGGTATTGATTCTTTTATCATATCATCAAACTTTAATAATAATTAAGCACTTGGGTATTATATTTAAAACCTTTTCTTTAGTTTTGATTTCAAAAAATAATATTCAAAATTTATTTATGATTAAAAATAATTATTTTATAAGAAATATCTTTTTAATACAAATAGAAGTGGAGGAGCATTGCTATTAGATAACTCTGAACTGCAGATAAATTATACTAGCTTTAAATATAACTTAGCTGGTGTAGGTGGTGTTATTAGGTATTTAAATTTAAAGCCAAGCTTTTTATTTAATAAATAAAAGAACATGAAAGATTCTTGTAAAACCTATAGTTTTAACTACTGCAGGTAAAATAAAGCTATTATATTTGGAAATTAAATAGCTAGCTATCCTAAATATGCATCAATTTTCCCAAGTAGTAATTTCGATGTAGATATAAGATAGTACCCTAACATAACCTTTCATAATTTTAGAAGTGGATTAAATAATTTTGATTTATTTATATAGTTTTTAGATGAATTCAAAGATATAGTTTAATAAATAGATTTCTAAAATCAAAGTAAAATAAATATTATTTTTTAAATGTATTTTTAATTAATTTTTCTTTAGCCAAAATAGATTCAATTAGCTAAAATTTATTGAATGAAATTAGATAATATAGTTGTAGAGTGTTTATTAATCAAAATTTTACAAATTTACAATCAGAAGTAATAAAATTAGATGGAGCAATTTCTGTTGATTACTCTTTTTATGGATGGAATAAAATTGGTTGCTTAATGAATAATTTTAAAATAACTGGAGTACCTAAAAGTAATTCTTCTTTGGTGCTTTAACTCAAAGGAATGAGAGTAGCCAATAGCACTAATCAATTTATAGATAGTAATAATATCTAAATTAAGATAGAGTTTAGACAATGCGAAGCTGGAGAATATTATAAACAAAATTGCGAAGGATGTTAGTTATATGAGTGTTCTTAATGCTAAAATGGGACTTATTCACTAATAAAACCTGAAAAAAGTTAATAGATTTAATGTAGAGAATGTGATAAGTCTCAAGTCGAATCATGCTACTTGAATCAAATTAATTTAAGAGAAAATTATTGGTAAATAAATTAGATAAATAAAATTTTAAAAATTATTTAATCAAATAGGAGAATAAGTAATTCATCTGATTAAATTTATTAATGCAGTAATACTTTTACTTAATGTAATGGAGATTAGTCAAAAGGTTATTGCGCTGTTGGCTATACTGGGGCTTTATGTTCTGCTTGTGATAATTATGGAATATTATGGGGAGATAAATATGGATAAGTATTTTCCTTAGAGTTTTCAAAACCTCAATGTGAAAAATGCTCTGAAATAAGTCATAATTTTTATAAATAAACTTTTATAGTCATTTTAGTTTTATTTTATTTAATTTTCATGACAGTAGAATCATAAAATAATAATTGCAAGATTTGTTAGATTAACCTCTTACAAAAACTAAATATTTTAAATATGGGAGTCTCTCAATTCATCTTTTAATCATCTGTTATTCTTAAGATAATTATTAATCAGCTTTATATCTTATCTACTCTCAAATATATCAACATATCTGAATCTTTTAATTCTATGGTTTCTATACTTTAACTAAGTTCATAGCATGCATACATATTTAAATAGTCTCTAGACTGTTTATTAGTGTCTTTAAATCTAAACTTAAAATTACAGTATTTAAGATTTCTTTATATATCTATTATACTTCCTTTGCTTACTCTTGCTTTAATATATATTATCATAAAAATTATTTTGGTGATATAGTTTAATTTAATACCTCAAAATTATTTTTATGAAGATGCAAAATATAATAACATAAATATGGTTATAAGTACTTTGATATTATTCTCTTATATTACGACTGCTAATATATAGTAATCTGCTTTGGAATTGATCTTTTGTGAAAGATTTGATAATTAATATTTTATGAAAAGTTAAATGAATGAAATATGTTACACATAAGAGCATTATTACTATATTGCATTTCTTATTTCACCAATTTTGATTTTAGTATCAGTGGTGTAGCCTATAATTATTTTTTATATATTATTCAAAAATATCTAAAAAGGATAAAATAGTAAACAATTTACTGTGATAAGAAGGTATGGCTATTATTTTAAAGGATATAAAAAAAATAGGTGGTGGTGGGAAATAATCAAAACTTAATACAAGTTTATAGTATCAATACTTGCTTCAATATTTAACAAAAGTTTTATAACTTTAACTCAATCACTATTATGTTGCTAAACAATATATTTATTAATACTGATTAAGTTTAATCCATATGAGGATAGAAAGATCAATAAGTTGGAAAAAAAATCTGCTATTTTAACATTGATAATATTTTGGGTAGCCTTGCTTAGTTAATAAAACTAAGATAATTTTATTTATTAAATATCTTAAGTTATAATGATGCTTCTCTTCATAATTTTATTTGGTAATTATAACTTAATTTTTGTAATAGAGCTAAGATAAAAAGAAAATTAGCAAATATTTATTGAAAAAAAGAAATATTTTTATTTATAAATATTTTTTTAAGATATTAAATAAAAGCATGTTTTTGTATAATTAAAAAAGAAGAGGTCGAAAAATGAGTTATTGGATTGAAATAACCTAACTTTATTAAATGGTCTTCTTCTTATTTAATTAAATAAAATATTTTTAATTAGTAACTCAAATATAAATACTTATTTTTTTAAATAATAATAAGCATTTATTTTTTTTTTGTATCTTTAATTAATATTTTATTTTAAATATTAGGCTTTTTGGTTTCTAGTCTTTTAAGTGTTTTAATAAAAAGAAATATGTATATGCTTTTTAACTTCAAGTGCTTCTTTGGGATAAAATAAATGCTAAAAAAGTTATTAGATAGATAAGATAATTAATCGTGTATTGTAAGGTATCTAAAGATTCACCATTTTGATTTATATAATATACTTTTCAATGATAAATATAATTCATTGAGAGTTTTTAAAAAGTAAGTAATTTATTAAATTATTTATTTACATTTTTCAGAAAAAAATAATTTTTTAAACTATTTTATTTATTTATTGATGTATTTTATATTTTATTAAAGCTGGAAGAAAGTTAAAAATCTTATTTTAACTACTACTACTATTAATTAATATTAATAATAGAACATTTAAAAAAAGATATTAAAAAGAAACAATAGTCATAGATTGTCTTCATTTAGCTTAATGAGTAATACCTTTATTTAAAAAAAATAAATTATGATTGAAAATAAATTAGATTCTAACTTTAAATTGTGGCATAAGTTAAAAAGTATAAGTAAGCCTAATTCTCCTTAGTAGCAATCTTTTTAAGATACATTTTTATGATAAATTTTACGTTGATTGCTTTATTATTTAAATATTAAATACTAAATACTAAATTTTTATATTTTATTTTTTTTTAAATTAAATTTCTAACTAAAAAAATTATTTTAACTAAAATCAAAATTATTTTAATGATTTTCCTTTTTGTAAAAAAATTATGAAATAAACTTTATTGTGATAAGTTTTGTTTGTTGATTTATATTTTATCACTATTTAAAAATTTTTAAATATTTTTACCCTTTTTATTTTTATTTATTTCAATACTAATAATTCATTAGTTATTTTAAAAATTTTATAACTTAAAAATATTTAAATTGAATATAATCGATTTAAAAAATTGATTAAAAATATATTTAGAGCTTTTTTATTTGAGTTATTTATAATACAACATATTTGAATAGCTTTTTAATAAAAATATATGTATTATGTTTAGATTTATTTATGTATTTATTCAATGTATTTATATATAATTTTTATAGGTTTCTTTTATATTTTTTTAGTAAAAAAATTAACGTTAATTAGTTTCTTAATTAGTCACTCAATCAGATAATCAGTTAATCAACCAGTCAAAAAATCAGTCTTCAATTATATTTACCAGATGAAGTTTTTTGCAGGTTGTTTGTTTTATATGAGGATCTAGAACGAGACTTTGACTTAGAAGATTTATTAAAAACACTATTATTATTATTATTGTTGTTATACTTATTATGATACTTGTTTTGCCTATCATCATTGTAATTATTGTAGTTTTTATAGTTGCTTCTTTAATAATTATTATATTTTAACCTATTATTATAGTCATTACCATTGTAATTATGTTAATTATGTGGTGAGAATGGAGATGAAGGAGATTTTTCGTTTCTTTGGTTTTTCTTATAGACTTCATTATCTCTTTTATTGTATTTTTATGGGCGTGAACGAGGAGACTGGGAGATTGATCTTCTTTCTTTATTTCTATCATTTTAATCTGGAGAAGAATCTCTAGACTATACTCTTCTATCATACATATTAGAATTATATTGATTATATTTATTCTTTTTATAATTATAGTTTTCTCTCCTATAATTATTATTGTTATTATTTCCGCTTTTATAATTTTTTTGGTAGCCACCTCTTTATCTATATTGATTGTGATGATAATTTTATTAGTTTTTTTCATCATACTCTCCTTCTTCTGAACTTGGTGATTTATTATCGTTATGGCTTTCCTTTTTCTATATAGATGGAGAATGAGATGGTTTTTTATTCTTTTTATAACATTTATTGAATTATGAGTTGCTCTTGCTTTTTTTCCTTGAGTTTGATCTCGAATTCGATTAATTATATTGTTAATTTTGTTATATTTCTGATGCTTTATTTTTTCTAATGATAGTTAATCCTGAAGTAGTTGTTTCAGTTATTGTTTTAGTATTAGAATCTATCTTTTCTTTTTGATAGGGTGATTAGGAAGGAGGGCTATGTGAGTGTTATCTTTAGCGAGTTTTTGAACTAGATTTTTATTGTACTAGCTTTTTTGGCATAGAATTTGAAGAAGATCTATTTTAGCTTTTATTTCTATGTTGAGATTAAGAATCTTTGTCTGAAGAATAAGATCTCTTCGAGATAACAGAAGATGATCTACGACGGTTGTGATAATTTTAATTTCCATATGAATTATTGTATTAATTGTTATTATATCCACCATGATAGTGACCTTTGTTAAAATTAAAGTTACGATTCTAATTATATCTATTAAATTAATTATTATTGTTATTATTATTATTATTCATATTAGAGTTATTGTTTTTATCATTATAAGGTCTTTTATTTGTATACCTTTAACTAGAGTTGCTTCTTGAGCGATTTCTATTACCTTATTGATTATTTGATTTCATATAATTAGTTTTATAGTTTTGGTAATTATTATTTCCTTAGTTTTAGTATTAGTTATAATTTCTGTGATTATAATTATTGTGATGGTAATAAGTATTATAATTATTGTAGTTGTTTTTATATTTATTTTTGCGGTATTCTCTAATACCTCTCTTGTTAGAATTAGTTCTATTCCTTTTTCTATCATCCGTAACACTTTACCTATCTTATTCTTCTGAAGATCTGCTTCCACTTGAAGATGGAAAGCTGCTCTTATTTGAATCTATACTGCTATTATCGTCATCATCTTCATCATCATCATCAAATTATTCAATTTCTTTTATTATCGATCTATTTTTTTGCATAGGCTTGATAGTTTCTTATGTTTCAATTTACCCTTACTCATTTTTACTAGACTAATTCTAATTATTTTCTGTTTCAATTTCTAATTATTTATCATCTTTTATTTTTCCTTCCTATAATTATTATTGTTGTTACTGCTAGGTTTTTATATTATTTTATTCATCTTTAAATTGTCTACTTATATCCTTTAAATCTTCTTCAGCTGCTTATGAAATTATGGGATCATTTCTTTAATTCGTTGAAAATTAAACCTTTTTATTATCATCTTTTGGTAATGCTTGTTAGATATTAGAATCATTTTTTTCTTACAATATGATGTTATTATTTTATTCTTATTGAATTTTTATTGCCTTTTACAAATCTTCCATTAAATTAGAATCATTTTTATTTGATGAATTTTATTCAATAGTATCTTCCTTACTAACAGATTTCTTTTTTGAATTAGATGACTTCTCAATTTGAAGTAAGTTTGTATTACCACGATTTTAATCTTGTTGTTATTCTTTTAAAGCTAATTAAAATTGCTTGTTTATCTATTCTTCAATGTTTATGCATAACAATTCGTCATCATTCACTTAATTATTCTCTGATACTTAAGAATTGCTATCATGATTGCTTAAACCCCAATCAGCGCTTTTAGGAGTTCTCATGCCAGAACTTTATGGAGATTACTCTTTATTATAATCTTCTTTTTGTTTTTACATTCTCTCTTAATTCTCAAAGTATTTTCTTAATTCTTCTTCATGATTAGTTATCTAGATTTAATTATCAGACTATCTTTATTCATCATCGTTTTCTTGCTAATATTTTTAAAATTTATCTTCACTATTTGAAGAACTTGATTTTTGATTGTTAGAAGATTTATTTTATTTTTTTTTATAATTGTAGCGCTCATCATCTGATTGAGAAACGCTTGGTGTTCTTCTTCTTTAATTTTTATTGTATTCTTCTTTTTCGTATCTATAGTTCTTTCTTTTTTTGCTATGGCTTCTACTGTTTGAATTTGAATCATTTTATCTTCTTGTCCTACTAAACGACTTGAAGCTTTTTTCTGGAGTCCTATTTGCATATTTATCACCTTCATCTCTGTAAGACCTGGAAGGAGATCTATAATCTTTTTTATCTTTAAATTAAATTTAAAATTATTAAATTAAAATATGTTAAATTAATTAATTAATTTACTTTTGTTGTAAGGAGATTCTTAATATTTCTAACGATTATACGATTTATATGTTTTTTCATTTGTTCGATTGTAATAGTTTTACTCAGAATCATTTCTATAAGGCGAGTCATATTTCTTTTACTATTTTTGACCTGTAAATGATAGTAAAATTAAATTAATTTTTAAATAAAAAAAATTTTATCGCCTTTTTATTTTTTAGATCAACGAAAATAAATAAACAAACTAAAAGATAATTTATTACTAATATTGAAAAATTTAAACTACTTTTTAAACCCACCCACCAACTTGCTACAACTAAAATGAGAATTTATTTAATTTATTGTAATTTTGATAAAATTGATATAGAATATGATTGAAAAAAGGAAGGAAAAATGTGATGTGATAAATATTGTAATTATTCATAATCCTTTTTTATTATCAAGATAATATTTTACAAGAATAAGATGTGGATATATAGGGGAAAACATCAAAAACAAATATTAATTAATAAAATTCAAATTATTATAAATGGATAAATGAATTTTTCATATTTTTTTTTTTTGCTGTTGATGAAGTAGTAAGTTAGGAATTATGTATGTAAGTAAGTATGGAAGGAAGTAGTTGTTATATTAGTAATAATTACTTTTGCTGAGAGAATTGATTTCATCTGCTCAATCTTCTCTCTGCTTTGAAAGATATTTATTTTTTTATAATATCTAATTTGTATAAGATCACTTAAATATTTATTTCATTTATCATCCATGATTTTGGGTGCTGTGAGGATTTGTTTAATGTTAATTTAATGCAACAAAACTTTAAGAACAGTTTATCAATTAAGAATTTCTTTTTATCTGCCTTCTCATTATAGGCTATGTATGTTTATCAGCTCAATGCTATCTTATTCCATCAAAACACAATTGCTTATTATATAGATTGATTTATTGATAGATGTGTAGATTGATAGATAGACAGGCAGAGAAAAAACTACTCTCTTCATAAAAGTATTAATCTAAAATAGTTTTTATTTTTTTTTCCTAAAGTAAAATGTTGGCACTGTGAACTAGTTAAATTTTACTTTTACATAATTTTCTTCAGAGATGTGATATTTGAAAAGTAGTAGAAAATTAAAAAATCATGTTAAAAGTATAAGAAAGTAACATCACAGGAATCCTCTTCAGCATTAAGAATAATAAGTTGAAAATGAGTATCAGAATTGAAAAAATTTATAAATAAGAAAGGATATGAGATATTGCTAAATTAATTTTATTTAGCATGAAGAAAGAAAGCAAAGTGCTATTGTTTGGTAAAGAAAAGAAAGGGCAGATTAAGAAGGAAATAGATGATATCAGATTCTTCAGATAAAAATGAATTGAAAGTTAAATTTATAATTAAGTTTTTTTTGTTGGAGCTGGTGGCGATTAATATTTATTATTTTTAACAAATAGTGTGTTACTTTTATCTTTAGAAGTTGAGTGTCGATTCTATTCGTAATGATTTTTTGTTTTAGTATCTCTCTTATCTTCCTTAATGGTCTTGGGGCTTTTTTCTGATTAATCTTTGTTTGTTTAACTAGAAGCCAAATCTTGAGAACTGTAAGTTTTACTCTTATGTTAAGAATATTTTTCTTCACGCATTTGCCTTAAAAAGGAATCAGTTAATGGAGGGTTATCTAGATAAGCATTTTCTTCTTTATCTGAAGGTGATTCATTTTCATTTCTCATTGAAGATTTTTATGAGATAAACATCTCGTGATTCTCATTATCGTTATTTTTTTCATGATGATATATGGGTGTAGTGCTTCTTTAGCTTAATTTTTTATAATCATCATCTTTGTCGCTATTCTTTTTATTCTTAAATATCTTATTCATTTGAATCACATCTTCTAAGAATGATTTCTTAAATTATAGGAACTAGCAAGTCTTTGAAGAATTTATGTAAGTCTAGACAGTTTCATAATGTGTAGAAGATCCAGGTGTTGTATTTTATATAGGGTTACTTTAGTAAACTTGCTTGTCGCTCGATTTATAAAAAATAAAATATTTATTTTCATGAATGTTTTTTTTCTTCCAAGATTATTTTGTATAGTATGGATGGAGATTAGCTTTAATGTAAGGAAAGTCTTTGAGTTTGATTGGAATTTGTTATATTGCATAAATAGCAGAATCTAGATCAGAAAAAACTATTAGTGTATGCTTCTTTTCATTTAGAATGATTGGTTCCTCTATTGATAAGACGTTTTGCATGATATTCATGCTTTATAATAGGTTACTAATTTGTGGTTTTCCATTATGAATCGGTATGTTACGAAGTACAACAGGAATCCACCATCCTTACTTATTAGTATGTGAAGAAGAAGATGAACTTGAATTAGAGCTTCTAGAGCGAACGCTTGAAGGCAGGGTATTAGAAGTTAAGTAAAAATCAATATAATTTGCATTTACTTTATAAACTTCAATTTGCTCACCAAGGATAGAACGATACTGCATTTAATTTTTTGTGTAGTTAAAATAAACAAATTGGGCATTATTTTTTTCTCCAAATGTTACAAGCAACGAATATTTTCCTTAATAGTACAATGTTCTAAAATCTTTAAAATTGACATGAATGAATGTCCTGAATCTTTCCTTCATTTCTTTCTTCAAAGTAGCCAGAGACATCGTAACATTGATATTACAAAAAAGTAGCTCATAACAATTTTGCCAAATAGAAGAACGATCATTTTTTGTTGCTCTTTGAGCTTAAGGCTCCTTATCGATTTACAATAAATCAGAATCAATTAAATACATAAGGACGTCTTCGAGGCTAGTGCTTTAAGGTATTTTTTAATTGAATTATTTTGTACCTTTCGAAACGCTTTCTCCTTTTAAAGAACTGTCATCATCACTCACTGCAGGTGAACTTTCACCTGAAGTGACAGCTGGCAAAAGATATTCTTATTATAATGTATATACACTATAATATGGATCATATTGCACATCATCATCTTCGTCATCATTCTCTTGATTGTTTTAATCTTTATTGAAATTTTCTTTGCTCTCAATATAGTTTAAATCTTTAGGTGATTGTATAATAATTGGGTTTTATTCAGAAGTTTTGAAAGGAAATTTACTTTGATGTTGATTTCGTATTTAAAGCTATTTTTTAATTAAAGTTGATGCTACACTCTGTTGTATTTTAGCTTTTTCTTATATATTGTTTCCTGCTAAGATTTCTTTTTCATCTTTAACTTCCATTTTGGAAAGAAATTATTTACGAAGTTCCAGCTATTACTTCATTTTTTCAAAAGCCGATTGAGAACTCTTATTTACTTTATTATTGCTATTTTAAGAATTGCTAGTTAGAGAAGAACTGTTATTTTATGTATTTCCACTATAACTGCTCATATTATCTTCTAATGCGTCAAAAAAATGTATTATAATTCAGAGTATTCTTTGTACTCGTTAATATTTTATAACTAATAATTAATACTTTCCTTGTTTTTTATATGTTATTATTAATAGATATTTATAAAATTTTTAAGGCTAAATGTCTATTTGCTATCAATTTCTTTCAAATTTAAGCTTTGAAATTAGTTGCTTTTGACTCAATAAATATTTTGAGTATCCTTTATATAATAATAATAAATTCCCTAATAGTTTTTTGTCTATATACCCTTTGTTTATTCAAAAAGCTTGAGTAGATCCAAAACAAAGAAAATGAGACTCTTAATCTATTGTTTAAGTGTTTTTACCCCCCTTTATGTTCGATGCTAGCAGTTCAATGTAGAGGATTAATAAATTTATTGAAATGGCTCTATAAATAAAATATATTAAATACTAAAGCAGAGCTTGAGTGTAATTCTGATTATATAATAGTTGAATATTGGATTTAAGCAAAATTCTTTTCTTTCTTTCTTTTTAATATAATTTTTGCTTTTATTTAATTTTTCTCTTCTTAGCTTAGTAAGTTTACTTATATTTTTCTTTTCCTTGTTTTAATACTTTAATCTTTTTAAATAGCAAAGTTTTCAATCAAAGCAAGTGTATGTATTCATCTAAATAAAAAGAGCCTTTAAATAAATAAAGGCTAAGCATTATAATTAGAAAGAACTGCTGCATTTAAAGGAAAAATGACAATTATTATTTTAACATTTTAATTTGATTTTTTATATACCAGAATATATGAATAGCTATCAACATTTAATCCAAAAATTAGATAATATATCTTTAATCGATATCCTAATATGTTCACTACTATTTGCCATATTTATTTTAATTTTAAAAAAATATTTTTTTTAATTTTGATAAAATACTTTTAATAATCTTATTTATTAGTATAGTAATAAAATTTTTAATTTAAAAATAATAGAAATTATTATAAAATAACTAAAATTCTCTACTTCTATTTACAATCTCTATATTTTAAATGTTATTATATATTTTTTTTTACTTTATTTATTCAGTAAGTAAAGAATTAACAAAAATCATTAAAAAATGTAAAATGACAGGTGCTAATTTTACTTTTTTAAAAATAGAATTTATAAAAATTATATCAATAATAATTTAAAAATATTTATTTTAATAAATAAATAAAAGCTAATGTTCTACTTCTATTTTACAACCTCTATATTTTAAATGTAATTTTATTTATTTTTTACATTAATTATTGAATGAGTAAATAATTAACATTTATCATAAAACAAACAATTTAAAATGAAAAATGCTTATTTTTTTGTTAAATTCAGAAAATTTCATAAGTAAAATAAAAAATAAAATGAATACAAATTTAAAAAATTCATTTAATAAAGAAATTAAAGTAGTTTCTATTAATAAATTAAGAAAAAAAATTTTTTAGCCTGGCATAATAAAAAGTAAATTTTTAAAAATTTAATTTCAAACTTAGAAATTTTATAAATAAAAAATTTTAAACTTCAACATTATTATTGAAATTAAATATTATTTAATAATATTTTAGACAACAAAAAAATATTTTTTGTGTAAAAATAATTTTTAATAATTAATTTTTATTTAAAAAAGACCTTTTTTGAATTTATTTATAATTTAATTTAAATGAATTTGTTAGTCAGTTAGATAGATAGATTTTCTTTATTCTATTTTTAAATTTATATGTTTTGTTTAAAATTAAAAAAAAGGAACTTTTATCATATTAAATTTTTGAAATAAGTACATTAAACATTTTAATTTGTTTGCTTTATTAATTTCAGTAATTCGATGTTTCGCGCCTCAGTGATAAAAATTTAGATCCGTTTGAGAGTGTTTGTTTGTTTTAATATTGAAATTCAAATTTGATTTTGATTTTTAGATATTTATTCACATAAATCAAAAATTAATACTTAAAAATACAAAGAAAACAAAAGCAATAGATAAATAATTTATTATTCTGACAGAAAAAATAGAAATAAAAGAAAAAAAATTAAAACAGAGTTCTATGCCCCCTCAAGTAAATTTTTTATTTTTTGAATAAAATTCTTTACTGATAGCTTAACACAAAGTTTATATTAAAATTATTTTATTGATTTATTGTTTTAAATTAATTAGAAAAAAAAAGGAGCCAAAATATAGATTAAGAATCAGTAGAAGCTAGCTAAAGCTGAAGAATAGATATAGTCTTCCAGCTATCAAACTTAGAAGGAAGATATTGAAAACACTGGCTAGGAGTAAATAAAGTATGACAACCCTATAGAAGATGATATTTAGAATAATGTAGTCCCTATGTCTTCCCCTTAGAAAACTTAGATTCAGCAAGAAACTAATAATAATATTAAAGGAAGAAAAAGTAATATTTTATTATTTTTTATTTGCAAAAATTTAAAATATATTATTAAATCTAAAGGACAAGCACCAAAACTCACTTAGCAAGAAACTCTCATAGAAGAAGCACCCCTTCGCTAATAACCTGCTCGTACTAGACGCTAGTTGGCCAGCTAAAGTAATTTTACTTAAGGTTCCAAAAAAATAGATAGGAAAATTGATGATCAAAATGAAAACCTTAAAGGTTAAATCTCTTAACAAAATGTAAGAGGTTCTAAGAAAAAAGAAAATTCTGATCAAAAAGGTAAAAAGAACTAGTAAAAGATAGTAATTGAAAGTTAAGAAGATGATATTGAAGACGATATAATAGAAGAAGGCTAAATAAAGCCAGAAGATCTGCCTTTGAGATAAGCTAAAAAAGGATCACAATAAGAACCTTCTTTATAAGCATAGGGAAAGCAATAAAATAATCGTAGTTCACAAAATCTAAACTCTAATAACTAATAGTAACAGAATTAAGCAAAAAAAGCTTAATAATAAAATCAACAGCCTGTATAAACTTAATTGTCAAACAATAACAAATCTCCTACACCCTAAAACAAACTAGGTGTATCTTAAAATGAGATAAAACCTGCAGATGCCCTACAAAAAAATAATACTACTCAAGCAGCAGCAATATCTCTTGAAAATTCTAACTAAAATAGTGGTGATAAACCTAATAGTGGAGAAAAAAAGAAATTGACTCTTAGAGAAATGGAAGGCCTGAGTAAATTATTAAGCATCCAAGTTGATGGATTAAAAATGAAAGAACAACAAATGTAGAGTATGTTGTAGAATTAAAATATCAGTAGCAACCCAATAATTAATAACAACATGGGAAATAGTAATTATAGATCTAATCAAAGTAATTTGTAAGTGTAGAATACTTAAGCAACATAGTTGAATGGTCCAAACCCTAACTACAGTATTCAAAATCTATTAAATGGAAATTTGACAAGAAAAATGGTTAAGCCAAATAATCATTTCGTTTAGAAGTAAGCTATTATATACAAAAATTTAAATAATCTAAGAAGCTAATTAAATGATAACCACATTGTGATAGATGATGATTATATAGACGATATTGAAAATTAAACATTTGATATAGAGAGTAAGGATGTAGATATCGAAAATTTAAATGTAATTACTACTAACCCAAGTTATGCAATTCAGTAAAAAGTCTAAAATAGAAATTAAGTAGATTAGAGGACTCCTCTCAGATCAATTACTCCATAAAGTAAAACTTCATTCAACTAATAAGCTATGAATAATAATATGAATCAGAGACCTCAATACATTCAATAGCATTAAAATACTTATGGATATTAATAAAATAATATCCACTAAAGAAAAAGTGTTACTCCTACAGGAAAAATGGGGATTCCTTAATCTAACTAGCAAAATTTAGGAAAAGTAACACCAATAGGATTAAAAGGAGGCAAGATAACACCTATTATTTAAAAATAATAAAATCAACCAACCCATCAGCATTTAGCCCAACAATCAGTATTAAATAATAACTTGAATGGAGGAAAAAGAACACCAATTACATATGGTAATTAATAGCAAAACCATTAGTAATCAACTCTAATAGAAATCGATAATGAAATTTAATCAAGATTAGAAATGATTAGATAAAATATAGGTCCTCTTCTGGCTTGCTTAAACTCTGACATCATGGGAGGAAACAACTAATAATAGTAGTAGCAATAATAACAATAGTAATAATAATAAGTACCTTAATAATAAATAAATTAGGAAAGTTCTTATATAAACAGAAGGATATACTAAGATATGAGAGAAAGGAGAATTAATTAATTTGATAATTAGTAATTATCAAAATAAGTTTAAATGCAGCCTTAATTATAATAATAATAATAGGTGAGAGGAAGAAGCTTAACTCCAACTATTTAAACAAATAGAAGACATTTTGATATAGACAATAATAAAATAAACAATAATAATAGTAATGGTTTTGCCCATAATAATGGATAAATTTTACCTAGGAAAGTTGTTACACCCATTAGAGGAATATAATAGCAATAATAGCAAATATAAAATTAAGATCATTAATAAATACCTATAGGTAGAAATTATGATGCCAGAGCTGGAGATTGGCTATGTGGTAATTGTAAAAACTTTAATTTTGCATATAGAAATATTTGTAATAGATGTGGATAGGTTTAAGATGAAAAAATTGATATGGTCCATCCATAAATCACACCAGAAGCTCTTGATTTAATTCATGAACTTAATCACCAAGGGAAGAAAAAAACTCCAATTCGTACAGTTGATGATGTGAAGAGAACGTTTTAAGATTTCAGCTAGAACAAAGAAAATTTAAAAAATATTTCAAATACCAGCACACAAAATTAATAATACTAATAGTAAAAAATATAAAATAAAAGTCCCTACTCAGTAATATAGTAAGATAATAAATTATAGATGAACTCAAGAAACAACTAGCGTTTGACTTACAAGTAACTTGAAGAGTATGAAAATTAACTAGCAAACTCAAAATAAAACTAAGAAAGCAAATTAATTACAAATGAATCTTAGAATAAAAATATTAATAAAGAAAACTAAACCAAAAATGATGTCATTGGAAATTAGATTATCTTTATTGATAATTCTAGTGCACAACCTCTTTCTGAAAATGAGAAAGAAGGCAAAAACCCAAATGCAGACCAAAAAGAAATTAAAAGTAATACTGTTAATCAAAATAGCAAATAAAATAAAGAATAAACTTAATTAAATAATAACTAAAGAAAGAGAGTTGTCGACCCTCGAATTTAAATGCGATGAGTTTTTTTATATTATTTATTTATTTACTAATTTTAATTTTTTAATTATTTATTATGAATCAATCTTATTATTTTTCAATTATTACTATTAATTTACAACTGCTTTTATAACATAATTAGTTAGTTAGTTATTTATTTATTTTGATTATTATCCTATTGTTTTTAAATATTCAACAAATTTCAAATTATTTTCTTCTTAAATTCGCAACACTTGTTAAAAATGTAATATTTAAAACTTTCAATACTTTAATTATTGAATTTTCAAAAAATTTTTAAAGTAAGCTTATTTCAATTTATAAAATATTTGAGTTTGACATTTTTTAGGAATTTAATAAAGAAATTTCTTTTTTTTTTGCTTTACTTTATTAAGAAATTTATTGCCTTTTCCTATTTTTTATTTGAATAAAAAAATGCAAACATCTTCTTGTATTTTTTATTATAATGAAATAATGTTATTTAAATTTTTGATATTGCATTTAAATATTTATTTAAATATCAGTTGAGAATTTTACTGAGAGAAAATTTAATTAAAAATAAAAGAAAGTAGAGATATTAGATATAAAGTATTGATTGATTAATCCTTTAAGCGAGAAAAATGCAATTAAATAATGTGAAAAAAAACGAAAATCGATTTTTATGGAGATTGATTTATCTAACAATTAGGGCCATTTATAAATATAAAATAGATATTGGAGGAATTAGAGTGTTGTTTGTTTTTTTAAACTTTGTTTATGTTGGCTCATTGCTGTTTCCAATAGTTAAATTAAAAAAGGTCGTAACTGTGAATTAACAATCTATTGTTAGTGATTTAGATTACCTCAATTCTTCCATAATTAATCAAGTAAGCTGGTATGAAGGGTACAAGTATCTGTTTATTATATTTCGTCCTACTTTAATTCTTCATTTCAATGAAGATAATAGTTTAAACTTTATTTTATCAGTAATAATTATGGTTTTTTTAGTATTCTTAGTATTAGGCACAGTCATAAATGTATTAAATACTAGAATAAATTAAGAGTACTAGTTTTTATTTATGAAATATGTCCTTTTTGTGGCAAATACAAATAATTATTATGTATTGATGCTAACCACAGAAATTTAAATTACCATAGGCATTCATGGAGGTTTTGGCAATGGTGTAGATAGCAGCTTTTAAAACAACACAAGTTCACAAATGGCTTCTAGAGTTATCTGCTTAGTTACTCTTCCTTTAACATATATTTTAGCTTAATACAGCATTTTGTATGGTGAACAATGCTTATCGCACTAAGAATATGGGCTCTACAGAAATAATACTAACACTTTAGTTGCTAATATAATCATGAATATCAAATTTGTATAAGCAATAATTATTGGAATAGATCCTAATTACTAAAGCTCATTCACTTTTCTTATATTTATTTTATCATGCGTAGTATTTATCATTCTTAAATATTATGAATATTTTTTTGATGTTCCTTTTAGCACTTTTACAGTTTAAGATTGGTATTTTAGCATGATAAATTAGGCATGTGTAATCATAGTATTATGTTTGTTTAAAGATAATTCTTATTTTTAAGCTAACTTTGAATATACTCCTAACATACTCAACCCTCAAATGTTTGCTTTGATACTATTCCTCTCATCTCTTATTTATCATAACTTAGCAAATAAATTATGGGAAATATAAAAAAGGAAATTTTTATTTGACAATATCTGCGAAGAATCTATGTTTAAAAAATCAGAGCATAGAAAGATATGCAGAAAAATAAATATGCTGATTGCAAATTAAGACTGCTCCATGAAAGACTAAGCAATATATTATATGGGAGTATTTAATAGACATCAAAAATACTGTAGAGACTAGTAATTATTTACTTATTTTTTATTAATCAAATTATCTTTCTCAATTTTATTTCTAAAATTTATTTTAAAGAAATATTAACATTTATTTTTTGAATTGAAATTTAATCCACATTATTTATAGAATAAAATGTCACTCTATTTTAAATATATATAGATTTTGCTTTTGCCATAGAAGTTAATTTACTAAAGGTGTTTAAGATAATTAGTTACTTCTAAGTAATAGAGTTTATGAATAGCTAATTAGGATGTATATTAGAAATGATTTAAGACTCATAGATATATTTAATCAAAAAGAGGACTCATTTTAATTTTTAAGATATATGGACCACTTTTTATCTGTAAAAAAACATACTTTTGCATTGTGTTCAATAATTGATGTCTAAATTGAATAAGAAAAAATGAAAAAATAAATGAATTTGAGAACTCAAGCTAGTTTAGAAGTTATGCTTCAGATTATAAAAGAGACTATGTCAATTGACATCAAAAAGGGTATAGTAGACCTTACTGTAGAATAGACTTCAAGAGCTATTGAGATTTACATACAAATGGAAAATCAAAAAACAAAACTTAAATCTTTGATTTTTAAGTGTTTAGAAATTAAGAGAGAAGCTATGGAATAAATGAAAAAATCTTTTGAGTATTCATGGCAGGTTGAAAATCTTAATAAAAGCTTTGTAAATATTATAGATTAGACTGAAAGTTTGTTAATAGATTTCTATAACAAATATACCACACCATAGAGTTAATAAATTTTAGTGTTTTTTGAATCTGAAATTAAAGGAAATTTAAAAAAAGCAAATTAAGTTAAATAAGCTCATAAATAAAGTGATATTGCTTAATATTTAAATAGTAAAAACATGTTCATAGAAGTATTTTCTTAAGATGTTATATCAATAACAGCCACTGTTGGAAAAAAATTAGGAAGAGTAAAATCATTTATTAAAATTTTAAAATAATATTTATTAAAATAAAATTAGATAGTTGGCTATTCAGATAAAGCACCAAGCGTCTTTGGATATAAAAAGTAAGAATTTCATTATGTTTCTGATATCAAAGAATTAATGCCCATTACTCTTGCAAGTGTTCATGATGAAGTAGTGAGATTTATGATGATTCGAGGAAAATATAATGTTGTCCATATAGCAAGAACTGTATTTCTAAAAAATAAGTTTAATTTCATATTCCAGGTTAATATATTTGCTGATATAAATTTTTTCTATACAGAAGAACTTCCTTTCATCTTTTTAGCTAAAGTCATAAAATCAAATAGTGGTTTTTTGATTGTCAGCAGCCGTGGAAAAGTAGAGGGTATTTGTTAAAATTTCTTCTCAAAAATTGGTTAGCCTGTTGAATCTCTACCATATGCATATAAAGTAGATGTATAGTATATACTACCTAAATTTGAAGAGTTCATCAAAAATGCAAAACCTTTCATAAAATCAGATTATTCAGATGTGGATTTGAGTTTTCCTGAAACAAAGAGTGCTTTATTTTATGACTTGTTTTACAGTAATTCTTGAATCCAAAAATGTATTTTTTAAATATTTTATTAAAATAAGGAAATAAATCGTCAAAATAAAACTTATCATCAACTGTACAACAAAAGGATCAGGATTTAGGTGGGCTTGATTCTATGAGATCATAAACTAGCTCAGTCAGAAAAAAACTATTGCAAAAAGAAATAGATATTTTAAAATTTAAAACTGATATTAGCATTTAATAAAGAGTTTTAGGAACAACTAAAGGAGATTTAGTTTATTATGTTGTAGAAATAAAATAATTATAACTTAACAACTATAAAAATTTGAACAATTCTCTTTATAGTTCTAATTAATCAGTTTAAAGACCATTAATGCAGAGTTAAAAAAGTAATTTTTCTAGAATTGATAAGGAAACAGCTAATTAAGTCGTGAGTTTAAATTCAACTGAATAATTTGAAGATGAAGGATTAAATCCTCCAAAAACTAATTTTACAAGAGATGAAACCATATTAGAATCAGAACACGAGTAATTTTTTGAATAATTTAATATTTTATTTTAAGTTGAATTATATATTTTTGAAATTCTTGAAATACTAAGATGTTTATTTTCATCAAAAAATTAGAAAAAATTGAATAAAATATAAATAATTAATTGTACTATAACTTATTAATTAATCCCTTAAAAATTTTAAGTTTTTCTTTTTAAAGTAAAAATTACAAAAAAATTATTTAAAAATTAAATTTCATAAATTCTAAGAAAATCTTAATTTTGAAAATTCTATTTTGTAAATAAAAATAATTTTTATTAAAACATTTTTAAATATATTTTTGTAATTAAACAAATAAATTTTAGATCGAAATAATCCTCAAACTCATAGACAAACAATTTAAAAAGCGCTAAATCAATCATAAAAAGTAAAACAAAAAACAAAAATGGCAAGAATAAAAAAGATAACAAAAAGTTAAATGAAAGTTTAGATGCAAATAAAGTTTTAGATGAAAGCTCAGCTCAGCTTATTTCAAAAGTTCATGCTAAAGATTTAAATTAATCTTTTGGCATGATAGATACAACAAGAACAATGGTATACATATAGTTTTTTGTAAAATTTTTATTTTAAACACTTTTTTAATAGGCGAGTGACATAATGATTGAACACAGGTTTAATTAACTTTAAGAAACTTTAAATGGGTAGACTAAATAAAAAGTAAAAAACCAAGCAAATAAAGAATAGAATTCAGATAGTGACAATAATGTAAAACAACAAGAATTAGACGCTTCTCTTCTCTAATAAGCTACATTTTAAGATTAAACTTAAATTGTAGTTGACATAAACCAAATAAAGGATACTATAAATTATTAATAGCAAATTGATTCATAAGAATAGATTAATTAATAAATGATTGATAAAAATAATGCAAGTGTAGTTACAGCTAAGAGCAATAAAAGTAACAAATCTAAGTCAGAAAAAAAAAAATAAAAAGTAGAATCACCATCGAGAATTTAAACTAAATAAGATTAAGCTAAAGACAGATATAAAAAAGTACATAAACAAATGCAAAGAGAATAATCTATGAAAGATAATTCTTTGAGTAAAACTGAAACCAAGGAAGGATTAGGTGATAAACTTAAAGCAGAAGCTAGTTTAAACGGAAGTGAGAATGATAAAATAAAGTAAATAGATAAATTTTCATACTTTGAAGCCTTTACAGAATAAAAATCACAACCTTCATCTCTAAAAATTTTGAAGAGTTTGAAATTTTTTGAATATGTTTTAATGATTACAACAAGTATTGTTTTAGCAATTCAAATCAATAAATCATTATAATCATTGATATCAGATATGGAAGGTATTATTTTCAGGAGCTATTTAATGATGCCATATGCCTCCTTTACTTCAGCTGTAATTTAATAATTTAAACTAGTATTTTATTTCACTAATTTATTTTTAAAAATATTAAATAGGAATTTATTATGAGGCACATTAAGAGCTTCAATACTTTTCCTAATAAATAAAATGTATTATTGTAATTAAATCAAACTCTAGCTGATTCCTATCTGAGAATTTTCACTAATATGACATCTTCATATTAATAAAATAACCTAATTGCAGATTTTTCAGATGATTACATTAATCTTATCAATCCATACTTAATAAATGCCAATACAAATAATGAATAAGATATAACTAATTAGAATAAAATTGATATTATATCTTCTAATTTCACCTTTGTGAACTCTTTAGGCTAGCTATTTTATCATTTAAATAGCATTTTAGGTAAATTTTTATACATTAAAAAATAGTTTTCAAACAAATCTATCTCAATAATTTTAACAATTAATTCATCAAAAAGTATTAAAGTAAAAAAGTGAAGTTAAATAGGAAAATCTCTCATAATTATAAAATGATTTTCGATTTTAAAAAATTCAAATAAGAAATAAATAGTTAAGATTTATTGTTTTTATATTTTAATATAATAGGGATTGATTTTGCAGTAGCTTATTCTTAGAATACGTATGAATACTAATCTATTTTATTTGTAGAACACAACTATAAAAATTTTTTAGAAAACTGTTAAAATTATTCCTAAGATTAATATTAAAGTACATTGAATATCAAAGATAATCTGAATGTAGCTGTTATAGTTGTATCTTCTATCATGATAGTGTTTACTTTAATCATTTATGTGGTGATTATCATGAATTTTGGGATATTCTAAAAGAGAATGATCTAATTGTTTAACATACTAACAACTGTGAAGACCAGCTAAGTAGAAAATGAGATGGCTAGAGTATCTTCAATTATTGAAAGTCTAAAAGAAAATGATGAAATTATAGAAAAATTCACATTCAGCATTAGGTAAAAAGAATATGTGCTCACTAAATTTTCAAACCAAGAAGAAAGTTAATCTTACTCATAAGATTCAAGTAAAAGAAAAGCTCTTCATGTGAAAATTAACCAGCAAAAGCTTTAAAACATAAGGTTCTATGTGGTTTCTTCCTTTACTATGATCTTGTTTTTCTTCTATATTCTGATTAATCTAATTTACAACGTAAATTAAAGAAATTATTTTTACAAATTTTCAATTAAATTTTAATTTAAAAAACTTACAGGTGGCCATTTTCAGCACTTTTTAACCTGCTTTGTAATATTTAAGTAATTTTGCTCAGCTTAATTAGGAAGTTCCTTCGCTTTTAGCTTATTCTAGCATGATATACGAGTAAAAATTGGGGAATGAATTGTTGTTTTAAAACTCAGAAATATAAAAAATCTAAAACTATTTTTAAGAATCTCTTTAGTTTGTTAGTGATTTTTCTCTTCAAATTTACAAAATATAATAATTATCTTTCTTTTCTTCATCATTTTCTAATTCTTTTAGCCAAAATTTGTAGTCAAATTTATGCCATTACTATCCTTAAATGCAAACAGATTAATGTTATTAGCTTTTTAATGGTGTTTTGACTTAAGGCTTAGTCAATTCTCTAAGTTTATGGAAAGAAAATTTCTTAAAAATCCAAAGCATTAATTTTTATATTACCAACTCATAAGATTTTTACATAAACTAACTTAATTTATTATCTTTAAGCTAAGTACTTAATGAATCAACAACATACTTTATGAAAAATTTATATGATTAGATGAAGAGTAATATATAAAATTAACAAAACACCAATCTCTTAATTGCTATTCTATTCTGTATAATAGTAAATATTCCTAAGATTTATGAGTTTTTTATAGAATTTAGTATAATATCTAATCGCTTCTATATTGCTAAAAAAATTATATTTATACTCCCTGCCTATACCCTAATGATAGAAGAAACTTTTAACAAAATGCTAAAAGCTATTGGAAATCAACTAAGTATTAAAAAATGATCCTTAAAAGAATCATATTCTTTTTAAAAATAATAATTATGCTTCTTTACAATAATATTTAAAATTAATAAAAATTATATAAATTGTAATTTTACTTTTATTTTATTGTGTTTTTGTCTTTTAAAATATAATTTTTTTTTCATTATCACAGAAAAATTCTTTATTTGAGATTTATTATTTTATTTTTAATAATTTGAATATTCCTAAATTTATGAGTTTTTTATAGAATTTAGTATAATCTAATCGCTTCTATATTGCTAAAAAATTATATTTATACTGAAGAAACTTTTAACAAAATGCAAAAAGGTATTGGAAACCAACTAAATAATAAGAAATGATCCTTAAAAGATTTATATTCTTTTTAAAAACAATAATTATAATAATAGTTAAAATTAAAAAAAAATTAAAAAATAGTATTTTTACTTTTATTTTATTGTGTTTTTTGTCTTTTAAAAATATTTTCTTTTTTTCATTATTACTAAAAAAAAATTTTTATTTGAGATTTATTATTTTATTTTTAATAATTAACATCAAAAAATTTATCTTGGATTATATAGAAAGAAATGTTTGAATTATTAATTGTGCCTTTTGTAGAATAAATAAGAAATATATAAAGTGCACTGGAGAGCAGAAGAGTCTTAGATAAAACAGTTTGAATGGAGAATGAAATATGAATAAGCAAAAAATCAAGGTTAGAAGAAAAAAATATAATTATTTTTATTGAATTTCTTAAGAATAGGCAGCAAACACTCGCATACTTAAGTTATTAAAATCCTCTATTAGATTTTAAAAGAAGAGAAAAGCTTAGCGACCAAATAGATTAACAAATTTTTAACTATTGATAAATTCAATAAGATATTTTATTGAAAAAGGATACATAAAAGAAATAAATAAACAATAAATAATATTAGGATAAGAATTTAGATTGAAATGACTGATAAAGTAGAGATTGTACCAGCTGTTTTGTTAAATATCAGTGACCATTATACTCGTGAAAAAGTTGAAAAAAATAACCCAAAGATTCGTGTCCTTGGTGGTCTTCTTGGTTAAGTTGACGGTCGTAAACTTAAGATTTTGTAAACTATTGAATTTAAATATGAGATCAATTAAAGCAATCTCTAAATTCAATCAATCGACTTTAACTTTATCAAATCAAGAGTTGACTTGTTTAAATAAGACCTTAAAGAAAATCTTTTCAAGGATTACGAATTTTTGGGATGGTATTCTGCAGGTGTTGGATAAAATCCCTATCCTAATGATATGAAATTCTAAAATTAAATTAGTGAAAATGTATCATCTAACCCCATTTACTTAATTATGGATACTGTCACAAGTATGAAAGGTTAGACTGATTTACCTGTAAAGCTCTTTGAAGTTAAGTATGAGTAAGTTATAGCAAGCGATTAGCACAAGAAACACACTCAAGAAAGTTTTATTGAGTTAAATTATGATATTCTAGCTAGCAAAGCAGATACCATCACAATAGAAAGTGCTTCTAAGAGTTATTCAAGTTCTGCCAAATCCGTTTTTGCAGAGAATCTTAAAAATACTGTCAATGCAGTTAAGAGATTTTCTGAAAGAATTGAAGGAATCATCAAGCTTCTTGATACTCCTGCAGTTACATAAAATCCTTCATTATTACTTGAATTAAATTAAATCTTAAGTTCTTTCCCTCAATAATACCACGAAACTTTAGATGAAAAGATGTTAGAACATTTCTCAGATGCTAATATCATCTCTTTCTTGAGTGCCTTAGCAGCTGCAAACAGAATTATTTCAAACGTTAGTGAGCACAAATCAGCATTTAAATAATCAAAAATGAATATGCTATGAAAAAATATCAAAATATAATATTGAATTTAATTATAAAAAGTCAATATAAAATAATGTTAGTATCTATCTATACTCCTTTTGTTTTTTTATTGTATAAGGAATTTTCTGACAAATCATTATCACTTAATACAATCTGATAATTTATTTTATTACTTTTTAATATCTTTGATGCGAATTTTACATAGCTTTCATTATTATTTATAATTAAGCTATTTATAATTTAAAAAAAAAAAAATTATTGTTTATACCATAATTTTTTTTTTAATGAAATAAAATAAATATTATTTATATTATATTTACTGAAATATTCCAATGATAAATCTTCATGAAAGATTTAAAAAGATGACAAATCTAAAATTCTTCACATAAATTCTGATGGGATTTTTATATGATTTTCATGTGAATAAAATAACGAAATTGATATAAAAAAAGAATAAATATTTGCTTTGAATTGATATATATACAGCAAAAACTGTCTAAAGATTACTTTTCGAATCAAACAGTTTTTAGCCAAATTACAAAGGTGTTGCAAGAATTATCGAAGTTCTTTATAAATGAACACTTTTTAAATAATTTGTTTACAAAAAGCATGTGTTCATTTTATCAGAGGGGCAATCAAAAAGCAGCTTGACTGTATATCAAATATTTTAAAATTTAAATAAAAAAATTAGAAAATAATATCTTTAGTTTTTTGAAATGATATATTTATATAATTTGTTATCAATTTTATGTTTAAAAAACATATGTCAACAAATTGAATAGTCAGTCAGCTACATTTAACATTTTTAATACAAAAATATTTAAAGGTATAATTTAATGTATTATAAGGAATCACTCTCAATTTAATTTAATTAATTATTATAATAATTATGAAATCTTTAAGAATAAATAAAATTAATAATAGTTATAATAGTTAATTACATAATCTTTTTAATAATTTAATTAAATATTTAATTTAAATATATAAATAAATAATCATTTGTGTTCTTCAATTATTGTTGTCTTCTTTTTTTATATTATTGTTGAAGATCTACCTTTATTGGATCTCTTAAAATTTGATTGACTAAATTATACTTCTTCGAATGCTATGTTAGAAACTTAATCAAATATATTTGGTTGTGATAAATTTTCTGATTTTTTAAGTTTATTTTCTTTTCCTAATATATCTAACGAATCCATACTTTAAAGAGTAGCTCTCGAATTTGATCTTTAAAGACTCAAACCGTTAGATGCCTTTCTTGGGATCGATCTCATACTTTTACTAAAATTACTCAATTTTTACTCAAATTTGTTATTTAATTAGCTGCTACTCAAGCTATTCAAATTTTAAGATGTATTCAAAGAAAAAATATCTAATTAGTCAGAGCCAGGAACACCTTATTTCATTTATAACTTTTTTAGTCTTAATCTCTTTTATACTTCTTAAACAGCTTTTATGAATATATCCTTTAAGTTTTTAATATTAACTTGACTACTGCTATTAGATGATATGTTAATACTATTAGAATATTTAAAATTTGAGGTTTTTCTGTTTGGATTTCTAGATTTTGGTGGAGTGTTTTAATTTTCTTTAGAAATTTAAGGTTTTTACTTTATTTTACTTTATTGCTTTATCTTTGCTTATGATTTTTTCTTGTCTTCGTCTTTGATTGTTTGAGAGTTTATAATTTTCTCTTATACCATGTACTAAATATAATCTATTTTATCTTAAGTGCTTAATCCTTTTTAATCAAGAGCAAAAGATATAGAAAAATCAGAAACTTGCTCAAACATCTATATAATTAAAATGCAAAAATAATTTTTAAAATACTTAATAAGATAATTAATTTACATTAAAAAAGCCATCAAATTTAGGCCTAGGCGTGAACTATCCTAACTGATTCTAATATTACTCAAATTGCTAATTGCAATTAATAATTTTTTATTCTTTTTATTGAATTTCATTAAGATGGCAATTTATTATATCATTTAATTCATTGATTTTTTACTAGCTCTATTGCAACATGTAGTTTAGATTATTATTGTTTCTCATCTACTTTTCATTTTCTTACTTAGTTAGCCTTATCTGTTCTTTAAGTCCATTTAGTTCTTTTATATATTCTTCTTATTGTGATATTTGCTACTCAATCTTGTTATTTAATTCAAAGTTTCAATTTGTAAAATTCAACTTTATTAATAAGTTTATTTACTTTTTTGCGAGATTCATTCAGCTTGTTTTGGTAGTTTTTCTCTATCGACTAAGAATTTTTTACAAAATCTGTTTGTGCAACCTAAATTTTATCTCTCAGACTAAAATTCTCTTCAATAACCTTTTCTTTTTCTTCTTTTATTTATTGTATTATTTGTTCAAAATGAGTATTCAAGTAATCAATTTCCTCAGAAAGAATTTGGACACATTAAAAATAAGCAGGGATGCTGCTAATTGTTTATTCTTTTACAATTAAAGTTGATTAATTGATTTTAATAGTTCAATGTAACTTACTCTTTTTTTTGAGAGATTTAGATTGCTTTATCCTGTTAAGAATAGTCTCCTCTTCACAAATGATCATTTATTATATGATATTAAAAAACAATTTCATTTGATCGCCATACATATTATCTTATCTTTTCAATAAATAGATTTTTATTAGTTAATAAATTCATTAGTTAAGTCGATAAAAGAAAGTACTTTGATAGTTTACCAATTAATTTTTAAACTAAAATACATAAGTTATAAGATATTTTTCCATCCTTCTCGTACAAAGCATTTATTTAATTAAGAATGACTAAGATATTCAGCTTTTATTAAGATTTTTAATTAAACTATATTTTCATTTGACCAAACAAATTACCTTCTCTTCTTTTTTATCATTAAGTGATCTGTAATCTTAGCGTTTTTTGATTTAATTACTTATTGGCACAGTGTGATTATTACCGTCTAAGTTCTATGCTGATAACTTAACTTATGAGTAGCTTTAAAAAAAGCCTGGATCTTGGGATAAATGTTTGATATGAAAGAACTTTTGTTAGGATTAAAATTGTGGATTAGATTTTCTTTCTAAAATATCTGGACTTTGAAGTAAATTAGAATAAGACTTAATTGCCTTAACATTATTATGATTCATGTCACTATTAAAGTTTTTAAATTATTAAAAGCTTTATTGCTTAATTTATTGGCTGTTTTATTGAGAGGATGGCATCTTGACACTATAATATTATTCTTAAATTTAATAATTAGGCATAAGATTATTTAAACTTTTAGTATTCTCATTATCACTGTTTAATTATTATGCATCTCCTGCTTAGATATGTGAATAGCTAGAAATTTAAGATTAAACTGGAGACTTCTTCTAAAAACTTAATACAGCTAATAACAATAATAGTATATTTAATACAAGATAAAGAGATTATCAATCATTTATAATTTTGAATTTTTAGTAAATAATTTACTTTTTGTTGCACTTGTTTAGGCACTCTTTTTGACTGTAACTCCACTGGAACCGAAATTAGGTCCTTCGTCTATCTCATCACTTTCTTTTGTGTAGTTTTTTTAAGAACCATATTGAGGTAAGCGAGCTTCTCTATCTGTAAATGGTAGCAAATTCTATTTTAATCTGTTTCCACTTTAATCAAACAATAAACTAGAAATTGGATTTAGTTTATTATTAGAAGTAAGATTTTATGAAAAATTTTGTGAAGACAACTAGATGTCCTTATCACTGAAATAACTTTAAAGATCACTTTTTTTTTAGTAGGTCTTATTATCTTCATTTTGTGAAACTAAATTTTTATTCAAATTTATAAACAATAAATACAATTATTTTATATATGTCAAAATGTCCACTTACGCTTTGATTCAACGCTCGAAATTATTTAATTTTCTTCTTGAATGCTTTTTCTTACTTTCATATTATAAAAATGGATTAGTTGGTTGGCCTCTTGTTACTTTTTATAATTAGGTTATTTATACTATTAATTGAATATATATAATTAATTACTGTATTATTTTGATTAATATATAGATTCTTAATACCAAACCAGTCAATTTTTTTGCTTTTTTAAAGATTTGATAGCTTTTAATGAATGATTTCAATGAAAAGTAACTTTAGTTTATTAATCTATTCACGAAATTTACTTTCTTAAACCAACAATTTAATTAAAAAAACTTAATTATCATTGTGTTAAGCAAACAAAAATTTAAAAAAAGATTTCCGAAATAATTATTTTGTAGAGTTTTTTGAATAAAAACATGAATTTTCAGCTTGCTTAATCATAGTAGCATGAAATCTTTCATAAATTTTTCTACTTTTATATGATAGTGAATTTCCAATTTGAATGGATTCTATTTTAAAAGTTAAATACGTTATAGAAATAAATTAACTTAAATATAAATAGAGATAAATTAGTTTAATTTAACTTAATTTTTTAACTAAAATAAGTCATAGAAAATTCAATTAATTTAATAAAATATAATAAATTAAATATTTTTGAGGAAATATGACTTTCTTAAGTTAAACATTTTTATTATTCATTTATTACTATGAAATTTCAATTTTTTAATTTTTTGATACTTTTCAATTACATTTCGTCATTAAGCTCGTTAGTAAATTATTTTTTCAAGTAAAAAATTGGGATAATGAATTTTAAATTATATTGGCCTTAGCACAATTAAATTTTATAAGGCTATCACAGTATTTTATTAGATTTAAAATGCACTTGTTCCATTAAATAGACAACCTTTAAAATTTATTTGATATACAAATGAAAATGAATATTTAATAGATGCGAAAAAAAAAGAAGAGAAGCGATAGATAAGGATAAATTTTCTAAATACCTAAGTAGTTTAAAGCTGTTTTATAATAATAAGTAAATAAATAAATAAAACACCAGCCTGCTCGCTTGCTTGCTTAGTAGAAAGAAGATGGGTAAAAGAGGTATTAGCTATAAAATTTACCTTGAAAAAATGAATATTGAATGGAAAATAAGATAAGAATTCCATTTGACTTTTATAATTCCTTTCAATATTAAATTATTATAAGTAATAATAATTAAATAAAAATTGATACCTAATTACTTTTTAAAAAAACAAACTGAAAGTATTTAAGAGAAAACATTATAGTTATTAAGATGAGCGATAAAACTAAACAAAAAAAATAGGAAACTACCAGTACTCAATCCAGTCATAATGATGGTTGGTGCGTTGTAAGTTAAAAAAAGCAAAACGACAAAGAAAATAGTGTGCTTTCAATGAGCACTAAAGAAGTTACAGGAAGTAGTCTAACTAATAAAAATGTAGCTGCATTAAATAAAATTTCAAAGAGTTCAAATATAAACTAGGACTCAATCTCCACTCAAGACGACAAAGGCAGTGAGAAATAGGGAGACGGCTCGACTACTGAAAAGAAGAAAATGAGCGAAAATAGCATTAACACAAATTAAAGTAATTAAATGAACGACACAAGTTCTGTACATAGTAAATCTGAAGACACTAATAATTAAATGTAGATAACTCCTACCGATAAATTTAACTAATTCCGTGAACGTTTGAATGAATAAACGAAAAGATATTATTATTTTGATAAGTAGTTTTTTAAAATTTATAATTGTTAATAGATTAATGGACTCGATAGTAATTAAATTATAAAACTTAAAGACGAAAGCAGTTAAATTTATTAAGATCTTCGCAATATTATTTTATCTTATATTAATTATAATGGAGGTATTATATTTTTTGGATTTAATCACATTAAGAGGGATAACTCCCCTCACATGGAAGTAAACGGATTCGATATTACTAAAAACGATAAAAAGAAGTATGACTTATTGAAAAATACTCTTGAAACTATCTTCTAGCGCATCACTCCCAAATAATTTAAATATGATTTAAGCATTATGAAAGTTAGAAAAGATAAGAATTAAGATAAATTCACTTAGGAGAAATATGTTGCTCGTATTATTGTTTAGCAAGGTTCTGAATTGCGCACACTCTATGTTTACAAAGATCCTACCTCTTCTGAGCAAATTACTGCTAAATATTCAAAAAAAGATTTTAAATTTATTACTATTAAAGGCACTGGCTTAACACAAGCTCAAGAATAAAAGAAACAGCTAACTAAAGTTAAAGATCTCATCTTTACCCATATAGATGATTTTCTTGATCCCCAAAGCAGCTATGCAAATCTAAAGAAGACAAAGATGTATTCAGATCCTAAAAAGAGTTAAGACCAGGATGGAGACTAATCTTTTTGTGATTCTAAGAGCAGGTCAGACGAGGAGAACTATCAGGATAATGACGATGATCCCTAAGAAGAAGACTCTAAGTCTAACTATTCTGATCATTCTTATAATTCTGAAGTTAATTCGCAAACAAATGGCTGGACCGTTCCATCTAAAGAGTAGCCTACACAGTAAAACAAACAGATTTTTATTTGTTTAAATTTGATTTCAATGATAAATTTAAAAATCTATTAATTGTTCGTTCTGTCTATCGATCAATCAATCAATCAATCTACCAATAAATCTAATAATATATCTTAACATTTAAAAGCTTTTCAAATCTTAGAAAGTAATTAGTAATTAAATAAATAAATAAAATTCGCCTCAAAGAAAAACTTAATTTAATATTAATTGTTAAAAATTTTAATCATTTTTTAAATAAATTACTTTTATTTATAAAAATAAATAGGGCAAAAGAAAGATAGAATTAATTTTAAGAAACTAATAAATCTAATAAAGAAAATTCAGAAATAACTACCTTTAATTATGATGTAGGCTAGTGGAACACAGAGCTGATTCCTGATAAAAATTTCTAATAAAAAGGAAAAACCAAATCAGACAGCAAGTAGAAAAAGTTTTATTTAAAAATCCACAATTTTTGATTTAATCTTTTAATTAAAAAGCAATTTCTTGTCAAACTAGCAGGATGAAGAAGCTTTCCCTAATATCAATTCATTTGGAAAGAACTCATCATCCTAAATGGATTAAGCTGATTCTTAATCTAATTCCTCCATTACTTAACATGAGTAGTCTATACCATAAGTTAATGGAAGCAAAAATCAATAAGACTAGCAAAATATTTTTTTTACAGGAAACTTTTAGTAAAATAATAATACCACTGTTGCTGCCTCAAACTGCTAGAGGTCTATCGAATAAAATCCAGTCATCTTAGCAGCAAATACATTAAGCAATACTCCTAATTCTCAAACAGTAGACACAGCATATTTTTAAAAACAAATTTACTAGCAATAATAGTAACAGTAGCAATAATAGCAGCAACAACAACAATAACTTTAGCCATAGCTCCAACAGTAAAAAATTTATAAAAATAATATTATTAATAATTAATAGCAGTAAATTATAAGTACATAGTTTCAATAGTAAAATTTGAATTTAACAAACATCCCTAAAAACCCAGAATTTAGCTAATAACAATAGCAATAAAATAATATTCAGTAACAGCCTGTTATGATGCCAGGCAATTAGCCTTACGTTATGTCTCCTTTTTATGGAAGTTATCCAACAAGTTAGTCAAGTACTCCAGCTCCTTACTAACCTTCTCCCTAAGTGATTATTTGCAATGCTAACAGTGAAAGTATATTAAGCAATTCACTTAAAAGTTTAACTAATTAATAGTTGCAAGAGTTAATTAGTCATTTAGATATGTAAACTAAAAATTATTAAGATTATTTGAGCTTGGCTAAGTAAGAGGATAACAAAAGAAAGTATGAAGCATATGTTAGTATTATGTACTAAAACACCCATTAGTAATAATAGTGCATGAATCCAAATCCTCTTAACATGCATACATTTAGCTCAACATAAAACGGGTCAGCTTATAGTAATCCCCATTCTAATTCTAGCTTAGCTAATTGATAAAGTATGCTGCTAACCTTTAAACAAACTTTCCTTTATTTATTATTTATCAGTTTACTTAAACATATTATTCAAATAATTACTTATTTCAACAAATATTTAAATAAATAAATAATCTGCAAACTCCTTTCTTATAGCTATTTAGTTGATTTATTTTGCATAATTGACAGTAATTATTATTTTATCTAAATAAAACACACATTCTATTTAAAAATAATATATTTTTAATCATATTTTATTAAAAATTTTCACTTTTTTCCAAACAAAAATGAATTTGTTAATGTCTTAATGTGCTTTTTACTAGTAAAAAAAGACAGTAATTATTATTTATTTTATCTAAATAAAACACACATTCTATTTAAAAATAATATATTTTTTATCATATTTTATATAAAATTTTCAATTTTTTCAAAACAAAAATGAATTTATTAATGTCTTAAAGTGCTTTTTACAATTAAAAAAAGAATATATTTATTTACTCTTATCTACATTAACTATCCAAATCTTATTCGAAATAGTTAAAAAAAGAACTTTATTTCAATAACAAACAGTTTTTATCAAAACACAATAAATAGATAATTAAAAATTAAAGCAACTACTTAATTAATAGACAGTTTATTTATTTTATAAAATTCAAATAGTTTATCTATAATCGTTTATGTTTATAATAATTAAATAATATCTATATAAAAACTAATACAAAATAAATGCTTTCATTAGAAACAAATTCTTATCAACTACTTAAAAAAATAGAAGAGCTAAGCTATTTGTAAGAAATGGCTAAACAAATTGAAGAAAATGATAATTACACAGTAATAGAAATTAAAAAAGTTCCAGTTATACATCCAAATAATTAAATATTAACGATCTACTATTAAAATAGTTAGCAATTTAACTCTTTTATCTAGATTAGTTAATATGCTTCTCATTATATAATTTATTTTTATCAAACATAAATTTTGATGAATTAAATACAATTAAAACCTATTTTTCTCAACTGTGTTAATTTAGAGCTAAACTTTAAAAACATTAAAATTGATTAGGAATCCTTTGATTAAATATGTTTATAAATACCTCAATTTTTGACTTTGAATCTATTAAAAGTGGAAATAACAAGTAAGAATGTTTAAAACTATGACTTATTATTTTAAGTCATTCATTAAATTGAAAGTGTATCATTTAACTTGCGTAAAGCTAGAAAAATTGGATTGAAGTAAGCTTATGAATAAAATTACAAAACAAAAATATTAAATCTAGATTTTTGTAAATCTGTTTTCTCAAGAGGATCCATTTAAATGTTAGCATAAGCTTTGAGTTATTTTGAAGAATTAATTAGATTAGATATAACTATGGATAAAAAAAGCTCATTTTAAATACTTTCTAAAATAAAACATAATACTAATATAACTATCAATATCAAATAACCATTAACATGTAAAAATATTGAAGAATTATCAGAAGTCTAATACCAAAATTAGCTTAAATGCATTCGAATTTAGCATCTAGAAAATAATCACCCCTTTTAAAAATATCTAGATAAATGATAATCTGATAAAAATTAAAAAATAATTTTTGAGTTTAAAATAAAATGAATCTCAAATAAATAAATAAATTTAAATTAAAATTTCTAAAGTGTAAAGCAAATTACTATTTACTAATTATAATTAAATATTTCTAAATAACTTATTAATCAATTAAATGTTGAAATTTATATTTTTGCACCGAATTATATGAAAATCATTACACATTTTATGACCTTATTATAAAAAACAAAACTCAAAAAAATATTAAAATAATTTTTTCTTATTTAATTTTATTTAAAATTCACTAATCAATATTGAATTTTGAGAGAATATGAATAATTTATATCCTTCCCTTTTAAAATACATTTTATTTATTGAATATTATTTTATTTAAATTAATATTAGTTTTATTTATTTTTGGATATCAACATTTTTTATTTAGATATCTTAAATAAATTGATGAAGCATTTTATAAAATTATGATTTGTTTTTATAAATTAAGCTTAAATTTGAGTAAAAAATTATACTAATTCTATTATTATTATAATAATTTTATAATATGAATAATAAATTTTAAACATTTCTCCTTTTAAATTATACTATATCATAGATTTTTCTAAAATTTCAGCAATGTTTGATAGAGAATTATCTGCAAATAATTTTATCTTTTCATATTTTACGTTTGATGAGTTTTTCGTCAATTTAATTGAATAAAATTAAATTTGTCTCTTAGAATTATTTAAAATAAAAATATTTTTATTGAATGATTTTATAAAGAATACAAGTTTACATTTTTATTAATATAATTGAGTGATTGATTGATGATACTCCTTACTCTTTATAAATTTTAATAAACTAAGGAATAGGTAATTATATGATCAATTAAAAAACTAAATTAATATTTATTTTTTTTGTGATTGTATAAAAAAGTATATAATTGAACATTTTTTAATGCGCTTTAACTTCAATCGATTCTTTAATTTAGTATTTAACTAATTATCTTCTACTGATTTTGATTGCGTTCATATATAAATGTAAAACTATAACCAAAAAAAAGTAAATAGTTTTTTAAATATTTATGAAAAGAAAGGCTCAATCAAATCCACAAAATTTATAAATAAATAAGACAAATTTCTTAAGTAACACTGTAACATGACCAATATTAAAATCAGGGTAGAATTCATAAAAAACAAATAATTACCTTAAATATTTTGTAACAAGAATTAATTTTTTAATTACTTTTAAAATTCCTAAATGCTTTTAATCAAAAAACTTTAATTTTATCCTTAAATTTAAAAATCTAAAATCAATCAAAAATAGAATTTTCTATGATTTTAATATTTTAAATCTACTAAATTAGTAATATTGCATTATTTTTTTAAGTATGCATAATATGTTGAAAAATTTGTGGGGGAATAAATAAATAGTAATAGTAGATTAACTTTTTAATAAACTTTAAGCGAACACCATACAAAATCATCATTAAAATATTAAACATAAAAGAAAATTCCATATTCGATTGGCAAGACAAAATATGAGCTTGCAAAATATTTTTGGATTTCAATTTATACCTAAAATATTTATAAGATTTATTAGAATAAATTGCTTAAATATTTAAATGAAAATGGAGAGACTTAAATAAGATGAAAATGGGTTCTTCAAAAAAAAATTCTACTATGAATATGATGTATTAAATTTTATGAGTAACAGAGTAACATTACTTAGCTCTCTGAGAGGTATTAACATATGCAGGAGGATAAAAGTAAAAAATTTTCAAACAAACAAAAAGTAACCATCAGAAAAAGAAAGAAAGCAGAAAGGAAAAAAAATAAAAAAAGCCAATCCCCCTCCAAAATCCAAGTAAATACTTAAGGTAAAAGATGAAATTAATACGAATAAAAAGGCTAATAAATTAAAAATATTACAAACTATTGAAATTTTTGACGTAACTATACTACTTAATTTGATGGAAATATCTTTGATAATGATTATACTTATTTAAATGCAATTATTTCTATCAGATTTAAATCCATCTATTATTTTGATAACAGTATTAGTAATAAATATATTTATTAAAAATTAATTAACTATTTAAACTAAAGCTTAAAAAGACTAATACAAACAAAATAAATGGCTCAAAATAGCATAGCTAAAGTCCCTGTTGTTGAAACTTCAAACTTTTTAAACAAGACTGGAGACTACAAGAAGCAATGTGAAGAAGTTGCCTAAGCTCTTCACACTTATGGTTGCGTTATTATCAGAGATCCTAGAGTCAACTAACAAGATAATGATAACTTCTTAGATATGTTCGAAAAATACTTTGTCAGCCGTGGTGAAATGCTCTACAAGGGTGAAAAGGTTCCTGAAGCTCTCCCTGAATGGGGCTATTAAAGTGGTGCTACTCCTCCTTACAAAGAGCGTGCTAGACTCCATGAATCTGTTGTCAATTAATTCACTGCTGAAAATGCTGCCTACACTCCTCAACCTCCCCCATATGTACATTATTATATTACATATTAATTTTAGAAAAACTAAAATTTATCATACAAGCTAATTGATTCATTACAAAATTTTAAAAAATAGGATGCTAAGTGGAGATATTTCTACAGAATTGGTGAAAAGCCAGCCAACAGAAGCACTGAATTCGACCCTCCTAAAGTTATTCCTAGCGACTTCCCTAACTTCGAAGCTACTTGCGAAAGATGGGGTAACTTAATGTTAGACGGTTGCATGACTGTAGCTAAGATGGCTGCTATTGGTATGGAACTTCCTGAAGAATCTTTCACTGAAAGAATGAAAGGTGGTGATCACTTACTTGCTCCTACTGGTTCTGACCTCGTTAAGAATGATAAGGGTGCAGTTTTTGCAGGTTTCCATTATGGTAGGACTTTATTTATATTCAAAAAAATATTGCAAAGCTAAAATAATTTTAAAAAAAAGCCATGAAAAACAAGTATCTAACAGATAATCATGTGTTTGAATAATAAATAATTTTATAATATTTAGCAAAAAAATAAAATAAACAAATTATAAAAAGTTAATTTGCATGAATAGGTTTTAATTTATATTGTTTTTATAAATATATAGATTTGAACTTCTTAACTATCCACGGAAAGAGCAGATATCCTGGTTTATTCGTTTGGTTGAGAACTGGTGAAAAGATCCCTGTCGCTGTTCCTGATGGTTGTCTTTTATTATAAGCTGGTAAATAATTTGAATGGATGACTGGTGGTTATGTCACTTGCGGTTTCCATGAAGTTATCTACACTGATGCCGTCAAAGAAAAGGTTTAATAAACTTTGGAAAAAGGAGGTATCCCTTGGAGAATTTCTTCTACTTTATTCTCTCACATTAGATTTGATGCTTTATTAGAACCTATTGGCAAATTTGCAAATGAAGTAATAGACTTTTTATTTTATATTTTTCTAATAATTCATTTTAGAAATACTTCTACTAAAGACAAAAATCTAATTAAAATTTTATTTAAAATAGGAAAGCATAGCTAAATTCCCTAAGACTAAAGCTTTAGACTAAGTACTTGAAGAAGTCAAGAGCATCGAACTTAAAAAAGACTGAAAAACAAAAACAAATAATTTTAAATAAAATAAATATATATAAATAAATATTAAAATCAATCAAAATAGAATTTAATAGAAAGATTCTTTCTTCATAATCTGTAATTTATATTAAAATTTTTATTTATGTATTGTCTCTTCTATTATGTCTCTTTGATTTTACTCTATAAAATACTACTGATATGTGTAAAAAATTAATAAAAAAATCTTAAAGTGGATATCAAGGATTAGCATAATAATTTATTATATTTATGTTCAAATTAAATTTTCTATATTTTTTTATAAATATCTTTCTATATTTTTTTATAAATGCTCAATCTAATATAATTAACATTAAATACTTTAAAGAAAGATAATAATTTATTGTTAATAAATAATTCTAATTGAAACTTTTTAAATCAATCATCAAATGTAGACATAAGTTTTTTTCAATTTCAGCCAAAAGATTTTAGATTCTAAAATAAATCATCTTCAAAACTTCGAAAATGTAAAAATTGTCATTGAATACTTGGAAGAAGACTAAAATAATCAGCAGTTTATTGAATTGATTTAGAAAATTAAAGATGTTAAAAATTTAGAAATAGTTATAGAAGAATTAGATTTATTTTCTAATTTAAAGGTTTCTGAATATAATAAAATGCTATTAAATTATTTGGTTGGACTGAAAAATCTTTAAAGATTACTGTTAGTAGTTAAATTAGATAATACTGATAACAGCAAATATGTTGAGTTAAATAATTTTTTTTTTGAAAATAGCGGATTATAGTAACTTAATTTTTAATTATAAGGATCTAATTTTTACTTTAAAATAAAACTTTAAAGATCTGATATTAATACCTCTGAATAAAAGCTATCAATTAAAGCTGCAAATCGGGTTTTAAATAGTTAATATTTAGACTATTTTCAAACTAATTAGAATATACTTAGTGAATTGTAAATAAAATAAGCATTTTTGTAACTCACAAGTGTTGCAGAACTGATAAAAAATCAAAAACACATAAAGAAAATCTTTATTTAAATAACTAATAATGCCGAGTAAATATAAAATTAAGAATTAATAACTTTGGCTAACTCAATATAATTCTGCTAAAATTTGAGTCATTTAGAGTTACAATTTAGTTATAAAGCACATAGAAAATTTATCCTTGAACTGGGAAAAAGCCTTCAAAAAATTAACTAAATTAAGAAATTATATATAATACTTTACGAGTTAGAAGAGTTAGACTTTATTAATTAAAGCGAATTTATTGAGCTAGCAAAGGGAATATCAAATTAATAACATCTTTCTATTTTATAAACTGATATAGCTCCTATAAATTATTGGGGATAGATAAATAATAATTAAGAAATCTAAGAATTAAGTTTATAAAGTATTTAAAATTCTAAAACAGATCTAAATAATTTACTATAAATAAAAGAGTAAGAGCAAGCGATGAATAAAAATGTTTATGAATTATTTTCAAATATTTAATCTTTGAGAAAAATCTAAATTTTAAATCTGATATTTTGCTATTAAAGTAATATTTCTGTTTAGTGTGTAAATAAACTTTATGAAGCTGTAGGTTAACTGATAAATTTAACAAATTTGTAATTGCAATTTTAATTCATATAAAAAGACCACTAAAAATAGAAATTCTTTGGAAATTAATTACAAAATTGTAAAGAGCTAAAAGAAATAGATTTGAATTACTAGAATCTTGAAAATAATTTAGAAGAATCGGAAGTTGAAATATTCTGTAAATCATTGCAAAAGCTATCAAAATTGGAAAAAATAAAAATAATAATCAACAAAATTACTTTAAAAGCACGGTTTCTATTATTTAGCTACTTAAATTAAATAGTGAAATGCAATTTTAATGATGGTTATGACATTCATTTTACAAGCCTTGAAAAATTTATGAGCTAATTAAATATAAACTATTAAAAACTGTATACTAAGAAAACTATATTTGAGTTTTTGGTTTATTTAGATCCTTAATAGTACTTCTCCGATATAAATGATTTGAATTTAGGGATGTCTATTTTAAATAATGTTTAAAATATCATCATTGAAATATAAAACATTAGCGATTAAAATTAAGTTATAATTTAGAGTCTCTAAACATTAATTTAAAATAACCCTTTATGTGATAAATTTCTTTTAAATTTAAATAACTCAAACCTTTAAATATTAACTGATATTGGTTTTTAGCCAAATATAAACAATTTAAGTTAATTATTCATAGATTTTAATAATAATCAAAATGTTTAAATAAATTAGATATTAACAAATTTATAGAATTAGAAACAACTTACAAAATTTGGAATATCAATTGGAAAATTGGAGAATTAATATGATTTTTTTTTTAATTTGTCAAATGCAATCAAAAATATGGCTTTACTAAATTATTTTTCTTTAGAGAACTGTAGCTGTCAAACTAATATTTCAGAATTTATAACATTGATTAGTATTTTATCTGAATTAAAAAAGTTGAGAACTTTATCGTTTTCTTTAGATATTAATTAAATTGAATAATATTTAAATTAACTTGGCTTTGAATTTTAATAATTAAATTAAGTTATCAATTTTAAATTCTAATTTGGTTTTAAATTAAGAATTAAAGCCAAAAAAATGTTTATTAAAAATATGAAAAAACTAATCTTTGTTGACACATCCCTTTTTCGAGAAAGCTGCAAATATGTCAAATATATTTAATAAGCATGATTTTGTTTAAACTGGCAAACTCACTCTTATCAATTAAGGCAAATCAGTATTATTGATTAATACAAATCAATTTATCTCAATCTAAAATAATAATATATATATTAAATGTTATAAAAAAATGTTTAAATATTTTTTAATAAATTCCAAAATTAATTATTTTTTTTTATTGTGTTCTAAACTTTAAAAAAGTTTAAAACAATTTTTATTATTGATTTTTTATTTAAAAAAAAATTATTTTATATAAATTTTAAAATTAATTTTTATCCTTATTTCTTGAATAGTTATTTTATTTATGATTTTATTCACATAAATTTGCCAATAAATGATAAAATTTTTAATAAAATAATTGCTTGATATCAATTAAATTAATGAAATAGTAAAATTTTAAAACAAACAAATTAATAAATATAAAACTTAATTTTTAGAAAAAAAAGACAAATATTTTTGATCATGTTTATAGCATTTAATATTCACAAGCACTAATGAAAATTGATTAATTTTGTTAAAAAAATTTAATTTTATTTATTAGGATTTGTTAAAATTAATGCAAAAAGGAATGGTTATCTTTTTTCAAAAATTATTAAGATATATAAATAAGTTGGTGGTATAGGTATTATTGAATGAAAAGGATTCGATACATGCACTAAAAAACAAGAGATTGCGAATTAATAAATTTTACTTTAGTTTTGAATATATACATATATATATGCATGCATACGTTGATTTTTATATTAATTTATATGATAAAGTGATTGATTTAATTAATTAATATTAATTTTCTCTGTTACTATTTATTTATCACTCTTTTATTATAAATTAACATATCAAACCAAGCAAAATTTATACTTTAATAGTTATCATCAATATTTTGAATACTATTTAGATTAAAACTTGCAAAAATACATTAAATAATTAAATTAGAATCATCGAGGAATGGCAGCTGAAACAGAAGTAAATTCGGCAATTCATATTTCAACTCCATTTAATAGTACTACAAAATAGATTTCCTAATTACATTTAAAATAAAAAGAACTACAAGCAGATGAATTCATATCATCTAAACAGCCAATCGAAAATATATAATCAGAGTCCTAACAATAAATCTCTCATTCATTATAACAGTTAGTTAAGAGATGGTAGTCAAAGCGGGTATTCTGATTATTATATGCCAGGCTCTTCTAGATAAGCTGCTATGGCTTCAATTTACAAAGGAATAAAGTAAATATTTTGATTTAAATTTAAAAATTAACTTACATACTTACTTACTTTTTTCAATTATAATAGGAATAATGATGTATCACAAATATTAGGAAAGAGCTCCAATAATAGAAGTTTCCTCCCTTCAATTAACTAAAGAGGTGATGATGATGTATGATAGTTTTATTAATCAAAAATATCTAAAAATCAAATATGAATTTAACAATTATAGTTTATACATGCTTTTTTTGTTATGAAATTAGAATTTTGACGAAAAGACTGAAGTTCATAAAAGCTTAACAGAAATGAGAAAGCACTACGATCAAACTAAAACTTTAGCAAATAGAAAAGAAAAAGAATTAAAGCAATTATAGGTAACTTAAATAATTAAATTACAATAATAGTTTTAAAAGAAATATTAAAATTAAATATATTCTCTAATCACTAAAATTCAACTATTGTAACAACCACTTACTTTGTTGTATTATATATAATAAAGGAAGAAAGTGATAAGCTTAAAGAGTAGGAATAATTCCTAAAAGAAAACAATGTAGATGTCATTTAGGTACAACAATTACATAAATAAAAAAATATTTGTTCATCATTTTATCTTTAAGAATGAAAAAGATATGATTAAAGGATGTGAAGAATCTAAGATTTAAATGGAAGAGACTGTTTTGCAGAGAAAGAGTTATTAACATATGAGAAATAGGCTTAAAAAAGACATTTAGCACTATGAGAAACAAGTAATTATCTACCAAAATGAATTAAAGTAGTTAAGATAAGAGCAACATGCCATTAGCTTGCGTGCTCACTAAACAAGATAATTTAACGATTAAACCTCTAAAATGATGGATGAAGTTATGAAAGTAAATTTTATTTTCCCATAACTAAAATTGATTTATTGAATGTATTTTTTTATTTTTTGTAGAACGTAGAATAAGAGAGAAAAGAAAGGGAGAGTAAGCTCAACCAGATAAAAGGAAAAATATAGACAAGATAGGAGTTGGACAGAAAAAGGTGAATAAAAATTTCTCATTGTAGCAAATTTAAACTTGTAAAATTATTTATTTAATTAGAGAGGAAAGAGTTATGCAAATGATGGCTATTGCTGATCATGCTATGCATGATAAAGATCCATAAGAAGTAAATTCATATTGAACTATCTCAAATTTAACAAAAAAATATAAAATATTAGAAAAAATGGAGATAACTTTTATTGGTTCATAAATTTGTAAGCACTTTACTCAAACAAAAAATGGAAAGAGAAATGAAAAAGTTCGATGTAGTTGAATCAGCTTTCTAGAAAATAAAAACTGCCACAGGTGTTTCAGAAAGTGAAGAAATAGTAACAAAATTCCTTTCTAGAGAATAGACATATGGTGAACTCTTAGCTACAATCGCAGAGAGTGAAACTAAAATTGACAACTTAAAAAAGAAAAATGAGCAATATAACTAAAAATTAGCTGATCTGAAATAAGAGCTTGTAGCTTTAGAAATGTAGTAAAAAAAGGGTAAACAAGGATTTAAGGAATAAGAAGTAAAATTAAATTTAATTTTATAAATTAGTTTTTAATTCTTTTAACAGTTAATTAAAAAGTTGGATGCAATGGATGAAAAGGTTCAAAGATCTATTTTGATGAAATAAAAACTTTATTAATGGTGTATTCGTATATTAACTAAACACGAATAAGTTAATAGACCGAAAGGATTTAATTAAAGTAAAAGAACAAACTTTTACGAACAATTTCCCAGAAGTTAGATTGAATAGCTATTTAATAAAGTGTGCACTGTCTTCCATGCTGAATTAGATAAGACAAAGGACGAAGACATTGAACATGTTCTTGATTAACTTAATTAGACTAATGTAAATGATGAAACTCAAAACGAAGAATTCATAAGAAGAAATCTTCGTATCAAGCCATCAATAAAGAAATAATATTCAGATAACTAACAACCTAGTGAAGATCATAGCTTTAACTCCGAAAAAGATTCTCGTGATTCATATCATGCTAAATCAGCATCATATATTGAATCTGATACAGAAACTAGTAATTTCAATATAAATTGATAAATATTTTATTAAATAAATTATTGTTTAATAAGCTTAAATAGATGATGATGCTGAGAATGATCATATTGGAAATTTAAGAGGAGAACTCAAAAGAGAATAAGAGCTTCAAGTTAAAGTAATAATTAAATCCATATATAATAATAAAAAATTTAAAATATTTACATAATTAACAGAAAAAAAGACTTGAAAAAGAAAAAGCCTAATAAAAGAGTCCTTAAAAATGAAAGTAAAATCGTTTAATTAAGATTAAAAGGAAAATATTTTATGAAGATAAAATTAATACAGTAGACTTATTATATAAAAAGAATTTACTATATAAAACAACAAATAAATAAATAAATAAACTAAAATTTCCTCTATTGTTAATTATTTGTTTATACTATATATTTTTTCTACGAGGAGTTTCAGTTTCATTAAAAAATTTCACTTACTAATTGATTTATTAGTATATTTTATATCATTAAATAATCAAAAAAGTGCTTTAACTTGTTTTATACAATATGAATTAATACAAAAATTATTAAAGTGATAAGCAGATAAGTCGATAAAAAATAAACAAACAAACAAACAAACAATTATTTGCTGTATTCTTACATTTTATTTTATCTTTTTTTCCATAAGGTATTTCAGTTTCATTAAAATTTACTCATAAATAATTATATTTAATACCTTAATATTCAACAAGGGCTTTATTTTGTTTTAATATAAAAAGAAATAATTATATACTCTATCTAACTCATCATTAATTAAGAGCTACTTATACTAAGGAGCAAAATAAATTTTTAGAACCGAATTTCCAACCAAGAGTCAAATATTATTTTTTTTGAGTAGATATTAAATAATGAGGATATTTTGACTTACTAAGAAAATAAAAAACACATTAAAAAATGAATAAAAAAAATATTCTTAACTGTTGGATTTTCATTTATTTTTAATTTTCATTGAAAAATTAATGAAAAAAAAAAATTTATTATGGGATTTCCTCAATATTAATTTAGAGCCAAATTTAAATAAATTTAGAAAATTCCAATTAAGTTCCACAAAGCTGCCCTCATAAATGGGGAAGTTACCATTAATTAATGAGGAGTTACAATAAATTTAAATTTCTCATTTTAATTCAATCTAAATTTTTGTATCCGTCCTAGTAGAAATATTAGTTTCATTCTTAAAAATTAAATTTATAAATTCTATTTTAGTTTTTCAAATAATTTAAATATTTTTTTTGTTTAAATTATTTTAAAATAAAAATTTTTAAGTTTATGAAAAATCAATCAAGGTTGTTTAATAAATTAATGATAATTTAATTTTATATTAAAATGAAGATTATTCTAATAATTTAATAAAATTTATTGATTATTTATAGAATTTAATATGTTTTTTATAAAAATATTTTAATTTTTTATTTATATAATTTTATTTTATTATTCTTATTATTTATTTGTTTATTTTCTCTCATTTTTCACTTTTCTACAGCTGATTGATTGGCTTTTTGAGTATCTTATTCATGATCCTTTTCAATAAATCCTTTTGAGCTTTTAAGACTTTTTCCTTTAGAGAAAATCGATCTCCAAAAAGCAGAAATATTAGAAAAAGCATTTTAGACATAAGAATCAATTTTGTGATAGCTATTGATTGAGAATTCCTTTAATTATATAATTGTTTTATTAATCTCCTCTTTTGCTTCAATAGTGTCTTTAATAATTTAATTCTAAATCTCATGATATGCCTTAGAAGAAGAGTCTCTTAGTTTATCATAGTAAGGTCCTACATACTATTAAACATACTTTTTAGAGTCATAAAATTTATAAATTGCACATATTGGTAAGTTCATAGTGTAGTTTTCAATAATATTTGTATATTCTACTCCTCCAAAAATACATTAGCAACTTATTGGTCCTAATTAACTAGCCAGATCCATAAAATTACCACCTTTAAAATATGTCATACCTATCTTTAGGTCATCTTTAATGGGATTATTACAGTAGGAGATTTACAAGTTATTTTATTTAGGTTACACAAAACATTCCTAGTAAGAATTAAAAGCAGAAGCGTATAAATCCTCACAGACAAAGGCTCTCTATTCTTTAAAAGTATTCTTGACTTCAGAAACAATCTTAGTTTTTTAGCAAATCAAATTGGCGTTTTACCAGTCTTAGTTTGCATATTTATCTAAATTATCTAGCGATAATTAACAATATTTTTTACCTATTTTAAGAGGATATCCTAACTCTCCACATATGTAAATTTTTTCTAATTCATCATAAAAATCACAAGAAGTGTCATAAATCTTGCTTTCTAATTCTTAGATTGACTTTTATATCTATCCTTTTTAAATGCAAATACTTTGCTCCCCGCAAACCTTAATTTGATTAGCTGGACAACAATCGCCATTGCATTCAACAGGACATTGAGTCCATGTTTCTGAAGTGCAGCACTGTTTCTAGTTGATTGCTACACAGCAATTGATCAAAATAGATACTAAGAAAAAATTAAATAATATCTTTTGGATCATTATTTTGAAATTACTTAATTTATTTATTTATTTAGTTATTATTTTATTAATTCTTATAAATCATATATAATATTATAAGTAAGATAAAAATATTTATTTATTCGAGCTATTATACTTATTCAATCATATCAAAACCATTGCAATGTAAACTGTTCTTACGTATTATGGAATCATTTAATTTATATTTACCATAAACATCTCATTTACAATTTCAAATTTATTATCTTTATAGCTTTTTGCAAACCTCTTAAGAGTTTTTAGTATTTAATAAATTTAAATGAATGTACTCAAAATAAATAAATAAATTTACATTAAAATATTTTTATTTTCAACTAATATATTTTGCTCATTCATACCTACCCTGAAATTACCTTGCCAGACATATTTTATATTATATTTTAATATTCATTAAAATTTAAATATTTCATCAATTTTGATTGAAATACTATTGATTCTAATAATAATAAGCTATATTGTAATTCAAATTCATTTTTCAGTTATCTATGTCAAATTAATTAAATTAAATTATGAAAATAAACAAAAATAAACTATTACTGATTTGAAAGCATAGTATTTATTTTAAAAAAAATTAATTGCATTATCATATATTAGGATACATATTTTATATACAATTTATCTTTAAAAAATTTATCAAATTATAATACAATTGCTATTTAGAAATAAATAAAGAAATAAAACTTAATTTTTTTAATTTTTAAACAATTTTCTTTAAAGTTTAGTTTTTTATAATTAAAATATAAACTATTAAAAAACTACCTATTTAAGTTATTAATATGAAAAATATTTCTAATTTTTTATTTTTTACTTTATTAATGAATTTTTGCACCAATTAATTGAATTAGTATAATTATATTATTTTCAACATATAATTGTAATTAATAATCATTAACATACTCATAATAATTTTGAAAAATTTAATCTTCATTAATAATATTGATTTAATAAGTTTTTATAAACTAGAATTATTTTGATTTATTTAATTTATTATTTATTTTTAAAATAATTAGCTAAAAATTAAAATATGATCAATTAATTTCAATTCAATAAATGAATTTATTTATTTCATTTAAAATATTTTAATAAATTGTCTTAATTATTTTATAATTTACTTATTATATTAAAGTTCTCAAAAAAAAATAATATTAGCATTTATTTTAAATTTAGCATTGTAAATTATTTATTTATTTATTTTAAAGCAAAAGATTCAAATCAGATAAATTATCATAGAATTTAACAAAAGTAATTAGTTAATAATTAATTAGTTGTTTTTCTTAAGGATTCGAAAGGAATTTTAATTAAGAAAATTTTAACGTTAAGATTTTAATAAACAATTCATTAGAACGTTAAAAACAAATAATTGCAAAATTAATTATAATTATTAAAAAATATAAAAAGAACAAAAAAACAAGCAAATAATCTTTCGCGAACTGGCTTGAGGAATGATTTTGAAGTTTTTAAGTTTCCCTCTTAATACAGTTATCCCAACGCTCTCTAAGCACAAAGTTTTTAAATAAAATGGATAATCATTACAGAAAAGCATTTTCGACTTAGAATCTTTATATTCGCAAGAATATATGGTTCAAAAATAAAAATGATACTGACTTAACTCCAATTCATCATTTAAAGTTGAAAATAGCTTTCTGTTTGATTAAGAATCTAGGAAAAAATGCATTTTAAAAATGATTAACTTGCTATTAGCCACTCTCCAAACAAAATCATGCTACTACTCAAAACCAAACTGCGAAGGATTAATATATCCTTGATATATTAGGTAGAATCAAAAAAATTAAAAACCACTTCTTCCAAAAATTATAAAAACTAAAGAATTTTATTTTTAATATCATGCCTATAGAATATAATATGCCTAGAATATTTTGATACTTCTTTTATCCATTTTTAATTATATTAACTAACAATTCTGTCAAAATGAATAAAAAAAATAAATAAAAATGCCTTTACTAAATATATGCCTTTATTAAACAAATGCCTTTATACAAATCTATGCCTTAAAAAATAATGCCTTATTAAATAAAATATTTAAAAAAGAATAAAAATAAAACATAAAATAAAAATATTTAAATAAAACTAATTAAAATAATTTAAACCAATAAAAATTTTAAAGATAATAAAATGAACTAAACTTAAAAAAATAATAGATAAATTATTCATTCATTCAACTAATAAACTAAAAAATATCTCAAATCATTCAAATATTAATAAGCATAAACCATTCTACCAATTAAAAAATGTTAATTTTGATTGTGTTTTAATTTATTTTAAATAAAAATTAATGTAATTTCTTTCAAGATTTTAATTAACAGTAAATAAATTTGTTTCTTAATTAAAATAATTTATTTATTTGATCCTTTTGGTGTTATTGATTCAGATAAAAATATAAGGAAATTAATTTGTTAACTAATATAAGAAAATAATTAAACAACTTTTAGTTCTTTCTATCTATTAACAAAATAAAAGACATAATTTTAATTTTTTTAAGCATAGTTTTCTTGATTTTTCATATTTATTGCAATTTCTATTCAATTTAAAAATGTCTATATTTTAGTTAGTAATATTTTTAAAAACTGTGAGATTTACATCCGCTTATGTTCTGTAAGCATTTATGTTATTTAAATATAAGATTTATTTATGATCAATTTCAATTGATTTGATTATATATCTTAACATTTATAAATTATTGAAAATGGAGAGCTTAATAAGTGTCAATTTTAAAAGTTTAAGAGCGTTTTTTATATTCAAATTTTTTTTATAATACAAATTTTTAATTCAACATAATTTTTAAAAATAGCATGTTACAAATCTATTATAAATAAATGAAAAAATTATAAATAGAAGTTAATTTTCATAGTAAATATCTTTTTCTTAATTAATTTCTTTCTTCTTAATTAATATTTCCCTCGTTAGATTTTTTGAAAAATTATTCATGAATCTAACTGAATAAATTTAATTACTTTTAGATGTATTATAAGAAGATTTCTATTTGATATTATTATTATTATTAAAAATAAATAAAAAAAGTAGAAAAAAATGTTTGTTTTTAAATAATAAAAAAAGTTATTTAAATCTTCATAAAATTATTATATAAAATTTTAATTAAATTATATTTTATAATAAAATTTTAATTTCAATTAATAATTTATCAAACATTTATTGGCTATAAAATTATTTTATGCCAAATTAACAAATAAATATTTTTACTTTGAAATCAAAAAGCAAAACTTTATTTTATTTTTTTAAAAAAATTTACTAACAAATTTAAATTTTCTATTTTATTATTTTTAATATTAGATGAAATATAACAAAATAATGATAAAATTAATATTTTAATTTTAAAAGAAATTAAAAATAATATGAACTTACTTTTTTTAAATACAAAAAAAATTTCAATTATTAAAATAGGTTAAGTTTTATAAAATTAAAGAGTGAAGAAGGTTTTATTAAGTTAATCATATAAAGAAATCAAATAAAAAAAGTATATTTGTTATTAATTTTACTCCCACCTGCTTATGTATGAAAAGAACAAATAATTTAATTAAAGGGGAAAATTTTATATAAGAATAATTTTGAAAAAAATTAGATCAGAGAAAATTAGAAAAGTAAAACAAGGAAAATCATGTATATGCTCCTAACTTCTAATATAATTTTAGATTCTAAAAAGTTTTTAAATCCCAACAGCAAATAGCCTTCGAATCCTACAATTTTTATCAATACAAATAAAAATATACATCTAAAATTTATATTAGCCCTAGCATAATTCATGAAAAGCTAAAAGATTATGGAGGAATTTCATAATCTAAGTTTTTAAAAATCCAAACAATAAAGGAATAATTATTTTTTATAATTATTTCTTTATTAGAAATTCTTTTTCCCTCCCGGATCCCATCTCTTCCCGTTCTTCTATTACCCAGCGCTTCTTGAATTCAAATTTTATAATAGGTACCTTAAATTTTAGATTGAGCTTTGAGAGTTATCGTTATCGTTATCACCTGATTATAAGAGATTGAGATAAAATACAAATAAAAAATATAAAAATTAAAATGAAATAAAAATAAAATAATAAATATTAATAAATTAATTACAAGAATAAAAAAACAAATAAATAAATAAACAAATTAATAATTAAATAAATAAAACAATAAAAATTAAATAAAAAAATAAATAAATAAATTAATAAAAAATATAAAATAATAATTAAAAATAAGCAAAGAATTGCATATAAAAATATTATCAGTAAGTAGCATATTATTTTGAAATATTTCATTAATTTTTATTTATTATTATCTATTTAATAATTAAAATTTAATATTAAAATAAAAATCAAAAAAATAAAATGTATTTTAATAGTTTTTTGTAAGAATTTATAAATGAATTTTAGAAAATCATAATAGTATTTATTACAAATGTTGTTTATGCATTATTTAAAGTGATGAATTTCCTATTAAAATTAGAATTTAAGTAAGAAATTATAATAACAATATTTAATATAGTATATTTATTACTTTGAAATTATAGTTTTACTAATATAGAGCTTCGATATTTGATTTTTAAAATATTGATTCAGATTGATATTTATTTTAGATTATTCTAAAAATATGAAATAGTAATCTTATATTTCTTTAAAAACAAAGTTATTCATTCTTTTACGTATTGGGTAAATAATGTCTAAATTTTCTACATATTTATATATTGAACCTATATTATTTTATTTTTATTTAAAAAATGATATGAGAAAAATTAAATAACAAGTAACTACGTTTTATTAATTATTAAGACCTAAATTGACTAAATTAAATTTAATATTAAAATAAAAATTCTAAGAAGAAAATATTTTTTAATAATCTTTGTAAGAATTTACAAATAAAATTTTATGATATCTTAAAAGTATTAGAAGTAGTATATTTATTTAGAATTTATAATTTATTTTAATATTTGGAATTTTTTAGAAATTTTAATTTTGTTTATAAAATTTTGTAAAATAGTTAAAGAAATAGAGTAATCTTTGATTGAATATTAATTGCCCTTAAATAAACAATCAATCAATTATAGATAAACCCAATCAATATATTAATAAAAATTCTACCTTTTTCGTTGAGCATTAAAAATTAATTAACAATTAGATTTAATTTTTGTTTTATATTTTATTCAAGCTATTAATTACATTTGCATAATTAGTCTATATAAAAATGATTTTAAAGTCAAATATTGCATTCGAAGATAAGTCTTCAAATGTGTCAATAACTAAGATTTAAGATCATTTAGGAAGTACTCATAAAATTTGCTTTCCTACATATAATATATATGAAAAAGAAGATGATCAATCTTAAAGTAGAAATAATAAAAAAATTTTATTCAATCACAATGACCACTCTGATTTAGAGCAAACAAAATATAAAAAGCAGGATTCTATTAATTATGATTAAGATTTTTATCTCTCTTAGAAAAGCTTTAAAGACCAATAATTTAATTTTGCAGAAAAATAGTATTCTGAGCTTATAAATTTTAAGGATGCAACTTTCTCGAATGATAAAAACTATTAAGATTAAAAAACTTTAATTCCAAATGGTAGTAATGATGTTAGCATAGAACCTACAGAGTAGAAGCCTTTCGATAATGAGAAAACAGTTAGAAAATAAAGGCAATAGAGGCAACTTGAGTTTATTTAGATATTGAGAAATAACATTGGATTTTCTAATGATATATGGAGAAAAAGAGGGTTTGGTGTTTTACAAAAATTGATTTTTTTTAGTTAGAGACTGATGAGTGTGAGTATAACAAAAAAATTTAGGAAAATATAAAAAAGGCAGGTTGATATCATAAATGATAGATCAGCGTTCTATGAAATTTACAGATATGACGACTACTTTGACAAAGATGTATAAATAATATTAAGCACATCAACATTTAATAAGATATTTCTTACATATAAAAACAGAAGCCATCATTGACATAAAGGATTTACTTTAAATATTAGAGTTGGGTTTTTAGTAAATTCAATTTTATTCATTTGTTTATATTATTTTAATTAAAATATATTTTAATACAAATATAAAAAGAGAGAAAAAATAATATCATTTAAAAACTTGAAGAAACTTGTGTAGGAAAACAAATTATTTGTTTATTTAGATTAATTGAACTAGAAGATTTAGTCATTAGGCCTAATTCCTCTTTTAAGATAGGCTGGGACATATTAATTATGCTTTTGGTCATTTTTAATATATTTTATTTGTAATCAAATTAAAAAATTCTTTTAATAATTAATATAAATGTTTTTAAAATTAAAGACCTATAAAGATTGCTTTTGGAGTTTAGTATGACGATAATAAGCCTTATTAATAATTTGTGCTGTAATATTCAATATTAAATGAGAAAGAAAAATGTATATTAAAAGATTTTTTAAATTAATAGAGGAGAAGGTGCCAAGTCTTTGTTTGTAATTGATGTGTTTATGAACTTCAATACTTCTTTCTTTAAATAGGGCGTCATAAATAATAATAGAATTGATATAATCAAACGCTATGGAAAATGTATGTTTTATTTAAATGAAAAATATTTTTTAATATTGCTTTTTTTTAAAAGCTAAATTCTGGTTCGACATAATCATAGTTTTACCTTATATCTTTGGTTAAAATTCACAATTTTACTAATCAATATTTATCCTCAGAGCCTTTCTAGTAACAAAAAATCATGAATTATTTTATGTAAATAAGTATTATTTAATATCTTTAAATAGATAAGAAATATCATACATCGATTGGAAGAAGTTTTTCACCCAAGAAATTTAGGAGCTGCTTTAGTAGATATAATAAAAGTTATTTTTGTTATATCATTTATAGCACATTTATTTTGTTGTAGTTTTTATTATCTTTCTACTTTTGAAACTGGCTAAACTACTTGGGTGACTAAATTAAATCTAGAACCTAATGATATATTTGGTTTATATGTAGCTGGAGTCTATTATTCAGTTATTACAATGTAATTTACTTTTTTATTAATTAAATTTGATTAATTTTTGAATAAATAAATATTAAATATTAAAAAATAACATTAAATGTTTGAAATTAAAAACAACTCATCAAATAATATTTAAAACTAAAATATAACTTGTATTTTTAGGATCACCCTAGGTTATGGTGATATAGTTCCCACGACCACAGTTGAAAGAATATTTGTCGTTGGTATGACTCTAGTTTCATGTGCAGTCTTTGCTTATTCAGTTAATACAAGTAATTTCTTTCTTTCTTTTTTTAAGTTAGTAGTTAGTATGTATGCTAGATGATTGCTTTTTTCTATTAAAAATAATTACTTCAATTTCTTCTTAAAAGTTGTCTATAAATAAATTTAATCTTTAAGAGTTTGCAATATATTTTTAGAAGTTTATTTTAAATAAATTTTGTCTCAAAATGAAATTTGTATATAAGGCTTTGTAGTATATGAGTTTAAAAAGATTTTCCTTATATTTTATAGAATTTAAAATAAAATTTTTTTTAATTAAAATAAATAAATGTTTTAAAAAAGTTTAATAAATAAGTAAAAATATTAATAAAAGTTTCAGGAATTATTGGAGATTTTTCATCAAGAAAGAAATATTTTCGCTAGAAAATGATGAATTTAAATTTACATATTTAAAAAAGAGGATTAAATAAATAATTAGCTATGACTGTAAGAAAATATATAGAATATTTATATAAAGAAGAGATGGTCTCTAATGAATCTGCTGAAAAAGATCTTGAGCAAATTCCTCTTTCATTAAAAGAGGATGTTTATCAAGATATTTATGGAAAACTCCTACGTCAAAATAAAGTATTTAACCTAAACTTCTCTTTAGAATTTTTAGATAAGCTTGCACTGAAAATGAAAGAAAAGAGATTTGGACCAGAGGAAATTATTTACAGAGAAGGAGATGAAGGCAATACATTGTATTTCTTAATCAAAGGGAACGTTTAGCTCTTTTTGCCTATTAAAGGGCATAAAGATAACTCATATTTATAAATTTAGTAATTAGAAGTAAGTTTTTTTTTTAATTACATTTTAAAATAGTTTAATCAATAGCAAGATTAATTTTCTTTAAATATTTAAAAAAGAAAGGTACTACTTTTGGTTTTTACTCATTTTTTAGTGGGAATAATAGAGAAACAAGTGCTAGGAGTATGAGGGTTACTAGTTTAGTCACCCTTAATTTAGAAGATTTTAGAGAAGCTGCAGAGAAATTTCCTAAAGACTATGAAAAATTTTGTATGCTGAGAGATTAAATTAAATACAGTAATTTGACTAAAGGGTTAGATGTTAGAGTAATTAATTAATTAAGTAATTTTATTTAATTTATAATTTTAACCAAAAAGTGTACTTCATGTGATAACTATACTCACCAACTGCAGCAATGTCCCTTTCTTAAATACAGTAAAGACAAATAAGTTAAAAAAGGATTATAAACATTTATTAAATATAATTTTAGAACCTGAAAAAACGATTTTGATAGCTAAATACAATAAATCTGATCCGATGCAGAGAAAAGAACAATAGAGAAGGATAATAAGAAGCCCTAATTCTTTATTTTTGCTTTAGTTCATAACTAAAGATGATATTTATTGTTTCTTAAATTTAGACGGTAGTGACTCTGATAATGACCACTGTATATAAATAAATTTCATTTAGTAATTATTTAAAATTAAGAATATTTTTATAGACCATCAAGAATAGGAAGAAGCAGTTGATTTAGAAGAATAGTTTAATGATAAGAGAACTAGCTATGCTAATGTTGATGATAGAGAAGACTATAACAAAATAAGAGACAATACAAGCTAAAATTATAAAGATAATTATATAAAAGAAAACTCAAGTATCAAGGAATTTAACAGCAATAACAATATAAAAGATCAAGCATATATTGAAAGCTAACAAAATAAAAGATAAAGCACATACCACAGAATAGAAAGCTCTTTATCTTACAAAAGAAAAATTATGAGCCAACATACAACTGCCTCAAATATGGCTAAATAAGCTAGCAAATTAACTTCGAGATTGTCTTTTAGATCATAAAAAATATAAATTGAAAAAACTTAAAATTAAGTAATAATGGATTTTATTTTGATAGATATTGATAAACTTAAATCCTATTAAAATTATCTTCCTTAGAATAATTTTGAAAAAGTTATCCAATAATACAATGAAAGTTTAATAATGCAAAAGGTATACAAACCGAAAAAATAGCTTTACCAAATAGTAAATAAAGACCGATAAAAAATTAATTTAAGCAAACTCAGGGTTATTGCTGCCTTTAAAAAAGTCAACAAAAATTAATAAATAATTACTACAAAACACAAAATTGAAAGTTAATCAAGAAAAAAAGCTATTTTAGAATAGTTAAAGCAACATTCAGAAGGTAATTCAGATTATTTAACATATGAAAGCAACCCTAATAAAGTTAATTAGAATAATAACGATATACGTGAATAAAAGTAAAGCCCAGAATCAGGAAAATATGAAATTAAAGTTTTGAGTCATTCAAAAAATTCAATAAATTCAGAAAAATAACCCTAAAATGATTAGGAAAATAAAAATGAAGGAGAAATAAAATAGAATAATCTGTTAATAAATTAATCATGTAAAAGTGAAAGTGCTCTTGATTAAGACATTCTATCAAAATCTGAAGATGTTGATAAAATAAAATATAAAATTTTAAAAAAGAAAAAGACAAGCAGCTTTGTAGTAAAACCTTCCTAGTTTTACTAAGAAAATCAAGCAGAAGAATAAGAATTTTCCAAGGATTAAATTGAATAAAAGAGATAAAAATCTCATAAGTAAATTCATGAGGCTATTATGAATTATAATATGAAAAGAAGGTCATTTTCTAATATTATAAATAATTCTTCCTTTACAGATATTTAATAAAATGATAAAGATAACAATTGACTAATTTATTTAACATAAGTGAAGGAAGGAAGGAAGGAAGGAAGGATGGATGGATGAATTGAATTAAGTTTATCCTTTAAAAAAGTTTTGATCTATTTTATATTAGTTAAATTTATATAATTAATTATTTATTTACCTACTTATCTATCTATCTATTTATATTTTTTAAAATACATAGAAATACTTACTAATTGAAATTTATAAAATGATTATTCTAATATAACTTAAGATTTCAATTACTTTTTTTAAAGTTTTGATTTATTTGATATTTATTATAATTTATTTATTTATATTTAACCATTTACTTATTTACTTACTTGCTGTATATTTTTCTTGTAAATTATATTAGAATTTTTGTAATATCATTTACATTTATTTCTTCGTTTATTGAAATTTAATAAAATAAAATAAGAAAAGTAAAAGTTAAATCTATAAATTAGAAATTGAATGTAATACTTACATCAATCAAACATCTACCTTAAATATATTTTATTCTAAAATAATTTTGATTTATTTGACATTATTAGTTATGTTTGTTTACTAATCTTTTTCTTCTAAAAGTTTTTCTAATTTATTTATTGAAAAATAAATTTCTATTGTTATAGACATTTAATTTATTTTTTATGAATATTTGGCTAACTAACGATTGATAATATTAATTGAATTTTCTTAACAATTTAATTGATTTATCTTTATAAATAATTTCAAAATTAAATTTGAAAAAAATTAAAGATTTGGAAATATCTTTAGATAATCCAATATTTGCAAAAATATGACAAGACAGAAAGGCACAAAAGACAAGACGACAAGACAAGACAAGAGGGTTTTTGATGAGGGAAGAGACAGCATGAAGAACGATACCATAAAGACAGACTTAGAAAAGAAACACAAATTAGATTTATCTGCAAATGGGATAATTAAATATTGCATCTTTTTGAAAAAAAGAATCTGAATAATTATTATATGATCACTTAATAACTTTATTTTATTAAATAGGTACTTCATACATAAGTATGAAGATAAGTAGCAAATCCAGCCAGACGATAGTTTTTCGGCAAGTTTTTAATCCGGCTCCCTTTTATCTAAAAAAAAGATTCTAATTTTTATGATTAATTAATGGAGTATATTTAATTAATCTATAAAAATAGTTATCTAGATATAGGACGATTTAACAAAAACAAATACAAAATTCTCTCTCCTATTAATATATAATTAGTATTGTTTAAAATATTAGATATAAAAAGACATGCTCGGTCTCTCTGCTAAATTACTACTACTACTGCTCTCAATTCAACAAAAAAATGAAGAAAGAATAAAAATTAAAAAATAAATTAAAAATACATTAAAAAGATATGAATAAAAATTCAAAATTAAATTTAAATCCAAATCAAATCAAATTTTATGAAAAAAATATAATATAAGAAATAAAATAATAAAAAACTTAAAAAAATATGAAAGAAAGAAAAAAATAAATTATCTAATATTAAGATATTCCAATAATTAAGGATTAATTATTAAAAATATATATCAGATCATATTTATTTATTCAATATCTAACTAATATCATTTATACAGCTTTTTATATTTACTTTTTCTTCCTTTTTTCTATATCAAATGCTATATTAAAAAACTAAAGTGTGCCTAATATATAAATTTATTAAATGAACTTAAAATTAGTTGTATTTATTATATAAATTATTAACATATCTAATTTAGTACCAAAAAAAGATAAACTAATTTGTGTGTTTAATATTTTAGTTTTTTAAAAATTATAAAAATTTAAAGCCTTATATTTATTTATCTAACTCTTTTTTCAATCGCCTTTAAAATTAAATTATTTTCGATTTGAAGTTATATTTTACTTGCATCAAGTTTAGTAAGTATCTTATTCAGTAAAAATATAAAAAATTAAGCCCTTAATAACATATTTGAGACTTAGGTAATAAAAACCCAAAATCTATTTCCACCAATTCAATTATTATTTTGATACATATATTCTAATTAATATTAAATTTAATGCCTATGGGTATTTAAATATATTACTTTGTTTTATTACGATATAATAGTAATTTGATCTTAATAAAAAATGATTTCTAAACACAGCTAAGCATTTGAACAGCTGGGATATTTATTTAACAAAAAAGAAATGTATGATAATGATGCAATTACGCTCATTTAGAAGGCTGATTAACTTGATCCTAAAGACAGCTGGGAGGGATTATCATTTCTGAAAAAAGAAATGTAATAATGATGCAATTATATTCTTATAGAAGACTATTTTACTTGATCCTTAAGACAGTTTGGCATTTGGAAAGCTAGGATTTTTATTTCAGAAAAAATAAATGTATGATGATGCAATTAAATTCTACTAGAAGGCTTTTTAAATTGATCCTAAAAACAGTTGGGCATTTGGAAAGCTGGGATATTTATTTTATAAAAAAGAAATGTATGATCATGCAATTCCATTCTTCTAGAAGGCTGTTTAACTTGAACATAAGTACAGCTGGGATTATCATTTCTGAAAAAAGAAATGCATGATGATGCTATTACATTCTTCTAGAAGGCTCTTTAAATTGATCCTAAGGACAGCTGGGCATTTAGAAATCTGGGATATTCATTTATGAAAAAAGAAATTTTTGATGATATTATTACATTCTTCTAGAAGGCTGTTTAACTTGATCATAAAAGCAGCTGGGCATTTGGACAGCTGGGATATTTATTTTATAAAAAAAGAAATGTATGATGATGCCATTCCATTCTTCTAGAAGGTTGTTTAACTTGATCCTAAAAATAGATGGGCATTTAGAAATATGGGTAATTCATTTCTGAAAAAAAAAATGTATGATGATGCTATTACATTCTTCTCGAATACTGTTTAACTTGATCGGACAACTAGACATTTGAACAGCTGGGATTATCTATTCTGAAAAAATAAATGTATGATGATGCTATTACATTCTTATAGAAGGCTATTTAAATTGATCCTAAAAATAGCTGGGCATTTTGAAATCTGGGATATTCATTATATATAGTAATATGAGGGGTTTAGCACAAATCAAAAATGACAAATTCTGATTGACACAAATTTCAAAAAATTATCTATATTTTGATTGATTTTTGTAAACATTTTTAAATAAAAAACAAAGAAAATAACTAGTTATATAAAAATTATTTGAAATATCACAAATCATGATATCATGGTTCTTGATATTTCAAATAGATAAACAGCTATACTCGACTTGCTCTTTAATTACAGTGAATATAGAACGAAATTAAATTTGGTACTCACTATAATAATGAGACTTTGGTAATATAAATTCAAACAAGATTTTGACCAGTTCAATTATTATTTTGATACATATACTCTAATTAATATTAAATTGAATGCTTATATGTATTTAAATATAATACTTTATTTTATTAGAATATAATTAATAGTAGTTTGATCTTAATAAAGAATGAATTCTAAAGACAGCTAAGAATTTGGAGAGCTGGGATATTTATTTTAAGAAAAAGATGATCATGATGATGACGCAATTACACTCCTTTAGGAGACTGTTTAACTTGATCCTAAAGACAGCTAGGCATTTAGACAGCTGGGATATTAATTTCTGAAAAAATAAATGTATGATGATGCTATAACATTATTTTAGAAAGCTATTTAACTTGATGATAAAGACAGCTGGGCATTTGGAAAGCTGGGATATTCATTTCTAAAAAAAAAAATGTATGATGATGCTATTACATTCTTCTAGAAAGCTATTTAACTTAATGATAAAGACAGCTGGGCATTTGGAAAGCTGGGATATTCATTTCTAAAAAAAAAAATGTATGATGATGCTTTTACATTCTTCTAGAAGGCTGCTTAACTTGATCCTTAAGACAGCTCGGCATTTGCAAATCTGGGATATTTATTTTATAAAAAAGAAATGTATGATGATGCTATTACATTCTTCTAGAAGGCTGTTTAACTTGATCCTAAGTGCAGCTGGGCATTTGGAAGGATGGGATACGTATTTCTGAAAAGAGAAATGAATGATGATGCAATTAGTTTCTTCTAGAAGTCAGTTTAACTTGATCCTAAGGACAGCTGGGCATTTGGATAGCTGGGATATTTATTTCTGAAAAAAGAAATGTATGATTATGCTATTAAATTCTTAAAGAAGGCTGTTTAACTTAATCCTAAAGACAGCTAGGCACTTGGAAAGCTCGGTTATACATTTCTGAAAAAATAAATGTATGATTATGCTATTAAATTCTTAAAGAAGACTGTTTTACTTTATCCTAAGGACAGCTGGGCACTTGGAAAGCTGGGTTATTCATTTCTGAAAAAAGAAATGTATGATGATGCTATTACATTCTTCTAGAAATCTATTTAACTTAATGATAAAGACAGCTGGGCATTTGGAAAGCTGGGATATTCATTTCTGAAAAAATAAATGTATGATGATGCTATTACATTCTTCTAGAAAGCTATTTAACTTAATGATAAAGACAGCTGGGCATTTGGAAAGCTGGGATATTCATTTCTGAAAAAAGAAATGTATGATGATGCTATTACATTCCTCTAGAAGGCTGCTTAACTTGATCCTAAAGACAGCTTGGCATTTGCAAATCTGGGATATTCATTTATGAAAAAAGAAATGTATGATGATGCTATTAAATTCTTCTAGAAGGCTGTTTAACTTGATCCTAAGTGCAGCTGGGCATTTGGAAGGATGGGATACGTATTTCTGAAAAAAGAAATGAATGATGCTGCAATTACTTTCTTCTAGAAGACAGTTTAACTTGATCCTAAGGACAGCTGGGCATTTGAATAGCTGGGATATTTATTTCTGTAAAAAGAAATGTATGATTATGCTATTAAATTCTTAAAGAAGGCTGTTTAACTTGATCCTAAAGTTAGCAATGCACCTTTAAATCTAAGAATGGCATTTTACAAAAAAAGAAGGTACCAACATTCAATTATATATTTCAAGAAGTGTATTTAAATTGATCCAAAAGTTATGGTGAACCATTTTAACCTTTCTCTTGATTTTGAGTTTAAAAAAATATACAAACATGCAATTAAATCATCAAAAGAGGGTTTAAAAAACAATCCTTAAGATAGCAAAACACTATAATTGTAAAAATCTTTAAAAAGCTAGATTTGATAGACTCAAGCTATTTTTTTGTTGAAAAATGGAAAATTAAAAAGTTAAATGAGATATTAGAATTAAAAATCAAAGTTAAAATTAAATCAAATAAAATAAAATATAAAACAAAATATCCATAAAAACCAATTTTGAAAAAAATAAAGATTTATAAATTAAAATAAAAAACAATACTTAAAAATATTTTTAGGTATTTTAATCCTTGTTTAAACATCATTTTATAATAAAAAATAATTATTACTGTAAAAATATAAATTTGAATGATTTTTTACATTTATATATACCTTTGCGTACATATTTTTTTAAATTATTCTTTTCATCAATATTTAAAATTTTTTGATTCTTTATAAATCGTACATTTTATGGATAGGTTAATTTAAACAAAAATCGAAAATAATTAAAAAAATACTCATTTACAAAATATTTTAAAAAAATGATTATTTTTACAAGAAGAAAATTAATTAGGTTAGCAATTAAAAATTTTTAAAGTCTAATGAATTATATGAGTTTGCTTTAGAAAGGCTATTTATTTTTATATGAAAAACAACTATATATTTACTATTAAAAATAAATTTAAAAAATCTATTGAATATAAAAACTATTTATTAATTAGATGAATTATTTAAAATTTTTAGGGTTTAAATAATTTTATGAGTTTAATTGACTAAAATAATTTATTTTTGTTATAAAAACAATTATTAGCATTAAAAACACATTTTTAAATATGAAAATAGGTATCTATTTTTTAATTAAAATATTTATCAAAACATCAACTATTTATTTAATTATTTAAATTAAATTTGATGATTTTAATATCAAATTTTATTTCTTAATTATTTTAAAAATTGAATTAATTGTTAAGTAAGGAGAAATTATAATTAAAAAAAAAAAATTAAAAAAACTCTTTTTCCTAGTAAATGAATTTTAATTATATTTCATTAATATATATTTTTTAAGAATTATCATAGTTATTCTAAAATATCTAAAATCGATTTTATTATTTATTTAATACAGAAATGATATATTTTTATTTCAAGTATAAAAAATATTAAGAGGATAGAAATATCGCATAAGGCATCAAACAAATGTCTTGTAATATTTTAAAAAGTAAAAATCTTTAATCTAAAATTTTTAACTGGATAGGTAGAGTAATTTGTGATATAAATTAATTAAATTAATTTTATTTTATTAAAAGTTACAATTTTTTATTTTTAATGTAAATACATTTATAGATATTTATTTTAATGAATATAAAAATTATGTCAAAGTTTATTCAAAATTTTTATTTTAAACTAATAAAATTATTTTATTAAACAAAGACAAAAGAAATGTCTGTCTTGAAAAAAATCAATCATATAAAAATTTTTAGTCTAACTGAAATTATTTTAAAATTTTAAACAAAAAATAACAAATTAAACTTAAAAAAATAAAAACTTTTTTTAGTGTTTTTGGTAAAAAAAATCCAAATTTTATTTATCTTATAAGCTAGCAAGTAAGCATTCTATGCATTCAGAATTATTATTATTGTTGTTAGGTATTCTTTTCTGCTATTAAAAATTATTAAGTAGGATAGTCAACTCCTAGATAGTAAGTTTGCAATATTCTGTTACTAAGAGTCATGATTCCTTTGGACATAGGAACTTAAATTAAAACTTAATAAATTCCTTCACTCAATTTTTATGTATATTAAGAAGGTTAGACGGTGATAGTAAACGGCTTAGATTCATCTGTCATTAGTGTGAATTAAAGATTTTTTAGTTTTTCAATAGATGAGACTGAAATGAAGTGATATTTGTATGGTTAATAATCATATTTTATGCCCTGTGCAGCAAAAGCCTTTATCAAGTCTTAAACTTACTCAACTTAAAACTCAAAGAAAGGGCTGTGGATATTAATAAAAACTTCACTTGGGCTAGATAAGCTGAATTAGCCGTATTGTACATTTTAGCTGGAATAGGCAGTGTAGTATCCTTTTTATTCAGAGCTTTTTAAAAAGAAAGGATAAGCATTATTTTTAGTTTTTGATAAATCAGCATCACCTATATCAATAATACCCTTCCTTTAATTGGAACCAGCCTAAGGTAAAGTCATGAAGATCTATTACTTAGGGACTATGTGATCAAGGAAAGTAAAGGCATTATTTTGTCCGCCAAACTTATACCCAAAGCAGAGTTCAGTTTTTCCATAAAAGATAGATTATTTAATTGGGATAGTAAACTATAAGTTAATTATCTTTTCTCCAATAACAAAGTCACCTGAGTAGTTATATCCATCAGCAAAAGAATTATAATTATTTTCTGTACTACCACATTAAATAGCTTATTCATAAGTTTCAGTAATCAGATTAGAACAAAAATCTATATCTGGAGTAACATAGTATTAGCAAATTTTGCCATCTTGAGTTTTCTATTAAATAGGAAAGACTAGAGTATTATCTTCCTAAAGAATAAGTTCAGTTGAAATACCTTCAAAAGCACAAACTGAGCTAATTAAAATTATAGCTAAGATAAATTACTTTTAGCACATATATCTAATGTTAATTAATTAATTAATTAATTTTATTTTTTTATTACTTTTTTTTTATAAAGTTCAAGATCCAACAATTAATTAATTTATTTATTTATCCCCTTTAGTCTAATTTAATTAAAATTTTCTTTATAAAAGAAATTAATTACAATTAATGGATATGTTATAGTTTGGTTGAGTGAAAAATTATTCCAGCATAAAGCCTAGTAAATCTTGCTTCCAGAATACACATAAAAATTTATTCGAACAGATTTTGATCAAATTTAGTTTTTTTAAGCACATAAAAGTAAACTATTTTTGTATTACAATCAGATCATTTTATAGAAATATCCATAATTTGAACATTAATGAGTGTTTGATGCATGGATAATGTAAATGTATTTAATGAAGCAATTATCAAATATAAATAAGGTTTTTATTCATAAATAACTGAATATAAAAATATAAAATGATTTTAATTAATCATTAAATCTAAGATAGTAGTTAATTCAAATAGTGTTTGTTATATGTCGTTTGATCTTTTTAATGTAATATAAGTAATGTATTACATTTTAAATTCATTTTTTTAATTTTCCAAAAAACCAAATGATAAAAAATACAAAAAGTTAGTAATCTAATCTAAAAATTACATTCTTTTTTGATATTTCCTTAATTAATTTTAAACTTTTTACTCTTTAAATATCATTAATTAATACACACAGATTGATATTTAATTTAGACTTTATTTTTTTTGTGAAAAAAACTTTAACACCACACATTTTTTATGTTTAAATATTACAAACGAAGAAAATAGTTAATATTTTTCAATCAACTTTTATTTATACACAATATAGATAATTTATTAGAAATAGTTATTTAAAAAAGGCTAAATGAGTTTTTTATTTTGCTTGCCAAAATCTACATTTATATTAAAAATAAACAATTATTAATTTTCTGGGTTCTTTACATAATATTTTATAAAATAATATTGTTCCAATTAATTTAACTATAAATAAACACTTTTTAAAAAATTTGAATAAATTATAAGATAATTTAGCAAATACTTCAAACATAAAATTAACTATACCCATAATACCTTTTTATAATTTGTATTTTTAATATTTTTTCTAAAAATAAATAAATAATTTTATTTTTAAAAGTAAAAAAATGAAATAGATTTTAAAAGTTAGAGAGAGATTATTTAAATTTTAGTTTTTTATAAATTTTTTTTAATTCTATTTTAAATAAATAATAGTAATGAGTATTTTGTTATCGGCCATACTAAGGTGAAAACACCGGATCCCATTCGAACTCCGAAGTTAAGCGCCTTAAGGCTGGGTTAGTACTAAGGTGGGGGACCGCTTGGGAAGTCCCAGTGTCGATAACCTTTTTTCATTTTTTAGTATTTTTTAACTTATATAACTGTATAAAAAAATAATTTTAATTATTATTTTTAATATAAAAATTATCATAAATTATTTATATATTCATGCTTATTCTAATTAATTTTGTTATCGGCCATACTAAGGTGAAAACACCGGATCCCATTCGAACTCCGAAGTTAAGCGCCTTAAGGCTGGGTTAGTACTAAGGTGGGGGACCGCTTGGGAAGTCCCAGTGTCGATAACCTTTTTTTACTAAAATTTATTTTAAAAGTAATAATTAATTTTATGTAGCTATTTATTTTAAATTGTTTACATAAAGGTTAACTTTATAAATTTGTGCAATTATAAAACTAGAAAAATAAAATTTATCTTCAGAAGTATATCTGAATATAAATTTGATTATTTATTATTTTCAATAAAAAGCAGAAAATTAAAAGCTTAATGAATATATTTATCAAATAAATAGCATTGATTGCACAACAAGGATATACAAATAATCAAATGTAAATTTCTTATTTAATTATTTAGATTTATAAATAATATGATTTTGTAAACTAAAATATACAACAATAATTTTACAGAAATAACATGAAATATTGAATATCATCTTCTTTTTTTTTATTTTATTTAATATTTGAAAAAAATTTTACTTTAAAATATTATTGAATGATTTTATTTTATTAGATTAAAATTACATTAAAATCAAATAATTAATATTTTTTAAATTCAACTTTTTAAGAATAATCTTTTTATATTTTTAATTTATTTAGCTTTCAAAATTTTTTAATTCAATTCATTAAACCTTATAACCTTATCTATGATAGTTAATTAAAAAAATATCAATCAAATTTCAATACCAAATTGAAAACATAAATGTTTTTGCAATTAAATGAAAAAATTGATAAAGTAAAAATGGAGAAATATTTTAAATAAGAGCAAGGACAAAGCAAGTCTATGGATAATAGTATGTAATTCAGCCCAAGAATAAAATTATTAATAATACTTGTCATTTTGGCATATATTAAGTAATGTGCTAGTTTCAAATCATGGTATTTTATATTTTGGATATTAAATTTCAGTTATGTCATTAGCTCAGAATACAGTATTTGTAGCTTATGGCTTAAAAGAAAATCAGCATATTCTATATTCATCTCTACTCAGTGCTGCTATTCCTTTTAGTTAAATCTTATCAAATCATTGGCAAAATATATTAATATTAGAAAAATGATAGTGCTATTTAATTTTATTAGAAGGTTGTTTAACTTGATCCTAAAAATAGCTGGGCATTTTGAAAGCTTGGATTTTCATTTCTGAAAAAAGAATGTATGATGAAGCAATTATATTCTTCTAGATGGCTATTTAACTTGATCCTAAAGACAGCTGGGCATTTGGACAGCTAGGATATTTATTTAATGAAAAAAAAAAATGTATGAAGATGCCATTAAATCCTTATAAAAGGCTGTTGGCTGTTTAACTTGATTCTAAGACAGCATGGCATTTGTACAGTTGGGATATTCATTTCAGAAAAAAATAAATGTTTGATGATGGAATTATATTCTTCTAGAATGCTATTTAACTTGATCCTAACAGTAGGGCATTTGGAGAGTTGGGATTTTCATTTCAGAAAAAAGAAATTTATGATGATTCAATTACATTCTAAAAGAAGGCTGTTTAAATTGATCCTAAATACAGATGGGCATTTGGACAGCTGGATATTTATTTAATGAAAAAAAAAGTATGATAATGCAATTACATCCTTCTAGAAGGCTGTTTAAATTTATCCTAAATATGACTGGGCATTTAAATAGCTAGGAAATTCATTTTTGGGAAAAAAAATGAATGATGAGACAATTAAATTCTTTTATAAGGCTGTTTAACTTGATCATAAAGATCTGGGAGATTTAATTGTAGAAAAAAAAGGAGCAACATTCAATTATATGTTTCAAGAAACGTATTTAAAAAAGATATATTTTATAAGAGTAAAAAAATGTACAAACATGCAATTATATCATTAAAAAAGAGTATAGAACTAGATCCTTAGTAAGCCAAGGATAGTATTAACATTCAGTAAGTCATAAAAATATTCATTCATTCAAAAATAAGTATTCTTTAAGAAAACCACATAACTCTAATTGTAAAGATCTATTAAAAGCTTGCTATGATAGACTCAAGCTATTTTTTTTATTGAAAAGTGAAAATTAAAAATTTAAATAAGAAAAGAATTAAAATTTAAAGTTAATAAATTAAATAAAAAAGAAGTAGAAAATAATATAAATGTATATAAATATCAAATTTGAAAATAATAAAGGATTATAAATTAAAAAATTAACACTATCTAAATATATTTTTTTAGGTATTTATATATAAGCTCAAATATAATATTTTTAGGAACTTGATTTAATCAAAGGCTAACAAATGAAAAAGAATTTTTTATTTTTCTTATATTTTTTTGTGATTTCTTGATTATAAAAAAAAAGTTAAAATATTGAAAATCAATATTTTTCAATTAGAATATTTAGCAGATTAATACTTTTTCTTTGAAAATAAGAGCGTATAATAATTTATAATTGTATTAATTATTAAAAATTTAGAAAGAATGCTGAGTAATTTGTAAAACTAAGATTTTTAGGGTGATATATAATAATTTAAATAGCATTTAGAGAACGAAAAGCAATATGTTATTTAATGCAAATAAATATATTCTTTAGAGCCTTAACAATAGTAATAGATGCATGATTACATAATATCTTGCTTAAATAGTTATCTAGTTGGCTTAAATGATAGAAATTCTTAAGAAAATAATTTGATTGCCATTTAAGCAATTAAATATCTTTGCAGAGCTTAAGCAGATATAAGTGTAAAAAAAATTGGATCATTTTATTGCAGTTATTGCTTTGGTAAATTTTAAAAAGAAGAACTAGAAATTGAGTTATTTAACAACAAATTTGATTTCTAGCATTAATAAAAATCCTCCATATTTACTCTAAAATGTGGGCATACATTTCATTTAAACTGCCTTGAAGAATTAATTAAAGATTTTAAAGTACAATTGACTGAGTTGATGCCTGATCAATAAATTTAATGTGAGTGTCCAGGCTGTGAACTTGGGTAGGAAAGCTGTATTTATGTTAGTGATTGTTTTAAGTTCTAAAATTTACAATGATTTGTATTAATAAAATTGATATTATTTATGTTCGATAGATATTGAATGATTGATAATGTATTTATGTATGTTTTAGTAAATTTTATTTATTTTTTAATTTTTTTAAAGGATATCTTGATATTTTAATTTTCAATTAAGAAACAAAACAATAATATCATTCAATTAATTAATTTATTTATGATTTGATTAATTCATTTATTTATTTCCTTATTTATGCTTTGATTAATTAATATTTTTGTTTTAGAATATTTAACATATGATTTTGCTATTTAATAATTAAGAAAATAATGTAAATCTAAAAATTTAATAATATATTCTAATAAACTTTTTGAACAAAATTATTAAAACGCGATAGCAAATTGAAAGATAGGAAAAGTAAATATAGAAATGATCAAGCAATAGACAATTTAGAAAAAGGTAAATGTGGAATAAAAATATATTTAGATATTAGGCTTATTTAAAGAATTTATTATATGTAAATAGAAGCCTTATTTTAATTATTTATTTTAATTATAAATATTAGACTATTGAAAATGATTTAAAGTATTGTATTAATAGTTTGAGTCCTAACTTGATTTAATTGAGTTAATCTATATCTCAAATAAAAAAATTATGCCAAAGCCGTGCTAAATTACAATTATAACTATTATAAGGAGATAAGATATGCATTTTTTGCTAAGGTTATAACGATAGATTAGATTAATAGGATTAAAATTAAGTTAAATATTTGAAATGCAAGAAGTGTTAGTAAACATACCATGAAGACTGTATATTGTAAACGATTGAACATTCTTTCTAAGTCTAAAAAAAATAAATTGAAGGAACGGAGGATTATGATTAATTAGCTAAATTAAAACCAACTTTTTAAATAGTTTGTTTAAGATGTGATTCATAAGATTGCTTTAGCGAAGAGATTAATGCAAAAAAAATTAATTATATTTAATAGCTAAATTAAATATGCTAGAAAGTGAGAGACTAAGTTTATGATTAGATAGTTGAAGAAAAGAAAAAATTAGGCTCATGCTAAATATGTAACTTTTTATGGCTTAAAAGGTAGGCAGAGCATTAAATTTTTGAATGTGATCTTGATAAAGACGATGAATTTTTGTAAGAAATTAAAAATTATGAAGAAAATCCTTAAATTGCAAAAAAAAAAATCAAATTATCCAATTGCAAACATATTTTTTGTCAAAATTGCTTGAGTGATAAAGTTTTGGATAAATAGATTCTATAAGAAGATTATAATTTATGCTGTTAAGCTGAGAATTGCAAAAGTGAACTTACATTTTAAGAAATATTTGTAATATTAGGAAGCAAATTTAACTGGTATATGAAATATAAGCACCAAAAATTTTTGATAGAAGAACTTAGCAAAATAAAAAATGAAATACAATTTGTCAGGTGCAGAGGTGTATATAAGCTAGCTAAATAAAATTGCCTGGGAATAAAATTATAAAATAGATAAGATATAATCAACAGCATTAAAGAAATACACTAATTAGAGTAATAAATTATATATGAAAATAGCAACATTCTACCAGATCTAAAAGCAATTAAATCAGTATAATTTAATGATTAGGAAAGCATTTAGTGCTGCAATAGGGTATACTAAGTCATTAGAAATAAGTAGTTAGACATGAAAGCCTTCTTTGAGTAAATCGTTAACTAAACTTAGTGTGAAAATGAAAAAAAAGAAAGGAAAAATATGTATGATCAGTATTTAGAATCTTATATTAAACCTTTTCCAGATCATGAAAATTAGCCAGAAAACGATTGCTACTTGATCACTTGTGAAGATGAAAATTGCTAGTTTTAATTTTGCGTTAATGGTTGTTTAGATATTCATAATGCAATTAATTAGTGTCCTAATGCTGATAGATATAATGACAATATTAATATCTTTAATATAGATTTAAATGATGTTGTTAAAAATTTTGGAGCATCTACTTTACACTTTAAGTAGGTCGATGGTTCTGTTATTCTTACCAATAGTGTTAAATGCTTTAGATGTTTCAGAGAAATTTAACGAGAGTCTAAAAATGATGAAAACTAAGAATAGCCTAAATGCAAATGCTTTGAAGAATATAATAAAATTTAAAATAACAACAATTAAGAAATACATTAAAACTATTATCAATAAATTCAAATTGATGATTAAAATAATCTAAATAATAATGATTAATACGAATAAGAAATAATTTGAAAAAAATGATTATTTTGTTTTTAATGGTTTATAGATTTTAGTATTTGTATTCTAATTATTCAAAAATTATTTTTTTAGATAAAATTGTTAATCTTACAATTTTTATTTCATTAAAATAAAATTTTTAACTAGTTTAACTTAACAATAAGTGTGCAAATTAGTTTAAAAATAATAAATTCAATACCCTTTTATAATCAATTCAATCTTAAAATATTTGATTAAATATGATCAAAGGTTTTATTACTAATATTCTTCAAAACTATTTTGAATAGAAAGGCCCATTGGTGCCCCTCACAACCCCCATTTATAGGATCTTATGTATATACTTTGAGAAATTGTTAAATTTCCTTAAAATTCAAAGAATTACCTGCCTATCATTTTCATCATTTCCATCAAACTTATTCATATATTTTAATACTTTATTACATTAAAAAAAAGTAAACAAACAAAATAAAAGTATAATGTATCCTTTAATTATTTTAAATAAATAAATAAATATTATGTTATATTTTGTTTTCTATTAAAATTTTCATTCATTTATTATTATGGTTTGATTATTTATTAACAAAAGGTCTATAATAAATTTTATTGGAGTCCTTGTGTGTAAAATAATGACAATTATGTTTTAATTATGATATTTAATAATCAATAAGGATGATAGATATATTTTATTTTTCTAATTGTATGAACAATATTTTATCATCTATTGCTAATATTAGTTAGAACTTTCATAAATGAGCCTAATTTTTTTTTACTTTTAACACCCATTACCAAAACATGAAACAATATATAAATAAATAAAATAATAACATCTTTATTTTTAATTTATTAAATTTTATCAAATATAATTTAAAAAATAAATTTAAATACCCAAAAAGACGCAATAATTAAATGAAAATTAAATTTCTTGCCATTTAAGGCTAATTCTTGCTTTCAATGAAATTTATCCTTTTTTCAAACAAAAAAGATAATATTCTAATTAGTGGATTATGATTTAAAATAATGTTCAAAATAAAATAATTGATAACAATTTTTTCATATCATTTAAATTCTTTAAGAATGTCTATAAAATTTTTATAAATAAAAGAATTTTATTATTTAAATTAAAATAAAACACAAAAAAAGAAAGTGAATATTATAATAACAAGTAGGAATTATAAATTAAATTTTTGATTAACTTTCTTATTTTTAACTTTTTAAAAAAATGGACTTATATTTTCCATAATTAACTGATATATTAAGATGCGTCAATAAAAATTAAATATAATTGATAGAATTTACCTAAGCAATGCTCTAGATACAACAATTATGCAAGCTTAAAGCAAATATAATACTAGTAGATTTGTAATTTTAAAGATGTTTTTATTGTAAGATAGATATAAAATAATATTAAATGGATGAATACAATACATTACCATGCGGACATGTTTACCATCTAAAGTGTCTTTCTTAAATTGCGATTTAAAATTGTCCAAATTTAGACTTTGAAAATGCATATATAGAATGCGGATTTTGTTAATAATTGCTAACAACAAGTTAAATTAGAAAATCCGTTCCAACATAATTTATTTAATAAAGAGAGCAATATATGCTAAATTAATAAGCTATAAAACTTGAGTAAGAGGATAGGTAATTGAGGCAATAATAAGCTATGAATAAGTAATTTACATGCAACATTTGCTAGGATGAGAAAAATATCAATAATGAAGGAAGAACTTTAAATTGTGGTTGCTAATTTTGTGAAGACTGTCTGAGAGAATATGCTTTATAAAAGATAAAAAATGGCGAATTTTATGAAAATTAAATTTTTTGTCCAAATTCATGCAAAAAATAAGGTTCTTTCTTAGATACATTCATGATCAAAGATCTATTAAAGGATGAAAACGAAGTTTATTATTAAAAAATGATAGATTTTAGAGCCAAAGATTACGAAAGAGATCCTAATTTCAAGCTCATAAAATGCCCAGGATATTTGCTTAAATCATAAAATTCAAAAGAATTAAGTATTATGAAATAAAATCAAATAGATGACTTTAGAATGAAGAAAATCTCCATACCAAGTGGTTTTACTATACACGAATGCTAAAATATGTGGGAATACGACTAAAGGGATAATCTGAAATAAACTAAATGCAATATTTGTTAGTATGAGTTTTGTCTATTTGGGTGTGAAAAAACTCACCAAGGTTTCACTTGTGAACAATTTAAATAATGGTTAATAGAGAATAGTGTGGTCGATTAAGAATTTTAAAAATTAGTTTAAAGAGATAAGCTTTTCCAATGTCCAAAATGTTAATCTTATATTTAAAAAAATGGAGGATGTAACCATATGACTTGCAGGAGGCCTGGCTGTGGTAAAGAATTTTGTTGTGTATGTTTAGCTGATCATCCTTGCGGAAAACATTGAAAATATTCATTATAAAATGGTACTTGTTTAAAAACTTATTATTAGTCAGATTTTCAGAAAATGAATTTAGAAAGAATAAAAATAAATTACAAATATTTTAGTTTTATAAAATAAAACAATCTGTTATTGATTGATGTAAGGTTTTTTTTAATATTTTGTTTGAGATAAGAGAAGTATTATTATTTTTTTATATATTAGTTATGTAAAATCTACTCATTATATATATTTTAATCTATACATATTTAAAAAAATCAAATAAATAAATTATTTTTTTGGTAGAAAAACATATTTGTATTTTGCATTTAAAAATAAAATAAATCTGATGAGTTTAAATTTTATGCTAAGTTAACTTCTTTTTACAAACAAAAAATAAAATTTATTTTTATTAAAAATTTACAAAATAGTTTTTATTATTATTTATTTTTAAAAATAAATAAGTTTTTAATTGAGCACCTTCTAACTTCTGCTATTTTTCTCATGTATTTTTCCAACTATTAATAATTTTTAGGTGTCTTGAGACATATAAAAATTAAAAAATTCTTTAAACACTCTTTATTATTATTATATTTAAATTTTTTTATATGCTTGCAAGCTGTAAATCAATTTAGAATATTAATAATTTTTCCAAGATTTAAAAAAATAAAAAATTATCTATTCAACTTATTATAATTTGATTAATATTAAATATTCTAATAAGTAAATCTTTATTCTAAAATTCATAATCAATAAATAGTCAATTTAAAACATAATTATTTTAAAGACATAAATGTTATTTACAAATATTCATTGATTTTATAGCCTTTGATTTGGTTTTAGTGTTAGCAAATACTTATATTCAAACCCTTTAAGTTTAAATCTATTATTAAAAAATTTTTTCATTTTGTGTGTTTCTAATATGTTTATTTTTATCTTTGATTTAAGACTTTATCAAGTTAAAAGCCAAATTAGCTTTTTTGAATATTTTATTCTAATTAAAAATTTCGTATATATTAACATAATTATATTTTAGAGCAAGCAAATAATATAGAAAACCGACCAATAAACCAGCCAATAAATTATTATTAATATTATATGAGTTCTTAGTATAAAAATTCTAATGGATGGGAATCAGTGTACTCGGAATAAGGTTAATTATAAGGGTCCCATTGTATATATGAATCATAAATAGTATTTAAAATGGATAATCCTAATTACTCTTAATAAAGTTAATATTAAATCATTCAATCAACTAATCAAAAAGAATCATAATAAAGCGAAACTAATTTGTATGATATGATTTCTAAAAGTTACAACTTCATATTTAGCTATGAACAACTTGCAAGTTAAATAAAGCAAGCGTAAATATAATAATTAGCATAGATTAGTTAAAATTAAAAATAAGTTAGTAGTAGGTAAAATTTTATAAATAGTGATATAAATATAAGTCGATTATAATCATAAAATAATAATAATTTTAAAAACCTTTATTAGAATAGATAATCATATGATTATTCTACAACTGATTAAAGTTAGTTGAAATTTTAAACCAATTAGTTTGAGTAAAGTAATAAAGATCCTACTTATTTAAAATATTTTTAAAATTTAAGCCAAGCTTTGTCAGGAAATGCTAATCAAAATGATTTAGTTTTTTTTAGTTCTTGTATTAAAGAAATTTAATTACTTTGTGAAAAGAAACCAAAAATAAAAATTTGTTAATTGTAAAAACAAATTAATCAAATGAATACTCCTTAGATTGATAAAATTGAAAAGTAGATTTCTGATGAAGAAAAGGAAGAAACTAAGGTTGATAAGGAATTATAATAGCATGATCAAAATTAGGAAATAAAATTGTAAAATGATCAATTAATTGAGAAATAAAAAAGCGAAGAATTGAAAAAATAGTAAGAAATTTAAAATAGTTTGTGTGGCTTGTGCTTAGATCCAATCAACTCATATTCTCATTAAGTTATAGCCCCAAAATATTTTACTGATACTTATTAATACTTTCAAGCAAAGTGCGGTCATTACATAAGCAAGATATGTTTAGCAACAACATACTAAGGTATATTTTAAGATTCAATCCCAAAGACGGTAAAATAATATGACGAGTAGCTTGAAAAGAAAAGTAAATTAGATCTTTAGTTAAATTGCAATCATTGCAATTATAAGCTCTAAATGGATGAAGTTTTAGAGTAAAATAATGGCTATCTCACCCATGTAAGGTCTAACAGAAAATAATTTGAGTGTGGTATTTGTATAGTTGATTATGACCTGGAGGAAGAGGGTATCGCTATGTTTGATTGTGATCATATCTTTTGTATTTAATGCTTAACCAGCTATATTATTTAGTGCATTAACTAAAATAAATTTAGATATGAAGACTTTAAATGTCCTCAAGATAAATGCACTGCTATAATTAATAACTATACTGTTGATAGATTAATGAATACACCTGAGAACTAAATGCTTTTTAATCGTATGATAAGAATGTAGCTTGTTCACACCACTTTTAAAAAAGAAAAAATAGCTCTTTGTCCAGGTTTCCAAATGAGAAATAAACAAACTAATAATATTTTGAATGTTGATTAGGAAACAATTACTTTACTGCGTTTGGGTATGCCTCCATAGTTATCAGATGATGTAGAAATAATTGGATGCACTACTTTCTTTAGCTATGATGAAAATAAAGTTTAATTTTACGAGTGCAGCAATTGCAAATACAAATCATGCTTAAAAGGATGTGAAGATGCACATATAAAAGGATCAAAAAGAGGAAAAAATTGCTCAGAGTTTAAAAAGTGGAAATAGTAAAATTAAGGTATGGATATTGATTTATTGGCTATTTTTGATAAGGATACTATGTGCTAATGTCCAAAATGCAAAGCTATCATCATCCGTAACGGAGGTTGTAATCACATGACATGCACAATGCCAAATTGCGGCTTCTAATTTTGCTTTAAATGTCAATCAAAATGGCTGTGCTGGAAGCATTTACATTACTTTTGATATATTCTTAGTATATTAAATAACACAATAAAAAATTCAAAAGATAACAAACTAAAACAATTATTATTATTATTATTGTTTTATATATTTTTACATTTAAAAATATTTTTGCTTTAAAATAATAATTTATATGAATTATTTCATTTCATAATAAAACTAAAATGTCATTTAAGTTAATTAACAAAGTAATTATTTAATATTAAACTTTTATAATAAAGATTATATTTTCTGTGTGATGCACTTTAATAAATTTTATAATATGTTATTTGCTTTTTTCCTTTATTCCTTATTTAGAATGAATTAATTTTGAAAAGGTTTGATTTTCTTAATAATATTTAGAAGGACTTCAACTAAAAATCTATAAGAGAAATTAAGTGCAAATTTATTTGTACATAGGTAAATTGATTGAAAAAAATATTTTGTGTGACCCGTATCTGTAGAGATGAGTTTAGACTTTCCCTGTACGATCTTGTTAGATCCATCTCCTCAGTGGAGGTCAATACTTATGTAAGAAGGGATTTTAGCTTAATTAAAAGCTAGTATGCTACTCATGAGAAATTGATAGTTCTATGAAAATATACTCCCCTTCTACTAATTAATAGCTTCAATAACTATATTAATAACTAAAAAAGATTAATCTTTTTTATGGGTTTTTAAATAAAATATTATGAGTATTTCACGAACTATTTAATGTCAAACATAAAAAACTTAATTTTTAGCAAACATATTTTTGTTTATAAAAATATGATCCAAATTATAAAGTAATAAATAAAATAAAATAAAGACATCCGCTTTAACGATTAAATAATTAAAAACTGTTGTCATAGTTATTAAGCAATATTAAAACAAAATATGTAAATTGAGTATTACCAATTGCTTTTAATATTTTTGGTTTAATATAATTAACTAATTATTTTTTTAACAGATAAGAGAAATGATTTAAGTTTTTACATCTTTGATATAAAAATTTTTTAAAAAGAAATAAACAAACATTTTTGAAATTTCCAAAAGAAAGCCAACAGTGAAGGAAAATGAAAATACTCTGGTAACTGACCATTCCATTGTTATTGAAGGTAGCCTTTGAAAATATAAAATGAGTGTTTTGTATAATTTATACTTTTAATTAACATTATTTGGTTCAAATGCTCACTAAAAACATTATGTCAATTTATAAATTTAGCAAAAGAAGTAAAGCAGCAATTTAAGTGTAGAATCTGCCTTGATTAGGGGTAATTAATATAGAAAGTCGAAATATTTTAATTTAATTATTATAATTTAATACAGTGAAACACCAGATAGCGCTGTATGCATGCCATGCAAGTGTTCAGGGAGCATGAAATATGTACACGTTGAATGCCTGTACTTTAATATAAATCTTTAATTATAGACATAGTTTTTATTTTCTTTTTTATTGAATGCACTATCTTTTTATATAAAAGGCAAGCATGGATAATTTAAAAGAAGTCTCTGAAATGTGAGATTTGTAATTATGAATATTCTATAAAATGGTTTAAGTGGGCAGATTAGCATAACATTTTAGAGTAAGAAAAAATTACTTTGAATTATTAATTAATTAATTGCTTATATTTATCATGAAATTAATTAATAATCTTTTGATTTTCATAGATTATTTTTTTTATCTATTTATTTATTCTATCAAAAAGTTAAAAAGTTTTTTTACTTTTCTTAATATAAAAGTAATCCTACCTTGAAAAAACTATAACAAAGTAGTAACTAATAAAGGCAAAGAAGGTAGCAAGCACAAAATGAATAAAATAGAATTAGACATTATTAAAATCTTTTAAGAAGCTTTGGAAAGAGAAAAAGCTTAACAGTAATTTAAAAGCTTTAAATTATATTTCTTATTTCAGGTATTATAGTGTGTTTTGTATTCGCTTATTCTAATAACTAATCAGAAAATTGGTAATAATCCAAGAATTCTAAATAGCACCAAAGAGTTTATTTCACTTCTATTATTTCTTATTGCCTAACTATCATAGTTGCTTATTTTTGGATCTCTTAATCCAAAGGATTCGAGTATACTTTTTAAACAAATTTGAACTATTTTAAGACCCATTTACCTTCATTGTAATAAAATAATGTTATAAACCTTTAACAGCAGTAATATATGCAAGATTAACAACTAGATTAAAACAATTCTAATTCTTAAATAGAAATAGACGTTTAGCAGTAAAATTAAGAACATTAAGTTAATGGTGAAAGAGGTCAAATATATTTAAATTTTCAATAAAATTAAAATTAGTCTTAATAATATGAGCAATAGGATTAACAAATATAAAATAACAACATATAATACATTCAATAAAATAATAACTAAGTAGAAGAACTTTAATAATAATAACAATAAAATGACTTATCGTTATAAAGCAAGGCAAATTAAGAGATGCATATAGATATAGAAAACTAAAATGACTAAGTTTAGGATTCATTTTAGAATGCCAAGTAGTACCCCTTTTGCTAGGATATCAAAAAAAATTATAAAATTATTATATTTAATAAAAAGAGGAATGCATCTAGTATAAAATACAATATATAAGATCAAATGGCAAAATAATTTAATTCAAAAAATGTAATTTAAACTGATTCTAATGGAGTAATCCCTTTAGGAGACAATATCCATTAAAGTAAAACTTAGGAATTTTAGCTGAGTTAGACAGATTAGTAACCAAGCTAAATTCATTAAAATTAAGAAATATTAGGTTTTGGTAGCTTTAAAATAGATTAAAATAGAAAAATTATTGAATTCGGAGAGAGTGAAAGCAGCGAAGAAACAATTTAAGAAAAATTTTAAATTAAACGAGAAAATAAGTAATACTTTGATAATGAATAAGAAGTCTAATTAAATAACTTAGAAAGAAAACATGAAGAAAATATACCTTCAACATATCGAGAAAAGCAGCAAAGTAATACATGCATTGATATCAAACAGTAAAAATTGATACTGAAGCACAAGCAAAAAAAATAGCAATCCAAATAGGATCTTAGTAAAATCGAAAATAATACCTAATATATTGAATAGAATCAAGAGCAAATTCATTCAATTCAAGAAAATAATAATGATGAGAATCAATAAAATATTTAGCAAATATAGTAACATGATAATACCTTAGTCCCTGATAAAACTAGCAGCATTAATTAATAAATAAAACAGATCTAATGTGTTAAGGATAATGAAGACCATAGCTCTGGCCAATAAATATTCCAAGAATAATCTAACACAGATCATCATATATAATAGCAATAATAATAAATGCATGAAAACTAGGTGGAATTAATAAATTTTGAATGCAATGAAAGCATAGAAATCTAAAATGATAACATAAAAAGCACTAGTGATTAACATCAGGGATTAGGACTAAACATGGAGGATATATAAGTTATATTATCGAACGAAGAGAATGTGCCTTCATAAAAAACATTTGATTAATAATCTGCCAGAAAGCAAAGCCATAATAATGATATTAAAAGCGATTGGCAAAAATATTTAAAAAATGAATGATATAACTAAATCAATAAAATAATTAAGCTTAGCTAAATAGAATAAATTGGTTTAAATATTTAATTAAAAATTATAAAACTATTAAATAGATAAAAAAATTCATTTTTATTCAAAATTTTTCATTAGATTTTATTTTTATATGCTTTTTGTTTTTTTTTATTTTTTTTTAGGTGTTCTATTGAGTTAAATTTCTAAATTAATTTTAATTAAAGAAATAAATAAATGAATATAACTAAAATTTTTTGCTTTGTTTTAGAAATATATGAAGGAAAGCTAGATAGAGGTTTGCTTTAAATTTTATCAAATATTTAGATAACATTTTAGAAAAGTCAGAAAGTATAAGTTTTATACTTTAACATAAAAATCTAGCATCCTTCAAAGTGTTTTAAATTTATCTTAATTATAATTTGAATCCAATAAATAAATATATTAATTTCTCTTATTGAATGTTAAAAATTCTCGTATAAAATATTTGATTATAAATTATTATTTATTATACAATAATTTTAAATAATAATAATTTTAAATAAAAGAAATATAGAATGAATGATTTAATCATTTATATTTGATACAATATTTGAAGTAATATTTACTATTTATACTATATATCTTAGCTATAACTTTATAGGAGAATCTAAAAGCTAAAAAACAATAGATTAAGCTTACATTTAAAATGTAGGGATTAGCTCAAACTCCATTTGACTTATTTGAACCACAATAAAGGTAAATATTTGAGTATAATTTAAGTATAAAGCCATCTATTTACAGTTTATGATGTTTATTATCAATTTTTATATGTTAAGATGTTAGTAGGCTTTTAGCATTCTGCTTATGTTAGAGATGCAAAGCGTAAATAAAATTAAATTTAAATATTTAGAATTGAATTTCTAATAAATCAATAAATCAAGAACATCTTAAATATCAAACATTTTATGAATAATAGGTTATTTAGACTGCCATAAAAGAAGAGTGGAGTGCTGAAATAATAAATTTTTAAAGAATTTATAGAAAAAGCTTAAATAAAAATCAAGATCTTAGATGAAGAAAATGACAACGAAGTTTTATTTTATACGCCAATACTGTAAATAATATTAAGAAATTCTAATAAATAAATGTTTTTTTAAAATGAAAAAAGAGATATATCTAGTTTTGGGTATCTTTCCCTCATTATATTAAAAGAATCTTCATCTACCATAATACTCAAACACACATTATGCTACTGTAATGGAAAACCATATTTAATCAAAGATCATTAAATAAGGCTGCTTTTTACAAGATGCCTCAATAAAATCAACAATATTGAAAAGTTTTCAAAATATGCTATGAATCCTCGAAATGGCGAAGTAATTATTTGTTTGCATTGGTTTAATTATCAATAGATTTTAATATTGATATTGAAAAAGTTATAGGAGAAATTAAAAAATATATATTTTAATTAACTTACTATTATCCATCCTGACTGATATTAATTTAAACATAAAAAATTTATATAGATTTCTCTAAAAGATGCACTTTTTTTTGAGAAAGAAACATTTCAAAAATTTAATGAATCTCCTTTATTAGCTATTAAACCTATGCTAGAGCTATACAATCAATAAATACACATACTCAAATAATATACAAAATTAATTCTAGTTGTGCTTGAAGAATTACCTTAAATATTTAATTAATACTCAGATATTAGTTTTTTATCATTGAATCAAATTAATTTACAACTTTTAAAAGTTAAGATGTGGTTAATTGACCCAGACACTTTTGAAGATTAGTCTGAAATAAATGAGTAAATAAAAAGACAATCCTAAATAGTTTAAAAGAAAGATGATTTAAAAATACTTAACGAGATAGAAATTATTGGAGATATTTAAAATATAGAGCAGATTAATAAAGGAGGTTTTGGTTCAATATAAAAAGGCAAATTAGGTAAGATAAAATTCATAAAACTAATTAATTTCAATAAAATATTTTAAATAGAATATATAATGAATGGGAAAAGGGAAAGCAAATAGTTTATCATTAAAAAAGATAGAGAAGACTTGCACTATTAAGTGAAAAAAGTTCCTCATGAAATTAATATTTTGTAAATTATTTTTTTTAAAACAAACACACCAAATAAATTATTTTTTAATTCATAAAATAAAAAGGAAGTAAATTAAAGATGAGTCTAATTTGTTCATTGCAAAATATTATTATTCAAACTAGCCAAAATATTAAAATATCCTCTTTATGGACATGTACCAATATAAATCGCTTGATATATTAAAATTATAGTTTAGCTAAACTATGTCATTAATAACTAAATTATATATTATGTGGTAAATCGCTTAAGGGATTCAGTTTCTTACATCCAAAAATGTAGCTCATCTTGACTTAAAACCTGCTAATATAGTCGTATTTTAAATTATTTCATACATATTTTATTAATTTAATTAATATACTTTATTTTTAATATTTTTAAAAATGCCTTTTTAATTTTAGATAGGCTATATAATGAATATTTAATTCAATTAATTGTTTAAAAATTATTTTTTTTTAATCAGCCTTATATAGAAATTATCAGTTATATTTTCTGATGTTTTAATGTTTTTAATAATAAATAAATAAACAGATTTCAAAAGGATATTTAGCTAAGATTATAGACTTTGGTGAAGCTTATCATCCAGATGTATGTAATGGTAAAGAATTTTACAATAATTAATAAAGATTAATTTTTAAGTCTTATTTTTTAATGAAAGGAAATCCTAATTACAAGCCAGGAAGAACACTTCCCTACACTCCTTACAGTAATAATAATGATAGATAGGCATCATATAAAAATTTAGATATATTTAGCTTTGGGATGGTCCTTTCAGAAATAGTTTTCGATACATATCCTGTAGATTTCAAAAGAGGAGCTTTACATAAGCTTGAAGAGAAATTTTCAAGAGGAGATATAAGGGGAAGATTAGTTAAAAACTATTAGAGACATTTCGGACCAAAACATATTATAAACCTTCTCCATTGCTTAATCTTTCGTTGCATAGATGAAAAAGGTAAGTAACATTTTAAAAATTATATTTGTTTTAATAATTTATTTTTTTATAGAAAACAGACCTACAATCGATTGGATTATTTTAATAGTAAAAACATTATAAAATTAAGTAGAAAAAATATTTTCTTATCATTTTCCTTACAAATGATCTAATTTAAAACTTGAACAATAGTTAGTTAGTTAATTAATTAATATATAAAATTGTATTTACTCTTTCATTTTTATAAATATATATCAAGCTGTATATAGAAAAATTATTTTTATTTAATCTAACTATTTAAAAAATTAATTTATTTAATCAATTAAATTTTTTAATATTTGATATGAAAGTATCTTTCCTCTATATTAGATTAACAGCTCTAATTTCAAAATAGTAGAATGAATAAAATTCGTGTTTGTTTTCCTTAACTATTCGTTAATAATTAGAAATAAACTAATAGGAAAATTAGTAAAGCAATAAATAATATAACAAGCATATAAAAATCAATTAGTACTTTTCTCAGTAAAATTGATTTGTTCCTAAAACTGATTTCTAAATGAATGAAATACAAGAAAGAGTTAAAACATAGTTATCAATTTCATTAAAGAATTTTAATGAAATTGTTAATATTAAATTCTTAGAAAAATTCTAAGAATTCAATATATTTTTTATAAAATTCGTTGAAAAGAAAATACTAAGCAACAAACTTTAATTAATTTATTCAAAGGTTTGTGTGAAATAGTGATTTATTTATTTATATATTGATTAATTAATTAGTCCATATATTTTAAAGAAGTTAACAAGTTCTATTAATAATAAATTTGCAAACATAAAAAAACTTTCAAGGCAACAAAAAGAGTACTCACTAAAAAAGAATCTACTGAAATTTACTTTGAAAGATAAATAAAATAATTTTTATATCCCCTAATGATTTACACTTAAGTGTCAGACGAACTTTCTTTTAAGGATATTGAGGCATCATTGGATTATGACATAAAAGTATCCTTCATTTTTATTTTTAAGGATTGAATTTCTCTTACTTATTATTTAATTAAAATTAGTCTTATAACATTATACAACCTCTTGGATAGGGAGCGAATGGCTTTGTCTGTAAAATAGAAGATTTTAAATCAAAGGAATGCTATGTAATAAGATTTATTTCTTTTTATTCTTTTTAAGAATTCAAATGAAGCAAAAAAATATTATGTATACTTACTATTAACATATACTAAATAAAAGGCTATGAAGGTTGTTGATAAAAAAAGAAAAGATATCTAGAATGTTATGAAAAGACTTGATTAAGAAATTAAAGTATGAGCATTTATTTAAAAAGTATATTTTATTGAGATTATTTTCTTTTAATATAGATTTAGAAGGAATTGGATCACCCTAATATAATAAAATTATTTAAGCATTTTGAAGATGATTAAAACCATTACTTAATCATGGAGCTTGCTTAAAATGGAGAAATTAAAGATTACCTAAACATTAACAAGCCGTAAAATTTTTACTGCTGATTTAAAATATTTTGAAAGATAAATTTAATATTTTATTAATTTATTTTAAATAATTTATTGATTTGAATATATTTCTGTTATTTTAATTTAACAATTAATTTTTTTCTTAATAACGAACTAATAGATTAAGCGAAAGTTAAATCTTAGATTTTAGTTATTAACTGGCCTGTGGAATTAAATATCTACATGATAAAGATATAGTGCACAGAGATTTAAAACTCAATAACGTTCTTCTCTCAAATGGAAAAATAAAAATTGCAGATTTTGGATTAGCAACAAAAGTTAATGATGAAAACCCTGAGTGCAACACTATGTGTGGGACAGCAAATTACTTATCTCCGTAAAATATTTTATAAATTAAAATTATCACTTAAAGAATGTTTATTTATTTTTATTTATAGTGAGATATTAAATAGCAAGGGATATGGGAAAAAAACAGATATTTGGAGTTTTGGATGTATTTTATATGCACTTTGCTCAGGCAATCTCCCATTTTTTAGTGGAAATCCTTCTTAAACTATTTAAAATATAAAGGAAGGTAAGTGGTAACTGCCTTAAAATATTTCAGATAATGTTAAGGATTTACTTTCAAACACTCTAAACTGGGATTAAAATTCTCGCTTTTCAATAGAATAAGTTCTATCACATAAATTTTATGAAAAAAAGCATAAGCAAAGCATTATCATTTTTAACTAAGGAGCTGATGCTATTTCTAACTAACAAAATAAATTGTCTACTCCTAACAAAGTACTTCTTGACTGGACTTCCCCAAGATTTAATGCACCTATTCATCTTTAATAAAAATCTTAATCAAGTTAAAAAAAGAACAAGAGAATATCTAACCTAAAAAATTAAAAGTCTTTGACTTCAATGAAACTTGATCTCAGTGATTGCAATAAGGAGAACCAGCCTAATTTAATAAATAGCTCTAACAATAAAAGTAATAATACAGCAATAATTGAAAAGCAAAAAAGTACTAAATCAAATACTTATAAAGAATAATAAAATATATAAAGCAATTAACAAAACAGCTTAGGGATGAGTAATATATTTTTAACAACAGCAAGATCAATAAACTTGGCTGATAACTCTATAATAATGTCAACCTTATAAGACAATCAACTTAACAATACAAATAATAAAAAAGAAAACACAAAACCTACATAAAAACTCTAATATTATTTATAACAAAATTCTAATACTTCGTAATAGTTGAAATAGTCATCTATTTTAAATAATTAGGGCCAAGCAAGTGGCTATAACAATTCAAGAAACAGATTTGATCTATCATGCAATAATGTGATAAATTAAAATAAATCATAGCAATCTCTTTTACAGTACAATGGATATAAATCCTAGTCTGTCATACCATAATAATAGCAAGCTTTTTCTTAAAATTCTTAATAAATTTCTAATAAAAATTAACCTTAGCAACAAAACACAAAAGAGTTAACACCTAAGTAATTTAATCCTTACTTAAGTTAAAATAGTGAAAAAACGTAATAAGATTATTCAAATAATGCATTCAAATCTTACAGGAGCACTTCATCTCTTCATTAAAATATATCAATTGCTAATACCAGCTAAACATATAGAAATCCTCTTTAAGAGTCTTAGATAAATAAAAATAATTAATAAAGATAAGAAGCTTTTGACAATACTAAATAAGCATTGCACAATGTTAAAAAACCTTTGTAATATTTTTCGTAATAACAACAAACCTAAAAAGATGGAGATAATTAAATGTTTACTTAATCACAAAACAACAATACGAACAAACAAATGAAAGGAGATAACACTTTAAATGGCAATTTAAAATACTCTAGTTTATCTACAAATTCGCAGACACTGAATAAAAACGACGAATCTTATATTCATAACTATCACTAACCTAGGATAAGATCCCAACAATCCTAATAAAATGTTAATTTAAGAGAAAAAAGTCCTTCATGTCAATTTATTTAAAAAAATTAAGAAATCAGCTCACAAAATAATTGTGATGGCATTAAAGATCTCTAAAATATAAATAAAATTTAGCAAAACTCTTAAATCAAAAGAAATTATTCACAATAAATAACTCCTAAAGAGATGCAAACAAATTCAAACATATAAAAATTAGAATATGCTAATCGTATCTCATAGTTATGCGCAAAAGGTGATCATAATTTTTTACTAGAAAAAAAGAGTAGCTCTAACAGTAATAATAATTGTTAATAAAATGTCTAAAGCAGTAAGAATATAAGATCTCTTAGCAATAGTCAATTTACTATTAACAGCAATATAAAATAAAAAATCCAAAAAGATACTTCTGAATTATCAATCTAAGTCACTGACAGATAAATTACATTTTAAGGAAATGAATAAAATGAAAAAATTAATTTTACAAAATCACCAACCTAGATTTAAACAAGAAATAATTCTAAGTCATTCTCTTAGAGTGTAAATTGTGCTCCAATAGCTTCATCTAAAGAAAGAAAAGTTTCATTTGTTGCTTAGTCAGCTGATTTATAAGAATAAATATAAATAATCCAGTCGAAATCAACCCAATAAAGTAATTTAAAATATTTTGACATATTCTTCAAACTAAATTTATTTTTTTTTATAGCAGGTGCAGTGAATTTTGCAGACTCTAAAACATAGTACCAAAGCAACGATACTAATTCCTCGTTCCCTGTTTCTCCTCTTTCAACACAAGGTTTGAAAGCTAATAAAGTTAACACTAAAAATGGTATAATTGAAATATCAGAAAACAACTGGCTTTCAATTGAATGCTAAAATGGCTAACTAATTTTTAAAATATCTCCTAATGGTGAATAGGTAATTTATTAAAAAAAAGAATCAAATTTAAAAAATATTTTAAATAATTAGATTTAGATATAAAAATTTTAAAAGAGCAAATACTAGAAAAAGAATTATGATTTATAATCCTTACCTGAAAAATATATAAAATTATATACATATGCAAAGGTTGTCTGTCAAACATTAAAATCAAAAACACCCCTAGTAAAAATATAAAACGAAAAGGGTACTTTTATGCTTATGTCAAACCAACCTAAGTAAAATTATGAAGTCTCCCTCTCTAACGGATACAAAGTAAGCCATGTAATAGGTACTGACATCATGACTGTAAAAGATAAGCAAAACAAAGAATTCATAGTTTACCTGAGCTAGCAAAATCTTAATAAAAGCATCCCACAAGAAATAACACTTGCAGTTAAGGTTTCTTTGGAACAAATGAGTTCTTGCTTACAAAAACAAAATGAATAATATCTCGCTAATTTTAAATGAGATTGAACCAATAAATTTTAAATTGATTAAAACAAATTGCTTTAAAATATTTTGATATGAATAAATAACTAAAAACAAATAACTTAATATTTAATTAATTAACTAAAAAACTAACTAATTAACTAAAATATAATATAATAAAATAATTAAAATATGTGTGTATACTTCCTATCTTGCATCTTTTATGTAAATATTTACTAATTCTTTATAATTAAATTAATTATTATCAATTTAATTTTATTTTTTATATTGTTAAAAGATGTATTTAATTTAAAAATATAAATTCTCATCTAATTATCTAAGAAAAATTTTTTAGGTGGAACAGACTATTCTCACTCATGCTTTATGATCTTGACAATAGAAATGATCTTAGAATCTTTCTTTCTAAATCTTTTAATTGTTTTTAATATATAAAAGATATTTTTATTAAATTAATCAGAAACAATTTATTATAATTTCAAAAAGTATCAAAAATATTGCAATAATTAAAAATTTAATTGATTTAGTAGATTAGAAAGTAAGTAAGAATGACTTCAACTTAGGTAAAATTACAATAGCTTGACTTGTAAAGAAAGGATATAGAAACATAAATTAGCGCATTAAATAAAGAAATTAAGTATTATGAAGACAAAAGTATTTTTAGCATAAAATATTGTTGGTTTTGTTGATTTTAAACTTTAAATTTAGATTATAACAAAAGTTTAGTTGATGAAGAAGGTTTTCCAAGAGCTGATTTAGATTTTGGAGAATTAAGCACATACAAAAATCTCAAAAGAAAATTTAATGGTAAAATTATTTAGAAGCAACAATTATTTTACTTTTTTTATTAAATTTGAAAAGAATTAAACAATGATTATAAAGGCTTAATGGTAGAAATAGAGAAAAGTAAATAAATATTTATTTGCTTTTAGGAATCTCAGTTATTTATCTCAAAATTATAATCTAGGTTTAGGTGATTTACATGAAGAATACAGAGAAAGTGGATAAGCCTAAAGGGATTTAGAAGAATATGAAAAGAATATGGAAATAATGAAAAAAACTGAAGCTGCTGAAAAAGCTAAAAAGGAATATGATGAAGATATGAAAGATGAAAATTTAAATGCAGAAATAAAAAAAAATATTTTGATTCCATTTGCTTATATAAATGAAGTAGTAGATTAATCTCCAGCATTTTAAGCAGGTGTTAAACTAAACGATTTAATTGTTTCTTTTGGTCCTGTAAATCATTACAATCACAAGGAATTATAATTTTTGATAGAAACTGTTAAATCGAATGTCAACAAAGAAATTCCAGTCTAAGTATTAAGAAAAAATAATAAAATATAATAGTCTGAATAATTTTACTACAAGAATGAAAATTACGAACTAGTAAATTTAACTCTCACTCCTCGTACATGGAGCGGTCAGGGAGTCCTAGGGTAATAATATAATTTTATTGATTTGGCTAAATAATTATAAACATATTTAAATATTTATCTAAAAGGTGTCGCTTCAAATTAGTTTGAGTTAATAAATTTTGTTATAAAAATTGAACGAAATACTTAAAAAATAGATTAAAAATATAAATAATGTTGTGTTTATTATAAATATTTATTTTATTTTGTATTCTAAAATTTATTTTTTATCAAAAAATTAATTTAAATTAAACCTCTTAAGAAAAGTTTGAAGTTATTTGAAAATTTAATTTAAGATATTAAAATAATTTTTATTTTACTTTTTATAAAAAATAGCATAAACAAAAAATGTTTCAAACAATAATTTAGAAAAATTTTCTATTCAACAAATTTAATTTATTCTAAATTTAAATTTGATAAAATTTAGTTAGACTTTTTAATTTTATTAAAATATGAAATACTTTTTTATTGTCAAAATATTAAATTACAAAACTAAATTTAGAATATTTGCTGTTTCATCTTGAAAGGCATTTCAATATTAAAAAGTATTTTGAGATTTTTTAATTTACCTGTTAAATAATTAATAATTAAAATTGTTCATTTTGTGTTTTTTTTAATATTTATTTTATTTTGTACTTTAAAATCTATTTTTTTTTATCAAGAACTTAATTTCAATTAAATCTCCTTAAAAAATTTAAATCTATTTCAAAATTTAATTTAAGATTTTAAAATATTTTTTTTGATTTCAATTTATAAAAAATAATTTAAAAAAAAAATATTTAAAACAATAAATTAGAAAAAACTTCTACTCAATAAAAAAATGTATTTATTCCAAATTTAAAGTTGATAAAAATTTAGTTACATCTTTTAATATTACTAAAATATGAAATACTTTTTTATTGCTAAATAATCAATCTTAAAATTAGAATATTTACTATTTTATTTTGATTGGTATTTCAAAATAAAAAAGTATTTTGACATTTTTAATCTACCGAATTATTACATAATTTTATTTTAACCAATAATAGATTAAATATCTTAAAGGTCTTATGTATGTGATGAGTGGGATTTTTTTCTTAATTAATAAACGACAAATTAATTTTTTTATTCGTTGAAGGATTGTGATTTAAAAAAGCATTGTATGAAATTTGAAGAAATTAAAAGTTAATTTGTTTTCTCCTAATTATTTCTTATAAAAAAAATTGATAGTGTTTTTATAAGTGTTTGAAAAGACCTAAAATCAAAGTTAGAAGGTATTGAAGCTAGTATCAATAATAAAAGGTTTAGCAGACTTTTTATATTAAAAAATAAAGACATTCAAAACAAAATATCACTTCTGATAGTTTTTAATTAGATATAATTAGCAATTAGCAATGCAAAATCGTAAAATTACCAAAATGGTTGAGAATTACTCGCTTGACGAAGTAATTGGATCCGGTTAGTATGGCAAAGTTTATAGAGCAACAAATATAAAAACGAATAAAGTTGTCGCTATAAAAGTAGTTAAAATATAGAAATTTAAAGAAAACCCTAAATTAGAAGAATGCACTGTAAATGAAATTAAAACCCTTAGTTAAATGGATGATAATAGACATGTTGTCTCATTTATTGAACTTCTCAGAAGTAGTAATAATTATTACTTTGTCTATGAATTTTGTAGTGGTGGAACTTTGGAAGATTAATTAAAAAAGAAAAAAATATTTAAAGAAAATGAAGCTCTTCACGTTTTTGCATAGTTACTAGAAGCCTTTAAGGTGTTAAGGAAATTCAATATAATGCATAGAGATTTAAAGCCTACTAATATTTTATTGCATAACAACTAAATTAAATTAGCAGATTTTGGATTTTGTAAATCCCTAACGAACCCAACTGATATGGCTCAAACTATGCTAGGTTCTCCTCTCTATATGGCGCCTGAAATCCTTAGAGGATAAGACTACTGTGTAAAAGCAGATATTTGGAGTTTAGGCGTTGTATTATATGAATTACTATTTGGCATATGTCCGTTTGAAGAGGTAATTTATGCTTAACAAATATGAATTAAAATCTAAAAAAAAACAGTGGTTTTTAAAGCAAATTGTATTTTAAAAGCCATGCAAAATTAAGATTTTTTTTAATATTTTTTTAATAATTATTAAATTAGAAATCGATAGTCAGACTAATTAGTCTTTTAAATGATGGTTAGTTGGTGATTAGAAAAGATATTTAAAATATTTCACCACAAACAGAAGCCCTCCTCATGGCTATGCTTGTAAAAGATCCAGAATAGAGAATATCATGGGATTAGCTTTTTTAAATCTAAATTAACAGTGACGGAGAGTATGTAGATCCCAACGCATAAATCAAAGGAGGAGCTTAAAATTTATCTTCTAAAAAGGAAAGAAGCTAGCAACCTAAACCTCCTCATTCTACTCCTCAATAATTTTAGAATGCAGCTTCAAGCTAAGAAGAGATACAAAAATAAAATTCAACAAACTCTTCGAACAACATGTTTCCATAGCATTAAAATCTAAATTCACAAACAAAACCTTAAAGTAGTATTTAACCAACTCACTTTAATCCTAACCATTAAAGGAGTGTTTCTTCTCATGCTATGTTTACTTAGCATTCAAAAACAGAAACACCATCAAAAACAGCTTTTGCAAATGGAGGAGGAATGACTCGAGACTACTCAAATGATAAAATAGGATTGACTTAAAATAATATGCAAGCCACTGAAAAAAAAAGCAATGAAAGCAAAGATAAAATTAATTCTGTTCAATAATTTTAGCAAGTACTTGAGACAAATGCTAATAATCTCGTAGGCTTTAACACTAATGAGATAAATCGCCCAAATTCATAGAATAGTGTCAATTCTTTTGTCCCACATCCACCATAAAGGGAGAATCCGTTTAGGAGTGCAACTACTGAAGATAAAATAGCATAACAAAATTTCAAAGCCTAAGACTAGCTAGACTCACCATTAGCCCCTTAGCGCTTATAATTAGATTAGACGTCGAATTCTTCACAGGCATAATAAATGAAAGACCCATAAAATAGCATAAAATTCCAAAGATAGGATCATAAAAGGGCACTTACTTCAATTGGAGGGGTAGCCAATTATCAAAAGCCACTTTCTATTAATAATAATATTATGAATATTTAATAGAATGAGCACATAGAAAATAATGCTGATTATCTAAACTTAAATCCCGCTGCTGCTGCAAATAATTCTGCTACTTCATCTTAAACTAATCTTGCAAGTAATTTGTACAGTAATAGTGATTCAAAGCGCAATATCCTCCATGGTTAAACCTTAGAAGATAGATATAAATAACCAATATTATAGACTTAAAAGCCTCCCACTCTTGTGGTTACTCCTACTTTGACTCTTTAAACATAACCAACATCTCAAATTATTCAAAAAGATCCATAAGTTTCATAAGATTTGGTTTCTACTTTATAATCTTCCTCATCTACTTCAGGAAGAAGCATTAATAATACTAGTTGTAATTAAAATAATGCAAATATCGCTTTAAATAATAATTCAGCATCTGCCTCAGGTAATTCTTAAGCACTTAATTTGTAAGTTTAAAGTAGTGCAAACAACAACCCAAGCAATTTGCAGAATTCAAGTAGTAGCTCAAAAATAGCAAGCAATAATTAGCTTAGTATAAGCGGAAACAATTAAATTTCTATGTATAGCTCAACTGGTAATCAAATTCCTCCAATTCATCCTTCGATTGCCTCTGCAGGAGTTTGTAAAAATAATAAGTAACAGAATGTAGATATATCTCAAAAAATAGTCTAGGAATTATCTAAAGAGAGAAACAAGCTTTTCTTTTTGACTTAGCTACTTTACGAGCTGATTGATATTTGCGAAAATGAAAATTATAACATAATACTACCATAAATAACTTATTAATACTACCAGCAAATAATTCTAACTCGTTGTGAAAGACTGAAGAAGCTTATAGAATTAAATTAGAGTTTCATATCTTAGCAGATAGATCTTCCTGCTCCACTAACAACTATGGATTTAGCAAGAACTATGATGAATGAAGGATATATAAAGATAAGGAGTGCAATTGAAAAAGAAATAACTTTGATAGAATAGAATTTCTTGCATGTTAAAAATGAATACCTTTATTTTGAAATATATTTTTAGCAGAATAATAACAACGAACAATTCTAATCAATGAAAAGTTAGAATATTGAGTAATTAATAAAAAGCTTTATTAAGCAAGTTATAGCTAATAATGATTCTGATGAAGGAGGTGAAACTTCTTACATTAATAGGTTAAGAGTCTGCGCTAAGTTAGTAGATGTTTACGATTTTGATAACATTTTAATAAATGAACTAGGAAATAATGTCAACAATTGGGCATATAATAAGGAAATAAAAAATGCTGATAAATAAAAAATTTTAAGTAAAATATTTAATCATTAATCACTTTCTCCTATAAACTGATTATTCGAAATAATACAAATAAATTCTAAAAATAGTAGCAATTTGAATTTCAAAATTAACTAACTGATTAACTGAATAATAAACAGAAAACTTTCTTACACACAGAAATGATTATAATTTAATAATTAAAATTTAAAAAAATAATATTTATTCCTTTTATATAAAAATTCTCAATCTTGAAGCATGAAGAAGAAAATAAATATATAAATCAATCAATCATTCATTCATTTCTAAAAAATAATAATATCTTTTATTAATCCTTCAATTTAAATAATTTTATATGTATATTAAGAATATTATATATCTATCTATCTATCAATCAAAATATCCATTCATCCTTCAATTTTTTAATTTCTTTATCTCTATCTATTTAGCTTTCATTTTTGTTTATTTTATTCGAAAATAATTTTAGATTTTTATAGGTTTCTCAATCAAAATGAATTTTTAATTATTGATCTGTTAAAGTTATGAATATTAATAATGTATTTCAATTTAAAAATAAATAAAAATTTACTTCAATTACATCTATGCTTGATAGCTTCTTATAGCAAAAAAGTATCTATAAATTTTAATAGTATAAATAATTATTGAAATTTACCTATCTATCTATCAATCAATCAATAAATTAATTATTTTTTAATAGTTAAATTACAAATTTGCGCAATATATTTCAACGTTATAAAAGAGATATTTAATCCAATTCCAAAGAACTAGCTAACGGAGAGTCAGTCATAACCAAAAGAAGAAATTAATATAAATTAATTCAGTAGTTAAAATGAATTCGACACAATAAGGAAGAAGTACAGTTTTTACTGATCTTGATTTGAGGATTATTATACCTCCTAAGCACCATTTAAAAAAATCTCTAAATACAATTTAGCAATAGCAAGGATTTGTTCCGAAATCTTTGAAAAAATAAGAAATTTTTGAGGATGGAGGAAAGAAAAAATATGAATAAAGCAAGTCTATTGATTTTTCAAAAAGTAAAATTGATAGTGCAATAGTTTAAAAAAAAGGTATGGGAACTTATAACACTGAATATTTGAGGCGTTAGTTAGAAAATAACCCTAATTAAAATCAGTAACCAGCAGTCAGAAATGAAGATTCTAAAAAAATCAAGACATACTTTAACGATCCATCAATTAAATTGAACACAATAAGTAAAAATTTTACAGTTAAACCTGAAGATTGTTCAGATTCTAAAGTAAACTCTAGACCCAATTATTATCTGTCCTCAAAAAATGTTTAAAGGACAATGAACCAAGATCAATTTTCTCAAACAGGTAAAATAAATAGCAGGAAAACAAATTTATCAATGACAGCGTCCAATTTAAACTCAACACTAGATTAATACAGATTTAATAGCAACCATTACGATAATAGCTCAAATAATACAGCAAGTACCTAAAAGATATAGAGCTAAACAAAAGCATCTCATTAGAGGTGTAATACAGAAACAGGTATTTTCAACTAAGTTCCTAGAAACTAATATAAGAATATTCATACAAATAAAGTAGCAGTAGGAAATAATGGAGTAGGTTTTTATATTTAATGACTAACTAAGTAATTTCTAAATAGCAACCAGAATTATAATAATAACTAATTTATATAAAATAGAAAATAAATTGTAAATATTTTAAAGAAAATAAATTTGAGTATAAATTAATATTAATTATATTTATTTGTTGATGTATTTTTTGCAATAAAATTATTATCTTTTAAATTTGCTATTTACTTTTTTCATTTTGTAAATTTTATGGTGTTTATATGTCCTCAAAAGTCTAATGAATGATAAACAAGTCTATTTTAAAATAAAAGAGTTTTGTTTACTTGCTTTTACCTATCAAAAATGATAAAATTTATTAATGTTAATAAGTAAATTTAGCTTAAATGATAAATTTTGATTAAATTAAATAAAAAAATATAGAAGAAAATTCTAACAACAGAGTTAATAATATCATTTTTTAAAAAGGCTATTAAAAATTAAAACAACAAAATGCAATTAATGAAAACATAAAAGTAAGAAAAAATAATAATTTGTTAAAATTAACAGCATGCAGTGCATCGCATTAAGATTATTAATTACATTAGACAACTTAGATAGATTGTTTATTTATTTATTAATTTATGGGGCAAACAACAGTAGCCAGAGGTGCTAATTCTTGAAATTCTTATTCACTTTAATGACTTGAATCTAAATAAGCGAATTATCAGATGTGTATTAAGAAATTGCATGCATATATTAAATAGTCTTATCAAGCTGCTAGCAGTGAATTTAATTAAATGAGAGCTGTCACAAAATAACTCATATAATTAATTACTGTGATTATTAATACATTGAAAAAATTTGAAACAAAAATAAGATATAAGAATACAAAAGAGAAGAGATTACAAAAATTAAGAGAGTGAGTTAGTGAGTAACATAAAGCGGAACGATACAAATAGCTTTCATTAAAAATTAAACCCTTTGTATTAAATTGATACTATGGACTCTCCTAATATCAAATCTAATTACTACACATCATCACCTGTAATATTTTGTTTGAATTTTCTATATCAAATATTAGAAATTAGAAATCTGTTCATTATCTTTAAACTTATGATAAATGAAAATCTACAAATTATATGAAAAACACTTAACAATCAATTGTTTTTTCTTCAAATAGAATTAATGAATATAATATTTTTATTACTTAAAATATTTTTTTTTCATACATATAGATATAGAACTTCATTACGCAAGCAACTGAACCAGACAGATTAATAACCGAATTCTGTGATTTTAGGTTTTTGCATACTTCTTTAGATATATATTTTAACATACATTGTAAAAAATAATCAGTATATACATCCTACATAAACACACACAGCAGCTATCAAATAAAACAAAAATACAAAATCTAAATTCACTTTACTAATGAATTTATTTACTTATTGCATGATCAAATTTTGATGCAATTTATTTTCAGATGAAAAGCGCCACGATTACTAAAAATTACCGCTAAAATTAGGATGATTACATTTATATTTTGATTGCTTATTAAGCAGATTATTTAACTTATAAAGCTAATTTTAGAATGACATATATTATAATGTGTTTTTTAATTACAAATAGTGGCTTAAAGAATAGTAATTGTGAAGAGGAAATAATTGATGACGATGATGAGTTAGTGCCTTAAGTACCATAAACATTAGAAAAGAAGATACCTTTGATGAATAAATATTTTAGAGATCGAACTCGATCAGATAAACTATTTACATAAACTTCTTTATAAAGTCTAGCAACCTTAAAAACAGAAAATGAGTAATTTACTAATATTTTAAAAATTTAATATTTTGGAAGATAAAAGATAGAGAAATTTTTTAATACCATAAATTGACATGATATAGAAAATCTCTTAAATAGCCACAAAAAATCAATATAAAAAGATAAAATATTTGTTAAAATAAATGAATGAACGAATGATCAATTACTTAAGCACAATTTTATTTTAAGAGAAATTAAATTCACACTTAATTAAAAAGAATTTTAAAATATGTAAGAAATTATGCTATGAATAATCTCAATAATCAATAGAATTAATATTTACAAAAAATATTTGAACATATAACATAATAAAAGCTTACTTTATTACTGATGATTTTTATTCAAATTAAGCTGACAACTTTTTAAACAATTAAAATTAAGTCATTTTAAGATGTATAAACGAATAAATAAATAAATAAATACATACATATATTTTAAATCTAAACTTTATAATTAAAAAGAAAAATAAATATATTATCACCAATTTGATAGTTTATTTCATAGCTAAATTAGAAAAGAATAAAGTTGGTGTGTATATATGTTTTTAGGTATGTAGGTAGGTAAGTAGGTGGGTTGATTAGTAAAAATAATTATGAAAAATAATTCAAAGTCTATTTGTGGTATTAATAAAAAATTACTAACATTAATTATTTTTCAATACGGTAAACTTTTAAGTAATTAAATTATATCAAAAAGAAAAGAGAAGAAATAAAGTAATTAAAACCAAGAGCATTTAGAGAGTATTGAATAAAAAGAAGAGGAAGATTAAATATTGTCTTAACAGAAATAATAAAAAAACGAAGCAGCGGAAGAGATAGGTAGTAAAATAGAGAAAAGTTAATCAAAGTAGATAAAAAATTAAGAAGGGCCAAATACATTAGAAGATAAACAAAGCTAGCAATAATTAGAAAAGCAAGAGGAAGTAGAAGAATAAAAGTAGCAGGGTCGTAACTTTTCCTTTTCAAATCATCCATAAACGCCAAAAAGAGATAGTAATAGCTCTTCAATAAACCTTAGCGAACAGTATTTTGATTTAAATACTCATTTCTTTTCCTGCTTAAAATGCAAGCAATTGCCAAATAAATAGCATATTTGTTTTAAAAATAATTAATATATTTTTTTTGTTTAAAATATAGAAAAAACTCTATATTTGATACTCCTAAGCTTAATAGCCAATCTCCATAATAATTAGAAAATCAAACTCCTAGTAGAATAAATCAAGAAAAAAATTAAAAGGAATAGCAGTAACCACAATTAATTAGTTAGCGCATCAGCACAGAGAGCACATCAACTTCTTCTTCATCTTAGATAGTAACAGTGTTTTAAATGCCTAACTTTTCTAATTCAAATAACTACAATTAATGCACTAGTCTGAGTAATACATCATTTAGTTCTACATAAAATGATAACAACATTTCTCAAACATCAACAAAATAATCAGTATGAGATCTTTTATTTTTTTAAATAAAACTTACTATTTTTTAAATTCAAAAGGATATTTCTATCAATGAGACTATATCTATGCTTGAAATCAATGAGATTGCCTCCAAACTTAAAAGATTGCCTGCTAAAGAGAGGTGCCTTTTTTTATTTTTTATTTTTATTAGTAATTTAAGTTAGTTAACAAGTTGAGTTTTATGATTAAAATTTATTTATTTCTTTTAATATAGAAAAATGAAAGAGCTGGTTTTAATTAAGGAATGGAATTAAGATAAATATTATTCTCACATTATTGACATTTCTTGGGCAGTTTAATACACTAAATGGCTTTCAGACCCTCATTCCACAGCCTCTTTTTCCTTGCCTATTTCAAATAGCAACTTAATCGATTATGAAAATAAAACTGTAAAAAAGGGAATCAAAGAAAAAATTAATTTTGATATAGTCAGCTCTAAAGTTTACTTTCTAATGAGATGTCTTTATGGAGGAGGTCCTGATATTCCTTTGTCTAGACAGAGCAGCAGTACAAGTAGTAAAAGTATTACTGAAGCAATAAAAAGCGCTCAAAACGTAAAGCAGCCATCTTCAGGAGGGATTGGAGAGAATCTTTTTTCTAAATAATCTTCATCTACTTCAACTGCAGCAACAACTAACCCGAGTATGTTGGAATATCACAATCGGGCTTAAAAGTAAATGATTCCTTCTTAGTTTGATAATTAAGTAATATAGACTGCAGATGTAGTTCGTCCAAGCTAATTATTTAAAAAGCAAGCCTTAGGAGTTAGGGGATTGCACAATTAATCCAATTACTGTTACCTAAATGCTTCCGTATAATGTTTGCTCTCCATTCCAGAACTTAATAGCTATTTTCTCAGTGAAGAATATAGAAGAGTTGTAAAAATACAAGGTACAAGAAAAGCCCTAAAAATTGTTCCTGTATATGCAGACATGATAAAATTGTATGAAAAAACTTCAGAAAATAATATTTTAGATATGAATTTACTGAAAAAAGTAATAAAAAAACCATTTATTCCTCATGAACAACACGATGCTTAAGAATTCATTAGATATGTAAGATATTAATCATTTTTTTTATTAAAAAACTAATTTATTTATTATTATTTCCTAGATATTAAGTGAAATTTAGGATGAGCTAAATCCTATTCTACCAAGTAAAAATCCCACCTAATTTAAAGACTCTGAAGAAGCCTATCAATATTATTTAAGATTCCAAAACAGTATAATTGATTACATCTTTTCTGGATAGTTAAGCAGCAATGTGAACTGCAGTAAATGTGGATATATCTCTAGAACATATGATCCTTTTTTAGATCTGTCTCTTGGTATGGATTCTAAAACTACATCGGTATAGGATTGCTTAAATAAATTCTTTTCAGAAGAAATACTTTCAGATGACTACAAATGTGAAAAGTGCAATTAAAACAATAAAGCTAAGAAGCAAGTGCTCATTTCAAAAACTCCTTACATATTGACATTACACCTTAAGCGCTTTAAAATATATCCAAAAAAGAGAAAAATAACAGATTTTATAAAATACCCTATTTAAAATTTATCCATTAAACAGTAATTAATTCAAATTGAAGCTTTACTAATAAAATATAAATTTTATAATACTTAGATATGTCAAAAACAGTTCAACTAGTGGAGGTTACTACTATAATTTAATAGGAATTATTGTACACTCTGGAAGCTAAGATTCTGGACATTATATATCTTACGTCAAAAGAGAAAATAGAGTAAACTTAGATTTAAAATTTTTTGACTTCTTTCTTATTTTATTTATTTATTTAAAGTGGTTTTGTTGTGACGATGGCAAATACTAAGAAGTTAGTGAAAAGACTGTAATAAAATAGGAAGTTTATCTACTATTTTATCAAAGGATAGAAGAGAGTCCAGAAGTTAATTAACAAAAAAAAATCGCCTAGTGATTTTTTGATTACTCGCTTTAATTAATAAAAACAATTCATTAAATAAGATTTGTAAATAAAAAAGCGAAATTTGTAAACAAAATAAATAAGATTAATTAAATTAATGAAATATTTTGTTGCTCTTTCTTTTAAATGAGCACATTCAAAATAATAACAACCAAATTTCTTTCTCTGTTTTCTTAACCTATAAAGCAAACAAAAAAACAAACAAACAAACATATATTTCAGAATAAAAACTAACTAAAACTAATTGATACTATATATATAAATCACATAATAAAGTAATACAGATTAAAAAGACAAAAATTTCATAATAATTATCAAGCAAATCTTCTTCACTTAAACAATTTTCCAATCAAGGTGAAGAACCAAAAATTATTAAATGATCAAATAAATAAATGAATGTATGTATGCTGACTAATCTAAAAAGAACTAAAAATTAAAAATATACATTCTTTCTAAAAAGAATAATAATCATAATAATATTATTATTTAAAAAATAAAATTTTTAAATATACATATTCCTAAAAAAAATTATTATCTTATAATCATATTCAAATAAAAAAATGACTTATTTATAATAAATATATTTAATAAATATTAAGCTCTAAATTTATTCAATTCAAATTTATTTGTTAAAATTAATGTTTATCTTATTTCATATTTTAAACTAATTTCATTAAAAAAATTGATTTCTTATAATATCTTATTTGCTCAATTTATTTATTAATTATATTTTTCTTATCTTTTAATTTTTATATCTCTTAAAACAGCTGAACTATTTTCAAATTTTTTTTTTCTTCAATTTTTAATCATTAATCTAAATTATTAAAATTTTTATTTATTTTATGATATTATGTATATGCCATAAGATGCTTATTAAATAAAAATTCAACAAATAAAAAATGACAGGCAATTACAAAAGATTATAAAAGTACTTATCAAAGACTTTTTTTAACAACAACTTTCAAATTTTATTTAGTCTTACTAATATAAATTAATAGTTATTTTTTAATAGAAAAATATAAAAAATTATTTTGAATAAATAAATATTTTTTAAAATATTTAAGATAATAAAATTGATTTTCTTTCAATATTTTCATATTAACTGTAAATATAAATACTAAACAATAATAATAATAAAATAAATAAATAATTTAGAATTTTAGTTTTTAAGTGTTATTTTTTTTTTATAAATGAGTGCATTCTAAGCTTTGGATATAAATTAATTATAAAAAATGTGATTAGCTTTGTTAAGAGTTAAACATTGAATAAATATAATTTTTATTTGAAATTATTTAGCATAATCAATAAAATTAATCAATTTCTTGTAATTTACTAAAAAAAATTAATCAGATGTCTGAATTGTTTATTTTTTTAGATTTATGTTATTAGTTATTCAAGCATATTTAATTTTTTCTTCTAATTTGTCAATACCAGTTTTAATTTATTCATAAATTTATAGCTTTTTTTGTGATTTTTGATTTTCCGTTTCTAAGACTTCTTTTTCAAAGTTTTTTAGATATTTTAAAGTCTCCTCTTTAAACTGGGATAATAATTTTTTATTTATTTTAACAAAACTATTATATTTCTTTATCCTTTCTTTTAGATCAGGTTCTGTTTTTTATAGCTTTTCTGTAATCAAGTCAACATAATTTAAGTTATCCTATATCTTTGTTTCTTAGCTTATGGGTGTATGAATATTTATTAATTCTGTTTTTGATTTAAATTATCCAAGTTTTTTAGCTTCCTCTAATATTAATTCATACTCAAATTTTAGTATTCCAATCCCTTACATATCTTGTTGAGAAATAGCTTTCTTTATAAAATTGTAATATTGAGTTCCCAAGTTTTGATAAGTATGATTATAATTCTTTTTCGTATTTTTAGAAAAGACAATATCTAAAGTTTTCTATTCATTGAAATTGTTGTCATTAGGTATTTCTTCTTGTGCTATTTAATCGTTATCTCCAACTAGATATTCTTCGAAAAAGTTATCTGATTCTTATCCTTTTTAATCTTTATTATCAAAATATTCATATGTTGTAAATCCAAAAGTATTTGTATCAGCTCTGGTAGATAGGAAATTAGTATTCAATTATCCAACGCAAATATTATTATCATACTCCACTGAGCAGATACTGCCCTCGATTATATTTTTAACTTCTAAATCTTCTAAATAATTGGCATCCATATCTAAAATTGATATTCAATTTAAGTAGCGCCAGTATTTTTGTCAAGATTGGTCTTATTTTCTTCCTTCTAATTAGTTTTTTGTATCTAATATCTTAATCAATATAAATGAATATGAAAATCTAAATTAAAATTTTTGATGGTTTAGATTATCTTAGTTTCTAAATTCTGAATAGAATTAAGTTGATTTATTTATTACTTGGCTTTAATTATTATTTTTCATAATTATAATTTAATCTTGCTTACTTACTTACTTAATTTATTAATTTTTATTTTAAATTTAATTAAAAAATTAATAAATATTTTTAATAAAATTAAAATTTCTATTACAAAAATTTATTTACTCAAAATCTATTAATTATTTTTTTTAATGGATTTATTTGATTAATCTTTTGTCAGCAAATTATTTAAATATTTACAAATATTTAATAGAAATATTCTTAATTATTTATTTTACGCTAAATGAAAAGATTTGATTTTATTTTAAATAAATTAAAAAAAATATCTTTCTTTCTCTTAGCAATCAAAAAATATCAAAAATTAATATTTTATAAAACTTCTAGCTAGCTTTAAAATGCATAATATAATTTAATATTTAAGCAAAAAGCAAACCTAATTTATTTTCTCTACATGTAGAGTTTCAAAAAATTATTGGGCTAATTCTTTTAATTCAAGGGTTATTAAAAACTTTTCTACAACTACTACTGAAATGAATGAATCAATTCATAATCAAAACACATAATTCCACCTGAGTTAACAAGAAAAATAGAATCTTGAACTATTGCAATTAAAGAAAGAAAAAATTGATTTAATTGACAGTAATTTGATTGATAATTATGAGCTGAATTTAAAGAACTCTCTCAGGTAAATTACTATTCCATAATTTATATCTTTTATTAAGACTAAGCATTTCTATGTTATTAGAATTAAGTCAGAGTTATTGCAAGATGAAAAATACAAAGATTAGGATCTCTCTAAACAAAATAACTTAATTTCGAAAATACATGGCTGCAAGCAATTATAAGAAATTTTATAATTATTTGAGGATGAAAAAGAACATTTCGATTTAAATTGCTACATAAATTGTTTAAGTATGATTGAAGGAGAACTAAAAAAGCAAGCCTTAAAAAGCAGTGATAAACATCTTTTAGATGATATTCGCTATAAGAAAATTATTGAATACACTTTTTCTCAAACTAAAAACTTAGATGAATACTGTAATCATTAACAAAAACAATAAAATATTATTTAATTTAGTTAGATTAAGCTAGCTTAATCGCCATAAAATATAATGATTTATTTATTAATGGATATCTACAATCTGTTTCTAGAATTAAATTAAATTTGATTTGATTAACAATTTATTTTATAAAGATATTATTATCAGTTGATTTAAGCTAATAATTAATTTTTATGAAAACTTAGAGAGAATAACCTTGCTTAGTTGGATAGCTAAAAGCACATAACATCATACTTTAAGAGGTTTGCAGGAATCAGAAATAAAAGGCTTCTGTTTAGAGAATGAGAAATTGATTAGTGAAGGCTATTTTAACTTTTACAATTTAGTTTATGTTTTATACAATTTCGAGCTTTTATCCTTCAATAGCATTCAGACTTCTGATATAATCTATAACATAGTTGAAAATAAAAAAGAAACATTAACAAAAAATCAGGCATAACTTTTAATGTATATATACTCATCAAAAACGCTTAGACACATTCCTCTATCTCTAAATGTAAATTACTATTAAATATATTAACATCTATTAACATAAATATAATTAATAAAGGAATTACAATTATCGTATAAATGCTCTATATTTTTAGAAAATTAATTAGACAACATTTCTTTACATAGCAAAGCAAAAATTTTTTAGCATCTCTCTACAATTTAGCACTGCTTCAATAGACCATATTTTAAAATACCTCAGCTTTTGTATAAATTGGAAGCTTAAATATTATAAAATCTTAATTAGCTTACTGAATAAGAAATAATTAGCATAGCTGCTTCGTTTTAATATATTCCAAATAGTTTTAGTAACTCAATTTTGACAGAAATATAGAATATCATTTTTACTTAGACCTAAAAAGAAAATTAATTTGATGTTTCATTTAATCTTGTTGTCAATTTTGTCGTAATTTTGAATAAAATGAGAAAAGTATATTTTACTGATCAGGAATACTAAAGTGTTTCTCAATTATTAATCAGAATATTTAAAGAATAATTAGATAAAGGTCAAAATATAAACGTAGAGTCTTGGATACAATTACTCATGAAAATTAAAGGTAATTTATTCTAAAGAAGTTTTATTTTAATTTATAATATTTAAAAAAGAATTAAAAAGTAAAGAAGTGAATGAAGTAATTTTGTAATGTTTAAAAATGAATTCTAATAAAATTTAGTTTTCTTTATTGGAGTACCTTATTATAGAAAATGTTGATGTTTCTGAATTTTTATCGGAGTAAATTCTTAGCTAATACTTAAATTAAGCAGATTAAATCAGATTATATGTAATTTTGTATGTGGCAAACCTTAAAGAATCAAAAACATTTTAAACTATTGAAAATAATATTGAGGAATGCATCAATGCTAATTTTAAAAAATCATTAGATAGCTTTACAAATTCCCATTTAAAAGGTTTTGAGATTTATTCAACTATTTCAAAAATATTCATTAAAAAGCTTTAAGGATAAGCAAACGTTATGCTATAGTACTCAGATTCAGCTTATTAGTTCTTTTATATGATGTCTAAGCTATTATACTTTTAAACAGATAGAATTTTATGGGTAGATTGGATTGATAAAAATGAAAGGCTTTTAAAACATGGCAGCACAACGATTCATTTATTATAAGCTTTTTCAAATAACTAAAATAAAAATATTAGCTAACTTATCACAATAGTCCACTTGTCACAATATTACTACTTTTCATTATAAAGTTTGCTCATCTATTTAAAAGATACACAATTTGTTACAATTAAATTATACTCTTATGGAAATATCATAAAAAGATTGTTTAAGATGATGTCAAATAAATTAAAAGACGGAAGTACTTCCAATCTTAGATTGGATCTTATTTTTTCGTTATATTTGATTCTCTAAAATCTTAATTTTTATTAAAGTTGTGTTGGAAATTTGTTAAAGTAAGCTTATCTCTTCAAACTGAATGAATTAAACAAAAAAAATAACCGTATCTAATAAAATTTACCAAACTTAGTTAATGAATTAGAAGTAGTGAGTTAAAATTACCCATTAATTTTAATGAAATTGGATGTCTTCCCCGAAGAATATCTAGTATCTTATTACAATAAATACTTTAACAGCATATCTAGCATGTATCATAGAGCACTTCTCCTAAGTTAGATAATAAAATATAAAAAATAGGAAAATATTCCTAACATTCAATAAAATTTAAAAGACATTTTAAATGAAGCATAAAACGTTATCCTAGATTAATCAGTTGAATTTCCAAATAAAGTTGAATAGGTCTAAGTATTTCTGTTATTCCCTTATTCTGTAAATTTGGCTTCATTATGAATTAACTTTTTTTAATTTTAAAAAAAATAAATTTACTAAAATTTAATAAAATATATCAAGGTATTTAAAGACTACATCAATAATGGCTAAGAGTTTTCTTTAAGCCTAAACCAACTTATTTATGATAACTTAGAGAACTTAAACAAAGAAGATTTTATTAACATAATGAATGCAATAAATTTAGATGAACATTCAACCTATCCATAGTTTTATAAGCCACTCCTTAACTCTTTAGTTGCTTATTTTTCTAAAAACTTACTCGTTTTTAAAAATTTTACTATGGTATCTTTTCTGAAAAAGTATTAAATATTTAAAAATAAAATGGATTATTCAATAATCTTATTTAATTTGTAAATAATTAGGTTCGTAGATGCTAAATATTTAAATATTGATTTCATAAACTCCGTCATACAATTTTCTTCTGTTAAATTTTAAAAATTCACTTATGAGGAAAGAGTAGGGCTTATTAGTTATTTTTCAAGTTTGAAAATTGTTCAAAAAGAGTTTTTCAACTAAAATTTTTTGAAGATCTAAGAAAACCCATCTGCTTTTAGATCATATACATTTAAGCTACTTTAAAGTATATTCTAGTTAGGATATGTGTCTAAAGATATTGAAAAAGGTATATTAGCTATAGTTCAAAGTGATTCATAGAATAGTATTTAAGATGTGAAGGAATTCTATTTATATTGCTCTGTCCTATTAATAAATTCAGAAATTGATGTTGAATCTATAAAATATATTAATATGACTTATTCTAAATAAAATCAAAAAAAATCTTCAGAAAAATATGTAATTAATTAAAAATATATTTCATCTGCAAAATCTAATATATTCATACAAATTACTTTTATTTTAGCAAAGAAACAATGTATTCCCCCATATATACCACTTAATAGTTGAAAGGATGCTATAAAAATTACTAGGAAATGATTATTAACAATAAATATAAAATGGCCTAATTTAGAATTAAACTAAATAACTCGACAAGACACTCTCCCTGTAAAAAAAACAGAGGGACATCCATGAAACTGTAAATCAACAAAATTAGAACAATATTTAATTTTCATATTTTAAATAAAAAGCTTTCAATAATCCTTAAATTACTGAATATTTAGCACCAAATTAATTACTATTTCTAAAATGCTAATATATATTGTGATATTTATCTCATAGAAAAGTAAGAAATTTATAAAATATTATATTAGAAAATCTTAAAATTATAAATAGAAAAATAGCTATAAATTTGTACCCTAATTCTTGTTTTGCTTATGATGAACAAACACCCTAAGGATAATATACCTTGATTAAAAACTATATAAAAGTAATGGAGCCTTAAATAAATGATGTCAAAATCCTAAATGCCAGTTTATTTAAATTTACAGACATGAATTAGCAAAAAGACATACTCAATTAAACTTGTAAAATAAAAAAAAAACATTCAAAAAAATAAATATATATTAATTATTTTCATAAAAAAAGTTAACTTAGAGTTAGATTTAGAGCAATATTAGTCAATAATAAAAAAAATAGATGTTAATTTTTTAAACCTTGAACAAAACAAAAATTGAATTGAGAAATTCTAATTAAATTAATTCAGAATTGAATAAATAAATGTTTGGTAGGTTATCTAAAAAAGCTTTATTTCTTTGCACATTTTTTTATAAACAAATATCAAAATAGTTTTTACATGTTTCTTTTTTTGGCATACTAATTTTCTTATTTATCCTAAATATTTTACTTATAAATAAATTTTGAATAATCACCTATCAAATTTGTGCTCTAGTAGCATAAAATTTTAGGCTTAAATATATTGGTGATCTTTTTATAAAGATTAGGAAAATTAAAAAATATTGCCATTATCATAAAGAGTTGATTATTATGTATATTCAAGGTAGTACCGAATATGATACAACAAATTATCTTTTTTAATAAATATTATAAATTAATTTTGTGTATCTTGATATAAATTTAACTTTATAAAATAAAAAAAGGCCTCCTAAATTATTTTTTATGATTTTAAAAATAATATAGTGAACTAAAATTATAATTAAATAAATGAGCAGATATTAAATAAAATAGATATTTATTTTTTGAAGGCTAATATAAAAGAAATTAAAAATTAAAATTAATTAAAAAATTAATATCAGAAATTATTAATTTGAATTTTCTTAAAATATTCATTTATTATTAAATTATAAAATTATTTTTGATTATTGATTTTTTAAATTTCTTTTAATGCAAACATTTATTTATTTATTTAATTCAAAAATAAATTTAATTTATTCCTTCCTTAATATTTATTTATTATTAGCTAAAAATTATATAAATATTTTTTTTCTATTTTATTACCTTTTGATGAAGGTTTATTTTTAAGGAAATAGAGCTGATTAAAATTAATTTAAGGCAAATCAAAATTTTTAAATTAGATTAATGAATTTCAGTAATTAATGTATTTCAATAGATTAGACTCTATACTTACATTCATTCATATGTTTATTGCAAATAAAATAATTCATAAATTTTGAGAGTAATATAAATATTTGATGAACTTGATTGCGATTGAAAATGTAAGAAACATTTTTATATGAAAGATACTAATTAGACCTAACAAGTGGTGTGAATGCTAAAAGAAATTTCTGATTAAATACACAATATGACGAGTTTTAAAATTAATTAAAAAATAAAAAAAATTTCAAAAATGAATAAAAGTTATTTAAAAATAAAAAAGAAAGAAAAAGCATGGGAATTTATTTTGTTTAATAAATCTGATTGAATTTATATATTGCTGAAACATAAGAATTTGAAAAATAAATAAATTAATTACCTAACTAATTAATTAATTAAATAAGAATATAGTCGTGCATTTATTTATATGGAATTTAATTTTGATATTGTATGATCATTCACTTTTCAAAATGCATTTATTTTCTCTAATATTTTTTATTCATCAACTTTTCATAATTAAGTTCATGCAAAATATAATGAAAGAAAGATCTTGCTAGGGCAACTTATTAAAAGTCCTTGTTTTTTTGTTTGTTTGTTTGTTTGTTTATGATAATATTTATATAAATAATTAAGTAATAATAAATAGACTAAAAGAAGGCAATAAATAACAATAATTAATTACAAATTAATAATAATTTGGGTTGAAAATAATCAGGAAAAATAAAATAAACAAACAAACTAATAAGAATAGAGATAAAGTAGAATGGCCAGTGAACAAAGCACACTTGTCACAAATTTAAGAAAATTTGTTACTCTAGTTGATAGATTAAGAGATACCGGGCTTCACAAGTATATTGATTTACCTCGTATTGCAGTTTTAGGTTCACAATCCGCAGGTAAATCATCATTACTTGAACAGATTGTTGGTCTTGATTTCTTACCAAGAGGAGAGGTAAATGCTTACTTATTTATAGTTCATAGCTATATTGATCTACATTATTTGTTTTATTTTACTTGAGCTTAATTTTTAGCCATCCTCCATCTTTACTCAAGAAGTTAATTTAGCGATTTTATAGCTTTTAAATGGAAAGGCAAAACCAATTTTAAGATCATCTGAACAAGATATCTAATTAAATATTTTTTTAGGCTTTAAAGTAAAGCAAGTAAAAATAAAATGCGATACATCAAAATTAGCAAAATTAGAATTTCTTTATAGCAATAAAAGTGTTATGTTAATTTATATATCAATTATTTTATTTTTAAAGGGTACAGTCACAAGAAGACCTTTGGAAATGAGATTGTTTTATGTTCCAAAAGAAAAATTAAGCATGCCTTATGGTGTATTTGAGGAAATTCCTGGATAAAAATTTACAGATTTCTAAATGGTTAAGTAAAATATAGATAAATTAACTAATAATGTTGCTGGTGCAAACAAGGGTATAGTAGACAAACCTATTGTGCTTACTATTTACTCATCAACTTGCCCTGATCTTACTATTGTAGATTTACCAGGTATTACAAAAATTCCAATTAGGGGAACTGATCAAACCTAGGATATTGAAAAAATCACTAAAGAAATGGCAGCAAGGTAACTTATTATTTAAAATAATAAAACGATTATAAAATGAGCAAATAGTATATTGTGAATAATTGAGATTTTGAAACAAAACAAACAAATCAGCAGCAACGAAGCGCAAAAATACTTTAATACATATATACATAGAAATATATTGAATAAATTTTGCTGAATTAATTATAGAATTGATTGATCAAATTTCTAATATTTAACTTTTGATCTATATATCTATCTATTCCCTTTAAAAATTCAAGTATGAGAAAAAAATAAATATTATGTAGGAAAGTGTTTCATTTGTCCCTTCTCCTCATTAAGCAAAATTTTGTTATTAAATGCGTAAAAATGTTAATAACTTAGTAACTAGCTTACTTTCCTCAAACCATTTTGTAAAATCAACAAAATAATATCATAAAAATAGCACTTTTAAAAATAAAAATCTCACAAAAACAAAATAAAACTAAAAGAAAATTAGTCATTTTAAATAAATAAATAAACAAATAAACAAACAAACCTAATGATAAAATTTATTAAATTTAAATTATGGTGAACAAAATATTTAAATAAAATTAAATTAAAATTTAGATACTGCAAAGACCCTAAAACTATTATTTTGTGTGTTATTCCTGCTAATGCTGATATTACCACTTCTGATGGTTTGATGATGGCAAGATAGCTTGATCCACAAGGTTCAAGAACTATTGGATGTATCACTAAAATTGATATTATGGATAAAGGTACTGATGCTAGAAGACTGCTTACTGGTGAAGATGTAGGTTTGAAACTTGGTTATGTTGGTATTAAGAATCGTTCCTAAGCTGATATTAATGAAAAAAAAACTGTGTTGTAATCTCTTGATGATGAAAGAAAATTCTTCTCTACAAGTCCTATTTACTCTTCATTACCTTCAAGTTTACTTGGTACAAGATCTCTTACTAATAAGTTGACTGATGTTCTTTATACACACATCAGAACTTGCTTACCTCAAATCATTTCTGAAATTCAAAAGTAAATTAATGAAAAGGAATAAAGATTGAAAGAATTAGGAACTGGTATGCCAGAAGAGGAAAAGGATAAGCTTAAATACTTATGGAAGGTGAGTTTTAATTGAATTTTGTTTTAATTATTAATTAAAATTGTTATAAAATAAATAATAAATAGGTCATTAATGATTTCTCAACTGCTTTCAAAAATTCAATTAATGGTAGTTATGATAAATTAGCTACTTTTGACAAAAATAAATTACCTGCTGGTCATAGAATTAGAGTTATATTAACAGACTTGTACTCAGATATCAGATCTTTTAAACCTACTGAACAATACAGTGATATTGATATTAAAAATGCTATTATAAAGCATGAAGGTGACAGTATTCCTGGTTTCCCTTCCATTGATGCCTTTTTAGCCTTATTGACACCTCTACTTTAAAAATTAAAAGACCCTGCCTTTGAGTGTGTTAATGAAGTTTACCACGTTTTAGAGGAAATTGCTACAAATATTTTAGATAAGATTGTCAGCAAAGTTCCTGCTCTCAAAGAAGAATTGCAAGACAATATTCTTTAACATTTCAAAAACGTAAATGATTTATTAAATATTTAATTGCTAACTAATACAATGAATATTTTTTAATTTTAGGAAAGAGACTCTTGTAGAGATAAAATTGAAAGTTTGATTGATTCTGAAATTGGTTATATTTTTACAAATGATGTTGAATATCTTACAAGCAGAGCCTCCTCTAGTGTCAAGGATAATCCTCCTATTGATCCTAAGCAACCTATTCCCAAAAATAACCAAGGATAGGGAAATTAAGCTCCTTTCAGTTAAAATTATTAGAGATAAAGTGGAGATCCCTTAGTTCATGAATTAAGATATAGACTTGACGATTACTTTAGTCTTGTTATGAGAGGTATTCGTGATTCCGTTCCTAAATTTATTGGATACTTCCTCGTTAAAGCTTCATAAGTAAATTAATATTATATAATGAGATAAACTCTCTTAAATTAATAAAACTTTTAATTAATTATTAGTTCAAATTATAATAAACCTTATTCGAAGCAACTAACAGAAGTGAAAAATACTTTAACTTGATGGCTGAAGTAATTAAACAATTTATTTTTTTATTTAAAAATTTTTTCATTTATTTTTCAATTTATCTAATCAATAATTGATCTAAATTAAATATTATTTTTTAATTTTAAAGCCAACTCATATTGTTGAAGAAAGAAAAAATTTAGCAAGTGCTGTTGAAACATTAAAGACTTCAATTAAAATGATTAGAAGAGATCCAGACTTTTCAAGTTATGAAAAGTATGCTAAACCTGCTAATGTAATTCATTAATTAATTTAATAAAATTAAAATTTAAAATTTACATTTTTAATAGGATGTTTAAAAGGAAAGAGATATTGCTCTTTCTTCTAGCTCTGGTAAGAAGAATAATGGACCAGCTTAACCTCCTCCACCTCGCCATTAAAACTCTGCAAATAATAGTATGACAGATATAAAACCAAACCAAACAGGAGCTCCATAAAATCCCAACAATAGCTTCTCTGGATCAAATTAAAATCAACAAAATTAAAACCGTGGAGCCATCTTCCCTCCAGGCTAATAGTAAAGACCAGTAGCTAATCCTTTGGGTAATCCTAATCCTTAACAAGGCGTTCCACAGTAAGTAAACCCTGTGGGTACAAAACCAAACACTGGAAACGCTTTTGTTATTGGAAACTAACCAAATAATCCAAATTAAAATAATAATAATAGCAATCCTAATTTAAATAATAACAGCAATAATAATGTCAACTAGCAACCAAAAACTATGAATCTTTTTGGAAACAAACCAATTCCTAACTAAGGTGGTTAAGTTCCTCCTGGTGGTTAACCAGTTAACTAAGGTGGTAATTAACCTCCTGTCTAACAGCCACCTATGACCCATTAGATCGTAGATAAAGCTGTTGATAAAACTTTTGAAAATCCATAATTTTAAAAAGGATTATAGAATGCTGCTTCTGCAGGAGCCAAATAGGCCTTTGGTAATAACGCCATAGGTGAAGCAGCTGGTAAAGGTGCAGCATAATTAGTTTAAAACTAAGCAGTATAGGATGCTATGAAAGATCAAGCTAAGTAATAAGGCAAAGCATAAGCTGATTAAAAAGCTACAGAAGCAAAAGCATCTTTCAAATTCTGGTGATTTTATGATTATTTTAATTTTTTTAAGATAAAATTGTTAATTTTTATTAATTTTTATGTTTTAAAAAAAATAGACATTAGTTATAATATAAAATCTGTTTATTAAAATCCTTTTTAATATTCAATCGCGCGATTATTTTTTTTTGATTTTTTTAATCCTAAATAATCAATAAATACTAAATCATGTTTAATGTTGGGCTTAATAATTAATTAATTAATTAATTGATTTGTATTTGTTTAAAATCCTTCTTAATATTCAATCGCGATTATTTTATTTTAATTTTATTTATCCTAAATAATCAATAAATACTAAATCATGTTTGTTGTTGGGCTCAATAATTAATTGGTTTGTATTAATTTAATGAGTTAATTTGAAATAGCTCATGCTAATCAAATATTTTTTGTTTTTTATAGAATATTTTTTTAATTTTTTAAGAAGAAGACTATCTCTTTATTTGTTAAGTAAGCCTTATAATTTATAGCAAATAGTAAATAAATTAATAAATTAATTTTTGATGGGTAAAAATCAATCAATAAAATAATAATGATAATACTAATTTCAAATTAACAATTAATAACAGTCTAAAATGTTTAAAATTGAATCTTTAAGCGAAATAAGTTAGGAATGCAGAATTAATTCTGATAAAATAGTTTCTGTAAAAAAAATAGATACAGAAAACGATATTAAAGTATTTTAAATCCATAATATAAATAATGCTTTAAAGCAAAAAGGAAATGAAGCTATTAGAGTTACCTCATTTAAAGATAATGATAAATCAGATAAGGGTACTTAATCGTTTTCAAATTTAATACAGTCTTAAATAAAAAACTAAAAGTCGCTATCTCCTAATGCTTTTAGGAGGAATACAAAATTTGGAGATGGATCTCCTTTTAACAAAAGACCTTCTATAAAGGATAAGTTATAGGGTATAGATTCGCTAGCTTCTTTAGTAAAGATTAATTATAAATTGAAGTAGGATTTAGAGAGTAGCAATCAAGTTTCTCATTTAAAAAATTCTGATAAATTATAAAATGATAGTGATTCTTAAAACCAATCTAGTTCTTCTATTGAAAGTAAAACTATACCTCATTCTATTAACATTATAAAATCTAAGTCCTCCATGGTTCTCATAAAACAGATATAAAAAGGAAAAACTATTAATTTTAAACAGCTGTAAAAATTAGAAGATTCTGATCATAAAATTGAGCCCCTATCACCTGAAAAGTAGAAAATATCAGATGATTTAATGCAAGGGGAAACAGATATTGTAAAAGTATCTCATTAGCCGCTATTCGAATATGTTAAGAAATTCAATCAAAGAAAATTATAAATTAAGTAAAATCAAGAACTTACAGATGAAACTGAATAAATTAAATTACTTCTACTTATATTAAAATATATAGGTACGCAAGACACTATCTTTAGTAAAATAATACAAATTATACATAAAGAACTTTCTGCTTACTTAATTCCTGCTAAAAAATTTAATATAAAGTAAATATAAAATTATGCATAAGAGCTTTATTCGCTTATTGAAGAAGATAGACCTAAGATTTAATACACTAATTATAAGTAAATATCTTAAATTCTATTAAAGTGTATGGAGTATTATTAAAATTAGAATTTCATGAGTTACAGTAATTTAATCTAACAAAAATAAATTGTAAAAAATTTGAATGAGCTCCATTTTAAACAATTGGAAGCAGAGAGAGCTGAGAAAAATAAAATCTTGAAAAAGGACTCAGAAATTGAGAAGTTAATAAAAGAAAAGCTACTAGAGTAAGAAAAGAACTTCTAAAAATAAATAAAATAATTAAACATAGAAAATGATTAGAAGATTTAAGCATAAAGGATAGATTTCCTTAAGAAATAGCAAGAAATCTCTAATTAAAATCAATAATTATAAGAATATTAAAACTTACTTAAATAAAAAAATGCTTCTTTAGAATAATAATTAACAGAAATAATAGAAAAAATTAAATAAAGAAGATACAATGTATTATTCCAGTAAATTGTGTAGTCTTCATTAAAAAGTTATTCCGCTGATGTTGGTGTATAATGCGACATGCTATTTGATATGAGAATAAAATTTCCATACAAATAAAAAATAAAAAACAATTTTAATTAATTAATGAATTAATGATAAAAAATTAAATTAACTTAATGCCTAATTATAGGCTTATCGGTTTCTATTATTTACATAGTTTTAACTATAATTGAATCTAATTTGTTTTCTTTAAACCTTGAATTTGCTTTTTTAAATTCAAGCTTTAAAATAAATTAAGAAATGATTTAATTTGTAGATTATTTTGATTGCAAGTAACATCTCAACATTTTTAATTAAAGAATATGATAATTTTTTTGGTGATAAAAAAGGTCAATTTGCCATTAAATAATTTTTCAATAATATGGTAAGACGAGAAAAGAGATTCTTGATTACTAAAAGAAATATAATTAGATAAAAATATTTATTTAATAAATACATTTATTTTTAAATAGGAATTATAAATTCTAAATTTATTTAAATAATTTTATAATTGGTTTTTTCATTATTATTTTTGCTCATTCTATATTCTTAGTTTTAAAGCTGTAAAAAGTTTTTGTAAATACTCTAACTTGTCCTTTGAATCTAACAATTCCCATTCAAATTAAGGAATTGTTACATAAATATTCTGATAGTATTGTTCTAAAATTTTCTATTTTAAGGTTGTACTTCCTTTTTCAACTGACTCATTTCTGAAGTAATGCATGTAGCCATTTGTATCAATTATAACTTATTTGCCGAAATGTTGATCTGGTATAATTATATCTACAAGAATATTATCTAAGTTAACTTCTAAACTATTTGGTATATTTAATTTGTCTATATGCTTCTTGACATCGTAACAGAATTAACTAATTTATTTTTTCTCTTTTTATAAATATATTTGGGTTATATTTTGAAATTAAAAAAAATATTAATTACATTTAAGAACTTATTGAGAATACAAGTCCTGAATGAGTAAACCAAGTTGCTTGGGAATAACTCCAGGGTTCTTTTAAAGATACAGATAAGCAAGATAAATAATACTTAGATCTGCCATATTTAAACTGTATTATGTGTTTTCTTCATTAAACAGGAACTGATTTATCAAAGAATGAATAGGTGCAACAATATTTTCAGATGAATCTAAAACGCATAAAGCCCATATTGATCTTGTAATATTTTTAAGTTCTAAATGAATACCAGTTGTTTATTCTTGCTTAAATTTGAGTGAAAATAATTCTATTATTGAATACAAACTCTTCAAAAAATGATCCACTTATTTCTAATCAACAGCCTTATCTTAGCGTATATTATACTAACCCATTGTATGTACAATTTTAACTAAAGCATCTAAGTGATTAAAATTTTTTTAGACAGTGTTACTTAAAGCTCTCAATGATGTTTTGATTCTTTTTTCATGGTTTTAGAGCTTTTTGAATTCTTCATTTATCTATTTCGCTGAATAGTTCTCAGATTATTCATTTTTTATTTGCTAAATTTTATTTTGAACTTCTTTAAGTTTATTTTTAAGCTAAGTTCCCTTATCATTTTCCTAATTAATAAATAAATAAATTAAATTAATATTATTTAAAATTTTTTAATTTATTCTCTTATTATTTATAAATCATTTTATAACTATAATAATAATAAATAAAATCCTTACATCAAAACCGTAAAACTCAAATTTCAAAATTCTATTTGCTATTTTTAGAATTAAATTCGAATCATAATAGCCTACTCTGGTGAAGCTAAAAGCTATATTTCCTAATTATTTAGGACTGAATACATCAATGTAATTATTTACTATATTAGCAATCAACTTATAATACTCATCAAAAGCATATATGTAATATAAGCCATCTGTAGTATTGTGCTCCAAGAGTGAAATTTAGCCAAAAGCAAAGATATGCTATTTAACTTATCTCAAGATATCTTAAGAATCACTTCTTTATTCTAAATTTTTTTGAATAATATCTTCTTAAAGATTTTTAACTAAAATATCTAATAAGTGTTTATTTATGTAACTTTGAGATGAATATAGATTTTAGCATACTTTAATTGTATTTTCAAAAGTGAGAGATTCTCTTTTTTCATACACATAGTTATTAATTAAATCAGATAATATAAGGATTGAGTTTCTTTCTTATTGGTTTCTAGCGAAAGCTGTTTTAACTAAACTTGATTGAACATCTAAAAGTTCATCAATACTAATCTCGCTTTTTTATTGTTACATCAAGTCTTTAAGTCTGATGAATAACCTCTCTTCATTTTCTAGCTTTTTTATTCTAAAAGTACCCATTGTGTAAAGGCATTGAAACAACTATTTGAACTACAAAGCTTCGTGATTTTATATTGCTTCGTTGAGTACTCTTTTGCTCAGAAGAATTTACTTTTAGAAAGTAAGATTACCCAAATCATTATAGATATGAGACATTTTATAAATGATACTAATACATGCATTTAATTGCCCATCTATATCAGATTTATAAGTTCTGAAAAATTAATCAATCAAATAAACATAACTTCTAAAGTATTTAGTTTCAAATACTTCTGCCATGGCATACTTATCTTAATGAATTAAATTCTCAATTTATTTTAAGATCTTATTGAGTTGGTTTGGATTTTTTAAAACTAAATCAACCAAACAATCTTTATATTTAGGATCTTCAAGCATCTACAATCTAAATTTATTAATAGATTCTGCCCTTTGAATATCTTCTTCTGCATCAGGAATGTTACTAAAATTGAATCTGAAGTTATTCTAGCACAAAAAATGTCTTGACTAACTCACACTTTTCAGTGATCTTAATCTCTATATAAAAGATTTACCTAAATTAATCATTTTTAATTAAATTTTTGGAAAAAAAAAAAGATTTTTAATATTTTATTATAAGAATATTCTTTTAATAAGTAGAAATAAAAAAATATCTATCTATCTATCTTGCTTATTCAATCAAACTTTATAAGTACTATTTATTAGTTTATCTTGAATTAAAAATATAATTCTTCTTAAAAATACATTTGTATCAAGAAATAATTTAATTTGATTTAAAATTTTCAAAAATTAATTTTTTTATTTTATTTTTAATAATATTTTATGTGATAATTTGTTGTTTATTTTTTGCAGTAAATATGAATACAATTGCTATCTATAAAATATATACAAAAGAAATGAAAAAAAAGGAGAAAAAGATAAATAATTTAGATAGAATGAAAAATATTATAAACTTACACTTATCTTTAAAACAAATTATTGATTTTATTTTTAAAAATTTGATATATTCAATCAATACCTTCATTCTATTATTCTATTATTATATTTACTTATTTATAATTTATTTATTTATTTATTATTTTTTATTTGTTGTTTATATATTGCTTAAATGTGCTTTCAATCAGTCAGTCATGCATGCATTGGTGAATGAATCTTTTTTAATCTAACTATTCTATTTTGATTACTTGCTTGTTTTTATGTATGTATGTATATATGCTATATGTTAGTTTCTTCAAAGTTTTAAATCTTCAAATTTATCTTTTATTAATTTTGAGACTTTTTCTACCCAAATATTTGCAGGGTGGTCGAGTTCCTGTTAGAAAATATGAAATGCTATTTTAAAACACTAAAACCTATTAAAATTTACTTTAAAGAAATATTTTTTCTTTGGACCAACTATAGTAAATCTTGACTTGTCCTATAATTCTATTTTTACATTCTTTGATAGAGGTATTTCTCCCTATTTGTTTTAAAATTCAAGTTAAAGTTACCAACTTACTTACTTACTTACTCAAAAAAGATTTAAATTTGAAATTTTACCTTTTTTACATTTGTCATAGGATCATAATAGACCAATTTAGGAGGCTCTTCTTGTAAAATTAATTATCTTGGTTTGTAAATAAGCCAAGCTACTTTTTTAAGCACTCTTCCAGTAATAAGTGGTCTCATAGAAGTAGTATTTACAGGAGTTTGGGGACTTGAAGGAGCGAAATCATTAATATCATCATCTTCGTTATCTGTTTATTATTTGCAAATTTCTCTTTTAGGAGCTGCTTATTTTGACAATGTAAGCCAATTTATCCCTTTAAAGAAAGGATGCTTTTTAAGGGTGTTTATGTCATTAACTCCTAATTTTATAATTTATTATATTTTGATTAAGTCATGAAATGAAATTAACAATTTTTTTTACCAGGTTCTCCTCCTCCAATTCTTTCAAATGGGTTTCTTTTAAGAAGATTTTTAATTAAATCGGCTGCTTCAGGAGGTACACTCTATAATTTAAATTCATATTTCTTAAATTTGATTGTTTTGTAAAATTAATTTTTACATCAGGAATATAATATTGGCAAGCTTTAACTTTATTAAAAACTTTGAATTCATTATTCGTAGCATCATTAACGTCAACGAAAGGAGTATTTCCTACAAACATTCTATATATAATGCAACCTAAAGCCCACAAATCAGCAGAAGAAGTGCAAATTTCACCCTCTAAAAGCTCTGGAGAGACATATCTTAATTATATTAGGAAGATAAGTTATGTTTAATTATTATTAAAAATAGCAAATAAATTTAAATTTAATTTAATTTTTATTACTCTGCTGTTCCTACAAAAGTTGAAGAACGGGTTCTTGAGTCTTCATCATCCATTGGATCAGTTTCCTAAGGGAATTTCTTCTTGATATTGTTAATCTTTTAAAAGAGATCTTCTGGAATTCTTCTATCAAAACCACAAGTTCCGAAATCAATAATTTTGAGATGGTTATCTTTGGTGAGCATCAAATTTTCAGGCTATATTAAATTTATTAAAAGAAATTATGAATGAAAATCTCAAAACTTAAATCTTATTTTGAAAAAATAATAATATATATTTGTTTACCTTTAAATCTCTATGAATAATTCCATTTTTGTGCAAATTTTCGAGTATATAAACAATTTCTGCAGCATAAAATTTGATTGTATCTTAGTTTAAGAACTTGACTTTTTATTTTGTTTAAAATAATTTAACAATAATTATATTAATTTTGCTTCATTTTTTTTATTTTTATATCTATTTTTAAAGTTTTATTGTTTTATTTATATAAATTATTCATATTTATATAAACTCAAGCTTTAAGTAACTATCGAAACAAACAAACTGCTGCTGATTGATTTATGATAAAAAATTACAATTATGCTAAAGATAACTGGAAAACTCTCCTCCTTCACAATACTCCAACACGAAATATAAGAATTAATTATCTTTAAAACTTCCTAAGAGCTAAATGATACCATCAAAACGGATATGTGTGAGTACTTCCTTTTCAATGAAAACTTAGTATTGCTTCTTTTCCTATTTTAAAATAGAAAATGTTCATAAAAATTATTTTATATTAATAATTTATCTAAGCTATTTAATACAACTTTAAACAAACTATATCCTAATTTTATGTTAAATCCTTATGTTTTAAGCTTTTTTTACAATTAATGAGAGGTCTCATTTAGCAAAAAAAACGATAAAACTCCAGTTTGCTAAAAAGAAATAAAAAAGAATTTAAATACCCTTGCTAAATATGACTTCTCAAGAATTTTAATTGCACAAAATTCATTGTTGGATTTGTTTTTAGCTAATATAACTTCACCAAACGATCCCCTACCTAAAACTTAGATAATATCAAAATCTTCCATTGATAGCTTTTTATCTATGTTTTTGTAAAATAAAAAAAATTAAACAAGAATTTTAAGAGATGGCAAAAGGCCTCGATAGATATAAACCTAGATTTTTATTATTTGAAAATAATTAATTTCTTAAAATAGCAGCTTACCAACCATGTTTGCTAAGGTTAAAATTAGTTAATTAGTCGCTTTTTTTTATTCTTTTGGTTTCTACTTTGCAATAACGTTTACTTCCTTTTGGAAATTTAGAGTATCAAAAAATATTGATTTTAAATATAAAGTTAAGTTTTTATAATTACTTCTAATCCCTTAATTCATTTTGATAGAGAATTCCTGCTTTTTTTCACGCACACTTAAAGTAAAGATCTACAAATCATCATTAAATGAATAAAACTTATTAGTATTGCTTTAATGAATTTAAATAAACAATTTAATTTAAGCAAATTCGATTTCATGAATCTGCTTGGCTATCATTTTATTGATTCATTCTTTATTTCTCATCTCTGTATTAAATAAAATACATTATTCATGCATTTATATTCATTCATCTATTGGCGATATCTATTTTATTGTACTACGATATAAATAAAACTCATTATTTAATAAAAACACTTATTCTGCAACCATAAATAAATCACTTAAAAAATTTAATTATTTTTTATCAATAAAAAAATGAAAATATTAAAAACTATAAAACCAACTTGAAAGATTGATTATACATACCTACAGCAAGCATTATGCCAAAAAAATTATATTTATTAAATTATAATGGAATAATTTTTCAGATTTTTGTTTTGATTGGAAAAATTTAATTTAATATGAATTTATTCATTAACTGACTGACTTATTATTTGCATAAAGTATTAAATATAAACTTACTTTTTAAAATATTTTATAAATTAATTATTTTAAGATATTTGTTTAACTTAATTTTTAATTATATTTTTTATAAACCCCTTATTTTTAAAATAAAATTCAAGTTACTTTTATCATAATTCATCTCATTATTATAATTAGAAATACTATCTCGATTATTAATTTTGTTCAAATTCAATATATATTTTCATATTTGTCTTTGAAAGCCATAAAACCAAAACTTTATTTTTTATTTATTCCTTTTTCATTTAGTGCTTTTTTATTTACACATCAATTCTTTAAATTTTAAGCTTTGACTTATGAATTATTTATATAATTCTACTTAATTTTATTGATACTAGCTAAATACTTCTTTAACTAAAATATTAATTTTCAACTTAGCAAAAAAATAGTTAATTTTTGCACAAAAAGAGAAAAAATGTATATCATTCACGATTAATGAGATATTTCTTAAGATTTCATATAAGGATAAATAAATAAAAGTTAAATAAATCAAAACATTCAATATTTTCATCTGGAGAGTTTTTTATTTTATGGAAATTCACTTATTTTTAAAAGAGACAAGAGTAATATTTACAAAAAAATTGCACGTGAAAGCATAAACGTTATAATTTATAAAAATAAATTGGAAAAAAAGTTAAAATATCTAAATTATGATTAGCATATTGCTTTAAAAAAATTAGCTAAAAGCATTTTTGTTAGGTTACTTTTTATTTAATTTGAGAGTGCATCTAATAAATAAATTAGACAGACTATAAAAATTAATAAATTAAAAGAAGAGCAATTTTTATTTTATTTAAACTATAATAAATTATTTTTAATGAATATATATCTATAAGTATATGCTCTCAGAATCAAATTTAAGATTAATGTTGATCTTAATATGGAGATGAATTATTATCATCTTAAAAGCTCAAATTTTATCTTCCAACTGTGAAGAAATTGTTACTCTAATTAGAATTGTATGAAAAAGAGCGATTTGAACTATAACTAGATTCATTTTATTTTCTCCTTTGTTATCTTTAATATATTCTATTTTTTATGTTTTAAATTTAAATTTATGTATCAGATTAAGGAATTATATATTCCTGTATAGATATTGTTTAGTTATTTATCAGCTAGCTGATTGAGTTGCAATTTTATACTTTAAATCCATTTTAGTTTTGATCTTAATCATTTATTGCTATCTCTTATTTTTATTGTTTTTCAACTAATTCTAAATTTATATTTTTAGTAAAAAAATAAATTAATTTGAAATAAAATTTTTAAAAATTTATTACCTCTTTAGTTTTGAGAGGTCATCAAACTTTATTCTCCAAACTAGGCAGTTTAAACATTTTTTAAGTCAATTTATTCCTTAGTTTTATTTTCTATATGATCAATATCTTAGATACCATTAGGATTTTGAACTTCAATTTTTTTATTACATTAAATTTAATCTTTTTTATCCTCTGCAACTTAGATCGATTGAGAAGTTTGTTATATATCTTATAAATTTTTGAAGGAAGTATTTTGTCTAAAAGTTCTTTAAACCTAGCTTTATTCTTTTATTTCTTAAATGATTGGCTATATAAGTAGGGCCATTTAGTTAATTCCAAATTTAACTTAACTCATTAGCTATTCACCTAAAAATTAAATAAAATAAGATAAATTAAAAGCAGATGTAAATGATTTACTCAAATTTTAAAAATTAATGGATCTATCGGTCATTTTTATTGTTGTTTAATAATTCTGAATCTTCTATTGAATGAGTTCAAGTACAGTGGAAATATTTAAAACTACCATGCTTTTATTATATTAATTAATATAATAATTAAACAAATGGTTTTAGAATTTGTAAATATTACTTAAATTTTTTATTCTAATTATTAAGTTCATTTTCAGCATCCGCTAATTACTACTCTATGAATTAAATTTAATGATTGCTGCTGTTACTTTGGAAGTACTTTTATTCTAAATTTTTGATCTCCATTTCTTATGCAGATATTTTTGTTTAATATTGTTAAATTTCACTCTATTTTTGTTCTAATTAGGAATGAAGGAACTGGTTCTCATTAGAAAGAGTTTCTTTTTAATTCATGCAAATATTTTAAAGTTAAACAAGTTTTGAATGCTGTTCATTTAGCTATTCAAAATCTTTCTCAAATTTGTCTTTCAAGAGTAAAATTTATTCATTTTTTTAATGTTCTAAAGCCTTCTCTTTTTCTTTAGCATTTACATTAACATCATATATCTATTACTCCAACTAAAATATTTGAAAGTTTAATTATTAAATTTATAAATTTAAGTCTTATTAAGTTTTTATTTATTTCTAATTAATTTCCTATAAAGACTCGTTAGCTAGTTTGAACTCTTGCTACTTTTTCATTTCATCATTTAGCTGCTATTGAATTTAATCTAGCGATTGTTACATTAATTTTTTATCTTTTTCTAATTAATTAATTTGGTTTTCCATACAATTTATTTGCATGACCTTTTAAATGAGAGTTTATTAAAGTTAGGATTGTTTTTATTCAAGCTCTTACATTTTATTCTACAAATTCTAATTTTCAATTTTAAGCTCTTGCTAAGCTTGATTTTAAATATTTTAATTATAAACACTGCTGTTATTTTGTATTTAATTTATGGAATTATAACTGCCATATTCAAGGTCTTTTTAGTTTTCATTTTGTTTTGAATGCTTATGTTAGCTTATGATTTCTTTTTCTTATTAACATAATAAGGAACTTTACTCAATATCATCATTTGAACCATCGCTTTGCAGAGTTTTTTATATTAATTCTTTACTATTGATCAACTTTTAAGCATTTAGTTCTTACTATTTATTAATTTAATTACTCTCTTATTTTGTGATTTGAGTTACATCCTAGTTATCTCCAAATAAATATTTATTTAAATTTTTTAGTTATACCTAGTTGTAAGCTGGGTGCTCTTAAAATTTATTAAAAGGCTTAGGGATTTGAGTAAAGGAGGAGGTGTTTTTGTTTTCTTTGCTCTATGGTAATAGTTTTAATTTTTATTATAGAGCTTATTCATATAAAATTTATGATTGCAATTAGCTTTAAATCTGAGATTGTTATTAAGTTCTTTTATCTTAAATTGATTAATCAGAGTTATAGTTAGACTAATTTAATGACTTTTATGCCTCAGAATGTTCACTTTACAAATTTAGCTTATTAAAAGATTACTCTGTTTCTTTAGTGTGTCCTTAATTTGGTTAAAAGCCTCCTTATTCACTCTACAATGAAAGATCCTTTTGAAAAACTTTTTCAATGTAGCTTTCAATTATGTTATTATTTAATGATAAATCATTAAGTTAACTTGCTAGCAGCTTTCCTAATCCATCACTATTCTTTTTAGCTTAATTCATTTAATTACTATTGTAGGAATTCAGATTTTAATTGTAAGAACCACTATTATTTTAACTATTAGTGGTTTAACGCTAACTATTATTGTGATTAGAAAAGTCTGTACTCATGTTTGTATTTCTTCTAATTTATTTTTACATTTGTTACTATTGCTTCAATGGCATAAAATAGCTTTTTTCTGGCTGAATTGTTTTAGAATTAAAGGATGTTTCATAACTATAGTTTCTTTGTGTATTGCTTTGGACAGAATTAACACAAAATGAAATGTTTTCTTTATTTTACTCTGACTCGCATTCACTGTTCACTCTTTAATGGCTCGTTTATTTTCCATAATGATCAGCATTCTGATGTATGCTTTTTTACAAATACTACTTTGCGTCTATTTACTCAGTTGATTAGTTTCTTTTAATAGAATGCAATTTTTGGTTCATATCTTAATTAAAAGGAATGTTTTATTGACAAACTTAAATTTTATTGTTTTAACCTTCAGTACTACTGAACTCCTAATTAGGTACCTAATAAGACGAGCTGTTATTTCTCCTTCTATCAGTTTACGTGTTTGGCTGGGGTTTATGAGATATTTGGTGGATGCTATTAGACATTTAAATATGATTTACATTATTGGAAGTCAAATTAGAAGACTACCCACTATTATTCCTAGTATGCGCAGTACTGTTATTTAAAAAACTAGAATTATTCGAGCTATTTATTATTTATTATAGCCCATTTTATCTTTATCTAATATCTCTGTAACTTCTTTATGAAGTTAGTGGTGCTAAAACTTGCATGTGATTTCTGTTCATTTGAAAGAAAATTGAAATTTAATAAATACTAAATTGATGTAAATTGTTGTTATTTATTTATTTATCTATTTATATATCTTAAAAATTATAGATTTATGATTTATCAAAAGCTATTTAAATATCAAATTTGAAATTGTATATATATGCATGTATGTATGTATGCTTTTTATTTTAACAGTCACAAATAAATAATTAAATAATTAAAGAAAATTTAATTAAAATAAATGGATTAAAAATAACAAATATTAATGAAAGCAAATCATAAAATATATTTAAGATATAAACAACAATAAACAATTCTTAAATCTTTAAAAAGCATTTAAATGTTTTAAAAAATCAATTTATAGTTTTAATATCATCAAGAGAGAATAATTCTTGGAAGCTTTCAATTACTATAGATTAACTTTAGTAAAATGCAAAAGCAATAATATAGTCTCCATCGGCAAATCTGTTTGAATCAAGACTGGCATTTATATTTTTAATGTCTGGATAATCATAAAAATCTACGTAATTATTTTCAATATCTATTCTCATTTCTATCTACTTATCCTTTTAAACACTGTTACTCAAATCAATACCTTATATAAGCTTAGAGCATTCTTAGTTTGGAGCATTACTTAAAAATCTTTTACAGAAATATTGATTAGGAATATTATACACCCAGTTGGAGTGCACCAGAGATTTTTGCATAACACCAACCATAATGTAGTTTTAAGGTTAGCAATTAAACCTAAATCTAAGTTTGTACTTCTTTAATCTATCTAGGTTGTAATCAATATAAAATTAACTGCTACCATTTATGCCTGTTACTACTATTTCACCATCTTTATTTGCCTTTGCTTCATATTATGATTAATTAAGACCAAATGCTCCAAATCCACCAAATCCACCAGATATATTTGAATTTTTGACTACTAATTCATCTAAGTAAATATCATATCCACCAATAAAAGATTAAGATATCTTTTTGTTAGTTTAATTTTTAAACTTATCTAAATCATTAAAAATTTTAGAAAAAGTTAAAAATTTCTAACTCGCATCATTCCATATGAATTTATTTTTCTCAAAAATAATGCTTTTCTTGATATTAACAAGCTATTCTTGAATATTATCGTATTCGCATAGACTAAGAGCTTTCGTAATACAGTTTTGAAGTAAACTTTGCATTTCCTAAGGACTAATGTAGGACTCTATCTCGCTCTCTATCTTTGCTCTTAAAGAAGTTAACTTTTGCCTGAAATTATCCAACTCATCGAAGATAGTATCAAGATTGTCTAAGTCTATTCTTTAATCACGGTTTTTTTTATTATCATACTTTTGTTCATTAATAAATTTGGATAACTTGATAAAATATTCCTCAATATCAATTTCTGATTTATTAACAGTCTTTTAGTGTTCATCTAAGTGGCATTTACCGCAAATAACTTACATGTAATTCTCTTATCCACAGGCTTTATTAATACAGACTCTATCTGCCCTTCTCTTTTTGCAGTTTGCACAATATGGAGGATCAAACTTTTCAAGTAAAGTCTAAACATGATTTTCAATGTTTTAGTTTTCAATGTTCATTAATATATGCTCTTATTTGCTTCTAAGGTTTTTCAGATTTTTTAATTCTGCAAGGCTCATCTTGACTGGTTCTTTAGCGCTTTCTTTTCCAACTTTCTAAGTTTTTGTTGTTGTTGTCGTTTTTTCTTTAGAGTTAAATTACTTTTTAGTAGGATTCTCTTCAGGTATTTCCTCTTCAAAAGTCTTAGTTTCTGTTTTTTCTTCTAGCTTGCTAGCCTATCTTGATGCTCTTTTGCTCATTGCTTTATTTAATTAAAGTTTATTTTTATGATTTATATATCAATTATATTAATATAACTAACATAAACTTACTTTTTAATCAAATCTTGTTTAGTATTTTCTGATCAAATATATAAAAAATTAAGCGGGAATAAAGAAATGAATAAATTGGTTCTCTTTTGATAGCAACTTTAATATAAGTTATAAGTTTTTATAAATCTTTATTGATATAACAAAAAATAAAAATAAATTAAAAAATATTAATATTAAAATGAGATATTAACATAATCCATAAATGAGAAAAATAAATACAGAAATAAATTAATTATTCTACTTAGATTCAAATTTAATTTATTTGTTTAGAATTATAAAAAAATAAATAAAAATCAATTTAATTTTTGTGGATTTAAATTTTTACTTTCTTGAGTTTAATATAAAATATTAATTTTATTTTTAATGTTATGATAATATTTCACTATTTAATTTTTTTGATATAATTTGTTAAATAAAATTAATTTTTTTTTTTGGAAGTTTTGACTTTATTTAGAATTTTTAATAAGTGCTATCCAATTGTTCATTCAAGAAATATAATAAAAATATTAATTTTATTTAAAAAATTTTTGATAATATTTTATATTTTATAGATTAAGCAACCATATGATATAATTTATTAGCAAGAAGTATACGTACCTACCAAACACTAAATATAATTAATAAACAAATTAATAATATTTAACAACTTTAAAACCTTTAGAATTTTAGTAAAAAATAGGTTCAACTACTAAATTTAATTAACAAATATCGAGTAATGAATAAAGTATCACCACATTTAGTAGATTTGCTAGTAAATTTGACTTAAAATTCATTTTTTTTGTCAATATATGACAAAATGCTTAAGTCTTGCTTCTTAAATTTACTTGAAGAAGAAAATAATTTGAAAGTAATTAATCAATTGCAAAGTGCAGCTTAATCAGATGAAGAAAGAGATACTGTTAACGAAACATTTAATGTTTTAATATTAACAATAGCGGAATTTAATAGAAAGAATTTAGTTGAATTAGAAATTGAGATAGTACTTAAAGAAGTAGGATTTTCAGATGACATGATTTCTAAATTCTAACAAAGATATTCTTAATTCATTGAATTTATATCCGATAAAGATAACGAAAGAAGCAATTTCTTTGACTCTAGCATCAATTTCAATAAATTAGTTGACGTTGATTGGAAATAAGAATATGTATTATCCACTAAATATATTAAGCACTTAAATAAAGATAATTACCACATTTCCCTCTCAACTTTAAATTCTGAAAATTAAATCAGTCCTATTAATTTTAAATGCTCTATTGAACAACTTACTGAATTAGTACATAAACTTTCTTCTGCTGTAAGAAATATAGAATAAGCTACTGATTTAAAACATTTCAAAGCTTAAGAATGAAATATTAATGAAAATCTTAATTTGAAAATAGCCATAAAAATCAATATAAAATATTTATTTGTAAGTTCATAAATAACACTTGTAAAGAGTTTTAATAGTAACAGTATCTTTTTAATTTATTTCTTTTACTAATAACCACTTTTTTAGGTTTTGGATTAACAAATCATCCGTAAATTTGATAAGATCAATCTCAAAAAGATATTTCTCATTTATTTTTTTAAAAAGAATAACAAAAATATGATAAATTTATTAATTCAATTTTTTTTATTTTTTAATAAAATATATTTTCAAAAAATTTTATTTTATCTTATTAAAATAAAAGTTAAATTAAATTAAATAAAAATAAAATTCAATTCTATTAAAAGATCTCAACAAGACTTTTCAGGAATTGGTTTACTTTTTTTTATAAATTTTATGTTCATTAATGAATGATGATAGATTTATAGTATAAAATATATGAAAAATGAATATTTATATATACAAGTTAAATTTTATTTTAATAATATTTTATCATAATATTAATATATTTCTAATTGAATTCTACAGATCTTAGCTATCAGCATCTAAGCCCTTTGCTATAACTTCACTTAATTATTTAGCCAGCTATTTAAGTTTCTTCTTTTCTAGGGTTAAATTAATATATTACTGCATAATATGTTTCATATATTTCCAAGATTGAGCTATTGTAGGCTTTTTGTTCTTAAAATATCCTTCTGGAGCTAATTGCTCCATTGTATCTACAACACATTTTGTAAAGCTTTCGTTTTATTTTTTATATTGCACTAAGTGTTTTATTTTTTATAAAATTTCCTCGTCATTTTCAACTTAAAGGAGCTCAATCACTTTAAATCTAAATTTTTATTCTGAGTTAAAAGTCATTCCGCTGCCTAAGTTATGAGGAGAGTTTAATTCAAAGTTATTTACTATTTTAAGAGGGTTATTATTAGGTTTAGATTCTGATTTCGAGGATCTCATGCCTGGTTAACTATGGGGTGTAGTTTTTGAAGAATTGTTATCGCTTATATTATTGCTATTAATATAACCATTACTATTGTAATTGCTCCTTTTGCTTAGATCTTTTGCTTAAAGAGCTTCTTTTAGTTTAAGATTTAAGTTTGAAATTTCTTTTTCCAAAAATTCTATCCTTTTTTACTATTCTTGTTGGATTCTTTTCTAGTTTAATCTTTCTGTTTCGTCATCTTTTAACTATTTTTTTAAGCTATATATCTCTTCTAATTATTTTTCATTTTCTTTTTACTAATACGTTTAATTATTTTTAGTTTAAAAGGAATCGTCTACCTCTAAAATATAACTATTATGGCCTTTGATGTTAAATTATTTATGCCCACTCTACTAGTTTTCATGCAATGAATTATAATTATTCTCTTTGACAAAGCTGCTTTTCAAAAAACTAGGGTGCTCAGATTAATGCTGCTTTTGCATATTTTTGAGCTGGTTTTTGTAAGCTGAAGAATTTGGAGTGTATGGGTCATAAGAATCTCTATTCATAAATCCTGACATATTTGAGTGATTCAAGTCTTTAATTTCACTTATGTCTGGAATTGGATCATAATGTGAATTTTAATTGAAGTGGGAAGTTGATTACCCAAATTTTTGTAGTTCTTAGTACTATTTTTATATTTCAAAATCCTTTTGTTACTTCTTAAGATAATACTCTTCTGTTTGTTTATGGTGTAGATCATAAGAATCTCTTAAAATATCTTAAAGCTTTTTTTCATGATTCTATTATTTTACTTTCATTTCATTTAATAAGTTAGATGAATCTTTCTATATGTCCAGTTATTTTAAAGCAACACTATTTGTTAAGTTATCACCTTATTTATATTCAAAAGAAAAAGGTTATCTCTAAAACTAACTCTGAGCAATATTATTGATCTGATCTTTATTATTAAGATTATAATGAGATTTGGAGCTATAATTAAAGTGAGGATATTTTTTTTCTTATGAAGCAGAATAAGTAAGACTATTTGCTATAGAATGTGGATAATTATTTTCTGGTAGCTATACACTATAAAAATCTGTAAGATTTCTAAAACTAGCTTATTATTAAATAGGAACAGCATTAGCATTTAAGAATTCATTATTATTGTAATTATTAGTTTGATCATTTACTTTGCTTTGATGCAAAGAAATGTTTTTTGTTCCACTAAAGTTATATTTAGAATAAGACGAAGACCTATTTTTAAGATATCTGTTTTCATCGTCTATCAAATTATTGGAATAAGAACGTTAGTAGTCAGAATTTGATCTTAAAAATCTGGAACTATCTTTTGTAGGTGTATTTGTCAAGAAGGTGGGATGATTTTATTTTAAAGAATGATCGTCGATATTTTCTTTTTTGATAATACCATTCTTAAAATAGTAATCTACTCCAGCAGAAGATAAAGTAGGATCTTAGCTTGATTCTTAATACGCAGATTTTTCATTGAGATAAAACGGATTATTTTAGTTAGCTGTAGAATAATAATTATTTCCATCGATATATGTATCATACACTTTTTCAGTGTTTCTATTTTTATTTGCTGAAAACTAATGCTCTTGAATTTCATTTTTATCATTATTTATGTGATTTTATCCAGCTGTGAATTCATTTGTATTCACTTTGTATTTTGCTTTAAGATCACTGAGCTATTGATCTTGTAAATTGTTAAACAGAGAGGAATTTTATTAATCTATTGAAACCTTTGACTTATCTTTCATTTCAGTGCTTTTTTTGCTATTTGAAAAAAAGAAATCCTAACTAGGCATCAAGCTTCTATATTCAAATGAATCATCAATTCCATTTTTATCTTCGTTAATCCTTTATTGTTTTTAATTTTATGGTGATTCAGTTAGCTAGAATTATTGAATTTCTTTTTCTTTGTATTGTAAATATTTTTAAATCTGAGACTGTGAAGGCATCTGAAAGGAATGCTTTAGGTCAGAAGAAACTTTATTATAGCTCCCACTTGAATTTTTTATTAATGGATCGTTCATTAAAAAGTATGAGTGCTTTTTTTGTTTCTAATTTTAACGCAAGTTTAATTAAATACAAATGTAGAATCTATTTTTATATAAAATTTTAATAAATTTTCAGCAAACAAATAAATTGAAAATTTTAATTTCTAAAAGTAAAAATTAGAAACCAACGGCTAAATTGCATCTAATAAAAAAGTATGACAGATATACACTTTTAGATTGACAAAAGATAATAAAATAGTTTAAAAAATAAAATAAATTTAGCAATTAAAGTTTGCAAGCATAATTATTTTCTTATCAATGATAATACAAAATATATATTCAACAAATAGGAAGATAGTAATTAATATTAAACTCAAAATTGGGAAGCAGTTTGAAGTTTAGAACATGTTTCTTCTAATAATGTTAAAAGATGATCTTCGGTTTCTTCTCTAATATAAAAAATAAAAAAATCAATCAATCAAATTTAAATAAAATTTCAAATTAATTATAATGATTAATAAGTAAATAAATAAATACCTTGTCTTTTTTTCATTATCTAATTCAATTTTAACACGATTAACTACATCCTTAAGCATATCGAATATAGCAGCTTCAGATTATTCACGTTGCTTTTTCTATGTAATAACTATTTCGTTAATTTGGCTAAGTTCATATGTAACAGTCTTCATCATGGCTTGATCGTTTTCTTCTCTTTCTTGCTTTTCATTTTCAATGGCTCCTTCAATCTTAGGAAGATCAGATTAAAGAGTTTGATAGAGTTCATCGATAAATTAGTTTCTAGAAAGTTGTTCCTTTGAAATTTCGTTCTTTAAGAAAGAGTACTTGTCTTCTAAGTTTCTGATGACCTTAGCTTCATAATCCTTACGAGCCTGAAAAATTATTTTTAAAATTGAAATTTAAATACTACAAATTTTTTTAATTATTGTGAATTAATAAATAAAATAGTTTTTATTTATATTAAATTTTGATTTAGTTTATTAAAAAGCATGAATCAAATTAAATTTAATATTTTTGGAAGTAAAATCTAAGGATAGCCAATAAAGTTTTTGAATTCTAAGAAATATCCTTGAATATTTTTTATTTGAAAATAAATTCAAGATGAAAAAGAAATAATTGAAATAAAAAATTATTATTATTTATTTGTGATTGATTTGTTTTAAAAAGATTATTAATTAATTAATTAGTTAATTTTTAATTAATTAATCAATTTTTCACTGTATGAATGTTTTTTTTTGTTTTTATGTGATTAAAATAAATAATAAAAAGATAAAATTTATCAATGAATACCTCAGTTTCGCTTTCAATAGCCTAAACAAACTTATTTTCGATCTAAGCAATTTCTTAGTTGCCTTAATCAATTTAGCTGTCATGATTTATTCTTTCTTCTTATAATACTTTTTCGAATCTAATCAGCTATTATAAAAAATAATTTATTATTTTCTTATTATAATTTATGTACAAGCTAAGCATAAATTTGTATTCATGTTTAATCAAAGCTATAGAATTGATTAACAGCTTTGAAAAATTTAATTTAGTTTCCAAAATATTACATTTTCTCTAATGCTATTTAAAGTCTTATCGAAGTCTCCTTGTACTTCAAAAAATTATTCTTCCAAGACACATAAATGGCTTTCGGCTTGTTCAAATTTTCTGTAACGTTCAGACTCAACACCTATCTTAATTAATTCAAACAAAATTTTTATAAATAAACTCCAATTGCTTGATCTAATTCATGTTAATGTATTATGATAATAAGTGCTTAAATAAAATAGATTTTATATTATTAGATTAAGTATGTATGTACTTGTATGCTGTTAAGCTTTTCTTGAATTTTTGAAATTCTATCATTATGAGGAGAGTTAGGAATAACTATTTAATAAAAATATAAATTATTAATAAAATGATGCTTATAATAGCTAAATCTCAGCAATGCTAATATTCTAACTATTCAAAATTCAAAATGATTTTAAGAGGCATACATCTATTTTAGGAGTAGGAAGACATTTCTTAACTAGGTTCGGTAGATATCTTATTTTTATTTATATTGTTTGTGTGTATCTTCTTTTTAAGAAGTAGCTTGAAATTTATTTATTTATTTATATTTTTTGATTTTATTATTAATCAATGTTTCTAAGTATTTTGTTTATTTAATTAAAAAATATCTCTTTCACCCAATTTATTTTATTTATTTATTTATTTGCTTGCTTTTTTTGTGTTTAATTAATCAGTAGGTTTTTTCTTAAGTATATCATATGATAGGCAGATCAATTTTTGTTGGGAAACGAAAATTTAACAACTATAGTGCCATTTTAATTAAAAATGTGCTTGAAATTTAAAGGTTTGAAAAAAAAATTTTAGCTTTTATTTCCAAAAATTCTACTGTTTTGTTAAATTTACAATTCAAATACAAGATATTAACAAGAATATTTACTAAAGAAGATAAAATTAATTCATTTTGTTTTTAATAATTGAAATATTTTTAAATCAGATTTAAGCTTTAATGGGGCGGACAATACTTTTTTCCCATTCTGTTTTGTTTAAAATATAATTTTCCTTTTCTTTCTTAGAATAAAACAGCTATTCTGCTCTTTAAGGAGAAGACATCGTCATGTTATGGTTTAACAAAGATCTACTCTAACTTTTACTAAAAAGAAATAATTAATTAAAAAATTATTGTTTTTATTTGTTGATTGATATAATTACTTGAAGTTATGGTAATACTGTGTTTTTTATCTGTAGGCATATTTTAAATTATTAAAAAGAGTAAACATGTAATTCCTTTCAGCCTCATATATTTTTTCTTCATGTTCAACTAAAGCAAAATCTACATCCCTTTTGTTTCTAATAAGGTTAAATGCTTTTCTTATATTTTATATACAGCAAGATTTCTTTTTTGGTTCTAAAATAAGGCCTTTTATTTCCTTACCTTCAAGTACTTCTACTAACTTAGCTATAAAAATTCTATTTTCATTTCAAAAAAATTATTAAATAACTTATTATTTAATCCAATTTTTATTACCCATCTTTTATTTCTTCTATGTAGGGCTAATCGAAGTCCACTTTTGTAACAAAGTCTTCAAAACCAAGCAAGCAAAGCCATTAAAATATTTCACTCTCTTTATTTATTTATTTATAAATAAATTTTTAATAATATTGTTAATTAATAATAATTTACCTGAGCTTTAGTAGATATTAGATGAAAGATAAGTTTAATTAAGACTTATCTTCTTAGGACTTTGCATTTCTCTTAGATATGATAATTCAGCACTTCTAGTATAGCTTTCATTTAAACTTTTTTGATCATTTCTGGATTCTGGTAAGTAACTATTCATTTTTCTTTAAAATAAGATTTGTTAATTATGAAAAAATAATTTTTTTGTTATTTTAATAAATTTACTGAATTGTATCAAAAGAATTGTCATAATTTATTTTGTTGTTTTGATTATACTTTATTGGACTCACAAATTTTTTAAATAAACTATTCATTTTATTGTTAGAGCTCAACATCTAAAAATTATCATCTTAATCATTTTAATTTTTTTAAGATTAAGGTGAGAGATTTTATTAAATTGTTGATTTTTCAGCTTACGGTAAATTGCTTTAATTAAGTTATTATTTAGATTAATCAATACCAAAATTTGATAAATTCGAAGGCCTCCTTCTAAATGAAGATTATAAATCTCCTTAGCTCACTATTTGTTCACCAAAAGAACCTTATCTATAATTTCTAGGTGTAGGGAAAACATTTTGTCTATCTGAAATTATTTGCTTGGCATTTTCAGGATCTATTTCTTTGCTTGAAACCATTTTAGAGGATTTTGATTAATTTAGTAGTTTACTTTATGGTGAAGTTGCATTTATAATTGATTTATCTTGATTCTAGGTGGAAATATTATTTCTAGAAGAAGTATAATTATAAGGAGAATTTGCTGTAATTTATCTATTAGAATCAAGATCTTCTTCTAATGCTTAAATCTTATAATTATTACTACTTGTAGTCATTTTTCTGAATCCGAGATATGGTCCATCCTTAAAATAATTAGGCTCTTATCTAGCAGGTTAGCCGTCAAAATATCTTCTAAAATCCTCTAATAATCCTAACACTACTTGCTTATTCACAACAACTAATTGTTCTTCTTTGTATGTAAAGCCTTATCCAAAATTCTAATAATTAAAAATAGATATTTAATTCAAAAACCATTATATATATATACTACATACCTTAAAGGTTTTTAGAGGAGCCAAAGCATTTGAGATATTATTAAAAGAATGTGCTTAATCTTTTGGGTGGTAGTTGACATTCTTAACCTTTCTCTTCGTAACAGTTTCTACTAAATCTACCCAAAATAATCCATTACATAGTTTTTAATAGAATTATGTAAATATGTTTTCAACCTTTGTCTAAAAAATTTCATTCGAAAGCCATTGATTTAATGAACTCTCTAATTAAGAAATTTCCTATTAAGAATAAGGAAGGATTTTAAATAAATTTTGCTCATAGCTATCAGATTCTTCTCCTTATAAATGTTTCTTAATAGAATAAATTATATTCCAAAAAGAATTGATACTTCCCTATAGCAAGAGCTCATAATTCTAATATTATTGATGAATCTCTACTTTATTTTCATGTAAGATTTCAAATATTAGTGATAGATTATACCTGCATTCTTCGATCGATTAAGGTTTTCTAATTATTCCTTTTCTATCAAAAGGAATATTCCACATTCCAACTTTAAAAAGTAAAGATTGCAAAAATAATCCATTTCTAGCTTCATCCTAAAATATAAATCTTTAATCATCTTTAGTAAAAAAATTTAGCTCTCTTTCTTGATAATCAATTTCTAAAAGCCAATGCTTACAAACTATTAAAAAATAGAAGAAATTTTTTAAATTATTTATTAACTAAATGAATATAAATACTTTTTTCAAGATTTTTATCAATTATATTTCCTCCTTTACTTGTGGCTGACTGAATTTATCTTACTGGGCTAAAAATGTTTCTCGTTTCTTCTTGTCTTAGAGTATCAACGTAGTTTTTACTTTTACCAAATAGACTCTTGTTAGAGCTACCCATTCTACTTAGAGTTTAAGTAATATTTTGTGATGATGGTGAAATCATCTAGCCAATACTTTTTCTTTTACTTTCTAAACGAGGTGAGTGGTAAGAAGGGGAAAGTACTCTGTTACTAGACTGCAATTAATTAGATTTATTTAATAAGTCTTACTAAAGATTATAGAATTTTTCATCAGTTACATAAAATTCTGTGGACTAGCCTAAATTATTTACATTTGTTTAATTGGGAGTTTAGTTCCCTTGCGAGATCATAAAATTACTATTTCTCTTAGTGTTTGAGTTGTTGATTTACTCTGTTCTAAATCTTGCAGTTGCTTAATTTGATGGGTGCTTTGGGGAATACATATTATTATTTTTATTTGAAGTAGGAGATTAGGAGCTATGGATAAAGTTATTAGTAGTCTCAACTATAAGTTTCCTATAATCTGATTACTCTTTGTAGCTATTTGTTGGCATCTAAACCATAGGAGTTCTCAAAGGACTTTTTCTTTTAAGAGCCTTACTAAATGATTGATTCTAATATGCAGTTGGAAGAGTTAGATTACTTTAATCCTTTAAGTTAGTGTCTAAAATATAATTATTCTACATAGGAGAACCTTATCTTTTTTAATATGATTAATTTTAATTAATTTATTAGTGATAATTCTACTAAGTATTATTATTTGAGCTGGTGAATTGGCGCATTGAGATAGAGTGATTCATAGTAGATTGATTTCCTCCTATATTCTGTTTTGATGTAGAAAGTATGCTCTAATAATGACTTGGCTACATACTTAACTAAAGGTTTTGTTATGATTAAGAAAGCTTATTAGCTTTGTGCATGGAGTAACTTTCCTCTAATTTCTTTTGTTTTTAGGCTTCTTGATTAAAGCATATTTTATCATACGAAAATTCTTTGTTTTCTCTCTAAGTGAAAGATTTCTCTAATTATTATTGCTCTGCTGTAAGCCTTTATTAATTTTATTTAAATCTTGAATCATATGGGGATATTTTTTAGTGGCTCCAGTGCCATAAATCATCAATTAGACCCCAAAATATATTTGGGTTCCCATCTTTCAGAAAATCTATACACCACAAGTATCTGGGGTTGAGTTTTTATTGCTGCCTCATAAAAGAGAATGCTTTGTTGAAATTAACATTAACTTATGAAGAATTTTTAGCTCCTCTAAAAATACCATTAAATAAAGGATTAGTCTTACCAGTAATTCTATTAAGGAGGTCTGCAAAAAGAGCTCCATTTTTGCCAAATTTTGCTAATCTATCTACATTCTTGGAGTCAAAATCATCTTTAATCAGAGTAATATCTACAAGCCATCTATAAAGTCTTGCTTTTGTTTCGTTATTTACAGGTATCACTTAGATAGTTTCGCCATTTTACTACTCAATATAGTGAACATCTTTCCACCATTAAGATGACTTTTAAGAGCTTTATTTTGGATTTAGATTTTGCTAAGGGGATAAATTGCTTGCTGATTTCTAGCAGCTATTATTCTAATTATTTCCAATTAAATCATTATTTATACTTTTAATTGTCTAGATTTAATCTTATTGGTCTCTCAAATCCAGAGTAACATTTTTCCTTTTTTTACTAATTGTAGAAGTATTGGTTTGTGATTATAAGATAGAAGGAGGAATCTTAGATAAGCTAGATTCTCTATGGCTTATAGAGCTGGGTATCATTCTATTTGAATTTTATATTTAATCATTATTTGCATTAAATTTGCTAATCTGTGAATTCACCTTTTGGTGATGAAATACTCTGCCTTGACCTTTTAAATCAGGTGTTGAGTTTGTTTGAGTTGCAAAAAGGCTAATCATATGATTAGGTGTAGAAATACTTGACTAATCTATTGACATATTATAATGCTTAATATTTGATATTTAGGTAATAGGCGAAACTGGTGAATTAACAGTATTCAGTCTGACAGATTACTATACTTACTGTTGCTAAAAAGCTAATTTTTCTCCTGATTAATTATCAGGGTTATTTTGCTTTTTCAATGAAGAGATGCTAGTTTTTGAATTTGTTGGTCTAACTGAATTATTTTAGGAAGCCTTCAAATTAGGAGTGCTCGTTACTCCTTAATTACTTCTAAGTGATTAATTTAATGGAATAAATAGTTAATTTTGATTGGTTGGCTAATGCTGTATGTTTTCTGTAATTCTTGAACTCAGAGAATTATAATTGGAATTATCTTAATAGTTGTTTTGAATACTACTGATTTTAGATATTTCTGCAGATTACTTCTGTTTATTATTGAAAAATAAGCTGCCTGCATTTAGGTTTGGTGAATTTTAAAACTTTTAAATCATTTAATTCACTTAAATATGCTGATTATCATCAGCTATTGTCCTTGGAGTGAATAATTTTTAAGAGCTGTTATTTTAACTTAAGACGTTTCTGCTATTTTGGTAGTTATGATTTGTTATCTGATTTAAATTTTAACTTTTAAACTGATTTTCTTGGTTTTACTCTGTGAAGAATTGCTAGTGAAAAAGACTGCTTTCACTCTTTCTTTATTACAAAGTATATAAATATTGCAACACTCTTAATTTAAATTCATTTTCCTAATTTATTTTATTCAATATTTGTCCAATTTTCTATTTCATTAACATAAATTACATACTTCGCACAATTGCTATGGCTACATTGAGATAATTTTTGAGGGCACATCAAAAGAAGAATCTTTAATTGCATTTAAAGCGGTAGTCATATTTATCAAAGATGAACTAGAAGCTTTTATAAATTAAAATGAAGTATTAATCATTAAATGATTCTAAGTTATATAAATAAATACTATTTTGTCTAATGACGCGAGCTATAAAATCAGGTTTTTATCTATAATAAATTATATCATGAACTAGCTAACAAAAAACTACACCTTTTTATAAAAATCAAAAATAAATAAGCTAAACTCTAATATAATAATTATATTTTATAAGCTATACCATTTTATAAATCGTTTAAAACCATCACATTCTAGCAATCTTAGTATTAAAAGCTTCTTATCCAATCAATTAATTCATCAACAGTAAGATTATGAGAATCATTTTTGTTCGCTAATTCTCTGACCGCACCTTGAGCTAACTAATTATATTTATAAATGAAAATGCATTAAGCAGGTAGTTTGCAAATCTATAATTAACATTGTTCTTTTTCTTATTTTTAAATTAAGCTTATTGAAATTTTTTTTATTAATGGCTGTTAATAATAGTAAATAAATAGTTTACTGCTCAAAATAAATGTTATTTAAATAAATCAAAAATTAATGCTATTCATATTTTAATTCTTAGTTGCTAAATATTTAGTTAAAAATTCAATCTATACATATTCTTGATTCAAATTTGTATCATAGTATCCTTGCATAGTTTAAGGAATAAACTTTTTCGTCTTTATCTATCTATTTATCTATATAAAAATTTATTTTTTGGAATATTAGATACTATATTAAAATACTAACAAATATATCTTTACAAGTTTTATTGAAGTGCTTTATTTTATTGAAATTGCAAGAAAGTACAGACTTGAATAGAATCAATATATGTATTTACTTGTAAATTAAATTGAAATTATAATTTATTTTGCAGATAGTATAAATTATCTATCTATTTGTTTATTATTGACTTGCTATTGAGTGATGAACGAACTGGACTTTTTCGTTAAAATCAGTTTTAATTTTAAATATTTGCACCAAAAGAATTAATTTGAATTTTAAAATAAAATAAATTTATTAATTTAATATAATATTCAACATATCTTTTACATTAAATTTTTATAGACACAAAGATTGAATTTTTTAAAAATTGCAATCGTACAAAAACAAACAAATAGTTTCCAAATTAAAAAAGTAATTGTTTATAGTTTTGAGTATTTTAGATTGATATTAATAATATTATTATTTTTTAGGAGATATTAATTAATAAATGCTTGAAAGATTAAAGATATTTTAATAATGATAAGGTTATATATAGTATATTTCATTTTTATGTTACAAAGTAGCTATTTACATTTTATCTCTTTTTAAATTATTTATTTTTCCTGCTTAATTATTGTCATTCATAATTCACTTTAATCGTTTTAAATATATTGCCTTTCATAGTAGTTTCCTGAGAAGTTAAATCTATCGCTGTAAATATCTTAATCTTTATTTTCAATTTTATAATGCTCATAAAGGTCTTCAGTTGGTTAATTAAATTGGTTACTATTATTATTATTTGAAGATATTATTTGCATTTACCTTTATTATATTTAATTTTATCTTCGCGGAATTTGCATATTTTCGAAACTGCTTGATTGATATTCATCTAAAAACGAATCTTATATAGAAGAGCTACTATCTTGGCTTTTTTAAGTTTAAGTTGGGGTTCCAATTTATTCTAAAAATCCTAAACTGTACAAAGAGATTTCATAACTTCTCTTGCTAGTAGAGTAATTTTAAGCCTATTCACTTTTATTGGAATCCACACACAAAGTACATCCCATTTTAACTTCTTGAGATATTTAGAAATCTTTATCTTTTTATTCTAAATTAATTTTTATATTACTTACTTTTTATCAATATCCTTATTTTTTAAATTAAGCAAAATAGTTAATATATGCTGCAATCAAATATCTACGTCATTATTGTAATAACACCTTTTTATTTATTAAATTAGATAATTGCAAAAATTGTTCGATTATTATGTTTTATTATCAATAAATGTAATTTATATTTAATTTAGCAAAATTTTTCATAAGTAAATGTAAATTTAAGTAAGTTAATTTTTAAAAGAATTTTTTTAAAATTACATTTTTAATTTTTTTTTTTGTAATATTTATAAAAAAGAAACAACTAAGACCATTAAATTTACATAAATTATGTAACAAAATAAGTAAAAAATAAAAATATTTGTTCTATAAAATTGATTTAAAAAAAAAATAATTATTAAAAATAAAAAAAATAGACAATATTGAAAAGTAAAAAATAAAATTTGTTAAAAAATAATTTTTCTAAAGATATATTTAAAGAAAAATGATCAAAATATGAAAATATAATATAATGGCAATGTTAGTTATTTTTTATAAATCAATAACTGTTATAGTAGTAAAAAAAAGAAAATGCACTGATTAAATCGAAGATTAAATAACATTATATATAGATGATTTTCAAATGCTCCAAAACATTCAGTAAGAATATAAAAATAATTGATTGTTGTTATTAATTATTTACTTTCATATATATAATTCGAACTAACTATGTTAACTAAACTAATTATCAAACTAGAAAATAATAGTGCTTGATAAGAAAGTATATCTTAGTAAAAAAAGATAAACTAGCTTTCAAATAATAACAAGCAAAAACTACTCAAATTTAATCAAATTATTAAAAATGTCAGATATTTTAAATTAGATTCCTTAGCTCATTCTTAATAGAAAAAAATAATAAAAAAAGGAACCTGAAATTGGTTTAGATAATGACATTTTTCTTGGACTAGATAATATAGAAAATATAGATTAAAAGTTTAAGATTTATTCTGAGTCATAGAGAAGAAATTCATTTGTAAGTAGCCCTAATTATAATAGAAGTCTATCAATAAACAAAGTATTAAATGCTAATAGCAAATAAATAATATAAATCTCAGATACGAATAGAACAGAAAAAAACAATTTACAGCCAAAAGATATGAAGTTAACTAGCATAAAATTTATAAACGATTTTAAATAGGATAATGTAAAACCTTCTGTTTATATGTAATCTCCTAAAGTACAACAAAATCAAATATAATCTAATACTGATTAGGTTTATAGATTAAAGCATGGCTTTGTCAATAATATTTATAAAGATAAAAGTGCTTTAGATGAAAACTAACCTGCATTTATGATAAATAAAAAGAGAAATTCTTTCTCTTCTCATGCTGCTATAAATTATAAATCATAGACTAGTATAGCTATTAATTAAGCTCACAGTCTTGCTAATTAAAAGGAAAATAATGATAAATTAGCAAAAAATTTAACTTTCAAAAATGAAGTATAAAAATGCAATAACATAACAAAAAGCAATTTCAGTATTCCTTAGAAAGACAAGTAAGAAACCCAAGTTACTGAGTAATCATTAAATTTTAGCAAATAAAAACTAAGTATAAAAGACTTAGCCACATTTCAAAGAAATCTTATGATTAGCAGAAACATTTAAGCTTTGAAAAGAAATTTAATTGAAATAAATGGAGACAATGCACTTAACTCTAGTAGGTCTAATAAAGATTAAAGTTATAGTACTTCTTAATTTGCTAATTTAGCTACTTTGATATATGATATAATCACTTCGACAAATTCTTTCGGAAATTTTATGAAAAATCCTTTTGCTATTTCTATTCCAAATGTTGAAAAGGTATTCAATTAATTTAATATTGACAAAAAGAAGCTAGTAAATCTTAAAACTATGGAAGAAAAAGAAGAATACATAGTAACATAAATTTATAGCTAAAGCATTGAATAGCTAAAGTAAATGATAGAAAAAATCAATAAAAAAACTGATGAATTTGCATAAATTGAAGTAGAAATTTTTTATTTAGTAAAAATTAAAATATTTATTTTTTTTTTAATTAAATAAGGAAAGGGAAAAAGAAAAAGGAAAATATAAAAAAAATATGAATGAATTATTTTCATGGATCTAAATTCCAGGCTCTTATGAAGCATTAAAGAATAAAGTTAAATATTCTCTTGTTGAAGTTCTATACGGCCACAATAACTTACAACAGTTATAGGAGCTTCAATAAAAAAATGAAGAATACAATAATAATATTAAAGCACTAAAAGAAGGCACGACCCATAGGCATTTAAGTACACTAGGTGAATTTTAAGAAAATCAATAATAATTTAATGATACTTTGAATTATCTTGGCAGTTTAACATTGAATAAAAAGATTAGAAGTGTTCACTTGAAGATAGAGGATGATTTAAATAGGACTTCTTAAAGCTTGCTAAAAGTAGAATAAAGAAAGCTTACTACTATATCTGGGCAATCGATTGTTTCTTCAAAATATTAAAAAACAGATTCTTCTAGTAATAAACCTTAATAGGTTGCCTCTCCTAAATGTGTCCCAAAAAATTTTTCAGAATAAGTTTAAAATTTTGATGATTAACAATTCAAAGATGCAGATGTAATTTTGAAAGAGAAATTAAAAAATTTCTAGTGGGATTATCAAAATGAAAGAACTTTCCAAAGTTATAAAAAGAATGCTAAAAAAACTTTTGTAGGATTAGATAGCATGAATAGATGGTAATAGATTGGTATGCAACCAATAATTTAAAAGCTAGGATTAGAGGAAAAGCTAGATTTATATAGAGAGCAACTGTAAGAAAAATATTAAAGAGGAGAAAATTTAAAAGAAAGTGAAAAAATATTTATCATCAATACTAGCTAACTCCTTATAAGCAATATTGACAAAGAATATTTTTAAGGTATGCTAGACTTCATTTGTGAAGAAGATATTTTAAAATTAGAGCAAATTATAGCTGAAAATATTATTTTAAAATATGAAACCATAGCCTAATATCTAAAAAATCAAAGAAATTAATACCTTCAAGAAAAAGCTGATGCTTCGGCTAATAAAATAGAAAAATCTAATGTCACTAATATTTATAATAAAATTAAAGATGAATAAAAAATAAAATATAGATAAAAGGAGTTAAAAGATAATGTTGAATAGATAAAAAGAAGACTTGAAAGGAAGTTTGAATCAATATAGTTTTATGAAAAATTACGCAAAAATCTTTATGTTTAGCACTTTGTAAATTAACTGAAAAAGGCTATCGCTTATAAAGAACTAGGTTAAAAGAAATTTGTTAAAGAAGAATCATATTACAAAAACTTTGCAAAAAGAAATTATCCTTCAAAGAAAGAGAAAGTCCTTTTCACAATTACTAATAATGAGGAAGAAATCCCAATAACAACTAAAGAGTCATAAAAAATATATCACCCAACCTCTAAGGTAAGATTTATTTAAAAACTTTATGATAATTAATTTGCTTAATTTTTGCAATTTTAAAATCTTTAAAAAAATATTTTAATTTATTTTAAAAAGTTGTTGTTAGGGTTGAATAACTTAGCTAAAATTGAAGAAGCTTAAAAAAGTGGTAGAAATAGAAATTACTTAATTGATATGCCACCTAAGTAATAGAAGTAGTTGGAAATGTAACGTGCAACTTATGAGTAATTTACAAATAGACTTTAAGATTGTAAAAAATTAGAAAACTTTTAAGCTAAATTTACAGAATATTACAGTAATGGACCTATTGATTCCAGAGATTTAAAGAATAAAAATTTACAGGTTGAGAAAAAAAAAGATTTAACAGCAGATGGAAGCTAATAAGAAGTTAAATTTAAGAAACCTCATTTATGGATAACTAGAGAAATAGAAGAGAAATGTGCTATTATTATTTAAAAATGGGTGAGAAGGTTTCTGTAATAAAAAAAATATAATTATGAGCTTTAGTAAATAAAAGATTCATAGGAAAAGAAGATGTTTACCATTTTAAAATAGTGGAAAGACTCTAAAGAGTTAATGAATTTTATAAAAAACCACACTCTTCAAGTAGCCAGATAAAAAAAGTTAACTTTAAATAAAAACTAAATAAAAAATGCCACATTTCAATCTCAATCTTAACCTAATAGTCCTCGAAGCAACACTTCTTCTGTAAGCATGATTAATAATAATTAAAATGTCAAAGAAAAATAAAAAGAAAAGTTAGGAGGTAATGTTTTTGTCAAGAGTCATAGAAAATAAGTATCAGAATATACATTTAATCAGATCAATTAAAATGCAAATCAGCACTTAGACAGATCAGATTCTATTTCTTCCATTAATTCTAAATAATCCAAGCATAGTTATCTCGGAAGTGCTACATCAACAAGAATTGGAGGAACTATTACCCATGATTTTTCTATTTATGGCTTGCATGGATATAATGCTACAAAAAAGAAATCAATTAAATCAACTGATGATTCAATTAATTAAATTACTCATGGAAGATCTGTTTCTGATTTCCAAAGCCCCAAATCAGCACTCTTTTACTCTAAATAATTCTTCCCTGCTTCCACTGCAGTGATGAGCAATTATTTAGGAGAAAGCTAGCATAATAATCTTACTGTGAAAGAATTAAAAGAGCAGATAGACGAAGATGTAAATATGGAAAATGAATAACTTTAATGTGATGAATAATTTAAGAATAATAAATAAATGCTGTAATAATAACTAATAGATCAGTAAAAAAATATTCCAATTCAACTCTAAAGAAAGGTCTCTTTAACAGCCAACTAGCTCAAACACTAAATAAATAAGATTAAAAGTGGAGTTAAAGATTTTTCTAAAAAAAGAGAAGAACTTTTACTGAAACAAAAAAAATTATTTTATGCAGTAAAACAAGGAAACATTTAAATAATTAAAAATTCTGGCTTTGTTTACTATCCCCATGACGTAAATACAATTGACGATAAAGGAAATTGCCCCTTATATTATGCAACAAAAAGAGGTAATGAAGAGCTTATAGATTTCCTTTTGAGATAAGGAGCTGATGTTAACATACGATGTTAAGAAGGCAATACACCTGTACATTTAGCTTTTTCATTGGGAAATGAAAAAGTAATTATGAGCTTTTTAGACAAGGGAGGTGATCTAAACTGCATCAATAATATAGGTCAAACACCTTTAGCTTTTGCTCCTATTAAATTGCTTAAATTAATTGGTTTAGATAAAGGAATCACAAATATAGAACCATAAAAAATAGGATAAAGAATAGATTTTGACAATAACAAGATATTTATAGAAACACATAATATAATTGATACAAGCAATCATGTTAAAGAAGCTAATTCAAATATTACTATTGTAAAAAAGAGAAAAGAAAAACAAGCACATGAAGAAATTCCTGAAAAAGACCTCTACTTCTAATTCATTCCAACAAATTCTACTTTAGACTTAAATAATTATGATAAATTTGCATAAGGGATCAAAATATTATAAAAATCGCCAAAGACAGGTAATGCTTTTAATTAAATATAAAGTTTTGTGGAACCACAACAAAGATAACAAAAAAAAGAGGAAAATGAATTTCATTTAGAGTTTACACCAAAACCAGAATTAATTCACACTTAAGCAGTAGAAAATGGCATTTGAATAATAAACTTAATAAATTACAATTTATTTTTAATTTTAATTCTAAAAAAAATAATAGATTATAAAAAAATATTAATTTTCAAAATTTATATATTTTAATTTATAAAAATTATGACAATAATTCAAAAACGTGCTGAGTTTTTTTATTTGATTTTAATAGATTAATATTTAAGGTATTTACTACAAAATTTTATTTTTTAATTTGTTAAAAAAAGTCAAAACATAATATGTAATTTGTATCCAGTAAATCCAGTAAATTATTTCTAATATTAGTAAATAAATAAAGTTTAAAATTTTTGCTTGGAACACATATTATTATTCGCAAACCTATGAGCAAACATTTTATTATATGAAACATTGTTTAAATACAAAATATTTTACTTAATTTAATTAATCTATTTAGTACCTTTATTTAAATAAAGTAATCAAATAATTTAATTATTTGTGGAACAAATTTTATAATTACTCATAAAAAAATTGAACAATCAATCTTTTTTCACAAATTTACTTGAAAATTCTTTTTAATTCTCCTTAAATATTTTTATTTTTGTGGATTTTTTTTATTTTTTTACTCTTTTTATCAAATTTCACTTCGTCTATTAAAAAAAAATTGTTTTGTAAGTTAAATTTTACTCTTGAGATATCAAATATTATTATCGTAATTAAATAAATGCTAGTCATCGTAATGATTTTAAATAGAAAGTTATCTTATATTATCCAATAGTATTAAATAATTAAATTTTCTGAAAATTTTGCTAAACCAAACATTTTAATTATATAATTAAGAAAAGAGAAACTATTATTAGCTTTCAAAAGTATCAATAAAATTTAGATAATAATAGATATAAGAATAATATCTATGTCATAGTATGAAGAAGATTCTGCATTACCCTTTGCAGAAATAGAAGAAAATCCAATAAACTCAAATAATATTTATGGCAGCAAAAAAAAGAACAGTTAGAATAAAGATGAGCTGAAAAATAGCTCAAGCTTGAAATAAAACCTTGATAATTAACAAACAAATTAATAAAAAAAGTAAAATGTTTAAAGCTAAAACCCATAGTAAGTAGTAGCGGCACATGAGTAAAAAAGATATAAAAGAAATAGTTCAGAAATTAGTGGTACTGCTTTGCCAAGGATAAATGGGGGTAATCATTTATCTTAAGAGAAAGTTTAAAAAAAAGATCAATAAAATGTAGGAATTAATGAAACCAATAGTACTATGGTTTAAAATAAAAAAAATTATAATTTAAATGGAAATTTTTAAGTTCCAAGCAAGAATTATAACATGTCATAAAAAGGAGGAAGTGGAATCACCAGCTTGTCATTTTCAAACATCAATTTATTGTCTTAAAATATGTAAATAAATAGTGCAAAGTTTTAAAAAAAACTTTATTAACAGATCTCCTCATCATCATAATTGCAGTAAGGATTGACTTTTACATAACGTGTAGATAATTTAGCATTCCCAATCAGTAACTATTAAATGGCTATAAATAACAGTGATTTTTCAATAAATAGGATGTCATAAAAGAATTTCAGATAAACCACTTAAAATTTTAATGATTAGATAAGGAGAAGTACTATGACGAATAGCTCAGAAGTTAATGAAACTTTTGGAATAGTGCAGCTAATGGAAAATAATCAAAATAATATTCCTATAGTAAAGAGTCATTTAAAGGAATAAACTCACGAAATACATAAATTAATAACTCCCAATGCATACAAAGCATTAAAAATGAAATAAATAAATAGTATTAATGGAGGAAAAGAAGGAGATATTAAGTATCATTAATCAAGTATAATAAATAAGTGTTTTTCTCCAGAAAAGTAGAGATACTCAAATTAAAATATAGATGAAAAAAGTAATTAATATTCAATTTATTGTTGGTCTTTTTTTTATTCAATCAATAATTCTATAATTTTTCTTGGCTTATAATTTACATACTATGATACACACATATATTGATTCATTTTTCAAAGAAAATACATTATTATCTTTTATTTTAACAGCAGGATACGATTTCAAAGAAGAAGGATTTGAAAACAGAGACTTTAAAACTCTCTCTGATATTATGGAAAATTAACCAAATTAAAGCAATAAAGAGACTATCTAAGAATAAATAGAGAAGCTAAAAACTCAAATCCCAAAATTAATGTCAACTTAGAAAAATAAAAAAAATGGATTTTCAGTAACTTCTTTATAAGAATTGTATGAGCATCAGTTTGTGAATAATACCTAAAATATAGATAAGTTAAATAGCCAATTATAACTTTAATTGCCTTAAATAAATGTATAAACTATAGATTCAGAAGGCTTTAATAGTTCCAAAGGAAAATTATCTTAGTTAGATAAGTATTAAGTGGGAAATAGTTAATTTAATAACCAAATAAATATTAGCTAATTTAATTAAAATGTTGAAAACACGTTAAATGAAAGCGCATTAATTAATTAAGAAAAAGTATCAATTATAAAAGAAATGAACCAAAAAAGTAGTAATAAGACTAATTTCTATGGTTAGTTCATAAGTCGTTGTTTAGAATAATCTTAGTTAGATAGTAATTTATATCATTTATTTTCTTATATTTCTAAACCTTAATAAAAAAACTATAGTGCTCAATACTCCGCTTAAAAATTTGAAAAAGAAAGAACTTTTTGAAACAGATTTAGAGAAGATTAAGGTGTCTTCACAGCTTTTAGATATTATAGATAAGTAAATATTTTAAGAAAATGACTAAGCAGATTAAATGGAATCCTAATTCGCTTAAAATGACTAAGATTCTTCGTCAAATTAATCACAAAGGTAATTAAGAAAAAAAGGAGTTTTAACACAAAAATAAAAAGATAAACTTTTTTAAGTTTTAGCAGATACAGATAAGATAGTTGTTCATACCTCATAGAATAAAGTAATAATTTTAAAGTTTTGAACATATTTTCATAATTCAGAAGAAAATTTCATCTTGAATGAATTAATTTATTTGGTTAGAATCTTAATTTGGAAATTTATATTCTATCTATTCTCATAAATTAAGCACATCTTAATAAATTTTTTCAAAATAAATTTCTCAAAAATTTGTTTCAAAATTTACCTCAATCTTAAATTAAGGTTAGCATTTATGATTGAAAAAATGCGGTATTTTATAATAATATATTTAAACTTATAAATGTTTAAACTAATACATTTAAGATAAAGAATATACTTAGTTTTTCTCAATTTATTAAATTCAATTTCTAATAATAACAATATCTTACCAAATCCACATAGGAACTAACCAAAATTCGTTATTTTTTTATTTTTGACAGTAATTTATAAAATTCAAATTATTTTTAGTATTTAAAGTAAATTCAGTTTTATTTATAAATTATAGTAATTAATTTTTGTTCTTAATTCTTTTTTTATCTTAGGATTTGATGGTACCAAGTGAGAGAAAAGATGTAGTTAGATTGGCATAATGGTTAGAAGAAATGCTTGAAAAAATTTATAATATAAAAGATTAAGACTTTTATGAGTATTTTGAAAATATTTAACTTGTTTGCAGTGCTTGTATGAGTGAAATTATCAGATAAATAAGCGTTTCTCTATAGGAAAGAGGAAATCTGGTTAAAAGGGTTTGGGAAAGCTTTCTTAATCTAATGAAGCAAGCTTTTGAGCAGTTGACATAAGAGAAAATAGAAAATGAAAAAAATTTAAAAGATGAAATAAAATAAATACATAAAATGTATCTCAAAAAATTAGACGAATATTTGCCAGAAATAGAAAAATAAAAAAAAAAATTAGAGTAATAAGAAACACAAAATAAAAGAGTTGTTTTAGAATTCAGATACTTGAGAAAAAAAGATACTAAATTAGAGAAATATCTAAAATTAGCAAAGAAAGATTTACGTTAACTTGAAGAAGATTATGCAAGACTAGATTAAGACTATTAAAAGTTTAAGTTATCTTATGAAAAACAAGAATAATATTACTAATAAGCATTAAAGAATTAAAAATAAGTGCAAAAAAGTTCTGGTATTTCTTTCAATAAATAAGAGGAGAAAAGTGAAGTAGAATATATGCTAAATGAGCATATTAAAAATTATAATGATATTACTAGCAAAGCAAAATTAGGGTTTGAAAACTTTAACGAAAATTACGAAAATTATAATAAGGACATAAAACAGTAAAAGATAAATTTAGCCATTTTTATAAATTTAAATTTTCTTTTTAAAAAATTAATTAAGACTCCATGAAAAATATGTGTAAGATGTCAAAAAATTTTAGAAGGGCAACAAAGTTCCAATTGAAGATCTAGATCAATTTGAAGAAAATATTTACAGTAAAAAGGCAGAAATAGATAAAATTATGCAATTAGATGAAAGAGTCATCGAAGAAATAGAAGGTAATGATGGAATTACTTTGATTATTGGCCATTGTGGTGTTTAAACTGGTCCTGATTTATTAAAAATGACTCATTAATCGGTTGATACTTCTTCTTTGACCTCTTTTAAAGAGAGGACAACTTAAACATTTGTTGCATAGATTGATGTGAAGGTAATAAATTTAATTATGCTTATTATTAATTTAAAATAAAAAATGTTAAGGAAATATAAACACCTGCAGAATGGATGGCTGTTAATATAGGTTCTACATCACCAATTAATAATAATGGACACTCAATTAAAGCTTAGAAAGGGTAGAAACCCTCAAAATTTTCTTCTGTTTCTAAATTAAATAGCTAAAATGAAGTTGAAGATGATGATGAAGAGATTCAAAGGAAAAGGTTAGAAATAGAATAGCAAGAATAAAAGAAGTTAGAGAAAATTAAATAACTTGTTTTTAAAACAGAAGATGAAGAAACCTAGGAAAGAGAAAAGTTATAACAACTACCTTTTGTAAAACAATTTTTGATTGATTCTCCTATGTTGTAAAAATCAGGTTTATTACTGAATTGGAAAGATTAAAATACATCTTAACAAAATGAATAAGATAATAACCCATCTGATACTTACAGTAACTCTAGTGACGATTAAGATGATCAAATTGATGAAAAGGAAAATTAAAATAATGCTGATGGGATTGCTTCTGGAGGAAGTAGTCCAAGAAAAAGTAAAAAAATACATGAATCGCTATCTTAAACGATTTAAAACAAAGTTGAAAAAGATTTAGAGGATTTACATACCCTTGTTATGAGCAGAACCAGTTATGTGACTTCTTTATGTGAAAAAATAATTAATCATTAGCTGCTTAAAGAAAATGAAATTGTAACTATTTAAATGATAGAATAATTTATAAATGATAGCAAATAAATAATTCTTGAAGAACACAATAGACTAAAAAGAATTTGGGAGCGCTCTAAAAAAGGTATTTTAGATTAGGTCAAATCCAAGATCATAATTGCTGAAAAGGATGCAGAGCTTTAAGAAGTAAATTTTAAATTAAATTTTTGAAATTAATTCGTTTAAAATTTTAATTATTAGGTATAAAATGATAAAGAAATTATAGAACAATAAATTAAGTTCTTTAGAAAAGAAATCAACCTCTTTGATGATAAAAAAAGCGATTCATCAACTATTATAGAGACAATCAATAAAAAGAAAAATTCATAAAGCTTTAACTCATTAGAGGATATTACTGACGAAGATGAATTTGAGGAAAGTAATAATAATTTAAGCAGCTAAGATGAGGATGAAATCTCTGAAAAGTCCCAATCAGAATCAACTACTTCATTAAAAAATGATACAGGCATTTTAAAAACAGAAGGAAGTATTTCAAAGTAAGAATAAAAAAAAAATAAGCTAGATTCTGTGTTGACTTAAAATGTGAATAAATAAAGAAACTCAGTTTTAAAAAAATCTGTAAATAACTCAAGTGACAAAAGTACAAACGCACTTGTCCCACCATCTCCACTACCTTTATAGAGTTCACCCACAAAAACTAATGCTCCAATTTTATAAATATAACAAAATTCTATCTAACAAAAGAGAATTAAAAAGAAGCAAACTCTTAATCCTTTAAATAGAGTAAGTATCTCTCTGATAGAGGCTGTTTAAGGCTCTAAGACATAATAAAAACAAGATGACTCTAGTCCTTTGATAACAGAAAAAAGATTTGCACCAATCTATCAAAAAAAAGATAGTATTTTTGGCACTTTAACAAATCAACAAGCCATAATGACTTCGTCTAGTATTTTAAGCTCTAGTTAATCTTCATAATCATCATGGCTTAAAACTATATAAATAAATAACAAATTGTAATCTACTAACATATCTCCTAATTCCGATTCAGCTGCCATTTTCTTCAATAAATTCGCATTGAAAATTATGGTTAAAGAAATTAGTAAAGCAGATAAAAAAACAGTGATTATGAAATAATAAAATGTTCTAAGACATTTACAGAGTATCTATTAAGATAAAATAAAATCAGTAAAAAACTCAGAAGAAGATACTAATGGTGGGTCCCGTACTTTGAATGTAGTCACTTATGATTACTTTTTAAATCAGTTTGGTTTTAAAAAGCTCGCTGAAACTAAGCTTAAACAGTTTTTAGATAGTTGCATCTACTACAACATTAATTTTAAGATAAGGTAATTTACCAAACTATATGGAATAAATAAGATAATGAATTATGACTTTGAGGACTTTGATTTCTTCATTAAAATGATGATTTTCCTTGAAGAAGGCTCTTCATAGTAATAAATATAAGCTAATATTTATCCTATAAATAGAGTTATTGAAGCCTTATTCAGAAATTTTGAAAATAAAATACCTGCTTCAGAAATGATTAGATTAAAATAAGAATTAGAAAATATGAAGATCCCTGATTCCACAGCTAAGTAGAAAAATAAATTTGCTATTGACTCCGATCATGCTCTAGACATTTTACTTTAAGCTTTAATTGAGGAGAAAAAATTATGCATTTAAAATCTTTAGAGCGTGTATCTCGCAGGTGATATTAATTGCGATTAAGTTATTGCATATGATGAATACTTAACTTTATTTAGACATTTTGAGAGTGGCCTATTTAACATCCTCTATGTCACTAAATTTTATTATCAAAACTGCGATCTCTTAGATAGATTTACTAATTAAAGAATCATGAGCTTCTAAAAGTTTGCTTTAACATGCGTTTAAGGTGATTTGTTTTCAAAATAAATTTAAGATGATTACTCAAATAAGATTGAGAATTATGATAGAATAAAAAATATAGATTCCTTAGAAAGACATTGGGAAGATAAAAAGGATGTAATTAGACTTCGTTTTGTGAAAAATGGGTAATATAAATTATTTTACAGATAAATGATAAAAAGAATTGATGATCATTTTGCTTTGAAAAAAGAGTAAAGAAATTAATTAGAAAAAAACACTACTTGGTTTGTTTATAGATTACTTGATGATGAAAGCAAAAGAATAATGACCGAATAATTAATAGATTAATTAATTCCTGAAGAATTCAATATTTTAACTAATTTTGAAATAGATTTAATTAAAAAATTTTGTTTAAATGCATGAAATGTAACAAAAATATGATAAACTAGCTATTCATTTATATTCATGAGTTATAAATTTTATATATAAATAATATTATATTTCTTTCTTTTTGTGTAAATTTTATTTAATATGGATATGCCTTATCATACTTATTTTTATTAAATTAGAACAAATATCTTTCATAGCTTATAATCTTACAAATATTCTTTTAATTATTATAAAAAGATATATTTGCTTCTTAAATCAAATATAATTTTTTAAATAAAATTCTTTATTTAATTATTATTATACAAAACTAAAATATTTTTCAATTATATCATATGAAATTTAAATATATTAAAAATTTAGAAAAAAAATAATTATTAAATTAATTGGATAAAATTTTACTCTTTAAATATTCCTTAAATAATTAAAAATTAATACTATATATTCTAACTAAATTTGTTTAATTTTAAAATTTTACTCCCTCAAAACTTGATAAAATTAATGACAAACTAAAATTAAGTAATTAAAAATAATAATTTTGCTAATTTATTTATAATAAGATTATTAGAAATATTTGAGAAGTCTATCTATAAATCTTTAATAAAATCATATACATTTTTAGTTTTTAAAAAAAATTTTCCATTTAAATTATACTCAAAAACTCTAAAAAAAGTATTATAAATACATACAATAAAACATATGGTATGAAAAATCTGGATAATATCAAATTGCTATATATATTAACAATGATAAATTTGACCTGAATTTTTATTTAAAACGTGTTTTTAAATGACAAAACTTTTTCTAATGTTTAAAATGTAAAAAGCATATATTTAAATAAAAAATTATTTTATTACAATTATTTTATTAAAATAAAATATATGTAAACTCAAAGTTATATATATAATTATTACTTATACTTATTTAAACCAAATCAAATTATGATATCCATTACTTTTGGATGCTCTGTATTTTGAGTATAAAAAAATCCTCTTTGAGATTAGAATATTTCAAAATTTCTTTTGAAAGGTATTTCTTCTGGTAGAGTGCTAACAAATCCTGAATGAAAAATTACTAAAAATAGATCAAAAATAAATATATCAATGAGGAAAGCACCTACAACTTCAATTATAATATCCTATATTTAATTAACAGTAAAATACTAAGTCTATGCAAAAGAATTCACTGTGCTAGAGTAGATGGCAAATAAGCATAAAAAGATAAATATATAGCATGTTAAATGTTATGCGCGAAGTCTGTTTAGGATTTTAGTGTTTATCAATTCATAGTCTTGTTATCTTATAAAGGAGCTAAATATTTAATTCAAAAATCCAAAGAAAGTATGACTGACAATATTTGATAGCATAATTATTAGCAGTATTCTTGCTGGATTAAAGTAGAAAAGATAATTTATAAATGGTTGATTTGGAGTATGCTCAGAGCACCATTTATATATATAAAAATCGAAAGCTAGATATCCATAAAATGTTATATAAACATAAATTATCCTAGACATTTTGGTCTAAAATAGTGTGTCTTTGGCATGGAAAATAGAATAAATAGGATTTATATTGTTAGAAGAAATTTTTTGTTTTTATTTTTATACATTTTCTCTCATTTTTAGGATAGCTAATTCATTTTCTATCAATTCATTCTTTTCTTTTATCTCTTACTGCTATTATTGACTTAAGTTCATTTGTAAGTTGCTTTCTCTCAATCCTTAAATTTTTAATTAGTTTGAAAAATTAGATATTTTATTCTCTATTTTATTTGTTGATTATGGAGAATTTTTTATATTATGCTTAGATCTTGGGCTGTTTTATTAACTTTTGAGATTTATTGATTTAACTAAATGAGGACTTTTAGATTTTTAATTGAAAAGTGTGCTTTAGTTGCAAAATTTTGACTTTTTAACAACATTTGCTGAATTTGGAGAAGCTTGCTATTTAACAAATTTATCTTTTATAAGACCTTAATCATCATTTGCTTCTGTAGTCAACATTATCTCCTCATTTTTATCATCTTTTTCTATTTTTTCATTCTTTTTAATATTTTTTGCCTTCGATTTAGATTTTTTTCCTTTCTTTTTCTTTTATTATTGTTAATTAGTAGAATCAATACTTTACAAGTCTTATTCCTATATAACTAAGTTAACTTTTTAGAAAACCATTCTCGGTTAGCTATCTATCTTATATTTTTTTTCATTTCTTTATGGTGATTATTGATCTTAAATTTCTGCTATTTTTTCAGAGAATTTAGAAAATTTGTTTTGAGAATTGCTTTTATTTCTAGAAGTATTAGAATTATTTTAATTATTTGGGCTCTGGTCAATTGTTTATTTAACAAACTAAGACTTTTTAAAAGGAGTAAATGGACTTTTTTGCAATTTTTTTGGTGAAAGATTTTAACTTTCAAACATTTTTTCTTATTCTTATTTAATTTAAGATTGTAAATCTAGAATATTACTCTAATTTTCTTGACTATTTGCTTCTTGATTTTTCTCAATAATTTTAAGAAGTTTTTATTCTTATTCGTATTTTTTTTTAAGTTGCAATGCCTTTTTTGTTACTTCATCAATAGCTTTTCTAGTTAATTTCACTCTACCTTAACCATGTGCTGGCGAGAAATTAGAAAGTGTTTCAGCAACTTCATCTTATATTGAAATTTTAACTAAATCTTTAGGTGTATTCGGATTACTTTTTGATTCTAATTAAAAAATAGAGTTAATATAATATGATATTCAATAAATTTACTAATATTATTATGAGACTGAGTGATTGAGAAATCATATTCTTTATCTTTTTCTTTATAAAATTAAATATCTTTCTCTTAATCATTATTTTGTTCATCTTATTAATTGCCATTTTTAACATTTTTATGAATATTATTTAAAATCATTTCTGCAGGAGCTTCATCATCATCTAAAAATTTAAATTTAAAACTTGCTCTGATTCCTGTCTTAAAAAAAACTCCTACCACTAATACTCCAATTATTATTATTTAGCCTAGTTATCTATTTGATGATTAAGACACTGTATCCTCATCATTGTTTGATAAACTAGAAATCAAATTTTAAACAGAATCCTATTGAATGTAATCCCACATGCTATAAGTTGAGTAGTTTTCTCCATCCTAAGTAACAATAAAAGTTTGTTTAGCCAATACATTTAAAACACCTCCGCTTAATTAAATATTAACGGCGTTTACTAAATTAACATTTCTTTATCCTAATTTATCAAATAATTAAATGTTTTAAAATATAGAAAAAAGCTAAAATCCACAGCAAAATATTGGTTTATTTCTAAAAATATTTTTATGAAAAAAGCATATTTGAAATATTAAATATTTAGAGTTAGATAAAAGACAATTAAATAAAGATTTACCTATTTTTGGAGTAGGTAAATTCGAAATAGTTATGACAGCAGGATTTGAAGCAGAAAGTAAAGAATTTCCAACTTTTTAAGCTTCTTTCATATCACTTAAATTAATTACGCTTTTTATGGACTAAGGCTAAAGAGCAGCACTAAAATCCGTTAAATGGGTGCATGAACAAATAATTGAAGTTATTGTTTCTTTAACTAAAGTGCAGCCATCAGACTATTTTAAAAAATGAAAAATAAAATTACACTAAATAGAAATTAGAAAAGTAATACTTTATATGAGTTGGTTTCTTCATCATAGTAGGTACACTAAATAGCATCTGTATTCAAGCCAGGAGGAGATGGAACTTTTTTTGGAATTGTCATTACAATAGGTTTTGGAGCGTCTGATACGCTTTAAGCACCACCATTGCCTCCTAAAGAGAGAGAAAGAGTAGTTGTGACAGCAAATGGGTTAGCTCTGGGGTCTACCTTAAAGCTAGATCCAGAAACTATAACTTTCTTTGAAGTATCAATTACTTGTGGAGGTATTTAAACTGTTAGACTTCTAAAAACTACTGGTATGGCTGAGTTTGAATCAGAAGAGGATTGTAATAATCTTATTTTTTACAATTTTTATAATCTTCTAAGCTGTCTTCTGCCTTAAGGAGTTGATCCATTTACATTGGTGTTTGATGTATTTATCATCTAAAGGCTTAATGGTATTGCTGCTGAATCACTAGTATCACTCTGTTATGTAAGAGATTCTCCCATATTTATATTTTAAAATGTTGCAGATTAAATATTTTAATTTAGGACTTGTAGCTGTTAAATTTAGGATGAAGCCTGTTAAGCTTGGGTGTTTTACAAAATAGTTATTAAATTTTAACAAATTGTCTAATATATTTAAATCTGTATCTAATCTAAAACATTATTCAGGCTAGAAGTGAGAATACTAATAAATACATTTGCTAATTAGATAGCTTCATCATTAAAATCTGAATAATAAAAAACATTTCCTATTGCTTATGCTACTATTATACTAGAATATTTAGTTGTATTTTAAGATAGTATATATTAAATATATTATGGTATATTGGCTTATAAAAAGATATAATCACTCTGCTACCATTAACAATTTACACCTAAGTAACCTTCAAGACATTAGCAAGAATATAAATTTAATGACATCACACATGAGCCTTAACCAAAGCAATCAATATCTGGGTCACATTATGCATTTTAATTATAAGTTTTCTTATTTGATAAAGCTATTTGCATGTTAATGTTATTATTTTATTATAGTGCTTTCAATTTTTTAGAATCTATTACAAATGACTCTCTGATATTTAAAATGTAATTCAAAAAACTTATTGAATCAAACACATTTTAAGAATTAAATTTGAAAATACTTTGATCAACTTTTACTGTCTTCTTCAAAGTTATAATCGAATAATCGTATCTCTCAGAACTTCCATCTGCACTATATATCTTAATTTCACAAGCTATATTTTAATCAGATTCATAATAAATGGGAAACTAATACGTTAAAAGACTTGCTATTTATTTTAATAAAAAAATATTTGTTTAAAGTAAAATCTTAACTAATAAATTAATAAATAATCTACCTTATGTTTAATTGAAAGGAATCGATTCATAAATTTATACTAATCCTACTTTAACAAAGCTAGGATTTGTTTATTTCTAAATTGAGCCATCATCTGCTATAGTGTTTGAGAATTACACTTACAGCACAAAGTAACTTATATCAAAAAGCAAAGGCTATGGAAATTTGTAGTTCTAGATACTAATTTAGAAAATATCTGATCCAGCTGTTCCAGAAGTTGGGTTGACAATAAAGCTACCAGCTATAATTTCACCTGCAGTCATAAAGCTAACTTCATCATTGAGTATTTCATTTGAAGCTAAGATTACTTCAATCCTGAAAGTATAAGATTAACTAGCTAGTTTTAATAATAAATAATTTTATAAAAAAAAGGATTAGAAAAAAATTACATTTCAATGCAAGGAAGGGAATAGTTAATGTTAGCGTATTTATGGTAAGTATGTCAAAGCTAGCTTAGAATTATGCATCAGTACATTTTTTTAACACCCATTCTATAGATTTAATAGGTCCTAAAACAAATAAACTTGCTTGTAACACAACGTCTTTGGTAATTCCTATAGCAGAATTAAAACTATTAAGGATTTTAACTACCTCATTGCTGCTTTCAACGCATGTCATTGATGCTGTTTGAGTGTAACCTACTGGGCATTCTTCAAGACATAATCCATTGAATAATACTAGATTTGATATGCAAGCTTTGCAAAAATTATAGCATACTACACAATAGCCTGATACAGAATCTAAATTATATCCTATTAAGCAGCTATCAGAGCAGGTTGAAATTACTGGATGATAAAATATCTAAGATAAAAAAGAAAAATAAAAACTTTTTGTTGATTTATCAAATGAAATAAATATTTACTTTTTAGACACATTCTTAGCATTAATTAGGCTAAGGGCCTGTGCACTTTGAGCATAATGGATGACAGGGAGAACATATTTATTAATTGTTTGCGTAGTAACCTTTAGGACATGCGCTAAGACACTAGCCTTAACCTGAAATATATAATATTACCGTATTTTATGGGCATGAGTTTTGAATGCATTACTTTGCAACGAAATCAACAAATGGAGTTGTTGAGGAACAAGATTAAACACAAGAATTTGATTAAATGTCTAAAAAACCTTAACAAGTAGTGCCATCTATGCAAGCAAATTAATTACCTTAAGTAAACAAATCTATCACAAAATTTTATGCTGAGCATTTCGTGCATGTTACTAATAACGAGTCAGGGTCTATTGTGCATAAATTGCAATTATTAGAGCATTAGCATTGCTAATTTAAATTTTCAACCATTCCTTAAGGACAACTCTAAACGCATATCTGATTTGATGAACTTAATGCTAGTAAATAAAAGTTGTTTGCACAACTGGTACACATGTTTTAGCTTGAACAGCTTGAGCAGCTTGAAGGACAAATGTTACAAGTAGATTGGTATAAATATTTACCTGATTGGCAGCTTAAACAGTTCGATGAACTAGCTCCATAGCAAGTTAAACATACTGGATTACATTATTAACAAGAATTTAGCAAGCTGTCATAATAGTTTCCATCTCCACAAGAAGTACATGTGTTACTTTACTATTGCATACCCAATTAGCAAGTGTAGCATTGATTCTATAAGAATCCGTAACAGGTTTTGCAATTAGGGTGACAAGGAAGACATTACCCTTAGCTGTAAAAGTAGGACTGTAAACAACTTGAGCATTAATTTACTCCTGGACCAGTACATGTACTACAGGGAGAATTGCATTAATGACATTTATTATCTTAATCACTGCCATAAAAACCAGGTGGGCATGTTTAAACACATGTTTAGTTATACAAAAATTACCCTAAATTTTAAAAGAGTTTTTAAGATAAATTAATAATTTATTGTTAAAATTTTACCTAGAGGACATGATGTGCATAATGTACTATCTTGAGAGCAAGTGTTGCAAAGTTAAGAACATTAAGAGCAAGTTTTAGATGAAGTCACATAATATCCAGTTAGGCATGATGTACATTAATTATCACCTATCCCAAAACAGTTAAAACAAGAACTGCTACATTTTTAACATATATTATGCTATACATTTTAGCTATCTGTTAAGGTTTGCTTAAAGAATTGATCAGGGCAAGTTAATTAGCAAGTAGACTAATACAAGTAATATGGAGATACGCATGAATAGCACTACGTTTCATTTAAACCAAAGCAACTCGAACATTTAAAGTTACACAGCTGGCATACTCCTTGAATAGAAATATATCCTTATGCACAGACAGTACAGTAAGAAGCAGATGTACATTAAAGACAATTTTGACTGCATAAAAGGCATATGCCTTAATTACTGTAATATCCTATGTTACACTGTTATTAACATTAATTACCCTGCAATGAAAGTGGTGACTTACAACTCATACAGTCAGATGCAGTTCCTGCACTACAATCATTGCAAACATTATTACACATCATGCAAGATGAAGAAACTAATACTTTTGACGAATTATAATTTGACTGTAAGTAATATCCTATTTGACAAGCTTAGCACATAGTAGATGAAGTACAGAGTGAGCATGGTTTAACACATTAAACACAAGATTATGTTGAATCTGAAGCATAATATCCAACTGGGCATTAAGTAAGACAAAATCCCTGATAATTGTAGTACCCTTAGAGACATTTAATACATACAGTTTGAGATTTACATAATACACATCCAGCACTACATTACTAACATTAAAAGTTTGAATCTAAATAATAGCTAGTAGTACACGAGTTACAAATAAAATTACCAAGACTATTAAAACCTGAGCACGTTGTGCAATTATTGCCGCAAGGCGTGCACATTCCAGTAACATTACTTCCATAAAATCCATTTGGACAAGTTGAGAGGCAAGTATTCATATAAAGAAAATAATTTGGTTGGCATTAAATACATAATGTTGCTGAGGTACAAATCTAACAAACTGAAGGACAAGGAGAACAGCTTGAAGGTAAAGTATTTCCGGAGATATCATAAAATAGCTAAGTCATATAACTTCCCTACGGGCAAGACAAACATACATTTGGGGAGGATCCTTAGCATGCCAAGCATGAAGGGTCACATAAGGAGCATAGCCCTGTTTACATATTTCCATAATATCCTTTAGGACAGCCTCCTTACTAATTACTATAGCATTAAGTCCTCATTAAAAAACTTCCTTTAATAATTGATAAACAAATTTTTTTAATAAAAGAAAATAATATCATTTATTTTTATTTTTAAATAAACTTTTATTTTTTTTAAAAAAATTTAATAGAAAATATAAAATTTTAAAATATTTTATTAATTCTATTTTTTACTTGATTTCTTTTGAAATATTTTTGTAAATAACCAAATTTATTATTATAAATTTATAATTGAATTTATTACCAGGATTGCAAAATAAACAGTTATCTTGATTTGGACCAAAGCAATTTTAGCAGAAAGGATGGCAAGGGAGACATAAATTATTTTTAAAATAAAAACCTTAGCTACATGCTGTACATTAATTATTTTAAGGGCCAAAACATAAACTGCATGCTTAATTACATTATTTACAAATTTTATTCTACAAGTAATATCCAGGATTACATGATAAGACACAAGATTTTTCTATATTTTAACATAATTTTATATTGATAAAATGTTAGTTTAATTTTAAGAAAAAAATAATATACCTTATAAAACATATCCATCTGTGCAAGAATAGCATTACTCAGATGTAGTACCAAAGCATCTGAGACATTTACTGTCACATGGTACACAAAGATTATTAAGTAAAGTAAAACCATCTTAGCAAACTAAGCAATCAGAAAAATCTGGTCCATCACAACTTTTGCATTAGCTATTGCATGGTAAACAACTATCATCATAAGCATAAGTACCTGGTATCTCAGAGCAATCCAAAGTGCAAATAGAATTATTATAAAATATCACACCATACTAGCACAGACTGCAGGATAAATTGGTTTGATCAGTGCATTATAGACATAATGGATTACAAGGTAAGCAAGCACCAGATTATGCTTCTTTAAAGTATCCAAGATTGCACTATGTACAGTCTGTATTTTTAGGGCCGCTGCAAGATAAACAGCTAGTATCACAAGATTAACAAACATTATTTTAATCAACATATTATTACTCCCAGCATGACAATTAGCATTATCTAGCCATTGTTAATACATATCCTGCTTAGCATGTTAAACAGGATTAACCGTCTAGAGTACATTCATCACATGGGAATGGGCAAGGTTTACAAATTCCTAATTTAGATAATTACTGGTATTTTAAGGGAGGACAAGATGTTACGCAGGAGTAATCTTTTAGATAGAAACCTTATTAGCAACTTCTGCATGAAAACTTAATGTAAAAAAAAAATGAATATACAAAAAACGTAAACTAAATTTTACATTATTGGCTTAAAAGCATGTAGTGCAAGGATATTAACATTGTGAACAGTAAGAAGTGAATGGTGAAGAAAATGATCCTTGAATAAACATTAATGTTTAAGACTTATCAATACAAGAACAGCTATTATTAGATTGTAAAATAGCTCCATCAGCGCAGCTTAAACAATCAGTTGATAAAGGTCCTTTACATGATTAGCATGATTTGTGGCAAATTAATTATGTGAGATTCATATTTTTAATATAAAATACTGAGTTCTAAGAACTAATTGTAATTTGTAGATTTTGGCTAAAATAAGCTGAGAAACTACTAATATAAGCAGTTACAGTTTAAGCTTAGGCACTTGCAGAAGAAGAACAAGTTTATTTTTAAGCTAAATTTATTTGCTGTTAAAAAATTGTATTCAAGAATGAAAAATTGCTACTAAAACTTAATATTGTACTTTATAAGACTAAAATATCTATTTGTAAAATGAGTTATGAGTGGGTGAAAATTTAAGGTATTTATAGTATAACTTATGAGTTAAATGGACCAGCAAATAAATTAGATCCGCATGAGCTATAAAGTTAAGCTTAAGAAGGATTAGAAGCTGAATATAAATTTTTTATGTCATTAGAAAATGTAGAAGTATTGTTCAAAAATATAAACGAAATTGGATTAGATTAGCTCAAACAAGCTTAAGAAAAGCTATCAAGATAATAACTTTATTTTGTGCAGCTGTTAACACATTCGTTATCTTATAAAACTTAAGGTGCATAACAGGAAATGCAATTATCAGATTTTGGTCCAATGCAATTGTAACAACTGCTGTCACAAAGAAGACACTTATTTTAGCTGGTATCAAAATAGTAGTTATCTGGACAATTCAAAACACATCTTTAACCTAATTATTTATACCCTAACTTACATTTAATACAATTAAACGGACCTGGACCAGAGCACGATAGGCATGATGAATCACAAGGCTGACAGAAACCGCAAGGTTAAACAGAACATTTTGGTAAGAGAGAATATACATAACCTGAATTACATTAGCATTAATATTATGGGATACCTCCATTAACGCATTGAGTACACTGATATTGAGAATTACACTGAGAGCAATAAATAGGACATAGATCTAAAAAATAAAAATAATTATTTAGAATATAAAAATAAAATTATTTATTTACTTGCAATAATAGTCAGATTTCTAAATGCCCAATTGACAGAATTAAAATTTTATGTAAATAAAGAGAGCTAGAATTGAGACTAGTTATAGGTATAGTTTGCTATTTGAATCTAAGATACACTAGGAGATGAATAATTGAGACACTAATTTAATTAAATTTTTTGTTGCAAATTTGAATAACCTTAAGAAACTAATGTTTTATTGTTAATTTGTACATTAAATTAAGAATTACTCAGCCATGGATTTAAAATCAAAATTTAAAATTAAATGTTTAGCTAATAAAAAGGTTAAATTAAGTTAAATGATCTCGAAAAATTAGTATTGCTGAACTAACCTACAAAATTGTTTGTCCCACACTGTAGGAGATATTAACTTGGTGTTTATATAGGAGATTAAACCCAAAATTTAGAATATTAAAACTCATTAGATAGAGTATTGTTACTAAATAGCTGGATTTACTAAGTGAGATTAGTAGGAAGACATAATCTTTTTGTTATGTCATTCACAAGATAAGGCCAATATCTTAAATTTTAAGGAACTTTATTACAATCTTAATAGCATATCCCTTCATACAAAAAATATCCATTGATACATTATAAACAAATATTATCGTTGTCACAAATTTAGCAAGGTGAATTACATGCTTGGCATGTATAGCAAGGATTAGACCAGCAGTTAAATTATTTAGCTAAGTATTGTGAGCTTAAAGGGCAGAGACATCTACCATTAACAAAGATGAGATCACTGGTACAAGATAAGCAATCTGAAACGTTTGGACCACTGCATGTAAAGCATGAATAGTGACATTAAAGTATATCTATTTTGAATGACCTTATACCCCAATTCAATAGTGAGCTTTAGGAAGGATTACTTGCGAAATTAAAGCTGATGTTAAATTAAGTAGCTGTATTTTAATGAGCGAAAGTAGCATTTATAAAATATAGAGATGACTGAGTGAGTTAATTTGAGCATATCATAGAATTTTACTGTATTATTTATAGCTAGTAGTTTGTTATCAAATTTCCATCTGAAATAAGTTACAAATAATTTTAAATTGTAGAAGCGTTTACAATCAATCCAGCTTTAGAAATAAGCAAAATAAAAGAGTAGCTGATTTTATAATGTAAAGGGATTTAATTTATTGATGTAGATAGAATGCTCGATCCATTTAGAGTTCCTGCACCTCCAAAAAATAAAAGTTAATACTAGTATAAAAAACAATTTATAAATTTAGGGGATGAGTTTTAATTAACTTAATTAGCTATTATCCAATTATATCCCTAAAATTGTTAAGGAGTAAAGAAATCTTAAAACATGTTTCTTATGACTCCATCACATAAAGTGCAAATCAGATTGATTGTATCAGTACAGTAGTTGCTAGGGCATTAATTAACACAGCTTTAGGAATCAGGATTGTAAAAAGTTGGATTACCATTATTATAATAACATTGATTACATAGAGGAGGATTTTAAAATCCATTCGAGCAAGTTAAGCAGTTTGAAGGTGAATATTAGCATGATTAGCAGTTTAAATTACAAGGAAGGCACTGCTTGGCATTATAGTCAAAATAGTAAGCTCCTTTTTGTATTGGTTACTAATAAATTAGCTATTAATAATAGGTATTGCATTCACCATTGCTAACACATACTCCGAAAATATTCTAGAAATTAGTATTACATTTAATACATAATTAATCTGAGTTATATTTTCCCAGTTACAAAATACAATTTTAAGAAAATAATCTATTTAGCATTATTGAATTTACTTAATCGCTTGGCTGTAGAGTTATGCCTAATTTATTAGACGCATTTTATAAGACAACTTCATCTGTCTATGACTACATAAGAATATTATAAGGTTTCACATATGATCCACTTTAAAGTACTAATCTACCAATTATAAAATAGTTTTATGGGTTATTAAATTCATTGCTCAATGAGCCTATTACGATATAGCTTAGATTGCTAGCTGAGCTAGAAGTTTGACTGAAAGAATTAAATCCAGTTGTAGCTTAAGGTAAGTTAAATATAATATTTTCCTCATTGAAATTTTAGCTATATAAACTGATTGAGAGAACTCTTTGATTTCCAAAATAACCCTTCATAATTTGAATAGAAATTCCATAAGAACTTGAAGAGTTGATAGGTATTTATATTTTTTAGCTATTTACACATTAGACTAGATTAGAACAAATTTGCAAAGTGTAAAATTACTAAAAATTTTGAAATGATTAAGAGTTTGATGAACCATCTTATAATATTAATCTAAAATTTAGTTAACCTACCTAAAGCAAAGTACCTTCGAAGGGACTTACTTTATTGATGGTTATAGTAAAACCTATCACAAATCCATACTCTTCATTAATTTACCCAAGATAGAACGAATTTGGAATAGTGAATGATTAATTAGTTTAGACAAGCAATCCTTGCTAAGTTAAAGCATTCTAATATGAAGGATCCATAAAATTATTATTATTATTAGAGTAGTCATAAATAAAAGAGGTAGAAATATAGATTTTAAATTCATAATAAAAGACAATTTTTTAGTATGTTTTTGAAAAATATAATGCAGTGTCATTTAAATTCAAGCTATTCAGATTTATTGAGTTTTATGGACTTGGAGAAGTGTTTAAGTAATTAAAAACTCCGAAGTCCATAGTTTAACCATTCCATTAAGAGCTTGCAAAATAAACTGGATTGTTGACAGTAAAATTGAATTAGCTAGAAAAATCAAATTAAGCTGTACTTTCTGAATAAACAGTTATATTAGAGCTCCAAAATCCTTTTTATTTAATTAATTTAACAGTAAAATTACTCTAGAAATATCCATTTAGCCAGTCTAGACTTAAATAAAACCATTAATTACTGAGATTGTCTAAACCAGTAATTATAGGGAAATTATTTTTTTTATAAACAGAATCTCCTGTATTTTAGTAATTAAGCAAAATCGAATTACTTGTGCAACTTACTCCAATTTATGTTCTTTAATCTTATGAAAAAACTTCAAATAAAGAATAAACCACTTAATCTTGCATAGAATTAATATAAAACCATGCTTATACGACCATATTTATACGCGCATCATGTGTTAACCTAGGATCTTTAAAGAAATTATAGGGATAAATTTGTTAACTGCTTAGAGTTTAATTTTTTGTGACTTCTATGTTTAATCCTGGTTTTATATTCTAGTAACTCCCGAATTTCTTTTTTTTTAAGTAATTAAAAATAAATAATAAATAAAAAAATTATTTTAAAAAATACAGCTAGCTTGAAGCCATCACATCTTATATTGTATGATGGTGCATATCCATCCATGACTGTTATATTATAGCTCAGTTAAAATTATATTGAAAAGAAATTTAATTATTAGGTTTTATCACTTAACAAGAATGTATTATTTTAATACTTAAGACTGTAAGTATTTTACCAGTTCAATGATAGAGGAGTAAATTGCAGAATTTAACCATCTTATTAAAATGTACTTCTATCTGAGCAATAACTCATAGAATTTTACAGATGATCAAAATTATATTTGGAATTTTAAGGGGATTATAATCCAATCATGAATGTTTTTTCTTATTTGATTGATCCAAAACAAATAAATTAAGGCGGAGCTAACATGGAAACTTCGTATTCTATGGTACCAAGAGAATTACCAATATTTGAATAGATAGCAAAATTATTTAAGGAAAGACTATTCTGTGTTAAAATTATAGTCCTATTTGTTTTAACCATACTGCAAGTGCTACATCCAAGCAAATTAAAACTATCCATATCACCTCCATTTACCAAAGTAATATTTAGCTATATTTTATTCTTCCAAGCAATATAAAGAACCTATTGATTTGTATAACAACCACAATTTAATTATTAATATAAACTTTAATCAGTGCAGCTATCACAAAGTGTATTACTTGGATTGGATTTACAACAGCCTTTATAACACTAAATACATCCATTGACAGGATCTAAAATATATCCTTATTAGCAGGTACAATTTGGTAGCTAAAGACTGGAATCTTTACATTATAAACAAACTCCATATTAATCACATTTATTACACCAACTTGGACAAACTAACAATGATCCCATCATTGAAATACCGAGTGATTAAATAAATTCTCTTTCCACATTTAAGTAAGCACTATAATAAAACTATCCATTTTACTGCTAAACACTTCCTTTTGTTTAGAAATCTATATCTGTTAAAGACTGCGTACCAACTTATATTTGATAAATGGGAAAAAGAATTTAGGCATTAGTGGAGTAATAAGAAATAGATGAAGCATTATAAAAAGAAGTTATATTCCATCTATCCCAATATTTTGTTAACCAATTATTATAAATTATTGTTTCCGCTTATAGTATATTAGTTTATGTAATATTTTAATTATTTATTGTGTTATTTTAATTTTAAGTACTATTTGAATTATTTGCTGTTGAATTTGTACTAGTACTAGTATTGTTTAATGTGCTGTTTGTTTTAGTTGAATTTGAGTTTGTATTTTATGAGTTTGTACTATTACTTTATTATTAAGTTGAATTAGTTTATATAAATCTTCTAGTCTTGGTCTATGAGGTAGAGTTAGTTGAAGAGTTTGAACTAGATGTTTTTGTACTATTCTAGGTGGTATTTTAGCTATTTAAATTTGTTTGAGTAATGTTTTAGCTAGTTTAAGTAATATTTTAGCTAGATTATGTAGTATTTTAGCTTGTTTAGGTATTATTTTAGCTATTTGTGTTGTTGGAATTAGAGTTTTAACTTGTTAAACTTTAAGAGGACTAGCTTTTATCTATAACAATGGGATCATAACTAATAGCAATAGGGGTGCTCTATTATTAATAAAATTAATTTATTTAGATTACGAGAGTAGTTTAAATAGAAATTTACATTAAAGTTTGCAGGATTTAGATTTTGAATTTCAATTAAAGAAGAATTTTAAACAGCAATATATTAAAATTTAAATTAAGTTATATTTCCAGGAAAAATTTAAATATTAAATGTAACTGATGTTAAATTTATACTTAATATTTAGATGTTAAAATTAAAATTAGCTGTTACATCACCAGAGTAGCTATAGACGGAGGTCATTACTTAAGGAATTTAGCTAAATTATTTTGAAAATGTAGATGAAATGGGATAAAATTAAGAAGAGGAGTTGCTTTGGAGTGATTACCATTATTAAAGCTAACTTTGACTAACAGTCACGGAGCCAACCTGAATATTTTAATTTTATGTAGCAAAGTATTTTATTCTCATACTTTAAAGCAAAAAGTTATTATAAACTTCATAAACAAGATCAAATCCATCGTAACTTATATTTTAGGGTCTAAATTCAAACTATATCCCTGTATTCTAACTTGCTACTGGTACATTTATCTCTTCAAAATAAAGAAACACCTAATAAATTATTAGATTTTATCAATTAAAAGAATATATATATAATTAATTTTACTTAAGGTATCCCAAGAAAAAATTAATTGAATTAGACTCTGCTAATATATTGTCTTAGCCCTGATCCACTCTACAATGGATGATTCTGGTTCTATAAAAGAGATTAATCATACCCTATCATATTATTGTTGTCAAAGTCACTATACAAGCAAGCAGTTATTTTACAAGTATTATATATAAAGATGGATGAAGATTTAAATAGAGAAAGAGCTGATTTATTTGCTTGAACATAGTCAACAACCAATTTACCGTAATTAATTGTATTATTAACATTAAGGACACTCAATCCTTAATATGTATCATTAGTTTTTACCATGCCACTAATCATCGAAAAAATTTTAATATTGGGATCTACTCGCTGAACGAATGTTTGATTGAGTGTATTTAAATATCTAAACGTGCTATTCTATGGCTGAGATCCCCACCCATTAATATTATTTTATGAGAAGTTAAATTTTTACTCAAACAATTATCCTTTAAATGCTAAATATTAAATTTTCGTAATATTTGTGTCATTGTAAATAGGTACTTAAAGTTAAAAACCTTTTTATAAAATAAATTAAAAAAAAATAAATATTTTTTATTAATTATTTGATTAAATTTGTAATTATGGTTTTTAATTATTTACTTGAATAAGTTATGTTTTAAACAGTATAATTTAACTTAATTTAGTTAGTAACACCAAAGTAGCTAGCCACACTCACTACTACATTTGGGATGTAAAATTTTTAATTTATGAAAGGAAACTAATAAACTTGTATTGTTTTATCTGGTTGAGAAATGATATAGCTACTATTTAAAACATAAGAACCTATTTCTACTCTACTTGAATTTTAAGGAACTGTAAAGTAAGAAACTAAGAATGAAGAGTATGTTTTCTTTGTTAATTCAGTTAAGTTTATCTAAAATTAAGTTGGCTAAACATTATTAACTGATAAAGTAAAATTATATCCTTATGTAGAATTATCATGCTCTATACCACTAATTCCTAAGAAAATTTAGGGATTATTTGAATAATTCAAATTTTAAACTATCTAGGAAGTGTTTTATGATGTTAAATTAAGAGTCCCATAATTCAAATCACTTGGAGCCAGAAAATCTAGTTTTAAAATAAAATTTAATCAGAAAGTTTTTGAATACAAATTATTTTACCATAGTCACATAGAGTATTTGGTTTAATTATTTAACCATTTTAACAATCCAAAAAGCAGGTATTTCCAATTATAGAACTTTATTGTGGCTGTTTAGTAATTTAGTCTAAAATTTAACAATCTTAGCTTTTAATACACTCATTATTATAAAGGAGATATTAACCTCCACATTTTAGGCATTTATTTTAGTTATTTTAAGCAGGCTAAAGTATATATAAGCAATTTTCTATTTATCTGTAATTTTATAGCAATTCACTCTATGAATAAATACCACTCACGTTCATGCCTTTTACAATTATTAAATTAGTAACAGATTTAAATTAATTTGGATTTTAGCTTATTGCTTCAATATAACCTAAATAAATTTTTTAATTAGTTTTTTTCATGTTAAAACACACACCTTAAATACTTTTCTGTTCATAGTTAGTTTAATTAATGCTCAAATTTATAATTGTTTGAGTAAAAGGTGGAAGACATCTTATATTTAATCCTATATTAATAACCGTTTATTGAACTAATTGAGTAGAAAAAATTATGTCGTTTCCTTCTATAGTTACATTCAAGTATAACCCTGTGGCATTTTAAAGCTGTGAAACAGCAAACATTTTTAAGTTAGAGCTTGTAAGTGATTAAGAAGCGAAAATAATATCATTTACTTATTACTAAGTATAGTAATCAAATATGAGTGTCATAGAATTTTCAATGTCTAGATTTCTTATAGAGAAAAATCTTTGATCGGAAAGAATTGGGTAGTAAAAATTGCTGTTTAAATTTTAAATTTGTTAAAACTAAACATCATTTTATAATTCTACTTCTTAACTATAGCCTGAAACCATTAAAATTTAATTAGCAACAATATTTCTTTTGTTTTAAAAAATAATATGTTAATAATCTAATTTTTTAGATAAATTTTACTGATTGATTTATGATTATAACTAGCTACTTTACATCAAGAGATAGTTTCCTACTAATTAGCTTTCACTTATTTAAGATAGCTGTATAAGCTGGTTAACATTCTAGTAAAAAGAAGACTGAGTAAAAAAGAAAAAGTTGTATACTTATCCACATAGAAGAGATGAAATAGGAGTCCATAAAGGAAATAATCCTACATTTGGCATGGTACTTAAGTTTATTGTAGGATTTAAGGATTAATATGTATTAGAAATCGTTTAAGAATTGCTTGAATTAGTATAAATTAGCCCTAATTCTAGCATATTTTATTATTAGTTTAATGTGCAAGCAAAATATATCCATTAGTTCTACAAGCTTTGAGGAATGATTAATACTAAATAATTCTAAAAACTACTCAGGATTATTTTAGTTTAAACTCCTGAGTTCTACTATGTTTCGCTAAAAAACACAGTTAGCAACCTGAGGTTAATCTCTGGGCCTTCATTAAAATAGATTTAAGAAAAAAAATAAATATAGGATTATCTTAAAAATAAATAATGAGTATTAATTACTAGTAGAATCAGTTGTATCTGATGACATATAAAATAAAGTATAATTTGTATTAAATGAGTTAGCTCCAACAGGTATTTAATAATTTAACCAAAAACCCAGAGAAATACTTTATACTTGGTTATTTATATAATATTAGCCTCCAAGCTATCTTTTACTAATACTTGTAGGAATTTAACTTGGTTAAGGACATTATATCTAAGTAAAATGTGGTTTAATAGGATATATCTATTAAAGTGATTACTAGGATAAACTTTGTTCTAAAAATACAAATAAATAGAACAAAATAAGTTAAATGGATTTTATTTATCTAATTGTTTAGAATAGTAACATCTTTAGGAAAAATGGCGAGAGTCTTTGAAGGGTAAACAAATTGAATTTAATTACTTAATTAGCTTTAAATTTATTATCAATTATAAAGTTTTAAGTTTCTAAAATCTAAGAAAATTTGTTTGATTTCTATTTAAAAAATATACCTTTTCCTATAAAATTATGTAGTTCAATTTGAACACTGATTTTATCATTTAAGTTTTGATTAAATGTTTTTGGTTTATCATTTTAATAAGCTTAATTAAGATTTGTGATTTTATTTAAATAAGGACCTTAAAAAAATGTTTATTAATTTTAAAAGACATTATATTTATTCATTTCATTTATTTTCTAAATTTAAATCATTTATTTCGTTTATTTTTTTGGTAGAAGTATTTATTTCTTGTTCTGTTAGTTAATTTTTAATTAAAATATTTATTTAATTTAAACATTTATTTTTTTTGTTGTTGTTGAGGGTATTTAAGTTTTAGATTTAAGTAAACATTTTTGTAAAATATTTTTTTAATTGATCAATTATTATAATATTTACATTTATTTCTTCTCTATTTATGCTTTTAACAAATTGAAAATATACTTTTTATGTTTAAAATCATAAATTTATTTGCCTTTTGGATTTATATTTGAAAATTATTTCACAATAAGAAAATATTTACTAATAATGTTTCAATCACAAAAAAATATTTTTGGAAATGATTAATTATTTAACCTATTTTTTTTTATTTAAATTATTTTTAATTTTTAAATATGCTGCTTAAATTTCATGAACATCAAAAAAATATTTTCTAAGAAAATTACATTTTGTTTTAATATTTATTAAAGTAATTTTAAATTAATATTTTTTAAATACAAATAAATTACAAATATTAGAAAAATAATAACTTTTAATTGTATTTTTTATTTTATATCTTTAAAAATTAAAAATAAATATTTAAATTGTTTAAACTAATTTTTATATTTAAAATTAAATGAATAAAAGTTAAGAATATTATCTATTTTAATATAAAAATTTAATTATTGCTTTTAGAGAATATTATTTACTCAATCAACTAGGTTTTTTGAGATTATACAATTCAAGAGGCTTTAGATTTTGAAGTTTTTAACAAAATATTTCAGATAATTAGTACTATTTAAAATATACAAAATAATAATCAAAAGTATTTACCACTTCTTATCATATTTATGCAAGTATTTTAACTACAGAAATTGAAATATTAATCTATATTTGTAAATAAACAATTATGTTTTAGAATGTGCTATAAGACTTCAATAAATCATATAAATACAAATAATTTAGATTGAAAATAGTTATTTTTAATCTAATATTTTAAGATAAAAATTAAAAAAGTAAAAAATTGAAAAGAAGTAATAATACAATGATTACTTTAAATAGTTTTAATGATATTTTAATAAAATTAATTATTACAACATTCTGTACTGCAGTAGTTGATGCCTTTGACATTATAGATTCTTCTTGCTTAGCTTTTCCTTTCTGTTAAATATGCTCTACTAGTTCATGTTTAATATGTATAGAGGGATATTAACTTAGCTAAGATAATCTGTGCTAACTTAATACAAATATTTAAAATAAGTACCCGAAGATAGGCTTTTATTTTGATACTCTTTCTTAATAATTATAATTATGCCATCCATCGTGTGAGATGTGTAGAGGACCTTATTAATTTTAGTGCTTAGGATGCATTTAAGGCTATTAAGAAATAATTTCATATTCAGATATGTTTTATTGTATTAAATGTGAAGTCAGTAACTGCAGCAGGTTTAGCATTTTTTCTATATTTTATCTTCACACTTTTAACATCCAAAATCATAATACATATAAAATATTTCATTTTTAAATGAAATTTTTCATCATTTGTTAATAAAGAAGATTTTACTTCATTGCTAATTAAGGAAGTTTATTATCATTTATGATATTTCTTTTTATAGACTTAAACTTTTTCTTAAATAATTAGATGTGATACAGATGGAAAATGCTTAGAATGTATTCCCTAATTTTATTTAGATTAAAATTCCAATTAGTGCACTTAATGTTAAACTTAAAATTGCTAAATTTGCAGTAGCGTAAGCACTTGCGTTTAATGTTCTAAAGGGTATATTTTATCAGGCTCTGGAAATCAATGTAACATCGAATCTGTAAATGCAATATGCTAAATTTAAAGATGTAAATTAATATATTTTTATTATATTACTTAGATTTTTGCCCTTGTATATTTTAATTAGACTATTTTATTTCTAAAAATATTGTAATCTTCCAAAGAAATCACTAATTAATTCTTATATAAACAAATTTAAATTTTATGCCACTTTCAATTTAGAATCGAGAGATATTTTTTATCAAAAAGGTAAATCGTGCAACAAAGAAGGTTAGTGTAATTTGTGTTAAGATGGATTCTTTTTATAAAATGGTTTATGTAAATAATGCTAGTAGCCTTGTTTAACTTGCCAAGATGAAAGCACATCATGCAAATCTTGCCAAAGAGACGCATATAAAGATTATTATCTCTAAGGAACTTAGTGTGTTATGAGCTGTAATCATCAATTTTATGCTTCTAAATAATTAGGTAGGTGCGTTGAATGCTCTTCAGCAATCGAAGGTTGCTTAACTTGCCTTGATTAATTTACTTGTACTTCTTGCATTGATTCTATAAATTATACTATATAAAACAATAAATGTGTGAGAAAGTGCAAGCCAAATTAATTCGTTCTGATGAATAGTCTACAGTAAATAAAATCCTTGTAATAAAGAAGATTATGGGAATTGGATTAAGATTCTGTAATAAACTCTTGCTAAAACTGCTCACCTGAAATAAACTCTGTATGCAAATAGTGTATAGGTTTGCCAACATATTGCGAAATTTGTTAAGATGGCTATTTTATTTATAACGGAAAATGCCTTAACTCTTGTCCACCAAAGACATACTCGCTTACTAAATCAAAATTAAAGAAATGCTTCGATTGGTATTTATCAATATTCCTTACGTCATCTATTTCTTTTATTTGCCATTTAAAAAATACATTAAATTAAAATTTTCTTCATTTAATTTGTAAATTACACTAATAAAATTGGCTACAAATTTTAATAAATGACGTTCGAATTAATTTAAATTAATTTGTAACTTCCAATAAATAAATTTTTATATTTTATCAAAAAAGCATGGAAGGATGTAAACAGTGCATAAATGGGAATACTTGCCTTTAATGTGAAGATTCTTTCTAATCAAACTCAAATCAGCAATGCCAGATAAAATATTAATATGCATTATCTAACTAACCTATTAAATGTCTTTAAAATTAAGTATTTTTTAATGGTTTTTGCATGCCCTCTTGTCCTTCTGGAACTATTCCTTTCAAAAATAAATGCTAAGCTTATGATTCTTGTGAGATAATTTCATTTGACATCGGATAATAAATTGCAGTATGCTAAAAATGTAAAGATTCAAGTAAATTTATATATCAAGGATACTGCTTATCTTAGTGCCCGAGGTTTTTAAATACAGCCTCTGCAAATGGTATATGCCTTCCAAAATGTGATAGTGACTCCTTAACTTTACTTTAAGATTATTCATTCCCTTAATGTGTAAAGGAATGCCCTTTAAATAGCATAATCTCTGGATATTAGGAGCTGAATTAACAGTATTGCATTTAAACATCCTGTAAATTAGGTGAATATTTTGATACAATCGATTATTTTAGCTCTGAAAATAAAGATTCAAAGTAAATGTGTAAGCAATGTCATCCTTCTTGTTTAACATGTAATGGACCTACATAATACGATTGCATAGAATGTACAACAGGGTTAGTCTTTTAAGAGTATTATTTAAATAATGACCTAAATCCTTTACTAATGCAAACCAGAGTAAACTATGCGAACTCTACAGTAACTACTAAAGCGAGTATTCGAATTTGCTAAAATAATTGTAATTATGGATACTAAAAATCATTTAATGGGGTATGCATAAAATGCTAAGATTTAATATAGTGCTTGAAATGTCCTTCATTTAGCTACATTAATGGTAATAAATGCTAAGATTCGTGCTAGTCTGATCCATCACTTATTGAAAAAATAGATACAAAAAGCTTTTCCAATGATTTTTGTGATTAAAGACCAGGCTTAGTTTTGTATGTGAGTTGCTCTAAAAAAATAGGAAATATTTGTTTATCAGCAAAGTTTCTAACTATTCAAGCTATAGCTTAAATATCTTCATTTAACAATAATCAATCTAGCTTAGTATGCAACACTTCCTAAAAATTCTAGCTTATAGTTTAATTTGATGATAATTTAAATTTGTATAATATAACGGGGTTTAATCCTTAAATTTAAAAATTCAGTGTTTCTTGTTCTTTAAAAGATTAAAATAAGTAATTGTATGGAGCCTCAACTAAAATAATTGAATTTCTTGGTAATTTTACAGGAGATTTTTCTATTTCAACAGATAAAGCTAATTCCTAGTACGATTAAATAAATTTCAATTTAAGTAATTTCAGAATCCCTAATTTGCTTAATAATTAGTTGAATTTTTCTGTGTAAGTATCGACTAAGTATATAGATCTCTCTGGAAAAGAATAAATTTTTGATATATTTTAAGCAAATTAGTATTTAAACAGCAATTTTCTTCCATAATATAGAAATTAGAATCTTAGTTTATCTTCTAATTTTAGTTTTCCTCTCTTTAATTTCAACTAGTAGCTTTAAATCAAAGCTGAAATATTTTCTATTGTATAAGGAGAAAGGATAAATTCGTTTTATTCAAAATACATTACAGTTTATTCAAATAATTAAAATATGAATAATTCAAAAATAATTGTACAATACAACAAATAGGAAACAGTTAAGTAAATTATATCATACATACTAACAAACTATTCAGACACTAGCTTAAACGATTTTTCTTCGATTTATTAAATAAATGACATTTTAAATTACACTTCAAATAATGTTAGCTCTGACATAGAAGTCCAAAGAGATGTTAATATCTTAAAGTCTTATAATTATGGATTTAATTAGCAGTTTATAGGGTGTGATAGCAACATTACATGCAATAATTAGGGTAAATGTGGCTTGAATCGTAACTATTATACGATGTGTGAGTGCTTTGACAATTATATAGGTAAATTTAATTAAAAATAAAATAAAATATTTTACAGTATATTTAATTATTAGGAGAAGGATGTTCATGGTAGAATAACTAATTATTTACTAACGCTTTATAATATGTTGAATAATTTACTACAAACCTTTTAATTTCGCAGATGGCTCCATATAAGTAATTTCATTTTTAAACTACTTCTTGAAATATAAATAATTTTAATTAATTTTATGAAAAATACAATTTTAATATTTAATGAAAATAAATCTTTATTTTTAATTTAAAAAAGTATTAGCATGCTAGAATTAAAATATTCTATTTTACTTACATTGATGAAGTCAAGATAAATATTTACATAGACCAGCTTTTAAAATATTTACACAATCTTATATTAACTAGATAGTGATATGCTTAATTAGCTGTCTTTAAGTGGTATTTAAAATATATTAGAAATATACAGTTATTTGATAGATTTAGCAAGGTAATTTAATCTTATGAAATAAATTAGTGGAAATATAGTAAATTTAATAGAAAAAACTGTAATAACCTACTTTAGGAAAGTTTAAGGGAATATGACATTTGAAAGCTCTAATTTATACATATAATTTTAATACATATATAATTCTAATAAAGATTTAACGATCCCTTTTACACAAAACCTAAAATTTATATTAAAATTCAAGAAAAGATAGCTTTAATAAACATAATTTTAATTTAATAAGTATTATTTAGTTTCTTTTAATTTACCGAGCGATGTTTTCATTACAAATCCAATTGAAAATTAATTTGCAAATAATAATAATGTTATTGTGGCTCTATCACCTGTGACAACAAACAGGCTATTATACACAGATTAAAATGGTATGGTTCATCAAGAGCAAAATTTATTTTTTAGCTTGGATGCTAGTTTAAAAGGACCTTAAGGAAAAGCAATTAAATTTAGTCCTGAATGCTATATTTTTACAAATAATCTTACATATCTAGATACAATAAGCAATTTAAATTTTGAAAGGATAAATGATTTTTCTTAGCTACAGTGTGAAAACATCGGGTTTAATTCTACATTTATAGGACTTTAATTATCCCAAGATTATATAAATTCAATAGATTCAAGCTAAGAAAATAATAAAAACAACATATTATAATCTATATCAGATGATGGTGATTCTTTTTATTCTCTAAAAGTTGGTTTGATTGCTTCTTTTATAATCATATCTCACATGATGTTTTTTTTTACAAAATTTTTTTGTAAAGGAAAAACTCTTATCTATACCTGCATTTTGACAAAATAATCAGATGAAACTGCAATTCCTAATTAATCTAATGTATAAAGCAACACTCAAAAACAAGAAATATAATAGAAAAATCAATTTAACTGCACAAATATTAAAGAGCAAATGAACCAAATTAACATTATAAAAGATAAGGATCAATTAAATTCCAATCAAAATAAAATTCAAAATAAATATATTAAGAGAAAAGAAAGCTTGAGAATTATAGCAGGTATAAAAATGGATACTTCTTAGGATTTCAAATAGTAATAATAGTAAGATCAGTAATAATAATATTAAATAAAACAAAGAGATGTACCATTAATATAAGAAGTTTGTTTATAGCCTTAGATAATATCTTAAATAGTAGAAAAACCAATTTAAATAAATAATCAAAATATCTAATCGTTAAGTAATTGCTCAATGAGTCCTGACTCAATTCAAATTGTATTTCAAAATAATTTTATCCATCAAAATTAAAATAAAGAAACTATTAAATAAAGTAATACCTTTAGCATAGTATCAAATAATGCTGAATAAAATCAACAATCTATCCAAGTAAACTAAAATACCTCTCCAAAATAAGACAATATTATTAAAATTAGCAATAATTAAATATTTGATAAAATATTTTTCTACCACTCTTTTACCTGCTTCAACATAAGTTTTGAATACTGTCCAAACTACTTCAGAGTAATGCACTTTGCTCTTAATTATTATATGATAGCTTCTTCAAATATACTTGTCCTAAGTTTCTTACAAAGATACAATTTAGAATAAATAGATTAAGTAATAGTTTCTGTCATTTTTGGTATGGCTTTTACCTATTTAATCTCCTTTTTAGTTCTCTTAATATTTTAAGCTATTTTTAGGTTTCTTAAAAGTGAAAATAAACTGTCAAATTTACAACTATTTTAATATTATTTAGTGTTTGCTATTCTATTTGCTGTAGGATCAGTTATAATATCTTATAGCTCCTCTGAGAGTTCCTCGTATAGTGTTTTATCATATATCATATCTATCATAATTTCAATATCTTTAGCAATTATTCTAGAATCTATATCACTTCTGTTTTTGAAATATCATAAATCATAGAGAATACTTTAGCTTATTAGATACAGAAGTCTGGATTTCTAAAAATGAAGGAATTAATTTATTTAAAATATTATTCAATTTAATTTATTAATTTTGTAAATATAAAAAATCTAATTTTATTTTTTTATTTTATATTTAAGATATGTAAATTCAAAAATATTTTTATAAAAAAATTATTGTGAATAATTCAATAATTAATTCTAAAATCTTTAAATTTTTTGTTATAATTGCTTAAAGAGTGTGTCTACAGTAATTAATCTTTGTCTAAATATATATATATGTGAAAAAAGATACAAGAATAAAGCTAACATTATATTAACTCTCTCCTCTAAGATTAAACTTATTCATATAAAAAAATAATAAAAGATCAATATATTTTATTGTTAAATTAAAAACAAGCAAGCATTAATTTTTTAAAAAAATTAAATTCATTATAAAATGTTTCCATAAACTAATATATTTGGTGGTAACCAAGGGGCAACAGGAGGTGGATTATTCAACAACAATTAAGGAGGTGCAATGAATTAAGGAATGCAACAAGGAGGCTTATTCACATAGTAATAAACTGGGTTAAATAATACATTTGGTGTATAGCCTTAGCAACAATAGCCATAATTAGGTTATTTTAACTAAATGTAAACTATAAATCCAAATCCCTAAATGACTGGCTTTAACTAAGCTGAAAAAAATAAATAGGATGTCTTCCTTGTACTTAAGCATCATAGATTCATAATGGATTATCAAAAAAATTATCATAGATTACTTACACTTATTTAAGATGTATGTTAAAAAACAAATTAAAATTTAGTACAAGAAACTCAAAAGCTTGGTGAAGGAAAGGTTACAACTAATAATCCAAACACTACTATTCAAGGAATAGCAAATCCTGCAAATAATAATTAATAGCAAGTCGTTGTTAAAGGAATTAATACAGAAAATATTGAATAAACAAGCTAAAATCTGGAAAAAATTCGCGAAAAGAATGAACTCATATTTGCTAAATTATTTGAAATTCACTGCTTAATAGAGAGAATAGCATCAAATGCTAACACAATCGAAAGAGATTCTAATGCAGAAATGAGGCTTTTCAGGTAGTTTAATGATATTGATTCATCAATTACTCATCAAAACTAAAAGCTAATTGATTTAAATTAAAAAATAATTGATGCAAAAAACAATTAAGCAGGAGGTGAATTGAATACAAATAATAACTAAAATTCAAGTGCTAGAGAATAAAATGGATCAATTAATAATCAAAACATAACTAAAAAAAAGTAGGTTCTTATTGATATGCTAGGATAAATTAAAAAAGGTGTTGAAATTATTAAAGAATAACATTAAGAAGACTCTAAAGATTTTGAAATATTAATCAAAAAGCTAAATCAATCTAGGACTCATCCTTTTTGAGATATAAATATTGGACAAAAAAGCAAATAAACAAAGAAAGAAAGAAATAAATAAATATTATAAAAAATTATTTTAAAATAAATTTAAAAACAAATAAAAAAGAATGTTGGTTCAATTATTTTTTTGTAAAATACTATTTTTTTAATTATCAATTTTAATTATTAATTTGTATTTATATATTCAATCATATTCGAAATTTTATTTTAAGAATAGCAAATTATTTTTTTTTTGTAAAATTGTATTCTAAGAATGACAAATATATTTTTTTATAAAATTTTATTTTATCCAAAATAATTGAAGGGTTTGAAATTAAAAGCTTATTATTTCATTCAAATTCATTTTTTTATTTACTAAATGGTATTTAAATTTAGAAAAGTAAAAACGCGGAATTTTTTTATTCAGTCAATTGAAATATAAAAAACATGAATAATATTTTCTTTAAAATCACTTAAAACATGCAGCTAAATATAAATTCAAATGAGCGGAAAAAATCTTTGGTGAATAATCAAATAAATACCAATTCAATTTTAAGCATGCTGTATTTATAATTCAGAAACTATACATGCAGGTAATTAATTATTTTGTTTTGAATTTGAAAAATATAGTCAATCAATTAATCAATATCTTTGTTAAGTTAAAAACAGCCTTATCAAATTCAAATAAAACCAAAGAAAAAAAAAACTTTAAAAAATTAAGTTTTATTCAAACATAAAGTTTAATAAGAATATATAATAGTAAAAGTAGTCAATATTTCTTAATTGGGCTAGCTACAAAAAAGTAAGCACTGACTAGATAAAGACGAAAAAAAAATTGAATCAATTTTACTCATAAAACTATGAATGACTTAATAGCAAATATTAGTAGTGATTGCAACTAAGAATATGAAGAAATAAATGGCGGCAGTCCTATCTAAAAAAGAATTTTAGAAAGAGGAAGTTTAATTTAATAATTGAATAACAGAGATATAGATCAAGCAGATAGTTGTCATTCTACATCTACTCAAAACTAATCTTTGCACTAGAACTAAATAAATTCTAAGTAGAGTAGCAGCTAAAAGTCTTAAGATAGAAAAAAGAGATCATCTTCAATCTTATAAGCATCTATAAGCTCCACTCATACAACTAGTAGATCATTTGTACAAGGAAATGGAGCAAATTAAGTTCTAAATGGTAATATTTGTAGTAATCATAATAATGGTTCTTAAAATAATACTACTTATATGTTTGATGAGCTTTTTACTCTTGATAGGGAAATGTTTGCAGAAAAGTTGTAAATTTAAAATTCTGTCCTAAAAACTGAAAAGAATTGTTTTGAACTGGAGTTAAAGAGAGTAAATTTTTAAAAATGTTGATTGAATTACTTAACAATTTTTAAATTATTAAAATAAAGAAAGCAGAAATTATTGAATAATTGGAAAAAAAGATCTAAGAAATACAAAAGAAATATAAGAATGACATTGAAAGAAAAGAGTAATTGGAAATTGAATAAACAATACTTTAAAAGAAAATAAATGACATTGTAAACATTTATGAGAATAATAATGGGAAAGAGGATGTAAATTAATTACTCAAAATGACAACTGACCTAAGATCTGAGTTAAATTTAAAACAAATGATTATTGATAAGCAAAAGGAAACAATTAAATCTCTTTAATAATAGAATGAAATCCTTTAAAAAAATGAAGTAGAAATATTAGAAGCATAAAAAAAATCCTAGTTAATAGTTGATAAATTTGAGACTGTCAATAAAGATTTGTAAAGGTTTTTGAAATAATCTACTGAAATGTAAATCAAGCTCAGAAATCAACTTATGATAAGTGAAAGTAACAGATAGCTTCTTGAAGAGAAATACAATGTTCATACACAAAGAGCTGCAATCCTAAATAATAATCACAACACTAGTATGGGATAGGATCTCGGATCTAGAGCAAGTCTGATGATGAACAACGAGATATTAAGATAAACTAGGGGATCTCATGAACAATCTTTTGCTTTTAACCATTTAGATTCTATCAATTAAGATATCAGTTTTAAAAAATAAAATTAAAATCAAATAAACTAAAAAAGAGAAGAATTGATATAATATTAGAGATTTTAAGAAAGATCAATAGAAGATTAATAAGAATAAGATACAAGCAAAGCTAGAAATACCTAAAAAATTACATAAAATAATGATAAATAAAAATATACATAGTAGTAATTACATAGCAATTCTTTAGCTGCAGCAGCTGCAGAGTTTTCTAAATTTTAAGGAAGTATGCAATGCCATGACTTATGCAAAGAGGAACTCTCTAACCAGATTTAAGAATAAGAAAGTATTATCAATCTTAGCTTATTATCGGATTCAGTAAAGTAAAAAGAAATTAACACAAATCAACCATTATTAAGTGCTAGGTAGTAAGGAAATACAAACAAATTGCTATTGTAATTTTAAAATAGCTAAGTGAAAAATAACAATAACAACTTGATGTCAAGCTTAAAAGAACATATACTTAGCCTTTCTGAAAATAAAGAAAATTTGAATGAATAGTTGCATGAAATTTTAAAGGAGTCTAAGAGAGGTAATGAAAAAAATGTAAAAGAGTTAATGGTAAAATTTGAGACTCGTTTAGGACAATTTTTCAATGAGTTATCAAACCAAGCTGAAATTTTAGTCATTTTGTAGTAGCGTTTAGATTAATAGGATAATATAATTGAAGAATATCACAGATCAGAGTAAGAAAAGCTGGAAGAGTAAAAATAAAAATATAAAAAACAGATAAAAAGTTTGTTGAAAGATATTGATATGCTAACTTCTCAAAAAGAAGAGATTGTTAAAAAATTTGAAGAATAAGTGAACTAAAGTTACGAATAGGCAAAAACTGAAGTGCAAAGATAGTACTAAAATCAAATTGAAGACTTGAAATCATTACTTGACTAGGCATTAATAAGAGAACAATAACTTGATTTATGTGTGAGATAATATAAAGAGAATTCTAATTAAAAGTAATAAAGAATGCTTTAAAGGTTCAAAAACAATAGCATCAGTAGCTAGAATTTAAATGGAGTAGGGATAGCCTTGAATAATAGCTACAATTTGGTAAATGAAAATTAAAATACATAGATAAATATAGAGAAAATAAATTCAGGATTTTGTGGTGATCCTGGTTCTAAAACAAACAGAGATAACATTTAGCACCAATAAACAAGGGATGAAAGTGAATTTAAAGAAAACACAAACTCTTAAAATATGATATCAAACAGAAATGAAGAAAACAATAAATCAACCTTGACAAATAAAACTTATTCTCCTGCTCCTTCAAACTCTATTAATTATCTATCAACTGAATAATTAGAAAATGTGAATTGTTAGTTTTCTGTCAGAAATAATACCTCAAATATAAAATTTGTCCCTAACCAAATAGAGGGTAGCATCAACCAATAATAAATTTTCTATCCAGTATAAAATAATAATCTTTATTAATCAACTTAATCAGATAAATATATGTAGAGAAAAACTGATGAGAACAGCTACCACTCTTCAAAGAATTATAATTTATCAGTTTCTAGCTAATCTAATTAGGTTGAATAAAATTCTTTGGATTTTTCTCATGGATCACATCAATAATAATAAATTTTTAATAATAACAACTCAATAAGAAATAGCATAGATACTAACAGAAGTAGCAGAAACTTTAACAAAATAGAATCAAATTTTAACACTACAGATAACAGATAGATTTATTAAAAAATAATCTAAAACAATACTAGATAATCTTACTAATAAGATTAGATAAGTATGCTAGAAGAGAATTAAAATAGTTCTGTTTAAGTTTAAAAAAGGTTAATTGATCAATTTAGCACAGAGGCTTATTAGAAATAAAACATGTAGATAAAGAAAAATATGTCTAGTAATACTTTACAGCCTCATCAATATTAAAGCTAACAAGAAAACAAGTATCACAATGAACTTAAGGCTTCTTAAAAATCATATGATTCTTAATCTAGCTACCATCTCTAAGATACATTCGGTTAGTAAGATCAAGGTTTCAACTAACACTAATCAAAGTAACTCTCATAGTACAACCAGAAATCTAATAAGATGTAATAAAAAGCAAACTCAAGCACTTTAGCCAGAGCTAATTCTTATACTAATTTAAATTCTAGTAGAAACAACTCTCAAGCAGGTTCCTCTTGTGTTGGAGAATAGATTGAAAGTATTCATATTATGAAAGAATCTAAATAATTAAATAGTTTTTAAAACTATGACTCCTATAACAGCAACTACAATAGTTAAAGGTAAGTTATACAACAAATAAATGGTTTAAATTAACCAAACTAAATTTTAAATTAAGAACATTTTTCTGAAGAGCAATCAAAGTCTAACAACTCTGACTTGAACGCTTTTAATAACTTTACATTTACTTAATCTTAATAAAATTACAATGATTTTTCTGATATAGAAGCATATTATAAATAATAATAACAAACATTACCAAACATAGCAAAGCTATAAGAGTACAATTAAATTTAATAAAAAATAAAAAACAAAAACCTAAATAAACTTTAAATTGTAACTGACACATATGATGAGCATAAATTAGACTAAATTTAATGTTAGAATTAGAGGAGCGATAATTTAAAATTTGCTGATGTAAATAAATCTTCATCTTGCCAAAGGATAAGATCATAATCATCTTCTTAATATAATTTTGTAAATAACTAATCAACTTAAAACTCATCAGATCATATGCTAACAGAAAATAATCAAGATTAAATGAATTTGAAATAAAAATATAATAAATGAAACTAACCAATTATATAATATAATAAATAAATAAATTAATTAATTTTTTGAATCAATTATAAACAATATATGTGTATTCCAACATTTTTCCTTAAACATCTAAAAGTTTTATCTTTAAAAATTTACTTTAATTATAAAACACATAAATAGTTTTAGTTTTCTTTATTTTAAACTTTTAGGAGGTGAACTTTTTAAAATAAAATCTCATCTAAAAATTTATATTAAAAAAGATAAATTTGGCAAAAAATATTTTGAAAATAAGATTTGTCAAAATTTTTATATTAAAAGCTCAAAAGTATTTAAAAAATATACACTTTAATTTAATTATTTATTTAATTTCCTAATTTTTAATAATAAATTTTAATGTGAGTGAAATTTGTAAATTAAAACTTGAATCATTAATCTAAATATCCTAAATTGTTTGAAATATTTTAGATTTTTAAAATGAATGGTATAATTTGTAAAATATGTTTTAATTAATTTAACAACTTTCAATGATAATGATCAGTTTGTTTAAATATTTTTTAGAGATCTTTAGTTTATTTTAGTAATAGATTTTATATTGTTTTACTTTTCTTAATTGCTCTAATTTCTAAGTAATTAAGTTAGTATTAAATTTAAAGGTGTTTTTTATGTTATAAAGATTTAAGTTATTAATAAAAACTTTTGAAAATTTTTAATTTGAATATTTACTATAAAATACTTAACAAAAAATTCGTATAAAATGTTTTGAAAACATAAAAAATAGTGCTAATATATTAAAATCAATAGTTATATTTGCTCATCTAACTTATCGCTAATCTAATTATTTAATTAGTTTCTATCATTATTCAACATCTTCAGGTAAGTTTTCAAGATCAATATCTTCACCAGTGATTTTCTTGTAAATTCTTAAAACAGCTTCAGTTTCAGCTTCGAAGTGGCTGGAAGGATCGAAAGAGTTAGAAATGAAAACTTAGTTCTTGCTACCATCACCAGTAGGAATGTAAGAATCAGAAATCTAATTTGATTAATTTTCATTTATTTAACAAATAGTATACACAAAATGATAATTAAAATTTTACTTATTCGAACTATTCTTTAATATTTTGCTTTCCAATAAGATCAATAGCAGGTTGAATTTCAGCTCTAGGATTATTAGTTTCAACAGTAGTAGAAATGATGGCAATGTAGTAACCCTTTTGGCATACATTATGGACACTGGAGACCATCATAACGTAAATATCTTTTTTAAGATTAGATAATATGATTAATTATATTTATCAATTTAATTAATTACCATTTTGTCTATTAACTTATCTTTGAGGAATGATAATTTGAACTGAGGGAATGTCCTTAGTACCAGGGATAGGCTTATCAAGAATACAAATAACACGAATGATTTGGCCTACCTTCTTAACTAAGTTTTAGTTACCAGTCTTGATAGCATAGGTAGGATCACAGACGACAAGCTTGCACTTAGCAACTTAATCTCCGGCTTAAACACCACAAACTCTTCCGTTTTCGTCATAAACGATTTTATCAATATCAGTATTGAGCATGAAAGTACCTCCTTAGATAGCACTCATACGAGAGAAACCTTCAGGAATACCACCAAGACCATAAACGGGATAAATGAAAGGAGAGTCACCATATCTATTTATAGAATCCATATATAATTTAATCTTATCAACACATTCAATAGCAGGTCTATCTAAAAATTGATCATTGTTAAATAATGCAACAGCGTGACCAATGAAGTCGATAGTGTTGGCTTCCAAATCGAACTTGTTTAAGAGTTGTCTCATAGTCATAATTTTTAAATCATATCCTTTATTTAAAAATATTTTAAATAGTAAAATTTATATTTATTTAAATGCTTATCAGTAATTTTGTCATCAATTTATTGTTTATTTTGAATGTAAGTGTATTACTTATTGCGAAAAAATATAAGATTTAATTTTTTATTTGAAATTTAAAGAAATTTTAGAACAGAAAACCTAGTGTCCTAATTAAACCTAAATTTTTGGGTTTTAACTTAGTGCTTATTATTGAATGACAATAAATAAACAAATGAGAATTCGTTTGCTCTAACTAAAAATTAATTTGGAAGGGGTAACAACTAACTACTTAATTTTCTATTAGAAGCATGAAATCTCAAATCTTTATTAATAAATTTTTCAGCTTTATCCTTAAAAAAATATTACCTTTGTAGGTATTGACATCCTTAGCATCGTAGTTAGAAACGTAAACGAAGAAATTTTTGCATCTTCTCTTTTCCAATAATCCCATCAAGTCACTTTAAAGGGCTTCCTTATCGTTTGCAGGAACCTTTTCAATTTTAGGACCACCAGATGAGAAGATACCAGCCTTCTTATTTTGGTAAACGTAGGTACCATCGATGCCTTTAATATAATTTAATGGATTAATAAATTTTTGATGTATTAAATTTGTAAATGGTTGCATGAACAAAAGTAAAAATGTTCATAATATTTTATAAAAGTAAATAATATTTTTACACTTCCATTCAAGATAACCAGCGACACGAGTTTTGAGAAGAATTTTTACCAATTTTCCGTTAGCCATAATAAACTTAGGAACTAAATCAATGTTCCAATCTCTGTTTGCACCATAAACTTTAGGAACATCTACATTTGGTCTGAAGATTTTCCACAAGTTGGTCAAGTTAACGGAGGCACCTTCACCACCATAAAAGCTATTTCTATCAATATGAAGAACCTTCATACCTATTTTAATAATATTTTATATTGCAATTCATTAAATAGAGAGTAAATTGATTGATTCTTGATAAATTGGAAGATTATATGTAATATTTATAAAAGATACTACAAATCTAAGCTATTAATTGATCTATCTAAATCATAAATAAATAAACTGGCATCAACGCTTTTGATTTTAATAGAGACAAAACTATAAAATTATAATATTACCTTTAAGTGAAAGCAAACCTGATAGGATACATTCAATGAAACCTGTACCGCAAACAACAACGTCGTATGTGTCGTCCATTTTTATTACCTTTTTCTTCTTTAATTTTTTGTTTTTATGGAAATATTTATTTTTTAATTAAATTTTTTATTAATATCAAAAAAAATATTCTTGAGTTTTTTAATAGAAGAAATTTAAACGCTTGCAAATGCTGATTTTTATTCACCTATTTATTTTTTATAAATAATTAAAAATTGATAATTGCACACATATTTTATAAATATATGAATAGTTAATTTATATATATATATATATATATTAAATATTTTCTTTTTAACTTTAGAAGAATTTCCATTTATGTATCTTTTCTTTCTTATCTGATTTTACTTATATTTGCTGAATCAAACAAATAAGAAGTTTTAATGTTTTTCTTTTTGTTGATATCGGGGCCTAATAACATATAATATTAATTTTTTTTTCACAATTATATAGCTAACTTTTCACTTAATTCGCATTTTTGCTTTTTTAATTTTTAAAAATATCAGTGAACCAAATACATAAGAAATTTTTGTTACGTGTTTTGATTAAGCAATAACTAAATCTGTTAAAAAAAATATTAAATTTAAAAGCAATATTGATAGAAACCATAATATATTTTACTTTATTTATAAAAACAGGTTTGGAATTATCTAAAAGATATATTGTTTATTGATATTGAGTTGGATTAAATAAATTTTCATTAATATCTTTAATTATTTCTTTATGAGGATATTTTGTCTACTATTGAATCCAGTTTACAAGATCTCTGCATTTAAAAGTGGATTTCTAAATTCTGTTGAATTTTTTTCAAATTTGTGCCATTTAAAATATATCTTTTGGAGTAATAATATTTTATTTACTACTTTATTAATATATTAAAGCTAATTTTTTATTAATTTGCTTTAATTTATGCTACAAATAGATAAAATAGTAAAATATACCACATATTAGGTGTAAATGATCTTCAAATGTTGAAATTTAAAATAAAATTAAATACTATTTTATAAACTTTGAAAATTTTTATTTGATTTTAATGTTATTTAGAATCTAATTTAATTGATAAAGATTATATGGTTTGATTTATTTCATATGATTAATTTACATATAAAATCTAATTATTAATAGATAACTAAATAAATGATTCCTAAAAAGTTTCTAAATCATCATATGTTTATCAAATATAGATAATTTAAAAGTTTTTGATATTTCTTGATTTAAATTAATTGTTTTATTTATGAAAAAAGCTAATATATTTTATATGAAATCACAATAGTCAAAATTTTTAATTTTTGTGAATAAATTTACTTTATTTAATGTCTTTTATAAATAAATTCTAACCAATTAAATTGAAAAATAATTTTACTTGTTTAAAGTAATAGACAAATCCTAATTAATTTTCAAAAAAGTAATGTTTATTAATTTTAATTTTAATACTGATTGTATTAATTACTATAAATAATGAGTATATATACACACACACCAAAATTTTTTCTTATTTAAGCTATTTTATAAATAATAAACCAATTTAAATATTTTTTTCTAAATTAATTTAGTTATTTTGAATTAAATATTTTAGATCTATCTATCTATTTTCTTTGTTTGTTTTTTTTATTGCTAATCTCACTAATTGCTTTCATCTTAATCTTCCTCTTCTTCATCGTTTTCATCATTTTCTTCTTCTTCTTCTTATTCAGCATATTAAGCCTCTTCTCCTGATAAGTTGGAATTTTCATCTTAATTATGTTCGTTATCATTTTCTTCATCATAGTTATCTTAATTATCATCTATTTTTTAGTTATCATTTACCTCTTCTTAATTTTCATCATCTTAATATTCCTACTGATTACTTTCAAAGTCTTCTTATTTATTCTAGTAATTATCTTCTTCTGATTTATTAAATTATTCCCCATCTTCGTTGTTATTTTATTAATTTTCTTCACTTGATGAACTGATACCTTAATTTTAAATTTAGGATTGCTTGTATTTTATATTTTAATTTTAATCATTAAAATCGTCATCTTCATTCTCGAATTTTTCTCTAAATTTTGCTGTTTAAGAGTCACTTTGTTTCATATATCCATTCTAAGATGATCTTTTTACATCGTGTTAATCATCATCTGGTTCTTCTTCTGAATAAACTTCTTGCTGCTAGTCAATTATAGTAGCATTTTACCTCTATTAATAAGACTAAGGTACAGCTTAAGGAGATATATTCTGATTTTAATCTGAAGTTTATGAACCTTTTCTTGAAGCCCCTTCTTTTACTGGGTTGTTTTAAACCTACTGATCTTTTTACTTAAGAGATCCCTTTTTTTCTCCAATAAAATATTTTGGCTAGTCATCTTATAATCTATATGAATTTATATTTTAAGCTAAGTCTTGGTCATCTGTTTTTAAAATATTTATAAAAATAATTAGTTTATTTGATTAAATAAAATAAATTTAATATTATTTTATATTACCTTAATTTCCAAAAGTGTTTACACTTTATTCTACTGGATTATTATTCATAAACTAAGGGCTTGCAACATTTTAAATTTCATCTTCAATTGCTCCTTTTCCTGGACTTTAGCTTTCGATATTTTTACTTACAGTCAATTACGATCCTATCAAAGGATTAGATCCTGTTGAACCAGCTTTTAATTAATGTCTATTTGATGAATTGCTAGTATTGCCAATAGGATTTTAAATATTATTTGCAGTATTACTATGCCCACTGCTGCTACCTTTAACCCATGAATGAACCAAATTTTCATTGTTTGACTATAATATGTTATTGTTGCTGCTATTATTGTCTGTATTTTGACTATTATTATTTATTTAATATTAGTTAGGCATTCCTTGGTTGATTCCTTGAGCTTAATTTTAAATGTATATGCTATTAGAACCTATTATTTATGATTATTTTTAATCATATCCAGGAGGAGAGAAATTATTCATTTATGGGCTCATAGAATAAAGTTAACCTTAATTAATGTTACCTGTTTCACCAAACAATTTTGATTACTTTCCATCTCTGTTTTAAGATGTTAAAATAGTATTACTAGTGTTCAAGTATGGATTATAATTATTCATAGCTAATGCTTGTATGTTATTACTAGTAAACAAATTCTGATCACTGTTAAGATGCTTTATTAAGGGTGATGAAAGGAAGCTATTGGCAAATTCTACAGGATTTTAATGAGTCTATTGCAGTTAATTATTTTATGATTATCTAAAGTTTTGTGAAGCCTAAGGATTGCTGTTATAGGTATTATATTAGGATTATGGGTATGAGCCTTAATTTTAATGAGTACCTGATTATTGAGGTGTATGATTGAATTGAGTTGACCCTTAAATATATGGATTTAATTAATTGAAATTTCTGTTTTTTTTTTCTAACGATTAATATAGACTTTCTCCAAAATTGTTATTATTATAAGATTTCTGATATTATTCTAAATTAGACTAAGGTTACGGATGTTGATATTATTATTACTATTATTGTAAGCTGATTTAAGAAGAAATTAAATTAGGATTTAGTTATTAATTCTATTGCATCATATGCATTAAATACTAAGGATCTTATGTTCCATTTGGTGAAATTTAATTTTAAAAATTGAATCCTTGTTATCTTTACTGCTACATTTGCACAACTGGCGACTTTTGATTCTATTAAAATTCATTAAAATCATTAGATTAAGTTTAACGAGAATCAACAGATAAGTATTAAACTAACTCATTAGGATATGTCTCTGTACTTCCATGATGCCTTACTTAATGACTTTAGACTTAAGTGGGATCAATATCATAATTTATTGCATACTATCCAGAAATTTACTAATATTAATGATTTTATTGTTGTAATGGCAGCTGTTATTGCTACAATGGTATTTGCTACTATATTTATTATATTTGTTCCTGTTAATAAAGCTAATTTTGTTATAAAATATTTGGGTCACGATTAAAATTTTGTTGCTAATTTTTAATTTAGTTTTAACCTTAAAATTGCTATTATTATTATTAATCTTAATATTAGTTATATTCATTTTAATCTTCATATTAATATCCTTAATCTTAGGCATCCTACTAATCAAATTAATCAAAAACTCCTGCTCTTCCTTCTTCTTTACTGTGTCTGTATTATTCCTTATGTTTTTGGATTTCATCTTTTATCTTTGAAGTAACATTCTTCAAGCTTTTTGGAAGAGTATGAACTTTATTTTCTTCTTTAGAGCGATAAGCAACGCTTTGATAATAGTCTTTTTATCTTTGATGAGGATTAACTTTAGTAGCCTTTTGTTAATTTAAGTTCTATTAATTTGGACTAATTTTATTCTTAGAGTCACTACTGTTATTGCCTTTTGCTTGCCATATTGCTGTACCTTATTATTAATCTTTAGGACTTGTTAAAATTTTCATTTTAAAAAAAGACTAAATTACTTTTTTATTATGGATTTAATTGCTATCTTGGAATCGATGCTTGTTACTGGCCTAATGATTAATTGTTAGAGCCTTAAAATTACAGATGATTGAATGCATCGCTACTAAATAATTTTTACTGAACTATTAATAAATCCCTATTAGATTAATTTTATGAAGAAGGAGACCTAAAATCATTAGGATTATTTAGTTTTTTTAGTGCTTTTTTACTGTTTGTTACTCCACTTGGCTTATAGTTTGAGGATTTACCATAAGAACCCCCATAGTTATTTCCTTGCTAAACATCTCTTTGCAAGATCTACTTAATTTAATTATCATCTAAATGAGGTGGTTTTTATCTATGATGCTAAGGAGATCTGCTTTTAAGAACTTATTTGATATCTGGAGGTGGTGATTAAGTTATCTGTTAAAATAAAATTTATTTATTTATTTACGTTTTCAAAAACCAATAAAAATCTGAATATTTACTTTTTGTGCTATTTGATTTTTAGAAGAAGGAGATTAATATCTTTGCTTACTACTTCTTAACTACTTTGTTGGTTATCTTACTTGCTAATTGTAATAGTTATCTAGCTCAACATCATCTCTCCTGTTTTAATTGGTATTGTCATAATAGTTATCTTCGTAACAATCACTTTAATTTCTATAATATATGTAAATAAAATAATTTATTATAAATTAGACCATTAAACTCTAAATTAGTATTCAGAACTTATTTTATTTATATTTATTTAATACCTTTTGGAGTTTTCAATACTGATTTTATTGTTTAGCTACTCTAACTTTTCTTTTAAATATTTTATTTCGTGCTACAATTCTAATTATTCGTAAGATGATTTGACAGATTTATTAATTCCATGTTAAGGAGACAAATAGTTTTGATACACTCCTTACTTAGGACCTAAATGAGCTTGATTTTCAGATGAAGATGCTCTATTTAATATTTTAAAAATAAAATTCGTTTTAGAAACCTTTTTGTAGCAAATTTAAACAAGTTTATTACATGTTTTAAAAATTATTTTGAATATTTCTCAAATTTGTTGATGGAAAAGGCTAATTCAGTAATTCTAAAGGATCTTCTAAAATCTCAATAGGTTCATTTCTATAATTTTAACTTTAAAAATCATCAATTGATTATGGAATGCGCTAATTTTAATTGGGTTGGCTTTGCTTATCTCTAGCTTTACTTTCAGCTGCTTTCTCTAATAAAATAAGAAATTATGATAATTTATGATAGAAAATGATGAGTAAAACTTTAAATAAATATAAATCTATTTTGATAAGTTTTATTATTGTTGTGAAATTAATTTTATTTACTTGCTTATTTCTTTGCTTCATCACTAAATAATTTACTGAATGTTCCATTCTTTTGCGCCTAAGACCAAACTGCTTGAGGTAGAGTATCTAATACATTATTTAATCCTATAACTGAAAGATACTTGATTAAGTTGTATTGCTCTGACTTATTGTAGTAGTTCAGTATATCAGCTAAAAGAGGTACTTTTTGCTTATAGAATTCAACTAATTCCATGCTTTTATGTTATAAAAAATACTATCACTATTTATGAGCTGACTGACTAAGTATGAGTTTATGAATGTATGTCTGTCTTTATATTCCTTTTTAATTTGATATTACAAGTCCCAATAATAAAGGATTATTTAATATCTTATATATAACTTTATTTTTTTTGAAAATTACAAACTTAACTATGAATTAAGTTTTTATTTCTTTATTGTTAATCTTTTTGTTATAATAAAAAACAGATCAAATAATCTTTATTTAGCAAATCATTGTTAATTCTTCATGAATTGTTTTTTTCAAAAATATAAATTTCTAATTTATGAAATTAAATCACTCACTTCATGCTTTAAAGATTCTTTTCCAGCTAAATTAGATTCAAAACATATCTCTTTGTTTTAAATAAAAATAAATGATAATTTTAAAACAAATACAATCTCACTCACTCATTCACTAAATCACTCAATCACACACAATTTATTAATGCATAATTAATTAATTTAAATTACTATAATAAATTTTTAATATTTTATTTATTTAAATTTCTAAAGTTAAAATTTAAAAATAATTTTATTATTAATTATTTATATTTCCCTTTAAAAAAATATTTTAAATTTATATTTATATGTTGGAATTCTTTCTTTTTAATTATTAAAATATTTTGCTGATAACTTTAATCAATTCATTAACTTTATATATTAAAATGTACCATATAATTTATTAAAAGACATTAAGACATATTTACTAAAACTATTTATTTGATTGCAATTAAATTTAAAATTGTTTTAATTTTAAATAATATGAAAATAGAGCTCTATTTTCAGGATTTACATTGATTGAAACTTAATTCAATTAACTTCTATTAACATAAATTTATTATATGACTACCTCAATAAAAGCATATTTTTTTACTATATAATTTAACATTAGTGATGATAAAACTTTGATAAAGAAATTAAAAGTTTGAGATAAAGTTATGTATGCAATAACAAAATAATTAACTTAATTTTTAGAGTATTTAGATTTAAAATGATTATTGTATATTTATTGATTTATATTTGATAAATTTATATTTAGTAAAGAAAAATGAGAGTAACTAGCATATTTCATTATTCTGCAGTTTCTACAATGCTCATGAATACATCTTCTAAACTAGATTATGAAATACCCCAATCTATCAAGTTATAAAAAAAATTTAGTTTAAACCAAAATTAAAAAATATTTTACCTGATATTTTTAAACGAGTCTTTTCTTTCTCAAGCAAATCAAAAATTTGAGAGACCTTAAGATTATCATTTGGAATCTAGATTTTTACAATTAAATTAATTAACAAATTAGATAAAATATTTTTACCTAGAAAATAAAGTTCATATTGAAAGATGGCTTCTTTTCATTCTTTGGTATAATTTGATCTATGTATTTGAATAGATTGTCTTTAATCTCCTCTCTTTTAAATTAAAAAAAATTATTAATATTTTAATTATTTAAATTTATTATTTATATATATTAATTACTATGTTCCACTATCTGATTGATGGCTTTCTTCATCAAATGCTGATCTATCTTGTTACTTCTTTTTCTCACAATTGATATAAAGGTGATAACCTTTACCGTAATTCTTCTTTAAAGTTACTGATTACCCAATACATCTCAAAGATCCATTAGTTATGATACCTATTCTGCTGCATAAAACATCAGCTTCTTCCATCTAATTGAATTTTAGTTAACAATTTAATAACACATATATTGTAAAATAATATAATTACAGAGTGTGTTGTCAAAACCATAGCTCTTTTTCCTCTGCACTCACTTAAAATATCCCAAAGCTTTCTACGATTCTTAGGATCAAGACCGGTTGAAGGTTCATCTAAAAAGATGATGCTAGGGTCACCAACTAATGATATAGCTACTGAAAGTCTTCTCTTCATACCTCCAGATAATTCTGCAGTTTTATAGCTAGCCTTTTATTCAAGATATACCTCTTTCATAGCTCTTTCTACTTTAGCCTTTTCTTCTGATGGAGCAACACCCTTAAGTCTAGCATAAAAAAGTAAATGTTCTTCAACTGTTAAATCTGGCCATAATAAATCAAACTATGGACACACACCCATATTCAAGTGAACCATTTCTATATTATTAACTATATCATATCCAGCAATCCAGGCGTTACCTTTGGTTGGAGCATAAACACCTGTAATCATAGAAATAAGAGTTGTTTTACCAGCACCATTAGGTCCGAGTAAACCAAAAATTTCACCCTTTTTTACATGAAGAGATAAATTTTTCACAGCTACATGCTCAGGTCTACCTCCAACAGGCTTGTAAACTTTTCTTAAATCACGAATGACAAGTGGATACTAGCTATGGTCTTCAATGTTACGGACAAATTCTCTTTCTTATTTTGAATCTTCATCTTCCTAAAGCCCCTCATAATTTTAGTTAACCATACTAGAGTCAAAATCATTACCTTTATTTCTTTTTCTTAACTTTCTCAAGCAAAATAACCAATGTTGCTAAGTACCAAATTCTTAGGGGATAACTTCATGAAGATAAACACCTTATATGAAAAAATAAATAAAATAAATCTTTGAATTAATTAGTAATTATCTTCATACCTAAAAGAGTGAAAACTACAAATCCGACATACAAGAAAATAATACAATCTTTAATTTCATCAGTAATGCTATCCCAACGACGGAAACACTAGCCATTAGAGCAAGCAAAAGAGAAGATGTACATTAAACGTGAAAATCCTAGAGGAGGGTAAAGTCTCATAGTAAATGGTAATTAATAGGGATCAGGATATACAGCTGCATTTATTGTGACTGCAATTAAACTGGTCCATATAGAAAGTAAATAACCAATAATTGTGGCTGATCTAGCCTTAGAGAGGAAAACTTAAAAGAAAAATGAAAGAGCAATTTAACTCAAACCCCATCCAAAGAAGCAAACAAACTATTTATTTTATTGAAATATTTATTTAATCAGTACATATTTAAAATAATTTTCTAATTACCAATAAACTGAGAGAAGTCTCAGTGAAAAAGGAAAGGCCTAAAATAAAGTAGCCAAAGAGATAAAATAGAGTGTAAGTCAATAATGTCAAGGTCAAAGAAAAGAGAAAAGTCATTAACCAATAATCTTTCATTCTCATACCATTCATCTTCATCATTTCAAGTAACTTTTCTTCTTTTTCAAGAACAATTACATACATAAATATAGGTAAAAGCAAAGAAAGAGCAAGAGGATACAGTGAAGCACCTGTAATACTGATAATACGCATAATGAAGGCTTTATCTTCTCCTACTAAAGGCATATATTATATACCTGATACTAGCCATACGTTTTCGTTAAATGTTTACAAATAAGCTCTGCTTATTAAATCAATTAAACTAATTTAGCCCTCAGCAACTCTTAATTCACTTACAGGCTATTCCATATTTTCTAATTTGAATCTAATTAAATAAAATTATTAATTAGGATATTTTTAGAATGAATATATTCAAATTAGTTTTTAAGATATATTGAATGCATTTTTTTTTATTTTTCAAAATTTTTTGTATTATTTTTAGCTAAAAATTAAATGATTTTCTCGATTTAAGTAAATTCTATTCAAATAGTGTTTTTATATATCAATAATCCAAATTCATTTCTAATTTTTCCAATAAAAATTACCTATATTTAGTAATACCATTATTTCTATGGTATTCAGGGATACGAAGATCATTAATTTATACTTTGTAGACAAGTTTTTCTTTAGAAGCTTCCTAAAATTATACAGCACCATCTGGAATGATATCGAGACCTATTTATTGATAAACAAAAATTGAAATAAATCTAAAATTTTTTTATGTTTTGCTTACTGTTTAAATCAATTCCTCTTTAGTAAGGAACTTCATTAAGAATTTGAAGTGATTCGTAAATTTCTTCATTAATAGAGGTGTTTTCCTTTTTGATATTAAATATTATATTAACAATTAATTGATATGTGTTATCCTCAAATTGCAAAGGAAATATAAAAATCTTTTTTTAAATTTACAGGTGGCATCTTGAAAAAGGGAACATTTCTTGAAACTGTTTTTTCATTATATTTTGGCTCGAATTAGCATTTGTTTTTATTTTAGAAAATATTTTTTAGCAGTCCTTGAGGTTATTCTTCATCAACACCATTATTATATCCCACAAATGAACGTGTTGAATCAGTAGCATTTTTTTCAAAGTCATAAGCATACCATTCTAAGCAGGTTGAATTATCAATGAAAGGGTACCACGAATACATACCTGGCACATTAAATATGAATGGATAATCTAATGAAAAAGTTGTTCCAAACTGATTTTCTGCTAGCTTCTTGATCAAAAATACGAAAATTAAGCAAATGAGTGGAGTAAAGATCTATTTATAAAATTAATTGACATTATAATAAAAAATGAGTAAGATTTGCTTTAAAATATATTAATAAATAATTTCTCCTTACCTAACATAAGTTAGTGCCTATTTATTTAGATTAGAGAGCAATGCTTTTGTAAAAGAGTGCCCTAAATTGGTAAGCTGTCTTCTTTTTTAAGCGGACAGATTCATCAACAATCGATTCTCTTTATTGTTAGGATTGATGATGTTAAGAATTTATAGTTTGCCTATTAATATTCAAATCTTCGGTATGAATTTCTTCACCCTCAAACTTGTTGTATGCCTACTAATTCATAGTCTAAGCTCCTTGATAGATTCAATAAAAATAATGTAAAATATGGATTTTTGACTTAAACTATTTTTTTATCAAAATTTATTATTTATAATTATATTTTTTGCTTTTGATTTTGATAAAAATAAAGGTTTCCGAAGTAAATATATTATTAACATATCAAATAGCTAAATTAATTAATTAAATCTTAAAAAATACAAACCACTACATCAAAATTAGGTGTGAGATTTAGTAATCTGATATATTAATTTCGTATAAATAGTATCAAAAATTAATACAATTAGTTGATAGTAAAAGAAATCTATGTAAATATTATATCTCAAATAATAGTCATTAGAAGATAAAGAATAAGTGTAAATAAATTGATTAATCAACTAAATTTTGCTTTTTAATATTACACTAATATCTCCTATGTAAAATAAATCTCTATATACTCAAAAAAAATGTGTAAAGCAAATTCATAGAGTGAAAGTTATTTGGTTTGTAATGAATAAATTTAAAATTTGAAACAAATTTGGATGTTTTTGGCAATAAAGATAAGATATTAATTTTGAAAATAAGTTATCAGCAACCTAATAAGGAAATCTTGTTTCACTAATTAGAAAAGGCCAATATTAAATAATTTTGATGAGTAATATTTCATAGATCAATTTTTGGATTTAATTTATATCTTAAATTTATTTAACAATAATTTGATAAGCTAATTAATTTACTGAAATAATTAAAACTATTTTTAATACTAAAATTTATCTAGATTTCACAAATAAAATTTTATTATCTGTCAAATCCATATATAAAAAATATTTAAGTACTTTTGATCAAATTTTTATTTTTTTGGAAAAAATTTTAATAAATAAGCTACTTAAGGAAGCTAATTTTAACCATACGAGGAGGTGTTTTTAATATGTAAATTAATTTAATTTTTAACTTGTATTTTTATTTATTAAAAAAGAAAAATAAAATTATAGATTTCATAACAATAAAATTACTTTTCTCAAATTAAATTTGCTAAATTAATAAATATTTAATTAATTAAAAAAATATAAGTCTATTTCAAAAATAATGAAATTAATTTTTGTTCAATTTAAAGTTCCAATTTACAATTTTTGAAATGAATGAATTCATGTAAAGAATTTTATGAGTCTTCAAAAATCCGATGAAAATTTAAACTTAGTAATAGAAAAATATAAAATCTAAGATAATATGAGGAATTGGCATTTAAATAGTTTAATTCAATAATTATAATACAAACGGAGACTCTTAAAGCAATTAAATAAAGGGAAATTCTTTCTTGATTAGTTATGCAAATTAATTATTAGTTTTGATGTTGCGCAAACAAATAATCTGCTGATGCTTTTTTGTTAGGTTTGTTTTTTTTCGATTGATTTCCTCTTACTTTCTCATGTTAAATAAGCTAGAAAATTAAAAACTTAATCATCATTATAATAATAATTATTATTATACCAGATTAATTAATAAGAAATATTAAAATAGTAAATGAGATTCAATCTATTTATAACACTTGTTATTGCAGGATTAGCAATAACTCAAGCTTAAAATATGAGAGGTTTTTATGAAAATCAAACAGCAACTTAAGACGCAACTTTCAATACTACCCACGTTAATGTAATACACTTTTGCCAAATATTAATTCACTGAAAATTTTAAAAATTAAAATGATTATTTTAATGATATTTATTAAAAAAAGCTGAATGACTTCATTGGCAATTCAACAAAGGGCGCCTTCAATAACACATTAAACTAGACAGCCTATACAAATAGCACAACCATTTCATTTAATTTCACTGAGACTAGAAATTCAACAAACAAACAAAATAGTACCTCTGGTTTTAATTACTACTCTAATCAAACATAAAATTATACCAATTATAATTACACATAACCTACAAATAGTAGTTTTGGTTATGTTAACACTTCGTCCTCATCATACAATTATACAACTGGTTGGAATTATCCTAATACTACTAATTCTAGCTCTTAATACTACAATAGTTCCTCTCATTACAATAATTCCTCTTATTACAATAGAACCTAATAAGGAAAAGTCAATAACTCACTATCATAATAACCCTAATAGTATGGAAATTATACTTACAAACCCTATAATGTAAAATATTTTTTTTTAAATATATATTTATATTGACATAATTTATTTATCCAAATTTAGAATAGAACAAATTACACCTCATCAAGTTATTCCAATAGTACCACTGAAAATGACTATGGAAATACAGGACCTCACTATACAGAGTATTCTTCTACTCATACTGTTGAATATCATTATGATTTCAATGATTAATTTATGGGATATTATTTAATTGGAGGAATATTTAAATTAATAATTGCTGTTGCATTCTTTTATGTGATCACAAAGTGGTGGAAAAACAGATAAGAAAGATTGAACTACTTGCGTTAATCTCAAATTCCTTTAACCCACCAACAAATTCCTTAAAACTATTACCAAGTTTAAAACCCCTAATTTTAACATCATCAAATACCATATTAACACTAATAATGGTAAGCACATTAATAAGCTTACTTGAATTAAAGTAATAATATGGTTGCCTAAGCCTAACCTTAATTCATAAATAATCCTCTCCCATAAATCCAACAAGTTCAACCTATATAAGTAAATCAGTATTCCTCATTAGAAATCTAATAAGGATAAAGATAAGCTTATCCTTCTCTTAGGCCTTAAAACTGAGCTTATTAAGTAAGAAGAAGTAATCTCAACTAATATATTTAGGGACCTAAATCATGGTTAAAATATTTTATAATTAATAAATTTGATAATTATAATAAAATACTAAAGTAAGTTACAAACTATTTATCATTTGTTTAGTGCAATTATCATCTTAAATAATAATAATACTCATTTTATTAAAATTCATTTTTACAAAATTATTTAAAAATCTCAATCTTATTGATAATGAAAGATAAGTAAATATATGTATGTATGAAATAATCAATACGATTTTACTATTATAATTGAATAAAATTGATGAATCAAAAAATTTTAATTTAATTGTAAAATGGAATAAATAAATAAGCAAACAAACAATTACATATTTTTGGATATAAAATAATGATTAACCATTTATTTTTGATATGTGAATACAAATATTCGTTTAAAATATGCAAAATTTCTGTTTGGTTGATTTAAGTTATCATTAATTTACCATTCAAAGAAATTCTTTCTTAACTTAATAAATTTATTTATGACAAGATTAATATCAAAGTAAGTAAACAGATAAATCAAAATATTTTAGGAAAATATATCAAAATAAAGCAAGCAAAACAGAAGCTGATTTATTTAGGAAATGGCGAGTAGTAACGTAAGTTAATATAACACGGTTAAAACATAAACGGGATTTAGACTTTAAAGTGCTCAAAATTATAAGAAAGAATTTTCAAGGCTAAATGATTCTTTTAATGAATTAAAAGATAAAATATAAGATGCTTAGGGAACAAAATTTACATTTTATAGATTAAATAAATAAAAGAATGAATAAAAGTAGCAGAGGTGTAACATATAAATGAGCAGAGAATGTGGTACTGTTTCAAAAAGAAACTAATCAGCTAATTATTATGACCCATCATCAATAAGTAAAACCGGAGAAGACATACAGGTATCAAGAAATGAAATTTTTATTAAAGACTTGAGCGAAAGTGGATAAAGAAGTAAGCGAATAACATCCTTAAATAGAGGAGGGATGTAGTCATCAATGTAATAACTTAGTCTCATAGATTAGATTTAATTTTTGTAAAAGTATTTTAATTTTTTTAAAAATAGAGCGGGCAATAAATCAGGAGATTGTTAATATTGCTGTGGTTAGGTTATTCAGTCTAAATCAGGTCTGCCTATAAAGAGTTTTAATACATTTCTCAATGCAAAAAAGCAAATTAATGATAATAATAGTGCTGTCTTCACTCAAAAAGGTTGTACATGTAATAATAATGATAAGTAGAGGTCAATAATTTCTCCCTACAATCCTTAACTAGAGTAATTAATTAATTGCATATGCTTTTAAATCAAAATTTACATTTTATAATTTGAATTAAGAAATATTAAATAACCAACTTAAGTTAGAATACTAAAAAGGTCTTAGTAATTTTTTAGGTTTCCAAAATGATTTTTGCAGTATTAAAATTGAATTTTATTAAAAAATAATTAATTGTTTGTTTAAAAATATTTGAAGATATTTAAATGATTTATTTTATATTTAAAATAAATAATTTAGCGATTCAATAAACATGGGTTACAACAGTTAGAATATTTCGATGAATTTAATGAACAATGGAAATTTTACTAATAGCAGTTTGAATAATATGAAAGTTAAAGTGAGCTCCAAAGCAGTTGTTAATTCGCTATTGAGCATATCTGCTAAGGCAAGGTCACTTAGCATGAATAACAACTATGCTAATAACGCTGGATCAAATTAACGAGTGTAAAAAACTAATCCAACAACAACTGGATGGAATATCCATATAGATAATCATGACAAAACTTTGCTGAGTGCTTTAGATCCAGATGAAATAGAAAAAATTAAAAATTCTGCAGAGTTGATACACACCTTATCTATTGACACAATTTTAGATTTATATACTGCAAAATGCCAAGATAATTAGATTGAATACATTCCTGAATAGGCTATGAATTTCATAATTAAATTTAAAAAGACTTCTAAAAAGAGATAGCTCAAATTGTAAGATTTATCATTAGGATCTAAATCTGCTTACTTAATATCAGAAATTTTAAAAGAAAGTGATCATTTTTGTAGATTATATTTAGATAAAAACTAAGTAGGAAATTAAGGTGCCTACTTTTTAAGCGAAATGCTATAAGTCAATTCTTCTCTAATACATTTAGATGTGAGTGGAAATAACATAGGTCCTGAAGGATTTGAGGTACTTTTTAGGAGCTTAATTTATAATTGTACACTAATATCTTTAGATGTAGCAAGCAAAGACGGGTTAAATCGCAACAGGATAGGATAAATAGGAGCTGATTAATTAGAGAAATTACTGAGATTTAACTCATCTATATAATTTTTAAATTTATGTGGTACTTCCATTAATAATGATTAATTAAAGCTAATTATGAAAGGACTAAACGATGGGAAGTCACTTACTATGATCGATATCTCTTAAAATGATTTAGATTCTAATGCAGCTGAAATAATAGTCTCTAATATACAAAATTCAAATATTACAGAATTATACATGTCTAGTAATTAAATTGGAGACGTAGGGCTTAGCTATTTCTAAGATGTAGGCTTACATTCTAAATTATATCCTTTAGAAACCCTTGATTTATCTCAAAATAAAATTACTACAAGAGGATTAGCAGGATTCTTTTAATCTATGCACAAAAACTAAAATTTACACAAACTTATATTAAATGATAACAATTTTTAAGGTATTTAAATGAATAAAATTGCTGAATTTCTTCATGAAAATACAGGAATTCAGCATTTATCATTTGAGAGGTGTGAAATTTAGCCAGAGGGAGTTAGCAGTATTGCATATGGATTAGAAAAAAATAAAAATTTAACCTATTTAAATTTGAAAGAGAATAAAGTAAGAAACTAAGGAGCTAAGAGCTTGGCAGAAGCTTTAAGTCATAAATCGCACTTATAAGTAATTATTTTTAAACTTTTAAATTAGATTAAATATATTTTTGAAAAGGTATTGGATTTGAGCTTATGTAAAATAGAAGATGAAGGAGGAATGGCATTAGCAGCAGCTCTGACAAAGTCATCATTGTATTCTCTAAACTTGAGAGAGAACAGTTTGCATGATTGCGTTGGTGCACTCATATGCAGTAGCTTAGAGAAAAATACATATATTAGGAAGATTAATGTAGAAAGAAACCCAATTAATTACTCATACTAAGAAAAAATAAAAAAATCATTATAATATAATTAAAGTCTTTTTGAGTCTAAAAAAATCCCTATGTTCACAGATATCTTAAATAATATGAAGGGAAAGCAAAAAGAAAATGAGGACTTAGATGAATAATAAGTAATGAAAGGATAGTAATATGATTTTCTTTAATCATAAGTTGATAATTTAAAATAAAAACTATAAAAACTCCTTCATGAGGAGGAAGCTAAGATGATTCAGGTAGAAGCAATCAAAAAAGAAGTTTAGGCAGAGTTTGATTAATATGAAAAAGCTATTTTGAACCAAAAGAAAGAATAAAATTAATGGCATTAATAATATTAAGAAAATGTTGAAGATGTAGAAAGAAAAATAAAATAATAAAATTCAGATAAAACAAAGATTTTACAAGAAATAGCTGCTCGTAAATAGTATATTGAAAAAAAGAAAGAAGAGCTCCTCACTTAAAAATTAAACTAGCAATCAAAGTTAAGAGAGGCTGAAACTCAAACTAAACAAATAGCAGTAATTACCTCACAAATATAAGCAAAAATAGATGATAAAAAATAGTAAATTCTATAAAAATAATAAGAAATATAAGCATTAGAATAATTGGAATAATTAGAATAGGAGCAACCCAAAGAAAAACGTTCTTAACAAGGATTAAGAGAAATAAGCACAAAAAAAAATAAAAAATGATATAAAAATTGTTAAACTACAAATATGTTAAAATTATTTCAATAAAATAAAATATTTGATGATTGTGACTAATTAAGCTATTTCACAAAAAATAAAAAACACGTATCTAAATAAATTAATGATATTAAAATTTCATTCTTTATTATGATAATTTATGAATGAATAATTAAAAATAAAAGTTAGCTTTAAATTGTAACATAAATAACTATTTTAATTAAAATTTTTAAAATGATATTAAATTATAATTTATTTTACTATATATTTGATCTTTATATTATAAAATCATCTTTTTATGTCTATATTCAAACTCTTAAATATTAATTTTTTAATTGAAAGATATTCTTAATCAATATCTCATATCTTTTTAGTATAATGAGAATAATTCCAAAAAAGATTTTATATTTTTATTTCAGTAAATAATTCTTTTTATAAAAAAATACTTTTTCAAGCAGAATCAATAAAAATTTTAATTTATTAGAAATCCAAATTCATATTTGTAAAAAAATAATATTTTATGCAATTAGAATAACGAAGGACGCTGTTTAAATGTTAAAATTATAAAATTTATCTTTATTAGAAGATTATTTTAATTTTATTGGTTAGCATGGGTTTTCTAAAAATATTTGTTTATTTTAATTAAAGTGGGTAAAATTGTCTTTGGTTTACTAATGGTTGCAAGTTAATGAAAAAGATAAGCTTAAAAAATAGGTTTAACAATAGCTTATACAAAATTGAATTTAGTTGAAAGTCAAGTAAAATAAGCCATATAAAATTTGTTTATAGTGAAAAGCTGTAAATAGTTAGTGAGTGATTTTGAAAATATTTAATTAACTAAATCAATTTTACAAATTAAACCTATTAATTGAGAATATAAAAAAATCTAATTCAATTAATTAATTCAATCATTTATAAGAACATATATAATAGTTGTTTTAACGAAAACAACCTTTATCCTGTAAATCCTAAGCAGTTATAAAACATAGCTTATATCCTTTAAACTTTATTTAGCTTTTTATGAAAAAGAGTATCCCTCCATCATAAAACTAGCAAATAGAACAATCTAAAGCCAATTTAGGAATAGAAAACTAGTAACCTTCTCATACAATAACTAGCAATACAAATAAAAATTAAATTCATTTTGCTGCAAAATCTCAATTTAAAAGATCTTTTACACCACCACCTTTTTAGACACCTCTAGAAAACTAAAATTTAAAGGAACGAAATAAGGCACAGTAAGATAACTAAAGAAATTTTAATAATACTGCCAATAATAATAACAGCTCTTCTTTTATCCAGCAGACTATCATAATTAACTAACCAAATTTTAACATCAATTATATGCAAACTAAAAATAACTAGTATGTAAAAAATAATATTGACGCTAAGGGGAATTAAATTTAGATAAATACATAAAATATAAATGGTAATTAATACTATTAATATCTGAACTAAAGTAATACAAACACTAATCAATAGCAAACTTAAAATTTGTAGAGCTAATTAGTTAAATTAAATAACAATAATAACAATATGTCTTTTTTAAGATCTAAAACACCACTAACACCTTAATAAATCCAAATATATAACGAAATTCACTAACAGAAAAAATAATATTCTGATGGAAATAGCTTTCTTTTGCAATTTAATAATGAAGATAAAGTGCACTCCAAGCAAAATACTATCAATGATCATAAGAAAATATATCTAAATGGAACAAATTAAATTAATTCTAATTTTAATATTATCAATAACAGTAGTTTACATGAAAAATCTAGATCGCCAAAATAAAATGAGCTTGTTTTAGGCAACCAATAAACTAGTCTTACAACAGTGAATTAAAAAAACGATTATTCAAGAAGTGAATCCGCTTAAAAGTAGCGCATTATGATACCAAATCATATAAAACAAAATACTCAATAACCTATAAATGGAGTTATTTCGCAGCTTTACAAACATACTTCTAACGAATAAAAAAATGATTAAATGTTTAAAAGAATCGAAACAATAAAACAACAACCTCATGTAATTAATAATTTAGTTTCACCATCTAAAGTAAATAAATCTTAATTATATTACTTCATTTCAAAATCCTAAATTTAATCATATACTAAATATTCTAAGTTGAATCAGAAATATTTTAAATTTATTTTGAAAATGATTTAGATATTTTATCTTTAAAATTAGTTAATTAATTGAAGTATTTTCAAATAATACAATTTTTAATTAAAATTTAATTAGGAAAGAAGCTAATCAGTTAAATAAAGATGCCTAAATAGGCCTATTTCTCAGCAACAAAACTATGCTCCTTTTGGTAGATCATAAACCCCTAAACCTGAATTACCGACTATAACTGACTTTAAATTCTAAAAAAATCCTAAAATAGATACTTAACAATACATGAATTAAACTACTAACTTGATAAAGTAATCTAAGGGATAAAGATTTCATACTATTGGAGATTTCGATGATTAATTATATAATAAAAATAACAATTTAAATGCAGAAAAATAGACTTTAAAAGGAAACGGAAATACTGCAGCTGCAGCAATTTTAAGAAACCAAACCATAGATTTAGAAAATTCAGCTACTCAAAATTTATTAGCAAACCATCTTTCAAACATGTAAAATACAGTTGGAATTAAAAAACTGAGGCTTATTGATAATTTGATTGATAACCCAAAGAATAATAGCTAAAATTTACATCGGCTAAGTAGCTGCTATGATGTTAATTAAGCATAAGATACAATTTAAATAGGTTCTAAAGAACCTTAAAATGAAATCTAAAGACCAAATGTATATAATACTAGTTAAAACAAACATTTAATATTTAATAATAGCAATAATAAATACATCATTCAAATAAACTAAGAAAGATCTAAATCACCTTCAGATCTTTCTTAATAAAGTAATTATGTAACCTAAAATAAGTACTCACAGAATAAATCTATTTTAAGTAAATTATAAATTTATCATTTGAACTTTCAACTTGCAAAATAAAATATTTTACAATTAAATATATTTAGAAGAATGCTCTTCCACTTTAAAAAAGAGACCAATTTCTCCATAATCAATAAGCAATCAGATAAAAAAATCAGATTTTACTGCAAATCTTAAATAATTTTAGTAAACAATGTGCATACAGACCCCAAACACAACAAATCTACCAAATAATAGCAATACTAATAATAATAACAACAATAATGTATAATAACTCTTAAAAATATACGATGAAACAGGATTATTCAAACTACCAAACCCTCCGAAATCTAATTAAAAAAATACAAAATTTTAAAGGAGATATCATTCCAATTTAAGAGGACCTGATAATAGAATAAAAACTGAAATGAACGAGTCCTTAACGAATAGTATAAATATGTTGAACTTATGTAACGACCAAGAACACTAATAAGATCACTTTAACACAGAAAAAGAAGGAGTAAAAAAGGATATTGGAGATTAAACTTTAAAGGGATAAAAGAAAGAAAATGGCTTAGACAAGACTTTAGACAAAAGTTTTGAACTATACTTTTAGGAAGATAACAAAACTTAAAAATTTGTGAGAACAAACAAAGATATTTAAAGTAATTTAACATAGTAAATTAATTTTTAAACTAATTATTTTAATACTAAAAATAGATCTCCTTAAAAACGATTTCCGTAGGATAGGCTTAAAAGAAGAAAATATTAAAGCAAACAAAAACGAAAGCTACTTAAATACTAAAAATAACCAAACAAAAATTGATAAATAATCAAGAAAGCATAGTGCATCTCACTATATTTTTTCAACTTTATAAGAAAATTCTTAGAAGAATTAAATATTTTAAGACTTTTGCTATAATTTCGATATTTGAAATAAAAAAAGTATTAAAATGTAATTAAGACTATCAATTAAATATTAAAATCTCATAATCTTCAACCTCTTATTCTCTCAAACAAAGTTTTTATACAAAATTAATAAATTTATAACAAAACATTATTAATTGTAATATATTACCAATATAATATAACTTATTTTGTTTATTTGTTAAGCAATTAACTAACAAATTTTACTTTAAAAAATAAATCTTATCTTGACTTACTTTTTAACAAAAGTAAAATTGTTTGTAAATCAACACTTACTTATTCTTTAATATCGAAATAATGAATAAATTACTTTAAAAATAATATCAATCTTATTATAAAAATCATAAAAACAATTATAATAAATTATATAAAATAAATTAAGAAATTTATATATTTTTATAATTTGCTTATTAAAAAATAATAAAAATCTGTAAGAATTAAAAGTTATGAAAGTTATTTAAAAATATTTAATAAATAAATTTTTTATGAAATGAATATATTATGAAGTTAGATTATTTACTTAAAATAGCAGCACATTTTTATATAATTTTTAACAAGAAGATATATTTGAGGATTATAAATTTAATTATTTTGATTTATTAGAAAAAAAATTTGTACTTAGATAAATTATATTATTTGAATTTGAAATAATTATTTATTTTCTAAAAAATTAAATTATTATTTGCTGTTTTAAATATGTTTTACTTTAATATGTTTATTAATGTTAATTCTACTTATTATCATATTTTTAAAGCATGAATAGATGCGTTTGGTATTAATAAATAGAAAACCATTAAATCTAGATTATGATATAAATTAGATGCAGCTAACTGATATTATTTTAAGTTATTATTAAAAAAGGAGAAGCTTATTTTAGTTTAAATGCTATTTGAAGGCTATACTATAAATCAATTTAGAAAAAAAGATAAAGTCACTTATAAAATATAGAAGTAGACCTTTATTCAAATAAATTGTTAATATTTTTGAAGAATTAAAAAGGAAAACATTTATCAATTAAATAGAAATATTTAATTTTTATAAATATAGCTAAAAATATTTTAGTTGAAGTTTATATACTTACAGACTTGCCTATCCTTTCTTTGAATAATAAAAATGAATCCTATAAAGCTAAATATTAAACCTTAGCAGATTATTTCAGATTAAAATGTCGTAAGTCCTAATTTCAGAGTTAGCTAAGGGATTGTTTCGATATCAGAATCTACTCCAATTCTGAGAGTACCTACTTCTGTTTAGTAGATTAAAAAAAATATTATCTTTTAACAACCATAATAGCAAATGCAATTGTAAGATTTGTCACCACATTAGCTTTCAGGATCTAATCTGTAAATTTTTAATCAACATTAAGATTATTTGTAAACCTAAAATTTTTTTTTTTATTAGAATGCTCAAAAGATCAAACTCTAACTAACTAAAATAGCTAAGATATGAAGATAGGAGAACTCCTCAAAAGTCTAAGCAAAGGTAAATTTTCTATAAAATAAACATACAAAAAAAAAACAAATTCGGCAGACAGATTTTATACTATTCTAAATTCCTTTTTTAAATAAGGAGTTGAGATTTTTAAATAATCATTGGTGATATATAATTAATTACTTTTAATGTATGTAAATTGATTGATTGATTGATTGAAAGTGATTTTTAAACAATAATTTAAGAAATTTTAAAAGAAAAATTACTAAATTAGTACAAAAAATATTATTTTTATTATTTAAAATATTTAAGATAAAAAGAGAATGTATTTTACTTGTTAAATAAAGGTTGCCAGATATCAATAGCAGTAATAATAACAATAGTAATAGCGTTATAAATTAAAAAAAGACTAGCGGTTTTAGTAATTTACTGTAACAAAATAAAAGAGTAGAAACTTCTCCCATACAGTCTGCCAAGAACATTTACTCAAATCAATCTACTATCAGTTTATTAAATAATCCTTTGAATAATTCTTTAATTACATCTGAATTGTAAGAAATTTTCGTTAAAGAAAAAGATGAGAGATTTAGATATCTTATGAAGCACGGTTCCTTGAAAAAAATTGAAAATAACGGAGGTATCATATTTAGTGAGCTATAGCAGATTCCTGGAATATGGGTCTGCTACAGAAGACCATCAGTAAGAGAATAGCAAATAGAAAAACTAAACTTAGACAAATTAGAATTAAGCCACATTCCGTTATTAGAGGGAGAAGAAAAGCTAAAGATTCTAAGCTATTAGCATAATAAAATAGTAAAAGTTGAAAATTTAGTTAGTCTGCCAAACTTGCTCTATCTTGATTTGTATAATAACAATATCAAAGAGATAGAAAATTTGAACTCGTTAGTTTAATTAAAGGTTTTACTTTTGCCTAAGAATTAAATTCAAAAAATTAAAAATATCGAAATGCTCTAAAAGCTGGAAGTTTTAGATCTCCATTCTAACAAAATAGCTAAAATAGAAGGCGTTCATAAGTTAATAAACTTAAAAGTTTTAAATCTTGCTAATAATTTGATTTAAAAAGTTGAAAATTTAGAAAACAACATCACTCTAACTGAGCTCAACTTAAAAATAAATCTTATTGATAATCTTTTAAATTTTAGCTAATTTCCAAGACTTTCTAAGCTTTATTTATCAAATAATAAAATAAATGAATTCAACAAAATCAAAGACATTAAATTATTAACATAACTAAATGAACTCAATTTAGAAGGAAATCCAATATCCAAATAGAGACCTGAGTACTTATTAAATATATTAGAAATCCTACCAGAATCAACTTCAATTATTGACCATAAATCAGTCGCACAATTCAAAGAAGAATTAGATTCGCTATAAAATTAACTAAAAACTATCAAATAATAACCGAAGCTGTAAATCAATAATGAAAAGATTTCAAATAATGTAAGTCTATAGGATCAAATAAATTTATAATCTAATAACAACAGAGAATCTACTCCAGCTAAAAATATTTTTAAAAATGATAAAGACACTAAAGATGTTTAAAGTAAATTAATTTATTTAAATTTATCAAAATAAATTAATTATAAATTTGTAAAAAAATAGGTGCTAACAATATAAATGAAGATATGTAACCTTAAGAGGTAATTAATGTGATAAAATAGTAATGGATAGAAGAAGAAAAAAGAGTTAAAGAACTTGATGCCCAGTCTGCATAGCGTAAATCTTATCTAAAAAATAGTAAAATAGAAGGAGGTCATGCTGAAATAGAGGAAGATGGTACTTACTCTCTTTATGTATATGGAAACGCTTATGAAATAGTGCTATCAAATCCATTATTCTAAGAAAATATTGAAAGAATTCAGCTTTAATATATACTATTTGACAATTTAGTGGAGAATAATGTATTGAGTTAAATAAAGAACTTTAAAAAGTTAAAAGAAATTATTTTAAAGGATAATCACATAACATCTCTTTTGTAGCTAGCCAAACTAGAGATGCTTTAAAATTTAAAGTTTTTGACAATTGAGAATAGTGTTTTAAACAAATGCTCCTTTTTTAAAGAGTTTGTTGTATATAGATTTCCATTTATCTAAAAATTCAATGGCAAAGAAATCAGAGACGTAGATAAATTGAAAGCAAAGTAGATATTTAATAATTTTGATAAAATTTTGCAGTTGCCAGATAAATACTATAACATATCCTAAATAAGAGAGTATGCTAACGACTAGTAAACAAAGAAAGATAAGCAATATGTAAAGGTGTTTACTAAAACAGTTAGTAGTTAAGCAGAAGAATTTGTATCAAATATACTTAGCAGCCATGTTGTAGAAGAATATGAAGAATAATAATGCTTTGATTAAAATTTAGATCTTTATATTTTAGAACTGTTAGATGATATTGTAAATTGAGAATTTTAAATTTATTTTCGAATTAAATAGTTCTGAAATAAATTATTCTTTTTACAAAAATATTTTAGTTTAAAAGAAAATCTTCTAATCAATTTTAAAAACCACATTAAATAAAAAAACATTCAAATTAAAATTAATTTATAATAACTATTTTATCTTATCACCATTTATAGTAAGTAAGTAAATAAGTAAATAATAATATATATTAAATTATTATACAAATAAATATTAAATTATTCATTATTTTTTAGCAAGAAAGCTTTAAAAAAAATATTATAAAAAAAATATATTAAAATAACTAATTCATCTAACCAATTTATAGCAAGTCAATGATAAAAATATAATAAAAGCAATTATTTAATAAACAAATAAAAACAGTTTTTAAATAAAAAAAATAACTTATAAAAGATATAGTAAGTAAGTAGTAAATATTAAAGAATTAACTAACAAATATTTGATTTTTCAAAATTTAATCAAAAAAAAGAATATTTAAAAAAAATAATCTTTTAATAAACTTTAAATATTTTATAATAGATATTTTATCTTAAGAATTTATATTTAATTAAAAATATTATTAAAGCAGAATGCAAATAAATCTAGATAGATTATTGATGGTTTATAAGTAAGAATATTAAATAAAAGAACTCATTAAAATAAATGTTCAAAAATTAAATATTTAAAAAAAACTATTTTATCTATTTATTGTTAACAATTAGTATTTAATAATTCAGGCTACCAATTTAATATTTATCACTTGCTATTAAATTTTATATCTAAATTACATTATATTTTGTTGATAAATAGCTATTAATAATTTCAAAGTAAATAAAAAATAAATTTTATAAAAATATTTAGACAACTCTATTGTTAGTTTTATGTCTAAAAGAAATTTTTTTATTTTAGAATAAATTCCATGAACTAAAGACTGTAATAATTAGAATTATTTCATAAAATTTTGATAAAAATAAATTAATTTTTATTATAAAATAAAATAATTATTGCAAAAATCTGGTTTTGATGCTAAATAAATCATTTTTATAACCTCATCTGAATCTGATTGACTGAATAAAAGTAGTTTAATATACCTGATATTTTATTTTAAATATGCTAAAAATTTGAATTACATATCTTATTAATATTTGAAAATTGAAATAACAAAACAAATGATTAACATTTATTTAGAAAAACAAAGTTGTTAGATTTTTTTATATATTTTTGTTAATATTTTTATTCATATATTAATTATTTATATGTAATTAATAATACAATAGAAATTTAGAGACCTTGTATTATAAAGATGCCAATAATTAAAAATTAAAATATAAGTTAGGTTTGCTAATAGAGAAGAAAATATCAGTTTTAAAATAAATAATAACTTAAATGAAAGCTTTTTTGAGTAATTGGTTACAGTATTTGTTTTGAGAATATGAAAAACATATATTACGTGACTGCTAAAATTATACTCTCTGTAAACATATGTAAGCAAATTAAATGCCTATAAATTTAATGATTGATATCTGCATAAAAATATAATTGTTATTTGGTGGGAACTGGAAGGTATTATTTAGTATTTTAGGATTTTTTAAAGAAATTATATATTGATTAAAAATAGAAAATTTGATAGATATATCAATCAATCAAAGTTATTAGATAAAAGGCAAAAATAGTAGATTAAATATTTAAGCAATAATATTATAAGTCTGCTTGTATTTGAAGCATAATTCCCAAATAGTGATAGAGATTAACATTATTAGCTTATTTAGTATTAAGTTAAAGTATGGTTCGGCCAAAAGATTCAATAGCGCTTAGCAAAAGAAAGAGTTAAAAGGCAATTGTTGATTTTAAATAAATCAGGAGTACTAGAAAGCTAGTGATTGGTTTAATACTCGTTTGCATATTTCTTTCTTTTGCTTTTACTGGCTACTAATTGTATGATTTAATTATCAATAGCGAAGTAGATGTTATAAAAATAATGAATACGTGCATTGTAATCTTAAAATTAACTTTGATCGTTTTTTAATTTGAGTATTCAAAATAGAATAAATTGATTGATTGACATTAGCAATTAATTAACTAGTCTAATCTTTAAAGAAAAACTCAAATAAGCTATCTTATAAAATTAACTGAATATTTTTAAATAAAATAAACTAGGTCTTTCTTTATATAATATTTCTCATCTTTGAAACGAATATAATTTATTTTCATCTCACAAAGCATGTAAAAATATCAATAATCATGTAATTTTTTTGCTAGTTTTTATATCCTTTATTAATAAATAAATAAATAAGTTAAGCTGATTTAAAGTATTTGTAATTATGATAAAAAGGGATATAGCATTCAATTTAAGCTTCTTGACCCTCACTATTTTGTAATCAGTTGAGTACGATTAAAATGTTATTGATGTCAGATTCATCCTTCCACTCATTATAATTATAGTCTTAGTTCTCATTTTTATTTTCAAAGGCTTTATATTTTATTAAGGAATGTATGTCTTGCTAAAGAGGGTAAAAAATAATATCTCAACAGGTAATTAATACTTTTTTCTTTCTTAGTTTATTTATTCTTACTTTGTTTGTTTATTTGTTTGATCGAGTATCTATCTATCTATCTATCTAGATATATGTTTTTTATAAATTAATTAAAAGTTTGATAATCTAATTTTCTTTTATTATCAATAAATGGTTAAAAATTGTTTAAATTAAAAAGCTCTGATATCTCAGAAATCTTTCAATGAAAAACTACTATAATCTTTAATACCTGATGATACCCCAAATAGAGATGAATAAATATAACATTCTCTTGACGAGCTGGAGTACATATCAAGACAAGCATCAGACATCACTCCAGTAAATTCATAAATAAAATATAAGCAAAACAACAACATAAATTTTTGAACTTAAATTAAGTGATTTAAATGAAAAAGTATATAAGTTAGTAAGAAATGGTATTTTAAAAAAGAAATTTAAGAAAAAAAAACAAAAAATAACATAATAAATAAACATGTTTATAATATAATTACCTATTAAATAAAACAGAAGTAAAATGTTAATATATATATATTTATTTAATAGTTTAGATTATTAAATTTTCATTTATTTTTTTAATCAAGCTGTTTTATTAAAATATTTAATAAAATGAAGTCAGTATGCTATTTTTATTCACATATCCTAATTTTTCTTTGAAACATTTATTTGATTATCATTACATACAGCTACAAAAATTTTTAACTGTGTTACTAAGAATTTATCAAATGCTTTATTCAGTCAAATTTATAAAATATCTCCTTAAGTTTTGAATTACTATCATTACTTAATTCTTCATTAAACATGATAAATTCCACAAATTCTTTCTTTTTTATTGCTTTTTTTTCTTTTTTTTTTATATTAATATATATAGCTTCATTAATTTTCTATTCTATCACAGTATTTAATATTATTGATTACAAAATCTAAATTTATCATAGGTTTTTTTATAAATAATTTTATTTTATTTTTGAATATAATTTAATTTTATATAAATTGAATTAATTATTTCTAATTTGATATATAAAATTACCAAATGGTTATTTATTTATTTATTGATTTTAAATAATGACCTAAATCAATCGAAGTTTTTACTGAAAATGTATCAGTAGACCAATAAAAATTAAATGAAAAAGTAACAAAGCTATTTTTGAGATTGATTACCAGTATTATATATATATTATAATATTTGCAAGGGCTAAACACCTAAATTAAAAAGCAACTTATTGAAATCAAAAATCGATCAATTATTCTTAATAAAAGTAAAATTTTTGTATTAATTTTTTAAGTATCAAAGAATTCTACAATAAAAATTGGAATGAGAACTTAAGTTGTAAATCTTTGGAACTTCAATAATGTTTAAACTGCAGATAAAGAAGCTTAAATTAAATATGTAAATTATCTGATTTGTAGTGTTGGGATCTGATTTTATCTGTCAAAATTTTATAAATGTAAATTAGGCATATTCAAAGCATTAATAATAGCTAAAATAACTTAATTCTTCAAAAAAAACTACATTTGACACAGAAGCCCCATATTAAAAGAAAAAGCGTAATGTAGCATATTCTAAACCTAATAAAGGTAATGTAAATAGCTTAAGAAACTAGCATATGAATGTAAATTATTAACTAAAATATAGAGAGATAGTTTATAATTGAATAAGAAAATGGTGCATTAATTCATAAGATGATTGATGTGAAAAAAAAGGATGGAGAATACAGTAAAAAACTCTTAATAAAATCAATTTAAAGCTCTACAGCTCCTAAAAGCTTATTTCTACCTTTAAAATAGGCTACTGAAAAAAAAGTTAATTCTGAAAATATAGTATGAAATATTTTTTTAGTTAATAATTTATTTAACAATCTTGACTTTACTTAATAATATAGGCTATGACCATGCGTCTTAGAAATGCTAATTCAACTATTAATTTCAAAACATTTGATAAAGATTTTGCATAAAATATAAAATATAAATCTAATATCACTAATAGATCAAGTAAACAATAATTAATTATAAATTTATTTATTTTACTTAAAACATTTGCAAAATTTAAATTATTATAATTATAGGGAGAATATATAATTGTTTTTTATTGAATGGAAGTTAAACATCTATGCTAGGAAAGAGTAGTCTTTCTTCTTCATTGTATTAATAGACAGGTAAAGTTTTTTTATATGAACAATCAAACTTTAATTTGATTTAATAAAGGAAATATAAGACATGTTTCATAGGATGATAAAAGCAAATTCATAAATGCATACAATTTAGTAGATAGTCCTCCTAAATAAAACAAAAAAAGTAAAAAGTAGGAATAAAATGAACCGAATTAGCATGCTGAATAATAGCCTATTTAAGATAAAAAATAAGAAAACTAATCTTAGGAAGACCAAATAGAAGAACAAATTGTTTAAAATTAATAACCTTCAAATGATTAAAATACTAATTAATAAGATTAACAAAAATAAAATGAAGGGGGTTAAAATAATAATTAAACTAGTGAATAGTAATAAAAATGATTATTTTTATAATAATTATGAACTAAACAAAAATTATTCTTTATTAATTTATAAAATATTTGTTTATATTTATAAATAAAATAATAAAAATATTTTAGTGTATCTAATTAAATACTTTCATTCCATTTAAACTAGTTAAAATTTATAAAATTAATTAAATAAGAGTTTATTTATACTCTAAAGACAACATTGAATTTAGTATAAAAAATTCTTCAAATATGTTTATTTGTTATTCTCTAAAAATCATTTTTTATTTATCTAACTAAATACGTTTTAATAAATCTCAATAATATTAATGAAAAATATAAATTAACATTCTTTTAACTAATTAATTGTAAATTTTAATATGATTTAGATTTTAAATTATAAAAACTATTAAATAAATTTATTTGTAAAGTATTGTGTATATATGATTTAGGGTAGAAATACCATAATATTAGTTTATATGATTTAAAATATATTATATAAATTATATTTATGAGTCTTATTTATTTTTAGAAATATGAAATATAATTATTTTTAATTATCAATTCAACCAAAAATATTTATTCTTTTTTGATATAATTGCTTTTTAAAAATTTTATTTTAGTATTAATACAAATGTTAATTGAAATGTGCTAATATATTAGGAAATTAGATGTTTAATTTATTTAAAAATAGAAAAAATAAATAGCATTATTTTTTCATTTAATTATTTAATAGAGTTTTTGAAAATTTAGCCACTTAAATATATTTTTTATTAACATATTTATCAATCAAATCTTTTATTTATTAAGCTAATTTAAAATGGCATAATTATATTTAATTTTTAAATGCAACAATGCTTATTCTTTTTACAAGAATTATTTTTGAAAGTATTTAATTGCTTTATCTATATTCATATTTTAGATTAAAATATTTAAAAAAAATCTTTTAAAAATATTATTTTTCATTAATTTAATTTGAAAGAATTTTTGTTAATTTTGCCACTTAAATAAATTTTTAATATTTGTTACTCTAACTTTTAATAGAAATAGTTAAAATGTTATATTATTTAATTTTTAAAACAATTAAAATATTTTCTCTTTTAACTTTATAAAATATGTTAAAATTTTTTAATTTTTAATAAAAACTAAATTTATTTTGAACTTTATAAAAATTTCAATAATACAACAAAATCTAATTAAAGAAGATCTATTTACATATTTATCTTTTTACTGTATCTATCTATTGTTAATTTTAAATTTTTAAATTTGGAGGTAAAACTTCTGATCTTCAAATTTAAACAATAATTTTTAATAGATGGGTTTTAAAAAAAGTGCAGATTTTTATGATAATAAATAAGCAAGTAAGTGAATTGAATTATATAGCAACCTTAATAATTAATATAAAGTAAACGGTCTATTAAATAAATATTTGTATTTAAACATACTATGGGGAAAAGTTTATGCTTATTAATAACGAAAAAAGGCGAAGGAAAATTGGTTATTTTAAAATGAATGGATTGAGGTATGATTTTGGTTTGTTTATTTGAATGATTTTATGTTTAAGACGAAATGATTGAAAAGATTTAGTTGGAAAGAAGAAAATATTGAATTTTGAATAGTGAAACACTTTAAACTCGATGTACAATAGTTAATGAATGTAATTATACACAGACACTAAAAAATTTATATATAAATTAAATTGTTTTTTATATGAGTATATTTGTATTTGAGTATTTTGGATTATTATTTGTTAGTTTAAGTTTTTCAACCACCGAAACCATAGAGGGTTCTGCCTTGTCTCTTAAGAGCGTAGACGACGTCCATAGCAGTGACGGTCTTTCTTCTGGCGTGTTCAGTGTAAGTAACAGCATCTCTAACAACGTTTTCTAAGAAAGACTTCAAGACTTGTCTGGAGTCATCATAAATGAAAGAGGAAATTCTCTTAACACCACCTCTTCTAGCTAATCTTCTGATAGCGGGCTTAGTAATACCTTCAATGGAAGCCTTATTGGACTTTCTGGAGTGTCTCTTGGCTCCGACCTTACCCATACCTTTACCACCTTTTCCACCGGCCATTTTTGCTGGATTATTATTTTTTTATTGTTATTTTTAATTAGATTATTTATTTTTGTTTTAATGATTATCGTCTTTGGGGAAAGATCTCTTTTTTTTTAATATTATTTAATTATCCAAATTGCTCGGAGATCTCAAATTTGATTGGATAAAATCTCAAAAATCTGATTTCCTTTCAAATCATCCAATCAAAATTGTTCATATCTTCTCTTTCCAGGATTATGCCAAACATTTCAAATGATCTTGCCCTAATTGTTGTCGATAAAGAATTTTATTAAAAAAAAATAATAACCTTCAAAAGAAAAGTCAAAAAGACAATCCACTATAAATACATAAGCAAAAATGGCTAGAACTAAATAAACTGCTAGAAAGTCCACTGGTGCTAAGGCCCCCAGAAAATAACTCGCTTCCAAGGCCGCCAGAAAGTCTGCCCCCGCCACTGGTGGTATCAAGAAGCCCCACAGATTCAGACCTGGTACCGTCGCTCTCAGAGAAATCAGAAAGTACCAAAAGTCCACTGATTTGTTGATCAGAAAGCTCCCCTTCTAAAGATTGGTCAGAGATATTGCTCACGAATTCAAGGCTGAACTCAGATTCTAATCTTCTGCCGTTCTTGCTCTCCAAGAAGCTGCTGAAGCTTACCTCGTCGGTCTCTTCGAAGATACCAACTTGTGCGCTATCCACGCTAGAAGAGTTACTATTATGACCAAGGATATGCAACTCGCTAGAAGAATTAGAGGTGAAAGATTCTGAGCATAATATAACAACTAGTCTCTAAATAATCAACATACCACATATATAATCATTACTTAATTTATCAAAATATCATATGTATATTATAACTTTCGTGTGAGTACATAAAACCTTTTTTAGAGTTTTCGAGTTTTCAAAAAAGATAATCCAAAATAACTTCCTCCATATATATAAATATGCATATATATAAAAATAATTATTAAATTCCACAATATAAAATTTATTTGTTTTTTTATTCAATATCATTCATTTGTATTTATTACTAAAAAGGTTTCTATCTTTAGCTAACTTATCCATGCAAAATTTATGAAATTTAATTCAAATTATGCGAAAAAGCAAACAAACAAACAAACATATTTTGCAATTTAATAAGTTTTAATAAAATTACTTATTTTATAAATACAAATAGTGAGCATCACCATACTTTTATTATTATATTTTATTTTATTTCCAATAAATAATGAATGAATGAATCTTGCAAATCCCTCCAAATCAAAATCAAAATTAATATTTATTTATATTTTTATTTAAAATTTACAACAATGTATCTTTATATTTTCTAAAATTTAAACTTTCAAATCCTAATTTAATATGTATTAAAAATTTTTATTGCTTACAACTAAATTTATTTAAATTAATATAAACAAGTTAATATTAAACTTTAGTTTTAATGATCATTTCATCTTATTTTTAGAAGATTAATTTCAAAACTTCTCCTCATTTAAATAATTGTAAAGTGGTTTTTTTCAGTAAAAACTATGTCAAAAGCTTGAGATTTTTAGAAATATATTTATAAATTGACATCAAAAAATAGTTTTGAAGAAAAAATTGTTTATCATCTGTTTAAAATATTTGTTGATTATAAAATAAGACTTAAATTTAAAATATCATTACCATATTATCTAAAAATAAAAATGAAATTGTATTGACTATTTATGAATTAATAAGTAAAAAATAGATAAAATAGATATTAACTCTATAATTTCTTAACTTTTCTTTACAACTTTGTAAAATTTTATGAAAATTGATTTGGTAAAACACGAAATTTTAAATACGCTCATATTTTTATTACTAATATCTTTATCATTGTTTTAAACTTGTAATATTTTTCAAAACTCTTTAAAAAAGAATAAATCTTTAAAAGCTATCAACAAAATATTTTTGAAATTATTTTAGAACTTCTAATTTAATATAAATTTTAAAAATAAAAAAATTTTGCATTATCTACAAAAAATTTATTTTAATAATTTTTCATGTTAAAAATATTTAGTTTTATGATTAATAAATATAAATAAGTTTAAGATAAAAATGTACTTTTAAAAAATTATTTTTTACTTCAAAAGTATTGAAAATTATTTTAAATTATTTAAATAGTTAAGCAATTTTTAATTGTTATTTAATCGATAAATAAGTAACAATTTTTAATTTTAATTTTTATATGATAACTACAATTTATTTTCAAGAAATAAAAATCATGTTTTTTATAAAAAAGATTGTTAATCAATTTTATCAATATTTCATTTTAAACTTTAAACTTTAGAATATTTTTTTTAAAAAAAAATATTAAATAACATAAAATTTATTTTACTTAAACTTTTAATTATTTTTTAGTTGCAAAATGTAACATTAATAATTCAATAATCGTTTCAATTTTTTTCATTTTTATATCTTTTATGGCTATTGGTCATGAATTACTTATTAGTATATTGATATAGACAATACATTATCAAAAACATATTTGTGGATATTTCATTTACATGAGAGTAATCTGATATAGATTTTATAATATTTAAATATATTTCACCAAATTGCACTTTTTATTATATAACTTATCTTTTTTGATATTTTTCATTTTACTTTTGGATATTTAAAATGATTTTTTCAAAAAAAAAATGTAAAAAGATAATTTTATTAACAAAATATTTGACTTCTCATTGCGAATTTTTATCTAATAAAAAGTCATTTGTTTATGGGCAATTAATTTTCTCAAAATTTCATTTTGTCTAGTCTTTTTTGGTTATATATTTGAAAGGATATTAATAAATTCGAAATATGGTTCATAATATAGACAAATAATGTAAAGAATTTAATAAAATTTCTCAAAATTAGATTATATTAACTTTGATAAGAATCTAAATTCTAAAAGATATTAAATTTTTACTCTAAAAATTAAACTATTTTTACTTTAAACAACTAAAATGTTTTAAAAGTTGTTCTAATATTTTCTTATTATTGATTAATTCCTTATTTTCATACGAAAATAAGCTAGATATATATTTACTCAAAGCTATTCAGCATTTGTAAGAAATGAGCAGAATTTTTATTTTTTATCTATCAAAAATTAGATTTTTAATTTAGAGAGATGAGAGAGAAAAATATGACCAAAAGCAATAATTAAAGTAGACAAAATATCAAAAAGAACTATTTTTCAATGTATTTTAGTGAGATCAAATAAAAAACCCTTTCGAAAATGAATATTTTCTATTTTTTGTAAACAAATAATTCACTAAAAATCTAAATCAAATAATATTTATAGACTGACTGCTTTAAGATATTCATTTTTTTAAGTTAGTGTAAAATTAAATTGAATAACCATCATCCTCACCCTTAATTGAGGAAATCATAAATTATGTTTAAATAACCACGAAAAAAATAGAATTCCTACTTGATTCACAAAAGAAGCGATATTATCTATTTTGCCTCTAAATTATAAAACTTAAATAAAAACAAAATTAACCTATTTGAAAAAAAAAATCAACTCTGTGAGAATAGAAATTAAATTATCAATTTGATAATTTCCATTTAATTTTGAATATAAAAGATTACATTCAGTTTGTGTATTAATAATTAGAGTTTAAAAGAATTTTATCCGAAAATAAGCAAAACTTTTCAAAAAACTTTATAAATTCAATAAGAAAAAATCAATTTCGAAAATACAACATGCTATATGATTAAATCTAATAACATTTATACAGAATTAATAAATATGTGCGCATTTTTCTATGTTTGAGGTTAATTACTTTTAATATTATTTAATTTTTGATAATCATTAAAATTTTTAATAACTTTTCTAATCAAGTCTTTTTAAAAAATGGGACTTAACTATTCTTTCCTTATTATAAATGTGAGGGAAATCATTAAATATATGTAAACCTATTTATTATTTTCCCTTGTTTTGTGTGGTAATAAGTGTAATAAAACAGTATGAAAAGGAGGAAATGTGTAAGAGTTATATAGGATTACAGAATAAAAAAGAATTTCTGATGGAAACACCAAAAAATACGGGTAGGGACTTAAGGGAATTAAAATCAAAATTATATATTACCTTTAAACATTATATTGCAATTCGAAATTAATGACTGATCCTGACTGATGAATTCAGATTTATAGCATCTATAACTATTCTCTCTAAATAAATATTCTTAAGCATAATTTATAGCACTTTTCATCATATTATGAAAACAAAACTCAAAGTAAGGAACTCAACTTTCTTTTAAATAAAATGCATATAAAAATTATATATTTTTGCACTATTTTGTTATTTATTACTAAATTTTATTATTTATTCCTCTCTGTTTAATCCATTTACGAAATTCTAAGCATTTCAAAGATAAATTTTTCTTAAATAATTATGGAAAATTATGAAAAAAATGTCAAAACCCATATTTTGTAAATGCTTTTTATCATCATTTGCATTTACTATGATTTTTGCAATATAAAACCACATTTATGTTGAAAAATACTTGGCTTATTATCATCATAATTATCCAATTTTTATGAGTTTTAAAATAATCAAAAAAGAAAAAGGTTTTTAATTTATATTATTGTTCTAAATGGGGTTCTCATTAAATTATTTTATTAAAATATATATAATCTTGAGATCATTTTAGTTGTATATAATCACAGTGATAATCAATTAGCCATTAACATCATCAAATTTAAGCTGTAATGACATATAAGATTTTTTTTTCTTTTACCAAAAATAATGAGATCAAATTATACATGTATAAACTAGTTTGTCATAGTTTTTACAAGTTTCAAACCAAAATGATTTTTAACTTAAAAATAATCATAATTTTGATAATATTTAAAGCTATTGATTATAGGAAAATATTTTAAAGTTCTGATTCCACCAAATTTAAATGTTAAAGTTTAAAATAAAAATTTTCATAATAAAGTTTAATCATAAATTTAAGCTCAATATTTTTGAATATTATTAAAGCATTTAAAAAATCTGTTAAGAATTTTAATGAATAAAACCTAATTATTAAATTAGCTAAAAGCATTTTGAGTGCTTTTTCCCATTAAATCCAAATATTCATATTGAAGAAAATTTAAAAGCCCTCAAAGGAATTTTTATTAGATTGAAAAGGAGAAGAAGAATATATAATTTTTACAAAATATGGGATTATGATAGTTATATAGTAAAAGATACTTTGAGATCAAATAATCGGTAGTTAGGTAGGTAATGCATGATATGTAAATTGAACGAAATAAATACTTTTCGTTTTGATAAAATATTGACTACATTCGAATAGACAAAATTTTCCATTTTTTAATGAATGTTTTTGCATAGAGATAGATAGATATTTTAATGAAAATTATCTATAACATTGGTATAAAAGAAAAATTGTTAATTATAATTAAAAATGAAACCAACAATTTAAATATCAACTTCAAATTCTATTAAAACTCTAACACTGTTATTTACAATCTTTTTTGCCATTATCCCTTTTCTAAAATGTTTTATTTAAAAATTTTTGTATTTACTTTATAGAAAAGAAAAAAATTTATTCTTCCTCAGATTTCTATCCGAAAAATTAAAAAATCTAATGACTCTATCTATCTATCTATATATCTGTGAGCGCTTTAAGAATCCAATTATTAATTATTTGAATTTCTTAAATTGATAGAGATATTTTTAACTTAATTGAAATATAGCTAAAATTCATAAATAATTTAGATAGACAATTTAATTTTACAAATTTTTATTCAGCGCTCATGAAAATGTGTAGATTTGGTTTTTATTACATTTTTTATTGAAAACTATTTTTATTTTTTTATTTTTGTCTTTTAAGAATTAAAATTTGTTTTAGTAAATTATTGATAGATTAAATGTAGAGAAATATAGATATTTATGGTATTCTTCCAACAAATTTGCTTCTTTTTAAAGCACAATTTTTTTAAAGAGCTTTAATTACCTAGCAAAGAGGGTATTTATAATTAAATGCTTACAACAAAATATTTCTGTTCTAAAAATAATTTTAAAATTCGAAATGGTAATCCATCATTAAATAGCACAATTATAAGCTCTTACATTGCACACATGTGTTTTTTTTAAATATGTGAAGATATTTTTTTCATTTAAATAGCATAATAATGTGTTTATTAAAGAAATTTTTATTTATTTATTTATTTGTTTGAATATAAGAATAAAAAGGAAAAATTTTAAAAAATATTTTGCAATCAAAGTTGGTAATTGAGTATAAATTTCATAAAATAATATCATATTATAAATGCTAGACAAGAGTGTATTTGAAAGTATTGGTATAGATCGTTAAGAGCTAACAATTACACAAAAACTACTCTATATTTAATAGATGATGTGAGAATAAATAAATGTGCAAAAAGGGGAAAGATAGAGAGATGGATAATCAATATCCATCAAAAAGCAAATAGAGAAATATGAACAATTAGTTTAGCAATAGAAGCTATACATGTAGTAAGAATGATAAGGAAATATTTTATTTTTGTTTTAAACCAGTATGAATAGCTAAACTGCATTTCATACTTAGTTATATTCATTCATTCAATCATTTATTTGATGTTTTCTGAGTCAAGTATTTTTGAGTTTTATTTTTTTTAAATTTCATCTATGCATTTAAATAAATATTTATAAGAAGCTTTTGAGAGATCAAATAATTAGATAGACTATGAAATTTGCAAAATATACTTCAAGAAAATGTATAAATAGTATGCATGTGTTTTTGCAAGTTCATAAATTTAAAGCTAAAAATGGATGAGTTATTTCAAAGTGATTTTGAAAATGTTAAGATTTTTACATTAATTATTTTATATATAAAATAAATTTTACGAATAAATTAAGTAAAGTTAGTTAGTTATTTATTTAGTTAGTTAGTCAGTTAGTTGTTTGTTTGTTTGTTAGTAAGTTTTTATTTTTGATCATTTTTGTTTATTCAATTTTTCGAATCAGTGAGCTTCTTTACAAATGTTAATTATTGCTCATAAATGTTATTAAAGTAGTTTTTATTTGTATTTTTGAAGTATAATTTTTATAAGTTTTCTTCAATTTTATATTTTTTTATTACTATAGTAAATTATTTATTTTTTGTTTTCCTTTTTATTTTTAAATTATTAATTCAGTCGGTTTTCACTTTCTAGTAAATTTTTCTCATATTAGATTTTATTTTACTCACTTTGTTTGCTTTAATCCTTTGAAATTAGCAGGGTCAGAAACTCCTCTAATCCAATTCTCCTTAAAAAGCAAGTATTCACTCTTTTCAATTAATTTAGGGGAACTGTTCACATATTTTTCAAAGTGATTTTCAAAGAAATCAACGGCAGTTGGAATAAATTTAGAATTTTCAATTAAAAATGAACGAAGCTAATTGAGCCAATCAATCTTCTCTACCTTGGCACCATAGCTTCTTAAGTACTTGCATACAGCATTGCATACAGGTCTAATCATACTTTTAGTAATACGAGCAAATTTCTTCTACTTTCCATCACTTCCCTTGTAATACAAAGTCTTTTTTCCTCTTTTACGATCTTCCTTTTATTCTACTATTCTCTCAGTTTCTAATTTTATAGCTAGAGGAGACTAAGCTTCTTTGCTTTTTTCCTTCTTTTTGCAGATTCTCTTCTTCTTGTCCACTTTCTTACAGCTCTTAGATTCTTCATCATCATTTACAGTGCTATCGATATTACTTGCACTTACAATATTGTTTTGCTAATTTTAATTGAAATAAGTATGGCTTCTTGTGCTGCAATCACGATTGCTGACTTAATCGATTCCCTTGAAGTTGAAATTTTCATTTTATTCATCTTAATAAGGGAATCCATTGAGATTATAGTATTATTCTTGCTTGGGATTAAAATTACCAGTAGACTAAGTTTCCTCTTCTTTCTTGGTATTTATTTATAAATTGATTTCTTCTGCTATGTTTTGGAATTAATCTTATTAAGGGTAATTTGAGATAATTTAATTCTATTTAATAAGACTAAAGATTTAGTTTTAACTTTATGAAGCAATACCATTTTAGGAAGATTATGATTATTAGAAACCAGCTAAGTTGAAGCTGTTATCGAATTGATAGCTCTTGCCAGACTCTGCAAATCTGGTTTATTAGATTCTTTAAGATCTTTCGAATGATATATCTTAGAGGAAATGAGCAGGAATTTCATTTTGAATTCCATCAACAATAGAATCAGCTTTCATAAGTTGAGGGATATCAGCAAACATATTTTGGTTAACATTGTTCATGTTTTGGCAGAGTCCTAATTAATTTTATTATTATTGTTATTGGCCAGCACAGTCTTAAGGATATATATTATTATTAATTCCTTGGGTGAAAGGATTTACGCTGGGACTGCAATCAAAAAAGAAAGAGAGACATTTATCTCCTTGATTATTATTTTTAGAATTGTTTGATTAATTATTTCCAAATTAATTCTTTGAGGAATGACGATTAAATAAATTATTATTGAAGCTATTATTAGGTTTATCATTGAAAAAATCAAAATTTTAGGTATTTTAAAATAATTATTCTTATTAATCGCAGAAACAGTACTCCTTCTTTATAATATATGCATAATCGTTGCGAGGTGAAGAAGGCTCCTAGTCAAAAGAGTTCATAAAAAAGTTAGGATCGTTATTATTACCGCATTCTCCAAAGACATTCAAAGTGTTAATTTTGATATTATTAGGTAATTACGAAGAATTGAAAGAGTTTGAGTAAAGAATACCATTTTGAGGGAGACTTGAGGTAGTATTGAAGTAGTTTTGAGTTTAGATATTGTTAGCATTTTATTAAAGATTATAATTAAAGTTGCATTCTTCCATCACCAAGCCACTTAAAGCAGCAGGAGTGTTGACTAAAGTTTGTTAGATTTTGTCAGACATTGATAGTAGTTTTTCTAAGGTTATAAAAAATATTAAAGTTGTTTGGTTGAGTAGGTGGATGAGTGATTGAGATGTTTAGGTGCTGTTTAGGCAATGTGATTTTGACTTTGAGTCTATTAAAAATGATAATTAGTCAATTATTGGTTTTTTTTAATTTATTGATTTTTATTTTTATTTTTTGTTTATGAAAAGTCAATTTAGTGAGGTCTTTAAATTAATTTAGTTTTTGGGTATATTTCTCTCAGTTATTTAGTTATTTAAGATAATCGCTCAAAACTTCAAGATAGAGTTGATTAATTTAAGACCCAAGATAGGTTTTTCTAATTCTTTTAAATTTTGACAAATATATCAATCTAACCCGTTCAATTATAAATTTAGTATATTCTAAAAGTAATTTTCTTTAGAAAAGCTGACTAATTGGAAAAGATTACTTTATTATTTATTCATTGATTATAATTTTGACTATTAGTTGCATTTGCATTCATAGGAACAATAATTTTTAAAATCAAACAAGAAGAAAGAATACTTTATATAAATATTTTAGTAACTTATGCTATCTTGATAATTTTAGTTTTCTATTCCATATTCATACACAGTAATTTTAATTAAACCAATCGATTTCTAATTACCATTTATCTATACTAATAATTTAGCAGATTCGATATGTGCCCGCCTAATAATTAAAGTGTCGGAAAGATCTAGCATTTTGTCAATTTCTAATAAGAAGTTACAAGACAAAAATAAAATTATATCAAAAAATTTATATTTTAATATTTAATAAGATTATTTTCCAAATGTAAACTTCGAAATTAGTTAAACAATTTTGTAGATTCTTTCAATAAATTAAGAATCATTTAACAAATCCGTTAATAAATTTTTATTTACAAACAAATATTAACAATGAAAGCTACGAATTCATATAAGAATTAGTTCGACTTTTTTTAGAATTGATTCATTCGTTGTGTTGGTGTTTTACACCAAATTTTTAATAATAATATAAAAAATTAACTTTCATTATTATAATCCTAATTTACGTTTTAATTTTGAATTATAGTTTTTACTTCTTTTTATAATAGTGGAGAAAAGAATCTATTGATTGTAAAACTTCGTTTATATACTTTTATTATTTGTTTATTTTATTGATTGATTGATTAATGGATAGATAGATAGATTGATTGATTCTCTTTTTGCAAAATTTAGATTATACCTTTAAGAAAAATTAGTATTCGAAATTAATAGCCAAAAAGCTTTATTTATGATATAATTTACTTTTTAATTTCTGTTCGAACAGAAATACTTCTGTCAAAACATATCAGAAAAGAAAATTAATAAAGATACTACTATTTCCTAAAAAAAACAAGTAAATAATTATTTAGTTTTTTTTTCTTTTATTTTTGGGGATAAAGGTAACTTTTTAAAGGTTAAAGTAAAAAAATATAAGTATGTTCTTTTTAAATTTTATTATTAAAAATAATAAAAGCATAATTGCGCTCGATTTTGAATGAAATTAATTTCAGGATCACACCTAGATTGATTTAGCCAAAAATAATTTAGTTGAAAATTCGATAATTAAATATTTTTCAATCATTTTTTTTTATTTCTATTTCAATTGTTTGATTTGATTTAATATCAATGAGCATATTACTTATAATTGTAAATAGGAATAATATAGACAGATTTTAATTAATTAATTTAGTTCACTAAATTTTATTAAGATAGATAGATAAGTATATCAATAAGCTTTATTATTAAATGTAAAAAATATTAAGTAAGATCGCATCTGATAAATTCAATACTATCTCTTGTTAATCCTTTTGAACATTATCCATAAAATTGTAAGTCGTATAAAGATTAAGGTCAGATGTAAATCGCATTCATTTAAAATTATAATTGAAAGATTACATTTATTAGATAAATAAAAGTTGAAATGTATCTATTTTTATGATTATTTTAATTTACTGGTAATAACTCTAGTATAAAGATTTTATCTGAGCTCAAATAAATTCAATATTTCTTCTCAAAATTAATTAATTAATTAACAAAATCTTTGCGAATCAATTTTTACATCTTATCGCCATATCAATTTTATTAACTATTCTTATTTAATCTCTTTGATGTAAATAAAACAGTCAATTAATATTCAAAAGATAGGCAAGGAAAAAAACTTTTTATAGTCCAAATATCTTTAAATAATTCCTTGAGAATATATCGCTAATTTTAATATTGTAATATTTAGATATTAAAACAAGTAAACCATTTTTTTCCCTCAATTTTTTCTGATTTCAGTAAAAAAGAAGAAATATCTTAAAAAATTACAAAATTTTTGTCCATTAAGGTAAAAAATATTCTTTATAAGTGAATACAGTGTAAAAATAAATTGATTAGCTCTGGTGAGACAGACTAGGATAAAAAAGAAGCTGATTAGTTGATTTATAATCATTTTTGAGAAAATCTGTTTTAATAATTTATATCATAGTCACATTACATTCAAGAATTAAACAATTTAAATAATTGTGATTAGTAGAAAGCATTTATCCTTATAAAATTTATTAATAATTTTAAATGCTTCTTAATTTTGTATCAATAAATAAATAAATAAATTAATCAATTAATATCGAAGAGCCATCTTTGTAATTAATTAATTAAATAAATAAAAATGAAAAGAAAAGAAAAGAAAGCATAAAATATTTAATAAACAAAATGAAGGAAGAAAATTTAAAATAAATTGACTAAAATGGTTATCTAATATAAATAGCAATCATCAGAGTTAATTTTTTTACGATCAAAATTTATTAATATGTCTAATTTATTTATACCAGAAAGATAATAAAAAGTGTTCTAAAAATCTTAAATCCAAATTTAAATATTTTGCTTACATCAATCAAATACCCTATCAGACCTAAGATTTATTAGTAATGAGAATTTGATTCAAAATGTTTTCTAATTTTCCTCAAATAGGCTATAAAAGAATATAAAAAATTATCAGAGAGGAAAATAATTTAAATATTATTGCTAAGTGTTTAGATACTGGCATTAAGTGAATTGAAGCAGTTATTCATTTAATAAGATATTATATATTTGGATATTTGAATTGTTATAATAATGACTAATAAACTGATAGTTTTTTGAAGCCAATAAACTTTTTATTATCTTCACAAATTTATATTTTATTTACAAATTTATAAAAGTTATTTAATCTAATTAAGCTTTTTAACACATCTTTATTTATATTCACACATAGATACTTATATAATTAATGTCTTTGCGAAAACCAAAGCATGATAACTTTAGCAAACTAGGTTTTAAAATTGATAGGTTGAATTAAACTCGTAATTAAAAAAATATACAAACCATCATAAATTGTATTAATAAACAGGAATAGGATTACAAATTAACTGATTTTGATATTTTTCTCTACCATATTTATTCTAAACCTATATCATCATGTCTAAAATAGCCAGAGTAAAGCGTTGATAAAAATTCGCCTTTGTCTTTACAAGAACAGAATATTGTTTATGAATAAATGAATTAATACTTGGCTCATTTAAAGGAACTAAGATAGGAGTTTTAAAATGACAATAATCACTCTTTTAGAACAAGAATTCGAAGATTTTCAGAAGTTTCAGATGATATAAATTCTGACACCAATAGTGTTAACTAGATTTAAAATTTTTAAAAGAAATTCAAATAACAACTTGATAGCAAACTATAAAATTTTGTTTATGAAAGTAATAAGTCTTTAAGCCACAGTTAAAAGTTTAAAAATAATTTTTCATTAGAGCACAAAGATGATTTTAGTTCTAAAAAAAGCTATCTTGATAAAAATAGTACTTAAAAAATAGTAAAGAATCGCTCAAAAACTTAATAAGAAGAAGCTTAATATTCAGATGATTAATCAGAAATGAGTTCATATAGATAAGGCTTTTCTAAGAATTAAGGATTAGATTCTTTGAGATTTAAAAAAAATTAGTAAAACTAAAAATAAATGAATTTTTTTTATGGTACAAAAACAGATCTATAAAAAGCATCTAAAGAAGAAAAGGCCTTAATGGAAGATATAGAATAACTCAAAAATAAGAATTAAAATAAATTAATATAAATAGAACAATAAAATGAACAGAAGCAGATCTATTCTCCCTCACCAATTATGATAAACAAAGGAAAGTAGTATAACAAAATTATTGAAAATATGAATAACTTGTAATATTACAATAAAATCATACCTCAGAATGCTTCATTAACAAGAAGTAACATAACCACAAACTAAATACTAAGAGATGCTATTAAAAAGTAGAATTTAAGATTAAAAAGGTAGGTATTTTAAAAAGTTCCTTAGACAAATACAAGTAAAAGTGCTTAGTTTGATAATGATAAAGCAAACAAAAAATGTGAATCAGTTGAAAATGGTTATCAAAAATCTGTTAATCAAGATTCTAATTCTTTAAACTAATCTTCTATAGATGCTAATATGTAGTCTCCTAGTAATAAATATACCATTAAAGAAAAAGCATCATAAATACTTAGTGATTTTAATGTAAAGCTTTTGTAAATGGACTATTAGCTTAAAAAATCTAGAGCATTTATAAACTAAGAAGAAGATAGTGATTTAGAAGATACACAAACATTTTAGAAAAGACTTAAAATGGAACAAGATAAAATTGACTCTATGCAGAAAGAAAAATATGCCAAATATTTAAGTGAGTAGCATATGCATAACAGTGATGATGAAGAATAAGGAGGATTGTCACCTCAAAATGGTAACAAAAGTAAACTAGAAATGATGAAAATATAAAAGCAAAATATAAACTCTGCTTTATTTGATGCAAGACAATAGAAGTGCAGATCTTAATCACCGTTAAAAAACGAAATATTCAAAATCTTTAACTAGAGTTTATCAAATTCTATTTCAGGATCTTAGATCATGCTTCTAAATTAAAAAGCAAATAACTAAAAACAAAGTAATTAGTAGATTAATATTTCTGAAGTCAACAATCCCAATAAAAATAACAATAGTTTTTGCATATAGTCTCCAAATAACAATCGAAATAGCTCTTTCTTGATTAATTAAGAAAGTTAAAATAACTAAAACTAAGAATAAATAACAGATAATAATTAAATTTTTGCTTAAACACCTAAATAAATCAAAAATATTTAGGAATCGCCAAAATAAATATTTTTGAAAAAAATAAATATATAACAATCAAGTAATACCCCACAGAATTAATACAATCACAAAAATTCTTTTATATTATCTAATTTACCAAATACATTTAAGAGTATCAAATCTAATCAAATCCCTACTCCTTTAATAAAAAATGATATTTAACACCCAACAAAAACTGGGGATAATTATACGATGATGAATAAAGAAATTAAATTTACACAAGTTCTAGGATTTGATTAAAACAGATCAGGTACACCTTACTCTCAATCGAAGCCAACAAACTGTGGGAAATATTTTTAATTAAATTTATATGATTCTCCAATCAAAAAAAAAATATCTACCCAACACAATCTATTTGATTAAAATGGTAACAAAATATAACATGAGGCTTTAAATTTTTCAAGCTAGTATGAAATGATCAAACCGCTTGCTTTCTCAGAAAAAAAAGTTAGAAGCACATCTTTAAGTCCAGCACTAAAATTCAATTCCCAATAAAAAAATAATAATAATCAATTTAATATTTAAGTCAACGAAAATTTCCCAAGGCTGAACTCAATTTAAAGTGAAGAAAAATTAAATTAGTCTATTTTTTCGGAAAGCATTGAAAAAAATAGCTCTACGCCATAGAACTAAAAAAAATATGATGAAAAATAAGTGAAAGTTTTAGAAGATAAGAAAAAAGCACTCCCAAAAATAAACATGGTGAAGTATAAAAATGAGACCTCTCTGCTAAATAAGATGGAAGACATGCACGCTTAGTCTAAATAAATTAAAAAGCAATTTTTAAAGTAAATTTCTACAAAATAATTAATTAATTTTGAATTTCAATATTTAAATAAAATAGGATTTCTAAGCAATTTTAAGAATAGTTTAGCAGCAAGAAAACAGATATAGATGAAAATGAGAATAGTACTTAGCTATAAACTGATTAATAAGAGTAATTATAAAGCTAAGTTAAAATCAATAATAGTAGAAATAATAAAAACAAAAATAATTTATCTATTGCAAAGGACTCAATAAATCTTAACTTCTATCTGGAAATTCAAGAATAAATAATTTAAGAGAAAAAAAAGCGCAGCTATGAATCATAGGTAAAAAACATTTAAGCATATCATCTATATCATCTGTATGAAAATTGTAAAACGCCTCATATTTGATCTCTTTGCTTATTTAAAACTTATTAATTTGTAATTATTCATTTAGAAAGTGTAAATTCCTTTCATAATATCTAAAAATATTGATAAATTTTAAATTTATGTAAGCAAAATAAAAAAATATTGTTTCGAATTTAATTTGAAAACAGATATTTTTTTTCAATGTTGCAACAAACAGTAAAGGACATCTTACATTCTATATAATTAATAATCATAATTTAATTAAGCCAAACAAGTATTAAATTTATATCTTCATTAAATTTAAAAAGTAAGTATATTATTTTAAATAACTTTATGATAAAGATTTAGTTTATTCATTTAATAGATTAAAATGTAACTTGATGCACTAATCCCCTTGTTTTTTCAAAAGATCAATTAAATTACTATTTATACATCAAACATTTTCAATAGATCAATTCTGAAAATACTTATTAAGATTAAATTTTTAAAACGTCTATTAATCAAGACACTACAAAAGAAATAGAAAATTTATTTTTTAACTTACATATATTCTTCAAATAAGATTTGCAAAGCTTTTATTTTGTTGTTTTGTAACCAAGGATTGTTTGTTCTTTAAAATTAAATTTAATAAAACTAAATTCAAATGTAAGTTTTTGATATAATTACCTGTTAATTTCAAAAAGATCACTTAATTACATATCCAATTAAAGTTAAAGATTCTTATAAATTCAAACAAACAATACTCAATTTGCTCAATTAATTCCTAAGTTGCTTTATTATTGGCATATTTAAAATTTATAAATAATTGATTAAATATAAAACAAATTAATCTATTTAAGTTATAGACAGACATACATTTTTCTAAAAAAAAACTTCCATTTTGTTAATTTTTTAATCAATATTTAATATTCTAAATTAATTGAATATTGATAAAGGATTTCTTGTTTGCTTTAAATATCTTCATATTTAAAAAAGAGAGCCAATTTATAATTAAAACTAAAATTAAAATTAGCTTTAAATTGATTTATTATTGACATATTTAAAATTAATGAATTGTTAATTAAAAATTTTAAAAAATATATTTGTTAGGGGTCTGATTGAGCCAATGACTGAAGTCCGTGACTTGAATTTATAGAGCCAAAATGTTTTCATTTAGTCTAAAATTTTTGGACTCAATTAGACAGACCCCTAATATTTATTTATAATTGTCTAAGTTTAATTTGTTCTTCAAATAAGATTTAAAAAGCTTTTATTTTATAATTTTATTGAGTAAGGTTTTCTTTTATTTGAAATGTAATTTTTAGTTTTAATTTATCTCTAAATTCAAAAGTAAAACTTAATTACAAGTAATAAAAATATTAAATTATTAAAATAGAAACTCATATAATTTTATTCAATTAATTAAGAAAATTTGTTTATTATAAGCATATTTATATTTTTTAATTAATAATTAAATCATTAAAATGTACAAATAAATTAAACCACAAAGTTTTAAGTAAACAGCATGGAATTGATCAAGATAGATTCTTAAAAAATTAAATTTTTATAATTATCTTTGTAATTTCAAGATAGAATATATTCTAAATATCATAATATTAGTTAGGTTTTTCAAATCTGATATAATTTTGCAATAAATATATATTTTATTTTAGTAGCAATTCTAATTCATTTTTTTCATTCAATAAAATTTACTTTCCATATAAAAATCTTTAATCTCAGAAGATATTAGATTTATAGATTTTAGTGCGTCAATCAAATTATTATTTATATTGAAATAAAACTTAATGTTCTTGGTATATATATTAATAACTAATAAGCATAATTGAAATATATAAATAATATCAGTAAACTCTTTTCCTAAAAATAGATTAATTTATTTTATTTTGGTTAAAGTTTTTAAATAAATTGAAATCGTAAAAAATATTTTAATAATCTTATGTTTTTAACAATAAAAATTTGATAAAATATATTTAATCCAATCAAAACAATAACTAAACCTTTGTAAACAAAATATTTATTTTGAAAAAAAGCTAATTTTTCAATAAATATTTTACTTAGTTAGCATTCAAGTAAAAAATGTTATTGAAATGATTATCAGAATACAACATTTATTTTAAATGAATTGCGATTTTCTTGAGAAATATTCTAAAAATTATTTACTACTTTTTAAAAAAATTTCATAAATTAAATTAATGTGAGTTTAAATAGATAAATTAAAAATAATAAAATAAATACTTTTTAACTCTTAAAATACTTTAAAGCTCAAAAAAAAAAAATTTTATCTACTAAATTTATTTTGGAAACATAAATTTAACAATTCTAAGTTCTATTATTTATAAATAAATATTATAATTTAAAAGAGATGTTTAAAAAATTAAATTATTTAAAGTTTTTCTCTAAAATTTTACTAAAAGATTTAAAAAATAAAAAATAATTTATTGATGAATAGTTTTTTTTAATATAAATTGAAATGTTTATTTTTTTATTTTTTATTTATTAAAAATAGCGATTTCTTTCTAAATTCAAAAACTTTTAACTGTAAAATTATTAAAAAATTTTAAATCAGATTTTACTTGAAGTTTATTTAATAATAAGTATTTTTATTTTGGAAAAATAGTTATTTCAAAATTAAAAATTACTTTTAAAAGTAAATTAGTAAGTTATTTTTTAAATACATTTTAAAAAAATTATTATTTAATTGTCTATAAATTAGCTTATATTTTACTTAAAAACACTTATTAATTAATTATATTGAATATAATTTTTTATAAAGAAGATAAATAATCACTTATTTTTATCATATACATTTATCTAATTTTGGCTTTAAGAAAATATTTTAATTTCAAAAAATTATATTATTTAGAATCATCATATAAATTATATTACATAAATGTGAATATACTTTGCTCAAAATACATTCTTTTAAATTTGAGATTTTTTGTTTTGTTATTCTAAAATATGCTAAACTATCAATCTTATCACAATAACTAGTATAATTCATAAAAATCTTGTTTACTATTATTTCTTATAGAATGAGCTAAAATAAGTTTTTATTTATTAATGGTAAATTACCTTAAAAGAAGTTTGCTTTTCTTTATTAAGATTAAATTAATATTATATAATATAAGAAAAAAATTTATTTTGAAACTTCTTCATCATTATATTAATATCTTTCTTACAATAAAGTATCTAAATTATTTTAAATATTTTTTAATTTTTAAAATATTTTAAAGATCGATTTCAATAATATCTAATTCTTACAACATTTATTTTGAAAACTGAAATATATTAATTTATTATTTTTATCAATTAATAGATATTATTATCTAAAAAGATCTTTTAAAAATTAAAGGTTTTAAAAATATCTTGTCAAACTTTGTTATATTAATTATAAAATTGGAAAAAGAAGGATAAAGTTTATAAAATATAATATTTATTGATGGCCATGAATGCTTTTATTGTATTAATTAACTTTTAGTTATATACATTATTCTAAATATTTATAAATAAATGGTTATAATATGATTAATATTCTTTTTGTTAGTTATGATTTATGAAAACTTTCAAAAACAAAAAAAAAAATGAAATAAAAATGGTATTTATATCATTCAAAATTAATAATTAATTTTTTAACTCCAAAGTGTATGGAGTCAAAGCAACTTAAATTTTTATAGATTTCAATTAATGATTTTTACCAAATTGATAAATTCACATTTTTGATTGATTTATTTAATTGATTGATTGATTTACAAATAATTTGATTTATAACCTTCATTTATTAATTTTTTTTAAGGAACAGAAAAAAAGTAGATTATATAAGGATCTTTTAACATTTTAGTTTTTCTTAAATAAAGCAACTGACTTGAAGGATAGTGACTTTAAATAATTAAAAAAGCATGACGGAAAGATCACTATATTCATAAGTTAAGAAAAGGGATGCCAATGCTAATGCAACTGCTAGTGCTGCTATGGCTTCAACTGGCTTTTAACATAATCAAAATTAAATTAGTAAAGAAAGAAATTTTTCCCCTTAAGCAACTTCAAATTTTGGAGGCTTTAACCATAATAATGATTAAATTAATCATTAAAGCAGCTTCAAACAATAGAATCTATTAGACAATGCAGATAATCCCTTTTTCTAAATTGATGTAAGAAATCTAGATCAGTTTCATAACTCAGGTTAAACTTAATCTATACAAAAAGAACCATTAAAAATTCCAAGTATAAACCCAAATAGGAATCACTATGAAAGCAAAAAATCTTAGCGCTCAAAGAGTGGGCAGAGATCTAGTAAAAATAGTGTTAATTAAATTTAAAACAGCTAAATGAATCCTAACATCAATAGCAATTTGCAAATTTAAGGCAATAATCCATAATTAACAAAGCCTCATTAGCAATCAGATGCAGCTAAAATTATATTAAATGAGTATTTAAATTAGCACAGTGAGCTTTTGTAGTCCATAAATAACACAAATAATCTTTAAAAGCTTTCTCATTATATCAGAGATGGTGTGAAATCTTCAATTGGCTATCATGGAAATCGTAGAGATGATAACAACAACACATCATCAAGATTAAATTATACAAACGATTTATAAACTAGCTAAAATTTTAACAATCTAACTATGAATGGCCCAACAAAGACTGCATAAGATTCTAATTAAAACAACAACAACAATAGTTCTAACAGGAGAACACCTTATTAATTAAGTGATGCCTAAAATTAAGATTAATAAAATAACAATTAGTTCCACCTCTCTAAAAAGTATATAAACTCTGGATCATTTTTTACTAGGAAGAATTAACAGACAAATAATTATTTATAGCCTAATGATTAACATAATATTCCTTAAATACCGTTGAGAAGAGGTGATTCAGGTTTAACATCTGATGATATGGGTGCTCATTAGAATCTTATTGGTTTTAGTCAGACAGTTGGAATACCAACTAAGAATAATGTAAAAAATACAAATGGCAATAACCTTTAGTAAAACAAGAGTGTAAAAATAAGGAGCTTCACTCCAAATTTAAGATAATATAAAACTGGAGGATAAGTCAATTCTTCTTTAACTCATAGAGGTAATTTAGGATCTATTGAGAAAGGTAGAGATGAAAATGATTAAAGAGCTTATCCAAATTTTAGAAGCAATACAAATAGTAGAGAAAATCTAAGCTCAAGTAAATATAAATTTAAGCAAATACCATTAACAAATAAGGGTATAAATAATAACAGCTTGTCAATTATGCCATTGAACAGTCAGCCAAATTAACAACATCTAACAACTGACGTATTGTCAACTTAAGAGGCTGCTTTCAAAACTGAGAATGACATTTACACACAACCTTAAATAGATAAATATTAATATTATATTATGAATACAAATCCTGATTAAATTCCCACAAATTAAAGAAGTAAAAAACATAATAATGGCTAAAATTATCAATAAAATTAAAATTAAAATGGAGTAACCAATTCAGCAGCTAAATTGGGTGATGATAAAAATAATAGTAGCTAATCGAGTCTCAATAATAATTAAAATAATATTCCTAACAAAAATGTTTCTTCGCCAACAAGTAATTCGAATGGAAATCTTAATAATAGGCCTAAATCAAAACAAAGCGGGTAGAGGAACTAATTAAAGCAAAAGTAAGATGAGAAAATGGAATAAATTAAATAAATCTATTTGAAAAATGATAAAAGAAGCAAAAGCAGTGGAAGAGGGAGTAAGCTAAACGAGATTCCAGAACAGGGCTACAATTAGAATGGTAACTATTTAACTGACAGCTAGAAGAGTATTCCTAAATAAAGACAAAATAATCCCTTCTATGTATAGTAAATCTCACACCAATTAGAGGAATTTGGTGATGAAGTTGAAGAAATTGATGTCACTGAAATGTTTAAAAAATAGAGTAAATTATAGCAGATGGACTATAATCATAATCTTTAGTTCTAATAAATTAAACCAGATAAAAATAACTCGGCCTCAAAGCAAAATAAAAGATACTAGAATAAAGATTTAGAAGATAGTGATTTAGAGGGAGCCAACAGCAGACTTCGTTAATCTCATCTTCCAGCTAAAGGTAGTTAACAAAGTAGCAACAATACTCAAAATGATGTTCTTGGGACAACTGGAGCTTCAGTTACAGGTTACAGTTTAAATCATTTAATTAATAATGAAGATAATGCAGCCCAATAAAAAACAATTAGATTAGATGATATTAATGACAGTTTCCATACTGAGGTAAATCAAAAAAGAGCTAATGACTCTTCTCAAATAGAGAAAACATAAAGTTCGTAAAATAAAAACACAAGTAGTATCTATGCAAAAGTTATTTAAAAAATAACATAAAATAATGGAAGTTAATTATAAAACTCCTCTAAATTGCATGCAATAAATAATAATTCTGGTGACTAAAAACAAATTCCTAATTAAACAAATAGCAGTATTTTAAGTACTAGCCAATAAGGATTTCGCAGATCTACTTCTTCTTTTACAAAATAGAAAATAGGAACTGAGAATGGATCCAATTAAAAGAATTAAATGAATTAATCTCAGCATTAGCAAAAAAATAATTCAAGCTTACAAAACTAAGATAATGTTCGTGGTAGCTTTTCAGCTAATCCATCAGTATAAAATTTAAACAATCATAATAATGAAAATAATTTATCAAACATTAATAACCAAAACCAGCAGCAATAAAGATGTAATTCTAAATCTTAAATAAGAAAAAAAACAATTTCACAGACAGGATCTTCTAAAAAGAGTCAAAGCAGTTTTGAGCAGTATCCAGAAAAAAATTAAAAAAATGAAAATGAATAAATCCAAAACTAAAATCATTAATTAAACTAACCAAATTAGCAATTTACAAATCAAAACTAATCTCATCTATCTTCAAGCAAAAAAGAAAAAACAAGTTAAAAATTCGAAAATCAAGACTAATTATAAGGGAGTAACAAAGATAAATAATAAAAAGAAAATAATAATTAAGGTATCAACTCAGATAAATAGGTTAGTTAATAATCATAGAGTCAATAATAGGAGTATAAAAATGATAAAAATAATTCACTTTCTTAAAAAAAAGAAAATCAAAATTTAGAAAATTAAATCAACCACAGCAGTAACAAAAATAACAGTAATAATAATAATTAGCCAGATTAATAGCATAAAAATATTCAAGCAAAAAAAGAAGGACAAAATGAAAATCTGAGTTCTACTAAGCCTCCATTAATTACAAATAGCATTTAAGTAAATGGATCACAAAAAAATAATAATGAAATTTGTGATAAAAATAATATCTCAAATTAAATTTCACAATAAAAATAATCAAATAATAGTCAATAAAATAATGGATAAAATGAAAGTAATCAGAAAATAGATGATAAAATAACTTTAAGTCAAATAAAGCAAGATAAGAGTATTGTGATTGACTCTGATATGACAGGTAGACTTAAAAGTAATGACTCTTAATAATAATCAAGTTTAGATGATAAGCAGCAGCAAGTGAATTTAGGGTTAAAAGAAAAATAATCTTCTTTAAATAATTAAGATAACCATTAAAAGTCAGGACATAATTAAGAAGTTTATCCTTAGAAAAAACTAAGCAATGAGTCTAATAATCAATTAAATAAAGATTCTGGAATTTCTAGTAGATCTACCAAAGAGAATGGTATTAAAAGCTAGATTTAGTAAATTCAATAAGATGTTGTTAATAATTTACAGGAAGCATAAAAAGAATAAAAATAAAATAATAAAGATAAATCAAAGTTATCATCAGATTCTGGATTATAAAACAAGTAAATTAAAAATGAAAAAGAACTGAGTAATTCATAATAACAGTAAAAAAAATAACTTAATGAGAGTAAAAATTCCGATAATAAAAATTTAGATAAAGTTTAATAAGATAATTCATAATAAAGGCAAAATGAAATTAACCATGCTGAAAGTAAGTCTAATGAAATATAAAATAATAACTCTTCAATAAAAAAATCTCAAAATTTAAACTCTACAATTAGTCAATAAAATTAACTTTAAAACAGCTAAAGCTAAGAGGTTAATTTAGATTAAAATAACAACAAATAAAACTAATAATTAAACAAAAATTAAACAAGTTAAAAATAGAATGATAATTCTTTAAATGATTCTAAGAATCAGTCTAAAATTAATTAAAACTAATCAAGTAGTGATTAATAATTAGAACAGAGTGATAGTAATATAAATTAAGCTGATAAGAATAATAAAATTTCTAAAAATTCATAATTAAGTTAAAATAACAACAAATAAAACTAATAATTAAACAAAAATTAAACAAGTTAAAAATAGAATGATAATTCTTTAAATCATTCTAAAAATCAGTCTAAAATCGATTAAAACTAATCAAATAGTGATTAATAATTAGAATAGAGTAATAGTAATATAAATTAAGCTGATAAGAATAATAAAATTTCTAAAAATTCATAATCAGATGAATCAAGTAAAAATTAAAATTCTAAGATGAATTAAGAGAAAGATTTAAACAAAAAAGAAGTTCAAAATGAAGAAGAAGTAAACAAATAAGAATCTTAATCTAAAAAAGATTTAAAAGAAAATAAAAATTCTTAAAAAGACCAATAAGAGAATTTGAAAAAAAAAGATGAGTTAGAATAATCTAATAAATAAAAAAATATCAATTAGAATCATAAAGATGGAGAATAGCATCATTCTAATTCATAGAAAGATTTAAAAGAAAGCAAGGATTCTAAAAAAGATTAAATATAAAATATAAGCAACTAAAATGGATAAGATAAGTAAAATAAAAATGTACATGATAATCAAAAAAGTAATTTAAATAATTAGAAAGATATATCATAAGATAGTTAGTTATCATAAAGTGATTCTAAGAAAGATCTTAACTAAAGAAATAGTTCTGTTAAAAAAAAATCAATCATAAACAATTCTTAAATAAGCAATTCTGATAAAAATAAGGAAAGTTAAAATTCAAGTAATAAACTTAAAAATAATGAAGATTAGTTGTAAAGTGAATAAAATAGCAGCAAAGATAACTTAAAAAAAGATAAAAGTGAAACTTAAAAAAAGGAATAAAATCAATAGGAATAGTAATTATCTTAAAACTTAAAAAACAGAAGTGATCCAAATATCAATGATTCAGAAAGTTAAATGTAAAAATCTAAAAGAGAATAAGATGCTTCTTTAAATAACTCAAGTAAAATTTCAAAAAGAAAAGACAGCCTCAATAAAAATAATTAATAAATTGATGAATAAAGTAACTAAGAGAATAAATCAGCTTTGTCTTAAAGAAAAAGCTAAATAAATAACGAAAATTAACAGAAAAATGTTAATGATTAGGAGGCTAAAAATAACTTAATGGAATAAGATAAGAATAACTCATAGAATTAAAATTAACTGAATGAATCATCAGATAAAAATTAAAGCAAAAGCTCATTATCATAGAGTAAAATAAATCAAGATGATTTATAACACTCTAACTAATCTAATCAACAAAGCTAAAATTTAAAAGAAGAAAAAGAAGATAAAGATAGAAAGTCTTAAGTTCAAGGCTAGGGCTAAGATAAAGTTAACATTGATCAAAATGCTAAAATAATAAATGAAACTAATGGGAGAGCTGATGGAGTAGTTATTAGAGAAATTAGAGAGTAAAATGGAAATGAATTAAGAATAATTACTGAAGCTAGAATTATTATTTAAAATGAAAATAAAGATGATAAATAAGGAGGTAAAAAATAGAAACAAAACAATTTATAAGAAAATGGCAATGAAGAAGAAGATGATGAAGATTGTGATGAATAGGATTAAAGTGAATCTAAATTAAAAAAAACTAAAAAAAAATAAAAGAACGATAAAAATAACAAATTCAACAAAGAGAATGGTAATATACCCTTGGAAAGCTAATTAGACAGTGATGATGAATGTGAAAGCTATGAAAATGGTAAAGATGGTTAGCTGAAAAAAAGAAATAAAAAGGCTAATAAGATGATGAGCGGGGAAGATAAATAATTTTTAGAAGATTAAGTTAATTTGATTAATCATTAGACAAAAGGATAAAATAAGGTTATACCAGAAAAAAGGAATTCATAAAGCAGCTAGAAAACAAAGGAAGATATTAGTTATACTCAAAACACTCATAGTGATCAAAGGTCTTCTAAAGCAGAATAATCTGGAGCAAATACCCCAAATAAGAATAACACAGACATTTCTAATTTTATCAAGGCTTAAGACACTAGTCATATTTTATTAAATGAAGAAATTTAGAAAGATCCTTAAAATCACACTTATGATGAAAGCATAAACGATTAAAATAGCATATTAGCTTAGTTAAAATCTAATTAAGGATCTCTTAAAAATCTTAATCCAATTAATACTCTAAATAACTAGTAAGATTAATAACATCATGATAATTCTCTAAATCTTAACTATTAAGAAGAGTTGCTTAATGAAATTAATACAGAAGATAAATAAAAGAAAGAAAATAGCCAAAACTCTTAGAAGGAAAATCAACAAGCAGATTAGTAGTCTGGTGTAAATTAAGAGTAAAGTCAAAAGTAAGATACTAGTAAAAAATAAGAGAGTTCTTAAAATAACGGAGCTTCTAGTCCTTCTTAAAATAAAAAATAGCCAAATAAGTATAAAGAAATTCTAAATAAAAATCTTGTTTAAGTGTAAAGATATCCAATCAAAGAGACAGAAGGAGAAGAGTCTTTGCATATTGTACATGATGATACTTCTGATGAGCATGATTAGATTGTAAAAGTGAAAATTCTTCAAGATTAATAAACTAGGAACTCTCATTCTTCTTATGAATCTCTTAAATAAATTAGAAAAAAGGGCGAATAGAACAATTCAGAATTAGATGAAATAGAAAGAAACAAATTAAACAGCTTAACTCCAGAGGAGCTGCTTGATTTACGAATCCAATAAAATAAAAGAAGAATTAGGAAAATAAATAGACGTCCTCATATCATAAAGTAAGATATGGAAAAACTTATTGAGAATGCAATAATATTTGATATCAAATGTAGATTGCCTAAGAATATTGATTTTATTGAAGAAATCAAAACAGATCCTAGGCACGGTGAATTAGCATTTGGTAGAGAAAGCTACTTACTTGATTCTGCTCCTAAGATTAGGTCATTTAGAGGATATGATTAAGAAATGATGAGACCTTGTGCTATGATGCTATACCTTATTGACTAATACTGTGATCCTTAAATTGTAAAAGAGTGGCACCTTATGCAACACTTTTAATATAATGCTCAAATCGAAGAAAATAGATTCTTGAATCTTTAAATGAATACATAAAAAAATTCTTCAAGTTTAACTGAAAGCAATGTTACCAAAAAGAATTTTTGTTATGGGAACAAGGCAGAAGTTTCAACTTCTTAGAATATTTTCTTAAACCCTACTCTTTTATTAATGGACAGTCCATTAGTCTATGAATTCCGTCATTTTGAGTACAATTTCTTTTTAGAAGTTGAAGACTTCTATCCTATTGAGTAAATTCTATTGAATCGTTTCAAAGATAGAAAAATTTATGAAGAAGACGAGTTGATTTTCATATTTACTTCACTAATTGAATGTGTTTTGGGTTTCAGAGCAAAGAACATTTGCTTAGGAAATATTTAAATTGAGCACGTTGCTTTTTGCCCTGCTTCGAATTCATATAAGTTTTTTAATCTCACCAAGGCCTAAGTTTATGAAGAATAAAATTAAGAAAAAAAATATAATATCTATTACTCTAAAATATACCAACCACCTGAAATTGCCGAAATAGAAGGATAAAAAGATCATGGATAGATTTTTAATATTTTTGCAGGAGATTTGTATGCACTCGGAATAACACTACTCTGCTTTAAGTATCATTTGATCTCTAATAACAGAACATCTAATTTCATATAAAACAGAATAGAAATGTGTAAAAATAGTATGCAACTCTCTGGTATTATTATTAATTATCTTTTGGAGTAAGATCCTAAACAAAGGTTGTTAAATATGAAATTCATACAAAAAGATCTCCATGATTATTTGAAAAAGAATAATTAAGTTAATAAGAAGCTATCTCAGTAAGAAATATTATCTCCTCCTCCACCTTCTTCACCTAATAAAACTTCCAAAAATTAAGATGATGTTAAACCAGGAATTAAATTAAATCCTGATGAATTTAAAAATGAAAAATTAATAGCAGTTAACCCACCTTAAAAAAAGTAAAAGAATAGTGATACTGAAGACAGTGACGATGAAAACTTAGATGAAATTAAAAAAAATAGTAACATCATATGCACTTCATGGAATACAAACAATAACAAGTATTTTATGCATAGAAGCAATGCCCCTGATTATGAGTTAGAAGTATATTGGAACGAAGGAAAATCAATAAATAATTAAAAACTGAACCCACCTAGTATAAAAAAGATTGCAAAGTAAATTCATGACAGAATCTAATCAGCATAAGATATTGCCAGAATGTACAAATATACATTTTAATGGGAAAAGGCTTCGAATTAATATATAAATAATTTAGAAATTATGAAGCAGCAGAGCAATAAAGTATCAGATAGCGAAATTCTTCGTACAGTTAATTAAATTTGGCAGAGTCTCTACTATAATAATGAACTTGAAGATTCTCTTCATTACAATGAAGTCTATTTTAATAACATTCATACTCTTTTTATCCATGATGAAGTTTCTATGGCTTACGATCATTTGCTAAGTGGAAAGCTTAAGTGGATACTCAATCACAAAGTAGATAGCAGTTAAGATTTTGATATTGCTTTGATGTGCACAGAACAGTATCCCTTAGATAAAGCAAAAGTTTTAATTTTGTTAGGGGATTTCTTCGCAGAAGATTCAGAAATTTCTGCAGAACAATATTACAAAGATGCTCTTGAAATACTCTAGACTATCATACTAAATTAAAAAGATGTAATGAAATCATCAGCTACAAATAATTTTATGAAGGACAGCTAAGCAACAATGCAAACTACTGAAGAAGAATAAGATTTTGATGATTTATTTGAAAGAGAAGAATATGTAATCATGAAATTAAAAGAAAGAACTTAACATTAGCTTGCTATTATTGAAGATATTCAAATGTCTGAACTTAGAGAAAAGCTAGTTTTCCTAGAAGAAAATTCATAAAAATTAAGCTCAATAGAAAAAGCTAAGATTTAGCTTGATGTAGCTAACCAATATTGCCATCAGTTTTTGAAGTATAACGAAGCCGATTACTATTATTAAGAAGCATTAAACACTTTATAATGTAAGCAACCAAACAAATAAAGTAGTGAAGCGATGAGATCCTCTTCATAGTAGAAAATGGCAACAAGCTCTTCTAGAGAAAAAAGAATGAAAAAATCGAGCTAATAGAGTGAAATTAAAGAAGCCCAGTAATAGTAGTAGCTTAAAAAGAATACATCATCATCTTCATCCTCAGCTTCTATAAATGTTCAAAATAAGGACCTTGATTATGATATTTAAAAATTCAGGATAGTAAACTATTTAAAGATGAATAACGAAGATGAAGCAAACAAAATGATATAAAAAATAGTGGCAGATAATACCCCAGAAAATGGTATAAAAAATATTGATAATATTTTATAACTAGCAATTATATTAGAGGAAAATTTATTCCATGAATATTGCCTAGAACTTTATAATCGTTGTTATGCTTTGGCCACTGTACAATTAGGTGCAAAGAACGAATTTACTCTAAAATTAAAAGATAAAATCAATAAATTATGATAAAATATTTAAAATAATTAAAATTAATTTTCAAAAATAAAAAATAAATAAATAAATATAATTAATTAATTAAATTAAATTAAATTAAGCAAATTTAATGTATATAAATAAATAACTACTCTTTAAAAACTAATTAAAGCTTATTTTTATAAAAAGTATTTAGAACTTCTTATATAAATAATTTTAAATTAATATATTTTGTTTACAAATTATACATATTATGTCTAAGCTACAAAAAAGCACCTTAAACTAATTTTTGGATAAAAGTGAAACTTATTTTCAATATAAACTTTTATATTTTTTTTTAAATAAATTTTACTTAAAAAAAATGTTAAAATCAAATGGAAGCGAAGAGTGAGTGAGTGTGGTTGATATTTTAATTTATTGATTTTTAATCAATAAATTTGATATAATTTTATTAATAAATTATACTTACTTACTTATTTAATTATATATATATATATAAATTACATTAATTTTATACTCTTTAAACAAAATGGTTTACTTTTTATTATAGTTGGATCTTTTATACAAATTTTAAATACACTAATTTACTTATTTTCTAAATTAAAGTTTTAAGAAAATAAATTATTTTTCAAACTTAAAAAACAAGCTTTTTTATTTTACATTTTTGATAAAAGACCGATTGAAATCATTATTATTATTATTTTTATTTTTATTAATTAGTTGTATGTTTTTATGAATAAATGTGTGATAAATATTTAAAGATTATTGTTAATATTATGCACGATTGATCAGTAAATTTTTGAGTATTTTGTAATGTCATATTTGAAATTTGGTTAATTTTATCTGGCTTAAGAATGAAAGCTAACAGAGTTTTCGTCATATTCCTCAGCATAGCATTCAGATTTGCATTTAGAGTAAGCAATTTAATTGTTTTATTAAGACATTTATTTAGAATAATATTGTTACTCTTGTATCTGTTATGAATCGTAGTTCTAACTATTTTATGAATAAGTCATGTTATAGGTTGATTAAGTCATGCTACTGTTATAGCCTTAATTGCAAGACTAAGATAGTTATTAGGATTGTGTCATTTACTTATTTGTGTAAATTTTTTATTACTATGAGTAGTTATTCTCACTTTTTTGATTATTAGAAGTAGAAATGTAAAATCCATCTTAAGTGCTTTCTTAGTTGGTTTAGTTATTAACATTGTGAGTGAGGTCATAATCAATCAAAGCAACAGATTTGTATTTTTGTTCAGAATATTTGGAGTAAATAAATAATTTTTTCCTGTTGTGTCCTACATTAACTAAGTACTAATAAAGCTCTTCAACGCAGTCATAAACATCTTATTATTTATAGTTTGTAATTAGTTCTAATTTTTCACTCCAAAAATATTTGCCAGAAATATTTTTGAATTTTTCACTTAAAAGTATGCATGCAGCAGCAATTTCACTGTGGTCATATTTGTAGAAGGAGTGGTTTAAGTTTGTTAGTTCAAGTAAATAATAGCAAAAGCTGACTTGAGATGGGTCTAGAGTAATTTAAGAGAAATAAGCTTCAAGGAATTGTAAACGAGTAGGACCGAAGAGAGAAAAGTTTAATTTATTGAGAATGCTTCCTTCTAAATCACATATATCAGAAGTATTAGCTTGGATTTTATTGAGTTTAAGGACATGTAAAAAATCACGAAGAGGAGGAGGATAAATTTCTTAGTATTTAGCAGCTATGAAGAGACAAGTTGCAACTAGAGTTACAATTTTTTAGTTTTAGTAGTTTTGTTTTTAGACGTCTAAGTATCTGGCGAAAATATTTACAGCAAGATAAAGTGTTTCTTCTTGCAACTTAAGGTGAGTGTGCAAACGAGACATTAAATCAATTAGATTTTCTCTAATAATTAATTCTCTAGGATCAGTGATTACAGTTATTTTATAGTTTCTCTATTTATTTTTAAAATTAAAATATTAATAAATGCAAGATAAATTTAAAGTAAAATTAAGCGCAAAATTTAATGAATTTCAAATTTTTCATTTTTCTTTTATTTTAATCTTGAGAAAAATTAGAAAAATAATGATGCAAAATTTTAATAAAACATGTACCTATCTATCTAGGTATCAATTATAGTAATATTTTTTTTATTGTAAATAAAGGATAGTTTAAAGATTTTCTTTAAGTTATAATTTAACTCTTTAATTTATTTGATTGATATTATTTTGGTTTTAATTAAGAAAATTTGGCAAAAAATTTGTTGAAAATTAATTATTTCTATGGGTTTTAATCAAATAATTTAAAAAAAAAATAGCGGATAAAAATCATAATTTATCTATCACATATTTTTCCATTTATTTACTTTAAAAACTTGAAAACGGAACAAGGAATATATTGAATAACTCAATTTTAAATTGCTTTTTGAAGCCATTTTTGCAAGATTATTTCTATTTCAAATTCTTATTATTTTAGAAATATTTTTATCCTTAATCTTTGAAAATCTTTAGGACTTTCAATAACAATAGATAGAAATAATTTAATAAGTAATTACCTGTTGTTTGAAGAGGTGTTAGACTATTTAGTAGCCGTACTTAGGAACGTATTGAGGATTACCACCAAAAAGTTACTCTTAATAAATATCTTCTTAGGAAATTGCCTATTTTCTCTATTGTTCTTAGCTAGAGTTTGCATTTTACTTTTCATACTCTTAGATATAAAGACTGAAATCTTCTACCTCTTGGCAATCCATCTAATCTATTAAAATATTGCTGCAGACTTATGAATTCTCATCTTACTCTTCTTAGAATGTGTAGTTGCTAGATTTATTTTTATTTAATCCAGAGCTTGCATTTGTACTATAGCTGTTAACTCTAGTGCTAACAGAACTTAGCTCCTACATGCTATTTCCACTTTAAGAGTAATTTTTATATTCTTTGGCAATTGCTTATTATTATGAAGATTAATTCATGCTTTTTTATTAGTTGTTACTCATTTATTTAAAGCTGCTCATTCCGCTAATAGACCCAGACCCAACAAAAGAACTAGACTTATTGCTTATGTTTACGTTTTAAGATGAGGAGGGATTTTTAATGACTGCTAAATCGAAATCAGGAGAGCTACTTTAAGTGCTTATTTACTAAAATGTCATGTCTATAGGAGATAGGTCGTTTGAGTAATTGTTTAAAGTGCTGCTCTGTTATTAGTTTTAGCCAACTTAAGCAGGAAATTTAACACTTTACTTCATATTTTGCTAATCTTCACAAGCTACTGACTTTTAAGAGTAAATTATTTATTAGGGTTGTAACGAAACAACTTCTTCAAAAGGCATTCTTTATGAATAATTCATTTTATTTTAAAAAATTAAGTCATTTTAGTTACAATAGGTGCTCTTCATTGAATGTCTCTTTTAAAAAAAAGGAATAGTATTTGAATTTTCATCAATCATGGACATAGAAGTAGCAGGCTTTTATCTATTGCTAAGAGGGTTTTATAAATTTTAGGCATTGAAATCATTCTATGAATGGATTCCACGACTAGCATCTTAAGTGAAATCATTGATGAAATTGTACTCTTCGACAATTAAGTTGTTGTTAATCTAATTATGGGTTAAATAAAGAATGATTAATAAAATGCATTTTGAGAAGGAGAAACAACTGGATAGAAAGATTTTGATCACAAACTATTTTTTTTTGTATCATGTTTTTATTTATTGAATATGGATCTTGATAAAAAGAAAATAATCTTAATAATCTTGAATAAAAAAAACTATTTTACCTAAGCTTAATATTGGGAGGAATTCTATTTTTAAAAAGTTGACATCATTTATTTAATCTATTGGAGGTGTTTTTTGAGGGATTAATTGAATATAAAATGTATATGAAAGAGAAAGGGGTAGATTTGTTTGTTTATTTGTGTGTTTTTTTGGTGTGTTTGTTTGATAGAGTTTTATTCCTTTGTGTGTGATTAGTATTCAAATAAAAAACTTGATATTAATTTTTATCTAAGTATCTATCAATCTATCTATATATCTATTAAAGAATTCTTAATTTGGGATTTTTTATTTTTTCTTTCTTTTTATTATTTATTTATTTATGTGCTTTTTTATATGTATTTATTAATATTCTGTGTAAAATTTTTGATTTCATATTGATAATTTAATTCAATTTTCAAATACTTTCAAATTAAAAAATTAAAGTCTTTCCTTATATCCATTAATAATATCCCTTAATAAACTAAGTGATATTAAGATTCAACTTTATCAAAAAATATTTGAAATTTAAATGTTTTTTTTCTGCGAATACAAACAAGATATGCTCAATCAAAGACTAATTTTTACTTTGTTTGATTGACCAGCTGAAATATAAAATGCACATCTCTTACTCTCATTTATAATCTAAATATAGTATCTCTAAGCAAGATTGGTTATAAACAAATTATAAATATCATTAATTCTATTATTTATATGTACTTATTTTTGTATAAGTAGAATTTCAATTTTAAAATTTTAGGTATTATCGTTGATCATAAACATAATTTTTAGTTGTGTTTTTCATAGTCTATAAAAAAAAACACATCGAAAATTATTAATGTACAAAAAGAAATTAATCAGATTACTAATTAAAGAATTTTTGAATATTCATTTTTAAAAATTTAAATTCCTTAAAATCAAAAGACAGAATTTGCTAGCCTATCATTAAATTTATTGCACTAAAATTTTTATCAAACAAGATATTTGTTAGTTCCACTAAATTTGCGGTTTAATTGTTTTTGAAAATTTTAGTCGTTCTAAAATCAGTCTAATCCAAATATTTAGAAGAATTGATAATTCTATTTTAAATAAAAAAATACTGCATAAATTTTAACAATTTTAGAAATAGGAATTATTATCTATTCATTTAAGTTGAAAAATACCAAAAAAATATTTTAAGATGAAGTTTAAATAACAAATAGTTTTTTTATTAAGAAATTTTAATTTACGCTTGAAAATTCGAATTTAAATTTAAAGATGTTTACAAAAAGTACTTTTTAATACTAAAATATTCTTTAAAAACTATTAATAAAAAAATTTTGCTCTTTTAAAGCTTAAAATAACTTACTGAAAAAATGTACAAAGGTTTAAATTTTATTAAAATTAATCCAAAAATATTTTGGAAATATATTTCAGCATCTTTTTATTTTAAAATAGCTATAGACATATCAAAAGAAAAATTTAATTTTGATTTCTAGTAAGCTCAGAATACTTTTTGACTATTAAACCAATTAATAGTTCTAATTTTATCAAAGAAGATATCAATACAGTAGAATATATGTAGATAATAAAACATAATGCAAAGTATGTTATTGAGCACACAAAATTTATGAAACTTGGTATAAAATTTAAAAAATAATGATTAAATGAATTAAAGAGAAATGTAGCAAAACTCAAATAAATATTTAGATAAAATTTATTTTCATTTAGATAGTGATAGTTTATTACTCAAACAAAACGTGAAATCTACTGTTATTTTTATTATTTAAAGTAGTAAAATCAAAAGAAAAAAATAAAAATTATCAAAGATTGATGGCTTTTATTTTTATTTTCATAATTAATTCTAAAAGCTAATTCAAAGAAAGGAAAGTAATTGCTTTTACTAACATTATATTTTACTAAAATTTTGTAAATTTTAAGTGATTAATTTATTTATCTATTAGTAGAAATTTATTTAAGTAGAATTAAAAAAATAATAGAAAGGGTTAACAAAATTTAAAGAAAGAAATCAATTTCAAGAATGAAAAACTAGCGTAGCTCTACTCTTTCCAGTCCTTACGATTCTTATATGTATTCATAGGATTCTATAGAAATGAATTCTGCTTAAATTAATAACTATAAATTAGATGACTCTCCATTTTAAAAGTTAAGAGGATTTTCTTAAAATCCATAAAATAGAAATAATATAGATCCAAATAGTATTCTAAATACTTCCCCATTTGCAGAGGGTAATAGTTTAGTTGGCATCCCAATCACGTATTTAAATCTTTCTAACAACTCTTCTTAAGCAAACAACATCTAAGGTGACAATAAAAAGTAGTTATAGGAGGCTTAGCAAAAATTTATATAAGGTCAGTTCGCATAATCGCAAATATTGTTGCCAAAATCAAAATAAGTCTTAAAAGACTATAAAAGCATAAACAGAAACGATTAGTATTCTAATATCAATAAAATTGAAGATTCAGGCTCACCCACTGATAAAAATAGTGGTTTTGATACAGGCACGTTTGGTGGGTCAGCTAGAGAGGATACTTTTAACTTGCAAATAAGTCACAGAGCAAATAGCTAAGATGTTTCTAAGAGTCACAATAATTAATCTTATGAATCTCCTTATTCTAAAAATATTTCTACAGAATATAAGACAAATTAGTCTTTTATAAATGAAAATCAGGTAAGCATAGATAAATCAAAGCTGAGCAGCACACATTTAAGCTATTTTTCTCCTAGTCCTTTAAAGTAACCCAAGTAATCAATGTTGTTTAATGAACAGGATAAATAGCAGCAGCATTCTATAGATTATAAATTATCTTCTCCATACAAAGATAAAATTTACTCTAAATAGACAGAGAAATATCAAGTCAACTAGGACTTACAAAGTAAAGATTATTCAAATGTTAGCAAACAGATTAACTTAGTTTAAAATGAAAACATAATAATTCCAAAAGTCCAATCCTCTTAACCTGCTAAATAAAATCAATCTATCAACTATGCTTTGAATAACACAAGCTAAATTAGTGAATAAAATAACTCTTTTGCCATTTAAAATAATAGCATAGCTAATTTATTAAATTAAAATACTTAAAAAAACAATCTAAACAGTTAAAGTAAATATTAAATTAATAAATAAAAATATATAGGAGACAATTATAATTAATATAATAATTAAAACCCAACAACCAATAATATTTTATAGAAATAAAATTAGTTCAAGGAAGTAAAGTAATAGTAAAATATTTAAGATAGCAACTTTGATTAAAAAGCTTCATAAATAAGCAATTAAATAGATTAAAATTAGAGCCAATAAAATTTGAGTCAATTAGTTTTTAAAAAACAATTCACATTTTAAAAATAGTAAACTCTAGATAGTAATGAGTCTAAGGACTTTAATCAATAGAATTAGAATGTAAATCTCAATCAGTAGCCATAAAAAATATAGGTTTCATTATCTAAATTTTCAAATAATAATTAAGAATTCAATCCAACTGCTATGCTTACAAATATAAGTGAGCACTTTACTACAAATTAGAGTGCTGTCACACCTTAAAAATAATAATATGAAATTCCTTAAAATAGTATGAATGAATTTTATGAATAAATGTTTCAGTAAAATGAAGAATAAGGAAATCAATATAATACAAATAAGTAGAAAAATAGCAATCTTTAAATTTATATTGATAATGAAGAAGAGAAATACGAAGAAAGTAAAAAGCATACAAGCAATTAAAGAATTCATTCTTAATCTGATGACTTTAAACAAAGCTCAGGACTATTAATTTTTGACAAGCTTAATACTAATCTGAAAGAATAAGAGAAGTAAAATCAAGATAATTAATTCGATATTCTCAAGCTTTAGAGTGAGAGGGATAATTTAAAAGAATTTATTAAAAATTTGGAAACAAGAAATAATTTACTCAATGAAAGAATTCAATTACTCGAAGCTAACTTATCAAGCTTAAACTCTTAGAATATGGAAAATATAGAAAAGATTGTTAGCTTGAATAAATAGCTATCAGAATAGGATAGTAATTTCTAAAAGAAGGAAAAATTAACCAAAAATGAATAAAATTAACAATAGAAAGACTTAATTGAAGCAACTTAAAGATAAAGTGTGCTCTAATCTGAAATTTAAAAGCTGATACAGAGAGATTTAGAATAAGAAAAAAAGATATTAGAATTAACTAATAAGCTAAATACTTAGCAACAATTAAGAAATGATTACGAAAAGGCAGTTAAAGAGTAAGAGATCTTGGTAAAAAATAATTAAAATAGCATTTAAATTATAGAAGCATAAAAAGTAGAAATTTAAAAGCTTTAAAATTTATTATCTACTAAAGGTTAATAAGAATTTCCTTAAAGCAATTAATAGCAAGAAAAATATGAGGAAGACAAAAAAAAACTAGAAAATGAATGCCAAAAATTGATGGAGAGAAATAAAGTTTTAGAGGAGCATCTGTCAACTATGAAAATTTCTTGCTAAAAACTTGAATAAGCAATGGCAGCAAACTGTAATTCAACTAAAGGATGGCTTGAAAAATACAATAAATTAGAAAAGAGTTACTTAAATCTGTAGAATTAATTTAGAGTTGAGTAATAAAAACAAATTATGGAAAAAAATTTTGCATCTAAAAAGGATCTTATGTCTAATAGAAGTTAGTAGTCTTTCAATAGATTTAGATCGGAGCTATCGGAATAAGAGATTAAAATATAATTCTAGAGAAATTAAGAATTAATTAGGTCAGAAGTATAAAATGAAAGAGATGAACTAGATCACCAAAACTAGTAACTCATATAAAAAATAGCAGAAATCTAAAACTAGAACAGTTAATTAGAGTAATAAGTTTAGAACTTAATATAAAATAACAAAAAGTAATTTGAAGAAAATGAAATTCAAAAAAAAGACTTAATATCAAAATTGAATATTATGATTAATGAAAATAGTAAATTAATAGATGCTTATAATGAAAGACCAATGCTAATTTAAAAAATTTAGTAACTCTCATAGTAAAATCTAGAACAGTTTAAGCAGTTTGGAGATAATTCTACTCCATTTATAACTCAATTTAGCAATATAGAAAGTAGTGGATTATCTCTATAGCCTCCTTCTTAGTTTAACTCTCCATAAGAAGAAATAAAATGGTACAGACTAAAATGCAACTAGCTCGAAGTCAAGCTCAAAGTGAAGAGTGAAGAATGTGCCGAACTTATCTATTAGAACAAATCCCTTAAAAAGTAAGGTAGAGGAAACAACTTAGAAGAATTAACAATTAAAAGTAGTTTATACTAAACTTTTTAGCAATCACCGAACTCTAATTTGATAAAATAACCAGGAAAATTTCATTCAGAAATGGTATTAAATGCAAATAAATAAAATACCATTTAAGAAGAGAAAGATAACAGGGGATTCTGTGAAAAGTTATGTTAAAATAAAAAAGAAAGTAGTAGCAACAACAACATAAATAATAATGACCATGACATAAACTCTGAAACAGGTAGAGAAAGTTTAGCATGTAATGTAAAGTGCCTTTGAAAAAAACAAAATTTATTAATTTTAAATTTAATCTTACAATAAATGTTTATATATATAAATAGTATCTCAAGTGTATATGGTGTTTTATATTAAATATTATATTAATATAAATAAATTCCAATCAAATTTTTTTTTTAATTTAACTATCATCATATTACAATTAAATAAGAATATAATAATTTTAAGAAAAAATAATTTTTATTTTTCGTTTAAATTAAAATTTATTTTAAATTATTTGTATGAATTTATGTGGAACGAAACAATAAATTTGACATTCAAATAGATACTGATTAATTAATAAAATTGTAAATAAATAATAATTCAGACTTTATGGTTAATCGTTAGCCAATTAATAAAATTAAAGACTATATTTTTAGATTTTTGAGGTTAAAATGCTTCCTTTTTGAATAAATTTCAATATTTGATTAACAAATAAAAAAAATTGATTGTTTACCATTAATTATTATTATTTTAATAAATAAAGGAATATAAATTTTATAAATCAAAAATATCAATCAATTAAATTACAATTAATTAAATAGAAAAGTTCATACCCATTTTATTAATTTGACTGGAAGTAATTAATATTGATTGATATTTTGTAAGTACTCTACTTGTTATTAACAATTAAAAATACTAAGTAAAAACTTATTAAAGCAAAAATAAGTAGTAAGCAATTTATTTTTATAGAGTTTTTGGAGGTTAAGAAGAAATGTCTACATCAGTAGGAACAGCGTCTTACTCAAAAACTTAACTTCCAAGTAAGCAAACAAAGATATAAGCTAGGAATTAAGCAGACGAAGATCGCACACCACCAAGCAATACATAGAATGTTAAATAAAATAGTAATGTTAGTAATAATGTAATCGGCGAAAATAAAAAGAAAACTTAAATTTCAACAAACTCAACTCCTAGAAACGGAGATTTAAAAAATTAATAAAATTCTAATATTAAATAAAATGAAGCATCACAAAATCAAGCAGTAAATAAATCACCTTATAAAATTAATTAGACTAATCACAACAACGGATACTATTCGTAGAAAAGCTATCGTGAGTAACGTCATTAAGAGTTAGAAGAAAATTTTATAAATAAAAATTTATAGATAGGTGAGGCTATAGAAAAGTCGCAAAAAGATATTAGGTTGAAATTATCCTAGTAATCACATATGGCAGATATATTTTCACAATAACCACAGTCTTAATAAAGTTTATCAGATTGGAAATAGGATTAGCATAAAAATGGCATTAATATTTATTAATAAAATTAAATAAACAATACTTCTTAAGAATTTATTCCATAAACTCCAGAAGCATATAATAATGAATCAAATAACTACTACTAATATGAAGGTCAGAATGAATACAGAGAATAATAGAAGTTAAATTTAAAGCCTTCTGACACTAAATTATCAGATTATTTAAATTTGAGAAACTAAGTAAACTCTCCTTCTGTGCATTAAAGGTTGTATCATTAAGCAGTTTCGTAATAAAAGTAATAATAATAATCTAACTAATTAAATGATAAACAGCAAAATAACCATTAATCTATTTTTTCTGTTGGTCCCAGAAATTATTCATCAGAAAAGCATTCATAAAAATTTCGCTCTAGCTCAAATAGGAAACAAAGACCTACTTATTACAGTGGTACTAAAATTCCTCCAAATGAAGATGGTTCTTTTGTTAATGAGGGTTTATAATAAGGTTAAAATAATTTTCCTTAGAAATATTTTTCATAGTCATAGGATTTTGGTGAAGAAGGGAATAGCTCATTTATAAATAACAGCAGTTAAATACCATCATCATATTAAAAGCAAAGGAATATTGGGAATTCTCATCATAGAACACAATCTAATAATCGTTACTAAAGTAGATAAGAAGGCAAAAGATTAAATCTTCCATAAATAGATTAAAATTTAATAAATGCAGGTACGTTTCCCCATTCTTCAACAGTAAGAAATTCTCAAAAAGCATATTTTAGTCGATAATAATCACCATTAGGTTCAAGTAATGAATTAGCTACCCCAAATTCGAGAACTCCTCGTATATAATACAATCGAAGAGACAGTTCAACAAGAATCAAAGATCTAGGCAACTCTATTTAAGAAAGATATAGTGATAAAATAGAAAAAATGAAATTGAAATATTCTTCCAAAAATCCTTTCTCATAAAATACAAACCTAGATGATGAATTAGACTCTCATAGATATCAACAATATCAACGTAAGTATTCATTAAAAAGTAAAAATTTAAAAATATTACATAAATATAGAGAATGATGGACAACAATACAACATACAAAGAAAGGAGTACCAGTAGACTATATAGTAAGCTGCTATTAATATTGAAGAGTAAAGATAAAAAATAAGAAAGCATGAAGAGTAAAGAGACCAAGAAATAATTAATTAAAATTATACTTATAAGGATTATAATAGAAGAAGCAATGATTTCTCTCCTAGATTTTCTAAATAGGATGGATAAAATAACTAAACTGGCAACGATATTTATGAACAAAACCTTTAGGATAATATTTTTAAGTAATAGAAAAATCAAAATGACTAAATAGATAAAGGATAAGGCAATTATCTTTATAAGGACTAAATTAGGAAGCTTTCAAGTTACAACTTAAAATTAAATACAACTGAAGAAAGAATTTAAAAAATTCTAACAAAAGAAGATTCTAATTTTTCAGAAAATTAACAAATGGTGAAATAATTTTCCTAAAGCAGTAAAATATCTAATAATGCTCATGATAATTTACATTAGCAGCAACCTAATCAAGTAAGAAGAGGTTCTTTACAAAATTTGGATGGCATAACAAATAAAAAGTAAAGATATTAAGATATTGATCATGTTAATATGAATCAACGAGATTTACTTAATGAAAATAATGGATTTACTTAAAGCGAATACAATCACTCTAATTCACCACCTAATAATAGCTTTAATTAAATCCCTAGGTCAGACTCTAAAGCTAAGCGCATATAATAAAATTATTACTATTAATAAGAACCATAAAAATAAATTAATGATAATTAAGAATTTGTAACTCTTCCAAATTCTTAACCCTAAACTCCTCAATAATACTAATAAAAGCAATATTAATAACAATTTTAATAGCATTAACAACAACAATAATAATAGCAGTAATAATAACATTATGATAATGATGATTTTAGTAGAAATCAGACAAGAAACGAAATCAATAATAGAGATAACTATACAAATGAAGATTTATTAAATGAAAAATATAATAATATGGGAAATACCTAAAATACAAATATTGATGATATTTACTAAAGAAAGAGAGAAAATGTTGTGAAGAGAGCTTAAGAAAAACTCCATTCTTTAAATGATAAAATGGAGACATTTGACCATGTAGGAGACCTTAAAATGAAGAAATTATATCATAATTTGAATCCTTAGATAATAGAAAACTTAAAAGCTCCTTAGCATAACCAATAACCAAGTTATAGATAGCAAAACAATCCTCAAATAATAGATACATTTGAGAATACTAGTGATATCAAAGACTAACCACTCTAAAATGAAACAAAACCTTAAAATTAAATTAAAGAAAACTTTCGTACTCCATAGAAGTAATAAATAACTGAAAATAATAGAAGTAATTCAAAAAGGAGAGATTCCATTTAAAAAGAGTCTGGAAATTTAAGATACCCTCATAAAAGTTAAAATACAACACTCATTGATACATTTGAAGGAGAAAAAAATAATATCTATAATTATCATAGTATGGTAAATAATCAAAAATAAATATCAAAGGAAAGTAGTAGATTTGACACGTTTGATAGCAAAATTAAAAATTAATAATCACTTAATACTGAGTATTAATAAAAAATGTCATTTTTAGATAAAAAACTTGCAAATCTTCAATAGCTAAAGGAAAAATAGAAAAAGTAATATTTTATAGAATCAGATAATCCAAGATACCATCAACCCAATAAAATAGAAGAGGAAGATGAGAGATACAGAAAGACTACTAATGACTTATATGATGAATAACAGCAATATTATTAATATGAAAATCCATAAACAAATTAAAATTATTATGAGCAAGATTAAAATTCTAAAAACTAATTAAATTACTCGCCTAAAGCTTAAGAAAAAAATATTGAAATAAAAAATTACAACATGGTTAAAAAGCAACCAGTCAAGACAATCAACAAAAATATGAATGACTTGGAGAAGATATAAAGTAACTTAGGAAACATAGAAAAGTAATTAGAATAGTTGAACTAAAAATACCATAAATATTAACCAAACCAATAAGTAGAAGAAAAAGATATGGAAGATAGGTTGTTTACATTTTAGGTTGATGAGCGCATTTACAAAAAGTTTAAAAAATATCTACCTTAAGATATCACTTAAAGAGCCAACTAAATTTAAAAATTTGAATAATTTAGCACTCAACTCTCTGACAAAAAAAAATATGAAGAATAGCAATAATTAGAAGATTATTTAGATAATTAAATTAAAAATTAGCTTCAAAAGTTCTTACCTTTAGATGTGAGCTAGAGATTATAAATAGAAAACGAAAGCTAGCTTTATTAACCCCTAGAAGCAAGTTAAAATATAGAAAAAAATCCTCAGCTTGAGGATTATATCAATAAAAAAATTTAAGAAAGGCTTATGGCTTATCTTCCTAATGATGTAATAGCTCGCATGAATTAAATACCTTAGGAAAACTAAAAAGTCAAGAAAAGTAATTAAAGTATTAATTGATATTTATTATGATTAATTAATTAGTTTAATAGTATTATACAATACTATATATTTTTATTTTAGATTTTTACTTCCTTTAAAAATAATTTCTAAATATTCATAATTCTTTTTTGGTATTTGTGTGTATATAACAAAAACGATTGATTACTTCTCTTTCTTTTGATATAACATATCCCCAAAAAGTTCATTTTAAAAAGATTATATTTTTATCATGTTAAGTAATTATTTAATTTTAAAAAGAAAAAGATAAATTGTAATAGTAAATGACTAAAGATTCAGATAGAGTTTTGCTGGAAAAAATGAGTCCTTAAGAGTAGGAAGAGTTTATTAGGTAAAAAACTGAAATTGTCAATGAATATAAAAAATAATAAGAATAACTTATTAATGAGTAATATAAGCTAACAGATGAGAAAAATATAGAACTTGAAAAGTAAAGGATTCGTATGTAGTTAAAATCAAGCGAAAGAATGGCTAGATTAGACTAAAATAATTAAAAAAAAATAGTTTAAAATAAATCAAATCAAAAAAATTAATATGAAAACTATTATAATGATATTGAATCAAAATCTTAACAATAACAATAATAAAAACAACTGTTTCAACAAAATAGATAAAGAAACTATGTAGATAGCTAAAGAAATGGTAGTAGAGGAGGTTAGAATAACATTCTTTAATAGATTGATGCTTCTGAAAGTTAATATTTAACCAATAACGAATAGTCTATAAGTCCTAGAAGCACTTTTTATAAAAATTCAGCTAATGATGAAAAAACACACTCTTTTTTTAAAAATCACAACTAAAATGGTACAAGTGTGAGACAGTATAATGGAGTACTGAGCTAAGAAAATGATGATAGTGAATCACCAAAAAAAGCTGAAGTATTTGGTAAATTAGAATAATATGTTTATAAACCACCTAGATCAAGATCAATTTCTCCTACTAGAGAATTAAATGAGTCAATAAATTAAAGTCCAGATAATAATACTAAATTAAATAAGTCATACATAGTTAAATAAAGAAATGGGACTAACAATTCTTTTCTTTCCAAAGGAAAATATTCATTATTTTAATAAAATAATTCAAATAATCAATCTCCAAACAATAATCCTTACTTGCTTTAAGACCCAAATCATAATTAAAACGTTTCTTTTCCTGCAAAATCAAGCATAGAAAATTAAATTGATGAAGTTGTTCCTAAATAATAGAATAATTAATCATAAAAATAGAAATCTTTAGAAAAAGTTCCTTCTTCTCTTCTGATTTCCAATTAATAAGGATAGATAAGATAGGAAAAAGCTCCAAATAAATCATATTAATTCAAAACAGTATAAGATTTTAATTTTGATCAATAGCAGGGTTACAATGATCAATCTAAAAAAGCTCTGTATTCACAACAAAAACTAGATCCTATGTCAATCAGTCTTTCTAAAAATCATAAAGAAAGAAATGATTAGTAATAATAAAATATTAAAGATGATATTATTAAAGACAATTAGAAATCAGAAAAAGACTTGAATGAAATCTAGGAGGATACCAAAGAAAATATTTCTACTATTCACAATAACAGTGGAATTATTGCAGGAAACAATTCACCCAAATAGTCACAGATAATAAATGGAAGTATAGCTGAGTTAAGATATCAAAACAGTCAATAATAAGAAGATGGTTAAAAACAATTAAAAGATCATTAAAAAAATAATCAATAACCAAATTAAGGTATCTATGATTAAGCTCACTATAATAAAGAAAAACAATAGAAAGAATCATTGAAAAATAACAAAAAAGAAATCCCAAATGAATAAAAATTACATCACGAGTAATAGTTAAACCAAAAAAATCATCCTAACAATTAAAATTAGCAGAGTCAATCCGAATAAAGACAGGATTTGACAAAAAATATGAAATAGTTTAATGAGCAGAGTAAAGATCAAGATATGTTCAAATCAGATCCATAAGTAACTAACCAAAATCAAAGTAATCACTTCATTGGTAATAATTAAAACTCGTAGCTCGATTTTACTGTTTAAAATAAGTATGATCCTTAAAAAGAAACATTTAACAGTTTATTTTAGTTAAGCTATTTAGATACACCATTTCAATCAAATATAAAAATGAAAGTGTACAATTTATAGAATTCTAATCCTATAGATTTGGATTGGGAATTCAAGTATATGTTATAAAACCTCACGCCTATATCTCCTAAGCTATTTTAAGGAACTACCTATACAAAAGATTAGGAGACAAGTTAAGTTAATGTGAGATAATCAACATACATCTCATACAATTATAATGCCTCTAATCTTTGTAAGGAATATTTCAAGGATATTCATATTCTTTATCAAATAAACAAAGTAAAAATTTTTTTAATTTTATTTCATTAAAATAGTTAATTAATTGATTTTTTCTTATAAAAGGAATTTAGATAGAATAGAGAGAATACACCATCACCTATATTGCTTTCTCTTCCAGTTTGCTTTGAAATAAATAAAAACTAGTTGGAGATAATGTGCGAAACGAGTAAATTTTTAAGTATGACAGAAATGATTAGGAGAAGAAAAAATCAGAGTGGTTAAGCTTACAATGAAAATGAGTTGGCTTTTATTTTTCATAGCATTTTAAAGAGTATCGAGGTATTTGAAAAGAAAGGAATTTTGCATAGCTATCTAACAACTGACAATCTCATTTACTGCATAGAGTCATATTCTTATAAGTTGTAAAACTTTTCATTAAGTTAGGCATTTAGTGCTTCAGATCTATCAAAGAATTAAAGGATTTATAATATATATTATAAATAGCCTTATATTTAGAATGAATAGAACTCATAAACGAATTCTAAATAATGTAATTTTACTCCTTTTTATGCTGACAGATACGCATTAGCCATCTCCTTTTTCTGCATATAATAGCTGATAGAACCTACTGAAATAAACTAAAATGTTATTTCTAGAGCTATCAAGTTAATGGAATAAAAGAAAGATAATGCATCAGTAAGTAATTAAGTAATTCTACATCTGTTAAATTTTTCAAATCAGCAACAATAAGATACTTATAGTGTTAATTAGTTTTGGAGCTAAATTTTTAATTTACTTGACAGTATTTAGCATATATAACCTGATGACGAAGAACTAGCTTCTGTAACAATATCAAATTTAGATAACTAAGCATAAGATAAAAAGCATAATGTTGAGTATAGATCAGAAAGTGTTATCAAATAATTAGCTGATCAAAGCTACACAACATTTTAATTTTCAAAAAGTCTAGATTTGTATATACAATTGCTAGAATTGCAAGAGCAAAAATATGGAAAAAATGATGAAAAGTGCATACCCACATTAAATAAAATTTGGAAAATATACTTTAGCAATAATGATTTCGAAAAAAGTTATATTTATTGTATTTAATATACAGAATTAGCTAAGCAAAACTATTAAAAACAAAAAAAATTGCATTTATAGTAAACCAAAAAGACATAGTTAACATAAATTGACAGCCAATAAAATACGGAGTAGATGTCAGCTTTCAACAAGCTGTAAAGAAACTTAGTCACTGATTTTAACTTGAGTGGTTAGCTTAAGTGGTAGCTTGATAAAAAATAAGAAGCAATAGGTGATTATGAAATGGCACTCTAACTTTAAATAGAAATTTATGGTGAAAATGAATACAATGTGATCAAAAATATTAATAACATAGGTGTGTATTATTCTAATATTAATTAAATGGATAAAGCTATTGAGATTATAAAAAACGCTATTAGTAAAATGGAGCAGTAGAATATAACAGATTAATTATATACATCTGCTTTGTATAATATCGGAAATCTATTGAGTGATAATGGGTAATTATCAGAAGCTCTTCCTTATCTAACTAAGTCTTACGAAATCAAAAAGAAAACTCTAGGTAATAACTAAGAAGTGGGTAAATTGGCTCATCTGATTGGTACGCTTCATTTCTAGCTTAAGAGCTATTAATAGAGTTTATCTTTCTTGGAGGAAGCTGTCTAAATTTTACAAAAGTTTTCAGAACCTGATGACTCAGAATATATTAAGTATAAAAGAAATTATATTGTCTCTCTCGTAAAAAATAATTTACATCAATAAGCAAATTAGTAAATAGAATCCATTCTTTAAGCTTTGTCTTAATCTACTTTTCAATCTTTTACAGAAACACCTTCATAGGTTTACTACGACTTGGGTAGTTTCTTGGAGAAAATACTTAAATATGACTATGCAAAATTATCATATGAATAAAGTATTAATTAATTGAAGTCTAGTAATGTTGAATAAGATGATGCAACATTACAGGCTTGTCTAAAACGAATAAATTCTTTGTAAAATAAAATAGAAAATTAGTAAAAATCAGATTTAAAAAGTTAGAATTAGGAAGATTAGTAACAAATTGTGTCAGATAAAATGGCAGAAAATAAGTAAAATAAATAACAAGATTAGAAATAAGTTGTGCAGCAATAGATAATAGAGAATAAGTAAAATAAATAGTAAGATTAGAAATAAATTGTGTAAGGTAAAACAATAGTAAGTAGTTAGAATAAATAGCCTGATTCGAAATAAGCTGTGTAAGATAAAATGGAAGAAAATAATTAAAATAAGTAGCAAGACTAGAAATAAAATAACCACTAGCTTGAAACATAAATTAATAAATAAGAGCATAAAAGTATTGATTAAAATATTATTAATAATCCCTAATCTTTATAACCAGATAATAATCATGCTGATATAAAACCAAAACAAGCCCAATAAGAAGCAAATAATTAAAATATAAACAACATAGTGATAAATGATAACAATTAAAATAAGAAAGAAGTGAATAGTAGTAATCTTAACAGTAATAACAATAAAACTAATAACAACAGCCACAGTGATAACAACAATACTAATAGCAACAAAAATATTATTGCTAATAACAATAACAATATTAGCACCAATAACAATAATAACAACAAAAATAGCAATAGCAGTAATCATATTTAATCATTTAGCAACATTGTTTTTGATGATAATAAAAACAATTAATAACAATAATAAAACTTGAAAAATTCAACTAACAATAATTCTAAAGATGTAAATTAGAATAATTAGAATACCTCTATTCCATATTAACTTAAGGTTTCTAGTAATATTAAATAAAATTAAGCTATAAACCAGGATAAATAAACATAAGATGAAGCAAATAAATAGGGTGATTCACAAATAGCAAATTAAAATCAACACAATTAAATTAAAACTGATAAAAATAAAGACTCAAATTAAGGAACAAATAATCAATAACCAAAAATTTGAAAATATAGTTATTAAAGTTCTTAAAAATAGGTCTAAGTTTTATGTTTTGATTTGGTTTGTCTCAAAAATTATAATTTGGGATATGTTTGTTTAATAAACAAATAAAACAAAATAATATTATCAATACTATTTTTAAATTATACTGTTTATATTTTAATGTTAGAATAAGTTTATTATGATGTTTTTCATAGAAATAATTTATATAATAAAAAATATAAAAATTTTCTTAAATATTTGTTTTATTTCATTGTTTTGATAAAATATATTTAAATAATAACTATGAATCTTTTATTCAGTTTGGCTATCATAAAAAGATGTAATCAATAGTTTTACAATTTTATTATATAATAATAATTCAATAAATAATTTTTAGATATTCAAAAAATAGCGCTCAAATAAAGAGTACACAAGCATTGAAATACAAACAATAGTCATAGATAATAATTATAATAAATAAAGGAAAATTAGATTAAATTAAAAATGGAAGAACCTAAAGATAATTACAAGCAAAAGTTTGAAATATTAAACGTAAGATATTTGAATAAGGGACATCCATTTTAAATATTATTTCATTTTTATTAATAAATAGAAATTGTACAAAAATTTAGAACACACCTGTATAGAAACGCAAACTAAAATTGAATATATGAATAAAAAGAAAGACACTCTAAAAAAGAAAATAGATTTTTTAAAATTGCAGTTAAATAAATTAGTAATTAATTTGTTTGTTAATTGATAAAACATTTTAATAAAAGCATATTTACTTATTTTTCTTAAAAATAGAATGACATTTATGATGATTATCCACAATAATGAACAATTAATATTTAAAAATGGAATAGTTTCTTCTTTCAAAAGATATAAAAATATATTATATAAATCAATTTAACCAAAGCAGCTTTCTTTTAAATAGTCTATTATTGATTTAATAAACTATAAATATAAAAATACTTAAATTTTTCAATATTTTATCCTTTGCTCTGTTAATAGTAATTAATATTTATTGCACATTAAGATTTGTTTGAATTTAAGATAAAAAGATTTTTATATAAAATTAATCACATTTTTATTTAAATTGAAATAGTTTTTTGTATGAAATTTTAACTTTTTTATATTTTAAGTAATTAATATATTTTATTTTATTGCATTCATACACTGAAATTAAATTTGGAATTTTAATGAATAAATGTAAAAATTATTTTCGAGAATATTTACTATGATCCATAAATATCTCAAGCAATTTCTTATACTTGTGCTAAAAATTAAATTTATACTGATGACGATCAAAAATATTACAAAATATTACATAAGATTAGATAGTATGCAAATTGCAAGTAAAAATACTTCAATTTTAAAGCATCAAATAAAGTGTAAATGTTTTCAAACAGACTTATGCAACTTAGTGAGTCATTGATTGTACGTTTAGTGGTTTTGATTGGTTAAAGGAATATTATGAAAATTCTTTTTCTATTTTTATCAAATTTCGCTAAATTAAGTAAAAATTTGGATCAATATTATGATAAAAGAAAAAATACTAAAGATATATTATCATAATTTCTGATTAAGTTAAATAAATAATAAATAAAAAATTTTAAGTAAATTTAAAAACTACTAGCAGTATGAGTGTTTTAAAAAAACTATAAGAAGTTTTTGATATAAATGAAGTAATTTATTTTTATTCTCCACTTGCAAGTTCTGCCTTCTTTTTATATACTCAAATTTTATTTTTATTACCTAAAGTCTACTTTGAGTGGTTGTGTTGATATTATTTGCATAGAGTAGCCTGATAAAACTCTTAAGTCCTCTTCTTTCCATGTTAGATTTGGAAAGTTCAAAGTACTTAAAAGCAATGAAAAGATAGTTACTATCAAGATTAATGATATAATTCAAAAAGTTACTATGAAGATGGATTCAACAGGAGAAGCTTATTTTGAAGATATTGTAATCAATTTTCATATCTATTTTTTAAATTAAAATTAGCAAAACTCATTTAATATTACTTTATTCTAAAAAAGAGAGATGAAAGCGCTTTGGAAAAAATATTTAATGCAGGTCTTTCATCAGATGATGCGTTTTCAGATTATGAAAGTATTTCCAAAATGTATATCATTTAAAGTAACAAATATACATAATTATATAGTACCAAATATGTAATCAGATGATGAAGGTGCATTTGACAAAGAAAAGATAAATGAACAGATAAGCAGTAAATAAAATTCAATTTATAATGAGTTTATAGCATTATAAACGTTAATAAAAGAAAATTAGTATAGGTTTGATGATTTAGTTTCTCCATACAAAGACGTAAAAGAAAAAGAAAAAGAAGGAAAGTAAGCAAATAACATAAATGTCAGTAATTAAGGATAGCAAACTAAGGAAAAGGAGGTATCAGCTCTACCTTAAAATTAAAATTAACCTGAATAGAAGAAAGGAGGATTTTGGCATTCTATTTTTGGTGGTAGAAAGAAATAAGAAGATAGTATAAGTAATCAGACTAGTAGAAAAAATTCAGAAAATCCTACTTTAGAAGAGCTACAAAAAATTACTTAAGAGTAGGTTAAAGAATAGAATATAAGTGAAGTAAAATAAGAAGGATCTACTTAACTGCCAAGTTCTTCATTTAATTCTAATGGTGTAGCTTCAAGTGATATCGAAAGCGAAGTTGATAAATTTGTTATCAATGACGAAATTTAGGAGCGCAGTAAAAATTAATAAAAGAATCAAAATATAAATAATAGCAAATCTTAAGTCAGTAATTCTAATAGCTTGTAATTCAAAGAAGATAAATATAAAATGAGTGAAGTAGTAGAAAATTTAGAAAAAAAGAAGCCTTCTCCTTCTATGGAAAAGAAATCATCTACTGAAGGAGTAAGTGAAACCTTAGAGAGAAAAGAAAGTTAAAAATAATTAAACACTAATTAGAGCCAGACAAATACCTAAAATTCAGAAAGTAAATTATAATATAATAACTACCCACCATTAAAACTATTCAAAAGCAATAATTGAAACTGTTTGAAATTTTTTTCATATTTAAAAAAAGAGGATAAAAAGAAAGATGGAAAAGATTAAAATAAGATTGAGATGAAAGATCTCATTGATTAAAATAAAGATCTTAAAGATTTAATATCTTCAAAAAAGCAAGATAAATAGTAAGTAGCTTAATAGGAGGCTGGTAAAATCTAAGAAGTTAAAGAAGAAGGAAATGAAGAGGAAGAAGATGAAGAAGAAGAGGATGAAGATGAAATGGAAATAGGTTTATCACTTTGCAATAACGTTTAGCAGAAAAAAGGTGAAAATAAATCATTAGATTAGTTATTTGAAGATTATAAAGTTACTTATGAACAATTCAGTTAAGATCCAGTCAAGGTTAAAATTTATTTAAAGTCTTTAAATTAACTTAGGTAATTTGTATCTAAAAATAGATTTTAAATGATAAAAATCTTTTGCTTAAAATTGGATATCATTTATATCCCTTAGAAATTGCTTCCACAATTCTTATTTGTCGTTTGGCATTCAAATAAGAAATCCCTGATAATGTTCTACAAAATATGATTAAGCAATAAAAAAAGAAATCATCTTCTGGTTTCTTAGATTTCTTTTTCCGCCGTAACAAAAATGAAAGCACTCCACAGTAGAAGCCAGTAGAAGTAGAGCATACTTAGCAGAAAGATAAAACCCTCAAAAAAGATATTTCTAATTTACAGTTAAATTCAGGAGACAAAAATGATTAGTAAGTATCTAGCCCAATACAATCCCCAAAAAGTGCTGATAATCTTGATATAAATAAAGCTAGAAAAAATAGTGATGAACTCTCAGTTGTGAGTGATTCTAACTCAGTATTTGGAAAATAAAAAATTAGAAAAACATTTAGACCAAAATCAGATATTCTCAAATCTTTTAATTTAAAACCTGGTGCTAACAAAATTAGTTTCACAGTAGTAACTAAATTGCTAGGAGAATAGACATTGGAAGGATATATTTATTTATGGTAGAGCAATGTCTAAATTGTAATTTCAGACATAGATGGAACAATCACCAAGTAAATTTTATATTATTTCAATAATATTAATAATAATAAAAAATTATTATAATAAAGATCTGATGTACTTGGCTAAATTATGCCTATGCTTGATAAAGATTGGACTCATGAAGGCGTCATTAGTTTATATTAAAATATAGTCAAAAATGGCTATTAAATTTTATATTTAACTGCAAGAGCTATTGGGCAAGTAATTAATTAAATTAATTGATCTAATCTATATTTTAAAATATTATAATTAAAGTCGGAGTAAACCAGAAAATTTATCTATAATGTGAAGCAAGAAAACGTCAATCTCCCTTTAGGACCTGTAATAATGTCATCTGATAGATTACTTAAATCTTTTAAAAGAGAAGTTATAGACAGAAAACCTGAGGTTTTTAAAATTGCTGTTTTAAGAGAAATTTAGTCTTTGTTCCCTAATAAAAACGTCTATTATGCAGGATTTGGAAATAGAGAAACAGTAGAATCAATTAATTTAATTTATAAAGTTAAATATTTTTTATATTAAAATAAAGGATGCTGTAGCCTACAGAGCAGTTTAAGTTAGTATTTAAAAAATTTACATTATTAATCCAGCTTCAGAGCTTCACTAAATAAATAACACTTTCAAAAAAAGGTAAGGATTTAAAAAGTTTAATATAAATTTATTTTATTATTTTATTTATTTAAATAAATAAATAAATTTTTTATAATTGAAAAGCTATTTATAGTTAAATGATATGGTTGATTAAGTATTTCCTCCCATCAAGCAGGAAGAAGATTAAATTTAAGAAGAATATAATTCATTTAATTTCTGGAAAATAAAACCACCAGCTGTTGAAGATATTAACTAACTATTAAGCGAATGAAATTATTTAATTAAAATAAAAAAAAATCTAATAATTTAATTTTAAGTATTTAACAAATTTGTTTGTTGATTTTATTAATTTAGCTGAAATAAATTATCATTTTTTTTTTTTCAAGTAAATTAATATTAAATTTTTCAAAGCTTCATTACTTTAAGCAAAAATTACAAAAACTATTTGCTTAAACATTTAATCTTTAAATTAAGATTTTATTTATTTTACTATCTGATCGATTCAAAAATTATTTAGTATTTTTATTTCTAAAATATTTCATTTTTTTATTTATTAAATAAAATATTATTTAAAAAAAATTTTAACACAAAAAATAATTAAAATTATAAAAAGCTAAATTATCTTATTTTTTAATGATTAATAAATTTATTTGCTATTTTTGAGGATAATAAATAAAATTTTATTACTTTAAACAAATACAAAAGCTTTAATACATCAAGTAAAAAATATTTTTTTTAGAAAACATTAATTCAATAAATTAAAAATAGCAATCATAATTAATTTACTATATTAATTATTTAGTTAAATTTATCTAAATATTCATAAAACTTGTTCTTAATCATTGACTTATTAATTTATTTTAAAATCAAAAATGTTTTTGTTTTTAATATTGGCCATTCTTTTTTGTTGAAATAATTATTGTTATTATTATTATCTTAGTTATATTGTCAATTTTATGCCAAAATATTTTTTGAATTGAAAGAAATACTTAAATTTTCAATGTTATTATTAAGAAACATCAAAAAAAGTTTGATAAAATTTCAAATTAAAAGATTTGTAAAATTTAGATAAAATCTTTGTATCTTATTTTAAAATATTAAATGGATAGCTCTTAAAAATAAATTAAAAGAATTAAGAAACTTTATAATATTCTTTACGAATTAAATTTTTTTAGGTCTTTTGTTATACAAGATAAATGCAATCTCCCAAACTACATAGATCCAAATTAGTTTACTGATGATGATGAATAATAAGTAACTCATTATTATTATTATTATTATTATTTTTATTTCATCTTTAAATTGAAATCAGAATTTTCTAACTATTCGTAAGTAAATAGGAAATACTATCTGAGTTTTTGATGCCATTTATTAAACCAGGAGATAAGCATTTAGATCTTATTGAATTTCTAATTAAAAAGTATTTTAAAAACTTACTTAAACTAATTTTAGAAAATATTTAAAAAGCTATAAATTCATAATAATATTAGGATTTCCAAAGATACTTTTGAAAAATGTGTGCTTTATGAAGATGACCCTTACGAGTTTAGAGTTAAAAGTATATTTTTTATTAAGCTGTATTGATTTATATAAAAGGTCATTTATTTAAATCTTAGGAATTAGAATTATGTCAAGTAGATTAGGAATACTAGGATAGTCTAAATTTTCAAAAAATTTAAATTTTAGTAAAGTAATTGAAGGAAAAAGTGGTGTAGAACCTAGTGTGAAATTTATTTATGAATTGTCTAAATTAACTAAGTCGATATTGAAAACAAAAAGATAAGAGAGAGAATTAACTCATAGATAGCTATTTTTAGAATGCACTTATACTATGGTTGAATTGTTTTTTATATAAAGAAATTTATTTAACAAAAAATATAAATAGAATAACCTCATAAATGTAGATATAAATCCTTTTTCAGTTGATTTTCCCATAGAAAATGAATTACTGCAGCATGACGATATATAATTTTATGTAAACAACATCGAAGAAGAGGTAAACAAAGATAACGAGCTTTTAGAGGGAATTTAAGCTGAAAGAAGCAATAATCAATAAGACGATGAATAGTCATAATTAATGGATGCATACATAAATTAAATAGAAAAAGATGTTCTAGAGTCATTTGAGCTGTGTAAAGAAGATTTAGCAAGTTATAAAAATTAGTTAGACTTCCTTAAAGATTAAATTCTAAAGTAAATTTAAATATTATTTGTTTTAAATTAATAATTTTTGAAAAGGATATTTGATTTAGGTAGGAAAGAAACATCAAAGCTACAAAAAAAGATTTAATAGCAAGACTTCGATAAGTAAGATGAAAAAATCATTACTATAGACTCTAAATTTTAAAAGATTTATAGAAACTTGCAATAAATTTAAGATTAGCTTATAACTTGTAACAATAAATATCACATTGATGATAGACTTTAAAATTTAGTAGAAAAAATTACTTAATTTGATTAGGATTTGAAATAAAGTAATAATGACTAAGTCTGAATAGTAATTCAGGTTTTATTTTAAGAAAAATTAAATTTTTGGTTGATTATTTGATAGAATGAATGATTGATTGATAATAATTTTATGTGTCATAACAAGTTAGTTAGAACTTAATTTGAAGACAAAATAAAATAAATTTTACAGATAGTTTAATTAAATTAATTCATACATTATATTACTCGCTAACTACACTTATTTCAGATATAATTTCTTTAAATGCCTATTTTTTAATTTTAAAGTAAAATTGATATTTTATATTGTTAATTTTTAAAAGTAAATTTAAAAAATTATTTATTTTAAGTATTAATAATTAATTATATAATTTTATTTATTTCATTTTTATATGTTTAATTTTTTATGAAAATGAATACCTTAAATTCTTATAATGAAAGAGCAAATTGGTCGTGGATTACTTCACCTGTACTAGTTTATACAGTTAGCTCTAATTTAACATAAATTTTATTAATTTCTTTGTTTTTTTGGTCACTTAAAAAGGAACAAACATTCCATTTCATATCTATCAACTTTCCTAAATTTATCATTTTAACTATATTTTATTCCTTTTATTTATTAATATAAACTCTTTAATTCAATCATTCATTTATTATCTTTAATAATCTACATTTATTTGTGATTAGAATAAGCTCACAAAGATAGACATTCTCTCTTCATCAATCATTGTATTTTCTTTCAAGAAACTCTGCATATTTTTTGCAGTGAGACCTTTCTTAGATCCAAATCTACATTAAATTTATGATATTTTGAAATTACGAATCTTGCCAATTATTTTATAATCTATACCTTGAAATATTTACGAAAGAGTCCAAAACAGAATGAACTTCTTCCTCTTTTAATTCAGGTGCTTCAGTCAAGCAGAGCTTTATATATTAATAAGAAAATTAAGATTTTTTAAAGCCTAAATTATCTTATTTTACCTCAGTTAATTAGGTTTTTTCAAATTCATTATTCTAATTCTTTGTAAATTTTATAATCTACTCAATCTAATAATTATAAATGTTCAAAATAAAAAATTAACATTTTATTTCTATTTTTTTAACATTTAGATTTACTATATAAATAAATAGTGCCTTAGGTATTTTGTTGCTAATATTGATACCTCTAATAATGTCTATGTTTAATGCAAAATTTTCCATTTTATTTAAACCTATTTTTTTTATTACTTCTTTTTCTTTTATAAAACAAGTGAAATCTTCAAATTAATTTTTGTTATATTTGTAAAAAGATTTGGAATTAATTAACTAAAAAGACCGATCCGAAATTAGTAAATAATTATTTTTTATTTCGTATCCAATCGATCATCATTTAGATAGATTTAAATCATTTTCACTCAAATAATAGAATATCTTTTTATTTCTTTAATTATAATTTCTTTCCCTGGTATTTAACTTAAATTTTTAGCTTTTTTGCAGCAATTTGTAAATTAATAAATTTTATGTTGGCTAAAATAATTTGCAAATATTTACTTAAAAATTATAAACTAAAATTTTTATTTGTTATTAATAAAAACTAAAAATCATATTATTAATTAAGAGATAAGAATTATTTGGAGTTTGTTAAAATATTTCATAAATCAAATAATAATAAACATTCAAAATCAATCCTTTTGAAAATACTAACATTTATTTTTAATGAAATTTAATTTAAGGCTAGAGTCAAACTGAAGAAAAATCTTTACTTAGCAAATTTTATCTGTATATTTTCAAAGAGAAAAGAATACTTTTAGAAAACTAAAGAAAAATTAAAAACTTCTGAAAGCTTTTAATTAATTAATATTTTGAAGAGGAGTTTAATTTAGAGTAGAAATAGGATTAAGAAAAATGTTTCTTTTAAAAAAAGTAGGTTAAGCCTTATGTAAAAATACCATTAATGTGGTTAAATAGCAACCCTTGCAATAACAATCAAAGCAAATGATTCAAAGCTCATTTGATTTTAATTCTTTGATATTTATGCCTTACTAAACTTTTGCTTTTGCATAATTCCCAAAAATGTTTAAGACATAATACAAAAAAGGTAGATTAAGCTCTAGATTTAGAACTAAAAGTTCTACTTGGAAGAGAGGCCCTAAAACTGTTTTAAAAGCTCACAAATAATCAAATCATAGTGCTTTATTGAAGAGAATTAGAATCGTAATATTTTAAAATATCTTTATTTTAATATTTAGATAATAAATTTTTATTTATCATTACCAAATTGGTTTTTGCAAAAATAGATATTAGTATATGACAACTTTAACAAATTAATATAAAATATGAAAATTTTAAAATTTGAATATAATTTATTTTAAAAATCAATAACAGGTTGGTCCTTCTTGGGATAGAAAATTGAAGTTTAAGAGTGCTAATCATCGCCATTAATTGAGAAAGAAAAGTAGAGCTTGTTTAAAGTAATATCAAATTATATATAAAATCTAAATAAGATTTTTTAAAGCCAAAATAAAAACAATAAAATCATAAATTGATATATAGAGAAATCATTTACTTGAAAAAAATAATTTATTTATGACAGATAATATTTGATTCAATAGAAAATTTTATTCTATCAAATTTAAATATTTATTTTAAAAATGAATCATAGATAATAACTTAATTAGCAATAAATATCATAATTTTAAAACTAAATTGGTTGATTATTCTTCATACTACTTTGCTTGAATAATTACTCTTTTTATAAGAAAACATGTTTTTAAATAATATCTTAAAATTAAAATTATAGGAGAAAGAGAAGAGCTAGATATGCTCACCCTACCGATTTTAAAAGACTTAGAAGATTAATTCCTTCTCTTAAGAAGGCTAGCTTCAAGAATAACCATTGAAGGGTTTAATAATTATTTAAATAAAATAATGCACCAAAATATAAAATATTTAGTTAGTCAGCAAACATTTTTGTAAATGGTTTTTAGTTTAATATACTTGAAATATCTTACAGTAAATAAATAAATAAAATTTTATTTTTATAATAATAATAAAATTTAAAACGTCTTTAAAATTTTATCTTATCAATTCATTTTATTTTTCATTTAATTCTTTATTTATCTTAATTAAATGATTGTAACCAACACATTGTGTAATAAATTAGAGAGTAGTAAGTGTATTATATAAAATAATAAGTTTATATTTTTAAATTTTATAAAAGATTTATTCATTCCCTCATTAGTATTTTCTAAAATGCAGCAATCTTATAATATTTAATTTTTAAGAATATCTTTTCAATATTCATTTTAAAGTGTTATAAAATGTGTAAATATTTAATTAATTTAATATAATTTGAAATTTTGTTACTTAAATTGATAAAATTTTATCCTCATAACTAAAATTAAATAATTTTAAAAATATTATGCTATCAACTAATTTTTATTTTTTTATTTAATTATTCATTAACATAATTAAATCTTAGTTAAATGATTGTAACTAATACTTTTTGTTGTAATTTAGAGAGTAAAAATATATTAGATAAAATAACAAATAACTATTTTATAATTTTATAAAAAGATTAATTCATACATTCACTTTTTTGTTTTTTATAAAATGCAAAGTAAATAAAATCGAATTTTATTATTATTATTATTATATTTATATTTTAAGAATATCTTTTTAATATTCAATTCAAAGTATTACAAAATGTCTAAATTTATTAAGTTTAAAAAAATTGAAATTCTGAAACTTAATTAAATAGATAAAATTTTATACTGATAATTAAAATTATATAATCTTTAAAATTTTATTCTATCAACTAATTTTTATTTTTTCATTTAATTCTTAATTAAATGATTGTAACTAACACTGTGTGTAATAAAATAGAGAGTAAAGAATATATTAGATAATATAATAAATAAGTGTTTTTAAATTGTGTCGTAAGATAAATTCATTCATTCGTTTATTGATTGATTCATTTTTTATAAACTGCAGCAAACAATACTGAGTTTAATTCTTATAATATATCTATATTTAGCATACCTTTTAATTATTATTTTCAAAGAATTAGAAATTATAATTCAAAATTTAATTAAATTTACCAAATGCAAATGGCCTTATTATTAGAATATCTTTTTAAGAATCATACGGCTTGTATTTGATTGATTTCATAGATGGTTCGAAGTCATTTGAAAATATAAGTTGCTGATACATAACAAGATTGTCAGCTATGCTTTTTTCTCTTTTTTATTTGATAGAGAATTGTGGGAATATAATATTTTTTCCATCTTCTATTGGATTCAATTCTTATACAACTATTTTCCTCTCTCCTAGATCTTTGCATAAGCCATCAAAGTCTTTTTGTTGCTAGTCATTTTCTTTTTTTTGTTAAAAGCTTATGTAAAACAAAATATCTTTAAACTACTTTTTTAATTTACCCATTTAGACAATAAAGAAGAAAGTATTGGTGTGATGAGTTTCTATCAAGTAAATAGGATGGTACATAAACTCAGAATTAGTTTAATATATACTGGAATAGCCTAGCATCTTTATTTTTTTATTACAATAATTTTTAATATATGAATAAGTATTTAAATGTAAAATACAAAGTTTATTCTGACATAAGGCAATTCATCTATCTAAATTTATTATGAAGAATTCCATCTAAAATACTGTTCTGTATTTGAGTAATATATCTTTTCATAAAATCAAATTTAATAATATTAATTATATTAGGTTAAATTTACTTATTTCTTTTCCTTAATCTTATCAGAATAGTCAAAAATACTATTTAATCTACTTAAGTAATCGTTAAGATCACTTGCTGTTGAGTACTCAGAATGCTTAATGTCCTTTATCAATTCATATTCCTTACTTAAATTTTCAAATTCTTAAACTTTTTACCAGTCACACTCTATACTTTAAATCTCTTATTTCAGTTCACCTTTCTGGATATCAAATAAAAGTGCTATATTCACAGAACCATTATTAATAAAGTTATTTTCTAATTTTTATTTAATAATTCTTTTTTTAAGAAATTTATATTTAAAAACTTACCTTAAGACTGAGGAGTAGCTGAAGCTTATTCACCTTTAAGTGTTATACAAGACTACAACTCATAGAACACAGGCTCGATCTACTGAAGCTACTACTTTTTAGGTTAGTTCTATGGTCTTTTGCAATCTATTTAATAATTAAATATAATATAAATATTTTTATCTTAATTTTCAATTTTACAATATAATTGGGAATCGTAATCGTCTTGGTATTCAACTTGAGTAAACTAATTTTATTTTATAGCAGACTCCATTCTCTCATTAACTCCAAACATAAAATCATCCCTTTCGAATGTAACTAGAGCAATTAATATTTCAGAGCATGGATCATTTTGGAATAAAAACTTCTTTACCTGATCAAGTGTTTTATCAAATAAGAAAGCATCTTATTCTAAGCTTAAATTTTATATTGAGAAATGTGATATGATGAGTTTTCTTTCATCAAAATTGTATTTATCAATATGAGTTATTAGCAAACCTTTTTTGGTGTAGTCCCTAAAATAGATAAAAAATACATTTGTCTCTTGCTATATTTTTATTTCAGTAATCACTTCAATTTGGTCAAAAGGAAAGCTTTTTAAAAAAGGATTTTCTTCATCAGTACTTGCTTTAAATTCTTCGAAGTAATTTTTAATGAACAAATGCAGCTATTCTTCTGAAAGCATACATGGTTGTATTGAAATTTCCTCAAGCTATTTAGTTTTGTTAAATTTAGAAGGTAAATTTTTTATTTTTGAATTCTAGGGAGAGTTAAAGGCTGATCCACTTGGACTATTACCAGTATCAAACCTCTTTTTTTAACTAAATGAAGGCTAAAGAGATCTTTGTCTTAAATTAAATCTTGATAACGGTGTTTTTTCATTTCCCATTTATTAATTTGAGTTAGAAGCCGAACTTTAAGTTTTTAATGTTTGTCTTTTAAACTTTAAACTCTTTAACTTCATCAAGCTGCTACTGCTTACGCTGTTACTAGTGTAATTGATATAAATTAAAAGTTCAAATTTAAAATATTTTTAAATCAATTATTTATTACCTGTTATGTGACAAATACTACGTAGCATTTGGATTGAAAAGAAGAAGTTGCTATTGTTTCTCATTTTCTTCACTAAATTACAATTCTTTTTAGAGTCTATCCTACAAATGCTCTAATCTCTTTTTTGCAAGCTTTGGAATGAAATGGGTAATTTGGTAAGGCTTATTGTTATCACTGATGGTAAGATTCATGAGAAAAGGATCTATACCAGTTGAAAAATTAAAATATTCGCTTATGCTTCTATCACTGTATTCTATTAAATCTGTTTATATCTAAAAATTAATTTATTTTTACTATAATTAGAGTCAGTAATAATAAAAAAATATTCAATACTTTTAGGAGGTAATTATCATTATTATGAATGTAAGCTATGATAAATGATTATTTTTTATCATCAACAAAGCTTGAAAGATATAATTAGAGACTATCTTTCCACTTACAGATACTCTCTACTACGTATAAAGTAATTTATCTTATATGCACCAATAACTTTGAAATCTAAAATATTAAAAATTTAAGCTTATAAAAATTTTCATTTTAATAGTTCAAACCTTTTCAACTATATCGATTCTATGTTTTGTTTCTTAAACTTATTCATATTCGTTGACACAATCTTCTAATTCTTAAATACTTTGTTCTCTTTAATCAATATACATCATACATTATTGTATATTGCTTTAGTTATTCTTAACTTTTTGTATTTCTTTTTGAATAAACCCTACTGCTTAATCTTTTGGAATATGCCTCAATAATTCAGCATAAATTTCTCTATATTTTAAAATTAAAAATTAACTTTTTCTACATATATTTGTTTGATATATTTTACTTATGATGCATTGGTATATTGAATAAGCTCCATTCATCCTTTAGCTATTAAAATAATTCTTCTAAATACATTTTAAGACTATACTGTGTCATGTGTATGTGTTGAGGTAAATTAACTTAAGGCTAATATTTTCTCAAAACCTATCTCTTAATTTCTAATGCTTAAACTAATTATTTAGTCAAAACGTTACTAGATTTGAAATTTATATTAAAATATGTTTTACGTTACTGATTTCTAGGTGAAAGTAGACTATAAGTATTACTCATTGCACTTAAAGGAGCTACTTAAAATGAGCTTTAAGGTTTAGGTGGAAATTAATTCTGAGAATGATAATTTATCTAATTACTAATAAAAAATTGTGATTTTGTAAAGACTCTATTGTTTTTAAATAATTTTAATTTCTTACTTAGAAAAACTTCTTGGATAGTAACCATCTTAGTTGATCTTTTCTATATTTTATATTATGGATTTAATTAATTAAAATAATATGTAGATTTACAAAAATAATATTTATAATTTTTCTAAATAATTGTATACCTAAATGCCTTTCCTTTAGTTTCCTATATTGAGGAGTCATTTCTTTAGCAACTATTCTATCATTCCAACCATGTTCCTTATTAAACAATAAAAAAACTTCGTTTTGCACTCATAAATTTGCTTTTAATTCTATTCCTTTAAAAAGATTATTAAAAATAAAATACTCTTTAAATCATGTGATTCATAACAATAAGGTTGCTATGTTACTATTTAGAGTCAAAAAAGCTACTTTGACCTTAAGATTTAGGAGTACTAATCATGGCTATATTGTTTTTATATAATTTATTAACTTGCTAAAGGAATTCGTAATAAATAACTATCTTAGATACTATTATATACTTTAAAATTAATTATGTTTAATATTGAGTTAGTTTTAATATTATTAATCACTGAAATAATAATAAATATAATAATTATTATCATTTTACAAAATAAACACAATATTTCACAATTTAATTTTTACCAAACAAATGCAATTATTAAGCAATTATAATTAATTTATTAAAACTTATAATTTTATATTTTGCAATTTATTAATTAGTTCTTACTCTTAAATTTATAAAAAAACATTTAAGAACAAACCACAGATAATATTTATTTAAATAGTATTGAACCATTTTTAAAATGATTAACTTTATGATTGTTGTCTTTTAAAAACAAAAAAATAGCAACTAAGAATACATTCACAAAAATACAAAATATTTAAATTAAATTAAAAAAAATAACAAGTAAATAGTAAAAATTTTTAGGAAAGCTCAAATTAAAAAATTTTTATAATTTTTTTGAAATGATATTTTTTAAATAAAAATAATTTTTGCTTTATTATCAATTATTTAAAATATGTTCTTCATTTTTATACATTTAATATAAAAATTTGAGAATAATTTAAACAAAATTTTTTGATAAAACTATTTTCAAATTTATCTAAATTGATATTAAAAAGCAAAATTTTACCAATTCTTTCTTTAACTAACCAAAAAAAGGAATAAAAAAACTTACAAAAAATAACAAAATTCTCAAATAAAAATTATAGAAATAAATTCAAGATTTTTTTAAGAATAGTATTTGATGTTTTTATAAGATAATATTGTACTAATTCTGTCTTTTAACCAACCTAAAAAAGTAATAAATAAACTTAAAAAAAGCACATAAAGTTAAAGTAAAAGTGATAGAAATAACAATTAAAAATATTTTTTAGAAATATCAATTATTAATAATTTTAAAAGACTTTTAATTGATAAAATTTAGAATATAAATATGATTAGCTTATTCATAATTTTTGATATATTTTTAATCCTTTTTAAGAAGAAATATTTTTAGAATAAATTAAAGAAGGAATCTGTATCCTGTCATACATTTTAAATTAACCTAAAAATTATCAAATTGCATTAATAAAAATATTAAAACAAAAATATTAGATAAAATTAAATTTATTTTAAGACAAATTAAATTTAATTTAATATAAAATTTTTTAAACAGTAAATTTTAACATAAATAGTTTTAATTTATTTACAATTATTTATGAAATTTTTTAATTTTAATTTAAATTTGTTTTTTATAAAGTAAATTATATGGTTTTTCATTCTAAAGTATTATCCAAATACTGTGTTATTATTTATTAACATATTTGATATATTTGTTTGCTTGAATCATACTAAAATTCATTTAAATATTCTAATTAGTGGTACTTTTATAGGATTGTTTTTATGGGATTTTCTGTATATATTAATGGCTGTTACTACTATATTTTATCTCCAGCATACAAGAAATGCTAAAGTAAACATAATTGTAATAAGATAGTTTATTTTTAGAAGTTTTGAGTTTAATTAAAATAATTTTAAAGCAATTCTGTCGAATTAGCTATTTCAAATATTTCATTATAATCTTAGATTTCATCCATAAGTATAACATATGATCTAATGACGTCTAGACAAGTACTATAAGATTATTCATTCTACTCAGACTATAAAATCTTGATTAATTTATTACATAGTTTAAATTATTTGCATTTTTAAAGACATTCATTTCCTGAAAGCAGAATATTTAAAAGAGTCAAATATATTTTTTAATCAATATTAATGTCAACTTTTTCATCAAGACAAGATATCATAGCATTTAATAAGAAAAACTCGTTTATATTATCCTAATTATTCTATTAAATATCTTAAAAATCAAATATGAGTCTATATATTAAACTCTCATTTTCGTCTATGCTTGTAACACAGCTTACTATATCAATAATTTCAGAAAACAATAAATAATTGTTACTATATTTCTTGGCTTAATCTTAAATCAACTATATATAATCATTTTCATTATTAAATACATTTACAAAGTTGCTTTCTTTTCTCATCAAAAAAGAAAGGCTTTTTAAAATTTAGTACTTAAAAATCTATTCAGATTACCCGTCTTCAATTTTCAATCTAAGCATATTTATGAACAAATTTATATTTGTAGCAAACTATATATATAAATTTATAAATTTTTAAATAACTTAGTTTGATTTGTTCACATCAGAATAATTAAAATTACATAATTGAGATGCTTTGGAAATTTGCAATGCTAAGCTAAGTTTGAATACACAGCTATCAAATAAATCCATGTAGTATCATCAAATTGCTCATCAAAATTTGCTTGTTAGCTAATATCAAAATTTTTGACACACTTTTCAATTATTTATTCTCTAATAATGTCATCTATAAATTTACTATCTCTTTCAGTGAAAACATACAAAGTATATAGAATCTTTTTTTTAAAGTAGTAGAATTAATTTCTATTTACTCAGAATTATTTGTTATTAAATTTATATTTTTTGGCATTTAATCCATAAATTATTCTTCTGAGGTTTATTAAATTACGTCAGCAAAATTAACAAAAATTAGTAAAAAATTACATTGTTATGTACACTGATAGAAGAAGAAAGTGAAGTCGAAACCAATGAAGACAAAATCTTAATAAAATGCTAATGATTCAATACATTCGGCAGAATCGAAGGCTGATTAAGCTCTAACTAAAAATAGTCTTGTATGGAACAAATGATTTGCATACATTTAATTAAGCAATTACTGTTAGAATGCGCATTCTTTAATATCTCTAATAAATAATAACTAAACTGTATGTGATTAGTATTTCCTACAAACTTATTATCAATTCTCATCAATATGTAAATATCTTCTAATATTTCTTCTAGTTTATTTAATTCCCCTTTTTGGTAACTTTCATAAAGCTCTTTGATGCTATTTTCAAACTTCATTTATTTAAATTCTTCACTGGCAGAGCTGTATTCATTTTCTTTTTAAGCTTCGCTTTTTTACCTAACTCCTTATATGTTCTATAAGTGCTATTAGAATTATTTCATCATTGCTTTTCTTTTAGTCTAAAGTGTTTGTTTATTCTTTTTATTTCTGATTTCAACTCTGTATTTATCTTGCTTAAACTTGATTGCCAACTTTAGCTCTTCATTCGATTTATCTTCATCACTAGAGCTATTTTATGAGCCATTTTGCTATTTTTCTTCTTCTTTGTCTTCATCTGTTCTTCTTATACTATCATTATTCTAATTATACTTCAACGAGAAAACTCCAGCTCTTGGGAAGTTTTTTAAGTCTTAAAATATATTATGATTTGTGTATTCCTAGGTTTTAATTTATTCCTGTGAGTCTCTAATTTCTAAAATTTCCATGTATTAAATAACTTTTAATTATGTTTTTGATAATTAAATTATAAAGAAAGTGTGTATTAATTATTTGATCAATAAATATAATAAAAATTATAAAATTTTGAATTTTTAATTTAGACGATGATTTCTCACATACTTAATCAGATTTCTAACGCGGGGTGTATGAGCTATTTATAATGTCTACATCTTTTTATTAATTAATTAATTTTATAATTATTTTTCAAGCTATTTTCGTAGCAAGAATGCAAAGTTTGACTAATTTATGTCTTAATTTATATTTAACTTATTTAAAGCAGCACAATTAATTATCAAAATTTTACTCTAAATAAAAAAATCCTCAAAAACAAATAAATTAATAATTTAATTCAATTTTAGGTTTATTTCAAAAAATCAGCCATATATTTTAGAAATACAAAAAACTATTTTAATTTATTTTTTTAATTAATTAATAAATAAAAATAAATACTTAAAAATTGACTGTAATTCTTTATTAAATCTTTATATAATTGTTAGCTTAAATTATTTTATTATTAAAATAGATAATCAGAGAACAAAATCTAAATTGAACTCTTTTGAGTAGTCTTTCGGTGTGTATTACCTTCCCTTGCTTTCCAGATATTATGGATTGTAAAATTTGCTAAGGTATCTCATACCACTGTCACAGAATATGGTTACTATTGTTTTACCTTTTCCATAGAGTCTTGCTGATTTAACTGCTGCACAAGCATTAACAGCACTTGAACTTCCTAAAAATAGACCTTCGTTTTGAATCAAAAAATGAGCCATTTCTAAGGCTTCTTCATCAGTTACCAAAAAAGCTTTGTCAATTTATGCCTCATTAAAATTGTCTGTTTATCTATTAAGACCTATTCCCTCAGTTATGGTGTCAAAAGGATGCTTCAAGCGGTGTCCTTCAGCTTCTTCGCCTGTATAGCAAATTCCATAATTGACTTTATTTCTTAAAGATGATCCTTAAGGATCAGCTAAAATAACTTTAACTTAGGGTTTTTTAGATTTGATGTATCTTGAAACACCTGCAATTGTGCCACCAGTTCCTGAGCCACTTACAAAAATATCTATCTAAATAAAATTTACTTTAAATAGAATAATCGAAATTTGTTTAATATTACCTATCCATGAGTTTGGGTGTATATTTCTTTAGCAGTAGAATTGTAATGTACTTTGAAATTTGATAAATTTTCAAATTAGTCAGAGAAAAAAGCACCATCTACTTCTGCTTGATTTTCAGCTAACTTGCAGTAATGCTAGCTATCAACTATAGAGCATGGCTTAACTTTAACAAGTATTGCTTTCATAGTTTCTAAAATCAAATACTAAAATAAAAAATATAATTTTTTCAACCTTATTTTTCAAAAAGATAATTTGATACCTTTTCCTAAGCAAGATCATCTGGTAAAAATATTTTAGTTTAAAAGCCCATTGAATTTCCTAGTTGTGTTAAGCTTATACCTGTACTTCCAGAAGTACCTTCATAAATAAATTTTTTCTCTTTACTGAGTTCTCCATCTCTAAAATATAATAAAAATAAATAATAAATTATAAAATCCATAAATTTCAAGAAGAATTAATTACTTAATAGCATCTAATATTATTTATTTGCATGTTCTATCTTTAATACTACCTCCTGGATTCATAAATTCGCATTTAGCCTTTTGATTTAAATTGATAATAAAATATTATAACTAATGGTTAAAAATGTTTTTTATCTACATATATTTCACATCCAGTCAATTTAGAAAGAGACTCTAGATAAATGAGATGAGTATTCCCTATTAAATCTATTAATTTTTTCTTTTCTATTTGCTTTTTTTATATAGATTGATAAATTTTCTTTGCTATCGTGTAAACTGTGAATGCACTTGTTGCAATCAAAGCTACGTCTTTTAATTTTTGACTTTCCATATATATTGATTGATACAAAAGTTAATTTTGATAAAATTAATATATTCTCTCAAGTATTTTAATTAAAATCAATGCTTAAAAGATTTCTTTATTTTAACTTCTAGTAGTGATATTTCTTCAAAAATAAATAAATAAAAAAGATTAAGGTTTTAGTAATAAATTTTACACAAAAAAAAATATCATAAATAAAAGCAACAAGTTTTGGAATAATCAGTGAGAAAGAAGAATTTTTTAAAGAATAATTCAATAGTTTTCTATATAATTAAACTAAATATAAATGATAATATAAATAAGTAATATCTATAACTAATAGTAAGCTAGATTGAATAATTAAATTTAAGTTTTCAATAAAATGAATACTAAATTTAGTGCTAATTTGGATTAATTTGTTGGAACAATTTGAATTTCATTTATTCAAATCAACTTACTTTTAACTAATTTTAACTAATTTTTAATTTTTCAAAGATTTAATATATACTAAGCTGTTTCTTATGGATTAAAGAAGGTAAATTAATGATCAAAGTGATCGAATTGAGTATAAGTACCTTCTACCTGTTTATTTTGAATTAGCTTTTTAGCTCCATCACTGCACATCCAATCAAGCTAGCCTCCATAGCAGAAATGAACAGGCACTTTTAGTCTTCCTGGGAATAGCTATTCTAAAGGTAAAAAAGCATTGCAACGAGGGAACTAAAGCATGTTAAAGACTGCTTTCTCTCCACTTTCAGGTAGCTTGAGCATTTTGTCCATGTATTAAGACCAAGATTCATACTCTTCTGAAGGTAGTTTCAACATCTTCATATACTACCTCATGATAAGTTCTGCTGGTAAAATTTTTGTTTCTGAGTACAATCTAAATTTTCAAAAAATATTTTTTTACATTTAGAAATATGGAATTTTCTAAAAGAAACTTCTAAAACTAAATAAATAAATATATTTCAAAATTAGAATTCTTTCTTTTATTGAGAAAGGTTAAAAAAATCGTCACTAGCCAGAGATAAAACTTATCAAGTTTATAATTTATGTACAATAAGCTTTTAAATAAGTAACTCGCAAGTAAATTAAGATAAATTCACTAGATTTTTAGTATTCTTTTTGAATTCTTTGATTTTTTTAATCTTTGAAAAAAGAAAAAAAGTAGAAAAGCAGAGTTTTATTTTTCTAATCATTATAATATGACTTTAAAAGTTTATATAAAATAAATTACTTGTTAAAGGTTAATTAATTAGTCCAAATGTAGTCAAAAACTTTAAACCAAAGCTTGTAGTGCAGAGGGCTTGTTTCCATGTGTCTTCTAATATCTTCATCGGTTTATTTTGTTACACCTGCAGAAGAAAGTAAGACAACTTTATCCAATCTATCAGGGTGAGCTAGTGCATAGTTACCGCTGATATACCCTCCAAGACTGTGTCCGACAAGAGTAAACTTTTCTATATTCATCTTTGTCCTCCATTATTCGATGCTGTCAACGAAAAAGTTTATAACAGGCTCAGGTCCTTAAAAATTCCATTCAGGTTTAGAAGAAAGTCCCATGCCTGGTAAATCAATTGCATAAACTTCATATTTCTAAGAAAGTGGCATAAGCATTTTGTAATAGCTAAGGCTGCTTGCAGCAAATCCATGCACTAATACTAACTTAGGTTTTTAGGGGTCTTTACCACAGGCAAGAGTATGAATCCATTATTCATCATCGTCTTCATTTTTCAATGTTACATCAAATGATTCTAAATCCTTAGAAATATCTAGACCTTTTTATATATTTTTGCATTATAAATAAGAATTACTTGATAATATTATACAGAATAACTAAAAAAATTATTCTATTTTCTAGGGTTTTAATTGCTATAAATTACAAATTCCCCATATGAACAACATTGAGAATTATTCTCTATTAAAAATATTACAAATTTTCAGAATACATCTTCTTAATATATGATATCAAATGGCTTTTCATTACTATAAAAAATATCTTCGAGTATTATGAATTGAAATGGCTTAATCTAAATAATTTCTTTATTAATTTAATTGAAATAATAATAATTACCTGAGTGATGCAACACTTATCTTTCACAATCCCTAGCTATTTCGTGGAGAGATTTTTGCAATTCATGCCTTTACTTTTTGGTCATACTTACCTGACTGCTTGGATCTGCGATAGCGTTGGAATTATTACTATTGCTGATTTCATCATTGCTTTGTGGCAATACTTAAAAACATTATGCCTTTTTATCACCTAAATAGTTCTTGAAATTCAATATGAATTAATTGAAAACAAAGTAAACTTAGTCCATTATAAGATAATCTTGTAATTAATTAAATTCAGTTTAGCTTTCTAAGACTTAATGATTAAGCCTTGTATTTTTTTACCTTCTTTGTTTTTACAAGCTTTTGTTATTAAAATTATTGAATTAATCTTTATAAAAATTTTGATTTTTAGTTTTTAAAGAATTTATCTTACATCAAGTGATTAGCTTTGTAATTAATCCTTAGCAATTGTTCTTATAAAACACAATTCAAATATCAGAATTAACAATTTTAAGATCAATATTTTTTACGTTAAAAAATGTGAAAATCTATTGATTGGTTGATTGATTCCTTTCTATCTTCTTCATTTATTATAATAAAATTATTAAATATTTAATGTCTTCTGAGTTACTTTAATAAATTACTTACATGTTTATGATATTTGTCTTTATTAAATTCAGGACATTCAAAAAATTAAGTGTAATATGTTTAATAATTACAAGCCACTTTTTTAATTTTGAATTTGATCTAACTAAAAAATTGAGATAAATTTCAAAAAAAATGAGAAAATATAATTTAGTAAAATTAAAAAATTTTGTAAATTTAAATGGGACATTTTAAAAATTAATTTAAATGAAAAATTAACTCTAACAATATATTAAAAATTTGATATTTTGCTATAATAAATTATTTATTTGACCACCTTTTTAATATTTAATATTAAATATTGTTATTGAGTTTATTAGGTGGTTGCTCATAAACAGTCAAATAAATTTGTAAAAATGTTTATTTATTTATTTTTTGAATAATTAAATATTATATAATTTAAGCAATTAGATTCTAAAAATAGCTAAACAAGATTTATTAATGAAAATTTACAAGTTATATATAAATTAATACATTATTATAAATTATAGAATTATTTTAATTTATTAGTTTAATTATTTAATTATTTCTGAATCAAAATAATCACTCATTTTGTTTCTTTTTTCAAAGCACTTACACTTTCATCGTAACCAGCTTATATATTGTCATAGCAGTTTTCTATTTTTTAGAATATTGAGCTCATTGCATTATTTATTAGATAATTTGTGTCCTCATTCTATTTGTTTGTATTTGAACCTGATTCCAATTATTATAAATTTTATAATATACTTTTAAAAAATGTTTATTGATTACGGTATGTCGTCTATGCAGTATTGGTATTATATTGAGAGTTAATTTAGCTTTATGAAGGCACATTATTAAATTAATTATGACTTATTTAAGATAAATTCTTGCTGTTGTTACTTATATTACTCATATTTTGAGGAATAAAATTACTTGATAATTCAACTGCAGTATTTTATTAGATACTTCTATGGCTTTTTAGACCTATTGAAAGGTTACTATTTGTCTTTGGTAAAGTTAATGAAGGTGATGAGTTTTTCTTTTGGAAGGTAGATATTTAGCTTCTTTCATTTTACAATTATTTGGATTAATCTGATATATTCGAAATTTAATTAGGGGAAATAGAATTTTCAATTTGAGGCATAATAACCAATTTAAGAGGTTCTTTAATTGGTTCATTTTAATCGGGGAGCATTCCTTTGGCCTATTACTGATTTAATTAGATTTAAACCTGATTCTCTTGGCTTTTATATTCATTTTTACTCTTTTTTTTAAATTCTTCAGGATTATACTGACGAGCTGTTATTATTTTTAAATAAAATTTTATGATCAAATTATCCCAAAAAAAATTTATTTACGCATAAAATTATTCTTGTATTAATTCTTTGTTAGTTCACTAGAAGATATTTAATTTGGCTGAAGAGGCTATTTAGTGTTTTTTTGCATTAAAGAATAGGTATTATCTATATTTTATACTAACTTGTACTTACCAGTTATATTTGATTTTTTTAATTCCTGATCTACTTTCTCTCTAATACCTCCAATTTATTTAAGAGCTTACTAACTATTCTTTTTATTGTCTAAATGAGCACTCATAATGTACTCATTTTTGCTTTTGTTTTCATCAATATTTTATTTTTTACTCATCTCATTTTTCCTTTAAAATTTAAAAAGAATATAAATTTTTGTTTAATAATTTATTTTACCTTGCAGTATTAGCTGTTGAGTAAGACTGATACTAACTTCTAGAATTATTTGTATTATAATTGCCATTTTAACTTTCTTTTGAGGAATATAATTGATTGTTTTGCTGCTTTTTAACATAGTTCTATTCAATCTGCCTGTTCATACCTTCACTTGCTTTCATATCAGATTCATTCTAATTTTATTTCTAAGATTCATTAATATAAGGCTATAAATTATCAAATCCAATAGAATTTTTAGAATCAAATAGCTGATTTTGAGGTTTAGAGGAAATACTTGATTTAGTTTGGTTTACTGCTGCCGTTGAAAAGGATCTGAAATGCTTGCCTGAAACTTTTAATTATTGTTCAGGGCTATTCTACTAAAATGTATCTTTTGTGTTGGTATAATTATCACCTAAGCTATTGTTGCCATATGAATCTAATAATTTTGATTGTTAAGAAACTTTAGAAAAAGTCGGAATCATTTAATGATTAAATTGCTCTTAATTTCCAGAACTTTATTCAATAAATTTTTAGCTGTGATTATTTTAAGTAATCAATTCATTATCTAAATGATTAAATTAGGAATAGTTATTATTTATTTAAGGATCTTCATGAACTAAATGTTAAACAGTTATAGGAGCCATCTAATTCTAACTGTTGTATTACAACTAAGGGTTGTTAGACTAATAATCTGTATTAGAGTCATAATCATAAATATTTTTAGGAGAGTAATTTATTTAAGGATGATCTTGATTATTTAAATCGAACATAGAAGATTTTTAACTTTCATAATTGCTTATGAAGTGATTATTATTCGATTTTATAGATGATAGATCTTTGCTTATTATGTCTTAGTTGCTCTTTTTTGTTTGTTGGAGAGTTTTAGATATATCTACATAAAATGTATTGTTGTTGGGAGTATTCGTTTTTGAATTTTAAATACTTTTACTTTGGTTGAGTAAAAAGTTGACTGGTATGTTTTACCCATTTTTTTAATGATTATCTAGATCTTAATATGTTGTTTAATTGCTATTTAAATTCATTTGAATAGAAATAACAGGTAAAGTGGCTTAAGCTACGTTGCTTTTTGTTAAACTATGATAAGATGAGTTATTAAGTTAGTGTAAAGATGGAGACTTCATTTTAAAAGAAAATTTTTGATTTTTAACAGGACTTTTTTAAGAATTTTTTAAGGGAGTTGAGTTAAGTCTTGATGAAGCTACTGCTGAGTCAAACTATTTATTAGTCGAAGTTGAATTAAATCCATTCAAACTTGATTAAATTGTGTTAACGTTTTAATTAACATTTATGATACATTCCATTTGCTTCTTTAATAGCTCATTTTGTTCTTTAAGTCTTAAATTCTAAATTCTGAGTTACTTATTTTATTCCTTAACTTAATTTTCTTGCTTCTAACCTTTCTCCTCAATTCTCTTTTAAAATTCTTATTCCCTCTAATTTACCAAATCTTTTTTCTTTTAAACTTTCTCATTTAGCTATTTAATTCTTTCTTGGGAAACTTAATATTTTAATTCACTTGATTTTGTCATCTTAATCTACACGGGACTTGGTGAACGATTTTTTTTTTAAACATCAGGAGAAACTTTCTCAAAATTTTACTCTTAATATTGATGATCTTATTAATTAGAGAATTATTTGCTTTAAATTTCACTCTATTATGACTAAGGTTAATTAGATTTATTTTATTAAAGAGAAGGTTTTTAACTTTATTCAAATTATGAAGACAAAGGATGATGAGATTCTCTTTGCATTTTAGAGGAATTCAAAAATTAGTTTTCGTTTGTAGACTCAAAATTTGTAAATTCTAAACCATCTCTAGTAAAAATGATGGTGCCATCATTATTTTAACTCCAATCTTAGTTATTTTCATTTAATTTTTACTGCAAAGACTTATTTAATCTGATTGAACTTGCTTGTGATAGATTTTTAGAATTATCGCGATTTATAACAGAACCTTAATTATCAATTTGATAATCAGGATTTAAAAAGTATTGGTTTTAAAAATTATTTTGAATATTTTATTAAATTTAGTTGGGTTGATTAATTAAGTTATTATTTACTGGAAGTTGATGACGATCATGTCTTTGTGTGTAAGAAATTGATTGATATTAACTTCGATCTTAATCTTAGCTTCTCGATAGCTAAAAAGATGAAGGTGCTTAGTATGCTTAATTTTGATTATACTTACTATTGAATTAGTTAGCATTTTAATTACTTTGATCTGAATTTTCAAAATTAGGTGTGTTTTCATATTATTTAGATGGATGATTCATCATCAAATTCTAAGCTTAATTAGAGTATTATGCATTATAATATTAATTATTGTAATTGTTTTCGCTACTTTATACACTACTTTAATTTGCTTTATTAATGTTAATATGCTCAAACATTTTTTCTTCTATTTCATGATTCTTTTATAAATTATAATTATTATGAGTGTTTTAAGCTTTTTTAACTGGATCTTACTGTTGAGAGTATAGTTGCTATTACATTTACTCTGTTTGTTAAATTATTTAGATTAATTTTTGGTTGTCTTCTGTCTCATCATCTTTATTCATGAGAGCTGCTTCTATCCTTTATTTATCAAGAAGCTCTTAATTTGTGTTATTCAAAATTTAAGAGTTTTATCTTCCTGATTGTTTAGTTTTTTCTTCTCTAAAGCTATTAGCTTTCATGGATAACTATGACAAGGAATTTTAATCTGTATATTTAGGAGATGGATCTATAACTATAGGAGATGAAATTTACTCTAATTTTTCTAAATAAAGTGAAGGCTTGCTAAAGGGACTTGTCTAGCGAGAGGAAACTTAAGATCCATATTGAAGTTTTTCATTTTAAGTAACGTTTAACTCTTTATTAGTTTAATACTATGATATTTCTTGTAATTGTTTAGATGGGTTATTGGAAGAGTGATTACTCAACTATTGAATGCTATTAATTAGATTCTTCAATGCATTCTCATTAAAGATCTAATTGTTAGATAAGCTTGATTAAGATTTCACTTTAGGACTCAATTTATATGAAGGATCTATATCTATACTTCCTTCATGAATATAATGCTTATTTTCATCATCAGGAATTCTGCTATCCTCAGTATTTTCTTTCATAGTTTACAAATTTAAATTTTATTAATCTTGCATAAATAAATTTTATTCATTTTCAGGTGAAAGCGATAAGGCTAGATTATTTTTGTTGTTAGAATTTTAATCTAGGATAGTTTGCTCAAGTGCTCTATCAGTTTCTTATATCACATTTTGAATTTAGTTAGAAAGTTAGATAGTGTTTAGTTCTTTTGAATAAGGATCAGGAGTATCAGACTACTTGAAGGTGTATTAAGAATATAAATTTGGATTTGAGGAAATGATTCCATTTTTCTAGTTCTTAGGAGTGAGGACACACTCACTCTTTTTGCGACCATCAATAGAATTTGTTAAAGTAGTAACTTGATTTAGCTATTAATTACTACTTATAGCATCATAGAAGTGGTGACTATTTAAATTGACTTGAGATACCGTTCTTGCAGTATCATAATTTCCATTTTGATTAATTGATGCATATTAATTGATAGATGTATAATTATTTATGCTTGCCAAAGGAATGCTTTGTGTGTTAAAGCTATTTAGCATAACTTAATTTTATTAAAATTCCTTCTACTCTTATCCTTGAATATCCTTAACCTTTTTCATTATATGAGACATATCGATTTGACCCTATTAAACGCTGCTTCCTTAATGTGTATTATTTGAATAAATACTATCTCTATTAATATCTTAAGCATCATGGTCATCATTTTCATGATTATCGTTTTTTTAATTATTCTGCTCCTTCAAAACGACATAAGAGGTAAAATTATTAACATGAGATGGAGTAACAGGAATTTCATTTAAAGGTGTTTTAGATTTAGAATATTCATGTACTTCACTATTGGTTGATAGGTTTACTACTCGATTCTAGCTGTTTTTATGTAAAGTATTCATTCCTTAGTTACTCTAATTAAGATTACTATTCTAAAGAACACTGTTATTTTGGATGGTTTAATTCTAAAAAAAGTTTGTGTTGTTAAAGCTATTAAAAAGATGTGAATCTGAAACTAAATCTCTTTTTTTCTTTTTATCATGCTGATGTAATAAATAATGTTTTGCCTACTATTCTTAGTCTACAGGATTAATTTCATTAATGCTTTAAGAATAGTTACATTTTATATCCTCTGAAATTTCCTAATCTCTCAAATTGCTTAATTGAGACTGATTTTCCAAAGGAGCTGAGTTCAAAAATAAGTAAGAATTTAAAGGATTATTGGTTGTTGGCAAAGAATTTAATAACTTAGCATTGTTATTGCTATTTGGATTATTTAATGTCTTGCTTAAGTTTCTCTAGGAGTAAGAGGTATATTCTGTGCCATGGCTACTTTCTACAGTGATAGGTCTATCTCCCTCTTGCTACTTAATTTATTAAGCTTCACTTTAAAAACTCACTTTTTCTGACTAATAAGAATTTATATTAACTACTTCATACCCTTAAGGAATTTAATACATTTGCTATCCTTAGCTGTTTACATTAAATTTTTAGTTTTATTTTTACTAATTTAATTAAGAAATAGTTTAGAAGTTTTGAGGGTAAATATTTTTTTCATCTTGTAATTACTAACTTCTGTCATACGAATTATTCCTTTAAAAATTTTATATTTAATTTAAGCTGTTTTGCTTAAGATTTATATTTTGCAAACTATTTTGTGCTCTTAAAAATTTTTATTTTTAAATATTTTAACTTAAATTGTTGATATCACCAGCGACTTTTTCTAAATATTAATTTTAGTCATCAGAATTGATAGATTATTCGCTTCTTTTACTGATACATACTCCATTCATCATCTATGAATATTTGTCTTATATATCTTATCCATCTGTTATTATTTGTAACTACTATAATTGTTATTGTTATTATTATGACTGCTATTCTTGAGGGTTTTGCTATGTAAAATTTTGAGAGTTTAAACTAGCTGCATTTTAATACTGAGCATAATTATAAGCTAATTATTGATTATTTTAGTTTTTTATTTAATCAATGAGTAATAAATCCTAATCTATTTTTTATTGTAAAATCTTTTATAACTAAGCATTATTTATGAATGCTGTGTCTTCAGTAAACCTAGGGCTAATTATTTGCTCTTCTTGTAAATTTTTAAAAGAAGGATCCTAACTAATAAATTAGTTTAGTTAATCTTTTTTACTATTATAATTAGTATTCCTACTACTAAAGTTTTAAGCATTAAATCTTTCTGAGCTTTCTAAATTATCTTGCTATTGTGATTCCTATAAAAATTGAATAAATTAATTTGTGTTTTCCATATTCTGCTAGTTTTAAGAAATATCCTTATTCAATAAAGAAGCATTTTTATCTGCTTAAAACCTCTATTCAAACCTCTTAACTATATTTTCATTTTCATAATGATATTTTTGAATATCTTCGTCTTCTCCTGATTCTGCATTTTCTGAATACTCGTATCCCAGTACTCTGGCCAAGGGCTATTACCCCTATTAAAACTACATTGGCTAATTCTATTAAGATACCATTTATTCTTAAATTTGTAGATCATTTTAATATTAATATGGCTTGAAGGTATCATTATTATTCAATCTAGATTATTATGAGCTCTATAAATTTCCTTTCATCTTTAATATTGTTAAATATTTCCAAATTAAAAATAATTTTCAATCTAATTTAAATAAATATACTTTTAAAGAGCTTAAGGTATTTTTTTAAGTTAATGATGGCTAAACAAAATCCTTTTTTTATAAGGAGTCATCTAATTTTTCAGACAAGCCATCTAACATATCACTTTCCTTTGAATCATTTAAGTTAATTTATTGCCTCATTTACTTTTCATTAATCTTTTAGAGCATCTGTAGTGCTCCAACTTAGCTTCCACTGATTTCATTTTGTGTTTATGAGTCGTTGCAACCCATAGAGCAAAACCTAATTCCAAAGTAGTTTGGAGGCTCTTTATAAGCTTAGCTCATGTAAATTGAGTGAATATTTATGTATTACTGTTTAATATTTATTATAAAATAATTTTTTAGTTTTCTATTAGCAAATGTATTCTTTACTTAGCTTATTCTATTAAATTCAATTCGATAGATGAATTTAGTTGAATCAAATATTATTTTGTTAAAATATTGATTGTTTAAATAGTTAGCGAAATTTTTTTTTTCGTTAATATCTTTCAAGAATTATCAAATAAGATGAAGAAAACAGTAAGAATTTGATTTTTAACTACAAATTTTACTGTAAAATAAACGGAAAAAAAAAAATTTAAACGAATACACCATTGAAAATCTTTTTTAATAGAATATAGTGGAAAATTGAAAAATATTTAATTGAATAGAAAATAGGTCAATCATAAATTGAAAAATATTAAACTTAAAAAAGGCTTACAATAAAATTAAAGGTAAATAGAATAAAAATTTTTCAAATAAAATTTTAAATCTATAAAAGGATAAAATTTTTTAAATTTTTGTTGGTTTTTAATAAACCTTAAAAATTATAAAATGAATTAATTAATGATTGATTTTTTTCAAAAAAATGTATTTATATAAGACTAATATACAGTGTTATCTAAATATTATATATATATAAATTTTTTTTATAGTTTTTAAACGAAATACACTAAATAATATCTTAACAAAGGTTGGTTAGTGTTATATAATCTATCTATCTATTTTATCTAATTTTTTTGGTAAAAATCTAATATAATTATTCTAATTTACATTTTATTGTTTTATTTATTTATTTTAAAGAATTTTATATTTAATTATATTTTAGTAAATCATTAATTCTAAAAATACACAGCAAAATAATAAATTTATTTATTTATTATTTGTTTACTCTCTTTCACATTTCATCTTTTTTAGAAAGCAAATTCCCAGATTTAATATCTTTGAGGACTCCATCTAGCTTATCTATGACACGCTCTGCTGAACCGAGTTTAGAATCTTAAGGACTTTATCGAAGAGACTTATTATTCCAAGGAGTAGTTCTGACTTGTGTGCTATTTTAGCTATTCCTAAACTAAGGTAAATAAGGAGATTGGGATTTGTTCGAATATAAATCTAATCCTGTTTCAGGGGACTCGCCTTCGTAGGGAGAGTAAAGATTTTGGGATAGTTCTTACTCTTTTTCTAATTCCTTCTACTTTAGGGCATAGTATCTATTTACAGATCTCTTTTATGAAGATTTAGTCCGATTATGATTACTCGCTTTAACAATAGCATCAAGAATGTCTAAATTTTAATTTATTAAATTACTATTTTCAAGGAGTGTGTTTGGATTTGGCTCTGTCTATTGTTAGTCTCTCTCTGTTAAAAGAGAAGAAGACCTTAATTTTGGATTATTTTAATTGGTAGATTAATATTGTGAATGAGGATATTTTTTATTTGAATACTGATCTTTGTTGTTATATTAAGGCTATGATTGTAATAGGGTATTATTTAAATAATCACTCATAGTTTGATTTGCTAAATTATTGCTATCTATTGGATTATTTTGCTGTTTAATTTATTTTTGGTTCCATTAATCTATGTAACTCAATGTATTGGGATAGCTTTGATCAAAGTTTTAGTTTTAATACTTTGTACGATTAATTTTATTTTTTATATTATCATATTATCCTAAATCAAGACTTTCTCTTCTCTTCATCTGTGGTAAATAAATTTATGTAGAAGGCCTACCATTATAGCTTAATTAGGATTAGGCCATATTTTATCTTGAGCATGATCTCTTTTTTCTGCAAACAGGTTCTGGTAAAGGCTGTAGTTCTTTTACAAACATTTTAGAATCTACTTAGAACCCAGAGTCTTAGTAATTTATGGGATATGTTTGTATCGAGCTATTAATCATGCTATTTTATTTGATGCTATGCTTTTTTCCTTATTGAGATGATAGTGGTCTTCTTGGTGTTTAAAATTAATCATAATGAAAATGCTGTGTGATAATTCCCTGTTTTTCTTTCCTTTCTGTCTTGTTTCCATCGTTATAAGAAAGGCCAGGGCTTTATGGTGATTATTAAGATCTATGAGTGTAATAATTTTATTAATCTTTAGGATTATGATGAAAATGTTATTCAAGAATAGGAAAATTTCTGAAATCGTTATCTCCCTCATGATAAGTCAAATTGTGTTTAGCTTGCCTATTACCAAATTCTTCATTTTGTGTTCTAGGAGTTTATTGCATAGTTGCCAAAGCTGTTTTTAAAAATAGAGCATTGCTATTTTAAGCATTGTCCATATCTTTTATCTTGTTTTTAAGAATTTTATATCTCATTTCTTCCTTGAAATCCTTTTTCTATAACTCAACACTTAAATCTTAAATCATTTTTTCAGTTGTGTGTTTTTAAGTTTCAGAATCATGTTTCTATTTTTCTTCTCTCATTCTTCTTTTATGCTCTTCTAAGAACTGCTTTTGCTGTTCATGAAGTTGCTTTAGCATATCATCCTGAGCTTCTTTCAAAAAATCTTTGCTCGATTATCTAGATTTTTTTTCATATTGATTATTAATCTTTGAAGGTGATAATTATTACTGTTGTTGTTGTTATTATTGTAGAGCTTTTTTTTAATCTTCTAATTACTATTTAATCTAATTTTCTATTTTAGCTATTTCATTTACTATTAATCTCTCTTAAGATTGTAAAGCATTCAGTTACTTTTTATCTGTTTCTTTTTACTAATTACTCATATCTTCTTTCATTTTTTACAAATCTTATTGGATTTTTTTAGTTTAGTTTTGCAACTCTTATCTTAAATTTAATAAATCTTCATTTTATGAATTTTACTAAGCCTCTTTTAATTTCTAGGAATTTTCATATAATTTTTATACAGGGTTAACAGCACTTATTGGAGGGTATTAAGATGGTTTTTACTTTAATTAGTTAAATTGAAGGCTATTAATTGGAAAAATTTCTTTTGGAGATTAAATACTATTTTATTATGGGCTTTATTAATAAATTGGTGATTAATTTCCTTAATTTTAATTCCATTTTTATTAGCTTTCAAAAGAATTTAATGGAGGAACTTCTATTAAAGGTTGAGACATTTTTCTGCTTTGAGTGCTTGTATTTTACTTAAGCTTATTTTGCATTTCAACTGCTTCGTTTATGAGATGATTTTGCTTTTCTTACAATTTTTAATAGTTTTTTTATAGCTTTTTTTATTATTCTAAAATTTTTAAATTCTCATTATCAGTATCTTAAATAATTTTCTTTCTCTTTTTTGTTTCATTTTCCATTTATTTTCTTAAATCTTCTCTCTCCTTTTACAATTTTTCTTCTTCTTTTTTTTCTTTTATTTTATCTATTTCGTTTTACATCTTCTTTTATTGCTTTTTTAGCTCTATTTATTCTTAGAGATCATTGTTATATTATTCTAATTGCATGTCTCTCTTCATTTTTCTTACTTAGTTTTCGTCAGACATTTCTTAAAATATGCTTTTTTACTAAGGTTTATTATCAGACTGTGAATAATGGTAATCATTTGCCATTTTCATCATTCGATCCTACTAAGTAAGATTGTTAGAAAATATATTTATATCATTTTGCATTTGTCTTTCAATATCTTTCATATACTCATTATGCCTTTAAAGTCTATTTAGTTATCTCTCCTCTTGTCTGTCAAACATCTTATCCATAATACTTTTTCCTTCTTGTTCCATTTAATGTTATAGCTACTGTTATTTTTTCAATTACGACTTTAAATTAGAAATTTTGTGCTCTTAGAAATACCCTTCTCCAAGTGTAGTTCTTGATCCCTTTACATTTTTATTATTATTCCGCATAGGCGAGAAGCTTATTGAATTACCCTAATGTAGTTATTCACTGATTCCTCTAATATTTGCATTAATATTTCCGTATTCATCATAAATTGGGTCACCTGAACCTCCACTTTAGTATAAAATGTAATTTTAAAATTAAAAAAAGAATATAATATTTCAATAAATATGTTTAAATCCATTTATTTATTTCAAATTCATCATTACTTTTTATGTAAATATTATAAAAATAATTTGAAATTACTTTTATTATGAAAACCTAAAAAAAATACTTGAAAAATTGATTAACAATAATCAAGTAATCGCTAAAAATATAAATTAATTTTTTTAGATGTAAAGTTAGCAAATAAAATTATTCAACTAATTACTATATTTTTTTTATTGGTGTTAAAAATTAATTAGATGCACTCTATAAATCAAATACTTAAACTTCATTGTTTTTATTGACATCTATGTATTTTTAATTTGCTTGATTTCTATCTCCTTAGCTCGCAAACCTTTGCTGATTTTTTTCATCTATCTTTTATTTTATAGAATTGAATTTCTAAATGGTTATTTATGAGATAAATTTTCAATCAATAAATTTTCTTTCTTTCTATTTTCAATCAATTTTTTATATAAATATTAAATAAAATGAGTAATTTACTTATCTTTGCAGCTCTTAGGCATAAAATTTTTATTTTGCCTGCTTTAAATCTCTGGTTGAGGGTCTAGCTGCTAAGTTCATTATATCATTATGAAATTATTATTATGATTTAGGCTATTTCCCTAAAGACATCATATATTAACAATAATCGAAGTATTCTTATTTCATTTTATCATGCTCTTTTCTCCTAGAATCCTAATCAAAAAATAAACCTCCTGGTTAGTTCTTTTCTAACGAGTATTGCTTTTATCCATCATATGGCTTAAATTAGGTAGGGGAAGGAACCTCAAAATGCTTAATATATTTCCCATCTGGACTATATGACATAGGATCCTTTGAAAAAAAATTAGTTTTTTTTCTGCCACGATCTGAAAAGATCATAATTTAAATAAAAGAACTATAATATGGAGTTTATTATAATAATATATTTTATTCCCTTTTAAAGAAAACTATAAAATGGGTTGTTTTTTGCTTTATTTAATTTTTGAGCCAAATATTATTGTAAAGATATTTATTTATTGGTAAAAAACAATAAGTATTTATTTCTTCAGTTTGGCTTTGGGGATTGCAATCAATCAATATTTAGATTGATTTGAGTTATATATTCTTAATGTAATTAAAATTTCTCAAATCATAATAAATTGATGAAGAAGTAGAAACCATTCATTTTATAGTGATTGTGTTGCACTTCTAATAGAGAGCTATTCCATAAATTTAATACACTTTAAAAAATTGTATGATTACCATTGAATTTATTATATTCATTTGTAAAAAAAAGATTGATATCAATTATAATTAAGATTCATTAAATCCAACTCTATGTAAAAAATTTAGTAATAAAATAATAATTTTATTGTAAATTAAATTTTTTTATATAAATATTAAACTAAAAGATATTTAAAATAATTAATTAAATAAGTAGTATTCATAATTAATTGCCAAAATTTTTAATTTAATTCCATTATAATAAAAATTATTAAATAGGAATAAAAATAACTAACTAAAAAATATTTTTGCAATTATAGTATCTCAATTTTAAGTTAAATAATTTTTTTCCAATATATTAATTGTTTATTTCAAAAATGATTAAATTTATATGATCCTCTTTAATATTTTATTAGCATATTTTACCAGTATCATTAATTTAGTTAAAAATTGTATTATTTAAGAAAAATGTTTAATTATACTTTGAAAAAAAATTATGATTTTCAACTTTAAACTGTAAATGAATGGTGTTTACAATTATGAAATTTTAATTAAATCTCAAAATGATGTTCATAAATTATTTTTTTTACAGTGAATTTACTTTCCTCAAAATAAATACAGTCTACTGGCTTTACAAATTATGCCTAAATAGTATAATGAAAAAGAAATAGAAGAATAATATTTAAATTTTCTAAAAAGATTCCATTCCTCTTTAATTTTAAATACTAGTAATCCAAAGCAATCTAAATATTTAGAAATCAAAATATGAGAATAAAATAACACATAGGCTCAAATATTACTGGAAATATCTTAAATATTATTATATCATCAAAGTTTTATTTGATGTTTTGAACATGTAATCAAATTTGGTTAGTTATTATTTCTTAAATTTACTGCTTTCAATTAATTCATTAATTAGTATAGAAGTGCATCAAAAGTAAAGATAGTATAAAGTATTATCGTATTTACTTTTATTAAACAAAAATTAGAAAAGTTTTATGGGATAGTCTAAGAGCATAATATAAAATGGAATTTAAATTGAAAAGTTTAGCTAATAAAATTACAGCGATGAACTAATAAATTAATAATCTTAGTCAACCATTATGATCTTAGAAGACTTCATAAATTTTTATAAGGATGAAAAATAAATTCACTTAAAAATTCTTGAAAAACTTCTCTAAAATATGTGCATAGAAGAGGAATGTTTAAAAAGATTAAAGATCACTTTGGATGAAGAAAAAAATGAATTCTTTTATAATGAAAATCTATTTAGGTATAAAGTGGCATTAAAAACAATTCATCTCCTTTTAAGCTAAAAGAAACTAAAATCTGATGCTTTGTTAGAAGATGCCTTTACAGAAGCAACTCAAATGCTAATATTTAAAAAAGAATTATTTTTTACTTATCCATTCTATTTCTTTTTTGAACTCCTTAAATTCTCAATAGTGCATATGATAATAGTCCATTTCATTTCAATAAATAAAACTGAAATATTCTAGCTCTATTAAAAATACTATTTTCTTTTATTTCATTAACTCTTGGATGGACTCTTAGCTAGAATTTCAATGATTTAGCCTTCTACTAGCGAATTATACTCTAAATTCTCAAAAAAACTTAGAAACGCTCACGAAATAAACGTTTAATACTTTGAAGATAAATTTGTAAATAGATGCTACGTGGTTAGGTTATAAGATGATACAGCAGATTCTTAGGAAAATTATAAATCAATAGAAGAGCTTAATAAATTTCGTGTTAATTATATAAACTAAATTCTACTTTCATATGGTCAGACCAGAGTAGTTTAACTTATAAAAATATTTGATCAAATTTCTGAAGCAATAAATTGTGAGAAAATATGCTATAAGGATGTAAGAAAATAGCTATTAAATGAACAGGAAGAATTTCATAATTAAATAAATGTGACTATTCCCTCATTTCTTAAATCTATTGAAGAAGTTATTTATATGAAAAATACTTAAAAAAAAGAGATCCACTCATTAAAAAAATAGGTCAATGAAAAAAATTTGGAATATCTCTTTACAAAATTAGAAAAAATTTAAAAGGAATTTAACCCAATGGAAACTAACAGCTTAAATAATTAAAATGGTAATGATACTCTAGACGATAGTGTTAGTAAAGTCTCTCATATCTTTAGTAACAAGCACTTGAATATATACAATCATTATAGCCGGTAGCTAATAATGGAGGATGAAAGTGGATTTAAAATAAGAGTTAATCAAGCTTTATAAGTTCTTGATGAACAAATTTAAGAATGTGAAGAGACAATAGAAAACAACTAAGAATAAAAAAAGCAGTATAAAGTAATGCTGAACTAAGTTATTCATAAAATACACATTTTTAATTTCATAGAGAAAAAATGCATACTAAAAGATAAAATTTAATGAAATCCACAATTAATAACTCAAACTAAATTAATAAATAAATAAATATATATATAAAAAATTTAATTAATTAACTAACAATCAAACCAATAATGAAAAATATATCTAACTAACCAACTTACTTACTTAAATACAAGAATTTTAAACTAAAATTTGAATTTCTTTTTGAAAATCTACAATTTAACAAAATTTGTGAACTTAAAATATCAACAAAATAATAATAAACTTAATTTAACTTACACAATCTATTATTATCATACTTAATAACACATAATTAACAAATGGAGTTATAAATTAAATTTATATTATTAAATCTCATTCTTTTTATAAATTTAGTAATTGTCTATATCTCAGTGCCTAGAGCAACTTATATCTAGTTAATGTACAGTAGTATTTTTAATTTTATATTCCAATAAATATAGTATTTTTCATTCTATTATTTATGTTTTAATTTTTCGTTTTACATTACATTTATCAAAAGAAAAAAATGTAATCAAAATATTCTTAAATCATTAATTCATATCATAAAATCGATAAAAATTTCTTAGGAACTAAAATTTAATTTAATTTATTCATAGAATCTTAACTATCTTTAGATTAATTAAAATTTAAATATCAATAAGGCTAAAATCAATAAAAACTATCTATTTTTAAAAATCATAAAAAAGAATTAAATGACCTAATAAATTCATAATAAAAAATTGTATTGACTTACTTAGTAAAAATGCACATCTTTCTTATGTTTTATTGTAAATAATATTAAATTTTTTTAATAAACCAATTAATATATGTGGATATTATCAATCCAAATAAAAGGAAATTAAAAATTTTCATAAAGATACTAGTCAATTTAAAATAAATAAAAATTAATATTAAATTAAACCTCAATAAATATATAGAAAATAAAATCATTAATTTGATTGAAAAATTGTAAGTAATATATATTCTTAACATACAATTCTTTTAGTTAACATTACATAAACCTTCATTTACATGTTAATTAATTTTACAGGAAATACAATTAAGGTTTTATCATCATTTCATTTCAATCATTTCAGATTACCCTTTTTCTGAAAGAATGCTGTTGTATTAATTACCTTGTGGAATACTTTCATTTTCTATATCACTGCGAGCTACATTTCTCACATCATTCATTTCATATTAAAGTTTTTTGTGCATATTTTTATACCTTCTGTAGAGCTAAACTATAATTAACAATAATATAGCTATGCTCAAGACACAAATTACAACAATAACTGTTAAATTTGAGCTACTATCATCACTTTCTTTTGGTTAAATAATATTGTTATTGTTTTCTATTAAATTAGATCCATAAATAAAACGGAATCCTTTATTTGTCTAAGGTTCAGTATTTACCAAAACATTAGCTGTAACACTAACATATATTTTATCTTATTATTCAGGGATTTGGCTTTTTTCTATAGTAAATAATTATTTATCAGGGTTCATTAATGAAGATGATTATTTTTTTAGAGGGTTTACCTTAATAATAAGGTCTTTTGGTTCCTATTTTTAAAATAAATGATATGTATAAAAGAAAATATGCATGAAAAAATTTACATATAATGAGCAATAACTTTGTCTTTATAAAGTCTCCCTCGAGTTGCTAATATGAAGATAATACTCTATTTCAACAATTTTCAATCCATCAATTTTCCAGCAATCAGATTCTACACATTCCAATTCAGAAAAAGCTACAAAATAACTATTAAGATCTTATCTTATTGTTAAAATACCTGAATCACCAATCTAAATATAGTCGTATATGATAGGTTATTTAGGTTTGTATACTTCAGTCGTAATAATAGATTTTGATATTTTTTCCTTAGTTTACTTATTTGCTCTTTTTTAAATATAAATTGCACTTGTTGCAGGATTTTGGGGAGCTGTATCCTTAATGATTTGAATTTCATGATTTGATGTTGCCCTTCTTGTTACTCTTATTGCTTTGTCATTTTACACTTTTTAATTAAAATAAAATATGAGAAATTATCTAACAAAATTAAAAAACTATTATTTTTTACTTATCATATCATTAGCATTGGTGTAGATAAAGATATTTTAGTCAGAGATACAATTGAAGTTTTAAATAAGTAAAACACTTCCAAGTTACATATTTATTTGGTAATTAGACACTTCATGGATGGGAAGCACATCTAAAACAAAGCCACTTAAAATGGGGATATTTTTAGTATTTTATTCCTTTATCAGAATACTGAATTTATATTGTCTATCTCCTTTGTATTTTACGACTATATGATAAGATTAACTTCTAAAAGTCTAGAATTACATGGTAATCAAATCCTTTGTTTTGCTAACAATATTGCCAATAACTGGTCTCTCTTTTCTATTTATTAACTCCATGTCAATTTCTGTCTCTTCTAGACCATATTCTTATCCATTCTCAGCAGAGAGGTTAACTATCAGAGATTACATCCCTTCTTGAGATGAGTAGTAAATAAATCTAACTTCTGATTTTGCTGCAATTACTGATTCAAGAGGAATACCTGAGTTAATCAATCTGTTTTCTGTACCAGACACAACTTGAACCAATACTTTTTCATCTGTAAATTTAGAAGTTAATTCAATTGTAAATGTATTCTACTGAGCTAATCCAGTTAAGGGTTAATCGTCTTTAAAAATATGTCTGATGAAAATACTTTTTGTTGTAAAGCCATTGCCTTAAGGATCAGTTGTCTTACATTCTGTACTTGTAAGTTATTTTTAAGGAGCAAATCCTCCCTTAACTGAAAGATCGATACAGCTACCTGAATAAGAAGAAACATATATGTTGAAATCATCTTAAGAGAAGAAACGTAATTTGGAAGAAATGTTTTGTTTTAAGAATATCAATTAGTTCTTATTGTTCTAAATTTGTGCTACTCCTCCATCGAAATTGATTGAAATACTATAAACCAATTATTTTTAAATTGACTTAATGCCTATAACGTAAGTGCAATCATCACAACTATCATCTTCCCATCTAATGTATTCTTTATGTGATTCGTTTTTAGTTGTTAAATCAGCGCTGTTTGGGTCAGCTAAGTTACTTAAGAAATCTTTAGCTGATTTATCTGAATTTTTATATTCTTTAATGAACATATAGCTATCTCCAGAGTTACCAGATACCATGTTTGTAACAACAGTGAATTTACCTTTTTCTTTCTTGTGATAAATATAGTATGATGTTTGATTGCTATGCAAGTATGCTTATTGAATTTAATTTTTGTCTATCTTGAAAATGTTATTATCTCCAACCTAATATTGAATCTAGTAAGTAGAGTTAGAATTACCATAAACTCCGACAATATAATAACCTGCAATGCCAGTGGAATTCTTTAATGTGCGATTATTTACCAATATGAAATCACCAGCTAAATCTTAAGAATTCAAATCGTATTCAGTTCTTGTGGGAATTTTTATGGAGTCTTTATTTAAAAATAAATCAGGATCTCCTTCATCTAGAGGAGTCAAATTGATAATCATCTTCATATTTCCTTTTTCTTGAGGAACATACAATCTATAGTAGACCATCTCTTCCTTACCAACATTACCTTATACAACCTCACCTAAATTTTATAGATAAAATATTATAAATATTATTGCCAAATATATCAAAAAAATTCAATCAACCTTCATATAAATCGTATAATTTATCTCCATTCAATTAGAGCTTAATTATATTTCCTATAACTTTGGTATCAGGTACTATCGATTCTTAAGGCTGGATAACAGATATTAAAAGGAAGCAACCCTATTCGCAAGACTCTCCTTTATAGGTCTCAGGATGTATTCTAATTTACTAAACTACTTCAGAATTAGTGTGAATCGCTAATTTTTTAACATCATCATTTAAAGTAGGAAAACCTTCTCCTTATCCTGCACCACTCGATTGGAATTGGCTGTAAGATAGAATCTTTCCCAAAACCTAAAATTCGTAGCTTTATGATTAGACAGTTAAAATAACTTCCTTTATTTCATATAAGAAGTAAATAAATTTCCTAATTTCCTTCTTTAGGGGGAATTGAGAAACTGTTTAGCCATAGCTGGAAATGTAAGTTGGCTTTTCAGGATAGACGATAGAGACAGTAATTCTTTCTTCTTGTGGTGACATCACTTCAATCTAGAATTGACAATCTTAGTATACATTCAAATCTAGCAAGTAAGGACACTCTTTGATCACATCTTATTTGTCTGCTTAAATATATTTAATTTAATCATAATCTTTAAAGGTTGATATAGTCTTATTATTAACTGAAAAGCTTCCTTAAATCTTTTGTTGTAAACCAATACCACTTCCTACAACATACGCATATATTTTATCAGTATCACTGATATCCTAGACCATGTAGCTGTAGATATTAAAGTAATAAGTTCTTTTCAGATTAGGAATCAAAATATCTTAGAAACTTTCATTTAAATTGAGGCTTACTTTGTCTGTCTAAACATAAATCACTACATTAATTTCTTTATCACTCACCTTAATATTAAAAAAAATTGTAAAAATACTTTAAAAATTCAATTTTAGTTTAGTTAAAAATCAATATTTTACATTTTCGATTGTACCATATAAATAGCCTTCATCGCTAAAAAAGTTTTGATCTAATTCTATTCTTTTTTCTGTGGCTGTAGAAGCTATATTGCTATCAGCGTTATATTTATTGTAAATACTGGAGGGAGCTACATTCTTATCTTCGCCAACATATAACTTAATTTGCTAGTCACTTTTTGCAAAAATTGTTTATTGTACTCCATAAGAAAATCCAAACTTGATGTGACCTGAACTTTTAGGTTGAATGCTAAGTTTAGTTGGGACTCCTTAAATAACTTCTCTGAACTCTAATTGCTTTTAGCCTTTTCTCTAAACCTGAACAATTAACTGAGCATTTGTATGCTCGAGAGCTTTCACATAAATGAAATAAGTGTAATCAGAAAGCTTCTTATTTTTTTCTAAATCATCAGTATTGTAAACAATTAGATTTTTAATAGATGAATGGACAAAGTCTTTTTCTGGTTTTTTATTTTTGATATTATCATAATTTCTGTCAGCAACGATCGAAGCAAAACCACTGTTATAACTTAGCTAAAACTTTATTTCAGTAATATCATAATCAAGAGACATGGGCTAAAATGAATATGTCCTATATTCTGACTAGGCTAAAAAGGCATATTCTATTGAATTTTCTCTTAAGGGTATGATGCTTGAAGGATCGTTTGAAGCAGCTTTCAAAACATATCTGTTTCTTTCTTCATTACCTTTTAACAGAAACAAAAAAAATACATTTATAAATATTTTTAAAAATATGTATCATAATTTACCTAATATTCCTATAGTAAAAATACAATAATTATAAAACATGTTGTCAGGGAACTTTTTTCTGTTAGCATCATCGTTATCGTTGTTATCATCGTTTTTTTCTTGATCAGAGTTGCATTTTTTAGGATCATATTATATTTTTATTGAATCAACGCCTTACTTGTTAACACTCCATCCAACGAACTTCTTTTCCTTGTCAATATATTAGTTCTTTACTAATTAATTAATTTCATCTAAAGTGATTGTTTAATCAGCGCCCTCTCCATACTTCCAACTTTTAACAAACAAATCAGGGTTTCCTTAAAGTGAGGTAAGAATAATCTCAATTTCTCTTTTCAAATCTCCATCAACTCTTAATTGATATAAAGTTAATTTTTGTTTACCAACAAAACTTGTGACTGGTTACTAGAGTTGTAATTAAATACCAGAATTGTATTCGTTCGAGTAAGTATCGCTTTAAATTAAATTAATTTGTTTAATCTGAATAAATCATATAAAAAATATTATTACATCCTGATTTAGAAGGCACTGATCTATTTGCCATAAACTGCTATAAATATTTTCTTTTCACTGCTATATCCCTTTTTGTTTAGCTCATCACTTGTAACAAGGATTAAATCTTCTCTAAAACTAGTTTTAGATTACCATTCATACTTATCTAAATCTTTTGGTCTTGTTTCGCCATAATGAACATACAAATCTGGATCTCCATTGTAGGGAATTAAGTTGAAAAGAAAATCAGAGAGGAATTTTCTTTTTCTGTTTTCACCTTAGAAAATTCTTTCAATTTCATAATCCAACAAATCTAAAAAGTCTATTGTAAAATATTAAGTTTCTTCTTATTCAACTACTCCATTATAAAAATATTCAGAAAGTTTCAAATCCCTTTCATTATCATAAAGTATGGTGCTAAATTAAATGATAGCATTTTTTGGTCCTTTAACTTCCAAAGAAAACGAACAGTCGTTGCACATCTCTCTCTTTTCTTGAGAAAGTGGAATAACTTTAATGTAATCGCTTATCCATATACTTTTTAACTAAGCATCATTTTTGTTTTAAGGCTGTCTTTCTCCTCTGTTTCCATAGAAATCAAATTCTGCCTATTCATTATACTCAAAGCTATACATATTCTTAAACTCTGCTTGTAAGAGCATGTTAGAGTACCCTTTATTCATCTTAGGGATCTTTACTAATATCTCTCTAACTTCATCATTTTTAAGTATAATATCAATACTTCCTCCCTCTTTATTATATTTTAAAAAGATTTAAATAAAATATCTAACAATAAAATAATAAATTCAAATTACTTTAAGCATCATATTCAATTCTTTCTTTATAAACTAAATTTAGAGAGTATTTGCATGGTGTGCTGCATTTTACTTCAACAACTAGGTCCATATCTTCACTGATGTCTTTATCATTAACTAAGCAGACATCATAGCCAATCTAGTCTGAAGTACAGTAAGGTTGAGTGTTTTATTTTGGTATTTTATCAGTATTAATAAATACTGCAAGATCTGGATCGCTGTCAATAGAAAGATTATTAAGCTGAACGATGAGATCGACATTTCTATTCTTTTCTACAACTGTAGCTGTATAATACTTTTTACCTATCTTGGTATCTGTGATGTTAAAATAATGCACATCATTCAGATGAATCTTTTCTATAGTTTAAGCGATACATAAAGAGAGATAAATAACAAGTATGGTAGATATCTACAACCACCCTCTCCTAAGTATCATGTTAAATCCTGCTTAAATTGCTCTTTCTCTATTTAATTATGTTAAATTTAAAAATTTTTATTTTTCCTCGTAAGTTCTATTCTAAAGCTCTTTTAATTATCAAACGATTTAGATATTTACTTATTTATTATCAAAAATTATTCAGAAAAAGTCTGAAAAAAATAGCAAAATAAAAGAATAAATAAATTTTTAAATAAGTCTCTGTAACTTAAGTATTGTAAATTTATTTATTTTAAATCATAAATATAATAAACATTTTTTCTATTTTATAATTTTAAATTAGGAAACAAAACAGATGAGTATCGTTATTTACTTAAATCCATTGTAAATAATTATAAAATTTATGTGTCGAAAAATAAGACAAATGGCAATAAATAAAATATAAACTGATAAAATCCAGTTTTTAATCTTTTGAAAAGTCAAAATTAATATAGGAAAAAAGATACCGAATTTACACAAAATGAGTCAAAAACTTAAATCTTTTATTATTCAATTTCAAATAAAATATTACGAAAAGATATACATAAAACTACGAATAATGTTAATAACTTAAAATCAATTGATATTATCTGGTAGTACTTATTAGAAGTTAGTAGACTGCTCGATCTTTGACTTGTAACTTTGATAAATATCTAAAAGATCGTTTGCATACTTTAGAAATATAAAATTTTTTAAAAATTCATATAAAAAATTAAGATTTTTACTTTCTATTTTAGTTTTTATTTCAAGAAGAATGTTTATTAATTAGCTTTTCTTTAGAAGAATTTTACCCACTAAAATATTTTAAAATATAAAATTTTTTTAAATTTAAAACAATTGTAAAAAAATTACTTTCTTTAAGATTAAAGATTTTAAATTAATAATTTATTTTTCTATCCAATAAGTTTACGTCCTATTAATAATTATTCCATTAATATTACGATTAATTTAAATTAAAATTTTACTATCTATTGATGAAATGTATTAAATTTTATCTTTATTTCTAATTAATTTACTAGCTTTTAATTTAAATAATAATAATTTTTTTTATATCTTCTTTGATGTTGAATTTTACCATCTATTTTTAAAAAAAAATAATATTTAAATTATTTATGAATAGCATAATGTTTGGGGTGTGTTTAATACCTCGATTTCTTTTTTTTGAGTCTCTTTTGATGTTGAACCTGCAACAAATGCAAAGATGTTTAACTTTTAAATTTATTTTTAGGAATTAACTTTAAAAAAAGTAAAAAGTAAATTAAGTTTTTACTTCCTAATCATATGAGTAAATATGAATTTATATTTATTTATGATATAAGCTTAAAAATTACTTCCTATATTTAAAAAATATCTATTTATCTGATTTTTTAACATTTAATGTGTTATTACGAACTATTTTGAGAATATTCACTTAAAATTTTTATGAGTTTCAAGCTAATTTACTTTCTATAATTTTATTAGAATTTATTCATAACAGCTAATTAAAATATATCTTACGTTCTATTTAAATAAATAATTTTTAATCTTTGAAATTATTTTTTATTAAATAAATTTACTGTCTGTAACAATTAAAATCAGTTAATAAATAAGAGTGTCCTCTCTTTCAAGTAAACTAAATATTGTTACCAACTTTAGAAAAATATTATTTGAGATTTATCAATCATAAATAATTTACATTCTAAAAAAAATGAATTAGAAATTTTCCTCACTAAACAATTTACGATCTATATTATAATTTGCAAATTAATTTCATCTAAATTTATTTGAACTCATTAATTTACGCACTTTTTTAAATAATTAATTTGAATATTTTAAATATTATCTTACTAGACTATAAATTTACTGGCTATTTTAGAAGTATAATAATTTAAAAATAAAATTGATGATCTTAATAGTATGTACCCTCTAATTTTATTAAGCTAAGTTTAATAATAATTCATCTTCAAAAATGATTTACATACTTTTTTTATAAAAATTTTATTAGAATTTAAATAAATTGATTAGTCTTACATTCTGTTAAATATCCATAAAATGATAAAATTAGCATCGAAACCATTAATGAAAACTATTTTACTCTCTTTAAAAAATATTAAGCAAGGACTATCACTGTTATTAATAAATTACTCCCTATTTTTATTAAAAAAGTATTTTTAAATAAAAACTTAGCAATAAGGAATTTACATTCTTTTTATTTGTTAAAATAGTATAAAAATATCTGTCTCATATACAATTAATCTTCAATTTTACTTGCTAATTTTATTAATGTTATAAGTTTTTATTGGTCATAGATAGCAATTAAATTTACGAACTTATTTTTTTTAAAAAAAGTATTAAAAAACATTTATTTTTTTTGTTATTAATAATATTACTGCCTTTTTATATCAAAACAAATAAATTAAATTTATCATATTTTAAGATCTCTTATCTTACGTTCTAGTAATTTTTTAAGAAAATTTAGTTTTTAATCACTCATAGCTAACAACAAATTATTTTACCATCTATATTTAATTTTAATAAGTTTATTATTTAATGCTTTAATTGCTATAAATTAAAATTTACATGCTAATTAAAAGATAAAATATTAATATTTTATGTTTTTTGCAGTATTTTTGTCTCCTTACTTTCTGTTTATAATATGATAAATATCAAATTTATTAAAAATACTAAAATAATTTACAATCTATTTTTGTTAAAACATGATTTTTACTTAATGATTTAATAATAATCAAAGCTTACTTCCTATTATTTAATAAAATACATAAAAATTTATATTTCACTTTAAAATATAATTTATTACAATGTCTTCCTAAAATTTCGTTTATTTAAACGATATAAATTAGTATTAACTCAGTTTAAAGTTTCTCCTAAATGAAATTTACATATTTTTCCCACTATTTACATTTTTAAAAATTCATTATTTTAGTATTCTAAATATATATAAAATTAAATACTCTCCATGATACATTCAGAAGCTCTAACATTTAATTGCACTTATCTAAACATACCTTCTGAATTAACCTCTTCTCTAGAATTGGATTGACTACATCACGGAAATTCTAAAGCTATTTTTTTATATCAATTTTGAATTTTCATATTTCAAATGAGTGTGTATTGTATTGTATGTATATGTTAATATTTACTAGGTTTTTAAAAGATTTCTCACATTAATTAATTGTTTTAAGACATTGTTAACTGTATCCCTCTCTTCTCTTCTTTTCAGTTTCGTTGTAAATCTTCTCAAAATTCCACTCAATATATACATCTGTTTCATTAGAATTATAAACAATTTTATCTTTAATTTATTAAAGTTATTCATTAATAATGGCTTAGCTAGATGACATTTATGCATTGTTTATAAGTCTTATCATATCTTCATACTCTTTCATTCTTCTCTTGTAACCATTCAAGGTATCATCTAAGATAAACTTCACCTATTTGTGCATATAATCATTTATAATAATATTTCCTTTTAAATATTTATAACCTGCTGTATCTTGTTTAAAAGCTTATTTAAAGCTTTTTGAGACTCTAAAAGCAGGTCTACGAATCCAATATCTTAATCTGTCACTTGCTTATTCATATACCTTTATCTTGTGTGGTCTTCAATCATTTATAAAACTAAATCAAGATCATCTTCTACTTTTAATTCATGCCTTTAGTGTTCATTTCTATGGCAATAAGGGCATATTAACTTAAAGTAATTTTCTCCGCAATCATGATTAAGGCATCTTAAAATGAATTAATGAATATTTAGAATTAATAATTTTATTAATTACACTAAACTCATATCTTTTGAAAGAGGACACTTAACACATCTAGGGTAATGTCTAAATGGTGACCTCATATTCCTAATAGCGTTTTCTATTTTTTCTTTAATTGGCTCTACTAATGAACTCCCCTACATCTTTATTCTATTTAATTCTCCTATTTATTTTCAAACTCTCAAAAAGTATTTAATAAAATATAAATCTTAACTTTATATATAGAGAAGACCAGTATTTTGTTTTAAATTTAAAGAAAGATAAAACGATAATAAAAGTTGATTTAAATATCTTTTAAAAGCAATTGTAGTTAGTTATATTTTTAATTTGCCAAAACCATTCATACAATTTGAAAAAATATTTTAAATTCTACAAAAATATTTTTTATTTTTTTTGAGATTTGATTTTAAAATAATTTCTTTATTTTAGTAAAAACATGCCAAAGAACTCTATTTTATTATTAAATAATCAACAGTAAATTCTTAATTTTTATAAAATAAATAATTCCAAATCAAAAATGAAATATAAAAACTATTTCATACAATTAAAATAAATTTAATTTTTTTATTAAATTTATGAAGAACATTTTAAAATAACAAATTTTATTTTATTTTTTTTAACTTAACAAATTTTTTCATATTTATAACATTGAAATAATATTTATATTGATCGTTAATAATTAAATCTAAATTTTTCTTATTTATAGTTGAATTTTTAAATAGTATTTAAGTGCTAGTAATCAAATCTAAAATATTCTTATTTCTGGCTGAATATCTATAGTTTTATACATATTTTTTAAATCCTATCTGAGTCTTTCTTTAAATCCTTTCAGATTGAAATAATTACCTATGCAAATTACATTACTTAATATTTGTTCTATTTCTTCATAAGAAAATTTTCTTAATGTAGATCTTATAATGTCTTAAAGACTTGGCAAGTAGCTATTTTTGCCTGTTGGGCTGAAGATAGATTCAGGGCAATCTATTTATTCATGACCTAAATACACTGTTAGCATTAAATCATTAAAGCTTCTTCCATTATCTCTCAACTACTCTAAAGGTTTTTTATATACAGTCCAATGAATGTAGCTTTATATAAAATCTGCTTTTTCTGATTTGTAGTTTTATGCAAAGTAGCAATGTTTTAAAACAATCTCTTTACACATTTCATTTATCTCTTGATCAATAAAATTTGCAATTTAAAATTAATATAGAACAAGCTCCTTCATAATATCAACTAAAAAATTTGTGTCCATTGGATGTTTATAGCAATCACTTTCTTTAACCACAAATTCAAAAGAAGGTATTACAGATACTACCCCAAAATTTTCAACTAGTATCAGACCTGTTCCATTATTTTATAAAACATTACTCAAATAGTTTTAGTTTGTATATTCTTTCATGATTATAGGGCTTATTCCTTAATACTTTGAATATTAATGATAATCTTCATTTAAAACTGAGAGCTATATGAGAGGCTAGAAAAAGTGAAAAAGATGAGAGTCTCTTCTATTCATTAAACTTGTCAATTTTTTACTTTCCCTTTTTATTTACGTGCTATTTATTAATTTTTACAATTCTGATACTTCATTATAAAATTATTATTTTTTAATTTAGTATTTCGTTGAACCAAGTTAAAAGCCATTTTCTTCTTTAATTTCCTTATCAGATTTTTATTTCTTATTTTTGCTAAACAAATCAACTAAGCTTTTTGAAGTATTTTTCTTAATAGATTAATGAGTTATTTAACTTTTTTATTCCTACGGAATCAGAGGCATGGAACTTGCAGATTAATTAATACACTCTAAAGTATCTTTAGTACTTATCAAAGACCTTAGTTTGTTGTTTGAGTGTAAAAAGTGTTCAGAATTATTATTTATTAATGGGCTGATTTAAGTATCGCTAGCAAATTTGACATGATTATTTATTAATGTTGAGGATTTTCGTTGTTTATTTATTAGTTTTCCAAAGGATTAATTTCCAGCATCTGTTTCTATGCTCTTAATCGATACACATTTAACACTTTCTTGAGATTTTATAGAAGGCAAAGCATTATTGTCTTTAATATAAGGGGAACTTTTATTTCTTTTTGACAAAAAATTCTTCATTTAATTAATTTCTATTGCTTAATTTATTAATTTGTAAAATTCTATTATCTTTACAGTAAAACTTGAATCTTTTATCATGCATAGAAAAGACTTATAAATTTAACTATATTTTATCAATAATTATTACAAAATTACTATCTTTGCTTATTCAGCGTTTACAAAATATGATACCATTAGCAGTTTACTGCCTATAGATATAATATACGATAGAAACGTAAATAATTCTAGAGTTAAATCAATTAAACTATCTAAAATTTAACAGTAAAATATACTATCAATTACCATATTTTAGCATTAAATTTAGCAAATTTGAAGGTTTCTTAAACATATAATTTGAATAATTATTCATTAGATTTTTCTATTTTAAGTTTTTACACAAAAATAGATTTCTAATAAGATCCATTAAAATAATTTCTAAATATAAATTTTTGTCTGAAAAAAAAAGATATATTTTAGTAAAAATATTTTTAATGATATATTTTATTGGAGATATTTGAAAGAAAATTATACTAACAATAATTCTACTAAAAATTATGATTTTATTTATTAATTTCAATAAGCATTTAATAATAATTATATTTATAGCAATCTAATAGACCCTTTAATAATAATTAAGGAATGGATTAAATAGAAATTTTTTATTTTATTTTTTAATCTTCATAGATTATTTAAAGATACACTTTTTGATCTAACTAAATTAATACATTTAAGCCAAATATACTTAAAAGGAGAATAAATATAAATTCACAATATGAGTAATTAGAATCCTAAAGAAGAGATAGAAAAAAAGGATAACAGAATCTTAGATGGTCTTCATTATTATTTGTGCTCTAGGGATTATAACATTAATTTTGATGAATCTATTGACAACATTAATTTAAATGTAGAAGGAGATGATGAGAATAAAAATAGTGATTTAAATAATATAATTCCAGAGGAAACTGCTGATAAAAATGCAGATTAAGTTGAATAATAAAATACTTTATAGTAGCCTTAGATGAGTTTTACAAATTTGGCAAATATTCCATTATCTTTTAACGACCCAGAAGATTATGTTAAAACATTTGAATAACATCTCTTTTCTGAAGCAAAAGCATAAATTATCAAAGCCCAAGTTACAGAAGTAAGTTTACTACAATTAAACAATATAGATTTGTTTTAAAATAAATATAAAATGTTTAAAAAAGTCAAGAGCTCCTGAAATTATGAGATTAAAAAACTCTTAGGTAATTGCTCTAAAAAATAATTCAGAGCTTTTCTTCAGAAAGCTAACTATGGAGAAAGTTGCTGACTCAGAAACAAAATATGGAACTCATGATTTTATAGTTATATCATTACAAGATGTAAATCAAATATTTTATTTCTACATAAATTGCAATCAATTTAAGATTAAAAATTTAATTGATTGTTGAATTTTAAAATATATTTTATTTTTAATCAATAAAGCCTTCCAAAGTAATATCAGGAGAACATATGTTAGGTGTAGTAGAAAGAGCTGAAGGAAATGAAATTTTAGTCAAAGTAGTTTTTGATGAAAATAGCAGCGACCCACGTAATTAAAAAATACTTAAAGTCATGTAACAAGATGAAAGCGTTTGGAGAAATTGGTATGTGAAAAAGTTTTGCAGTATAGTTACTATTCAAAGAGAATACGAAGTAAATTACTTTATTATATATTTATTTGTCTATTAGTCTTGGATATTTGTGGCAAAGTTTTATGATTTGATTTCGAAGTTATTAAAACTATTTTTATTATCGTAAAGGCTCTACACAATTTTAATGATTTGCTTTTAAAAGAGTTCATACTTAATCCTGAAAAGTTAACTCAGAAGAAAGAAGAGAAGTTTTCTATCCCTGAATAGCTTTCAATTCGTTTAAATTAGATTTATAATCCCTCCCAAATTCAAGCTATTAACTCAACACTAAAGAAATAAGGTGTTACTTTAATTTAAGGTCCTCCTGGTACAGGTAAAACACGTACTGTGCTAGGTACTGTTTCAGTGCTTATTAATTCATTTAATGAAGACTAGCTTAAGTAAAAGCACTCTATGGAGATTGAAGATAAATCAAAGTTAGTTGAGCAGTCAGGCGAATTCCATTTCGAATTGTAATATTTTATTCTAATTTTGTCTTTAAAAACTAATTAAAATTTTTAAAAATTAGAGCTATGCCATGGATGTAGCCTAATTATGTTGATTGGAGAGATAGTACTTTTGATCACTTGCATAATGATTTTTCTAATTTTACTAAAACAAAAAAATATATCACTGCTGATTAAACTGATAAAGTCATTCCTATCCTAAAAGCTTAGGAAGAGCATGCACCCCCTGAAAAAATTTTAATTTGTGGTCCTTCAAATGCAGCTATAGATGAAATCGTTCGTAAAATGAAAAAAGAAGTAAAATAAAATATTTTTTATAAATGCCAAATATTCATTTATTTCAGAAATTTCATTATTTTTATATATTTTATTTATTCAAAAGGGTTTATTGGACAAAAATGGTAATATTTATGATCCTTCTAAAATTATAGTCAGAATTGGTGAGAATTATGATAAAGATTTGGAGGATGTATCTTTAGATTATTTAGTCAAGTAAAAACTTGGCGAATAAAATATCAGATCAGAAGATGCTTAAGAAATAAGAAAGAAAATATTAAAAGAAGCCAAGATTATCTGTGGTACTCTCAGTTCAACTGGTTCATAAATTTTAGCATCTGCTAACTTTGTAAATTAAAAAATAAATAATTCAACTATTTTGATTTAAATAATATGTTTATTTTCATCAAGAAATTTGATACTGTCGTAATTGATGAAGCTGCTCAGTCTACAGAAATAAGTACTCTCATTCCTTTGCAATATTAATGTACTAGACTTATTTTAATTGGTGATCATAATTAATTGCCTGCTACTATATTCTCTAAAAAATGTGAAAAGTTTAATTATCATTAGAGTTTATTCGAACGTTTTGAAAAATGTAAAGTTGAAGTTCATATGTTAAATGTAATAATTTATTTATATCCCATTTTGAGTTTTAATTTAATAATATTTTTAGTAACAATATAGAATGAACCCCATTATTAGTAAGTTTATTTCTTAAACTTTTTACTAAGACAAAATTTCAGATGCCGAAAAAATTAACGAGCTTGTAGGTTAACCTGAAATTTATTAGTTAAGACTATTTTAGCCTGTCGTTTTCTTTAACGTTGAAGTAATTTTTTATATATAAATTAAGATAGGTTAAATTAAAAATCAATTAAAAATTATAGGGTAATGAAATATTTGAAAAATCTTCATATAAGAACGAGGAAGAGTCAAAAGCTATTGTTGAAATTTATAATAAATTGAGAACTACCTTCCCTAATTTCGATTTGAATAAGTTAGGTATTATTACTGCTTACTCTCGTTAAGTTAAGGAAATAGAAAAAAAAATTAAAGCTCACGATAAAACAGACAAGTGTATGGTTGAAGTACACACAGTTGATGGTTTCTAAGGTAGAGAAAAGGATATAATTATATTCTCTACTGTGAGAGCTAGTTAGGTAAATGGAGAAAAAAATACTAAAAAAACTATTGGTTTCTTAAATGACAGAAGAAGAATGAATGTCAGTTTAAGTAGAGCAAGATTATGTGTTATAGTTGTGGGTGATCTCAAATAACTTAAATTTTCTAAATTATGGAAAGGATTAGCAGAATATTCAATAGAATAAAGAAGTTGTTATAATATGGTTGCCCCATATTAAACTTTTGTTAGTAAATTAGAATTACACTTTGATTAATACAAAGTTTATAGGGCAACATAGAATTGAAATTAAATAATTCTTTATTTAATTTTATTGGAGTCTTTTTTTATTTTAAACATGTCTTAAAAGCCAAATGTATATAAGTGTAGTTGTTTAAAGTATTATCAACAAAAACATTTTTTTAAAATTTAATTAATGAGTTCTATATAAAATAAATGTGATATTCGAAATTATTATTATTTTTTCAACTAATTATAGACTTATTTATTTTTTAAAGCATTAATATTATATATTATCAGCTTTAAAAATTATCAATTAAAAATGTTGTCAATAAAATTATTATTACTTCTCAAATAAAAAGTTGACTTTTAAATAAGAAATTGCTATCAAATATTTCACAACATAAAAACTCAATACTTGAAATATCTGATAAAGTAAAACTAAAAATTTAGCATTTACTATTTAAGAATAGTTAAATTTTTGTAAATAAATAAGAAAAGTAGAAATATTTATCTTCTTTAATTTTTGATAAGCTTTTAACTGTTCAATACTAATATATTTTCTTTTTCTAATTGCCAGTTTTTTTTATCAGATATCAAGAATAACAATTTTATATTTCATTTAACTTTAAGCATCAAATTTAAATTATAATTTTTGAGAGATGGTATTTTATTGATTCATTAAGAAATTTGGTTTTCTTATATAGAAATTTGGATTTAATGCTGATTAATATTGATCTACTCTTCATTTATAGGCTAGATTTAACAACATTCTTATTTTTTCATATTTTTTTTTTACTCTAAATCATATTTTTTTAAATCTAATCTACAATTTGGACAGCATGGACTCAAATTTAACCATGGCTTTATACATTTAGAGTGAAATATATGCTTACATGGTAATTAATTAATAATATCACCTATTTGATATAAACATATTTTATGAATTTATAGTTTGTTTGCCAACAATATTAATCAAAAATATAGAAGTAGAATGATTATACCTTATTCGAATTTTATGAAGCATATAGAGCAATTCTTAGATGTCTTTCCAATTTTCATTTTTAAGCAATATTTTTTATAAAGATTTAATGTAATTCCATTGCTATTGCTTTTGTTATAGATCCTATTGATTTATTATTCCATAAAAAGTAAAAATTCTTTTTTAAGATGTTTTTTATTGCAAATATATAATAAATCTTATTAAGTGAATCAATCTTATTTTGTAAAATTAACATTTATTAAAAATTATCAGGTAACACATATTTTAAAAAACTATGGAGGCTACTTTAAAAATATATTTTTCTCTATTATTAAGTGATTACCAAGTTAAAAAAATGGCATACCATCTCTTTTAGCATTGAATATTTATAATTAAAAAATATTTTTTATATTTTATTTATAGAAGAAGCATACAAAATATTTAGCTCGAAACAAACATAAATTTAAATTAACTTTTACTATAAAGCGTATTATTCAAAATATATTACAACTATTACAGCAACAAATTTAAGTCTAATTTAATCTTTCATTGACCAGATTTCTCTATGTTTATGTAGTCTCAGCTTCCTTATTTATATTATTTTCTTTATTGAGCACACCTTTTTATTCTTCCAATTTTTTTACTAATTCTTCTAAATTGTCTAGTTTTTCTAGATTGCTTAGTTTATCATTTATTTACTTAAGCAGACCTTTAATATCATCTGATTAGGTATTCAGATCACCTTTGGAAGATTCTGTTCTTATACTTATAGAATTGAGCTTCTCAGCTGATCCTAGAAATTATAGGTTTTATGAATTTCTATTTTTTAAATATAATTTATTTTTGAGTCCCATTATATTAATAGTTAATAATTAAAAACTTAGATTTATAAATTATTTTGATAACTTTTTTATAATCAAATAATCATAAGACGTTTAATTATCAAATTAAAAGTATCAAAAATATATAATCAATCATACATAAAAGTTTAAGTTAGAATTTAAATTTTATTTATAATGCATTTACATTTAATTTGAGGAATTCTATGTTGATTCTACTTAATTTATTTTAATTTGACATTTTAATATTTTTTAATATTATATTTCTATTTTTTCAATTTAATTTGATTAATTTTTTTTATTTAATTAAAAATTCATTTTGTTTACTTTTTAAATACCAAAAAGTTATTTATATTCTAAAATTTGGTATCTTTTTAAGATACATTTGTTGATACATAAGTGGAATTTTTATAAAATTATGAAAAAAGAATTCAAAAAAATGTATTTTAAATCTATTCCTTCTATAATTTGAGTTATAACTTTTAAATTTTTTATTAAAAATATCCATACACTATATATTGCACTTCTTCAAGAATTTAAACTTCAGAAGATTTTTGTAAACAACTTTACTTTTTTATAAAACATAATGTTTAATTTAGTATTTCATTCAAATCTACTTGAACTTCAAACTTAATTAAGGTGTAGAATAAAAAAAATTTAATTAATAATATATAAATTGTAATCACAATATCTAAGTTGTTGATATTTGAAATGCACGAAAAGGTATATATTATATCAATGATTTATAAAATTAAATTTTGTAAAAGATACATGAAAATTTGTATGTAATGAAAATAAATATTTTTATTTATTGTTGTTCAAATTCCTTAATAGCTTGAATCTTTAAAAAGACCAGTTAAAAAAACTATCTAGATAGTTGTAATTGATATCATCAAAATCATTTTAATAATACTGCACCATTTTACTTTACTTTCTGTTGACTCCAAAACTATTTTTTTAAAATATATATATAGTAATTTATTAATAAATGTGAAATGAATACTCTTATCTTAGACTTCTAGTCTTAATAATGTATGTCTCATATTAGTGTAAATATCGTTAAGTGTATAGTATGCCTAAACTGATTCATTATAAGCTTACTATAATTTTTCTATATAATATTAAATAATATTTTTTTATTTGAATATTATTTTAAATTTATATGTAATTGATATATTGATATATTTCATGATTTTTAAGAATTCATTCAAAAATCATTAAAAACTTAAAATAAAAAACATTTTAAATTATAATCCTTCATTATTTTAATAAAAATATTAACACGTAAAATTCCAAATTACTATCATCTGCATAGCTATCATCAGCAGAGTTGTTTATTCTATTTAGCTCAAACTATAAAATCTTTCCAGAATTATCAAGAGATTAAAAGCATACTTTGTATTCATGTTACTTAGTAGCTGTGAGGTTATAAATGTGAGATTTCTAATTATATACTTCATATAAAGGCTATTTTGAAGTGTCTGAAAAATCTTCATAGACCTATCATATTATTATAATACTTTATTACTAATTAATTATCATATTTGAATAGCCATAATTAAGCTAAACCAAATAAAAAACAACTTATTATAATTCATGATCCCTTATGTAAGGTAATTCAACAAAATCTTTATAATTTATTTTTGTAAAGCATTTATCAAATATTTTAAATATAATAGAATCAGTTTACAGAAAATCTAAACTAATCTGGTTTGTATCCTGAAACTTCATATCTAACAACTAAATGCTCGTTTTAAAAGAGTTATTAATATAAACAATAAATATCTCTCCCGTTTATGTTAATATCAAGAGCGTATGAACAACTAAACACTAATGTAGTTAACAATACAAACTAACTAAATTTCATTTGCTAATTGCTTATATACTTATGAAAAACTTTAAATAATTTATTTTTTTATTTATTATATCTTTGATTTTTGATAATTTATTGATCTTTTATTACTTGAGTTTGATTATCATCTAAAATAAATATCTTATTTACAAATAAATAAATTCTATGCACTATATTATACGTATTCATACATAAAAAATATATTTCTACTACCTTTTCAACAAAGAAATTTTGAATTAGCAAATATTATTCTATACTTTATAAGTAAAGAATCTAAAATTGTTATATCCATTTGATATTTGATATCAAATTTTATTTTATGGCGAAATATTCTTATTAAGAATTAAATAAAATCTATGCAGTCATGATTCTAAATTTAGCATAACAAATAAAGATAGAACATAATTTTATGATATTCATAATCACACTAATCTATATTAAATTAGAGCTAGACTATATTACTCATTTATCTTTTTTATAAATTAAAGACAGTAAAACATAAAAATTGTTCTAATTAAATTATTGGTAATTATCAAACTAGTCTAACAAAAAATAATTAATATTTTTCACTTTTTTAGTAAATTTAAAAAAAGCTGAAATTTAATGAAAATGTTTATGAATAATCAATACCTTGATACTACAAATTCTCAAGAAGAAACCACTTAAAATAGTTATAAATAAGTAGAATATTACTACATCGAAAAGCAATAATATAAAACATAAGTTGTTTAGAGTGAATTGTTAGAAATTTTAGACAATAAGCGATTAGTACCAATTGTTCGCCCATTAAACTAATTTTATAATGGATACTTACTTGGAAATGACCTTTATATTAATTTAGATTTGATTCTTAACAAAGAAAGTTATGAGCAGCAGCATTAAATTATTAACTAATTCAAGTAACTAAAATAAATAAATTGGAATTAAAAGCGATCTTTTGTGTAGCTTCATTTAGAAACAAATTAAAAATATGTTTACGATTATTCCTTGATGCTCTATTAACTTTCAAGCCTTTAGAACAGTAGATATGCTTAATGCATTATACCTCTAAAATAATATGAGCAGTATTGTATTGGTTAATATAAATTAAAGGAAAATTTACAGCAAAAAGATTAAAGTTATGCGGAAAGATTAACATAATATTTTTAAGAAAAAAATGAAAGCGTGATAAATTCTATACAATTTGAAAATAAGTACATTTTCATTCTCTAAAGGGGATTCGATCAGCATAATAATTAAGTTGCTTTATAATCAATTTATTATTCAGAAATTCTTTTGGATTTAATAGGAATATTTCATGGACTAAAAATGTTTGTAAATATATATTAGTTTGATTATATTTATTGATTATATTAAGTTAATATTGCTAATTCATTTTGTATTAAATTATTAGGGTATTGAAAGGACAGAAATGACTAATTTACTTAATAGGCTAGGAGTTTACAGCATATTCAATGATATTAATTCTATGGAATATAGTTTGGATTTTTTTATTAACTAAAATGAAAGAAAAGATGAATAAATTTAAAATAAAATTGTAAACTTCGATTTTTAAACTCTTGATAATATTCGTGTTTAATGCTAAGGAAAAAGGATATAACATAATATCAATCTTGATATAGATAGAAATTTGGATTCTAATCATAATTAACTTCTTACAACAAATTAATAAATTATATATGAATTATTTATTTCTAAAGAGTAGATAAACAAAATTAATGCTTAAAGAATTGAATAACTTAGATACTTTTCTAAACTTACTGACAAGTTAAAAAGAGAAGAAGCCAAATAATTTTGTATGAATGGATAATATCCTGAAGAATGCAAACATTTTCTAACAAGATATTACAAAGATATATTCAATAAAGAAGTTAAAAATATAAATTCTAATTTCTATGATTTATCATGGCTCAACAATCTATGACTTAACTCCTAATATTAATCAAATAATTTTTATTTAAAGATAATAAATAAGAAACAATCAAATAATTTGTAATAAACAATTTAAAAAATAATTAATTTAAACTTACATCTTATCAAAAAATTTAAAAACTTGAATTTGAGTGGAATATAAAAAAAAGTTTTCTTTATAATTAATATAAATAAATACTAAAAATAAAATTATAAAATGTTAATATAATTAATTTATTGATTTAACATTTTTCTTTAAATTAAATTAATCTACTTAATGTATTTAAATTGCATATTACTTCAAATTTAATATTTATTTTAAGATTAATAAATTTATTTATTTAAGATATATATAATGAAACTGAGTTAAATGCCTTTTTAATTTTGGATAGGCATATACTAATTAATGAATATTTAATTAAAAGAAATTTAGACAAATTTTTAGTTTTATTAATTTTAAGTGCTTCATTCTCAAAAATTCTAAAAACCACCCCTACTGACTGAAAGGGTTAATAAACTAAACTTTTATAAATATATTGAAATATTTGATATATTTTTTTTAGTAGTTAAGTACATTTTGTTTAAATTTAGAAGTAGAAGATATAATTAATTAATTAATTTGTTAAATTTCGAATTTTCTGACAAGCATTAATTAATTATAAAAAGAATATTAAAAACTTTTCTAAAATTCTATGAATTTATTTGATATAATATTTAGTATAAATATTCTTTTTAGCATATCCTTTTTTATATAATTATTAATCAATACTAATCATTAAAAAGAAAAAACTTATTTTGATAATATAGAATATTTTAAATAGCAAAAATGTACCAAGAATTAAAGTTTGAAGTAACTTTTGAAGTCCCTTCTAAGTGCATCTTCTAAGCATTGACTGAACAATTGTAAATAATTTTCCTTTTCTAAAAACTCTAATTGCATTAAAGAAGCAACCATTTGCAAAAAGTAATTAATAGTATAAAATAATATATTTTGAAAATAAAAGCGAAGTTATGAAATATACAAGATCTCCAGCTGTAGTAGAACCCAAGCCTTAAGGCAAGTACTCAATTTTGGAGGGAAGAATTACTGGTACTTTCCTTGAAGTCGTAAGCACCTATGATTTTATACTATACTCTTAATTTGTAAAATCTATTTGTTTAAAAAAATAAGGACAATACTAAAAAGCATATCAAAATGACATGGAGAATGAAGGACTGGAAAAGCGATTCTTTGGTCAATTTTACTTTCATTGACAGAGATGTAAAAATACCTTTTTAATCTAACTTTATAAATTAAATCATTTTATTATGTTAAAGGATGAATGCACTCTTTCTATTGTTTAAAGCGATATTCCTAATGATGTTAACTGTGAAAACTTAAGAAAAGGATGGATGACACAAATTTTTGAACCTATGAGTTCTATTTGCGGTTATCCTATTGATAATTGAAATTTAACATATTAAAAATGAAAATAATTTAAAAGATAGATGATATCTTTGGCTGTTGTATTTTATATGAACTGAGTTGGAATTTATTATTAAAAAATATATATATATATAATCTTTATTAAATTTAACATTAGGTAGATTCTAAATATAACAAAAAGATCTATCTATTTGATATTATCTTTTTCAAAATTATTCTAATTCTTTTTCATAATAGTTTTATTTATTTATTTATTATTAGTAAAAAGCAAAAGTTAAAATAATTTCATAAACATGTCTAATTGTAAATTATATTAATTTTTTTAATTCTATTTTTTTATTGTTAGTTCAGTTTGATAATATGAAAATTTTTACTATAGTAAAGATTTATTTTTTTAAAATTAAATATTTAATATATTTTATAATATTGATAATGTTTGCTATTAGTTTTTATTATTCTTACTGACTTAAAGTGGTTTAAGGCTATCCTATTTTAAAGATAGATACTCAATCTACTTGTTAATAATTTAATTTTAATTTTTAGTTAAATACTTTTTAGTATTTAAACACATTTGCTTAAGTAAAATCAAACCCTATTTTTAAGCATTTTTCAAAGAAAATAATTTAAAATCCAATTCCTATTTACAATTTACAATGAATAGATTTAGGTTATGAATGAATTATTCTTTAATATTTTTTTTCTTAAATTATTTTAAAATATAAATAGAAAAAATAAATTGGTTGCTTTATTGAACCTATAATATTTCTAAAATTGTTTTGAATTAATTTCTTTATTTTTCAACTTAAATTTTGATAAGTTTCTATGGTTAGTCAATATTCATTTCTATTCCTCTTGTATTTTTTACATTTTATCTATAATATTTATTCCTTTGAGAATTATATAAACCTTATTCAAAAAATCAATTTAACGCTATCCTATATATATTTAATAAATACTCAGTCTATTTCGTAATGATTTAATTTGAATAAATTGTTTTAAATAATTATAAATACAATAATGAATTTAATTCATAGTAAAGCCTATTTTTAAATTAAAATGGATAAATTTTATGTAAATTTAAAACATATTTTAAGTTTTTAACTTCTAGATTATTTATTATATGAGTTTTTTTGCTCAAATATTTGATTCTTTCTTAAATTAATAATTTAAATTTTAAAATTGCTTAGTTTTTTGGAGACACACTTTTTTTATATTAAATAATAGAGTATTCTTTAGTAAATTAAATAAAAAATAATAAAAATTAAGAATTCAAAATATAAATATCAAGAAAAAAGGACTGAAATATGTAAGTAGAACCTCAAAAAAGCAAAAGTATTAACCTCTCAAAAAAAGAGCTCAAAAGTTTTAATAAGCTTCATCTTGTATTAATTATTTTAAAATTATTTTGAAACAATTTATTTAAATTATAAACAGAAATAAAATGACATTAAAGAAATTGAAGAATTAAATCTTTCTGCTAACAATATAGAGTCAACAGACAACATTTCACTTTTAACAAATCTGAAAGCTTTAAACATTTCTTCGAATTTGCTTGTGAAAATGTACGGATTACCAAAATCATTAATATTATTAAATGCATCAAACAATAAAATAAATGAACTCTTTAGCATAAGGAATAATTAAGTACTTCAATCTTGCTTTGATTAGATGGCTAATCTGACAATTCTTGATCTTTCCAAAAATAACATTGCTAAATTACATTCAAATCTATTTGATAATTGCAAGCACTTATCTGACATTGACTTGTCTCATAACAAAATTTCAGACTAATTAGAATGTTTTGTTAAATTACCTGACTTAATAAAGTATTTTACTTTTAAAAATATTCATATTTATAATTAATTATTTTGTTAAATTTATTTTCTTAAAGATTGAATTTGAGTTACAACAAAATAACAGATTTAAATTCTCTTTGCTAGCTAAAAGGATGCTTAGTTATAGCACTTAACGTTTTATCTAATACTGTCACTAAGTAACATTAGAAATCTTTCCAAAAAAACAAAAATATTCTTTTTATAATAATAGACAAAACTCTTTACAGTGTGAGAATTTGTTGAGAGCTATTTTACCCAATATCTAATCTCTGACTATTAACTAAGAAAGAAGTTTAACTCCATAACCTATGAAAAATCAAAAAATTGAAAAAAATAAAAACAGCTCTGCACTTCCTGACAAAACTCAAAAATAATTTATATCCCCATTTAAAAAAAGATTGTCAATTGCAAGTACTGATAGCTCTACCAAAAATTTATCTGCATAAAGATAGCTTTAGTTTGATAATGTTTCTTTTATGAGATAAGTTGATCCATAAAATGAAACTTAAGTTTTCTAAGACTTCATTCTCCTAAATAATTCTTTTGTTTAGCCTAGATAAGATATTCCCTAGAATGCATGTATTTTTAGCTCTGCATCTCCATTTGATTATGTAGATAATCAGTAGAAAAAAATTAAATTGTAAGAAAACAATGAAAATGATGAGAAACTTCATAATCATAACAGCTGCTTAAAAAAAATATCTATCTTGCAACAAAAACAAAAGATGGATTAAGAACTTATCAACCAGTAAACTAAAATGATTTAAGATCTAGTTTTTTGCAAAAATTGTGAGGAATAAAAAAAAATAAAATAAGTAGCATTAGAAGAGATATCGTTTAAGGAGGATACAATGATTTAAAAATCATTTAATTTGACTTATTTAAAAGCTAAGTTTGACATTTTAATGTTTGCCTTTTCAAAATGTAAATAAATAAATTTTTTAATTAAAACTTTAATTATTTTTTTTTTACAATTAAATAAGAAACTAAATTGAACATTAATGAAATCGATGATTATCTAAAATAAGTAATTGGTGATAAAGTAATTTTAACGTCTGAATAGAAATGTTAGTTGGGATACTTAATTTGTGACAAGGTACATTCTGCAAATAATAGCAAATAATCATTTTGAATTAAATAAGAGATAGTTTGTTAAAAAAGTTATGTTGTTAAAATATAAACTAATATAAACTTTAGATGAATTTATATTGATATAATTTAATATTTTTTATTAATAAGTAATTGTATTTATTTGTGTGTATGTGTGTTTGAATATTTACTTTTGCAAATTATTTTAATTAATTTTTTGATTCTTGTATTTTTCTTTAATCATTACTTTAAATTTTTTAGAGTTGAGTAGAATAGAGGAAATAGTATTTTTTAAAGTAAAGGAGCGCTTGGGAATTTTTATAAAATTCTAATTTTTAAAATTTATTAAAAAATTAATTTTTAATTTAAAAAAGAATTTAATTAACTTTTTCAAAAGGATTAAATAAACTACGAGTGCCACTGCAATCATTATATTTCTTTTAATGGATCTCTGTTTTTAAAAATAAAATATTTGTTAAGTCATTTAAAATAAATCGATTAAATGTAAATGTTTACAGCAAAATTATCTTGTAAGTGAGATTTGTAAGTCACCTTAAAGTTCTTATCAAACTTAACTGAATGAGGAACTCTTTCATCCATCCATTCAACGATTAGCTTTTGTATTTCACCTACTTAATGGTCATGCTGCATTTGATGGTAACCACCCTCAAATAACTTAATTTTTTTATCATTGCTGTTAATAAATCAATAAATACATTTAAATAACCTTTTTAACATGTGTAAATAATTAATTGATTATTTACCTTGAGCAGTTCTCATAAAAGTTAATAGAATCTAAGTGGTTGGTAACGAAATCACTGTTGCCGTGCATTACAAAAATAGGAAATTTGAATTCTTTGGCCTGTTATTGAATCATTTCTATAGCCCAAAGCATACTTTTTGCCATTTTAGCTCTATTTTTTATTTAAATAATTAATTTAATATAAAATAGATTTATTTGAATACCCTAAAAATGGTATCATAAGCTTATCTTCAAGTGCTGTTCTTAAAAATCTATCGTTCTATGTTAAAGCTGTAAGATTAATCATAGAATTAGCAACAATATCCTAATTTTTAATTAAAAATTAACAATAAATAAACTAAATTTAGAAAAAATCTATATCAAAATTAATCTCATTTTCATTTATTAATAATTTATTACTCCTAAAAAATCACCAACTAACTTTAAAGTAAACATTTTAAATATATCTATGTTTCTATCCTTAGGTAATCCTAAAAGAGGTGCATTTGCTATAATACCAGCTATCTTTATGTGAGGATTTCTTGCGCCTAATGATGTCACTAATAAACCTCCTAAGCTGTGGCCAAATAAGAAAAGTGGCAATCCTTCCTAAACTTATCTCATGCACATTTCAATATCTGCTATCATATCTATTAAATTGAAAATTGATAAATACTCATTAGTTTAAAGTAAATAAGTCAACCTTCTATGACAGACACACCTCTAGCACCTCCTGAATATCTATAAAATAATTTTAAATTGTAAAAAAAATTACATTCATTTTAAATAAAATTAATATATTTATTCTTAGAGTGTAAAATTATGAATCAAATCCATAAAAATTTACCCGAAACCTCTCAAATCTATGAAGTGAACATCAAAACCTTATAGAACAAAGAATTCTCCGAAATCTAAGAATTTGCCTGAATGTTCTCCAAATCCGTGAACAATGATTAGCGTGGCTTTCTTAGGTTTAACTATAGGCTCCATATGGTTGTAATATAATCTCATTGCTATTCCCTTTCCTTCAATGAATTTTCTTGTTAAACGATATTCTTTACATTCAAATGTGCCTAAAAATTTATCATCTTCACTAAAAACAGTATTGAGATCAACAGGAAAGCTAGTATTCTTAATAACTCTTACTTCCATTTTCAACTTAACTTTAAAATATTATTAAAAGGAATTAATTTGATTTCTTTAAATTAATGAATTTATAAATTATTTAATTATTTATTTATGGATTGGATTTTGATGAACTTATATTTAGAAATTCAGATTAGCTATAAATTTTTATATTGTAATTGACAAGTGATGTTAGATATGATGAGATAAGTATTCAAAAATGTTTAACAATTACTTTTTCAATTTGATTACAAAAAAATATGTTTAATTGTTTAATTTATTCATTCATATTAAAAATTTTGTAGAGCGATTAGCTAAAATGCGTATTTTATAATAAAATATAATGACGTAACGTGATTAAAGCGTAATAAACAACTATTTATATTATGGTCTTAATATGATTTAAAAAAAGATAAAATATAACATTATTAAATAAAATATATCATCAATATATATAAATTTTAAACAAATTTATTAGATTTTCATTTTTTTTTAAATTTGTTTTAGATTCAAACTTAATTAAAATCAATTTTTATTATATTATCTAAAGGTGATTTTGATACAATATTGGAAAGAAAAAACGTATAATAAATGGATTTAAAAAGTATGTATGAAATCTCTTTAAATTATTAAAATTTGCTTTTCTGTTGTTTTTAAAATTTAAAATATTAAAAACTAATAGATAAGCTAGTTTTATGATTGTTTAAAGATAAAAGAAATAAATTAAAAAGTAATGTTTAATTATTATTTTTAAAATAGATAATTAATTATCTTGAGAAATTAATAAAAAAAGTTTAAAAAGCTTATTCTCACTAAATTGAAATAAAAGAAATTTATATATGTAAATATGTATATTTATTTATACTTATATTCTTTGAAGTATTTGTTTAATTGTTTTTTTTGTTTATTTATTTATTAATTGATGTATTATTAGAGAATATTTGTTAAATCTCTTTAAATTACTAAATTATGCTTTCTGTTGCTTTTAATAGTTAAAATATTAAAAACTAATAGATAAGCTAGTTCTATGATTGGTTAAAGATAAAAGAAATAAATAAAAAAGTAATGTTTAATTATTATTTTTAAAATAGATAATTAATTATCTTGAGAAATTAATAAAAAAAGTTTAAAAAGCTTATTCTCACTAAATTGAAATATAAGAAATTTATATATTATATGTAAATATGTATATTTATTTATACTTATATTCTTTGAAGTATTTGTTTGTTTTTTTGTTTATTTATTTATTTATTAATGGATGTATTATTAGAGAATATTTGTTACATTTCAGTTGAAATTAAATTAAAAAAATGAATATATATATGCATATGACAAACCAACTGTTTAAAAATTGTATAGATACATATGTTATTAGTTGGAATTTATTTTTCGTTTATTAGTGTATGTATTTTAAAATAAATCGATTTGTGTGCTTGTTCATTTGCTTGCTTTTTAATTAAACTTTTCAAGAACTTGCTTTCTAATTTCTTCTTCAGAAATGTGTTCAATGTCTTCATAGAATTTATTAAAATCGAATGAAGAAATCTTGAATTCAAGGTAAGGATTATTGCAAACAATTAAGTAACGAGCAATTACCAAAATTTCTTTGTCAGGTTTACCATTAATTATCTATGGCTTTAATGTTTCTATCATTTCATTAAGGGTAGCTTTAAAAATGCTTTTGAATTTATTGTCAAGAGTGAAAGTTTTATCAATAATGCCTAAAAATTTGTTTAAAACTTCTTGCTTGTCTTTATTGGTTTCTTTGTTAAATGAATGTGTAACAACATCTTTTGTCTTTTTGAAGAGTTCTTCAAAGAAATTCTTAGAATGATCGATATCAGCTCTAATAAGCTTGACAGTAGTTTGGTATTCAGTGGATTCTTTGTATTTCTACCACACTTGCTCGCTAAAACCTTCAGTCTTAGATTGATTCAAGAATTCGTTCATTTTATCTAATTGCATATTTTAATACTTGCATATAGAGAAAATGATACGGAAGTAGAGATCAGCAGGAACTTACAACTTAGAATCATTGTAAGCCTTAATCAATTTCTAAATGACAAAATTAGAGAAGAAAGCAATATTACGTTCATACAAAATATACTCGTTGATCTTTAAAATATTCTTTCTTGTCTATTCATTTTCCTTTTGCTTATTAACAATTTCATTAACTTTTTAACTGCTTTACTCCATTTTGGAGGTCATTTATGAAGACTATTGAGTAGAGCTTGTAGTTTATTGTTCTTATTTTTTTAAAATATTTTGCTAGATAGCATCAGGACCTTTAGTTTATACAGTGTCAGGATTTGTAAGATAACCAGCGACCAAATTCTTTTTGATATAGTTATCATTTAAAGAGACACTCTATTCTAAATCGTCTTTATTAGGAGCAGGTTCTTTAGCTAAAGCAGGGGTAGTGTAGTCTTTGATAAGAGGATGGTTGAAGATTTCTTCCCAACTCATTCTTTCTTCTTCTTTGACTTTCAACATACCTCTAAGTAAATCCTTAACTTCCTATTCATCAAAATTAAAAAAATTTTAGTTTTTGAAATATTAAATAAAATATATAATGAGCTATTTTGATAGTCAAAATTTATAGAAATTCAGCTTTTATTTTGTGATTAGTTTAAATTAGAATTAATAGAATATTAAAAAAATCTTCACTAATTTTTAATAAATTTGTAAAATAGAATTTTAGAATATTTCCTCTGCTGTAAGCTTTATTAGCACTCATCTTACTACACTTTTTAATTTTTAACTAATTTAATTTTCTATTACAATATTAATCTATTTTTTTCTTCTTCAACTTATAGTTTAAATTACAATTATGTATTCACAATAGTGGATAAAATTTAGTTATTTAGTTAGTCAATTAATTAATTACTTTGCTTCTGATGGGATTTTCTGGGAACTTGAGAGGAATTGATTTAATATTTTAAAGAAGCTTAACTTAGCTGTCACCAATCCAAGGAGTGGTACCATAAAGCATTTCGAAAAAGACAACACCAACACTCCAAACGTCGCATTTGAAATTGAAAGGAACACCATCAAGAATTTAAGGAGTCATATATAAAGGAGAACCTAATCTGGAAAGCAAAGCAGGATCGTCTTTTTCAACAACTCTTGAGAAACCAAAATCAGAGATTTTAGCAATACCGTTACTAAGCATGATATTGGCAGGCTTAATATCTCTGTGAATGATTTTATGCTTTTATAACTCCTTGAAACCTTCAACTATATGTCTGAAGAAAATCAAAGCCTCTGGTTCACTGAGTCTCTTGCCTTTGAAGAAAAAAATTGTAAATAAGTTTGTTTTATTTAATATTTTATGTGTAAATTAATTAATGCATTTAAATTTGATTAGCTTGTTTTTTATATCTTTTGTTGATGTTAAATTTTATTTGCTGGCTCTGATAAATCTAATTAGAAGTTTTATCTATTTTTAATAATTTCTCCCTCAGGTTTTTTTTAAGTTATTTATTTCGCATAGTCATTGTTCAACTATCCGTAAGTAAAACATTACTTACTTCTTAAGCAATTAAGCTTTACTGAATATTTCGCTTATTTTTTTGCTTTTTTTTTTGCTGCTAACACGGGGTCAAGTAAAAAAGGAGAATTATTTTTTAAGAATTTGCTTTTCTGGCTAAAATGAATGATTTTCCTTTATTGCATTAATTATTGAGAACACAAAAATACACCGATAATCTAGCTTTCTTAAGATTTTGATCAAAGCTTATGCGTTTTTTGCTGCTTATCTATTTGAGAGATATGTGTGAAAGCTAAGATTTAGCTGGTAAATAAAATGGAGAAGGGAAAATGGATTTTTTCCAGTAGTTAAGAATTTTTATTTAGAAGAGAAAAGGATTGTTTGCTTGATATTTATATAGAAAAACAAACAAACACAAAATAAACAAGCTAATAAAATAGTCAAAAAAAGAATCGCTTTTTGTACCTTCCTTCTTTTTAAGATACTCTTTAAGATCACCATCATGACAGTATTCCAAGAACATGTAAAGATTATTTGAAGTTCTAGCAACATCATACAAGCTTACAATGAAAGGTGATGAAACTTTTTAAAGAATTGCAATTTCTCTTTTGATCAATTCAAGCATTTTACCTGAATCGCTAATTGATTTTATAGGTATAGCCTTGGCTGCAACTAATTTATTTTCATCTTCAACGCAGAAACCTCTATACACCTTACCGAAGGCTCCCTTACCGAGCACGTTGTTAACTACTACGAAATGATCTACCTTCTTATTAGTCCAACTTTTTTCTTCACTATTTGACATCTCTTTTCTTGTTTGTTTTTGCAAATAAAAACTAATGATTTATTTATTTATTTATTACTCTACTTTTTTATTGTTTTAACAATATATTTTTCAATTTATTAATTAATAATTATCACTTTCTATTAAAAATTATCTATTTTTTACTTTCAAAATCTCTTTCTATTTATTTATCTATCTATCTTGTTTATGTCTTTTTTTATTTTAATGTATATACCAATGGCATTATGCCGCTATCAATTATTAAATGTATCAATCTTATTTATTTTCTGTTTTGCTTTCCACCTATCTACATAAAAAAATAAACAAACAAACAAACTCATTGATTGATTGCTGCTTTAGTATCGTTTATTTGTTTTTTGCTCATTAAAAATCCCTTTGTTTCTCTCTATCTATTATTTTTGTTAGTAAATAATTTTTTATTTAGGTCATTCATATGCTTAATCTAATAACCTCATTATTATTTTGCTTTTCTTCAAATTTTAATTTTATTGTAAAAACTTATTTTCACTAAGTGCAAAATTTATCACAAATTTTTTGCAAATAATTGTCTTTTACTTGCTTGAATTTCTTTAGTATCTTTCAAATCAAATTAAAATCAGCTGGCTAGCTACACAAATATGTAAAAGCAAATACCAAATATTTATATTTGATTTTCACAAATTTAATCTATTTTCAAAAAAACGCTAAATATTGTGTACATAATTCAGAGTTAATTACAAAAATACATTTAACCATCAATAAAAATTATCAAACTCAACGATTTTAAAGCCATTTATAGAAAACCCATTTTGACTTAAAAAAATTTTGAAAGAATTATTTATTTAGCCTTTTTATCTAAACTTAATGAATACATTTTTAATTCCTTACAAAAGCAAAATTTGAATTCGGTTGTATTTTCAGTCAAACACACACACACTTAAAATTTATATTTTACAATTAAAACATAAAAGAAAAATAAAAATATTTTTAAAACTCAAAAAATTTGAATAAATTAATTTTTCAAAAAGCTATTTTAAAATAAATCATATTTTTTCAGCTAATTCTTTTATTTTAAAAGCTATTTCCTTTTGTTAATCTACTGTAAACTATTACCAAAACTAATTCATTTCTTTTTAGTCACAGAAGTACAGTAAGCATAAGCACTTTAAAGCTCTTTTCCTAGTTTATTTATTGGATGAAATTTCTTCAGAATCTTGATTTTCTAAAATCTAATTTTAGTAAAAATCAAAATACAAAAAATATAACAAACATTTTTTAATTAATAACAAAATTTTACCTTTTTTGAAATTCTTACTATTATTTCCATATGCTCAACAATAATTGTATAATTCCTCTCATCCTTTATTTATTTGTTAAGCAATTTGATAAAGTGGGATTTCACAACTCCTTGTTAAAACGATTACGTTTTTTCAGCTATTTTTTCTATAAGGCTCTATATAAGTAATTTATTTGTTGGCTATACATACTCCAACTCATTCACAATTTCGTCTAATTCCAAAAATTCCTAAAATAAAATAATTTTTTAACATAAAAAATCGCTTTTAATTTAATAAAAGGAAATAAACTGATAAATTTTAATGATTAAACAAAATAATTTTAATAAAATAGAATAAATACCATTTAATTATGGGGATAGAAGTAGTACAAATTCAAAATCTTTTTTATAGAAGTCTTTGTTATGTTATGAAAATATACTTAATTTTAAAATAATTTTCCAAGGATAGAGATAGGATAATGGTTGTCTTGTTAGTTTGAAGATAAATCTTGAATAGATTAAGTGATTAAACCAACGATTTCATTTACATTTTCTTATAAAATATTTTCGTTGCTAGTGAAATTGTCAATTAAAAATCCTGTTTATTCTAAACTGTTTCTATTTCTTTAACTGTAATGACTATTTTCTTCTAAATTTGATCTTTGTATCTATTTCTTTATCATTCCTTGTTTTCTCATCTAAATAAAAATAGTAAGTTAAGATTAAATAATATTTCTTTCAATAAATAAATAACAACTGGCTTCATTTATAATGACTCTGAAGTGGGAATCACTCTTATCGGACTATATCTTTGGTGAGCTTTAGCTACTAAGTTATTATTATGAAGAGGATTTACAGTATTGAACTGCATAAGGCAATTAAACTATGTAAATTCTCTGATAGCACACTCAAGTTGTGGTGAATATATGCAAGCAAGAAAACGAAAATTAACTAAATCATCTTCGTTTGAAGAGTTGTATTTTACTAAACTTTCGATGCAAATATCTCTTCCGAATTCCAAAGTGTAATTCAATATAGCAAAGCAACTCATCTAAATTTACTTAATTTCTTAATTTTGTAAGATAAGAGTACTCATTCCTAAACAAATCTGTTAAATTAAATTTGTTTCATGCAGTTGGATTTAATTCCTATTTTAATTGGAAAAATATTTAGATTTTTCATATTTATTTTTTTAATCTTATGCTACCTCCTTAATACTGGAAACATAATTTAAATTATGGACAGCTTATTTTCGATTACTTTTTCAGTAATAGCCAAACTTAAAAGAATATCTAAATAATCGTTGATACTGTACGAATCTGTAATTAATTTGATGATCTACTCTGCCTAAACAGAAACTGACTGCTTTTTGCTTTATTAAGCCTTAATAAACTTCATTTTTAAATTAAATAAATTAAATATTTTTTAAATGTATTAAATAATTTACTAATCTCATTGCTGTATCAAGGTAATTTTAGTAATGATCTGAATAGAATTATATTAAGAGCGAAGTACAAGCAAGTAACTATTCGATAATCTAATGATTTGATTCACTTGATAACTGCTGAAGAGTTATTTCAATCAAATTCTTAATAACCTGCAAATCATCAATTTATTCATACTGCTCAAGTGCTTTATTAATTCTTCTGATACATTCTAGCTTCGTTGCCCAGTTGTGAGATTTAAGTTTTTTAATTTCAACTTTAATTATTTATTGTGAATTCATATTAACATCTAGTTCTTCTATCTAAAAATTCTCGCTTTTTAATTAATCATTAGACACTAACCTATTTTAGCTATAAACAGGATTTGATTTAGTTGCCTGATGCCAATTTTATCTATAATTAAATTAATTTTTTGAAGAGTTGCAGCTATTAGAAGGTATTTGCTATGATTTGTTTCTGTTATTGAATGATCCTAAAAATTTATTCATGTTAAAACTAGATGAGGAATTGTTGTTTTCGCTATTTTCACTATCCGAAAAAACTTCTTAATTTTAATTATTCATCTTGCTTTTGATGCTCTTTGTTTTGCCTTAATTTTTTTTCGATTTCTTTTTATTCTCATTATCTTCATTATGAGATTCTTATTGCTAAGCTGGTTATGCAGATGAAATTTTCTCTTAAATTAAGTTTATTGATTTCTCGAATTGTTCTTAAAATCCCTTAGCTAATTTTTCATATTATGTGGCTAACATTTCTTAATAATATTATTTTAATTGAGCCTATTATTATATAAGTTATTACTAAATAAAATAATTTTATCTTTAGTAGAATTCTTCTTTTTCATTTTAACTTTAATAAAATTAGTCAGAATTAACTCTCTCATGATTACTATCTTGCCAATTTTTATTTCTTGTATTGTTTAAACTGTTATTAAATGTTTAAGTGTTATATTGAGGTAATTCATTGCTATTTTTGTGAGCATGATTTGTTAACATATTAGCAGTAAAATAAGGGTTTTGCTAATTTGCTAAAAATAACCCACTATGGATCGATTAGGGGCTCAACTACCTATTGATATAGTTGCTGTAATTATTATTGGCATAGTCTGTTTAATTTGTTTATTGGATTTAGTTTATATTAGAATAAGAAGCGATAGGTAAGTAGCTCTCAAAATTATTTACCGATGGATATTAATTAAATTATTTATTGATATTATTTTATTATTGTTCACTCTGAATGATTTGCTAATTAATAAAAGCATTTTCATTTTATTATTAATTGTTAAATTGAGGCTATTATATATTTTATGGTTGCTATTGAAGCTACTATTGTTATTATTATGATTATTATTGAAATTGTTATTAAATTTATTGTTAATACTATTGTTATTATAATTATATTTATTGCTGCTGTTATTGTAATTGAAGGAGTTAGTTTTGTTGCTACTGTAGCTATTGCTACTATAATTAAATTAATTTATTTTATTAATCTGTAATATATTTTAAACTTTCTGAATTTTGATTAGTTTATAAATCAGCTAAGTTTTACTCTTTGCTAAATAAATTATTTGTTTGATCGCTAACAGGTTAATTGCTTGCAGTAAAATTTTATTATTGGTTATTATTATTTTGATATACTTAATTATAAATATTTTGATTTGAAATAGGAATAATTTGTTTATTTTTATCGATTTAAGAATCTAAATTTTCTTAATTTTTATTATTTAAATTTATATTTTATTAAAATTGCTTATTTTACTCTTAATTATGTTGATCTCTTAACGAGCTTTATACTTATTTTTGTTAAATTTAATCTTATTTAATTTACTCTTACTTTTTCATATTTTAATACATCGGATTGTTGTTTTATCTTTCACTTGGCGAACTTTTTTCTATGCTGCTTTTTACCTTTTCGCTATTTTCTTTACTTCTTTATTAGACTATTGTAGGTTTAGGACTTTAGCTACTTTCTTAAGTTATTTAATGGAATTTCATATTTTAATTACTTTTTTTGCTAGATGTAGAGCCATCTTGGTTTGAGGAATAAAAAGTTTGTATCTTATTATCGTCATTTTGTGATTTTGATGACATCATTGTGTTTTAACTTTCCACTGTTTTGTATTGCTACAAAATAAAATGAGATTTCGTACTTTTTGATGTTAACTAACCAGGACCTTATTCATCTTAATCTTGAGATAAATTTGAATTAATATTTGTTATTACTAAATTAGAAGATTATTTAGTTATTTTTTTATCTGTTGAGATGTTATCTGGATGAGTAACAATAGAATTTGAATGAGACATTGAAGGATTTTCAACTATGTTTATAGCTTAGCTAATTTTATTAGGAGTATTTGTATTTATTTAACTAGCTTTTTTTTCTTCACTATTAAATTACTCTTCCTTACTTTTATTTATTTTTAAAGGACTTTCCATTTTGTTCTTTACATTTTTTTCATTTATTTTTACTTCTTCGTTAAGTTTAGGCTTTTTAAGATTGGCTGGTACTTTTATGCTACTCTGAGATTACTTGTTAGAATTATTAACTTTAGAGGTATTTGCTTCTGATTAAGCTAAACTTATGTTTGTTTTTGCATTTGTTTGCTTTTAAGCTGTCTATTTTAAGCTCAGAGATAGAGTTTTCTGTTTAGTTGTTTAAGTAGCTGTTTAGGGAGTATCATTCTTTTTTCTTGAATCTAATAGCTTACTTTTTTAAGGTGATTATTCTTCTTTTTTTAAGCTAAGGGAGTTTATTTTATTTTTATTAACTGAAGAGGTTAGCGATCTCACAGCAGATCTCTAGACTAAACTTTTATTTTTATCGTTATCGATTGCTTATTAAACAGGTAGCTTTTCTTATTTTTCTTTCTTTTCTGACATTTCCTATTTTTATTTATTTAAATTCTTCTCTTGATTATTATTTTTTGATTCACTAACTGAAAATCTTTATTTCTATTTTTCTGTTAATTCTTTCAATTCCCTTTCTAAATCTTGTTCTTTTGTAATTTCTTCTGCTTCTTATTAAGTTTTAGAGTTCGATTTTTAAAGCTAATTACTTTGAGAGTCAAACTAAATTGTAATCTTTTCTTTATTATCTTCTGATACTAATTGGGCTCTTTATTATGCTCCTAGTTTTATTGATTGTGCTAAACTTTTTAGATTCGAATCTTTTTATACCTACACTTCTGCTCCTTCATAAGTTTAGCTGATTGATTTTTCACGTGAACTTAAAACTAAAACAGGCGAACCAGAGTTTCTTCCAGTACCAGGATTCATTATATTTTAAGATGTGTTACTATTACTTATTTTATCTAAGTTTAGCAAGGGATGGATCATATTGTTAGATGTTTAATTTGATCCAAATTAATTCAATTACGAATTAGCAAAATTCGTCGAATTATTTTTATTAAAATAAGAAAATTGTTAATTTTCTAGGTGTTAGCTGTTGATTGGAGTTATTTCTTAATTATTGTGATCATAAGTCAACATTCTTATCTCCTATTGAATTTATGAAGAACTATAATCATCGTCTTAAAGAAAATTCTAACTTAGAAATTTAGGGTTTTCTAACGAATTTTCATTTAATTCATTAAGTTCATCGAGTAAGAGGTCCTCGTGATGGAGATCAAATTCGACTACAGCATTTTAATTTGTGAAAAAATCATATTTTGGAGATTACTAAGAAGGCTTAATAGTGGGTGTTTCTTTTGAATAATTGCTATCTAAGAAATTATTTTCATGAGCTGTTGATTACTTCATTCCACTTTACGGTTTGAAGTCACCTTAAAAACTCAATTCTTCGGAGTGAAATTTATTTATTTAAGCTAATTTAGAAGGTGATGCAGTGCCTTCTTATTTTTCATTTTATGAATTTTTAGTTTTGAGTTTTTTTGAATCGTCTTCGTCACTACTTTCTTTGGTAACTAATAACAAGTCATCTTCTTAAACTTTTTTAAATAAAGAATCCTAATTTATAATATTATTTTCAGTAGCTAAAATATTATTCTTAAAGATCTAGCTACTTAATGAAGAATTATTGCTAATAGGCAAATGCAAGCTTAATTAATTGCTAATCAAAGTTGTGGGCGCAGCTGCTGCTGGAGTATTCTAAATAATAGAAGATTAATTATTTTAATCGCCAAGACTATCGTTTTTAAAGAAATTAATTTTATCAATGTTATTCTAGCTCTTAACACTTTCAAGATTATATTCCTAGTTTTCATCAATACTAAAATCATTAACTTTAATATCATTCATTCTATTTTAATGCAATTTCTAGCTAGTTTTCTTAAAAAAACTGCTCTTTTCATCTGTAGTTTGAGTATTCTAATTCGATGCTTTTTAATTTGTTTATGGCCTAGACAAAGAAGTTCCAGGAGATGATTAAGCTGATTTTACTGCAACCTTTGAATAACCTGTTTTAGGAGCTGGAGCAGGATTTATAACAGAAACCGTTCTCTTAACGCCTCCTACACTGTTTGAAACTCTGTTATCAACAATTCGAACATTTTTGCTATTTGCAGATTTTGTTATATTAGTTTATGCAGGAGTTTAGTTTCTTTTCTCCTGTTTTTCAGTTTTTTCTTCATTAGCGATACTTGAATTAGATCTTATGCTTTTAGCACTACTCTGATTGATGTACGAGAGACTTCTTTTAGATGAAGATACTTTTTTTATTGAGCTAGTTCCACTTATTGCACTTGAATCCGCTTCTGGGATATTGCTTGTGTTTTATGATAGTAATTTCTTTGTTGTATTGTCAAATTATTAGTATATGATATCAGAAAGCTCGGGATATTCTATTGTCAAAGAATTATATGCTTATCTAGAATTAGCTCTTACTTCTGAAGAAGCATCTTTGCATGTTTTTATAATCAATCCCTCTATTATATTTAAATTTTTTTCTTTGTATTTGTTTTCGTATTACCTCAGCATTTAGTTTAAATATCCGGTGAGTTTTATTCTAACATTGTTGTTTTTACTATTTATTTCATCATTTATTACACTAAAGTACTAAGAAGAAGGCACATTAGTAATAATTTTTTCTAAACATTCATGAGCTGTATCAGCAAGAATCTTTATTTTATATTAACATTACCTTTTGTAACTTTCCTAAAATGTATTAATTCAAACATACCTTCTTTCCATTACCAAGTAAATGCAGCATTCCATCCCATTTAAATAGCTGAACTGCTGCGTTCTCAAATTTAGATCCCATTTTTTCACTTGCCAAAACTAAGCTTTTACATGCTTCTTTTTAAATTGCAGATCTCAGATCATTAACCTATTATTTTAAACATATTTAGAGATAAATTGCTGTTGAATAAAGTGTTTAGCAACTATTTTATATTTTAATTATTACCTATGCAATCATGTTTGGTATTAAGTTTGTTAAATGCTAATCAAAGCTGCTCATATGGTAGCATTCACCTAGGATTAATCCTTAAAATTATTTTAAACTCATCAAACGCTTATTCCAATCAGCACCTATTTTAAAATTTCATTTGAATTAATAGCTTTAAATTGCATAAAACAACAAAATGTCTTTTAAATATGAAACATGTAAAAGCTATTGATGAACTTACTGGTGTCTAACAACGTTTTCTAAAATGAGTCAAAATACTGCTAAAGTTCCCTTTCTGTGTTGACTGAAATAGCTTTTACTTCATCGTCTGTTGGTTTCTTTCTCATGTCTACTTGTTTGTTTTAAATCTCTTAAAATATTATTTTCTATTTTATTTGAGTGCTACCCTTTTACAAATATCACTGCCAATATAAATAGCTTGATTGATATATTAAATATAAGTGATAAAAAAAGTTTAAATCGAAAAAAGATAATTTTTATTATGACCAGCAAAAATTTTTAATAAGTTTATTTGATCAATATAATAGATATTTATAAAGTAAATAAAGAGCATATAGTAATTATATTTATAATCATCTTACTTAAAACCATATGTAGATAGTCCTGTATGCCTCTACAACAATTCTTGCATATTTTGTCTATTTAGATTGATTTAAATTTTCATATTATTTTTAAACAATTTTTAAAAAAAATTTAAACACGAATTTGGAAATATTTGTAAAATTCAAAAAATAAACCCTTTCAAATTGATTGACTCTAATCAAAAACAATCAAAATACAAAATTAAAATTAAATAAAATAAAATAATAAGTTAATGAAATTAGCTTTTGTCGTTTTTTAATTTAATTAATTAATATTCTAATTTCTATTCAATTTTTGCAATATTCATTAAAAAAACATAATTTTAAATAAAAATTAATAGATGATTAAATTTAATCTAAAAAAGCTTTTAATCATTGAAAAATAATAATTTTTTTTACAAAAAATTTCAAATAAAAAAATTTAACAAATTTAATCAGAAAAAAATATAAAAAAACAATAAAGATTTCTAAACTTGTGAAACTATTTTTGTAAATTAATTATTCAGTATTTTTTTTTAAATCAATTAGCTCTCTCAAAGAAATCCTAAACATTGCTTAAAACTACCTTGCCTATTGTTTTACCAGATTCACTAAAAGCGTGAGCTTCAAGTAAATTTTCTAAGTTAAATGGTTTTTCAATCTAAACGGTTGAAATAAAAATACCACTATCATAAAGGTCACCAATTTTATTTAGTATTTAGTTTTACCTTTCAGGTTCTACCTAAAATATTGCACGGGTAAATATACATTCTACGCTTAGCCTAGCTCTCTTTAAAAATAATCCTTGTATATTAAGAGGCTATTCAAAGCCAACAATACCGACAATATGACCAAATGGTTTAATTAAAGGGGTAAACTAGTTAAAATATTATTGAGTCATATCAACTGTATTGAAAATATAGTCTAGGCTCTCAATATTAATTTTTTTAAGCTCTTCTGCAAGAGCGTTTTGATGATTAATCACATAGTCAGCTCCCATTTTCTTACAAAAATTGATAGTTTCAACTCTTGAAGCAGTAGTAATTACAGTAAGTCCTAAAATTTTTTTAGCAATTTAAATAGCAATGCTGCCAACACCACCAGCACCTCCAACTATCAATATTTTTTTGCTTTAGTTTTGAATTTTGTTTATTTCCAAAATACCCAACTCTTCTACTAATGCTTCATAAGCAGTAAGAGCTACTAAAGGTATAGCAGCTGCTTCAGGATGAGTCAGCTTCTAAGGTTTTTTACCAGCCAGTCTTTCATCAACAATCTGATAATTTGAATTAGAACCTAACTTTGTAAAATCACCAGAATAAATGACTTGATCTCCAACCTTAAAAAGCCTGCAGTCACTTCCTGTTTGCACAACTACACCACTAGCGTCATAGCCAAAAATAGCAGGGCTGCTTTCAGAAATGTTTTGAGTTCTCATATGCTATGCCCACTTATAATCTAAAGGATTTATACTTATAGCCTCAACTCTAATAAGTATATCCTGAGGTCCCAAAGTCTTTATAGGAATTTATATCAATTATAAATCTCCTTTAGGATCAGTTAATCCAATAGCCTTTATAGTTTATGGAAGAATTTAAGACATTAAAGTATTTTTATTTAATTTATTTTATTTTTATTATTTAATTTAAAAAATATTTATATAATTTTTAATTGAGTGTATTTAAATTAATTTAATTGATTTTAACATAAATAGTATTCTCTTAGATTCTTTCTTACTTTATTTATAAATTAAATCAATTTATTCCTTAAATTTTCTATGTTTGTTCTCTTAAAATTCAATAAATGTAAACCCATATAATTTTTTCAATTTTTAAGTGTAAGAATTTTATCTATATGAATGAAAATCAACTTATGAAAATTTAAATTTGTATTATTTATTTAATAAATTTAAATAAATAATTTTATTTTTTTTGAAAATTAATAAATTTTATAAATATTAAATCGATGAGAAAAAGCTACTATAAAGCCCGATCTTAAATTCAGATGATGAAATGAATATTCTTCTAAAAAAACAACATAAGTTTTTCAAAGAAAATTAATTTTTTAATTTCTGAAAGTTTCTGTAATTTTTCTCTTGATCTTCTAAATGTAATTACTATGTTATTTTTTATTTTATTAATGTAAGTAAAAAAATTAAAGCCATTAATTCAAAATTGTCCTAGAAAAATAAAAAAAGATTTCATACTGTAGTGAAATTTTATCACTGGCACAAAATCAGCATATTAGAAGAGAATATACAATCGGAGCATTTTTAGATCAGTAGGTAGAAAAAACCTCTCTACCTTACAATTTTTTCGCCTTCCAAGTATTTCCCTTGGAGGGCTACATTTTCAGACTTTTTAATTTTCTTAAAATATATGATTTAGAATATACTGATAAATGAGTATATTTATATGGATATTTAAAGGTATGTATGATATAAATAATTTAAAAAAAGATCAATATAAAATGAGTCTAATATGCTGATTCCAGTGATAAAATTTCACTACATTATAAATCTCTTAAATAAAATTTTCATCTTAGCATAAAGAACTCTATAAGAACAAATCTAAATATATCCATCTTTATATTTAAAATAAATTATTAATAAATTACTAAATAAAAATTAGTTCAATTATTTACAAGCAATCCAATCACATAAATTAAAATTTAAAAAAAATAAATAATATTATTTTTATCTTTTGTTAATTTTTTGTGTATATTTTTTATTAGTATTCATATGATTGATGAATTAATAAATAATTATTTTTAATTGATAAAAAGAATACATAGAAATATCTTAAAGATTTATCTTTTTATTAAATTTAAACTAAGTATTTTAAATAATATTTTCAACATGAAATAAATAATCATTTTAAAATAATTTCTTTTGCTTGTTTCAATTTAAAATAAAATTAAATACTAAATTTTATTAACTTTCTTCAATTACTTTCATATTTTGCATTTTATCTTTTTTTTGAAAATTAATTATTTTTATCTTCTTAAGACTTAAAATATAAAATAATATTAGACATATTTCATTAATAAGATTTGCTAAATTTTATGTTAAGGTATCAAAAAATTTTAATTATTTTTTTACTTTTCTTCACTTAAATATTAATACATCATAGTATTTCAAATTATCTTTTGGCTTTATTTTTACTTTATTGATATAATAATTTGAATGTTATTATATAAAAAAGTTTAAGTTTTATAAATTATTTTATAGAAGCATTCTTTTATCTTTTGCTCACAAAATTATATGTTTATTCTTTTCATTTTTTTGATCATTATTCAATAATAGGATTTATTAATTAAACAATCAATATTATACATGCTAATGTAGATATTAAATAATTAGGGAATAATAATTATATCAATTTACTTATAAAATTTAATCTTTAGTAAAAAGTAAAATATTGCTCTATTAGAATACCACACACATTTGAAAAATGAAATGATTAAAAATAAATAAAGCTCAAAAGTAGCCTTTTATTTTAGACAATTACTACAGATTCACTTTTAAAAAATGAAATTTTTAAAAACTTAAATGATTCAAATATGCAAGAATTTTTTCTAATTTTTCTGATAAAAGCCTTATCAGCTTATTTAAAAATTTTATAAATCTTCTGATCAAGCAAAATAAGTTTTTTACTAATTATAGTAAAATTTAATTAAATTTTTTTATTTTCTCAACGAACAAAAATATTTTGTTTATGTTTTAATAAATTAAGTAAACTGACCATAAAAATTATGATAATTAGACACTTTATATTAGCTATGATGTCTACCTGTTATACTTTAAAAAGGATTAAAATACATCTAACGAAATATAATAAATTAAATTCATTATAAATGAGATAAATTAAATAAGTAAATAAAATATGCAAAAAGTCGAAGAAATAATTACTGAAGAGAATGCCTTATATTCTAATAGGGTATTTGAATACTTGACATCATTAAAAGGATTGAATTAGAAAGAAAAAGTTGTTTAAGTTGATCTAGAAACAGCTTTTTTAATTGATTTCTCTGTCAAAGAGTTAGAAGATGATGAAGAGGAGAGCAAATAATTCTTAGAGTCAGATCAATTTCTTACCTATGTGAGAAGAGGATGCACATTTATTAGATATCCAAAAGATAAAAATGTTTATCTTCTAAGAAAAGGCTATTAAAAATTTTGTTATTAGAGCAGCATTCCATAGAAAGTATGTGATGTATTCGATCTGGACTAATTTAATAGAAAAACCTCGCTTTTAGAAAAATTTTAGTCAATTAATTTACAGAGAACAAATAAAGAGGATGGATCTAATGTATAAATTTCATGGTGTGCTAAATTAAATTGTTGGGTTATCTGTTCTAAAAATGAAGCTTACCTTATCAAAAACTTAAGCAAAAAATATCTGGATAAGCTATAACCAGTCATTGTTGAAATGGCTAAGCTTTGGTTCAAATTTATTGATACTTTGCCCAAAGAGAAATTAGCTATTTTACAAGAATTTTGTTCCAATAAAACTTTGATTGGTGAAATATGTGGTGCTAACAAACATTTAAAATAATATGTTACTTACAAAGAAGAATAACTGGTTTTCTTATCTATTGTTGATAATTTTAGTGATCAAATTTGCTATACTCCAATTGAATCAGCTTAAATTTTAAATGATTTTGGATTGAATACTGTCAAAATTTAATAGACTGGAGAAATAGCTTCTTATGAAGAGTTATAAAATTAAGTTAATAGAATTAGGTAAGAAATAGCAACAGGATCTTTTGAAAATTATGGAGAAGGAGAAGTATTATATTACTGCATTACAGATAAGGAATAAAAAAAGACAGTTGTTTTAATGGAAAAAATTAAAACCTTTGAATATTCTTTATTCAAAGCCATTATTAGGCTAATGCCATGCACTTTCAAAAAGAATAAAAATTAAGAATTTAATCTTAAAAAAGTTTAGTATGCAGAAGAAAACTTATTGAAATACATTGAAAAAGTAAAAGAGAAATTTTTTATGTATGGTAGCTTAGAATTATATTATAAAATGGTAAAATAAGTTATTTAGTTTTACTTGGTGGGAGGATAAGTTGATTTATTAAGGTTCTAAGAATATTTTATTTCATTTAAATATATTTTGCAAAAAGAGCAAATAATTAATCAAGAGAATCTGCTTTTAGAATTGAAAAATACTTTCGGAATAGACATTTTAAAAGAATAGTAAGAAAAAATAGATAAAATTGAGAAGGAAAAACAATTAATATCTGAAAAAAAAGCAAATAAACTTCAGCTTCTATCCACCAAAAAAGATGAAAGTGTACAAAAAGATGCAACTAATATTTTTTAACTAAAAAAAATATTTGAATGAAAAATAAAAATATAAATTTGTTTTTTAATTGCAAATATTTTTACTTTTTTTAACTAAAACTTAATGAAAAAAAATTTTTGAATAATTATTTGATTTATAATGTATCTGTGTTTTATATAAAATAATTGTTTTTCCTATTTTTTATTATTTTCTATTAATTTTTTTATAAATTATTTTTGCATTTTAAATGATAACAAACATAAATTTGCAAGACTTAAAAATTATATCTCATTTTTCAAAATAATGAAAATAAAATAAAGTGTTCAAGTGTAAAGTTATTAAATATATTAAAACCAGTTGATGATAAAATTTTCTAAAATGATAGAAATATTTTGTTTATTTATCTAATGTTTAAGAGTAAGCTATAAAATCTTACTTGTATTTTCTGCATTTATTAAAAATTATTGAGTGAGAAATAATTAAAAACTTTCCTTTTCTTTATGGATCTGATTATATTTATATTGAAAATATTAAAGCAATAATATTTTGATGATTAATTTTATTTACTCTTTATCTTCTTAGAATTAAGTAGAAAATATTGTTTCATTTATAACATAAAATTATTCAATTTATGGATTATTTTTAATTTTTAAATCCTGTAAAAAATTAGTTTCCAAATCAATGAAAAGCCATCATAGTTTTATCTTTTATTTACTTTCATAGCCCTAGCGGTTACCACAAAAATGTGAAGATTAACTTAAAATCAATTGAATTTTGAAATATTAGTATTTATTAATTTTAAGATACTGTAAAATAAGATAAATATCATTTTTTTGTTAATTGGTTTTTTAAAATAGCATTATTTAAAATTAAAAATTATTTTAAAATAAATTTTATGTTAAAAAATAATAAAAGAAGCAATAACTTTTATATTAAATTTCTCAAATATATATGAAATTCAAAAAATCACATAAAAAAATGTTAATAGTGAATTATGAAACTTTAATTTTTACAACAAATAAAATTAAAGGCTTAGAAAATCATATTACTAAGATATAAAAATAAGTTAGCTTATTTTAATTTTTTTAAAAATTTACACTTGCATAAATAAATTTATTTAATTTACTAATTTTTTTAATATTTAATAAAAAATGAAGTGTTGAAATAATAAATAGATATGCTAACTAATTCATTCATTTATTTACTTATTTTTACCTCGTTTTTCATAATTCAATTCAATCAAAATATATTTAAATAAAAAAATATCCCCCTCTCTACCCCAAATTTTTCAAGAATCAACGTTTTTTATTTGAGGGAAAATTTCAATATTTTAGCTGGCCTTATGTAGATTCTAGTTTCTTTTATAACAATTTTAATCTCTCTTATATTTCAACTTCTTCATTAAATTATTCCGTTTTTTGATTTCAATGTTTTTAAGATAAAATGTAAATTATTTTTGAATCTCGTTTTATTAATGAATATAAATTAAGTATTTTAATTTACAAATTGATATAACAAATTTTTGATAATATGTTAATTAAGATGTTTTAATCCTAAAATTAACATTGGCAATAAATAATTAATTAATTATTCAATTTGAAAAAGTTTTTAGAATAGTAAAAAATAGTTAACTAATAAATTAAAGACATATATACTCCTAATTTTTTCTTACAAAATTAATCAATATATTTTTTTTTTTTGAGTTAGCAAATAATTTGTTTTTTCCTTTTTTAAGGTCTTTAATAGATTGCTTAGGTGATTTTGCCAATATATAAATTTTATTTTGAAAATATGGATTAAAAGTTTAAATAGCTATCTTTTCCAAATTTATATACTCTACAAGCACTAAATTATTTATTCATTTATCGTTTTTTCAATTCAAATTCTTTTAAATTACATAATAGCTCTTTTAAAATTGAATTTATATAATTAAAAATATGGAAATTGTATTTTAGTTATAGAAGAAGCATACAAAACATTAAGGTCTAACTAAACAAACTAAAATTTAAATTCAATTTATGTTAAATTACACTATTCAAAATATATAGCAATTGCAATTACATTCATTTTATTCTAATTTTTCCTTGATCTCATTTATCTAAGTTTATTACTAATTTACCTGGTTTAGTGTCTAATTCACCTAGTCTAGTGTCTGATTCACCTTATTTAGTGTCTAACTCACTTTGCTTAGTGTATAATTCTCTTAGTCTTATCTATTATTCAGATTATCTTTTTTAGGTTTTTATTTCTTATTCTTAGAGTTTAACTTCTCAAGCACTTCTTGAAATTATTGGTTTGGTAATCTTCTAATCTTTAAATATAATTTGTTTTTGAGTCTCATTATGTTAAACGTTAATAATCAAAAATTTTGATATATAAATTATATTGATAACTTTTTGATAATCAATTAACCTATGATGTTTAATCCTAAAACTTAAAGTATCAGAAATATATTATTTATATTGAAATTTATGTTTCAGTTATAATTTAAATTTTATTTATTATACAATTACACTTAAATTGAGGAACTTAAATTTATAATAATATATAGATTTTAGCTCATCTCTTTAATATTTTATTCTAAAATATTTCTAATTATTTTCTAGTTAATTTAATTAATGTATTCATATTATCATTTAATTAAAAATTCATTTTATCAATACAAAAAAGTTATTTGCAGTCTAAAAATTTGGTAAACTTGAAAGAAAAAATAGTTGATATATCAGTTGAATTTTTATAAAATGATTTTGAAAGAACTCCAAACAATGTATTTTAATTTTATTATGTTTTTTCATTTGAGCTAAACTTTTTAATTTTTTTATTAAAAATATGCAAAAAATTATGCTTTAATGACTAAAATGATTACGAAATTCATCAAGAGTAATGCGAAGATAAAAATTTTATAAATGACTTATTAAGGGTTTGTAATTTAATATAAAAAATTTACTAAGGAATAATAAGAAGTATTTTTTAAAGTCAAAAAGTTTAATTGAGCAAAAAAAATTAATTATTTTACTTGAATAATATATTAAAATTAAAAATCAATTGCTATTTTAAATAAAAGCTAACTTTATTTATGTATTTTTGATTATAATGTATTTGATTTTTTTTTAAATTTAATTACAAATATTATATATTAAAACAAATAATATTTTAGTTTTTAATTAAGAAAAGTTTTGAAATAATTAATTTAATATTAATATTTTTTAAATATAATTTATGTTTTATAAATAGTAAGTAGAATAATTTTCAAAAAATATTTCTATTAAAAATATTTTTATAAATATTTTACTCTATTTTTTTTTTCAAAAAGTTTGGATGAATTAAAGAATATATATGATATATAAATTTAAACATTATGATTTGTTCTATAAAATTAATTTGATAGACTATTAATTTTAGTTTATAATATATTTAAGCAAATTAAAATCAGTAGAACTAAATTGCATATCTTTAAAATTTAAGAAAATAAAGCTATTGTAAATAAAAGAGATATGAATTTAATTATTTATTTTTTCATGTAATAAAAAAAAAGATAATTTAAGAAAATATCGATCACCAAATTAGGTTATAAACATTTTTAATAATATTTTATTCAGATGTTTTTTATTAATGTCTTCTTTATCTTTTAAAAGAATACGAAATTATTTTTAAGGTATTATTAAATCTTATTATCATTAATGATTTTTTGTGATTTTAAATATGAAAAATTTAATATTTTTCATTTTTAAGTAGATAATAGAAATAGATTAAAAAATAAAATTGTTTTTAAATTTTCTATTTTACAAATACAATAGCAAAAATAAGTTAATTTGAAAGGAAAAAGGTTTGGTGCAAATCTGTCACCATTTACTGTCTTATATTTTTTGTGCGTATTTGAGTATATATGTTCATTGATTTATTTATATAATTTGATTGAAATATACCTATTTTGTTAGCGTCTATCTACATGTATGTGTTGAGTAGAACCCTAATTTTATAGTTAAACTAAACCCTCCCTTTATATATATTTCTTTACTTTTGATTTCGGAAAGATAGATTGTTAGTTGGATTGATTGATAGATTCATCATGAGTGAGATCATAGATGCAATTTTTTTCTATTTTGATATATTATTTGTGTTTAATATTTGATTTATGTTTATATATATTTTATATATATAGTGGTTAACTCAATTATCATGCCAATAATTGAGCACATATACCCTTTATCCATGATTGATTCACTTACCAACGTGATCATTTATTGTTTTCTCTGGGATGAATATCACAGTTAACTACATTTTTCACGTTCGCTTGTGTCTAAACCTAATTCCATATAAAATCTCAATATTATTTACGCGGGCATATAAGACAGCAATAAATTAAGGCATTCAAATAATTTAAACAAATAAGTTAACAAAATAATAAAATTATGGGTTTGGTCATTTTAATTTAAAAAAATTAAATAAATGTGAAAATAAATAAGTGATATAGAACGAAATATTTATTAATTTATAATTTTAGTTTTTTTTAAATTAATAAATTTAGAAAAGCTCATTATTCTACTTCATAAATAACATAAAGATAGATAGATAGATAAATAAATAAATAAATAAATAAATATATACACATTTACATAATTTAGCTATTTAAAAAATAACAATAATACATATATTTATTAATTAATGGAGGGATATTATTTTTAAATCGACCAACACAAAAATTTCATTTTAGTTTATATATATATATATGATAATGATTTTAAAACTAATATTAATCCAGCACCCTCATAAAATAAAAAAAATAAAAGTCATTTTACATTATTTATGAAATATTTCATTTTTTTGTTTCGAGCGTAAATAAATCATTTTAATTGTAATTTTTAGCCCCATTTTTTAAGCTATTCTTAGAAGCCAGCATTAGGATCAACACAATCTCTCTTACTCCTTACATATTCTAATGTTGTTTAAAAGTTTTATTTTCTTTGCTTCATCAAATACGCAATTACTATTGTAGAACTTCTGGAAATGCCCATTTAACAGTGCACAAATACATTCGTGTGCAAAAGATTATCTGATATAAATTTATTAGCCTCATCGAAAAATTTAGACAAATCTTTCTCTGGTTCATCCTCCATTTATATGAATTTGTGTTTGATTTTTCTTTTTGGGTGTATTTCTACAGGAGTATCAATTATTGATAGAATAGCTCCTATCTTCATTTATTAAATCTACTTTTCTCTTTCAACCATATGGACTCTCCCTAAATACAAACCTCCCTTACCAAAATTATTTGGAGGAATTATTTCACTGATTATCTAAATGCCGCAATAAACATCATTTTTAGAAGGATCAATATATTATTCTTCTTCTTCCATTTTTAAACTAATAATAAATACTAAATAATATCAAAACTTTATTAATATTTTAACTAATTCTTTTAGATTTTGTTTTGAATTAACAACTCTAAATTTAATGTATGAATAAACTTATAAATTCTTTTCGATCCACTATAAAAAGAATTCGTTTTTCTATATTTAATAAATTCCATTAAAATAGATTTTATAGCTTAAACATTAGAATGAAATAAAAACTCTATCTAAATAAATAGATAAATTAAAAAAGCGTTTAGGTTCAACAGATTAATTCAAACAAAATAAAAATAGACCTAATTAATTTTTACTGAAAATAAATTTTAATATTTAAATAATATTTCTCAATGCAATTTATATTTCAAGTATATTTTCAAAAAAATCCAAAGCAGCTTGTTTTCTTCTAGACTTTTTTTTCAACACCAAAAAAACTCTAAACATCAAACAAACTTATTTTGCCCACAGTTTTACCAGATTTGCTTAAATTGTGAGCATCAATCAAACTGTCTAAAGAAAACTGCTTTTATTTTTAGACTGTAGGGATTAATATTCCTTTGTCGTATAGCTCACTGATTTTATTCAGTATTTAATTTTATTTTTCTGGTTATTCACCAAACATAGAACGAGTAAACATACATTCAATTGAGATTTTTGCCCTTTTCAAGAATAATAATTACAAATTTAGAGGCTCGTCAAATCCAACAACACCAACAATACGGCCAAAAGGTTTGATTAAGGATGCAAACTGTTCAAAATAAGATGACTTCATTTCTACACAGTTGAAGATGTAATCCAAACTTGAAATATTTAGTTTATTTAGCTCTTCAGCTAAGGGATTTTAATGGTTAATTACAAAGTCAGCTCCCATTTTTTTGCAGAAATCTATGCTTTCCTTTCTAGATGCTGTAGCAATCACTGTTAGGCCTAAAAATTTTTTGGCTATTTAAATAGCTGAACTACCAACTCCTCCTGCAGCTCCAACAATCAAAATGTTTTTATTTTAATTGTGCTATTTTTCTGTTGGAGAAATGCGCATTTCTTCAACAATACCCTCATAAGCAGTAAGACTCACTAAAGGTATAGCAGCTGCTTCAGCATGACTAAGCTTTCTAGGCTTGTTTCCAACTATTCTTTCATCTACAATTTAATAGTTTGCATTAGATCCATGTTTAGTATATTCTCCCGAATATATTACTTAATCTCCTACATTAAAAAGCTTACAGTCAGAGCCTATTTTAACTACCACGCCACTTGCATCAAATCCTAAAATAACAGGATTATCCTAAGAAATATTTTAAGTTCTGATAGACTGCAATTTTTTGTAATCAACAGGATTAACACTAACAGCTTCTATTCTGACAAGTAAATCTTTAGAACCAAGCTACTTGAGAGGAACTTCTATTAACGATAAATCACCTTTAGGATCTTTTAATCCAATAGCTTTAATAATTGCTGGAGTAATTTAAGCCATTTTAGAGAAATTCAAAGTATTTTAGATTTTATAGGTTTTTTTTTAATTATTTTAAGTATAACAAAACAGCAACCAGGTCCTATTTAAGCTTTTTTCTAGCAAATATTAATAGAAATTTCAATAATTCTATTTTCATTCCAAATTTGTTCTATTTAATTAATTCAATGTAAGTTCATTGATTTCAAAAAAAAATTTTTTGTAAACAATTTGAGCTAAATTAGGTAAATTATTTATAATTCATCATATTTTAAAAGAAATTAATAATGTCTTTATTTAGTATTCAAATTATTGAAAAAAAAATTAATATAAAAAAATTATTTCTGATTAAAACATTTAATTAAATCTGCAAAGAAAATATTTTTATTAACCAAATAATTAAAATTAATTATTAATATGTATCACCTTAAATACATTTTATTAGAGAAATGATAAATAAATAACTTATTCACTTTGACAAATAAATAATCTAATATCCTATTAGTAAGAAATTAAATAAAAGCATTTAACTTATAATTTTGTCGAAAAATTCGGTCAACTTATGAATATTTTACACTTGGTTTTATATATTATTATTTAACACTAACCCAATATTTATATAATTTACATTTGTTTTGTATAATTTTATTTAACACTAACCCATTATATGATTATTTTACACCAAAAATTATGGTGTAAAATAAACTTATAATAAGTAATTGTAAAATATTATTATATAAAAATGTTGAATGTTTTTTAAAATAAATGAATAAAATATAATATTTTACAGTATAAGAAATTATCAGAAAAGAAAATTTTTAATTTATTAAAACAAATCAATAAATAAATAAAATATTAAATTAATACAAAATATTTAAAACATTTTTTAATAAATTTTTTAACAAAAAAAGGTTAAAAATAAATACAAATATAAAATATAAAACCAGACTAAATATAGAATTTAAAACTCACATGCTAAATTAAACAAATAAAAAATAAATATAATTTAAAATTTAATCATAAAATTTAGTTATTTTTTAGCTATTAAAACCAAAATTAATAAAAAAAATAATTAATTTTAAATGATATTTATATTTTATTTGATTTATTAAGCCAAAGAGTTTATTAAAATTATATACTTAGCCTTAGTAACAATCTGATAATTTTTTTTAATTAAAAATGCTATTACATATTTGATCAAATTACTACAGTTATTTATTTCTCATTATTTCTTTTTTAAAATCTATATTATTTAAAAAAAATTAATTAAAATAAAATATTTTTGAAAGTCTTAATTTACATTTAACTACGTTATAATTAATTACCAACGCTATTTATTCAAAAATAATCGAGTATAAAGGTTTTTATATCTCTAATATAGCTGAAATATAAAATTAACGGCTAGATTTATATCACATTAAATCAGCCGTCAAGAATTATAAAACAATAGAATAACTACTAAATTTAGTCTAAAGGTTTAATTCTAAATTCTAGTTTGAGTTTTAGGAAAATTACTAGAGATTTTTCTTTTTGATAAATATATTATCCAGATAATTAATTATAATTAAAATCCGCAATTGTTTGCTAAATTTCTAATTAACTTTTTTACTTCTTAATTTTAACAACTAAATTTTATCTTTCATAATTTATGTAATTTTATTAATAAATTTTATTTTTTTATGATATTTTCTGATTAAAGTTTTTTACTATTACTGCTTAAATTATATGTTTAGATAGCCAATTTAAAAGTTATTTAATCATATTGTAATTAATTAATTACTTTTTATTTTAGAAAATATTTTACATCTACATAATAAATAATAGTAAAATTTTTTTATTTATGATTAATAAATAAATAGCTAAACATTTTCACATTTTATTAACTTTGAAATAAATTTTAACTGCATAATTTTATTTTTAATCTTCAATAGAAAGATCAAATAAAATCTAATATAAGCTAACAAATTAATTCATTCTTTTTTCTTTTACTGTTTTTAAATTAAAATATAGTAAAAAATAATCATAGCAAAATAATTTAATATGAACTTTTTTTTGGAGATTAAAAATAAATCAAAACTTTGTTTTTAAATTGTTTAAAAGAATCAAAATTGTTTTAAAAAAGAAAATCATTCACATATTTTTAAACATTATGAAAATCTTATAAATGTTAAACAAAAAAAGAATATTTTAATTATAAATTTATGTTTTATCAGAAATGCTTCAAACAAATTATAAATAATTTATTTGTATGTGAATTTATTTATCTAAAATGTAAGATTATTGATCACTTTTTTGCATCAAAAAAACCTTAGACATCAGACAAAACAATTTTTCCAATAGTTTTTCCAGACTCTGAGAGTTCAAGCATTTGCTTCAGATTTTCAATAGAAAACTTTTTAGTGATTTAGATCGTAGAAATTAGTATTTGCTTATCGTAAAGTTCACTAATATGGTTCAAAATTTAATTTTGCTTTTCAGGTTCTTAGTTAAACATTGAGCGAGTGAACATTAACTCAGCTGTTATTTTGGCTCTCATATAGAATAATGGTTTTAAGTCAAGAGGCTCATCAAAACCAACAATACCAAGAATATGACCGAAAGGTTTAATTAATGAAGCAAATTAATCAAAATAGCTTTTTCCCATCTCAACACAATTATAAACATAATCTAACCCATCAACGTTAATATTTTTTAACTGTTCAGCTAAAGGTTAGTTATGGTTTATTACATAATCTGCTCCCATTTTAATACAGAATTGCTTACTCTATTCTCTGGATGCAGTAGCTATTACTGTTAATCCTAAAACATTTTTAGCAATTTAAATAGTCATGCTTCCCACACCACCAGCACCTCCAACAATCAGAATTGTTTTATTTAATTTTTATTATTTTCCTGTATATGGAATCCTCATTTCTTCAACTAAGCCCTCATAGGCAGTAAGAGCTACTAATGGAATAGCAGCAGCTTCCGAATGAGACAGTTTTTTAGGTTTTATTCCCACAATTCTCTCATCAACTATTTAATAGTTTTAGAAAGAGCCATTTCTTATATAGCTTCCTGCATAAAATACTTAATCTCCTACTTTAAAAAGCTAACAATCTGAACCTACTTTGACAACAACACCACTTGCATCAAATCCAGCAATAGTAGGATTATCTTCTGAAAGATTTTTATTGTTTAGTCCTTAAAGTACTTTGTAATCAACAGGGTTTATACTAACAGCTTCTACTCTAACAAGTAAATCTTTAGGTCCAAGAGGTTTAATAGGAGTACGAATCAATTACAGTTCACATTATGGACTTATTAGCCCAACAGCACTGGCAGAGGAAGGTATTATTTAGGCCATTTTTATCTTTTAGATTTTTTTAAATTTTTTGTATTTTTATAGAATTTATTTATATTTTAATATTAAAAAAGCTATTTTTAATAGTGAAAGGTTGGTTACTGTCCAAAAAATTTATGAATTTTTTTCTTCTTTCGTTTTTCTAATATTGAAGTTTACTTTCTAAAATATAATAGATAAATTATTATTCAATTTTTTTTTGAAGTGGTTATTAAAAAATTAAAAGCAAAAAGTCAGATTTCAAAAGATTTATCAAATCACACTATCAGAAAAAAGAAGATAGCAAATTATTATAATTATAATTTAAATGTAATTTTTTTAAAATTATTGAATAAGGATATAAAAAATCTATCACAGGTATTTAAATAATATAAAATAATTTGAAAAATACAACTAATGAATAAAAAATTATTTAGTTTTGTTATTCAACTTTAAGTGATGATTATTTTTATTTTAATAACTATTAAAAGCATCTTGAATTCTATAATAAAAGCATTAAAACATTTCTCTTATGTATTTTGCTGTGTTAATAAATAAAATTTATTTTATCATCTTTAGAAATAAATTAAGATAATAATTGCTATTTTAAGAATGAATCTGTATTTTTTCATAGAATAATTATTATTCTTTTTGTTTTCTATAAAAAATCTATTTTAGTTATTTAGAAAAATTAAAGAATTTTTACTTTTTTTAAAATTAAGTAACCAAACCAAATATATAAGTAACAATAATAAAACTATTTTTTTATTGTGATCTTTATTAAATTGCTTTTAAAAACAAACTTTTTAATAGATTTAATACATAAATAAAAATACTTTATTTTATAATTCAAAATTATATTTTAAAAAATTTTGAATTTTACATTTTTAATATTATAAATAATTTTGATATAAAATAGAATACTTTTGATATTAAAAAGTTTTTTTTAAGAAAATAAATTATAATAAAATATTATTGCTTAAGATAGACATGTATTTTATGATAATAGTTAGAAATAAAAAAACATTTTTATACGTTTTGTTTGTAAATAAGATTTATTTGATATGTGTATTAAATATTAACCATAAAATTATTCTATATACTATCTTTTAATTATTTTAAGTTCTTCTTAATAATCAAATAAATTTACTAAGTAGACATTTTTATATGTGTTAATTAAATTTTATTATGAAAATTTTAAACTTGTTATAAAAAACAGTTTATTTTATGAATAAATTTATATTGTATTGTTACAATTTAAAAATTAGTTATTACTAAATATTTTCACTTAATCACATCAAGTAAGTAAATAATTCAAATTTTGAAATTGATAAATCGAAGATCTTAAAATTGTTTTGAAATGTATAAAAATGTGATTTTGAAATATTAAATTTGGAAAATTATTCATATAAAATCTTGGTAGAATTAAAGTAAATTAAAATGATTATTTAATTAATTTTTGAATTTGTAAATAGTTTATTTGCAAAAAAAAATAAATACATTTTTTCTATCATTAGTTGTAAATTATAAATTGATAAATAAATAAATAAAATCTTTGAAACATGAATAAATAGAAAACAAGATTTAGGCTTTGTGGGCCTTTTAGTTGAGTTATAAAATTAAAGAAACTTATATTTTTTTTAATTGTTTGTTTAGCAGATATATAATACATCAATTTAAAAGTAATAAATATAAAAAGGCAGAATTAAATATAAATTAGTGATTTTTGATATAATTGTAGATAAAAGCGACTAAATAAAATAAAATAAAATGGAGGAAACCATTCCACTAGAAATTCCAAATACTTTACTTTAAAAGGCAAAAATTTTAAACAAAGACACCATCGGATCCAAATGTAAAATTTAAAATAAGATTTCATTATAAATTTGTAACTTTTATTTAAGATAATCATAAATTGCAAAATAAAAACAAACAAAAATTTATTCGCTTTTAGTTAGCCAATATTTAAATGAGTTAAAATAATTTACTATACAAACAGATGATTTCATTAAGTATTAGGGAAACTCGTTTATTTAGGTAGAGCCTCCTTCAGCTAAGTTTATGGGATATGAAATTAATAAATTGAATACAATAAAAGTTAAAGTTATCAATAAGGCTACTATTCCTTAAAGAATTCATGTTTTGCCTTTAGAGTCAAATAATTTTACTATAAAAATGAATAAAAAGGGATTACTTCCTACAGGTATGAGCGAAGAAATTTAAATATCTTTCAAACCTACAGAGTACAAGTAAATATTTAGAAAATTTATATTTGGGCTTCTTAAGTTCTTTTGATTTGTTAGTTAATTGTTAATAATAAATAAATAAGCGATTTTCGAATTTTTAGTGATAAATTTCAATACAAAACTTTAAAAAGATTAAAATCATTCTCATAAAAATTTAAAATTATTAAAAACATTCTAAACAGATAAATTACATACTTTTTTTCAATTAAAAACTTTTAGATACTTCTATGACACTATAAGAATAAACACTGAAACAGAAAATGTCATAATACCCATTCATGCATATCCTGTTCTTGATAGAGATAATCTTAGAAATGTCTTTCCAAGACTTATTGACTTCGGAACCATTCTAATAGGAGAAACTAATACAATTGTAAAAATAGTTGCTTTTAACTTATATTAATCATAAATAAATAAATAAATAATAAATTAATAAATAAATAAATCTATTCTTGAACTGACATGTATGTAAGTACTTTACAAAAATATCAGTTTAAGGATGCAAAAAGTTTATTTTAATTGAGATAAAAGTGTTAAAAATATTTTATAATTGAAAAAAGTCTAACTTTCTTGTCTGTAAAATACCGATCAACTTTGAATTTGAGTTTATTTTTTAAAAAGACCATCCTGATATGAAAATCATTCCTATGAAAGGGATCATCCCAGGTAATGGATAAGTAGAGATTGATATATAATATACACCTTCTACAAATACAACTATCATTTGTGAGGCAGAAGTAAATCGCTTTGTTCTAAATTAAAATTATTAAATAATTTAAATTTTAAATGTTGTTAGCTAAGAATATCGTAATTTGATTTTGAACCATTGAAAATTAGACTGATGGGTTCAGGAAGGTATGAAGATCCTGCATAAAATAAGAAAACAAAAATGTAATCTCTTTAAGGAGGGAATAGTAAACGTCCCCTTTCTAATACAAAGCTTAAAAAATTAGAAAAATCTTTGAATAACTCTTAATTAGATCAAGGAATTTAATAATTTGGAAGTCCTTAAGTGACTTTATCTGTTGGAAATGAAAATTTATTGTTAGGTTCCAAAAAGCAAAGCAATCTAGACATATAAAATGAGTTTGGCAACTAAGTGAAATAAGTTTTAGATGAAAATAATGCCAACTTATAAAGGATATAATCTAAATTTAAAAACTCTAATTTAGGAAATACACAAAATGCTGTTCCAGATGATAAATTAAATTCTTCTATAAAATCTATGAACAGTGAAAGAAATTTCAAAGTTAGAAATATAAATTCTGGGTCAGTAAAGAATCGTGTAAAAATAACAGTTCCAGAACAAGACTATGATCAGAATAGTATTTCTGGAAATTAAAATATTCGTAGCTAATAAGAAAGGGAATTCATTGAAAAGTGCAATGCTGTTTCTTTGATGGATAAGAATAAGGATATTAAATTTTTCTAGTGTATTGGTGATGAGATTATCACAGAAGAAGAAGTATAAAATATATTGACTGAAAGAAAGAACTACCATTAGTCAAAATTAGATAACATATAAGATGAAGGAGTTCATAGGTATTTATTTGGCAAATAACTATTCTTCTTAATTTTAATTTATCTTTTTGATATTAAATAAATAATAGATATAGCAAGAAAATTAATTCGGATCATGTCATGCTTGGACAGAGAAACTAGGAATTATAAATGTCAAATACATGGGATACTGATAAAAATGACAATTTAAAATTGAGAAAAATTATTTTGAAAAGATTTATGAATGCAGGAACCAAAATTATTTTAAAAATGAGAATGGAAAACAGACTTATAAAACTGAAAAATCTCCTTTGCGATTGTTAAACCAAAGAAGATGTCAAAAAGTTAGTTTAACTTGACTGGTAGAAGGCAGAATATGCAGGTGTTGGAAAAAAGGAGTTTGTAGCTTTCGAGTTTAGTTTTTCAGATGATGATGTTAGTACTACACTTTTCCCAATTTAATACGATGCTTCTAATTTAAAATACGATCATACTTTCGAAATTAATCCTCGTAAAGATTTTAATGACCTCGACCTTCATGAATACGAAGTTCTACCTCGAAACGAAGTTGAAGCAATGCGTTATACAAGTATTTTATTTCTCAATAATTTATTTATATAGAAAGTTAAAAATAATATTAAAATTTTTCAATAGACTTCGAAAGACTTATATGCTCTCATTACACCCCAATAGAAACAGAAAGAGTTTACAGAACTGGAGCAGAATGGGAATACTCAAAGCAAGGAAAAACAGGAGCTTGTATTTTTATCTATGTTTTGCATTAATTAAAAATAATATCAATTTAAATAAAATAGTTAAAGAGATTAGTTCTGTTTAGGGTTTAATAGAGTGCATGCCAAAGACTTTCTTAAAGCCATTAGAATTACCAAATCATTTATTTATAACATCCCATGACACTCTAAGACCTTATATCAACTATAATCAATTCAACGAAGTAGATTCAGAGTACTATCTCTAGCCTGAATATATGGAAATATAAGATAATTTAGATCCAAAAATAAATAATGATTATTATGCTTTGAAAAATGAATTTTTAGGAAAAACACCTGGCCTTTCATCTAGATTTGCTCTTCATTCTATATATTCTGAAACAATCAGATACCTTCCCAAATAGCTTTAGCTTCCTAGAGGTATATTTTTTAGCAATAGATAAATTATAAATTATAATTCTTATTTAATAATATTAAGATTGTGCCAATATTAATAAAATTGAAAATGCTTGTCCATCAAAAGTCAAAGAGCTAGAATATGATGATAATCTTACAGATGATGACAGTGATGGTGAAGAGCCTCCAGTTGTATAAGTAAATGAAATTTTATACTAAAATATAAATTTAATGCTATATTATTAAATAGATTTAAAATGTAGACGATTTCTTAAAACAACTTGAAGATAAAGATGGTTAAATCACACAAATAAGAGATAAAAATAAGGAAAGACTTCCATTTGATGAATACGAAGATATTAATAAAACTGTAAATACAAACTTAAAGTAATTTTTATAAAATTATTTTTCATTTATAAATGAAATCAACTAACTTAATTTTAATAACAGATTAGAAAAATAATATTGGATAAGTACCATTCCTACCAGAACAGATCACTATAATAAATTTATTAACAACTCAGAAAATAAATTAATAATTTTATGAGTCTAAATTTTATAAATATTATTTACTTATTTATTTTAGTCACAACTATTTCAATACATTAAAGGCAGGCTGCTCAAATAATTTCAAAATAAATTATTTATTTAGATTTAAAAATAAACTAATTTTATAATTTAAAAATGAATTATTTTTTAATTAGCTTGATAATAAATAAATAAATTAGTTTAATAGTTTAAAAATAAATAATTGAATTAAATAATTTATATTATAAAAACTATATCTAAACAAACTTTTCTAATAGGCTACTCCTTTTTTTATTAAAAAAATAATATTTTGATTCAATTTTTTTTACTGATAATTCTCTACCAGCAAATTCAAATAAATTTCTTCTTTAAAATACTTAATTTAGTAAATAAAAAGGAATTTATGATGCTTTTTTTCATCACTGATAGATATTTAAAAATAAACTCTTTTAAAATTATTTAAGTTTATGGGTAATTTATTGATAAAAGCTATTTACTTTATATATAATATGTACATTCATTTATTTTATTTACACTTTTTATAAATTGTATTTTATTTACAAAGTTATTCAAGAATAAACACTTGATACTAATTCATTTGCGTACAAGCAGCTTTGAAATTTATTTGAAGAATTATTGTTTTTGTTTGTTCTTTGGTCGTTTAAGTTGCTTTCTGTATTTACCTAGCTTGTTGAAACATAGCTTTCGCAATAGTTATTCAAACTTACAATTTATTACTACTTTTTTTATTCTTAGTAGTTATTTTCTTTTAACGGAGTTACTTCGGAGCTAATGTTTATCTGAGATTCTGGCTTATTTTAGATAAGATTTAAATCTTGATGCTTAGTTTAATATTCTTGTAATTAGTCTGGAGTTAAAATCTATTCAATAGGAGTATATTTCAGTTTTATTTTAGTCGGTCTCTTCTTTTCTCCATAATTAAAGAATACACAAGAAACTGCGTCTTTGGATCTTTCAGGAGTCTTATGGAATTATGAAGGTTAATCATTAAAATGAGGTTAAGGATTATTTTTAGAGATATACTGTAAGCTCACTTTTCCTATTATTGGAGAAAAAGCTATTCCTTATTGAGAATAGCACTAGTTTTCTTTGAAATCTACTTGTTTGGGAGTTGAATTTTTAATATCTAAAACTTAATCCGAATTCATTTGTTTCATAGGAGTGCAAAATTAAAACTCTTCAGATTTTAAATAAAATTCTTTATTTTATTTTAAAGGGCTCCAAGCAGATTTACTTCTTTAATGAGTAGGATAGTGATTTGATTATTCATTTAGATTATTTATTAGAGTGAGATTTGGTAAAAAATGATTGATCTTAACTGCTGGACTATTCTTAACTGAAGAAGGTGTAAAATTTATTTGCTTTTAAGGAGAAGAAATGAGGGGAGCATTTTATAAGTTAGATAATAGAAAACTATTGTTATGAGAATTCTAATAGCTCTTCCTAATTGATTCTAAATCTCCAGCTGACTCTTTCACGTTGTTATTTTTATCTTTTGAAAATGAGACATTTAAAGCGTCATTGTTATTAATTTAATTTAAAAAGCTATCATTGTTTTAAATTTCGTTCTAAAATGTGTGGCAAACAATTTAATTATTTCTATCAGTTTAATTTCCATCTCCTTTCAATATTTCTTAACATTAAATCGCACCATAGCTGCTTATATTCAGTGGTTTGATTTCCTAAATAGTACCCCTATAAGTCATTTCTGTGTTCGCTGTTGTTGGTTATGTCTTTTATATAAAATATAAAAATGATTTAAAATTATATTTTATTAATTTAAAGCCATTACTAGCTTTTCTATTTGATGAATTCTCAAAGGACTACTAGATTTTACAGAACCTACAAAAGGTGATATTGTATTATACTGTAAATTAGCAATTTTACTGTAATCTACTGTCTATTATGGCAATATAGGTTAAAAATTAGTACTTACTTTATCACTAGTAAATTATGATTATATTTGCTGCTATTAATACTATAATTACTATCTTTAATGAGGGTTTTAACTATAATTTTGTTAAATTGGTTAACATTTTTAGGTTATATATTATATTTTCTAAACCTACTATGGTGTTTGTTAACATTGATGTATTTGATAATATAATCTTTGTGGCAATGCTGTCTATTCAATAGATTTATTTTTGAATTAAGGTATACCATATTAAACCTACCGAATCTAATTTGTTTAAACTTAATAAGGCTATTATGTTGGAATTTTCATGAGTTGCTAGGTTTAAACATTATTAATTTAAGAATAATTATTGAATAAAACTAAGCGCCCTGGATTATTATAAGATTAATTTGGCAATATACCCTAATTTAACTATGGGCAATTTTATTTTAACTAAGTTATTCCGCTCATTTAATTGATTTTTCTATCTAATTTTGTAAGCAATCAATACTTGTAAATAAATCAAAATTTAATTTTAATTTTTATTATTTCAGTTAAAAATTAGAAATAAGTAATTTTTTGAATTATTAAAAATTGATAGTAACCAAGTTGAGGTTATTGCTTGCTTAATAAAAAAGGAATACAATTATTAAAATATTATAAACAAAGAATATAAATATTATACATAATTAATTTTGATAATTTGTTTTATTTTTATTAAATACCTACTTATCTATTTAATTAATTCAATATCTTTTTAAATTTTACTTAAGTTTTTATCAGCATGCAATTGGTCTATAAAAATTCAAAGGAAATCTTATAAATTGTCTATTTTGATAATTTACAATATACAATTATTATAAAACAACTTCAATTTATAATAAGTGACACTATTTTAAAAATAGACAATTCTTGAAGTCAATATTACCATCATCTAAAATTATTAAAATTAGATATTTACTACCTTATCTCTTTACACTAAAAACTAAACTTAAAATATGCAATAAAAAAATGATAAAGTTATTCTATAAATTAGGGGAAAGAAATGAAAAAAGTTTTAGCATAAATTTATTTATTTATTTATAATTTAAAAACTAACTAATTATTCTATCTGTACTGACTGTTTGCATGTGTTGTGATTTTTAAAAATTCTTTTATACTATCTTGCTTGTATCATTAAATTTTTAATCAATGAGAATAGAAAAATTAATTTTAAGGTAAAAGATACAATAATAAAGAGTGATTAATTTAGTTAATCAAAAGTATAAATTTCATTAAATAGATATTAAAATGTAAAAATTAATTATCAAATTTATTAATATATTATATTTTGTATTGATTTAATATAAATACTAAAGTAGTTTTAAAAATATTTAATATTAGATGTATACTATGTATAATGAAATCAATAAGTAAATAAATATAAAATATACTATCTTTATAATTTTTGAGTGAGATATTAGTTTAATTTAATTTTTAATAAATAAGTAGTGCATAATTAAATAGTGAATTTCTTAGTAAATAATTTTATTGTAATAATTTATAATAATATCAACTTTATATCTATTGCTGTTAATATTTTTATATAATTTTATTATAATATTCTGACTACTCCTTGGTTGGTTTTTTACCTTGTATTTACTTAAGCATTTGAATTAGCATATTAGCTTAACTACTAAAAAACAACATTTTGATTATTTGATTAGTAAATAATAAACTGGTATTCACTTTTTTAGAGAAATATATAAGTAGATAAATTTTAATTAAAATATTAATTATTTTTATTTTAGAAAAATATTTAATAGAAAACAAATTCAAAGATTTAAAGAGCTGGCTGGCTGATTTTGTAACTAAATACTTTTTCAATAAAGTTCAGTAATTTAAATAAAATAGATTAGCCGAATTCAAATTTAAATCATTACGTCAATATAATTGGTAATAGACAGTTTTTGTTATCATATTTAATCAAAACGAATAATATAGCTATTATTAAAAATAAATGCAAAATATTCCATCAAAATTATATCATACTATTAGTAAAAGAATATTCGATTTCGAACATTACGTTTATTAATAATATTTAATATTTTTATTATTTAATCGAACTTAAAAACCATTTTAAAAGATATTTGAAACAGCTATCTATGGAAAAAAAGATTTAGCTTATATTCGTGTTAAATAAGGGAATGATTATGAATTTTCAAAACCTTTTTGAAGAATCACTAGATGAAAGCTTATTGATAAATAATAATCATGTAAGTTTATTATAAATATTATTATTATTATAAATTATCAAAAATTAATTAAATTGATAAAAAACATAAAATTAAAGATATTAATTATATTATTAATTGTTTGAACGAACAAAAATGTCCTCTCTATCGTTGGAAAAAAATGCAATCTCACAAGAAGATAGCTTAGAAATAATGTCTCCCCAAATTTATTCAACTGGATGCATAGATAATTATAATGTAAGCACGATTATCAAACCTCGTAAAGTGATTGCAAAGATGAAGGCGAATAATCGCAAGGGATATAAAAGAAAGCAAATAGAAATAGTTCCAATAATTACACTTCAGTTATAAAATTAAAATAAATATTTGTTATATGGATTTATAGAGATAGAATCTTACTACAAAGATTATCCTTCACCATATGAAATTGATTTAGTTGACTTGACAAATGCGCATACTGGAGTTTCTTCTATTGAAAGATCTACAAATGGTATGGATATGGTGGTAAATTTCTATACAAAAGCAAGTTCAGGGCTTAGAGATTTTTAATTTTTGATTGATCATTATCAAACAATTCCAGACCAACAATACCAAGAATTAGCAAAATATTTAAAAGAATATAAAGTTGTTGCAAACAAATGTATGTAACATATATCAGATTTATCTATCAAGCTAAAGCAGAGATTAATTTCTTATGAGGAAATTCAAGAAACTTAAGAATAGTTTAGGATTGCATTTGAAGAATTCGTAAAGTCTTAAGTTGGTGAAGAAGATTTTTATTTAACTAGTCTCAGCTCTCTGAATTTAGATTTTTTTGAAGTTGAAGTAAAGTAAACTAAAATGTCATTAGCTCTGTTAAGCTTAATTGGAGTGGAACCAAGAAATTTCGAGATGTCAATTCTGAGGAATTAAGCCCCATTTTTAGAATAATTTGGATTTAAAAGATTGAAAAATGTGATTTAATAATTGTTTATAACTGTCAGCGATGCATATGAGTATGTAATAGATGATTAATATTATACTGCCGATAATATACCTTTTTATGGCTAAAGCTAGATAGTTTTATTTGACTGGAAGGAAAGGCCTTCCTGGTTGAGTAAAGAAGAATGCTCTGGCGTATTAGTTAAATTGAATGTTTCATTGTAGTAAATAAAAGCCATACTAGAAATAAGATCTTAAATGAGTAGCTAGAAATAGCTTGAATATGGGATGTTAGATGATGATTACCACTTTGAGTATACAGTTGAATCTGAGATTTTTATAGAAAGATATTATCCGGAAGCATTTAGTGATCAAGTCAATAAAAAATCCTTGCAAATTAAGCAAGAGATGATGCAGAATTCAGATTTTACAAATTTTATGAACTAAGCAAAAAGTGAAAATGAAAATAGTAATATCTCAGAAGAAAATGTAAACTGATGATATCAATAAATTATTTAATAAACAATCAATTTTTTGTTGCGTATGAAAAAATTAATTTATATTTTAAAAACTTGTAAATTAGATGGTTAAAATATTATTTATTTATTTATTTATCTATCTATTTATCTATCTTTATGCTTATTTTTACTTCTAATTATTTACTTTCAATGTCTACATGGCTATAACTAAACAACTAACTACCTCAAGTTTTTGATTTAATTTTTAATCTTTTTTCTGATACCTGATAATCAAGATTAATAATTCCCCAATCTATTTTACTATTTTTTAAAAATAAAAAAGAATTCATCAAAAGAACTTGTAGGATAGACAAAATTTTTATTAATATAATTAGTTATAATGCTTTTAACTCACAAACATTTATTTTTAGCTAAAACATTCGCCTGCTAGTTGGTTTTCCTATTCAAAAGCATACTTTTTTTGTTCTCTTGTTATAATTTTTTATATTTGAATAGAATTACTAAATCCAAAAAAATTAAGTAAATAAATCATCAATTCAATTTAATAAATTGAAATTCAAAGATATTTTTCTAATTAATTTTGCATTAGAAGTAATAATTATTAAAAAATCCACTCAATTTTTATGTAATTAAACATATCTATTAGCATTATTTAGTAATTTCAAAAAGATTATAAATTGTTTCCACTACACTAATTATTTTCCTCCCTCCTTACTTACATAGTTTCATAGTACTAAAATAAATTTTTTTAAAATATTCTCTCAAAATATATCTATCTACCTAACAGTTTAAAATAAAAATATATAGTAAGTAATTGCAATTGTGTGGTGAAAATTTGTTTATAATAAAATTTTACTTTTATTTTATTGAAATAGAAAAAATTAACACATTCTAAATCCTATTTATAAAAAAGTAAAAACAGAGAATGCTCACAATTACTGATGAATAAAGTAAAAATATTTTTAATACAGGGTTAGAGTAAATATTTGAAAGAGAAGAAAATTAATCAAACTCTCTAGATTAAGTATAATTGCCTGTTCAAAAAATTTAGCTGAAAAAATATATAGCAAAAGTTAAGCCTTCAAAAAGTAAATTATACAAAAAGAAATAATTACATATAGTTCCTATTGTTTACTAAAGCTTGGAAATAAGTCACTATTGCATCATATTTGGCTATGTCATATTAGAAAGTTAATACAGAGACTACAAAAGTTAGTCGCAAATAAATCTATAAAATAACGGGATATCTTGCCTCATTAAATTAAATTCTATTGAAAATAAAATTTCAGAATAAAGCTGGGTATTTAATTACTAAATCTTAGGATAAAGTGGAATAAAAGATTTCTCTTTTCTGATTGATCACTATAAAAAATTTTCTAATTAAACCTATAGATAATTAGCTTTATAATTAGAAGAGTATTAATAAAAAACACAATAAATATTAAATTATATAACTGACACAAGTTTGAAAATTAATTCAAGAATCATTGATGAAAATGATGTTCATAAAGCTTATTAAGATTTTAGTATTTTTTTTGATAATTATGTGAAAGCTAATTATTCTGAGTGTGATTTTATATCCACCTCTAAAATCATAGTTGATTATGCAAGTTAAGATTTTATGTTCAAAGATACTACAGTATCATATTCTACTTTAAGCTTGTTAGGAGTAGAACCATAAAACTCAGAAATCATGTTTTAAAAATCATTTTAGAATTTTAATTTCTTAATAGGCTAAGAGAGATTATAGAATATAATTAGAAAGCTTTCTTTTGCTTTATCTGACCAAACAATTTTTGAGTTTGTTCAAGAATATTTTACACTTGATGCAATATTATTTAGTGCCAAATCAACATATGAAATAGTTTATTGGCCTAATGCCCCTAATTGGATGGATAAAAAATCATGTTTTGGAGTAGTAAATAAAATAGATCTATCCTTAAATTAGCTGAAATCAATCATTTAATTAAGATAAAATTAGACAAATTCTGATTTGGATTTGAACTCCCTAGAGGAAGATAATAGTTTTGAGTATTAAGTTCAGAAAGAAATATTCCTACAAAAATTCTACCCTGATCTATTTTTTGATCCATAAACTATGAAATCTATTAAGCTAAAAGAAGATATATAAAAATGAATCTACTTTTTATCATATTAAAATGTGTAATTAAATAAATATAAAAATTAAAATTAAAGTTAAACATTTATTTCCACTATCCAAAATAATTTCGAAAGAAAAAAAGTAAAAATAATGAAAAATGTATAAAATTTTATTTACATACATTCATTTCTAAATTGTTCAAATAAATAATTTTGTCAAAAATTTAATCAGTTTATAAAGCAGTTTATTATTGAGAAATTATTTCTAAATTGAATTAATTATTACAATTCATTTATACAATTTGTTGAAATTGAGAAAAATAGTTTTAAATATTAAATATTTTTATTAGTCTTATTTAATGGTAATTCGTAGCTTTTTTGATTTAAAAGCAGGCAAAAAAATTATCTTTTCTTTTTATTAAAAAATTTTAGATTTTTTAAGAATAAAAATATTTTATTACTAAAATAAAAAAATATTTGAAACAAACTGATTATTCTATGTAAAAATTGAAAATAAAATATTAGAAATAAACGATTTCTGCCAAATTTATTATAGACAGGTTTATGAATCTCGCTCGTATTTCATCTAAAACAAATAAATAAAGAAATAAATGATTTACTTAAAAATTTTTAGATGAATACTTAAATAAATATAAATTTTGTTTTTTTCAAATACTAAATTTTAACATGACAAAAAAAAATCTATTCTATGATAGATTCAGTTTCATATAATCACAACTATTTTTTTTACATTTATCACGATTTAGATAGATATATTGATTTTTTAAATACAAATCTATTATTTATTATTTTGCATTAATAACTACTTTTTTACTTTTTAGAATGTTTAAAGAATTTCAAAACCAAATTGATTAACTTTAAAAAAAAATTATCCTTACTTAAAAATAAAGAGGAAAAAGGAAAATTTTAATTAATTTGTTTAAAATACACATTTTACAGAGACTCTTACTTTCTTTCAATTAAATAAAAAAAGAAATTAAGAAATTTTACTTAAATTCTGATAAAAGCTTTGTTTTTTTCTTTCGTTAGCCATAAAATCAAAAGATTTAATATAGAAAATTACTTTTAGCTATGCTTTTATATTGTCTCGGTACAAGTGTATATATAAGCTTAACTTTCAATTAAAATTAATGCTTATATACGTATATAGATATTTATGTAAATAAGTAAGTAAGTAAGAATGAATTTGATTAAATAAAACCCTGAGAAGATGATTTTCAGTAATATGCTGATGCATAATCTATACTAAAGTAATTTATAATTTAAATATATGGGGGATTATAAGAAACTAACTTTATTATTATATTTATTAGCATTGATGATATTTACCATGAATTTTAATTTAAAGAGGTACCTTACAGATATTAAGATTTATAATTAGAATCTATATAAAATCCTACTTTTATTTTTTTTGAAATAAAAAATTTCTTTTGAAATTCTTCTATTAATTTTATTTTGTTTGTTTATGGTATTCTGTTATCTATAATAACTCGAAGATTTTCTTTAAAAAGTATATTTAGATAAAATAAAAGAAATAAATAAATAGAACGATTTTTGATTTACTTACTTTGTTTTTGTAAATTATTACATTAATTTATTTTTTTTCTTTAGATTAGTTTTGATTTGTGGAAATAAATAAATAAACATTTTTAAATAAATTTTATTTAATTAGTGATTTGTAAGTGAATTGTTGTTCAGATTGTTCTCAAAATATTAATGACAAGTATGTTTATAACATTAGATTTTAGCTTTTGTTTTGGTACTTTTATGAAGGGTTTGCTTAGACTGATTTCTACAAATGAGATTTAACTAATTTAATTATTTTATTAAACATAATTATAAACAATATTTGCTATATTTAATTTTTAGGGATTACACTTTTACATTTAGAGATGGCCTTACATTGATACAGTTTGCAATTATATTTATTTACATTAAATAAAAAATTTAATATTTATTATTAAGAAAAGCCAAAAATACTTACATTTTTTAACGAAAAATCAGTGGAATATTCTTTGCAACAAAGAAAAGATAAATTAATATACATTTTCTTAAAAGTAAGTCATTACCACAAATCCAAAATTATTTTCATACTTCAAAATATTGGCAATAAATACTAAATTTAACTTTCAAATTACTTGTTAATATAAATTTATTAATACTACCTAATAGGATTTAGTGAAGTTTTAGCAGAATAAATACAAAAAACCATTTTAAATAAAAACTTTACATTTATGCTTAAAATTTAGGTTAAAAAATTTATTACTTTTAAAAGCATATCAGTGTAAATGGTTAAAAATTTTATCCGATAATAATATAAAAAAATAAATACAAAGTAAAAGATATCTAGAGTAAAAGAAAAGTTACTAAAGTATTTATTCTATTTTTAGATACTTGCTGATATTTATTATCAAAAAAAAGTAAACTTTTAAAAAGTACATAAAAAATGTAACCAAAATAACTAGATTGTGATACTTGTTTTATATAAAAATTGGTCAAGTAAATTGGACACAATTTTTATGCATCTAATTTTTTAAAATTGACTTTTTTTTAATGATATAATCAGTTGAACTGATTTGGTTCTAGTTTTAATTAGTTTAATCCAATATTATTATATTCGTTTTTAGGGGATTACTTATTTTAATTGATGTATCAAGAAAATTCTTTATAGCTTTGTTTGGTGAAAATTTAATTTACTTCCCAGTCATAAATTATAAAGAGGATTTAGCTATTTATAAATATATAAGCAGATAATAAAGTTATTTTTAAATGATGTTTTTAGTAATCTAAGTCTTTGTGTTTTACATTTCCCAGTTTTTTAATTTCAGCTTTTTTATTTTACAAACTACAAATATCTACAAAAATTGAGTTAAACTTTTAACAAGTAAAAAATAAAGTAAGGGAAAAACGAATAAAATTATATTATTAAATTTGTCTTATTTAAAAAAAATTTTCGTTCTCTATAATTTAATTTGTGTTTGTTTGTTTGCTTTTTTACCTATGATAAATTAAATAAAATATGCATTTAATCTTTTTAATAAACCTGATTTGACCCTAATTTTATAAAATGTTACTTAAAACTCGTTCTGGGTAATTTAGAATTAGAAAAACATCTGTAAATTTAAATTAAGACAGACAGACTGGCTGTTTGGATAACTTCTTCAAATTAAAGGAGATGCTATTTAAAAAAGCAAGCAAGACTTCAATTAATAAATTGACTTTATATTTAAATGTCTTTTATTAATAAAGTTGACTAATTTTTTGCTAATAAAGCAGAAACTAATTACTAAATATTATATAAACATTAAAATATTAAAAAATAGAAATAAAACAAAGACTAAGGAGTAAATATATTTTAAATTACAACACATCACCAACCCAAATACTTACCAATGTCTAATTACATCACTCAACAACAACAGTTTTAAGATCACTCTAACTATCCAGCATCTTTTTATGAATAATATTTAACTTTCACACATAATAATATTAATAATAATACTTCCTAAGAGATTAAGGATGATAGCTGCTACGATGACAAACAATCTCAAATCTACGAAGAAAGCTTTTCATAAATGAACAATTAAGATATTTAATAGCAAACTAACCTTCAGTAACAAATTAAGACTTCATGGATTTAAAGCATCTACCAAAAAGTGAGGTCAAAATAAGCTAAATCTGATTAAATATGTTCATCCTCATCTGAATTAACTGAATCAGAAAACAACATATTTGAAAACATTGACTTGTATTATGATGAAGAAGATAAATTTATGATGAGCGATGAGCAATGGAAAAACATGCATTATAGCGCAATCAAAATTAATTAGCCAGATTAGCATAATATCTAATTAGAAAACGAAATCTATTTTCAATAATTTATAATGAAAATTGAGAGTGCTAAGATGAAAAAAAATTCCTCCAAGAAATTTGTAAAAAAAATGCTAAATGTTTAACCAATATTCTTCAATGAAGCATCCACTCACAATAAGTTTACTATTTTCGGAGGTAATTAGCTAGAGAAGTATTACAGAGACTATGAGCATTACAGTGATCAAAATTTGGCCATTCAAAGTAATACTATAGTTGACATTAACAAGATCATTTAAAATCATCAAGACAATCTTGTTGAAGTTTTCTTTGACTCCAAAGGTAAAAGCGGGCTGACTGACTTCAGGTTTATCGTAAATCATTTTTCTAAATAAAATGGAAAATAATATCAGGAACTAGCTGAGATACTGAAAAATTATTAATGCGTAACCAGCGTTTAGGTTGCTCATATGAATAAAATAAATCGTTAAATAAAATTTTAAATGATTTCTGAAGACGAAATATCAACAGCTTATCATCAAGCTGACTAATATTTTAAAAATTATATCAAGACCAAATATTTGTCAGATTCTGAGAAAAATCCAAATTCTAAGAAATACTTGATGTATTCCCAAACGCGCAGTAATTTTAACTCCATGGACTTAGAATTGCATTCAAACACATACACCAAGGATTTACTTGACTTGCTTAAACCTGATTCTTAGATGCTTGATTTTATCAAATCTTTTAATCAACCATTTTAAGTCTCACAAGGCGAAAAAAGACTTTAAAGTTTGATGAACATTGTCAAACTCTATTCTAGCCTAGAAAACATTCAGAATGTTCCAATCACATTTTTGGCAAAGGATGGAATTGAAATAACAACAACTGTAGATTATGAAATAATTATTTGGCCCGACTAACCTGAGTGGATGGTTCCATTAGATTGCTTTACTATACTTCTTAAATTGAATATTTAAGATTACCAAATACAAAAGCTTAGCTTACCTCAGAGCATTCACAGAAAAAATTAAAATAAATACTCTTCATTATCATCCGCATCTATATAATAATAATAATAATAATAATAATTATAATAACAAAGTTAAAATCCATAATAAAATGAATAATTTTTTAATATTAGGTTTTTTAATAAGAATGATATACTTTCGCAAAATAATTTTGAGTTAAAAACGGAAAATAATCTTTCAGATAATAAATTTGAATTTTTGGTTCATTCAGAATTGTTTATTGAAAAGTTTTACCCTAATATTAATAATAAATAGAATATAGAATATTTCTAGAATAAAAAGGAGGAGAAAGAGAAAGTAAGCAATCCTCCTTAATCAAATAAGACAAAAAATATAAAGAAATAGAAAAATAAAAAATAAAACAATAAAAAAATTATAATAAATAAATTATTTTGAAATATTTTAAAATACTAACAATTTTATTAGCTACTTCTTCTATCTATCTATACTTACTTACTAATTTATGATTGTTTAAATTAAATTAACTAGTCTTAAGTTCTATTAAATGGAATTTTTGATGTTTTGCATGAACATTACTCTATCTAATTTATTAAATAATTATATATGTTAAACTTATTAAATTACTTTAACTTATGAGCCAATTAAAACATGCATACATAATAGCTGTATTTATTTTTGATTTCTATTTTAAAATGAATAATTAATTAATAAATTTAAAATTTTTGAATCAATCATTTTAAAAAAATATTTATCCGAATTAATAAGATAAAATATAAATATATAAATATACAATTATAATTTTGTTAAAAGTATCTAAAAAGCAAATGATATTCAATTAGACAAAAGTTGTGCGTATATGATGCAATATTTAAATAAAATAAAAACTATATAAAACTTTTCGAACAAAATGTAAATTTATACCTAAAACAAAATTAAAATTAAGTCAAAAATTTATCATTAAAATAAAATTATTGTTTTTTCATCTATTATTAGATTTGGCACTGTTATTAAATCCAATATTTTAATTTTTACATATTTAAGGATGGATTTTTCATTTATATTTTGATCAAATCATGTCTATTTTTACTTATTATATTTGTATTATAAATTGCGTCATTTAATTTAAAATAAAGAAAAACCCAGTATTAACTTTATAATACACATTTTGATAATTTTTTCATAAGGAAAGAGAGTCATTTAAATTCTACTAGCTAAAAATAATTCGAACAGCTCACAAAAATTTATTTAATAGATTAGTAACATGCAAAAACACAATCAAAGTTAATTATTCAATATTTGAATGAGTTCTAGTTACTTTAGAGAAATTGAACTTCTGGATATTATTTATCCTTACAATTTACTAATACAAATCAAATAATTTATGAATTTATAATTTTTTATTGATTTACTGTTAATTTCAGTATTAACTATCAAAAATTATAACTCTTGGCTTTATTAGTTACCATTTAAATTTTCTTTTAATTAAAGTGAATACATTTAAAAACATTTTTATTTGTTTGTTACAAAATACTATTTTAATACTTTTAGAATATATATTAAACACAAAATAAATACTCATTTCAAAGAACCTTAACTTGTGTTTTGAATGCGCTTGACTAATATTAAATAATATTTAAATAAGAAAAAACTCCACCATTTATTTTTATTTAAACAAAATGAAAATGATATTTTATGAATTAAAAGTAACATACAAAATCTCTAATTGTTTTGAATTATATGTAATTAAAAACATCTTTTTATTTCAATTAATACTTTTTGATTTGAGAAATATTAACCAACATCTATAAATAATTTTTTTTATATAGGCTTGTTTAAAAATTAAGAAAACAAATCTCTACGGACAATATTAATCCTTACAACTAATTATCAGTCAGATTTAATCATTCATGAAAAATTAAATTCACTAATTTTAATAAATAAATTTCTATTTGATTTAAGTATTATTATAAAATCTACGGTTTTTCAATACCTTCACAAACAAAAATTTTAACTTATTACAAATAAAATCTTAAGTGAGCCATTAAATACTTCATTTTTGCCTTTGTGTTTTTTTTTAATTTTCATAAAATTGATTTTAATAAATAAATTTCCTCATACTAAATTTTGCTTCTCATATCATTAAATATTTTACCTTTTAGTATACTTTTAAAAAAATTTATTGAGATATATTTGCTACATAAATTATTTTATCTTTTTAAAAAGTAATAATTACACAGTTATTACTGTTTAACTATGCTTTATTAGCAATTTTATATTAGCATTTTGGACTAAAAAATAAATGATAAGTACACTGAATACTTTTTAAAGGTATTATACTTGCAATTAACAAAAATACAAAATACTTTATTCTGAAAGTAAGTTGTAAAAATGTATTAATATTGCATATAAAATTATATTTACTTAAAATTGCATTGAGGTGTGAATGGTATTCTATTTTATCTGTTATTACTTAACCGTTTAATATAACATTCAGAATTTTTCTATCATATTTTACTGATTTTTAAACAATAATTTACAATGGACTAGTTAATTAATTTGATTTAATTACTTGATTTTTTTTTAAAGCTCGAAATTTTTTAATTCTAGCTTAAATGAAATTTTATAAAAAATAAAAATAGTTTTTTAAGAATGTACGTTTTTTTATGAATATATTTAAAGGTGAGATTAAAAAAATCATTTTAACAAATGTTTTAAATACAAAAAAATTAAAACAAAAGGGATTGCTTTAATCAGATAAATAGATACTGAATAGGTATATAGATTAGGTGTTTGATTAAAACCCTAAATATATATCTTGGTTCTACTAAATTAAATATTCAAAGTTAAAATGTTAAGGAAATAAATATATTAAGGTAATGTTACTTAACAATCACAAATTTTTAATTAACCCATCTATTTGTTTTGATAAGGGAAAAAGAATATTCTGTAATCAAATTTAAAGAATTTGCAAAATTTAGGTCAGGTATAATTATCAGTTGATATATATATATATATATGTATTTCAATTTCATGTGTAAATTATCTTTGAGTAAATTTAATTATCATTAGATTTACATTTTTTTTAAAGATTATTCTAAATATCTTCTTAAAAAGTGCTTTAAAAAAAAAACGTGTTGGATTAAGATATAATTCACTTTTATACGTATGTCTATTCAATAATTTTAAAAATTAGACTAGCATTAATCAATAATTGCATATTTGTTAAATTTATGTTTTTATTTGATGAAATAGATTACTTGTATAAATTGAAAATAAATCAGAGTAAAGTGGTTTTTGAAAAAATAGAAAAATCTTGGATGATTGATTATTTATTAATTAAAATCAATGTTTAGTTCACATTATTTTTACATTTCCAAATATTTTGTTTAAATTACTAAATGATAATTTACATGAATGAATAAAATACCAAATATTTATTAAATACCTCAATTTTCCTATTCAATATATTCTAAATATTATTACAGGAAAAAATATATTGTAAACTTTAAAATTATAATTTAAGGATAAAGCTGTTTGTTGTTTTTACAAACATTCAACGCTGATTGATTATTGAAGCTTATTTACAGAAGTGACTTTAATTTACTCGTTATAAATTTTGATATAGATATATTTTATGAGTCTTTGAAAAGCATATTTATTTGAAAACCAGTGGTAGGGAAAAATTTTTACTTATTATTTTATTGTAAGCTGGATAACAAATTTAATAACTAAAGAAGCAAAATACAAGAGAGAATTTTCCTAAAATACATCTTACATTTAAATATTAAAAATGCTTTATTTTTTACATTGAAGCGCGAAGAAGATGGTAGGTTTTAGGAATATTGTTTTAAGCATCATAAAGTATATAATAGCCAAATTTTAATGCTAATCGGTCGAATTCACAAAAGAAATTGAAATTAGATTGATTAAATTTTTCTTTTCTTGAGTTTACATTAAAATTTATTTGAGAAACTAGAACGGAAGTATATTTAAATACAAAATCAAATTGATCTTAGTTTAGTTTACTAGAGATTATCAGTAGAGATTATTTTTATTTCTAACTTAATTTTTATTTGATTCTTACTCTATTTAAATTTAGCGCAATTACCAATGCGTATAATTAAAACTTAAAAAAAACAAATTAAATAAACAATAACTGCCAAAACAAAAAAACATTTAACACTATAATATTTTAAAAAAAATATCATAGCTTTAAAATACTAAAAAAATTCATTTTAAATAAAGAACCCACTATTAAATTATAAAAAATAATGAACACTTACAATTTTTAAGTAAATATTGAAGAAATATATTTAGAATAAAGATCATTGAATGATTCTCAAAACCTAATGTGTGATTCAGAAGATTTGAAGCATGTCACCTAAGAAACTCTCACCAACATACATTATTAACACTAAGAAAGTCTCAGCAAAAAAGATAACCATTATAACATTACTTCTGAAGAGAACTCTTATTAAATGAATGACTTTGAAATGGTTGATCAACATAATCAAATTTAATTACCAATCAATATTAATTAAAAAGATAAAAGCTCCAACTTTAGTTAAGTGCTTGGCGTAAAAAAATTTATCATTAAGACAAGAAGAACTTCATCTAAGCGCTTCAAAAGAAAGCAATACTAATCATTATATACTCACTTAGAAGATTAATACCCTAATAACAACAAATTTATCATTTTTGGGTATGTAGAAATTGAAGCTACTTATTCAAATTTTTCTGAAAATTTATTTGAAGAAAACTCGTCACTGTATAAAAGACTACTTTAAATAAATCATGCTGTTGATAATAAAATATAAAGAAGAGTAGAATTAAATTTAGATTGCATTGGAAAGAGCGGACTAACAAATTTTACTGAGTTAATCACCTATTTTAATTCCCAACAAAATTAAAACTTTTAATAACTCGCATAACAACTTAGTATTTACTAACCATCTTTACTAAAATAATTAGCCCACTTAAAAGAAATAAAAAAGATGATTACTAAAAAACAAATTTCTGAATGCAATCTCGTAAACGCCTTTTCAAACAGTCACAATTATCTAATTGAATATTTAAATGAAAAAAATAATTTCCTTTCAAAATCAGATTACAGCCATGTTTTGTTCTTTAGATCAAACATGACCTTTATTGATACAGAAATTTACCAATCTCACTATTCTTATTCTTTTTTAGAACTTCTTGGTATAAACATTGAAGATGCCAAAAATACTATCCAAGTTTTCTCACCTTATCAGATAAAAAATGGTGAATAAAGATTAAAAAATGCAATTACATTTTTATCAATAATCAATTCCAAACAAAAATTCCATACTGCATTACCATACACAATTACAACCAAAGATGGAATATAAATAGATTGCACAATTGATGTTGATATTATCTCCTCTGAAGATAATCCTTCATGGATGAATAGTCAAGACTCCTTTATGATGATTATTAACTTTAATATAAACGAATAATAACAAAAATAAATTTTCGAAACACGCAATCAAGTGCTTAACTTTAGAGATAGCATTTATAAAAAATAATCTATTCATAATAAAGGTATAGAGGAATAAGTTTAATTGGAAATTTTCTTACAAAAGTATTACCCTAAATCTTTCACTAATATCTGTGGATGACATAAATAATTATAATAACCACACCACACTAACCACATCTTATATAAATATTATCTACTAATTCTCCAGCACATTATAATCCTAACCAATATTTAAATTTAAAATAAATTATATTATATTCTATTTCTGTTTCTACTTTTAATATTTTCTCTCATTTTCTATTACCTCTTCACATTTGTTGTTTAATTTTATCACTTGGCAAATAAATTTATCTTATTAAAAACTTTAATTTAAAATTAGTCTAATTTTAATCTAGTTAATTTCTTTAGAAAAATAAATCTAAAAACTGACTGGTTCTATCTATTCCAAAGAAAAAGTTTATCATCATCAAAAATTATCATATTAAATTTAATAAAGCTAATAATAATTAAGTACAAATAATAATGTTACCAGCGTATTAAGTATTAATCAGTCAATATTTTGTTTATTGTCTGAAGGATTAGATAAATAATTTAATAATCCTCATTAACTTAATTAATAATATATGGTATTTATTCAAATATATAAAAATCTAATATGGGTTTATATGATTTAAGCTGCTATTTTTATGCATCAGTTAATTAGAAAACTTTTGCAATCTTTCAGCTAGATTTTAAAAAAATTACATTATTTTATTTTGAATACTGTTTTTTCAGAAATTCTAATTTTTATTATAAATTCTTTAAGTAATCTATCAAATTGATTTGAAAATGTGTTTATGTTTAATTAAATAAATTATCTTCAAATATTTATTGATTTTTAGTTGCTAAAAAATTTAGTTATGATATGAATTATAAATTCTTAATAATTTCCATCCATTTTAAAAAATTAATTTAAAAAAATATTAAAATTTTATATTGGAATAATAAAGTTAAATTTTAATTTTTTTTTTTATCATTCATTAAAATATTAAATATTGCAAATTAATTGAGAATTAGCAATCTATTTTATCAATTTATAGACCTGATATTCATTTGATCTGTGCATTAGTGGATTGAGAAAATTTATTAAACATATTCAGAAGTTAAGAAAAGGATATTTTATCAGGCTAATAATTAAATTAACTACTGAATTTTTAATATAATTTAAGAATAATATAAATCAATTCAATTCAACTCAATTAAATAGTTAGTTAGTTAATTTGTTTTAAGTAGTGTTTATTAGGAAAGCGAATAAAATCATATTATTGCTCATACTAATTTGAATGAAAAAAGCTTACAGCATAGCTATATTAGTATTATTATTCTTCTAATGTGTACATTTGGCAGGTGATATTATTTATTAGACTATCTCAAAATAATATATTTTTAAATGAGGATGAAATAATCAATATCTCTCTCTTTCTCTCTCTTTATCTACGCACTTAACAAATTTGTATTTATTATTATTCAAATAGATGAAGGTACTCTTGAAGATGTATAAAAGGAAATAGAAGAAGATCCTTTTGTATATTTAGATGAATAAGGTTAAAAGCAGAAAATAAATAATCCTACTGACGAGTTTTATTACAAGCGTATTCATACTGTTTAATTGGAAGGTAGCACAGGTGAAACAGTTTATTGGGTTAATTTATATATGGGATCTCCTCCTCAAAAGTAAACAGCAATTATAGATACAGGTAGTAGTTTACTTGCTTTTCCTTGCTCTTAATGTGAATCGAATTGTGGTAATCACTTGAATAAGCAGTATAACCTCACTCAATCTCTCACTGCGCTTAAAATGTCATGTGGTGCATAGTTTGATAATTTTAGATGTCAAAATTGTAATGGTAATCAATGCACTTGGGGAGTTAGTTATATGGAAGGTTCAAGCATAGGAGGATTTATGGCTATAGATTATATCGTCTTTGGAGATGAAATTTAAGATTATTTAAACAGCAAAAATAGATAAAATCTAACTGAGATTGAAGATTCAGAATATTTGAAGTATATTAATCATGAGAAAGTTTAAATTCCCTTTGGGTGCACAACAAAAGAAACTCATTTGTTTAAAACGCAAGTTCCAGATGGTATTATAGGGTTAGCACCTTCATCTAACTAATATAACAATCCTCCAAATATAATTGACAGAATCTTCTCTTAGCACAAAGATAATGATGAATAGCTAGTATTTTCCTTATGTCTAAATTCTTTGTAAGGAGGTTATATGAGTGTAGGAGGATATAATCATGAGCTCCACATACCTGGATCTAAAACAAAGATTATTAAATACAATAAAAATTCAAATTTCTATGATGTCAGTGTCAAGGAAGTTAGGGTACTTTTATTTTATTTTTATTTACCTATTTAGACAATCATGCATACTTGCATATCTAATATTAGAATCTCGATAATTTCTTTTAATGTATGTATGAATCAATCAACGAATATTAAACATAAAATTCATTTCACTATTTTTAGGTTATAAGAAAAGAAAGAATAAATAAAAAAATAAATAAATAAATAAGTATTTTATTTTCAAACAAAACAGATAATTAAACAAAATAAAATAGAATTTTTTCATTTAAATTTACATTAAAACTTTAAATGAAAATTTTACTTTTAAATGAAGTATTATTTTTATTTTATTGATTGATTATTTATTAGTTAATTGATTGATTAATTGATTAATTTATACGCAGCTTTTTACTTTTAAAGTATTTTTATTTATTTTGCAATATTCTTTTGCTTTTAATTATGAATTTATTTTTCAAATTCATCAAACATTATTTTTATAATAGATTGAAGGATAATTTGTCACTAATAGCCTTCCACATCCTATTTTAGACTCTGGAACAACTCTTGTGTTTGGTCCCAAATCATTTATTGAGTAATTTTTTAAATTTTATATATCAATAATGAAAATAATTTTTATTATTTTTATATTAATTTTTGCTTACTTGTTAATAATTTTTTAAAATTATAAAGTCCTATGATTGATGCAATCAATTAGCTGTGTAAAAATAACTAAAAATATAAATGTGGAAATGCTAAAGAAAATTTCAATCGCTAAATAAGGTGGCTCTATAGAAAATCAGATGAGTTTCCAACTGTCGAAGATTTTTTCAACTCCTTCCCTGTACTTGAATTTGATTTCGGAGATAACATTATTGAATGGAAGGCTCATGGCTATTTATACATTGATCCAGATAATAATAATCCTAATTTATTTTAATTTGCATTTGAAACACATCCAAGTGTTTCTAAAGTATATCTTGGAGGTCCCTTTTTTAAGAATTATGATATATTATTTGACAAAAATAAAGGTGAAGTTCATTTCACACCATCCAGCTGCAAATTACCTCATGTTAACAGTGTATTAATGAATCTTCATTCAGCAAAAATTAGAAAGACTGTTATGGACAATTAATACATTGAAGATTTGAGAAAATTTTAAAATACTTACAATTTTACAAATGACTTTTTCAAAAATGAAACTAAAAAAGATTAAAAAGATGAAAAAAATAAAGAAGATAATGACTAATAAAACAAAGAAGTTTAAATCATTGATAAAATAAAGTCTCATGAAAAATTTTGTAAAGTTTATTTTTTTAAAATATTATTTACACATTAACTAACTTAAAATATTTTACTAAATAAAAGTTATTTCTGTAATTTATGTACTTGTTCTTTTGATTGTAATCGTATGTATTTGCTTATGTAGGAAGTCTTCAGGTACTGATAATAAAGATCTAATACCTTTATAAAGCATTGAAGTTGGAATACATGATAACAGTAACATGTAGGATCTTCCATAAGATAAAGACGAGCAACTTAGAAGCGAAGAAGATAATCCATATGGTTATAAGAATGACCCTGTTTATAACCATGAATAGATACATTAGGATGATGAAGAAAGCTACAAAAATAGTCCTAATACTGCTATGAGTGACGAAGAAAAGGAAAGATAAAAAGCACTTTAGGAATGATAGAAATGCTCTTTGTTTAAATTCAAACAAAAATTAGCACCATAATACAACAAAAAATATATGGAATTGTTATTTAATGTTATTTTTTCATATATTAAATGTGTGTTTTTACTTTTCTTGTCTTAAGCTTTTGTAAAAAACCTAAGAAAATAACACTTAATATTATTTTCTAACATGAATGTTCATTCTAAAATAGTAATAAAATTTGTATTTCAAAAAATTAAAAAAAGCTCTTAAAAATTTATTTATTTATTATCAATAAAAAAGAAAATAATAAAATAATACTTCTGAGAATTTTAATCATTAATGATTTTTCCTTTCATATTTGATCAAATTTAATTTGATCCATGAATTTTATTCAGCCAACCTATTTTTTCTTTTTTAATTAAAAATAAAAATTAGTGACACATTTATTTATTTATCCCCGATTATTGTAAATTAATATAATTCCATCTATTAAACAAATATTTTCCATTTTTTAATTAATATTTATACGGCTGTTGAATATTTGATAAATTAGTTTTATTTATTTTTCTTCTATCAATCCCTTCAAGTTATTAATAGCTAGCTGAATTGTTCCTAAGTTAATCACTAATTAGCTAGATCAATCAGCATTCAAGAAAATAAAATTTTTTTAGTATAATTTAATTAAGAAATTTTTTTTTTTTTCAATCACACTCAAGTAAAAAAGTAATAAAAAAAAATTGAATGAGCTTATTTACATTTTTCTATTTTAATTTGAAGTATAATCTATAATAATTAGTATTTTTATTGAATTTATATAATTTTAGTTTTATTTCGAGCATATTTAGCCTGTATGTAACATTTTATATGTATAGGAAGTAATTTCAAAAATAGTAATTCACCTAAATGAGAATTCATATTATTTTATAAAATACTTTCTTTATAAATAATCTTGTAATGCTTTGTTTTTTTCATATTGAAAGTTATCTAAAAAATATTAAATGAGTCTTTATCATAATTTATCAAAATATTTTCTTTTTTGTGTAAAAGATCATCTTGTGATTATATTTTTCTAGTATTGATTTATCAGTATTGTTTAGTTTATTTGACATCTTCACAGAATATGAAGATTCAACAAGCTAAGATTGGTTTTTTAGTCATCAAATATTTTTATAAATTATACTAATTATTTACCTTAAATATGTGTGCCTAGTATAAAATTGATAGAATTTTTAAGAATAATTTGAGGATAAGAAATAATTATTATTTTTAATAAAATACTTTTAATTTTACAAAATAAATGCTTGATGAAATTTGTTTGTTCATTGATAAATTAATTAATTAAATAAAAAAGTAAAAAAATTCTTTTAAAGTAAAACAAGCAATTAATTAAAATCAAATAATTTACAATGCAAGATTTAAATAGAATTAAAAACACTCAAAAGATCATCTAAACGGTTCCTTTATTTATATAAAAATAACTTAAAAGATCTCATAAACGTATTTATTTTAGAGATAGTTTAAACTCTAAATAACTCTAAGTTGCTATTGCTAAAGACTTCTAAGGTGTTGAATAGGGCTTTTTGACAGAGGAAAAAATTAACAAAGTCTATGAAGGAATAATCGATATGAAATATCTTTAAAAAGAAGTCATTCTATTTTTTAAAAATGTGATTGATACTGATTTTTTAGTACAAATGCTTGCAGCTTATGACATTAATTCATTAAAAATTATGATGTAAAATAACAATATTGATATAATCGGTATTAGGTTAGTCAAATGTGAATGATTCACTGACTCATCTAATTCCTTACTTCCTTCCTGTAGATAATTAATTACAAACAACTAAAAACAAATTTTACTGCAATTTACTAAAAAAATCTCTTCTTTCTCATATAATATATTAATTTTAAGTAAATTTATTCAATTTATTTTTATATTGTAAATAAACTTTATCACTTAGAATTAATTGTATTGCCTGCTTGCTTTTATATAATAAATATTCTTCTTCTGAATTAATTAATAAATTTGTAAACTCCTCTTTTTATCTCTTACTTGATATTATAATTGTAAGTTGAAATTATCTCATTGACATTAATATTTTTATTTATTTTTGACTTTTCAAGATATTTTTTAATCTAACTGAATCAATTTATAATTTTGTATAGTTAATTTTAAATATAAATTATAATAGAAATAATTTGTAAAAAAAAGATCAGTTGACTTTAAAAATAATAAAAAATTTTAGTTAAAATAATAAGCTATCATTTAACATATATATTTTATATGATTAATATCTTAAAGTTTTAAAATCACCTCCTGATTAAATATATAATCTAAATTAATTGATTATTGTTTGATATATTTTTTAAAGATAAATAGCCCTTAATATTTTTAAAATGGAAGATAAAAAAGATAAGTATTAGCCAATCAAGCTCTTAAATCCTCTCGAAAAGCTACTTTTTAAAAAAATATAGATAATAACTACTGATGGCAAGGTTTTGATAGGTAATCGTTTACTTTCTTTAGGATAAAGGATCATAATTATTATTTTATGAATGCTTGTATTAGGTATCTTGAAAGGTTTAGATTAAGCTTTAAATTCAATATTATCAGATTGTGTAGAGAGAGTTTTTTCATCAGAAAATAATACCAAAACTATTAAGCATGGTCTTTATTTACTTAGAGGTGATAACATTGCTGTATTAGGTAAGTTTCATTCTAGTTTTTTTAATATATAATCAAGTAATAATTGTAGACGCATTTACAAAAAAGGATTTTAAGATACTTTAACATTAAAAATCTAACTTTACTTATTAAAAAAAAGGTGAGGTAGATGAAGAAATAGAAAACTAAATAAACTACGATTCTAAAATATAGTGCTTAAAACCAATAACTAACTGAATTATTTTGAATTAGATTTTGAGAAATGATAATTTTTTGCATATAAAAAGAGTGTATAAACTATATAATAAAATATCAAAATATTGAAATTAATTAATAATATCTTTTCAAACATAACAAATTAAAAATATTCTTTTCAATATAAAAATAAATAAATAAATCTTTTATTGATATTATTTCAATATCAAATAAAAAACTATTTTTTTTAAATTTTTATAAATAAATATTATTTACAATAATAATTTATTAAATAAATAAGTAAATGCATGTTGATTAAATATAATTAATTCTTTTTACTAACATAAATTGGATTTTGTTTTTAAAATAATTTAAAGAAAATAATTATAAATCAATTAGATCTAATTGTATTTTAGAAAATTATCTAAATATCAGCTTTTCCAGCTAATTTTTATTAAGTTATTGTTGAAATACTAGATAGAATTAGAATTTCAAAGTAGAAAATTTAGTAAAATAACATTTAGCAAAGAAATGTACCATATTAAGGTCTAATTTGTTTCTTGCCAAATTAAAATAAATTATATATCTTATATAATAAAGAAATCTGATAAATTATTAGCTTAATAAATTAATTTGAATCAATATTAGTTATGGATAAAAAGGACTCTTCATAAAGGTCGAGCTCTGCTGATTTATTTTAAATCAACAAGAAGCTCAAATCATCTGATAAAAAGCTTAATTCTTAAATCAAAAAGACTCATTTTGTCTAGCAACAAACTGAAAAATATGAAAAAATAAATCATTTACTTAAGCATGAAGAATAAGGGTATTTAGATATTTATTATTAATATGATTTAAAACATTATTAGCTCTAATTAAGTTCATTGCTTTATTCTAAAATGAACAATGCAAAGTATATTTACTAAGATAATTTTATTGATAATTAAGGTATCTTGAAGCAGAAGGAATGGAGAAAACTTTAGCCTTCAAACAACATCAATTAAAAAATTTGCTTCCTATTTAGAATGCTGAAAAAGTAGACTTTTGATAAATTATTAAATATGTTTCTGAACATTTTTATAAAAAAAATAGATTTTCGATTTAAAGCTTGACTGGGGATAGTATAGCATAGATTACACACGTAATGGTAACCATCTTTTACTTGGTGGATCCAAGGGTCATTTAGCTATGATGGATTGGCACGAAAAAAAGCTTGCTTGCGAAATTTAAGTAAAAGAATCTATCAGAGATGTTAAATTCCTTCATGATGAAAAAATGTTTGCAGTAATAAATTGACAACAAAAACAGTTAGTTAAATGAACAATCTTTATATATAAATAGGTAGCTTAAAAGAAGTATGTTTATGTTTATGATAATTAAGGTATTGAATTGCATAAGTTGAAAAGCCACCTAGAGCCTAGTCATTTAGAATATTTACCTTATCACTTTTTGTTGGTTTCCGCTAGCAGACTTGGTTTCTTAAAATATCATGACACATCTACTGGTTCTATAGTTGCTGGTAAGCAGATAGTTTATTTTATTTGTTGTAATTAGGTTATAATAAAAATATTATTATTTAAAAGAATATAGAATGAATGCCAGAGATCCTGTTTGCATGAAGTAAAATCCATACAATGCTATTATTGGTGTTGGTGATAATAGAGGTTGTGTTAATATGTATTCTCCTAATACAAGTGAACCTTTAGTTAAGATGTTATGTCATAAAGGAAATGTTAATTCTCTTGCCTTTGATAAAAGAGGTTTCTATATGGTAACCGCTGGTACAGATGGTCTTTGGAAGGTTTGGGATTTAAGAACATACAAATTATTGCATGATTACTTTGCTCCTTCAACTGTTTCACATTTGGATATTTCTCAAAGTGGAGTCCTTGCACTTTCTTATGGATGTCGTACTTAACTTTGGAAGGACTGGTAACTTGAAAAATAAAAATAACCTTACATGAAGCACGAGTCATTTGGATACAACACAATAACAGACACTTAATTCGTGCCTTATGAAGATTTTCTTGGTATAGGTATAGATGGAGGATTTTCAAGTATAGTTGTTCCTGGCTCAGGAGAAGCTAATTTCGATGCATTTGAATCAAACCCTTATTAAACTAAAAAGTAAGCTAGAGAAGGTCTTGTTAAGAAATTACTTGAAAAGGTAAAAATTAAAATTTCTAACCAATAATAGTTATATTTATTAATATCGAAATAAATAAAAAGATTCCTAGCACTACAATTTCTTTGAACCCCAATAGAATTGGTACAATTGATACTGCAAGTAAAGAAGTTATAGAAGCAGAAGAAAAGGCTGAAAAGCAAGAAAGAGAAAAGAATCAAATTAAGAAAAAGAAAAATAAAATGCGTGGCAAAAATAAATCTAGCAAAGTAGAAGCAAGAAAGGAATTCAGCAGACAAGAAGAAAAGAGAGAAAAAGCTAAAGAAGCTGTTGATATAAAAATCAGAGCTAGAAATGCAGAAAAAGAAAAAAAATCACAAGAATTAAAAGTTTTAAATAAATTAGATTCAATCGACAACTTCGATCCTATTTATGCATTAAAAAAATAGAAAAAATTAAATTGAAAATAAATATATTAAAATCTATTTTATGTGTATATATTTTTATATTTTAGCCTTGCTTATTTTAATAAGATTAATAATCCAAATCTTCAAACACTAAGTCAATTTTCTATTAAATACTTACATAAAAATTGTGGTATTTAGCTTTTTATAATAATATAGTTTCTTTACAAGTGAAATTAAATGTAAAATAATGAAATGCATTCAAAAGTATCTTCAATTAAAACAATAAAATATGATAAAAAATATTTTTTTAAATTTGAGGTAAATAAAATTTAAATTTAGGTTATTAATTAGATGATTTTTTACAGAATTTTAATGATAACATAAATTTAAAAAAAAATAATTATATTTATTGCTCAATTAACAAGTTTCTTAATCTCAAATTAAAAAATAAAAATAATAATAAAAAACTATTTTTTGTAAAAATTAAATATTGATTTAGATTTTAATAAAATAAAATCTTTTTGTAAAAAACAAAAACCAAAAGATTATATTTTATATTCATAAAAAATAATTTTTAATTAAATTTTTTTTATACAAAATAATAATTTTTGTATTATTGTATCAATAATAAATTTTAAAATATTTTGTTATTATGATAAAAATTTTTAATTAAATTAAATTATTTTTAAAAAAAATTTTTTTTTGAAAAAAGGATCATAAAAGCTTTTATAACTCAAAATAAAAATTTTGAATATTTAAATTATCATTTAGCAAATGTATTTATTTATATTCAACATTGGTTGTTTTATTTGTAACTTTCTATTTAATTCTAAGAATTAAATTTTAGAATTATAAATATCTTTTTTAAAAGTAAAAATCAAATTAATAAATATATTATTTTTCTAAATTTTAAAAAAATTATATCATTAATTTTTAAAATAATCATTAATAAATTTAGTTAAACAAGCAATATAATATAAATGAAAGCTCCTTTTCCTAAAGGCGGTATTCCATCAATGATGGGAGATTAGTTAGGCGGTTTCAATAATTAGCAAGCTCAATAGGCTTAAATTAGCTAAGCACTAAATAACATGACTGATGATGAGCTTCTTAAATTAATCAACAGCAATCCTGAAGTAATAAATATTATTTAAATGCAAATATGGCTAGAAAATAGAAATTTATATTTTTAAATTGCAATTTTTAATTGTTTTTATAAAAATTACAAACTAGATAAAAAAATAATATGAAGAACTCATTGATAAACATAAGCATGAAATATCCCAAAATTAGTTAAAGTAATCTAAACCAGTTAATACCAAAGAATATTATAAAATTGAGAAAGAACTCGATAAATATTTAGATAATGAAGGTGGAATTGTGATCGAACCTGAACCACGTTTTGTATTCAAAGCATTCGAAAAAGGAACATAAGAAAAATTCTTTATAAATGTATTAACTCATCCATTAATTGATGTTCCAGAGGAAAAATATTTAGTAGATTATGAAAATTAGCCAGGATTGAGAGTTCCAATGTCATTAGGGCGTTTAAAAGAAGATAATGACAAAAGTATTTGATTTAATATTATTCATTTTTATGAGGTTTAATATACTATTTAAAAATAGAGGGAGATTTATGTAAAGTAGTAGATGCAATTGTCAATCCTAAAGTTGCTGATAACTTATAAAAAGATCCTGGCTTGTCATAATTTTTCATATAATTGCTATAGGGTTATTGCGAGACAAAATACAAAGTTACTTTGGATGATAGTAATATTTATATGCAAAAATATTTCTTTTTATTTTAATTTTATAAATTTAAAATTATTTAAATAGAATTCTCAATACCTAAATTAAAGTACAAAGGAAAAAGTATTGAATATTAAAGAGTTAAAGGTAAAAAGGCTCCTAAAATTTAGTAATTAAGTTAAGAAGATATTCAAACACAAGAGTAAATAGCTAAGAGTGGAAAGAAGTTAGTTCAAGAAATGAATGAAGGAAAGAAATAAAATCTGCCTATGTAAATTTTTTGAATAATATGTTTTTTGTAAATATAATGTGTAAAAATATTAAGGGGTATGATTCCTCGTCCTAAATGGAATCTCTATATTCTCTATAAGGATGGTACTTAAGAAGAATATGATGGTGATTTTAATCTGTAGAAACTAAAATACATTAAAATTGTTATTGAATTGCCTCTTTTGGTAACTGGTAAACACATATAATTAGAAGTAACTGATTCAAAAATGTACTTAAGAAATGGAAAGTTTTATGAGTTATGCTTGAAATATCCACTTAAAATCGATAAGACTTCTTATAAAACAGCATTTAGCACAACTAAACGTTGTCTTATAGTTAAAATGAAAGTAAATTTACAATTAATTAAAAATATTGAATGATTTTTAAAAATATTTTATTTAATAGCCTTTGATAGTAAAAGAAATAGAAAAAATTACTACAAATGTAAGCAAAGATTAAGTAGATGAAATTAAATAAGATACCACTTAAGTAGTAAATAAAGCTATAGGCTTATCAAATGATATGTTGGATGACTTAGTTTGATTTAAAATATTTTTTTACATTTAATAAATGTTAATAAGTAAAAGTAATTATTTGTATTTTTAGTATTTGTTTATAAATATTTTGTTGGCTTGCTTGCATTTAAGTTATTTAATATTTAAATACATTTTTTTTATAAGTAGAAATAAAAGATTTAAGGCAAATAGAATATATAAATTCAAGAAAATTTCTAAAATGTATCATTATAAAAAATTTTATACATAAAGGTAATTGATAGCAATATTTATCTTATTTGATATAAAACTAAACTGACTATTAATTTATCCTTCATTTTTGATATTAATTATTAATTTAATTAAAAAAATATAAGTAGATTGATTCAATCTGGTTGAAATTTTAAATTCTAAATAAACAATAAATAAATACAACACTAACTTCATTTAAAAAATGGTTAAAAAGAATTTATTCGAAGACGAAGAAGAGGAATAGACTCAATAGTAAACAAAAAATAAAAAAAGCAAAAAAGCTTAATAGGGTGAAGAATAAAATGATGAAGATGTTAATGTGAAGCTTAAAGTGAATAAAAAATTTGCTTAGAATTTTGAAAAAAAAATTCAAAGACAATTAATAGATAAAGCCAAAGCTATGTATGGCGCTGACTATGAAAGTATTTTTTTTTAAAATAATTTGCAATTTTAAGTTATAAATAACTTTAATAGAGAAAATAGCAGAAGGAAATGATGATGATGAAAGTAGCGATGTAGAGGAAGATTCTGATGGAGAATTATTAAATGAAAAAGTTAATGATAAATTTATTGAAACATTAGCAAAAATTAGACTAAGAGATCCTAGCATTTACAAAAATGATAAAAAATTCTTTAAAGGTACCTATTATAGTTATTTTACAAGCAAATGTCTTTAGCTTCAATGTTAAAATAAATATTTTATTTTAGAAAAAGACTTCGAGGTAGAGTAGAATGATAAGAAATCCAGTAAAAAAGAAAAGATGACTTATGCAGCTATGGTTAGAAAGGAAGCATTAGAGAAAATGGAAAAAGAAGATTTCTCTTCAGAAGAAGATGACTATGTACCATAAGTTAAGGGAGAAACAATTGCAGAAGAATAAAAAAGACTGAAAGATGAATTCAAAAATGCAGCTAAAAAAGTAGAATCAGATGATGATGAAGAAGAAGAAGAAGCTGATGCTATTTTCACTTAGAAAAAGAAATCCCTCTAACAAATAGAAGATGAAAATAAAGAATATAGTAAATTCTTAGAAAAAGTTAAAAGAAAGAAACAAAGAAAGGGTAAAGAACAAGATGTTGAAGTCCTATAGAATTTCTGGGGTGATGCATCAAAGCTTGATGATACTGATAAATTCCTTAGAAAATATATATTAACTAAAGGGTAATTAAGAGATAGATGCACACAAATGACTTTGTTAATTTGTTTTTGTAATTAATAATAGATGGGTAGATAGAGATGATATGGGCCTGGATGAAGAATTTGAAGATAAAGATCTTGAAGAAGATGATGAAGCTGACAGATTTGAAGCAAAGTATAATTTTAGATACGAAGAACCTGGAGCTAATGAAGTAGTTAGTAATAATTAATTATATAAAAGATAATGTTGAAATATTTATGTAATTTTTTAATTCAAATAGCCTATGGAAGAAAGGTTTAGGATTCTTTGAGATAGAAGGATAGCACTAGAGCTGAAAAGAGAAAAGAAAGAGAGGAAAGAAAGAAAGAAGAAAAGAAAAAAATTGATGAGGAAATGAAGCAAATGAAAGCAGCTACTAGAAATGCAATTTTAGATCGTGTTCATAAAATCCAAGAAATAGCTGGAACTAAAGAAATCAAGACTGATATCAATAAGTTGTTGGAAGAAGATTTTGATGATTAAAAGTTCTCCAAATACTTAGATAAATAGTTTGATTCAGATTATTATGAAGAGGAGGATTCTCATTTAGACGAACTTAAAGAATATGAAAAGAATTTAAAGAAATAAGAGAAATAAGAATAATAAATGGAGTTAGAAAAGTTAGGTATTGATAAAAAATAAATCAAAAAAATTGAAAAATCAGTAAAGAAAGCAGCAGATAAGGAAGATGATGAGGAAATTAGCAGCGATTGGAGTGATTTAGAGGAAGAAGAAGATGATATGGATGAAGAATTAGATGAAAATAATGATATTTAGATTGCATAATAAGATGATGATAAAGATAATGTTTTAAATGTTAAAACAAACATTCCTTTAGCAATAAAGAAAAATCTTAAAGATAAGTAAATAATGAATTACAATTTTTATTTTTATTTATGATTATTTATTACTTAAAAAAGTGAAATTTAAGCTATGACTTAATCAGATAAGGGAGAAGATGGATTGTATTTATGGTGGTATTGCGATAGTAATGATTTCTTTTATAAAATAAATGCGTTTATTAAAAAATTTTATTGGTTAAAATTAGACTGCAAGAAGGGAATACAACCTGGTTAATTCAGATTCGATTGTCAAGAATGTCCAGATTACACCTTGTGTAAAATTTGCAACGAAGGACAGTTCCATGATCATCCTCTTAAAAAATAAATAGTTCCTAAAAATTGTGTGGTAACTAATTAATTAATTATTTTTTATTTTTTGAAATTTAAAAACATTTTATTTTAATAAATTTAGCCTCCCACTGATGAAGAGATTTAAGAATTACTTTAAGAATATTAAGTTTGCAAAAAGTGTAATATAAAACTTGATGATTATTGCAGCTATTATTAATTAAATAGCAATAATGAAGTTATACTATGTGATGAGTGTTTTGATAAAGAAAAAATTGTTAGTAAAAAACTATATTCATATATCGAAGCTAAGAAAGTTGATTTGGAAGCTGTTGTTGATAAAGATCCATAAGCTCTTAAAAAATATATTAGCGATGAAGAAATCTAGAATTTGGTTGACTAGTATTACAATCTTGACTATGAAGACGTTATCACTGGAGGAATAAAAACAAGATTTAAAGTAAAAATAATATTTTTGAGAAAATTTAAAAATAATTTTAAACTTTATTAAATAACAGTATATGGAAGTTAAGCCAGACTCATATGGTTTGAGCGATGAGCAATTATTATACGCAGATACAAATGTATTGAATAAGTATGTATCTATAAAAAAATTAGCTCCATATAGAGACGATGAGGGTTTTGTAAAATCTAAAAATCTTAAAAACAAGAGCGTTATTAAATAAATCGAAAAATCAACCAAAATTAATAAGGTATTATAATCTTTTTAAAAATGTAATCACCCATTAACTAAGATAAATTTAATTTTAATTATAAAAGAAAATTGTTAAGAAAGACACAGAAAAGGGGCTCACTACTAAAGAAGATCTAAAAGAGTTAAAGAAAAAAGACAAAAAGAAATATCTTAAGGAATTAAGTAAACTCAATCAAGAAAAGCAAAAAAAGAAATAAGAAGAAGAAGAAAAATAAAAGCCTAAACTTGTTTTAGAAGATTTATCAAAACAAGAAAAACTCCAAGTTTCTCAAAAAAGACTTAAATCTTATGGTTTTTGATTAAAATTAATTAGTAAATAATTTTGGCAAAAATTTTGCTAAAGTGTTTTTTTAAAAATAATATATTTTTTTTATTTCTCTGTTAAATATTAAGAATATTTGTAAATAATTTATCTTTCCCTTGCTTAAATCACACAAAATTTCATTTTATTTTGTATATTTATAAAATAATTTAACATTTCACCTAAAAATAAATAAACATTTTATTTTTTCTAAATGTATTCGACTTGAAATGTAATTTATATCTCAAACACTCTCATTAACCATTTTGTTACATATATTTATCAGAAAATAGACATAACGTTATTTTTATGAAAAAAAAGTAAGTTAAGCTATTTCTTAAAAAAAATATTCTATTTTGACTTAAAGTTAAGTTATTTACAAAATTGTAAAAAACAATTTACAAACATTATTGGAACGAACTAAATAATTTTTCAGTAATGCAATTTTTAACTTAAAGTTTTTATTTAAATGTATGAAAGATATTTATCATAATTTTTATAATCTATGGCAAAATATTTCGTTTTATACATATACGTATTTTAACGCATAAATCTTCTATAAAATAAGCTTGTTTGAACAAATTTAGCTATGCATTTCATAATAGATGAAATTATCAAAAAAACAGAATTAATTAACATCTCTCCAAACAAAAAACTATCTTTTTTAAGTAAAAAGCAAATTAGATATTTGGTGGTGGTGAATTATTTATTTGATAATAAAAACTTACCATTTCATAATAATTTATTCTCTGTAAAAAGAGAAAATAGTTACATTTAAAAACCATTCTATAACATTTACAACAACAAAATTTATATTATTTCTAATTTCATTTCTGCATTTATTAACAACTAAAATACATTCTTAAGAATATATTTTATGGGTAATTGCAAAAAATAGATAGATACTTTGTAACAATACTTTATTTAAATTTAAGAAGCTTAAATTAAGATTGTAAGATTAAATAAATTAGTCACATTTTTATTATTTTAAATGATGTTGACCAAATATCTAATTATTTATTGGTATTTAATGTAACAATGAATCTTGATTTTAGTAAAATTAAATCTTAACATCATTTGTAACTAGAAAATACATACAGATAGACAAACAAGCATAAAAATTCTTATTTGACTTCCATAGCAAAAATAGTTTATTTAAAAATAAAAAGGAAATTAAAATAATTAATTTTTAAAATAAGTATTACTCAAATCAATAAAAAAAAGAGAAAGAAATAAATAAATAAAATTTGTTTAAAAAATAAATGATATAAAATCTTTAGTCTGAACTCACATCACCTAATTATTCACCAACTAAAGCTCATGATTTTAGATAGTCTGACTTGTCTCCTACTAAGATAAGACTCTAACATTCTGTTTCAAATGCTACTGAAAATCAAATTTTTTCTGGCACTTTCTCACAAATGAACAAGAAAGTTATACCTAGACCTGCTTAGGAAGTAAAATTAACTATTTAGGAGGCCCTTTAAAGGGTTGGCACTAATGGAAGATATTAAATTATATGTAATATATTCTTTTTCCTTTAATGGTTGATAGCAGGTGCTGTTTTAAATTCCCCAATATTTCTTTTTTTGAAACCGACATTTGAGTGTGACAACGGACTTAACGGAACTGAGTGTGAAAACTGGGTATGTAAATAGAGCAACCCTCTCTCTTTCGCCACTTATATTCCCAAATCTTTAGTTATGTAATTTGATCCTCCTCTTATATGTGAAAGATAGGTTATAGCTGATAGTATAATAGCTATAACTTACAGTGGTAGTATAGCTGGTTTTATCATATCTTCTTACATTTCAGACAATAAAGGACGTAAGTTTGCTTCACTTATATTTTGGATTTTTGCAGGTATTGGAAGCTTGCTTAGTGGAGTCCTCATCCAATCACCTTGGCTTGTTGCTGCTGGATTATTTGTTTCTACTTTTGGAGTCAATCCTGTCATCACATACGTATTTTGCTTTATCAATGAACACTCAGGTAAATCAAATTTAATTAAATTTGGATATTATTAAAAAAATTTTAATGATACTAGATGGAAAATTCAGAGAGTACTCTTTGGCTTTGTTAAATGCTTTATTCGCTATTGGAGCAATTTATTTAGCAATCACTTAATATATCACAGATAATTGGATACATCTATAAATCTATTTTATCGCAATACCAATTATTGTATCAAATCTCTTTTATTATTATATTTAAGAGCCACCAATGTAAATTAGAAAATCATAAATTAAACCAATAATTAATTATGTTTTTTTTTTTTATTAATTAATTAATAGTTTCCTTTTTTAGCAGGATAAAAAAAAGGCTATTAATATCTTGAATCACATCGCTAAAATAAATAAAAAACCTTAAATTAAAGAAGAGGATCTAAAAGAAGAGCCTACTTCAGCTGAATAAATAGATCAACCTTAAAGCAAAACAACTCACACTTATGGATATTTAGATTTATTTAAAAGTAAATCTATACTGATAACAACACTCTGCTGTTCATTGATTTTGTTTATAATCCAATTTCACTTGTATGGAACTAACCTTACATTTTCTAGTATTGGATTGGAAGTTAAAATAAATACAGTAATTATTTATTCTGCTGAGGCAGTTTCTAACTTACTCACTGGTAAAAATTTTAATTAAATAGAATTTTTTTAATATGAGTTTTATAAAATAGTTTACATTATCCCTAAAATCTCTAGAAGGAAAAATGGATTCTTAATGATAGCAAGCAATATAGTTTTCTTGCTCTTCTTCTTTGTAAAGCTTCCATCAGACTGCGATGGATTCTGCTCTCAAAAAATTGCATAAACCGTCCTAATGGGAGTGGCAAGATTCTTATTAGGTTTTTAGATAAATATTCATTAAGTATATATAAGCGAGTTGTATCCAACTTCTATCAGATCAATTGGAATAGGATTTACTTCTATTGTAGGAGTTGTAGGTAGTATTATATGCGGTTATTTTGTAACATTTTTCTCTGTTGAAAACCTCAATCCAATTGGTTCTATGGGTATAGCAGGTCTCTTAGCTAGTTTGCTGTATATCCCTCTAAAAGAAACACTTAACCAACCCCTAGAAGATAATATTCCAGAGTAAACTGTATAAATGCAATCAATACCAAGCACTAACATAATCGGCACATAATAAAGTAATTTTTTTAAAAAATTTAATATCTTTATAAAAATTAATTTAAAAAATAGTTATTCCAGAAAACATTAAAATATAAAGTTGAAAAAATTAACCAACCTACATTGTTACATACGCACATACTAAATCAATCAATATAATTAAAAAAATATTTTATTAATTATTTATTTTGTTTTATATTTATTTATATATTTTTATTTATTTATTCTCTTCTTCTTCTTAAAGATTATTCATTAACTAAAAATCAATCAATATTTACATCAAAAAAACTTAAATATTTTTAATATCTTTTGATTAAATATTCAATTATTTTTTATAAATTCATATCCTTATGCTGTTGAAAGTCAGATTTAAAAAATTTGTAATTTTGATTATTTTAATAATTAATTTTTAATTTTACTATGAGATAAAAAATAAAACAATAGAAGAAGAAGATAAAACACTCTTTTTAAATTAATTAAATTCAAAATAGATATCTAAAAAAACAATATTTTATATCTTTCATTCATTTATTGAATCTAAAAAATTTAACAAATACAATGTAGCTTGTCTAAAATTTTAATAGAAATAAGTTTATTTATTTCAAATTTTTTGTTTGTTTAATTAATCTTTAATTTAATTTATTTTATTTTTTTAAAACACTTTTAAAGGAAGTAAATAAGTTTCATGAATATATATTTAATAAAAGATATTCTTGGATTATATAAAAAAAGATATTTTAATTCTAATTACATTTTATATTAAAATTGATTATATAACTTTGTTATATATATCATAGTGATTAATTGAGCTTGAAAATGATTATAATACTAAATATTATTGTTATCATATCATAAATAATAATACATAATATAAATATTTTACTTGATTGACGTATTAGATTTTGAGTTTAATTCAGCATAAATTTACAAAATATGTTTAATTTATTAATTATTCAACTAAAATTTCAAAAATAGCTCATTTGTAAAAAAATAAATTAAATAAAATTCAATAGGATTTTAATTTTTGCTTGAAAAAAAGTAAAAGGAAATAAATAAATAGCAAGGAAATAGATTTTTTTAAAATGTAAGATTATTAAATATTAATAACCATCTTCAAGTAGCGACTCACTAACTAATTCAATCTTTTTAACTGAAACAAAGGAACGAAGATATCTTTAAATTTTTTTAGCAAGAAAACAGCAAATTTGATAAGATACTTGAGGATCCAAATCTTTCAATAGAAAATTTATTAGATGAAGAATCAATCATAAATGAATTTAGGGGATGCAATCCTCGTCTTCTTTAAAAGTAATATCTTTAATATTCTATTATGAGTCTACTGACTCATTTCAATCAATGAGAAACTTATCATTTATGCAAATATCAAAATAAAGATTAAAGAACTACGACTTTAATAAGATGGTCAAGTTTTTAATTGAAGAGCCAAGCGAGCAAGATGACTAAAGAAGATAGTTTAAGTAAATAATTAAAAATTTTATTATTTAAAATAAATATCTTTAATTAGAGAACATTTTCTTAAAGGGAAACTAAACTAATTGAAATATTTAATTTATACTTGATTATCTATTTTAAAATATTTAGATATCCCTACATTTCTTGTGAATTATTAACATGCAATATTGGAGCTATTCCTGAGTAGTTTTTCGAGAGAGAACCTTTAACAATAGATGATGAGCACAACGATTCTGCTGAAAATTAAATGCTTTTAGAAGATGAACACTCTCAAACTCACGGAGAGCAGTAGAATGGAATTCAAATCAAAGAAAGTTTAAGTGATACTTCTGAAGAAGATAATGAGGAGTTAAATAAACCCATTGGAAGAATTTCAATGACAGGAGATTAGCTAAATAAAGTAGAGTAAGAAAGAATGGACATCGAAAAAGATGATGAAGACACATCTTCAAAACATTAAAACTTCCAAAATTAAAATTTAGAAATCTCAGAATAGCAATAATAGGAATAAAAACAATTGCAAAAATAATAATAGGAATAATAACTAGAAGATAGCAAAAATGAAATGGATATTTCATAAGAAATGAATATATCTACAGAGTAACCATCTCAGCCAGGTAAAGTAGTTGAGGAATAAATTACTCAAAAAGCTGATGAATTATTTACTGATGCTATACTTTAAGCGCAAGAAGAAAAAAAGAAGCAAGAATAGCTCCGCTCAGAATTAGAATAGAAATATGAAAAAATTCCTTAGGACAATATGTACCTATTTGGTTTATTACTCAGCTTTTTTGAAAGTAACAAGGAAGTTAATATTACTTTAGCTGGATATGTTGCTAAAGTCTTCTTACATCTATTTGGTTTAGCTAAAAATAAAAACAAAGATATAGAGGTAAATGAAAAAAATAAATTATTTGAAAAAATTTGCTTATTTACTCTAAATATTCAATTAATTTAATAGCTGATTAAGAAAAAATATTATCAAATTAAGTTAAAAAAAATATTTTTGATAGGCTAAGATAATAAAATTTATTAAAATCAATTAGCCAAGCGATTTATAATCAATTAATAATATTTCTTTTCAAGATATTTTAATTAGATTTCAAAAAAACATTCACTAAGTTTATTTGTTATTGAGCTGTAATTTTTCTTATGAAATAAATAGGTAATTGAATATTTGTACAAAAATGAAAACAATTTACTAAATATGACCAAATAAATGTAGAGCAGATCTTGCTCAGATATTTTAGTTAAATCTATCAGCTTTACTAATTAAAAATTGAAAGAAAAGTTTCTTAACATAAAATTGAAAGTTATAGATAAGCTAATTGAACTATTAAGTGATGAAAACAACGACTTGGAAGTTTTTGCTAACACTGTTCTTTGCTTTTAAGAATTGATTAGTTATTACACTAATTATACCGATGGTAAATAGATTGTCGAATATGTTATTTCTCAGCCTATTTTTAGCAAATTACTTAATAATTCGACTTCACAAAACGCTAAAATAGCATACCATAATGCTAGTGTAGTTTGTATTATTATATAGCTCTTTAATGTTATTGAAGTAAAATATATTATATAGATATATTCAATATCCAATTACTATCTTTAATTTTTAAAACTAAATTAAAGTCAAGAAGAAGTGATGAAGATGAACCTTCATTCCAAGAATTTGATATAGATTACAATGATGCTTTATAATTATTTAGCACCTATATTAAAGCTACTATAGACTACTTAAAAAATTACTAATAAGATGAAACAATTAAAACAGTTTATAGATAAGAGTTAAAACCTTTAGGTTAGTCTCGCTTAAAAATTGTTGAAATATATTGTGTTGCTCTTAAATAAAGTAATTTTTATGTTGTTTAAGAAATGGCATAGCATAATCTTCATGCAGTGCTATTAGAATTATTCTTGAAATACGAATGGAATAATATGCTCCATACACTTGTTGAGAGAGTTATAATTTAGTCAGCATAAATTAATTCTCATGCTATGAGAAAAGCCGTATTTACAGATGCAAAATTAATCAATTTCTTATTAGAAGCTACCAAGTAAGTAGATTCTGATATTGCCAGTGATGCACCTACAAAAGTTAATTTCAGGAAAGGATATCTAGGACATGTGACAAAAATAGCTAATTTTGTTCAAAGATTATGTGAAAATAATGCTGAAATTCAAGAATATGTTGATCGTAAAGATTTTAATTAAAAATTATATTTCCTTTTTAGTTAAAAATTTAAAGAGAGAGCTTCCTTCATCCACTTAAAAAATAACTTCAAAATTAACTCAAATAGAATTATTGCAAACTTTCAAGTTTATTTAATTCTTTAAAAAAATCTTCTTAATATTTTTATGAATAAAAATTTATCGATTATTCCTAATAAGGGAACATAATATTTAAGACCTAAAATTAAAGGGATATCAGTATATTTTTTAGATTTTATTAAATTTATTTTATATTTATATATTAGATGATTTATGGGGCTAGCTGAGAGATAGCTATCTAGATTAAACGAATTAAAATAATAATAGAGAACTTGGTGATCATGCTATGATTTATCATGATTAACATTCATCTTAGCTTCATTGCAGTTATGATATTGATGATATTAAATAAGTAAAAAAAATTATTAAGTTTCTTTGAGATAACTAAATTCAATATATTTCTAATCAAGAAGTCTGAAGATTTTCTTTTTGGTGTACCATATCAAAGTGAGCAAAATAAATTAAAAGAAGAGGAAAACCATGAGCACAATATTGAAAATAACGAAGATGAACAGGAGAAACCAGAGTCAGATGAAATGTTTTTTAGCAACATAGCAAAGAGCATTTAAGATGATGACGTATTTATTTAATAATTAAATAACTGTCTAATGTGTTTAATAATTTTTAAAAATATTTTTAGAAACAAGAAGAGGAAAATAGATAATAAGAATAGCAGCATCTCGAAGGATTTGGTTTTAGTGATCCATTTTTAAATAACTATTAAATGACAACTTCTTAAGAAAAGACAAAAGGTTTTGATGCTTTTGAGTTCTTCAATGTGTAATTTGAGTAAAAACAGCTAACAATTAATTTGATTTTTTTAATATAAAAATAAATAATTTAGGTAAAATACAAATTAAGATAATAGCGAATAACAGAAATAAGAAGATATATTTAAAAGTTTTGGGTTTACAAATTCTCCTTAATTATCTGCTTCTCCAAGCCCAAATGAAATTTAAAATGAAGATCATGATTTAGATAAATAATAGACATAATAGCAGTAGTAATAGTAATCATAATAATAGTAACAATAACAAAATTAGTAACATGAAGATAGCCAAGAAGATTTGAATAATTAAAAATAACAATAATTTAACTCTGCTTTTGCTGATTTTTGAAAGAAAGCTAGCTATTTAAAAAAACTTAATATTTTAAAATAAATTAAAATTATAAAAATACTTTTCGTAAAAAATATAAATAAATAAATAAACCTTTTAAAAAAATGATGAAACATCATTCATTAGCATTAAAAGTTTAAGATTCTATCAAGTTTCACTTGAATATAATCTCAAGAAACAAGGATTTAATGAAGTAATAAGCTAGTTCATTTCTGAAATAGCTTTAAATTTATAAAAAATCAATCTTTTGTTTTTAAATTTTTAATCTATTTATAAAAAATCAACTGAGTATGCTTTATTACATGAATCAAATACATAAATAAATAAATTAATTAATAAATAAATTTCTATCTTCTTTTACTGCAAACAATTTATTAAAATTGTTAAGAAATTGATTGCTATTGACAAAATAGACATTAATTTTTAAAATAATTAATTTTCAGTTTTTAAAACATATAAAATAGACACTTTTTATTCTTGAACTAATTAATTGTCAGTATTTAAAACATATTAATTAATTAATTAAATAATAAGTATGTTATTGTAGAATTAACTACAAATACTTTATTTTTACTTGATAAAATAAAAAAAATTATATTTTTACTATTTAAACAAAATTGTAATTCATGGTGGAGTTGTGTTATTAATTTTATATCTAAAAAGTATGTTAATAATATCTAATAAATTTCAATAAAAAATTAAATATTATTAAAAATTAATTAATTGAAGCAACTAAAGAAGCAAAAAAAAGTGTATGAAAAGTAAAACATAGCTAATACTAACAAGTATTACAATCAAAATTCTCTTGTATGTATCACAATATTTTGTAGATTATCTCTTTGAAGATTATGATAAATCTACTGAGCTCTTTGAGCAAGAAGGTACACATAGCATTATAGTTGAACTTTTGAAATTTACTGCAAGATGGGATTCTCATTTCTTCATAAAAATAGCATTCAAAGGATATGAATATGAAAAAAAGCACGCATTTCTTGAAACTTACCCTAAATTCCTTAAATTAATCTCATACATATCATAAAAGATGTTTAACCTTGATAACTTTGCTTCTATTCTTTTAGCAGGCTTTATATCAAATTTAATTTTAAACGCGTTAAGCACTGTTTTGTTATACAATATAACGAGGCTTAAGTTCCCTAATATGAGCGATAAATTTTGTTATGCTGTAATAATCTTATTTCAATTTACTCCATCTAGCGCTTTCTTTAATGCAGTCTATTCTGAATCTTTGTTTACTTTTGTTATCTTTTTATACTTGTTTCTCTTTTACAGGAAATACTAGACTATCCCTAAGAACTAAAAAGGTACTCATCTGTTCACATCTATAACCAATTACTCTTTTTCACTATTACCTAGTATTGTATTGACTTTTTCTGTCTCAGTAAGATCTAATGGAATGATTTGGGTCGTTGTCGTAGGTTATCCAATCCTTGAAGCTTTTATTTTGAATTTAATCAATTCTGCTAAAGGGAAATTTGATTTCAAAGTGCTTTTTAACACAATTTTTTGGGGTCTACTCAACATCTTTTTATGTTTAACACCATATATTAGAGTACTTATAAGTGCTGGATCAGTTTACTGCTAGCCAGCATACTTTGAAGAAAATCCACCTTGGTGCAAAGGAATTTTACCTAATATATATAATTACATCTAAGATAAACATTGGAAAGTTGGATTTTTGACTTATTATACGCTTAACAGAACATTTTACATAATATGGGGATTGTATACTTTTATATTACTATTTTCTTACATCATAAAATACTTATACAGCTTAAGACAAAAACCAGAAACCCTATCCATCTTCTCAGGTTTCGATATGGAATCATAAATGCTATATACAATAATATTGTTTTTCATTTCAGTGTTCTTTGCTCATGTGTAGTCAAGTACAAGATTCTTTTCTTCAGATCCAAGTCTTTATTGGTTTTTAGCTGATATTTTATTTAATCATGAAAATAAGTCAAAAACTAATACTATTTCTAAGATATTAACAATAGCTTACTTAGTCCATTTCAATATTGCTGGATTCTTCTTATACTCTAATTTTTACACTTGGACATGATTTATTTGTTTTATTATGTAATTTCATTTTATACACCGTATTTTCTATCAAAAAATTTAAATAACTATTCATAAATCAATCTACACGTATTTTGCTGTTAATAATTCTTGTAAAATCAATCAAACAAACAAACAAGCAAACAAATAAAGTATTATTTTTTAAATTTTAGATAAATTTAAAAAAAATTTACGCTTCGGGGTCGACAGAAAATCTTGGACAAAAATTAAAAATTGATAACTTAGTTTGGTTTAAATAAATAATATATAATATTATAGACTGAAAGAGATTTCTAAGAATTTTAAATTATTTCAATTTTATACAGTTTTATTAATTTAAATACAATGTACAATCAATTAATTCATTTATTCATTTATTTATTTTGTTTTTAAAAAGAAATTTAATAAAAATAGCCAAATTTATTATGATTCTTATAAATAATTTATTGTTTTTATAATGGAAGAAGACTAAAAGGTTTTTAGTCTAATTCATTCATTATTTTAAATTATACAAATTAAAAATATTTATTTTTAATCTTTGCATGAACCAATTTAAAATTGAGTAAGTAATCAGTCCTTTGCTAAAATATACCAAAATTCAGCATTTATTTTTGTCAAAAGGTAATTTGGAAAAGTAAGTAAGTATTCTAAATTATTTCAACTAAAATTTAAAAATACTTAGGCATGCATATTAATTAAATAAGATTATTGTAATGCTCCTAAATATATAAAGGAAAAATAATTATTTTTAATTGCATATAATAATTTAAAGCTAAAGAGCCTACATACGCTACTATAAAATACAAAAATTCAACCCTATTTATCATTGACATAGTCATATGTTGTTGGATACGAACGAATATTTAGAAAATGCCCTCCATATAAAGCCAAATACCATGGATTTTCCTCTGGAAATGCTTTATATGCTATATCTGAATTTAATTTAAATCCAGTTTCTTTAAGAATTTCGGTTGTATCTCTTAAAACAAACTTATATTTTTAGTAGCATAGGTCGAAACATCCTATATCTATGTTTTTTTAAAGAGTATCAAAACATCTTTTAAAGCAAACTGATGTAATATCCTAATTTTTAAAAATAAAATATTAAACATAGTTTCAAAAATATTTAATCAAGTTAGAAAAAAGTTATCTATGATAGCTCAAATACATGAATTAATTCTTACCTTCTATATTGCATCAATCATATCTTTTCTTTCCTCATTATCCATTTCTAAATCCAATTGTTGCTAAAAAGAAGATACAAATTAAAAAGTATATTTTGATCTTTTGATTAATAAAATAATGATTGATTGCTATATATTTGTTAATATAGATTTATTTATAGAACTTTCCCTAAAACAAACACAATCAATAAACACAAAACTCAAACAAGCAAAAAAATAAATAAATCTAAAATTTTTAAAATAAGAAAATATTTTATTGTTTGTTTTAATATAAATAGTTAGTTAGTTAGTTAATTAGTCTTTCATTGCTTTTCTTTTTTATCTTGACTCTTGTTTTATCTGTAATACCAATTTTCTATATTTTTTAACAATATTTTTTGGACAGTATCTAGAGTGTGTTACTAGCAATTAATGTCAATAGGAATAGTACAGGATAGGGAGCATTATTTCAATAGGTGATTTTGAATTGCCTAAAATTTATTTAAAAGTATGTCGGTTTATATTTCTCTTTCCTTACTATCACTTATTTTTTGGATAACCTATTAATTATTGATATTAAATCTATGCTACTTTTTACTAATCACAAGATGGAAGGCTACAATGACTAGTTAACCTTAATTAAACTTTGCAAAGTAATCTATGGCTTGTCTGATACGGTCTTTTTCTGCTGCACTTTCCCATTCTTATGGTTCAGGCTAAAATAATTAAATCTTTTAAAAATGTTAATAAAATGAATAATTCCACTTTTTGGAGATAATATGTTACATTTTATGAATCTTATTCGATTGAATAGTCATCCAAAATATCTCTTTCGTGAATGCTACCTTCAATATATTGAGATAACTTTTATTTGATTTAGTCTGATTTAATAATCTATTCGTCTTCATTTTTTATCTTCAAAAAAAACGAAGGATTTAATTCCGTGCCTTCAATAATGACAGGTTTGCCTTATGATAAGCACTTTTAAATATCAGTGTTAGCTCCTTTTCTAACTTAATAGCATCTTTATTCATATCTTTTGATTGTTTCATCTAAATCTATGCTAATATCACTAAATTAATAATATTATATATATCATTCATTAATTCTTTTGTTAATGATATTAATTTAATTACTTACTTCCAATGATTTTATTTTGAATCTCCGACATGCATCATCTCCATCACACAAGAAATAATGTCTGTCTATAAAACATTTGATATATTCATTTTATCAGCTAGCTAATTAGCTATATTTGACTTTCCTATTTTGGGAGCTCCGAATATTAAAATCACAATAGGAGTTCTCATTCTATAAAACCTTCAATAAAAAGACTCTTTAGCATAAAAAATTAAAGATAGTCTATTAATTAATTAATTTATTACTCAGAAACTATTTTATATGTCCCAATAACTCCAGCAGGATTTGTGGGAATTTGTTAATAGATTGTTTCAAATAAAATTTCCTCTAATTGGTTTTAGTTAATTTCTTTGACTTCTTTTTCAACTAATTTTTTTTTAATAGATTTTGCTATACTTGCAGCTGTTTATTTATCAATCTATTTCATATAAAACATATAAAGTAAAATAGAATGAAAATATTTTCCTTACATAAATCAGTGTAAGCATTCTACTTATCAAATATCTAGAGAAAATATAATAGTTGTCATTCAATGTGACTTTAATCTTAACTAAATCATATAAGTTCACAGTCTTATTTTCTAAATTCTTATCCATATTTTATTTTCCATCACCATTAACTTTAAATTTAAATAAAATATCTTAAATATATGATTGGAATCTTGATTGAAGATAAATCATTCTAATAAAATTTTATTTTGCATATTGTTCCTAAAACCTCTGCTTAAAATATTATATTTATTTTTAAATTACTTTCACTTTCTTAGTTGAACTTAGAATGCTATGTAAAATCAATCTTACTCAAGTCAAGTTAAACTATTTTCTGATCTTAAGTATTCATCAATAGTAAAGAGAAAGAATGACCTATTCAAAAATATTAATTATGAAGTATCTACTTATATGATGTCGATAATTTGAAGCGCTTAACTAAATATGGTAATTAGTTTTTATTTTTTTTTTTGTTATGTATTTTTAGCAATTTAGATTTCTATAATTTATAATATTAATTTTTCAATCGACAATTAGATCAACTTTTGATTAAAACTTTATGACTGACAGAAACAATAATAAATATCTAATATAAATAATTAATTAACAAAAAAGCTCGTATTTTTTATTATTTAATATTTATAGTAGAAGATATTCTTAAATAAATTAATACATAATTTATTAAAAATTTGCATAAGTTAATATAAAAATACATCCATACTTTATTTAAAAAAAACAAAGGTAAGATTTATTTTTTATAATATCATTTCATTTTGTAAAGCTAAAGAAACTTTTTTCGTCTTTTTTGTTATTAAAAAGACCTGCTATACATACAATTGATTGTTCTAATTTGATTTAATATTTGTAGTAAAAGATATACTTATATGAATTAATGCATTATTTATTAAAAATTTGCATATGTTAATATATAGTTACATACATACTTTATTTAAAAAAAACAAAGTAAGATTTATTTTTTATAATATGATTTCATTTTGTAAAGCTAAAGAAACTTTCTTCGTCTGCTTTGTTGTTAAAAGGACCTGCTATAAAATTGACTGTGCCAATTTGATCAAAACCTTCTTGTTCGGTAGGAGCTTGGTAATCTTTGAAGAATTTATGGATGGGGATTTTACCAACTCTTTTTGAAAAGTGAGTCCTGTTTTTGTTGTTTTCTCTTTAGTTATCTAAGTGGAATGCTAAGTCCTTTGTAATTTATAAATCAAATGCTCTAACCTAGATTTCTTTAAAAAGATAATATAATATGATTAAATATTTAAGAGTTTTTGAGGAAAAAAGTACTGTGTTTTTTAGCTAAAGCTATGAAATCTTTACGGCTTTCAACGGTAGGATTAGTATTATCAATAACTACATTTTTTTTTTGTTAAATAGCCTTTTCAGCTGCTTCTAAGCACTTGGGCATAGTTTTCAAAGTATCCTTTTATTTTAAAGTTAAATTTTTCATCTAACATTCATAATTTTATTTAATTTTACTCTGTTAATTCTCACATAATCTTTAAGATAATTCTCAACAAATGTTGACTTTCCTGAACCTGCTGATCCAACCATAATAATCACTATTTATTTAACATAAATAAGTTTGTATATATTTAAAATAAATATTTAAAAATAATACTTTCTTATTTATCAGAAGAAGTTTTTACCCCTTTTTGTTTGAAAAGATCACCTTAGGTTGGTAGATTTTTAGGATTAAAAAAATCTGTAGTAGAAATATTTTCCTTTTTATCTAAGAATAATTGATCTGGAGTGTAGAAAGTCAACCCAATATTCAAAGCGAATTTTCTAATAATTAAAAAAAATTAAATATCTTCATTTAAAAATTTTAATTTACAAGTCAGAGTCGCTAAAATCTTTAACAGGAGCTTTTCTGCCTGCAGCATCTCCACAATAGAAAGAATTTTTTTCATCAAAGGTGGGCTTTGTCTTTATCTTTTATAAAAAGTATTCCCACATCCCTTTATAAAAATTATATTTTTACAATATTGAATGAGATAAATACTTTTGATATTTATTTATACCTTTGTTTGGCTTCTTATTTTCATCTTCTTATGTTGCATACAAGGAAAAAATAGGTAATTCTAACTATTTATTTATATATTTTTAGAGATAATTTTAAAGAATCAGTCAAATATTTTTATTTAAAAAGATACTTCATTAGCAATATTTGTAATCTTTGTATTAATTTCCTTGTGAGTTGTATGGCCTTTGCCAATACCACCTTAATTAGAAAAAATAACTATAGTAAAACCATCTTTATAAAGCTGCTACATTTTTGATTTCACTTTTACATCCCATAATAACCAATCGTGCTCATTTTAAGGGAATTTTTTACCGCTTTTAGTTCTTATAATTGTATAATCCTAATCAAAAATATTTAATATTATCAATTAAATATAAAAAGTTCTTTTAATAAAGTTGCCAAGTCATTAATTTTAAGTATAATTGAGATTTGAAAACTTTTAAATATTGTGATTAAAATTTATCACATGATGATTTTGTTTATTCATATTTAATTATGGTGAGAATAGAATGCAAGTATAAAAATTCAATTAAGCTGCTGGCTAATGTTAAAATATATTTTAATTAAGCTTATTTTACCATATCAAAGCTTGCTATTTTATCGCTTTCAGCAATATGCCCTTTAGGAATTCCAACTCCTATTGTTTTATGAGTTGACCAAGTATATTCTATGCTTTACTTGTTATCTTTTTTTTCTTCTTCTTGCTCTTCTTCATCGCTATTTTATTTCTTTGGAACTTTTCTAATATAAATTTTTATCTTAAAGCATGAAACTTAAACAAAGCTGGTTTTACTCAATTTGCTTTTCTTCTTTCTTAGCTTTTTTAAAACAATTTAAATTTAAGGGGGTTTATTTAAATTAATGAAACCTGCTGATCTTGTAGATTTTGATGACATCTTTGCTATTTATTTCTACTTTCTAATTAACTCTCTAGATTTTATAATTATATTATTCAAATAAATCTTTTATTTTTCTGATAATAAATATCTTCGCGTTTTAAACAAACAAAAGAACTGAAATTTATTTAAAAACTAAAATGTTAATGCCTTTTAGTATAAAAAGCTAATGGTTTTTAGAGCTAAATACTATCTCTATTATAAAAAGTTAATTTAGAATATCTTAGTATTTGATGAATTTTATTAATAAAATTATAAACCAGGATAAACTTTATAGCAGAACTAGTGTTTTAAAGAGTTTGAAAAAAGAATATTTTTTCCCTCCAAACTTATTCTTGTTAAAATTTATCAATATATAGAAATATTAGGTTAAAATTTAATCATATATCAAGATAGAGATCGTACATTATTACATAAAAACTGTTCTAAAGTATATTTTAAAGACAAAGTTTATTAAATAATGCTAGATACAATTTTAGTTAATCTTCTGATAAAATTCGGTCTATAACTTATTCAGAAATGCGCGCCTAAGATAAAACTAAATAAAAACTGTAATCAACATAGTTAGGAAGAAAAGATGCCAATAATTTCTTTCTATTTTAATCTAAAAATATTAAGGATTTGTTAAAAAACTCATATTGTAAAAAGTGCTCCTCCAATACTTAACTTTTTTTCACATAAAGTTTTAAGAATTTTTCAGGAAAACAAAGCTAGAGTTTTACTTTAAACTCAAAAAGCTGTTATTCTGCATCACTATCATCAAAATTAATGTTTAAAGTTATCTACTAAGTGTTGATATAAGTGAGGTCTATAATTTATTATTTTTAATTTTGATTAAATTAATAATCCTCATTCTTATTTTACTGCTCAAAATTTACTTCTATATTCAAATTATCAACATTAATTGTAGATGGACACTTATCAAACAGATTTTAAATTATTTTTATTTATTTAGAATATGCAATCGAGTTTGCTATACTATTTATATAGTTAAATATTAAAAAGAATTCTTACATTTTAATTTATTTTAAATTATTTATTATTATTTTGGTTGGATTATAAAGACACTCAATAAAATTTACATTTTCTGTAATTTTTATCAAAAAGGATTCTAAATTTTGGATCATCTATAAGGTTAAGCTTTAAAAGTGTAAATTGAAGACATACTTTTCTTCTTCTTCTTCCTATTAAAAGTATTTATCTTTTTTCTTAGCTTCGATTTAATTTTGCCATGAGTTTTATATTTCATTGATAAAATCTACATGATACTAATTTATTTTGTATAACTTTTGTAAATTCTATTTAATCAATTTTATTAAAACATCTACTTCGTTTGATTTTATGGCTACCCTAAAATTTTAGAAATTTTCTTCATTTAAATTAGTATTTTCTATAAATTTATATGCTTCATCTATTGTTGTAAACTATTTTTATAAATCAAAGTAATATAAACTATCTTCTTAATATTAAACAACTAAGATTTCATTTTATAAATTCATATCAGTAGATATTTGCATATTAATATTTTTATTTTAAGCTAAATCTTTTTATAAATTTTTATTCAGCGAAAAAATTTGAAATTAAATCTTAGAATAAAAAATCAATTAAAAGTAAAAATTAACTGTGTTGAACAGCTAAGATATTTTTAATTTTAACAAAATATTATATTGAAAGCAAATATTAGAAATAAAATTACCATTTTATATTTTAAACAATTTATAAAATTTTTTAAAATCATTAACGACAAGCATAATTAAAATCAAAAAAAAATAATTGCCAAATTTAATTAAGTATTTATTCTTGAATTGAAAATATTTTCAAATAAAAATAAGAATAAAATACTAAAAAAATATTTTATGATATAAAAAATATTTAGCTTAGATATTAGATAGAGAAAAATATAAACAAAAAAAATAACTCTGCTTGCTAAAATGTAAAAATTATTTGATTAAATTAAACTTCCTAAAATTTCAAAAAATATGTGATAAAAATGTAAATCATAAAAAAACAGAAACTCTATTTAACATATTTTATTCTAAATAACAATCTTCAATAAACATTTTTAGAAATAAAAAATATTTTAAAAGTATTTTTTGTTTAAGGATTAACAAATTAATACATTTAAAAATATATAATGTAAGTAATTTGAGTTCTATTTATCGAATTTTATTATTTATTAAGAGTGAAAAATACAATTTGTTAATTTAACAAAGAGTAAACTATAAGTAGTTGTTAGAACTATTTTGTAGTGTAAATGTTAAGGATAAATAGTATTCTTCATATATTAGTTACTCTTAATAATTTTTAAAAGAATAGAAAGAAGAATGAATTAAACACATGAAAAAAATAGTATAATTAAATTGTAAAATTAGTGGATTAACAAATTTATAGTTTAATTTTTGTATTTTTGACGAATTATTAACTTACTGGATGAATGAAATTAAATTTATACTTACAAAACAATTAGATTATGAAATAAAATTTGTATTTTTTAAAAAATAATCTATTTTTTTTTATCAATTTAGAATTACTAAAGCAACAAATACCATATTTAAAAGTGATTTAACCTATTTAATTATCGATAGATATGGACAGTTAATGTATTTATTCACTCCTATTTAGTAAAAATTGCTAGAAAAATTAATATTTATGATAATCAAACTTTGTTACTCTTTAAAATTTTCTTTCCAGTTTATTTTAAAAATAAAATAAAATTTGATATTTTTGATTTGATTTTACAGAAAAAGTATTTTTTATTTAATATTTATTCAATAAAATACAAACAAGAAAACATTATTAATTTTATATTATCCTGTTTTTTTTTAATATTTTTACCAAAAGAAGACAATTTTCGTATTTAAATAGATGAACAAAGACCTATTCAAATGGAAATGACTTTAGTCTGTCTGTAAAAACTTTATGAAATTGCTTTAATAAGTAAAATTTTAATTTAAAAAATATATAAAATAGTATTTTTTGCTCTAATAATATGCTAATAATAAAATTATTCAAAATCTATACTCAAAAAGTGATGATAAAAGAAGTTAATAATAACAGCATGCTTTTTAAGCATTTTTTAAATAAAAATAAAACATAATGACACTATTTAATCATTTTTTTCTGATATAACTTTGAATATTATTTTAAAAAAAAGAATTTAATTTAATTTCATTTTCATTTATAATTATTATTGTAACTAAAAAATGTGATCAGCTAGTTAATTTTTTAGATTTTTTTTAAATTTAAATTACTGTCTTTAAAATATAAAATTTAAAAATATAAATTCTTAAACATATTTTGATGCTTTTTGTCCAACAAAAAACTGTAGAAAAATATTAAAAAAATAGCATAGAATTAAAAAAACAAACCAACAAACCTTTTGTATTAAATTAATAAATTCAATTGTATTTTTTTATAAATAAAAATTAAATAAGCGCTGGTTAATAGAATTATAATCCATCTTATATCTAATGTAATTCGTTATATCAAAATACTGATTCTCTTTAAATATTCTGTATATATTATTGTATGGATAATAAATAATGTATAGCTTTTTTTATTATTTATTAAATATAAATTTGAGTAGTAACATAAAATATATGGGGTGGGGTAAAGTAAATTAATTTATAATTGTTATAAATATAATGAAATGTTTAGTAAATTTTTTTATTACATTTAGTATTAATGATATTTTAATTTACCAGAAATGTGGTTATAAAAAATAAATTTAGCCCTAATTTTGCTTTTTATTTCAAATTTTAATCACTTTATTGATCAAATAGTGATATAAAAGAATTTAAATATAATCATCTAGAACGAAGTAATTTTAGCAGAAAGTAAGCATATAGCTAGCTATTCAAGTATAAATATTCTATTAAAAGCGTTATATTTAACAACACTAAAATAAAAAAAGAATTTTTATTATTTCATATTATTGTATTAGATTAAAAATTTTATGACCTATTTATTTAATTGAATTTACTTACTCTAAAAAAGTAAATGGAAAAGGTGCAGAAAAATTTTAATTTAAATATTATCTAAAATAACCATTGGTTTTGTATTTAGAAATAGAAGTCTTTTGTATTAAATGACAGGAAGTACCTGTTTTTGATTATTTTCTTGATAAAAGTCACTCAAATATTTCAACTTTTATAAAAACTTCAAATATTTTTTAAGTAGTTGAGTGATTTATTTTCAATTTGAAAAAATTTGAATTTTTTTATTTATTTAGAAATGATAATTATGATGCATTAAATGTGTATTAAGGTTCAAGTAAAATTAAATTAAATCGCTTAAAAGAGCAGAAATAGCCATTCAATTTTGTTATTTTATCTAGCTTAGCATAGTGAGATATTATAAACTTGTATCTCTAAAGGATAGGATTTTCCCTTTATGATATGAAGGCTAAAGTTATATGTGTAAGAAAAAAAGCTATTTAAATAATTTGTGATAAAGTTTTTTTGAAATTTCTCACAATAAAAGTTAATGTATGTATTGCTATTAGAATTAAGCTTTATCAATTAAAATGAACGCTGATTGTTGGATAAAGACCAAATTTCTTTTATAGAAGTATTTATGAAATAATATAAAATAAATCAAAATTTGATCCAGCGGTATTGCTAGACAGACTGTATGGTGGTTAGTCATTGTATTCTGTTGAAATTTACTTCTTGAATTCTATTCTTAATTTAAGGTAAGTAAATAACGAAATAAATAAATAATCATCCATCAAAATATTATAAAAAGAAGTGTTTTATTTTTAATATAATTAGCTTGTTTAAATAATTTATTGCATTGAATTCTGATCTAGAAAAAAAGAAAAATAAAGTGGTACCACCTTAGCTTAATGTTTGATTGTGGTAAATATATAATTATTTTTCAAAAATAATAATACCATGTATTTTATTGAACTCTAATAAAAAGTTAAGAAAGAATTTATTTTATCCACCAAAAAGCTCCTTTCTTTCCTACCCTCTATTTATTTAAAAAAGCTTGATGTAATCATTGTACTGGTGATTGATGTGAAATCAATAATTTCAAATTCTTACCAACCAAATTGAATTCTATTTATTTATTTAGTTAAAGAGCTTTTGGCAGTGAATTACATTTTTTTTTTAAAGAATATTTTTGCCATTTAATAAATCTTATTTACTTTAAAGCATTCAATTCTTTCAGAATTCAACATATCTATGTCATCACTGCTTGAAGTTTCTATAGCATATTATCTTTACTATCTTAATTAGTTGATCATTAATTTGTTAATTTGGTTCTAATAAAAAATCATGTTTTCTTTATTTTGTCGCCAAAGCTATAATTGAATTTAGCACTTTTTAAAAATCGCCGTAACGAATGTGTCTTATAAGTTTTATTCATATGAAAATAGCAGGCTAATTTATATTTGAAACGAAAAAAATCAAACCACTTATCACTTTTAGCATTCGGGTTAAAATTAAAAGATGAATTTTAGTTTTTAGGAAAAGAAGATAAATCATTTGAAAAAATGCTAAATTTACTGCTGAATAAAGAAATAACATGCAAACGATTTGTTAGATAAAGAGTGTTTGTTAGGGGGTTTAATAAAATCAATTGAGTATTATAAATAAATTAGCAAAGAAATATTGATTGATTGATTGATTGATTGATTGATTGATTGATTTATTGTGGGGAGAGCTGACATAACATCTTTAAATTGCATCATTTAGTTTAGATATTTGGAAATGACGAATAATTACAAAAAATAAGCAAGTTAATTGCATTTATTATGGAACAATTTGAGTTATTTAATAAGTGTTTGCTTATCTAAATACAAAAAAATTCTTTTCAACTTTTTTACCAAATCAAATGCACGAAATATTTAAAATCAAAAAATAGACTCCCCGTAGTATTTATTAATTTAGTTTAATTTATATGTATGATTGATTTGATTTGATTTGATTTGACCCTATTTTACATAGTTACACTATTAAAAGATGTGCTCAGAAAAAATATTCTGATTTAAACCCTAACTCTTTCTAGATGAATTAAATTTTTATAATTTTTTTAATACAGGATGTAAGCTTTCAATGATTAATGCAATAAGTATTGCAAGTTGCTTTTTGTAGAATATGAGTAGATTTCTAATAACTTAATTTATAGTGAGTTATTAAGTATCCCAGCATAGTTAAATAACACTCATAATCAAAAATTGTGTAAGAGCACTCTGCAAACTCATCTTTTATTTATTTTTCTACCGCTTTGTTTTTCTTTGCTGCTAACCTATTACCAAATTTTATTGAAATACTAGTAATACGAGTATTTTGCATGGATAATTACTAATGATTTATACAAATAAAATTTAATAGAAATTTTATTTTGCTAAACCAGTTTTTCAATTTGTTTTCTATTTTCATTTTTTACCTTCATTCCAAATTACAAATTGATACTAGAAAAGAATCAAACTGTAAAGTGAAGCTATTCTTAAGGGAACAAGAATTAATAAAACGATAAGTTAAGCGATAAGTATGCGATATCAGAAAATAGTCCCATTAGGAATTTTATGGCTCAAATTAAATCTTTGTATTGTTTAGAATTAATAATCTAAGAGGTTGAAATTTAATTAAGAGTAAATTGAAACTCTATCACTTTTTCATTCAAGTCTTATTTTGAAATACATGTTATTTCTTATTCGAGTGTGCTTTATTTATGAATCGGTTTAAAATAAATATATATAGAATGTCAGTCTAAAGGAAACAATTAAGTAATAGAAAAAGCTAAGTAAGTAGTAAATCTACCTAAGGTAATGCTGTAAGATTCAAATATTTTTTGTTCTATAAAAAATTTTAAGTCAACACAGTTTCAACAAGTAAAAGAAATTAATGAAAATAATTGTAATAATGTAAGCAGAGGAAAAGTAAATTTATTTACCAGATAATTGACTTAAAATATATCAGATAAAAGGAGTGGAATGAACGAGAAGACTTTAAGAAATTGAATGAGATACTGCTTTTTTAATTTGCATAAATTGTGGGTATTTTTTATTAATTGAATTAGCATAATTTAATAACTTTAATTATTTAGAATAGAGCATAGATTGATTGATTGATAGATAGATAAATATATTCATAGATAGTTAAATAAATAGGTGAATACATCTATCTATTTATCTAAAATAAATAAATAAATAATAAAAAGAGAGTGATTAATAAATTTATTTAGTTAATTATTCAATAAAATATATAATATATTAATATTGAGCTATCCAACTAAGTAACTCAATAAGATATCTTTAAAAATTTTTACTGATATTTTTTGCATATTAACAGATTCCTTCGTAGTATTTAGAATTAATAGCATCTTTTTCAATGCTTGCTTTCCAATCAATAGGTCATCTATTAATTAGAGCTAATTGGTCTATTGATCCTAATTCATAGTGAACTAAATTTATTATTTTACCTGTTTATTAATTTAATTTCATTCACTCTTTAAATATTTGATGACAACTAAATGTTGCTTGTAAAGAAATATTATTACATTCATCGCAAACAATTACTGTCTAGTTCACAATGTTTTTATGAAAGTGTGATATTAATTTCAATAGATTTTTCTCTTATTTTTAATTAATTAATTCAAAAAGAATTTTATAGTTTTTTTTTCCTATGGGAAAACCTGTAGTTATTATTGTATCTATTTAAAAAAAGAAGCATCTTTCATCGGTGGAAAAAAAAAAATTGAAAGAATAATAAACTTAAATTTGAGCAAAATATTCTCACTTTTTTTAAAAAAACTAAAAATATGAGCTTCAAAAAAATATCAACAAAATCAAATAATACAAATCCAATCCACAAAAATTATGATCTAGTTTTAAAAATCAAAAAGGAATTAAATTACTATTTTACACAGATTGTTAATATAAAATTATTTTGATTTACTTGACAAACAAACAAAATTAATAGTTAGTTGTTAATTTATATAGGTTTTTTTTAAATTTGATTATCATTAAATTAAAAATACAAATGAGAAATTGAGAGAAGACTATGATTAAAAGATAGGTATTTATTTATTTATTTTGGTAGGTAGGTAGGTAGGTAGGTAGGTGCTTTTAGTTAAGTTATTAGCTTTTAATATCGTGGTTATAAATTTTAACATTGTTTTAATTGGATAAGTGGATATTTATTTTTTAAAAGTAAATAGGAGGGAGAGGTAGTGATTATGAAAATATTTGGTTTTGTTGTTATTTATTTATTTAATTAGTTAGTTAGTATATTTTTCAAATCAGTTAGTATATCAATTATATATGTGTATGTTTTTTATCTTTTTTATTATGGTAGTTCAAGATAGTTAGTTTTTTTATGGATGGATGGAAGAAAGGAAGGAAGGAATTTCTGTGAAAACAAACAATTAAAAAGGAGGTCAATATATTTAATTTATCTCTTTAGTAATTGCAATATCAAAATCTTTGAATGAGGACTCCTTGGTTAAGTTTTCCAATACCTAACATGGCTCTATCAATATATTGCTCACGGAAAGTAGAGTTAGAACTATTGGAAGAGTCCTAATCGTGCTTGTCATCTTTGGATTTCTTGTATGAAGCAAGCATAATATGGTATGCAAGCTTTTTAATTATGTTACTATAGCGGATTTCTTCAGATATTTCCTCGTAGGGCTTCTCAAGGTTGACATTAAATACCTTCATATGGGTACTGACGTCTTTAGCATTTTTACGCACTTACTCGATATTTTATTCATTAATAGTTAAGAAAAGAACATTGTAATGAGTATGATTGAAGAAATCAGTTTTTACTAAACCCTTGGGAGTTTTCTTACGGGCAGATTATTTAAGACGCTATATGGTTTTTATAATAGCCTCTGCCTTCTTTTCATCGAGATTCATCAACGAGAGATTATTCTTGTTGAAAGCAGTAAGAATTGTGTACATGAGCAAACGAGATAGATTGTGGAAGCGAGAAATCTTGTTTTCTATCTTGATTTTACCAAGCTTTTCGTCCTTAACAATAAGTCCTTTACTGTTAATGAATTTATTGACATAATTACATTTTTAATTCTATTCCATATACTCCACCTTGAATTAGTTTTCGTAAGCAGCTGTCTTTTCAAATGGGAATGATTTTAAAATGGAATATGAAGTTGCAATAACTTATTCAGTTTCTTGCATAGAATTCCATTATTCAAGGAAGGGAGCTAGAGTTTCTCTATCTCTAACTGTAATACCCAACTGTCTTTTCAAATCATTAACTTATTCCTTAGTTAAATAATTAGGATTTAGGTTCATAGAGTTAATGTTAAATAAGTTATTGTTGTTGGTGGCTGTGTTTTAGTTTGTTTTGATCTTCATTATTTGCTAGAATAGGCCATTCATTTGATTATTTGCAGGCTAGAACTGATTAAGCTAGAATTCAGGCAATTTAGCTCCTGGTGTAGCTTATATTGCACCTACATTAGCTTGAATAAGCTATTGTGTAGCTAATTAGCTGTTAAGAGGAGTGAAAATGTTCTGGTTTTCTCTCTTATTATTAGAAAGAGGAGTCTACATCATAACCATTTTGTAATCATTGAGGGGATTAAAGCTTGGAGCTGTTGCTGCACGAGCACGAGCCTCTGCATCCATACCGAAATCAATTTTGTGGTTTCCATCAACCATAAATTAGTTTGGCATGAATTTATTTGGACTTTATTATGCAGTTATTTATTCTTCCTCATCGTCATCTTCTTCTTCGTCTATTTCTTCAGACTCATTATTTTTGAAATCAAGTTCTTCTTCTTTCACTTAAGCATATTAGCCAATTTAGGTATTAGATGCTCCAATAGGGATGAACTTTAAGCCGTTAGCAGACTGATTGTTGAAATTTAAATTATGGAATAAGCCTTGGTTGTTTTGTTATCTCTATTAAAGCTAGGCTAACTGTAGTTATTAGTTTAACAAGAGCTACTGTTATTATTATTGTTATTACTATTAAATAAGCTATTATTATTAGGAATTTTAAACTTGTTGTTGAGGATTTTGGAAAGGTTGAGTTTATTATTATAACTATAGTAATAGCAATAAATTATTCATGTTAGAAGTCTATAATGGCATTTATTGAGCTTAAGCTTATTATAGCAATAATTATTGATGGAGAGAATTAGTATCATTATTCTAATTCTAAATAGATCCAACGATTTGTTGGGTTTAGTGAATTTACTAATTTAAAGGAATATTTACTTAATTAAGATTAATAAGGTTGGAACCAGTAAAAATAGAGGACATATCCTATCCAACAGTATTTAAAAGTGGTTGAGAGATACCTTGATTAATGAAGAAATTGTTAAAATTTTATGGAGCCTAAGGCATCATTTGAAGCATAGAAGGTTAGGAATTCATACCTAGTCTTAAAAGATCTTCAGTTTTGGGTTAAAAAGCCATTTTGAATACAAAAATACTGTGTAAGTAATAGATCAGGTATAGTAAATTTCAGAAATAAAGTATTTAGCGAAGGATATCTTGCTGCGAATAAATAAATTAGAATTAATATGTGGTTCTGAGATGAGAGTGAGAGATGGTATCAATAGTATTTAGGGTGTGAAGGGATGGATAGATACTCTAGATACTTTATATTTGCGCAGATGAATAACAATTATGAAAAGGATTTTTTATTATTTTAGGAAGAGGATCTTTTTTTTGATTTTTATCCTTTTGATTTGATTTATAATTTTTTTTTTTATAATCTTTATGACTCCTTTATAACCTTTTATTGAAATCTAGTTGATATTTTGATAATACAGTATATATTAAATTATTTAATACTAATGTACAATCTTTATTAAAAGAAGATATATTAGTGATAAACCCAAGAAATTTTCTTTTTCTTTTAGTGTATTTTAAAAATAAATTTTTTGTCAAATAAATTCTCCCCGGCCGGTCAATTCTTAAATTATTTAATTAGCTCTTTCAAGCTGATTAATTAAAATCCTAAAAAGAAAAGTGAAATCAATAAATAAATATAAATAATAGAAAACAAATTAACATTTATTCATTCGCAAGTATATACTTATAGATCTATTTATTCATTTATTGACATTTATTCATTCATTTGCAAATACATACATATATACATATAAACAGACAGACACACATAAAAACACATACAAATTGATAAAACACTCTACTCTACTTAGCTCTACAAACTCAATCTAAATAAATAATTGAAAAGTTGGTAAAATGAATAATGCATAAGCTAATCAATCAATATAAAGATAATATTTTAATAAAACAGATTCGTCTGTTAGCAATATTACAAAGCAAAGAGAAAGCTTTGTATTCGGCTGTCCATTTTAAATAAATTTGTAATAAATGTGTTTTTTTAATAAATAAAAAATCATCAGTCAGTCAATTAATCAATCAATCGATTTCTGATATTTATATAATCCTTGTCGAATAGATTATCTATCATATCTTTGCTATTTTTCATCTATTTTTATAAATTTATTTTGGCTGTTTTCATCCGAGCTATACTCATTCATAAATACATAGCTATTTGTTTAGAAGTGAGTAAGTAGACTCACCCCTTCTTTACTTAAAATACATTAGTTGCATACTATCTGACATATCTATACAAAACAATGAATCTGGTTATTAATCGAATAAACTCCATCCATTTAACATTCAGCTTTTATTTACCCAATCTTTATAAAAAATTCATGCAAATTATAAAAAAGTGAAATTTCTATTGAGTTTCCAAAATTAAAGGACTCAACATTTTATAAATAAATTACCTAATCACTTAATATTTTAAAAATTTTTTATTTTTCATGTCCTATCGTATTATGCTTAACTAAACAAAATACTCTAGGGTAAGGGAGTGCTGTTACTCTTTATTTGATAAAATATTTGCCTATAAGTTAAATATCCTAAACAGTAAAATTCTACATGTACGCCACATCGTTCGCATAGTTTTTCCTAATAAGGCTTTAGTGGTATTTGATAAAATATCAGACCTTTCTCGACATACGATAATTTTATTTTTTTATTATGCTAAATATCTGATAGTCATTTTATCATTTAATGGATAAATTTTAGAGTCTTTAGATAATCAAAATTTTTAGATTTTTGCTATGTTCAATCTTCTTTATTTTGTTGAATGACAATTTATTTAAATTTGATAAAGATTTTCTTTTCCCTCTTTTACTTGTATTCTTTATATTTAATCAAACACATTTTACTTGATAGAGAGCCAGCTTAAAACAATCAAATCACAATAATCAACATTTAATTATTTCTTTTTTTGTTTGATTAATTTAAATCCTAGCAATTAATTAATTAATTAGTTAGTTAGTTAGTAAATACCCCTAGGATACATAAAAACTGATGTGCGTATATAAAATCTTTTTGAATTACTTTTATTTATTTTTTATTTTCACTTTACTTTGATATTCTTGTTATTTTAAAATAACTCTTCACATAAAATGTTAGCCAGCTAATATCAGACTTAAATACAAGCTAGCACTTATAATAGAATCAAAAAACTAACAACAAAAATAATATACAAATAATTAGCCAAGTTTTTAGTGAGTTAGTTGGTTAGTTAGTGAGCTAGCTTCGGAAAATTTAGGTGAATTTGTCTCGTAAAAATGATTTATGTAAACTAATAAAACGGCTTATGACCTCAAATTGTTTTAAAATTAAAATAAGAATTTACTAGCTTTGAAACAAACATTGTAATGATTTCGGTTATAACTTTGAAATATATTTAAAAAATTTTGCTATTGTGTTTAAAAACAATAGCTGCGATTTGTAAAAAGATACTTGTAAATCATTTAGTCTTCAACAAGTAATTAATTTTTGTTTAATTAATTTTCGTACATAGAAAAATGAATTTTAAATTCCTATCCATAGGATTGATATTGTGACATTGTAATAAGAGTAATATTGATAGTAAATTAAAGAAGTGTAAGGTAATAAAGAATGCCTTACTATGAGTACCTAGTTAGATTAAAAAGCTTTAATTTGTGTACTCATAACCTATTCTATTATTCATTTATTTATTTTCTCAATTATATTTTTTAAAATATATTCATACATCTATCATTTATTAACTCTCTAATTATTTTAAATATTAGTCTAACTTTTAAATAAAAAAAACAACATCCTCTTTGCACAGAGGAGGAAATTTTTGATATTTTTCTCAAATAAAAATGTACTCATATATTATCAGTAAATCAGTATTCTACATTTGTGTCTATATTCGAGTAAAGATAATTTACCATTATGTTTAACTTTGGCTTCACCTTTGGAACAACAAATCATATTTGAAAGTATAAAAAAATTGGCTCATTATTTTGCTTTCATTTAAAACACCTTAATCATTATAAATTTACATTATTCCTTCAATTTTTCTTCGTAATTATTTCATCAAGCTTTTACCTTTTTTCCCCACATGTAATTATCTTTATCATTCTGACATAAACTACACAACTTATTTATCTCCATACAAATAGATAGATCCTCCCTTTCTAAATTTTAAACTTATTTTTAAATATCTAACAAAAGCATGATTAAATTTTTAAAAAAAATATAGACATTAATTTGTTGCGTATCTTTGACATAATAATATTTCTGTCTAAATAATCACCGCGTACTTTTTTATTTTTTATTTACTAAATTCTAATTTTAAAAACAGTATATAACATTTCACATTAACCTAAAAATAAAAACTATATTTCACTTTAGCTTCTCAAAAAATAAATTGTAAAAATTTGTATTCTCTCTATCTTATGTCAAATTAGATTATGTAAGACTAAATAAAATACAAAGATTTGAGCTCCTCTTCTTTCAAATATAAATCGCCAGTAATTTTTTGATATAACTGATAAACATCTAATAATAATTAATAAAATGTATGTTTCTAATAAGTTTTATTTAATCTCAAAATTCTCTCTCTTACTCACTATTATTTATTTATTTATTCCTTTGTTGTGTCTGTCTGTCTATCAGTCTATCTAAGACTAAAATACTTATTAAATCTAAATATTTTTATTTATATTAAAATCCCCCACCTAGTTGCATTATTGAAATGCTTTTCTCTGTCTCATCTCACTATCCATATAATTATTACTTCTTTTTTAAATTATTCAATTTATAATTGCATATGTAAACTGTAATTTCGTGCATAATCCTTATCATTCTTAATTTGTGGCAATATTCTGAGGCAATTTACTAATATTTTAGTAAGATTTATTCTAAAAATAAATAAAATGTTCTATTTCAGCTTGTTTTAGCTGCAAACTATGACTTTCAGCAAATGAATATTAAAGATTAAAACTAATTTACTATGTTTATTAACATTTATTTACTCTATTTTAAAACTATAAGAATTATCAACAACCCCTATGCTATAGAAAAAGTCAATTAGAAGAAAATTGAATAAAATTTTAATTAGTAACTCCTTTTATAATCCTGATATTTTATTCTTTTACAAAATACTCGACAATTGAAGATTTTTATAGTTACAACTCTTCTAAAACTGCTAAAAGAAATAAAGAAAGATTAATAGAAAAATAAATAGAAGATTAATCACATAAGGTTTGTATATTGAAAAATTTTTGAAATGAAATATAATTAAGATGCTTAAAGAATAATTGTTATGAACTGACGAGATATATTGAAATAGATAGTCAAATATTTAAAATTGTAAAATGTTGCTGATAATAATTTCTACTTCTAAAAATTAAATTCAGTTATTTTAGATATCATATACTCTAGAAAAAGTCTATATAGTACTGGAGGGAAAACTACTGAAAGCAATTTAGTGACTATTCTCAAAAACAGTAAATTAATCATAAATTATTTATAAGCATGTATTTAAAATTATAATTCTCTGTCAGAAAAAAAAAGTTAAAAGAAAATTAAAATACTATTGAAGTTAAACAACTTTAAATCTTCAAAGAAGAGTTTTAAGCATAATTTAAATACAATTCTGCTCTTTAGTTTACAAAAAAGAGAAAAAGATTTAAAATTTAAAATTTAAAAACTGGTCTTAAGAATCATAAAAAATTTTAAATAAAATCCATAAATAACGTTAATTAGAATTTATTCAAAAAGAATATAATACGCAATAATTCGTATTTAGTTGATTTTCAATTTTTTTATAAGTGTTTTTGAAATATTTTTACATTTTCTTTGAACACAGAAAAAGGAAATTCCAATAATTATAATATTGTAAACTGTATTAAACTATTATGTAAAGTTGATGTATTTGTAAATCTAATTATTAATTGAATTTTTAAATGTGGATTATTTATTACTCCATCTAAAACCTGTGAAAATTAAGAATATTTTCTAATTTAGAGTAAGATAATCTTAAAAAATGACAATCAAACAAACAAACCAATAATAAATAATATTTCCTCATTCCTTAATTTAAAATAAAAAATTCGTATTATCAAAAACTATTACTTACGCAATGAACTCATATATAAGCTTAGTAAACATACGTTAATCAATACACGCACAAACAATTATAAAATATTCTTACTAAATCAATTGATATCAGAATTAAAGTCTTATTAAAAATATATCCTCGTTGTTATAAGCAATATATGCATATTATAAGACTTACAAAGATTTATAATAAATTTTTAGAAATCTAAAATAGACTAAATAATAATTTTTCTATTTTTAATTAGAAAAAATTTAAATTAATAAACAACTTTAACTTACAGATTTAATAGAATTCGAAATATTGATCTCAATCAATATTTTTGGCTACCTTTTTCAGGAGTTAAGTTTTTAATAATTTAAAAAGTTAGAATAAATTTTTAGAAATATTTCTTTATATATTAGATAGATAACTCCAATTTAATAAAAGAGGACAATCAATCAATCAATTAATCCATCAATTCATTTTTTACTTTATGGTAAATAAAAAATTCATTTATCTGCTTCTATAATAAATAGCAGCTATTAAAAAATACAAATTTTAAGGTAAATTAAATTTTATATTAGCTATTATATAAAGAAGTCTTCATAATTGCAATTTTAATTATATAATTTTTACAAAATCAATCAATCACTTTTTAATGTTTGTAATAGTAACATTATAACAAGCATTTAATTTAATAGTGCAGAATTTGTAGTTTGAATAAAATTAAAGTCTTTATTTATTGGTTCATTTCAACTTAATATCACTTCAGTATAAGGCCGTCTAACATAATTCTAATTACTTACTTACATAAAAACTAGTACCCTACACAATAAAATGAAAGTAATAATAATAATAATAATTATAAAAATCATGCTTATTTGTATGATATTTAGTGTAAGATTTCTTGGATTAAATATAAACTTATTTTTTATCCATCCAACCAATAATATATTTTGTAAAATTAATAACATAAAAAAAGTTAAATTTATAATTTAGTTGCGCTTTAATTTTTTCAGTTAAGTTTTTTAAAGTACCATAGATTAATAATTTAATTGATCACAAAAATCAATTAAAATTTATCTTCAAAAACTTAGCAAACATAAATTTAAAAAATAAATATTTTCAACATTTCTAATAAAAGTGTAATAAATTTACTTAATTATAGAAAATATATTATCAAAATATTAGAAAATTTGAAATTAAAATGATTTTTCATCTTTTTAAAAATACAGTATTTTTGAATGAAAATCAAACCTAAAAATTAATAAAAAATTTAAATAATAAATTATTAGCTAAATAACTAACTTAGCTTTCATCAAATTTATCATATTAGAACTTGGATTTTTGGTGCAAATTAAGTAATAGTTAAGCATGATAAAATAAATTTTGATGATGTAGATTTGAATTTAATAATATGAAAGAATATTTTAATATTTTACTTTGGTTTCACCAGGTAGGTAATGATTAAAACAAAATTTGACTTAAACCTAAAGAAAACAATAACACTATTTAAGTATAAAATTGAGATCATTTAAATAATAATTCAAGTAAATTCTTTCAACAATAAATATAAATTTCAAAATAATCAGTCTTTTTTATTAATTTTTGTATAAATCTACTAAAATTATTGAATTATATTTAAATTTTTTCATAAATACGACTTATAAAATAATGGCAAACAGATTTTAATTTGTTAAATTTAATTTTATTTTGAGATAAAAAAACAATAAGATGATTTTATTTTTAAAAAAATCTTCATAATGATCTAATTTTATAATTGAAAATGGTCTTGAAAAAATGCTTTTAAAAATTTTTATATTTGAGAATTAATTAGTAAAATAATTAATATCGAAAATATTTAAGCAAAGCCAGCTTTTTATAATTATTATCTTAAAATAAATATGAGAGAGAAGTAAATAAAATTATTTATAATTCAATTTAAATATAGCCTTCACATAAAATATTTAAATTTAACGATTTAATTATTAGTTTTAAAATAGAAAATAAATTTAAAATAAGTGACATTTATTTTATAGCTTAAATTAATAAAATAGCAAACAAACAAAATAAGGAATATCCTTCTTACTATACACAATTTCTTGAAGTTTTAAAAAAATAATTTTTTGATGATTTTTTTTTTTCTTAAAAGAGTTGATGCAAATATTTTATTAAAATTTTCGTTTTCTAACAAAACTTCTAACTTATCTTTCAAATCAAATCACATTAGAGAAAAAATTTGATTTTTAATATATTAATTAGATAAGATATTTTAATAAAAAGTAATATTTAAAGTTTAGTAGATCGTAAATGGATATAGAAGCTTGTGCAATTCCAGGAGCCATTATCGGGCTTTTCAGTTTGCTCCTCATAGTTTTTACTTGTTGGGATACAGTAGAAGTTACTTATTATGGCATTAAGTGTAACACTTTCACAAAAAAGTGCAGTACGCAAGAAATATATGAATCAGGAAGATATTTCATAGGACCATTTAATTATTTTGTCGAATTTCCTGGCACATTATAAACTATTAGTTTTGCAAATAACAATTCAAATAGAGCTCTCTCAACTAGAACTTCTGAAGGTTTAAATCTGTTGTTAGAAATATCTATTCAATATTAATTGAAAAAGTAAATATTCTTTCTAGTATTTCATTTTTTAGTTGGATGAATAGTTTATGAAAAAGCCATCTTTGATAATTAATTAAAACATCTTCTTTTAAGCAAATATGACCTTTAATTATTTAAAACTAATATCATTAAACTAATTATTATCATGTATGCATAATTTAGGAGTTAGCTAGAACCTCTTTATCAGACTTACAACATGCAATACGAATAAACTTACATTAAAATTGCCAGAGATGTTATCCTTCAAGCTGCTGGTAGTTATCAAGCTGTTTCTTATTGGACAGAAAGATAGAAGATTGTAGATGATATCAAGAAATAGTTAAACTAAGAAATGTAAAAAGCATACACTGATGTTAAATATTTTGCTATCTTGTCAATCGACCTTCCCGATCCTTATGAAGATTCTATAGTGCAAACTTAGGTAAAACTTTAAAAAATATATTAAAAAACTTAAATATAAGATACAAAAAACGCTTTATATTTATTTACAAATATTCCAAAAAATAGGTTGAAACCTAACAAAAGAAAACAAAGGAATTCGAAAAGCTTTCAGTTAAAATCAAATAAGAAATCGAAGTCATGATTTCAGAAAATAACTCCAAAATCAAATACATTCAATCCTAAGCTCAAGCTGATGCTTTTAACATTCGTTAAAGTGCATAGGTATAAATATATAATATTAGTTTACATAAATTACATGAAATATATAATAAAAAGGCTGAATACATCAGAGATACTCTTGGTGCTGAATAAAAGGCATACAAAAAGCTAAAAGATGTAAATTATTAATAAATTCGTTTTTAATTTGTTGTTTATATTTAAAATATTTAATTATAGGACTGTAGATTCAACAATGACGAGCTTAATAGCTTTATATACTATAGCTCTCTATTAGGAAAAGTTAAGCAATCCTAATTATATGTAGGAGTTAATGATATTATAGCTGATGCTAGAGCTAAAAACTGAAAATCATAAATAGCTAAAACTTTTTTTTAAGTGTAGCATTATATGTTTTTGTAAAGATGTAAAAAGTATCTTTAAGTTTAATAAATAAATAAATATAAATCAATAAATAAATTAAAAAAAATTAGCTCATTCAATACTCAACAGCTAATAAATAACTCTCTAAAAAAATATCTTATTTTATTTTTATAATTATAACAAACAAATGGATTCTCAACTGTTGAATGTTATTCATTCATTCAATAATTCACTTATTTATTTATGCATTTATTAATGTTTTATTGCACTATTGATTCATATATATAATTTTTTATTGTTTTCAGATGATGATGTATATCTATCTAGTTATTTATCTTCAATTAATTATTCAGCTAAAAACAAATATAAATATTTGAAATTAATATTGCAAGGTCTTTTGTATTTCAAGAAGATAATTTTTGAAAGTTAAGAAAGAATAAAATCAAATTAATTCAAAAGAAAAAGAAAGAAGAAAGCTTCTCTTCATTTATAGGCAATTCTCCAAAAATATAAAATATGAATCCCCAATTCCAAGCTTCTTAACACCCTAACTAGTAAGGTTATGTATCAACAGGAATTCCTGGGCAAGTTTAAAAGCAGCCTGTGAACGTATAAAATGTTCTCTTTTTAACTGGTACTGTTTTGGCGGCTATTAACTGCTTCGCCAGAGCTGACTATAATTTACCAGTTTTCTTAGTTTCATATCTCCTTTGGGAATAAGATTATGGTGTAAATAGCTTATTTAATAAAATAATGCAAATTAATTTTAACTAAATAAAAGACTAACAAGCATTGATTTAACTTTATTAGCTAAATATATAAGATAAAATAAAATATATTTCCAATATGTTTCATATTAAATTAATATAATTTAGAGGGAATAAACACAAAGAGCAAGAATCCTTTATCTTTTGATGTTCTGCACCTTCGTTGATTTCTTTTACATAATATATTGGGGCTCTTCCATTAGTGTTTTTACTAAAGATTTGGAATGGCTTAATTCTGTTTATGTTTTCACCATCATTATGACAGCTATTCTTATGGTTATTAAGGTATTTTTATATATATGTGCTTAAGATATAAATTATATACAAATATTAATCTTTGAATAGCATATAGATAGATAGATAAATAGATGGATCAAATACAAATTAATATATTCATCAATTTATTTTTATAATAAAATAGTTTGTTATCTTATTCAGAGCTACTTAAACCGATTAAACTTTACAAGAGAAAGTTAGTGTTTAAGGTATCACTAATAGCTTAAGTGCTTTCTTCGCTAGTGATCCTTATGGTTAAAACTCACTTCATGCTCAAAACTATCCTGCTTAACAACCTTAATAAGCTATCCCATAATAACCAAATTTCTAGTAAAATGTATATGGTTACGATTCATAAAATATGAACTAACTTAAGTGATAGAAATAAATCTATTTTAAATTTAAATTAGAAAAGCATTTTTGTTTAGTTAAGATTAGTTGTTTTCGTGTATTTGTATCACAATTTATGAATAATTCTTATAATATCCTTACTTGCTCTTTAAAAACGGATAATTAAACTTTAATTTCTATATTAAGAAGAATATCCATCCATCCATCCTGATTTCTTAAAAATATTTTTACTTATTTCATAAAATACTAAAACAGTAATTTAAATTTAAAATCTATCTCTCACAATTTACTGAAAAAGAAAAATTAATTTAATTCTATTTTTTTAATTTTACATTAATTATGAAATTAAATTAGCTTTAAACGAAAAGAGGATTAAATAACTATATTTTTTAATTTATTTATTTATTGATTTTTTGATTGATTAACTATTAAAAGGAGTTAAATTAATAAGAATAATTGATTTTTTTTTCAGTTAAAGTTTATAAAACATAAATTTGTTGAATTTATAATATAAATAATTGTAGTAGCATTTATTATTTTTAATTTTAATTTTATGCTTCAATACTTTTTCTTTCTTGGATCTAAATTGTTTGCTGCTTTTAACCCTGCTTACTTAGAAAGCATTTTTTTTTAAAGACTGTCATCAACTCTGTATTTTGGATCAAAATTTGTAGTATCTTAATCAGTAAGATGTGTGTATTTAGATTAACCTTTTTTACCAAAATTACCTCTTCTTTTCTACATAAGATGAGGTAAAACACTCTTATCAAGTAGTTCTTCTCCTACTGGCATATTAAAATCTCTCTGCAAAACATCATCGTCATCATCTTGATAAAAGGCACCTTTATGATAGTATTTTTGCATAAACCCTATTTATCTTTTTTCCTTTTTCTGATGTAGCCCTAATCTCTATAAATTAAAAATTAAAATATTTCTTAAAAAAAATATTAAATTACTTTATCTTCTTCAATAATTTCTTCATTAGTCATTTTGCTTCTTCTTTCCTATTCAGCTAATTCTTTTTCTCTCTTAATTTATTCATCTCTATCCTTTCTGATTCTTTTTAATTCTCTTATTTTCCACTGCTCACGTTCAAACTCCCTATCCATATCATCATCGTCATTCATAAAATCTTTACCTTATCTGCTATCATCACTCTACTCTTCATCTCCAAGATTACCAATAATTTGCTATTTTTTTTACTCCATGATAATCATTTTAATCTATTGCTTTGCAATTTATTCTTGCTTTTTCCTTTATTCCTCGAGCTCTTATTCCTCTATATCTAATTAATTCTAATAATCTCTTTCCGATTTAGGAATATAAACTGGTTTCATCATTTTGTAAACAGGTCTAACTTCTTCCTCTTCTTCTTCATCATCATCCTCATCTTCGTCATCATCATCATCAGCTTCATCATCGCTTCCATCTTCATCACTTCTTTCATCATCATTATCTTCATTTTCACTTGAGCTTTATTCACTTTTTTCACTTTCATTAGCTTTTTCTTTCAATTATTATGATTTTCTTCTTTCTATTTCCATTTCCTCACTTTACTATTTACTAAGCTATTTATTTTTCTTTTACTCCTCTTCTTCCTTTTATCTTTAAAGCAAACGTGCTCTTGCAGCAGCTCTTCCTTCGTTTCTTGATTCTACTTTTATATCTCCATTAATGTTATGAGTTGTAATTTAAATTTCACTATTCTATAAACTCTAACCAGTTTGTTCTTATTTTTATTATCCTGCTTCAGCCTATTTTTAATGATCATCTTATTTTTAACTTTACTGTTAGGGATCTTTTTTCTCAGCTTATTCTTAATTAGACGATACTAATTAGGATTTTTAAACTTATCTTCTCCTTCCTAATACTTTTTTACGTGCTTCCTCTTCCTCTTATATTTACTTTTAATCATTTTAAATATCATCAACTAATATATTGCTTTTATGTTCATTAGCAGCTTCATCTTATTTTTTTAAATTTGCTTCTTGTATTTGTTTAAATGCTGGAGCATCTTCAAACATATTAAATTCATCATCATCGTCATCAGCATCTTCTGGTGCAACACCTTTCCAATATCTGTTAACAACTTATTTTTTTTATGCTTAATTTACTCTCATATCTTATCCTCCTTTATTGAGAATAGAGAAAGGATCTGATGCGCCAGACATTGTGTTTTTAATTTAATAAATGCTATTTTTTGATTGATTATGAAAAAAATTTTTTTGAGAAAATGATTGATTGATTAATAAATAATATATAGACAAAAAGATTTATAAATATAAATATAAATATAAATGACTTTTAAAATTTAATCAATAATTAAGAGTATATCTATAAAATTTGATTAATTTATATTATTATAACCTTCAAAATTAACAACAAGTCTGCTCAGTTATAATTAAAGTTTGATTAAATTTTAGGTAAATTACTATTTTTTTCATTTATTATTCTATTTTTAATTTAAAATCTTTTAATTTCACTTTTTATTATAAATATTTGTGATATTTATACACTAACTTACAACAAAGTAATATATCTTTTAAATAATTCAACTTACACATAAAGAATATAGGTATCCTACTTAGTAATTTTATTTTGAGTAAAGTATTTTATGAGAATATATCTGTGATATTGTTATACAGTAAAGCTTAAGTTGTGGATACCCTCTTAAAGTGGGCACTTTTTTATTTACAGAGTATTTATGTTTAAATAATTTTTTTTTTTTAATAATTGCAAAAATGAAAAATATAAAAAATTTAAGGTAATAATAATCACATAGTAAAGTACAAATATAATTGAGATATATTAAGCATTCAGTAAAAAAATTATAAAATTAATTTAGTTGTATTAATTTATAGAAAAATATATAATTTCATCGTATAATCCTTTTAAAGCTATTTATTTATTGCATACAAAATCAGTAATAATTTTTTTGAAAATATGTTTTTAGTTTTTTAGTATCTCTAAATATATTACAATTTTTAGATAACTCTTTCACAAATTAGTTGGTTTCTTTATAATAAAATTAATAAAAAATTTACAGTTTTGATAATTCTAAGAAGGTAAAAAAAAAATAACAAAGTAAAATAATAATTTTGCATGGATAATCGTATTATTGTTACAGAAAGAGGTTAGGAAATTTAAAAAAGCATAGAAGAAGATGTTAAGCTTGAATAATAGATAGCTTTGAATAAAAAGTAAGAGTTGTAGTAAAAAGAAAAAAATATAAATGATGAATCTTAATCATTCATATAATAAATGTTCCAAGCAAATAGTTAACTAAAAATGATGGAAAGTGTTAGCAAAAAGTTTTAAGTAGTGAGTACTGCCAAGGGTAAAAATGCCTAGTAAAAAATTGTAGATATGTTTGTAGAAGAAAACAATTTCAATAAGAAAGATATGAGTCCATACGTCTTACATCAAATAAGTAAAATGACAGAAGAAGTAATAAAAGGAAACTCAAAAAAAACCAGCAATTCAAGTTCAACTTAAAACTTGTCAATGATGAATAATAGCATAAACAATTAAAGTTAATATATAAACCCAAATGACCTAAGCCATACTCATAAAATGATGCAAAGAGGATCTATAAGTACAAAAAGTATGCACACTAATAAATATGCTTCTGCTTAAAATCTAGCCACAAATAATAATTAAAACTAGAACTAAAATGTATCGAATATGAACGTTTCTACTATAAACTAGTCTATTTACGATGATTCTTATCTGATTGATAAGTGCAATGCTATTTTACATTGTGAAGCTAGAGTTGATAGAATTATGAAAAGATATAAAAAATATTAAAAAGTTACACAAGAAATAGATACAAGAGTAAGAAGAGCCTGTGATAGAAGAAGAGAGTTTTTACAAGAAGAAAATTTAAAACCTCCTAAACGTCTTGATGAACTCCGTAAAGAGAATGAAGAAATAGCCGATATACTTGATAGATCAGATAAATATGAATAAAACAGAAGATAAAGAGTGCTAGATACTATGAAAAAGAAGTATTAAAAAGTGTGGAGCACCGTGCATGTACCAGAGCTTACAGAAAAGTTTAAATAACTTCATCGTATGCACTTCAAATAAATAGATGAAGAAGAAGAAAATGAAACTTCATAGTTATCAATGACTTAATCAAAAAATTAAACAAAATACAGTGGAATATGAGTATTTAACATTCATTTCAAATCTAAATATTAAAATTAATATCACTCCTCTAATTTTTCTTTTTAATTAAAATTAATTTATATGACCTTTATTATTAATTATACAATAAGTTTATTCATCCTAACCAGGTTTTTGTTTTTATATTTCTAAATATAATAAATATCCTTTCAATTTTTAAATTTTATATAAAATCCGTTTTATTTTAAAATAATCTTACAATCTCAATAAAAATTTGTTTTCAATTTAAAAAAGCATTTAAACTGTAGTTTATCTACCAAAATATAGTTTTTATTAATAAGAGTTAAAACAAACCAATCAATTCTTTATATTTAAAATATTTACAATATTTAAAATCATGATTTAAATTTCATTTAAAATTTGACTGTCTCAGAAAAAAAATTCTTAATATCAAAATTTATTTTTAAATAAAAAAACTTTCATTAATTTATTATTTCTTTTAAAATTTTACTCATCTTTTAAATATTTTTGATGGGTTTAATAAGAAAATTTATTGTAAAAGCAAGCAAAAAAACATATTCAATCAAAATAATTTAAAAATTAATTATTTATAAATTTATTTTAATTTTACAAGTAGTTAGCATAGAAAAAATACACCATAAATATCAGTAAATTAATGCTAATTAAAATTTAATTATGTAAACTTTTTTTTTATATCTTGACACATTATTTTGCAATGTTTCTTTATTTAAAAGGGTAATCTATATAGATAGAAATTAAAATTTTTATTTTATTTAGAATTATATTTAGTATTTTGTTTACAAAAAAATAGGTTAATTTTATATTTTTTAATTGACAACAATTAATTTTCCATTTTGTTCATGAAAATGAAATCTATTTTTATTATAATTCTTATTTATTTATTTGTTTATTTATTTATTATTTTTAGTTTTGAAGATAAACAATTAATTTATTATTGATGTCTTAGAATATATTCTATTTTTTAAAATTATAAAAGCAATAAAATAAATGGTATAAGATTTATGAATCAAATTTTTTTTGCATAAAAATTAATATTAAGAATTGTATATATAAGCATAATTTGTTTGTTATTAACAGCTAATAAATAAATTATTATTATTAAAATCTTACTATCATTTATAAATTTAAATTTACTTTTTGCGACAAAGCCAAAAAAAAAGCAATAATTAATAGATAAAAGCATGATGGATTAAATATAAGTATCAGAGGAAAACATTCTAAACAATTAATAGGATGAGCATGATTGTTTCTTTCATTAAGGAAATTTAAGAACCAAAGATGAAGCTTCATTTTAAATTTATAATAGACCTAGATAATTAAGTGTTTAGAATCCTGTTTGTAGAAATGTTTTAGAATTTCCTGCTTTAAATACAACAACTATGGCTTAAAATAATTTTTATAGCAACAACATAGGAAGTTAATTCACTTAGCATGATTTTTCTAAAATGACAACTAGATCTTAAAATAGAAACTAACGATCTACATCATTTAATATTGGTCATACCTTTTATTAAGAGTAAAGCAAAACATGTAATCTAAATGCATAGGTCTAATAATAAACAGAAATCCAAAATAAATTTTTTAGATACTTCAAAACTTAATAGAGGATGAGAAAAGATAGTCTGAAATAATTCAGTGAATCAGCTTAGCTTAATTAATCCAACTTTTCAAATAATATAATAAAAAATGAAAACTTAAGTTAAAAAAGCATTATTTGTTAGTTTTCTGAAGATTAAAAAGGAATTGAAGATTTTACAAATGTCAACAATGAAGAAATAATAGATTTAAATAATAACTATTTGTATGAAGAAGGATTGGATACCATATAAGATTAAGAAGAAATTGATAGATTGTCTTATTATGAGTTATATAAAAATGGAAATAGCAATTTTTTTACACAGTAAACAAAAAACTTAAAGAATAAAAAAGATATTCATTTAAAGTAAATGAAAAAAAATGAATTTTTTATATAAGATGATATCTCTCCATGGTAAATTAGCTAAAGAGCATAACATTTTTTTAAAGCAACCCAAAAAAATAAAGAGGTGAGATCTGCTTCTTCTACTCCATATGCAAAGCAAAGTTAGATAGGGTTAAATAAGGATACAGATTTAATTGATAATTAAAAAAATAAACCTACTATCGATTAATAGTTCAGTGAAATAAGTGGGAGTGCACTTAACTTTTGTAATAATAATGATAGTAAAGATAACAATTTTGCCCATCTAAAAGCTAAGTCTTAATTGCTGAGTGATCCGTATCCACATATTAAATAAATTCATTCAATTAACTAAAAAAATCTAGATAAGCAACTTATAGATAACAAAGAATAGTATAATTTTGCAAAGAGAAACAGTAGATAAATATAAAAAAAAATAATTAAAATGTTAGTAAAATAAAATCAGTAAACAGATTCTGTACTTTAAGAGAGTTAAAATAATAATATTTAAAATTAATAAGAAAAAGATATTTTTAAAATTCTCAAGCCTTAAAAAAATAAAGTTCAAATATCTGAATTGAATTCTATTAAAGGAAAGGAAAATATGCCAAAATTTTATAACAATCTTGCAAATATAGAAATGAAAAAATCGGCACTGCCAAAAATACAATAATAGATGAATTTATTAAAACCAAACACAATTATTTTCTAATCAAACTAAAAATATAAAAGTTTGTTTGATAATTCTTCTCATAACTTTAATGAGTGCATTACTTTCTTACCAAAAAACATCAAAAATAAAATTTTAAAGCTACTTGTAAAATGAATTAATTAATTAATTATAAAATAAATATTAAATTAAATTAAAACATTTGAATTTTCCTCCTTATTTTAATACAGTATATTGAAATTAGTTTAATTTTATTGTTCGCTAAATATCATTCTAATATTGTTATTTACTTGATTAATTTACCATAAATTCAATTAATTTAAAAATAAAATTAAAATTTAAGCAAGTTTTTTTTTTACTCATTAAATTGTTAAACTAAAAATAAAATAGTTTTTGTTAAAATCTTACATTTACTTAAAAATACTGTATTCATTCAATTAAAGGATTTAATTATCAAATATTAAATGATTATCTGAATTATTGTGTTTTTGTTATTATTAATTATAATAGCAATTTGTTTTTTTTAATGATTGATCACTGGTTATGAGAGATCAAGTTGATATATTTTTTATTATAAAAATAAATTTGTTTATTAATTAAAATTAGAATTATAAATAGTAATAATTATAATAATTTTTTATTTATTTATATTTTAAATAGTTAACTCATTCTAAAAAACAACTATTATAATATTCATTTTAAGATTTTTAGGAATAAAAATAATAAAAAATCTACTTTGAAAATAATTTAAATATAAACTCTTCATTAATAATTATAATAAATTATCATATTAATGAACGAATAAATGAAATGCAAACATAATATTTGAGTTTATGGTTAGCTATTAATAAATATAATTAATTTTGCATATTTTATGATATATTTATTTATTTCTTTAAGATAAAAAAATAAAATTAACAAGACAATAAAATTTAATTTCTGAGTCATTATAATTAATTTACTGGCTTAGTTAACTTTAACAAATATACCTCTACCTTTTTTGATCACATTAACTTCTATAAAATTATATATTTAAGATAAAACTCAAATCAAATAATAATAGGTAAATTATTGTAGTAGTGTTCGCCATGATATATTAAGTAATATTCTAATATATAATACAAATTATTTCAAAGATAAATAGGAAAACATAATGTCATTAATATCAATAACATCTTTTCTTTATTTATACTTTCTAGATTTTATTTTTACTGATTATTTACAACATTCTTCTTCATTAAATATAAAAAGAAATAATAGAGCAAACCCATCATTTTCAAGAAGAGTTTATCACCACCAGGAAAAGTCTCAAAAACTCCTGAAAAATTGAATGAGCCTTGGTATAATGAATCTTTTATTTAGATGTTAAAGAATTCTCCTTAATAAATACTGATCTCAAAGCCTCCATAAACTGCAGCGTAATAAAATATTCATTGTACTACTACTGGTGAAGGAATACCTGTAATAATAAATCATATTAATCATAGTCCTGCCAATATAAAAAATCTAGAAATAATTACTATGCCCTACTAGAGAGTATTAACGGATGCTAGTTAAATGGTAAAAAATATCCACCATGAAGAAAAAAATAATAATTATTGCAGGCAAAATAATTTTATTGCTAAAGAGTAAGAGTAGAACTTACATAATAACTTTTTGCAAAAATAATATATACATGTTGATCAAAATATTGATACCTCTAAAATAAATGACTTTGCCAAATCACCTTATAAAATTAGTAGTCATGGTTATTAGCTTAATTGTTAATAATTTTAGTACTCTCCGAGCAAAGTCTAACAAAAGTAATCCCCAATTTAAAAATAATCTGTATAATCAATATAAAATCATTTTGTATCTTAAGTTTCTACCACACACCTTAATTCTCCTGCAGTTAACATTTCATCAATTTAATCTCCCTATATATCTAACTATTAAATTAGCTAAGGTTTAAATCCTTAAACCTAATACATTTAGATGCTTAACCCTACTTTTAAGGTTGCTCAATCTCCTAATTTATCTCCGACTTCTACTTCCCCTAACTTGAATAATTTAAAGACAAAAGAAGACGTTTAATTTATTAGATTAAACACAAATGAATAACAATAAGCCATATAAAATACCTCTAGTAATATTAAAGGTATTCAAGATTCTTCTCTAAATAAAAAATTCGAAACACACTTAATTGCTACAAAAAATACTGTTTAAATGGTGAAAGATAATAAATAAATAGTTAATACATCTTCTCGGAGTCTATCGCCTACATAAAAGCCTAATATCACATTTTTAAATAGTAAACCAATTAATTATGGTTAAAAAACATCTCCGTTTTAATTGGACACTTAATAAGAAAAAGCAAATTAAATAGTTTATATTAATAAAAGTGTTGTAAATAGGAGTGGATCTGCTGGAAGTAGGCCAAATGAATTTTAAAATCAATAGTCATTATTGATTCAACAATAAGTTAACTTGAATCCCTTAGTTTAAAATACCTACACAAATAATATTATATCTCCCATAGAACAAAATAAAATAATATTGACTTAAAACTATCCAAAACAAAATAACTTATTTTCTTCAAATATAAACTAAAATTCTATGTTCATTCAGTTAAGCAATACTCCTGAAAAGTTACCATAAAATGTCTTAAATATTCCAGGTTAATTGCCATCAGAATAATATAGCTAAGTAGAAAATAGCGAATCAATACATTATAAATCTCCAAATTTGATTGAAGTTCATTAAGGCAGTTAATCATCATATATCAAACCAATTGAATAAGATAGCTTTAAATCTTAAAACAGTGAAAATATATTAAATTATATCCAGTTGTAAGCTAAGTAATTGAATATGAGCAAGTAAAATAACAATAATTTGAATTATTCTTAGACTGTTTAGTAAAATTTTAAGACAGAAATAAAAAATCCCTAACCAACAAATTAAGTTAGATCAGTTAGGTGTAATAACAATTTTAGTAAAACTATTAATAATATAACTAAAACAAATGAAGCAATCAAAGAAACACAATAATCTAACTCTTCTTTAGTAATACAATAATTAAATAAGATGTTTATTGATTAAAAGGATTCAAACAATTAAAAGTCTAATATGATAAGTCCTTCTCCCATTACTTACTAGTAGTCAAATAAAAAAGATCCCTTTGAAACAGAAAACTACTAATAAACTTTGGCAAAATATTATCATAAACCTGATTAAGCTTCAAATAATTCTTAAAATGATCAGAATAAATTACAATCAAATTAATTCTCTTTAGGAGGAATCTAAGTTCGGTCGAATAACTATGCAAACACATCCTCAAGCTTATCAAGTTTTCCTAAATCCTCATTAATCACTGCTAATTTTATTGATTTCTAATAAAAGCAGAATTAAGGTAATGATCAAGCTAGTATATTTGATGATGATTAAGGTAGGTAGATGAAAATCATTTCATAAATTTAGTCGAGTTTAAACTTAAATACCAGCATAAGTCTCGGTGTGTAGGGATAAACACAAGAGCAAATAAACTTCTATTAATACTAAAATAAAAGAATTTAAGATTAAATTGACAATCAGAATGCTATAAGAAACATGAGATAAAGTGAAGTTGAAGAGGCTTAAAGTCAGCTTTAATAAGTAAAAAATAATAACACAGAAAAGGCAATAACAAAAATTCGCCGCCCATCATTTTTCGAGTATGATGCAATTGATAATGACCAAAATAATTAGTTAGAATATTCCTTTAACAATGGCACAAATTCAAATAAAGATTAGTAGCAATAAACCCTAAACATAATAGACGAAGTAGAAAGAAGAGTTTAAAATAAAAAAGCATAGTTGAATTATCCGTACACTATCGACACAATTAAAGAAGAAGATTTATAATCAAAAATAGGGACAGTGAACTAAATTATAGAGAAAGCAAGTTAAATCACTCAATAAGTACAATGTGAAGGTATAGATTTTTCGATAAATAACTTATCAATGACAACTGAACAAAAGAGTAATGGATAGCAATCTCCTAGCGCCTTTACTCCATAATAAAAAAGAATAGAGCTGGTATCTGTTTCACCTTCTACAAATACTGATAATGATTAAACTTATCTCTATAGTAAAAAAAGCTTGGAAGAAAATTGTGATAATAGTTTTACTACTATTAAAAAAAACCAATAAAATTTTTACTAAGAAAGTTAACATAACCAAAGATTTTAGAGTCCTATATAACCTGGAGTACTTTAAAACTTGAATACTGCCAGCAAGAGCCATTAATACTAAATAGCTTCTCCTATCAAAGTTTAAAAAATCAATTAAAATAAAAATGTCTAATGAGTATTTTCAAGATGAATATAAAATCTATTTGCTGATTGATGATAAATAAGCATGCAAACCAACTAACCAACAAATATATAGACATTTATGATATATTAAATTTTATTTTGTTTATGATAAATTATGATTTATAAATTAATTTTTAGAGTTTTATAAATAGATTTTATGATTTTATGTAAAAATGTTAATAAATTCTATTGCTTTCTTATTAAAATAATATAGATTTTAATAGCACTTCAGAATTTTTTTTAAAGAAATTCAAAAATAATTTTTTTATTAAAATTACTTAAATATTTAAATTATTATTTATTTAACAATCATATTTCTATTATTTTACTAGATATGTTTTAGTATCTTTAACAGAATATACTCATACTTTAATTTATTTAATTTGTATTAAGTTTGATTGATTGCTTGGTAAAGAGAAATGAATTAAGCTGAAAACTTAGTCGAAAGAGTTAAAATTGTTAATTAAGCTAATGAATTTGTAGAGTATGTTACCAGGAAGGTTATGAGAGAAAAAGCTCTTTGCCACTAAGCAACATATATCATACTAGTTAATAGCAAAGGATAAATTTGTACCCATTTAAGACATAAAGATAAATTATGGTGTGGAGGATATTGGACTACATGTTTTGGAGGATGTGTTTCTGAAGGTGAAGATTATGATACCAACGCATAAAAAGAGCTCTCTGAAGAAGCAGGAATTGACCACAATAACTGTAAATTATTAATTTTTAATTAATAGAATTGCTTGATATAATTATATATTGCTTTGTGTTATATAATAGAATTGCATGGCTTAGATACATTTTTGTATTCAACTGATGTACAGAAGGTTTGGGGGAAGGTATTTTTGATGTTTTATGAAGGCGAAGTAAAATTTTAAAAAGAAGAAATTTAAGAAATAAAATGGAGATATGTTAATGAAGTAGTATAGAGTAAGGAATAATACACTCCAGATGGTAATATAGCTTTAGATGTATTACTAAATTATGCTAAAGAAAATTAAAATTAGCACGAGGAATTGAAATAATTGTTGAAAAATGCTTGATAATGAAAAAACTTATTAATTTTATTTTATTGATAAATAAATAAAAATTGTTGAAATAACTAAAAAATGTATATTTCATATTCGTTAGTTCAATTAATGTTTCGTATCTTTCTTAAATATATAAAAAAGATACAAATTAAATTAATGTCTAAATACATACATTCAGCTGATTGATTTTCTTTTTCAAGCATTCATAAAATAGACTAATGACTTCAAGGGAGAAAGAAGAACTAATTTAATTAATATTTTATCTATCTTTATGTAAAATATTACTGAATTCAATTCAGAATTTTATTTTCGAAGCTAATATTTTAAAAATGGTGAATTTTATGTGTACTGAGAAAATAAAAAAATTAACTTTTAAATTTCTATGACTTTTCCATTTGTGGAAGAATTCAAAATTAGAAAAGAGTTGAAAATATATTTGCAAGTGCGCACTTGTAAACAGAAAATAATTAAGAAATATATATATATATATTAGTTTTGATTAATCTAAAAAAGTAATTTTCTCAAATTGTTACATCAAATAGATTTTTTCTTTTTTAATTGAAACTAAAAATGTAATTAGTTTTTTTTATGGAAATCAATTAACGTTTTTTAAATTATATTCCTTTATTTTGTTGCAAATCCCCCTGAATTTCCTAACCTTAATTTATTATAAAAACTGCAGTTTACTCAAAGTTTGTTTTTTAAGCTAAAAATCAAGCTGCTTTTCTTTGGCTAAAATATCTTTAGAACTAAATTTTTTTTTTAATTTAAATTATACATGTAAGTTTGAATACGCATGTTAAAAAGTGACGGTAAAAAAATGAAAACAATTGTCAAAATGAACGATAATTAAATATTATTGATGTGTGAGTTATTCAATTAATTTAAATTTAGAATTTCGAAAATTCTTTGTAAAGTTAAGGCTGATAATATTAATTAAATTATTCCATAAATTCAAAGCAAAATTCAACTTATGGGTATATTAATATATTAATTTTTAATGACATATCAACTAAAAATATTGTAATACTTTTGATGGAATAAAAGAAAGTTAATTAAAGTTAGACACGCAAAGAAAGGATGATTTATTGTTTGTATGCAATTTTTGATCCTATTTTTGTTTATTACTTAATTAATAGTATTATAAAACAATAGCTTAATTTTTCTTAATTAAAAAAAATTTTTTGATTAAAAAAGAAATTTACAAATAAACATCAATTTTTTTTTGAAATTGTTAAAATAGAACTTAAGTATTAAATTTCTCAATATACCCTGCTTATTTAAAGCCAATCACATACTCTAACTTTCTATAAAAATTTCTAATCTAAAAAAAGTAATTAAACACTATTGTTAAACAAAAAATAGCTAAAAAGGAATATTTTCCAAAAGTATTTATAATATCAAAAAGTAAAATCAATCAGTTTTTCACATTTAAATAACATCATCAAAGATAAAAATGAAGAAAGTAGTCGATGCCTAATTTGCTCTCAACTCTGTTAAAAAGTTTGTTCCATAATTCGCCAACCTTTAGCTTAAAAACGTTTCAATTGAAAGAATGACAGGTATTACAAACTAGACCTTCCGTTTCACTCATGTTTAAGAAGAAATAGAACCTAAGGATGTTATCTTTAGAGTCTTTGGCAAAACTTGCGAAGGAACATTCATTAATCGTAATGACGAAACAATTGTTTATTAAGCTGTTGCAGATGTAGGTCTAGGACCTAAGATGCTTGGTTATGACAACGATATCCGTGTTGAAGAGTTCCTCTATTCAAATGTTTTAAAGTAGGAATAAATGAATACTCCTTTATACCGTCGTAAAGTAGCCATAACTTTAGCTGAATTCCACTAGATTGAAATCAAGTAAATTACTCGTTAACCCATGCTTAAATAAGTCTACACAGACCCAAGCATTATTGGAGCAGTTGAAGATAAGATCAACAAAACTGAGCTCTTCACTTAAGAAGAATTAGGATTGATTGAAGAAATGCGTAGAGTTTGGTTCTCTCGTTCTGAGCACGATTTAATTTTGAGCTTCTTCCCCGAAGACAATAACCAAGAATAAATTCTTTTCTGCCATAATGATCTCCTTGCTAATAATGTCCTCATCTTGAATAATGATAACTCTCTTCGTTTTATTGATTTCGAGTACAGTCATTACAATGTTCGTGCTTTTGATATTGGTAACTACTTTAATGAATCTTAATATGACTATAACGTATCTGAAGAACCTTACTTTAAAGTTGCCAAAGAGCCTATAACACAATAGGATTACTAAGACTTCATTAATCATTACATTTTAGGATACCTCTTAAGTAAAAATAAAATACCTTTCAACAAGCACTAACTTGCAACTGATGAGGAATATTTCAAGCAATTGCTCACTTAAGTCGATAATGAATAGTATCTTAAGCAAACTAAATCAATTCTTGAATAAGAACTCTTACTCGGAGTTTGCCTTTCCCACTTTTACTGGGGCATATGGGCACTCCACATGAGCAAAGACCCTAACATTTGTTTCGATTATGTAAAATTCTCATATTCAAGATTCTAAAAATATTAAGAAGCAAAGAAAAAATTAATTGAAGCCCGTGAAAATAATAAAGTAGTTGAAGCTAAGTGAATTGATTATTTAATTAATTGATAAGCAAAAAATAAATGATGAATTTAAGATAAAAGTGAATGATAAAATTATTCTTGCTTGAATATACATACTAATTATTTAAATAAATAATAACAAAACTAAATTAAATAGAACTTTACCTAAAAGAAAAAACAAACATTTCATTACAAAATATATCAAATTTTAAGAAATAATAAAATATATACATACATACATAATTAATATATAAAATAAATATTTATCATGCATACAAGCGTGGTTTCTGTAACTTTGAATTATCTTTTTCTAACTTTCAATAATTTGTTTACTTTTTATCTTCTAAATTTCAACTTTTTCTTTTTTCTTTTTTTTACTCTAATCAAACTGGATTTTAGAGATAACTTTGATCTAATTCAAGCGATTTTTCGTATGAAAAATCAACTTTTTAATATTTTCTTTTACAATTATAAAAAGTTGATGATTATCATCAGATTTTTTATATAATTAGCGTTAATGATTAAATAAATCTATTTATAGTAAAATTTAATTTTCTTTTCTAATATCATTATATTTTTTTGACCTCATATCTGTCGAAACATAACTTAAAATAAATCAAAACAATCTATCCTGTTTTTCAGAATTTAAAAAATACGTTTCTAAAGTTATAAGCTTGAATTAGAAGTTATGACATCCATTTCAAAATCTTTTACAATTTTATTGATTAAAATAAATACTTTACAGTTAATATTTTTTAAAAATTTTGAATTTTAATATCAAAAATAAATTATAAAGTGATATCAAATCATGCTTTAAAGTGTTATTAATTTTATTTTAATTCTTTTTTTTTCAATAGAACTAAATTTATTTTACATTTGTTAATATTATTAGAAAATAGAAATATTAGTTCTATAAAAGATATTTTCATATTTTTTTATTTTGAAAATATATTTTTATTAAATTGTAATAATTAATAAATTAAGCAATAAATAATGGATAATAGATAAATATTTAAGAAAATTTAAATAAAAAAATATAAATTAAATATAAAAAATTTGTTTTTATATCTTTTTCTTTTTTATTTTTTAATTGTGAGTTTCAAAGATATTTAATTAATTAACTTACTAAATTCTAAAATTAACTCTTTTTCTTTCAAGTAAAAATTATCCAAAATTTTTTTGTGATTACAACATTTCATCTTTCAAAATAAACAGTTAATTTGCCTAAATTAACACCTCTACCTCTCTCTTACCTCAAACTTAAAATATTGTATAATAATGAAAAAATTTTTGATGTTTAGATGGTTAAATAATAAATTTTACACAGATTAAACTATTAATTAGCAAATAATTTTTACATTAAACTTAGAGGGTACTTAAGTAAGGATTAACGCTACAATATTATTTTTAAACTTTTTAACAAGATATTTGCATTTAAGTAAGTACTTTCATATTATTTTACTAATTTTATTTACTCTTTTTTTGTTTTATATTTTATAAATATGATAAATTTTATTTAGTACGGTATTTTAACAGTAATTAATTGTAATACACATAATACAAAAATTAATTTTTTAAAATGTTTGATATAGTGGAAATTTTAGTAAGTGCAGTCATAATATTTTGTTAAAATTATAATTACTTCTATATAAGTACACACTTTTATAAAGATAATATTAAAATGTTTATTTATTTGTTTGTTTGTTTTTGCTAAAATTTATCAAACAAGGTCGGCATCGGTACCAACATAGATGTAACCTTCGTTTAAGCTGATTTGAATATTTGAAACTTGAACGTTCTTAACAAGGATTTTATTTAAGTCAATACCCTTGTTAGCGAATAAGTGTTCGTTGATGAAGGGAAGAGCGAAGTTTAATATTTTATTAACAGTAGAATGTCCGAAGAATCTGAAGAGAATACCAGGTTCAACTTCAGCACCAAAAGCCTAGATAATTAATAAAAATGTTATTTAATAAATGATGTATTTTATAAAGAAATAAATAATTACTTCAAGCTTAGAGAAGTTGATACTTTCGACTGAGAATTTGAGGACTTGGTTTTCTTCGTAAATCTTAGCAGATAAATCAAGTTCACAATCAATAGTGATAGCTGAGTAGATTTCATCTTCTAACTAGTTACCATCAGAGTCAAATTGGGGTTTTCTGACTTAGAGGTCCAAAAGGGCTGCAATGTTACCAGAGAGCTTGTTAGATTGGATCTTAATGGAAGGATAGAATAAAGATTCAATACCTAAATTCATCTTAGCATCCTTACCAAACTTCTTATAGACTCCAGGAATAGTCCACTTGAAAGCTTCAGCAGTAAAGTTGAATTTATTATCTTTTTAGAGCATTTCATGAGTGATAGTGAAGTCAAGCTTATCTTGGACGAATGCAAAGTAACCAGCAGAGTTAAGGGAGTATTCGTGGATCATGAGTTCAATATCATTAGAATTGGTACTGATTTCGGGTAGGACAGGAGGATTGAAGGGAGGTCTTTCGTGAGTGTTAGAGGGAGTGAAGAAGAAAGCAGATTAGAATTCAACAAATTGAGAGTTGACAATAGGAGTGGTAGTTTGCTTAAGGTCAAGAGATAAGTTATTTCCGAAGTCAACAACTAATTCCTTTTGAAGAGCCTTAGTTAAAGCATTTTGGATCATATCAGTAACAATACCAGTCATCTTATTAAGAACCAAATTTCTGATTGTGTTGTGGAGACCAATGTGGTGAATAACGAAGTCAATGATCTTAGCCCAGAAGCTACCTCTGAGATGGAAGGAGAAATCCCAATTGATATTAATGTTTTGGAGTAAAGCTCTCAATTGACCATTTTAATCTAAATCAACCTTAACACTGGCATCAAAACTAGTAAGATTAGAAATAACATCTAAGCCAACAGTAATCTATAAATTAATTTTAAAAATCATTGAAAAACCATTTGATGAAATAAATATAAATATTTTTACTTAGAAGAGCTTAATCTTCCAGAACAAAATTTTAATTCTTTCTTCAGCTTTAACTGAACCAGCACCTTCAATTTTGAATTGAGAAATGTGGATGTTGAAGTTACCCTAGTCATTACCTCTGAAATAAGTATTAGCAATATCAACAGAGAATTAGGGGATGTGTAAATCTTAAGCAGTGACTGAACAACCGAATTTAGAACCTAAGAATTAGTCAGGGAATCTCATACCATTAACTTCAGGGATTAAGTGTTCAAGAAGATAAGTTTTAAGCTTATCGAAAAGTCTGTTTTAAACTCTGAGTTTCATAGCAGGGAAAGATTAGTAAGGATTCTTGTTAATATCGAAAATGAAGAGATCAGTTTGGGTAGAGATGTGGTTAGGAGCAATATCAGTGTTGCTGTTGATTAATTCAACATTATCGAAGGGCATAAGCTTAATACCGTGAGATAACATCAAGAAGTTGGTAAGTCTAGGAATAGATACTAAGAAGAGTCTGTGAACAGCGTTTTTAATTCTTTCAGCATCTAAGTTAACGTTTGATAAACCTTATTTAGCAATCTTGAAATCTTGGACTTGGACACCATCAAAGTATAAGAAGAGCTGGAATGAAAAAAGAAAAATTAATTAAATTTGAAAGAAATCTATTTATTTATTTACTTGGTTGACATCAATTCTCATAGATAATTCAACATAACTGGTAATTTCGAAAGTACCAATCAAAACTTAACCATCAGTAGGAGAATCAACAAAGAGATTCATTTCTAATTCAACCTTGGTCATAACCTTGGGTTCTCTTAAGAAGAAGACTTCACCCAAAATAGTGGTCTTGGGATGAGCCAATGTTTTAAAGGTAGCAATCATTGGTAAATCATAAACGAATTATTGCTTTAAGCCAGGAATTAAACGGTCAATTTAGTAGACAGTCAACTTTTGCTTAGATTCGATGGGGATATTGTTATTGGTGAGGGTGAATTAAAGCTTTTTAATAAAATGAAAATAAATTAATATTTTAGAGCTTAACTTTTTGTAAAATAATTTGAATATAAAGTAAATATTTACCATGTTAGCATCGTGCATAGCGTAGAAGAGAGAGTTGAAGAAATATTCATTAACCATCAATGTTTCTTCTTACTTGTGAGAAAGATCGTCTCTGCTAGGGAAGACAGTGGGAGGAGCAATGCTGGGTCTAGCCTTGGGAGCTTAGTTGTTGTAGAAGAACATATTTCTTTCAATCATAACTTTTCCACCAGCCATGGAGGGTAAGTTAGTGAAGTTACGGTCCAATGAAATAGTGTCGTAAACCTAGATATCAGTCAACCAGCTTCTCAAAATCTTTGTTAATTAATCTTCAAAAGAAGCAGTGATTACAGACATGAGGGCATCAAGAGGAATGTGTTCTATATTTATTGATAAGAGTGATTAATATTTCAAAAAAGGTTACAAATTAAATTTATTAATATAATAAATTTGTGCGCTTGGGTGATTACCACAAAAACTTTAGTATGATGTGAATTATTGAATGGATTTAATTAATACACAAACAACTTGGTAAAAACATTTGATTAAATTTATAAATCTTCAATATATCTAATAGATTCATCAAATAATAGTTTACTTAATTCTTCAGGGAGAGGAACTTCCATAACAATACTCTAATCGAGTTCAGCGTCGAAGAAACCAGCAGGGATAATGTATGTCTTGATATCAATATCAGTGTTGGTGGAGTTAACGTAAATAAGACCTTATTCATCAAAACCCATTTCAAAGTAAATTGAAAATTCAGCGTTATTAGTATGAGCAGGAATGTTGTAGTTTCTACCATTTACAGTCAAGTGTAATTGTAAATCGAAGTTGACATTCTTAGAATTAATAACGTAGGTATTGTTTGTTTGAGAAATGGATGTTTACTCAGGATCAACCTTAGCATACTTCATGTAGAGCTAGAATTGGAGAGGGATTCCATTGTAGACGTGATCCATACTGGCAATAGCAATATTTTTGAAGTCAGGGTCGAATTAATGGAGAACCATGTTTTGTAAAATTAAATCAGTGAATGCCTTCATGGTAAGGAAGGTTCTACTAGCAGGTCCTAATACGTCAGTTTTAGGAGGATAGTAATGGGTGTGAATCCAACCATATGAAACACTGGCTGAGATGGCAAAAATTAATGCCATCATAGCGATTGTTTTAGCACTTTTCATTTGACTAATCTTTTTGTAATTTAATAATCTTTATTTTTATTATTAATATTAATTCAATAGATCAATCAGATTTTACAAATAGCTATTTTAGGGATGAATTTCTTTAAAGCTATTCAATAAATGTTGTTCATTGAATTTAACACTTAATAAATGTATAAAGGATTTCCATAAAGTAAATGTATGCAAACAACTTTTATTAATCTTAATTAATATTAATTTAAATGGGAGAAAGATTAGATTCAATAAAAATGTGTAAATTTAATTATCAAAGAGTTTTATTACCCACACCTGATTTGATAAACATAAGACTATAGAGCAAAATCTAAGGTAATTATTAGATTTATTCAGAAGAGAGAGAAAAAAAGTACAAATTAATTAATATTTCTTAGTTTACAATCGATATCATAAGCTTTTAACCATGCATTCAATGTATGGATATTTTTAATTAAAAATCATTTGTCATCAAAATAATAAATCTGTATTTTTTTTCAGAAATCTATTTTCAATTGGTATCCCTACAATAAAAATCTTCCTACATTTTTTCTCAAATAAAATTACATATTTACAATGGTAATACATTTCTTAGCCAAAAAAACTATAATTATTTTAAGTATTAAAATAAATCAAATAAAAACAATTCTCCTCCGACATCCATTATTGAAATTTTCTTGTGTTTGTGCTGCTTTAATATAAAGACTAATATTAATTGTAAAAAAAATTGTATTGAGTTAATTTTTAATAAAATATATATACAACCACTTTAAGATATTAAAAGTAATTTTGCTAAATATATAGTTATTAATATTTCAATGGAGGTATTTCTATTGACAGTAGCGTAATTAAATTTCAATAATAAATGTATTATTATTCACCATAATTTAAACATTTTTAGCTTATAATTTTTACTTTTATCTCCTTCATTTTGCATAAAATTTTTAAGGTGTTTAGAACAAGAATAAGCAAAAGCTATTTTACTTAATACAATTTGAATACACAAAATATATTTTTGCAATAGTAAAATAAATCATTTGAATGAATAACGATATTTAAATACAGATATAAAAATAATAAATGATAGAAAAAATAATTTTTTTCAATTTATAAATATGGCTGAAGTAGTCTGAAAATTTTTGAATCAAGAAGAAAGTAAAAGAAAAATAAACTTTATAAAGTTTATATACAAACTAAAGGCTTGAAATTAATAAATAAATAGCAAAAAAAAATCAAATAATATCTTTATAAAAAATTAAAATAGATAGAAGGATAAAAATAATAAAAGAAAATCCCCTTCTTGATTTCCGATTACTTTTATTTTCTCAAATAATACTAAACCAAAAAATCTGGAAAATAATCATCAAAATAATTAAGGATTTTAATATTGAATATTGCAATTACTTATTGATTTTAATTCAATCAGCAAAACCAAGTAAACAAGAAAGAAAAATTTTAAACATAATTTTTAAATATAAGATTATTTATTTATAAATATATATTCCGAAATTAGTGAGAACCGAATCAACAATTTCAAAAAAACCCTCTGCCATAACTAATAAATTAACATTTTGTCAAAAGATTGTTTAATTATTGAATTTATGAATTATAAATACTTGACAGATATAAATTTTTAATATTTAGCTTTTACATAAAATTTATATCAAGGTAATTTGAAAGAAATACAAACAAAATTAATTTAAACAATGTAATCAATAAAAATTAGTTGTAGCATGCAAATGAATTGAATGAGTAAATAAATTAATAAATAAATAAAAATTTTATTGAATATCACTTTTTCTCTAAGTTTTTAATTTTCCATATAAAAATTTAATTAGATAGAGGCTATAGTTGTAATTAATTTGAAGGTAGAATCGATAATGGTACTACTTAGTCCTCATCTAAATCTAAATCAACTAAAATATTTTAAGAATCATAAGAGCTTATATTTTCATAAAAGTAGGTAATCAATCCGACCCTTTCTTCTAGATTTTAATAAAGTTGAATATCCTAAGTTATATCTTTCTTAGTGCCTTTCTCGTAGCACATCTATTGCATAGCTTTTTCAAGGATATTAGGCTCTTTATTAAAATTAACCTTCGACCAATTAATTGGCTACTCACCATAATAAGATAGCACAGTATCAATAATATTCTTTTCATAATCTAGTATACAAATTATATAATACTCTCCTTCATCTAGAGTTAGCTCGATAGAAATATTTCTTGATACGCCCCACATTCCTTCAACAAACTCAAAATTTTCTCTATCATATTTTTTCAGAATAATAACTCTTCCCTATATGTAACTGTAATCACTTTCACGAAACAATCTTTGGTCTTTTTAATTTAATTCAAAGTAACATACACCTTTCTACTTTAATGTAAACTTTTTAGCGCTATATCTATTCTTAGCATGTCTAATTGGAGTAGAGTTGTAATAAAATTAATCATTTGACTTACATATTGAGATATTCTCAAATACTCTCTAAAAATCAGTTTTTTTCATATAAAATACATTTTATTTCACGCCTATTTGTAAAGCTCTTAGGTCATCTTCTTTAAAATTTTCAAATAAAATGGGATCACTCCACTAGCAATTTCCTTAAAAATCCTATGAAAATAAAAAAACTCATCATCATTGTCAACAACAAATAAATAAGTAAATAAAGTAGTTTGACTTAAGAATGAAATTAATACCTTAATTTCAAAAATACATTCTCCCTAGAGAAGCAAAACATTTGTAATTGGATATGAATTGTTAACTTTAATTCCTGAAGATTCCTGAAGTTCATAATCTAAATCATAATGAGGTTAGGCTAATACAATAAACTTTCTATCTAAAGCTTAAGAAACAATTTACTGTAATCTCTCATCACAAGCTTCTATCTTCTCAATTGGTGCACCTAAAATTTTATTTATAATTATGACTCTTTTTACTTTTATTTCAAATAATAACCTGTAAAATCTCTTAGAGTTTCTTCTACATTTCCTTGCATCAACAATTCATATGCTCCTAAATACTTAGCATATGCTTTCATCAATAAATGAGGCCATACATCGTGGCTCTTTTTTCATAATTAAAATATAAATACACACTTGCTCAAAAATCTTATTCAAACTTACTTGTAATGATATAGGACGTAGATCTAAAAAGGAGGGCTCAGTCTTAGTAGCCTTAGACTTTCTAACGCATGGTATCTGATCGTCAACACTAATGTATTTCCAAACACCATCTAAGCACAACCTTACATAATATAAACAAGTATCATTTAAAGTTTAATTCTCAACTATGTTCATGATTTTATTTGGAAACTCTTTGAGTATATTTAGTACTGTAATTAAATAAGGAATTTCAACAACTCCTGGCTTTATCAAAGTCTAACAACTAAGAGAGCTCAAAAGCTAAAACTATTTTTTATAAATATAAATACGTTATTCTTCTTCTTCTTTTTAATAATACCCAAGTAAAATATTTAATCATACTTTATATCTAGGATATAAATCTTTTATTCTTTTCCATTAAAAATCCTCCTTCCATTAGATATATTAAGAAGATTTTGGGTTGGTTAGCAAAGCGTGCTCATCAGCATAAAATAATTAATCTTCATATTTTTCTCTAATTTGTTTTAGATCTTTCAAGTCCTTTAAAATACTATCTAATTTTTTATATTAAGATAAATTAAAAACATATATATATTTTTTTATTTTGACTCATACCTTTATTAATTGAGTTTATTTCTACAAAATCAGTTGCCATAAGCCTATTAGTCTCCATATTTGATGAAGGCAGTACATGATCAAGAGAAAATATAGCATTTGTTTCATGACTTTAGGAGCTAGCACAGCTTTTTTCTAAAGCTTAAGATTTTAAATACTTAGTCATTCTTGAATGATCAGCAGTTGATTAATATCTGTTGAAAGAAAATCTATGAGCTTATGATTAATATAATGCAGATGAGTTTTCTTTTTAATTATATTTGACATAAGACATTGATAGTTATGAATCATTGAGTGAATCTCTCTTAAAGCTTTCTCTCTATGATTATTCATTAAAAATTGTTTAAATTATACATAAATAATGTAATTTTACCATATCTCTATTGCTAATAATTACGGATCTTGCTGACTATATGCCTTAGTCATACTAATAATCTTTTTCAACATCAGGCTTGTTATTTTATTCAACCTTTTTAATCGAATCCTAAAGTTCTTTATTTATTATTTCTGTTTTGGATTAAAAGTGATATTTTAATAACAGCTAACTCTCAGCATAATAATAAATTTACTTTGTGTAAGAATCAATGGAGGGATTCTTTAATTCTAAGAGGTATTGGTGTTCTAATTACTAACAGGAAGTCTCAAAACAAGATTTTTATCTTCATTTATTACTTTAATTTCCATTTCTATGAGCAGCTATAAATAGATAAATAAATATTTTTTTTTCAGTTAATTTTTTGAAATTTAATTATATGACAAATTATTATTTTTAACAGTGTTATTTCTTATCACCACATAATTATTCAGATAATATATTATCAAAAATACATCTTATTTTTTAACACTCTTTCACAGAAAACTCTTGATATTTCATAAAATCTTAGATAATCAATTTAATATTTTTGGTATTATTTCCTTTAGAATAATTTTCATTTTATCAAAAGTAAAAAAATAAATCTCAACTCAAAAAAGCAATAAACATTCATAAATATTTTTTCTAATAACTTAATTTTTAAAAATGCTAAAAATGATCTTTTAACTGGTGCTTTTTACAGAATAACTTATTTATTAATACATATGTTTATGCAAAAATTAGATAATCCTTAGCATATTCATCAAAAAAATAGATTTCTTTAAAAAATTTAAGTTATCAAATAAAATACTAAAATAAAGATAATTCTTATTTTAATATTTTATTGGTTTTATAAATTCTATATTAGAAAATCAATTATAATTTTGAATTAATAAAATGAAAGAATATAATAATAATTATAAACTTTAATATGTATGTAAAATAATTTCTTTAAAAAATTTAAGTTATCAAATAAAAGACTAAAATTCTGATAATTTTTATAATAATACTTTATTGGTTGGTTTTATATTTAATATATAAAAATTAATTATATTTTTGAATTAATAAAATAAAAGAATATAATAATAATTAAAAACTTTCATATGTATGCAAAAAAATTTCTTTAAAAAATTAAAGTTATCAAATAAAAGACTAAAATTCTGATAATCCCTTGAATAATATTTTATTGGTTTTATATTTAATATATAAAAAATTAATTATATTTTTGAATTAATAAAATGAAAGAATATAAAAATAATTATTAACTCTAAAATGTATGTATAATAATTTCTTTAAAAATTTAAATTATCAAATACAATGATTAAAAACCTGATCATCCTTAAAATAATATTTTGCTATTTTAAATTAATTGTTTAAAAAAATATAAGCTATCAGAATTAATTAAAAGAACAAAGATAAATTCATTTTTATATTTTATTTAATTTGTTAGTTATTATCTTAAAAGAAAAAGAAAATCAATTATGAAATGTTATTTTTGAATTAAAGTGAAAGAATATTATTATAATATATAAACTCTAATATGTATAAATAAACGCGCAAATAATTTATAAACAGTTATTTGTTTAATAAATAATATTTAATAATTAATTTTTTATAAAAAGACTATCTTTTTTATTCTTCTAATTAGTTTTTAGGTGAGAATTAATAGTGTTTGTCATTCAAAATTTTAATTTTGTTTGTGTTTTAAAAAGAATCGTTTATTAATGGAAGGGTCTATCAATTTTTATTTAATGTTTAAGTAATTGATTTACCGATTGATTAGTTATTAAATTAATTTTAAATATTATTTTTTAGATTAACAGTTGAAAAGTCATGGAAAAAGAATTTAATTTTGAAAAAGACCTCACTCTCTTCCCATTTCGTAAATATCTACTATAATTTTTTTTGCTTTGCCATAGAAACTGAATAGATAAATTATTTTTTGAAATACTATAACAAAAGGCTCTGACAACTCAGAAAGGCAGGTGACTTGAAAAATCAATTTCTTACTATTTTTGTACCTACTATAAAGTTAGTTAATGATTTCGTTTCTTTATTTAAATAGGAATAAACTACTAACTATTTCTAAAGATTATTATATTGCTTATGTCTTTTAGTATAGTATTTTGTGTATATTTTATAATGTTTAAATGTTTGCTATTTCATGATAAAATGTGATATAGTATAAAATAAATTTGATTAATAATTTTATTTCTTCTGGTTGGTTAATATTCAATTTTATGCTGAGATATAGTTTGTTTTTAAGATGTTGGTTGAGGTTATTTTTGATGCTGTTAATTGGGATAAAGAGTCTTGTGAGTTAAAAGTATATAGAGTGACTAATAAGTCACATTATTTTATATTAGTTTCACATTCTATCAAATAAAATGGCAATTAAATGCATAATAGCGCGTTACTAATGAAATTTTGTAAATGGCTTTTTTTCTATTTCTCTATTTATGCCATATTTATATCGATCTATCTATCTATTTATTTATTAATGAATCAACAGATAAAGGATTTAAATTCTAAGTTAAAAAAGTAACTTGTTTTTTTATATTTTTCATTTTTAATATATTTTTAAATATTCTTTCTCAAAAAGGGAGGGATTTGTTTTGTTAATTTAATTGATTTTCTTTTTCAGAAAGGCATTTCTAAAAAGAAGAATCAGTAAATATAGATAAGTTTTTTATCAACTCAGTTGTCTTTCTTTGGGTTGAAGAAACCGAATTTCTTAGGTTGTTCAGAACCACCGTTGCCATCTTCCTATCTCTTAGGGAAGTCACGGTTATAGTTATTATTTTGGAACCCATTATTGTTCTATTGGCTTCTATAACCTCCGTTGCTGTTACCATTTTGGTAGCCATTGTTAGAGAATCCATTATTGCTGTTTCTGAAACCCATTTCGTTATTATTTCCATAATAGTTTCTGTTATTATTGTATCCACCACTGTAAGGCTTGCTACTTCTGTTCTTATTATAGTTATTACTGTAATTACCCTTGTAGTCTTTTTTTTTAGAGGAAAATATATGAATAAATAAATATTTAACTTTTCAATTGTGAAAATAAATATAAATGATGGTGAAAATTAATTAAAGTTATTAATTACTTGCTTCAGAGAGTTCAAGAAGATCTTGACTAATTTCTTAATTATTTTACTTCAAGACATCAACTAATTCCTTAGAAATCTTCTTGTCTTCATATTGATCAAGGAATGAAATAGCTTTACCTTAAGCACCTGCTCTTCCAGTTCTACCGACTCTATGTACGTAGTCTTCGATTTGCTTAGGGAAATCATAGTTAATAACTAATTTAATGTCCTTGACATCAAGACCTCTAGATGCAACATCGGTTGCAATTAAAGTGTTGACTCTACCAGTTTTGAAGAGGTCCATAACTTTATCTCTATCTCTTTGGGATTTATCACCATGGATACAGATGTTTCTTATATTGTCAGTTTAGAGAGCTTTGCTAAGATCATCACAATCTTTCTTTGTTTAAGTAAAGATAATGGTCTTATCAGATCTTGTCATTGTGCTAAGAATTTCTTTAACTCTTTATGATAAATTAGATATTATAATGTGTCAAATTTAAGTAATAATTATTATTTACCTATCGTATTTTTGGCTTTTATCAATGATTTCAACTTATTGATCGATATCATTGTTGACGTTGTTTTCCATATCACCAATTTGAATGTGAATAGGATCTCCATGACAAAAATCAAGGGCAAGTCTTCTAACAGTTTAAGGCCAAGTAGCAGAGAACATAAGAGTTTATCTATCAGGTCTGATTTAGCCAACGATTTTTCTGATGGAAGGTTCAAAACCCATATCAAGCATTCTATCGGCTTCATCGAGAACAAGATAAGTTACTCTCTTCAAGTCGATAACATTACTTTCCAAGAAATCAATGAGTCTACCAGGAGTAGCAATGACAATATCGCAGCCATTACGGAGTTCCTTTTCTTGGTAAATCTTAGGGGCACCACCATAAACACAAACACTGCTAATTTTGCATTTGCTGCCAAATTTGAAGCATTGTTCTTATATTTAGTTTGCCAATTCTCTGGTTGGAGCCAAAACTAATGCAATAGGGCCTTCGCCTGGCTTTACGGGATCTTGGGCATTAATATGAACAAGAGCAGGAAGCATGAAAGAAAGAGTTTTTCCTGAACCAGTTTAAGCAATACCTATCAAGTCATGACCACTCAACACAATAGGGAAAGCTATATTATAGAGTGATTATTAATTAATTTATGAATGAATAAACAAATATATTAAAATACTAATTTTAGTATCAAAAATATTTAAATCTGTCAAAAAAATGGGATGTATAAAATGGGTTTTAAAATTTAATTAATTAATTAATTAATTTGTAGTTGGGAAAAAGAAAATTTAGCTACATATTCAATTTTCTTAGTTTCATAATTAATGCATATAAAATAATTAATTTGAAAATAAAGAGAATGCAAAATTATTAATTTTCAGAGGAAAAATTAAATATTGGAAATATGATTTATTTGTGTTTGAAATCAATTTTTATCTAACACGCTAATTATTTATTTATTTAAAGGTGGGAGATAAAAAATTTTCTCTAAGCGATTGATTGATTGATTAAGTGAGTCATAGATAAATTTAGTGACTAATTAATAAAATCAAAGATAAAATACTCATTTATTTAATCACTTATGAGCGTAGTTTGTTTGAATGATTTAATTTCATTGCAATTTAAATCAAATTTTGATTCATTTAATTATCGTAGTACGTATGAAGGAACATTCATACATTTTATACTTTTTCTTCTATTTCTTGTTTGTAACATCTTGACAAAAATTTTCAAGTGTCTATCAAACTAATGTCATAGAGAAAGAAATTCAATTTATAAAAATATTTACACTGAGCTTAGATGGGCATAGGTTCAGAGAATTTGCTGTCTTCTATTACGGACATAATATATTTGGGGAATTTGGTTTCGTTCCATTTTATGAAAGGTTAGGGAACCTCTTTGTGCTTTGAACGGATTATAATACCCTTCTCTCTTTAGTAGGTAGCAATTTCTTCATCAGTATGTATTGATTTACCAACTTAGTAGAAAACCTTTTAGAAAGGCTTGAGCTCGACCTTTGTGTAGTCAATATCGTGTAAATTTTCACCTAAGTGATTTTCATCACTGTAGCCGCTGTTATTCAAGTCCTTATTAGACTAGTTGTTATTTTATTAGTTGTATCCGTAAGGTTTTTGATTATCTACGTTAGTTTTTTGCTCTTCATTTCCAAACTTTTTATTGGCATTGAAGTATCCATTTGGTTTATTGTTGTTATTGAAGTAGCCACCATTGGAGTTACCATAGCCATTTCCGTTATTGTACTTGTTTGTTCCGTAGCTCTTTTGATATCCACCTCTATTGTTATAGCCATTGCTTTAGTAGCCATTTTAATTTTGGCCATTGACATTTCTGTTATTGAAGTAGCCATTTCCTTATTTCCTTTATAATTTATAATATTGTGTTAATGAATGGTTTTGTCAGAAAATAAAAAGCAAAATATCTGCTCCAAACAAAAAACTCTTCATCCAACTGCTTAAATTAGATAGATTTTCTGTTGTTAATTCTAAATTATAGATGAAATCATTGGAATTTATTGTGATAAAAACTATTTTAGAGAATGTATTCTTGATTTTTTTTTCATATCTCCTTATTTTTTAGATTTTTAAAATCATGAAGATTTCATAGCTTGCTTAGTAAAAAAGAGTTAGTTTTCCTTTGGAGTAGCTTAGACATAATATGAAATTTTAAGCTATGGATGTAAGTTGCTATGAAAGAAAATACTGAAATGCTTACTGTTGGTTGTCGGAGCTTTGATGACTCTCATAGTCTGAGCCTTCTCCCTTATTAGAATTGCTTTAGATTTATCTTGACATTTGATATAATTATTTGGTTATTAGTTTTTGAAATTATAAATTTTCAGAATTTTGTTTGATTATTTTAAATGCAGAAGCACTTGAGCTCAAACTACTAATTAACTTAGTCTTACTACTAATTTTTAATAAGTTAATCATATATATATATATATTCTTATTTTCTTCTTCTATTCCTCTTTCAAAATTTCTCTCTCGTGCACTAGCTAACTATTGATGCAGAAAACTTATAACTTTTTAATTTTTCTTCTAAATTATATATTTCTTTAATTTTGGTAACCATTCCTGCAATGCTTTTAAGCTATAAAAAGAAAAAATTTAGTTGACCTTCATAGAAAGTATTAGAAAAGTCTTAAATAGGATGAAATTATATAAATTGAAATCTGTATAAAAACTACTTTTAGCTAATTATATGTATATATAATTCACAAAAATTATATTTATATTTTGTTATCTCATTTATTTATTATTCCTCTATATCATTCATTCATCTATTCTTTCTAAAAAACAATTTCTTCTTATCATAAATCATTTTAATAGAGTTGTCTTTAGTTTTGTCAATTCTATTCGAATTAAAATGAATTTATTGTAAAAAATGAATTTAGAGCAATCGAAAACTATTTTCTTATAGGTCTTTACCCTTTTTGTCAAGCTAGCCATTTATTTATTGTTAGTAGAATTTAGCTGTTTTAATTTTTTCAAGCTCAACCAATCAAAATTTAAAATAGCAATGAAGTAATATCCTACTAACACTTTACCCTGAAATGTTTAATCAAAGATATTTAGAGCAAAAATTGAAATTTTCAATAAGAAGCATAAATTATTTAAGAATATAAATTTAATCTTAAAAAATCAAAGAATTTTATTGAAGATATAAAAAAATTTTTGACAGAAACTACAACGAATAAGTAAGATAGAAAGATGTACAAGAGAATTTAACAGAAAATCAAAGATGCTGATTACGAAAGAGACATGTAGGAAGTTCTAGAAATCATGAATGATAAAAGGGAATAGTATTTGAAATCTAAAAATATAATAGAAGCAGATCCAGAAGAGCCTTAAGAATAACAATATGAAGAAAAGTAAATCAAAGTTAGTACTTGCAGACTCTGCAAATAAAACTTCAAGGCAACATAAGCAGCCTTAAATAATCATTTATTATCTGGAGTAAAATTAAAATCTATTTTTTATAATCATATTAATCCTTCCTCAATTAAAAAATTTAGTTGCATCAACAAAAATTAGTCGAATATAAAAAGCGTTATTCAAGATATCTATATTAAATGAAAAGATTGATATTTAAAAATAGACTTTCAGTCCATAATAAATTAAGCAAGCTAAAATACTTTAGACTAGCTTATCAATTTGAATGAAACTATTATATATTTTTATCTCTAAAATTAATTCTACCTATCATTATAACTAATTTTGAAGATTATTAATTAGCTGTGAATGTTTATATAAGCTTTTTATTCATTTAGCTTTTTATCATATAAAATAATTTGCAATCAAAGATTAAAACAATTAAATTTCAATTCATTTTAATTCCATTAAAATAAACATTCATTTAAAACTTAACACAAATAATAAAATATATTAATCCAAATTTCAATAATTGTATTGATTTAGTTAAATTTTTCATTACTAATGTAAAATGTTTACAAATTTACTCACACATTTAGGTTGAAAACTTTCTTTAATTATACTTAATATTCTATTTTAAAAGTTCTTGTCTAAATTTTTGTATTTATTTAGGACATATATTAAAGTTAAAGGTTTATATGATTTAAAAACACATTAAATAAAATTTATTTAATTTAATATAATTGTTTTTTACTTTCAAAGTTCTTCCATTTAAAAATGTGAAATATATAAAAATAATTTAAAAAATATTATTTTAGCTAAAGTAAATAAATTTGATTCAATTTAAGAATATTTTGAAAGTATTAAAAAAATTTTATTAATATCTTAATTTTAATTTTTGAAAAATAAAAAGATAGATAGATAGATAGATACATTTGCTTGAATAGGAACATATTTTTTTGAATAAGAATTTTAAAGTTTAACTTAAAAAATATTTTTAATAAATTATGCCTCAATTTTTCATAATTAAGTTTATATTGTTTACTTTATTTTTTTTGGATATTATTAATTAGTTATTTATATAAGAAGTTTCATCAGCATTATATTATTTATTTAGATCTAATATTTATTAATTGCTCAATTAAAATTGGCATTTGTTGAATTCTAAATAGAATGACTAAATTTATTCGATATAGCTACTAATTTATTAGATTTCCTAAAAAGTAATGTGACAAGGTAAGATTATTTCAACATAACTAAATATTTTATTAACTGATAAAGAGATACATTTAAATAGAATTTGTATAGATGTCATATTATATTATAGTTGTGAAATTTCTAACTTAATGCTTTTTATATCATATTGTATTGCAAAAAAATGAGAAATTATATTTAATGATGAGTTTTATACCTAAATAGTTTTAGGAATTACCAATTTGTAATTTTATATAGTTTAATTAGTCCTTTCATGTATATCAATTATTGCTGTTTCATTCAGGTAAATCTAATCCCTTAAATCTAGTATTATTGTTTTAAATTAGTCTAAGGTTTTGTTCATTTTTTAAATTATATAGTAGAGCTATTCATCTGTAATGTTCGGATACTAATTTTGTTAAATGGAAATGTTTTTTTAGAACTTAAGATTATTGATGATTTTTGCATATTAATTAAATTAATTTTATGTAGCATCACAACCAATTTCATTAAAATAATTTTTAAGGAAAGCTTAGTTAACTAATGGGTTGGTTATATAAAGACAGAATTCATCATCAAAGATTTAAGATTTATTTTAAATTTCTAAATGAAATTGTTAAAAATTTTATTTATATTTTAGATCATTTATCTCTGTTAAATTTGTTATTAATTTAGATTATGAAAATGTTTAAGCTATAATTTTTAAGTTAGAGATATTTGTATTTTATAAAAATTAAAGGATATAGAGAATCTCTTGCTTGCCTATAGAATATATTTAAAAATGAAATTTAGACAGTTATGAGTATAAATTTAATTATTCAAATAATTTTTTAAATCCCTATTAATTTTCATCTTCAAACAACTTTTTACTCTTGCTGAAATTAATAGAAAGACTATTTAAATTTATTTTATTTGTCAAGCTTTTTAGTAAATTTGATAAATTTTATATTGAAATATTTAGATTTTAGCTTAAATCCAGCTTAAATGTTTATAATTTTGTGTTATCTTGTAAGTAGAGAATTATTTGCTATACTCCAGAATCTGAAATTAAAGCACTTTAGCTAGAAAACTTAAATGAAATTAAATTGTTTTTATGATTCTAAAGAAAAGTAAGATATTGATTTATTCCTTAATCTGTGGTAATATCAATACACTTTATTTCTAATGTAATCCCTAATAAATTTGATTAATTATTAGCAAATTGAGCTATAGAAGATATAATTTAATCGTTAAATTTAAAATTTTTATTTTCATCACCTATAAAAATTCTTAATTCTTTCAATTTTTTAATTTTATTTAATTATGAGAAAAAATTTAGACTTATTTCTATTATATTTAAAAAATCTAATTCTAAATACTCTAAGTCTCCTAATTCTATCAGAAACTTATTAGTCTCAGATATTTATACAGGACTTAAATTGAGTTTTAAACTTTGTAACTATGTAATTAAGCTAACTTTTTACAGTATTTAATTGGATTATTCAATGTTATGCAAATTTAATGATAACTTTAACTCTTAAAAATCATTTAAATATTTTAAATATCCAATCAAATTTGCTATTTCCTCAAAATTTTCGCTTTTTAACAATGGCATTTCTAAAGAAAAGGATGTCAAATTTTTGCTTACTTAAATAGATTTTTGAATCATTTTAATTGTTTTTGAAGTAAAACTTTAAATCGATTGTGAATTTCTATTGATTAAGATGCTAATTTACTGAATTTAAGCAGATTTCTGAATTTATTAGCTTACAAGAGTCATTAGTTTATCATTAAATGTTTCATCTAAATTTGTCATATTAAAAACAAAGTTTTTTAAGTTTAACAATTTGAGGTTATTTAAAATATCTTCATAAATAAACTAAGTTTCATATTTAATTAGTTAGCCATAAATATCATCTTTAATAGAGACATACCCAGCATTTAACTAAAAAGACTCCAATGTATTATTTAAATGATTCAATTTTCTGCATAAGTAGAGCAACATATCTTTAAAATAATTTATTTAGGAAATATAAATGTTTCCATAATTAAAAGTAATAGAAATATGCTTCCAAACAAATGGTTGCTACAATGTTTAGATCAAGCGATCAATATTAATATTTTCTTCCCTATATTATTGATCTGGTAAATAAATATTACTATCACTCTAAATTAAAGTTTCTAGATTGAAGTAAACTTGTATTGTCTCTATAGTACAGTGTTTTTGAAAGTAGTACATTTAACCTGGTAAACACGAATAGCAGCAAGAATCGCATTATTGACTTTTATTTTATTAAACGTTTGAATTATAAATACATTTCAGACAGTTAATTTCCTATGTTTACTACTGAATGCAACCTTAATGGTATTTTGGCTATATTTCTTACTGGTATATTTAAAATTAGTCTTAATTAACTTTTGTCTCTCCTTAAAACTCAGAGTTATCTTTTTCTTTTGTACCATTAGCAAAAAAGAAATGATTAGATAATATTATGATTATGACAGCAGCAAAAACAAACGCTAAAAGATATTTAATCACTTTTTTCCTATTCTCCTTTTCAATATCCAAAGAGAACTTTCCATCATAGTTTTCAAAACTTTATTCTTATATTTCATCTTCACCTAGTTCAGTCATCTCTATATAATTATAATGATTGTATAATTATGTAAAGTCAATATTTTATGATTTCATAATAAATAAAAATAGCTGATAAAAATTTTAATGTTTATATATTTAAATCAACTTCTTTTTTTAGAATTTAATAAACAAAATTATTATTTTTGTTGAAACTCATTATTTTTAATATGCTTTTCACGCATTTTAAAAATTATTTTCATATAATTTATATTTTTTAATGAATAAATTCAATTAAATATTTCTAAAATACTAAAAAATCTTTTAATATATCTAAATTATTTTATATTTATTTTAAATATTTAAAATGATATTTTAAAATTTTAAGCATTTTATTTAATAAATAAATAAGTTACTTTTGCTTTTATTTAATTAATTAATTTAATTTAGTTTTTAGAAAATAATCATTTTATTATAATTCTAATCTTTGTTTACTCTCAGATTATTGTAATGATGCAACTCTATAATTTTATTAATTTGTGGTCCATAGCTTAAAATCTAATTTGACAAAATGCTTTATAAACCCAAAAAACTTTTAAGCATCTGTCTATTTATCTATCTATCTTTAAAGAGAAACAAAATTTTCTTCGTTATTAAGTAATTTCTTGATTGTATTTATTTATTTGTTAAATTGATATATATTTAGATACTAGGAGATTGTAAATAAAATACAAACAAATTAATTATAAAGCACACATTCATATAGCAACAGAGAGCGATAATCTTGTCAAAACTCTAATAGGAATAATTTACAAGTGAGAGAAAAGACAGATTATCAAAGGAAAATAGAATTCTAGAATTAGAAATATTCATTTAAAATATAAAATTTGGCTTCATATTAAAGTGATTACAAACACCAAATCGATTATAGATTAATTGTTGACTAAATAATAATAAGATGATTGTTAATAGAGCGTACCTTTACTTTGCATTTAAAATAAAAGATGCTATTTTTATAGGAGATTTTAATTCGCCTCATGTAAAACTATTTTTTTGTTAAATGAGAAATATTTTTTTAAGAGAATAAAGCTAAATAGGCTAAATTCTTCTCTTTTATGCTCTAAAAAAGTTTACCTTACTTAAAAGCTAAATAAAAAATGATTTGTTTTTAACTAATATAGGAAAAAGATTTTCTCATTACCAATAAAATAACAACAATCATTAATTGTGCTCAAGGGTAGATAAGAACAATAACTCACCCTTTTCCTCTTAAAATCATAGAGTTCAATTGGAAAGATTCAGATGATTAAGTAAAGAAATTGTTTAACAGAATAAGATCTAATTAAAGGATAACAAACAATTTTTATTATATTTCAACAGATAATTTTGGATGAAAAGGATGAAAATATAAATAAAATATATGATGCAATATATGAAACTGTTGATAAAGGAGAGAGTGTTTTAGTTTGCTCGATGCGAGGACAAAGTAGAGCTTTGACTCTCATATCGGCATTTTTTATGAAAAGGTAAAATTTTAGCTTAGAAATATTGAATTAACTTTTAATAAAGACTCAAAGTCTAAAAAAAACAATTATTGATAACCATAAATTTATTTGATTTAACTATATAAAATATTGAAGGTATAAATGGACTCTATATAAAACTCTAGAATTTATGAATTCTAAAAGATCTGACTTTGAGATTAGGGCTAATTTTCTAAAATAGCTTGTTAATTTTGAAAAAAGACTATTTGGGGATGATCTTAGTTAGTGTTCAAGGACTTGGAAAGGTAACTAAAGATTACATCTTATTAATAGAAAAAATAAGGAATTGATTTTTCAAAATAATTAATAAAAATTTTTTGTTCTATTGTTTTTTAGTGTGGTTGTGAATGAAGGCTAATTTTTCATTAATTGGTTAATAATTAATTTTAATTTGAAATTTCTTGATTAATCACCACAATATTTAATTAAAATTAAAAAGAGTATATATACATGATGGAGTATTTATTTTAATTATTTATTAACAAAAAGATGATAACAATCAAGAACCAGAAGCAGAAATGATGAAAAACACATTCTTAAATTCACAAAAGCAAATTCCATTTCCTGAAGTTTAAAAATAAAAAACTCTGAGCAATTCAATGCAAAAATGTAATTAATTATTTTTAATTAAATTCTTAAGATAAATTTTAATTTGATTAATGTAAACTCAAAGCAATTCAAAAAATCTGTTGGAGTACAGAAATAGCTTAAGAAATGAAAGAAGACTAAAATATTAAGAATGAAAATAAATTAAATTAATAATTACAAAATAAAAAGCCTATCTTGAAGAATAAAGCTGAGAGAAATGCCTATCTTTCATAAATAGAAGAAATAGGAGTAGATAATAAAGTAAATTGTTTATTTACATTTGTATTTATATGACTTTTACTCGTTTTGTTATAGGATTTAAAAGAAAAAGATCCAAATTTGGCATAATTGGAGCAATATAAAAACGAATTTTTAACAAACTCACTCCTTAAATCAGAAAGCAAAACTTATGAACAAATATATAAAAGGGATATGATGAACTTATCTCGTGAGTCTCCTATCCACCTAAGGAAGAAGACTACAGATTTATCACTGCCAAATTTTTAAGTGATTGATTGCAAATAAAAAATAAATATGAACGAATAAAATCAATAAAATAATAATACTGGAAATAATCATTTAGATCTAAATTAAAAGAATTAAGACTTTATTTAAGTAAACAAACAAGAGAAAAATATGGATCAGTAAATGAGAGAGTCTAAATTTTTGAAAGACTAGCCATTTTAAGGACAACAAAATAATGCTCTTTTTTAAATTAAATCTAATTAAATTAATGGAGTGTCACCTAATCTAAGCAGGAATCCAACACCTTAGCAGTAAAAATAAAATAAATAGTATAGGAAAAGTCCAATACCACTACCTTTTCACTCAAGAAGATTTATGTATAAAAGTAATAATGAAAATAACATAAATAATGAATAAAACAATTTAAACGGCTAATTAAATTAAAATACCTACAATTTATAATCAGAAGAACAATCAAATAAAGATAATTTAAACTTAACACAATATATACAACCTAATTTATAATAGCATACTCGCTTTCAAAATAACTAACCTTCTAATAATAACTTCTAAAATAGTAATAGTAGCTTGGCAAATAATAGTATTAGAGTCCCAACTAAGAAATTAAGTTAAGACTAAATTGAAAATAATGAAAATGATACTAATAAACTAGAAAATTTTAAGATCAATCCTAATTAGATATCTTTACCTTCAACAAATAGAAATAGCTAAAATCAATAAATTATAACTACTCCTCCAATAAATTAACAAAATGTATAAAGTATTGGCAGTACATCTTAAGTTCCACAAAGTAATATGGCTTTGGTTAACTTGAATGAATTAAATAACTCAAGTTTTCATTAATAACAGCCTAACTCATCTTTTAACCATTCATTTAGAAGCAATAACATGAACGCAACGAAGGTAGCTAACTTTAGAAAGTTATCTTCTTCAAATAATAACAGCCCAGATCATAAATCTTCAACATAAAACTATTTCAAAAATGGGCTTCAAAACGGTAATTAGAATAATTAAATCAATAAAATACCTATACAATAATATTCAACTCCAAAAAATCCTTAAGACCTAGGCATTTTATCCTCAAAAAAGAAGAATACGTTTAGCTTTTACGACAATAACTCAAATAATAATCAACTAAACAATTCAATTATTAAAAGTCCTTATGCAAATTTTTTACCTTCTCTGAAGGATAAAACATAAAAGTTTACATTACCAAAAAAAGGGATTTACAGTCACCATAACCAAGAAGTTTCAAATACAGAAGGCAATTCTCCAGTGAATTAAAACTAAAATAACTTTGTTTTTACTGAAGTAACTATTGATGGATACTTAAATTAAGACCTTGTCCTAAACTAAAACCATTAAAACTAAGAGTCTGATTAGTTTAAGTTGAATCTTTAAAAAGCAAGAAACACAGTGAATTCCAAAGATAACCCTACAGCAATTTAGGCAGTTCACCCAAGAGACCAAAGATCATTTTCAATGTAAATTGCTATTTTCTGTTAAAATTTTTAAACTTAAATTTTATAATTAAAAAACTGAAATATAAAATAAAAATATTTTTGAATAAAAGGGCTGAACAAAGAAGAATTCAGACTGAATAATCAGCTGATACTTATTTACAGTAAAAAAAAAAATAAACTATTTAATAAATTAATAATACAACTTGGCTAACTCCTAAAGAGTTAGATCCAATATAAAAATTATAAAATCCCATAAAGTCTATTTCAATAAAAACATATGAGAAAAAGACTCCAAAGTACTTTAAAAATGTATTAAGAAAAGAACCACTTTTTTAACAATAATAATAATTAACAAATATCACTTTGTCTTGAAGATCATTTGTTCAGTTTTAAATGATAAAATACAACTACAAAAAAAAAACACACTTTGATATTTTTAATTTCATTAAGCTCTACCTCCTAGGTATAGACCTAGTTTACCTTCTTAATTAAAATTGAAAAAGAAAGAATACTATATATAAACCTTTTACTATTAACTATTAAAATATAAATTTATCTTGTAAATAATATGAAATAATTAAATTAACAAATAATATTTTAGTAATAAAAAGTTTAAAATCTATAAATTTAATATAACAATTCATCTATCTATCTACGTATTTAACTATCAATAAAATAAACTCTTCATTTTCGAAATTAACAACAAAACAAAGATAGTTAGTTCATTACAAATGAAAAATCAAATCTGATAAGAATTATATAATATATTAAACATTTTGCATTCCATTTTTAGTTAGTGAGTGATTAAGGAAGAATTTCACCAAAAATTTATTTTATATTAATTATTTTTTGTTTTAGTTTGTTTGTTTGTTTTTCACATTATCATATCATTAGATCAATAAATTAATACACATTTCAATTCTTTTTCATGATTGTAGATTATTTACTCTTATCTTGCTTATCTTTTGTTTCCTTTTTTATAGAAAGAAGCAGAGAGGGATTCTTAACTCTGACGATTTCATGAATATCCTACAGACGTCCTTCCATCAAAGATAGCTTAGACTTTAGACTCATGTATTTATAAGTAATGATTTATCTAATAAAATTATCATCACTGCATTCAAATTCAAAACTCATCACTTCGATATTCTTATATTCAGTTTCTTAGTTTATTTCAAGTCTTCCAGATCCATTATCCATAATAGTGAATATGGCATTGTATCTTTTAAAAGAAAAGGAAAAATCAAATATTGTTTAAAAGAAAATTGCATTATAATTGAAAAATTAAAATTTTTATAGCAAATTTACTAGTTATGATTTGTAGCTTTTTCAACTTTATTGAAACATTTAATGCAAATAGCAGGGTATTCATTGAATTCTAAATTCAAGTTTTGCTCAGCTTTAATCTGCTTATAGTTGTTTTGGTCAGCTCTAATATTATTTATAATCAAGAAAAATAAATACATTGGTTAACTTATTTTAAACTATGAATGGCATACTTGTGGACAAAGTGGAAAAAGATATCATTATCGCTACTTACTTCTATTTTAAGGTATTAAGGATTTTTTTCATCACCCTATAAAATGTATTATAATAATTTTTATTTGCTATGAAAGCTACTATAATTAATTAATATATTTAATTACTAGAATGAAAATTCTTGTTCTTAAGGGTTCGTGGTTTTCTAAATCTTAGGTTTCATTTTCATCTCTGTAAAATCTTTATTAAAAAATACAAATATTCTAAAAATTGACTAAGTAATTAATCTAAGCATACCTAATAGTGTAATAAATATCTTTATCATAAATACATCTAAGGCCATCAGCTAAATTATTTCAAAAAATGTCACGAATTAATTAAAAATGTCTTAAATAATCAAAGTAAATTTTACCTAAAGATGGATCCATTTAATCGATTTAAGCAAAATCGAAAGAATTTAATTGCTATTAAGCTTAATGAGTTTCACTAGCAAAGCTTTTTTGAGCCATTTTATGACTATTATTGAGGTACTTTTGATAATTAATTAATTAATTTTGTAAATTTGAAATATATTTTTTGATTTCTTATCTTTTAATTTCAAAAAAAAAACTTAAATCAAATTACTTTACTCTACCATAAAGATATTTTGAATGAATGTATGAATAAATAAATGAAAATTATAAATAAAAATGTTTAAAAATGATAAATAAATTAATAAATCAATTGAATATCTAAAATATAATGCAAATAAAATTTTTTGAAAAAAGAATGCATCTTATTTTTTTAAAAATAATGATTAAATAAACATAAAGAATAAATTTTTTTTAGTGATTGAATGAATGAATGATTGAATAGCAAAGATTTATTTTTAAGATTAATAAATTTAAAATAAATAACTTTTTTGATTCATTTCATTTTAACTGAATTAAAATTTAGATATAAATTATCTTAGTAAAGTAAATATAATTATTAGTAAAAGGCTAAATAAAAGCTTGATGAAAAACAATATACTAGAATTCTAAGAGGATATAGCTAATATAATTAAAGGAATAGCATTCTATGATATTATTGTAAAAATATTTTATTTATTTTTTAAAAGATTGATCTATGTTTAAAGCTTAACTCAAAAAATTTAATTATTAAAGATAGAAAATGAAAAGATTAAAATTGCTGAAAATCCAAACTTTGATCCATATGCAGCTTGGTCGCAAATTGATTTGAAATAATAAGGATATGTAGATGCACAATACTTGAATAAATATCTATCGTAACACAAAATTAACTGCTCAAAATATTACTTTTATTGATTTTTAAATTTTTATTTTTTTAGGGTTAACAGGATTGCTGCTAGTGTGAAAGAGTGTCAGTATATTTTAAATTTATGCACAACGAATAAAAATTAAATGACATAAAATGAGTATAAATAGTTATATTGAAACTTAAATTTAAGAATTTTTGTTAAATTAGGTTTATAAATTTCATTCTACCAAAAACCAACACATAATTGAAAAAACTCTGCCTTTAAAGAAGAGAAATGTAACTTTAAAGTAGACATGCTCACTTTTTGTCTGATTCAGTTATTTTAAGAAACTCTGAATATTTAGCTTCAGAAATATTTTTGTTAGAGATAAAAGGTTTTAGAGAAATTGAAGACCTTCGCAAAAATTTTAAATCTAAAAATCAATACAATATATAGTAAATATTTTAAGTAGTAGACAATGACGGTAGAGGAGTTATTGATTATGAAGTGTAAGCAATTCCCCAAAATTAACTTTTACAGTTAATTTAATGAGAATTATTTATTTATATTTATGTTTTTAAATAAAAAGATTGCATAAGTTTATGAAAAAGAACGGCGTTTAATTCAACGAAGATGAATTCAAAGCATTTATTTCAAGAACTACTGAAGACGGAGACTCAAAGCTTGATTACGAGGAATTAATAGTTTCTTTAATGCCAATTGATCCCTACATATACCCTCACTACAGAGAATAATTTAACCCAACTGAAAATAACTAGTACGTAATAAGAAAAGCTTAAGAATTCAAGACAGACGCTCTAAATCCTCCTGTTTACTTTGAAGTGACAAAAAAAACTTAAAATAAAATAAATAAATCTAATTCATAAGCTAATATAAAATATTATTCTTACAACTATCCGATTAGAAAAGTGTATAATCCTTACGAAAATGGAAGACCTACATATAATTGTGATGAAGGATACATGGGATAATTAAAGAGTTACAGAGATGCCTATTATAACCCAAGCAGAGAAAATACTATTTAGTACACAAATAGATTCCAAGAAGGAATCAGATACCACGATTAGCATTTTGAAAAGTTTTACAAATTCATACACGACAGAGACTAAAGCGAATAGTTGTTCAATAAATTCGGAAAGAGATATGCTTATGATGAAAATATGAATCTTATAAGAGAATAAATGCTTGGATTGGCTGAGCAGTAAGTAAAACCCAAAAAATAGACAGATCAGACTTCAGCTAACAGATCTGTAGCTGATACTCTAAGATTTGCTACAATAGGCAGCAAGACAAACGATAGTTAATATAAATCAAATGACAACGTAAGAACTATTTAAAATAACAAATCTAATGTCGAAGCTAAAAGCAAATAGTAATAAGTTGATGATATTGAAGAATTTGATGAATATTGAATAATTAATTACTGCGTATTTATATATAAATATATGTAGAATAGATTCGAATAGTTATAGATAAATATTCTTTTAGAGTTTGTTATTTACCTAAAAATTTCTTTTTTTAATTGAAAAATAAATAATGTTTTAGGGTATTTAAATTTGTAAATTAAATTAAATAAAATTATAGTTTTACTTTTAATTAGCAAAAACAAACTTTACTTAGTTGACTTATATTGTTTTAAACTATTTTTGAATATTGAAAATACTAAAAATGGATACTGAATTTAGAAAACAAAAAAGACATTTGTTTATACACCTAAGAGATAAAATTAAAATTTTTTTTCTACCAAATATGATTACAAAATTGAATAGTATTAAGCAGTTTAGTATAAATTAAAACAAAATTTTTTTATCTTTAAATTAAGTCTAAATTAAACCATAAATTAATTTAAATTTTTCTGAGACTTACCTTAAAATAAATTATTAAAAATAAAAAAGATGGTTCGATGATATTCTATCTATATTTACAGATGAAATAAATCAAGATCAAAAAAAATTATACAAAATATGCACAGCATATTTTTCTAGGCTAACCTTAATTATTCTGCTTACATTAATAAAAGAAGCTTCTTACAAAATATCTGTAAGATAAAGTAGCAAATGATAGAAAAATCTATAATTTTTTACTAATTGAATGTATTACTTTTAAAAGTTTTCTTTTCTATCAAGCTCTATTAAATACTCCGAAAAATTGCTTTTATGAGTAAATTTAACTATATAGAATTTAAAGAGTAACCTATTCAATACAAAAATAATTACAGCATTTTTTTATTTTTAAAAATGAATAAAATAATATTTTTTGTCAATCGAAAATCGTTTCAATGTAAATAGTAAGCATTTTATCAGAAATATTTAGTTAAGGGAAAAAGCACTTAATCAACATAAATATTGTAATAATTAAACAAATTGTAAGCTTCAAGTGAAAAATCATAAAATTTATATTTTTAAGGTCTGTAAATCAAGTATATTTTTATTACAGACATAGGTTTGGTAATTAAAAAGATTTTTTGAGAAAAGAAAAATTGCTAAATAAAAATTATGATTGTATTTTTTATGGTTTTTATACTTTAGATGAATTTTTTTATAGAAAAATGAGTGTATAAGAAATTAATGGTTTTTAATTTATTTTTTACCTCTTTTTCAAAAGTTAATCTGTAATTAAATATATTTAAAAGTGTTTAAAAATACTTTTTAACTACATGAAATGTCGATTTAAAAGATAGAAAATATTACTTGCATTTATTTTTGATAATATTTCATTTAATAGCTGCATATGTGTTAACTAAAAATTAAATAATTTAATTGAAAATTCATAAATTTTTGATTTAGACATATTTAAAAAATATTTAATTTAGTTGTTAATAATTGTTTCCACTAAAAATCACTTAAGAGATAACTCCAATCAATAAGAAAATATGTTTTTATGCTAAAAAATTTTCAATTGCAAATATGCTTCAACTAATTTGTAAAAGTGAACAAATATATATGAAATAAATATAATTGGATGCTTAAAATAACAAAAAAATCAAACTAAAGGAAAAAAAGACTGATAAATTTGATTAATTGTGAGTAATATAAATATTTGTTAGTAGTAAAAGAAGAGGAAATAAATAAATAAACAAATATAAAAAGTATTTGGAAATAAATAGATGGTTATTGCTAAATGTTAGGGATAATTAAAAGAAAATACATTATCTTATTTATTTATTAAATTACGATGAATTATCTAATTAAAACAAAGATAGGAAAAAATATATAAATAAATATATATAATGCTAATCCATTTTATAATAATTTAGAGAAAGAATTAATAAATTAATTAATTAATTAATTTTGTTTTGATTTTAAATTACTTAGGAATTTTTCAATTAATTAAGTATGTATTTCATATAAATAAAATTAATAAAGAGTATATTTTTATTATATTAACCAATATTTAATTATTTTGTTGGCAGTAAAGGAAAATAAAGGAATTATTTTATTTTAAATATTTATTGATTTGATTAATTGATTATAGATTGTTGTATTTAATATAGTTCTTTTATGTATATTTATTGGTAGATTGGTTGGTTGGTTGGATTAATTATGTTATTCAAAATTTTTGTTACTACTTTGAGTACGTTTGTTATTAAGTTAATGGTTTTAGAGTATTTATATTGAATTAAGAGTATGCATAGATACACTGATAGATGAATGATCGATCAGTATGTATTTCTGTTTTATAGTTTATTTTATAAGTTTTAGTAATAAAGGAATTCACTACTTAGGCATTCAAAAAAGAATTACTAATGTAGATTTTTTTTACAAATAATAGCTCAGTTTCGTTTATTTTTTCACTAACTTAGGTATTAGAGAACTTCAAATGATACTTCTTTTCTGAAATTTTGTAAGGGATTAGTTGCTTTCATTAAATGGCAAAGCTTAATCATTCTATTTACTTCTTAGGCTTTCTAGCGATAAAGACTGATTTTAGGGTTGCGTGCTGAAGATATAACACACTTCTTTAGGTTTTGTAGATGACCTACTGTATCATTTATTAAATTGTTGTTGAAATTGGTAAATCCTTCTCCACGGTTGGTGAGATTGAGTTAAAGAGAAATTAAAGAGTCTTTGAGTACTACAAGAGTTTGCATGATATATTGAATACTAATAGGAGTGAAACTTGAATAGGCAGCATCAATTTGAAGAGATTTTATATTTTTTTAATATAATAAGGCTTAACAAAGGAGTTAAATAGTTTTGTCACATGCTTATTTGCAAGACTGCATATTAAGTTTGAGAGAAGCCAAATTACGCAACTTAGCTATGCCTTAAAAGAGAGGTAAAGCAAGATCTAAGTCAAATGAAGAGTTTGAAATGTTTAAATCTAAGGATTTAATGTTTTGAGATTCAGTATTGTTAATAAAATTGCTCAGATCCTAGAATAAATCTCTTTAGTTGGATGATGAATCAGGGGAGCTTAAGTCAATATGAATATGCTCGAGCTTAGTAAGAGGCTTAAGGAATCTTTCAAGATGTAAACAACTTTAAGTTTATAAGTTATGGAAAGAAAGGCTTAAGTCTGTTAAGTTTTTGAGCTTAGCCATTTAATAAAAGAAATATTCCATATCTTGGCTCTTTGTGTTGGAGTTTAATCCAGCAAAATCAAATTTTTTTAATTTTTCAGCTTTGGCTTTAATTAATTCTGCGAAATATTCCCAGCAAGCGCTATCAATTAGTTAGCCAGGACAAGCTAAGCTAAATTCTTCGAGATTGTAGGTAAATTTGAGCATTATTTCTAGCAATCTAGAAATCACTGATTTTTTCTTGATAGCAGTGGCTTTAGTTTGTAGCTATTTGGATAAATGCATGTTTTATTTTATACTAGCTTAGAGTTACTAGATTTATGCTGCAATTTAAAGATATTAGGGGTGGTTTTAAGGGAATCCTCTCTAAACCATCTGCTAGGCATAGGTACATAACTACTATAATTGCTATTATTGTAAAGCAATGTTTTATTGTAAAGCTTGCATTTATTATTATTATTAAATATTGCTGCTCTAGTTCTATTGTTAATTAAAATCAAGCTGACTATGATTTGGGTGGACAGATTAGTTAATTTGATTCTGTTGACTTTATGCCACAAAATTAGCATTTGCCGATTATTAGTTATATAAATTTTATTAGTTAGAATTGTTTCCATTAATTTGTTAAGTGTTTTGAATTTCATTAGAATATTTAGGCTAGTACTCATTGAATCTGATTTTGAAAATTTGAAGATTAGTGAAAATATTTTCGCTTTTAAATTTAGGTATAATTGCTTTCATTTCGTCTTCTATTTCAATAAGATTACCATCCAAATTTAATTAAAAGTCATTAATAGATTTTAAATAATTAAAAATTTCTAAAATAGAAATACTGCGACGCTAGAGACCGCAGCGTTCTAAATTAATATTGATAGATTCAAGCATGTGCAAATTCGACAGGGTTTCTGTGAGGATTTAATGGCCTTTATCACCAATAGAATTGAAGCCCAAATTGAGTTCCAAATTTCTCAGAGTGCGACACATAATTAATTAGTTGCATAAAACCTACAATTATTCATGCCCCCATTTTTATCTTGAAAGGTTTATTTTTATTTCTTTCAAGTGAGAAAGTTAATTAATTGAAAAAATTAGCCTCTCCATAAGAGCTGGCTAAACATCTAATTAGCAGAAATTTAAATTCATGCTTTACTATTAGCTAGCTCTGCTAAGCTAATCCTTAATGATGCGAATCATTATTTATTCTTCTGTTTCTTATTTACTTTGAGTTGTCTAATCGAGAGAGCATATTTGTCTCAGGTTTTAGTAATTGGCTTCAAGCCATTCAATTAAGTTAGGAACTGAATTATCTAACTAAGATACGTCTTAAACGCATCTACGCAAATCATTTTGCTAGCTTTATCTGCAAGAAATAAGCTACTGTTATTAGGGATTATAAAATTATTCGATTTCCATTTCTTATCAAGTTTGTAGCACTTTAATAAATGAGATAGATAAAATGTAGATGGTGGTGTTGAGATTAATTAATAAATAAAAATGGATTTTTGTTTTTTTTGTTTGTTTGTTTGCTTATTGTTATATATAGGAATTATATGAGTTATTATCAATTCCTTTTTCTTTTTATTAGTTATTAGATTTTCTTATCTTTTTGTTTAATATTATTTGTAATAAATTAAAGAGGTTATCATTCATTATTAAATCTGAAGGTTTTTCAAAATAAAAGGGTAACTAAATAACAAAAATTTTTACTTACCTTTAATTTTTTTTTTTTTCAACTTTGTTTTTCCCTTCTCAGTTAGATTTAGTATTATTTAATAAACAGTAAATTTACAAAAATTATTAAATCCACTTTCTGAGTCTAACTTTTATAATCAAATAAATAAATTAAACCAATAAAAGACTTCGATATCAATATATTAATAATATTAGTTCGAAATTATTTTTCCCTGTCTTTTTAATTTTGATAATTAATTGCCTTCTTTGTCACAGTTTTAATAAAGTCATTTCTATTAATTTAAATACATTCTCATTTACTTTCTTTATTTACCTTCTACTTTCTGCTTACCTTAACTTATAATGTATTAAAATCAACCAAGTTCGCTCACACAAACACTTATTCATTTTTTGATGTGAAATAAACAACTTTATTAATCAATTTATTTTATTTGCAATGTAAATTAATTGCTTCTAAAGCAAAAATTTGTAATTATCAAAAATATAATTAATGGGGCATCACTTTTGATATTTATTTATATATAACATAAAATTTTCGACAATAGATATTCTCGCCCGCTTAGGACAGACCGACGGAATACATAAATTGGCTATTAGAAAAATTTTGATAAGCTGTTTATTTGAAGAAAGGAAAAGAATATTATACTTCTCACATATATTAAATTGAGTGAAAAAACTGAATTTAATATTACTAAATTAAAGAAATTATTTTTTATAAAGATTTTCTCATATTTATTTTGCTCTTTATTTTGATATTTTAACAAGATAGATATGAATATACCAAACGAAGATACACTTTAATTTTTTATTTTTATATTGACAAATTTTTTTACCACCTAATGATTTCCATTACATTGTTTAAGTATTACATTCTATTTTGGAACTTGTACTTCTTTTTAAAAAGTTATACTGCAAACATTTTAAGGTAAAAATTACAAATAAAAAAATACTAGCATATAACAAATAATTACAAAAGTCGAAACAAATTTATAATTTGTTTGTAAACAAATAAATCCAATCTGTATTTGGGATTCTCATGAGCAAAAAAAATAAGATTACAATTTAACGAACTTATATTATTTTATGGAAAATTTATCAATTAAAAATTCTAAAGCTGGAATACAATAAATAAAATTAATCTCCAATCTATTTTCTATTCAAATATTTAAGTTATTATCTTTTTTGAAAAAAGTCAAATTTATCTTCGTTGCTAGTCAAAAATACCCTCTCATTTTGTTAGAAAATGCTTGCATATCTATTAATTTTGAGATATAAAACTAAAAAAATTTTAAAAACACCTATTTTAAACTTAAATACAGCGTTCTTTCTTTTATTTTAACTTATAAATCTTAGCCAGTGCTTTAAAAATGTTTGATTTGATAACGAAATTTATAATTTATCATGCAGTAAATAATTAAAACTATTTGTGAAAAAATTTTAAAGGTATCTTAAGATAGTATATCTGTAATTTATTTATTTTTTTATATTTTAGTTTAAAAAAAGGGGGAAAGGAAAAGCAAATATTTTGTATTTATTTTATAAACCCAAAGCTATTTTAAATTTCTAAAAATTAGTCATGGTTAGATAGAAAATAAATAATCGTCTATTTAATCATTATAAAGTTTTCATAACAATAAACAAATAAATGAATAAATAAAAGCCTTTTTTTTATTAATGGTATTTTGTATTATATAAATAAACCTATCCGATTTACCCATAAACAATAAAAAATTATTAAGAATGAGTGAGTGTAAGTAAGTCAAATCGATTTCGATCTGAACTATTCATTTTAGTATTTATTCAAATTATAAATAAAAAACTTAAGACAGCAATTTTACTTTGGTTAGGTAGATGAATCTAATATCTATTTATTAATCTATCTATCTATCTAAGCGATCAATCAGAAATAAAAATTTTTTATTTCAATTTTTAAGATATAATTATAGAATATTTTGAGTTGCCAAAATTATGATAGGGATATTTTGAGAATTTAAATATTATTTTCAAACTTTAGATAATATGTGTAACTTATTTATTATTGATAACACTGAAGTCTATACTAAATTAATTTATAACTGTTTTCTGCAATTTTATTTTATTTTATTTATGAAAATGGTAAAAAGATTCAAATTTATGAGTGAGTCTCTACATTCAAGCACTTACTATATTTAATGAATGACAAAAATAGTAATATAAGTATTTTTGCTCTAAATCAGAAAATAATGCTTGCTTTTCAAATATTCTTCAATCATATAAATTTAAAAATAAATTTACATTTTAAAAATTTTTCAGTAAAACTGAATAATCTTTATAATAAGTATTAATGATCAAATAGTTTTTATTTCCCCTCAACACATATTTTAATTATTAATTGTTGTTTGCATTCATGAATTTATTTATTTTTTTTTTTTTCAGACAAATTCAAGCAGGTTATTTTTTTTCTTATTATGTTCGTTCTGCTTTGATAAATATTCTATTAATGGGTTTTCTCTGACTTTTTCTGGATCGTGAACTGTAATAAAATTTTCAATTAAATACTTGCTGTCTTTTCTCATAAATTTAAGGCTAGCGTCACTATTACATTATTCTTGATGGTACTTAAATTATCTTTCCCTTTAAAATTACCTTAATTAAAAATCTTTATCCACTGCTTTTTCTTTGAATTAACCAGAATCATTAATTTATTTATTCTTAAGCGACTTTAGCTTCGTACTTTAATATAAATTTTTTAATGAGTCTTTCAGAGTTTGGGAATTTTAAATATTAAATTATAAACGCTACTATTTATCACTTACATTTAAATCTTAAGTAGCCATATTTTTATTACCTTTACAATGTTATTTTTATTGCTCTTTTAATTAAATGCTGCTGTTCAGTATTTATTATTAATTATTTTTAGCAATTTAGAGCACACTAGAACTTAAATTATTATACATATTTTAATTTTTAAGATAAGGTTTGTAATTAGCTATTTGTGTTTCTGGCTAGTAAGGATCAAAGCTACTCTCGGTGTTGTATTCAGAATTTAGTTGCTACGTTCTAGTTTTTAATTTTTTAGATTTGTTAATTTAGTCAAAGTCAATTGACTTTTTTATATAAAGTTGTTTATGCTACTAGTCTTCATTCATATCTTGACTCTTATCTTTATTTTAATTAGTCAAAGGAAATAATTTTACCCAACTTTATTTATGTTAAGTAAGGGTAAAATTTTTATCGTCATAATAATCATCCTTTATAGCAGTTTCTTATGTTGTTATTTTTTATACAGAATTTAGAGATGAGAGCCTTTTATTACCTCCTTTTAAGGGTGTTACAATATCTTAAATTTTGTGTCCAATAAAACCTTCATCTAGCTTTGAATTGAAAACAACTTAGCGCTTATTAGTTATTAGTAAATCTTTAAAAAGAGACTATTTTTATTTTTCTTATATATTTTCAAATTTTATTTCTGGTTCGAAACTATTTGCATCAACTATTTTATTTACAAAATAATCTACAGGCACTTTACCACTGATAAATTACTCATAAACCTTTTAGAATCTTTACTAAGGATCTTCAAAATCTTCTTTCGTCAATTAAAAAGGGCGAGTTAAAGATAGTGAGTGCAATCTGTAGTCTCTATTTTGTTGTTTTAATGATTTCTACAATCTCGGAGAAAAATAGCTTACTTGATTTAAATCAGGCAATAACTTTTCCTCATAGCATCTCTTAAAAATAACATCTATTTTTGAGCCAATATTTTCATCTTATTACAAAGTCTTAGATCTCTTTTTAATATTTAAGTCACTGTTTAATTTCATAATTTTATCTGATTGATAGATAGATAGATATTACTTCTAATTTACAAATTTAATCTTAATTTACTTATAAAATTATAAATATCACAAAAACAATAAAAATTTAATATTTGTAAAGATATTATAAAAATGAGTAAATGAATCAACAAAAAAATAAATGAATTAATAAAATATCATTTTACAATTTTTTTAAAATTAATCATTTGAAATGAAAGCATTCTGTCAAATTTAATAATTATCAATATAAATATGAATTAATTTAGAATTTCTTTTAATAAAAACAACAAATGAAAATTGATATAAGCTAATTCAACTTAAAGTAAACACACCAAAACTCACCATTCAAGATAAATTGTCTAAGTTAATAAAATTGTTTTGAAATTTAATGTTCAGAAATCTAATTAATTAACATACTTATTTGCTAATTCATTCATCTTTATTTTAAAAAACTCCTAAATTATAAATTTAAATGATTTTCTTTATTTGAAGATATTTATTTTAACATCTTTTAAATAGAAATATAGTCTAATAATAGATATATAAGAACAATAAATTACAGTCTCTAGACTTTTTTCAAAATTTTAATATCTTACATGCAAAAATTTTATATTTAAACCAATACGATAATAATTTAACACAATTAGATATCTATTAAGAAAAGAGTAATTTTTTATTTGATTTTTAATCAGTAAAAGGTGAAGATGTGTTTTATAGAAATTTAGTATTTAAGCTATTTTCTATAGTTACAAATTTGTTTATTACCACATATTTTTTTGATAGGTTGAATGAAAGATATAATTTAATTTGTGTAATTTTTAATATAAGAATTTTAGATTAAATACTGAAGATAATATTTAAAAAACAGAGCTAAAAATAATTTATAAATATTTTTTACTATTTATTTATTAATTGCTATTTAAATTTTCCTATTTATAATTGTTTAAAAATCTACTATTTAAATTGAAGTAAGTACCTTTATAATTTAATAAATCTATGCACTTAAAAAATTTAATTTTAAACTGGAATTAATATTTTATTTGTAACATTGTAAAACGTTTATTTTTTTATTCTTTCTTAACTTTAAAATTCTTTTTATATTTTATATTATTATAATCTTTTTCTTTTTATACATTATTTAATTAATTAAAATATATTATAATCTATAATTAATTCAAATAGCTTTTTATTTAATTTTAATTCACAATTTAATTTTGCTTGTCATAATTTAATATCACAAAATTTATAAATAATAAAAGTAATTCTTACCCAATTTATATTAAATGATATGTTTAATTAGCAAAAATATCATATAAAATTTATTAAATGTAGGCATTTGTTAATTTTAAGATAAAAATGATAAATTAATTTATTGAGTTAGATTATTTTAACAATTGAAAGTTATCAGGATATTAATTTTTTAAGCAAATTTTACTTTTTTGATGAAGCTAAATTGCTTATCTGAATCTTTAAATTTCATTCCCTGATAATGAATGAGTGATTGATAAATATTTTATATTAATTATTAAATAATTTAATTTTTTTAATAATTTAATTTTTACTTTTGTAAGATTTTAGGATAGTTGAAAAACAAAATAATATTTATTTAGCTTTTAGAATGGATTAGGTAGGTAATATTCCTAAATGGTTTGCAATAGGAGTTATACTAGTCTTTACTGGATATATAGCAATAGTCTATGATGTTATTTTCTTAAGATATCTGCTTTAGCAAGTAAGATTACTTAGTTTTATTTGTCCTATTTACCATATAATTAATATAAATTTGTTTTTTTAAATAGAATACAATTCTTGGAGTAATTGGAGTAGTTGTTTTTAATCTATTTGGATTTTTTACATACAAAAGTTATTACTTAACAATCACTACATCCCCTGTTTTTAATGCTGGATATATAGTAAATTTCATTATTCTAACTTATGATTTTATTAATTCACATTTTAAGAATGAGGAATATAGAGATTAACTAGAATAAATAAAATTATATGCAAAAAAATCAAACGCAATTATTCATACAAGAAGATTGAGGAAAAATAGATTCCTTTTTGATACTTCTTAGATTAGATAGCAATAGTTAGCTTACTGTGATGATATAACTGATTTATTTGATAATCAATAAAATTTAAATTAGTAAAATAATGATTAAGGATAAGCTTCATAAGTTTAGTAGGGAGATGCAGGCAATAGATAAAAAATGAGCTACGTTAATGAGCCAAACGAAGATGTAGAGAACAGAAGAGCTTAAATATAACAAAATTAAAACCAAGATATAACAATCAGTCAATAGAATAACAGCTAAAATGCAATTATATTTACTGAAGAAGAATATAAAAATTTGTAATTTTAATATCTACTTCGTTTATTTTCAGTATACGTTTTTAATTTACTCTATTAATAAATTATTAGCGATGTATATAATGATTTGACTTAAATCAAATATTGTTTCAAATGCTAATCTGTTAAACCTCCAAGAGTGCATCACTGTAAAATTTGTAATAGGTAATTTTAATTATTTATTTATCAAAATTTTAATTTCTTAAATTCATTTTCAGATGCATTAACAGAATGGATCATCATTGTCCATGGGTTGCTAATTGTGTAGGAAAGCAGAATTAAAAATATTTCACAATATTTCTTCTTTATGGAAGTTTGTGTGGGTTGATAGTTAGTTTATCAGTGTTTATTGATTTTATGTTTTTCAATCAAGTCATCTTAAAAGTAATTTGAAAATTAATATTTAATTAAAAAAAGCCTTATTTTTAATCATAGTAAACGACTGACTACGAACACTAAAATTTAACTGTTGCCGGATCTGCAAGCTTCCCAGCATTTTTAGTAGCTTATGGATTATTTTTGTACTAAATAGTAATTGGTTGCAGAAATTTGACAACTTTGGAAGCAAATATAGATGGAATGTATACTGAAAAAGTAATCAAAATATATAATTTAAATATTTATTTAAACAAAAATATTTAAAAAAAAAAACAACAAAAATAAATGATAAAAAACTTTAATTTATTAGAATCCTTTTAGAAAATCTTCAAATATTGAAAATATGAAAGAAATATTTGGTGAAAAAATACTATATTGGTTTATTCCAATTCAAGAGGTGGTTGACAAAGAAAAAAAAGAAGGGTTTATATAACTTGTTAGAGACTGAAAATTAAGCAGACGGGAAGTTTTATTCAGACAGACAGAAATTTTTACTGACTGACTAATTGACTTATTTATTAATTAATTTGATTGACTGATAACAAAAAATTTTAATTATTTATACAATATAAAATAATTTAAGAAATAAATAAATTTACTACTCACTAATTTTATTATCCGTTATAAAAAATTTTTTTGTTAAGCATTGAATTATTTTTATTAATGATGTTTCTGAGTGAGTGATAAAATAGTAAGTAAGTAATTGAAATAAATATTTATTTCAATCTTATTTATCAAAACCTTCACATTTCAATTAGTTCATCTATTTATTTTTGTTATATGTCACTATACTAATAAGAGCTATCTATCCCAAGGAGCTAATAATAAATATAAGATCAAATACTTTATAGTGTGTAAATAAGTTGAAATCTCCTGTAATTTTCTTTAAGTTTTATCTTTTATTTTTATGTAAAAACGGTTAATTTGGATAAAAGTTTTAATTAAATTTTAGATTAATTTGTTGATGCCAAGAAATATAAAATTGAATTTCAAAGAGAAATTTTAAAGTAAATTATTTTAGATTGCTTACAAGAATTAATCTGCAACACTATTTTAAACGAGGACTAGTGTTGAAATAAAATATACTCCAAAGACTTCAGCTAGAAAATATACTATAAAATCAGTTGATATACTCTTTTTTTAAAGGTGACCCATGCAAATATTTAAAAAGGCAACTAAATTCATGCAAAATGCTGTAACATTTGTGATCATCAAATAGCCTTTATATTAAATTAAATTTTTAAGTAAGCATATGTATATAATCCATATTAATATTAACCTAAAAAACCAAAAGAAAGATAATTCATAGCCATGTCATAATCAGCATCAATTATTTTAATACCAAACCAAGGCAATATAATTTTAAGTATCCTATTTATGGGGTCAATAGATTTCTTTCTACCAACAATATAATTGTAGATGCTCTGTTAGAAATTAAAAATATTTTGATTTATATTAAATTTGTAATTTTTTTTAATGTTACAATTAAGATCTTATATATGCAATAAACACCCATAATGAAGCTAAGATATTTGTAGAATTTTCCTTTTATTGTCTTTGAGTACTAATGCCTTTTTATTTCTGTTGATATTTCACAGTAATCTTTTTTTTATTTAAGGTAAAAAATATTTTTATAGCTTAATCTCATCTTTTATTTTAAAAATTAATTTTACTGTAAAAGGATTAGCTTTTTTGTTCTTCTATAAATTCAATTTCCTTTTGTTTATCATCCATTTTGTTTGCTATGTCACTTTTTGCTAACTCTTCTCTCTGTGGTTTGAAAAAGCTCCTATAACAAAAAAAAAATAACTTTATTAGTAAAAATTTTGATTTAATATTGAAAATTAATTTACGAGATTTTCTAGAATAAGTTTTTCTTTTATTTTGGCTCATTTTCGATGTGAAGTCTCATTTTATTATTTAAATCTATTAATTCTACTTTGTTTTTAGTGATTTGCTTGTTTAAGAATTTTAAATTAGTTTCTGACTTAGTCCTTAATATCATGAGGTCATCCACTTTAATTTTAAAAAAGGTTTTGGTGATATATATATCTTAATAATCTTTATATTTGTTAATTTACATTTTTAATAGACAAAGTTAAACTGATTAAATGGACAATTTACACAACCTACTCCAGAAAGAATAGCTATTATGTAAGTTCCAATCATGGCTTTTTAGTTAAAAATATTATGAATCATTCATTTTTTATTAAATTATTGGAATTACTTATTAACTCTATTTACACTCCTATTTCAAATAAGTGAGTGGCAAATATATAAAAAGCTTAAATATAAGTAACTTAAACAGGTTCTCCACCTTATTCAATTTGTTTATCCATGATTTTCTTGGAAATTAATTTCAGCATAAAGCACAGGTACATGACACTCAAAATAATAGCACATACTATTTTATTTAATTATACAAAAATATGATTAATATTTGTTGTAAATGATTAATTTTATAATTTATTAATGATTAGATTTAGATTCAATTCAATTCATTACTAGTTTTACCTACTTTCAATGATTTTCTTTAAGATATTTTCCTAACAGTTTTATAAATTAAAATTGCAGGGATTACTAAAATGCTAAAATAAACTAGTAATCCAAGCGTAAATATCCAAAACGATAGCCTAGTTTCTGCTAATCCAATTCCAAGAGCTTCAAAAATTAATAACATAAAACCATCGCAGGAGAGTGCAAATACGAGACTAAATATTAGAGAGGCTTTGACATTCTTAATTTCATAATCATTTACCATAATATTTTACACTATATAATAGCCAATAGCTCCTGCTAAGATAGTAAACCCTAAATACAGTCCTATGCTATATATTTGCATTTTAATTTTATCTTTCTCTATGCTATATCTATTGAAATAATTAAGGTGCTTTTTAATTTTTGTTAATCAAATTTTTGATCAATTACTTAAAAAATTAAAGAGCTTATTTATTTACAAATATTTACTATTTATAAAATCAAAGTCTTTAGATTTATTTTAACACAAAGTGTTTTTTAACTGTGAATAAAGCAAGAAAAAAGATTTCGTTTTTGAAAATAATGTTTATGCTATTGATTCAGTATCTATTGAACTTTCTAATATTTTCACAAATGTTTAAAAAAATAGTAAATAATTTATATATTTTTCTAAAATAAAATCTCTACTTATTAAAAATATATTAGATTTTAATTTTTATTTATATTAATTTTTTCATACTTCAAGTTTATTAATTAAATATTTAAAATTATGGAATCATTTTTGCATAAAAAAAATCTTAAATTCTAAAATATCTAAAAATAGAATGTTTCTATTTTTCTTTTAAATGTTAACAAATTTTTTTAAATAGAAATTCATTTATTTATTAAAATAATTAGATTTATTTATCAATTTTTTATCATCTTTCCTTAATTTAAAAATTAGAAAAGGGGAGACATTTTTTATTAAATAAACTTCTACCTTTTAAAATCTAAAAAATAATTTTAAACTAAGATTAATATTGATTATTTTTTTAAAAATAAATCTATCTAATTAAAATATCATTGAATAATTATGACATAATTCTTAAAAGTTCAAAAATTAAAATTCTAAAAGAAATAGTTTAATTGCAAATCAATAAATTTGAATGGAAAAAAGTTATATTTTCTTTCGTTTTGATTGTTGAAAGATTAATCTAGTAGTTTCTATAATATTAAATTTTTTTAAATTTGATTTTTAAAAATAAGGCATTTATTTCTTATTCTTTTTTTATTTTAAAAAATGCAAAAATAGAAACTATAATAAATACTCCCTGCTTTGAAATTCCTCAAAAATAAATTTATGAGATAATTCTTTTTATTGAAAATAAGATAATTTAAATACATATTAGAAAATATTTTAATCTTTCTTTAAATATTTAAGATGCTTTTTATTTTCTTTAAAAACCTTTTGAATATTTAAAAAAATGCAAAAGTAAAATTAATGATGATTTTTATCAAAATATAAATACTTCAAAAATATTTTTAAATTAAGATAAAACAATCCTCCTAAGTAAACATTTTATGCATTTATTAATAAACTTAGATGAAAATAAAAACAATTATCTTAAACTTTCTACATGCACAAGTTACTGACTGTGGGAAATGGTAAAAATAGATATAGAGATTCTACTGATAAGAAGTGATTAATAGTTTAAAAATTGTTTTAACTGTTTACAATAAAATTTAGTTCTTTTTTTAAAATTTAATTTTAAGTTATTATGGCTTGGAATTTATTAAATATAACTCAACAAATAATGAAATTACTATAAATTATTTTGAGTATTTTTTTAAAGATTTCAAAACTTCATTAATCTTTTTTGTCCTTCTATTTCTTTTTATCTTATTAGCTGCTACTAGATTTCTCATCTTTCTTTTGTTTCTTTTATTAATTTTATTTTTTATTATTTTGCTATGATTTTTATTCTTTTTCTTCAGATTCTTTTTAAAGCTCATTTAAATCAATCTTTTCTTTTTTCTCTCCCTTAACTAGATCTACTAAAGTAAATATCAAGAGTATTGAAGCTACTGCAATACCTCCGATGACTATTGGCTAAAAAATTTATTAAAAATTCTATTCAGTTTAAAAATTGAATTTACAGTTCCTACTTATTCATAATAGTTTTTCAATGTCTTAAATAATGAAGGTCTGCTTGGTAAATCTATTCCTGGAAACTCTTTATAATTTTTTGTTAAAAATAGTTCTATAATATCCTCTTATCTAGTTCCTCTATATTTGTGATACAATTAAGTTTAATGATCAACTACTAATATTGTTGGAAACTAGCTCACTCCAAATCTTTCTTTTATTTCTAAACTTTTTTCACTTTTTCATTTAAAATAAAAACCTTTTTGTTTCCTAGTTTTTCTAAATGAGCTTTTACCTATCAATTTATGCAAATGTGAATTTATCTTGATGCTTCTTTTGCAAACTTTCATAAACAGATTATATATCATTGCAATGAGGGCACCATGGGGCATAAAATAGAAGTACCCAAGATTTATCTTTGAATCCTTGAGTAACTTTATCGAAATTAGATTAGTCAAGCATAACTATTGCAGAATCTTCACCAAAAATAGGTGCCTTTGACAAAACACTAGCTAAAAGCAATAAAAAGCCTAGCAAAAATGATGTAGATTTCATCAAATTGAAAATTATTAAAAAGATACAAATTAATTAATTATTTTTCTTAATTTTTTATCAGAATTTTTATAATTAAATAAATTGAACAAAAATATTAGCAATAATTCAAATTTATTTTAATTTTTTATAGAAATTTGGATATTTTTTTAGTTCCTTTTTTAAAACAAGAACTAAAGATAACCATTTGTTAAGATAGGTGTTATTAGAAGGTCAACAAGTTTTATCGTATAAAGTCAATGAGTTATTCAAATATAAAGAACATGTTATCATCTTTTTTTATTTTTAAAAATAGTTAATTTAACTTTATTTGTAACTTAGTTAAATTATCTTCGCAAAAAAATTATGAATTTAAATAAGTGAACCTAAAGGTATTTACCTAATTTAAAAAATAAATTAATTTAATTCTAAATTTTAGTGCATTATTTATTTATTAATTAGATTTAAAAAGGCAAGTAAATGAAATAAGTAAATGGAATATTAGATTAAAAGTCTGAAGCTATTTAGCATATAATGAATTTGTATGATTAAAGAGGAGATATTCTCTTTAACAAAGTTTCTACAAAATTCACTAGAATAAAAGATTTGATAAATTACACCAAAGGATAGATAGATATTCTACTTGATGGAATTTGTGACATCGAAAAAGAAGCCCTTGGCAAAGTATAGTATATAATTATGGACAATCATCCAAGGCATGGATTACCAGAAGAGGCATTGCAGAAACTGCAAAATTTTTAATAAAATAAACTTAATTTAGGATTAGGAAAATAAAAAAATTCAATAAGCAGCAAAGCCTTAAATAATTAATGTGAAGAAATCATGTAAGAGTTAGCTGATGTTACGTTAGATGTAATTGATAAAAAGATTAACACTTTTGTTGAAATATTTACTACAAACCTAGATTAAGTAAATGCTAAAGTAGATTAGTTAATTAAGCAAATTACAAAAAAAAACGTATTCAAATCAAATTTCGATCCCATTTCTAAAAAAATAACAAATCGAGATGTTATTTGGGTTGATTATGAAGGAATCACTCTTACTTAAAATGATAAGATGTTATTTGATAAATCTTCTAGAACGTATAAATTTTAAAAATTTTAAAGCATTTAAAAAGATAATTTTGCTTTTTGTTGAATAAATAAAATGAGATCAATTCAATAAAAGAGATAATTAATAAATTTTTTAATATAAAGAGCATTTAATAAAGTAGATGTAGAACATACAAGGGATATTATAATTGAAAGTGAGAAAAATAGAGACGGAGAATGTACAATAACTGATGTAAGGAATGCTTTATCAGCTTATTATTATACACCAAGCTATCTAGAATTAAGACTTTCACAGTAAATTAGTTAATATTGTTGAATGTTAAAATATTATTTATAATAAAAAACAGCTTAGATAAAATAAAAGAAAAAGATATTAATAAAGTATTTGAGTAAATAAAACCATTTTTTAATCTAGAAGAGCTTTATATTGATTTTTCGAAGTAAATATTTATTTATTAATGAAGAAGGTAGGTTTATGATATTTTGTTCAATTAATAAAAAGCTGGCAATTTTCTATTTTTGAAGATGAAAATAGGTACGTAAGTAGTTTAAGTGAAGCATTAAGATGTCTTCCTGCTTTACAAGTATTGCATCTAAATATTTCTAAGTACTCAGATTTATAAAAAAAGAAGAGTTTATATTTTATGTACATTTTTTAAAAGTATGAAAGGAGAGTAATGTGAAAATGATTTAGACATAGTAGACGAAACCATATATAAGCTTTGTGATACTTTAAGGGGACTAAAATTAATTAATGATCTTAGCCTTAATTTAGAAGGGTATTTTATTTGGTATTTTAATAAAAAAATATCATGTTGTTTTGTAATAGATTAAAATCGTCATTGACGAGTAGCAGTTTTTGTGAATTAATGAAGCTAATTTAAGAGAAATAAAATATTAAGTACTTATCTCTAAATTTTGGAGAGTAATTTTATTTGTTAATTTTTTGTTTTTGAGAGACAATAAATTTAATTAATAAAAATAAGATGGTGCGATTTGAATAGCTAGATAGACAGCTATGATTGCATGATATCTTTGTGTAATACTCTTTAACAAACTAAGAAGCTTGTTTCACTGGATTTGAACCTTCTTTCGTAATAGATTTTAATGAGTATTTTTTAAATTTTTAAATAATTAATTATAAAGATTTAGCATAGACTTTACATTCTTAGAAGAATCGCTATTGGAGTTGACTAGTTTAAGTCATTTAATATTAAATGTATAAGTGTAATAATATCTTTCTTTACCAATCTATTTTAAGTATTCAATATTTCTTTTATTTATTATACTAAAATTAGCATATCATATGACGATAAATCTTATAGCTAAATGTTAATAAGTATTGCAAAGAATATGTATTTAAGCGAGTGTGATATAAAATCCATATCAATGTAAGATTTTTAATAACGACTAAAACGTAGAATTGTTATATTTATAATTAAAAGTATTGGAAATTCCTCATTTAACTATCTAGAAAATTTATTGAGGTAAAAAGCATGGCACTATAGATAAATTTTATGTAAATTTGGATTAATAAATCGATACATAGGTAAATGTTTGAGGAAGGAAATTATTTGGGATATCTTCAAAAAAGCATTAGTATGATTTATTTTTTTGTTGCTTGTTTTTTATATGTTTAATGAAAATAGTTTTTGCTATATTAAATATCAAATCGTAATATAAAATGTTGCAATTTTATGATTTTTTTAGAATTATTATAATTTTCTTCTCTTTAGAAATAAAATCATTAAAAAGTCATTTGCCGCTTTATTTTTTAGTTTATGTCCAATCAATTTTATAAAAGTGATTATGATGAAGAAAAATCTGGATGGATACAAATCTAAATATCTAATCTTATCTCTCACTGATGATAGCTTGATTAAAAGAGAAGAATCTGATAGCATGTACATAAGAAAAAAAGATATTCTGACAAAAATCAAAAAACAAATGATAATAAGATAATTTGATTAAATTATATGATATTTATCAAACAAGGATATAAAAAATAAGAAAATTTGTGATTGCATGTATCTAAGCGAATTGCCAGATTTACGCAATTTTATAGTATCACCAAATCATAATTATATATTTTTTATTTAGAACATACATGTTAGATGCACTTTTATTTATATCTTTTATAAAAACAAACAGTAAATCTTCAAATATTCATTGAAATTAAATGGAAATACTTTATTTAAGATAAAAGTCATTGTTTTAGTGATAAAAATGCTCCTTAACTCTTTTCTTTTTCATGTTTTTATCAAGCATTGCAAATATTTATTTTCAAACATTTCCTTTTAGAAAATTGTGAAATTTTTGAAGTATTTGAAATATTCTAAGGAAAATAAGCCATAAGTTGGTTAAAAATGAAAGCCCATAAATAGTATACATGCCTATTTTTAACTATCTTATTTGTAAAACACATGCTTAACTCAAAAATGTATTTCATTTTGAGTAAATTAAATGAAGATATTTACTAAATGAGATTGATGATAAAATATGATAGATAAACAGTTAATAATAATGTAAGTAACTTATTGCTTAGCAGGAGTAATGATATCATAATATTTTGAGAGCATTTAATTGAATACTTTCATCCAAGTAGTAAAATTTTCTCATGAAAATGAAGAAATTACTCATTAATTTTTAGTTTTACTTTTTTATCTTTCAATAAATACTCTCAAAAAGAAGTGTACATGTGTTTGTATATGTGAGGGAATTAATGGATGTTTATTTATGTATTTTTGTTTATGTCGGATATAATAATGAATGGAAATGATGAAGTGGAATCTTTTTTGGAATAGATTATGGAAGATTAATAACACTACACAAAAAAGTTTGTAACAACTATACGCATTTAATAGAAAAATTAAGCTTAAAATAAAATAGATTTGTTTAAATTTAAATTGATCAGAAGCACTTTCTGTGGACGATGGAAGGACCAGATTCATCATATTCAGCCTTAGTAATCCACATAGTTTGGAAGGTAGAAAGAGAGGAAAGAATGGAACCACCAATCCAGACAGAGTATCTTCTCTCAGGAGGAGCAACAACCTTAATCTTCATGGAAGAAGGAGCAAGAGCGCTAACTTCCTTAGAAAGTCTTTCAGCAATACCAGGGAACATAGTGGTACCACCAGAGAGGACGATGTTGTTGTAAAGATCCTTTCTGACATCGACATCACACTTCATGATAGAGTTGAAGGTAAGTTCGTGGATACCAGGGAATTCCTTACCGATGAAGGCAGGCTTGAAGAGGAGTTCAGGGCATCTGAATCTCTAGTCTTGGACGGTAATGGTGTTACCATCGGGTAATTCGTAAGATTTATCGTTTTAGGAGGATTCCTTGTAAGCCTTTAATTCAGCTTCGTAGTCGATAGCGACGTAGCAGAGCTTTTCCTTGATATCTCTGATGATTTCTCTTTCGGCAGTGGAAGAGAAGTTCAAACCAATTTCGTAGAGGAGCTTCATGCAGTATTCAGTTAAGTCTCTACCAGCCAAATCGATTCTCAAGATGGCGTGAGGAAGAGCGTAACCTTCATAGATGGGAACAGTGTGGGTAACACCATCACCAGAGTCAACGACGATACCAGTGGTTCTACCGGAAGCGTAGAGGGAAAGAACGGCTTGGATGGCAACGTAGAAGGAGGGAACGTTGAAAGTTTCGAACATGGTCTTGGTCATCTTTTCTCTGTTCAACTTGGGGTTTTGGGGAGCTTCAGTAAGTAAGCAGGGGTGTTCTTCAGGGGTAACTCTGAGTTCATTGTAGAAGCAGTGATGCCAGATCTTTTCCATATCATCGTAATCGGTGACAATACCGTGTTCAATGGGATATTTCAAATTCAAAACACCTCTCTTGGCTTGGGCTTCTTCACCAACGTAGCATTCCTTTTGATCCATACCGACCATGATACCAGGCATTTTGGGTCTACCGACAATGGAGGGGAAGGCGGCTCTGGGAGCATCGTCACCAGCAATACCAGCCTTGCACATACCGGAACCGTTATCAATAACAATAGCGGGGGATTCACTTTCAGCCATTTTACTTTATCTAGTTTTTATGTTGTCTTTATTTAATTATTCTTTTTTTTCTTTTGGAAAAAAGGATATCTTTTATTTTATTTTATAAAATTTATTTATATAGTACTTCAGATAATATTCCTGTTAATTTTAAAGTACCTCCCACCTCTTTCTTATCACTAGCAATCACTAATATCAATTAAATTTCTCATCAGTCAATTAATTATTGCTTATCTAAATATAATTCTTAATTTGTTTGATGAGATCTATTCATTCAATTTACTTTTACCTTTAATTTTACCTTAAAATATCAATTATCTTAAATTATATTTTATGGTAATCTTAAAATATGAAAAGGTAAATAAGTCAACCCAATCCTATCAAAAATGTATGTATTAATCAAAAACTCGTTTTTAAAATCTTTTTTATCCAGTGCTCCTAGAGATACGCCATATTTCAATCAAGCGCACAGAAAGAGTTTACTTTAAATCTAAAGAAAGCTAAACAAAATTTGATAAAAATTGAAATATTTCTTCTGAAAATAAATAACCAGGTGTCATTCATTCATTCATTGGATCAATCAATCTTATATTAATTTATTTAGATTTTACCCTTTGTTCAAATATAAAACTCTTACTTCTTAATCAAATTATTTTTTATTTCGCAGAGAGTTAATAAATATTTTATAATCAATTTTGAATATAAAAAATATGATCATTTTTATTGCTACAACTTAGTTTTCTTTTCAAAATACACATTTAGGTACTTGCTTTTTTGGAAAGAATAATAATTTTATCACTGCATAAAGAAGCTAGTTGAAAAATATGCCAAACAAGCCATTCAAATATGATGGATAATTTATTAAACCATTAAATTTTACATCTAATATAGGAAAAAGGAAAAATCACTAGAAATATATATTAAATCCATTAGTTTTTTCTGTTTAGTTGCATTTTTTAAAGAAAAAAAATGGTAAACACCATTTTAAATACCAAACAAAGTTTCAAAATAAAGATTTTCTTTTCATTTTATCAAAAATTTAGATTTTTATTTAATTGATTGGTTTTGCATTGCGCCTAAATATTATTTACAAAAAAAAAAAAAAGAAAAATGATAATTTGATTGTAAAGAGAAGAAATTAAATAAAACAGTGTAATTGAAGTTATTTCTAAAATAAGTGATGTAAAAATGATTTGGTGAAATGGCTTTTAGCTGAATGTTTTAAGTATAAAGTGTAAATTTGATTACATAAAATCTTTATGAGATATATATATATATTTTTTTTATTTTGAGGGAAAGAAAATTGGTTATAAATGGTATATCTATTAAATAAGCATGTAATATTTTACTTAATTTTTATGATCACAAATTAATGTGATTAAATAAATAAAATTTACAAAATACGCATTTTATTATGGATTATTTTGAGTAATTTGATATAAACAAAGTCTAAGGATAAAAAAATATGAGATTAATTTTACTACAAATAAATTAATTGTTGAAAGCAATTTATTTATTATTTTGCATTTGACTAATTTTATTTACTTATGCCCATCTTCTGTCTATATTATTTTAAAATTAATTAATTCGATTGATAATTTTATAAATTTATTCCTACTATCTCTCTCTCTCTTTGTCTATAACCAAATCTATTTTTAATATTCCAAATATCTAAACAAATTTAAAAGCACTTAATTTATTATTTTTCTACTTAATTCATTTACTTTTTTATATTTTTAAAATTTATTTTCCTAAACATTTTTGTAATTTTTTCTACCATAAAATTACTTAAAAAAAGAACTTTCTATAAAAATTTAAATACAATTGTATGTATTAAGCTAATACTACTTGTATAGATTCTAAGTTTTAAACAATGAATAAACATTAGAAAAATAATTTCCTAAAATTCTAAATCGTATTAATTTTTCTAATAAAATATAAATATTTTTAGCTTTGATAAATTGCTATAAACTTTACCATTTTTAACTAGTCCTATTTACTGTTGAATTTTACAAAATTAAACATATTTATAAGATATAAATATTTATTGTATAAATATGGTTTTATTAAATTTCAATAATTTCCAATATTTAAAAAGGAAAATGCTGAAAAATGTTAGAATAAAATTACAACAAAACAACAAATTTGCAATTCATTTCACTGAGATCAAAAAAGAAGAGAACAATTTTATAATTTATGAAAAACATAAATTACTTACTTATTAGGGTTTAGAAATGCGCACTAAATATTTCTTAGCTCTATATGCTTGCTAATAAGTGTGTTTAGACAGTTAATATCTAGTGAGATTAGACTTAACTTTAACAATATTCTAAAGAAATATTACATGTGTATGTCCTGTGAATTTTTTCAATTATTCTAATAGAAAATTTTAGATTTTTCGATTTATATAATGAGTAAATAATTTAAAATATTCAAATTGATGCTTTTCAATGATTATTTATTTACAAATACATACTTTCCTTTCCTACTTACCTGTGAATGCAAATTAAAAAATCAAATTAATAAGTAATACATATATATATCTAGGTAATATAAAATTCAAAGGAGAGATAAATAATAAAACTATAAAAAATAGTAATTTCAAAGTAGGAATTAAAAAATACTTAAGATGACAAACTCAAAAGAGAAAAAGGCAACTAACAATTGTTTAGATTCAAAATAAGCCGCATCAGCTGACTTAGCCAAAAAAACAGTTGATGTTTCAACTTAAACAGACCTTATAGAAAGAGATTATATTCCAATCAAGCAACTTGCTCTCATGCAAACAGAAAGTGTTGCTTTTCCTTAAATACTTTATCATTAGCACACTCTCTTATAGCTTATTCTATTCCTTATTATGATTTTTGTAGCAGCATTCTACTACACAAAACCTTAAGGTGAAGATTCTCTACTCCCTAATGCTAAATTGTAATAAACTTTAAAGTTTAGAATTTCAGCTTGATTTTATTTTAATTTGCAAGCACTTATTGATTTATTGAAATTATTATATAGGGGTGTCATGTTTGCTATGATTTCTATAGTAATCTATTGTATGATTTACTTGCCTAATACAACTATATAGAGACCTCATCCATCTCTTTGGCGTATGCTTTAAGCACTTGGAATGTGTTGGTTGACCGTTGTAGTTTTCGCTCTCTTTTTCGTAATATTATTGCATAGTTAAAACTCGTTAGAGTTATCAAAAAATTTACTATTAAAATTTAGAATAGAGATGATATCTAAACTTTCTTGAAGTCTTTTGTCGATCCCGAATTAGGACAGCCCTTATAAGACAAGGTAAATATTTAAAAATAAAACTAGCAAGTTAGATAGATGATAGTAATGTAAAAACATTTTAGATTACATAATAAGTTAAGCTCAATAAAAAATAACAATTAAATTGTTGTTAGGAGATTATGGTGATGAAAGACTAAAAGTTTTTTAGAATAAAATTATATCAAATTTTATTTTATTTCTAGTGAAAATTTTAGTAATTCTAAGAATAAACTGAGATATAAATAAATTAGATTTATAAATTTTAAATATCGCCTTAATCAATCAGAGCTTTATCAAAATTGATATCAAAAATAATCAAAGTGCTTTAAAAAATTACGTATTATCTAATTGATTAGCTAATTAGTTTTATAAAAACATAAATACGAATTTAAAAATTTTTATATCAAGAAATTAAATTTTATTTTATTATAAAGAATTTCTCTGAAGATTGTGATATCTATACTCCTGGTAATCCTAAAGGTGATTTCTATAATTTGACTGATAAGTTGGATGTCTTTTTTGTTGCTCATTTTATAGGCTGGATGGTTAAAATGTTTATTTGCAGAGACTTTAAACTATGCATGATCCAATCAATTCTTTTTGAATTTTTAGAAATAACTTTCAGACACTGGCTCCCTAACTTCTATGAATGCTGGTGGGATTCTATCATTTTCGATATTATTCTTTGCAACTCTGGAGGTATCATCGCAGGATGGTGGTTGATGTAGAAATTCGAAATGAAGGAATACAAGTGGTCCTTATCTGAAGCAGGAAAGAAGAAAAAACCCTATTGGAAAAATGTTAAAGAGCTTTTCATCACTCCAAACCTCGAAAAACATGATTGGAAAGTTTTCTCTTCAAGCCTTAGATTTGCTTCTGTTATTTATTACATGATATTTGTAAAATATTTTTAACATTAATTAGAAATGATTTTTATTAAAATTTGTTTGTTTTATCAACAATAGATGAATTTAGTTGATCTCAGTTTCTTCTTTAACAAGTTTGTTTTATGGATTAGACCAAGTCACCCTGTTTTATCTTTCAGAACATTTATGATCGGCTTTTTAGCCATCCCTGCTACTCGTGAATACTATGAATACATTTCAAATCCGTAAGAATATTGATAAAATTATTAATTTAAATTTAAAATAAATGAAAAAGTTGAATAGATTTTAACTATTATTTTATAAAATAAAAATAGATAATAAAAGAGACTCGGAGGTATTTGTTGGTTAACATAGGCAATCGTATACTCTGAACTTTTAGTCTTTTTAAAAAATTACAACGGTTAATTTATTGAAGCCTTCCCAGACTACATAATTTAAATCTGGGCTGTAATAGTTGGCGTCATTATTGCTATTTTCACTGCTTTGCTTATTAGAGATGTTAAAAAGTGGTATAAAAATAAGAGAGAAGAAGACTCAAAAGAGAAATTACATGCTGAGTGAGTGATTGAAATTCTCTAGCCCTTTAATATTAAAATATTTTCAAATTTTCCTCTTAACAGAGAAATTCAACATAATTTTTATAATAAATAACTTAAATTAAGATAAATACTTTGAAAAATATTTAAAAAATATGATGAAGCGTATTTATTTATCAATCAGTAAGTTATTTTGGTTAAGTCTTAAAAGAATCATAAACCTTTTCTAATAAAAAAACAAATCGATCTATACTATAAAAATAAATTAGTTAAATATAAAAATCTATTAAGATTTATTAAAGCTTTTATTAGTAGATCCATATTTCATATTGTAACTTAGTTAGCATCAAAATAAATTAAAGAAATTATCTTAATTATTTAATCAATTAATTTCAATTAATATTGGTTATAAACATTTATTAAACTATTTGATTTTGATAGTTTTTACTCGATAATGGTAATAGCTTTAGCTAATAAACAGAGGAAAATTCTCAATATAAGAGATTTGTATAATTTTTGATTGATTTTTCTTAATATTTCACAGACCGATCTGATGATGAATTATTCAATAAATATTATAAGTCTATTTCAATTGTTAATAATTGATTTGGCTACTTTCTATGAAAATTAATAACACTCTTAAATTACAGAATTTATGTTTCTTTTATTTTTACTTAACAATGCCATCGTTTTCCTCAAATTTAAATGCCTTTCTAGCATCAATTAAATTTGCTATTTTACATTTTGCTTTAGATTGGCATTTTTAATTACAATCAAGAAGTAGAATTATTTAATAAAAAATATACTCTTTTTTTTGTTTTTTGAAAGGGAATATTTAATTTGTTGAGTTACTTACATTCCCACTTTACTTATTTATGCTTCCCAAACATGCTTCTAGAAAATGCTTTTAAAGAAAATAAATGAATTTCTAATAACTTTTTCTTTTAAAAAAAGAGAACAAAGTAAAATTAGATATTAACTTAACTAAAGAAAGAGAGATATAATTTTAGTTTCTTACAAGAAAGGATTTTAAAGGTAAGTACTTTGATACAATTTATTTTAACTCTATGATTAGTATCTATTATTTAATTAAAAAGAAGTAATCAATCTACAAAACAAAAAATTAAATAAAACTTTGTTTTAATTAATGGTTTTTAGAGAACGTAAATCTTTATTTGGATGTCTCCTAAATTAAATGCTAAGCCATACAAATTCATAATCATTTAATAGCCTATTAATCGTCAGCTGAATTAAATTCATAAATAATTGCTTATTATTATTTCACATACTTTTGTGGCTACAATTATTTATTATGTTTGATCAATTAAAATCATAAAATCCTTCTTTTTATCAAAAAAAAAGTGTTTTATGTTTAATAAAAATCCAGTAAATATTTTTTCTGAGCCATTACTCGCAATTATCAGTGCATTTTATAGAACGTTTGTAAATTATAAGATTTAAAATTTTATTGTATAAAATTAAAAAAAATAATTGCAAGTAACCTAAGATAGATAGATAGATTGACGAAAGTATTAAAAATAAAAAATCAAGTAAATGTATAAAAACTCTAAAATGTATGACTTGTTTGAAAGTATATTCTAAATGATGATTATTGTTAGACAAATCTAAATTACATACTTTCTATATAACATTTAATCTACAATGACTCTAGCTGACTGCAAACGCTCTTAATTATATAAAAATAGATTTAATTCTTTTGAATTTTATTTATCTTAATTGTACCACCCCATGTAATCTTTAGAGAGAATAATAAAGGCACTATTATTTTAGCCTTCCCTTAAATATATATAATCCCTTTTTTTTCGAATACTAAAATCCTTTGTTATAAATATATTAATTTAACAAGGCATTTGTTAAGTATATTCATTTCCATTAAGTAAAATACTAATTTTTCTTGAAATAGTTAAGCCCGATTAATCGTAATATCTTATAATGTTAAGTAAGACAATATCCAAATTTGCTGTAAAGAAAGATCCTTTGAGCACTAACAAATAATAAATAATTCATTCATGATTTATATTTAAACCTCTTTTTTTTACACTCAAAATTCAAAGATTAGATAATATCAATAATAAATTTGAGTATTAATTCAAATTTAGATTTTATCTACATAAAATGAATATTTATTTGCTTTTTTAAGGATTAGTGATTTATAGACTCTTAAAAATTGAACATACATCAAGATTAAATAGCTGCTTTAATCAAGTATTTAGTATTTAATCATAATGACATATAAATTTGATATGATTTACTCAAACCACAAATTCATTAAATTTAAAAAATAACAATTTGTTGTTGATAGGAAAGGATAGAAAAAATAACCTAAAAGAATATAATAGGTTCTAAGAGTACTGAGTAATAGATATCTAAATTGCAATTAAATGAAATTATAAGGTCTCAATTTTACAGTAAAAAAAATAAACTCATTCTAACAAACAAACAAACAAACAATCAATTCTATAAATTTCTCTAAATATTCTTAATTAAAACTGGGGAGAGAATTTTTACAAATACTCAATACAAAATTGATAGATCAACATTCAACTAATTTTTTTAAAGTAGTATGAAAATCCAACTAAAATCAAAAATTGTATGTTTTTTATGAATTTGAGCTACTTTTAATACATAAATCAATTAATCAGTCAATCTTTATTTTTATCAAATAATTTTCTTTAGCTATTTATTATTAATGCAAATAATTAAAAAAAAAAGAAAAAAAAATCAAGTAAGGTTTCTTCAAACAATTCTAATTTTAAAAATAAAGCAAAAAAAAAAACACAATAATAAATATTTGAGTAGCAAGATATCTAAAAAAAAATAACTAAAAAATATTTGCAACAAATCAAGTTCTACATATTTAAATTTGATAATATATTCTTTTAAGAGCACTTTCTTTGATCTTCTAAATTTGATGGAAAAATCTATTTGCTTTTGTCCAGGTAAATAATTTTATTCTTTGATAGCAATCCTATTTACATATTTTAATATCGCATACCTTAACTAACATTATTTTTCGCTTTAAAAAGATAAATTATCAGTTTATGGAGAAAGTGATCATAAAATTGTGCCTGCTTTGACTGAGGAAGAAGTCCTCATTAACTCATGGCTAGACGAAAAAGGAGTTACTATGGCTGATCCACTCGACCTTATATACGGCTATTTCGAGAAGAAAAAGAGCTAAATCAGATAAAATGTTGACAAAAAAAAACCCTCAAACCTTTGGGAAAGAAGAAAAGAAAAAACAAAGACCTTTTAATCGCCTATATTGAGTAAGTCAAGCTAATCAAGTGACGATGGTAGTAATGGATTCTTTGAGTGAGTGAAAGAGCTTCATAATATTTTGAATTGACAATTAATATTATAAATAGAAAACTGTCAAAAAGTTCTACATCAAATCATAAATTTCAATATAACTCAAACATTGATTGGAAAGACCTTTTTTCCATTTATTTTTAACAGAAGTATCAATCAACAAAAAATAACAACTACCTACCTACCTATCTTTAATTTTACAAAACAAAACAAAAAACCAATTAGAAATAATTACTCAAATAATTTTACGCATAAGTACTACTAATTAACTAATATTTAACTATCTAACTTAATAATATTCACTGATAAAAATAAAATATCTGCTCTCAACTTAATTTACAAGAAATAAACAATCAATTTGATTGAAAAAATATTTTATTTAAAAACAGAAATAAAATACTGAGTTCTTCCTCCTTATTAATAATTCAAAAATAGAAAACCGCGCTTGAAATAATTCATTTGATTTGATTTTATTATCAAGCGGATAACCAAGAAATTAATAATGATTTATAATTGCTAATAATCTATAGCCATATAAATTCGGTATTTATATCACATAAATTCTGATGTAATCAAAAAATATTATTTCTTAGAACAATATATAAGCGAAGGTCAGCCTATCTGAACATCTATTATCTATATATCTGTCTTTCAATCTATTTATTCGATATTTCTTGATTGATTAGTAAATTAAGGAGTAAATTAATATTTAAAATGAAGATAAATTTTCCTCCCCAAATAAAATATTTGTAAACTGAAGTGATACGCAAAAATTATGATATAGGTACTATTTATGATGATATTAAATTTAAATTTCTTTCTGTCTTCTTTCAAGGAATAAATCAGAATTATATCATTAAAAGCAAAACATACAATCAACTTCACGCCAATCTCCATCAACCAAATAGAACCAGATTTATAAAATAAATATTTAAAACTTCCAGTCTTAATCAACCAACCAATCAATCAAACAATCACTCACTCATTCGCTGTTCGAGCGACCAACCTTTTATACTTTACTTTATTTCTCTAATGAACTTAATAAAATTAAAAAGTGAATGAACAATGAGATTTAGAATGTTTAAATCACGAAGAACGAACTCTAATTCATTAATGAACTGTATCACTTTTTGCTAATTGATATACATATTTCATTCATTAGAATAAAAATAAAAATAATTCACATATATCAAACAAAAAAAGAACTCCTTTAAATTAATAACCAAAAAAAAAATAAGTATTCTATCCTATTTAATTAATTAATTAACTAATAAATAACATAATCAATTTGTCCTCCTTAAAAATCAATTAATTATATTTATTAACCCTTTCTCAATATATTTTATAATCATCATGGACCAAGTAGTCTGTGTGAATTAATTAATTTTACTTTAAACAATATCTCCTTTTTGATCCATTTATATTTTATATAGTCTTCCTCCCTCCCTCTCTTACTAACTTCAATCAAATAAATCAACTTCAAAAACTAAATTAAAAATTTACTCTTTTTACAAATTTTTGATTTGTGGGTGACCAAATAAATTTAAATATTTGTTTATCATGTATATTAAATAGATATAAAAAAATACCACCAAATAAGGCTCATTGATTGATCGATTGGTGATTTTATTTTTAATTTTTTTTTTCAATAAAATACCTACAAATTATCAAATCTGCTAATTTTCAAGCTTAAATTCATTTAAATATTTGCATTCAATTCACAACAATTTGCCTATAACAAAATCTCTTTTAAACTGTTTTAAAGTATAGCAAAAGCAATAAATTTTTACAAATTTTCCTTCAGTACTAGAAGAGAAATTTCGAAATGAAATTATAAAATTTCACCTTATAATTTAGAATTATGCTTCTAACTTTAGTCAGTAAAAGCTTTAATTGAACTACTAACGTGAAAATACACAATTTTCATTTTATATATCAGTTAATTGAACAAAAAAGGATAAATAAGAGGTAATCAAAATATCCACACAAAAAAAAAATAAAAGTGTAAACTAAAAAACAGATAAATAAATAATGAAATTTAAATACTTTCATATATAATGTGAAGAAAAACTGATAAAAATGAATGTTCATTTAAATTTGTTTAAATAATAAATAGCTTTATTTGTGTTTATATTATTGTCAATACAAAAATCAAGATATATATTCAAGTTATATAAAAATCTCAAATAAAATTTACATTCAAAGGTTTCTTAATAATAAATTGTAAGCTAAAAAATCAAAAGATATGTAAATCAAATTAAAATTAATAGGTAAAAAAATCTAAAATTTAAAATACTCAAGCTCTTATATGAAAGTTATTTAAAAAAATATATTTTAGTTTCAATAACTAAAAAATAAATAGAAAATACATAATCTACCACATTTATAAATCATTTTACAAAATTTACAACTCATTTTCATAGTGAAACAAATAAAAATAAAATAAAAAAAATAATTTAACCATATATTATTAGAAAAAATGATTATGCTTAGATTATCTTAAACAACATAGTCAGCTTATATTTATTTAAAAAAATCACTTCTCAATAAATTAATTTGTTAATATGCTAAATAAATAAATAAATACTTGCTTGCATTTTTCAAACATTGTTTTTTCATTTATTTTGAAAAGATTGATTTCCTTTTTATCTTCTTTAAACATTTATTAAGTAAAATTATAAATGTTGATTTTTTTTCATTTTTAAATTCTAAATAAAATAAAATTTCACATATTAACTAACTAACTAACTATTAGCCATTTAAGCATTAAACAAAAAGTAAGTTAGTTTCTCCATGCCAATAATTTCTAAGATTTTAAAAAGCTATTTCTAATCGATTTATATTAAAAATAATCAATTATTAATGGCTCTTTTTTTAATATTTTATAAAAAATCAGTAAATTTAACCAACCAACTTATCTAGCTATAACACTATTTTAAAAAATTGTATAAATAAGAAGATAATTAAGCAAACACTTCAACATAAAATCAAATATACCCATGTAACCTTTTTATAATTTATATTTTTAATATTCTTTATAAAAATAAAAAATTTATTTAAAAAAAAAAATGAAATAGATTAAAAATGTTAAAGAGATTTATATTATTTCAATTTTAATTTTTTTATAATTCTATCTTAAATAAACAATAGAAATGAGTATTTTGTTATCGGCCATACTAAGGTGAAAACACCGGATCCCATTCGAACTCCGAAGTTAAGCGCCTTAAGGCTGGGTTAGTACTAAGGTGGGGGACCGCTTGGGAAGTCCCAGTGTCGATAACCTTTTTTATTTTAGAGCTTTTAAATCCTATCTAACTGTATAAAAATATTTTATTTATTATTTTTATTTTAAAAATCATCATAAATTATATATATATATATTCATACTTACTCTAATTAATTTTGTTATCGGCCATACTAAGGTGAAAACACCGGATCCCATTCGAACTCCGAAGTTAAGCGCCTTAAGGCTGGGTTAGTACTAAGGTGGGGGACCGCTTGGGAAGTCCCAGTGTCGATAACCTTTTTTTACTTAAATTTATTTTAAAAATAGTAATTTTATGAAGCAATTTATTTTAAAATCTTTAAAAAAAGTTTAATATTATAAATTGTAGAATTAATTATAAAACTAAAAAAAATAAAATTTATCTTCAGAAAGTAAGTATATATGAATATAAACTTCATTCAATATTTATTATTTTCAATAAATAGCTGAATATTAAAAGCTCAATGAATACATTTATTAAATAAATAGTGTTGACTTTACAATAGCGATATACAAATAATCAAAATATATATATATTTCATATTTAAAATATTTAGTTAGATATAGAAATAATATTATTTAGTAAACTAATTAATATATACTACAATAATTTTACAGGAATAACATGCAATATTGAATAGAGTATTTAAAAATTATTTATTTATTAAAGCAGTTTATAGGAATATCTATCTATTCTTTTTATAAATTAATCCTAAATTAATAATTTATGATTTTTATGAATTAAAGTAAAAAAAAAAACTTTTATTCTCAAAAGAATTTATGGTTTTTATGAATTAAAGTAAAAAAAACACTTTTATTCTCAAAATAATTTACGGTTTTTATGAATTAAAGTAAAAAAAACACTTTTATTCTCAAAAGAATTTATGATTTTTATGAATTAAAGTAAAACAAAAGAATTTAACATTTGTTTCTCTTAAAAAAAAATCTGAATTTAATGAAAATAAAAATTAATGCAACAATTCTAATCAATAACACCAGAATAATTTTTTAGATATTTTATTTAAAAAACAAAGTTATCAGAAATAATTAAATTACTTTCATTACAAATTAGAAAATAGAAATTCATTAAAAGCTGAAGAAAATAAATATCAGAATAAAATAAAGACCTAAAATGATCAAATAAGATTACAAAAGAGAGCATATAGATGGATTTATTTATTATACCTTAAAAATAAGTACTTTTCTATAGTATTGGAATTCATATAATATCATAGAAGTAAATTACTTTACAAAAATTTATTTAAATTATTTAAATTTCATAAAAAAGTAATATTTTGGTGATAGTTTGAATCTATCAATATTATGTTTTGCAGTAGTCTTCTTTTTAAGAAAATTATTACTAATATTACCTTGTCAAATATTTTTGTGTTATTCGAAGAAAGATAAAATTAAAATTAAAATTATTCTTTATTTAATTTTATCTTTAGAAAAGTTAGCATTTAGTATAAAAAAAGATTATATGATTATTAATTTCTTGAATGAGGGGAACTTTCTATTTCTTAAATTATAATATAATTAGTATATGGCTTGGGTTTAGATAGTTTTTGTTCTGAATTTACCCGAAGTATAAAATTTAAAAACTATTTTACAGCTACTTCTTCCTCTACTTTTTAGTGCTTTATTTATATGCGAAATTTAAAATGATGCTTATAGTTAACCCAAGAGTTTAAATGAATTTATTTGGAGCTATGATTTTAATATCAAAAGGACTAAGTTATTATTACATTAGTGGATTAGATTATTATTCGTGATAATCTGCTTTTGTGTATGCTCTTAAATATAAAATATTTTTAAATATTATATTGTTATTACTTTTTTATTAATTATTTTAATAATGATTTGTCAAATATAATACCTGAAAAGGATATCTGATACTTAAGTAAGTACAATATTAGTTACATTAATTTTGTTTACTTGGATATCATTTAGTCATACATCTATAGAACTTAGAGAAGTGAGTGATGAATACTATAAAAAGCAAGAGTTCCTTTAAATAAAGTGCCTTAATGCATTTATAGTTACTACTCTTATTTAAAAATTATATGTTTATTATAATATGTTAATTATAGCACATAACGAAAATATTTTTGGTTTTGGTAATTATCTTTGGGTTTACTAATTGCTAATTATACTAGACTTGTTTCTTTAAACAAAGTTGCTTATAAAGTATATTGTAAATCCATTATTCAACGGACCAGAATATTTTGAAATATATGATATTAGCAATTCATATTATTTAACAGAAAACAAACATAAATTTAAAAATTTAAGATTCATCAAGGTCAAATGTTAAAGAGATATCTCTCTAAAGCTTATTTTATCTTCTTTCTATAATTGTGAAATTATAAGAGCTGAAAATTCTAATAAGAATTTTAGGAAATTCATAGATTCAACACCATATTAGGAAGTATTATTTTAAAATTTAATAGATATCTAAGAATTCGAAGAAGTTATTGAAGAAAATTCGATTAATTGTAATATCTTAAAAATTAAATTTGATTACAAAATGAGTTTTTAAGATTTGCTATAATTTTCCAAAATTTTAGTTAAGTATAATGCATTCGTTCTTATTACTTGCTCAGGCATTCTAAATGAAATAAATGAAGATAATATTATTTATGCAGATAAGTTTCACGAATTATAAGATAATTTAATATATTCTCAAGTATAATCAACAATTTATAGAAAAATCTTATACAATAAATATTTGAAGGATTTTATACCTCTAAATCCAGCCATAGTTCTCTATGACTTGTACGATTGAGTATTTTTAAAGAAATAAAACACTTTAAAATTACTTTTAAATAATAATTATATAACTAAATAATAATAAAAATAATAAAAATATATTAAGTAAATTGATTAAATTGTAACTTCTTTTTTATATTTTATTTAGTTATATTTTTTAAAAATTTAATTTTTCAAAAAAAGAAATAGTTTTCTCATTAAAATATTATTGAATGATTTATTTTATTATTTTATAATTAATTAATATTTTTTAAAATAATATAAAATTCTACAAAATTTAAAAATAAATTAATTAATTTATTTTTTAATTAAAAAAAATATGTAGCTTCTCAGTTACAGAAAAAATTTGCTGCAAATAGCAATATGTAAAAATTTTAAATATTTTAGTAAAGCTTAATTAAATCTTTAATTTTGTAGATTAAAAATATTTAATTTTATACTTTGATTATAAAATTTAATGATTCAAACGAATAAGTTTTTATTATTTTAAATATTTTTTAGAATCTTCAATTCACTTTATAAAAATAAATAAATTCAAAAATATTGGATTTAAATATTTTAGTTGATCTATTAGTTTTTGGATTAAAAATAGCAATAGACTTTAGATTTAATTTATATTTAATATATAATATTTTTAGTTATTTGTAATTGAGTTACATTTCAAAAAAAAAAAAATTAAATTCTCCCTTTTAATTGAATTTTTCTATTTCTTTGAATATCTTAAAATTAAATTTCTAAGTATTTTGTTACTTTTATTGATTACATATGATTAAATTTTTGCTAAAATTGTCTTTATTTTTGTTTTGAGCATTAGTAATTTATAGCAAAATTAAAAAGTAAAATATCCTTTACATGCTTGACTCTCTTTCGTAAAAAGTTCAATAAAATGAATTTTAGTTTTGTTCTTATTTATAAACACTAAAAATGTTCGATAGATAGTATAATTATCTATTTCAATTATTTTTAATAAAAAATGGCTTGAAGTCTGATTTAGATCTATCTTAATAAATTTTTTAGATTTATCTTATTTTAAAAATACTGGTATTATATTTTTGATTTTGATAGATAAGAAATTTTTTGATTAAAGTATAGCCAGGAAAAAAAATTCTTTTCAAGTTCTTTATGTCAGTCTAAATGTCCAAAGATAATATGCATAAATATATTTACATAAAAGAATTAAAACTTTAAAATGAAAATTATGAAATAGATCAAATTATGAATATTTCGAAAATTTATTCTTTGTTTATAATCCTTTAAAAGATTTAAGATAATTTAAATTTCGAAAACAAAAGAATGCAAAAACAATTAACAATTCCTTAGAGTTGAGTTATTTATTTATTAATTGATTAGATTTTTGATAATAAAACCTCAACCTTTCTTGAAATTATGAAAGTCGCTTAATATAATAGATAGAAAATTCACTTTTTTAATCTTTTTATAAGCAAGTTGTTTGTTTTTTTATTCGATTATATATTTATTATAGGTCTTGATTATTTTTAAAAATAATAATCTAAGCTTATTTGTTATGATTATAATAGTACAAATCTTTCTAAATGTATGACTACTCTGTAATAATATCCATAAATTTAGGAGAAGATTATTTTTGCTTTCAAATTATTTAATTAAAAAAAAAATATTGAAAAGCTAAAGTGATTAAAAAAGACAAACACTGCGAAATGTCTTCTTTAAAACATAAATAAATTACCAAAAGGCAAGCCAAAAAAAGTTCAAAACAAAAAAACGAAGATGTTATAGCTGTTCTAAAAAAAGAGCTATTTTAGAGTGAAAGAATATTTTTTATTGAAGGCGATTTAATAGTAAATTTAGATTTCATATAAGGAGTAGATTGTCAACAGATTAAATTCGATGAAGTGAGTCCATTCAGACCTTTCATTTCGTCTGTGTGGGATAAAAAAAATAATTATTATATGTTTTATAGAGATCCGCGCTGCCCAAAATCGTAACTAGAAAAACTTTATCACATTTTGGATTCACTTGGAAATTAATATGCCCATAATGTTTGCTTAGAACTTAAAAAATATTTTGAAGTTATGTAAGACTAACTTTAGAAATATAAATAAAAAAATCATAAAATACAAAGCGAGTACAATAAGGAGAAAACCTTTTAATTGGCATAAAAATATCTAAATGAAAAAGTAAAATCCAAATATTTTGCATTTATGGTTAGAACTGGTCAAGGCTACTTTCTGCATAACGAACTTGTAGGTATTTCTTAAAACCTGATAAACATTCTTGGATTTAAGCCTGATGAATTCGAACACTTAGTTCTTACTCAAGGAGTTCCTATGTTCTACAATAAAAGCATGTTTTCTTCATAAAAGCTCATATCCGATTTGAAGATAAAGCAAATATTATATGACTAAGATAAATTAGATTTTATGGAGGACATTTAAACTGATTTTTAAACTGCTGATAATTAATTTTTGAATGTTCGATTGAAGGGTAAAAGAGTTATTCTCTAAGAGAGACCAAATGTAATTATTTATATATAAATTACAATATGAATTACAAATGTTAAATTAAAATTACTGAACAATTTTTTTAATCTATTAAAAATTAGAATTTCCCTGATGATTTAATAATAATAGAAGGAGAATATGATTTTGATTAAATAATCAGATACCTTTTGCTCAGGTAATTAATTATTCACTTATATTCTTTAATTTACTTATTTTTTTAAGCTATTTAAACAAACCATCTAATTAATTATGAAATTAGAAACAAAAAACAATAATCTGCCGAAATTTAAGAATACATGACAAAAGTAGATAATTTTCTTATAAAATACTACAAAAAAGAAAATTAAGACAGTTCAGAAAACTCGAAATTTGATCATTTAAGGTGTAAATACAGGCCATTAAATGAACATGAATTATAAAGATTAAAAGACATTAAAGAATAGACTGATATAAATTTAGAAGACTTCGCTGAATTTGAAGAATAATTAGATTTTGGATTTGAAAATCATATTAACGGTAATGGATAGTAGTAATTTTAAGATTAAGACTTCTTCACTAATTAAGAAGAAATATTAAATGAGTATAAAAATTAAAACAACCCAACTTCAATAGATGAGTAAACTTATTGTAATGAAGGACATCAATATTTAAATTTTGATATTAATTCATAGCAAATGATAACTTAAAATAATATAAATATTTTTTAATCAAATTAAAACATTTTTTAACAACCTTGTTAGAAATAATAAATGCAAAATAGCAACATTAATTACTCTAATTAGCTCAATTTTAGTAACGAATTTGATGTTATCGAAAGAAACTGCTCTGATGAAATGAATATAGAAGGTGGACATTTCTATTTTAATTTAAGTAATGATTAAGTCGATTAAAATTAAGGTTTTCACTTCTAAAATGAAAATGAATAAAGTAATCTTGGGTATTCTTAGAATTTATAATTTGATCATGCCTAATAACAATATAAATATTTAGCATATTAGTCTGTTTTGCCTAATTAGCATTCAGAAGGATATTTCATGTAACAATAATCATTTAAATTGCCAAGTAATAACGAATGGATTTAAAATTATTGAAATTGTCAATCTACCATGCTATTTAATACATAATGAATTTGAAATATTTCATTTACTAATTACTTTTATAACACTATCACATATAAACAAACAACTAACAAATAAACATTAGTATATCTAAATAATTTTAATCATAGTTAATTAATTATTAATTCTATTTACTTTTACTATTTAAACAATAAGTGATAATGATCTTTATTAATTATTAATAATAATAACTTTCTAACTCAATAAATAAACTGAATTTTTTTATACAACTTTAAGAGTTGCTTTGAGTTTTATTAATAAAAATTATTATCTTCTTATTGAATATTATTTATCGATTAATTTTAGAGATAAACAGAGTAATAAATACTCTTTTTATATTGTATAAGTTTTAACTTTGACATTTATTAAAATGTTTTAGTTTGTTTTATTAATTTTTATAATAATTAAGTGTAATTAATTCTTAATGTTTTTTTTGTAAAACTTTTTATTATGCCATAATTTAATTTATTAATATTCATATAATTTATTAGCTGTAAAACAAACAGCATTTTAATTAATTAAGTAGAAATGTAATAAAAATTATCTTAAAACTAAGAATTAGATTCTTTAAAATCACAGTTATTCTTTCTTTAAGAAAACCAACGTATCTATCTCATTTTTTCTCTCTGATTTTATATGTTTTAGCATTTTATTATTATATAAAATTTTTGAATAGCTGATGATTAGACATCTTATGAGTTGTTGATTACAAATATAAGCTATAAAATTTAAAAAATATCAGATAAAATTAAATAGGATTTCGAAGAAATAGATGAGGTAATACTTAGATTATTTATGTAGTATCTTACTAATATCAATATTCTGTTATTAGAAAAGGGATTTTTAGAAAACATAGGATTAACTGCCCTCTATTTAGAAGTAATAATAGCATTCTTAATCTCAGATATTAAGAAATAGCTCTTCAAGTAAAAGTGCAAATCATTAGAATAAAAATTTGACTGGAATGCTTAGCTAAGATAGGAGCCTACAATTATAAAAAGAGTTTTGTGGTGAAAAGTTTTATAAACTTTAAAAATAGGATAAAAAAAGATATTCTGAGTCAGTAAGTGATTTGTTAAAAAGCGCTAAATTAGAAATGAGCTAATTAAGCAGAAAGCAATCAACAAAAGTATTGTAAGATTCAAAATTAAGTGAAACTATTGATCACAGTATGCAGCATTCTATATTAAAAATGAGGCTAGCAAGAAATAATGTTGTCAAATAAATTTCTTAGAAGCTTAACATAGAAGTACCTTTGTCTCTCTAAACTTCAACTATAAATCCTATTTCTAATTTATCTAATGTTGAGAATTTATCTTCTATGCAACAAAATTATAATTAATACTCTATGCAATAATAATCTAGTATTATCAATCAATCAGTTTAGCAACATAATGTAAATATTTTAATAAATTCAATATATTAATAATAAATAAATAAATGATATATAAATTAGATAAGCTAAATTAGTAGAATTGAAAATTCTATTAACAATAATAGTTCTATATTTATCAACGAGGATAGTATGTAAAGAAAATAATTTAATATTATTTTATTGAATAATTAATTATTTTTTAGAATATAGAATTTTTAAGGTTTCTAAGAGAATCAATAAAGTTAAGACCATTCCTTATTGTAAAAAAATAAAAAACCTTTCAAACTGAAATTGCATGAACCTAGAATTCTTCCTAAAGAATTAAGAGAAAATCCATTTGCTTTAAAACCAATTGTAAAGGAAAAAGATCTTTAAATGGGTATATATGAACTAGTTAACAAAGGTCTTATTCCAAAAGACACTGACATAGAACCTGCATTTACTCGAGGATAATCAATATTTTAAGCAAAAAGGATGAAGTAAATTATTTTGATTTCTTTTCTTAGTTATGAATTATTGCTTTTATAATTTCAATAGAATATAGGAATAAAAAGTGTAAAAGTATAATAAAGATTCTTTCATCGAAGGAATTTAGAAATATTAAAGATTAGCCATGGTTGATCCTAATAATCCCTCAATAAATAAAATTAACAACATTGAATTGTAATAAGATGCTAATGATTTATTAAATTTATCAAAAGATAATGATATTTTCATTACAGATAATGTCCAAGATTAAAAAGAAAAAAATATTGCTATGTAATAGGAAGAAAGTATAGAAATTTAAAATCTACCTATTAGCAACAATCAGAGTGTAATTAATAATTTAGATTAGAAAACTTTTAATATTAGCAGCTTTATTGAAAATAACTTAAATTCTAAATGTGAAGACTCTGTACAAGTTAACTAATTTTTAAAAGGAAAAAAATAGATCAAAATTCATATTAAAAATGGTAAATTGTTTTTTTTTTTTACAGTTTGACACAACTTAAATGTATTTATTAATAATAAAAATAAAAATAAATTAAGGGATTTTGATTGATAATGAGCACTTAAAGTACTTAAAAAATTAGTACTATGAAATATGGGGAAATATAGTTCATAATCTATGTAGACTAAAGAATTAATGCGTCAAATTTCGTATAAATAGCATGCTTATTGATGGCAACCTTATAGCTTACCATTCAAAAGACCTGTTGAAAACTAAAGATGATATTCTTTTGGAGTGTATAATGAACAAAGATATTATTGAAAAAATAATTCCTAATAAATCTAAGCAAGCTCATGCAGTCATGATAAAAGCATGGGCTGTAACAAAATTTATGTAGTTTTATAAAATAATAAAAGCAAAGAAGGAGTTTAAATAAAAGAAAGAAAAAGTAAATTAAATTTCATCCATATACTATTTATTTTAAGAAAATATGTTTTATTTATTTAAAGTCTGAGAATAGGAAAAATAAATTTTAACTTGTTGTTTTTTGGCTCAGATACTTTAGCAAAAAAATATAAATACAGAAAATGTTAAAAGAAAAAGAAAAAAAATATGAAAAAATAATGTCAGATTTTAAAGATAATTGGGGTAATATAAAAAAGCAAGAAAGATACGAAATACATATTTGCAGCTATTCTTTAGATGTAACATTAAAAATATATTTAAGTTAAGTAAATATCATAGTTTTACTATTCATAAAGGTATTTTAGAGAATTACAATGATAAATTTGAATGAAAGGCAGAATTCTTAAATACTCAGAATTTTTTCCTTATAAGATCCAAATGTAAAAAATATTTTTAATCAAATTAAATTCAAATGGTTTGATTTGATTTGTTTTTCATTTGGTTATGATTTAGTTAGAGTTTTATGAATCACAAATAAATTTGTTAATAAAAAAAAAATAATTAATTTTGATTCTTAATTTAATTTAATAAAAAGGTGAATATAATATACGTCGTTCCTGGAAATCTTTTACAAGATATATAAAATTATTTACAAAAGTTATTTCAAATTAATCATAAAGAAGAGTATTTGAAAAGAATCCATTTTATAATCCCTGAGAATATTGATAAATTTCCTTAACACTTTTCTTTATCTAAAATCCTTTATTATTCGCCTATTAGTTTAAAATACATAAAAGAATAAATAAAGGGTAAAATTGCTTATATAGTTCCAAGCATACCTAATATAGAAGATAAAAGTATAGGCCTTTATTTAGAAATACCTTTATTATGTGGGAATATTGAGAATGTTTGCAAACTGAATAGAAGAGATTATGGAAGAATGCTCTTAAAGGAATTAGATATCCCTCTCACTCATGGAGAAGAATTTATATTTTCAGAAGGCGAGCTCATAAATAAATTAACGTTAATGATAATAAAAGATGTAAATATCACTACTTATTTTGTTAAATTAAACAATGAAATTAATGGTAGAGGTATAGCTCAGATCTAATTAGAAAATGTCAAGTATTTCCGTAAACTTAGAAATAGTATAAATTATCAATTTACAGAAAAAAGAATTATGAAAATCAGAAAAATCATAGAAGAAGTAACTAACAAAATTTTTTACTTTTATTTGATAATTTTTTACATATTTGCCTAATATGATTTTTTTTGATTTTGATTTAAATCTTTTAATTAAATATCTATAATATCTGTTAATATTTTTTCAAATAATTAATTTTCAGCTAGAAATATTTCAAAATACTTGATTAAAAAAATATTAAGATAATAATTAATTAAAAAAAATAATAGATACTACCTTTAAAGCTAGTTCCGTGTATGGATTCTTTGTTTAATAACTACTATGAGTTTTTAAATAGAATTATTGATACAGGTTGCATAATTGAAGCTGTAACAAATTAAAATATCATAGGTTCAAGCTAAATAACTTTGAAAATAGAACCTAATGGTGATATTTAATACGTGGCTTCATTTGATAAAATACTCATACATGATGTAATTACTTGTGGTGTTACCTTTCCATAAAAGAATCTAATAAATTTAGATGTTAATAAATTATGTAGGACTATTGGAGAAAAAGTATATAGTCGTGATGTTTGGGGATTTGTGAAAATTGATTTTATTACTTTCGCAGAAAGTGAAAAAGAAAAAAAAACTGGTCTAAGAACTTAATTATTTTAAATTATAGGAATTGATTGTATGCTAGATTGTAATACAACATCTTATTTCCTTTTTAATTTTCTTTAAGAGGGCTAATCGTTAATTAACAATACTCAATTCTCTTAAAATAAATAAATTGAAGATCCTAAAAATTTATCTCCAAACTCTAAATTTTATGAATCAAATAAAAAGTAAAATCTACAACCTGCAAATAAAAATATGCTATAATCTGACGGAGATTTTGATAGGGATAGTAATTAAATACTATCTAATTAACCTTTACAAATTCCATAATATCATCTTAAAGAAAAGTGTTACACCTACATTCCAATGGTTTTTAACTAAGGACTCAGTAAATTTAATCCAAAATAATTCTTCTAATTGTGTAAAAATCAGTAAATTGCTTTCGATATTTAGAGCATGAATGGCACAATATTTATTTTACCAGGCTCTCTGTAGAGTGGTATGATTAACATCTTTTGCATAGGTAAAACTAATCTATTTAAAATAAGTTTTTAAAGAATATTAATTTTATTTCTAATAGGAAATGACTTAAAACTTAGTGTAAGCAATATGGTTGAAAGTTTACACTTTGTAGCTAACAAATTTGGAGATTAAATAAAAATTCATTTTGATAAAAAAAAAAATAGGTAATTAATTAATTAAACATAATATTTTAATAAAATTAATATAACTTATCAAAAATAGATAAGATAGTTATTACTTAGTAGATGTTTTAGGTAGAGTAAGAGAATTAAACAAAATTCTGTAGCATACTCATTGAAACAACTTAAAATTGACAATATACTTATTTTATAATAATATTCTTGCAATTTATATTAATTTTCCTAAACTTTTAATTATTTTTCTTGTTATTTATTTAGTTATTTTATTTTTATGTTAAATTTTGATTCAAGGTTTGCTCAAATGATCATATTTATTTCAAAAAATTAAATAAAAAAGAAAAAAAATATAATTAATTATTTAATTAGAATGAAAAAATATAGAAAAAAAAATAACAAATGAATTAATTAATAATAATAAAAGTAAAATTTGAAAATAAAAAAAATAAGTTTAATTAAGAAAGATAGAAAAAGAAAAAAAAACACGAGTACATTAAAAAGGAAAAAGAAAAATAAACCAAATAAAAAGCTAATAAACAAATTAAAAGAGTTAAATTATATTAAATTCATTTTTTTTACGAAAAATATCACAATCCAAAATATATAATCTGTTTTTACTAAAGATAAAGTATAAATTAGAGAGATTAGTGTAATTTCTGATGTACCTTTACAACTGATTTCAAGAAGGGCTAAGCGGCTCGAGTGGGTTAACTTTTTTATTTTTTTTTAATTTTATTTTATTTTTATAATATAGGGTAGATGAGGGGTTAGGATAGTTGAATAAAGATATTTAGATGATGATTGGTAAGGTTAAGATTAATATTTTTTCATTTTTGGCTGAGATTTATTCTACATTTTACTATGTACTGTATAATTAATTTTAGATATAAAAATAGTAATAAATCTATCTATATTTTAGGTTAAATTATCTTATTACAAAATAAAAAAATAAAACACATTATTTTCTATTATTCAAATATTTAATATTTATTCATCCTTTTTTCATCACTTGTTTATCATGATCAGAAATTTATTGTAAAGACAACTAATCTTTTTGATTTAAGACATTTGCTTAATAGTTTCAATTATTATGGTCCTTCAATTAATTTTCCACTTAAATTATTAAATAAAGTAAATTACTAAAAAAATTAAATAGAAAAAATATTAAAATTAAAAATAATATTAGAAAATAAAATAAAAATAAAAATAAATCAAATTAAAAGTTAATAAACAAAATCATAAGAGTTATATTGTTTTAAATTCATTTTTATTACTAAAAATATGACTATCCAAAACAAATAAACTGTTTTTACCTAAGATGAAGTGTTAAATTAGAGAGATGAGTGCAATTTGCTAAAGCAGTACCTAAGCCTGATGAACCTTTATCACCAATTTAATTTTAACTTTTAAATATTAAAGAAAAAATAAATAAATAAATAAATAAATAATTAATTAGTTAGTTAGTTAGAAGGAAAAAATGAAGAAAAAATAATAAGAAATGAACTAATTAATAAATAAAAAAGAAAAATTTTAAAATAAAAAAAGGTATTAAATTAAGAACAATAGAAAGAGAAAAAAATGCAAATACAATAAAAAAGAAAAAGAAAAATAAATTAAATAAAATGCTTATTAACAAATTAAAAGAGTTTTTATGTTTTAAATTAATTTTTATAACTAAAAATATCACAATCCAAAACAAATAAACTGTTTTTACCTAAGATCAAGTTTCAAATTTGAGAGATTAGTGCAATTAGTTAAAGCAGAACCAAAACCTGAAGCTCCTTAATCACCAATTTAATTATAACTTTTTAAATATTGAAAGAAAAAATAAAAAATTAATTAGTTAGTTAGTTATTGAAAAGAAAAAAAATAAGAAAATATAATAGGAAATGAATGAGTTAATAATAATAATAATAATAAAAGCAAAATTTGAAAATAAAAAAAGGATTTAAATTAAGAAAGATAAAGAAAAAAAAAAACACAAATACAATATTAAATAATAAGAAAAATAAATCAAATTCAAATTTAATAAACAAATTAAAAGATATATATTGTTTTAAATTCATTTTTAAAACTAAAAATGTCACAATTCAAAATAAATAAACTGTTTTTACCTAAGATGAAGTGTTAAATTAGAGAGATGAGAGCAATTTGCTAAAGCAGAACCTAAGCCTGATAAACCTTTATCGCCAATTTAATTTTAACTTTTTAGATGTAAAAGAAAAAAAAAAATGAATTAGTTGTTAGTTAGAAAGAAAAATGAAGAAAAGATAATCGGAAATAAATTAATTAATAATAATAAAAGTAAAATTTGAAAATAAAAATCTAAGTTAAATTAAGAAAGATAGAATGAAAGAAAAAAAAAAGCACAAGAACATTAAAAAAGATAAAGAAAAATAAACCAAATAAAAAGCTAATAAACAAATTAAAAGAGTTATATTGTTTTAAATTCATTTATATAACTAAAAGTATCACAATTCAATACAAATAAACCAATTTTACAAAAGATCAAGTGCTAAATTAGAGAGATTAGTGCAATTTGCTAAAGTAAAACCTAAGCCTGAAGCACCTTCATCACCAATTTTATTGTTACTTTTTAAATATTGAAGAATAAATAAAAAACTAATGAGTTAGTTAGTTAGCAGGGAAAAATAAAGAAAAAATTATAAGAAATGAATTAATTAATAATAATAAAAGAAAAATTTGAAAACAAAAAAAGGATTTAAATTAAGAAAGATAGAAAGAAAAAAAAAATGCAAGTACACTAAATAAGAAAATGAAATCAAATAAAAAGCTAATGAATAATTTAAATGAGTTATATTGTTTTAAATTCATTATTATAACTAAAAGAATCACAATCCAAAATAAATAAACTATTTTTACAGAAGATCAAGTGTCAAATGAGAGAGGTTAGTGCAATTAGTTAAAGCAGAACCTAAACCTGATGCACCAATTGCACCAATTTTATTGTAACTTTTTAAATATTAAAGAAAAAATATATTATTAATTAGTTAGTTCGAAGGAAAAAATAAAGAAAAAATAATAAGAGAAATAAGAGATTAATTAATTAATGATAATAAAAACAAAATTTGGAGAAAAAAAAAAAGTTAAATTAAGAAATATAGAAATAGAAAAAAAAAAAACACACACACATATACAATAAAAAAAGTAAAAATAAATAAAATAAAAGTTAATAAAAAATTAAAAGAGTTATTTTGTTTTAAATTTATTTTTATAACTAAAAATTTCACATTCAAAACAAATAAACTGTTTTTACCTAAGATCAAGTGCTAAATTTGACAGATTAGTGCAATTTGCTAAACCAGAACATAAACCTGATGCACCTTTATCGCCAATTTTATTGTAACTTTTTAAATATTGAAGAAAAAATATATAATTAAAAAAATAATAATAAAAAAATTTTTTTTTTAAATCAAAATATCCCCTAAACAGAAAAGTAATCTACATATGTATTCTATTTGTATGTAGCCTTGAAAAAGGCAGTACCTCAGTGTACTAAATACATTTATATAATTAAGAAACATAGCAGAAAAAAAACACAAAAACCAATAAAAAGGTCAAATTAAAAGCTGATAAACAAATTAATTGAGTTATATTGTTTTAAATTCATTTTTATAACTAAATGTATCACTATCCAAAACAAATAAATTGTTTTTACCGAAGATCAAGTGTTAAATTGGAGAGATTAGTGCAATTTGATAAAGCAGAACCTAAGCTCGATGAACCTTTATCACCAATTTAATTTTAACTTTTTAAATATTGAGGATAAAATATAAAATTAGTTAGTTAGAAGGAAAAAATGAAGAAAATATAATAAGAAATAAATTAATTAATAATAATAAAATGGGTTAAATTCAGAAAGATAGAAAGAAAGAAAAAAATAAGTACACTAAATAAGAAAAAGAAAAATAAATCAAATAAAAAGCTAAGAAACTTATTAAAATAGTTATATTGTTTTAAATTCATTTTTATAACTAAGAGTATCACAACCCAAAAAAAATAAACTGTTTTTACCGAAAATAAAGTTTCAAATTAGAGAGATTAGTGTAATTTGCTAAAGCAGAACCTACTCCTGATGCACATTTATCACCAATTTAATTGGAACTTTTTAAATATGGAAGAAAAAATATATAATTAATTAGAAGAAAAAAATGAAGAAAAAATTATAAGAAATGAATTAATTAATAATAAATAATAATAACAAAATTTGAAAATAAAAAATGAGTTAAATTAAGAAAGATAGAAAAAAATATAAGTACATTAAAAAAGAAAAAAAAATAAATCAAATAAAAAGCTTATAAGCAAATTAAAAGAGTTATATTGTTTTAAATTCATTTTTATAATTAAAAATATCACAATCCAAACAAATAAACTGTTTTTACCGAAGATCAAGTTTCAAATTTGAGAGATTAGTGCAATTTGCTAAAGCAGAACATAAACCTGATACACCTTTATCACCAATTTTATTGTTACTTTTTAAATATTGAAGAAAAAATATAGTTAATTAGTTATTTATCAGGAAAAAGTGAAGAAATGAAAAAATAAATAGAAATTAATTAATTAATAAAAATAAAAACAAAATTTGAAAATAAAAAAATGAATTAAATTAAGAAAAATACAAAAAGAAAAAAAACACAAGTACAATAAAAAAGAAAAAGAAAAAGAAATCAAATAAAAAGATAATAAATAAATTAAAGTTATATTGTTTTAAATACATTTTTATAACTAAAAATATCACAACCCAAAACAAATATAACTTTTTTACCCAAGATGAAGTGTTAAATTAGAGAGATTAGGGCAATTTGCTAAACCAGAACCTAAGCCAGATGAACCTTTATCGCCAATTTAATTGTTACTTTTTAAATATTGATTGTAAAATAAATAATTAGTAAGTTAGAAGGAAAAAATGAAGAAAATATGATTTAATCAATAAAAGCAAAATTTTAAAATAAAAAAAGTAGTTAAATTAAGAAAGATAGAAAAACCACAAGTAGATTAAAAAAGAAAAAGAAAAATAAATCAAATTAAAAGAGTTTTTTTGTTTTAAATACATTTTTATAACTAAAAGTATCACAATCTAAAACAAATAAACTGTTTTTACAAAAGATCAAGTGTCAAATTAGAGAGATTAGTGCAATTTGCTAAACCAAAACCTAAGCCTGATGCATCTTTATCACTTATTTAATTGGAACTTTTTAAATATTGAAGAAAAAATAAAATATTAATTAGTTAGTTAGTTATTTATAAGGAAAAAAATAAGTAAATATAATAAGAAATGAATTAATTAATAATAATAAAAGCAAAATTTGAAAATAAAAAAATTAGTTAAATTAAGTAAGATAGAAAGAAAAAACACTAGTACAATAAAAAATAAAAAGAAAAATAAATCAAATAAAATGCTATTAAATTCATTTTAATACTAAAAATATCACAACCCAAAACAAATAAAACGTTTTTACCCAAGATGAAGTGTTAAATTAGAGAAATTAGTGCAATTTGCTAAAGCAGAACCTAAGCTTGATGAACCTTTATCACCAATCTTGTTGTTACTTTTTAAATATTGAAGAAAAAATATATTGTTTATCATTTAGTTAGAATGAAAAAATGAAGAAAATGATATGAATTAATTAATAAATATAAAAGCAATATTTGAGATTAAAAAAAGGAGTTAAATTAAGAAATATAGAAAGAAAGAAAAAAAATGCAAGTACATTAAAAAAGAAAAAGAAAAATAAATCAAATAAAAAGCTAATAAACAAATTAAAAGAGTTATATTGGTTTAAATTAATTTATATAACTAAAAGTATCACAATCAAAAACAAATAAACTGTTTTTACAAAAGATCAAGTGTCAAATTAGAGAGATTAGTGCAATTTACTAAAGCAGAACATAAACCTGATGAACCTTTATCACCAATTTTATTGGAACTTTTTAAATATTATATAATTAGTTAGTTAGTTAATCCATTAAGAAAAAAATGAAGAAAATATAGTAAGAAATCAATAAATTAATAATAATAAAACCAAAATTTAAAAAAAAATAAGTTAAATTAAGAAACATAAAAAAACACAAGTACAATAAAAAATGAAAAAGAAAAAATAAATCAAATAAAAAGCTAATAAACTAATTAAAAGAGTTATGCTGTTTTAAATTCATTTTTATAATTAAAAATATCACAACCCTTTACATAATAACCTGTTTTACCTAAGAAGAAGTGTTAAATTAGAGAGATTAATGCAATTTGTTAAAGCAGAACCTAAGCCTTATAAACCTTTATCACCAATTAGATTGTAACTTTTTAAATATTGAAGAAAAAGTATATAATTAATAAATTATTTAATTAGAGGGAAAAAATTAAGAAAAAAAAAACTAAATGAACTAATTAATAATAATAAAATCAATATTTGAAAATAAAAAAATAAGTTAAATTAAGAAACATAGAAAAAGAAAAAATCATAAAAAAATTAAAAGAGCTTTATTGTTTTAAATTAATTTTTATAACTAAAAATAGAACAATCGAAAACAAATAGACTGTTTTTACCTAAGACGAAGTGTTAAATTAGAGAGATTAGTGCAATTTGCTAAAGCAGAGCCTAAGCCTGATAAACCTTTATCACCAATTTTATTGTTACTTTTTAAATATTGAAGAATAAATATATTATTAATTATTAGTCATTTTTTGAGTTGGAAACTAAGTTGATTCGAATCAAATTAATTATATTTTCAAATACTCCTCTATATATAACCTAGGGAAATAATTAATTTCAAACCCTAAAAACCTAGGGCTCACAAAAAATTTGTTCATTATTTTTGACTAGGTTTTCATATATGCTCTTTCATAATATCATATCGAAAATTGGTGAATCGTAGTAGTTTCCAACTCAAAAAAATGAGTATTAGTTAGTTATTTAAAAAGGAAAAAATGAAGAAAAAATAATAAGAAATGTATTAATTTATAATAATAAAAGCAAAATTTGAAAATAAAAAAAATGAGTTAGATTAAGAAAGATAGATAAAAAAAACAAAAATACAATAAAAAAGAAAAATAATAATAAATCAAATAAAAAGCTAATAAACAAATTAAAAGAGATATATTTTTTTAAATAGATTTTTATAACTAAAAATATCATAATCTAAAGCAAATAAACTGTTTTTACTCAAGATCAAGTGTCAAATTAGAGAGATTAGTGCAATTTTCTAAACCAGAGCCTAAGTCTGATGCCCCTTCATCACCAATTGAATTGTAACTTTTAAATATTGAAGAAAAAATATAAAATTAGTTTGTTAGTTAATTAGTTAGAGGGAAAAAATGAAGAAAATATAATAAGAAATGAATTAATTAATAATAATAAAAGTAAAATTTGAAAATCAAAAAATGAGTTAAATTAAGAAAAATAGATAGATAGAAAAAAAACACAATTAAATAAAAAAAAGAAAAATAAAAATAAATCAAATAAAAAGATAATAAACAAATTAAAAGAGTTATATTGTTTTAAATTCATTTTTAAAACTAAAAATATCAACACCCAAAACAAATAAACTGTTTTTACCTAAGAAGAAGTGTTACATTAGAGAGATTAGTGCAATTTGCTAAAGCAGAACCTAAGCCTGATGTACCTTCATCACCAATTTTATTCTAACTTTTTAAATAATGAAAAAAAATAAAAATTAATTAGTTAGTTAGAAGGAAAAAGTGAAGAAAAAATAATAAGAAATGAATTAAATAATAATAATAAAAGCAAAATTAGAAAGTAAAAAATTAATTTAAATTTTGAAAGATAGAAAGAAAAAAAATACAAGTACATTATAAAAGAAAAAGGAAAATAAATCAAATAAAAAGCTAATAAACAAAATTAAATGAGTTTATTTTTATCAAGTATAAGTGTTAGAATGAAAAATTAATAAAAAATATCTAATAATAAAAAATGAATAGTAAATTTTAAAAATTAAAAGTGAAAATTATGTTAAAATCACTAAACAAGTATTTGTTTTCATAAAATTAATGAAGATAGGTTAGAATTTCTATTAGAACGATAGCATTATAAATAAATTGTAAGTGAAATAAAGAGAAACTATTAATAATAATAGTAATATTTATAAATTAAATATACCTCAGATCAATATGGAGAACCTAATGAGATTAGAGTGAAGAGTTTAAAAACTTTTTATATTATTAAAATAATTTAAAATAAATTTATAAAAAAATAAATAATTACTTCTTCTAATTTTTTATAATAATTAATCTATTACATAATTTTTTTTCTTCAAAAATACTGAATAGAAATTAATAGAAATTTAATTAATTATAAGTGGATAAAAAGAATATTAAATTAATTGAATTTATAAATTTGTTTTTAGTAAGAGATATCACAAAAAATTTAGTGTAACATTGATTATTTAATATTAATATTTCTATTTAAAATGTTTACTTCAAAATATAGTAGGAAATAGAGATGAGTAGTTAGTCATATGCTGAAAAAATTCTAGTAATTACTGTTCTTAAATTTTATATAAATAATTTTTATTTTGTAGATTTTTCTATTTTAGTATAGTAATGAGGAGAATTTTTATATTATCTCTAATTATTCTCTAGTCAGATTAGTTTTTACTGCTGGTACATGTTATTTAGATATATAGCTTGCATAGATCAAATAAGCGCATTTATGCCTATTTAAATAAATAGATTATACATTTCTATATCATCAACAATTAATATAAATGTTAAAAAAAATTAATAAACAAAATATAAGAAATAATTTATTTACTATGCCAAGTTTTTCTCCTCCAAACATATAACATTGGAGGGCTAAATTTACACATTTTAAAAAATATTTTAACAAAATTTAAATATTAATTTTTTAATAAAATTTATTGAAATTCCTCTGCTGATATAATGCACCCAACCCAATAAGCAATAAGCGGAATTTTAATACCAGTATAGTTATTAATGCGTATTTTATTTATTAAAAATTATATTTATATTTTAATATGATATTTAATAAAAATAGCATTTTGTATATTTCCTCTTCATAACTAATATAGAAATAAAATTACTTTATTTTAATAAGATTAAAATTTAAGTACTATTTTGTTCATATATATGGTTATTGTTTTCATAGATATTCTATTAAATAAATATGTTAATTTTATATTTTACATAGACTTTGTTATGTCAGAATAAAATATATGAAAGGTGATGAACTAGGAATAGATGAACTTTAGATTGCTAAACTATTTAGCATAGATAAATCACATGATTTGTCAATTACTTTATTTTAATAAGATTAAAATTTAAATACTAATTTGTTCATATGGTTTTTGTTTTCATAGCTATTCTATTAAATAAATATGTTAATTTTATATTTTACATAGACTTTGTTTTGTGAGAATGAAATATATATATATAAATAAATAAGTAATAAGAAATAAAGAAGAAATATATTAGATTTAAAGAGAAGTAAAATTAATAAACTTAAAGTTTGTTTTAATGAATTTAATAAAGGAAAAATTAAATTCAAATTGAGTTGATTTATAAAGAAAAAAAATAAATTAAAGTAAAAATTGAAAGATGATAAATTTTTTTTAAATAATATTAGAGGAGTTTACAATAAATAAGATATAAAATATAAACTACAATTAATTATGTAATTAATTAAACTTATTAGTTTATTCTTAAGATATTACTTGATAGATTTTTTGTCTTTCAAGTTTTTTTCTTTTGGATTTGCTAATTAGTATTTTGATTTATTTTCTTAATAATTTTTACTTTTGGATATTGCTTTTAAGATCTTTCTTACTAGCTTTTTCTTTTGGAAATCGCTCTTAAGTTATTTCAAAATTGTTTTTTTCTTTAAGCAATTGTTATTAAGTAGATACTTTTCTTATTAGTTCTTTCTTCAGGATTAAGTTTTTAGACTTCTTCCTTTGGTTATTGCTCATAAGATTTATATTATCTTGTTAACTTTGTCTTCCAAGATATAGTTTAAGATTTCATCCTTATAGCTTTTTCTTTTGGAAATTGCTACTTAGACTTGTCTTAGATTTTATCTCTTGGACTTAGATAATAAGATTGTCTTATTTAATTTTTCTTTTGGATTTTTGCTATTTAGATTATTTCCTATTAGCTTTTTCTTTTGGAAATTACCTTTAGTTTTTTGGTCTATTTAGTTCATTTCTTAGGGAAAATTAAATAAGACTTGCAATTTATAAGTTATTATCTTATTTATTCACTTTTATTCAAGCATTAGTTTTATGATATGTTTGTTTTATTGTGTGTAAAATAGTTATTTTATAGAATTTTAGTTTTTATGAAGTTATATATTATTCAACTCCTCTATTGAGTTTATGAATAATCTGCTTAATACTTTTTCACCACTTTTTTTTAGTGATATTTTTTTAGTGTGTGAGTGTGTGTTTGTTTGCATTTTTGTTGATGACAATCAAGTTGGATGAGTAATTTATTATCTGCATTTTCATAGTATTTTTTGTATTTCTACAAATTATACTATAAGGAGGGTCATTTGTTTCATAAAATTTAGCTTTAACATACTTTTCATTAGTAGGACACAACGGTCAAATTCTTCAATAACATTCAGAGGTATTTCACTTTCAAGTAATTTCTCTTACTTTTTCTTTTGAATTCTTATCTTCTTGGAAATAAAGCTAACTAATTTCTACTTTTTGAGCTTGTTTATGTGTTTTTAAGGCACAAATTTACTCAATTTTATATGATTAGCTAGTCATTATTTTTTTCATCTTTATTTCAAGATATTTCAAGATTTTTAGAATTCTTCAAAACTGAGTTTTTAAGACTCAATTTTTCTTCCATTTTTGAGTTACAGTATAAAAAAGCTTCTCAGCAATCATATAATCTTTACTCGCGATGAAGAGGGAGGATTCGAACATCTGTTGAGAAGAAGATACTTTATATGATTGTTTTTCTTGCATCGAAGTGTCAAATTACTTATTAAGATTTTTTAGGTCTTAATTTTCACTGTCACTGATACATATAGAGGTATCTTTTTTAACTTTTCGATCTTTTTTTAGGAGAAGCTGTGAACTCTTTCCTTTGTATCTAGATTCCTTATTCAAGGTTTCTTTATTAAAATTAGATTTAGCAGAGTTTATTTGATTCTCGTTTCTTCGAAATATAATATTTTTCGTCATATTATATTTAGTTAGCTTTCTTATTTTAGTCGATACAATGGTTTTTTGTTGAAATGGATTAGAATCCGTAAAGATTAATTAGAAGTAAAAATTTTTATTATTGATTGTATTTCAATTTAGCTATCAGGAATCAAAGAAGTTGTACAGTAATTTAGAAGAATTCTTAAGAAGCATATGTTAAGTTTTTTGAGTTTAGCATATTAAGGATTAACTTTGTACATTTAAGAAATTTAGAAAAATTGATTTTTTGAGTCTTTCTTTCTAATTTTCTTAAGATGTATAGCTTCTTTTCTTATAAATTAACCTGTATTGATTAATTACCATCATTTTGTGAAGATAATTTTGTCTTCTTTTTTTCTTTTAGGACTTTTTGAGGGTCTTAGATAGCTTTATCTATTTCCTTTCAACTTTTCAAATTTTTCTTCTGAAATACCTACTTTCTTTTTTGGTATTTTATGTGATGGATGTTATTGTTGAATTAGCTTTTTACAGCTATTTTTTTCATTACTAATTATTTAAAATTTGAAAAGGCTTTTAGATAAAAGGAGTATTTTTTCTAAAAGTACTCTATCAAATTCATTAAATTTGTCTAATTTCAATTAGATTTTCAAGTGTTTTGGCATCGACCACTAGATTTTACTCTAGTATTGTTTGGATCATGCTTATTCAAATTCTCTCTATCAAAAAGTTTGTCTAAGTTTTTTAATTCCTAAACATTCTTCTTTCTGAATATTATTCATTTTTTTAGAATAAGTAATATTCATTTTAGGGAAAATTTATTAATTATTTATTTTTTTAAAACTAGTCTGTTTTAAAAATTTCAATAATTAATAATTAATGAATAAGATGGTATCGGTGCTCATAAATTTTTTCTTTGATCAGTTGATTTTTTACACTTTCTTTAAGGGATTGTGTTATGATCTTCCTTTCAAAGAAATTCTTTAATCAGTTGATCTTTTATTGTCTTTTTATCAACAATACAGTTTTCTTCTTTTTAAAGTTTTTAATTTATGTATGTAGACTCTTCTTTTTTTTAATTCAAAGTCCAATTTTCTTCTTCTTAATATTTGTTAAGTTTTTAAAGTTTTTTCAATAAATAAATATCTGTTCTGATGAGTAAGATGATTATTATTATTTACTTTTATTATGCTTAACAGAATATTTTTTTTACATTTAGAGATTATTTTTTAGATTATCTCATAATGTATTTATTTTTCGGTAATTTAGTTTATCTTTCAAATAAGCTAAGTTACTGATTAGTTCTTTCATCGTATTAAATGAGAATACTTTTTTTGATTATGAATTTGTTTTTTATCATAACCAAATAGAGTAAAAAGCAAGCATTTTTTTTTTTTTCATTTAGAGATTTTTTTAGCATACAATTTTGTTAAGTATACTCTTAATTTGTTATCTCTAAATTTTTGTTTGCTTTTTTATACATTTTACTAGATGCATTTGATTTAAAATCTCTTCAGTATTATTATCATTTATTGCGGAGCTTATTTCTTATGAAAGAAGTTGAAGAAGAAAGAATGTTGGTTTTTCATTCTTTAAATTACATTTAATTCAAATTTGGAGTTATTTGTAATTTAATATTGAAATTTGATTAAATTTTTATTAAAGCACAGACAGAGTGAGTTTTCTTCATAAGACACTTTTAGTTCTTCTCTATTTAGATTTACTTAATGATCGTTTTATCTAACTTTTCTTGTTTACTATTTTTAGTAATGTTTGATTTTTATTATCTTTATTGTTTTTTTTAGCAAGGAGTTTCAATAAAGTTTTTAGTCGTGTCTATTTCTTTTATGATTTAAATCTTCTATTAGTCATTTGCTTTCTTCAATAATGAATCATTTAAATGTTGAGAAAGAAAGAGATTAAGATAATATATTTTTTGATATTGAAGAAATTATATAAAAAATATTTTCTCATTTTCGCTGGATTTAAGAGTTAAAATGTTCTTCTAATTTCTTGATAGAATATTTCTATTGCGAGTGGGTTATATTAGTTGAACATTCTTCGTACCTCTTAAGTCTAATCTTCTTCAGATTCTAGTTTAAAAGTATTTGTTGCATTTCTGCATCATTTACTTTTAAATTTTGAGATTAACTTGCTTTTCTCATTTTATTTTATAAGATTTTTTAAATAATATAATTTTAAGATTTTAGTAGAGAAAATTGTTTGTTTTAATTATTTAATAGCAAGCAGTAAATGACATTCTTTTCTGAAAATCTTCTTTTCAAGGGAGATTTTATCTTTCGATACTTTGAAATTCTTATTTGGCAAGTGTTTTTTTTGCTTAAATCTATTTCAAGTTTAAGAAGTTATTTTTTAGTCTTTAATTTTTGTCGTAGTTTTTCACTTTGGAGTTAGAAAATATTTATCTTATTTCATTATTATTGTTTGGATAATAATAAAATAGTGTTAAATATTATATTTGCTTTCAAGCAATTAATATCTGATTTTAAGTAGTTTCTTTAAACTAGCTTTTTAGACTCATTTAAATCCTTTCTTAAAACCAGTTCTAACTTTTGTCTCATAAGATTTTCAAAGTCAGATAAGATTTTAGTTTAGCATTTTATTATTTAGCAAGTTTGAAGAGAGATTCTACTCATGAGAAATGAGAAGGTGAGATATCTTTTATTTTTATTATCTTTCTGCATTTGAGTTGCTACTGTCGTTTCAGACTGCTGTTTGGCAGAAACTGATTATTTTTAAGTAAGTTTATTTTCTCCTTATTTTCTCTTATACAGCTTTTTTGAGAGTTGCATAAGATATCTTTAGGATATTTTACTCTTACTAGTAAGTTTTATCTTCGCCTTATTTTTCTCATTTATAGCTTTTTTTAGGAGCCATATTTGATATTTTTCAGGTTTTATTTTATTTTCTTACTATTTTGTTTGTAAGTTTATTTCACCTTATGTTTTTCATTTATGGTTTTTTTTAGGAACTATATTTGATATTTTTCAGGTTATTTTTGTCTTACTTCGTAAGTTTTATTTCTCCTTATTTTTTTCAATTACAAATTTCATTATTTGATATCCTTCAGGTTTTATTTTATCTTTCTACTTTTTTTGTAAGATATTTTCACCTTATTTTTTTCATTTATGCTTTTTTTAGGAGCATATTTGATATTTTTAGGGTTATTTTCTCCTACATAGTAAGTTTTATCTTCACCCTATTTTTCTCATTTACAGCTTTTTTTAGGAGCTATATTTGATATCTTTCAGGTTTTATTTTATTATCTTACTATTTTTTTGTTAGCGTATCTTCACCTTATTTTTTTCAATTATGACTTTTATTCCGAACAATAAATGATATTTTTAAGCTATTTTATCCAAAATAGCAAGTTTTATGTTCGCCTTATTTTTTTCAATTACAGTAAATTGTATTTAATATTTTTCAGGTTTATTTCATTGACTTCCTATTTTTTTTGTAAGATATTTTCACCTTATTTTTTTCATTTATGCCTTTTTTAGGAGCATATTTGATATTTTTGGGGTTATTTTCTCCTACATAGTAAGTTTTATCTTCACCTTATTTTTCTCATTTATAGCTTTTTTTAGGAGCCATATTTGATATTTTTCAGGTTTTATTTTATTATCTTACTATTTTTTTGTTAGCGTATCTTCGCCCTATGTTTTTCATTTGTAAACTTTTTTTAGGAGTCACATATGATATTCTTTAGGTTATTTTGTCTAGCATAGCAAGTTTTTTCTTCGCCTTATGTTTTTCATTTACAATCTACCGTAATTAATATTCTTCAGGTTTTATCTTAATAGCTTCCTACTTTTTTGTAAGATATTTTCACCTTATGTTTTCATTTATGCTTTTTTTAGGAGCATATTTGATATTTTTAGGGCTATCTTTTCTTACATAGCAAGTTTTATGTTCTCCTTATTTTTCTCATTTATAGCTTTTTTTAGGAGCTATATTTGATATTTTTCAGGTTTTTATTTTATTGTCTTCCTACTTTTTTCTTTGGAATATCTTCACTTTATGTTTTTCATTTATAGTTTTTTTAGTGGTCATATTTGATATTTTTTAGGTTATGTTATCTAACATAGAAAGCGTTATCTTCGCCTTATTCTTTTCAAATGTGGATTTATTTAAAGGTTTTATCTTTACCTTTCTACTTTTTTCGTAAGATATTTTCGCCTTATTTTTTTCATTTATGCCTTTTTTAGGAGCATATTTGATATTTTTGGGGTTATTTTCTCCTACATAGTAAGTTTTATCTTCACCCTATTTTTCTCATTTACAGCCTTTTTTAGGAGTTTTATTTGATATCTTTCAGGTTTTATTTTATTATCTTACTATTTTTTTGTTAGCGTATCTTCGCCTTTTGTTTTTCATATATATGGTTTTATTCCAAATAATAAATGATATTTTTAAGCTATTTTATCCAAAATAGCAAGTTTTATGTTCACCTTATTTTTTTCATTTACAGTAAATTGTATTTGATATTTTTCAGGTTTATTTCATTGACTTCCTATTTTTTTTGTAAGATATTTTCACCTTATTTTTTTCATTTATGCCTTTTTTAGGAGCATATTTGATATTTTTGGGGTTATTTTCTCCTACATAGTAAGTTTTATCTTCACCTTATTTTTCTCATTTACAGCTTTTTTAGGAGCCATATTTGATATTTTTCAGGTTTTATTTTATTGTCTTACTATTTTTTTTTGTTAGCGTAATCTTCGCCCTATGTTTTTCATTTGTAAACTTTTTTTAGGAGTCACATATGATATTCTTTAGGTTATTTAGTCTAGCATAGCAAGTTTTTTCTTCGCCTTATATTTTTCATTTACAATCTACCGTATTAATATTCTTCAGGTTTTATCTTAATAGCTTCCTACTTTTTTGTAAGATATTTTCACCTTATGTTTTCATTTATGCTTTTTTTAGGAGCATATTTGATATTTTTAGGGCTATCTTTTCTTACATAGCAAGTTTTATGTTCTCCTTATTTTTTTCATTTATAGCTTTTTTTAGGAGCTATATTTGATATTTTTCAGGTTTTTATTTTATTATCTTCCTACTTTTTTCTTTGGAATATTTTCACTTTATGTTTTTCATTTATTATTTTTTTAGTTGCCATATTTGTTTGATATTTTTCAGGCTATGTTATCTAACATAGAAAGGTTTATGTTCGCCTTTATCAATTTTCGTTGTTTTATAATTGATATTTTTAAGAGAATTTATTTTCTTACGTTAGTCTGAACGATTTTAATGTTTTAAATAATATATTTTATTATATTATTTTGAGTTTTTATTAATTATTTTTATTAAGCAGTTTAATTTCTAAAAAGTGTTACCTTTTTTAAATTATTGTTTTTTCTGCTTAAAAGAAAGTTTTTTAGGCTGTCTTATAATTAATAAATTTAAGAACTCTTTTTTAAATAGCTTCTCAAATGCAGTATATTCTATTCGTCAATTAAATAAGAATATTGGATTGATAGACTTGTTAGGTAGGAGTTGATCTTTCTTTCATTTACTTTTTAGGAAAATTTAAACCTTGTAGTTTATTTCATTTTTTAAGTGATTTAACCTACTTGATTTAAGAAAGAATCGCTTCAATCAACTTGTTTCAAATCCAATTATTTCTTTAGAATATAAATTTATTGAAAACTATAAAATCCATTTATTTGGTTCACTTCTCTTAGAATGCATTTGACTTCTTTCTCCTTTGATTTTATATTTTGAATAGAAGATTACTGAGTATTTTCTACTAATGAATGCCATTCTTTACAGATTATTACAGATGTTTTCATTTTTAATAAATATTTTCTATAATTCATTGAGCATCAGCTTTATTTTGGATCATTATTTTCATCTTTTCATAATAGTTTTTGAATGCATTTTTGATACACTCACTCTTCTTATGAATTAATTATTTTCTTGGCCTTATTTCCAGTTTAAGCTCAAATTTAAAATGATTTATTTTTCTATTCTTCGCCTTATTTCCAACCAATATTTTCTCCTTTTCATACAGTTTTTGAGAATAGTTTTTAAGTATTTTCACTCTTTTATGATTTGAATATCTTCTTGATTTTATTTCTGGTTATTTTTCAAAATCTAAACCATTTTTACTGATTAATCATTTATTCTTCACCTTATTTTTGGTCATTATCTTCTTCATTTCATAAATTTTTAAAAATATTTTTGAGGTATTCCTATTGTTTATGATTTGATTATTTTCCTGATTTCATTTCCAGCTATTTTTAGAGATTAATTCAGTATTTAACTTTTTATATTTCTCCTTGATTCAAACCAATATTTTCCTCTCTTCATCCAGTTTCTGAGTATGTTTTTTAGACACAACCATTCTTTTATGATTTGATTATCGTCTTGATTTTATTTCTGGTTATTATAAAAATTTAAATCATTTTATTTCTATTTATTAAAATGAAATATTTTGTGTTATTATTGAGATTAGCCTTTTACATCTGTAATTTCTCTATAAAGATTTTAAGCTTTAACTGTAATTTTTGGATTTTCAGTTAAATTTAAATCTTTATAGATTTTTTATATCATTGTTAATATAAAGTGTTTTTATTTATGAGTCAATATTCTTTTTTGACTTTGATAACTATTTTATTACATTCTTGTAATTACTACTTCATTTAGTTTTTAGTCTAAACTATTTAATAAAAACTTGCCTGTTTTTATTATTAATCATCAAAATCAACATATCACAAATTCTAAGAATTAGTGTTTTAATTATTTTTTGGACAATTAAAATCTATTTTCTTTTGTTAAATTTATTCATTAGATCTGTAATGATTAAGTTTTTTTAACTATTTTTTGGATAATTAAAATCTTTTATCATTTTTCATTAGTTTTATGATATGAAGATTTCTAATAATTTAGAATTTGTGTTTTTTTTCATTTACGCAAATTTCTATTTTATTATTCTGAAATCAAATATTGGTTCTTTATTTTATTGTCACTTTATATTTGTTTATAATCATTTCGCATTTTGGTAATCATTGTGCAATTTAATTCCTTATTTTATTCAAATTTCATCATTTTTGAATTCGTTATTATGGGTATTTTTTAGATACTCTTTTCACTATTTCATAGTGAGTAGCTTTGATTTATTTTTGGTTTTATTTCACACATTTTTTACCAATTTTTATGATTATCAATGATATCTTGTTTGCGTTAGCTGAACTTTTTATTATAATTTAGTATTTTAACTAAAATTTAATTTTCTTTTGCACTATTTGATTCGACTGCACATATTTTATAACCTCATTTTCATTAATTCATTTAATTATATTTGTTTTTTAGGCATTTATAATTATTTAAACTAATAAATTTAAGGCTGTTTGTATGCGCAATAGTTTCATTTAATACAATTGATCATTATTTCTCAATTAAAACCTATAATCATAATATTAGATACCATTAAGTTTATTGGTTTTCTTATTTTTCAATCATATTTGTTGAACTCTTCGCATGTCATTTTATTATGTTGTAAATTCAATGTGACTTATAAAATAAATGAAATAGTTTTTTTATTTATTTACTTTGTTTGTGAATAATAAAATCTTTTTTCATTTATTTTTAATATGGCATGGTGATTTATTCATAGATTTTTTATTATTTAATGTTTTTTTAAAACATTAATTTTATTTATCTTGTTTTTAAATCACAAGTTCTTCATTTACTTTTGATTTTTTTATTGACAATAAGCTTAATTTTGCCTCTTGAAATAAATCTGTTTGTTGCTTTATTTTTCATCTTCATCCATTTTTGAGATAGTTTCAGATTATTTTTCAAGTTTCATTCATCATCAGTTCAAGATTTTGATATCTACCATATTGATTATTAAAATACGATTTTCTGAATGCGTATTGTAATTAAATCTTTATGGAATTCAGTTAACTTCTGTAATTTTTATGTTCCATTTCATTTATTTTAACTTCTAGTTGATTTTATTGTAATCATTACTATTTCCATCTTTCAGAGTCCATTTAAAATATTTGTTAGATAAATCAAATTTTCTTTAATTGATTTATTTTGTAATGATTTTTTATTTCAGCCATTAATTAATTAGTGATTTGGTTAGAAAGTAGAATGGCTTACTGGCTTTTTATCAGTTTTATTTAAGTGAGTAATTAAAGTATGTTATTACTATTAATTAACTAATTTAATTTTTTGATTTCATTTATTAAACTTAATGAATAACAGGAATCTCGTAATCGCTAATTTTTTAGGTTAGCTTTTATTAGATTTCTAATTATTAATCTTGTAAAGTATTTTACTCTCATCTAATTAAGTTTATTAATTATTAATTAATTAATTCATAATTAATTAATTTCTTTTCCTCCTTTATTTTCTTCTAATCAATTAATGTGTTGGATTAGTTAATTATAATACTCTTAAGTGATTGTTTTACTTTTAATTAATTACTTCCTTAATTAATTAAGTATTTTTATTACTCAGAATGGCCAGTAGATAATTTGTTAATCACCAACTCTTTCTTGCTGAGAATTTAAAATTACTAACAATTTAAAATTAACTTCTCTTTCTAGTTTTTTAGGTTAGATTGATTAGTTAATTTTTATATTTCAATAAGTTCAAATATATTTTTTGAAGATACATTTTTTCTTATTGAAATATTTTAAGTTTTCTTGATTAGATTGTATTTTTTTAGGACACATTCTTCTCAAGTTCAGACCTTTCTGATTCATTCAGGATTTGGTTTTATTGTTTAGATAAATTCATTTCCTTACTGAGTCTTTATCGTCAGTTTCATTGGTAGCAACTTTAGTTTTCTCTTCAATATCAGCGAAAGAAGTGATCTCTGTGAAAAAGTATTGTTTTTTTTTGTTTTTTTTTGCTTTTTTTTTTTTTTTGTTAATTTTATTATTTTCACCATTCATGGTGCTATAATAATATCTTTTCATTCTTATTCCACTATTTCTAATGGTTTAAAAATAATATTTTCTTATTAAAGCATCACTCTTGATTACTTCTAATAAATTAAGAAGGGGTTCTTTTGCTTTCCAGGCAATGCTATCTTAACATTTGCGTGGTTTTCATAATAAAATTATTTGTAATTTTGGGTTTTTAAGCCTTCGTTACAAAATATTTTATTACTTCATTTGTATTGTTATTTATTATTTTCTTTCGTTTCTTCTTTTTAGGGAAGATTCAATTGAAATTTTAGCAACAATAAAGCAAAAGAAAAGTTGAGGAGACATGGTCATCTTAGCAATTTTTTTCTCAACTTTAAAAGCAAAAGAGAGAGTACAAACAAACACACGTGATGTACTCTCTGATTTTTTTCTGTTCAGGGCGTTTAGACTACAAAGCAGGCTTTTATAGCTAAGAGAAAACCGTTTAAGGTGATTTTCTCTTTTCTCTACTTTTTTTATCCCCTTTCTATTTATTGAGCAGATTATTATTTTCGATTTCCGGTACCTGCGAAAAGTGCTAAATTTAAAGTGTTTTCTGATAGTAAAGAATTTTTTCAATGCTGTCAGAAATGAACAATATTTAATTATAATCTGATTTATATAATAGAAAGACCGTTTAAATTATTAAATAATTAAAAAGGTTACAACTTCTATAGAAGAATATGATTTAATGATCATAAAAACACAATTAATTATTATTATAATTATAATAATCGTATTATAATAACATATTCACCCAATAATTCATGTCATGCTGGATTTATTCCCCACTCTATCTTACATGAAAAATATCTAAACTAGCCAAATGACAAATTATTATTATCATTATTCTATTTCTAGCTAAATAGATTATAATCCCTTTCATTCAATTCCTTTGCTTGCGATCCAACAAAGCCCCATATCATCATTTACTAGTTAGTATTATTTTTTTATGACATTTAGATTTCTAGCATTTTTGAAGACTATAAATGAATCATTTAATTGACATATTTGATCATTTAAAATAATAGTTTATTCAATATAAAATGTTTTTCTGTCATAGTGCAATACATATAAAAATTATATTAATCATTACTAAATGGGAATTTACGAAAAGAGCTCAAGAAATTTATAATATTATTGCGAAATAAGATTTTATTTTTAATTTTGTGAATATCTGATATGAAATAATTCAGCTTAACTTGCAAGTAACTATAAAAAACATTAATATTAACTTAACTATGAATAGAAAAACTTTAAAACAGCAAAAAGAACAAATGAAATATTTAAAATTCATTCAATTCATAGATATATTTATAATGTTTGAGATATTCAATAATTTTAAATATTAAAATGAACAAAATTAGCCATTTACAATAATCGTATTATCAAACATAGATTACAAATAAAGTTTTATTATAATTTAGTAATATTTTTTTATTCATTAATTATAATAATTTTGATTAAATCCTATAGAAATTTTATAATAATTTGGTTATTCTCCCAAACTGTAAAAATGGGAATAATTCCTATTCTATACATCATAGTCTCTCATATAAAATACTATGATTACTTGAATTAAACCTTTTATTTTTAATCGATTAACTTTACATTTTTTATTCAAGCAATCAGATTTACTTACCCACTAAACTTCTTAAAACAATTTTATAAAAAATTTTTATTCCCTTTTGATTCTAAACAGGTGAAATGCCCCTTTGTTTACGCTTGCTTTTTTTAATAAAAATCCTTTATCTGATTCTCTCTGATCTAAATTTATTGGCACTTAATCTTTATAGGTGCCACTTATAGGTATTGATAGCAAGCTTTACTTTCTAAAATGTTTAGTTTACGCTTCGAATAAGGAAGATGTATTATGAATTCTATTAATTGTAGAAGTATCATATTAATTTAGATCCTTTTTTGATCATTAAATTCTCCTAAGAAAACAATCTTAAGTGAATAATAAAACATGAGTTTAATCAATTAATTTAGTATTACCTTAATAATTTTGTATGCAAATTCAAAAACATTTTAAATTAACAAGCAATACATAAAACAGCAATTTGTTTTTCTATTTTGTTTCATTTTTGATTTGTTTTTACATTGATTTAAAAAAAGTAGGGGTTCTATAAATTTTAAATTAAATTTTGGATATGGCTTGACTTTTCATAAATTATTGTAGTTAATATAGTAAACTAATTACATAATAAAATTAGTCATCAATAGCTTAAGCAGATAAAAAAATCAAAAAACGTTTTATGAATTATTTAGCTAAATGTTTTATTATAGAATATTTTATTAAAAGCGATTAAAGAAAAAATGCTTTAGAAATATAGAGCTTATATAATGTAAGGAATATAATTATTATTTTTAAAATAATACTTTTTTCCCACTTTGCAATCTAATTATTGCTTATAGGTTATTAATTTTAAAAAACTCTACTCTTATTCTAAAATAACTCTATTTTCAATTCAAGCTCTAATTAAATAGTGAAATTAACTTAGAAGAAAAGAAAACAATATCATTTAATAGGAAAAAAGCTCGAATAGCAGCTATTATAAAGCAATTTAGACAAAAATTTAAATGTAATAAAATTTATTACTCAAAAGAATTAAATTAATCTTATCCAATTATTTAATTTTATTCATTTAGAAAATTTATCTATAATAAATTTAATTGATTTGATTTAATTTAATCTTCTATGTAAAAAAATTCTTTCTACCAAAAGCTTCAGAACAAAAAAAAATGTCTTCTAAAACCTTAATAACGCTCTTAGTTGTTTTCAAATTAATAAAGTGAATATTTCTTTTTGACTAAAAAACAATAATTTTAACTGTTATAAATATTTTCAAGCAAAAAATGAAGTTTATTAACACTAGTATTCAAAAATATATTATTTTAGATAAATTCTTCTATTTAATCTATATTAATTTTTTCATTAATTTATATAGGATATAAAGATATTTCAATTCACTAACAACAATTATTCATTTTACTTTTTATAATTTACAGAATAATATTTTTTTAATATTATTTTGTTAAAAAATAAGTTCTAAAAAAATTTTAAGAAATTAATTTATTTTTTAATTTTAAATATAAAATTTACTAGAATTTTTTAATTTTAAATATAAAATTTACTAGAAATAAAATGTTAGAAACAAAAATATTAATGTTAAATTATCAAACATTAAGACAAACATTTTAAAAATCAATAAATTTAAAAAAGATTTTATTATTTAAATTAATAAAAATATAAAATTTTACAATTAAAAATACTGAAGATAAATTTTTTTTCTATCAAAATAAACATAAGATTTAATTAATATTTAAATATTTTATTTTAATGAAGAAAGAATAATAGAACTTTAAAATATTACTTTCAAATTAAAGATAAACAAAATTAAATAATAAAATAAATATTCATATACTAATAAATAACAATTGTTTGTTATATTTTATTTTAATTATATTTGTAATTTGGACTTTTTTATTTTTGAAAAATATAGATTTTAATTATTTTATAATAAATATATTGATTAAAAAATAATCAATAAATTTTTAACTTTTTTATGAACAAATTTGTTAATTAGATTATTTAAATTTACAAATTTTAAATGAATAAAATTTTATAAATAATTATATTATTAAAAATGAATAAGATTTAATTCATTTTCAATTCTTTGAATCTATTTTATAATATTTAAATTAAAAAAATTTAACAAGAAGTTAATTAAATTTCTTAGACAGAAATTGTCAATAAAAATTAAATTATTTATTTATTTATTAATTTTAAATTAAATAGATTTTATAATTAAAAATGAATATGATTTTATATTTTCAAATTTTTTAAAGAACAAAATAAAAATAATTATTTTCAAATAAATATTTTAAAAGTGAATAAAATTTAGATTAAAATAATTTGTAAATCAATATTAAATTCAGTAATATTTTTGATGTTAAAATACATTTTATAATTTATTAAATAATAATTTTTGATAATTAGCTAATTCAGTTTTTTTGAAATAAATTGTTTTAATGGTTTTAAATTTTATTTTTTATGTTTAAAATTAATTTCTTTCTATAAAAATGATCGATTAATCTGATCTATCTATCAATTAATCTACATTTATAATTTTGATTTTTAAAGAATTATATTATTTTGAGCAAAATGATTTAATCAATAGATTTTCTTCAAAAGAAATGAGTTAGCCTTTTTTGTTGCTACTTTTTAAATGTTTAGACAGAGCAGAATGAATAGTTAACTAAATTTTAAAAAAATTATAAAAGAATTATAAGCTGGCTAAATATGACGTATTATTTAGATATTTGATTGGAATAAAATCTATTTGTTAAAAATCTTTAAATGGTCCTAAAATCTGTTTTTTTGTTTGTTAATAGTAAAATAATCATCAGATTTCTTTTTGTTGTTTCTTAGATCATTTTATTTGATACTCCTTTTCTTAAAATTAATGAATGGTTTTTTATTTAAAATGAATTACTCTTCACATTGACTAGTCAGACTCATACTTTAATAATCTTAAGTTTTGCCTTGATTTTTGATTATTGTTATTTTATATAAACTACTTTCAATTCATTGAAATTATCCATAAGAATTTTTTTAATTTTTGTTAAAAAATATACAAATATAGATAACAAAAAAAAGCAAAAATTTTAACAATTAAAGAGAGAGAGAGCTATCACTAAGAAATTAGTTCATTACATAAAAGGAAGAAAGAAAGAACGGCATTTCATTAAAGATAACAAAGATACATACGCTAGCTAACTGAGAAATATGCAGAATTAAGAAAACTAAATAAAAATTATTAAAAGTATAGGGAAGGGTAGCTACGGCGAGTAAAATATTTGTTCTATAAAAATTTACAAAAAATTAATTGCTAATGACATAGTTAAAATAAATTTTTATTTAAAAGAGTTTTTCTTTGCGAGGATCAGCTTGGACATAAAATAGCACTAAAAGCAATTAAAAGAAATTTGCTTGATGATAAATTTATCAATTCGTACAAAACAGAGCTGAATGCTCTAAAAAAATTGTAATCAGCTTAAAATAAATCAACTTTGAATGATATTTGTTATTAAGCTGATATAGAGAATGCAAATTTGGTTGGATTGTTATCAAAAAGATCTATGTCTTTTGATCAAGAAATGTGCTTTTTAAAAGAATAAAATAGCTCAGTTAATTGTCAAGATCATCAGGTTAATGCAAAATCCAATATTATCCAATTTGTAAAGAGCATTGACAACTACCCATTTTAGTTCAATAATAAAACTTACTCTTGCCATGCATTATTTATTGAGTATGCAAAAAATGGCTGTCTAGGAAGTTACTTAGAGAGCCCAAAGCTAACTTTTTTACCCATTAACATTCTGCGTAGAATAGCCAAACAGCTTTTTTAAGGTACTAATTATGTTTTAACGTGAATTTAGCTTTATTGATGATAGACACTTCTCTTAAAGAGGTGTTTATATATAAGGTCTATTGAATTATAGTTAAATACAATTAGTATCATTTTAATTATATATACCATATTAAAAATTCAATAAAGTTTAATTATATTATATTAAATAAACAAAAGGTATACAAGAAATGCATTCAGCGCATTTAGTTCATAGAGATATCAAAGAAGACAATATTGTTTTTGGGGAAGGATATACTCTTAAATTAATAGATCTTTCATTCGCTGGACGTAATGATGATGAAGTATGTGGTACACAAAAATATATATCACCTGAAATACTAAAAAAGGAGGTTCAAATGTTAAACTGTAGCTCTTCATAAAGTAATTCAGTATAGTAAGAATAAAAAGTCTAACAAAAAGAATTGAAGTTTTAGAGATTTGCTAAAATAGATACTTTCGCTGCTGGTGTAGTCCTGTTTAGACTGGCAACTAAGATTTACCCCTTTGGATCTGCAAGTTAATTTGATTATAAGTATAAGTATATTGTAAGCAAGCAATATGACCAATTTTGGTCAAATGTCAAATTCATAGTTAGCAGTGTAAATGAAAACAATCCTGATACTCAATTCAATCATTTCTTATAAAATCGTATATAAGAGGAGACTTTATAAGATTTAGATACAAGCTCTAATAGTTATGATAGTAATTCAGAAGCAGAAGATAACTAGGAAGAAAATGAAAATCAAAGCAGCAGCAGTTAATCTAATTAAGAAAACCAAACTGAAAGTTAAAGCTCCTATAACAGAAAAAAGTCAAATATTACAAACCGTAGCTCTAAAAAGTTATTATCTTACATAAAAAGTAAGAGAGCGGTGAGCTAAGTTAATTTTTTTTTGACTCCTAATGAATAAGCTTTCTTTTAGTAGTTAATGAGCGAATAAGATTTAAATAGTATTGCTTTATCAAACTAAGAAATAAATGAGAGCTATTAATAAAACATTAAAGAACAGATTGAATAGCTAAAAGATTTGATCTAAAACCTCCTCTCTTATGAAATAGATTCGAGGTATGGAATCTAAGAAGCTCTTAATCACCCTTTCTTCACTTAATTCCCAAATAGCTATGCAAGTACAAAAGATTTGGAATAATTTTTCTCTGTCTTTAATTCGTGAAAACAAACAGGATTGACAAGAGATTTATGAGGATTTCTTACATAAAAATCTCTTTAAAGAGCAGTAAATAATTTGAATGAAGAAAGCAAAGCAACTTAATATCATACAAAAAATAAATAAATAAATTCTTCTTTGTTTAATAATTAATTAAATAATCACCTTGATAAAAAGAAGAAAAAATTCTATAATAAAAAATAAACAATTAATAAATAAATCAGTAGGTTTTTTTAAACCACCAAATAAATATAAAAAATCTTCCATAAAATTAAAATCATCACTCTAACGTTAAAAGCTATATTATCTTTACAAATTTCAATTTCCTTTATAATATAAGCAAGAAATAATCAGATTATAAATTAAATAAAGACTTCTTGATTTGCTCGAAATATACTTAAATTATTAAACAAAAGAAAGAATGTACTAGATAAAGTAGATTATTTATAGATGTGTTCTTTCACTTGTTTATCTAATCTATTCCTTTTAAATAGGCTCTATAATTAAGAATGCTTAATCCAAGAGCCTCTAGCTATTTCTTAATTGCAAATGTTATTTGTTTATTTGTTTATAAATCTATCTATCTATCATTTACTCTATTTTAACTTGTTATAATTCAAATTGCTACCAACTAATTTAACATGATGTCATTCTTAAAATAGACGAAAAGTATTTTTCATATCTATTATAATTTAATCTTAATATTCGCCAAAAGGTTTTATTTTACTAATCTCACAAAATTTTGATTATGTGTTTGTGCTTCATTCATTATTTTTTTCCCTTCTAAAATACTTAACTTTTTTATTTCAGTTTCTTTCTATTTTTAATTATCCGCCTAGGTGTTTAAAAAGAAATTTAGGTTTTTGTGTTAATGCGTCACTAATTTCACTCCAGTGTTTAAAATTTACATAATCTGCAAAAAATTTCGATTGTTCTAAAATTTCATTCATAATATTGTTTAAGAAGAATGAAGTATTCTCATTTTCTATCTAAGGAAAGAGAGAGATTATAATTATTTGTGTTCTCGTTCTCTCAGATAAATGCAAATAGAAGATTTTGCAGTAGACGCAATACTGAAAGTTTAAGAATTTCCCCAAAAATTTGAGGAATTTCTTTATAGTAGTTAGTTAGGTGGCTAATTTAAATTACTTATCTATTTTTCTCGAGAATATCAATGTTAAATAAATGGATAATTAATTTTTTTATAATATTTAATTTAACAAATAGTTTTATAAAAGGAAACAAAATTCCAAAATAAATAATATTTTTATAAAGATAAATAAATAAATAAACTAATATCGATCAAAATATTATATAATACTAAAATCTTTATTTGTTTATCTCAAAATTAGACCACTCTGTATGCTATTGATACTATAAATACAACAACAGACACAGTGATTTATCAATTCTGAATTTTCCAAATTAAATATTTACAAAAAAAAAATTATGGACATTTTTGATAACTACGAAGAAGACGAGTACGATAGGTACAAAGTTATTAAGCCAGTAGTTTAAAAACATAAGAGATTTTTCTTCATTCAAAATCTTTAAAAACTTGCTGATAATCTTTAAGTTCCTGATACATACTTAGTTGAATATATTTGCATAAAATCAAACTGTTAAAAAGAAATTTATCAAAAGTCTAATTACTTAATAAAAACATCACTTTGTTAAGTATAAGTAGAAGAATTAATAAATGAATTTGCTAATACTTACTTGAAATGTTCTAAATGTCATCTACTCGAGTACAAAATCAAAGTAAATTAAGCTAAATCGCTAATATAATCTAAATGCGCTTCCTGCGGTTATTTAAAAACACACCCATTAAAAGAGGAAATGAATTAATTTATTTTCAACAATCCTCCTGCGATGAAAAAGAAATTTGACATTGAATCAGGTAGAGGATTCTTAAATGATTACAATCAAGATTTTGACTACTCTGATTAAGAAGATGAAAATATAAATTATTCTTACGAGGATAGTGACTCGCAAAGCGAGATCTAAGAAGAAGAATACTTCGAAGCTTAAAATTAGGAGAATTCGTAATCTGGAGATATAAGCTTTGAAAATGATTAGGATTAAGAAAATGAGTTAAAAGTAGAGTAATAACCTTCTGTAAAGGAAAACGAATATGATGATAATTAAAATACTAATGAATGTGATTCTTGTGAACAGTCCTCTTCTAATTAAAACTATTAGACAATAATTGATAGAAAATCCTTTTAAGATGATGTAATTTAATAGAATAGATTTGAGCAATTTATGTAGACAAATTAGTAGATGAATGTTAAAAATTCAAATCGAATTTTTTAATTATAAAGTGAGAGTTAAGTAAATAACCTTGAAAAAGTGTGTTCCTGATGAAACACAACATTGAATACATAATTTATTACATAAGCAAATTTTTATTTATTTATTTTCAAATCGTACATTTGTTTGCTTATTGAGTTTATTTATATTTTTTGTTCAATTAATTATAAAAAATTAGTTATTTATTTCTAGCTAAATTAAAAAAACCATTTATTTTTTTAATAAAATTTTAACCAATTTCTTGAAATAAAATTCATTTTATAGCTCTAATTCATGTATTACTTATTTATTTGTTTAATTTTTAACAAAATAAAATCAATTTTACTTTATTTCTAAAGAGTATAAGTTGCTAAAAAATTACATTTATATATTAATATTTATTTTTATAATATTTATTTATTATATAATCAATTTTCTTTATCAATTCATGTTATAATTTGATAGAGTTTGAGTATATCCTCTTTCGAAGTATATAGAATCGTCTTGAGTAAAAGCATCGTATATAGCTTCGTTTTCATTAAGATTTAGGATCCATACATGATCGGCGTTTTTTGCAGTATGAGCTTTCTCAAATATACCTCCAAGTGTTGAGTTAGTGAACTAGTCTGGAGGACAAGATTCATCAGTTGGAACTCCCCATGCACCATCTCCAAAATAAACTGTACCATTTTCTGAAATTGTGTTATTTTTTAATGGGAAGGTCCTTTTGAACATGTGTACATGATTTTCAAAGACTCCTACAAATTTATACTAATCAAACAAAGGAACCCAATAATTTTTCATGTCAATATTTGTTTAGGCTTTGTTGAATTTAGATTTAGGATTCAAGCAGACAGGATAAATAGGAACATGATAATGAGCAAATTTATAAAATTCTGAGTAGTTTGAGAGTGTTTATTTCATCCAGTCATTTTAATAGCCTGAGAAAGTATGGAAGTACCCACCTTTTAAATTTAACAATTTAAATAAAATTTTATTTTATATTATAAATTACTATCAAGAGAAAAGTGGATTGTGTTTCTGATAATATGGTAGTTTAGAGAAGATCTTTCGTTATATTTTGGTATTGTTTTATTCTGACCAAATTATTATGGAGCCCATGTAAAATAGAGAGGTCCTTGCTCAGCATTTACTGTTGTGTTATACTAACCTAAAGCATTCCACCCAGCATCATGATTCCCAATAGCAAAAATTAAAGGAATAACTCTTCCTATCTTTTCAAAAACGTTCTATTCAAATGAATCATAAAATATATCCCATGAATAGTAACATTCCTTAAATCCATTATCGTAACCTACATCTCCACCAAGCATAATAACATCAGGTTCCATTTATATTAACTTAGAAGTTAATTGGTCTCCATTTCCTTCTCTGTATAAAAAATATGCATTTATATAAATCATATTTTCTTTAAAAAAAATAATAGTTTTTTTTAAATTTAAAGTAAATATTTTACCTGCTCCAGTCTCCTCCAAAAGCAATTTTTACTTAAACATTCTTTTATTGTGGTGAAGGTAATGTTTTGTAAGTAGATTATTTCAGTATTGCCTGTGTTTATTTATTTAAAACTGTAACTTGGTATTTAGTATTTGGCTATAAATCTGTATATAACCCAACAAATACATTTCTATCACCCTTTTCTTCAATCTTAATACTCTCTTACATTTAAGCTGTAATTTCAAATGTTTACTCAAGTAAGTTTCCTTAGTCATTAAAAGGTTATAAAATTAAATCAACATCAGTAATGTTCAATCCTGTATGAATGTTAAAAAAAACAGAATCATAACTTGTCTCAGGTAGGGTGGCATAGAAGTGACATAGATGATTATCAGGGCAAATTTTTTCTTTTTGAATTTAGTAATAGCGAGTAAATTTTGATGAAAAGAAGAAGTCTCCAACTTGGTATCCATACACATTAAAAACGCACATACAAAGATTCTCAGTAAGAATTTATGGTAAAATAGCCAAACCGAAACCAACAACAGTAAATATCACTTTAAGGTATCTTCTTTATCCAATATTTAATTTGTTTTACAAAATCAATCCTAAAATTACAAAGCCTCCATTAATATAGTTTGCAGTTTCTATGTTAATTATTTTATAGCCATAAGTTAGACCAAATTAAAATGTGAATAATCCAATTAATACCCACAAAGAAATCAATCCTAAAAATTCAAGCAAAAATCCAACTTATTTTGCATTTTATTAACTACTTTAATCAAAGTTAACTGTACTACCTTGTATGATTGAAGCATTTAGATTGTTACTTGATTAAAGCTACTAATAAGGAAGTATATGATTATTAGAGCTTTATTATTATTGTTAATTTTATTTAAATTGTTAATCGCTTCTATCTACATTTTTTTAATCTTTTGCAGTCAATCTTTGAAGAATAATTATTAAAATATATGGAATAAGAGCTATGAATTCTAAATGCCTAAAATAGTTCATAAACCCTTGATGAAAAACTGAGCGATAATCACCATTTCCATCCCAGTTTGCAGGTGGTACATATTTTTCAATATCTTCAACTATACCCATAACTAAATAAAGTTAACAAACGATTATTGAATTAGTAATAAATATATAAAATTGGCAAACGAATATTGAATTACTATATATAATTAATAATTCCTTTTTTGCGTATAAAATAATGTTTTTATAAAAGATTATCTTTTATTAAAAACACAATATCACAAAATATTTTGTAAATTCATATCAAAAAAAAAAAAAAAATAAATAAACACCAAAAATCATTCATAGCAAATTTGAATTTTATGAAATTCTTATTTTTCAAACTATTTAACTGAAGACATTATATAAAATAACATTTTATTTAAAATTTTTATTATATCTATGAAAATAATAATATATAATAAAAAATAAAAACTTTCAGCTTTTAATAATCCCTCTTTTACTGATATTATAAGCCCCTTCTACTTAAAAATTATTCATTCGTATCATTGAGTTCAATTATTCAATATTTTTTTATCATCGTATTTTTGTTTTATTGGAATTTTTAATGAGTAATTTTGTTATATTTTTAATTTAATTTCTTATTATAAATCATTATTGTTAAGGAAATTAAATTTGAGTTATCTCATTACAACATACTTAGTTAATGTCTTACTTAATAATCTCTATTACCTTTTAATCTGAGCAATTGCTTTAAATACAGATTTAGGGTATCAATTCATTTATTCATTCAATTTTAATATGCATTTTAGCTTTAATTTAATTAGTTATCATTGTCTTATTGGATTAAACATTAAGTATTTATGTTAAAAAGAAGCTTTTTTGTTCAATAACTAATTGATGAATTAAATCTTCTTTACTAAAACCAGAAAATTTTATTTCTGTTACTAAAGCTTTAGAATTATCAATTATTATGATACTTTAATGATAAATATTAAATTATTTGGTTTTGAGCCAAATTTAAAATTTTCAATAGTAACATATTTAGCTTTTTGAATATTTTCATTTACTTTTAAAATTTTAACACATTTATTTTCAGTATCAGTAATAGTATTAATTAAGATCAATTTATTAATTCTAATTTTTTATAAAACAATTTAAATTTTAAAAACTAACTTAAAAATTAGAATCTTACATTTTAAATTATTGAACTTCAAACGAACTATTTCTAAAATGTTTAAATATTATCAATTATATCGTTGTAGTGTATTTAAATGAAGTTACTAAAATATTATTTAAAAGATTTACAAACCCTTAAAAAAAATAAACTTTTCTAGAAGATAGTAGGATTATCTTTAGAATTATTAAGATAGATTATATAAAAAAAATTTTTATTTCCATCACAATAACATTTTTAAAAAAGTATCTTTGGATATTAATTAAACTCAATAGTGAGATTAAGTAAAGCTATGAGTTATTATTTTATTTTTCTCAGATATAATAAGATTACTATAAAAATCTTGTGATATTGATTTTGTTATTCTTTTAATTTCTCAAGTATAAAATTACTAATTAATTTTTTGAATAACTAAAATTTGCATGTTAAAAAATATAATTTAGAATATGTTTGTTTACTTTAAAAAAAACAAAATAAATTAACAATAAAATAAAATCTATTTTTAAGATGAATTTAATCTTTATAAATTGAATACGTTTTTGTTTTATGAATTAGTATTTCTTTGTTTAAAATATTTCTTTTATTCACTTTATTTTTCATTTATAATTAATTCTTATACTGGTTTACATAGTATTTTTAAAAAAATTAGTACAATTTTCTTTATTCTCAAATATTTGTGATTATAATTTTATTTGAGTTTATCATCAAAATATTTTTTATGCATCAGAATCTTTTATTAGTCAATAAAAACCTAATTAGATTTAATTAAAATTAAATTTGATTGCCTACTAAATTACCACATTTCAGAATAATTTTAATTAAATACCTCATTTAAGTAAATAGCATTGAATATTTTAGATATTCTTTTAATTTCTCAAATAAATAGTAAATAATAAATAATAAAATTATAAATTGAGATTTGGAAAAATCGAATTTTATGTAAAATAATTAAAATTAAAATATCATTATAATTTGAAAATTAAAAAAAAAATAATAATAATTAGATAAAACTTATCTTTAAACTAATGAATCCATTTTTCAATAAATAATTTGGCTAATTCCCTCCAAAATAATTCCCTCAAGGTAAATACCCTCCATAATAAGAATTTTAACAGCACCCACCTCAAACTCAACAAGGATATTAATAGTATCCTCCTTAACAATAAGGATATCAACAATATCCTCCTTAACAATAAGAATATCAACAATATCCTCCTTAACAATAAGGATATCAACAAAATCCTCCTTAACAATAAGGATATTAACAATATCCTCCTTAACAATAAGGATATTAACAATATCCTCCTCAAAACCAGTAGCAATATCCTCCACAGAATTATCCCCCCAATGCTCAACAAGGCTCTTATGGTTAATATCCTCCTCCTCCCTAATAATTTGGTAACTAGCCTCCTCCACCTTAATTTAATGGCTAGTCATAAAATACTAGTTAAGATTAAACATAGTGTAATAATAACCATCCTAATTACACTAAAGATAGATTAGAATAAGGCAAAACATTAGACCAAGACAAGTGGCTAGTTTCCTAAAATTAAAAATTCTAAGCAGGAATTTAAGAAGATGGTAACTTAGTAGTTTTCTCTTTAGTTAATAACTAGCGTATTTGCACATTTTCATCAATGAACAAAAAATAGGGAACTGCTCCTCATAAATTGGCATTATTTTCAAATGGTAACTTGGAAATAAAAGAATATCGTAATGCTGTATTGTGGTAATCAGATACTACTAATTAAGGTACTGGTCCATATATTCTTATCATGCAGAATGATGGTAATTTAGTATTGTTTGATAGAAATAAAAATGTCACATGGAATACAAATACTAAAAGTAATTACCCTGTTACTGATTAACCTAAGTGCAACAACAATCATGGTAATTACACAAAAGATAGATTGAAATAGGGTAGCAGATTAGAATAAGACAAATGGTTGGTTTCTTAAAACTAGAAGTATTATGCAGGAGTTTAAGCAGATGGTAATTTAGTAATTTCTACTAATTAAAACTTCAGTCCTTACAGCTGTATTTGGTAATCTATGACTAAGAAAAAAGGAAATGCACCTAATTGCTTGGTACTTGAAAGTAACGGCTCAATGAGAGTTTAAGATTATCGTAATGCCACATTGTGGGATAGCGATACCTTAAATTAAGGTATGGGTCCTTTTACTCTTATCATGTAAAATGATGGTAACTTAGCTTTATTTGACAGAAATGATAGAATTACATGGTGTACTAATACATCAAGAGAATGAATTTGTATCAATAAATATATATTTTGATAAAAAGATTTTAAAAATTGTTGTGAATTATCCATTTATTTATATATTTTGTGAATATTTTTAATAGAAAGCAAGTATTCTCATTAATTTAATATTTTAACATCTAATTATTTTATTAACAATAAATAAAAAATTACATTCTTTTTTATTAACTGCAGTTTTATGTTTTGATTAAATTAGGTGTATAAAGTTAAAAAGATAAATGGACATCATTTTATACCCTTAAAAAAATAAAATTATTTAGGAAATAGTAGGATTATCTTTAGAGTGATTAAGATAGATTATAAAAAAATGTTTATTTCCATCACAATCATATTTTTAACTAGGTATCTTTGGATTTTAGTTAAACAAAATAGTAAGATTAAATAAACTTATGAGTTATTATTCTATTTTTCTCAAATAGAAAAAAGGTTACTATAAAAATCTTGTGATATTGATTTTGTTATTCTTTTAATTTCTCAAGTATAAAATTACAAATTAATTTTTTGAATAACTAAAATTTGATTGCAGACTTTAAAAAATATAATTTAGGATATGCTTGTTTACTATAAAAATAAAATAAATAAGCAATCAAATAAACTCTAGTTTGAAGATGAATTTAATTTTTAAAAAGTTTACATAAATGTTTGAAGAATTGATAAACACAAGTTTTAATTTTTTTATTAATTAAATATGTTTTTATTTTAATATATTTGAATTCATTTTTCTTTATTTTAAATTTTTATTTTACTCACTTTATTTTCATTTATAATTAATTCTTATACTGGTTTACAAAGTATTTTTTTTAAAATTAATACAATTTTCTTTATTCTCAAATATTTGCGATTATAATTTATTTTGAGTTTCTCATCAAAATATTTTTTATTCATCAGAATCTTTTCTTATCCAATAAAAACCTAATTAGATTTAATTAAAATTAAATTTGATTGGCTACTAAATTACCACATTTCAGAATAATTTTAATTAAATGCATTATTTAATTAAATAGCTTTGAACATTTATTACCATAAATATTCACTTATTTTTTAAATCTTAATATTTGTACAAATAAATACTCTCACAAGAAGAATTGCGAAAAACAAAATTAATACACAGCTTATTCAGCTATATTTATAAAATTTAGATTATATTATTTAGATATCCATTTCATTATTTTAGTTTTTATAAACATTTACCTATCTATATCCTAACTGATGATAATAATAAAAAGGACATTTAGATTAAAATTACTTTGCTAACTAGATAGACTTATAAATTGTAAAGTGATTTTATGTTTCTTAAATGAAAAATACAAGTTACACATAAAAGTGTTCAATATTTTCTTTTATAATACATTCTTTATATCCTTTTATTATTTACAGAGAATTATAATTTGGGATATTTGGAAATTTGTTTTTTAGGACTATTTTAGATATTCTTTTAATTTCTCAAATAAATAGTAAATAAAAAAAAAATTATAAATTTAGATTTGGCAAATCAAATTTTATGTAAAATAATTAAAATTAAAATATCATTATAATTTGAAAATAAATAAAAAATAAGCAATTAGATAAAAATTATCTTTAAACTAATGAATCCATTTTTCAATAAATAATTTGGCTAATTCCCTCCCTAAAACCCTCAAGGTTAATATCCTCCATAATAAGGATTTTAACAGTACCCACCTCAACAAGGTTATTAATAGTATCCTCCTTAACAATAAGGATTCTAACAATATCCTCCTTAACAATAAGGATATCAACAATATCCTCCTTAATAATAAGGATATTAATAATATCCCCCTCAAAACTAGTAGCAATATCCTCCACAGAATTATCCCCCCAATGCTCAGCAAGGCTCTTATGGTTAATATCCTCCTCCTCCTCCCTAATAATTTGGTAACTAGCCTCCTCCACCTTAATTTAATAGCTAGCCATAAAATACTAGTTAAGATTAAACATAGTGCAATAATGACCATCCTAATTACACTAAAGATAGATTACCACAAGGCAAAACATTAGACCAAGACAAATGGCTAGTTTCCTAAAATTAAAAATTCTAAGCAGGAATTTAAGAAGATGGTAACTTAGTAGTTTTATCTTTAGTTAATAACTAGCGTATTTGCACATTTTCATCAATGAACAAAAAATAGGGAACTGCTCCTCATAAATTAGCATTATTCTCAAATGGTAACTTGGAAATAAAGGACTATCGTAATGCTGTATTGTGGTAATCAGATACTACTAATTAAGGTACTGGTCCATATATTCTTATCATGCAGAATGATGGTAATTTAGTATTGTTTGATAGAAATAAAAATGTCACATGGAATACAAATACTAAAAGTAATTACCCTGTTACTGATTAACCTAAGTGCAACAACAATCATGGTAATTATACTAAAGATAGAGTGAAATAGGGTAGCAGATTAGAATAAGACAAATGGTTGGTTTCTTAAAACTAGAAGTATTATGCAGGAGTTTAAGCAGATGGCAATTTAGTAATTTCCACTAATTAAAACTTCAGTCCTTACAGCTGTATTTGGTAATCTATGACTAAGAAAAAAGGAGATGGACCTAATTGTTTGGTAGTGGAAAGTAACGGCTCAATGAGAGTTTAAGATAAGCGTAATGCCACATTGTGGGATAGCGATACCTTAAATTAAGGTATGGGTCCTTTTACTCTTATCATGTAAAATGATGGTAACTTAGCTTTATTTGACAGAAATGATAGAATTACATGGTGTACTAATACATCAAGAGAATGAATTTATATCAATAAACAAATAAATAAATATATTTGCATTAAAATATTTTAAAAATTGTTGTTAAATATCCATTTATTTATATATTTTGTGAATATTTTTAATATATAGCAAGTATTCTCATTAATTTAATATTTTAACATCAATCTAATTATTTTATTAACAAAAAATAATTAATTAAAAATTTAAAGGAGTAAAGAAATATCAGATTTAATTCATTTAGAACATATATATATATATATTGATTATATATTTGGTGATAAATTTGTAAATAATTGGAAAAATAAAGTTACTCAGCTTTAATGGAATACCCTAATTTACTATAATTTAATAATTAAAGATAGATATTTATTTTAATTTCTCAATTTTTTATGGATAATCTAAAATGTATTTAAATTTTAAATTAGTAAGTCTGGTGTTTTATAATTATTATAAAAAAAGATTGAATCTAAACCAAAAAAAGTAAAATTTTTTAGAATATTTCAAAAATATATATCCTTCTTAATCAAAATATTAATTAATAATAAAGATTCTATATAGAATAAAATTATTAGCAATGAACCCTTTTTACAACAATCAATTCAACTAGTTTCCTCCGTAAGCTAATTAGAATCTTTATGGTTAATTTCCTCCTTCGTAAGGATTTTAATAATATCCTCCTCCTCCTTAGTTTCAAGCTTAATAAGGCTAATATCCTCCTTAAAACTATCCTGGATTCAATACTCAACAAAATTAATAATACCCTCCTCCTCCGCAATTCTCAAACTAACCTAACAATTAAAGCTCTAATCAAGCTAAGTGCAACAATGATCACCCTAATTATACTAAAGATAGATTGATATAAAGTTAAAGATTGGAACAAGACTTATGGCTAGTATCTCAAAATTAAAAGTTTCAAGCAGGTGTACAAGAAGACGGAAACTTAATAGTTATGTCAATGGCTAATAACTAACCCATTTGTGTGTTTTCATCTTTAACTAAAAAAAAAGGGGATGCTCCATACAATTTGTAGCTATGCTCAAATGGAAATCTGGAACTTAAAGATAAGCGCAATGCTACTTTATGGTAATCAGACACTGTAAATTAAGGTTAGAGTCCTCACACTCTTATAATGTAGAATGATGGTAACTTAGTATTATTTGATAGTAAAAAGAATACTATTTGGTGCACTAATACTACTAGCAATACACCAGTAACCGGCTAGCCTTAATGTAATAATAATCATGCTAATTATACAAAAGATAGGATGCAATAAGGCAAAAGATTAGAACTAGAAAAATGGTTAGTTTCATAAAACTAAAGATTTTATGCAGGAGTCTTAGATGATGGCAACTTAGTAGTTTCTACTTCTCAAAACTATAGTCCTTAAACCTGCATATGGAATTCAAACACTAAAAAGAAAGGAGATGGTGGGTTTTATTTGTCTGTTAAAGGTAATGGCAATTTAGAACTTTAAGATAAACGTAATGCCACCGTTTGGTAATCTTATACTGTAAATTAAGGTTCGGGTCCTCATATTCTTATAATGTAGAATGATGGTAATTTAGCATTAATTGATAGTAAATAAAGTATTATTTGGTGCACTAATACTGCTAGCAATTTTGGAGTTCCAAATCAACCTAAATGCAACAATAGTCATGCTAACTATACTAAAGATAGGTTATAATAGGGTGGTAGATTAGAGCTAGAAAAATGGTTAGTTTCACAAAACTAGAAATATTATGCAGGTGTTTAAGCAGATGGCAATTTAGTTATTTCTACTAATTAAAACTATAGTCCTTATAGTTGTATATGGTCATCTATGACTAAGAAAAAAGGTGATGGTTCTTATTATTTATCAGTTAAGGGTAACGGCAATGTAGAAATATAAGATAAGCGTAATGCTACTATATGGGAAACTGACACTTTGAATTAGGGATAGAGTTCTCATATGCTTATAATGTAGAATGACGGTAACCTAGCTTTATTTGATAGAAATTAAAGCATCGTATGGTGCTCTAATACAGCAAGAGAATGAAATAATAATAATAAATGAATATAAAAAGTAGAATATAATTATTTATTACTGTATTACCTTTTCATTTGATTCTGTCTTTTTTATTAATTAATAAGAATGAGTTTTAGATATAAAATAAATATTTTTATGATACTTCGGTTTTTGTTCTGAGGAGTTAAAAAGGTATTACGGTAGTGAATCTTTTTAGGTTATGTTATTTAGGATAGATTTAGTGAACAATAATTTTTAATATATTTAAAGATTTTATTTAAAAAAATAAAATTTAATTTTTAGCAGCATTCATTTTTTATTCTCTCACTATTTATTTTGAATAATATTATATAAACATTTTTAATAACTAATTCCTAATTTTTTTGGATTTAATCTTATTAATTAAATCTAAATAATTAATATATTTTTTAATTAATAAAATATTTTGTTATCGCAAACAAACAAAATAAATAATTTTTTTAAATTAAATTAAGAAACGAATTAACTCATAAATTAATTTACAATATTCACTTTTGATCTCATTTTAAATTCAGATTATTTTTGATTTGAGAGTCTTTAAAATTAAAAACTTATTTATAAATTTAAAAATTTATTATTTATATACCCCATTAAGCGATTTATATTTCTTGCATAAGAAAAAGATATTTTATTTATTTATTGATTTGCATAATCAATTTTTTAAAACATTAAAATAGATAAAAATAAAATGAAATTACTCAAAAGCCAGTGTTTTATTTACAAGTTTAAATAACTTAAAGTAATTATTTTTAGATAAATTAATTAAATAAAAATTAAATTACTTTGCAGATGAAAAAACTGAAATTTAAAAAAAACTAAGATCTTTGAATTTTTACAAAATATTAAATTTCAGTTTAATTGGGTTTAATTAAAAGTAGTATCTTATCATAAAAACAAACAAACCTTTTTAAAAAATTGTTTGAAAAAAAGTATGAAAAAAAACTTCTATAGCATAATAATAGTAAATTAATTAATTTACTTTAAAAGAATACTTTTGACTTTTTATGAAGAAAATGTTTTAATACATTCTAAATTTATTTGAGTTTTTATTTGTGTTAGTAAAATACTATTAGTTAACTTAAAATATTTTATGAATATATATAAATTGTTTACTTGATCATACTGTATATAATAAATAAATAAATCATGATTATACTAGTTAAAAAACGCTCAAAAAATATCTAAACTTTAATATAGATAATTATCTAATTATAAATTTTGATTTCTTACAATTGAGGTGAATAATATAATTAATTATATTCATATCAATCAAAATTTAAAAACAGAAAGATACTAGAAATTAATATATTTAAAAAAAATCCAGTAAGTATATTTTTGTTGATTAATATTGATTCTAAGATGAAATAACAGCAACGCAACTAATTTATTATACAAGAGAGAGAACTATATATCTCATATTTATAACATAAAAATAATTCATAAATAAATTTATAAGAAAAATTATAATAGCAAAAAATTAACATAAAATAAAATCAATAATGAAAAAAATATTAGTCATTTGTTTGATATATCTATCTATATCACTTGCCTAAGAAGATTGTAATTCCAGTTGTATTTGTAATCCAGGTTCAAATGTGTGTGCCTCTTGTGTATAACCTGATGTTTCTACTATGGATTAAAATAACAAATCTTGTTAATGTAACGATGGATACTATGTGAGTTCTATTAGTCCTTTTTAATGTAGCTAGAGTATTGCAGGACCAAGTAATACACCAACTACTCCTATTGACCCATGCTAGGTTGCTATCGGAACATTAACAGGAAATATCTTAGTCCAAACTAGTTGTTTCATGGATGTTGATCCCGTTTCTGATTCTCATACAGTCATTTCTTAATTTAATTTACAATTCGACTCTCATTCTGCTATGGACGATTCATGTAAAGCTAAATACTATGCCATCCCCTACTATTTACCTTCAGGTAAAAATCCAAAAGTTGATAAATTTATTCCTCTAGATTAACCCCACTGGTAGGTTTTAAGTGATAAATGGGGAGGAGTTTAAATGAGCTGGAGTCTTACTGAAGCTTACAATTATGCTAATTCTATTGACTCTACTTCTGATCCTAATTAATTTAATCACATTATAATGCTTTAAATGAACATTATGGTTAATGGAAAAGTCTACAGACATCATCACTATGATGTAATTGTCTATACTGATAGAAATGAAGTACAGACTTTTAATGTTGATGTAGATATTCAAAGAACTCAAGACTGTACTGGTTCATGTGTAATTGTTGCTGATTTAGATGTAGCTGGATATATTTGTGCAGATCAATCTTGCAGTGTCTAAAAAGTTGCTGATTCAAATGGAAATTTCGATTACACAGTAGGAGATACTTTCTATGCTAAAATTTGGTTTAAGGATGCAACATTTACTAAGCATTTGACATTAAACAGATTATACTACATGAATTAATCAGGTTTAGTTAGTGATTAAACAAAACTTGCTTCCTCTTAATGGGATAACCAATCTTTAATTGTAACATTACCACTTGTACAACCAAGCCCTTCTAATTAAATTTAGGTTTAAATGTTGATTGATCCTAACTCAAGATTAAGATCTTTACAAGCTTCAAGTTCTTCTTCTACTTCATAATCATCAACTAATGCTGTAAGTTAGTCTTTCTAATTCAGTGTTCAAGGAGGATAACAAGTATAAACATCAACAACCTATAGTGCTAGCTTACTTTTTGGAGTATTGAATTTATTGGCGTTAATTCTTTTAGTATGAAATTTTAAATATTTTAATGAAAAAAATAAAATAATTAAAAATGAATTATAAAGTTTTTATATCTTATTTTGAATAACAGATATATATATATATCTTGTGATAATTTACATTAATATTTCAATTAATATAATTTTAAAAAGTATTTTAAATATCAATCAAAAAATACAATAAAAGTTAACATAATTATTGATTTTTATGTAAAATATGATAAAGTTATCTTAAGAATAAAATAACAATTATTTTTTATGCAAACAATATTGAACTTTCAAATTACGAATAGAAACAATTGGATTTAATTAAGAATTTATCAGTTAATTCAACTAAAAAATAATAACAATAAATACATAATTAAATTTGATTTTTATTATCAACCTAACATAACAGAAAAATAATATCTCTTGATTATCTAAGCTAACGCATTCTTCTTTATAAAATTATAAATCTTAACACATTAAAATTTTACAAATCAAGTGAATTCAAAAAATTAAAAAATTATTAAAAAAAGTATTTTGATCTTAGATTTTATTTTATTTGATTTATTACAATTTAAAAAAAAATTTGACAAAGTATTTAATTATTTTAAGAATTAATTAAAATAAAAAAATATTTGTTAGATTTTTCTTAGATTTCTATTAATTATTTTTAAAAAAAATTTTTTATAATAAATGCATATTTTTGGTATTTAATTTACTTTGTTTTTCAAAATACAAATCATAGATTTTTAGGGATTGTTTTATATCTATTTAATTGCATAAATTAATATAAAAAATAAAATTATTAATGATTTTAAATACTTGAATATTAATGTTGATAAGCTATGTTTAAAGATATGAATTTATCGTTTTGCTATACAATTAATAAGCTCTGAAAGTTTAGTAAGTTTAAATCATAAAATTAATTAAAATATCGTTATCAGTTTTTTTTTTTGACATAATCCTGATAAACAATAAAACCTTAAAAATTAAAAAAACATCATGAAATTAGTTAAATATTGTTGAATGTTATTTATTACTAAATATTTATTTTTTTATATTTGAAACTAAAAATTTAATAAAAGAATTTTAAAAAATTGATAATTTGATGCCATTAATCGTGATTATAAAATAATTTTTAGTTAAATAAGTTGAAGATAATTTTTTGTAATTATTTACTTAACTTTGTTTTTGATTTTTATTAAAAATAATAATAAAAAGATTTGGTTAAAGATATGATAGGATTTGAAAGTAATAATTTAAATGATTACTTTTATCATAAAGTAAATAAATATAATTAATATTTACAATATGATTTATTTAAATTAAACATTTCTTTTTTTAAAGCTTTTTAATTCATTCATGCTGAGAATCTTAGAAAGGATCATTTGGATCATTCTGGAATTATGAATTTGTTTTTTAAGTGTAATTTGTTTATTCAGCTAAAAGTTATTCATGCTCTTATGCAATATTTAAATAATTTATTTAACTGCTTTAGTTATTAACGTGGTTATTTCTATTATTGTTGTTATTTACATTTTGATGGTTACTATTTGTTTGATTACGGTTATTTTATTAGTATTAAGAGTGGTCATCTTCATTAGAAATCTATCCTTAGCTCTCTACTTCTTCTTCATCTTCTAACATATAATTATTTTAATTAGCTGCAACTTTTTTGTATAAATGTAATATTAAATATTTATTATGTTCTATAAAAAATATAAATAAATACCTGCTTCTTGATCTACGTTACTATTATAAACATTAAAATCATTTGCAACTACATTTTTAAATGCTTTACTTTTATTTGAAAGCTGACTTTTTGAAACATCGCCTGTTTGTTATTCATAAAAACAAAAAAATTATTTTATAAATATAATATAATTTTTATTACTTTTGATGGAGTTCTTTTTTCCTGTAGGGAAAGTAACTTTTGATTCTTATTTTGGTAGGTTATTTTGGCTATTTTGTTTAGAAAATTCTTAATTAGAATCAGATTAATCTTATAAATCTTTTGCATTCATCTCTGTTAATGTATTATATCTCTCTTAGTTAAATATCTTAAAAATTGAATCTATCTTAATTTAATCTAGACTTTGATTCTCTTCATACAATTTTATAAATAAACATTCTTATTCTTAAGAATTAAGCTATATTTCTAGTTGGTCAAGAGCATACAGAAGTTATTTCTTGTCGCAACAAAGAGAACCATTAATTTTTTTTGATGCTGGGTCTCTTTAAAGCATATCAAGTAAACCTCCTTTTTGCTTATTTAATTACTTTATAAAATGCTTAGTAAAACATTCTTTTATTTATTTAATTATAAATTTATTACCTATGTTACTTTAACCATGTCTCTTATTTCTTATTATTAAGAAACTATAGTGTAATTTTCAAGTAAGTGCCTTAAAACGCTTTTTACAACAGAAATATTATTTCTTTAATTTGGATCAAATGTTATCCAATCTTAGCTATTATCTTCTATCAAATATCTAGAAAGAGTAAGAATTTATCCCTCGTCATTCATTTTAAAAGGATATCTTTTAAAGTTAAAAATTTTGATCTTAAATTTCAAATCATTCATTAACCATTTTTTTCTAAATAAATAATATAAAATAGCATTTAAAAATTAATACTCTTAAAATGCGTTGTAAATCTCTTGCAAGCTTACATCTTAATATTAATACTCGTCCTTAAATAAAAACTTTTTATTTAAAAAAATATTAACTAATTGCTAATCAATTAAATAACTTTTCATTTATAAAATAAATAAATACCTTTTCAAGTTAGTTCAAGGTGATTCTTTATAATTTAAGTTTGTACTTTAAATTTTCTCCTATTTACTAAATTTCTTCAGAATTTACTTTTTACAATCTTTTTCTTGAAAGATTTTATATAGAACCTTACTCAAAATTAGTTTAGAAAGAGCGAGTAGAAATATTTGTATTCTATCTCACACTTCTTCTATGATTAATTTATCGGCTAGAGAGCTCTCCTGGAGAATTATTATTTTCTATATCATTTATAGTTGCTTAAGAACTAATTATATCAACCTTAGTATATCTTCTATCTTACTAAAGACGCTCTAAGTCTTATCTCATTTTATAAATCAAATCCCTTTCCTTATCTAACATATTTTATAAATCTTATTTTTCTTTTACCTCAGCAGAGAGTTTATCTAATAAATCAGCTTCTTTTTCCCTAGATCTTTTTTCGGCATCCATAATCCTTTTGTCCTTTTACTAAATTTAATGAGTTAGTAAACTGATTTCTTGTTACTTTTTATCTAATTCTATTTTTAACTACCCTTCGACAGTAAACTAAGAATTCTTTTTACCATTGTTCACAAAAGGATCATTTCCTTTAAAGCTTTCAATTTCCCTATCTTTTTCAACTAGTATTCTTTTTTACTACTAATTTTCATGCTTTTAATTTCTTAACTACTTTTCTAGAGTTTCAATCACTATCTTTTTTTTTAAATGGTTAAGAAATTGTTTTGTTATTAAAATTAAAAATGTGTTTGTATTAATCGGGTGAGGTGGGTAGCTAAAAAAATTTATATATTCTAGTAGCACTTTTTCGTGTATTTTTAATTATATATGCCACAGAATTTTCATAAAAAAATTTTACTTTTTACCTACCCTTAACCCCCTTAATAGATATTAAAAGCAAAGCAATATTATCATTTTTTTTGTTTTGTAAAATAATTTTTTGGTAAATGAGCTAATACTTTATTTTTTTCATCAAGAATACAATATCTTTATAGCTAAATTTTAAGCTTTTTGTATCAATCAAAAAGTATAAATATATGTTTTATTTTTAAACTTCTAATCCTTCATTTTTGAAGAATTGCTTTATTTTTAATATCTATTTAATGATAATGTTAAAATCAATATTTTTTTATAATAAATACTCTTTAGGCAAATATTTCTTCCTCCTATCTTTTTAGATTAGCTGCCATTTAAATGTTATCTTGCTTAAGCAAAGAGAATGCTTAGTTGTAGTTGCTATTTGGGTCTCTTTGAGATCCATCTACTTCTTAACTATCATTTATCTTTAACCTTATTTTAAAATATTCGCTAAAATAAAATGTGTATCTAACTATTTTAAATACCTTTCATCTTTATCTAATTTAATTTGCTATTCTAACATTCTTCTCAATCTCAAACATTCTTCAGAATACATTTTAAGTTAAACCTATTTTTAAATTTAGTCAAATATATAAATAAAATGATAGATATCTATTTAATGTTTGAATACTTCTAATTCTTTTATTGATGTCAATTTAACAGACCTTTGTATTTTTTAAAGGTCTTGCTCTTTTGCCTTTGCTTCATTTTAAAGTTCAGTTATTTATTTCTTCAAGTTAAAGATTAATGTAGCCTAAGATTACTTTTATTTTATAAATTGAATTAACTCTAATTTTAAAAACGCTATATTACTTTATTTAAACTAGGAGTTGAATTAGCAGACTCTTTAAATAATTATTTATACTTAGATTATTCTATTTCATATGGATTGATTTATTCCTTTTTACAAATCCTAAATATTTCCTCCTTTTATTAAAAAAAATAAATTATTAAAGCTAAATAAACTCTTCCTATCATATTTAAATTACTTTCATTCCTATTAACTTGGTTTTAAGTGAGTGATTCTCTTAAACAAGAATATTTTGATTATTTTTAGTTTTAAGTAGCTCATCATACAAAACCTCCTTATCAAACATAATATTCTTAGGAATTATCTTACTAAAATCTTTATTAGAGTACCTTGATCCAATAACAGACCTAGAATTTAAAACGATTTTTATGTTATTTAGTGCATGTAAAATATAATTGAATTTTAAATAATCAAACATGTTTTTTAATTTATTTATCTACCCTTTATGAAATGATGACAGTGATTTGCTAAAATCTTAGTTACTACCTGGTGGATTAAAACCTAAGTCTCTTTAAGCCTGGTTGTAAAAGCTTGAAGTCATATTGACTGTTCTAAATTTATAATTTATAATGTAAATTTTTTCTACTATTTTTGTAATAATCTTTTTTTGCAAGTTACCTAAATTATGATTAACTTGAAGAGCCTCTCAAATCAAAATATTGCTAATTTCCTATGAATAAAAAAAATTAATTTATTAGTTTAATTCTACTATATATATACCTCTTCTGGATCCCTTTTATGTTGAAACCTTTTCTCTGTTTGGTAGATTTGAAGATTTATTTTAAATAATTTCTTCGCTTTTGTTGCCTCTCTTTTTATTGAGCGAAGTACCTGGTCTATTTTCATCCGCCTACAAACAAAGTTAAGAAAATGATTTAGTGACTCTCTATTTTTTGCATAGTTTTAAATAAAAAATATATTGTTTTTACACTATCGTTTATATTTTCCATGTAGTCTAAAACTTGATTGCTTGCTTGGTTTCTTGCTTGATTTGTATAAGATATTTAATAAATTTTAGAAGTTCCAATATTTTAGGTTTATAATAATTAATATATTAATTAATATTTCAGTAATCTATATTTATTTTAATTAATAAACTAGTAAGGAAATAATTTATTTATTGATTGATTGATGTGAGTATTATAAAGTTTTTTTATTTATTTGAACTATTTCTTTCAATTTATTTGCTATTTCTTTTCAACTGTGTAGAAATAAATATATAAATAGTGGTATTTAATTACATAAAAGTCTTAGATTTAAAAATACAATCATATAATTAGTTAACAAGAGTAACTAAGTAAGTTTGTTTTTAAGTAACTTTATTTTTTGATAAATAAAGGTATTTTATAAATAAATTAAAAACAATTAAAATAAATTAAAATTTAATCTTTTTTTATATGAGCTTCACCAGCAATCTTCAATGTCATCTTCAATTATTTCCCTTGTTTAAAAAATTTATTTAATTTATAAAATTATAATTATTTTAGATTTTAAATACTTCTATATAATTTCTTTTCTAAACACAACTATGCTCTTTTGAGGTATTAGTCCATTTTGTTTATTAAATTACAAAGATTACTCATTAGCTCCATCAGATAATTAATCAAAGCCTATACTGTCTATACTATTTGTATTTTCTTCTATTTATTTTTGCTGATTCCAACTTCCTTTTAATTTTACAAAATCCTATGCAAGAACCTAAGGATTTATACTTAGATGATGATTGAACTCTAACACGTATTTAGATAAGGTAATATAGGGAATCTATTTTTTTAATGCATTCTTTCTTTATCTTTTCTCTGTTTCCAAATTGCTTAGTTAACTCTTTGCTATACTTTAGTATTTTTTCTTGACATCCTTATTTTTTTATAATATTTCTAAATTTTAGAGCTTAAAATAATAATTAAAAAAAATAAATTAAAATTCTTACTTTTCCATTTAAATTATTAAGCATAACACCTTAACCAACAATCAGACTTGATAAATAACTATTTTCCTCTTTAACTATTTCATACTGTATTTAAAATAAACAAAACAATATCTATTAAGATTTTTTAAAAAACTACTTTTTCATTAAAATTAATTCTATCAAAAATATCACACAAAACATAATTGTTTGCTTAATTCACTACATCTTCTATATTGGCATAGAAATCTAAATAATTTTGTTGAATAGAGTTTCTAAAAAAGTCCTGGCTGCAATTAATCTGCTATATCATTTTTAAAGGATCAAAGTAAAACTCGGTTTTTCCTGAAAGGAGTTCTTCTTTCGTCATTTATCTTGGATCTTCCTTAGATCCTTTCATTTTTCTCTTATTATAGAGAAATTTTCCGATAGTGTGAAAAATAGTGAACTCGTTATCTTTCTTTTATAAAATAAATTCATATTTTACTCTTTTAGATTAAAAATAAATACCTATTTTTCTTTTTTATTAGCCTCTTTCTAATTTTCTCCCTTTTTTTTATTTTTTATAGAAAGAGAAGAAGGAATTTTGCTATAAGAAGCCATTCTAAGTTAATTTAAAGCATTAGAAAGATCTCCATTAGCAGTATTAACTATATCTTGAATTATTTCGTTTCTCTGATAGCCGCTTAGAGCTTAAAATTTTATATTGTTACTCATTTATTTTTAAATAAACTGCTATATTTCCTTATCAGAAGGTCTAGGTAAGCTTTTAATTTTTATATATATTTGTTTAAAAATGAAATACTATTAAGTTTGATTACTTTATTTCTGTAGTGCAGTTATTGTAAAACTCTGGACACTAATCTTTAAATAACTTATTTATCTAATAAGGTCTATTTAAGAATAAATTTATTATTTTATCTTTTAAATTCAAGCAAAACAAATTTACGAATAAATTGAATTGTTGAGGATAAATATTAATGGATTCCTTTTTATCCTTGATTTAATATATCTAGTATTTATAAATTCGCTTATTCTTTTTAAATCATAAAAAGAGGCATTTTCTGGTAGCTCTTGCATTACTATCACTTCATTCCTATTTATAATTTATTAAAGATCATATATATTATTTGATTGATTGATTTATTATTTGCTGATGATTTATTACTTGTATAAGCTAGCACTTTATGACCTGCTTAAAGCATATAAAAGCAAGTCAACTGGATTTTCTAAATAAGAAGTATTTGTTAAAGCTCTAGAGTTTTCATCATCCATATCATTATCTGCACTTTACTGCAATTTTCTCATTCTATTTAGATGAAGTATTTGCATTTTAAACTTTTTCTCAACAATATAACTAATTAGAGTTTTTTTGCCAATTCCAGAACTGCCTAATAAAAATAAAATATTTTTGCTACCCCTAGCTAAATCATTAAAAAAGGCTTCTACTTCCTTATATTTCTTTGTGCTAACTACTAAATCTTCCTATTAAATTAAAAATGAATTTATAAAACTCCTATTTATCTTTCTATACTTAAGAGGATGGCACTTCTAGCAAAGGAAATGCTGGCTCTCTTTAAACTACTTATTGTTATTTTTATATTTTAGACTCAAATGAATGACCATTTTAGGAGCTGCTATGCATTATCTTGCGAGACTAAAGTTAAGAATTCGAATTATTTAAGCTGCTATTATATTCGGAGTTTTTAACTTTATTATTATGAGAGGATTGCTTCATATGAGAGTCTTCTTCATCTGAGTCATCTGACAATATTTTTTTTATGTTTGTCTTCACTTTTTTAGCCTTTATTTATTTATATCGTTTTTGTAAATTAATGAACGTATTGAAATATTATATTTGAAAAGCTAAATTTATTACTGGAATATATAACGGCTGACTATTTTATGAGTTGAGTATTGAATTATTAGAGTTTTCTCTTGAAAAACATCCATTTTAATTTGTTTATTCTTAAATTTTGGACTTAAAATTAAACCCATTTGCAGAATTTTCTGAGTCAGTTCTAATTTCCTCATTCTACTAAGTATTTGAATTCTACAATTCTGTAATTTGCCCTATAAGTTGCTTATTTTTAAATTTGTTAATGAAATCTTCATCTTCGCTCTCGCTATCATCACTTTCACTATCTGAGTATGTATTTTTGTTATTCATTACTTTGTAAATTTTAATTTCTAAATTATTCTTCTTGACTGATTTTTACTTGATTGATATTGAAATGCTGTATCAGGAATGAAATGATAAAATCTTAGAAAATTAAATTATTTAATAATTTATAGATAATGCGCTTTTTAATTCTAAAATTATCAATATTATTTTCATGGATAAAAAAAGCGAGGAAATCATTCAGAAATGATTCGATTTAATTAAAAGCAATTTGAATTTTTAAAAGTACGCCAAATTTGAAAGAAAAATATTTTCTAAAAATAAACTAACAAGCAAAAATCATTTCGTAAGTAAATAAAAATCAACAATTTTAAAAAAAAATTTTTAAAGTTTTATTATAATTTAAATTAATTTTTGGTTAATAAAAAAAGTAATTTTAATATTTTAATTTAAGCTCAAGAAATAAAATATTATTTAATTTAATTTATCAAAAATCAACAAGAAAAGAATTAAATAAAAATGGCATTAAAATTTAATCAATTTTTATTATGAAAACAAATCTATTTTAGAATATTTTTTAAATAATTAATTTGGTAAAATATTTTAAAAATTAATTGACTTAAGTTATATTTAATAAATGATTATAATTATTAGTAAATTAAATATTATAAAATAAATAAAATGCTAACTCCTAGAATTAATTAAATTTGCAATTTTATTTAAATAGTGATCTACAGTTTATTTATTTATTTATTTTATAAAAACAAACACTTTCGTCATTTGTTTATATTGAATTATTTTAATTAAGAGTTTTTGAACTATATTTGTAAAGGATATTGGTTCGTATACACACAGTAAGAAAAATGAGCGTTGAGAGATCAAGGACAAGCTATTCTTCATTAAATGAAATAAATGGACTAGTTTTAGATTAAGAAAAAGAATACTACGATCTGTTAAATATACATATTAAATCCTTAGATCAAAAAGAGCCTATACAAATAGACTTTAATTCAGAATTACATAGCTTTTTACATGCAAATCTATTGAAGCCTTTTGATACCTAAACACTAAAAATGAAATATTTAAATGTTATATTAGAACCCAGGGTTGTAAAAATCCTCAGAATTTGCTTTTGGAATATTTTATGCGGCAGATTTCCTGAGACAGTGGATATTTTAGTCCAAGAAGAGGTATAAAAATATTATAAAAAGAAACTTAGCAGATTATATATTAAACTGCTGCAATCGCTACCCTAACCTAAAGATGAATTGTTAAATTATGTTATATTCACTATCTCTTACTTAATACACTTTTGCTTCTATAAGTATTTTCCTCCTCAAAGAGAATTTTTTGACTTTCGCTTCATATTGAATTGCTATCACACAGTTCTTTATGAATTCAATGGGATTCTTGTTAGTGATATTTTCGTAAAAAATCATATTGAAAAATATTTTACAAATAAGTTTCTTGATTATGAAAAAAAAAATATGAAAGAGTTGCTCTAAAGATAATTAGAGTTAAAAAAATTAAACAATAAAAAGTTTTTAGGATTCCATCTAAATTTTCCTGATATTTCTACCAGTAAAGATGGATCTGAGTTTAAGGATAAGATTATGACTTATCTAAAAAAAGACAGAAGCAAGTAATTACTTACTATTAATGATAGGAATAGCTCAAATCATTAGAGTACTACTCATATGGAAAGGTAGATTATTAATTATTAAAATATTTATATACATAAATAATTAACAATATTTATTTATCTATTAAACATTTAATAAAATTAAGAGTCTTAATTAGATTATTATTCATACTAAATATGTTTGCAAATTTGATTAATTTAGTCCCATTTAAATAACTTATTAATCTTATTTAAAAGCCATTTATTTTGATTTGACTAACGCATACTAATAATTAATTAATTATGCTATTATATTTAGAAATAGACCAAGAAATAAGCTTTATACAAATTAGATAGACAGCAGTGGCTATTTTTCAATAAATTAAACAAAATTAAGGACTGAAAGCGATTCAGCTCTAAATAGCTTGAGGTTGAATTGTAATTAAGTAAGTCCTACGATAGGAATGCTGCTAGAATATGAAGATCTTAACTTACCTTTTAAGAAGAAAAAAATGATAAAGCATGTATTTGAAAAAATAGATGAAAGTCAATAAGATATGATCAATAAAATGAAGATGATGTATTAAGATAAAGAAGTAATCAAAAAGAAAGATGTAAAAGTAAACTAAAGAGGGAGAACTTTAATTGATCAATATGATTTGAGAGCTCCTCCAAAAGAGTATTATATGAAGCATTAAAAATTACAAAAATATTTTAAAGATATGTTAGACATTAATTATGTCTTAACAGAAAAAGCAGATTAGATGAGCTAGCTGCCTTCGTCTATAGAGATCTTGAAATTCTATAACAATAAGATTGCTGGTTAATTTCAGCAAAATTAAGAGGAAAAAGTTCTAAATGATAAGCTGGCTAACCAACAAAAATAAAATTAATTTTTCGAAAATATGAAAAAAGAATAAGGTTAATAAGATGTTTTTGAACTGCCAAATGATTCAAATAAATAAATTAAAGGAAGATTAGAGGGGTTGTCATTAGCAACTTCATTACCTTCATTGATAGTAAAATTTCATTTAAATTTCTTTTTTTAAATTTAAAAAAAATAAAAATAATTGTAGAATTAAAAAAATCACACAAATAGAGAAGGAAATCAATTAGTTTAAGATGAAATTTTAACTAAAAAATCAATAATAAATTAATCTAATTTTTATCCTTCTTAACCTCCACTTTCGAAAGATTACTCTGTTTCAACATTTGTATCTCCTAAAAATGATAGCTAATTAAAGTTAGATAATGAATCTCCCACTAAGAACTAACATTCTAAAAAGCCTTAGTTTTTTGAAGAAAATCCTTAATAAGAATAATAAACATAAGATAACGAACTTTATGACACAGTAGAAAACCACAGAAAAATTAAATCAAGGGTTATGCAAAAAGAGGAAGTTATTAAACCTTCTCATCATGGCAATTTACCAGAATATATTCTTAATAGATCACTTGATCCGTAAATTATGTATGAAGATAAAAGAAAAGATTATATAAATAAATACAAATAAATATTTGATAAGATCAGTGTAGATTAAAATATCGATGATCTGCAACACAAAATTCTTTTAAAATAGAATCTTATGTCACATGGAGTAAAGAAGAAACACTGAAATATTTAACAAATAATATTTCACATTAAAATCTTTTTAAATTGAATGAAGATGCTTTCTAATTTTGCTTATTATTTATTTAAAGTATCAGTTTTTATTGTAAAATTTATTATAAAAATTGTGATAAAATCTTAAAAAGTTTTTTTAGCTGTTTAAAATCCTTTTGGATTGAAATATTTTTGTTAATTCTCATAAAAAACTAAAATAAAAAAATTAAAAACTAAAATAAATATTAGAGAAAAACAATTTAATTTTCAAAGAAAACAATTTTTATTTATGGCAAAAGCAGGAGTTGTAAAAATAAAATAAAAAATGAAATTTTTTTAAAAACAGAAAAAAGAAAGAAACTTTAGGTTATTTAAAGAGAGTATGTAGGTTAGTAGAGCAATATAAATTAGGCAGGTTTAATATAAAGTAAATAAATAAAGTTTGTTTGTTTGTTTTTAGGTTTGTTACAGGAGAGGAGAAGAAGAGAGAGTTTGGAAAAGAGAGGGGAAAGTAAAGTTTGTTGTTTATATTAGTAAATAAATTAAAATACTATTAGTTAATTAGTTTTTTAGTATTGTGCATGAATGTTGTTTAGAAGTGTGTCCTTCCTGAATATTTATTTTGAGATTCAATGCTTCTCCACACACAGCAATCAACAAAAAGAAAGTTAGAGTATCCTTAGTGCTTGAAAATATTAATTAGCTAAGGGTTTTTTATAAACATATTTTTAATCAATAATAGCAAGAATTAATACTTCAGCTTACTAATTAAGCTCTAACAAAATTTTTGTTGAGTTTCTAAATATTCTCATTCAAATAGTCTGCTCGCAAAATTATTTTAGTACTGTTTAAAATTCAAAAGCCTCAATTCGGGTCTCAAAAAGAATTCCTATTCTAACATTCATACTTCCTTCTGGCGAGATAACTTCTAATTAATATCCTCGACAGGTGTCTTTGCAAAGCAAGATTTTTTTTTCAATGTCTTCTTGCAAGTACTAAAATTTATTAAAAAACAAATAAATAAAATAAATTGCTATTTGCATTCAATTTTCATGCTCATAATTTATTTGAACGGAGTCTTCATTCTATTTGAAGCATTTTGAATAATGTTATTTTATATTATAAATTTAGGAATTAAAAATGCAGAATAAAAATTACCTAATTTTGAATGACGGTTTGACCCTTTTTAGTTCGAAGACATAGCATAAGCTATCCGTATTAGTTCTAATAAAGCTATAATATTGCTTTTTAAAATATTTAAGTTAAAAAAATCAAATTATTATTTTAAATATAAAGGGTAATAATAAATAAATAAATAATTATGATTACCATCACATAAAGCTTTTTACCAGGAAGCCGCATTAGAATTTTTTTCTACAGATTATTCATCTGCATTTTCTATTTAGAAAACCCTAATGGTCTTTTTAGTTCTGAAGAGCTTTCTCAATTATATGTCTTTCATTTTTTTAAGACTTACTTAATAAATTTTTTTTTGAAAGGATAGCTTAGCTTTATTGATTATCTAAATTTTTTAATATTTGATACAATTTTTATTATTTTTTTTGAAAATTATGTGTATTAAGTAAGATAGGTCTACCTGATTTACTGATGATACTAATCAATATATTCAAAAATTTTATTAATAAAAAATGCATACATGATAATTTCGATTTTAAACGAATTAATTTATTTCCTTATATACTTATATATAGGGAATGTTTTTTTTATTTATTATCAAATTTTTTATCATTAAATTAGTTAAAAATTTATAAATTTTTTTTATTCAATAAACTATTTAATTTATTTTACTTAATCTATTATAAAAATACTAAATTAACAATTGTGTTTTCCTATCAAAAAAATTTAGGTTCGTTTTTGTAAAATTCTGTACTGTTAAAAAAATCTTTAAAAATATAGAGGATTTTGATATCCAAAGAAAGCAATTTGTTTGTGTAAACAGAAAGAACAATAACAAAGTAATTTTTAAAAATTTTTTGGCATATAATAGAAAGCATAAGATTGGATTCTAATGATAATAATATAAAAAATAAATAATATCCTCAAATAAAAATTTAATCATGAAAAATAAAAATTGGCATTAAATTTATAAAAAAATCAATGCTCATAAAAATATTTTTTGTTAATTTACTGATTGATACACATGTTTTTTTATCAACTTAAAATTAAAATATTGACTAATTTGTTGTTTAATTTATAATTTATTTATGAGCTATTTATCAAAAATTTAATATCGCCTATTATAATACATTAAAATAATAAAATTGAATACAAAATAAATTTATTAGCTATTTTTTATTGATTGATTTTGATGATTATTGTTTTTTTGTTTGTTTGTTTATTTTTTTGGATTGATTGATTGGTTGAATGAATTATAAATATGAGTATTAATTAGTATTTTAGTTTATTAAAGTTAGTCAAATTTTAATCATATCACAGTAACGATGTCCTTCGTTAAAGGATTGTTCGTCCAATAAAGTAGGATTAAACATTCGGGAGTAAGTAGAATTAAAAGATGATCTGTTAGAGTATATTTCTAGCTCTTGAAAAAAAACTTCTTAATCTTCATCTTCCTCTCCCTTAATAGTTTTTTCCTACCTTACTGTTTCATAAATAACATATAATAACCCTCCTAATATAATAATATTAACAAGAAATATAAGAATAATGCCCGTACTTTCATTTTTAACTAATTAAGAACTATATTAAAAAATATAATAAATATATCAATTTTTCCTATTTTCTGATAAATTTAAAATAAAACAATTTGATTTCTGATAACATTTTAAGTTTCAATAAAGTGGAAACAAACATTCACTCATTGATTCATTACCCTCCCTCATAATAAAATCCCTTAAAATAGAAATACAAAATGCTTACTTATAAAATCCTACTTTTTGCTCTTTCTTATCAAACGTCAAAAGATATTTTCTTATTAAACTATTACCAAAAACTATAAAATTATGATCTTCAGGTGACGTTAGGACATTAAATAAGCACTACTTCTTTTAGCTGAGCTTGGTTTTGTTGAAATAAATATTTGAATCAAAAATTAATTTAACTCCTCTCAAGTAAAATTGAAGCTTAGGATAGTTATCCGAATTGCAATCACAATAAACTTAATTATTTTTTTTATCGCATCCTTTTTTTATCAGCAATTCTTCAAGATATTCTTTGATTTCTTAATAAAAGCTATATTGGAATTTACTTATAAAATAAAAGTATTTTTACCTTCAGGAAAAAGAGATAGGCTTGTCCCTGATTCGAAGTAGACATCATAGTTATGAGAGTCTAATTAATCTATCAAATCATTATCATTATGGTATAACCCAATTAAGATTGTTTTCTTAAAATATATATTAAAACATGTTATTGAATTCGTCTTGGTATATTGATGAATTATTAAAACTATAAATAAATATTAGTTTACCCACTAAATACTTGAAGTAGTTTCTACCCAATTAGTTTTGTTCAGTATTTATTTTGGAATACCTTGTCCTATATATAGATATGAGTTTTTATCATTCAGATATTAATCATTCAAATAATTATCTTCTTATTTATTATTATCATTATCATCTTCATCATCATCATCATCATCATCGCCTTTTTATATTATATTTTTGTAGTCTTTGTTATCTAAAACTCTAGTTTTATCTGATGAAGGTTCAGGAAATCTAGCTATTTAAATTGAGAATCTGGGATTCTATTTAAAAAAGTATTTTGTTAACACTTTCTTCTTATATAATTAAAGTTACATCAATTAAATTTTAATCATATAGGATGTCAATAAGTGAGTCAGATTTAATTTTATTTGGTAAACCTAAAACTCCGTCAAAATTTGTAAATATAAAAGAGTCAACTTTGTAAGCAAATAGTAATGGGACTAAAATTTAGCCTTGCTAAGAGTCTTTGAATAAAATAAGATCTTTGCCCTCATACCCTTATATATCTCCTGATAAATACTGAAATTTTATAGAAAATAAAAATATTATTTAATATTTATTTCAAAAATATATTTTATAAAATTAAAATTAATTCTACTTCGATTTTTTGAGTTATTTTTCTTTAAGAGTAAGAACTGGATTAAGAATAATTAAACCAATGACTATATTTTGGACAAGTTTTTTCATTACAATCAATAGTAGGAATCCATGATTACTATTTAGCATTTAAAAACAACATTAAACTTTATTTTTATCCTTAATATTTGTTAGTTAAAATACCTATGATCCCTAATTTTATAATACAAAAAAATTTAGGATTAAATTGCAATTTTATATTTACTGTATCAACTAATAATGTCATTTTTTATTTATTTGAACCTATTAAAAAATCTGTTGTATATTAGAAATCAAGATCAGTTCTGTCTTTTTATTTTAAAAAATAGTCTTCATTTCTATATTTTTTTTTATCATCATCGTCATCATCTTCATCATCATCGTCGTCATCTTTTTTTTTGAGATTTTTAAGAGGGCTTACTTACATATCTTAACATATAAGTTTTATTCTAAGATCAGCTTTATATAAGTAAAAAAAAGATAGCGTTACAACATTTTACACTCATCAATGAACTAACATAGATTAAATTAGAATTAAATAATATTACCTTCACTCAATTTAATTTTGGAGGAAGGATTATTTGCAAACTAGAATGGTATTTTTATTGGTAATCTCTAAGCTGCTATAATTTGAAATGTGTTAGCTATTTTTAATTATAATTTTAATTGTCGATTTATAAGTAAAGAAGTGCTTGATGATAAATAGTAACAATGAAATAACTAACTTATTCTTTTAACATAAATAAAATAATTTTTTACAAATAAAAATTAAGATGATTGAGACTTTAACAAGTGTTTTAGTTTCAATCGATTTCATAGCTTTTGAATTATCAAATCTACTTATAAGGATATCTAATTTTTGTTTTTTCTTTTTGTGATTAATTATTTAAAAAAATTTTTCAAGTGAATAAATTATTATTAAAAATATGTGTTTGTTTGTTTAATAATTTGTTTTCTATGTTTAAATAGAATAAAATAAATTCTTACATTTTTTTCTTTAGCAAAAATCATAAATTATGTAGTTTTTTTTAAATATTTGTAATCAGTTTAGCCATATTTATTCAAATATTTTTGTTTTAACTATATCTTTGTAGAATGAAAAAGTAAAGCTGTACTAGTCTAAAAATAAATTACAACAAATTATTCTAACTGGAATAAATTTACTGTGTTAATCTGTAACAAACAAAATTATCTATAAAACAAACAAATAAACTAAACTGCATCAAATATAAACTACTAAAATATTTTTGATAAATCTTATAAACAAAATATTTGAATATATTAATCGATATTATTTAGTTCCTCTGTAGTCTTATCTTAGAGAAACTCATTCTATCATTCATATACACTCTTATCTACATCACTTCTCTGTTAGAAATATAATTAAAAATTTTAATCAAAATTTATTTTCATAGTAATTTTGTAAAAAAAAGCATAAAAACAAAAAGTATTTAATTAAATTATCAATATTGAAAGCAAAAATCTCAAAAAAAATTAAAATTCACAAAAAAAGCTTTAAAACAAAAAATATTTGGTAAAAAAGATTTAAAAGTTTGAATTGATGTTTATAAATTTAATAGTTTCGATTAAATTTTTTGATATTTTTAAAAAATAAAATAATAAAAAAATAAATAAAAAAATGTAAAATTGAATAATTCAAAATTTGAAATAAAAAATAAAAAAATTGAAAGTAAAAGTAATAAATTACGTTTGTTGGTAGACCAGGTTTATTTTAGTTATTTTTATTGCTATTATTAGCAGAGGATGTATTTGACAATAAAGGATCTGTAATTTGATCTGCATTTTTCATGGCCTTCTTGACCTTTAATTGGAATACTATTAATGCCAATAAAACAATCGCAGAGAGACTAGCAAGACAAATGATTGTAATACTATAGCCATTAGATTTGATATTTTCTATTTATGGTAATCTTTTTAATAAAAAATAAAATATATCTATTTTTGTTTTGTTTATTTTTTTAATTTTATACGATGCTAAACCTATTTGATTCTCTTATTTATCAAAGGAAATAGGAATAGTTACTAAAACAGTATCACCAAATATCATTTGTTTAAAGCTATCTATATAGTAAATTCCTAACTAGCAGAATGCAAAATTATACTCCTGATTTATTAAATAATGCTTTGAAGTAAAATTAAATTTAACTCCTTAGAAATAAAAGGTATAAGTTGGAAGTTATGGGCTAAAGCAAGGGCAAGCAATTCTGGTGTCGTCAATAATAGTGCATATGTTTTCTAAATCCTTCACGATTCTATTATACAAATCTATTTTAAATGAAATATTTGTTAAGTTTGACTTCAAATAGCTATTATGTGAATTAAGATTTCTCTTTTATCAAAAAATACCTTTAGTTAAATAAGTTAAAGTTGTTCCAGAATCAAATAGAACGTCTTAATAAGAACTAATTGTAGATGTAATGTCTTCAGTATCATTTAGATATACTCCTATGCACTTGAGAGTCTAAAATATATTAAAATATTAATAAAGACTTTGATTGCTAGCATTGATATTAATTACCCATCTATTTTTTTAGGAAACATTTATCCAAGTAGTTTAACTAGAAATTGACTCTGGAATGGCGTCTGCTATATACAAATAAGAATCCTTATTAGTATAAAAGTGTTGGAGAGATAAGGCATATCTATTACTCTTATTAAATTAAAAATTAAATATTTTGATTTACACATTAATTGCTTTACAGATATTTCTCCTGCTTAGTATAGACTATCAATAAGGTTTGTATACGAATCTCCATTATTAAGTCCTATGATTCCAGATATCTCTTGATTCATGTTAGAAAAAACTTATTCTTGATATGCGTAACATAAAGTAGTATTCACTTATTGATTTTATTATGATATACCAACGAAATCACTTCCTAAATAACACTGCAATTAACCAGAAACATACTATTTATTATATTTTTAAGCCATATTTAATACTCAAATCGACAAAATAACTATTACTGTATAATTGATATTTTAATTTGAATAATAGCTGGTTGTAGAGCTTTTAAAATCATATTTTTCGCAATGGTTGCATTTTCCTTTTTCACACAATGTTGTGTCTACCCATAAAAGCTTTTATAAAAGAATAACAACTATATATTGAATTTAGCAGATTAAAGTAATTTCTTATTACAGAAGAGCCCTTTAATATAATTGATAATATTTTAATATATTTATTTGCTCATCACAAAATAATTTTTACTGTATCAATCTAAAAATTTAGTTTTTATTTATTTGATCCTAATTCTAGAGTTATGTAGTACAAAGAATCTCCTAAATTTACCAAAGGAGCAATATTTGTATTACTTTATAAATCTTTATACGAATTATTCATTTTTTACTTTTACTACTCTCTTTATGCGGAAGCCTTTTTATTTAAAGGAGTCACCTTAGTTAGAGGAAGCTTGACTTTTTAAAGAATAAATTTTATTGTTAAAATAACATTATCTAAATTTAGAAAATACATTTGCTAGATTCCTAAAAGTTAGCATTATCATTTGTGAGGAATGCCAAAGTTTTATTTATCATAAAAGCAGCTATGACTATAATTTAAAGAATTACATAAAAACTTTTTTAAAATGAGCTTTTTTTACTTAACAAAAACGCCTTTTTCGTCATTTTTCGATAGACTTTAAAGAGATAAGATAGAATATTAACCTGAAATATATGTCCTTTTTTTTCTTAACTTTTGTTAAATAAATTTAAAAAAGAATAATCTTTTTGATCTTTTTTGATATATTATTTAAGCTTACATTCAAATTAATAAATAAATATATGAATAAATAAATATAAATCACATTTCGAAAATATTTCTTATCTTTTTTTATCTATTTAATTAATTATTATTTCTTATAACCCTTTATAAACCTTTGCCATATCTATTTGGAATGCTTACTCCATATTAACATCTACTTGATTTTAATAGTTAAGTTGACTAAATTGTTTTTTAAATAAATAATTTCTTTTACAAATTGTTAGCATAATTAATTCAAAATATTTATTTTAGTTATTATTTTAAAAATGAATGAATGAATGAATGAGCTCATTTTGTATATTTTATTAAGAATAAATTAACAAAAGCCCCACCATATAAATTCATTTCATTTTGTAAACTAAATTTATTATCATTTGTATCTGTCTTAAAATATAAGTAGAAGAACAAATATAAACTACTTAGCAGGTAAATTTACACATAATATCAAGATAATTGTAACCAAGAAAAAGTGTTATTTAAATAATTTTATCTTATTTTTTATATATTAAGTAGATTTTTTCCTTTTAATGCTTCCTATCGAAGTCAAAAGTAATTATAAATGACATCAAATTAGCATTAGCTACTATTACTAATCAGAAAATTTTCAGATAACATACTTCTTAGCAATTAAAAAGTGTTATTTAAATTTACCTTTAATCAAATTTTTTGACTGTAATTATTTATTTTGAAATACAATACTAATTTTAGGGCATTAAAATTAAAAGTTGAAAGTTCGTTTTAGTTTTCATAAAGAGTCAAATTATGGGATCAGATTAAGATAAAAGAGCAAAAAAGTATTAGATTTTTATTTTTGTGTTCACATTCCTGTGCTATGCAGCAGTACATTCAACAAGAACAGCATGGTCAGTATCAAAATCAAATCTTAAAAGCGAAAATAGTGATATTACTGACACCTAGCTAGGATATATAGACTTTTCCTTCCTCTTTTGCTACTCGCTGGCTCTTAAAATAGGTGGTGGACTTGGTGACAAAATCAATCTTAAGTATTATTTATCATTCGGTATGATGCCAGCTTCTATTTTCTTATTTTGTATTGCTATCATGGGCTGGAGCAGTTTTGTTAACATGGCTGTATACGGAGTCTTTATGGCTTTAAATGGAATATTTTAAAGTACTGGATGGCCTGGTCTTGTGGCTACAATGGGTAACTGGTTTGGCAAAGGTAACAGAGGTCTTTTGATGGGTATCTGGTCAGGAAATTCTAATGTAAAATTCTTTAATTTAATTTTTTTGTCTAATACATGTTTTAAAAAAAGTTTTGTAAGTTTTTATAGCCAAATAAACAAAAAATACTCTTTTTTATAGTATTATAATAAAATTAATTAACTTTTTATAAATAAAAGGTTGGAAACATTTTAGGATAGCTCTTTGGACAACTTACCATTGATACCTTTGGTTGGGGATGGGAATACTGCTTAATGTTCTCTTCTATCTTCTTATTCACTATGGGTGTACTTACTTTTATCTTTTTGAAGCCTTATCCTAAATAGGTTGGAATATACCTTGAAGAAGAGGGTGGAGTGACTGAAGATACATAACGTCTCAGTAATGAACTAAGCTGCAATTCTGATGGTATTGAGTAACCTAGAAAGTAAATCAATTATTTTACTGCTTGGTGCGTTCCTGGTGTTCCTCTTTATGCTATTGCTTATGCATGTTTAAAAAGTTCAAGCTATGGCCTTCTATTTTGGCTCCCTTCTTACATCTCTGACAACAACATGGATAGTTATTCCTATACTATTCCAATGATGAATGATATAGGAAATTTTATTGGTGGTGTCATTACAGGTTACTTAAGTGATAAAAATGGTAAAAGATCTTTTTTCCTATTACCCTAACTAGTTGTTGCAGCTATTTTCATGGCTCTAGTTAAATTTACCTTATCTGATAATCCTCTTCCTTATTTCTTTGTTATTTTTGCCATTGGGTTCTTTCTTGGAGGTCCTTACAATATTCTTAGTGCAGCCATTTCTATCGATTTAGCAAAGCAACCTGCATTAAAAGGATAAAAGAGTGCTTTGTCTACAATCTCATCTTTAATAGAAGGTATTGGATCTCTTTGTGCAGCAATTACTCAAATTATTATCCCTTAAATTGGTTAGAATTATGTTTTTGTGCTCTTTATGACCTTGATTAGTGTGTCTGTAATTTTCTTGATTCCACTTGTCGTTAATGACTTCAAAGATCTTAAAAAAGAAAAGTCTGAAATGAAAATGGATTTAATTGAGGACTGAAAGATAGATTAAATAAAAATTTAATTAACTAATTAATTTTATGTTATTTTTCTATCAAATTAAAGAATAATTTTATCAAATTTTTCTTAATTTCAATTCAAACCAAATTCATAAATAAATAAATATTTTGTAGAAGCTAAATTTTCTATTTTTCAAATGATATGGCTTAAAATCTCTCTAAGTTGGGTACCCTTATGTTGGGCACTCTCAAAATTATGGGTAAAACCTTTCTTTGTTTTGGGAGTATCCCTTAGTCCATAAGGACCCTACATCGAGAGATTTTATAGTATTTGTATTTTTATAGTATTTTTGTATTAAAGCTGAAAATTAATTAAGCTTTATTAAAATAGTAAATAATTTTTATTTTGATTAAATAAATTAGAAATCAGTAATTAATTTGTTGAATAAATATTGTTTAATTTTCAAATAAAAACAATCATATTATTGTACTTTAGTCATTTTTATGAATTAATATAAAATTTAAGCTATTTATTTTAAAGTATTTAAAGGTTAATTTAATTTTTCAAATTAATTTCTAACTTTAAAAAACAAAATAATTTTTTTTGGATTTATTAAAAGTAAAACAATTTCTGTATGCTTAGAAACATGAATTTAAGTACAAATTATTGAATTTGATAAAATTAAAAGTATTTTTGAGAATTCATATTTAATCCCTTATTGCTATAGATATATATTCTCATCTTTCTGTTTAAATTTGTTCAAGACTAAATGAATTGTATTTATTCCTTTATAAATATATTTTTTCTTTTGCTTCACTCAAATATCAATAACTCTTGAAAGTTTCTAAACTAAATTAAGTAAATGATCTCCCTATTTAACTGCAGTTTTGTATAAATTATTTCTTTCATCAATTCTTTCGGATTCTACTATACCTTAAACTTTATCAATTTTACAAGTTAATCTACCAGCAGAGATCAACTCTGATAATTCCCTAAATTTATTATAATTTACAAATAAGTATTAAATTTATATTCTAAATACTATCTATTGATAATAAGATAGATAATATATAATATTTATTTATTTGCTTATTAATGTAAATATACTTTATTCATTTAAATATATATTTTCTTAGCTATTAATTTATCGATTAAATGTAAATTAAAGAGGATTTACTTATCTATGAATTCAACGGATACACCAAATGCTTATGCTATTGAATTTAAAGTAACTGTTTTATATGATTCTAAGAATTAGGAGTATATAACTATTCTAATTTCTCTGGTAAAGAATTTTCTATGGGGAGCTAAGTATTCATCTGTTTTAAGATCATCTAATACTCTTGCTGTTAATTATATGTAAATTTCATTAACTTAAAATACTTGTAAATTAATTAATACTTAAAGAAATAAAGAAGGACTTGTAATCACACTTAGAGTAAGTATCTAATAAACTCTTAACATCAGGTAATTCCCTAATAGTAGAAAGAACTTCAGAATTATGAATGACCTATTGAAATTGTTAAAAAATTCTAGTTAGTTAGTTAGTTAGTTAGTTAATGATTATATCAAGCAATTTGAATAAAGTATTACCTTCTTCTTCATTTCAGAACGACCAATAGAAATGATTGATGTCAAAATGGTATACTTAACGATACGTTGATAAGAAATAATATCAGGGTAATTAAAGGTGCTAATACAGTCTAAGAATAACTCAGATGTTTTCTTTAAATTTCTAATAAGGAGATTGTAAATACCTTCATAAATCTTATAAATAATAAATAAATATTAATACAAAAATTTTAAACTAGAAATAATGTGTAATTAATTTTACTTTCAAACGATTTTTACGCTCCCAATCACCACCTTCTTCTAATAATTTCTTGCAAGCATCAATAGTTTCTAAGATTTTAGGTAAGTTCTTTTCACGAATGTAAATTGACATGATATAGAACCAAACATCCATTTTCTTACCAATACCAATAGTCTTCTTTAAGGCTTCCTTGTAAATTTCAACAGCTTTTTCATTCTTTGAATGCTTTTCATAGAGTTAAGCCTTTTCTAAGATGGCGTCTCTAATTTCAACGTCACCTAAGTTTTCTTCGGCGTCCTTTTACTTTTCTTCAATTTTTTTTAATTGCTCGTCAAAATCTTCAATGTCCATTTTTTATTCTTAATTTAACTGCTAAATCTATTTTTTTATATGGAATCTATTTACTTAAGAATTATTTTATTTATAATCTAATTTATTGTTTTATTCTAGGTTCAGCTAGAAAGTTTTTGGGTTCTTTTGTTTATGAAATTCAAACTGAAAAATTACTTTTTTTTTTAATGCTGTTGATCAATCAATCACAAATCTTTTTTAAATAGTTTTTTTATTTATTTTAAATATTTTTTTTCTTATTAATTTGCATATTAGATAGATAGATACCTTAATTAATTAACAAATTTACATGATAATTTGTATATATTAGTTAATAAATCAAACAAAAAAACAAAGAATAATAAGATCAGAGTTGATATATCAATCATCTTTCTGTTTTCAAAATTTGCTAGTTCTATTCAAGGCATATCATATTGCAATAAGTTTTATTAAAACTTATTTCGATCTGATATCTTTTTAATCTAATATTATTTTTTTGATACAAATTTTAACAATAAATAAATTAAAAATATTTTTATTTTTTTATAATTAATTTCTTAACTTTTATAATTTATTTTTATCCTTAAAAACTTTTATTTTAAGCAAATAAAATTTAAAAAGATATTGATTTATTTATTTTTCTGTATAAAATATAAATATTATTAAAGAGTTTTATACTAGAATATTATAATTGAAATGAGAAGCCTAACACAAACATACATAGCTCAATTAAATAATTTATACATTCAAGTTATTTTAATGAATTTTAAGAATGGAAGAAGGCATTAGTCTGCATTTATGATATTATTTAGATTTTATTATTATAACCATTATTTAAAATAAATAAATAAATAAGTAAATAATTCATCCTTTATGAATAATTTATTATTCAATATCTATTTTTCTAACATCATCATTCTTATTATTGTACTTATGCTTATTATGGTGTATTTTAACTAAACTGTTACTAAATTAAAAGATTTATTTCTTCTAACTCCTTCAAAAGAGGATTTTATTAGTTTAATGCTGATTAAGTAGCTAATACATTCTCAAGCACTGATGATTTCTTGAATAGAAGAGTGTTAATGCACGTAAGCTAATCTAATTAATTTGTTTACTTAGTCTTCTCATCTTCTAAATTTTATAATCTAGTATGTATTCCTTCCATTACTTATTTCTGCTTTTCACTTTTTTCATTACTTTCTACTTGAGCCCTGTAAATTTCTATAATTGGTAAACCCAAGATACAAGCATAAATTATTACTTCATAAAAAGTTTCAACACCTAATTCAAGAGCGGCAGGCTCACTTAGATCTTATACTTTGAAATCTTAATTATTGAGCTTCAAAAATGTTCTATTTATGTAAACATTTATTCTGTGAGCCTTATTTCCTAGCCAGACAAAAAATACTCTAAATTTTTAATTCTAAAGTTTAGAAGAAGTATGAGCTTTAGTTCTTGCTATAACTGGTCTTGCTAATATACGAACAAATAGTGAAAAAAGCTTGAAAAGAGGTAACATATTTTTTTAATATTTTATCAATATTTCTTTTTTAGTAAAAATCAATAAGATTAATTAAGTAAAACCTTTAAAAATATAAAATTTTTGATTCTTATTAGTAAATTACAGGTATCCTTTCTAATAAATGCAATAAATTTATTACACTAAGTAATCTTCTAATGTATAATTATGTAGTTTTGTTAAAAATATTGAATATCTATTATTATCAAAAACGAACTATTTTTTGTTCAAAATAAATGTCTATTTTAATATAAAAATATTTCTAGAATTATCTAATAATATTTATTTATTTCTTTCTTTAAATAATTTAATAAATTATTCTCCTTTAATTCTTTTCTTATATGAAATATGATGCAAAAAACATTTCATTATCAAAAGGACCATTTTTAATTAATATTTTCTTATTCTAAAATACTTAGTTTGCAGAAAATTAATGAACAAAATATAAATTATTATTTAGTAATTATGTTTAAACTTCGGATTCTAAATAAAATGAAAAAATATTAAATTAATTAATCCATGTAACTTATGATTATTCGAATAAGAAATTAACAAAATATATTAACAAGACAATTAACATACTTTTAAAACCATACTGTAATTAATCATACTCATTTAATATTAAAAAAGTTAATAAAATAATTCTTATATCAAAACGTACCCCTTTTGGTTAAAGATTAATAAAGAGAGTCAATCGAGGATACAATTTGGGGTAGATTTTAATTAATCAGGGTTGAAGTTATGAATGTATATTTAAATAAATGATATTATTGATTTTAAAACAAACATAAGAACAGCATTTTTATTTTTTTGAAATATTTTTTATTTTAAATTTTAAAATCATTAATTGATTCTTAAATAAATAAAACTATTAATTATATTATTAAAATTAGTGCAAACAAGTTACTTAATTAAGAATGACTATAAATACTTATATATTATAATCAAAGTCAATTCAAAACTTGAAAAAGAATTAAAATGAGAGAGAAAACTTTAAATAAATAAATAATTCCAGACTTACATTATTTTCTTATTTCTTGTGTATTTGACTATTTATAAGTTTTATACAAAAATTAATGAAAGAAAATTAATAAATTATAAAATTCAAACTTAAAAGTTTTTACATAAAAGAAATATTGTACAATTATTTAAAACAAAGAAAGCAATAATATAATAATTTTTACTGTATACATACATTACAAAAAATGTAAACAACTGTATATGTAACAAAAATATAATTGTTTGTTTTATCCAAATTTTAATTTATACTCTAAAAAATATTAAATTAACAATTCCAAAATAATTATTTTTTGTATTAAAAATAAGTATTTTGCAAAAATAAAACAATAAATAACTTAAATTAAATTAAAATATTATAAATTTAAATAACAGATATGCTATAACCTTCTTGCTAAACTATGAAAGTTATTTTATTTTTTATCTATTCGTGTTGCTATTTACTCTTAGTTTAAGGCTCAAAAACAATTCCAAATGGATTATAGCCTATTAGAGTGACAAGTGACTTTACTTAGATTGAGAAATCCTACGTTAACTCTGAATAAAAATAGCATATCATATTGATAATCAACCTATTTAGTTAATTCTTAAGCTAACTTCTATACGTAAAGCCAAGAGAGAGCAAAATTAAAAATGATGGATTCCTTTATTGTAGAGATACTTACATTGGATAAAATGGAATTGATGGATATAGTAACTCTGATCTGGTTCTTGTAGTTTCAGCTACTAATCTTATTTTAGATGATTTTAGAGTTAATTATGGTATTTGCTTATTTATTTTTGTAGAAGTTTAAGCAAGAAATCAATAAATATATTAATTTAACTTTTTACATTATAAAAAATAAGAGTTTTGTAAATGGGACAATAAACCTATAATGATGCAAATTCGATTTTAAATGAGATAATTTGTTAAATATCCAGTAAATTACGAAATATCTTAGTTAAAGAGATCCTTCATGTATAATGGTATGTGGAATACTAATAATTTCAATTACTGGATTGATGATTCAACAGGCAAAACTTATGAATAAACTTCTTAGATATATCAATAATTGTAAGTATAAGGTGTTCAGAAATATTTTTTAACAGGAAAATATATAAAAAAGGCAGTTTAAACTCATTTTAATTGTCCTACCGCTATTGGTTTAGAAGTATAATCAGATGTAAAGCGAATTAAATTAGTTCAAAATTTTAAAAATCTTCAACTAAGAAAAACATTTTTCATTGATTATATTGTTTATTTATTTATTTATTTTAATTAAAGGAAATAATGTCAAACTTGATACCAGATGATTTATATAATGATGAATAGACTAGGGATTACCCAAATAGATTATTTTCATAATTTGATGTAGCAATAATTAAAGATATGGGAGTTTATGAATATGTCAATGATGATTTTGCTGAGAATATAGAATGGGGGAAAAACTAAGGTTGTAGTTTTTTAGAAAATACTTGCTAAAATATTTTTTAATAAACAATTGAAGTGTAAGGTCAGTTGTATCAATGCACTTAATTTAAAAATTCAAAGTTCATTAAATCAAAGCAGGATATTTAGTCTCAATTTGAGAATGGCTAATGTCCTAGATTAACTCAAACAAATAGTATTAGCTGTTTAGATTCCACTTAAAGCAATTAATTTACAACTTATTTTGGAGAAATCTATGGTATTTTTAGCAAATGCATAGAATCTAATGTTCAGAATAAATAAAATATTATAAATTCATATATAATTTAATCATACCAGTATAAAGACTCACCTATTAGATGTCACCACGTTTAGTGCGTTTAAGACTACATAATTATCTATTTTAGTTTGAACTAGAGAGTTATTTGCGAAAAACCTAATAGTGTTATTTAAGTTGATACTTAAGATTTCATTGGATAGCTAAAATGTCCCTCTGATTTTTCTGTGTATTGTTCATAAAAATTCTGTCTAAATGATTGTAGTGGAGCTGGGTTTTGCAATAATGTAAATAAATAAATAAATTTATTTAAAAATGTGGTTTGATTAAGAGTTTTTTTTATAAAAGGGTATATGTATTTGCATTTAGGGTAGATATGGAATAGATTGTTCTCTTGTTTGTGAAAATGGATAAAACGATTGTTAATGCTAGTACCCTTGCTCTTAATGTTAAAACTCTAAAGATAAATGCGTTTCTTGTGTTTCAGGATATAAATTAGCATTCAATTAGAACAAATGTGAAATAATTTGCCATAAGAGTTGCTTGGAATGTAGGTCTCCTCTAGACCCTTTTTCATGTACTTCTTGTGACGTAGGATTAGTTTTAGTCAATGGTCAGTGCAAACCTTGCAATGAACCTTGTAAGAAATGCATAACAAATCCAGATATATGTACTTAATGTATTGAGAATTACTCTTTAAATACTAATATGATGAAGTGCCTACCAAATTGTTACAAATCTTGTAAGAGCTGCTTACATCCTTTAACTTAAAATTCTTGTTTGAGCTGCTTCGATGGATATTACTTAACTTCATAAATGACATGTGAAAAATGTGATTATAAGTGTAAATAATGCAGAGGAGATAGTTAGCTATGTTATGAGTGTTTTGATAACTATCAAATAGATATTTTAACCTCAAAATGTATTCCTATTTGTTATTAAGGCTGTTAAACCTGCATTATTCCTCTTTTAATAAATAGTTGCACATCTTGCTAGCAAGGATATTTTTTAAGCAAAGGTAGATGCTTTAATTGCATATATCAATCAAATGAATATTAAGATATCATTCCATTAGAGTGCTAAGATATAGTGACAAATATATAATGTGATGCTTAGTGTAAAATGTGTTTAAAAAGTGATCATAGTTTCTGCATAAAATGTATTTCATAATATACAATAGGTTGGCCTAGCTGTAGATGTTTAAAAGGGTATAATTTTATAAAAGGAAAATGTATTTAATGCTAGACAAATTAGTATTTTGATAAAAATATTTAAAATTGCATAGACTGTCACAAATCTTGTATTTAGTGCTTTGGAAGTTCTTTTAACTAATGTACTTTATGTAACAGCAAAGAATATTAGCATTTAAACTTAAAAACTAATTAATGCATCTGTTCTGATGAAGAAAGATCAATGATTTATAATTCTTCACTTGGAAAATATACCTGCGAATAAGGAATGACAGTAGTTTTTTCTTAATATGCAAATAATTAATCTACATCAAAATATTTCTAGTTTTAAGCAATATTTTCTCATACATTAAAACAAAGCATTAATTTCGGCAATATAATTTAGTCTTTTTCATTTTATATTTAAGAAATACCGATGGACTTTTATATAATTAATATAGAGAAAATTCTTTAAAATAAAATAATTTTCTAGATTGTGGAATTGCAAAGTTTTTAAGCTGAAGAACTGGTGATAACAATTAGAGATTCTAATTATATTGAATCTACAGATGGGAGATTCATTTAGTAATCTTATATCAATAATTAATACAAATTGAAGATAGGTCCTATCTTTGTAAATGACCAAGATAGTGAAAACAATCTATAAAATATATTTAATGATGCAATTAATTTTCTTAGTTATAATGATTCAGTAAAAACTATATTGAATGTTTTTAATTAATTTTCCTTATTTCTTTATCTATTAAATACCATCTAGCCAAGCTGCCTCCTTATTCTTATAAATACAAACTATCCAAATTTTTTATATTAGTTTATAAGAATATTTGCAACATTTATATTTGAAGATGTACCAGATTAAACTATTGTGCAACATGAGAGAAAATGTTCAGCAAAGTTAATATATTTAATTGATATTTGTGATTTTAATGATAAAACTGAGGTTTAAGAAAACAAATTTTAGAGGTTAGGTATGAGTTATAATTTTCTAATTAGTGCAATAAAAGTTATAAATTAGTTTATTTTACTTTTAATAATATATTCAGTAAGTGCTTATGTAAGTAAGTTCAAAATTAATTTTAGTGATTAACTCCTCAGTTCAGGAAGAATAAATAAAAATAAAATATTAAGATAAAAAAGTAATATTTATAACTTGGCAAATAAAATAAGTAATAAAATATTTACAATATTTTTTTCTACTTTTGAAGCTAATATCCTTCTTATAAGTATTTCAGCTCATTTGTAACTGAAATAAAATGTTGCTGATAATTCAAATTTGCTATTGATAAGATTTTCAATTTACGTTTTAATTATATTTTAAACTTTTATAATAATCCTATTAGTTAATGGTTATAAAGGAATAAAAAATAATTAATTTGTCGAGCTTACACTTGATTTAAAAGAAGGCAAGTATTATAAATATTTCCATTATTTGAATTTTATTAAAAAATGGGTGGTATGTGCAGCTCATGTAGAACTATATTATTACACTTCAACACTTATTATATTCGTGATAACAATTTATGGATTGTTTTTAATTTAAGTCATTGTATTAATGCCCTATAAATCCAAGATAAACAATTTCTAAAGAATATTAGGAGATTCTCTTTTCATATTAGTTTATGTAGGGGTTTTAATGATCCACAAAGTTAATATTTAAGTTAAATATAATAGCAGTTAGATTGATAAAAAACATCTTATTGACTATAATTTCTGGGGACTATTTGTATGCTATACTCTTCTTTCATACAACTTATTGTACTTGATATTATTTTTTATCAATATAATAAAGTAAATCGTAAATTATTTTAGTAAAAAGCAAATCCAATTAAGATTTATAAATTTATATATTTATGAATCTAATGAGAATCAAATAAAAAATCAGAGTGATGAAATAAAAGAATAAGAAGCTTGTGATTCTAGTGCTGTTGATAACACATAATTAATAAATGATTAATAAATTTAACTAAATTAAAATTAAATCTAGGTTAAAAGCTAAATTAATTAGCATTAGAATGAAATTATGAATGCAAAAAAAGATTTTTTTTAAAAAAAGAACATTAAAATTAGAAAGATAAAAATTGATGTTTAAAGAGAATTTAGTAAAAAGATAAATAAAAATAAACAAAATAATTTTTAATTACCAATAACTATCAAGAAGTGACAAAAATCATTTTATGAAAAATTATTAATTCAAAAATTTATTAAATCCTACTAATATTTTTCAATAAAACTTTTAGTTTAAAATAAATATTAAATTAAATTAATTTATTTTTTTGAAGTAAAAAATATTTTCAAATAAATTAAAAATGTAATTAAAATATAAATAAAGTTAAATCCCTAATCATATTTTTGTATTTTTATTAATATGTAAATTAGTAATAAATAATTTAAAAATTTTATATTGATAGCATAAAATTCATTATCTCATTTTATCAGTAAAAATGTAATAAAATAATAAGAAAAAATTAGATATGCTTAAGTGGTTTTGGATTTGATAAAAGATTATTTTTTTATAAAAGAATTATAAATAATTATTTTGAAATGTTATGTCAATCATACTAAGTTTTTTATGCCGTATTTTGTTTGATTGCTCTTCTTCAAATATAAATTAAATACTTAGATTTTACTTTCTTTTGATAGTTTGTTTGTTTGTTTGTTTGTTTGTTTGTTTGTTTGTTTGTTTGTTTGTTTGTTTTTTTGATGATGATTATATATTCAAAAATAATATATCGAGTGTGAGTATGTCTGTCCTTCAATTATTTATTATAAATAAAAGATGATCAATCATGTTGTTCCTTTGTTTAGTATTTCATATACTATAAATATCCATAGCTTATTTAAAAAAAATTGACTAATTAATTTATTAAAGAATTTTTATAAGTAACTCATAAAAAAGAAGAAAAAGATTGTGAATTAAAATGAAACAATCAATCATAATTGTTGCTTTGGCTCTTTTGGCAATTGGTGTTATTGCTAGAAACCATACCTTTGAAAGAGAAGTTTCTCATGGCAGACACAACGCCACTGAGTAAGAACTTTTGAATATCTTTTCCTCTTATGGATATGTTGCTAATCCTTCCAGTGAGAGATTTAAAATCTTTAAACAAAGATTAATTGATATCATCAAGCATAACCTCAATCCTCATAAGACTTACACTTAAAAAATCAACAAATTCTCATTCTACACTCAGGAAGAGTTATCTGTGTTAAACGCTGCTTAGAATTGCTCAGCCACTGCCAAAGAAAACATGGCCCCTAAAAAGAAATACAATCTTAAGGACATTCCTGAATTTGTTGATTGGAGAACTAAGGGTATTGTTACTCCTGTTAAGAATCAAGGCTGTAAATATTTTATTTGATTGAATTCATATAATTTTTATCAAATCTTTTGCATTATTAAAATCTATTTTAAAAGTCTTAAAAATAAATAATTCTACAATAAATTTCTTAATTATATATTAGAATGTGGTTCTTGTTGGACTTTCTCTACTACTGGTGCTCTTGAATCCCACTGGGCTTTACACACCGGTAATGCTCCTTTATTACTCTCTGAATAATAATTGATTGACTGTGCAGGAGACTTCAATAACTTTGGATGCAGTGGTGGTTTACCATCTCAAGCTTTTGAATATATTTCCTATGCTGGTGGACTTGACAGTATTTCATATTTACAATTCTTTTTAGATAAATATATTGGAAATTTTAAAAAGCTGATATGAAAACGATATTCGATTAATATTTATCATTTTAAAATATCTAAAAAATGGATTGAACTTTCAAATTTGTTAATGAACAAGGCATACATATCTATCTTTATTTCCTAATTCTTTTATAATTATAATATAATTACCACTCCAATTTGACAAACAAAACATAATAAACAATTTAAAGATATTGAATAGAAAACAGTATTTGTTTAAATAGACATATTTTTAGATAAATTATAAAATTAATTTTATTAGATCATTATTTATGTTATATTTTAAGAATTTTTAATTATATTTTAACAGCTGAAGGTGATTATCCTTATGAAGCTACAGATAATGAATGCGAATTCAAACGTAGTCATGCTGCTGCTAAAGTTGTAAGATCCTTTAATATTACTTTCTAAGATGAAGATGAATTGATTTATCACTTAGCTACTGCTGGCCCAATTTCTATTGCTTATCAAGTTACTGATGACTTCTTTAAATACGATGGTGGTATTTACTCAAACCCTTACTGCTCTACTTCTCCTGATATGGTTAATCATGCTGTCTTAGCTGTTGGTTACAACTTGACTGGACGTTATTATATAGTTAAGAACAGTTGGGGTGAGCATTGGGGTAATGAAGGTTACTTCAATATCGAATTAGGTTCAAACATGTGTGGTTTAGCTGATTGTGCCAGTTACCCTATTGTTTAAGGACATCACTAATATTGAAATTATTTATAAAATATTAAAAATTTTCATAAGTATTTTGCAATGTATAATGCTTTAGAAAATATAATAAGAATTTTAGATTTCATAAACCTAAAACCAATAATATCAAATAAAAAAATAAATAAATATATTAAATGCATTTATAAATACTTTTTTATCGTAGTAAATTTTAAATTTTAAGAAATTACCAATTTAAAACTAAATTTCTGCCTTATATTTAATATTAATAAAAATTTATAATCTACAAAAATAATAATTAGCCTTCTTTCTTTTAACTCAAATAATAATTTTTTTAATTACAATAAATTTAAAAGGATTACTTATTTAATAAATATATAAAATGAATAACCAAAATTAAGTTTTGCAAATTCTAAAATTATTATTATTATTATTTATTTTAAAAGTTAAAAATATTTATTTTAAGAGAGTTTGGGTTTTCACTCTTGTTTCTATTTATATCTTAGAGTTAAAAATTATGTAATTAGAGTATTTTTAATTTTATATATTGAGTTTATTTGAAGTGCAATAGTTGAATTTTAACTTTCATTTTTTTAAAATATGCCAACTTGTAACATGATTTAGCTTCTTAAAATTAGTTTAATAAGATTATGTATTGGCCTTAAATAAAAGAATTAAAAATTTTAATGATTGCTTAATACTGATTTACAGACATGTAATTCCAAATAAAAATTTCATTATTAATTTCTTTCTTTCTTGCATTTCTTGTGCTAACACTTTTATTTAAATAGAAGTATTGACTTACCAAATTATAAAGTTTTTAGATTAAGTATTTTGAGAATAATTAAAAATTGAATAAAGATATGAGATAAACAATATTAATTGCAGTTTTAGTCTTATGCGCTGCAAGCGTTATTGCTAGAAATGTTACTTTTGAGTAAGAAGTTGCTCATGGTAGACATAACCCCACTGAAGCTGAACTTTTGAAGATCTTTGCTTCTTTTGGCTTCCACCCTAATCCCTTAAGTGATAGATTCAGACTCTTCAAGAAGAGATTAACTAATATTATTAAGCATAACTTAAATCCCCATAAGAAGTTCACTTAAAAGATCAACAAGTTCACTTTCAAGACCTAAGAAGAAATCAGAAGCTTAAATGCTGCTCAAAACTGCTCTGCTACTGCCAGAGAAAATATGTCAGTTAAAAAGACCTACAACCTCAAGGATCTTCCTTAATACGTTGACTGGAGAACTAAGGGTGTTGTTACTCCTGTTAAGGATCAAGGAGGTATAAAAGATTTTTGTTTTACTTATAGAGACTTCTTAAAATATTGGATTAAAATTTAGTTAAAAACATGATTTAGCAAAAATATAATAGTTTTAACCTTTATTTAACAAGCCATTTAAATATTATTATTAAAAATTAGAATGTGGTTCTTGCTGGACTTTCTCTACTACCGGTGCTCTTGAATCCCACTGGGCTTTACACACTGGTAATGCTCCCTTATTGCTTTCTGAATAATAATTGATTGATTGTGCTGGCGCTTTCAACAATTTCGGTTGCGATGGTGGTTTACCCTCCTAAGCTTATGAATATATTTCCTATGCTGGTGGTCTTGAAAGTAAATAAAATTTAAATTTAGTTTGGTTAGCTAACGCATAAATTGAAGAGAAAAAAAAATGTTAATAAGAGCATTAAATAAATAAATAAATATTTAGTGTTTTGGCTTAACCCTCCCTTGAGCTGTTTAGAAATATTTGATTAACCCAAAGCTTAATAGATAAAAAACCTCTATTAAAATTAGGCGATTTATTGGTGCATATCTTAAAAGATGAATTACTAAATTCTTTTATAATTTTAATATTTCTTACGAAATAATCAATCCAACTTTAAGATTTTTTCTCTCATTAAATATTTTGATTGAAAACAGCCATAAAGCAGAATACACTCAAAGCAATTTATTTTTCTCAAGCATAAAATAATTTATCTAAAATATTTTCAAAATATATTGTTTAACGAAAAATCTAATCAATTTTTTCTTAAAAATAGCTGAAGGTGACTATCCTTATGAAGGTACTGACAACTCTTGTGAATTCAACCGTGCTTAAGTTGCTGCTAAGGTAGTTTCTTCATACAACATTACCTTCTAAGATGAAAATGAATTGATCTACCACTTAGCCACAGTTGGTCCAGTTTCTATTGCTTATGAATGTACTGATGATTTCATGGATTACGAAGGTGGTATTTACTCTAACCCTTCTTGCTCAAAATCCCCTGAAGATGTTAACCACGCTGTTTTAGCTGTAGGATATAACTTAACTGGTAACTACTACATTGTTAAAAATAGTTGGGGTGAAGACTGGGGTATCAACGGTTATTTCTATATTGAATTAGGCTCAAATATGTGTGGTTTAGCTGATTGTGCTAGTTACCCTATTGTCCATACTCACCATGAATAGTGAATAAAATTTTCAGATAGCCAATAAATATGGTGATTTCTTAAAATCTGTTTGAAACAGATATAAGAGAAAGATAATAATAAAATTAATTTTATAGTTTTAAAACTGATATCAAATAAAATAATAAATGCATATATAAATATATTTATGTTTGTATAACTTTAAAGTTTAATAAATATAGCTCTATCCTTGATATTACTGCTACCAAAAATAAATAAGATAATTGAGATAAGTTATTTACACTTGTGATTTTTTTTATTCTATTAAAAATTTATATTATAAAATAATAATTTTTTCATAGTTCAGTAATAAGTTGGTGTTTGTTTCAAATACTTACAATAATTTTTAACCAATGAATTTTTAAATAAAAAAATTTTATTTTTAATAAATTTGAAAAAAATATATTTTTATAATAGATGGCAATGAAAAAAATTTATAAATAAAGTAATTTATTATTTTATTTCATAATTACACTTTCAAAACTTTGGCAAGGCTGATGTTTTTTATTAAATATAATTATATATTAGCTATTAAATATATCTTTTGGTTAATGCTATGCTTAAACGATAACAAACATTTATTAAGTTTTACATAAAATATTTTAGAAAAGGTGAAAAAATGAATTATGAAAATAAATAAGTAAATATTATGTAAAATAAACTAATTAATACTTATAAAGGTATTTAATAATAATAACAATTTAATAAAATATTTATTATTTTATTGTTAAAATTAGGTTATAATAATAGATAAAATACTATAATATATTAAAATTATATTGCTGATTATAATAATAGTTTTAAATATTGTGTTGATAATTGATTTTAAATAGTAAATTACAAAAATAAATAAATAAATTATTAACAAATTAAATACTACTCTAAGGGTTAAAGGTTAACCAATCAATTGAATTAACAAATTTAAATAGTCTCAGCATTTTATATTTTAGGCGGAATAAGAAAAAAATTATGAACATTGATTAGTCTACTTATAGCTAAAACTAACTAAGAAAACATTAGTCTGCTGAGAGAGTGTATAAAATATATTTATTTGCTTATTTCCAACTTAACAAGCATGAATATTTATTAAGTTATATTATATTTAAATATAGGAGAGGGAACTTGCAGAAGTTAAATAGCGATGTGGATGAAAAGAGAAAAAAGCTGAAATCAACACAAATAACTATATCTAAGATTATGTTAGAAGAGGATAAAAGATAAAAAGTAAATTAGAGTCAAAATAACTTCATATTTATGAAATTGATCATAATTCATATGTTGAATTAGCTGATTAAGATGGAATTTTTTATAATAGAAATTAAAGGAAAAATTGTATTTTGTGCAAGAAAGGAGAGAGATAGAGCAATAAATGAAATCAATTAAGTTATAAGAGTAGCTAGAAAGTGCTGCTAAAAGATTAGAATAAAAAAGAAGTGAAAGACAACTAAAAAAAGATGATTCATCAGTAAAGGATATCTTTATTAAAAAGCGTGCTCAAGAAGATCTTGACAAACTACTTAGAAGTAAAAAAAAATAATATTTTTTTAATGTTTTAATTTTTTTAATTTTTTCAAAAACAAATATTTTAAAGAGTAAATTTACTTAATTTTAATAATATAATTAAAAACTCAAAAAAATAGAATACGAGGCACATAATTTTAAGGCTGAAAATAAATAGAATTAAGATGAACACATTGAAAATAGCATGATGAATTCAAATATGGAAAATATGTTTTTTAATTTAACTGCTCCTACTGTTTAAACGAATTCTATGGCTGAAAAGGTGTTTTAGTAAATGAAATCTTAAATTCCATAAAAAAGACAAATAAGGGAGAAGTAGAAATAATAACTAAACCCTTTTTACAATAAATAAAATTGGGATAGATTCATGGAGGCAGAAAGAAACGGTGAACAAAATATAAGATTTCCAGGTATCGGAATAGAGAGAACTCCTCTTTACGAAATGTAACAACAGGAAATTGAAAAAAAGAAGAAAAAAGAAGAAGCTTTGTTAAAATTAAAGAAATACTACCTCAACCCAAGCAAGAATAGCCAAATTGATTTTGAACAGATAGTAAAAATTTATAGATTTTCATTTTAGTACAATAATATGAAATATGCTTATTTCTTTCTAGTATAAAAGGGTTAAGTTAATCACTTCTCAATCATTAGCAACTCTTAAGCTGAACCCTTCAGACACATGTAAAATTAAATTTTAGGATTTGGATTACATTTAGAATAAATTATTAAATATTACATTTTCCTCTAATTGCTGTGAATTATGTTGTTTTTTTGAACTACCTTAAACTTACTTACTTTCTTAAAAATTCAGATTAATTTAACTTTTATAGTATTTTAATTTTATTTTTCCAATATTAAATCATTTAGTGTTGGGACACATGATGGGTAGGAGCATTCATGATGCTAGAAGAATATGGGGAAAGGATTTTTTAAGGTCTAAATCTTAATACAACTTTAATGATAGGGCTCTTCACGAAAATAATCTGTCATCGATTAAAGAAGATCATACAGATTAAAACTCAGAAAGGATAAAAGAGAAGATACACAGCTTTAGCAAAATAAACTCTTCAAATCCAAATAGCTCTATTTTGAGATAATAATTAGAAGAAACATAATTACAATCTGTTATGAATTAGTAAGCAGAAAATTCTATTTCCTTCCCAGCAGATGATTAAAATGAGTCTATGAACACAAAAAGAGATAAAATTTTCAAAGAGAATATTTTGTAGAGTGATATAAAATTATGAATAAAGAAATCAGCCATAAAGAAAGCTAACAAAAAATAAACAAGGTTTAAAGCTTTCAAACAATCTGTAGTCATGAAAATATTTAAACCAAAAAGATAAAAAAATCCAAAAATACCTAAATTAATTTATTAAAATGTGTGTATTGTTAATTTTCATAAAAATGCATAAATTTATGTTTTATAATTTATCATTTCAGTAATAAATTACAGTTCACTATCTTAATAAACACTATCTAATTCTCTCAGTTACTAACTAAGAAACTAACCAAATAATTAACTAACTTATTAAATGCATAACTCATTAACTAAACGTAAATTTTTTAATTAAATTTTTTGAAAAAAACAAACTCAATAGTTTAAAATTAATAAAATTTTAGTTAAGGAAATTATGTTAAGAAGATTTTGCTTTTTATATTAGTAATGTTTCTTTGGAAATTAATCCTATTTTTTGCTTTTAAAAGGAGATAAAAATCTTATTTTGTATATGAAAAATATTCCAGATTAAATACAATCCATTGATTATATATTAAAAATTAGAATGAAAAGGATAAAAAGTGTAAATACTTTTCTTTTCTAATAGGCCAAATAATTTTTTTTTTGAAACAAAGCAAAATATTGTAATTAATAATTTAAATCAATATTTATATCATAAATTGTAAGTGATGTTAACATAAATTAATTGGGAGATGAAATAAGATGAATTTTAAAGTTAAGTTTCTGATCGTTTTTTATCATTTTAGCATTTTAGGAAAAAAGATTTATTAATTAAACTGGAAGTATATAGGTTTCTTTAATATTTAAATGTACTTTATCTATTATTTGCTAAATTTAATTTTCTATTTTTATGTTAATGAAATCTCTTAATTTTGGCTATCACGTAAGGTTCAAATTTTATTATAAATTTATGTTGGGAAAAGAAAGAAGAATGTTTTTTACAAATTTAAGGATTGCTTTACTTCTAAATATCTTTCTTATCACATAAAATACAGAGTTACCCTTAATTAGAATTCTAACTACCAGTTCAATTGCAATATTTTTTATTTTAGAACTAAAGATTCACAAAATATATAGTAATATCTATTTTATATAATTCTATTTAAGGTCAAATACTCAATAGGATAATAATTAATTTATATAGCCAAACGAAATGGTGATATTTAAGCAATACATAAAATTCTATTGGCTATAACCAAATAAAATCTTTATTTTTAACTAAAAAATTAACTATTATTGAATTTTTAGAAATCTAACTAATTAATTGAATCTATCTTATTTAACAGATTTAGGATTACCGTAGAAATAGAGTTTTCAGATAATAATTTTAGCCTGCTTTAATAGTTTTTTTTTAATTTACTTTATAAATTTTAGCTGATCAGGGTTTTTGATTGTATTTGAAAGTAAACTTAAGTTGGTAATAATAAATGTTAAAGAAAGAGCATGATATTTTAAATGTCTATAATTAAGCAATAATAAAAGTGACAAATAATTCTTAATTAACTTAAAATTACCACATTCACAAGCGTTAATTTATTATAACTAACGCAAAAATATTTTTATATTTCAGGGTATTTAAGCAGGAATTAAAGAAATTTATTCTAAATAAGAAAGTTAGTATAAAATTAATGTAAAGGGCGAGAGAATTCAGCAAATTGTTTGGTTAATGATTCGTGTATTTAATCAGATTTTACAAATTTCAATCATTTTAAACCTTCGCTATGTTTATTTGACAAATATTTACTATCTCAATAAATAAATGTATATTATGTAAATTAAATAATCAAAGCAAGATTTATGTTTTAAGAAAATATTAAATTATTGGTATTTAAAAATTCATCACAGCTTAATAGTGCATCAAAAACAAATAGTAAGACCGTATAAAATGATAATTACTAATTTTACGATCAATAACTCTTAAAAATTCAAATCTAAAATATGTAAATAAACATTCATTCATTCATTCATTTTTTTATGAATCAATTAATTAAATTTTTCTAAATTAAATAAACAAGATTTTAGGGATAGCCTTACTTTATAATTGTAAAGCAACAACAAAATTAAAAAAGAATTTAATCACAAAAAAATATAATAATCAAACAAAGAGAGAGTGAAGGAGATCTAAATAAAATCCTCTCTAAACACTTATTTATTATTACTAAGTAAATTTATCAAAATATTCTTTTAAAATCATAAATATTTCTATGGGTAATTCCACATCATGTCTCTGCTAGAAAACTCAAATACAAAGTTAATCATCGCTATAAAACAGCAGGATAATTTATGACCCTTAGCTCGACTATATCACAGAAGCCAATACTATACCTAACTTAGATAATAATAATTAACAATTCAGTGCGATTAAACAGACAATTAAGAGCAGGACTGCTAAAATTAACTAAAAATATGGAACAAGAAATTATATAGAAGAAGAAGAAGTATCAAGCTATTGCGAAAGCGGGTATTCAGAAATGATGAACAATTCTATTTACCACTTATCATCTCTTATATCAAATGGTCCTTTAGCCAACAACAAAAATGATTAACAAGATACTAAAAATTCGCTTGCTTAATTTGCTGGAACAACTTCCAACTCTTCTTCATCTGCAGCAGCAGCTTCCATATGCAAGCAGACAAATAGCATTTCATAAAAAAATTAACATTCAAAAGTTTCGCTAAAGAATTAATAGTACCAATAAACTTTAGACGTAATTATATAAACAATCGCTATATCTTTCCCTGAAGGCGATCGCATAAAATAGGGATAAAAAATAATTTTACGTCACATTAATACTGAAACTAACCTTCATTCTCATTATCGTAAGTATGAAAAAGGCTGCAAGCAGCAAGAAGTGTCTGTGTGTTCTTCCAGACTTGTTCATTAACATGACTTTTGGACTATTGATACATCTTAAAATTACTTTGAACAACTCAATTAATCCAATAGAGTTTGGGCATAGATTGGGCAAATTTACCCTACTGAGGATACTGCAGCTAGTCAATCAAATGACTGCCTTATTGCAGATGATTCAGAGCTATATGCGATTTCAAACTCAAAATTTATTAATCAAGATTCAACCTCTATTGAGAAATCCCCATACATTCTTAGCTCTGATGAGGTGATTCTTAAACATTACGTTACTTAAAAAGAGCTAGCTTCAAGTGAAAAATTTATAAATTAATAAACATTTAGTCAACAAGTTTATTGTGACGAATTAGGCCACAATTTTTAAGAAAAACAAAATTTTAACTGGAGACTGATTATTCATAATTCTGATGGTTATTTAAGAGAAAATTCTATCATTTAAATTATCCACTCCGAGACCAATAAGCCTCTACGTACCAATAAGCATAATGGCATCTTATCAAACACTTCCCAGGTTGTATGTGGCAGCAAGTAGTTCTCAATCTACAATCGCTAGATGAGCGACTTTTGGATTATTAACAGGGTTTAATCTGATATCTCTCAAGTAGAAAAACTTTCAGAAAATAATAGCTGAAAATTTAATTAAAAAAGAAAAGTAGATGAAGCAAAGAAACCAATAAAAAAATCTTAGAATTTCTTTTGCTAATATTGTTTTTTAAGTAATAAAGTCTAGCGAGTTATTATGATTTGAATACATCAAATATTTAATTTTTAAAAGCGGGAAAAAGATATTTTAATAAATAAACAAATAAATTGTCTTCCGTCATAGTTTTAATTAGATAATAACAACAGATGGCATTTTTTACCTTAAAGAATTTAAAGCAGTGATATTTATTATAATAATATTGTAATATACTATAGTATGCAATCAGAACATCAAAAGATATGAAAATGATTTGCTATTGATTGAAGCTTTTACATGAAAGTTAACAAATAATAATAAGCAATCGTTTACAGCAAAAAGTGAGATTTTTTATTAAACTCAAGCTAAAATACTCATCTAAAATGATTTTGAATTTTCCTACTCTGTATTTTAGTAAAAGAATAGTAAACCAACCGTCTTATTAGCACTACTAGTTTTACAAATAAATAAATCTGTTAACCACCAGTTTGCAATTAAATTACAATGCGTTACTATAAATATCGATCAATAAATAAATCAATCAAGGAATATGTTTTTTAAAAAATCTGTGGGGAAAAAGCACATTACTTCAAACTAATTAACATTAATATTCATCTATCATTATATTTATAAAATTAATCAAATAAAAAAATAATTAATTAATTAATCACACAAAAATACTTATAACCTACCAACCTTTCTTAACAAATTTTAATAAATATAAAATCTTAAACAAATATTGTTACTTTTACTACCTTTGTATTTTAGTATTACTTATGTTTATATTATCTATTGTTTACTTTTTACCTTTAAAGCAAATCCATCAATTTATTACATATTTATTCAAATAAATCTAACTGATCGAATACTCATTATCAACTTATCATATCTCTGTAAATAATTAATTCTTAGTAAAACTAAAAGCTCTTTTTCCTATTCTAATAAATGAGTTTTTAAAAATATTACAAAAATTTGAAATCTTCCTTCAAAAAAACACTGAATAAAAAAATCTATAAAAATGCGATTTATAAAAAGTGATTTATAGATGGTTCTTAAACAAAAAAATTAAATTCTATTTGATTTGGTTTTATTATTAGTAGAATATTTTAACAAATTATTTATTTCATGAGTTAGCTGCCTAGCTATTTATTAACTTATTTATTTACCTATTTTTAGAAAATCTAATTTTTAAATAATAGACGTATTTCTTTTACATAATAAATTAGCCATTAAAAATAATAAATAATTCTTTTATTTTATTTTTTAAAAAGATTTCTAAAAATTTAAATTGAATAAATAGATCTGATCTTTCAATCTAAAACCTTTTTGATTTTCTAGCATTTATTTATGATTGATTCTTAATTTTTAAAAATTCTAAATAAAGCATTTTCAAGTTGGTAATTTTTTAGTTTTCTATACATTTAAAACGTTTTAACTTTTTAAATCAAATAATAAATGTTAATTTAAAACAAAAAATAAAAGTTAAACAATTAAATATTTTCTTAATTAACCATCTATTTATTTATTTACTTACTTATCTAAAAGAATTATTTATATAGATATAATATTTAATGTTCCAAGAAATTAAATTAACATATTAATAGAAAATTTTTACAAATAATTAATTAAAATTTAATATAAAGTGATTTATTTACAGAATTTATTAATATTTAATTGTATTTTTTTAATTTTTCAAAATTTTTCCATCTCTTAAACACACATTAACTTTTTATTTGTTTTAATTTTAATCAACTACCTGCTTTATGGAGTAGTTTAATTTAAAATCAATGAGATATCTATATCTAATTTGATTCCAGAAATAAATTTTGTGTTATCTTAATCTTTTTTAATTTAATTTTATTTTCTTTCTTAGAAATAGCTACAAATTTTTTAAAGCATAATCATAACACAAAAGAAAGGAAGAGCTAGTTCAGTGCTAATCTAAACGTATAGAAAGGCTATTTTTATTAATAGTTTGAATATATTAAATTAAAAAAATAATTTACCATCATACAAGCTAGAATTATTTCTAAAATTGTAAATCAGTATCATTAAAACAAGTTTGAGATTATTTAAAAGTTCAATGAGTATAATCGATATTTATTAAAAATGGCTTTTGAATGGTTTGGCTAAAACCAAGTATAATATAAATAAGCAATTTAGAGAAGCAAAAATGTAAAGAACAATATTAGATTTAGATTGCAGCATATGAATTATCAATATTATTGATAACTTTTTGAGTTCATAAATAGGAAAAAATAAACGCTATACAATAGATTCCTCATTGATATATTGAATGATTATTTGATAGCTTTGCCTAAGAATTCCTGATTAAAGGTATTTTATAGAAAGAAGAAAAACTAAGATAGATATTTGAAATGCTAGGTAGATTAAAGATGTATTTATTATTGCAAAAAAGTCAATTATTTCCTATTTCTATGAAAAATTAATATACTAAGAGCTGATTAATATATTGCTTATTATCTCATTAGAGAAAGCCATAAATATGTTTATGATAAAATTCCATTTAAAATAAATATATATTTTTTAGATTACTTTACTATTTTATTCTATCAAGTACATTATAGGAATTAAAAGCAATGATATATAAAGTATAGCAAGTTCAATAAAACAGCTACTGTAAAATAATTAGCTGTTGTCATCAAAAAATAAAAAAAGTCTTCTAGCTTTTTAATTTGATTACTATTATTAGGTGATGTTTTTGTTGTTAACGGAGTTATTTTATTAATTTTCTGATATAGAATCATCATTTGTGTGTTTTGAATCATGTATAATCGGTATAATATTATAGTATCTATTTAATTATAAATAGTAATCTTTGAAAAATTAAGGAAATGTATCAGAAAGTTGTAGCAGATCTCCTATACATTACATGTTTTAGACATGCTACCAAGTTATCATTTTAATTTCTGGAATAAAAAGAGAAACAAATACTGCACTACCAATCGATGTAGCAGCCATTACATTCTACAAAGATTTTATTTATTTTGCTCTTAAAATCTCGTCTTAACATTAGAAATAATCATCAGACAAACCTTTTAGATTAAAAAATTCAATTTAATATTTTCTTTAAAAAATTTGTGTTTAAAAAATATTTATTTCTAACCTAATAATCTCTGAATTTACCAAAATTAAAAAAAAATTAAATCTATCTAAAACAAATTATTGAAAAAATTACATTAAAATTATTGCTATTTTTCAAGCTCTGCCTACTCTTTCTAAAAATCACTGCTTGAAATACATTATTTAGATATTGCACTTAACTTCAATGAACTTTCACATTAAGTACAATCTTAAGAAGTTGGTCCATTGCAACTTAAACATGAATAATGGCATAACTAACAATTATTGGTATTCTTATTCATAAACATTTGGTAGGGACAGGGAGTGCATTATCCTGAATATTGTAAATAATCTTTTCCCTAACAAGAAATACAATCTTACTCAGTTGGACCTGAACACTCCAAACAAGATGAATGGCATTTTATGCAATTAAATTAATTATCGAAGAAGTATCCTAAAGGGCATTTATCTAAGCAATTACCATTTAATTTGTAGCAGTAGGTACACTCAATCAAAGAAGTATTTTGGTTTTTTTTCGCAACTTAAAATTTATCGCATTCAGTAACACAAATGTTATTCTTATATGGATTATTTGCAAAAGCACAATTAACGCAATCTTTATTTGTCTTACCTGTACAAGAGCTACATGAACGATCACAATCTTAACAACTCATTGATTCTTCATCATAAAATTATTTTATTTTATCACATTATTTGCAAGATGTGTCTTTCATCAACTTATAATCTGAGTTACACTTTATGCAATGTATTTGGTCTCTATCACAGTTTATACAATTTTAATCACAATAAGTTCTAGTGCAAAATTAATTTATGGCAATATAATTCTAAGGACATTCGTTTTCGCATTATTTATTATTTACTATTTTTAATTCTGGAGGGCACTTATCAACACATTTATCTTAAATAAAATATTTATCACTACAATTTAACAAGCATTGCATGGAGAGCTCATATAAGAAATATCCATCGTTGCAAACACATTAATTGTTATCTAATTTAAACTCTGTATTATTAATGCATTCCAAACATATTGTATTACTAACACATTTTTTACAGTTCTTTTGGCAGGGTTTACAAGTTTTATCATTCATATCAAAGAAACTGTTTTCTTTTATACATGAACAAATTCCAGGTTATTGATCAAATATTTGAGTTTCGCTTTTATACAAACACTCTAGGCAAGTTTATCCGTTATTACAAGTTTTACACATGGGCGAGCATTTTAAGCAAGTACTACTAACTTGATCAAGATAATAACCATCAGTGCAAACACATTATTTATTTTCTAAACGATAAGCTGGATCATTTACACATTATTTACATTCTTAATCCTAATTACAAACAGAGCATCCTTATTTGCATTATTTACATTATTTACTATTAAAATCATAAGCTTAACCTTTGGAGCATCTGCAAGCCCCTTCTCCAGGATTTTTGGTATTGTCTATACACTTTTAACAAATAGTTTTAGAAGAACATGTTAAGCATTCATCGTCGCATTTAACACATTAGTTATTTTCCATATAATATCCATCTTTACAAACACATGTTCTTGTGGTTTAATCTAATTAATATTTTGAATCATCCTAGCAAGTTTAGCAAGTAGTTGTATCTTGGCATACAGAACAATTGTTTATGCAACCAATACATTTTTTTTAAGTTAAATCAAAAAACTACCCAGTAGAGCAGCTGCATTTTCCATCCTATAAATTAGCATTTATGTCAGTGCATTTTGTGCATAACAGATTGCTACTACATTCTGAGCACTCTGCTGGGCAATTAATACAGCGCAGACCATCTTGGTAATACCCATTATTGCACTCACAAATTTGAGTGCTGGAATTCGCTTTATATTATCCTCCATTTGCACACTTTTATTGATTTTGATTATTTTTATCAAGACAAATGATTTCATCTGGTTAACAACTTTAACACTAATTAGTTTAATTATTAAAAATTTATCCCTAAGGGCATTAACATGTTCCATTACTCTGTAGAAAAGTGCCTTAAACACACAAAGTGCATTATGAACTACTATTACATTTTAAACAAGTAAATGGACAGTACTTGCATGTTGATTAATCTAAATAGTAACTATCCTAACACTAACAGCTGTTATTAGAATCGTTATATACAAATTTATCTCCTTTAATGCAAGAAGTACATTTATTTTAATCAATACAATTTAAACAAGGCTGTACGCATTATTAGCATTAATTCATATTATTAAGAAAATAGCCATCTTTACAAGAAGTACATTAATTTTCTGCATTTTAGCATGTTAAGCAGTTATCTGAGCATTTTTAACATACATCTGAATCTAATTTCGAATAATAACCTTACAAACAGTCACATTTATTTGTTTTATTATTTAAATACCTTTATTTTTTTGCGTCACATAATACGCATATATTATCTTAACTTAAGCAAGTTAAGCAATTTTATGAACATTTTTGACAAGAAGTAAACCCATATTTTTCATAATAACCATCTTTACAATCGCATGTTTTTTTTGAATTATTTAATACTCTATTTAAATTTGGATCACATTAAGAGCAATTTAAACTATCTGAAATAGGATTACAAACCATGCAAGTTAAATTTGCGCAACCAGAACCAGGATTACTTTATTATTAACATTCGCTGTAAAAATAAACATCAATCCCTTTATTACAATTACACTTTCCTTATACCAAAGTTCGATCACTGTAACAACTTGTACATACATTTGGTTAATTATTTTAGCACTATTAGCATGAATAATGGCATTAACTTTATCCATCAATTGGTGTTACGTACACTCTTAATCTAATATTAAACATAAATTATTACAATATATAATTAATTACTTTTATTACTTTTAAAAATAGAATTCCCCTTGAAAATCGCAAATGAAATCTACTTTTTTAGGATTATTAACTTCAATCGAATAAAACAAAGCATATGATATGTCAATATTTTGACAAGATTTATCTTAATAATTTAGAATGGGATTTTAACTATTTATTAATACACTAGATGGCATGCTTTTATTAATATTTATTCATAAAAATAAATAAAATTCTAAGTTATTAATTTATTTGTTTACGATTATGCGAAAAAAGTAGCTTCAATTTTTATTTTTTTTACTGGGTATGGTATTAATATGCTATCTCTTTACCATGTAGCATCATAAATATTACCAATCATTTCCATTGAAGAATCACAATGCTATTATCTCTATGAAATAGATGCAACTTTGTTTTTAGCTATAAGACTATAATGCTCATTAAAAAATGGAAAATTAGTAGAAATAAATGATTCTTCGATATAAAATTAACTTTCTAATATAATATAAATGATTTTAGATAAAAAGAGTTGATAGTAATATATTTACTTATTAGTTTAACATAGATATTAATTAGAATTATCTAAAAAATAATGAAAGTCAGCTTCATTTATGGTTATGTATTTCCTCAATCTTTTTGAAAAGCTTTTACTTTTTTAATTTTAACTTATCTATTTATTTATTTGTTTGTTTTTGATTGAAATTAAATAAACTTTACTTAACCTGTGTATCAAATTTGTAAATAATTAATCAAGAAAAAAAAAATAAAAAGTTAATAATGTAATTCCAATAAAATGATAGAATATTATATGGTAAGAAAGATCCTAAAATTATTACTAAATCATTTAGAGTTTACCAAATCTATTGCTAAAGATACATTATCGTTTTACAAATTATTTTATCATACTTCTCAGATATCTAATCTTTCTTTTTTGCTTGTTTAAATATTGAGTATGTATATATTGAATTATTAATGGTGGGGGATTGATTTCTTAAATTTCCTTGGTAACTTTGGTCGTTAAAATGAAACAAAGGCAAATTTATATTTTTTAAAACAAAAATGCCTATGTTTATTTGGATTATTCAATTTTTTACATAAAGTAATTTAAATAATATTAAAGTATATTTTATTTAAAATAAATAATTTTATTCATAGAAATTATTTATTTTTACACCAAAAAGAAAAGCAAGCATTAATAAATTTCAATGGACTATTGGGCACGCTTACAAATAATATATACAAATTTATTCATGAGAATGAAATTTACTGAGGAGATAACTTAAGATTTAAATATGAAAGTAATTGTTAATTTATTATAAATAAAGATATTATATAAAGAATATATTTTTAAATAAATTTTTATTTTATTTATTCTTTTTTTATTAAAATATTTTTTTTAAAGGATAAAGAAATATTGTTTGTTTTAAATTAATTGCCTTATTTAATTTTCGCTTTATCATATTTTTTCCATCTCAATATTTATCTTTTTTTTGAGTATCAGTCTTTTTGGACCATGCAAATTTTTAGCAGGACTTGCATTTAAGAAAGAATCAATATTAATATTTAATTAAAATCCCATTAAAACTTAATTAGTACTACCTTATAATTCCTTCTTTTTTTAAATTCTTTTTTAATTAATTATATTTATTAATTGAAATATCACTTGAGCCATACATAGAGTCAACGCTATGGCATGGTAAGCAAATAGACCATATATGAAATCTTTTTAAAAAAATTTATCATTAATATTTAATTAAACGAAAAAAAAATTTACATTAAGAAAGTGAAGTGCTTTCAGGATATTTTAACAATAAAATTAGGAACGCCATTAAAGAACTGCTTATTATTTCTACTACAGCACAGCAGAAAAGCAAAATAGAACTTTCTATAGGTCTCAAAACCATTAAATATATCAGAAATAATCCATTAGTTACTGTAATTATATAAATTTGTAAGATTGTGTTTTATTATAAAATTACTTAGACTACAATTTAGATTAATCTTTTTACATCTTATATTACCCAAAAAAGCCTTTAAAGAGCATACTCAACTTTGATTAACTAGAACATCACTGAATAATAAGTTCTTAAATCATTATCAGCAAATTATTTTTAGAAAAATAAAAATTTAAATTAAGAAATTAAGTGTATTAAATATATCAACACATAAATAATAGCAGAAGATGTGCTTAAAATAGATTTTACTGTTGAGAAATCTAATCCCATAATTTCTTTTATTGCATAGTATAAAATATAATTAGAAAAGATCATGCTGTATCTAATTACTAAATTCCATCTCAAATACTCATAGCATTTTAATACCATCTGAGATTTATTTCTAAACAGATGCATTATAAAAATTGACAAATATAAAATAATCATTCCAATTAGCTATATCAAACATTTAAATATAAAGAATTCTCTTTCTTGTACATTTTATTCAATTTAGTCTAAATTTTGTTAGTCTGTTTTTTATAAGCTCCTCTTTTCTTTTTAGCTATTATTTAAAGAGGTATCTTCCATAAGTTGCTTGTATTTATTTTCTTTGTTAGAATTTTGTGGATCACTAAAAAATAAATTGACTAAGTTAAAGTAAGAATTTAATTTGAGGTAGTTTTAAAAAACTCCATAGACTACAATTTAGTTTGAATTTTTCATATTTCCTAACAGCTAATTTTATTAAATAAAAATAATATTCTAAAAGCAGATTTGCTAAAAGAAAATTCCAAAAATTGAATTAATGCTTATATTTGCTATCATTTCCATTTTTAAATTTTAGCTTGTTTACTTCATAAAATTAATATCATCTTGACAAACACTAAAATCCTCAGATGTACCTAAAAATTAAAATATTTAAATTTAAATAATTTTGTACAAATAAAATGTAAAATTAAAATTACATCCAATCGAATCAGCCTTTATTTTTTCATCTATTTCTTTTTCATATTTATCAAGCTTTACACATTTTCCTGAAATTCTACTTAAATTTAGAGAATAGCTGCATGTCTTGCATTAATTTTCGTTTGGGCCAGTACACTCTAAGCAAGAATAATGACATTCTACACATTTATTTTTATTTTCATCAAAATAAAAGCCATACATGCATTTGAGACATCTTCCTTATTCTAAAAACAAATTTTCTAAACAAGTCAGACATTAATTTGGTTTTTCTCCTTTGCAAGTTAAGCAGGTCTAATCACATTTAACACAAATATTTCCTTTTTCTATATAGTATCCTTAGCCACAATTATCCATTCTGCATTATCCTTCTTACAAGTAGCAGGTCTTACACTATTACTCCTCTTTTATTTTAAAAGGATATTCACCTTCATTGCAGCTGCTTACACACTTACTTCCAGAAGAACTTTTGGCAAATTTACATTTAATGCAATCAGATGAAGTACTTCCATTACATTTGTCGCATGTAATATCACATTTTTAGCATTACTTTTATTACTAATTGTAATACTCATTTTATACATCACATTATTTACACAAACCATCTTCCATTAAATAAAAATTTTAAATACACTAATCGCAGTTAATTTGATTTTTGTTGCATTTTCTACAAGTTTTTGAATCACAATATGTCCTTATGCATATTCCATTTATGTTAATATAGTCCTCAGGACAATTTCTTACACAAAGATTCTTAAAAACATAATATTCAGAAGGGCAAGTATGCAAGCAATAGATATTTTCGTGTATTAATAAAGGAGGTGGGCATATTTTACATAATCCATCAAAAAAATTAATAAAACGATCTGCTGAGCATTTACACAAACTAGTTTATTAAGAGTATTCATAATTTTCATTATCCAAACAAGATATGCATGTGTTTTTATTGTTACAGTTTTTACAAAATTTGTTACACTGTAAACATTTTTTTTAAGATAAATCAAAAAAATTCTAATCTTATTTACACACACAATTGTTTTTTAATAATATAGTTTCTGGATAAGTGCATGATGTGCATTTATCTGATGTTTCTGTACATTCTAAACACATTTCATCACATTTTTGACAAATTCCGATGCTATCTGAATAATATCCTTTTTTACATTTACATTGTTTTGAGGTTTAGTCTAAATATTATGAAAAATTATCAGAGCATTCTAGACAGTTTAAATTTGAATCACATGTTTTGCAACCTTGTAAACATTTAGTGCAAGTATTTGTGACTTTATCAAAATTTAACCCATCTCCACAAACACAATATTTAGATTTTTAACTTAAAAATGTTCCGTTATATTTACAAGAAATACAAGATTTTTCATCAGAGCATTGAAGGCAAGTATATTCGCAAGGAGTGCAGGAACCATCACTTTTTTAAAAATAACCATCTCCTTTACATTTACAGGAATCATTCACAAGTTGGTACCCATCATCTTCTATACATTAAATGCACTTGCTTCCATCCAAGCATTTTTTGCAAAATTTAGAACAAGGAAGGCAAACTTTGTTTAATTTTTCATAATAAAATCCATCTGGACATATACATTTTCCATCTAAAATGATCATCTTGGAATCAATACAAGCAGTGCATTATTAATCAGATGTGCATTCACTACATACTTCATTGCATTATAGGCATTGTTAATCCTTCATAAAATATCCTTTTTTACAATTACAATTTCCAAAAATATCAATTAGATACTATTAATCATTTAAACATGTTGTACAAGTCTAACTATTATTACAGGTTTTGCAGGAGGCTAAGCACTTATCACACTTTTTTGGAGCTATATTTAAATTCTTAAAATATCCTAGAGGGCAATCACAATTACCAAAAGAATCTAAAACTGCTCCAACTAATGAACATTCTTTACAAATATTAAAATATGAGCATGATTTACAAGAAAAATGGCATTTAAAGCATAAATATTTATCTTCAAGCTCATCCCTGTAGTATCCATCTTAGCAATTGCATTGTTAATTGATAGGGTCATACTAATACTCACCATCATTTATACATTTTAGACACTTAGTTTCTGAAAGACATTCAGCACAGTTTTTAGAACAATTTTTACAAACTTAATCTTTCGAGTCATAATATTGATTCGATTTGCAAACACATTGTTAATCAATTAAGCTAAGCCCAGAATTTTGTCTGCATTCATAACATTTGTTAACATCTGTACATTTTGTACACTTTTCGTTACATTTTAAGCAAGTCTTCTATTATAAATCTTCATAGGTTCCATCTTTACAGACACACATTTTAGAGCTATCTAATATATATTAATCAGGACTTTTACAACTCAAACATTATAAGGAATTTTCGCAAGTATTGCATTTTTCACTGCAAGACTAGCACTACAAAAAAGAACTCTCATAAAAACCATCTAGGCATTAGCATTTACCACTTTTAAGTTAATAGGGCTCTAAGCATGTATCACATGTATCTGATTTAGAGCAGGACGCGCATTTTTACTAACATTTTACACATTATTTCCCATCATCATAATTAAAATTTGGACAAACACATTTACTATTCTATAAAATGTATCCTGCTTCTATTTTACAATCTGTACATTCATTTTAATTTTTACAAATTTTACAGCTTTAAGGACAAGAAATACACATTTAAGAAGATGGATCTAAAAAATAAGAATCTAAACACTAACAAACCCCGTTTACTATTTTTGTATTTAAACTTTTACATGTTTAACAAGTTAAATTATCTTTGCAAACATTACATCCTTGACCACACGTGGCACAAGTACCATCTAATTTTTCATAATATCCTTATTAGCATACACAATTTCCTTAAGAATCTTTCACTCTTTGATCAGCACAAATCAAACATCTTTTTGAGTCAGACAAGCACGTTTTGCATTAAGAAGAGCAAGGTAAACAAAGTATATTATTTATTTTTTAATAATATCCATCTTTACAAACACATCTTCCTTCTTTTAATATACGGTTATACTATAAACCACAATCTACACAAATTTTTGAAGAAGTATCTTTACATTTCTAACAGCTAACAGGGCATTTCTATGAATCTCTCGTACAATCTAAATCCAACGAGTCATAATATCCTTCGTTGCAAACACATTATCCGCTTGGAGTTAATATCCTAAGCTTATTACTACTGCTACATGAAGTACAAACAGAATTTTAATTTTCTTTACAAGTATCACATGAATAATAGCAGCGTTTAGGACTATCTGGATCATAACTGAATTAAAAGCTAATTATTTGATTATTTATTTTTAATAGAAAATTACAAAAATTTAATATAATAAAATCTTAGATAAGATCCTCAAATTATTTATTTTAATGTTTTAAAATAAATTCAATAATTTTTTTCTGTAAAAATTTATTAATTAATTTTAGTTCATTAATTTAATAAATAAAATAATAAAGCTTTAAAGAAAAAATTCAAATAATATATCCATTTTACTTTCTAATTGCAAATTTTGCTTAAGAATTTTGGTTTTTAGAGCTTGCCTTTATTGTAAAATCATATAAATAAGAGTCTTTTAATTAAACACTAATTTTATAGAGCTTAGCTGTGCTAAACTGAGAGCATTAAACGTTTTGTATGTCAATATATAAAGATTAAGAAGCTGGCAGTATTTAAATAGAATCATTCATTTTTAATTATATTTAATCATCTGATGTAAAACTTTTTTTTAGGGATAATATTAAATTAACTATATTCGCAAAGATATAAAACTACTTTAATAGTAATACTTCGATGTAATAACTTAAATTTATACACCAAATAGGTAAAGCATAAATTGTAGAGCGACTTATATATGTTTTCATATCAAAAACACCAAAATAATATTTAAAATCGCATTCAATAAATCTTGTAAAGGGATCTATTGTTTCATTTTAAACATCATAGCTGCTAGTTTCTTAAATTGATTTGGTTTCATCATTTAGTTCAACATAAGTAAATTGTTCTTTATTAAAATAAAAAGTTTAAATTCAATTTGTAAATGCATCTAAAATACCTGAAAAAACTAAGCTTATAAAGATGCTAATAGATATTAATTTTAAATTTTTCATTTGCTAAGTCTAAGGTTTTGAATATCGCTTTATGCTACTCAAAAAACTTTGTTTTGAACCAAAAGATTAAAGTATTACCTAATTTATTGATTATTTTCTTGTTTAAACTTTCAATTAATTTAATTAATTTTCTCTGATAGATTTTAATAAAAAACAAGTAATTAACAATTAAGCTATACAGAAGCTAGCTCTCTAGCTTTTCACGATTAGTATAAAAATTTTGGGATACTAGCAATTTTCTGTCAGTCAAAGCATTAAATGATTTGTGGTATTTCTAAAAATTGTTATTAAATTTAGTAAAATCAATAACTTTTACATTGAAATTTTTGAGTACATTACATGAACTAAATAATTGATCAATGGACAGCATTTATTCTTAGCTATTATACTCAATTTGATTTTGTATTTTTGATGTGTAAAATTTATTTTTAAATTTAGTAAAATTAAATAAATTTTTAGATATTTAACATACATTTTATAATTTTTTAAATAGATAATTCTTTTAATTATATTTATTTCTATTATATTAATTTAACCTCTTATTTTTAAATTCATATATAACAATAAATAGACGCACAATAATAATAATAATTGGTGTCAGTTAGATAAGAATTCATGTATATAACAAAAAAAAGATTATGATAAAATAATTTTAATATTTGATAAATTTTGAATACGTTAAAACATATTATTTATAAATTAATTAAACCAACTTTGAAATGTTATTTTTATTAATTTATAAACATATTTAATAATAAATAGATAGAACCATTTTTAATTAATTGACTATTAAAAGAAGAATTTCACATTTAAATATTTTAAAATTATTCAGGAATTGTTCTTTAAATGTCATAGAAAAAAATATTTGTTAATAAAAATACTTCTTTTAATGTGTTATTTTTGAAAAATGAATAAATAAAAAAATTATTAAAAAAAGATATTTAATAGTTATTCTTTCTTTAATTAGTATTGAGTAACAACCACAAAATTAATTTTAATTTAGATTTTGTTTTTTTTTTTCTTTTTCGTTGTAAACGAAATATTTTGAAATTAAATTTTCATATTCTAAAAATATAAATTTTTAATAAAAATCTCTCATTTTTATCTGCTCTTTTTCAACATTAATTTTTTGTACAAATTATATGATACTGATATTATAACTTTTGAAGTATATATCCTTCATATCAATTTTTTCTCATTAAAAACGCTTACAAAAAATTAAATTAGCTAATTATTTTTTTATCATATTTTAAGCAATCTTATTCAATAAGAAAAGTAAGGCTTTTTTATTTTTTAAAAGTTATAAATTAATGTCATATTTAGCTAATGTCACTAATTTTAAGTTTAAATAAAGATACTATTTACTAATTGCAAAGAGCAGTAAATAGATAGATACTGCTTTTATTTATTATTTGCAAGTATTTCTAAGAAAATTTTGTAAGTGCAGGTAGGCATTCAATAATAAGCTTAGTCTTTTGATAAATAGATAGATAGATAGTTAAACAGCTTTGCCTTAATTCAAAAACTTTCAATCTAAATCATTTTTTTTAGTTAGAAATATATATATGCTAATTTTTTGTATTTAGTTAACTTATAAATTGTTTGTAATGCTACGATTATTTATTCAAAAAAAAGAGATTTTTGAATGATTTTTAAAAAAGAAGAAGAAATTATATGAAATAAAAAAATAAAATACAAGCAAAAACTGAATGAAATATAAGATTAATACAAATTAAAAAATAATTAATAAATTAAGAATTTAGTAATTTGCTTCAATAATAACTAACTCGGAAAGTCAAAGGAGTATTAACAGGTATATTAGCTTGAAGTAAAACGAAGTAAGAAAAATATTAAGCTCAAAACACATTATCGAAAAAGTAAAAGTTGAGTAGTATATTGATGAAGGGTAGCAGTGGAAATCCGAATAAGACACAGCAGTAGTATAGCTCTAAATTTGATAAGGATAGTATGGACCATTAGCCTCATCCAGTTTAAAAGCATTTTATCAACTAATAATCTCCAGGAAGCTACTAATAAGCACAAGGAACGGGCTTGGAAGATCTTAATGAATTTTAATTAGAATAATACTATGAGTAGATGCAAGCTTTATAGAATTAAGAATAAATTGGTAAATTTAATCAATAAAAACAATTGCAGTAGATAAACTCTAATCCAGGTGCTTCTATTTCAAACGGAGTTACTTAACAATAGATGTAGCAATAGTAAAATTATTTAAAAACGAGTATGAAAGGCAAATACATTTTTTTTAGCTAATAGCAGCAATAATAAATTTTAAAGCAGCAGTAATTGTCTTAGTAAATCTAGCAATCCCAAGCATAGCAATTAAATTACGAAAAAAAATTCAATCAAATTCAATCACCTTAATATAGTTAGGATGATTTGCAAGATGATCACCATGCTGAAGGGATAGATGATGAAAATATTTATGAGAGTTAGTAAATGGCATAATTGGCAAATCATTTAAATGGAAGCCTTAACATGTAAGGAAATGCATAATTCAATAACCTGAGTTAGGGGACTAACTAAAATCAGAATAGCAATACAAATAATAGTTTCAGTTCAGCTGAAGAAGTTATTAAATCAACAGATGATACAACAATTAAAGAAGAGTTTAAAGAAATTGACAAGCAATGGCAAAAACAATTGATGCAGGATTCTGGTATAAATTTATGAATTCAGCAATGCTATAAAAAATAATTTTGGGATAAAATTCAATTTATTGTTGCGAATAAATATTTAAGTTATCTAACAACAATCTTTCTTAGTATTGATTGATTGCTTGTTTATTTGATAATAACTGCATAACTGATTGAAAGATGAAATAATAATATTTTTTTTCTAAATATAGAAAAGTATTTTGAGAAGATTATTGAGATGAACGATATTGCCTCGTAAAAGCTAAATGATGGGTAGTAAAGAGAAGCTCTAGCAATTTTATATAAAGCAGAAAAGATGCTTGAAGTAAAAAATAGAAAATTAATTTCTATTGGAGTTAGTTTATTTATCAATTAATTTGATAGATAATTTGTTGTTCGTTTAGAATATATATAAAATACTTTGGTTTTTTCTCTTATACAACAAAGCATTCAAATAATTATTTAAAATTAAACATATAAATTGACTTGCTGATTAACTTTATAACTCCATTATAATTTTAGCAAGCATAATGACTTTAATTTTTTTTTTAATAAAAGCTTGCAGCAAGCTGTGGAAAGGTAATAGATAGAAATCTTATTATTGTGGTATTATACAATAGGGCATGTGCTTATTAAAGGTATTTTTAATGATAATTTGTTTTATTTAGGTTGTTTAAAATATCTAAATTTTAATGTAAAGCTTATGGATTTTAGATAAGTGTTCGAAGTATATTGATGGAGTCATTTATAATCTTGAAATGAGTCTTAAAGAAGAAGACTCTATAGAAAGTATGTCAGATTTAGCTCCAAATTTAGCAGAATCTATGAAGTAAGGACCAAATTATAATAAAACAGGTAGAAAAAAAAATATTGATAAAGATCTACTCGCATATAAAATAAAGAAATAAACATTTTTAGTTAAATCTTACTTATAATGTTGTGCAATACTCTCCTAGCAAGGCTTGTAAAATACTATATTTAATTTTTATTTTTGGGAATTTTGAAAATTGATAAAATAAATAAAAGACATTAAAAAGCCCTTGATACAGCAAACGAAGGAGCAACTGTTTTAAAAAGGATATTCACGTAGTGTTTTGAATTTTGTAAAGAAATAATCAAAGAAAATGAAATGCATTAAACTTGTAATACGATGATAAAATCACCACGTTAAATGTTTTAAAATGGACTTTCATAAGGTCCTCTTTAAAGCTGTAAAAGCAACTGCAGTGCACCTCCAACTTAAAGAAATAACTCTAGTGGAGTAAAGAACCAACCTTACCACTTCTAATAAAATTAAAACAGTTATTTTTCGAAAGAAAATGTGGGATAATAAAATTTAACTTCAGATTATTCTATGGACTCTATGATGAGCTCAAGAAAAAGTGTTCAACAAGCCAAAGAAGAAGTCTATTTTCAAAAACTTGTTGTTGAATTTGCTTATACAATTCTCAAGGATATTTAAGGCATGATTAATATAGAAGATTCAGATAAAAGCCAAGTTGATCATTTTAGAGATGCTAGAAGAAGTTTGTATTTTTGGAAAAATAATCCAGAAAACAATGAGAGACACATCAGACAAGAGTTGAATGTTCCAACAAAGCTGAATGAGGAAGAAACTAGATCTATTCTAGGCGTCTAAAATGGTTCAGAATGGATTGAAAGCTTTAACATTGGGTCAATTATGCACATGGTCCCAGTCTAGTATGAAGAATTTTCTTTCTTTGGTGATTTGATGTACGAAATTTCAAAAAAAATGATTTTAGAGAAGGTACTTATTTCTTTATTTTATTTTCATATTTTTCATAATTATTACTTTATAGGTAATTTATCTGTCAATTAGCTACTTTACTATAGCAACTGAAATCAGATTTATTGAAATAGAAAGGAACAAGCATTTAAATCCTAAAAGTGACCAAACAAAAAATATAGATACTGAGGGATTCAAAAAAAGCTAAATTTATCATTTAAAATCAATAGAGATAGTTTGTTAACACATTACATGCAAAAGTCCATACATCAATCATTTAATCACTTCTTATCATAAACATTATAATCAAAACCTTGAAACCATAGTAAGCTTTTGATTATGAATGATTATTTATTTTATAAATATATAAAAATATAATAAAAGCTTGAAGAAAGTTTTAGTTCATTCCAAGATAATAATTTATTTGATGGGTCATAAAACTAACACAATAATTTTATAAATAATTAGAATCACTAGCAATACAATATTCTTTAACAAGGTTTATTTTTTTTAATTTAAATAACCATTTTTAATTTCGTTTTTTATATTCAGAAGATCAGGGTTAATAATTTGAAGAGTTAGTGAATAACTTTGTTAATGGAATGAGTGAGGATGATTAAACTCCTGTTTATATTTAAAATAATCCTCATTTATCTAGTAATAATGCACATAATATAAATAATAGCAGCTTAAATAACTTGCAAAATAGTAGCATGACTAAATTCAACTCAATTAATGGGCAAATAATTCAAAACGATGATATCATTTTAAGCAATGAAAAAAGAGTCCCAAGCCCAAATTAAAGAAACGGCTCAAATTCTAATATAAAAAAATAAATTAATGGACAGCAAAAATTACAAAATGCTGGATAAGCTGTAAAATCTTCATATTCCACCCTAACTAAAAGCACAGAAAACGGAATAAATAATAAAGAAAAGAAATTAGGTACAAGCAAATAAGCTGGATCTTAAGTGTGCTAAATGCTTCCAAGTTCTACTTTAAACAAAAAGAATCTAAATTTAGATTTTAATGGGAATCATATCAGTTCTAGTACAACTAATATGCACTCTGCTAATATAAACCAATAAAATTTGAATCCAGTTAATAGAAATTTAGCAGAGTTTTTTAGCCATGAAAATTCTAAAAAAAACACTCCTCGCGGAATTTTAAACATCAGGAAATCTACTCCAGCTGTAGAGCAATCATCGAAAGAAATTGCATTAACCGAGCCTAATATTCCCACAAGTACAAGCTAGCCGAGGTCTAATAGCAAAGTTACAAAGAAAAGCAAATAAACAAATCTACAAAGCTCACAAATTAAAAAAATGAATGCTTTGACAATAGAAAAAGTCACTCAAATCTTAAAAAACAACTTATTAGCTTCCTATTCCTCTGCATTTTTATCATGTAGCAATGTTGCTACCTTAAATCACTCAAAGAACCCCTCTTCTAATTAAGATAGGAAAAAACCTTTAACTGCAAGTGCTGCATTAAGTAATTTTATATAAAAAAATAATTTATTTATTTTACTGGTTTTATTAAAATAATTAATTAATTTAAATTTTATCTTAAAATATTGCAAAATTTTTTTAAAAGAATAAAATGGTATAATTATACTTAGCATGCAAATAAAATAAAATTAGTATTTTGTTATTATTTTTATTTAGATTTTATTTATTTAATAGCAAAATAAAATTTGAATTCATCACCTGGACTAAAAAAGAAATCACCTTCTAATCTTTAGTAAGATCCACTGAGAAAAAGCGCTTGCATAGTATAACAACAGCAACAACCTTCAAGTGGATAGCGTACAAATAATAGTAGCATAAAAAATAATCTAAATAATAATAGTTCTTCATTTCCTTCAACAACTTAGAGCAGCACAAAATCTAAAAAGCAAGCTACATCTACAACATCAAGATAATAGACAAATTCAGCAAACACCCAAACATAGCAATAAAGCAATACTAATTAATAATAATACTGTAATACTGATAGATAAATTAAAGACACTGACACATAGTAATAGAAAGCAGTTCTATCAGAAGCAAGAGAATCGACTGATAGAAATAAAATTGTAAAAATAAAAAATGAAGCTAAATAAAAAATAGTAACAACAGTGCCTTTCAGTGAAGAAGTGAGTGAAAAAAAGAAATAAGGATAAAAATAAAGTACTTCGCAAAGTAAAAATAGTAAAGAATAGAAAAATACTGACAATAAAAAAATGTTAAGCCCAAGTTTGACAGCAACTAATTTTTTGTCTCTAAAAACAATGAAAAAAGAAACAATACAATAACTTCTAAAAGATAGCAGTAAAATAATTCCTAAGCTTAATCTAAGCTAGTTAAAACTAAAGACAGATGATATAAGATTTTTCAGTCCAAGAGAAACTTCCACAAATTCCAATATAAAAAAATAACAAATATGAAACCAAAAAATTGCTAAATTTATGGGACAACAGCTTGAATTTGTAATTGCGATGATGAAATATTAATTAAATTCAATTACTTATTCTTTTATAACGCTGCTCGAACTATTGAAAGACAAACAAATATTTATAAAATAATAAAACACAAGAGAAAATGTAAATCATTTAATTAACATTATATTATATAGAAAATTAATTATTTAACACAAGATGTATCTCTTTTATCTAACAGAATTTATTCTTCTTTCTTTTTTCATGTTGTTGCATTAATAAATATTTTAAAATGTCTTCAAATCAAAAAATCATAAACATAATAGTGGTGTTAAGTTCTTTTTCCAATTTTAAAACCTATTAAAAAATTTTCTTAAGATGAGAACCAATATATTTAATAAATTTCAACTTATATTTATAAATGTTTATAAAGTTCTGATTTGAGAAATTCGAAAACGTTTGTTCTTTATTAATTATTTATTACCATGAATTAAGATGAACAAATAAAAAATTAATTTAAACGCTATTACATATCAAAAACATCCTAAAGACTGATTAGAAAAAATTAAAATGAAATAATTGATAATTCAAGTTATTTCTTTTTGAAATTCGAATAATATATTTAGCTTTGGGCGTTTTATAAATAAATTATTTATTTTGAGATTTTGTAAGTAAAACTCAATAATTTAAGAAATATTAAAAAATTTTAGTATACCTTAGAAGCTCTGACAGATTACTTATTTTATAATACAACTATTTTCATTACTAGAATATGCCTATGAAATTTATTTAATATAGATATATATTTGTATTCACATATGTATCTAAATAACTTTTTTCTAACGAATAGACTTTTTACTTTTAATTAATTTACTTTAATTTGTTTGAAAATATGTATGTATGGATGTATTAGTAATTATATAATACAAATTAATAATCTCTTAACAAAATTTTATTAAATTGATTTGTTTTTATTATGATCTCAAATAATAGTTACTAAAAATTGAATAGACCCTAACGCTTCGAAATTTGTTTTAAAATTTGATTATTAAGTAATCATTAGTCTATAATTCAGTAAAATTTATATATTTAAAGAGATATTTATAATTTTTAAATTCGATATAAGTTAATAAATGAAACTGAATAGTTTGAAAGAAGGATGTAAAATAAATAAATCTTTTGTAAATACTTTTCATTATTTTTGTATTTTTAAAAATATTATAAATATTACATTTGCACTTAAGGGTGTAACCCTTAAAAAATCTTACTAATTTATATATTCATACTGAATTTAAGAAAATTAATTAGAGATTGATTGATTAAATTTGAGGAGAGTAAAGCAAATATTTATAATAAATTAATTAATTAAAATATAATTCAAAAAAGAAAAAAACTTCAAATAATAAAATGGGTAATTGCTCTTCTTCTAGTTAAGTATATGAAGCAACTAAATTGGTTAGCTAGAAATCACTTTTTTAAGAAATAGATGGGGAAAGCCAATTAAATAATATGTTTCAAAAGCTTTAAGAAGATTTAAAAAGACTGACTTAAATGAGTTCAACTCAACAAAAATAGTAATAATAAATTAATGACTTACTTGGTATATAATAAAACGAAGTAGATATAATTTTATTAGCAAAAACAATTGTCATGGCTATATAAATGGCTTATAAATGTGATCAGTAAAAATTATAAGACTTCATCATTTGCGATCAATATCCTTATTTTAATAAGAAGATTGAAAAATCTATAAAAAACAATCAAACTCTAAATTTAATAAACTAATACAAAATTATGATATAATTGATTGAATAAAACTAAGATTTTGTTTCAAAAATACTTTCTTAAATAAATAAAATAGAAGAAATGATACAAAACCAAACAAATTAATATTTAATAATAAACGAAAAAGTCTAGAAAAATTTAAAATAATTAAATTCAACTAAACAAAAAGTTTTGCTTTACTTAAGCTAGACTATTAATAAAATTCTAGAAAATCATTAGAATTTTATCCATAACTTCAAAGATTGGTAATCTGATTTGTTAAGAAAGTCAAGCTTTGCTCTTGAATAATAAATTAACTCTATATAATAATTATCTTACATTATTCTTTAATAAAATTCAAATACATAATTATCATAATGAACCTAAAAAAATCACATAGTTTATTTTATATTTTATTTTTAATATTTATTTATATTTGTTCATAATTTACTTTAAAATATTAATTTTAGTTAAATACCCATATTCTTTGAAAAGTTTTAAATAAATAAGAAAAATAAACATAAAATTAATTGTAATACTTTTATTTTGTTATATTTTTTTGAAAATTTGTAACAAATACAATTTTATTTAAGCAATTAATTAATATTTAATAATATTTCTAAAAAAATAATTAATGTAATTCTTCCATAATCAAAGGACCAAGATACAAACACCCTTTATGAAGGAATATTAATTATATATATTTATATACTAATAGCTAAATAAAATTATGCTAATATAAATATAAAAAATGTTATAATACATATTTTAAAAATTAATATAAAAATTTAAATTTTAATTAGTAAAAAATAAATAATTTTTTGCTTCTTTTAAGTAAGCAAAATACATTTTTTTAAAGAAAATAAAAAAATAAACTTTAATTTTTAAATTATGAATGAAAATAAGAAGCAAGAATTTTATATAAATATAATATCTCATTTACTATAAGAAAGTCCTCAGCTTAATATTATTAAATTCTTATAAAAAATATATGTTGATTAATTTATTGTTATATTTTAAATTAGAATTCCAAAGACTATATGACTATATGTTTAAAAAGCTATCTGTTTTTCTAATATATCTAATAAAAGTTTATAAAATTAAATTAAATTAATTGTTTTAAGAAGAGAAAAAAATATTAGCCATTTAAATTAATATCATCAATAAGTTATGAGTAACAAGTAAATTTAATGGATATTATTTTTGCAAATAATTGAAATTAAAAAGGATATATTTTTTATCTAACACTCATAACATATTTATAAAATTGAAAGAATGATATAGTAATAACGATTTACAGAAATTGCAAAATAGCTATAACTTCATATAAAAAGAAAGTAATTAAATTAAAAAGATACTATTTTAAAAATAGATTAAGAGATTAAATAAAAATATCATTATATTTATGGAAAAAGCGGAGACTCTACATGATGATTCGAAAGAAAACAATGAAGATGTTTCAAGTAATGTGATTAAAAGTAAGGAAATTTAAGTATAATAAGCTAGCTAGCAGGAACAACCTACTAATTAGTAGAAAAAGAAATATAAATTAGATTATAAGTAGCTTTAAAATCGGTAGAATTTTGATTTATCTGATCCAAATGATATGGAAGTAAAGCATTTATAGACTGAAAATATTTTCATAATTTTAATTTATTTATCACTTACTTATAAGATAGTTAAGACTCTACTTAAGAAACAAAATACTGCGAGAACAAAGGCAGATCTAGAAATCCTATACAAAGCTTTTAATGATAATAAATTTATAAAAGATATGGAAAAAGATGTAAATCAGTAGCTTATTAGAAAGATGCTAAAAAATATGTAATTTGCAGAGTACAAAAGAAGGGAGATTATTTTTAACTAGGGTAAAATTTAATAACTCTAATTTTAATATGTCTGTTAAAATATTTAAATTATTGTAATATTTTTAAAAGGTGAATAGGCTTCAACATTTTATATCATAATTTAAGGTTCTGTTTGGGTTTTAGTACCAAATAAATTTGGAACAGCTATAACCGATGAATAAAGCAAAATTAGTAAAGAAATTATTTAAAATCCAGAATTATACTTAAGAATGCCAGATGAATAATTTGTGAATAAAGCCTACCCTTAATTTAACTAGATAGCAACCCTTAAATCTGGATATTCTTTTGGTGAAATTGCTTTAAGATAGTGTAATTTAATATTCTTCTTTAATATTTCGCTCTTAATTAACAGTATTTTAAATCAAAACATATTATAAATTACTATAAAGAAACTGTGAGGACAGCTACTGTAATATGTGCTGAAGATACATTGTGTGCATCAGTTTCAAAAGAAATATTTAATTCTTGTATAAGTGAGTTTTACAAAATATAAAGAGATAAGGAAATTGGATTCCTTCATTAATTCCACATTTTTACAGATCTGTACAAATAAGATGTTGAAATGATACTCATGTCTTGCACAAAGCACTAGTTTAACAAATATCATGTTATTTACAAAGAGAATGAAGATTCAGATAGAATTTATTTTTTATAAGAAGGTGAAATTGAGGTAAATTAAATGAATTGCTTGCTTGCTTAAAAATATTTGAAACGCAAAAATTGTAAGTTTTTATTTTGTTTATTATAATTAGGTATCAAAAAAATCAGATATATTTACTGAAAATGCTAATCTTTTATATGTGGATAGGACAAAAGACTTGAATATGAATGAGTTACCTTTCAGAAATTTTGGTAATTAGCTTAGCTATAAGAAAACAATAAAGAGGATTCCTGTAGTAAAGGTTTGTCCAAATAGTATGTTTGGTGATGAAGAAGCTTTTAATAATAAAAAAAGAGTAACAAAAGCAGTTGTTGCTAGTAATGAGGCAACTTACTACAGCTTGAAAATCAAAGATTTTTATTAAATTATGTAAAAAAAGTATTGCCCAGAATTTATAGATGAATTAAAAAAGGAAATGCTTATTGAAAAAATAAAATATAGATAAGAAAAATTATGCAAAAATATTTTTATTAACCAAATGTTTAATAGTTTTGAATAAAAGATAAGAGAAGAGACTTAATATTCAACTAATAAAGTTTTGAACACTACTGAAATAATCAGATCAAAAAAAATGATTTAGGATTCAGAGATATTCAGTTCAATAAATAACACAGCAATTGTTCAATAGAATTCTCCCTCTGCATTAAGTAGGAATGTGTTAAATTCCCATAGAGAAAATAATTAGTTTTTTATTACTGACCATAAGCTGAGTTTAGAGAAAATCAGATGCTTTTCTCCTCCTCAAATACTAAAAAATGAAAGTTCGTAACATTTATTATCTAGCAGTTTGGTTTATAAGGCTAGTAATAGTGGTAGTAATAAACATATCAAATAGAAATTTATTAACTAAACTTTTAATTAGTTCAATGAAGAAAAGTAACCAGAATAACTAAAAAATTAAGATAACTTGGTTAATGCAAAAAATAATCAAAAAAATAATTTAGAAAGTCCATCTTCATTTCAAAGAATATTTAAAAAAATAGTTACTGCATAAACAAAAGAAAAATACCCTGAAGTAATTAGTGAAATATCTTATGTAAGTAGTCCTTTATCTGCAAGAAGATTACAATCAGCTTAGTGCAAAAGAAATATTTCTAAAAATAGCTAAAGAGCTTAAACCTAATTGCAACATCAACAGCAAAATTAGTAAAATTAATCAGTTGATTTGAATAACTTTGTATAAAATACTGAAGCACCTTAATAATAGTAAGCAAGCAGACCAGACTCTTGCTAGGTATCCCCAAGATAAAAGATATAAGAAAAGATAAAAAAATCAAATAGTCTCAGCCAATAATAAAAGAAAATAATATTGCTATCAATGCAAAAACAAAGAAAGCTGAATTAATAAGAAAATAGCTTTTATGATTATTTAGAAAATCATGTAAATAATCAGCAAAAATAATCAATACAATATAGCAACTTACAATCACCAAAAAGAGCTGGCTCTGTAAACAATAGGGATTTTTCTCCAGTTTAACTAGATTCAAAAAGAAAATAAGCTTGTAACCTGTTTTCTTTTCAAGAGAATTAAAATGAAATAAAAATAAATTTAATGAACTAAGGATCTTAAAAATGTATTGAAAATTAAAACAATAAAGCTTACTAAATAGATTAAAAAAGTAAGATTAAGCTATAATTAAATAGAAAAAACAATCAATCAAATAGAGGAGCTTCATAAATTTCATAGAGAAATTATAGTTCACAGTAGTCAAACAAATAGCTTTCTCAAACTTAAGTAAATTTCTATCAGAACAAATAAGGAGAATCAATAAGTAGATCTCCAACTAAAGAAAAACAGCTTAACTCATATAGAAAGGAGAAACAAAATAAATTAGATTAAACTTATGATAAAAATTCATTCTTGAATGTAAAAATTAATAATGAAAAGTCTTAAACTCAGTTAAAAAAGTAAAAAGTGTTAATTATGTAACCTAAATTAGAAGGTTTCTAGAAAATCAGCTGCTATGATTAAGAGTACGATAGTAAACTTAAAGAGTTAGAGTCAGATATATTGAATGATAACTATGTATGTGATTAAATAGAAGCGAAACTTCTGATGAGCTTAGCTGTCTAAGAAATTATATAAAAAGAAACAAAAGTTGCTCCTATAGATAACAAAAATCCTCTGATTGATATAGACTATGTAAAAAAGCAAGATAGAGAAGCTAAGCTATACTCAAGAAAATCAATGATGTAAACGAAATCTACAACTTAAAGGACAATTAGCTAAACACCTAAGAATACATCATAAAACCAGAAGATAAATATCACAAATAATGACTATAATTAATAAAAATTTCCTTAGAATTACATGAGCCTTATTATAGACTAGTAAAGAGAAAAATGTTACAGTGCAATGACATCTGCATAAATATCACCAAAAGAAAAAGTTTAGAACGTAAATTAATTAAGAGTATCCCTTGCACGTAGTAAAAGAATTTCTGTGAATCCAGGAAGATTTTACTTAAAAGGAGATAAAAGATAATAGTTTTATGATGATTTTAAAGAAGAGTTTTAAGAGAAAGAAACATAAGAAGTTAGCAATAAAACTTAAGAAACAAATACTAGTGATGAATATGTAAAAGTTAAACCAAGATATGATAAAAAATAAATTTAATTTAATTGCTAAATAATTAAAAATAAGCAAAAAATGGAAGAATTTAAAAAATTAGTAAGGTCTTAACTGGGTAAAAAGTGATTAAAACTCAATAAAAAATAACTTAATTGTTAATTTTATTAATAAAATCATTAAAATGTTATTTTGCAAACAAAAGAATAGCAATTTTATCAAAAAATGTTTATGGGATAAAATATAAATTATTGTTTTTATAAAAGAATTATTAAACGAAAAAGTGCTTAACTTAATTAAGTGAATTTATGAATTCTTAATCTAAAAGTTCTTAAAAATGAATCAATCAATCAATTGACTGATTGATCGATCTTTAAAATGTTTAACAAATTTATTTTAAATTATATAAAATAGTTAAAATTGTCAATAATTAGTTAATCAAATTTTCTGTTTATTTTATAAATTGTTAAATTTAATTTATAAATAAGCAAATCATAGTGTTAAATTATTATAATTTAATCAATAAATTCATAGATTTTTTTTATGAAGTTCATAAATTAATTCATTACTTTATTTTTTTTAATGGAATAAAAAATATAAAAATATTTTAAAATATAACTCCAAATTTATATAAACTTTCTCTAAAAAAGAGTCAGAAACGTCTATAAAAATATTATAAAATATAATTAAAAATAATAAATTGTTCTGTTAACTCAAGTAAGCTGTAACAAAAAAGTATTACTCATCAATAATTAGAAGTAAATTAGTTTGTAAGAAGTGGTTAATAAAATTTTTGCATGATAACCTACCACTCATTCATTTGCAAATACACTAAATATGTATTTATTTAATCATAAATACTTAGATTTGATTATGTTAAGTAAGATTATACTAAAAAATATCTTTAACGAAATTCAATTAAAAACAAATTTCCTAATAGGGAAAAAAAATACATAATATTTATTTATCTATCAAAAATCAGTATTAATTACGAAATATAAGATTAATAAGACGACTCATTGATGAAAAAATTAATATTTTTGATATTTCTTATAATTTAAATCAATTTTATCTTTGCTGCATAAAATTTTAAAATGTAGATGAACAAAAATAGCACCAGATAAGTATCTCTTGACTCTAATGAGCTCCCTCCTCCTGATAGACCAGAACCAAAGGATAGAAAATTCACTTCTGAAGTAATAGAAAAAGTTATTAGAGAGGTCAAAGAACAATTAGCTGATCCTGTACTAGCTCTTATGTTTGAATAAGATTTCCCTAACACTCTTGATACAACTGTTTATTACTTTGGTAAAAACGAAACAACTGGGAGACCTGATGCTTTTATCATTACTGGTGATATTTAAGCTATGTGGTAGCGCGATTCTACAAATTAGGTTTTACCTTATCTTCCTTATGTTAATGAAGATTAAAAGCTAAAAGATTTGATTATTGGAGTTATCAATAGATAAATACACAATGTACTCATCGATCCATATGCTAATGCTTTCAATTTTAAAGAGCAAGTATCTCCCTTTACTACTGATAATACTACAAAACTACTTCCAAATAATACTCGTGTATAAGCAATGAATCCATACATTTGGGAAAGAAAATATGAAATAGATTCTCTTGCTGCAGTCTTGAAGTTGTAGGTAGAATTCTATGAACAAAGTGAAGGTGATGATAGCTTTATGCATGAAGATTACTTCAGAAGCTTAGAAATTATTTACTAAACTCTTGTGGAGAATCAACTTGGAACTAAATAAGAAGATTAAGTAAAAAGAATTCCATACACCTTTTAACGTGAAGCCAGAAACCCTACTGATACTTTAAGTCATGGCAGATAAAATTTATGTACTGGATAAGGTGGCATGATAAAAAGTGCCTTCCGTCCATCTGATGATGCCTGTACTTTTGCATATTTTGTTCCTGGTAATGCTATGCTTGTTACTTATTTACAAAAAACAGCAGACATCATTCAAACTAAGAACCCTGATCTCAGTTAAAAGTTATCTTAGCTTGCTTTTTAAATTAAACAGTCAATTTATTCAAAAGCTATTACTAAAGATATAAATGGAAATAGCGTTTTTGCTTATGAAACTGATGGCTTTGGCAACCACTTTAAAATGGATGATGCAAATATTCCAAGCTTGCTCAGTTTACCCTATTTGAAATTTATTGACCAAGATGATCCTCTTTATTAAAATACAAGAAACATGGTTCTTGATTCAAATTAAAATCCTTACTACTTTAGTGGAAAAGATGGTCACGGTATCGGTGGTCCTCACGTCGGAGATGAGTACGTATGGCCTATGGCTATAATAACAAGAGCCATAACTTCTAATAATGACCAAGAAATTTTGGAATGTTTAGAAATTTTAAAAACTACCACTGCAGGAACATACTTTATTCACGAATCATTTTTAGCTAGAGATTCTAATAATTTCACTAGAGAGTGGTTTGCTTGGGCTAATACATATTTTGGTGAATTAATATTAGATTTATTATAGAGAAAGCCTTACCTTTTGACAAAAAAGGTATCTGAAAAATGATTGATATATATGCCAATTAAAACTTAAAAAATAATTATAAATATTTTTTTATAATAAATTAAAATAAATAAATAAATATGTCTGATTTAGAATTATTTTTGTGCAATTTTTACAAAATTTTATATCAAAAAATAAAAAAATTTTCTTATAAATTCATACAATAAAAAAAATATATTTTTATAAATAAAAATGAATGAAAATATTAAATTTTGAATCAATTTATTTTTTCAAAATACACGAGATCATCATTAAATGGAGTGTAAACTGTGTTTAAACTCATTCTAAGTTTTTGCTGATGATTTGGCTTTACTAAGTAGTTCATTACTAAAAAGCAGATGATTACTTTGGCATTCATCATTCCTAAGTGTTGTCCAATGCAACTTCTTTTTCCAATACCAAAGGGTGAAAAGGGGGCTGATTCCATTTTCTTACTGTCATTCCATCTATCAGGATTAAAATCTTGTGGATTATCATAGTATTTTGGATTATTGAGTACTCCAATAAAATGTGTATCCATCAACATACCTTTTTTCATTTCAATTTATCCTACTTTGTGATCTTTTATGCAAACTCTTGGGAGTACTCCTACAGCTGGGGGATGTATTCTCAAAGATTCTTTAATTACACACTATAAGTAGTTCATTTAATTTAAGTTGTCATAGTTTAACTCTTCGAAGTTATTTATTATGCTCTTAATTTCTTAGCGAAGTTTAGTTTAAAAATTTTAATTGTGAGATAAATGATAAAGAGTCAGTGCAACCAAGTCTGCTGTAGTATCAGTGCCTCCGAAGAAGAATGTCATAAATTAATCAATCATTTGCTAAATATCTTTCTCACTTTCAGAGTTTTTTTAGATGTAATCTCTCAGAAGGATATCAAGAAATAGCTCACTTTATGAAATATCCAAATTACCGCTTTTAATCTATTTTAAGCGGTTTTAGATAACTTCTTCTGTTGTATCTCTAAGATTTTTCATTCTTTTTAAAAGATCTTCTTCTCCTTTAAAAGGCTTGAACCCAACAGCTTTTTCTTTTAAGATAACCATTTTTAATTTATAGTAAAATGAACTCTATATGTAGTTAAAACCTTCAATAAGTACATTTGACAGCTCTTTTTGAATTTCTACTCCATTAATTTATTTACCTCTAAAGCTAATACCAAAGAAAGTTTGGAAAATTACATCTGAAGTAACTTTTTCACTCATATGAAGTGCGTTTATTGGTTTAGAAAGATCTAATTACTTGCTAGAATAGATTTCCTATACAACTTATTTTGTCACAGGAAGTCTACTTTTGATGTTTTAGAATAGAAAAGTATTTGCCAAGAGTTTTCTTTATTTTTACCACTCATCACCATCAGTCATAAGCATTCCTTTATCAAAAAGATATTATAGAGTTAAAATTCCTTTAAGCTTCTCATAGTAATCGCTGTAGCTCTAATGAACTTCCTTAACCAATTCAGCATCTTAAAAGTTAACTACAATATCTACTCCTAAATTGTACAATATAGCTTTTGTATTAGGCTTTTTTTAAATTAAATCCCGTATAAAGTAGAGAGCATCCCCATACTTCTCAAAAGATTGCTAATAAAGATTAACTATTCCCCCTACTGGTGAGAATAAAACTTCAGTATCTTTGTACTTTTTTGCTAAATGTAAAAGCTTAATCTTAGGTGAAAAGATTAATAGTAAAATACAAAAAGTAAGAATTGTTAAGAGACTTGCAATTAATATTATCATTGCTTCTTTACTTTCTTTTTATTTTAAATTTATTTATATTTTTGATTATTTATTTATATTAATTGTATTTATAAATTTAATAACGTAGTTATTTTGAAATGGCTATTTGATCTACTTAAAGCTAATTAAATTTTTAATCGAAAGTAAGCAAATCTTAGAAATTATTCATGAAATTACTTACAACATTTATAAATTTTAAAATTTAATTAATCCAAATGATATAAGAAATACGATAAGAAATAAAATAAAAAAAATATTATATTAATCTCTTTCTGAATTTATATAAAGTAGTTTATCCGTAAAATTAATAATTAAATCTGGCATATTATGAAGCTAGAATAATATCTAAGAATTATTCAGTAAATGTGGTTCAGTTAATTACTCTATATATTAATGAAAAAATAAGCAATTTAAAGTGTTGAGTAAATATCTTTATTTTTCTGTATATTACTCAAATAAAATATAGTTAAAACATTGACATTAAAAATTTTTATTTTATATAAAAAAATAATAAACAATAATTTATAAATCAAATAAAATGATAAAATGAGTGATTCAGAAGATTAAAAGAAAAATAACTGATGAAAATGAATTAGATTATTATTATAAATTATACATGATAAGGTATGGATAAAAATATAAAATATCAAATTTTATGAATAAAAATATGTAATAATAAAATTTAACATCAAATGAATTATCTGAAATTTTAGTTAAATTAAAATTATAAAAATATAAATAAAATAATGAAGATAGATATTAACTTATTAACAATCTTTAAATTTAAATTTAGATGAACGAAATACAAAAAAAGAAATACTTGAAAAGAAAAATAAAACTTATCATTATTTAAAAAATTAAAAGAAAAAAAAAGAATTTACCTAGATAAATATGAATATTTTATGAAAAGAATTTTTAAGTTAATGTGAAAAATAAACATTCAAAACGGGGAGGACTCATTTTTTAATGGAAATTTTTTAAAGCCGTAACAGTGATGCCTAGATGATTACAAGTTTTTAATGAGTTGATTAATTGCCCGATCTTATTAATCTAATATCGTGTTGTGAGAGGAATTTATAAAATAAAAATAATAATAATAAAAAATAAATAAATAAAAAATTATTAAATATTTGATTTAAGATGTATTGTATTGTATGCATTTTTATGTGCAAATATTTCCATTCTATTAAGTATTCTAATTTTTCAATTAAACTAAAGTAATGAAGTGTTAAGCTAAGCAACTTATTCATTACTAAAAGTACTATTTCTATTTATTTTATAAATAATAATATAAGAATTTAATTTATAAATAAATTAAAGATATGAAATTTTATTTATTCTTAATTTTTTAAATTTATAAAAATGAGAAAAATTTTTTAAATATGTTTTTTATTAACTTTCAGTCGTCAGTCATTATGAGTTGGAGCTTTAAAGTTAGATTTCATTAACTATTTATTTAAATAAAAGATTTTATAATACTAAATAAAGTTAATAACGATGGATACATCTTCTCAATAAATAATAGAGTTATCCTAAAATATAAAGAACTTAGAATTTATTATTACAATAGTTTTATTATCAATTTTTTTTTTATTTTAATTAGATTTATCAGCTTAAATTAAAATTTTTAACATCAATGACTCATTCATTATAAAATTTCTTTTTAGTTATTTAATTAAATTAATTTTTGTTAATTTTGATTAAATTTAAAAAAAAAAGATTTTAAATTTTAAATAAAAAAAAATAGACTTTAGGATATTTTTTAATAGTATTTTTAAGGAATTAATGTTTTTTACGATTTTTTAATTTTGATTGATACATTAGATTTATTCATTCAATTATTAAAATAAATTGCTATTGTTTAAATGGTTGCTAAAATTATTTGTATTTTTTAATAAATATTTATTTTATTTTTTAATTTATTTTAAAAGAATTAAATTTTATTAAATTAAAATTTTTTTTCTTATTTTTGATGATGGATTTCTATTAATTAAAATATTTTTAAAAGTCTTTCTTAATTAAAATTAAAAGAAGTATCATTTAACTAAGTATGATACCTAAAATTAATTAGTGAATATTCACCATGATTTTCATTACAATCTTCAAAATTTCAGGTAATTAATACTAATAAATTACTCATAATTTTACTTTTATTTTACAAAATAATTTTAATAAAGCCTTTGAAATTAATATTTGAAGTTTTGAGAACAATGTTTTTGATATCATTGGAAATACTTGGCAAAAAAATGTATGGCAAATGGCAGGAATTATAAATAAGCATTTTTAAGATGCAAGAGACTGACTGCTATTAGTATTAATGAAAATAAGTGATCATTATTTAGTTTTAAATAATAAGCTATAAATCAATCATTGAATAAATAAAACAATAGATTTTGTGAGAAGAGACTCAAAACTCAAAAAGAACATAGGATATATAATAAAAAATATAAATTGACACTCACAAATCCTACAAATTTAAGATTAAAAGCAAGCAAATAAGGAAGTAAAGAAGCGTTAACACAGAAGAAAGAAAGAAATGATTCAAGATATTTCAACTGGGGTTTAAGACTTCGACTTTCAGAGATAGCAATAATTGTCATCCCAATAGGATGATGAGGATGATCGTAAATGATTACTTGAATTTTAGAAGTTTATTAGCCATTCATTTTATATGATATTTGCGGAATTTTTTTGTAATTTTAAGAAAATAATTTTAAATGATAGTCAATAGCTGAATGATGTAGTATTGCTCAAGATGCTTTTAATTATCTATTTTTTCCAGAATTTAATGTTTATTCCTCCATTTTTCATAGCAATGATAATCCTTTTCTATGACTTTAATATTTATTTTTCTTAAAACATTTATAGAGAACTCAGAAACTAGCAGTGTTTTTGATGAGAGATAGTTTATTCGAGTCAGCACAGCACCTCCTCGCCCATTAACAGATATAGAAGAATTTAAGAGATCTTAGGAATTTATACTTTTAGAACAGGCTGTCGTTTGCTCTTAGCATTTAATACAAAAGCATTACCAAAAGTATGATCTTGACTCATAAGAAGGTCAAAAAATTTGTAAAAGATATTTATCCATAGTTGAAAAAATGTGCGAGGTAATAAATAAATAAAATTCAATCATTTATTGCTTAAGTAGAGAATGATTAGCAAGATACTTCATAATTAAATTCTTAAACATAAAAAATAACTAAAAATTAAAATGATTTAACCATATCAGGGCATTCAATTCGATTTAAATTTATTTAAAATTTCATAATCAAGCTACATAATGAGAATATAAAAATTTAAATAATAATAAATGGAATGAATAAAGTAGTGTTTTTGACTGAAGCAAGATATAAAAAGAGAAATATTTCTTTGAAATAAAACAAATTTTTATTTTAAAGACATATTAGGTTGCTACAGCATTGAGGGATTACAGAAAAGAGTTCTCTAAAGCATATAAAATATTATATAAAGAAGGCTAATTGTGTTACTTGACAGAAATTTTAGATAGCGCACAAGAAGGTAATATTAATTAGTTAATCTATCTATCTTGAAAACACATTAAAAAAGATCAAATGTGCATATTATTTATTTAATTAAGCATCAATATTTTAAGAAAAAAAATTTTAAATGCTAAAACAGTTTTAAGCTAACTTTTTTATAGTTCATAGCAAATTTAAAAGAGAAGATAAATTCTTAATTAATTTCTATAAACAAAGGTTTTCCATATTTATGGGTAAATGGAGAGAAGTATGTTTTTTCTCCAGAAGTATTGGAAGCAGGATAAAAATTACTTTAAAGCTTTTTCAAAATGTAACATATAATGAGAAATGCTTACAGTAGATCTTGCTAAGAAAATATAGTAAATTGTTCTGCATAAGCAATTAGATAAGAGATAATCCTCAGCTTGGAGAGTTTTGACGACTGTTGGGCAAAGTTTGAGCAAGTAATCATTTTATTTAAGGAATTAATATATCTCAACAAGTTAACTAGTACTAATTTAGCAAATGCACAATGCAGACTTTATAAAATTTGAGAGTTTTAATGATCATATAAATTAATATATATATATAAAGAGTATTAATAAATAAATATGAAAGAAAGTTAAAAGTAAGCAAAGAGAGATAGAGTTTACAAAATAAATTCACTTTTAAAAGTTTCATCATTAGAATTAGTAAAAATTATTCCCACTAAAACAATCTATCAAAAATTTGTGATAAAAACTTTGTTTGTTTTAGATGTAATCAAACTAGGTATTTTTGGTCATAGATTAATTAATTAAATAATTTAGATAAATTAATCTTACGAACAAACTCCATAAATTAATAAATACTTAACTTAAAGAAATTAATAAAAGATTAAATTATCAACAATATTTTCAAAGCAAATAATAAATAAATCTTTAATTTAAATTAAAATTTATTTTCTTTCAAAAAAAGCTTTATGTTATAGAATTGATGTTAATTGAAACAGATGCAAGAAGGTTCATTTAAAAGGCCATTGATGTTGAAAAAGAACTTCAGTCTATAGAAATAAGAGAAAAAATAAAAGGGAGGATTTTCTTAATGGACTCAGAAATTACAAATTATAAAAAAAAGCTTTGTAAAATAATATCACAGATAAATGCTGTAGCGAATGTTGATGGAAAGGGAAGAGATGATTTGCAGTTTGAAATTTTGTAAGAAAGTGAAGTTATATTGAGAACCATAACAAAAGAATAGAGCTAAGCAGTTAGATACCTAGCAGAATAAATTAGAAATTCTTTTTCTAAACTAAGAAATCTGTTCAGAAAATATGAACAAAATATAGAAATGGTAGATCCTTAATTAAAAAATAATTATGACTTAGTAGAAGCTTTACAGGAGTATGAAATGAGCTGGGAAAAAGGAAAATCATACTTTTTAGACCCTAAAAAGTGTATATTTTTAAAACATTTTTCTCATATTATCGAAGCTACTGGACAGAAACACAAAGACTTTTAAGAACAAGTAGACTGCAGAGATGCAGATATATTCCTTAATATTCCATGCTTGATGGTGCTTAAATGCTTAAATAATGAAGACAAAAATATTTGCCGTTTTTTCCTTCCTTAACTGTATGAACCATAAGGAAATAAACATAACACTATGTTTGAAAACCTAAAAGAAGAGTTTAATGCATGGAAATAAGGCCATATTAAATAATACGAATTCCACAATATCCTTGAAAAAATCCTTTTAGGAATAACCTTGAATATAAATGATTAAGCAACTATTGGTGAATACAACCGCTAGGTGAACAACATTGTTCATAAAATAAAATAGCTTGCAATGGAATTGCAAAGGAATAACCCTATGGAGTGGAATAATTTCTTAGATGCTGCATTATGCTAGCCTCCCAGCAATAATGCACTCTAATGAAACATTAAAATTTTAATTGAATACTCGAAAATCTCTTCCTAATACTTATCTTAATAATTCAACTTATTCTTTTTCAATAGATTATTATTAAAATTACCATTAAATTTATGGAATTAAGCAAAAAATCCTGTTATTACTTAAAAAAAAATAATCAAGCTAGCATACCATAAACTTAGTCTCTAGTGGACTTCTTTACTCTTTTACTTACTTAATTTGGTTAATAGCAAAATTTAAATAGATTTAACAAAAATTATAAAATAAATACAAAATTTTAAAAATATAATTAGTTTAAATATGATTTTATTAGAAATTTGTTTCTTCGCAAATTCTAAATGATATTTATCACAAGCTTCTGAAAGCTGAATCTTACTGAGTGATTGGTTAGATTTTAAGTTTTTATATTGTTAGATTACCTTAAAAATGATAAAAGAAGAAGCTTATTATACTTTTATATACAAATGTATAGTTTATATTCTAATAATATTTGATTAATTACTAACAAATAAATGAATAAATTTTATTTCAATGTTAAATGTTAAAAATAATTTTGACATATTTATATTTTTTATAATAAAAATCTTACTAAACTAAATAAGCAACATATAATATAAAATAAATTAAATTAATCGAACTTGTTTTTTAAAAAAATTAAATTATTCCTTTCTAAAAATATTAAAATTAATTATGATAAAATTTAATTTTATTTAGATTTAATTATTAAATTATTTATTTACAATTCAAATTATAAAGGATTCTTACAAAAATTGAATTTAAATTTAGCCTTTTATTTGTTGTAATTTATTTAAAATGTATTTATTATTATTGTAAATTAGTTTTCTATTAATTTTTTTTCCTTTTTAAAGAAAAACAAACACACTTATTATATTTATAAAATTAATTGTGTATTATTTATTTAATATTATTGTTACTGATTATTTAATTATTAAAATATCTTTCATTTAAATTTAAATATTGAAAAAATTGATTTAGCTTAATTTAAATTAGAGTAATAACTTAATGTAAAAGGTATGAATAAAACACTTGAGTTAAAACTAATTAGAAAATTCTCCAATATTATATTAAGTAAACATATATAAATAAACAACTCAGTCTGTCTTTGTTTTATGTTAATTTACAAAATTAATAATAATAATAATATCTAAAGTATTTAAAATGTTTAAAAATTATAAAATAATTTTAAGAAGCTTTATCAATTATAAAAAGTGGTTAGGCCAATAAATTATAAAAATTAATAGGTTTTGAGTAATCATCTGCTGTAAAGGAAATATAGATAGATAGTAATTTATTTATTTAGTTTTTACTGTTTTTCTTGTTACATGATCAAAAATATTACTAATTGTTAGAAGGGTTGAAAGGCATAACAGATTACACTTATACTTTTTCATCTTATTCTGAATTCCATTCGTTGGACCAGTTATTTGGATATTAAGAACTATCTTTGTTTATTATATTACTGTTTGAAAATGGTTGAACTAAAAGATGATTTGGAGTTTATAAATTAATGTTTTAACTCGTTATATGATTTATTAAGGCTTTGTTGCCTGCAGAACTGTTTTCTAAACCTATTTTCCCTTCGAAGCTGTGAGTCTTTTTTAAATAAGGAGTTTTATAATTTTGAGCTTCTAGGTTGTTTGATGTGTTAATTTTATCATCATTTTAATTATTTACTGACAAAGCTAAGTTTAATTGACTAAATGCATGCTACTGATGCTTTGAGAAGTTATCTTCAGTTCTGAAAATAGGTATCCGCTTTCTTTCACCTTACCTAAATTCAGAAACAGGGATATCATCTATATTATCATCGTCATTATTGTCATAATTGTCTAATTACTTTTTGTAGACTTCATTGCTTACTTACTTATTTAAAATTGCTAACAAATCGCTATCATTTTTATTTTAAGGTATTAAATTTTTGCTTGATACTGCTCCGTTTTTACTCTAAGTCATTCCATTTTGAACATTACTTAAACTATTGACTATTCCTACAGTGGTTTTAGTTTGAGGAACCTCAATTTAATTTTACTTTTTATCTTATTAGATCATAGTTTAAGAAATTTATTTTTGATCTATTATTTATGGAGTGCTTGGAATTTGCTATTTCTAAGAATTTCCTAATGTGTTTTGATTTTAAATATTCTTGCTACTATTAAAAGGATTGTTTTGTGGTGAAGTATCTTGTAAATTTTTTGTTGAGACTGCCTTATTCATTAATTTTGCCTAAAGACTGCAATTTTTAGGACACCAATCGTAACATGATTAGCTTTCTGGAGTTGAGAAACTTTAATTATAGCATGAAGAAAATAAAGAACGATAGCGATCGTATTCAGGCGTTTATTCGAATGTTAATGACTTTACTAAGTTTAAAAATTCATGAAACTATTTAGGTAGTCCCCTGCACATGTGTTCATGTGGAGTAGTTTACTTTAATTCAGCTATTTTCTTAAAACGCTCTTCCTTTTCTTTGAATTAAAGATTTTACCAAACTAAAGTTCCCTTGGCAAAGTAAAGAAGTAAATACGCTAAACTTTCCATATCATCTCTTCTACTCTATTCCAATCCAAGATGAGAATTTATACTCGTATATCTTGCAGTGCCAACTAGACCTTTATTAGTTTTTTGCTCAATATGATTTTTGTTTTCATCTATGTAATATTTTGATAACCCAAAATCTATGATATACACTTGATGATGATATCCTTCACTGCCTATAACGAAATTTTCTGGCTTAATGTCACGATGAATAATACCTTTTTCGTGAAGGACTTATAGCCCTGAAATCATCTAGTTAGCTATAAGTAAAACTGTTCTTAAATTGAACTTTCCGTTCATTCTCTTCTTCAAACTTTCCAAATTTGGACCCAAAAATGACATTTCAATAAAATTATAAGTAGATAACTCGCTGAAACGACTGTCATAAAGAACAGCAAAATATTTTGAACCCTTCACTTATATCATAATCTAAGCCTCCTTCTTGATGAGAGAGTATCTATTCTTCTTGTCTTTTTTTTCAAATTTCATGGCAGCCCATCTAGCGCGCTTGCTATCCCAGACTTTAAAAATATCACCAAATGAACCTTAACCTATTTTTTCAATAACTTCTAGATGAGGATAATTCCTTAACTCTTTTTTTATTATTACTAGCTATTCTATGTTCTCCCTAATTTACTCTTACTTTAATCTCTCTTATTGCCCTCCTATCATCTTGAACGAGCCAGATGTTTCTACCTATCAGTTCTTGATACTAATAAAAACCAGCTAGAAATATTCTTAGCTATTTATTTGTTGGTATTTTAAAATTTTTATTAAATTAAAAAGTTTAATTTAGTACAATATAGTTCGTTCCTGTCGAAAGTTTTGAATTGATTAGTTATCTATTTATTTTTTTTTTGAATTATTGTTTGTAATGAGTAGTTAATGAATGAGCTATTTAATATTTTTTTGTCTTTCTTTCTTTTTTCATATTATTTGCTATATATCTTTCTTAAAGCCTTTACTTTCATTTAATTCTTTTTTTAAGATTTCAATTTACATTCTAACAAAATATTGATCTTAAGACTATGTTTTTTATCACTCATTTCCTTACTTCTTGAAAGAGCTAAAAAACCCAGATAGACCATAATAAAAACCAGTGTATTCAGTGCTGGCTTGTCCATTGATTTGATGTAATTAGGAGTTTTTATAAATTTTTATGTCATGTACTTACCTCTTGATCCTTTACAAAATTACTCAAAATAATTTGGTATAATTTAAAACATTCTAAACAAACTTACAGTTATTTTAGTCATAAATTCATATATAATTTCAAAAATTAATTATATTTGTAAGAAAGGATTATATATATTTTTTTGATTTATTAAGGCTAATTTATTTATGATTATAAAATTAACCTCTAAAGGTAAAACCAAAATTAAAAATCTAAATTACTTAATTGTAAATATGTTAATTAAAACAATCTACCAATTTACCACCTGAATTGTTAAATATAATAATTAATTCTATAGTTAAAGTTTTAATTAAAAAGAATTGTATTTTAAAAAACCAATTACTTATTATTTGTACAATATTTTTATTTTACAAATTTGAATGCATTTTCTTTTGAATTGCAAATTTAATTTTTAAAATCATATTTTTTAACTCAAAAGTGTTATGAAAAAAAAAATATACCTTACAATAAAAATATTTTGAATATATAATCATCATTTTACATTTGTATTTATAATATATGTATTCAAATATTTGGAAATAGTATTTATATAAATCTTTGATAAATTTAATAGCTATTTTTTAGATTTGTTAGTTCTAGACACATACTGAATTCTTACAGTTAATTTTTTTTCAAAAAGAAATAGATAGTAATTATTGTATTTTAATATCTATTAATACCAAACTATTGCATTAATAGAATGTATTGTTAAATTTATCCATTAAATAGGATGTTCTAGAATAAATATTATCTTAAATATAAAAGAATTGAAAACTTTAGTAAATTTTTTATTCAAAATATTAATTTTTGTGTAATTTTAATATTAAAATTCATAGATAAATTTAATATAATATTTAAATTTTGATTTAATTATTTAAATTGCATAGAAATTATAAAATTTGATTAATAATATTTATATTTTATAAAGTTTAATAAAATCTACTAATTGTTAATCTCTCTAGTTTATTAACAAATAATTTATTCTTGAATCAAAACTTTTATTATTTACCCATTTTTATAGAATAATTTTTTTAAATCTTTAGCTAATATTTTATTTAAATTTAGATAATAAGAATTAATTTAATAGTATTAATAAATTTTAATTTTATAATCAGACTCTTTAGTTTAAAAGAATTTCTTAAAAGAGGTCTTCAACTGTAAGCTCATAATAGATTTTTAAATTTATTTTAGATTACCCAAGCTGGAGGATAATCAGAATATCTTCTCAATTTCTAATTTATGTTTTAAGTTGTTAATAAAAATTAACATTTAAAAAAGAAAGAAAAGTATATAATATCAGCAATGTTATAGTGAAAGTAATTTTTTGTGTGAATGTGATCACTTTTTATACATTTATTAAGTTACATCTGTCATGCTATCTAAGGTATAAAAGTATTTTTTTTTAAACAATACATTTTTTATCATGAGAAATGTGTTAATATAATTTTCGTCTTCATTGGCTAACCAATAATTAAAACAGTATGAACATATTGATCTTAGAATTCAAGATGCCTACAAGCTTATCCATCTGAAATACATACAAAAAAAGGTCATTATCTGCTATCTCAATTTATTTTATATTAATTAAATTCCTTTTTTAAATAGATTAGTTAATCTTTATAAGGTAAATTTTAATATACTCGTTTAGTTTTCCGAGAAAAAAAATGAGATTCAAAGGAAAATAAATAAGTTCCTATGAAAATATATCACCAATTTATTCATTAATAAATCTAAAAATACAACTATATTTGGAAGATAAACCACAATACCATCAGGAGTAAACTCAGTTACTCTATTTATAATTTTTACTTAGTTTCCTAATAGTATAGGAAATTTTATGACCTTTTATGACTTGGAGGCTGATTAATCAAATATCCCATGTTGTAAAAAGATTTTTTTACACTTGAACTTAGCATGATACTCTAAATTGAATCTTAGATTTACTAGCTTCTTAATCCTAATAATTTTGAGGTACACACGTTTAATTTTTTTATAAAATAAAGTATTTTTTAAAAATTCTTTTGTTACATTGAGAATTTTTATTTACTTTTTATCAATAACATAACAAATAGTTCAATTTAAAAATCATAATTAATTAAAATAGAATATTTAAATTTATCCAGTATCTGTAATTAATTTATGTTCCTAATTTAGGAAGTAATAAACATTGGTAATATTTTTAATTTATAATCATAAATTATTACTCATAGTAATATTTATAATTTTATTGGTACTAAATCATTTAATTTATTTTATCAAATGCTACCATATAGTTTAATCTAATATGTACAATTAATATTTTGGTTTTGAGGTACAGTTTATTAATTTGCTTTAAAGATACCAAATAGTTAAGCCAAGAAAGAAATGTATTTTTTATGTAACTTTATTTAAAAATATTTAAATTAGATTCTTAATTATAATATTTTTAAAAATATGTAATCTAGGTTTTGTTGCTAATTTTTTGCACAATTCAAGTGACCAAGCTAATAGATTATTTTATTGAAAAATCAACAAAAAATCAATGAATACATACATAAAAGATGGATAATTAATTAGCCTTTATTTAAATGTAAATAAAATAGATAGATCTTTATTATTTTTCAGTATAACTATAGTCCATAAATAGACTAAAGAAAAACATTTAAAAGTGATGGGAATTATTATCATTGGATTAGCAAAAAAAGTACTGAAAAAAAAGTTTTACAAAATGATAATATTCGATAAAAGAATGAATAGAAATTAATATAAATCATCAGCGATTAAAAAGTGCGAAATCATAGATAAAAATTATAATCAAAACATTTGTTTATATTGATAAATAAGAAGATATAACAAATTTACATATAAAAACTAGTCAGTCATATACCAATTAATTTTAACATAAATAGAGAAGCCAATTTGAATAATTATGCTGAGTAGGAACTCAGGGTAGAGCTAATCAGCTGTGACTCTACCTAAGATTCATTAATAGAAATCTTAATCTCACACAAACTTGGATGAAAACATTATAGACTTAAAATAAAACATTCGCTTAAAGACAGACTTTGATATGTATGAATAGCATAGAATGGAAACTACAGATTCACTTGGTCACCAAGGATTTTTGTATAATGCATAAAGCCCCAACTTCTTAAATATTAGCTATCAACATAGTTCAATGAGTAATAACAGAGTTTCTGAAAAAGATTCTCCTCTCACTAAGAAATTATATTCTTCAGCTTTTAAAAGTAATGGAGCACGTTTTTCATTAAATTGTAGTGTTAATAGCTCACCAAAAATATTTATGAGGACATTAAAGGGTTTTTAGGATAAATCAGTTTCTAATATGAGTGAGCGCTCTCATTTTCATTTTACTAGGTTGAAAGATGGAACACAAGTAGATAGGTATGGAAGAACAAAGGAATAAATTGAGGAGGAAAGATCAAGAGAAAATGATTTAATTTAATTAAAGAAACTGAACGAAAGTGATGATATGCAATTGGAAGATAAAAAATCCAAAGAAATAGTTGGAGAAGAAGCTATTGATTAATATTATGGACATTACAAAAATCTTTCTAAGATAGTTTAGCAAAATAACTTTTACTAGGTTTAGCGTACCAAATTTTATTGTTATTTATCTCCTTCATTATTAGATTACTAACTAATATATACTTTTGCATTCTTATTTTTAGATAAACTAACTCATTTGTGTGATAACTCTAAAGAGTGATTAAATTTCCTTTTCACTAAAATTACACCAGAGAGATATTTAAATAAATAAATAAATATGAGACAAGTCAATAAATACAATTTAACTCTTCATTTTTAAATAAATAGCTTCATTACAAACAGATATTTTAAGAGAAGTAGAAAAGAGAAATGTAATTCCATCGAAACTAGGACTAATCAAACAATCTGGAGATGAAGATACTTTAAAATTAAGGTACTTTTTACAAAACTTAAAAAAAGCTTATTTTTTTTTATTAAAGTCACATGCAATACGGAGATTAGTATGCCAGTGTTTTATCATAAGGATTAAAAAAAGTTGCTAATATTAAAAAATTTCATTTGTAGGATAATAGAATATCTGAAAAAAGTGCTGCAGAACTAGTATCAATTATTTCTAAAAATGCAAAAGAAGTCAATTTAGCTAACAATAATATTGGAAAAATTGGCTGTGAAAATCTATCTCGCTCTCTTTAAGAGCCTAAGTGTCAGTAAATATTTTTTTTTCATCAACCTTGATTATTTATCAAAATTAATTATCTCTTAATTAGGATTCAATTTTATTTTTCACAATAATGTTGATTTTACAGCTAAAAAAATGTACTGTCAATTCTCATAAATAATAAATAGCATTTTGCAATATTAAAAATTAATCATTGCCATTTATCTTGGAATTTTAAAAAAGAGGCCTTAATATAAATAAACTTTAATTAATGAGGATTGATGGTGTTTAAATTAAAAAAATTTAATGCTCATCAAATATAATTTAAAAAGAGGCATTAAATATTTTAAGTTAAAGATAATTTTTATAATTAATGTAATAATATATTATTAAAAGACTTGAAGTTCTTAATTTGGAAGACAATAAATTAGGTGATTATGCCATTATTATTCTATTAAAGGGAATTATGTAAAACAAAAGCTTAAAAATTCTTAATTTATCTAAAAACTATATCACTGATAAAGTATGCATAGACTTAAAAAATATTTTAGAATAAAATGAACTCTATGAGCTTTATTTACATTGGAATTTAATTAAAGCTTAAGGAGGATAATTGATATTTGAAGGTATGAAAACTAATGAATATTTAAAGGTGTTTGATATTAGTTATAATACATTGGGCAAAAGCACCAATAAAAACTCATGTGCTCCTTAAATTTGTGAATTTATCACTAACAATTAAGAATTAAGACATCTAGATTTGAGCAATAACTATTTTAATTATTAAGACTCTGTTGATATAGCTGCAGCTCTTGAAAAAAATAAGACAATTTATGGTTTCCATTTTGCAGGAAATGTAGGTTATGTAGATAGTAGAGGTTTTTTGATAATTGAAGAAGAAAGTGAGTAAGATTTAACAGCTATGCATACAAGACTAAGGATAGACAGTAATCTTTACTTTTTTAAATTTCAAATTAATTTAATTTTTTAATCATAAAAAGGCTGTAAAACTGTTGAAACTAATATATTTAGAACCAGTCGTGATAAAGATTTAAAGGATTGTTGCTGGATATGCGAAGGTTGGTAGGAAATTAAGTTTTAATGGAAATCAGGTATGTTAATTTTAATTAAATTGCTATTGTTGATAATTTTATTAAATTTTTAACTTTATTGTTTTGTAATTAAAAGGTATATCTGGTGATCTTGTAAATGATCCATTGTTTATTCATTTTAATTTTGAAGATTTTAGGGGTAATTTCTTCGGTAAAGGAGTTGCTGTTTAAGACGGTTTTTCTTAAATTTTTACATATGAAAGAGTTATTCCTCCTGGAGAATTAGAATATTTCTTTTCTGGAGAAGATAGCTCTGAAATTGCTAAAGATTAAGAAAAAAAATTTAACTATGAAGGGTCTGTCATTCCTGTAATAATTTACATTTACTAAATTTAACTTTTTTAATTGAAGTGTTTTTAATAAAAAGAATGTATTCATTTATCAAGGATAGACTATTGATGTCCCTCTTAAAGAATTGAATTATATGAATGTTCATGCAAGCAAAAAGCCATTTTTAAAATATGAGCCTTTAATTAGTATCTTACCAAGAACCAAGGATCCCGTTTATATTCCTCCTAAAAAGAAGAAATTCAAATACAAATGGACCTTCCCAATCTCATTATTTGCTAAGTGGAGAATGGATGATGAAGAACTCCTTAGAAAATGCTTTGACTTTGATTGGGATTATGGAAAAATACCAAAATTAATTAAAAATGAGGATTAGCTCAAACAAGTCAAAGAATTTTTCAGATCTCATTACAGAGAAATTAAAGATTGCTATAAGAGCTACGCAACAAAATATCCTGTAGGTGATATTTGGGCAATACAAAATCCTGCGTTCTTAGAATTTATTGAAAAAATTAAAATTATTGATAAAAATCTCATCAAAGATCCTGATATTAACTTGAAGTGGGTTGCTACAATTTCATCTATCCCATAATAAGATAAAACTAATCCCAGAAATCCCGTTTAAGGTAAATAATTAAACATTATTGATTACAGTAATAAATATTGGACTATTATAAAAAGCTATAAGCAGATATTAAATGATGGAAGTTTTAGTTAGAATAGCTGAAGAGAAGTATATTTTGAAATATAAAACTACAAGTAACTACTTTGAGGCAGTTAAGATGTTTTGGGATGAGCATTTAGCTTAAGAAATTAATTCATAATATAACTTGTAAACATGGAGAAATGAAAGATATTGGAATGAAGAATGCGATACATGTTTAAAAAATTACAAAAGAATTGTTGAGCATATCTATAAAAAGTATTCTAAAATGAAAGTTAAGCCTGGTTAAGCTCCCTTTATGTGTTTAGAAGAACTCTAGACTATCTGCAATAAGGCTGGTTTAACAGAAGAAGCTCACTTTGGACCAAATGTAGCTTTGCAAGCGTTTAACTTTTCAGTTATGACACAGGTAGATGAACTTTAGCAAGATAGAATATACTAAATGTATATTGTTGAATTTTACGAAGCACTTGCTAGAATAGCAGAAGCTGCTTCCTTGGAACCTATTTAAGGACTATATTTTGTAAATTAGTTTATATAATTGACAATTTAACTAAATTTATTTAATCAAATAGGTTGATGAAGAATGGAACTTAGAAAAAAGAAAATCTTAAATTTTAGCTCATAAACTAGAAGCCCTAATTGTGCGTTTACTTAATACACTTAGCGATGCATCATTTAAAGAGAAATATCCTCCAATCACAAAATCATTTTTTGTAAAAGAAGAAGATTCTGATGTAGAGTTAGTAAGTCCTTGAAAAAAATAAAAAACTAAAATTAAATTAAATAAAAATATTTCCAAAATATATTTAGTATATCAATCAATTAATCAATAAATACACTATAAAAAATAATTATTATTATTAAATAATATCCTTCAATTAATTGATAATTAATTTGTATTAAAAATAAAATATTATTTTAATATCTACATATTTCATGTTTATTTATATAATAAGTATCTTTAAAAGTAATTAAATATCTCTTTATTTTTTGACTTTAAAAAATTATTTTTAAAACTCAATACATCAATTTAAAATATAAATAATATAATTTTAATGATATTTATTTTTATATAAAGAGATAAAATTTTATGAGTTATTATTTTAAAAACAATAGGGGTATTTTAAAAATATTTTAATGATTTATTTTTTTACAAATTTATTTTTAATTTTACAAAAATTTTTTGAACAAGTCAAGTTAATACATATATATCTTTTGAAAATTTCATAATGAAATTAAAATTTATTAATAGTTTTAACAGTTTTAAAATTTTTACATTTTTATTTTTTATAATTAAAAAAATATAATTTAATTTAAAATATTTTAATTACTCTTAGTTAAAGTAATATTTTAATTTTTATTTTTATTATTGTGATATTTCTTTGAAATAAATTAATCTCTAAATTTATCTTTCAATAAAATAAATTTCTTATAAAATGTATTTATATTTACTTTTTGGTTTTAAGAATATTATGCTTGTGAATGGAATAAAAATAGCTTTTTGATATTTTAAATATTAAAATTTACATTTTCAAGATTTTTCTTTCTTACTTTTTTTAGAAAAAATCAAATTTTATTTTACTCACTCGTTTTAGTTTTATTTATTTAAGAGTAATTGATTTTAACCATAAATTTTGAATCATTTACATATAGTTTATTGGTATTTTTTTAAATGTAAATTTTAAATGGTTAAAATGTGTAATTTCAATTGATAATTCATAAAAATTAATTAAAAAAATGATTAAAAGTTTAGTTTCTCTTTATCAAAAAATATACTTTTAATATCAAAAATATAAAAATTTAATAAGAATTTATTATATTAATCGTTTTTTAATTTTTTTTTCATTAAGATTTGCTTTGATTGTATTGTAAACTGCGGTTAACAGCTTCAGTGACTAAATTAAGAGCGGCAGCAGGTTAGTCTTGAGGGACCATGTGACCGGAGTTATAAACAAGCTTGTATTATAAGTTCTTGTAAGTCTTAACTGTACCATAGACAGCACCATCAGCAGCCCATTAGGTAGTAGGAGCGCTGTTGAATTAACTTTAACCAGACCAGTTAAGGACTGATAAGAGTGTTTCAGTACCTATGTAAGGGACAATAAGATCTAAATTTCCGTTAAAGTAGTTAACTGGGAAGTCTTATTCAAGTAAATATTCAACTGCATTGATGGTATCGCCTTTCATGAAGTCATTAGCAAAACGAGCATAAACTGTGTTGTCACATTAGGTATATTTCTTATTTCTTAACTTGAAAAGTTATTATCCGTAAGCGGAATTGAAGAGATTTTCAAGAGCACTGGCATCAGGTTCATCTTATCTGTGGATGTTGTAGACATCTAAATTTTAAGGATTGTTAATGCTCATATCTTGATTGAAGTATGAAGAAGCAAGCTAGAATTAAGAAGCATTAATAGCCTTTTATGCTTATGCTGCAACTTGAAGACCATGTTAGTATTGGGTGTTACTAGTAAGGTTATTTAAGTGAGAGAATTCACTGAGAGAGCCAACTACATAGTAAGGAACAGTGAAACCATCAACTACACCAATACCTTAGATGTTGAAAACATTCTTTTCTTTTAAAGCTCTAGCAGCGATAGAAGGAACATACTTTCCTGCATATGATTCACCGAAAAGGAAGAGAGGAGACTTGGGAGTTAAGCCAACTTAGTTAAAACATCCATTAGGAGAGTTATAAAGTTAATCAAGAGCATAGAGGAATTATTAAGCAACTTAATCTTAGTTTTAAGGAATTTCCTTTGAAGAGTCAGCATAAGAAATACCAGTACCAATGGGTTAATCAACAAAAATAACGTTGTATTCGTTAGTCCAGGTATAATTATTAGGAGTAAAGTAGAAAGAACCACTAGAAGTTTAGTTAACATAAAGGGGACCTAATTCAAAGAAGTTACCGAATTAAGAAGAACAACCAGGACCACCATTTAACCAGATGATAGTTGGGAGGGTTCTAATTTATTCAACAGTTCTTCCCTTAGCACCATAGAAAATGAAACCAAGAGCAGATTTCAAATTTTAACCAACACTCAAATAACCAGAGTAACTGAGTCCGTCATAAGCAGTGAAGTTAAGAGCATTACATTCAGTGGTGACACTGAGTTTATTTTTAGGTCTGAAGTAGTCCAAAAGTTTTTCTAACCAACTTTCATTTTATTATTCTTTTTTGATTTAATCTTCTAACCTCAATTAGGCAGAGACTAAGCAAACTATTAAAGCTGCAATTAACAATCTTTGGAATTTCATTTCTTGTTATTTTTTAATTTAATTTTAATTAATTATTATTATTATTTGTAAGAAATTATCTCAAATTTGATTTACAAAGCTAATGATATCTCAAAAATATAAAGGAATTAATAATTTAATACATTCGCTCGCTCATCATAAAATTCTTTTATAAATTATATAAAAGAAATAACAATGAATAATAATTAAAGATAATGTTATTGTTCGCAAATCTTTCTGGAACATTTTTTTTGGAAGTTATTAAATTATTTTCATTATTTAAAAATTTAGGAAGGAAGTTTAAAAAAGAAATTATTTATCTAAAATAAATAGATAAATAAATAAATAAATGTTCTCAGCTTCTTCTAGAATATCTTTTCTTGATAAATATTATTTTTATTGCTGAAAACTTTATAATTAATTTAGATATTTGACAGATAATTTTGTTTTTAAATTTCTATTTTTTCTTACAAATCTCAAACTAAATAATTTAATTGATTAAATCAAATTACAAATTAATAAATGAGATCAACTTACATATTATTGTTTTTAAAATTTTCTCTTCATATTAAAACCATGACTTATCAATATTTCTTTTATATCTATTCTCATTCTTTCTTTCATATTGTTATATTTTTGATTTCTGAAAAATAAAAAACAAAAATTATATTCCTGATCGATAAAATGTATGACTTCATGATTTCTTACCGATGAAGCTAAATATCGATAAGAAAATTTTTAAAATAATAATATTTATTAGAAAAATATGCTCAGTTTTTATTATCTTTTTCTTAAATGTTTTAAAATAATAATGATAAAAAGTATAAGCATTTGAATTTTAATTTAAAAAGATGAAAATGTACTTTTCAAAACCTAAAAAAAAATAAAAAAATAAGAAAAACTCATTCATTAATAATGTGTCACACACTAAAATATAATTAATTATTCAAACAAATAAGTAAATATTTAATAGGAATAAATATATATTCTTTTATATGTTCCACTTTAATTTTCTTCTTAATTTATGAATTTGGATAAAAATAGCTAAACATAAGATAATTAACTTTCAACTAATAAATTAATGATAGACTACTTTTGTATCTTTAAAATTAAAAATATATTATGCTGATTTGTTGATTAAATATATTTTTATTTGATATTTATTTAGTATGAAACAATTTGAAGAGGTTTCAGAGCCTTCATCCTACTCACTATAAAGCAGCAATTTCTCTTTACAGAATTTTTTTACTTATTTTTTAAAAATCTACATTATTTTGTGTTTTGATTTAATATTTTTCATAAAAATAGGATTTATTCATTTAATTTCCATATTATCTTTTTGATTTTTAACATTTTTAAAAAAATTATTTATTTAATCCTTCTAAAAAACAATTCATTACCAATATCTCTCAAATTTGACACTTTCTCTTAAGTAAAAACAGTTTATTTGTTTGGATTTTTATATTTTTTAATTTTTTATTTATTAGCGTTTTATTTGACTTATTATCTTTTTCTTTTTATTATGCTTGTGTTTTTTTTTTTTTGTTAATTTAACTTATTTTTTTATTATCAACATTTGTTTTATTATTAATTAATTCATGTTTTATTTTAATTTTTTTTCATCATTTTTTTCTTCTAACTAACTAATGGTTTATTAGATATTTTTTCTTCAATAATTAAAAAGTGGAAATAAAATTGGTGATGAAGGTACATCAGGCTTATGTTCTAATTTAGCAAAGTGCACTAATCTCTTAAATTTTTCCCTTAATCTCAAGTAAAAACTGTTAAATTTATTTTTTTAGGAATGTGATATTTTTTAACATAAAAGTAGATTGAAAAGAATATAACTCTTTTAATTTTATATTAGCTTTTATTTGACTTATTTTATTATCATTTTATTATGTTTATATTTTTTTACTTTCTTCATTTGTTAATTTAACTCATTTTTTTATTTTCTACTTTTATTTATTATTAATAAATACTATTCTTATTATTTCATATTTTTTTATAAATATTTAAAAAGTTGGAATTAAATAAGTGATTAAGGTGTACCAGGCTTAGGTTTTGCTTTAGCAAAGTGCGTGAACCTCTAAAATTTAGGACTATCTATTATGTAAAATTAGTTAATTTATTTTGGAATTAAAATCTTTTTTAATATAATAATTAATTTAAAACAATATAACTCCTGAAATTATTTATTAACTCTTTATTTTATTTATTTTTCATTTTTTTGTTCTTACTCTTCTTGATTTTTTTTTCTTTGCTAATTTAACTCATTTTTATTTTTTTTATTTCATATTTTTTTTCAATTTCATGTTCTAACTTACTAATTATTTTTTTCAATATTTAAAAAGAGGTAATTAAATTGGGATTGGTAATGAAGTTGCATCAAACTTATGTTTTGCTTTAGGAAAGTGTCCTAATCTTTCTAATTTATATCTTGATCTAAGGTAAAAACACTTCATTTGTTTTGGATTATATATTTTAAAAAAAAACGTATTTAAACAATATTTATAGTAAACTTTTTTTATTTTATTTATTTATTTTTTTTTATTTTATTTTATTTTGTTTGTTTTTTTTGTTTCTTTGTTAATTTAACTCATTTTTTCATTTTCGATTTTTTTTTATTATTTATTCATTAATCCATCTATTTCTTATTGTTTCATTTTTTTCTTAGTTTTTGTTCTAACTAACTAATTAACTATAATTTTTTCTTCTATATTAAAAAGTTTAAACTAAATTTATGATAAGATAAGATAAGATAAACTCGCACACATAAATGCACTCAGAAATACATCTTAAAAGTAATTATAATTTATAATAAGTGTTTAAAATTGGTTTTTGGTTTGATAGTTTTCTCGAAAACCCCCCTTATTTTAGACACTGTTTATGATATAAAAATTTTTTAAAGTACTTTTTAGCTAAAATGGGATAATAATTTAAATATGTTATAAAATGAAAATACAAATGCAAAGTTAGATACAAGGTTTATTTATTTTTATAGATAGGATACTAATTTACAAATACATACAAAAAATAAATAAATTAATCAAATAGTTTTTAATTTACAGATAAAGCTAAAATTATGAATATGATTTTCAAGCATTTTTCTTAAATAACTAACTCTTTTTATTAATCTCACACTGAATAAATCCTAATTACCATTTTCTCATAAATAATAATTTAAAAAAAACATAAAAAATATATCATAAAAATAAATTAAACTATCTTTCAAAGGTAAATGATTTTATTTCAAATAAATATTATGAATCACTCACTACTCTCCAAAATTTTATTTATTTAGGTTTATTTAGTTGCTTTGAAAAACAAATTAACTAAAATAACAAATTATATTTAATATTGATATCAATTTAATTGTAAATTTCACAACTTTTTTATTATTTTAAAATTTTGTTTATGATGTAATTGTTTGTAGTTTATTAAACTAATTTATGGGAAATTAATATCTATTTGTTAAGTGTGTTTGCTTTTAGATATTGGAAAAGTTAATACTTTATAATGTCTAAATCAGATTGACTAATTAACTAATTAATTATTTTTGATCATAAATTTACGTATTAATTAAAATAAAACACAATTAATCAAATAAAACTAATCACTTGAATTAATTTGATTGAAATATATTTGTTTGGTAAATCTACTAAATAAATTAAATTTTACAATTTGGCTTAACATAAAACAATTCTACTGAAAAACACCAAATAATTTACTTTATTGTTAATGCTTATCATAATTACTTGAGTAATGGATTGTAAAAAAATTCGACATTTTTAAAATAATTGACGCTCAATTACTAAAGCATAAAGAAAGATCTCTTTCACAGATTTCAAGAGTTACTGGAGTTGCTTTTACTCCTCTTGCATTTAATCTGTTTTTCATGAAAACCATTCTACTAGCTAATGCTCTATATTTTAGTTTTTATCCATTACTAGCGTTCAAATTCCAAAGTCTCTCAGAAAATGCGCTTGTTCTTGTCCATATCCTTGTTAGATATACATCATCATCACTTAGCTCTGACCACAAGCAAACTTCCGCACCAATAATCTTTCCTTTTATTCCTGATATTTAAGGATTAAATGCATACATTGCTTTCCAGTTATACATTTAATTGTAATCTCCTCCTAACTCATCACCAAATCCAACGTCTAAATAAGCATAATCCTAAGATGAAAGGATTATTCTGTTAGTTATATTAGATATTAACTTAAAATTACTCATTTCTCCCCACCATTAAACAATATCGTCAGGCTAAAGTCCTAATTTGTAATTATCTTTGTCTGACCAATAAATAGCAGGTTTAGTGGGATTTATTTTCCTGTAAAGATTTTTTTGAGTTTATCTATAAAAGGTTTAGAGATCATCATAATTTTAAATATTATTATCTTTCATATATTACTTTAGGTCACTTGATTAATCCCAGCATCCTTCATCTACTTCATCACCACCTAAATGAATATACTTAGAAGTGTAGAATTAATTTTCTAGATCAGTAAGTACTCCATTAACAAGCTACCATGTTTCTTTTTGAGAGGGATCTAATTGACCATTAAATTTATCACACTATAATGCTACATTAGAGAATTGAGGACTTTTACCCCAAGAAAAAGCATGGCCTGGGGAATCTATTTCTGGAACAACTTATATTCCTCTAAGAAGAGCATATCTAACTATGTATTAAATATCTGTTAAAGAGTACTATTTTCTAAAAGAAAAAGCACCATATTGAGTCACATTTGGAAATGATTAAAGTGGATATGGAAAAGAATCGTCATCAGTAATATGCCAATGCAATACATTTAGTTTATTATATTGCATAGAATCAATTGTCTTTAGTATAGTATTAACGCTCAAAAAGTGTCTTGCGGTATCTATCATAAGGCCTCTGTAAGGGTAGTCGGGAGAATCCTAAATAGAAATAGGGAGACTTGGGATGCTCCAAGCAGAAGAGACTTCATCTTAAACAAAGAGCTATGAAAATGTTTCAAGGCCTCTAACAAATCCTACATACTTTGTTGCATTTAATTACCAATATGATGAATTTAATAAATTAAGAGAGTAAGATTCATCTTAGATAGTATCTGCAATAGTCAAATTCATATCGCTTATGAAGATATCAAAAATGATATTAGAAGGGTCAAAAGCGTTCAACATTTATTTAATGTTGCTACTAACAAAATTGCAATTTGTTGAATTGAAAGTTGATTAGAATGTCAAATTTGAATATAGATTTATCATCTAGAACACATGATCAGGGACGTACCCAGCTTAATTAACTTGAGGTCTGTAAACAATGTTGCAAGGGTTGGAAATTTTAAGCGTTTAAGTACCAAAAGTATAAGTTTTTGGTTTAGGAATAACTTTAGCAGCAATAGGATCAACTCCTGGTGTAACTTATGAAGCCACAAAAGCGATTGCTAAACAGATAACCAAATACTTTTTGAAATTGAGATTCATTTCAGAAATTTATTTTTTATTTAAGTTATTTATATTTTATCATAATATATTTATTTATTTAATTTCCTAAATCCATCCTAAATTATTTAAAAACAAAGTGTATCTTTTCAAAGTAATTTATTGGTTATTAGAATAAAATCTATTTGTTCACTTGAAAATCCATATTTAATTGATTTTATTATCCATTAATTTTAGTTTTTATTAAACCTTTTATTTTAATAATATTTGAATGGTAAAAACAATATTAAGTAATCATTTCATGGTTTTTATAATCCCCATTCAATCTTTAAGGTTAAAAGAATTATAAGCATAAATCTTAAATATTTTCCTCTTAATAATAAAGGAATCCTTGTATTTTTAGTACCATTTATACTATCTTTTTATTACCAATTAAAAATTTTTTTCAATACAAAAAATAATATAAAAAATATGAATACATTTATTTTTATTATAAATTGTAAATTGATGCAAAAATCCTTTATGATAAAAATAAAATGTAAATCTTACATTGCAACTAATTAAATAATAAATAGCCATCTAAATAGATTAATATTATTCATAAAACTTAGCTTACAAAATTAAATATTTAATAAAAAAACAATGCCAAATTTAATGCACTCCCACAAATAGAAACTCATAAATAAATACAGGTGAATGCTTGTGAAGTTGCAAAAAAATCCAAAACTTTGTATTTTTTAAAACTTTTTACTCTTAAAAAAATTTATGCTTTTTTTCAAAAAAATAAAAAATAAAATGATATACTTATATTCGATTATTTTATATAAAATTATTAAGGTTAATTTAAAATTAAATAATTTATTGAATTATTCTATTAACTTTTAAAATAATTTTAGATGTTATAGGTTGGTATTTTTAAAATTTTACTAAGATATGATTTTTATAAAAAAAACAATATGAAAGGGCAAAATATGTAATATAAACAACAAAATAGATATTTTATGCTTAAATTTAAGTAGATAATAATATAAATACATAATTCATACTATTGATGAATATATTCGTTTATCTACCTCATTTAATGTTTCATCTTCATTTAAAAATTTTTATAAAAATAGCTTTGAATGAGCTATTTAACTTTCTTCTGATAGAGAAATTGCAAGCTGTTCTTCAAAATGATTCATCATTTATGTATCTAATAAATATAGTAAGGATTAAATATTTAATTAATGATTGAACAAAAATTTACCAGTATTATATTTATTATTAGAAAGGTTCTTTGAGAATTCATCTGAGCATCCTACCAATTACAAAGCAGCAAACTACTCTTTGCTTAAAATCATCATGATTGCTTTTTTTATGAAAATCATATCTTAGTAAAATTTTAAAAAGTCTATACTACTCTCTACTTATTCTGAAATATTTTTCACAAGAAAGGGATCTAGTCCTTTCGATTTCAAAAATATTTTCTAATTTTTTAGACTTCAAAAAAAGTTAATTTAATTATTAAAGAAAATAAATTATTTTTAAGAGATAATAATAATTGAGAATAAAAACAGTTAATTTCATTAAAAATTTGTAAATGATTTTAAAATGAATGACAAAATAATTATTTACTTTAATTTAAATAAAATAGATTCTACTTTTTTTTATGTCTCCTTGTTATTTAAATCTTTTATTTTTTATTCAATGTTAATTTTTATCTTACTTAACAGTTTTCTTTAATTTTAGCACTTTCGTTTGAACGAGCAATTTTTTAGCTCTTATTAATTGATATTTTTTTATTTTTTTTAAGGTTAAAATTTTAGAAGTTAATCTACTTTAGAGCTTGGACTCAGACAAAAATTTTCATGCAAAGATTCTGAAAATAATTTGAATTCTAAGTTAAGAGGAGATTCCTATTTTTCCTAAACAAAAGTTTCCTAACTTTACTTTTCATTTATGATTAGTTGTTAATCAATTTTTTATCTGCTATTTTGCTTTTCTTTTTGTGGTTATTTTTTTATTTTAAATTAATTTTAATCATTAACCTCTTTAATTTAATCATTATTTTGTTGTGTTATATCATAGTAAGGATTCGTTAGAGAGCTTAAAACAGATTATCCTGAATGTACTTAAAAACTTGGAATTAAAATAGAGTTTTTTTTTTCTTCACTATTGGTATTATCTTTTTACGCAGCGATACTTTCCAATTTACTAGTAGGATTATTATAATATGATTCATGTTTTTTGCTGTTATTTAGTATTCTTTCAAAATTTCCTTTGTAATAATTTTTTAAAATTACAACAAACAAATCTTATTTTATAAATTTATTTGCCACATATCTACCTAAAAATCCTAAGCACATTAACAGATTTAAAGTACTGTTACATAAAGTTAAAACTTCAGGATATGAAGGGAATTATATCTATGTCAACATGACTGCTTCATCAACTTCAAAAACGTACATATTAAAATATTTTAATCCTGTACTTTAAACAAAACTTTTATAGTCCATTGTTTGATCAGATAAACTATAAGAAATGGGATAAGAATAAACTTATTCTGATTAGAGTAACAGACCTTAGCTTATCTTTGTAGTTTATTGTTGCGTCTTAAAATCAAAAGCAATCATTGAAGATCCAGTTGTTAATCTGTAAAAATTTTTGTAATTTACTTAAAATTGCTTAGATGTTGTATTATATTATTTTGTATAAAGCTTAAATTAAACAATGCCTGTATTCAAATTAATATATTCTTCTATTTAGCTTGGATTAGCACAATTTTAAGGAAGTGGATTGTATTAAATATCAGTATCTTAGCACCTATAAACATAAATAAGTAAATCAGAAAAGACATTATTAGCATTTCCTACTGCAATCGAATAATTTTTCAAGTTTGAAAAGTCAAAGCAATTATAGTTTTTTAAGGCAGGGTCTTAGCAATTTGTAATGCTTACATTAAAAAATCTTATATCTGTGCCATTTCTATAGATATACTGACCACGATAAGTTAAATATGTTTTACCTTGTTAGGATTCTATATCTTTTAGGTAAACGCCAATGTCAGCCCTTTTGAATGCAAATGCAAATAAATTATCTTCTAATTTGAAGCTTACATCATCATCAGTTATAAATATTTGTGATCTAAATTTTGGATCCATCTAATTAGAGATGAATAGATAAGTTAAATATATAAAGTACATCAAGGCAGCACTTATCGTAGTTACAGATAAAAAAGCACCTAAAACTGTGCTCTTTCTCAGTTATCTCTTTGACGTATCGAATGAATAAGGTTGTGAAAAAATGTCCAAATATTTAAAATATTCTATTAACATTTATGTCGTTTTAATTAATTAATTATTTTTCTAATTATTTAGTTTTAGTTTTTTTTATTGGAAGAGTGGTATTGTACCAATCAATTAAATTAAATAAGTCAATTAAATTTCATTATATATAAATTTTATAAAATAAACCTAATCGTAAGTTTGTTTATTTTTATTTATAATAAATTTATTCATTAATTTTAATTGCATGGTATTGTTGATACTTTTTTTTTCATAAAAATAATTATTTTTGAGTTATTTTATTCATCATTATTTGCAAAACAATAAATTTAATTCTTCTATTAGTTTTCTAAATTTATTTTTTTAAAATAAGTCCTCAGAAGAAACCTTTTAAAGAATTAATTTTTAATTTAAATAAAAATACAATATTAAACATAACTCAATAATGAATATAATCATATACATTATATTATATTCATCATCTCATAATATCAGATACAGTAAATAATCTCATTAATTAATGCCACACTATATAAACACTCAAACACGAAAATATTTTACTTTAAGCCCTTTAAATTAAAAAATTTTCTAGAATAAAAAAGATTAAAATAAGGGTAATTGCAGTAATTTAAAAATTTTAACTTCATAAAAATATACTAGAATAATAGAGAGAAATTAATTTCTACAGCATAACAATTTAACTTACTTTTTTAAATAATAAAATTTGAAATATTTTGTTTTCTGATGGGCTAACTGTGAATGAATATATTAATAAATATCAGACAGCTATTTAAAAAGAAATGTGTGTTTTCATCATCCTTATTTTTATTTTAACATAAAAAGTGGAATTTACTTTTAATAATAGTATGATAGTTTAGATTGAATTTATTCAATTACAAAGAAATATTTTAAAATAAAAGAATTCATTCACTCACATTAATGAAGAATATATTCGTTAATCTATTTCATTCAATAGTTGTTCTTAATTCAAACAATTTTTCAAAAATTATTAAGCATTTTATATTTATATATCTTAAAATAGCGAAATAGCAAATTATTTTTCAAAATGGTTCATTTTTTCTTCATCTAACAATTAATTTTTAGAAATATTAAAATTATTTAACAATAATTAAAACTATTTACTTATTTTCGATATATCTTTATTCGCAATTAATTTTAAGAATCTATCTGAGCACCCTACCAGTTGCAAGGCAGCAAATTATTCTTCACTCAAAATCATCATTATAGCTTTTTTAATGAAAATCATTTCTTGGTAAAATTTTAAAAAATCTATGCTATTGTCTACTTATTCTGAAATACTTTTCATTATTTATGGATCCAATCCTTTAGATTTTTTCATCCTTTTTGTTAATTTTTGTTATAAAATTAATTAAATATAATTAAAATTTCTTTGCTAGTAATAGAAAGCTTAAATTATATATTATGATATAATATCTATAAATACAAAAACAATTAATTTACTTGAACCTAAATAAGATGGAATCAACTTTTTTCTAGATTTATTAACTTTTTAGAGATTTAATTTTTTATCCTATATTACCTACATTAGTCGTTATTGGCTCAAGAGTTTTTTTTTTACAGTAATTTCCTTAAATTTCGGTATTTTTTAGCTTTAGTTATTCATTAGAATTTTTCCTTTTCTTCCTAACTGATTAAAATTTTAGCAATTTATCTACATTTGATCCAACAGGACTAGAAATAGGGTTCGTAAAGTTATCTGTTAAGCTTTCACTTATTTTAAGATCTTTTAGCTTGATGGGAAGTTCTTACTTTACTTAGGCCTTTTCTTGGTTTACACATTCTATTAATTAAAGAGCTTTTTATTCAAATTTTTGATTTTAAAGTAAATCTGATTATTAATATTTTTCATGTATCTGAAAAGTCAAATGATTGTTCTCTTTAATTTCATCATTATTTTGCTACAAAAGTTCAGTTTATTGGTTTATTGATGAGGAAAAAACCAATTATCTAGAATTAACATTCAGACATGGGACTTAAACAGGACTTTTATTATCCTCACTATAATTTAGATCTTTTTATTCCGTAAAATCATCTAATTAATCAGAATGCATAAAGGGTTATTTTAACTGATTATTTTAAAGCATTTGTTCAAGAGTTCCTTAGTAGTAGTTTTATAATATAGTAACAAATAAATTTTATTTTATTAATTTATTTGCCATAAATCTACCAAAAAACCCTAAGCACATTAGGAGGCTGATGGCACTATTGCACAATGTTAATACCTCAGGAAACGAAGGAAATTAAATTTATGTATACATGACTGCCTCATCAACTTCAAAAACATACATATTGAAATACTTTTATCCTGTAGTTTTAACATAATTTTAAAAATCAAAGCTTCCTTCAAATTCCTCATAAGAAATTGGAGAAGAATAAACTGATTCTGATTATAATAATAATCCTTAATTTATTTTTGTTATTTGCTTTTGTACTTTGAAATCGAATAGTTGCATTTATGCTCCAGATGTAAGCCTATAAAAATTTTTGTAATTAATTTCGAATTCTTTAGATGTTGTATTATATTATTGTGTGTATAGTTTAAACTACACAACACCAGTAACCAAGTTGATGTAATCTTCTATTTCTTAGGGATCAGCACAATTTTCAGGCATAGGATGATATTAAATATCTGTATCTTAGCATCTGTAAACATAAATGAGTAAATCAGAAAAGACATTGTTAATATTACCTACCGCAATAGAATAATTTGATAAACTTGAGAAATCAAAGCAATTAAATCCCTTTAAAGCAGGATCTTAGCAATTTGTTATACTTACGTTAAAAAATCTTATATCTGTCCCATTTCTATAAATATATTACCCACGGTAAGTTAAATAGGTTTTACTTTCTTTGGCTTCTATTTCTCTCAAGTAAACGCCAATATCCACTCTTTTGAATGCAAAGGCAAACAAATTATCTTACAATTGAAAGCTTACATCATCATTAGTAATAAAAATCTGTGATCTAAATTTTGGATCCATTTAATTTGTAAAAAACATATAGGTTAAATAGATGAAGTACATAAGAGCAGCTGTTATCACTGATAGTGAAAGAAAAGCGCCAACAATTGTTCTCTTTCTTAATTGATTTTTCGATGTATCAAATGAGAAAGGTTAAGAAAATATATCCAAATGTTTAATATATTTAATAAGCATCTGCAATTATTATTATAGAGCTTTTTATTCTACTTTTCTTTATTTACTTATTTTTTTTTCTTTCATAAAATTAATTATTATTAAAGCCTTAAATGCTTTACAAATTTAAAAAGTTAAAGAGTAAACACTAACAAGAAATAGTCTAACTTTATTTATAATTTATTTAATGAAAATTATTCATAATTTAATTAATTTCTTTTTTACTAAAAAATAAACAAACGTATTAAGAAAATTGATTAATTTACTTCCATTATTTCCTTTTTTAAATCCCTCAACAACACAGATGAGATAATAAAAAGCTTTTCAATAAAATGAAATATGAATTCTCCTTAGTTATAATCATTTAAATTATTCATGATCCCTTAATAGGAGTTTTAGTCCTAAGAGTTACATTAAGCTAATAAAAGCTTTACCTAATTTTAAATTCGATAATGATTTAGTCAACATAAATAAAATAAACCCTTATAAATTTAAAAAAAATCAATGAAATAATTAAATAAAATACAAGTAACATATTACTGAATTAATTTATAATAAATTTTATTTATTGTAAATAAATAAATAAATAAAAAAATTAAGTCGCATTGTTAAATTTTAATAAATGTAAACAATTTTTCATTTTCAACTTGTTATTTAACTTAATCATTTATAGGTTTTTTAATATACTTTTTAAAGGTATCATAAAATTATTTTATTGGTATATTATAGTTTTTTTAACTTATGTTAACACCCTAAGAAATTAGTCAAATTTTTTATCTATCTTTAATAACATAAAAATTCTATTATTCATTTGCAAGTGGAGTTGGTTCTAATTTATGAAAAAAGACAGTGTATGTATGAATCAAAACAGGTGAATTATACAATTATCTTTTTTCCTAATATGTTATTCATCAACTTTACATTATAATTTCAAAACTTTTAATAATTGATTTTTTTCTAAAAAGTTCTTTTTTACTTAATATAAGTGAATTATAATAAATTCATAAGTTGTTTTATTTTTCATATTGAGATATTATTTACAAATTTTATTCCTAAATGTCTGTCTGCCTCATTAAATATTATTATTTTTTTTACAAAAAAATAATATTGAAAATAAAAATTAATATTTAGGTATTTAATAAAACCTAACTATTAATAAGTAATCAAAAAATATCATAAGATTTGCAATAATTTCTAAATTATAAATTATAAAAATGTAATTAATTTTATGATATTCGTGAATAATTTATCTAAAGAATAAGGTTTTATGTTAAAGGAATTATATTACTTTAAAAAACTCTGAAAAGGCGCTAATATTTTGAATAAGATTAATTATATATTTAATATTAAAACAAATTAATTTATATTAATGAAGAATATATGAATTAATCTATTTTATTAATAATTGTCCATCATAAACATTTTTGCAAAAATTACTTTCAAACGGAAATCTATTTTTCAAAATTGCTCAATGTTTTTTCAGAAATTTAAAGCAAAAACTGAACTACTTTTTTAAAACTTATCCATATTTGATATATTTTTATGAGACACATAATTTTAATAATTTATATAACACCCCTAGAATAAAATCAGTGTGATAGATTTTCTGAATAATAATCAATTCTTAGTTAAAATTTTAAAAACTCAAGACTATTTTCAACTTAATCTTAAATATTTTTCAACTCTTTAACATGTATTCCCTAAGATTTAGCCTTACTTATGAGACTATATTATTAATTCAAAAATTTCTTAATAAAAAACTCTTAATTATAATTCAGAAATCTCATAATTAATATATTAAAAAAGAAAGAATTTACTAATTTAGGTAAATAAAAAATTATTTTATTTTAAAAGATACTGATTCAACTCTTTATTTTACTACTGAATTATGTATATCTAATATTTTTTGCTCTATGCTGCTCATATTGGTTACTACTTTTTTAATATATGTAGTTTTTATAAAATTTTTATTTTAATTATTAGTCTTTTAAATTTACTCAATTTTTTAAGATTTTATTCTATTCGTTAATTAATAATTTAGAAATTGCTTACTGACTAAAACAATCTGTTACACTCTCAGTTAATAATTTAATATCTATATTTAAAGGAAATTCTTACTTTTCTTAAATACTCCTTACTTAAATTTGCTAATCATATGAAGTTAATTGAATAACTTTTTATTCAAAATGTTTACTTTGCTTTAGATCTGCTTTATGCTACTTCTATCTTTTTTAAATAGAAAAGTTTTTATTTTCTTTTATTTCATCATTACGTAAATATTTCAAATTATTTGATTATTTAATAGATATGTTTTATACAATCTATCTAGATTTAAAAATTCATATTAGGAATTAAAACGTGAATTTTATTTTCTTCAGTAGGATTTAAATCTTTTTAATCTGAAATAATATCTAATTAAATTTGGATTATTTAAAAATTATACCTCCTTGTTATTTTAAAGTGCTATTTCAAGAGTTCCTTAGCAGTTAGTTTTGTAAGATGGTAACAAGTAGATTTATTAATTTTTTAGCCACAACACCATATAAAACTCTAAAAACATTAGAAGGCTGAAAGTAATATTGCATAATTTTAATACTTTAGGTAATCAAAGATATTATAATTATATATTGATACATGACATTCTCACCAACTTAAAAAATATATCTATTGAAATAATTATATTGCTTAGATTGAGCATATTTTTAATAATCAAAGGAAAATCATTAAATTCATTATATGATATTAGTGAAGAGTTAACTAAATTAAATTTTAATAACAGATCTGAGCTTATTAGATTAATAATACATGCATATTATTTTAAAAATAAAACAAATTTTACAAAAATTTTAAATCATACATTTTAATGTTTACCTTAAAAATAATTAAAATAAATCCAACCATGAATTTATCATCGATAAAAAATAATAAGGATTGAGTAAAATCAAAAGATCACTTTGTTAAATTCAATTAAAGAAATAGTTGAAATTTAGTAGTAGCAGTATAAAGCAAGTAGTTTGAAAAATGTTAATATTTTAAAAAATAATCCAGAAATAATATTGATGAAATCACACAAAAATTATATCAAACACCCTACTTTTCTTTTAAATAATATAAAAATATGATTTTAAATATTTGATCATACTAAAGTTAAATACTTATTCTAATATATAATTATTTAAAATAGACATAAATATCAAAAATAGAATTAACAAACAAATAAATTTTATTTAATTTTCGGTTTCTTTTTTACAAAGTTTTCTTGTTAAAATACTCAGTTTTAATATATCTATTTATAAATAAAGATGCTTGCACTTTAAATAGAATTTATGAATTGAGATAAAATTATAACTAGAGTGAGTACTAGGTTATAAAAGAAAATTAAATAGAAAATAATTACTACAAAATTTAATTTATTAAAAATAATTCAATTTAAACTATAGACTTTAACTAAGATTTTTATTTGTTAAAATAAAACTGAAAATACAAATTCATTACAAAAGAAAGTTTAAAATTATATTGATTAATATATAGATAGGTGAGTATTTATTTATTTATAAAATCCCTGACAAATAATTAAATTCATTATTTATTTTTTGTATTTTAGGGAAAATTTTTGAAATATATTACTTTAAATATTTATTTATTGATTGATTGTATTTTTATATGATTTATGAAAACTATTAATTAAACTATTATGACTTTGTTGAGTAAACTTTTGAAAATTAATTTATTTATATTTTTGGTTAGTTTAAAACATACACTTTTTTGTTTACCAAAGCTTATTTTGTTAAATGCTTTTGATTCACATTTCGAATTAATTTATAGAAATTTGCTTATAATTTAAAATGTGTGTGTGTTAGTGTGAGTGTTAGTCAAATAGATTAAGTATTTGTAGGTAAAAATTACTATAAAATTTATTGAGACAACTTTATTTTAGCTTATTCGTTTTCTTGTATTACTTAGAGTTAAGTTTAAATCCAATTTAGATATTTTCTTTTATTATAGTTTTCTAAATTACTAGCTAAAGAATTTGTTGAAGTACGGTTGCCTCCTTTCGCTTCTAACTCTAACTTTTTTTTATGATTTCTAAGATCAGCTTCTGTTTAATCATCTTCGTTTTAATATTTATTAGATTAAATTGATGAATAAGATTTATTTTTAGGATTTCCAGCATAGACTTCATCAATATCTTAATTAGATCCATTTTCATCATAATCATCTTCATCTTCCTAATCTAAATTCTTTAATTATTTAATTTATTCTTATATATCATCCAATTCTTCTCTGTAGTCATTCCTAGAATAGTTTTCATAAATGTTGCTCATTCTATTGTAGACTGGGATCATATTGTCTTAGTAACCATTACCATTTGCTAGTTTTCTCATGCCAGAGTGCTAATCTACAAGGTTAATGAAAGAATCGATAAGCTTTTTTGTATCAGTATCTGCACCTTAAATCTTACCTAACTATTCTTTCAAGTCTTCAGCAGAGCTTTTTCTCTCATCGTGCTTGTTTATACTTTTAGCTAATTAACTCAATTTAAAAAGCGGTAGAACAATATTGCGTGATAGAGCATAGATATAGAAATATGAAAAGAACCACAAAATAGAAAAAGCAATTATTAATGATATGCAAAAGTTATAGAGCTCATTATATATTCTATCTTAAATATTGTTTCTATAGGAGAGATAATTGCTTTCTTTACCAAAGACGATAAGATAAAATCTATTTAATGTTTGATTTACTGTATCTTTTATTAAAGTACGAGCAAAATAATATCTTACATTCTAACTATTAGTAATGATGAATGTTTAACTTTATTGGTGTTAATTAAAATCTTTGATTTCATTCCAATTTTCAAGTGTAAAGTTTGTATTATTCGTATCATAAAAATGTGAAATTCCACTTTAATTAAAGCAATCATTAATGATGTATTCTGTATTATAATCTACTAAGGCAATTTAAAATTCACCATCTTTTTCCTGCAGCAAGTCATAAACAGATCTAAAATTACCAACAATAACATCTACATTAATAACTCCAGCAATTTAAGTAGGATCTGACTATTTTAATTAAAAATTTTAAATTAATTAACCCACTGAAAAATCAAAAAGCAAATAAATAAATAAATAAATATTATTATTTAGTTATTTGCATTTTAAATTGTCAAAATTAAAAATAATAGAAATATTGATTTATTTATGAATTACCTGTTTGACGATTGCAAGGGAGTATGTTATAGTTATTTATTTAGTAGTTAAATCAGGATAGGGACTGGTAATTGTAAATACAGGTTTATTTCCATTGGCTTAAAATGTTTAAGCAGTATTTAAATACCAAGGCCTTTATTTCATATCTATCTTAAAATCTTTTGGGACTTTAATGAGGCCTGCTGGAAAAAAACAAATGACATCTCGATCTTAAAGGTAAATATATAAAGACTAGACATAAGTTAAATTAGGATCTTATATAAAATTAGAAAAAAAATAAGAAATCAAGTCTACAGAGTCCAAATATGTTTAAGTAGCTGGTGAAATAGTAGTTGCATCGTCAGGATGGTTGTGAAAATAAGAAAAAGTTTAAAATGATATATCTTTATCATAATAGGGCTTTTTCTAAGAATATTACTTATTTACTATATTTTATGGGATAGGCTAATAAATAGGAAAATATTTTTGTTGTGGTTATAAATTTAATTCGTTTGAGGATTAATATAGTGAATTATTCCAACCAACATTGTTAGCTACTATTTGGGAGAACATAATCATCCAAGAACTATATGCTTTGAAATATTAATGTACTTATTTACTGTATTCAAGTAAGGAATTTTAAAAGCTTGCAGAAATTGAGTTATCAATCTACTCTAAGATTGTATCTCCTACGAAATTGGGACAAAATTTTAAGTAGAACACAAAACACCCTAATATTATAGTCATAAATAATGTCAAAAAGACTGAGTAAACACAAAACAGTTGCTTTGTACGAGACCACTGCTTATTAAAAATGGAGAAACAGCATATTTTATCTATTTATTTGTTATCGTTTACTCCTAAAATTTTATGTATCATTGCTTTAAATTTTTCTTTTCCATCTTCAACGCTTCCTGAAGAGATTACGCTTTGAGAAGCATCTTAATTATCCTGGTCATAATCTTCAGGAACGAGTTCCGTTTGTGTCATAACTAATCAATTTTAAAATCCACTCCAAATGACTTTCCAGCTTAAAATCTTTTTGATAAGAATAATGCTTTTTCTGATTTTTCACCTTTCCTTTATGATGATCAAAAGCTAAATTCTGTTATGTCCCTATGCTTAAAAATTAATTGAATGAATAATCTAATCGGATATGCTTGAACAATATCTAAATAATTATTTGAAAAGCAGTAGCAAAATCGTATTGCCTAGTAAATAATCTATGTCTTAATGTAAATTTAAATTATATTGCTATATACGCGGTCCAAAATGGTATTGTCCTATCAGTTATATTTTATATTTTTCCAGAGAATAGCCTGTTATAATTTGTCTTATTTGCTTGCCTATTTCTGTAATAATTTTAAAGAGATTATTTACTACTTGAATTAAAAACAATAAATTGCAAAAAATTTTAGGAATTGTATTAAAAATTTGCAAAAGCATAGGCGCAATCACATAATTAATTAATGAATAAATCAACCATTTATTTAAAAATAAAATTATAGTAAATTTTGTATTATTTCAATCTATCTATTTCATATTACTGTTACTATCATTTTGTTTAATATTTTTACTATGACTTATTTAGTATGTGTGAATATTACATATAATTAATTACATCAATCAAACCTAACTAAATATGCTTATTAAATGCATTTAGTTTGTTTTTTAATAAAAGATGTTATTTAGTCTGATTATTTATTTATCTTTGACTGATAAATTCAAAATTTCGTATTATTTATTTAATTTATTTATTTATTTTTGTTTGAGTATCCCAAAACAAAAAAACAGATTATCAATAGAAATAAGTTAGTAAGTGAATAAAACAAATTATTACTTATTAATAAACAATTTAAGCCAAATTTATTCAATCTCTTCAAATATTTTTTAAAAATTTCTAAAAAATAAACATTCCAGTCACCATTTCATTTTTTCCTTTGTTATTTTTTGTGTTTAATAAATTGGATAAAATGAATTTTTATTTTGCCTTTTATAAATTATAAAAATTTTTAATTTAATTTAATTTAAGATAATAAATACATTTTTACAGATTCTATTTATTAAATAATATTATTAAAAAATAAACATTCCATTCACAATGCCAATTTTTTATTATTTTTTGATTTCAATTTTTTTTATAAAATGATTTTTATTTTAACTATCATAAATTATAAAGATTTTTAATTTAACACAATAAAAATATTTTTAAAGATTCTATTTATTAAAATAAATAATTAAAAAATAAACATTCCATTCACAATAATACAATAATGATAAACATTCCATTCACAATATCAATTTTTTATTATTTTATGTTTACAAAATCGATTTTTATTTTAGCTATCATAAATTAATTATAAATATATTTATAGATTTTATTTATTAAAATAAATAATTAAAAAATAAACATTCCATTTACAATAATGTCAATTTATTATTATTTTTTTATGTTCAATTTTTTTATAAAATAGATTTTTTTTTATTTTGCATGCCTTTCTTAAATTACAAAAAATTTTAAATTTAATTTATGATAATAAATATATTTTTACAGATTCTATTTTAATTAAAAAATAAACATTCCATTCACAATATCAATTTATTATTATTTTTTGTTTTCAATTTTTTTTATAAAATGGATTTTTATTTTGCCTTTCATAAATTATAAAAATTTTTAATTTAACATAATATACATATTTTTAAAGATTCTATATATTAATTAGTGCTTGTTTGAATAATTTAATTATATTGATTGATTATATTTTTAATAAAATAAATTTATTTATTTACAAACCCTTTAAATATGTCTCAGGGCATTTAGAAATTGGGAAGATATTGTTCGATGTGGTTCATGAACTTTTAGTCAATGTATGGAACAGAGACAGATTTGCAAAATGAATCTTCAGATAGTATTTTTTATTTAATTTTTAGCGATTCTTATTTATTGTTGACAATAGCAAAGGGAGAGTTATCTCTGAGCTCAGTGATTTTTGATTCACAATCGTTGAAGAATTCTAGGTTTGTAGGGAGTGAATTAAAGTTTTTTGATAATCCATAATCTACCAGCTGTTCTATTTCATCTCTCCACTCCATTTGACTATCAAAATACTCATTTTACTCATAATGATAAGCATGATAATATTTTTAATTTTCGATTATTTTCTTAGTACTGGCTTTTTATATTTTTAAAACCATTTTTTTTGCAGACTTGACTAGAATATATAAATTTCTATCACTTTTAAAATCTAAAGTGTTTAAGTATGAATCAAGTGATCCTATTTAATTTGATGCCTTTAAATTCTATGTAATTTAGTTAGATATCTACTTTATTTTTCTATAAGGTTGAGTAACATAATAACTCATTATTAAGCAATAAATAATGTGAGCAAAGCTTATCACTAGAAATGCGATTATAAAGTTAATATTCGGTTTAATATATTTATCTTAAACTCTTTAAATTATTGTATCGTAAAGTCTTTCGAACTAATTTGTAGATTCCTTCACTAATAAAATAAAGGTTTGATCATTTGAATTTTTGGATTTAAAAGCAGAACCAGCAACTTTAAATCCTTAAATGTCTTAAAAATAGCTATAAGAATTTAAGCTGTTAGTATTATTGTTAAATGTTTAAAGTATTTGCTATTTCATATCTGTCCATTAAGAGGGAGAAAATTGTAAGAACTGTTATGGAGTAAAGTTAATAATACTACTGTTTTATGTTAGAATAATACCATTATCGTTACTGGCATCTATCAGAGCCATAATAGAATACTCATTTATGCCTATTGAATTTATATATTTGTCAAATTTATCTAAGTAATAGTCAGTAGCACAAACACCTTAAAATTTTCCATCCTTTTTAAAATTAAATAATAATTGTCTTAAGGGAAAAGCTTAAGAATATTTTGTTTTTTATCATTCATTAAATCAATAAATAAATAAATAACTTATTGTTCAATGTTACACTAGTAAATTAATTAATTTATTATTTTTGTTTTGAAATTTGGTAATAAATAATTTTTGATTCTGATTGATAGAAAAATCAATTCAGAATTTAGAATTTGATTTAATAATTAAATTTATTGTTTCTGCAGGATATTTATTAGAAGGTTTTTTAACCTGATTCAGGTGAAATATCTTTTTACAAAAAAATATTGACAAAAAATAAAAAAATATTAAATAGATCTTTTACCTAATCACGAAGAGCAACAGACATGGTCATTATATATTGCTAAGTTATTTAATCTTTATAGGGGAGAGTAAAGTAAGTTTGATTTGTATACTATAGGTTATTTTTAATTATTTAGGAGTACCAATCCCTCTAATTTGGGTGAAAACTAAAATCAGGTACCTTGTCTTTCCCTCTGAGAGCATTTTATAAACCAGCTGGATAATAGACAACTAATTCATCTGTTTCAAATCCACAATAATAAGAGTAAGAAAATGAAAATTTTGCATTAGCAATTAAGTTTTTTATGAAATAACTAAGTATATCAAAGTCATCAAGAATCTTCTAAGATTCTGGTGTAATATGAGTGTAATTTCTTTGGTCTATAAACGTAGCCCATTAAAAAAAATCATATGTAATTGGAGTATCAACATTTTAAAAGTAAAAGCCTAAAGTATCATTAAATTGAGGTGACACATCTTAGTTTATTGAAATGTAATTTTGTTTTCCTTTTAATATATGAGAATCAAAATTAATATCGTAAAAAGGGTTTTTGGGACCTTTTTATTGTGATTAATAAATGCTAATGGCGACTTGGTGAAGATGGTCAGTTCTTCTTAAGAGACTAACTAATGATTCTTGTAAAGAGGATAAGGTATAAATTAGTTAATTTTTTTCACTTTCAGAGTAATTTGGATAGTAAGTGTCATCAAAAATACGATACATAAAGAATAAAAGTAGAACCCAGCAAATCAATAAAATACTAATTATACAAATACTCATCATTAAGAATGAAACATTAAGCTACTTTTATCGAGTCCATCTGCTATTTATTTAACAAAACCAAAATTTTTAGATAATTTTATTCTTCTTTAGAGTTCGTACATAGTCTCTCATTTATTAAAATATCTTAGTTTGCCTAATATTTGCAAATAGCTGTGTGCTACTTTACTATGACTCTAAATTATTTTTATGATAATTACTCTCATTTTCGTATTCATCTTCTAAATTACATAAATTATCCTATTCATTTTCAAAGTACTTTGTTTTCTCAGATTCATTGCATGAAAGTGGATTTAGACTCCTAATTTCAGTTTTGCTAACTCTACTTTAAGATTTGTTTTTATTTAATGTTATAGTTTCAAAATTTTATTATCTGTTTTGGATACTATATTGATCTAATGCGCATATTTCAGCATTCTTGATTATATTCTTCAAATTACCATGTGACGCTTTATGGAATGCTTGAAGTGTTTGATCTAATTCCATAATACTTGTAGCTTAATTATTTTTAAGCAGATTAGCATTTTTTATATTTGAAATTCCTTTAATCCTGGATTCAGAGAAAGTAAAATTAAGATAGCTGTTTTTAGCATCTAAGGTATCTTGCATTATTAAATTTCTGTTACTTCAACAGATTAAATTATAATAGAATAAGCTTAATTCTTAGTTTGTATCTCTTAAAAAATTTGGTAATTTGATTGCCTATCTATTAATTTTTTTAAGATTAAATAGTAAAAATCTTGTAACAATAATTAAAATTTGCTAATATCTATCAAAATATTTGTAATCACAAATTTTTGTTTGGTTTTATATTTACTTTAGTTATCTTTAATTAAAAATAAATTTGATAAATTTAATCTATGAAATACATCAACTTTTGATAACGTAACAAGCAATCTAAATTTTATCTTGCTAATGTTGTTTAAATTACTAATTCGATAAAAAACTCTACTAATTTATAAATTTACATTTGTTTATGATCTTAGAAAATAGATAAATAAAAAATATCTTATCAATATTTACATCAGGATAACCTTCTTATGTTTCATTATTTCTCTTTGTAATTTACATACCTTTTTTCTAGTCTTTTAAAAATGTAGAGCTTTTTATGAAATATTTCAGCAGTAATTAAATCAAATTTCTTCCTTCTTTTATTAAAGGAATTTTTATCTTCAAACATTAAGGATTAAATAAGCATTTAAATAAAGGTTATTATCATTTTAATAAATCTTAAACTTTTCATTCTTTTATTTATTTATTTACTAAATGAATTTTTTTTAGTTTTACTAAAAATGTATTTTAAAATTAAAAAAAAATTATTTATTTCTGATTTAATTAATATTATTTATTTTACACAGAGCTATTTTGCATATTTTTTTTGATCTAAACATTTATTATTTTTTACTGTTTACAACAATTGATAAGGTATCAGCTTATTTGTGAAATTTAATTTTTGATTTGATTTTTATATCTTTTTAAATTGCACATATTTCAAAAAAATTTCTTTATATACAAAGATTCTACCTAATGGATTAGTTTATTTTAGGAGTAAATATTTAGGAATATTTTACATTTGAATTTATCATTTTTAAAATAAATAAATAGATAGCTAATAAACGCGCTGAAAATAAAGTCTCAAAAATTAAGCACCAATCATCTTTATATTAATTTGAGAATGAGTATGAGTAGTAAAATGAATTAAATGAAAATGAGTAGTAGAAATCAATAAATAGAGCTTAAGCTAGTAGGTAAACCTTAGTTTAAATCGATGATATCATGCTATTTTTCTTGTAAACTGATTTGTAACAACAAACTTAAAAATTGGTTAAAACCATGCTCTAAAGAATGAAGAAAACAGAGGACATTTAAGCAAAACTTTAATAAAATTTAAGTAATAAATATCCATTATCTGCTTAAATGATGTCTAGCCTCTATAATTATTTTAAAATAAATAAAACAACTAACAAAAAAATGTTAAAAGAATATGAATAATGGAATTAATAATTTCCTTGCTAGCTAGTAGTTAAAAACGATGGTAACAGCTTCTATCGATCATTGCTTCTTCAGTATATTCTACATGTAGTTTTATCGTAAGATAAATAAAAACTCGAATAAGTTATAAACTAAATTATGGATATTCCAACTCTTAAATATAATTAGGATGATTTGTAAGCTTTAAAAGAAGAAGATATCAAATACTGTGTTATTTTATTTTTAGTTACTAACTTCTAAAAAATTTAAAATAAAAAAATGTTTTCTTTAATAGATTTTTATTTATCTTACAACTAAAATCCTCTCATTGACATATCATCAGTTATAATAATTAGAAACATCCTTTACTATTTCTATATTAAGATTAAACAATCTGGTAATTACAGAGGCTGGATAGATACGTTTGAATAGCAAAAAAATCACATTAAATTGTTGAAAGATGGAGCAGAGGCAGAGTAGCAAATTATGATATTATCTTCTCGAGTATATATTTTGATTTCTTATATTATTAAATCAATTTATCATTTTTTTAGGAAATTTTAATTTTAAAGCCCTCTTTTCTTTTAAACCTTTTACATTTTTATTATAAATTTTATTATCTTTACAAAAATTCTTCATTTTTCTATAAAATGGTAATTCATTTTTCATTAAATTTATCAATTAGTCTTTTCTGACGAAAAAATTTGTTAATATTGTAAAAAAATAGAATAAATTAAATTTATTTTGCTACATTATTTGAATGTTTAACTCAATTTTATATTTTAATAAATAGGCTTTTGAGATTAAGCTATTTGCTTTAACTTTCTTCTCGTCAGAAAATGGAATGATTTAGTCTGAAATGAATGAACTTTTCATGCAGCAAGAAGAATATGAAACATAAATTTATTTAATTTAATAAAACTAACAATTCAACATATTATTTGATTTAGAATTTATGAGAAATAATGAAATTTTCTTTTTGAAGTTTCTTGATGTTTAAGAAGATGATTAAATTATAATTTACTTTGAAAAAAACGGATAGGTGGTGAAATAAGTTAATGAATTGGTTGATGACTAGAAATAGTTAAAAAGCTAGAAACATGTTTAAGAAACTAATTTCTTTTAAAGGATGTAGCTTTAAGATCCTTAGTTTGCTTTAAGGGAGTCCTTGCTTTAAGATTTTGGATTTAAAAAATAGATTAATGCTATATAGTAATAAACAGGACTATAGAGTTCTATAGTCTTAGATAAATCTAGAAATACTGATTAAGAGTTACCTTTATTCAACCCTTTAGCTAAATAGGAGTCATTTTTAATGGACTTTAAATAATATCTTGAAAATTAATAAATTAGTAATATTGAATAGATAAAAAAGGAAGATGAAAGCTAATTTGACTTGTAAGAGGCAGATTAAATACATACCTTAATTGGGGATATTCACTCTAATTAACATTTGTAGAAAAAATAACCTAAAAAAGTTAGAATGTCTTTGGCTGAAATTAGCGAAGGTACTCCAACTAATAACCCTGACGAATCTATTTCTTCAACAAAATCTATCATAAAAAAGCAAAAAAGAAATTAAATGTCATAAGTCTAGAGTCAAGAAGTTATAGAAACTCTATAGTCTGACGATGAAGATGATGATGATGAAAAAACCAGTTAAACAACATTTAACAAAGAATAGCTTGAAGCAGTTGTTTATGATGATAGATGCTTAGATTGCGATTAATTCACAAATATAGAAGAAAGACGAGTTGTTACAAAAATTCTTGAAAAGATTAAAATTTGCAATAAATGCGTTGTTAACAAAGCAAATTTTTTGCAACAAAATAAATTATCAAGTTTAAGTTTTTATGGAGTTAATCTTTATCGCTTCTAGCTCTTTGATTTAATTAGGGATCTTGAGCTTTTAGTTCAACAAATTATAGACTCTAAAATTAGTGCTTCACTTTTTAATATTAAAGGTGATGAAGATGATAGCTTGGAAATAGTAAAGTCTCAAAATTTAATGTAATAAATGTAATAAGCTAGTTTAAAATAAATTGCTGAAGAATAAAAGAGTTTAAAAATGATTAATACAGAATTTTGTCAGTACTGTGATCTGCCAAACAAATAAACAAACTTAAAGACAGATTTAGATTCTTATTTTTTAAAGATAGACAATTTTGACAAAACATAGCAATTATTAATATGTAAAAAATGCTTGAATTTTCTTAACTAACTTTGCGAAAATAGGCAATACATGAACCTATTTTAAGTAAAAAATACTTACATCGACCCTAGAGAGGTAGAATATTAATTTGATAGAATAATACAATTATTAAATAAGTCTGGCTAATTAATTTAGTGTTAATTTTACTGTAAAATTGAATAAAAAACAGATAATTTTGCTTATTCTTTGTTTGATACCTAAGTTAATCAACTCATATAAAGGAAAATTTGTCTGCCTTGCTTTGAAAAAATACTCAACTCTTCAATGAATGTTGATGATTTTATAGAAAGTTCTTGCTAAGTTGAACTGTTTTCAACAATTTTTAGAGAAGATTTTCTAAATAATCTTTGCATTTCTTGTAACACAAAGTAAATTCCAGGGAAGAATGAATTTATAATTAAAAGTAACCAAGAAATTCAATAAAACAATCCTTAAAATCTTTACTTTAGAGTAACTGAATAGTCTGAAAAATTTGACTCTTACGTATGTCTTACTTGTATTAAAAATATTCTTATAGACTAATATACTCAATTATCTTCAACACAGAACATTATAGAAGGAGAAAAATCATAAGTCTAGGAAGTATCTAGGATATTCAAAATTCTATATAAAAAGATAGGAGTCATTTTTTGTTTTTCATATAGTCCTATAATAAATAGACAAATATTAAAAGCTTTACAAAACGAAGCATCGAAAGATCAGACTTGCTTTAAATGTTAAACAAAAGATTAAAAGCAGCCAATTTATTTCTTGGATAATCCATGGAATTTTTCAATTTGCTAAATGTGTTTTATAATAATATAGAAAAAAAATAAAAAATCTGAGATTCTCAGCAATTTAAATGTTAGCGAAAGTTCGTATTAAATATTAAAAGAGGGTACGCTATAAAATTCTCTTCAATAAGGATACTGTTTTTGTTGTATTGAATTTAATAATGCCAAGCTATACAGCATCTGGGTTAAAAATTATGGAAGAGTCTTAAAAATTTGCTAAAATTGTGTTTTACTCTCTAAGCCTTATGTAGGGTAAGGTATCTGGGAGGTCTTTTCATCTTTTTTTGATGAAAAAGTACTTTATTAGTCCGTAGATATTCCTTAAGAATTATTACATCAGTTAGATAATAATTAATAAGAATTATTAGCAAATAACTAATAACCTTTACAAGATTAAAATAAAATAGATACAAAATGCTTCGCATGTTAAGAATAAAAAAAGAAGACTATTAAAATGTTTGATTGTGATTGCCAAGTTTGCATAAAATGTATTAGTAAGGTAGTAAAATAAGATGAAAAAGATTTCACAGTCTGTCCAGTGTCTCATTGCATTAAAATTTATAAAAAATTATAATTAATAGTTTACTTAGACTAATATATAAAATAGTAAGAATATAAAATTTAACAAAAAAAACTAAATTAGAAATTAGCAAAGTAGAATAAAACTAAATATTTGTGTAATTCTTGTTAAAGGCCTCATACTCCTATTATACTAACTAAATAAAAATACTGTTCTTGCGTAATCCTATGTAAATAGTGCTTAATAAGCATTTATAAATCTAAATAATGCTACAAATGTTTGGAGAGTAATTGCAATGTATGCAAATCAGATATAGAAATTTTTGAAGAAAATTAACTCTGTTGTTCTTGCTTATAACAATTGAATACATAAGACTAAAATTCTATTTAAGACTAAAATAAATTAAGCGAATTAAATAAACTCTAGAAAAAAATTTTGATATGTGGAAATTGTTTGTATTAATTGAATCTAAATTATTGAATTTATTTTTTTTGTTGCAATTACATGAAAATTAGTTTTGACAAAATTCAAGTAGTAATCAATTTTTAAAACTAATTTTAAAGCTTCATTTTTTGTTACTGTGTATTGAAGAAATTTTTAATTAGATCATAAAATTAATATCTGGTTAGAACTTAACAAAAATTGAAATTATATTTAAAAGTAAATATCAAAGAAAAATTTAATATTTAAACCTGAAATATTTTTATTTTCAAAATTTAATATTTAAACCTGAAATATTTATATTTTCAAAATTTAAATCAGGCTTAGAACTTAACAAAAATTGAAATTATACTTAAAAGCAAATATCATTTATTAATTTAATATTTAATGCTGAAATATTTATATCTTCAAAATTGAAATTAGGCTTGGAACTTAACAAAAATTGAAATTATAAATATAATAGAGTAGTTTAATATTTAATGCTGAAATATTTATAATTTCAAAATTTACATAATTTTTTAGAAATTAACAAAAATTGTAATTATTTTTAAAAATAAAAATGATTGAGTAGTTTAGTATTAACATTTCAAATAATTAATGTTGTAATAGAAAATAAGGCAGTAATCTTTACTAATGTTTACTAATTTGAGGATTTAAATTTTTGAAGCATTTATTTTAATAATTCGTACGGTACTATTAGTAAGTGTAATAAATAAGAATATTTTCTGTGAATAGATTTTACCCAAATAATAAATTATCAAATTTTTTAATGCAAAAATTTACAAATTAAAAAAAAAAAACTTTTTTTTTGAGTAGTTTTTAATTAATAGAGAAAATTTGTAGTTATATTAAAAACAAACAAACAAAAAAAAAGAAACAACTTTGAAAGTATATAAATAAATATATAATAGGTAGTTATCAAATTTATAGTTTGAATTTCTAAAAATTAAAATAAAAAGATTAATATATGGCAGTGGAAAAGAGCTTCAATTAGTTTTTGAAATGCTTTTTAAAAACTATCCTTGAAATTATGGAAGATTAGCCAAATTATTCTGTTTCGATTCAAATTTATTTGTTTCTCATAATATGGCACTTTGTATAAATTACAGGCTATTTATATTCAGACTAAATGAGACCTATTTAAGATTAATATTAAAAGTTAGTTACTTTGATTGAGTACATAAGCACTGGTACTTACCTACTTTATTACAAAGAGAACAACAATTTAATTATAGTTATATTTTATATTATGCAGGCAATCATGTATTTCTACTTTATTTACTTAGGAGCAATTACTTATATGAAGCTAAATAATTCTTAGTTTCTTTCTTAACAAAAAGAAAAACTCTCTTCTATTAACCACTTTCTTAACACTTTTTTTATACTCTTTTAATGGGTATTCTTCATACCTTATTTTGAAATTAACTCTGGAACTATTATATGTGGTTAGTAGAATTTTTTTGTTGACTAAAGAGATTATAATAATTGCTCATTATCTTTGGTACAAGTGATATTTAGTGTAATAGGAAATTTACTCTCTATAATAACGAGCTTAATAATAATATATTTTTTTCGTAACTATGAATTTAACGAAAGAAATATGTTGAAAAGGAAGTTCCATTCTCTTTTAATTCCTTAGCTATTTGTTTACTTTTTAGTGATATTTACTACATTAACCAATCCTCTAAGCTATACTTTCAAATATATTTTACTATAAGTGCTAGTAATTTCAATGATGTATGATCTTTTATGCAATTTACCATTCAGAAACCCGAAAATTATATAAGTTTATGCTATTTCTATCATTTTTTTTGAAATGACAGCTATAATTTATAGCTATCTGATGCTTTACACTAGCCAACAAGATAATGAAATGTTTTATTAAACTTTAATATTTGGATCTCTTTGTTCTTCTGTTTTATTAGTATCGTGGTATTACAGGTATGAAGATGTTATGAAAATAACTGAAAAAAATTTTGATAAGTAATTCAAATTATATTTTATTAGGTAAATACATATCTTAATTAATTTGTTATTTAATAATTAGAATGTACAAGTTTTTAGGCTTTTAATTAGAGGAAATATTTAGATTATCTTAGGTTGCAGAGAGTGATAAATTTTCAAGATACAAGCTCTAAGAAATTATTTTATTTCATTAGTAGCAATGCACTAATTTAATGTGTAATTGCCATGATATAAATATATGCTAATCAAGAAAAAGCATAGAAAGTGAACAAATTCTTAAAATTATATAAAGTATATTTGAATGGAGTTTAAAATAGCAAATTCTTTAAAAAGATTAGAAAGAATATGAACATTTATCATTAAAGTATATATCGTTTATAGCGAAATACTAAAATAATTCAGTCAGCGCTTATTATCAGCTCTAGAATCTATTAAAATAAGAATAAAAAAAGAGTTTTTACTTTGAATCTATCTGTGATATTCTTTCAAAAAATATACAATAATTAATAGAAGAGAGAATACAAAGAGAATCAATTATTATTTAGGATTTCTCAGGAGTCAACTTAAGAGAATTGTTTTAAAGTTTTAGTAAGCAGGATTAGTCAACAGAAACATTAATACCTCTACTTATTAAATTTATAGATGATAAAATTCACTTCTGGAATTAAGTTAAAGATCCTTCTTTGACACTTCAAAGTTTAAATCAGCAAGTTTTAATACTCAGTGAGAAGTGCTTGAATATATCTTAAATATTTTAAAGTTACTTCACTAGTCTCAATTTATCTCATTGGTCATCAAATGTTATAGGAATAAAAGTATTATTTCAAATCAATTTCTTTCATTTCATAATAAATATAAATATTTTTACAAGATTAAATTTGTTACATTTAATTATTTTTGATTTTTTTTTAATAAAATTAAAAATTTTTCTAATTATTTGTTTATTTTATATTCAATTATTTATTTGTTTATTTGTTTATTTGTTTATTTGTTTATTTGTTTATTTGTTTATTTTTATTAATTTATTTATTTATTATTTTATTAGCTATATTCAATCTTTAAGGCGCTAGTTTAAAATCAGTTAGGAGTTTCAAGATAATTTGAGTAGTATGAAAGTGAGTTGTTAAAGAAAGACTCTGATAAAAATATGGAAACGTTAACTAATTTGAATTTAATTGAAGGTAACATTTTATTCATCTTAGTTAGCATGTCAACCAAAAGAGGGAAAATTATCAATACTAAAAAGGATAAAATTTTGAATTTTTTTGGGTATGATATGAATGATGAAAGCTTAATTGAAAATATCAATCAATTGATGCCTAATATGTTTTCTAAAATTCACAACTAATTAATGTCTAATCTAATTTTAAATGGATATTCTGTTTTATTTAACGGAAATAGATTAGTTTTTGGTTTGAATAAAAAAGGATTTATTTTTCCTTTGAAGCTTCAAATCGACTATTTAAGTAATTATTAGAGTGATTTTGTACTAAATGGATGCTTCTTAAAGCATGAAACATCATATTAGCATATAATAATTGATGTAAATGGATTTATATAAGGATTAACAGAAGAAATATTTGAATTATTATCTGATTGCTAAACAAGTTAAGAACATCTGAATGAAGTAAATAATTTACATATTTAATTGAATATTTTTAAGTTATTATTTTAATAGCTAAGAAATTTAGTCTTTTCATAGAAGCTGAATATATTTTTGATTATCCCACAGTTCACTGAGATCTTAGAAAACATTATCAATCAATAAGAAAAGAAGATTCAAACTTCAATCAAAAATACTAATTTAAACGAATTATATTATTAATTAAATGATATTGCATTTCAATCTGACAAAATTTACATAAAAATTCCTTCACATCTAACTAGCCTTGCACGGGATTTCAACCACTCTATTAGAGATTTTAAATGGTAATTTAATTCGATAGACAATTCCTCTCCTATGTAATAGAGTAGTGCTAAAGCAAACAAACCTAAGGATGACTTAAATATTATTTAAATTTACTAATAATTTAAATAATTTCATATAAAAAATAAATCTGTAATAAATAAATTTAATAATTAATTAATTAATTTTTTAAAATATATTTTTTTATTATGTAAAAGAAATGGGAATACTTTAACTCAAAACATTTACAAATCTCATATAAGTTAGAATAGAAGCATCTTAGTTTAGTCGAGGATGAACAAAAAAACCCTTTGTCTTCGAAGATGTATTATGTGATAACGCTAACTATTTTAGAAAGTAAGCAATTTTCTAATTCTCCAACTTCACCTAAAAAATTACCTCTAATGAAATACATAAACTAAAAAAAAATCTACCAGAATACAAATAGTAATGAATAGTAATATTTTCAATCTGGAGAGAAAATTTAATTAGATGATTAAGCTTAAAGTATATATAAAAAAGTTAGTGGAAATAATAGTCCCACTTTTGGAGATGCCTAATTTTAAGAAAATTACCAATAAAAGTACCTAAATAAGGAAGAAGAGCAGCATTTTTTCAAAAATCAAATAAAGGACTTATCTAATAATAATAAATAAATGCCTTTACAAATTTAAAAGAAGCCAATATAATTTAATGAAATAGATGAATAAATAACATTTAATAAAAGCTTGAATTTAGTCTAAAAATAATCTCTTAATAATATGGCTGATCAAGAATTTAAAAGACATGGTGATTCAACAGAATTTAGAGATGAGAAATAAAACCATCAAAATAAAAATGATATTTCTTATAGCAACTAATTTACTATTCAAAAAATAAATTTTAATCAAGATATTAATAATTTAATACTCAGTTAAAACTAATTGACTATCCTATCTCCCTTAAGTAACTAGTAGAGTTCTCTAAATTTAGTTTAATAATAACCTCAATTAAACTTTCATAATTTTTTAGTAGAAACTGATAGAATTAAAGATTAGCAATTAACTAATAGAAATGATTTAAATGAGTTCAAAAAATTGCTTTAGGAAGAAACAACTTTTTAAAATAAAGAAAATCCTGAGAAAATAAATTCATAAATCTTTCAATTATCTGAGCCAAATTTGTAAAAAAATATAGAAGATGTTGAAAAAAATAATATTATCCCTAATCAAAAAATTAGTAGATTGTAAAAGTAAAAGACTATCCTCTTTCAGAAAATGAATTTGATCAATCTATATAAAAGAAACTCAAAAAAGGTATCCGATGAAAGTAGTAAAGATGTTAATACCTAAAACAGGCATTCAGATGTTAATAATAATTTAGAAAATTAAAATAATGGAAAAGCTTCTCTCTCTTCTTACCAGTCATCCTAAAAAGGTTTTGATAACGGTATTTTGCAAGTAATTGTTTAAAAGCGAAACCCTACAATTCTTAGACATTTTTATCTCATCCTTGGTAATTTTTATATTTTACTTTTCGAATCTTTATTTTATTAATTTAATTTAATTCTTTTGAATAAACAAATTACAAATAGATTAACTCTTACTAAAAAAATGATGTTTGTTTTAGCAAAATCTCCAAAAATTTAATAAGATTAAAAATGTTTTTTCATTTACTTAATTTTATTTGATTTAAAGCTATTTTAAAAGTCAATTATTATTTATTTTTATAAAAATAGAAGAAAAATTATTTAAGTAATTTATATTTTTTTAAAAATAAGATATTAGGTTTTTTCTATTTATAATGACTATAATATTAATTTCTATTGTTACTATCAACCAAATAAATTCTATTTAAAAATTGATTGGAGATCCTCTTTAAGTAGGGTAGTTATTTTATTATTACACAAATTTGAACTTATACACCTTGAAGATGTACGAAATGAACCTTAACATACTAGATAATTACGTTATAAATGAATATTACGATAATCTTTCTACTAGTTTAAAAACACTGGCTGATAATTATTAAAATAGTTAGTCATAATCTTTTAATGTTCTAAATAATATAAGAAGCTAATAGAATAATCCCACAGTAGATACTATGGTTTTTAGTTTAGGGTAAATTTTATAGTAAATTAAGACTTTAAAACATCAATTTATTTTTATTTATAAAAAAAGTAAACCCTTCACAAAAAGAATATCAATAGTAGAATTCTTTTTTAAGATTCTGAATGGTGTGCTGTAAATTTAAGAAAATCCAAATAATTTCAATCCTATTTATTTATATCAAATAAATGCAAATTACTTCGAATACAGTGCTATGATAGACAGCTTCATGAAAACTTTATTCGATAGTATGAATGATTAAAGCTTCTTACTAAATAGAGAGTATGTTATTTTTGGCAGTATAATTTTAGGGTATTTACTATTAATTCTAATATTTGGTATAATAATTATGAATAAGATAAGTAACTACAATGAAAAAATTTTATTGCTTGTGAGTAGACTGACTGTGGCTGATATCGATAAAGAAGTAGGAATGTTGCAATTATGCAAAAGTATATTTAGCAATTAGCAAAATACATGGAAATAGGTAAACTTTTCAAATATAATCTCACTTTCCACAGATGATACTTAAAAGAATTCTCATGATTTCAATTAACTTGATCATGAATTTGCTAACAATTTTAGCAGCTAAAATTTTACTCATCATGAAATTTTTAATTCCAATCATTAAAATAATATAAAATCTAAGTTATGTAATTAAAATGTCGATTTGAATGTACATTAAAATAACCATTTATAAAATTTGGTGGATAACACACCGAAGAGAGAGATTTTACCAACAAAAGCAACTTAAAGTTCTGAGAGAAACTATAAAACAAGATAAAAAAATTAAAGTGAAATAAGTAAATTTAAGTCTACATCTTCAAATATCTCTTCTCAAATATAAGGAACAAAGTTAAAAGATTGGCCTAGTTTTTTATTCTTTATCTTTATTTTGTTGGTAAGTGGGATTTTCTTTTTTGTTATATTGATATTAGCTTACACAATAAGCATTTAGCTACAGCCTAGTGTAGATTTTATGAAAAATACTTCTCAATTTTATACTTTAATGAATAAGCAGGTCTTCATGAGTGAATACATTGCTGCAATTCCAATAATGAATATTATAGATCCAAATTATCCAGCTAATTATAATCAAACATAGATTTCTGATTATGAAGCTAATATTTAAAATTTATCTGATATTATGAATAAAATTTTATAGGATATAAACAATTTAAAATCAGTCTCTTCATTTAGTGTATAACAATTTAACGATCTCTTCAGTTAAGATGCTTGTTCGTTCTTACAAAATGAAAATATTTGTGATGATAATAGCTCTGATTTAACTTAAAGTTAATAATTTTTAAGAAGTGCAGTTTCTCATGGAATATCTAGCATAGTCACTAGCTACTAAAATTTATTTAAAAATGTCAATTATATAATTTAATTAAAAGACTTAGAATAACAGTTTAGCTAAATGAAGGACTATTTAAATAATTAACTTTCCGTTGGTTAGATTTTTAATGCCTTTTCATCGCCGATAAAATTAGTTGATTAATTATTTTAATAGGCTAATCATTATTGTTAGAGTTTAATAAACGATAATAAAAATTTAGTTATCATTTATTATTCAACAATAGGCTCTGTTTTAATTTGTTTATAGCTAATCATTGATCTCATTTTGAGAAATTCAATGAGAAAAAAACTCAGAAAAATAAATTTAGCTCTGTCTTTCATCCCTATTTCTATTGCTCAAGAAGATATAACAATACAATTACTTAAATCGATATCAAAGATGTGATTTAAATAAATAAATAAATAATTATTTATATTTTTAGATTTTTATCAAATTATCAAATTTATATTCACATTTATGTAAAATATAAATCAAAAATAAATAAATAAATATATTTAAGAAGAGATTTTAATAAAATAAAAATAGGGCTTATAATTTTTTTCAATATTTATGATTGATTTATAAAGACTATTTATTGATGAAAGAGCAATTTTTAAAATTAAATAATATTGAAATTATAAAATGTATTTAATTTAAAAATAAAATAAAAATATAAAAAATATAAGTTAATTCATTATTTGATTGAGGCCATTAAAGGGGTATTAGGTAAAGCTACATTTTAAAAATAGAATAAACCTTAACAACTTTTAAAAATTTGTTTATTAAAAACTAAGATAAATATAAATAAAAATATGTAAGTTTTTGTTATCAGTGAGTTTACTCTTAAACTAAAAAGTTATTAAAAATAGAAACTTACATTTTGACTTTTATATGTAAATAAAGATAATAAATAACTTAATATATACTTTCAAAATATTAAAAAGGTATTATCTCCTTTATGTAATTAAAGATAATAACTTAATATTTTTTGTATATTGTCAAAATATTTAAAAACTATTATTATATCCTTAATAATAGAAGAATTAACCACTTATTATCTGTATTTTTACTGAATGGAAAGCCAAGTTATCTTTTTGTTATTCTTATAAACATACAATTTTGAAAAGTAACAAACAAAATTTAATTAAAAAATACGAAATTAAAAAAGGAAAAGAGATTAGTATTTGATTAGAAAATTTAAAAATTTAAAGAAAAATAACTAAAGACAAAATTTATTTTTCTATTTTTGCAATGAAAAGGAATGATGTTTAAAAGAAAAAAAAATCCTTTGCTAAACGCTTTATTAAAAAATTATGTTTTAATATCTTAGAAATAATGGAGGATTAGCCTAATTACAGTATTTCAATAGGAATTTATTAGCTTATAATATTTGTATACTTTATTCAGCTAGCTGGCTATTTATATTATGATAATGTTAGGGTATTTACAGATTAGTATGCAAATATTAAATTTTAAGTTGAATATATTAGCACTTCAACATACCTACTATCCTATAAAGGCAATAATAACCTTATTTATATAGTATTTGGGCTTATGAGTGTTTTAATGTACTTTTAGATGATCTATCTGGTGTATATTACATATTTAAAGATTACAAACAAAAAAATGTCATCTACGCAAAAGCAGAAAAATACTTTCTTAAATCACTTTTTAAATACTTTTTATTTTTTATACTAATGGATTATATTTATACCTTTCTTTGAGATTAACTCTGGGACTTAAGGTTGTACTTAATAATCATTTTTTATTGACTAAAGAGATGTTAATGATTGCAATTTTCCTTAAGCCTAAACTATATTTAGTTGTATAGGAATGTCTTTGGCTTTAATAATAGGCTGTATAATAATTTTTTTTTTTAGGAATTATGAATTCAATGAGAAAAACTAATTAAAGAGGAGATTTCATATTATTCTACTTCCATAGTTCATCCTCACATTTTTGGTTGTATTTTTAAACTACAGAGATAATGTTAACATAGTTATCAAGAATTTAGTCTTACAGACTTTAGTCATTTCTCAAATTTATGATTTGTTTTGGAATCTACCTTTTAGAAATCCTAAGATCATTATAACGTATATAGTCTGCTTTGTATATTTCGAGGTATCATTTGTTAATTATTTAGTTCTAGTCCTTGATTATAGTATTTCTGATTAAGGTATGGTTCAATCAATAGCAATATTCACTTCTATAATTTCTGCAGCAATGATAGTTTGTTGGAATTACAAATATTAACAAGTTATGAAAATGGATGAAAAATCATTCTAAAGGTATTTATTTCATTTATACACAGCATAATTTAATTACTTTTCAATTTATTCATTTTAAATTACACTTGAATTTATTCTTTTCAAAATGTTTAATTACTTAATTTAGAAATCCTAAATTCATGTTTGATATTAATTAAAAAACTTTGGTAATTAATTATCACCAAATTTAATTTCTATTAAGTTAAGTGTAATTTAATTTTCTGTAATGAGAAGATCAAAGTTACTTGCATCACAAATAAATTTTGAGGAATTTTTTTATTTCTAAAAATTTAATTAATTAAATCTGTAATTTTTTTTTTACCTTAAAACGAATTTAAAAAGACTGATTCTAAATTAATTTGTTTCTTTCACATGTACAAAATTCGAATTAAATTCTTTTTTTAAGAAATTATAAATATTTAGATTTTTATCTTGAAGAGCTCTAAAGAATAAGCTAACTCTCAGAAAGTGATAATTTCAACAAATAAAAAATTTAGCAATTGTTCATATCTCACTAAAAATAATGTTCAAATATTTTATGCTTTTGCCACACAATTGATTTCAAAGTATTAAGGAGATGCGTCAATTATGACGAAATACTCAATTTAATTGATAGTATATTCTAATGGAGTCTTCAGTAATCTGTTTTAATTAAGGATTAAAAAAGATGTGAGCATATTTCTTTGAAATATATATCTTTTGTTGCTAAATACTTGAACAACTCTACTTTATCATATTACAGACTTAGAAAGATATTATTTAAAGAAAAATAAAACACATTTTATTTTAATTCGATAACTAAACTTTTGTCAAAAAGAATCGGGCTAATGATGGAAGAAAGGATTAAAGACTTTAAATTAATTTCTGAAAACTAGGGCTCAAGCTATAAAATGTCAATAAAAAATATGTAAATCTAGGACTAAGCTAGAAATATTTAAATTCCAATAATTCTAAATTATATTCTCAAAAAGATTAAATTCTGGTAATCCTTAAAGAACGAGGATGCTGATATCAATTATTTATCAGCACAGATAAAATCAATTGGTTTACACACTTTAGAAGTTTAGAATCAATTCTAAATTTAAAAATTATAATATGACAAACAGATTTACAACCAAAGCCCTATACTTTTAAAGGTAAATTCTATTTTTCTTTTCGAAAAAAGGTATTTAAAATATTATTTTCAATCTTTATAGATTGAGTCAATTTTCAAGGCAATTGTAGAAAATGATTTACTGACTTCAGTGGAATTATAAAAAAATGTTAATGATATGTTAAGCAAGCAATAGTATTAAATTCAAGAAATAGCAAATTATTTAGACTTAATGAAAGGGTCTCTTATTTTGGTATAAGTTAGTCTAGTTAAAAATCCAGGATCTATTTTGAATAAAAACAAGTCTTAAATACTAAACTTATTTTAGTTTAGCTAGAATGATCACAAAACTTTGACTAGTATAAACTAGCTAATGCCTAGCTTGTTTGCAAATATTCATAATGATTTAATGAAAACATCTGTAATTAAAGGGTTTTCAAGATTATATAGTTCGTATAATCAGATATTTGCTCAAAATAAATATGGTTTTTTGATTCCAGTAAAATTGAAAGTAGATCATTTATACGATTAAAAAGACGACTTTGTATTAAACGGAAGCATTTTTCACTGTCCAACATCTAATTAGTATATTATTCTCAATTAATATGGATTCATCGAAGGAATTACAGAATATTTATATTAAATTCTATTTTAGGATAATTTTTAAGTAATTAATTTCTTATTTTATCTTGTAAAAGTAAAATATTAATTTTAATTTAATATCTTTTTTATTAAAGTTGTCAAAGGTGATTGGGAAATTTAATATTCTGTTTTTGATTCAAAATTTTTTCAATTTGATCAAAGAGTGCAATCAAAATGATAAAGATCTTATTTCAACAGTGCAATCTAGGGCAAGTTTAAATATAGAATAATAGAACTATGTTAACTATGATAGCGAATATTAGCTTAATTAGTAAATCGCATCTTTGCGTATTCCTAGGTAAATAGAGAACTAGATAAGATAGTTTAATGAATTGCATGAATAGTAAATCATAAAAGAATAGCAGTCTCAAAGCACTTAAAAAAAGGAGTAAAAAAAGCAGTCTGAGAGCTAAAAAGTAAACAAATTATTCAAAAAGTTTTTGGCCTAAAATCAACAAGTAAATAAAATTTCTTCCATAAGGAAATAGTTTTTAATGAATTAATTAATAATAAATATAATTAGATCAATAATTAGACTATAGAGTAAAAAGACTTCAACATAAATTTTGATCTTCAACATAAAATTTTAAAGATTTATGATGAAAAAACATAATAATTTTAAAAACATAAAAGCTATTATATAATGTAAATAACATAAATATTATCTTATTAAAAAGATAGTTTACAAAAAGATTTTGACAAAACCAATTATAGTCCAACATAATATAAATAATTTAGTATGTAATCGAATGATTAGAGTATTGAAAAATCCCTATCTGGTTAAAATTATAGTAATTAGAGTCCTTCTATTTCTTATAAAAAATAAATTTTTAAATAAAACAAAATACAAGAATTTGGTGAAAAAAGTTTGAAAAAAATAGATTTTTTTGATAACGTGTAAAATTCTAAGTAATTTGATGGCTCAAACTTAATCAGTAATAGTATTTTCGCTAAATTAGATGATTTAAAGAAATTAGAAATAAATAATAATTTAAATTTCGATAGTAAAATTAATTCCTAATTTATTTATAACTATCCCGAATACTAGATTTCTCCAAATAATTATACAATGAGCTTTAGTCCTTAAGCATTTAATCCCTCACACTAAATCATTAGTTCAAGACAAATCATTTAGACTGAACTAACTTAAAGAGATTAAATTATAAAAAGTAGAGATACACAACAAATGGATTATCAAGATTAATAATAAAAGTAAGAGCATACAAAAGATACCAAACTAAATTTGTAATCCAGTGATGTATTTTATCTTAATTAATATAAAAGTAGCACAAAAATAGAAAAAAATTAATCTGATATATAGGGTACTGTATTTGCCGATAAAAAATAAAATAATAATAAATTAGAAAATGAATTCCATCAGTAAACTTCTTTGAGCTCCAGTTTTGTCCACAAAAACAAATATCAAAACCAAGATATTAGGAAAATAATTTAAATTAAAAATATCCCCATATTGAAACTCCCATTTTTGATAATAAGTAACTTACTTAATTATTTTTGTTTTACTAAAGCATAATTTAAATTATTAAAATAAATAAAAATAGATTTAAGATTATTGATGTTTTTGTCCTTTATGGTAGCTGCTTCCTTGGTAACATCTTTGAAAATTAATTAAATATACGGCTAAATAGGTAACTCAACTTAGATAGGAGAGTTTATAAAATTCTATTCAGAATCATATTTGATGAACCAAAAGAGTTACTTGATAAATTAAAATTTGCTTGATTCCTAAATAATACAAGAATTTTCAGATTAAATACAAAATAATTTGAGTCAAATTGAAGATGAATATGACCAAGTTTTCTATGATAAAGTAAAAATTATAAATACTCTTTAAGAGTAAGATAAGTTATATAACATTACTATATTTGCATAAAAGTAAATTCGTTTTTTTAAATAACATTAATAAAAAATCCTTCAAATTAAATAAAAATAAATAGGTAGCAATACTTATCGTAAGTTACTGCCTTTGAGTTCTTTTTGAATGCCGTAAACTCGATATGGGTTTTAGGGAAGGGAGATATTATATAATTTATTAATAACCTTTACTTTTTAGTTGAAAATTATTTAAACTACTGCCAAATGATCGACGATTTTAATGGAAAATTATTTAGCTAGTTGTTAAATCTGAAAGATAACTTAAAAATAATTTATATAGCTTTGATCATAACGCTTTTCATAATTATTGCGCTCTTATTTTTTATAGGAGCTTACTGCATTTATCGGCTCATATAATACAAACAAAAAATAATTCTGCTTGTTACAAGATTATCTATGAAAGATGTAGATAAAGAAATATTAACAATGAGTAATTTTCTAAATTATTTACAAGACTAAAACTTTTCTTGGCAAGACTTCAATTTTCCTGAGTATATTATTTCTCATAGCGATGCTAGCCAAAGAGAGGAAAATAATACTAAGGGAAGTTATATAAAAAAGCATTTAATCCATAGTAAATAATAGGTACTAAGTGACACTGCTGTGAGTGGAGCAGATTCAAAACATAAAAAGAGACTTACTACTTAGAGCACTGAAAAGAAAATTAACAAGATTAAAAATATAAAAGAGTAAGAAAATTCAAAGATAAGCAGCTAATCCCTTATTTCTTCTAAAGTTTAAGGTTAAAGCTTAATCTAATGGAAGTATAATCTGCTTTTTATGACAAGTTTAATAGTGTGTGGTATTTTCTATCTCTTAGTCCTGGGAATATCATATGTAATTACTCAAGGTTTAGATCCTAGTTTTAATTTATTATAGTAAACATCTGAATTTTATACTAAAATAAACAAAGCTTTATTATTGAGCTAAAATATAATAGGTTTGCCTTTAATTTCTAATGTAGATACTAACTACCCAAATTCAAATTTTTAGCAATAAATGAATAATCTAATTAATTCCATTTACGATATTTAGCTTTTTAATAATAATTACTTAGGAGTCTTATCAAAGGTTACTGCAAGTAGCTAAGAAGATATAAAAATTATTGAAAATTTATTCACGCAAGATATTTGTAATTATTTTTAAGATAGCGATCTATGCTTAAACCCTTAAAGTTAAAGTTAAATTGATTTAAGAAATATTATTAAAAATGGCGTTTCTGGGCTTATAACTTCTTATATAACACATTTCGACAATATCATTTAGATAATAAATTATTATTCTCTAACAAAATCATAAAAAGAAATATCTTAATATCTAAACAACGAAAGTTATTTCTATTTCATTATAAATTCATATGATATACCTTTCTAATCAATAAATCTAATCTTTGAAAAAGTAGTTTATATAAACTAAACAACTGTTTCATAACTATTGAATTTAACTCTAATTTATTTTGTAACTTTTGGTGCTATTTTAATTGCTATATAAATGATAGTAGACATACTAATTAAAAGTTAAATAAAAAATAATGTTTTATTGTATCACTTATCTCTCTCTCTGATACCTATTCAAATATAAGCTTTAGATACAACATCTTAAATTCTAAAATCAATTTATAAATTTTGATTCAGACATTAAATAAAAATAAATTAATATAAATTAACTACATTCCAAATTATAAAATATATAAATGTAAATATTTATTCTATTAAAAACTCTATTTATTATTTTTGTATTTTACTTATTTAAATAATTTATTGTTTCTTTTTATATTTTTTTAAATAAATATTAAGGTAGATAAGAATTACTTTTTAGTTATATAATTAGTGATCTATTTTTAATCATTTATGATGATTTAAGGTTTAAATTTTTTTATAAAATCTTATCAACCCTTACTTAATTTTTATATTAAAAGTTATTAATTAATTACTAATTTATTTAATATGTAAAATAAATTAAAAAGGAAATTTAAATTTAGGAAAACAAAGTTTACTATTGTGTAAAATAAAAGCAGCTTTTATTAAATAATAATTAATATTTAATTAAAAAATATTGAAAGGCTTTAACGATTGATTATAAAAAGATATTTAAAAAACTATTAAAATTTTTATTTAATTAAATTTATTTCATTTACTATAATAGGGATATTTGTTGATTCCTGCAGCTCCATATATGATGGGATGAATATTCAATAATATTTTATTTTTTATGTTTTATTTTAAAATGCTTCTTTTGCTTGCTTTGCCTTAAAGATTTATAGTGTTTTTTTTTAAAATTTGAATTTAATTCCACTTTTTACATTTAAATTTTTTGAATTTAGATAGCTTTCTTTTCTGTTGCTAAATATCTTATAAGACAATATTATAGTTAAATGATGGGTAATATAGCTTAAATATTTTCATTTTATCAAAGTCATGAATCACAAAAGGATAGCATTTAAATTGTTCAATTACTTCCTTTAAGTTATCCTATTTCAAATCTATATTTCTAGAGTTCTCCAAAGAATTTTATTATTTAGTTGTATGATCTAACTTACTATTTCTTTTAGTTTCATTGCCCAATAAGTTAATTATAATTGAATCTTTCCTGTCAAAAGTAGAATCTCTTTTATACTCCCTTTTTGCAAGAGATGATGACGTGATCGAACTCTATTTATTAGTAACTTTATTAAAATCGTCCTCTATCTTTGATATTCTGCTCCTATTTTCAAATTCACTCATTAGCTTAATCTACATATCTACTTAATTCTAATTTTTTTCTAAATCAATTCCATCTTATTCTTATTAGATTGACTCTAAAATAATTAAAAAAAACAAAAACAAAAATAAAAATTAATTTAATTTATTGATTATATATTTGTTTTACATAAAGTTTTGATATTTGTATTGCTATCAACTACTTTAGAGTTAGTAATATTATTTAAGAATTTAGTTTTCATTCTAGTAATATCTTTTTAATTCTGTTTCATTCTATTATCTGAACCAGTTAAAGAGTTAGAATTAGAAAAACTAGAAGTAGCCACTATTATTTTTTCACTACTCACATCTTATTAAACTTTTTTTTCTTTTTTAACTTCTTCCTCTTACTGTTATTCTATTTTTTTTTCTTCCTCAATATTCAAATTTTTATAAGACTAATTTTCTTTAGATTGTTTTAAATCATCAAATGAATGGATTTTCACTTTACTAGTGGTTTAAGAGTCGTCTAAAGAATCATTTTCTTCATTCTCAAATTCTAAAATTGTTTTTATTTGCAGTTTCTGTTTGCATTAAGTAAGTAAGGATATTAGAAATATTTAATTCCAAATAACTTTACTGTTTAGACTGAGTCAATTTATATCTAAGAAATCTTAATGAAGTAATCGTCAATAAGATCTTTCATAGTACTTTGAAAATTCTTTAAGGTTTCATTTTGAAAAATTTTGAGAGTATTTTTTTTCTTCTGCCTGTATCGCTAAAATAACTGCTCGTCTTAATATTCAGAGTAGTTTATTCTGAAAAATCTTATTATTCTATCAACATCATAAGTCAAGCGAGGGCACTAATTAATTTAATTACAAATTCATTTTAAAATAAAAAAATTAAATTAAAACCTTTAAATTAAGTTTATTTTTTTAACATACTAAGTATACCTAATTTACTCTAAATATCAATCCACATATTTCATATTATTTGGTATACTTAAATATTATTTTAACTTAAATATTTAATTAAAATTTACTAAAATTAATTTTGCAAGATATTAAGAGAATATGGTAGGTATATAATTTATTATTGATTAAAAAAACAAGTAAAGGTAAATTTACCTCTTATATTAGGTGTCCTTGTTCGTTGCAACTATAACAATTAAGCTGTATATTCTCAAAGTTTTTTAAATTTATTTAATCTCTTATCATGCAAAATTTTTCAAAGTCTTACTCGTTAGACATTTTCAAAGTTTCAATAAATTACTATTATGTAATTTTATACATAGTAGTTAATGATTAACTTCTTACATTAGCAGTTCTACTTACTCCTGTAAAAAATGAAAGTTCACCAAAATATTAACCTTTACTCAGTTGAGCTAAAACTTTTTTATTTGATAGTTAATTTTAATATAGGGGATCTCCTAAACTATAAACTTCGACTGTTCCTTTTGTAATTAAATAAAGTGAACAATCATCAAATTGACCTTCTTAGATAATAAGCTCATTAGGAGTTACAACAACCTTTATTCATTTTAAGTTTATTGAAGAAATTATATTTATTGTTTTAATTGTATATTTATTTACTTCTTGCATCACAAATACAAGTCTTTATAGAGCCTTCTCTGAAAAATTCTTTGCAAAGAGAGGATATTTTCTTAAAATTTTAGTATTAACTTCAATGTTTATTTGGTCTTTTAAATTTTGAGAGAGTTTATCAATCACTGCATCTTCTGCTTTTTTATTCACTTCTTTTTCTTCCTAAGCCAAAAACGACAAATACTTCTTAACTCTAAATTAAAGATCGATATTTACTTATTTCCTACTTAAAAATCTATTCATTATGCTTAAATCTTCCTTGTATTATTTGCTTACTTTAGCTATATCACTTAAAATGATACCAATAGAGTTGATAGAATATGCAAAAACTGTACTACAAAAAATAATTACAATCGTAACAAAACCAACTTCATATTTATTCAAAGGTGTGATATCTCCATATCCAACTTTAAAAATATTTAAAATGATTTTAATTATATAAATAAGCATTTTATTTATTTACTTGTAAACATCGTAGTAACAGACCAATATAGTGAATAAATATACCTTATATCCCAAGATTCGTTATTTATCCCTAACTTTGTTTGCCAATTATCAAGTCCTACACTCTACTCATACAAAGCAATTTAATTCCAAACTATAGCAACTATTTAGTAAATATCATATAAAAAATATTTTTTAATCTTTATATAGAATTTGAAATAGAGGTTTATTTTCTTTCTTAATTAGTTAAAATAAATTTAATTACAAAATTTAAATTATTTCTGTTTATTTTTTCAGCCTTTAATTAAACATTTAATTTATTAAAAATATCTAGTAATAAATTTATTTATGATATTTATATTTTCGTTTTAAATAAAAATGAAAACTCTAGTTTAAAATATTTAAAAAAAGAAATATAAATAAATATTAAAATTTTACCACAGTGTGCTACTATTACAAGAGAAGCAAGAAGTCCTATTAGAGCTAACATGTGTCTCCATACTTCTTTCATAGGTACAGATTATTCTAAATGCTTAATTTTATGCTAAAAGCTGGCAATTTTTAAGAAGACTATTGAGTTTTAGATATATATTAGGACACTATTTGTATGATTTTCTACCATGTTATCCTTATTCATATTTAAGCCAAGTATAAAGAATGACAAAATATCAAAAATAAAAGTAGATCTAAGATATCTATTAATTGTTTAAGAATATCAATCATGAGGATAAGTTTAATAATTAAATAAATGTGTATTTATAAAAAATAAATTAATTACTATTTGGCGATATGCACTCGCTCTCTTATTATTGATTCTTTTGAGTAAAAAGATGTATTGAAATTCAGTATTATGTCTATTAATAAACAACTGAAAGCCAGCTTTGCATAAACTGATGATATATATTATTCTTGTTATGCAAAAAACACCAAAGCTGAATAATAAAATAAAAATATTCCCATAGCTGTGATCATAAAAAAATCCCACAGGAGTCTAGAAAAATCTGTTGGGTTAAGCAGAGGAACATAGTAGAAAATTTTACCAAAATAAAAATATATTTATTAAATTGACTGAAGTAAGCAAACATATTAGTTTTCTTTAGTAGTTTGATAAAAATAAGATTTATCATTTATTAGATTCAATTAATATTCATTTAAATTCATTCTCCTATTTTACCATCTAGATACCAGAATCCTTAAAAATTTTAAAACTTTCAAATCTCTTCTTACTTCAAATTTCTTCTAAAATATATTTTTAATCTTCATTTGTTCTTGAGTCATCACTTAATTTGTCAAATCTAAAAAGCATGGTTTATTTTTTTTATCAGAAAATATTGAACTCCTTGGAAATCTTAAATTAGTTTCTGTTCCAGGTCTACTTTTTTTTCTTTTATCATCACTTTATGCCAATTACAAATTCAAAAACCTGCTTGATTTTGGACTTGTTTCCATTATTTTATTCATCGGATTTTATGTATTATTGTGCTATTCTATGATCTAAGACATTCGAAATGTTTAATTTGGAGTTTATGACTCATAAATCTAAACACTTTATTTCTTTTTTTTCCCTTTTATAGGTGATTTAATACTTTCTAAAATATTTTCATCTTATTTATCAGGAAAATTTTATATGCTCTAAGTAGGATTTTTATTTATATCAAAATTTTTTGTTATATTAAACGATTCATCAAGAAAGTCAACTTCTCCTATATGTCCTTTCTATAGAAACGATTCTTCAGCTTTCGAATTAAACAGTTACTTTTACTTCATCATACTTGGAGAAGGTAGAGAATAGGAATATTAGGTGTTGATAAATTCTTATACTGTTTCCATTTATGAAGTCTTTTAAATGAAATTTTATTTTGAAATCATTATCTCTTTGTAAAAATAAAAACTTCTACTATATGTTATGTAAATATAAATATACTGATTTAATTAATTGGATTTTAATAAAAGAATGATAAATTTAACAGATATCGATGTTCGACTATAACTAAAATTTAATTAACTTTGGTGAAATTCAAATTGATAAAATAATAAATACATCATACCTACCTACATACATACATATTAAAATTAAGTTCAACATAAAGTAAATATTAAATAAAAATAAAATTATTTTTTTCTTCTTAAATTCTCAAAGAATTTTGATAATAATCTACATTTTTAACAAATATAATTTCAATTTATCCACTACATTAATTAAGAAATAAGTAAATAAATATTGAGATTTCATAAATTAAAAAAAAATAAAGCTTCAATTATATTTTAATTTGGATGAGATATTAATTTTATAAATTTAAGTTATTAAATATTTTTTATTTTATCTTATTATTCTTTTTGTTATATTAGATTTTTTTGACCTTTATCAATATTTTTAAACTTTTTTTCAAATATATTTTCTTTCAAATTATCTTAGACAAATTAAAAATTTCCTATTTAACTATTTTTTTATTCTTTTATTTTTATTAATAATAATTTATCTTCACTTTTTAAATTATGACTTATTATCATTACTGAGCTATGTCTTTAAATTATTTTTTTAGGAATCACCTTCCTTTTATGATGGCTGCTTTTCAAAATGAGATTTCTAATCTTATGACCCCTAACTCTACTAGAGTAGCATCATTCTAGAAATGTTCGACTGCTTAACAAAACTATGATTCTACAACTATTTACTTTAATCAGTCGAATTAGGTCTTTGCTGGCTGGACTAATTTTTTTAAAGCTAAAGATTTTCTACAGGACTCTAATCAGTATCTTTTTCTTTAAAAGCAAATTAATTTTTTAAAAATACTTAAACAATTTACTTGGTTTCAATAGGTCTAAGTTAATAAGCTAGTATGCTTCAGATCTTTATTTACCATCATTTAATAATGAATTTTTTTCTATGTGCAACTTACTTTCACCATGAATCTAATTATAAAAAAGTCTAAATATTTCTAATAAATATAAATGCTTACTGCCAAATAATCTGCTTCTGATTATGTAAAATAGTCTAAATAAGGCTATTTCATGATCGAGCCATATTTAGAGGTTTATTCCTTTTCTTTTTCTAAAAAGTAGTTGCTTATATTAAAAGTTTTTGTTAATCCCCTTGAAGAGTGAAAGCCAGACTTATCCGAGTCCTTGAATGTAAGATTTTTAAGAGTGTTATTTTGAGTAGAAGTATTTGTATCAAATAAACATCTTGGAGTCCTGATCATTTCCAAATTTTCATGATTTAAGGCTGTCTATATTCTCACACCATGAGTATAACTTAATTCTCTAACTGTATAATCAGATTTCCTAAAAGTTAAATCAACCTTAGTAGATCGAGGTAGGCCTTAAGTTTTAAGAATGCTCTTAGTAAAGAACTAATCATTTTATTTATTTTATTAATTATCATTTAACAACCCTTTTAAACTAGTATTTCTCCTATGGCTCTAAATAGTTTTTTACTTTTAAAATAGATGTTGATTTTATTCTTCATTTACTTAATTTTAATTATTATTTAAATGTAGAGTTTCTTCTGTTTATTATTCTAAGTTATTATGAGATTATAATTACTTTTACTAATTATCATTTGATTTGGAGAAAAAATAATCATCTAATCTCTTTCTTTGAGAATATTTTGTAGTGATATCAATGGCATCATTTCTAAGCATACCTTCCCACAAGTTTTTCTACCCTAAATACTCGAATGGATCCTTTAAGTGTTCTAAATATTCTCCCTACTCTTTTTTTGCTCTATAAGTATCTTCACTTCTCATAAGTAGAGTATCTTCAATATTCTACCTCGTATAATTTTTATACTTTTTATAGCTTTTTTATGCTAAAGCACCTTTACCTAGTAAAGCTTGGGATGGATCCTACTTTGCAATTAAAGTTTGTGCTGTGGTTAGCCATTTCTCTCTTTAGGTGTCATAATTGTTCAAACTTCTTAATTATCTTGTCTCGTCTAAGCGCTCTTAAAATCTCATGCTGCTTTATTCATCATATTATTTTTACTAGTTCTACAGAACTCTATTTTCTATCTCGTTATACTTCATCAACAAATGATCTTTTGTTACTGTTTGAGACTTACCATTTTTTTCAGTACTTCCACCATCCCCACTTACTCTATTCGTTTTTCTAGCTTTAGACAAAACAGACTTCATATCAAAATTTTGTTATTTCAAACCTGAAGCATTACGATTCTAGGGGATATTTTTCATATTCATGTGAGTTAATTTACTCCCATTTTTTTATTAGTCTATTTTTTAGTACCACTCAGGTTTTCCAACTATAGAATAAGAAAGTAAATTTTTATTTTAATCATACCTAGGTCCTGTATCAAATAAAGGTGTCACATTACTTGATTTTAAATCGATATTATCATTAAATATATTTTTTATTTTAGGACTTTCCTTTTCCTCTATAGTTGATGAATCTGTTTTTGTAATTGTGGGTATTGTAGCTGATTAAGCTGCAAAGTTATTTTCATTCTTCTATGAGTGTGATGATTTCTGCTTTGTAGGTGACAAATCAAATATCTACTTTATTTTGGTTGAATTGATGCTACTTAAACTTTGGGTTTATTTTCCAAAACCAAGAGGTATATGATGAGAACCATTCTTAGACAGAGCCCCTTTATCCTTTCCAAGAGTGCTATTAAAATTTAATTTCAAACTATTGCTCATTTTATCTTTTTGTTGTTCCTCTAAAAATTAATCTAATGGCTTCATTACAAATTTTGCTTCCTTAAAAATAAGGGGAGTCTTATGAATTTTTTAAATATTAGAGTCAGTATCTTAATCAGTATATTTAGTTTGGAAGTTCAATTTTGAAAATGGGTTTTAACCACTGTATGGTTTACCTGTTTTCCTATTTAACTTTTCGCTAGGACTAAAATCATCATCGAATTCTTCATCTTCTTCATACCTGGACTATTCAGAAACTAAATCTATTTTATTATTTCTTGAGCTTTCCATCATAAAGCTTGATTTTCTATATTCCTTCATTTATCTACTATATAAATTAGAGCAAACGTAATTATTCTAAGCTCAATTTAAGTTGCTATTGAGTATTTTATATATGCTTTTTAATAAAGTATTTTATGTACCTTAATAAATAATTAGCAAAAAATTAATAACTTTGCTTACTTAATAATTTTGTTTATCACATAAATTTCTATAGCTTTTGATAACTTAACTAAACATAAAAATCAAAAGTTTTATTTAAATCGCACTTAAATATAGAACAAAAAAATAAATGATATTCAGTGAATTTTATTTCAATTGTTTTTAAAAATCTTAATTTTTTGTGAAATTAATACGATTCTTCCTAAAAATAATTATTTTTTAAAAATTCCAAAATAAAATATTTTCAATTTATTTTAATGATATTTACTATTTATTTTATACAAAAAATGGATTTAAAATTCATAAATTAGGGTTGATATTTAATAGAAGATTTTACATTTTTTGATGTAAAATTGTTTAAAATAAATGAAAACTAGATTTTAAAAAGTTATCATCAATCCGAGATAGTATAGTGGTTAGTATTCCTGCCTGTCACGCAGGAGACCCGGGTTCAATTCCCGGTCTCGGAGCTTTTTTAATTTTTATACCTTTGAAAATATTTTTCTGATCTTATTTAAAAATTAATTACTTATTTATTCTTTAGTAGTTGTTAATTTTAAAAATATTCTAAGATAATTTATTAAAGTCTAAATTTGTATTTTTTTAAAGCACATTTACCTTTTCATTACTTATTAGAGAAAAAGCTGAAGGATTTCTATTTGAATGGCTTACAGAATATGAATACAATTAAGATTTATATTTTTAAATAAATACTGAAAGTTCTCTCCCTCTTTCTCATATCATAAACTTAAATTAACTATTATAAATATATTAAATTCAAGAATTCTAAGAAATAATGTATTAACTTTTTTTATATGATTAAATAGATTTTCACTTCAGCGAAAAATATCTTTAAATAAAATTTTGCTAAGTAAATAATTTAAATTGTTAGATTTGATAAATTTTTTCAACCACTTGAAAGTATTTTTTAATAAATAAACATTTCATATTAAATTTAGATAAATTGATATTGTTTCTAAATTTTATAATATTCCTACTAAATTCAATAATTTTATATCCCATTTTTAAAAGAATAAATTTATTTTATGAGTAGTTTGTTTGTTTGTTCAATTTTATTTAAATTTTTGTCTTATTAAAAATAAAATTTATTGGCTAGTCGATTTTTTACATTCGTATAATTTTAAGAGTGCTAAAGTTATTATTAAGAAACATCTTGATAGAATTATTTAGTTAGTCGTTGTAAATCTCTATATTATATTTTAGTTAGAAATGCTGGCCAGGATTAACTTGTATGTATAAATAGATATATTTTTTTTAAAATCATTCAATAAATAATAATCACTTAATTAATTAACTAAATAATAACAATAAAAAAATACGATTAATAGATCAGATGAATATCGCAAAAGCCACCAGTCACATTTAGACTTCTCAAAAAAGCAAAGTCCAACCTCAAAAGAAAAAAGAAAAGAAAGAAATATCTACTTTACAAATCCTTATTATAATTTTAATATGTTTGGTATATGTTTTTATTCAAAACTAAGAATCTATCTTGAAACAATTAGCTTAACAAAGAGCTGATTTATTCTCAGAAGAGTAAATGGCATCACAATATTCTTAATCCTAGTAAAATGGCTAAAATAGTTTTGAAATTTATTATAAACAAGATCAGCTAATTAGTAAAAATGAAGGAGAGTAATAAATTTAAAAATAAGAGAATGAAAGAAGCAAATACGAAGGTATCAAACCTTTATTCAAATAGCTTTTAGAAAACAAAATTGAATAACTCATACTCAAAAAATAATCTTAATAAATTAAAAATGAAATTCCTAAAACTAGCTGGACAAAAATTAATATTGAAGATATTTCTTTAGGAAGTATATAAAATATTATTAGTAAGCAAAAAGAATAATAAGTGCTCAAAGGATCTCAATTTTTTGGAGGACAGATGTCCTTTATTGTTAGTTTGAAAGCTTCAGCCAACTTTATTCAAAATTCTTTATTCCTAGAACACACCATGATTGAGCAAATGGGAAAAGGAAAGCAGCTATCAAAGATTATTGATAACTCATTCTAATATATATTGAAAAATACAATAGGGTTTGAAGGTATTTCTAAATTCGTCAACTCTTAAAGAACTATTAATAAATAAATTCATGGCATCGCTGCTCTTAAAAGTGCTTCTAAAACAATAAGAACCTAATTCACAGTTGATATAATATACACATTAGTTGAAACAACAATCGATATAACTAAATTAATCAGAGGAGATATTAAACCAAGAGATTTGGCAAAGAATATATTTTTTAACTTATTTTCTTCCACAGGAAGCACTATTGGTTTCACCTATGGAACAATTAAGTTTGGCAATTCACTTGGAGGAGTTATGGGTTCTATAGCAGGAGCATTTACATCAAACTTTATAGCACAAGTTGTATATAAGGAGTTTCTATCTGACGAGCTAATTATTAATGAAGAGTAGATAATTTAAATTGTAAAAGAAATAATTTTTAATAAAAGTTAGAATTCTGATTTAAATATGAATGAAATGGAATTACTCCTCTAAAAGGTAGGAAATGCTCCCTAATTATAAATTGATAACTCATTCAATGAAACATCATTTAAATCAAAGCTTGAAGAATTGGTGTTACTTTTTATATAATAAATCAAAGAAAATAGAAACAAAGTAATTTAGCAATGAAGAAAATTATGAAATCCTATGCAAAAAAATGTAATTAAATTTCAAGTAACAGCAAACAAAACAACACAATTAATTAATTCATTAATTACTTAAAATACTATATCCTAAACAAAATATTATTACAATTACTAAATATATATAATAAATTTAATGTCATCTTTGGCAAATAAATAAAACTTAGTGATTAAATTTCCATTAAAAATTTTTTTTTATGTTTTACTTTGTTTTCAGCAATTTAAGTAAGCAAAATTCTTAATTATCTGCTGAAAAACACCCCCTAATTTAATCACAAAATATGGTTTTATAATATTTGCCAAGGTATGTTTGCTTATCTGTTGCAAATTAATGTTATCAAAATTCATTTATTAAAATTATAAATTAATTTAAAAAATTTATTTTGACAAAGATTTTTATGAAAAATTCAATGATTTATTTTGTTCAGATTATTAACTACTTTAATTTTGAAATAAAATATTTTGTATATTAAACAGTGCGATGAAAATTGAATTAATAACTTTTAATAAATGAAATCAAATATCATAAAATATTTCTAATTTGAATATTCTAAATTTTTAATTAATTTAAAAAAAAAATATTTTGAAATATATTCTATGAGATTTATGAATAATCTGATAAATAATTTATTTTCTAAATAATAACATATTTTAAATAAATTAAATAATTAAATTTTATAAATATTAAAATAACCTACTCATTAATATAATTTTATTAAATAGTTTAATTATTTCTATAAATAAAAAATGAGGTAAGTTAAATATTGTTACTTAATTTAAATTGATAAATAACTATTTGCTTTAAAATTAAAATATTATTTTTTTCTATTAAAAAACATACAAATTTAATGATTTTATTAATTAACTTAAAACTTTTTAACATTAATTTTGGTTTTTATTAATTAGTTAATACAATCAAGATAGTTAATATCATATTTTTACTCTTTTATGATATTGATTTGTTAAGAGGTTTCATGTTGAGAATTATGTCAATATTTATATTTAAAAAATAATTCAATCGAAAATTAGCTAGCAATTTATTTGCTTGCAAATATTTAAATAATGAAAGAATAAAAATAATAATTTATATTTTCATAATTTATAAGTATTAAATTTATCACATTTTATTATCTCAAAAGATCTAATTAATTTAAACAAATTTTATAAGTTAAAAGTTTAGAAAAATATTAATAAAATATTTAATTTAAAAATAATTAAATGCAAAAAATTATGATTTTTATATTTAATTAAAAAATATATATATAAATATATGTAATACAAATTATTTATTAACTTGGAGATTGGCTAAATTTTAATTAATTAGGTTCAACTGCATAATTTACCTGCAGCTGAAAGATCCCAATTAAAGAGATTCATATGATCAGCTGGATTGAAAGCAGTGTAAATTGATTATGCACCACATTTAGTATCTTCTGCTTATGGACAGAGTTTAGGTTGGCTGTTAAAATCAAGGTAGAAGACTTCGAAGTGAGTATGATAATAGTACAATGGCCACCAACTAGTAGGATTTTAAACAACAGGATCGTAACCGTGAGTAATTCTTCCATAATATACTGAAAAATTAGAAGCTCTAAGCCAATTAGCAAATGCTTAATTACCTACTCTAGGTGATTCGAAATGATAAACAGCATCAAGTTATTTATTTCCATTCCAAGAATAAATATCAGGTAAGGAAAGAGTTGCAAGAGCAGCACCAAGTGAATGTCCTGTTAAATATACTTTAGCTGAAGGATATTTTGCCTTAAGAACCTTGAAATTAGACTTGAGTTAGTTAACAATACTTTGATAATTTGTGAAAAAACCTGTATGAACTTAGCATGTGCCTGTACATAATTAGTTAGGATAATTATACCAAGCAGCAGAGAGATCAGCTCCCCAGTTATTTAAATCAACAGTACCTCTAAATGAAATAACGATGGCATCGTTATCAGGAGAAAAGCCTAAAATAGCTCTAGTACTAGTTGTGTCGTTTTTCACTTCTATGAAATTTTGAAGGCCTTAAGGATTTTAATTGCAAGGTGCACCACAATTATTCAATGGGATACTTGTATTGTTGCAATAAGCTTGAACAGCAAATCCAGCTAAATTTTTAGAAATTCCTTCATTATAATTAAATTAGCAATTAACAACAAAGCACAAAACAGCTAAAGCAAACACCAATTTTTTCATTTTTTATTTTAGATATGTTTTTTTATAATTGAATTAAAATTATTAATTTTTCAATCAATCAAAGTGTTGTATTTATAAGTTATGGAAATTAATAATTTGAGAAAAAAATTATATTTAACTTAACTTATAAGATAAATAAATAATATTTTTTAACCTATTCAAGCATAATTACTGGTGAAATATTTAATATCTAGTTTTTCCTTATTACGAATTTTATTTTTGTGATAAAAAGATAATTACTGTAAAAATTTAGATAAAATATAAATTAAGATCATACAAATAAATAGAAACAAAAAACTGAAAATATATTTTGATTTATTGCATAGAAATACATACTGATAATTTTTAAAATTATTTATTAAAATAATATTAAATTAATAAAGAAATTTATTTTATTTACCTTAATAATAAAATTAAGAAATATTTTAGCTATATTTAGATAGCTAAAAATATTTCAATCCTCAAACAATAATCTATAAATTTAAAAAAAAAAATCAATCATTATAGAAGGAAAAAAACACTTCAGTATTTCCTAAAAGTGTGTTATTAAAAGTTAAAAAATAAAATCAAAAAACATTTGAATTTTTACTGCATGCTTTTTCTAAATTACTTTATCAAATGTTACTGTCAAAGTTCATACTTCATAGCTAAATAATTACCTTAAAATATAAAATTAAAGTATCTTGGCGTTATCGTTAAAGTATACACTTTTAATAATTTTAATACATCAAATTACATTTTCTTTTCTTTGCTTTTTTATATTCATTAAATTTCAAAATATAAAAACATTAAAGATAGCTTTTCTTATTTTCATTTTATAAAATATTTTACTTCTTTTAACTGTTTTTTTTGTTGTAATTAGTGGGGTTTATTATTAAAGTATTAAATAGAATTTGACATATCTTATTTTTAGCATACAAACAACAAAACAAAAATTACCAAATTATTAATTATAAAAATAATAGATATTTAAATATACCATCTGATATGATTTTAAATGCAAACAAATATTTAAAGATAGATGAATAAATTATTATTCTTTTATTGAGAAGCCTTTTTTAAATTAATAAGGTTAGATTGTAAATTTCAAAAAATATTTTTAAATATTTTATATTTGATTTTTTAAATTAAATTAAGAGGAGAAATAAGAAAAATCTAATATGAATAAAAAAGGTAAATCTTAAAAAGTAAAAAATATTTTATATATTTTAGGTTTTATTTAAAATATCACGAAAAATCAAGAATTATTGATATTAAAACACAATCTTTGTTAAAATTAAATTCATTTAATTTACTCAGAATAAATTAACTTTAATCACTTGAAAATTTAGGTAGGAATTTATCAATTATATTAAAAATTGATATTAAATCTGAAATTCATAAAACAAGCTCTAAATTGAATCTAAATTAGCAGTAAAAAGAAGACCATAGTTTTTCTTCTTTTCTTCTTTAATTTTCCATAATTTAAGACAGATGAGGTATTAATATTTTGTATAGAGTCTAATTAACTATTTCTTTTCTGTAAAATCATATTTATCTAACATCTTGGTCTTTTAAAGAAAATATATTTTATTTAATTAATTCTTTTTATTCAACAAATTCTTCACTTTTATTTAATAAATATAAAATATTTAATTTTTTAAACTTTAGTAAATAAATAATCAAATTAGAACTAATAGCTTGTATTATTTCTTTTAATAAGTTAAAATTTCAAAATATTGTTTGACATATTTATTGATCGACTAACTGTCTGTCTGAATGGCATTTGATTAAAATACTGGAAAAATATATTTTTAATACACGTTTTTGTTTTAACTCATACAAATAATTATTTATTTGCATTTCAATTTAAAAATTTAATAGAGTTCAAATAGATATAGATTTTACAATATTAAACAAACAGAAGTGTAGAAATACATTATCATATTTAAAGGTATAATTGAAACTACTAAAAAATGAGTAGGACTGATAATAAAAATATAGAATTGTAGTCTGCACTATAAAGCAAAGATTTATATAAGGATGCTTCTGAAGATCAATAGCAGAATAATTAAGAATAAATTGACGATAATGAATTAGATAAGGAGTTATCAAATGCAGATACAAACATACTGAATGACATGGAGTAAAATGAAAACTTGACAGACTCGTAGTTATTTAAGAAAGATTTTACAAATATACTTTTGCTGATCGTTCTCTATATGTATTAAGGATTTATCTTAGCTTTCTTCCTAGAGTATGTTAAGAATTATTTGATTTAGGAAAAATAAATCAAAGGAGAACAAATAGCGTTGATAAGAGGAATAGCTTGGCCTTTTTCAATTAAATTTTTATGGGCTCCTTTGATGGATACATACTATATAAAGGCATTCGGAAAGCGCAAAACTTACATAGTTCCTGCTTAGTTTATAATGTCTATATTACTGTTTTACTCTGCTTTTTACTTTGAAGGCTGGATGGAAAATACTGATGTCTTATAGATAAGTACAATAGGTGTAATATGTGTATTCTTACTCACAGTTCAAGATATAGCAGTTGACAGTTGGAGTGTTACACTTCTCCATGAAAAGAATGTTGCTTATGCAAGCTTCAGTTAGAGTTTTGGACAGCGTATTGGAAACATATTTGGTTATTAACTTTTTATCTACCTAAGTGATGAGCAGCTAATGGAGAGTTTATTTACTTATAAGGAAAAGGTCTTAACTCCTTTTTCTATGTGTGTAGTTATGAGTGTTTCAATTTTGTTAGGGACCTTATTTATAATATTATTTCGTAAAGAAAGTAATGAAGAGCAAAACAGCTCTGCATATAGATAGGTAGAAGGTAACTCATCACTAATTAATGGCAATCAGTAATAATCAGAAGGACAAGAATAAGAAGGCTTTGTTAATATGCTTAAAAACATTGTGAGATTCTTTAAAAATAAATAGATTTTACTCCTTATTTTCTTTTTGCTATCTACTTCTTTTGGTATCTTTTGTGTCGATATCACAGGAGAAATTATACTTTTAGAGAAGGGTTTTAACAGGTCTACATTAGCAACAATCGAATTGTGCTTAATACCTTTTACTTAAGTAATCAGCGCATATGCAGCAAGACTTTCATCAAAAAAATTAGAATTTAAAATTTGGATTTACTGCTTTATTGTTAAATGCTTCTGGAATGTTGGTAACTACTTCTTGGTCAATTCATTTGAAAAAGAAAATATGTCATATTTTATTATTCCAGTTGCAATAATGCAAGTAGGAGATTCCATACTCTTCACACTTCCTTTCATAGGAATATCTTCTTTCTTTTTGAGAATATGTGATTAATCGATCGGAGGCACGTATATAACTTTCTTAAATTCTTTCTCAAATTTTGGAAGATTATGGCCTTCTATTTTAGTTACCACATTAAGCACTCGCCTTTCATTTACAACTTTGTTTATTATAGGTAGTATTTATAACTTTGTTTTAGTACTATTCTGGAGAAAAAGGGTTTTAAATATGTAAGAAAGTGATAAAAAATAATGGTTAATTAAACAAAGGTGAGAAGCTTATTTGGAATGATAATTATTTTTCATTTAAAAATAAATTAACCATTATAATATCTTTAAAGCAAGAAGATATCTAAAAAATATATTTTTAAAAGATCAAAATTGATATTAAATTTTATATTTTAATATGTTTATTTGTCAATAATTAGTTAATCAATTAATAAATTAAGATTTTTTTCTAAAAATTGTTTTAATTTATATTTTTTTATAAATACAAACATTAATTTTATTTAAGTATTTGATGGTAACTTTTAATATAAGTACCGCAAGAATAATTATATTAGGGGATTCAAATTTAAAAGAATTTACAAATAAAATTTTATTAAGAACCAACAACAAATCTAAAAATATGAATCAAATTTATTCTAAGGAATATTTATTTACCTACCTATATTTATTGGATAATTTTTAATCAAAATAAATTCATTTAAAAATGTTAAAATACTATATTAATTACAAATCACTTCTATATATATTTAACAACAAACGATACTTAATAATATAGTTTAAATTTATAATAAAAATACTCTTATATGATCAAATAATTTATAATTAAGATTAACCAGATAATATAAAACCTAGTCGGTAAATTGTTTTTTCTTAGAATGAAAATTTCTAGTTATAACCTTTTTTTGTTGTTCTATTATAAAATTTTATTTCATTCTCCTTAAAAGTAATTTCTATAGTTTAATTCGATTCAAATTAAAATTCTACAAATTCTTATTTTAAAGCACATAACCCTTTGTTCGATATTAAATTTTATTATTAGCAATCTTCTAGAAATGAAACTCTATTTTTTTGTTTTAAAAGGAGTTCTTGGTTGATTAAACCAATTGCTTAAAACATGCTAGTTTTTTAAAATTGAAATATGATTTTTATTTTTTAGTTAATCATATCTTTATTTATAATACAATCAATAGCTCCAATTTATATCTCTTCTTCTTTAATTTAAGATAGGATTTTATATTTTTCCCCTAGAACTAATTTCCCCAGGTAGTTTTGCTTGTAAGCTATGAGGGACATTTTTATTATATCTTATAAAATTTTTTGTTGAGTATTTAAAAAAATTTTTTTACCATTGCTTTCTTTTTTCTCAATTATTTCTTCTCTTTATTAAATAATTGTTTGTTTAAATTATTATGTATTATTCTTATGTTAGTGGTTATTATTTTTGTTAATTTTGTCTTAATTGTTCTAGTTGATCTATAACATTTGATCTTATCTGAATTAATTAACTTAGTTAGGCATTTATTAATTAGTATTATTTTTATTCTTTGATATAACTTTTGCAAATTAACATTAAACTGGTTCTTAATGATTCATAGATTTATTTCTGTAAGTATAGTTGTTATTTTTTTATAATTCACCATTATTTGCAGTTTACAAGGGCCTTCTAAAAACCATTTCTTAAAGTAAGTATGTATTTTATTCGTTATTTATATTTTCTGTTTAGATATATCGTTTAAATTATATTGGTTAAGGTTAATGATTATTGTTTTCTTTTTGATTATCAAATTAACACAAAAAATTTAGTTTATTTTCTACTTAAAAGTTATTATCATTATAATAAATATTTTAATTTTTATTAATTATATTATTATAGTTCTGATTTAGATTATCATTAACAGAAATGTAATTTAGTAACTGCTATTAAACATTGTTATTCTTATCTATAATATTTTAGTTTACTGTTTATTTTGTATTGTTATCAATTATATTTATGATATTTAAATTCTCACTGTTATCTTATTTCGATTCTTCTTGCTACACAATAATTTAATTATTTTGATTTTTTTATTAAATATTGTTTTGAGAAATATTATCGACTTAGAGATCTGTTTTTAATCTATCAGCTAAATTCTTTACTCCATTAACAATTTATTATAACTCCTTTTTTAAAAGATTTATATCCTTTTTCTATGAAATTTTATTTAGTATTTCCAGTTTTTGCTTAAGAATTTATTAGTTAGAGTATTGTTAAGAATGAAGTTGGAAGAAAAAGTTAAAAAGGTTAAAGTTTTACTAATCGTTTGTATTTTAAATTATATTTTTAAGTTTTTCTCTTTGTGATATTTAAAAGTAAAAATCATAAAATTCACTTGGTTCAAATAGATCTTATTTTGATAAATAAATCTTTTTTATTTCTTACATCGCTTCAATTAAGTCATTTGTGTAGCTATGAATAAGATCTTCTATTGATTTATAATATTCTTATCTAGCAGATTGATCAGACTTTAGTTGTTTGACTTTTTCAGCAAATTATTTTAAAGAGTCAGGTTCTGAAAGGTATGGCAAACCTTTAATGATATAATCTTTTTTTTCTTCCATTATTACGCTTAATGCAAATTTAGTAAAAGTTTAATACTCATCTGATATAGCACATATATCGCAAGTAAAAACTGTTATAAAGCTAAATGGAGGAGAGACAAATAAATGAGTTGCTTACTTGTCGGTATGATTTGAGCATTTTATTTGCGCTTACTATATTTAATCCATTATTTGAAGCTATTTTTTTTTCTTTTTCAGATTTAATTTTTCTGTTAAAAAATATCAAACTCGTTTGCTATTAAGAAGAATTTGAATTCCATATAATTTAAATATATTTTAACGATAAATTGTTATTTAAAAAAAGAGAATTAATTATAAATTATTTATTTCAAATAACCATTTAAATTTTCATTATTTTCAAATAAAAGAAATAGATATTTAAATCAAAAATACCTTTATTTTCTTTAATTAATCTGTTTAAATTAATAATTATTTAAATTGACTACCTAATTTTCTTTAAGGTCCAATCTAAATTATAAATGTAAAACTAAATATAAATAAAAAACCAAAAAAGTATATAAGATAGTATTTTAATAATTATTTTGAGGTTATTTAGTTAAATAAATTTATAAAATAGTAAAATGAAAATTAAAAAATTGAAGTTTCTTTTACAAACCAAATCTTTAATTATTTAATTATTTACATTAAAATTCATGCTAATAAATGAATAAAATTTAATAACTTCACCATAAAAGATATTATTCAAGAATATATTTTTGAAAATTTAATTATTTAATTTAATAAAATTTAATACAATTTAATTTGTATTTTAAAATAAATTTTTTAATGAAATATCAAAATTTTTGATTGAAATAATAAAAGAGATATTTTGTTTACTAAATCTGAAGTTAATTAATTAATTACTTTATTCAAATATTTTAGTCCAATCAATTATTATAATTTAAAATGTTTAATCATATTATTATTATATCAATGCAATTTTTAATTAATTTATATTTTATTTCATAAGTTTTAAAAGACAGAAAATTAATTAACTGTTTATGCATGTATGATCAAATTATTTAGGCACACATGTTTTAAAATTATAGAATAATAATTAAAAATCAAAAAGTGGATATAAAACCTTAAACATAAAACAAATAAATTATTTTAATTCTAAATTAATAAAATATTGTTTATTATAAAATCATTTATTCATATTAAAAATCTTATTTATATTTTTTATCATAATACCTTAAACACACACATATATATATATTATTATTTATTAATTAATTAAAACAAATTAATTTTTCAGTAGGCTTCAGTATTTTATTTTTTTTCTACGGATTCAAATTAGTCTAAATTTTATTTGTGATCATGATTCTTTATAGCTTCAATTAAATTATTAGCCAATCCAGAAGCTCCAATTCTAAAAACAGTGTTATCAGATTTGCCAAGTAAATTCTTGGTTAAGGTGAAGAACTTCATTGCTGTTTAAGCATCAGAAATACCACCAGCAGCTTTGATACCTCTGTGGTTAGTTTGAGTATGAGCATTATAGTCTCTTAAAGCAAGACACATAGCTGTATAGTGCTCTAAAGTAGCTCCGTGCTTTCCTTTACCAGTAGATGTTTTGATAAAATCAGCTCCATTTTGAAGAGCTTCATAAGAAAGTTGGTAAATAGAGGAAAGAGAAAGCAATTCGCATGTTTCTAAAATAACCTTTAAGTGAGCTTTTTCTCCACAAATAGCCTTTTATGTTTTTATTTCATCAATGACCTTCTCTTAAAATCCATCATTCCAGTAACCTCTTGATACTACCATATCTATTTCTTAAGCACCTTGTTCAACAGCAATCTTAGTTTCTAAGTCTTTAACTTCTTAAAATGTTTAACCTGTAGGGAAGCAAGTAGAAACGACTGCAGTTTTGATTCCAGTTTCTATTTTTAAAAAAATAGATAATGTAAGCCAAATTCATTAAATATATACTAATTATAATGATTTATAAATACCTTTTAATTTAGTGCTCACTAATCTGGAGAAATTGGGATAAACGCAAATTGCAGCTGGCTTAATATCATGATGAGCGTCGAGGACTTTGAAAACTACTTTGTCAATCCAATTATCAAGAGAAGTTGGTCCATCAGTAGAGTTCAAAGAAGTTAAATCAATGCATGAGTAAATCTTTTTTAATGTTGCAACATCTGCTTAAGGTAAATTTTAGACCTTTTCAATTTCTTCTGAGATGAGCTTTTTAAGTTCTTCTTCAGTTGGGTATTTAACTGCTTGCTCAGCCATTTTACTTGCTATGTATATTTTGACAAAATTAATAAAATTTTTATTTATAAAGATATTTATTTCGATTTATCAACTTATTAGTGATTAGTAATATTATTTAAATAAGATTTGTCGTTCAATTTTAATTAAATGCGCACTTAGCACTTTCTAGATTAAGATTTAGACTAATAAAAAGTAAAAATCAATTCGTAGAACTATTACATAGAATAAAAAAATAATCCAAAATTAATAAAAGTCAAAACAAAAGCAAAGAAAAATAGATAAAAAGATTGATTACACTTTTACACTTTAATTATTTTTCATAGCCTTTAATTATTAATTTTCTATTTTTTCTTGGATCTAGCTAGATCTGTCAAAAAATGAATATTAACTACCTTTCATACATAGTTTTCACTTAAATAGGATGAAGAATAACAAAATATAAAAACTTGCATAAAGATAGTAATAAAAATTTATGAGTACAATTGTAGATAAACTTTGTATAAAGTACTTAGTAATAACACATATGAATATCTAAGCTTTAGCTGAGGATATCTTGATAAAAATATTTATAGCATTTTGGTAAAAAAAATGAAATCATGAATAAAAATGTGAGTGATGTCTTATTAACATAGCAGATGAAAGCTTGAAAAAAAAAGAGAGTAAATTAAATAGTTAATTAGTATGTGTAATAAAGTTAATATAGAATAATGTTATTTTGCTTAGTTATAAATCAGTGAGTGATATTTATTGAAGAATTTACATATTTGAAAAATCTTTTTTATTAATTTTAATAAAATGCTTGGCTGAGTTTCGAATAATTTCAGGTTAATAAATTACAATAAAAAGAAAAACAAGAATTAATTAGAATAATATGACTAATATAATTACATATTGAATGAATGATTAATGAATTATTTATTTATTAGGCAAATGAATAATTTATATTTAATTACTTACTTACTGATTTTAAAGCTAATTAATTAATCAATAACTAAATAATTTATATTAATTAATTAATAAATTTATTATATTTATTTGCCATTTTGTATTTAATATATGTTTGTCTGTTTGTTTAAGCAAGCTGATTTATTACTTTCATGAATGTTCAGAATCTTAATGACTCCTATTTTATTACACTTTTTATTTTGCAAATTCCTTTGCTTCTTTTTCAAACTAATCAATGTCCTTTTATTTATTAAATAATTTCATAATTTCTAATCTTGACTTTCCCTTTGTCTCATACATGAAAAGCCAGAAATAAATTAAACACATGAAAGTAAGTCCACCAAAAATAAGGAAGGCACCAAATAGACCCATCGAGTTATTCATATATGGGAATACAACACCTACTAACATAGTAAATAGCCATCTAATAAAAGAGGACCATGCCAATCCTATTCTATCTAAAATTTCATTGTTATAAACCCAAACTGTAGTACCAAGACCTGCTTACCATCCAAACATATACTTTTTTGATAAGATTAATTTATTTAAATATGTAAGGTTGAAAAAAAAAAAAAAATTTACTATAAAGATAAATAAAATTCCTGTAATCTAAATTCCGTAGGTTGAGGGAAGTTTTTGTAAGATAGCAAATAGCACAAGCATTACTGTTGTTAGTAATACTGAGTAATTCATAATCGATCTTCTACCGAATTTTATTACAAGCTACATAGAAATCAATGAATATACAGCCATGGAAAGACCTAAGAAAATTGTGCAGATTCTTGAAGTCATTTCTGAGCCAGTTGTTTACTAAAAGATTTAATTTGAATAAAAGAGCAAAGCATTGACACCTGAGCACTGAGTTCCATATTAAATAATGCAGCCAAGCGCTATTCTTTTCCAATAACTTTTTTTGTCTAGCAATTCCATTTACTTTTCATAACTAATATGTTCTTCGTTCATTATAGTCATATCGATTGCAACATTGTTGTTATGAGATTATTAAGGAGAACCTTCCTTTTGATTTGGCTTTTTATGATTTTTATCAAGCTTTTCTTCTGATTATTTAATGGATTTTCCATTTTAATCTTAAACAGAACTTTATAGCTAATCTACTTATTCTGCTTCTGATCCAACTCCTGCTACTTCACAAATTTCAGAGTAAGCCTTTTTTTAGTCTTCATCATCTTCGTAAACCATTTATAAATATTCTCTAACTTCCTAAAAGTGATGTTGTTTAACCATAATAGTAGGAGTCTCGTGAGTGAACTTAAACCAAAGTAGAAGAAGTCTCAATGTGCATGTAGCTATTGGAAGACCCAAAACAAATCTCCAGTTGACATCATAGTTGCCATCTGGATTTGTCTTGAGTTCGTTAGGAAGAGGAAGAATTAAACTCATTAAATAGCTGATGAAAACACCTGTTGTCAATAAAATTTAATTAATTGATCCCACTCTACTTCTTATTTCAACAGGTGAAAAATCTCTAATGTATTCTGGTACCAAAGATGTGTTCATACCTTAATTAATATAAATAAATCAATCAATCAATGAATTAGTGAGCAAGTTAATTATTTAAAATTAAACAATAAAAACAAATAAATTTTAATTCAAATAAAAATTCATTTAGCTTTTATATTTTTACAAAGCTTCTATTATGTTTAAATAAATAAATTTTTTCTACTAAAATTTTATTGCAAAATTTGGATGAATAAAGGTTTGTTTTCTTGAAAAAAATATTAAGTTATGCCTAGTATATTAATTTACCTATGCAAAATCCACTAACGATTCTTCCGATGATAAGGTTGGAGAGATCATGTTAACAAATTAGAATTATGGTACCGATTATACCAATTATATCGAAGAGGATCATAGATCTTCTTATACCTTTGAGGGCTGCTATGAGTTTCTTACTAAAAATAGCTGCTATAAGAGCACCTAAGGGCATAGCTGCAGTAATAATGGATGTAAATTAAGTACTTTAGTCACTATCCCAATTGTTCAATTTTGCTATTACTTTCTAGCATGTGTTGTAAACTCCCAAGTTGTAGCCGAAGAAGAAAGAACCAAGACAAGCGTTTAGAGACATTAAATAAATGAATGCGGTGTGCTTTAAATGTTTCTAATGTTACTATTGTTGTTGGTGAAGATCAGGACCTGTCTTGAGGTGCTAATCCTCATGGTTTGGCTGATTTATAGTATTACTAAATGGGTTGTTTTATGAAAGTTCTATATTCTATTTAAGCATTTCCTAAAAATTTGTTTAATTGAGTTTTTAATAATAATTTTTTAATTATAAATTCAATCATGAAACATTTAAATTACATAATTTACATTCGGGGAGTATTATTTTATTCAATTAATGCAATTTTTATTTTTGTTTTTAAAGAATGCAGTATTTAATAGTAAACACTCGAAGTAAACATGGACAATCCTATGATCTTTTTAGAAATAGTAAATTAAAATAGCCTACTAAATAGTTTATTTGTAAGGGAGAAACAAGAGATTCAATTTAAGAAAGTAGTTATTAACAAATGCCTTTATTAATCAAAGTATCTTTCACATTTTAACCATTTTATAAGCTGAGAAATGCTTGAAATAAATTTGCATTCAGCTTAAAAAGTTTTTTTAGAACTAAATTTATATTAAAATATAACAGAATCTTATTAATCAAGTATCACTTATCTACATTTTAAGCAATATTTAAAATATAAAATGCTGATATATATTTTATCATTGAGTTAAAAGTCTGCAGTAAACACTAAAAAATAGTTATTCTCCTTACATTAAAATGCATATTGGTATTTTTAAGTATTATTTAGTTACGAAATTGTAAGCAGTGGCCTAAAAAGTAAATATAAATAAAGGAGATGATTAAGAAAAGACCACAATTGAAATCAAATAAAATACACAGTTCAAATTAATTTTACAAGCAATTTTATTCAGAAATATAAGTCAAAATTCAATATTAATAAAAATTTGTATCTTCGTAATCAAAAATTATGATTCATAAAGAAAAGAAGTTTCTATATAAATTTACGCATTAATTACTTCTACAATCAATTTATTTCTAATTGAAAGCTTCAATTATGTAAAACATAAACATAAAAAAAATGCATGTATATTGCTTTATCCATAATGCTCAATTTATTATTCAACAAAATTTGAGGAATTCACATCTTCATACATGAAAATAGGCTTGTATTTCCTCAGCAGCAGTTTGTTTTTTCTTAGGATTAAATTTACTAATATTTTAAACGCATTTCGCATAAAACACCAAAAAGAATATCCAACTCTTCTTATTTATTTTAAAAAAGGTTTGTATACTATTACTTTTATTAATCAAGTTTTTTGTCTTTTTAGTCTATTTAATTTTGAAGCTAACTAATCTATTAATTATAATTAGCAATTTACTTTTAAAGATCGTTTACCTTTTTCTCCCATTCGTCTGCTAACCTTGCCTTTTCAGAATTTAACTGAAGTATTTTTGAATTCTAGTCTTAATATTTTTCTTGGTATTACTATATTTCAGATTCTCTTCTTGTAATCTCCTCTTGCAAAGATCTTAGCGTCTCCTCTTGCTCTTCTTCGCGTCTTTCTTTTCTTTTCAAGCTCTTGGCTAAGAGATTTTAGTAATCATTTTTTAATTTTTCGTTTTCTTCTTTTAATTTTTCAACATCACATTTTTCGTAAACTGATAATTTTGATTCTAATTCATGTTGAATCTTTATTTATTCAGTTAGTTTTGTTTATAACAAATTAATTTATTCTTTTAAACTAGAAGCATCTTCAAGATGAATTACGCTAGGATCTAAAGTTGTTTATTCAGATTTAAGTAATATATTTTCTCTTTCAAGATCATTAATAATTTAATTTAGATCCTCACTCAACCCTTTGGGTCCATCATTAACCTTTTTTGCACTGACTTAATTGCTTGATTTCTTGTAATCACTATGACTTTAAGATTCATCTTGCTGATAGCGCTCTAGAATTTAACTCATATCTTACAGTTTCTCTTCTTAAAGCTAGTACTTACGTTAAACTTAATCAACTTCCCTGCGAAGCTATTCAATTTAATTATCCCTTTAAGATATTTCTATAGCCTTTTCCATTGATTTTTTTTTCTCTTCATTGTAGCTTTACTTAAATTCTTGTAGCTTTTCCATGAGCATCTCAATTTGGCTATCCTTATCTTGCAAATTCTTATCAAATTATTTGGCCTTCTTGTCAGCTTCAGAAAACTTCTCAGAAAGCTGAGTGTATTCATCATACTTTTATTTATAGAAGTCAAGAGATTCGCTAATTTTTTGAAGCTGCTTTAACTTTTTATTTAAGAGCGAGATTTCGTCATTCAACTTGTCTTTTTCTAATTAAGCCTATTACTAAACAGCAACTATAGTTTGGTTTAATTATTCTATTTTTAAGTCCTTTGTTTTGACAACACTTTCAATATCTTCATTAGTACTCATACCAAGGCTGATCATCATGCTATCACGAGACAATTTCAACTTTTTCATTTCGTCATCTTTTTTGTTAAAGTCTTTTTCATACTCTAAAATTTTACGATCTTTTTCAATCTGCTCAGTACGAAGCTCTTCTATTTTCTCATTCAAAACATCGTTTTCGCGTTCAAGCTCATCAATCTTTTTTAGAAGCTATTGATTCTACTAATAATAGTACGATTGGGTATTATATTATATACTAGCAGAGTTGAATCTTTATGAGCTCATGCTCTCCATAGAGGCATTATCATCTCCATCTGTGTGTAAACGATCTTAGACAATCCATTTCTCCATCAAATGCATCAAAACAGCTTAATACTTTTTCTCTAACTATGTGATGGCATGTATAAAATCACTCTTTTACTCGCTCTAAACAATAATGCCCAAAACCAATTCTACTAATTTAACAATTTCATTTTTATTCTTATTTCTTGATATTTCGCTAGCATCTAAGTAGGTGTCTTTGTCAAAATCTTTTAATTTTAATATATCATGATAATAATGCTCAATGCTGTCAATTAATCTCTTAATGTTTCTATGATTTAAAGCCCAGTTATCTTGTGTGTCTCTTTCTACTTAATCGACATCAAAGATGCTATCATTAATCTTAGAGAGGAGTTCAGTTAAAACGATACCATCACTTAACTCTTCAAGATTTTAAGGAGTTTTACTGAGATTATTGATTGTTTTCAAAAATTCAATAACACTTTATTCAATATCATCCATATTATAATTACTGTGTATTCCGCTCTAATCCATTTCTTTCAACCAAAAACTATAAATTGATTTTTAAGCTAAATTATTTAAGTTAAAATGCTATTTGAAATGCTAATTCTATTTCTAAAGCTTTTTCTTTTGATATTAATTACTTTTACTTACAGAAAACGAATTTTATCAAAAAAGTGTTTTAAAAATACAAATTTTTTTAAAACAAATGAAAACTATATATATATGTAAATATTCAAAAAATAGTCTTAAAAACTCATATAATTGCAAAAGGAGGAAGCATATTAATTTTACTTTTTTTAAAAAAAATATAGAAGATTAATCTTTAATTTCTTACATAAAAAAAGGAGAAAAATTTTTTGTTATGTTTTTTATTGTGTGTAGTATTATTCTGATTAAAGCAATAAATAAATTAGGACAAATAAAGTAAATAAAAACAATAAATTCTAAACTCAAAATAATACCAAAATAAATATACATTTATAAGCACTTCACAAAAATATTTAATAAAATTCATTTTAAACTAAAAAGAATAATTTTAAATATTTTGGTTATTAATCATAAATTGAGCAAGATAATTAATTGTTGATGAATGAGAGAGTGAGTGAGTACACAAATCAAAATTTGTATATTTTTTCCTTAATTTCTTAGATTAAGTTAGCATAGTACATTTTATCACCATTGATGCGTTAGAATATTAGTGATCTCATTTCTTGTTTTTCCTATTCAATAACACTTACTATTTCTATTTACATTTTAATTTTTTCAATTCTATTTGATTAAATTAGCTCATCAGAATCCTCTTCATCTTCTAAAGGCTACTCAAAATTGTATTTTGTATCAATTTCTACAGTTTAATAATTTAATTCAACTTCTAAAGTTAAACTGTCTTTTCTAAAAATATTTTAGGTAAATATTTCGTTATTATTTTATACTAAAATGCTTAGTAAAACTTTTAAAAGATCTTAAGTACTCATTTCAGTTAAAAGAGAACCACCATAAAGCTCAATTCTATCAATTTTGCGTGGCTATTATTTGAAAAATGTTTCTTACCACTCTTTAAATGAATCAAAGTTTTCGCTTTCACTCATTAGATCGCAATATTATTTATGAACTTAATTTATTTTATATTAAATTGATTCACCTTCACCTCTGTTACCATTTTGATCTTCTCCGAATTTTACCAGAAATTAAAACATAAGATTCTCATCTGATTTAGATTTTTCCTCGAAATTTTTTGTATAAATGTCATGTTATTATATTTAATTTATATCTTTGATTTCTCCGCTCAATATTTTATAAATTAAATCGAATATATCTTCATCTAAATCTAATTCCTTTTTGTAAGCTTCTCTATAAGAGCTCAATATTGCTCGCTTGAACAAATGTCTTTTCTTTAGTTATGCAACTTTCTTAATACCTGTAGTTAATCTTATGTAGAATAAAATGTGAAAAAGTAGCATTCCCAATTAGTATACATCAAGCTCTTATGGGCTATACTCTTCAATTTACTTACCAGATAATAAGAATTGTTCAAAATCTTCAATTATTTTAGGTGGATTATAACTAAGAGTTCCGCAAATCTCTCTAGATTTACAATTCTTACAAGCTCTTTAGTAATGACCAAAATCAATTATAATAACCTTATAATTTTCTTAATCTTAATTATCTAATAAGATGTTTTCAAGTTTAATATCACAGTGGCAAACATTTTTTTCATGTAAAATTTTAATCTTCTCAACAACTTATTTAAACAGTTTCAAAGCTAAATATCTACATTTTATTCCTTTTTAATTCGAAACTAATTCTACTAATTATGAATTTATAAATGGAAATATCAGTTCCTTCTTACTATCATCAAATAAAATTAGCTCTAAGAAAGAACTTTATTGTTCTTTAGCAATTTCATTTTTTAGAACTTTTTCATAAAATTGTTTCTCTCTTACATAATCATTTTCGAATTCAAATATCTTCCTAAAATAAACATTCTACCTTGCTTCGCATTTAAATACCTCGCCTCTAGCTTATCCTCCATAAAATTCAGCTTTATCCTCTTCCATTAGTGCCTAGTTTCAATGCTTTTATAATTTTATTAATAATGAACTTTTAATTCAAGATAGATAAATAGATATAAAGAAACTATTTTCTTTATTGAATTTTTTATTGTTATTATTATTATTCTTCTTCTTCTTCTGATGATTCTCTCTCTAAATTTATAAAAGCAGAAAAAAATCTTATGAATCGAGCGAGTTAATCAGATAAAAAAAATTTGATTAATAATTATCGAAACATATCCTTCCTTTATATAAAAGTATTTTATTTTTTTATCTATCTTAATATAAAATATTTTTAATTGATTTCAATAGGGGAAAAAACATAAATATTGAAATTAAAACTTTGCTCAAGATTGAATTTACTATCTTATTTATATATTTTTAATTAAAATTTTTCTAATAAGCTTGGCTTCTATGAAGAAATAAACAGTAGATACCCATTAATTTGCAAAAAAAAAGATTTGAGATTTTGCTTATTCTTTGACTTTTTGTCAAACAAATTAACAAAATTCACAAAATAGTCTTAAAAATGCATATAATTATAAAAGGAGGAACCATATTAATTTGCTTTTTTTTTAAAAATATAGAAGATTATCTTTAATTTCTACATAAAAAGGAGATAAATTTTTTTGTTTTGCTTTTTATCGTGTATAGTATTATTCTTATTAAAACAATAAATAAATTAGGACAAATAAATTAAATAAAAACAATAAATTCTAAACTCAAAATAATACTAAAATAAATAACATTTTTAAGCACTTCACAAAAATATTTAATAAAATTCTTTTCTTAAAGTGATAAAATTATTTTAAATATTTTGGCTATTAATCTTAAAATGATAAGTAATGCAAATCAAAATTTGTATATTTTTTCCTAAATTTCTTAGATTAAGTTATCATAGTATATTTTTTCACCATCTCTGCTTTAGAATATTAATGATCTCATTTCTGGTTTACCCTATTCAATAACACTTACTACTTCTATTTACATTTTAATTTTTTCAATTCTATTTGATTCAATTAGCTCATCTAAATCTTCTTCATCTTCTTAAAGCTACTCAGAATAGTATTTTCTATCAATTTCTACTGTTTAATAATTTAATTCTACTTCTAAAGTTAAACTGTCTTTTCCTTTTCTAAAAATATTTTAGCTAAAAATTTGGTTATTATTTTCTGCTAAAATGCTTAGTAGAACATTTAAAAGATCTTCAGTACTCATTTCAGTTAAAAGAGAACCACCATAAAGCTTTTTTCTATCAATTTTGCGTGGCTATAATTTGAAAAATGCTCCTTACCACTCATTAAATTAATCAAAGTTTTCACTTTCTCTCATTAGATCACAATATTTTTTATGAGCTTACTTTATTTCATTTTAAATAGATTCACCTTTACTTCTACTACTATTTTAATCTTCTTTGAATTTTACCATATCTTCAAATTGAAGATCTTCTTCATCTGGTTTTATTTTACCCTAGAGATATTATTGATAAATTTAATGCTATTATATTTAATTTATCTCTGTGATTTCTCGGCTCAGTATTTAAAATACTAAATCGAATATATCATCATCTAAAATTAATTCAGTTTTGTATTCTGATTTATATAATTTCTTAATTTATTCCTTGAAAAAGTCTTTTTTCATCTTATTTTATGCAACTTTCTTAAGACTTATACTTAAATATAGCTAGGTCAACATACGAAAAAGTAGCATTCCCAATTAGTATACATCAAGCTCTTATGGGCTATACTCTTCAATTTACTTTCCAAATTTTTTTAATCGATCCGCATCTTCAATTAATTTTGGTGGATTAAATTCAGTAGTTCCACAATTCATAGTAGATTTACGATTTAGTTCTTAGTATTGACCAAAATCAATTATAATAACCTTGTAATTTTCTTTATCTTAAACATTTACTAATAAGATGTTATGTACTTTAATATCACAGTGGCAAATATTTTTTGAATGTAAAATTTTAATCTTCTCAACAACTAAGTGAAATAGTTTCAAAGCTAAATATCTCGATTTTATTCCTTTTTATTTGGTACACTTATCTACTAATTTTGAATTTATAAAGGGAAATATAAGTTCCTTATTATTATCATTAAAGTGAAGTAGCTCTAAGAAAGAGCTTCTATCTTTTGGATCAATTTTTATTAGAATTTCTTTATAAAATGCTTTCTCTCTCACATAATCTATTTCTTCATCAAATATCTTCTTAAAATAAACCTACTTTGTCTTTTAGTCTGTATATATCAAGCCTGTAGATTATCCTCCTTCAAACTTAACATCATTTAACTAATAATTGCTGTCATCCCAGTCTTCCATTTGTGTTAAGCTTCAATGCTTATATAATTTTTATTAATAATGAACTTTTAATTCAAGATAGATATAAAGAAACTATTTTCTTTATTGATTTTTTTTATTATTATTAATTTTTTTTTTTTTTGATTTTTCTCTCTCTAAGTTTATAAAAGTTGAAAAAAATCTTAAATATCAAGTTAATTTTTTATTAATAATTGTCAAAATATATGTTCCATATATAAAAGTGTTTTAAATATTTGTTATTGTTATTTATTCAGATTTTTACTTAAAAGTATAAAATAGTTTTAATTTATTTTAATAGAGGGGAAAACATAAATATTGAAATTAAAACTTTGCTCAATTGAATTAATTTGATAAAAATGACTAATTTTAAAAAATTTTCTAATTTGAAAATACCTTCCATAATTATTAATTTAATTTTTGTGCTTTTTTTATTTAGTTTTAAAAGGAGTGAGTGAATGATGTAGAAATAAAAGTATATTGAAAAAAATAAATTACAAATAACAAATTAATGAAAAATATAAATGAATAAATAAAATAAATCTATCTGTCAATTAGTATAAACATTATTTATATATAAATAGTTGAAAAATGAATAAAGTCAAATAATTTTTTGTAAATCTCTTGAGAGATCTTCAATTAAATTATTATAATAGATAGATTCTCCTTTTATGGGTGTGAAGATAATAGATTTTATTTCTGATTACTTCAATTCTTCAATCATAACAATTTCTATCTGAAATTCAATATTATTTTGTATTTCTTCAATTTCAAGTTCTTATAAATATTCTTCATTGTCATCATCAGTACCCTCTTCAATAATTACATCTTTGGAAATATATTTTAAAGTGACTTTCAAGGTTAAGTCTTATGTTTACCCAAAAATATTTTGATCAAATACTTCAGAATTATTTTTACCAAAGCAATACAATAAGTGTTATAATATTTAAGATGTTTTCATCTCAAATAAGAAAGATCTTGTTTTGAGTTCTCTCTCCTTTATTTATCGTGGGTTTTTATCACAAAAAAATTTGATTTCTTAAATTAGTTCATCATATCTTGTGCAATTTGACTTTAACATATTATTAAACTCTTTATTAATGCTTATTGTATTATCATTTCTATTTCCATCTTCATTTTTCCTAATAAAAATGTTGTTAAATTCTTCTTCAATCTAAAAAACTTTTTTATTTCCAGTTTATGGGAGGTCTTTCAACATATTTTTGACTTCCTATAAATTGTAAACTTAGTGGTGGAAGATTTAAGCAACATCTTCAATTTATCCAGTTAAAAGATCCCAAATAAGATCAAATACTTCAGATTACATTAATAATTCAGTATTATATTATTCTCTGTATTAAGATAAAATAATTCTTAAAAATATATTTTTTTTATTCGAACTTATCACATTTTTAATTTTATTAGGAATCTTAAGACATGTAATTAAAGTCAAGAGAAGCATACCCAATTAATATAAATCCAACTTGTAGGGATTGTATGGTTTAACTTATGATTAAGCAAATCCTTCATTTAATTCAAATGAATTATAAGCTTATGATAGTTCATTTTATTTTATTTTTTAGCAGTACCCAAAACCGATAAGAATATCTTTAAAACCATTAGAATATTACTCTACAAGGATATTATCTATTTTTATATTACAGTGACATAAATTTAAAATGTGCAGTTGTTTAATGCTATTAGCAACTTATGTAAAATGGTACAGGGCTCTTATCCATTTCATTCCTTTAGTATTATCACTATTTCGTTGATAAAAAATCTGATCAAGCTAACAATTAATAAAGGGGAATACAATCTAACGCTTGTGGTCATCATATTTAATCACTTTTAGGATGCTAAGATCAACTTCATTGGTAATTTCATTTAAGTGTTAGTAGATTGCTTTTTAGCAATTATAGACTCTTTTGCTGAAAAACTATTTGGTAAAACAGACTTAGCCATTTAAGGTTTATACCTTGCAAGTAGATGATTAGTGATAAAAATTAATTTTAAAATCTTCCATTTTTTGCTTTTTTGTTTTTTAGATGTTTTCTTTATGAAATTTTTTTAAAAAATAAAATTAATTAAAAAGTCTTTTATTTTTAATAAAATAAATTATTAAATTTTCCATCTGTTTAGACTAACTTACAAATTCAGAAAAAAAGCACCTACAACTTATAAAAATAAAAGTATTTTTTGAGTAGAAAAAGACAGATTATAAGAAGGATTTAGAAGAATCTGATCAACTGAATTAAAATAATAAGATTTTTAATTAAAATCTATTTTAAAAAGTTTATTATGAAAAAATATTAATTATTAGTAAAAGTCTATGCAAAAAATTATGATACCATATATTTTAGAAAGAATGGGATTAGGATATTATTAAAATTTATATTATTTGGTACAAAAAATGTTAATTTATAATTGTGTTTTTTTTTTTTTATGTAATTTTAAAAGGAGTGAGTGAATGCAGTAGAAATAAAATAATATTGAAAAAAAATAAATTAAACACAGCAATTAATAACAAAAACTATGAAAAATGTAGATGAATAAATAAAATAAATCTATCTGTCAATTAGTATAAACATTATTTATATATTAATAGTTGAAAAATCAATAAAATCAAATGAGTTTTTCTAACTCTCCTAAAATATCTTCAATTAAATTATTATAGTAGATAGATTCTCCTTTTATGGGTGTGAAGATAATAGATTTTGTTTCTGTTTACTTCAATTCTTCAATCATAACTATTTCTACCTGAAGTTCAATATCATTTTTTATTTCTTCAATTTTAGGTTCTTTTAAATCATCGTCATCATCATCATCAGTACTATCTTCAGTAATTACTTCTTTGGAAGTATATTTTAAAGTGGCCTTCAAGGTTAAATTTTATGTTTACACAAAAATATCTTGATCAAAGACTTCAGAATTATTTTTATGAAAGCAATACAACAAGAGTTATAATATTTAAGATGTATTCATCTCTAATAAGAAAGATCTTTTTTGGAGTTCACTCTCCTTTATTTATCGTGGGTTCTTATCACAAAACTAAATGATTTATTCTTTTAATTCCTCATATTTTGTGCTCTCTTGTAACATTTCCTAAAACTCTTTTTCAATGCTTACTGTACCATTGCATCTATTTCCATCATCTTTTTTGTAAAACCTTATGTTATCAAAGTTAAATTCTTCTTCTTCTTCCATCTAAGAAGCTTTTGTATTTCCAGTTTATGGGAGGCATTTCAACATATTTATGACTTCTTATAAATCATAAACTTCGTGGTCTAAGATTGAAGCAACATCTTCAATTTCTCCAGTTAAAAGATCCCAAATAAGGTTATATACTTCAGGTATCATTTGTAAATTAGTATTATAAGTTTCTTTGTATTTTAAGGTAATCAATTCTAAAAATTTATTTTTTTTCTTCAAACTTATTAACTTTTTATTTTTCTCAGAAATAGGAAAATATACAATTAAAGTCAAGAGAAGCATACCCAATTAAAATAAATCCAACATGTAAGGGCTGTATTCTTTGATTTGTTATTTAGCAATTCCTTCATTTAATTCTAATGGATTATAGGTTAAAGTTCCACAAACTGCTTCTGATTTTTCATTTTATTTCTTACTTTAGCAGTGCCCAAAATCGATAAGAATATCTTTCAAACCATTTGATTATTACTCTACAAGGATATTGTCTACTTTTATATCACAGTGGCATAAATTTAGACTGTGCAGTTTTTTAATGGTATTAACAACTTATGTAAAATGATACAGAGCAAATATCCATTTCATTCCTCTTGTATTGTTTTGTTTTACTTTAGAGCAAATCAAAGAAAGCTAAAAATTAATAAAGGGGAATAAAATCTAACACTTGTGGTCATCATGATCGATCATTTTTAAGATACTGAGATCAATTTCTTTGGTAATTTCATTTAAGTGTTAGTAGATTTTTTTTTCGTGATTATATTCTGTTTTAGTGAAAAACTCTTTCAAAAAATAGATGTTGCCTTTTTATGTTTCTACCCTATAGCAAACAGATTAGCCTCCACAAGCAATTTATTTAGCTTCCATTCTTTATTTTTTTATTTTTTAGATATTTTTTGATTAAATTAATTATATATTATTTAAGAGAAATCATAGAGAATTTTAATCAATTAATTAATGAATTAAAAAGTCTTTTATTTATTTTTTTAATAAAATAAATTGTTTAAAAAAAAAAACACTTTTATTTTTAGTAAAGATAAAATAATAGATAGATAGAGGAAGTCTTGAAAATAAAATTCTTTTAAAAATGCATTATTTTGACTTTAATTAGCTTTAAAAGGAAAACAAATTCCATTTTATTTTTTCTACCTGTTATATAAAGGATATTGACAATGCGAACCCAAAAATATAGTTCACCATTTTTTCATTTTTACACGTTTTTATTTTAAAATTACTTTTGAAATTTTATTTTTTTACATTTTATAAAATAAGAGAAATTTTTTGGATAAATTTTTTAAATTTTATTTGTTATAATTAATCATGGTTTTTTTAAATGTAACATTTACAAGCACTTCACAAAAAGATTTAATAAAATTAATTTCTTAAAGTAATAAAAATAATTTAAAATATTTTGGTTATTAATTATAAAATGAGCATGATAATTGTCGATGAGCGACACAAATCAAAAATTGTATATTTTTTCCTTAATTTCTTAGATTAAGTTAGCATAGTACATTTTTTCAGCATCGCTGCTTTAGAATATTAGTGAACTCATTACTTGTTTTCCCTTTTCAATAACAGTTACTATTTCTATTTACATTTTAATTTTTTCAATGATATATGATTAAATTAGCTCATCAAAATCTTCTTCATCTTCTTAAAGCTACTCAGAATTGTATTTTCTATCAATTTCTACAGTTTAATAATTTAATTCTACTTCTAAAGTTAAACTGTCTTCTGCTTTTCTGAAAATATTTTAGCTAAAAATTTAGTTATTATTTTCTGCTAAAATGCTTAGTAGAACTTTTAAAAGATCTTAAGTACTCATTTCAGCAATAAGAGAACCACCATAAAGCTTTTTTCTATCAATTTTGCGTGGCTATAATTTAAAAAATGCTCCTTACCACTCATTAAATGAATCAAAGTTTTCACTTTCTCTCATTAGATCACAATATTTTTTATGAACTTAATTTATTTTATTTTCAATAGATTCACCTTCACTTCTATTGCTGTCTTAATCTTCTTGGTATTTTACCATATCTTCAAATTGAAGATCTTCATCTTCATCTGGCTTTATTTTACCCTCGAGATATAATTGATAAATGTAATGTTATTAAATTTATTTTATCTCTGTGAATTCTCGGCTCAGTATTTAAAATACTAAATCGAATATATCTTCATCTAAAATTATTTCAGTTTAGTATGTTTTTTGATATAACTTCATTATTTTTTTTTTGAATAATTATCTTCTCTTATTTTATGCAACTATCTTAAGATCTATACCTATTTGTAGCTAGGTCAATATTCTAAAAAGAAGCATTCCCAATTAGTATACATCAAACTCTTATGGGCTATACTCTTCAATTTACTTTCCAAAGTTTTCGAATAGTTTCTGACCTTGAATTAATTTTGGTGGATTATATAACTCAGTTCCGCAAATCATTGTAGATTTAATATTTAGCTCTTAGTATTGACCAAAATCAATTATAATAACCTTGTAATTTTCTTTACCTTAGCCATTTATTAAGATGTTATCGAATTTAATATCACAGTGGCAAATATTTATTTCATGTAGAATTTTAATCTTCTCAACAACTAAGTGAAACAATTTCAAAGCAAAATATCTGGATTTTATTCCTTTTTATATGGTACACACTTCTAAAAATCTTTATTTTATAAATGGAAATATTAATTCCTTATTATAATCATTAAAGTGAAGTAGTTCTAAGAAAGAGCTTCTATCGCTTGGAGCAATTTCCATTAGAACTTTTTAATAAAATGTTTTCTCTCTGTCATAATCTTATTCATTATTAAATATCTTCTTAAAACAAATCTGCTATGTGCTTTAGTCTGTAAATATCAAGCCTGTAGATTATCCTCCTTCAATTATTCGAACAGCATTTTACTCATAATCGCTGTCATTTATGTCTTCTACTAGTGTATAGTTTAAATGCTTATATAATTTTTATTAATAATGAACTTTTAATTCTAATAAATATTAAGAAGCTATTTTCTTTATTGTATTTATTATTATTATTAATTTGATGTTTCTCTCTCTAAATTTATAAAAGTTGAAAAAAATCTTATAAATCAAGTTAATAGATACACTTGATTAATAATTGTCAAAATAAAATATAAAATATTTTTAATTTATTTTAATAGGGGAAAAAACATAAATATTGAAATTAAAACTTTGCTCAAGATTGAATTTAATGAAAATCACAAATTAAAAAAATTTTCCAAATTTGAAAATACCTTCCATAATTGTTAATTTATTATTGTGCTTTTTTTTTTTATGTAGTTTTAAAAGGAGTGAGTGAATTCTGTAGAAATAAAATAATATTGAAAAAATAAATTATAAACAGCAATTAATAACAAAAACTATGAAAAATGTAGATGAATAAATAAAATAAATCTATCTGTCAATTAGTATAAATATTATTTATATATTAATAGTTGAAAAATGAATAAAATCAAATGAGTTTTTCTAACTCTCCTAAAATATCTTCAATTAAATTGTTATAGTAGATAGATTCTCCTTTTATGGGTGTGAAGATAATAGATTTTGTTTCTGTTTACTTCAATTCTTCAATCATAACTATTTCTACCTGAAGTTCAATATCATTTTTTATTTCTTCAATTTTAGGTTCTTTTAAATCATCGTCATCGTCATCATCAGTACTATCTTCAGTTATTACATCTTTGGAAGTATATTGTAAAGTGGCTTTCAAGGTTAAATTTTATGTTTCCTCAAAAATATTTTGATCAAAGACATCAGAATTATTTTTATGAAAGCAATACAACAAGAGTTATAATATTTAAGATGTATTCATCTCTAATAAGAAAGATCTTTTTTGGAGTTCACTCTCCTTTATTTATCGTGGGTTCTTATCACAAAACTAAATGATTTATTCTTTTAGTTCCTCATATTTTGTGCTCTCTTGTAACATTTTCTAAAACTCTTTTTCAATGCTTACTGTACCTTCGCTTCTATTTCCATCATCTTTTTTGGTAAATGTTATGTTATTAAAGTTAAAGTATTCTTCTTCTTCTTCCATCTAAGAAGCTTTTGTATTTCCAGTTTATGGGAGGCATGTAAACATTTTTTTGACTTCTTATAAATCATAAACTTCGTGGTCTAAGATTGAAGCAGCATCTTCAATTTTTCCAGTTAAAAGATCCCAAATAAGATCATATACTTCAGATTTCATTTGTAAATTAGTATTATAAGTTTTTTTGTATTTTAAGGTAATACATTCTAAAAATTTATTTTTTTTCTTCAAACTTATTAACTTTTTATTTTACTCAGAAATAGGAAAATAAACTATTAAAGTCAAGAGAAGCATACCCAATTAAAATAAATCCAACATGTAAGGGCTGTATTCTTTAATTTGTTATTTAGCAATTCCTTCATTTAATTCTAATGGATTATAGGTTAAAGTTCCACAAACTGCTTCTGATTTTTCATTTTATTTCTTACTTTAGCAGTGCCCAAAATCGATAAGAATATCTTTCAAACCATTTGATTATTACTCTACAAGGATATTGTCTACTTTTATATCACAGTGGCATAAATTTAGACTGTGCAGTTTTTTAATGGTATTAACAACTTATGTAAAATGATAAAGTGCCAATATCCATTTCATTCCTCTTGCATTGTTTTCTTTTACTTTAGAGCAAATCAAAGCAAGCTAAAAATTAATAAAGGGGAATACAATCTAACACTTGTGGTCATCATGATCGATCATTTTTAAGATACTGAGATCAATTTCTTTGGTAATTTCATTTAAGTGTTAGTAGATTTTTTTTTCGTGATTATATTCTGTTTTAGTTAAAAACTCTTTCAGTAAATAGATGTTGCCTTTTTAGGTTTTTACCCTATAGCAAACAGATTAGCCTCCTTAAGCAATTTATTGAGCTTCCATTCTTTATTTTTTTGTTTTTTAGATATTTTTTTATTAAATTAATTATATATTATTTAAGAGAAATCATAGAGAATTTTAATCGATTAATTAATGAATGAATTAAAAAGTCTTTTATTTATTTTTTGAATAAAATAAATTGTTTAAAAAAAAAACACTTTTATTTTATTATAGATAAAATGATAGATAGATAGAGGAAGTCTTGAAAATAAAATTCCTTTAAAAATGCATTATTTTGACTTGAATTAGCTTTAAAAGGAAAAAAAATTCTATTTTATTTTTTCCATCTGTTTAGAGTAGTTTTTAAGATTTATTTTTGAATAATAATTAATATTTAGTTATATTCTCTAACAATTTATATGAACACCTCCAATCTGAGAAAAAAAAGTACCTACGACTTATAAAAATAAAAGTATATTTCGAATAGAAAAAGGCAGGATTATGAGAAGGATTTAGAAGAGTCAGATCCTGACGAATATGAAAACGATTTAAATGATTTAAAACAAAGATTGCATATTATAAACTACAATTATTACACAGAAGCATTGAGATTAGCTTTAATTGAAAAAAGTGTATTTTTTACTCTTTATAAGAAGTTCTACAAATTTTCTATTTTATTTCATCATAAAATGTTTTTTCTACCATTTATATTTTTTTTTTTTTTTGCTATAATATTGCGTAGCGTCCACTGATGCCTTTGAAGTTGGGGCCTTTAGTCTAAAAAGTAAAACACATTTTTTTTAATAATAAACTGATACATACGAGTTTGTCTATTTCTTTTTTTGGATTATAATCTTTTTCTCTCTTATTTAGTAAACACTTTAAGCTGACTATCTTAGAGGAGTAAATGGATAAACAGCCATTACAGGATAGTTTAACTAAGGTAATATATTATAATATAATGATTTAACATCCTAGACTTACAAGCAAATGTATCAAAATCAGCAAAATTATTAACATATAAGACAATCCTAAAGCAGTCCAAAGTTAATGTAATTTTCTTTCTTCAAGATTTATTTTAATAAAGTGTTTTAAAATAGAAATAGTCAAAATAATCCATATGGCAATTAGCAATATTAAAGAAATTCATTTTAGAATTATCCTGCTTAAAATCTAGACGCTGTATAGCTTCCACAAATAAACCAAAGTGCAGTTTATTAAAAACCTAAGTATAAGGAATAGCTACCAATGATAAGTTCTCCAACAGGTTCAAATTAGGGTCAAAATAGACTTTCTTTTGACTAACAGCAATATATAAACAACTTATAAACTTAATAAATGAACTATCCTTAGTACGATACAACTAAATTATAACAGCAGCGTTTAACTTAGCTTGGAACTCCTTATGATAACTAAGAATATTTTTAAGTAATAGATGGCAAAAAATATAAAATTAAGCAAATGTCTGTGAATAGTCCTTAGATTTAAGTCTTCGGAGCTGATGAATATGCATAATAGAGGAAGAAGAAAAAATCAGTCTTTCACTCTAAATAAAATGATTAAATGTATTCTAAGAAGTAAATTATTTATTCGATTATACAAAATAATGCTTTTATACTAAATGATTCTTTATTATGTAGATAATTAAGAGATTATGAATAGCAGGAAGAGGAAGATTAATATGATTAACCAGTGTCTAAAAGCAGAAAAAGTATAAATGCAAGATCCAAAAGAAACATAGAAATGAAGTCATAAAAGAAAATAGATAACTATGAAGATGATGGATATGATGACTAAGAAGATTATGATGATAATTATAAAAGATCAAGATAGTCTAAAAGCAAGCTGAAGTCAAAACAATAAATTAAATATGATTAAGATGATGATGAAGAAGATCAATACAACACAAGATCTAGGAAAAGAAATAAATCAAGAAAACTTTCAAGAGCTTAAGAGCAAGAAGATGGTGATTATGATGATAATAGATCAGTTAGAAGTAACAAGAGAAGTAAATCAAGAAAAAATACTGTCTCATCTAGAAGAGGTGGTGACTATTAAGAAGAAAATGATGATGATTATATTTAGAAAGGCAAGAAAAAGAATAAATCTAAATTTTTTAAAAATGAAGATATTGATGACTTAGATGACTTAGATGAGTTTAAGCCCAAACAAAACGCAACAAATGACAATCAAAGTGAATATGACAATACCAAAAATCAAAGGAAAAAGACTTTTATTAAATCTAGAAATTAAGATGATGAATTCAACTAAGATGATAGAACCTAAAACCAAACCCAAAAAAAGAAAAAGACTATTATCATAAACGAAGATAACTAAGATAGCAAATATAAAAGAAGAGATGCCACTGAAAAAAAGAAAACTGTGCTCATGTCTAAAAATTAAATTAAAAGTTTAAAGCATCTAAAAGACTTAGAGGCTGATGATTTATGAATGGAATAATTAAAATAAAATATAAACTTGTAAAAAATAAAATAAACAATTAAAGTTAAAATAATTATTTTATCATAAAATTAATTAAGAGTTTGTATTATATTATTAGACATTTTTTTAAGTACAAATAAATTAACTTTAAAGGGTTTTTAAGATCTTTGTTTGAAGTTTTTAAAAAATATTTTAATAAATAATTTCTAATATTTTATGTTAAATTAATTTAATATCTAAAGTTAATTTCTAAAGAAAATTAAAATTAGCTTTATTTTATCAGAATAGAAAGAAAATTTTTATTCAATATATGAAGAAGCCTTTTTGATATTAAAAATCAAAAATCTTTTTACTATTTATCTAGAATAATTTACAATTTAAAAATAGAAAAAGATATATATTTGCAATCCTATCTGAACAACTCTCATTATAAATTTAATTTAATTAACTCATTTTTTATAAATTTAACTTGAAAAAGATTTCTTTTAGTTTCTTTAAATTGTTTTAATTAAGCTAATGTTATCAATTTTAAATCTCTTTAACCTATCTGTATCTAAATGCCTATGACTATCAGAGTCTGATGAAGAACTCGAATCACACCTCTAGAATGATACCTAATCTTCAAATTGATTCAAATTTGTAAAGCTAAGGTTATGGAAATTATTATTGATTAAATTATCTTATCTTGACACTTAAAAACTTCTGTTTAAATTTTAGTTCACTTCTTACATAGGATATTTTTGTTATTTATTTAAAATGCTTCTGTTTAGATCAACTGAATAATTCTTTTCTTGTTTTTTTGCTTAAGATTATATTTACTGTGGCGAATTTTGTTTTTCTCTTAACGATTATCTTATTTACTTGATTGCATCCCAATTTTTTTATTTTGATGCATTTGATTACATGTTTTATTAATTTTAGTTAAGGTAAAGAGACTATTATTAGCATTCTTGGTTTTATTTTTTTTTGTAAATTGAATCAAAACCATTTATTTAATTATAATTGTTCTTTAAAATTGATTTGCTTTTTTAATTTTTTCCTAAATAAAAACTACTTTACTCAAAATAATTTTCTTTATCAGCAAAATGCTAAACTTTAGAGTTTCTATCATTATTGATGTCATCACTACGCATTTATTTATTATTTTTAACTGATATATTAGTTCTAAAACTAGATGGCTGATTAATATAGCTTGCTATGCTACTTTGTTGTATAAATGATTAATTCTATTATTATTATTTGTTAAATAATGAATTATCGTGTGATTCAACAAAATTGAATAGATCATTAACGCTTGATTAGTTGAGAGTTTATTCTGTGCAAAGTGTTTAGGAGATATCATTAAATTACTATGAAAAAGAGTTATTGTTAGAACCGTATTGTATACTAGATTTATTGATACTCTAATCATTTTCGCTCATTTATTTTAAAAACGTTTCCATCTTTTTTTCAAATGAATACATTTCCTTTTTAATTTCACTTTGGAGTTACTGCTTGAGTTATTCACATTAGTACAAATATGTCTAATGTAGAGATTCATATTTCTGCTAATAATTTTTTTTAATATTTCTAATACGAGCTTCCATTATTAAGTTTTCTTCGTATCTTTTTTTTTCCATTTCATTGCTATAACTTTTTGAGATAAGCCTTTTTTCATCAAAAACATCTCTTGTATCTATACAGCTTTCAATAACCTATTTTTATAGTTTATTCATTTTTGAGTGTTTCTTATATTTTCAGAGAAACAATATCTTTACTGATCAATCAAAATTAATTAATTAAATTGTTAATTGTTAAAAAAAATATTCGTTGAAATTCCTAACTAATCTTATTTTATGCTTATTTTCTTTACTAATTCATTATAATAACCATTAATTTATGAAAATAAAATAAATTTGGTTATTCGTATGATATATTGCACAAACAATTTAACAGAAAATTAGGTGTTAATTAACATTTTATTAAATTAAAATACAAAGTATTTAAATATTTTTATAAAAATTAAAGTAAATTATTTTTAGTTTTAAACTTTTAGGATAAAATTATTTTTAACTTGACTTAAGGATGATTAATTTATGAAAATAAAATAAATTAATTATTCATTTGATATGTTCAAGAGACAATTAAACAGAAAATTAATTATGTGTGAATTAACATTTTATTAACTTAAAATACAAAGTATTCACAATAAATAAATATTTTTATAAAAATTAAAGTAAATTATTTTTAATTTAAAACTTTTAGGATAAAATTATTTTTAACTTGATTTAATAACGATTAATTTATGAAAATAAATTAATTATCCATTTGATATCTTCAACAAACAATTAAACAGAAAATTATGTGTGAATTAACATTTTATTAACTTAAAATACAAAGTATTCACAATAAATAAATATTTTTATAAAAATTAAAGTAAATTATTTTTAGTTTAAAACTTTTAGGATAAAATTATTTTTAACTTGATTTAAGGATGATTAATTTATGAAAATAAAATAAATTAATTATCCATTTGATATCTTCTACAAGCAATTTAACATAAAATTTGATGCTAATTAATATTTTATTAGTTTATTAGGAAATATTTTAGTAATAAATAAATAAATCATTAAAATAAATTAAATTGATTTATTATTAATTTAAAATTTATAAATTAAAAAAATTAATTAAATTATTTAAATGAAAAAACAAAATGAAAATTAATATTTTTGATATGAAATCATTTATTTTATGAAATATGTGTTCTATCTAAATTAACCTATAAATTTATCTTTTTCATACCTTAAAATAATTTTATATTTAACCTTTTTTTAAGATTTAGAGTTGATTGAATAATTTATTTTTTATCAATTTTACTCTTTGATAAAGAAATATTTATATCTGAATTATAATTTTTTATTTTAGAATATAATTATTATAATTTTTTTGAAATAAATCTACAAATTAATTACATTATATATTTAATATTTATAATTAAGTTAACAACAAAAGTATTTAATATTTATATAATTATAAAGTAATTCACATATAGACATCTAAGACTAGAGTGTTAAAGTATTAGTTTCTATTAGAAATCTCAAAGTAAGTATGTTTAACTAAATAGAGTTTTGAATCACAATATATGGCTTTTGTATACATTTCTTTTGAAGAAAAGATTTGTTTAATTGTATAATCTTGCAAATTTACAATTTAAACGTTAGTTTTGTCCTTTGTTTTTGCTAATAGGAGAATATTTTCATAAATAATGGCTGTAGATTCACACTATAAATTTTCTATTCTTTCTATAAGAATTAAATCAGCTATTTGTCTAATCTCAATATAGTCCTGATATTAAATAAGCAACAGTTAATTATTTATTTTTTTTATGTTTTAGATAGAGAACTTTCTTAGAACTCCAATGCTCTAAGCAAGGATATCATTTATCAATTCATCTACGTTTTATTAAAAGTAATTTGGATTATAGTCTATATATTCTCTTGTTAGGACAGAGTGCTCAATATTTCCTGTGATTAAATTTATTGTTAATACAGAGAAAGCTGAATACCAAATTATTTTTTTAGAGTCTTATAATACTATACACTTATTATTATAGTATTAAATTACAGGATGAAAAAATCTCTTCAGACATCTAATTCCATTGTTATCGAGGAGCCATAATTCTAATCGGCCTTTAAATTAGAGAATAATTTTTTTGCTATTTTTACCAAAGGGGGTCAAGCTTTATATTAGATCACGAAAGATATATTTCTTATATTTTTAAGGTGACTATATATCGACAAAATGCAAGCTTTTTTAATGATGGATAGCAATAATATTTCCTGTAACAGGAGTTATTTAACACTTAATAGGTATTTTAATCCTATCAGGCAAATATATTTAATTGGGTAACTCAACTCCTAAACTCAAATCAAACTAGCTAAAAAACTACTACTCTTGATTATAAACGTATAGGAAACGGTTTAGTACTACAAAATATTTTGGAAATTATCTTTATATACCATCAAATTTCTATTATTTAATATACTTGCCTTTGAGCCCAGAGAACTATTTAAATAAAGTATTTTAATAAGAAATAGGTTCTTACTCAGCATTTACTATCGCTTGAAGCAAATTTGAATATTTCTGAACTATTTTATCAGAATAAAAAATTCTAAGCTATTAAATATTAGATTAACTAAGAGTTAGTTCGCTAATTTGCTATCGAGAATTTCTATTTTATTAGCTAAGCTAAAGCAAATTATTTTAGAATACAGAACAGATTTTCAAACTCACCTTTAAATCTAGCAATATGCGCATTTTGAGTTTCTGAGATTGGATTTAACTTTATGTGTACAAACAAAGTATTTAGTTGAAAATCTAATAATAATTTTCATTAGTTACGCATAACTGCTCTATTTTATTAATAAACTCTTCATAAAGCTCAAAATCGTGTTCAATCTGAAGATAATTTTCGTTATCAATGTAATTTTTTTTCTAATTTTTTTTTTTGAAACTTGAGACGCATCTTTCACAAAATAGTTTCAAGCAGCACTCACATTTGTCAATATTTCTGCAAATAAAAAGCATTTTTCTTTTGTGTTTTTAGCAGGTTACCAAATTTGATTGTCGCATCATTTCAATTTATGCAGAAATAGGTTAAAATAAATAATTAAATCCTTTAAATTTATATTAAATATATAATTTTTAAATCTATGAAATCCTCGATAAAATAATATAATTAATTAATAATACTAACATAGAGCAAAAACTAATATCAACTTAAAACAAGTAAGAATCGCTCAGAATATTTTCAAAAAGTTAGTAAAGTAGCTATATTTTTGTAAGAAATTATTAATAATTAATTTTTGATCAATTTAATTTAAAGGAAGGAGACTTACTTATCCATTAGTCTAATTTATTTTAATAAATATTTCTATTTAAAAATAAAAAGGCAATTAGTATGTATGTATATCGATTATATTTTTATGGAAGTGCAAATAATATTTATATAGAAAATTTATAATCGTTAACATATTTTTTATTTACATAGGCTACTTTTAGAGAGAAACAAACAAAGAAAGGAAATTTAAAAATTAAGAAACAGGAGGAAGAATAAAATTGATTAACAATGTGATAAAAAATTAGTTAGTTAATAAACTATATTAATGAAAATCAAATTTCAATCATAACAATTGCTATCAATTGAACCTTATCTAGTAAATTTTAGCATGAGAAAACTATGTTCAAGCTGATCTTCAAAACAAACAAACAAATAAAGAAAGAAAAAAAGGAAAGAAAGAAAGAAAAATATAAATGAGACTATGAGATTTGATAGAGAGAGAAAATATATAGATATTTATATATTATTAAAAATTAATTAAGGATTATTAATTAAAAATATAATAAAGTTTTTCAAAATATAATAAAAAAATATCGAAAAAAATATTAAAAAGCAATTAAACAAAAGAAGAAAGAAAGAATTACATAAATCAAGAAAGTTATTGATATTTACTAGTTTTGTTATAAATACTTAATCAAATATGAATCCATCACAAATGAATATGAATCCCATGGGTATGCCCTAGAATATGAATTCTGGTATGATGCCTTAAGGAGGTTAAATGAATTCTTAAGGAATGATGCAACATTAACATTACTAAAATAATGGATAAAGAAACATGCAATAAAATAATATGAATAATGTAAGATTTTATTGTTATAGATATACTTAGTATTAAATATTAAACATGTAAAAAAATAGAGAGGCGGCAACAGAGGAAACGGCGGCTAAAACGGTGGAGGTTACAAAGGTGGAAACTAAAGAGGTAATTAGAATTGCACATAATTTATTTAGTCTTTACTTAGAAAGAAAGACATATTTATTTAAGTGTCTCCTTCAAAAATTAAATAAAATTTTGAATATTTTTAGATAACTATGGAGGCTAAGGTGGAAATAGTAGATTTGGAGGAAACAATTAATATGTTGGAAGTGGCAGTGGAAAGTTTAGCAGCTAGCATTAATAATAAAAGGGATAATAAAATGTACATTTTTGAAAAATTTTTAATAATTTATTAAATAGTGTCTAATTTATTTAATTTTTTTGAAAGTTAGTCAGTCTATTGAGATGTGACTACTTAATTAACCTTTACTCTATTTTAAACATAAATAAATCTTTATAAAAAGAAAAAAACATTTATTAGAAAAATTTTCAATTATTTTATTAACAGGCACCACCTATGGTGAGAAGACCCATTCAACACAATAACCGTTTAGGACAAGGAGGCAGACCTGGCGGACCAAGCGGATAACCCCCCAGAAGAGATATGCGTGGGCCCAAAAATGAAGGTTAGGACAATTAAAGTTATTAAAATAATTAATAAGGATTCTAAAATGGGTCTCGTGGTGGACCCAAGAAACAAAGCAGTGGTGTATAAAAAAATAAAAACCACAGCCATAAATAAGACATAAATAGCAATAAATGTATTTGCTTATTTAATTAATTAATAAACCATTTTTTAAAAGCAGTCATTAAATAATTTAAATAAAAACAGTAAGTGTGACAGCTTTCCATAAAACCAAAATGTGTCCTACAGTAGAAGCCGGTCAATAATGTAAGAAAGGAGATAAGTGTGGATATGCTCATACATAGGTTGAATTAAGAGAGCCTCCTAACCTTAAAAAAACAAAGCTTTGCTAACTCTTTAAAACAAGTAATTAAAATTAATTAGCATATTTATTAGTTCATATATAATAAAATATTATTAATAAATAGCACGTTGCAACAAGGGAGATTCATGTGATTTTGCACATGGTACTGAAGAACTTAAAAGTTATGTTGACCGCTATAAAACACAAATTTGCTAGTAATTTACATAAAAAGGTTCTTGCTAAAATGGTGACAAGTGTCACTATGCTCATGGAGAACAAGAAATCAGATAACCGTAAATTAATTAATTATTTTAAGCTTAAATATATTAAGATTCAAAGTTGATCTCCAAAATCTGGTATTGTATTCCCAATGCAATCAATCAATCAGTCATTCATTAAATCTATAAATCAACTTGATAGCCAAAAAATGAATTGCAAAAAAATATTTAAAAACATTATTGTTAATAAATTTAGATAATTTTCTCATTAGAGTTAGCCATAGTAGGTTCCATAAGGCCAGGTTTAAGGGGGTCAACTATAACCCTCTCAGGGAGCACATATGAGTCTAGCTCATCAGCAACAAGGCCAACAAGTCGCAGGAACAACAGCAGCATACTAACAGTAAATGAATCCTTCTTAAATACCTTATGGTTATACAGATTAGAGTGGTTTATATGCAAATAATACTCAATATGTATAATATGCCCAACAAGGCGCAGCTACAACCGCCTATGGTTAAGCTCAGCCTGTGCAATAGGGACTTTATACATAACCACTCCCTTAAACTTAAGTTTACACTCAATCCTATCCTACCTCAACTCTTTAATAATACACTTCTTAATAGCCACCAATTTAATACTTTTAGCAGCCTCAACAGTATTAAAGTTATGTATGATCCATCCCGAAAACACATAAACTTTACTAAAAATTCATACAAAAAATAAATCAATAAAAAAATAAATATATTTAAAATTTTTGGAGAGGAAAGAAATAATTAATTAAAAATACAGCAAGCATTCTATCTATCTTACTTAAAATAAAATAAACTTGATGGATCTTGAAACAACAAAAACCATAAATTATAAAATTATCACCTTTATTCTTATTATCATCACACAACACAACATAAATAACACACGCCATCCATTATCATATTTATCAATCAAATCAATTAATATTTCTACTTAAATAAATAAAAAAATAAATAAACTATCAAGAATTAATTTATGGGAGCATTATTTGAAAGAAAGGAATGAATGACTTTTACTTGAAAAAATTTTTATATTTAGTATGATTTTAAATTATATTACCAAATCAATTTTTGGCCATCTATAATCAAAGTCTTGTGACGAAATCTATTCCTATTATTTTTTTATTTTTCATACTTGCATTTTTAAAACATAACTCGAATTTTATTTCCTCTTTTTCAACTTCTTTTTCTAATTCTTTCCTATTTTATTTAATTCGTTTCTTATTTTTAATTTTCCAATCATTTTTTATACTTTTTCTGCTATCAAGAGGCTTATTTTTCAATAAAATATGGCACTTTTTATTCAATAAATTTACTAATTTTTACATTTTTCTTATTTACATTTTTGCTTTTCTTTAATCTTTTCTCTCCGTTTTATTTTTGTGTTAATTTTAACTATGTTTAATAAATCGCTTATCAAATCCCTCCTTGATTCATATGAGTCTGCGATCGTAATAAAAATATTAAAAACTATTGAAATTTACAAGACATATTTAGAGATTGATTACCAACAATTAATTAATAATCTAATAAATTGTTAATAAAAAAAAAAAACCTCACGAATGATGATAATGATGATAAAATATTTCAAATCTCTTTCAAGGTATCTTATAATAAATAATTTTGTTGGGATACAAAAAGAGATTTAAATGAATAAATATATCTATAGGTGATAAGTTTGCAAATAAATAATTCAAGGTCCTAGAAATATTTCTTGATTAATCTACGTTCTTTAAATTTATAGAACCAAACTAAATCCAAATACGTGACTGAATAAATATAATTAGTATAGCACAAAATAGATTTTGAAATACTTACTTACTACTTTTCCATTCATTTGTTCGTTTATTTTGCAAACGAGCTACTAAGTCTTTTTTACAATCTTCAAATCAACGGACTTAATTACTTACTTACTTAAACACATACTTATTTTTTAGACATTTATAAAAAACTAATAATAAATATTATTTTGAGAGAACACGAGTTAGTTCTTTATTAATTCACAAGAAATTTTGAAATAAATCTTTTACTTACTTGCTTTAACCTTGGTATCAACGACCTAATATCAAAAAAATGAACATACAAAATATTTATTTTAAATTAATTTCTGTTTCTTAAAAAAAAATTTTAATTGAAAAATAAATATATTTATTTTTATTAAATCCTAACACTCACATAAATAAACAAACAATTTTACTATATTTTTTATATTTACAAAATTCTAAAGAATAGTTTTTAATTTATTATTTATTATAATTTGTTTTTATTGCATGTTTTTATGTTGTGCAATTTAAACTCAAGTATTTTAGTTGTTTTTTCTTTTAGACATTAATTCTTTTTATTTGATTATTGTTTAAACTTTATTTTAATTCATTTTAACTTTTCAGTAACAGCTTTTTTTAAAGTATCAAAAATGCAAAAACATGAATCCTTCATTTGTTTTGACTATAGAACTTTCTTAAGAGTAACAGCAAATTTTATACTGATATGGTTAATTAAATAGCAACATAAGTTATTACATTAGAGTCTTACAATTTATAATGAATTAATTAATTTTTAAAAGATTTGTATTAAAATCAAGTATGCAACTGCTTTATAGAGTGCCTTACACACTTTTAATATTTAATAAATTAAAAAAATAAATTGAAAATAGTAATGTCAATCAATCTATTTCAAAATAAAAATCTATATTTTAATTTGTGATTAGTTCAAAAGATTTGTTTAAAAGTTTAATGAATGATTTGTAAAATTTATCATACAAAAATATAGGTGAATGAATATAAATAAATGGATTTTAAACTAATTATTATAATAAGGAAGGATTTTTATATTTACATATTTGGTATTATTAAGAAATTTTATTATCACCAATAAATGAGTTATATTAAGATTTTACTCATTTTATTCTTTAAATAATTCTTTTATATTTTAAATTTGAGTAAAAGAAATAGTAATGTTTATTTTATTTTAATTAGATTTTTGAGAAATTTACTCTATTTTTAGATTCATTTCTTTTATATTTTATAATTCTTTTATATATATCAAAGCCAATTTTGTGCTAGCTAACTTTTTAGTTTAGTTTTCTATTTTTTAGTTCAATCTAAAGCTTTAATGCTACTAGAATTCTTTCAAAAAAAAGTACAATAGTTCCTTTCTGCTATTTCTAACTCCACAATTCTAGCAAACATTTAATTTATTATGAGAATTTGGTTATCTTTGAGAGGGTAAATTGAGTTTTTTATGTGCTAAGCTCCCTCTTCCTAATATATTGCTACTTCCCTTTGGTTTTTTCTTTCATAAATTACTACTTTTCCATTATTAAAAGATACAATCAAGTATTTTTGTTCAGTATCATCAAGGGATTTCATTTGATAAATTAGCTGGTTATTATCAATATACTAGTTTGAGCCATTTCTTATGTTCATTCTATTTACTTACTCATGTCCGCGGCTATATGAAACTAGTACATCATTCTTAAATAGAACTGCATCTGTAAATAGTCTGCTAGGAAGATCATAGTAATAGTATTTGGTAATCTATCTTGTTTCCAAGTTCAAAACATGTAAATTCTCATAGTATGTTTGGATTAATATTTCTTATTTACTCTTTTTATAGATTTTACAGATTGGTTAATCTAATTTCGTCCTGTGGATTATATGATTGTTCTTGCAATCATATCCACTAAATAAGTTTATCTTTAAAATGTACTGCTTATGAGATAAGAGAACGGTATCTTTGTCTAACACAAGAAAGCTAGTTATTTCAAGTTCTTTTAAACTTAGCTTTTTTATTCTTTTCCCAGACAATGTTGAAAAGACTATTAAAGTATGTTTTGAGCATATAACTATTAAATCCTTGTAAAGATGCTCTACTTACAGGATATTTTCACCTAGTGGTAAAACATTTTTAAATACTCTACTTAGATGCATTTTATTTAAGATACAGATGTCCCTTTTGTTATAGAACAAAAATTTATTTTCAGATAATTTAACGATGTCAATTATATCATATTCATCTTATTGAAAATGATTTTCATCTTTGTTAATGTTTAAGTTAGTGTGTTTCAATATTTAAAAGTTTTACATTTTCTGTTTTTACTCTTTTTGATTATCAAATTAATTTAATTTATTAAATAACTATATTGATAATTAGGGTTTGTTAAATCGCTTTTTATGAAATTTTAAATAATATCCACATTTAAGCAAATTATAAAAATAGGGGTGATAGCAATCATTCAGATTATATAAGAAGAAAAAATAATGTTACTTTTCACAGAATTAAAGAATAAACAAATAGAAATCAAATAAAAAACAAGTATTTAAAAAATGTTAGCTTCTGTAAAAAAAAATATTTTATAAAATAGTTCAGAAAACAGAAATGAGACATTATAAAAGAAATTATGAAATAAATAGGCACAAATAAAAAATTATAAATCTATTTATGAAAATTCTTACTTAATATTTATTATAGCTTTTCAAATTAGATTGATAAAAAAAAAATTGTTCAGCTTATTTAAGTTAAACTTCTTTCAAAAAGATAATTTATTTCTTAATTTTCTAATAGTTTTTAGTCTAGATACGAGCATTTTTTTATAAAAAGATTATTTAACAATTTACCACCTAAAGAAGTTTTTAATCAAATGAAATTTGAATAATTACATTTATTTATTTTTTACATATTTTAAATTAAGTAAATAATAATTTTAAGGTTATTTAATTATAAATATAATTGTGCTTATCAAAACAATATTTATATTAACAGTTTTTATCCAAAATAAATACTATAAATTTTATTAAATAAAGTGAGTTATGTATTAAGGTTTAATTAAATTTGCTATCCATTAATTTGATAAATATTGTAAGAAAAAATATTTAGCAAATAGTTAAAATATATTTACTTACTATAAAATTTAATAGTTTTTAGTTTGATAGTTCCATGATTTCAATATTAAACAATAAAATTACCATAAAAAACAAAAATAAACTTACCATTAACCAAATCATATAGGGAAATATGTTTTATTAAAAACTAATTTTACTAAAGTATTTTTTTTCGATAACTTTTAGTTAAAAATAACCTAAGGTGATTGATGTCAGTAACACAAAATTTAATTTCTTAATAGATTAAAAAAAATAGTTTTTAATAAAAAGCTCTAAATTGTAATAAAAATAGTCTAATCAATCAAAACAAAAAGGGAAATTAATAATTTAATTTAATATATATAAAGAGCGAGAGAGAGAGAGATTGAATACAAATATAAAATTAAGAATTTATATATACTTAAATAATTTATTCAGATAGCATATAAAAGTTATAAACTTTTACTGTTCAAAATAATTTAGTAATTTAATAGTGACAAAATGAATAGAAATTAGTAGTTTTAGTTAGTTAGTTAGTTATATATTTATTTACTTATATTTTTAGTGAGTAGCTAATTCTTTTTTGTTTAGTAATTTATGTTGTCCTTAATGGAAGAATTAATTTTCTTTTGTTTATGTTTATTCTCTTAACTTAAATAAGTACAAAGAAAAAATTCCTTAAGTTAATTCTTAGTTTAGTTAGTTAGTACAATATTTAGAATAATTTTATTATGATTGCAATGAATTTTTTTCACATCATAAATTGATACAGGATTTATGATATTATGCCTTGTCTTTTAACTTATTTTCTTTTAATTTTTAATGATTTTTTTTTAATTATTCTATGTTTTTCACTATTATGTCATCGTTTTCTTAGCAATAAATGTTTTCATCACCTGTGTTATAAGAATCTACTCTAAATCTTAATCTAACTTCATCACAGTGAAATATTGGATTTACTTATAATTTTTTTCTATGATTTAGGATACTGTCTTTGCTGATGTCAGCTTTTTCATCTATTTCGTCAAATCCATCTTCCATCATATCATAACCCCCAAAATAATTGGGTATTTTTTCTCCAAGAAGGAAATTTTATTTTTAAAGAGTTTGCGATGGTAGCTCTCGTAGACTTTTAATTTGTCTATCATTATCCTAATTATTGCAAGGAATCATTTTGCAAGTAGGAACTTCTTTCAGTTTGTTTTAAAGGCTTTCTTCATTTTAAAATTCAAAACCATCTTCAGCTTCTATACTGCTTAAATCATTATCATCTTAATTACCTTTGTCAAAAATTTCTTCGTCTTCAACTTCTTATGAACATAAGCTCCTTTTTTCATGATTTTCAGGGCTACTTTTCATTTTTTCAATGGATAATTTCCTTTGAAAATTTATCTTTTTCTTAAAGTGCGAGTCTTTAGATCTCACTTCTGCTTTTTCTTCATCACTCTAATCTTCAGAAAGGAAATCATCTTAAAATTACTTAGATGTCCATCTTGTATTTTATTGGCTGCTTGCGTCTGGTGATTTAGTAATGCTTGAGCTTTTTCTCTTAAAATAATTAACTTTAACTTACTCTTTATCATCCATTTTTGTATTTTAAGGCGAAACAATATGATCCTATCTCGAAGGATAGACTATATATTATAAAGGATCGCTTGATTCATTGATTGCATTATAGTTTTAGACATTGTTCATGTTATGGATATTTATTTAATAAAAATTTTAAGACATTTAAGCAATGCTTTTGTATGATCTATTTGCTTTTTATTTGTATTTAATTTTTTATATTAATTTTTTTTAATTCTCTCTTTAATTTATTGGGTATTTATTTACTTATTATTTGATGAATTAATAATTAATATTATTATTGTGATAATCAATTTTTTACCTTAAAAAAAATATATATATAACACATCTTATATTAAATAATTAAATTTTTTACTTGACTAAATAGTAATTACTGCTCCTTTGGTAAGCACTAAAAAGCAAATTATATATTATAACGCAAAAAATAAGCCTTATTTTAGGATGCATAGCTTTTCTTAAAAATTGTCTCCAGCCTAGTAGAATTACTGCTAATTTCCACACAGCTTAGAATAACATTGTTTTTGAACATAAATCCTACTTAAAACACTGATAGTAATTAAATAACAAGATAATTTTAAAACCTTATCTGTAAAAAAAGAGGTAAAATAAATGAAAATTAAGATTAACCTTGTTAGTAAATTAAAAAATATATGACACAAATAATTTGTTAATTTCATTTTTTTAATTTAGTTATTTTCAAAAATTTATATATACATTACATTGACTAAAACAAATCAATATTTGAATGTCATTTTATTCAAATAGACATCTTCGTTTGATATTTTTGTATTAGAGTAATTGATTAGAAATAAACGTTCAATTGAACATTTAATTTTTTATTTAAATATTTTTGCATTTATTTGTTAAATGGTAGAAGCTTGTTAATTCACTGATTGAAATTATATTGTAATATCATAATTAAAAAAATTAAACTCTTATTATCATACTTAAATAATTAAATCATTTATAATAAAAGATAAGTGTACCATAATAATTATATAATTTATAAAATGAGTAGTTTTAAAAGAAAAATGATCAGTATTAGCAATTTAAATTTAAGTTTCATATCATAAATAATCATATAATTACTGTCATTTTTTTGAAACTCAAATTATAGGTTATCCCCAAAGAATTTTTAGAATTAATGTAAGGTTTATGAGTTTGTTTTTGAGGGTCTACATATATTTTATTTAATTTATTAATATTGCATTTTTATTATTATTATTATTATAGAAATGTTAAGTAATAATTAATATATAATTTATTAAATGCACAGTTAGAAACATTACTGAAAACTGTAAATTTGAATTGTATAGCAATAGCAAATAAAATAACTAATAATACATGAGAAATTTGTTAATATTGAGTATAAAATTTTCAATTTGTTACTTAAAAATTAAATAATTTTCTTACTTTTTTAAATTTTAAAGATTTACCATAATAATAATTTTATATAATTAGAACCTAGCTAGTAAATAAGTATAAAAATAGTAAATAAATAAATAGAATTCATCTGCCCATAGTTGTTAATTAAAATTTAAGATTTCTATTCAAGTTATCTAAATTATCATGGTAAACTCTGATAAGATAATCTTTATCCTCTCTTTTTAATTTTGCTTCACCTATTTTTTTGTAAGCAGATTCCATTTCGTCAAGAATTTTTTTGATTCTTTTTGTGTTTATACGTAGCTTATTTAAAACCATATCCTTATCACTTTTAGATTAACCAACATTTTATATGATATTGTCTTCTTCCGGCTCAACATCTTAATCCAATTTTTATGCTTCTTCTAAATTTTTATTAAAATAAATTTACTTTACTTTTTATTAAATTTGAAATAATTTTTTTTACCTTCGCTTTCTTTAACTTCATTTGATTTGTCTCTTTTAGAATCATCATAGCCTTCCATAATAATAGTGATGAATACGTTTTGTACTGCAGTAAAGAAAAGAATCATGAACACTATTAAGTAAATTTATCCTAAAATACCTTCAGCCCAAGTATCCATAAATGTTTCATTCACAATATCTCCGTTACTCAAAGAAAAGAGAGTGATGATTGTGGTTGTTGTGTCTTCAAACTTTGTATATTTCCAGAATATGCACTAGCCCAAAAAAACAAAGCCAAAGAAGAAAGGAAGAACACCCAACAAGAACATAAATATATTAGAAGAAGCTTTCTGTAAAGTGGAGGTCATTAAGTTAACATTCTTGTTATATTAGAGATAGTTCAGCATAATAATCCATGCAAACATAGATCCAAAACCAATGATAGATTCTTTATAAATGAATACATTTAGATTCTATTCCATGTATGTATCTAAAATGGCTATAAAACATCCAATTATTTGAACTATATTCCCTACTATTGATACTACTATCCAGAGGTTGAAAAATTTAAGTTTATTAAAGAAACCAATATCATCCCATTACTTATTATCCTTTAGCAATTCTTCAATATCCAAATCGTCGCTGTCTTTTTTTTCCTCTATTTACAAAAAGTAGTTTTTTTTAATAAATATAGATATTCAGTAGTGTTTAAAATAAATACCTTATTCTAGTTTTTGTATGTCAAAAGAGTCGCGAACTTTTAATTTACTTTCTTCTTCTCTGTGAAAATTGAATTACTTTTAGACATTTTCGTAAATGATTTTATGCTTGATGTACTTTTTACCAACTTCATAAATATACTTGGTAGAGAGAGCTAACGAAATTATAGCAAGGATAGCAACAATACTATGAATAAAGACATAGTTATATCCAAATGTTGACTCAGTATTTTGGCCTTCACACAAGATGCTTTGTGTATCTATTGTTGCTTCTATATTAGCATAGGATTCGAAATCGTATTCAATAGTAATTGTCCACTCTAAGCAGGACTACTAATCTGGAGAGTCGCTATATCTGGTAAAAGTTTTTATGCCTTCAGAAATAAAGTTCATCTTAGTGATTTAGTTTAAAAAATTTTTAACAGAAACTTCGTCATCGATATCAAAAGGCTATTTAATGCATTTTTCAATATCAGGAATTTCTACATCTGCTTGCTAAGCATTTTCTAAATTGAATTCAGAATAGTAAATCTATAGAGAATTCTTGCTGCTTGTAATGTCAGCATACTAAAGAAGTTTATCATTCAAATTAGATAAAGTTGTGCATACATTTCTCACGTTTTCAGTAAACTGCTCTAATTTGTAAAAAGGCACAGAATTTGACTCATCATCTGAACCAAATAAAATATATTTAAAGACTTAATGCTAGGCACGAGAATGAGATGTTCTAAGAGAAACCATAGACAAAGCCTAATAGGTAGTGAATATCACTAAAAGAATATGAATTAAAAACTTCCATGGAAACCTGTTAAATTTATAGTACTTTTAAAATGGGCTCAAAGTGATCTTCTCATTGAAGCTCATTTTGTATTATCTACTTTTAATATTGTTCATTTTTTCTCAAATACTTTATTGCTTCGTATTTATCTAAGGACAGAAAATATTTTTAATATCTCCAAATTTGAAATTAATATAAATAGCTATGTAAAAAAAACTAAATATAAATGGCTTTCAACTTGATTTTCTAGCTATTATTAAAAGTTTTGTTGTTTGTTTAACTAATTATTTTGATTAAATTTTAATCAGCTTAAGATAATAATTATTAGATTGTTTAATGCAAATTTAATCTTTAATTTACAAATTCTCTCAATGAACTTATAAAATTAAAAGAAAAAAGAGGCTTGACACAATTTTTAGAAGCTTTTCAATTAGCCTATGAAATGCTCATTTTATAAACAAATAGTCTTTATTTTTAGACTTTTTCTTAAATACAATATCATTCCAAATATTATGTTGGTGCCTTTTTAACATTTTACACTAGTAGTACTACTTTTAATAATTTTTAATTCCTTAATTATAATTAAGACTAAATATTTTTTTTGTCTCTTTTTCATAAAAAGTTTAAAAAATAAATCATCTTTTTAAATTTAGTTTTCATGGTTTGAAGCAATCATTATTTTGTTTTTTAACAATTTTGTTAAAATTAAAAAGTTGTTTGTTATTCATGAGCAAAAATTAAAATAAAAATTTCTGATTTTATTTTGCTTACATCTTTTATTAAGTAACTTAAATTAAATAAATACTTGTGAATTTAATAATTTTAGATGGATATAAATATTTTAATAATCTTAAATAAAATTGAGACTAATATTCATATTAATTAAAAAATGTGAAGATATATTATAATTGATATATGTATGTATTGATACTTTCTAATATTTTTCTGATAAGGCATTACTAAAATTAACATTTTTATTATCAATTAATACTAAAAAAAACTCTTTGTATTTGGCAACAATTAAAATAGAAATAATATCTTTTATTTGTTGTATAAATTTATGATTGACAATTTAACTAGCACAAGAAATTCTCAAGGAATTAAAGAGAAGGGTGAAACATATTCCATTCAAAATAAAACCAACGATTCATATGTTTCAAATTAAAATGAGTAGCTAAATTTTGAAACATCTAAATAGCTCAACGATTAAACTATTAGTTCTAAAATTGTAATTATCTCACCAATAAGGAAAGAAAGCCAAATGAGGTAATTTAAATTTTATTGATATGCTGCATTAAATTTATTTTATGTTTAATAGCGACAAAGACTAAAACATATTTAGATTGAATACGCAAAAATTTGGCTTAGATTCATAGAATGTAATTCCTTATAAAGTCTTATTTTATAAACAATATTTTAATGTACTCCATCCATAAAATAATATATTCAGATTAACCTTGATAGAATTAGAAGTTTGATGACAAATTATGCTTCAAATAAGAGCTATTTAAAGGAAATCAATAATGTCACAAAAAAATAAAATGATCCTCATTCTTAGTCAAGAAGTTATAGTAAATCTAGCATAACTTAACTATTAAATGAAACAGAGTAACTTCCATAGTTATAAAAGTATACACTTAAGGATATATTTTATAGAACACCTATTGGTCCTGTGTTTCATGATTTTAAAAAAGAAATAGCTTAGCCAGAAGGCGAACAAAAATAATTTATGATGTAGTTTGGAGGTTCGATAATGCTCTATTTTAAAACTCTCAAACTTCTACTATTTTGCATAATCTTTATGTCTTTAATGAGTTTATTTCAACTAATATTAAATATATCTATAAATATTACAGATCCAAATGATAAAGCTTAAAAGTAACTTGATGAATTTTTATATGGAGCTTCCATAGCTCCTATTGCCTCATTAAACAGAAATTGTAATTTGAAGGAGATAAATTATTCCAATAATGATTATCAGTTTAGTTGTCCTTAAGGTTTTGTAAATGTAGATTCAATAATAATTGGGACAATTAACAATTATACAAGTTTTAATAGCAAAGATTGTTATTATTTAGATCCTTTTTTCGATGTAAATCATTTATAAGGATGGAAAAACACAACATAATACCAGGATCTGTTCAATACTTGTGATGGGTAAAAGAAGTGTAGCTTTGATATTATTTCATTGGCTTTGTAAAAAAGGGAATATTTAAATAATTTAATATATATTTCTAATTCATGCAAAGGTAATATTTATTCTTTTCTTACAAATAAATTACAATTTTAAAATAATTTAATAGGAAATTTAGAGTATTTAAGTACAATTGAAGCATAATACGTTTATTTAACTACAGTTTCGATAGCTATAGCTTATTTGATTGGTTTACTTGTTATTCTTTACTTGTAAATTTATATTTTTTTCTTTTAAATTTTAATTAAAATATAGTTTAAACTTTTTTTATTAATTTTTAAAGACTCTGGAAGATGAGAGAAAATTTTTATGAACTAACTTAAAAGCAAATGATACTATCCTCTATGTTTTCACTTGAGATATCGCCTTTTTAATTCATAGAATCTAAAGATGAAATCAAAGATTAATTATGGGAATTTATTGAGAATGTACTAAACTTTATTAATTTTAACAAGTTTTTTTTAATTTCTTTCATTTTTATTTATTTAGACTGTAAGAGAGGAATAAAGATTTGATGCTGATGATTTAATAGTTATAGATATTAATTTTTCTTAATCAAGAACTGTTTATTTGAAGCTGTAATAAGTTAAATAGCTAGTCAAAATAAGAGATGAAAACCTTGCTTCTCTACTTTCAAAATTCGAATAGATTTTTAATTTATCTAGTAAAGTAGAAATTAGCATTTAAGAACTTTAATCGTTTGGTTAAATTCTTTCATAAAGTAAAATATTTAGCTACTTTTTAATAAAAATTGTAAAAAAATTTTTTTTCAAGATAAGGAATTGCAGAAAATTATAAATAAAATAATTGATTGCTAACAAAAAGTTAGTAAAATTGTTGAAGAAGATGTCTAAAAAAATCTAGAATGCCATTTAGTAATATTTTAATATGAAATTTATTTTTTTTAGAGTAAAAAATTTTATTTATTTAAAGTTGAAATTCTTTAAAGGTTTCTCTGTTTTTTTTATTAACACAAATTTTTGAAAATTTAAAGATTTTATTTATTAGAAAAACAATCTTTCAAAAAGATTTAATTATTATTTTTATTAACTTAGATTGATTTTGCTTGGATAACTTTTGATACTATTTAAAAGAAATAAATATTTGAAAACAAAATGAAGAATATAGGCTGTTGTAAAAGAAATGAAAATCTTAAATTTTTGTAATCTTATTTAAAAGTTAGAAAAGCTCATGCATCTGATAATATAATTTGGGACCACTTATAATATTCTTCATTTTCTCTATTTTTGAGAAGATTTTTATCTGTTTTAGTCACTCTTACCCTATTTATCATATGTAACCTAATCAATTTAATAAATTATCAATTTTTATTAAATTTTGCTAAAAAAATATATATAGGTAATATGTTTATTGGCATTTTCAGATTTTCTCAAATGTTTGCAGAATCTGACAATGCGAGTTCTTAAAGCACTTTTTGGTTCCTTATAGCAATATTTGCTGTAGATAAAATACTAAAATTTGTTAATAAAAAGCTTACAAAATTTGAAAAGTATAAAACTCATAGTTACTCAAGCAAAATGCTTATTCACAAGCTATTCTTCATCGAATTACTTAACATAGTATAATTTAAATTTATTATTTATGAAGTTTTAATATGTTAAATTATTTTAATCTATTAGGTATTAATGTGTATAATCTCTAATTTCTTTTATTCGCTATAAATTTTCAAAAAAAGTGAATCTATGAAATTTATTTGGGTAGATTAACAATTTTTTATTAGTGTGGTCTAAGTGATTTCTCTTAAACTACTAATCGATATAGCTAAGCACCCTTTGGCTGTTTTTATTTACTTAATTGCTAAAAAATTAAGTTAATTTTATGATCGCAAGTTTTAAAATTCAATAAACATTTCAAGAAAACTTCTCTTGAAGGACTGGATTGAAATGTATACTTATGAGGATTTTCCATTAGAGAAAAGATACTCTTAGCTTTTAGTGACATTTTATGCTGCATTTCTTTTTGGATCAGCTGTTCCTCTTTTATTTTCGTTTGTTTTGTTTTATCTAATCTTGCTATTTTGGATTGATAAGATTTACTGTAAATATTTATATATATTTATTTATTAATTGCTCTTTTGATAAAATTTCTTTAATTTTGATATGAAAAAACAGTTTTCAGATACTCAAGGAAACCTAAAATATAAGAGTCTTAACAATTTGATGTATTTTTTAAGTTAATACAACATCTTTTCCCTTTAACTTGTTTAGCTAATTGTGTCTTTTTTGGTAGTCCTGTTTTATTTAATATTGAAGATTATTTTATGAATGATTACCTTGATTAAAATATTGATAAACTGTCTGGCTTTGCACCTATTTACAGGGATTTTTTTGGGATAAGCATAACTACTTGTTTTACTTTCATTGTTATTTTTTATTTTACTTACTAAGTTACAAGTATCTTTATAAATAACCCTCTTAGAACTATACAAAATACATTCTCCAAAAGTAAAGGCTAGCTAGTTTACAGCAATTATTCAACTTAATCTTTCTTAGAATGTAAATCAATTAATTTATTTTTTAAAATTATTATAAACAAGTTTTTCAATAAAAAAATTCTTATTTTTTTTATTAAAAAAATTAAAATAGTTTGTAATGAATAGAAAATTTTAAAGCTTAAGTTAAATTTGGAAAAAAAAATTAAGTAGTCTGTTAACTAAAATTATAAGTAAAAATTAGCAAAAGTTTTACAATACATAGATAATATAAAATTGAATTCAGTATTTAATTAAAGAAATAACAGTATTATTGGTAGCTTTGATTACTACTAAAATGAAAAATGAAGCAGTAACTTAATAATATTTATAAATGAATAATTTATGTCTATTTACTTAAACCAATCAATTTGCTATGTATATGATAAACTATGCATTTTAATACAATAACTCAAATTATTAATTATAATTCTTTAAAATCCAATTTATTTTATTGATTTATTTTTGTTATTAATGAAAAAATTTAATACGTGGAAGTATTTTATGATATCTTCAATATTAGCTTTTCAATTATTTTTATGGGAGGGACCTAAATCTTCAGGATTCATATCTGCTAAAGCCCAAAGCAGAAGACCAATACCTATTGGCATAACTATTATAGTTATAACCATGTTATTAAAGAAAATAGCTATTAAGATAAGAATAAACATAATAGCTATTTTCAAATTTTTATCAATCATTTCTATTTTTTGGTATTTACTTTTTTATTTATTTTTTAATTAATTTATCAAATTAATAATTAATTATTAAATTAATTCATAGACAGAAAAATAAAAATTTTTTTTGTGTGGCTATACTTAACTTCGTTCAAATAAATATTTTAAGCTACATGAAAAAAAAAAATTAGATAGTACTAAATTCTTGCAACATCAAATTAGAAAAGGAATGCATAAATTAATCTTAAATAAAAATATCAGTAAAAAATATTCAAATAAAAATAAAAAACAATATTAAAATATATAAAAATTGTATGCATATCTTTAAATTTCATAAAGAGAAATTAAAATTAATTTGTCCTTTTTCTTTATTGAGCTTGTTTTGTTTGATAAAAACAAAATTTAATATAGATAAAAGTTTAGTAAAATGTACTTAATTACTTGCTTACTTACTTATTTACTTAATTATTGAATTTTATAGTAATTAAAATGAAATAGTTATTAATGAACTATAAATTTAATGACAAATATGCATGCAGATTTCATTATAAATTAATTTTTTTTCATTTTGCATTCAATTAAATTCCTTCTTCTAATTGATTAATTAATTATTTATTTTTATTATTAATTAATTTCTCCTTCTCTTTAAATTAATTCCTAAAAATACTTTATCTAAACATAGCAAATTCAAATTTCTTATGGAAAAATTGTTATTACTTAGTGATAAGTGTGAGTTTAAAGAAGAAAATTATAAAAATCATTATATATATTTCAAAGATTAATTGGGTTTTAATTATCTTTCTATCTATCTATCTATCTGTTGGTGTGGTGTGATGTTTAGATTATTAGCTTGATTGGTTGGTAGATATTTATTTATGTATGTATGTTTCAATTAGGAAATTATATATTTTTATATACTTGAAAAAATAAGAAAAGTATAAGTAGTTTTTTTATTATAGATGAAAATCCTCTATTTTAATTCACTTTCAGTTATAATTTTCCTTTTCTGTACCATTCTAGGTAGGATTTACGTTAGTCATTGATCCTCTACCATTGTTGTTATTTGTGGTATTATTATTTAACATGTGAGTCAGTATATCTTTAGTATATTTAAGACGTTTTGACATTTCTGTATTAGAGCTTTCTAGTGCTGTAGATAATGGATAGTCAGTACGAGTGCCTTTACGATCTACGTATGTAACCATTTTATTTTCTGAAGAAAGCAAAATCTCTGTCTTATCTTGGAAGCTTACTTGTACGATTTTGTTTGAAAGACGGAACATAATGGCATGTTTAGTTTTCATCCACTTCTTTACATAAACATAGGGTTGCAAGTCTCCTTAGAATTATGGAACTTCTATTTGAATGTTTTATTTTTGCATTTATTCTTCCAAGTAACTCTTAAAATGAGATAGGAGTGTAACCTTCTTTTTCATCTCAGGAGGATAATCCTTCAAGGTGAATTGCTAAACGAAGTCTTATCTTTCGTTTCCAAGTCTTTCGATGTATTCTATGTTATTGGTTGTAGGGTCTAATATCACTTTTGTTGAGTCATTAAAGAAGACACCACTGCATCCGTTAGAAAGAAGATACCCTAAACCATATTTAGCTGAGTAATCTACCCATTGAGTAACCCAAACAGGTTGTACAGGTTTACCAAAATTTTATGTACCAGTTTGCATAAAACCTTTTTGTGTGCTATTAAAGTTATTTTTTGTTTTGGTGAATGTATTAAGACTTTATGCTGTTGCTAATCCAGGGGCATTAGTCTGGTTGAAAAGAGGGTTTTAAGAACCAGAGCCCATATTTTTAGTTGACATTGATGTCTTAAAGTCAGATTTTTAGAATTATTGAGTTTGTGGACGTTAATCTTTTTAGCTAGACACTTAATTCCAATTTGAAGTGGTTCCTCCAAGTGGGCGACTGGCATCTGGGACTGCACCTGTGGTTGTTTATTTAGAGTAAAGATTAGAAGTGCTTGCATTTTTACCTTTAATGTTTGTAGTTGACTAAGATGCTGAATCGGTTAGTCTCATTGGAGCTTGATTAAGCTTGAGAGCATTTCCTTATGGAAGGAATTACTTTGTGTATGAAGCTGAGGGAGGGCAAGCCAAAGTAGCCAAAGGTAGTACTTTAGGAATAGTACCACCAGTATTTAAAAAGGATGAGCTCATAATTTCATCTAACGTCGGTCTTCTTTGTGGATCTATATTCAAAATTCTAGTAATCAAGCCTCTTGCCTAATCAGAAATAGGAACGTTTTCAGGGAATCCATAAGAGATATTTCTAATTTTTTTGTATGTGGTCTTGACATCAGGAGTTTCAAATGGTGGCTATTATATACAATTATGTTTAATTTATTTTTATAGGATTTATTTTGACTGCTTAAAATCGCTTTAAAAATTTTACATCCCTTAATCATAGCTATTTTAAAATTAAGTAGTTATTGAATATTTATTAGCCTTTAAAAAAAAAATACTTGATTTGAAAAGATTTGCTAAAAAAATTAAATCTTATTGAAGCTCTATTTTGTAGTTAAGCAGTTTTTTGTAAAAGAAAAATATTTTAAAAGCGAAGATAATTTATTTGTCTGCATTAAAAAATGTTATTTGCTATTGAAATGAATACTCGCTAAGTTTTCGATTAAGTATAAAAAATAAGCCCATCAAAAGAATTTCAATTTAAAGAAGTGATTTAAAAACTTAGCTCAATATTAGCTTAAATTAATTTAATTTCTAAAATTTAAAAATAAATAATTTGTATGCTTATCTCAAATAATTCTGATTCAGTCTATTTTTGATAATTTTTTTTTTCTATATAAATATTAGCTCTTTTTATTGTATCATGCTAATTTATAAATAGAGTGTTTAGTTGAATTGCTCGCTCCCTTCTACTTTCAAAAAATAAATATTTGTTTGTTTGTTTGATTGATTGATTGATTATTTATTTTTTTGAAAAGAAAGTATGTGAAAAATATATTTGATTATCATTTTGCAAATAAGCTGTGAAATAAATAAATATTTTTTCTTTGTTTCTTTCTTATTTTATATATAGCTATATAGATATCAATTTATTCAGTTAGTAAATAGAATTTAATTTCTTATTTTCTTCAACTATTTGCTTTCAAAATTAATGTAATACTTGCTTATTATCTTTGTGTATTACTCCAATTATAACTCTAGTTTGGGATAGGGCTTTTTCTCATGCAAATAGCTGTTTTTGGATTAATTTGTAAATTTTTATGATGATTACCTTTCCTATTAGGAGTGTATAAATGATAACTCCCAATGACCAAATGTCAACCTAATAAGAATGACCAGTTTTTCCATCTAAAATTTCTGGAGCAATGTAGTTAGGTGTACCACAAATTGTATGCTTTTTTTCTCCGTCAAATTCTAGCTTTGTAGCAAGACCGAAGTCACCTAGCTTAATTTCCATCTTCTCATTTAGGAAAAGATTACCTAGTTTTAAATCTCTGTGGATTACTTTATGACTGTGTAAATATTTAAGTGCATTAACTATTTAAACAACATAACACTAAACTTCGAGTTCAGTCAATCTCTTACGTCTTTTAATTAATTCGTTTAGGGTATGGTTAGTGCAGAGCTCTAGTAAAATGTATACGTTCTCATGATCTTCAAAGACATGTTCAAATGCTACAACATGCTAATGATTTAAACTTTTATGAATTTTAATTTCTGAAATGAGTTTTTGACGAGCTCTATTTTTTGTTAAGGTCTGTTTTGGAATTATTTTTGCTGCAATAATTTTCTTAGTTTCTAAATTTGTTACTTCGTAGCACTTAGCAAAGCCACCTTTACCTAATAGCTTGCCTCGTAAATACTTCTTGACAGCCATCTCACCATTTACTTTTGAAATTTTTTCTTCAATGATGATTAATTAATCTTTACCTTCGTTTGCCTTATCCATTTTTTATAATATTTTTCAATTCAATAGAAATTCAATATAGTTGTTGAAGCTGAAGGGTTTCTAATATTTTAATAGGAGTCTATCTAAACTAAAATAGTATGTTAGTAAGTAATTAATATTTTATAAGTTTCGATTGCGAAAGAAAATAATTTATTCTTTTTTTAAATTTCTTCACAATGAAATTTTTATGATCTCTTTTTTCTTTTTGTTTTATTTGCTATTTTAAAAATTTCCGTTTACTTTATTTAATACTATTTTTTTCTTCTTCCTGTATGAAGTTTTGTAAAATAAGTTCATATAAATAACAATACTTTAAATTATTTATTTGATTTCTATCACTTGAATTTCATCAAAACACACATACAAATAATCAAACAAATCTTTTTACTTTCAAAAACCCTTATTATTGCTATAGCCTATATTCAAAATTTCTCAATTTATTCATAAAACTTTGTTTTTACTCTTTCTTTTTTGCATAGGCTTTTTTGTTTGCTTGTTTTCTTATTTATTTATTTGCTATACTCCTTTAATCTATCAAATAAATTTTTGATTGAATATATATAAATATATTTATAAAAAGTCTTATTCATAGTTTCATTTGTATTCATTTGTTAATTTTTGTATGACTTTTGACAAAAACTATAAATCTCTTTATCATTTTTGTTTATAATATTAACTTACTAACTATCTATCTATCTATTTATCTAAGCTAATAATTTTTACATATTCATTCATTCCATACTATTCAAAATAAAGCCATTAGTAAAAATTTATAATTATTAAATTCAATTAAAAGAATAAATACCAATTTAAAGTTTCAGAATTTTTTTATAGCAATTTTAGTTTGAAAATAGTTAATTGTTTGAAAAATTGAATTTATTAAAAACAAATAAATAAATACCTTCTTTCAAATTCAAACAAATTTACTTATTTTCATATTTTTAACATATCTACTGAAATATAAATTTTTAAATTACTTTGATTATGATATCTACTTCTTATTTATTTTTTAAATTTATTTGAAAACCTACACCATCCATATATAAAATTATTTATTATTCTTTTTAAATAAAAGATAGCAAAGCAAGCTCAGTAAAATTTATTATTATTTTGCAAAAATACTTTGATAACTTAAAAGAAATGAAAAATAGAAAATATAAATATATATTTAAATTCAGTAATAAGTTATAGAATATTATAAGAAATAAAAAAGATTACCCGCCTACTTAGAGTTATCATATCAGCTGAAAATATAACACTATTTGATGCGAAAAATAATTTATATTATTTAAACATTTTTAGCAAAAAGGGCTTGAGGTAAGCTCAAACTATTTAATTTAGATTAACGAACATTTTTAAAATTTAAATTTATCAATCAAACTACACTTAATCATTAAAATTAATTTTGGGATAAATTTTAAATATTCTATACAAAGATTATTTTTTTGTTCTAAATAATAACTATTGTAATTTAAATAAATTAATACCATTTTTTAAAAAGAATAGATTTGATTAAAATATTTAATAAAATTACTACCTATATATATTGATAGCATCATAAAAATAAAAATGAAATAATAAAAATAGGTTTAGATCATTGAATTAAACACACATTTTAATTTTAGTATTTGACACAAGAAGAATTATAAAGTTATCTTGCAATAAGAAATTAAATATGGTATATTTAGATGTTTTATACTGAAATAATTGAATACTTCAATAAAAATTAAATCAAATTTATTTGAAAAAGCTTTATTAATTTTTTTCCAAAAAATATTTTTTATTATTAAATTTTATTAATTTAAATAAAATAAATGTAAATTACATAAAATCCATTAAATTAGAGTTAGATTTTTCAAGTTTTATGCTCTTTTAAATTAAAAATCCAAATTGTAAACAAAAATATTAATAAATTCTAAAATAAAACTATTATAAATTTCTGTAATTAAATAAAGGCGATAAATATTTTTAAGTTATTAATTATTTTATTCATGTTTTATAAAGTATATTTACATGTATAGCTATTTTAAAAATATTTAGTTTTATGTGATAATATTTATTTAATTATTTATCGATTTAATTTATAAACTAAATTACTTTTTATATAACTTAATACAAAATGTTAAAATAAATTTAAAAAAAATAATTTTGAGATAATAAAATAATGAATTTTGTTAATTTTATTTTATTTTTTTAATTAAAAATTATAGAATGTAAAATTTAATGATATTAGTATATTCTCTAATTTAATATAATTAATTTATTTAATATTTATTTTAAATTATTATTTTTTTATTTATTTTTATAAATTTTTAGATTCTCTGAAAACTTTTGATATCTAAATAGAATATTTTGGAATTTGAAATGGAAATATGATCGGAAACTATTACAAACAAATTGCTTCAATTTGCGAATGATTGCATTTCACTATAAGATAATAATTTAATTTTTCTTATAAATGATATTATAATTTTTAAAAAATTAATTCTTATATTTTTTAAAATATCTTTTTTTTAATCTAAAAATAGATTAACATATTTTTTTTGATAAAAAAAAATACTCAATCTTTTTTATCATCTTTAATCCTTATGAGAAAGTTTTTAAAAAAACCATATTAATTATTAGATTTTAACATTGAAATATTGAGAATAGTGCCAGAATTTACAGTAAACTTCATAGCAAATTGACATTTTTTGTGATTCCAAAATCTTTTAGAAACAATTATTATTGACGATAAATTAAGCAGATAATATCTTTCTCTGACGATATATTATCAGATAATACGTTATAAAAAGGTTTGGGCTTTGATCGCTAGTAGAAAAAAAATAAATTAATTATTTTTTTATGATGTTAGATCGATTGCGCATGCAAAATTGCAGATATGATGATATAATAAATACAAATTAAGCTTAAAAATATGATTTTACATGAATATAATACAATAAAAAAATTTTTGAAATGTATTAAAAAAAATGAATCCAGTTTATTTTCTGTTTGTAATGTTAAAAGTAATTAGTATAATAGATTGCTCATAGATTATTCAATTGTGGTATGTAATTTAATAAATAATCTATTAAAGTGACGTTGAATAGTGTAAATTGTGTTATCGATTATTTCTAGAAGATGCCTTTCTCCTAAATAAAACAAATTTTAAAATAATAAGTAAAAACATGTTGGTTTCTCTTAATAGGCAAATACTGTGAATGATTACAACATTTAAAGTATTGATAATTAAATTAGTTAAATATTAACTATCTATTCTTTCATTAAAGATGTAAGATGATACAAATAAGAATAATAAAATCATCTGTATAATGTAAAATGAAGCATCAAATAGATTTTCTGAGAATTTATTATATATTAAGTAAAAAAAATTGTGTTGTGTATGTGCTTCTTGCAAATAATCATGCAAGTAGTGTGTATTTTTAATTCTATTCAAACACATATTTACGTCATCAAACACATGAAATTTCCAAAAAGTATTTAAATTGTTAGGTATTGTATCTTTTTTTATCTTATAATCTTATCAAAAACAAGAAAAACTTAAAAATTTTATTTCATCAACCTTTAAAAAAATAACCAAATCAAAAATGGCTGAAATTAGACCTAACCCTTTTGAAAAAATTTTGAAAGAAGTTCCTGGATTATAAGGAAAGAAGTTCTTCTCTTTGAACGATTTAAATGACCCCAGAGTCGCTAAGCTCCCTTACTCTATCAGAGTTTTGTTGGAAGTTGCAGTCAGAAATTGTGATGAATTCAACATCAAGTCAGCTGATGTTGAAAAGATTCTTGACTGGTAAGTTAACTCAACCAAGGATATTGAAATTCCTTTCAAGCCTGCTCGTGTCATCTTGCAAGATTTCACTGGTGTCCCTCTTGTCGTCGATCTCGCTGCCATGAGAGACGCTATCAAGAGACTCGGTGGTGATCCTAAGAAGATCAATCCTGCTTGCTAAGTCGACTTGGTTATTGATCACTCCATCTAGGTAAAAGACAATATAAATATAATAACTCTCATTATAACATTTTCAAATCCAAATCAATTTATTGATAAAATGCTTATCCTATAGCTAGCTTTAATTTTTAAACTAGAGTAAATTAATTTATTATTTCATAACAATAAAGGTCGAGTACGCTAAAACTTTAGATGCTCTCCAAAAGAATGAAGAATTAGAATTCTACAACAACAAGGAACGTTTCGAATTCTTGAGATGGGGTCAAAATGCCTTTGAAAACTTCAGCATTGTTCCTCCTGGTTCTGGTATTGTCCACTAAGTTAACTTAGAATACATAGCCAAGGTCGTCTTCGAAGACAAAAACAATGTTCTCTATCCTGATTCCGTCGTTGGTACTGACTCCCACACTACCATGATTAACGGTTTGGGTGTCCTCGGTTGGGGTGTCGGTGGTATTGAAGCTGAATCAAACATGCTCGGTGAATGCTCTGCAATGGTTCTCCCCGAAGTTGTTGGTTTCTATCTCTCCGGTGAACTCCCCAAGACTGCCACTGCTACTGATCTTGTCCTTACCTGCACTTAAATGCTCAGAAAGAGAGGTATATATGAATCATAATTAAAATTAGAATTTATTTTTATTTTTGATGATTTTTCCTATGTAAATTCATTATTTTTCCTTCTAAAAAATTAGGTGTTGTTGGTAAATTTGTTGAATTCTACGGTCCTGGTGTCAAGAATTTAACTTTGGCTGACAGAGCCACTGTTGCTAACATGGCTCCTGAATACGGTGCCACCACTGGTTTCTTCCCTGTTGATGAATAAACTATTGCCTTCTTGAGATAAACTGGAAGATCTGAAGAAACAATCAAGAACGTTGAAGCTTACTACAAAGCTCAAGGTCTCTTCAGAGTTTATGATGGTACTCAACAAGACCCCGTCTACTCTGGTGAAGTATTGAAGTTAGATCTTGCCACTGTTGTACCTTCTTTGGCTGGTCCTAAACGTCCTATGGATCGTGTTGCTCTCAGCGATCTCTAAAAGGAATTCTCTGAAGGTTTATCTAAGCCTGTTACTTTCAAGACCTTTGGTGTCCCTGCTGATAAGGTTGATTTGGAAGTTAAATACAATTTAAATGGTGAAGAATTTACCTTCAGACATGGCTAAGTTTTGATTGCTGCTATTACCTCTTGCACCAACACTTCAAACCCTGGTGTTATGCTTGCTGCTGGTCTTCTTGCTAAGAATGCCGTCCAAAAAGGTCTTAAGGTTCCTGCTTACGTTAAGACTTCTCTTTCTCCTGGTTCTTAGGTAAATAAATAAATAAATTAATGAAATTACTTCAAATATTTTAGATAGATCAAGTCTAATTAATGAAAGATAACAAACACAATTTGCTTTAAATAAATATAAAAGATTTTCAAAAATAAATAAAATATCAAATAGGTTTTTTTTTAAAAATGATAAATAAAAAAATAAGCAACTAAAATTTATAGATTCAAAAATATGATTTAAAAAGACCAAGTCTAAATAAAATGAAAAAGCAACCAAACAATTTTATAATACAGCTTAGCAAATTAATTGAATACTAAAAATAGATTTTAATTGAACATGGAAAAAATTTTGTTATATTTAACAAATTTAGAGAAACGATAATTGAATTATAATAATCTAATGCATTCTTTTTAAAATAGGTTGTCACCAAGTATTACGAAAAGGCTGGAGTTACTGACTTCATGAATACCTTAGGTTTCACCCATGCTGGTTATGGTTGCATGACTTGCATTGGTAACTCTGGTGACTTTGTTGATCCTGTTCTTAACTAAGTTGTTAAGGATAACGATTTTGTTGCTGCTGCCGTTCTCTCTGGTAACAGAAACTTCGAAGGTAGAGTTCACCCTTAAACAAGAGCTAACTATTTGGCTTCTCCTCCTTTGGTTGTTGCCTATGCTCTTGCTGGTAACGTTAACTTTAACTTCGAAACTCAACCTTTGGGCAAGGACTAAAACGGTAACGACGTTTTCTTGAGAGATATCTGGCCTTCCAGAGAAGAAGTTGAAGCTCTTGCTGCTAAGATCATTACTCCTGAAATGTTCACTGAAAACTACTCAAGAATTGCTAAGGGAACTGATAGATGGAACAGTCTTTAAGTCAAGTAAGGAATCCAATACGAATGGAAGGAAGAATCTACTTGTAATACATTTTATATAATATTCAAAAATAATATTTATTTATTTATTTATTTTTACTTTTACAACATACTCAAAAATTTATATTTATTTTAATTAGATATTCACAATCCTCCTTTCTTCAACTGCCAATTGGAATTAACTCCAGTAAAGAGCATTGAAAACGCCTACTGCTTAGGTAACTTTGGTGACTCCATCACTACTGATCATATCTCCCCTGCTGGTAACATTGCTAAGGACTCCCCTGCTGGTAAATATTTGTTAGAAAGAGGTGTTCCTTAAAAGGATTTCAACTCTTATGGTGCTCGTAGAGGTAACGATGAAGTTATGGCTAGAGGTACCTTTGCTAACGTTAGACTCGTTAACAAGTTATTAGGTGGCAAGGTTGGTCCCAACACCGTTCACATTCCTACTGGCGAAGTTCTTTCTATTTTCGATGCTGCCAACAGATACATTCAAGCTGGTATTCCCACTGTTATTTTTGGTGGTAAAGAATATGGTACTGGTTCATCTCGTGATTGGGCTGCCAAGTAAACATTTAATTATTAGTTATTCCTTTATTAAAAATATAAATCAACTATAAATTAGGGGTCCCTTCTTACAAGGTGTCAAGGTTGTCATTGCTTAATCTTACGAAAGAATCCACAGATCTAACCTCATTGGTATGGGTATTCTTCCTTTAGAATTCAAGGAAGGTGAAAGTGCTGATACTTTAGGTTTAACTGGTAAGGAAAGATACACTATTGACTTACAAGAAGGTAACTTGAAGGTTAACTAAGACGTTGTTGTTAAGGTTGATGATGGTAGAACCTTCACTACTAAGTGCAGATTAGATACTGACGTCGAAGTTCAATACTTCAAGCACGGTGGTATTCTCCTTTACGTTCTCCGTAAACTTGCTTCTTCTAAGTGATATAAACTATAAATAATAATAATCTCTATATTCTATTTTTAAATAACACATATTCTTTTTATAAATGTATTTCATTCATTATAATATCTTACTAAATTTATTACAATTAACCTTAATTTAAGTAAAAAAAAAATATTATAAAAATTCTAAATAAATATTTATATGAAATGAATTTAATCAGGATTATAAGAATTATATTAATAAAGTATTAAATAAATTATAAAAAATGAAAAACAAATATTTTTTATATTCTAAATAAATACTTTAAATGAAAAAAATTTTATAAGAATTTAAAGAGTTTTTTAGATAAAGTATTAAATAAATTATAAAAAATAAGAAAAAAACAAACATTTTTTATATTCTAAATAAATATTTTATATGAAAAGAATTTTATAAGAATATAAAGAGTTGTATAGATAAAGTATTAAATAAATTATAAAAAATAAGAAATAAACATTTTTGAAAAAAAAAATATAAATATTAAACAGATATTTTAAAATGTATAAAATTGAAGTAATTTTTATATATATTTCTAAAGTATTTTTTAAATATTAGCTAAGATAATTCATATCTCAAATAGCAAAATTAATTTAACAAAATACTTTTTACATTTATTTAGGATTACATTATCTTTGAATTAGAAATATGACTAGAAAATATTTAAATAAGTATTTTTTAAATAAATTTAAGAAACAAAGATTTATTATTACATAAATAAATTATATTTTCACTTATTAAAGCGTTTTTTTAGTAATTTTTTCAATTTTGAATTAACTGCTTTGGTGATTTATTGTAATTTAAATTGGTTTTTGTATAATTAAACAAAAAATTGTTTCAAATACTCAATGATTTGAATATAAATAATAATTGTGCTTTATCTAATTAAGAATTCTTTTGAGTTATATTTAAAAGAAAAGATTATAATATCTCTTAATTTTATGAGTATATTTCTAAATTATTTGCATAGGAATAATTTAAAAAAGTTAGATATCAAATGAAGTAGTTTGTAATTAACCTTTTAATCGTTTCTCATTAAATAAATGTAATAAACCAAAAATTAATATTATTTAAATTAAATATATAAAGAAATAAGCATTTAAAGATAGGAATACTTACAACCTATATATTATTTAATCTGATTTTTATTTTTCTTTTTAAATAAATTGGACATTTCAACTAATTTTTTTTGTAAATTTATATTTGAATTTATAATTTTATTCTAAATAATAATAAATCAAGAAATCCATTTATTGAAAGTAATTTGAGATATATTGTTCACGCACCTGATTATTTAGTTTATTACTTAAAAAAATTGTAAAGAGATCAAGCAAAAATTTAAATTTGCATTATTTTTCTCCTAAATTTTATTTAAAAATTTTTTAACTTAATTTTTTAAAAACTTCCAATGCATCATACTTGACTTATAACTCTTATTTGTTAATAAAATAAATTTACTTTAGCAAATTTATTGAACATTTTGGAAATAAAAATACTTACTATTAAATGAGAAAAATTAAATTTTGAAAAATTATTGAGGTATATTTTTATGTAAATAATTTATTTATTTTTTAAATTTCTAAAGATTACACTTTATAAGGTTTAAAAATACTTAACACTAAAAAATCAACTTTTAGCTTAATTTTAAAAAGTTATTTTTATCCTTCATTCTCAAAATTTGCTAATTTTTAACAATATTTTTAGTCTAACTATTCAAATAAAAGAATTAAATAAATTAAAGCATTCAGCTAAACATAGTTATTTGCTAACTCTTATTATCAAATATTTTACTTAAGTGTAATTTAATTTGATATAATAGAATCTATATATAATTAAGATTTTAACAAATAATAATTTTCTATCTGAATTATTTCTTCTTATAGATCAACAAATAATCTTCGTTAAAAGCTTTAATAAAAATAGAATTCTAATTTAAAAAAATCTTAAATTAAAAAAAAATGTACTTTAAACCTATTTCTAAATTAAGGAGTCAAAGTACATTTTTTTACATTTTGATTACTCCTTGTCAAATTATATTGTTAATTTATTTTTTAGAGGTTTTCTCATTAATCGATTTAAATAAACAAAAGTTGAAATTTTGAAAATGAGCAAACCCAGACAGATATTATTTAATTTCAAAAAATGATTATCTTATTTATGTATGAAATTAGAGGTAGAAATAAAAAACAAACGATTTCAAAAGCCAAACAAAAAGATAATAAGATGCTATCTGATTTGATTTGATTTGATTAGATTTGGGGAATGGGGAGAAAGAGAAAAAGATATAGATAAATTGATCTTTATCTAAATTAAAAAATTATGATCAAGATATATATATATATATTTGATAATTTTATTACTTTTGTATATTTCTTTTCAAAGTTATTTACTCTATTTAAATAGAAATACTATATTTCTGATTGGGTTTTTGTTTGTTTTTTGTTTATATATAAATAGATTCTAACTCATTACAGGAATTTAATATTAATTGTTTTATATTTAAAGGAGAATGGAAGAGTAAAACTTCTTTTCAATTTATATAATTAATAATCTAAAAAAAGTATATTGTAATCTTGACTCTGTCTTTTTTTAGATTATTTAAATGAATATTTTTTCCCCCTTTGGTTATATGCTTGTAAAATTAAATAAGAAGAATATACATTAAAATGGTAAAAATTTCAAAGGGAAAGGTGCATTTTAGTTAAATAAAATAAAAATATTTTTTGTATCACATCTTACGAAACAAATAAAAACAAATTTTAAATATTTCAAATTAGATGGATAAGGAGAAACTAAAGAATTAAAATTTACGAAATCTTAAAATTAAAATTGCGAGCGTATTTGTAATTGTAAGAAATAAAAGGGAAATGTTAACTACAGAATCATTACAATTTTCAATTTTTATTTATTGATAATAGAAAGATTAATAACTAGATAGATAGATAAATCATAAAGTTAATAGCCAACATAAAAATTTATTAAGATCAACTGATTTCTATGAGTTAATAATTTATTTATTTATTCTCTTAATAATAAATATGAAAAGGTATTTTGTTTATTTATTTATTAATTGTTTTCATTTTTAACTTTTTTTGTTCTTTACTCATGATTGATCTTCTTATCAAAATTAATATAAATTTTAGAGATTATCAATAATAATAATAATTTGATTAATAGAAAGAATAAAAGAAAACTAAATTTAATAACTCATAACCCACCTTTGTTTTGATATCATAAATTTAATTGAAGCAAACAAATTGAATAAAATATTCAAGATAAATTATCAAAAACTAACACAATATTTTAAGTAAAAAATTTTGTAAAAACCCCTTCAAACTAAATAAAACCAACATCTATCTCTACTAAAATGAACCCCGAACAATACGGATCAGAACTTCTCTAACAATATGAAAATATGATCGCAAATGTTGCTGAATGGCGTACAAATATTTATAATATTTTGCACTTGGCACAATGGAAGAAATAATAATCTCCACGCATGTAAAGTGATATCAGCTTAATTTAAAACGCTTTGACTATTCCCTAGAATTATGATATCGGCGATTTCGCTGTTTAATAAGTAAACATTATGATTGGATACAAGGCACTTTTCGAATAATTGGTTGAGTCTCATCGCTAACTTATTTAAGGATACTAAAATGTCTTGTCCTTGAGTCTCCTTCTTGATTTAGAATAAAAAACTATGACTCTTTTAACTTATTTTAATTATCTTCCCCTTTCTGCAAGCGCTCAATGCGTTCCCTTAGTAATGGTTCAAACAGAGAGCAAGAAGAACACATCTGTTTGTAATTTTGATGAATCATAAAACAGTTTTTCTTAATTGCCTACTTAATAAACTATCTTTAGCTCTGTTTAATCTCTTTCTCATATTGAATCAAATATTTAGGATGAGACTATTTTCAACGGAAAAAATTCTTTGAGTTCTATAACCTGCATCAAGGAAAAGGGATTTGAATAATCATTTTCGAATAACAGCAGCTGGGCTTCAATTAATAGCATGGGATAATCTGAAGCTATAATTGATGTCGAGTGAGATTTGCTCATTTTCATAGACTTTTACCTTTTTCTACTTCAATATATTTATAAACTCTTTTCTCATCTTCCCTACTAACTATATCTATCTTCTTTACTTTATTACTTAATTTGCAAGGAAAAGCGAAATATATACTGAATGAATGAATGAAAGTTAAAGAGTAAAAAAAAACTTCCTTTTATATTTTAATACCAAATACCCAAAGAAAGAAGAAACAAATAGTGTTTCTAAATGTAAATAGTTTTAAAATACAAAAGAATTAACTGAATCATAAAGTTAATTTCTCTATGTTGTCTATATCAAACTAGTCGACTTTCTGATATGTTAATTAAATTATGGAAAAAAAGATAGTTTGATTTGGGTATGAGGATTACTCGAAATATTTCATTCAGATTTATAATTTAAATGGATAAAAATTGTTTATTCCTATTTAAAAAATATTTGAATTTAGGCTGGTAGTTTGAGGTGAAATTAAAATGTAAAAAACACCATTTAATAGTTAAATAACTGCAATTAAAAAAAGTTAAGTTACTTTAATTAACTTTCTAACAGATAGACTAATATTTTGTTCTACTCAATTAATAAAAATAATAATAATAGTTTTTAATTTTTTCATAAAACTCAACAAAAATATGTCTGCTTTCACCAAATCTATCTGCTAAACAACAACCAGCAACCATCTGATTTTGAATGAAGTTTATTTCTTTATTGATTAAATAAGTAAATAATTTACCTTGCTTTTTCTTTTGGCTATTGGCTCACTTCCTTCTCCTTGCTTTCTTTCTTTTATAAGAAAAACATATTAATAATAAGTAAAAGAAAGAAAAAAAAGTAAAACACAAAAAAATAAAATAGGAGGTATATTAAAATAAAAAATACCTTAACCTTTCTCCGCTATCTATTTATCTATCTATCTAACAAAATAACTAACTAACTTATTTTCTCACACACACACACTAACTTTTTATATAATATTTATTAATATTTGTAAATTGAATCCTTAAACGAATGCTATTTTAATACGCTTTTAGCGATTAAATATGCATTTCTAAACCTATTATAGCATTATTTATATATATATTATATAATATTTATTGTATTTGTTTTCCTTTATTTAGATTCTTATTAGAACCATCTTTCTATCTTTATTTTATTAATTCTTCTATTTCTAAATTCTTAGATTTTTCTTTGATCTAATTGTTACTTTTACCAAATTTTTCTTCATACCCAAGCAGAAAAAAAAAAAACAATATATGCCATCAATTTTTTTTGTTAATTAAAATTCCTTTGGTGTTGTTTATCTTCTCTTTAGGTTTACTTAATATAGGACTAGAACCACTTATAATCACATCATCAACAATCATTTGTTTATTTATACTTTAAAAGTAGTACCACTACTATATACTGAATACAAGGTAAAGACCTTACAATTTTTTACTTTTCTTAATAATAGCTCTTTTATCTCAAATTAATATCTTATGTAAAACTTACACATTAATTATCAATTACTTTCTTATGCATAATTTTTTTTTTCTTCTATTTGATGGTCTTTCAATAATTAAATTTGTTTTATTAGTTTGAGTATATGGACTATTTTAGCATAAATACCCAAGCTCTCAAATGCTTAAATCCTCTTATTTGTGCATTTTTTTGTTATTTTAGTTTATACTTCTCATATTTGTCAACAATTTTTGCAAACTGTAATTCATAATTAGTATTATAATCAGCTGAAAGTGTTACAAATCAATAAAATTTTAAGGTTTTTAATTGCTTTCTTTATTTGCAATACCACTCATAAATATGATTTGTTTTAAAATACATTCTAACTCATATTTGCAAATACCATTCATTATTTACCATTCAAATCCTTAATTAATTTCTGATTGAGAGAGAGCTTTTTTTCCTTGTTTATACTTACACACCTTCATTCTAATATTTACTTTGCATTCAAAAATCAATAGACTTTAAAAGAAACAAAGATTAATTATCAAACTTAAAGCTCTAATAAAATAAATATAATTTCATTTATTCTATTCTATAATTTCTAAGATTAATTTAGTCAAAATAAAGATAAGATAAGATAAGATAGATTGGTTTTTTTTTTAAAAAATTTTATTTTCAAAACTAAAAAAAAATATTTTAAAGGTTTTTTAATAAATTAATTTTGAAAACAAAAAATTGATATTTTTAAAAATGTAAAATAATAATAGAATTTATTAAATAATAATTTATTATTTAATTTATTTACTTACTTACTTGTTTAATGGGGAATCAAATAATTTGAATTTAAATTTTTAATTAAATTTTAATTAATTTAGAGAGAAAGAAAAAGAGTGAGAGAGTATTTGAATATAAATTAATTTCTAATATTTAGTTTAATGTATTATGAAGTAAGATATACTTACAACTGTCTAAATTAATTGTTTTTTTTTTCCTTCAAAAAGGTAACAATTTTAATTCTTATCTCAAGCAAATCGTGATTTTTTTCCTCAGATTCATAATCGAGTCTCATTTAAATTTGTTAAAAATTTAAAATTTTATATTTATTACTTTTATTTAATTTTGATTTTGAAAAAACAAATATTTTATTCAAGCTATGCTTGCGTTTTTCTAATCAGCGAATGTTAAATTTAGATGTTTAGTCTTTTTAAAAAAGATTAATTTTGTTTCATATTTATTGTTGGCTATCATATCTTAAGCTAGATACTTCAATATTGTAGTTATTCTATTAATTTGGTAGGATTTATTTAGAGCGGTTGATAATGTAGATAATCAAAATACTAATAAGGTATATAAATACTATAATAATCTACATGCCAATAAAGTAAAAGGAATTTACAGACTCATCATTTTTTCCGATGCTTCGTTAGGAATAAAGGTAATTTAGAATGTTAAAATATAACAATATGTTTATTTTTGAGCAAGTAATCATTTTTAGAAAGTAAGAATATACCTTTTAGATTGTAGGACTTTCGTAAGTGATTTTAATTGGTTAGGGCAAATTCTCTGGAAAAAGAGCTATTATAAGCGCTATAGAGAAGATCAGAGTCCCACATAAAGGCAGAAGGTAAAGGCTTTAAGAAGATTGAATAATATCTTTGTTTACATAATAGTAATCTCCTAAGATATTTTGTATGTAGACTTAATAAATCCATAGTGACAAAGTCAGAGTTATTGAAATTATTTCTAAGCCCATATCTAAGAAGGTCATTTTTACTTTTATTACAGGATTACTTAGAGGAGAAAAACCCATCTAGTGAAATCTAATTCTTTAAGATGTATAGTCAGTAAGTCTTTTAAGGAAGACGATAGGGTTACCTGATGCTTTGATGGGTAAAATTGAGAGAAGATATTTTTGATTCAGTCCTACTTCGTATAAATTTTTTGTTAGTTTATTTATTTATTTTGATAGTGAAATAGGAAGTATTTATTAGTTTAATAAAATTAAAAACTATATATATAGCTTAATTTAACTATTTATTAAAGTTCTTTTTTTGCATTACTTATTTTCTTGAATTTATTCAATTTAATTATCCTTTTTTCTTTTTAATCATAAGTTAATTATTAATTTCTTATCAATTTTTTCCCTTTTCTAATTACTAATTTTATTTTGATTTCAACTGCGAAAAATAACAAACAAACATTACATGCACTATTGAAAGATAAAAACATTAAAAATAGTAAAAAGAAATTGTGGTTCATTGATTTATAGATCAAATTATTAATCAAGTCATTCCATAGTACTAAGTAGCAAACTAAAACTGATAAATTGATGGTTTTATAATTCTGAAGCAAGTAAGTAACCATATGCTGAAAATTTATATTTTAAAACATTTTACACACAGCATTTGACAAATACGAACTAACAATTTTTAATTTTCATAATTAAATATTTTTTAATTATTTTTTGCAATTTATTTAAAATAAAAGTCATTTCATTTTAAGTTACTATGTTTGTTATAAAAATCCTACACGCTCAAAGTAGAAAGAGATGGGTGGAGAGGAGCAGATTCTAGAATCTTTTTGCAAATATTTTTTATTTCAGGAGTATTTTGTGATGTCTATTGATAAAAAATATATTAAAAAATGTTTCATAAATATAATAAAAATGATTATGATTTTATATTTTATTTTTTATTGTGAATAAAATGGAATATGGTTGGTTGGCTGATTTATTGATTGATTACAAATAGGCCTTAGTCTTTTTTAATAATAATTATAATTGGTTTTTTTTTCTGTTCAAGTATCCAGCCAAAATCCTTAATTTAATCATATCCAATTAATTCAAGTTGTATAAAGATTTACCTAAACCTTAGTTAATTCTTCGTGAATTGAAGTGTTAATAGCATTGGTTGATTGAGGATCCTCGATTCTTTCATTGTATCTATTTAATCCAAATCCATCATTATCAGAATCAAGCATCCTGTTAATCTTTGAATGTTTCTAGTTTTATAAAATTTATTTTAGTAAAATAATTTTAAAAATTAATTAATTAATTAAGATTTTATTACGGAAAATAGCATTTTTATGACAAATAGAACAGTGTATTAAAATTATTTTCTGTCGTTTAATTTAATAGCAAGTTTAGCCAATTCTTTGACAAAGCTTGCAACACTTTCATAGGAGAATTATCTCTTCTTTAAGAACATAATTTCAAGAATCTTAATTAGCACAAGTTCTTCCTTTTAAGATAACTGATCGAAAACATGAGGGATCTTGTTAAGATCAATCATGACATGGAAGAAATTAAGAATAGCTTCCTTATCATCAACATCAAAGACTTAACCTGGTCCATTTAAGATGGCTTCTACTGTGTAAATGCAATGCATTCTTTTATGCAAAGCCATTTTATCATCTCCTCCCTTTTTATTTGTGTATTATCTCATGTTTTAAGCACTTTTTTGCAAACAACCAATTAAATCCCAAATTAAATTGACATCAATCATGTGAATAAACCTTATTATTTTAAAATATAAATTTTCAAAATTTGAATAAAATTAAATGTATAACCCTACTTAACAATACCATCCATAACTGAAGTAAAGAACTTGGTTGGAGAAGGTCTTTTAATGAGCTTGAAATAGATATAATATACTTTTTCTAAGATTTAAGCATTCTATTATATTAAAAAAAACAATGAGATTAAATTTATTTTGAAGAAATTTAAACTATCTTACATATTTAATAAGCAATTTAGGATCTATTTCAGCATCTTATTCTTCAAGTTCTTCTCTTAATTCCTTTTTCATTTTTTTTAATTCGTTTTTATCGACACCTTTCATTGATTTAACCTAATCTATATCATCTTTTTCACCCTTAGCATTTTCAAGCTTTCTCTTTTTACTATTCTTTACATTACCTTTTTCTTTTTCCTTGTCTTTATAAAACTATCTCTTTGCCTTCTTGTACTATTTATTATAATTAATTTTAATTTAAAATAACAGACTTACTTTATTATTCAATTTACTTCTATGGCCTTCTTACGTTTGTCTTCATCGAAGTCTTTTTTTAAAAACTTAGTATCTATTTCTACACAACCAACAATTTCTATAAAATCATCTGGTAAGTCTTTTTCGGTAGTAGTGTTTAAGATCTTTCCCATTTCATTTAGAATAACAACCTTAATTTCATCTAAATTTTTATAATTTGTTGCCTATAAATCTAAATTTTCTACTAAAATGAAATAATATTACAGATTGAGTGAGTAGGATCTGATAAAATGGATGTGATAATTTCAATAGCAGAATCTCTAACCTAAATATTAAGAATAAACATTATATTTGGATATTCGCAGTAATCTAAATAATTAATTAGATAAATTTAAGAATATGCTATAAATTCTCTAATTACTTTTTTATCAACTGATACTAATTTATGGGTAACAAATTCAGCTATTTCTTTAGCAAAATTAAAATGATAAAGATGCTTCAATAACTCTAATAAGCACTTAGTGCCTATTCTTCTTAGTTGATTGAATTATTATTTAGTTTCTTCATTTACTTCTTATCCTAAATTCTTTGCTTCCTTGTTTTTTAACTTAGCAAAGTATGCCATAAGCTTGATATATTTTTCATAGAATTCATAAATTCTACATTCAGTCTAAATAACTTGACGTTCCTTTTAATAGAAAGAAAGAATTATTTTTATTAAATAAGTAATTTAACTGAAATGTCTTACTTCTTTTGTTATCTTAGTAGCTAATTTTTCTTATGATTCCTTAAAGTTTATCTTATATCTAATCATATTTTGAAATAAATGTTTAGTTTCTACTATCCAAAATTTTAAGCTAAAATAAGAATATTTATTTACAAGGGAGTGATATCTTTGAAAATTTCAACAATAGAGTAAGCACTAAGTTTAACTATTAGTATACTGTCTTTCTCTAATAAATGGAATAATGTTTGCATGTGGATAATCTAATTTATAATTAAAAATGTTTATGTGTCCTCATCCTTCATCATAATTTACATTAGCTTCTGGTTTTGCTATTATTTCCTATGAAATCTCTTCTATGAGCTAAGTGAGTTGCATCAATGATAAGCTATTTAATTCCTTTTTTTCTATAACTAACCTTTCATTCTTCAACAAACTGTGAAAAAGAGATTTGTTCGTTTCACCTTCCTTGCTAGGTTTATCCTATTTATTTTTTCCCATTTTTATGAGGTTAATTTTATCTAAAAGACTATTTTTAAGATTATTTGATAAATTATCAAAAAAAAAACAATACTTCTCCTGGAAACAATTAACTAAAAAATAAATAGTTAACAAATATATAAATCTGAATTAAAATAAGTGAAAGCCAATTTAGACTAATTTTATAAGATGTTGTTAAAATATTAATAAAATTTTTACATAAAAGCAAAAAATAAAATAATTTATAAGATAAATTATTATTAGTATAAAAATCAAATAAAACCAAATTCGATAAGAAATATAAGAACTATATTTTGAATAAAATATCCATATTTTTTTTAAGATTTTGCATGACTGTTATATTTAAATTATAAAACAATATTAAATAAATTATCATTTTTAAATACTTTTTTGACACAAATTTAAGTGAATTAGAGTTTATAAATATTATTATTATTAAATATATTTATTATGTAACTAGAAATAAGCAAACATTTATATTTTTTTATTTAAAATCCTGTATCTATTATTTACAAATTTTAATAAATGATATTAATTTGGGGAATACTCATCTTGTATATGTACTTAGACATCTGACTGTTTTATATTTATTTAAATGATATTTTGAATTCAGTAAGACATACATAAGAAATATAATTTGTATGAAATATCTAGTCAATTTAGATTTTAAAAGACATTGTTTAATTAAATTATAAAACAATATTGAATAATATATTATCTAAAATACATTTTTAATACAAATTAAAGTAGGTATTTATGAAATAAAAATTTTATTATCATTTAAATTTATTATTCTGCTAACAAAAAAAGCAAACTTTTTATTGTTTAATTTAAAATCATTTATCTTGTAATTCATAACTTTTAATAAAAAGATAGTAAACTGGAGCGTATTCATCTTCTGAATGTACGTGAACCTCTGACTCTTTTCTATTTAATTATTTAAATTATATATTAATTGTTTATTGTAAATTATTTTTACATAATTATTCTCTTTTTATAAAGAGGAGAATCTAAAGTTAGAGATTCATACTCTCCACCTTCACCACAAACATTCAAATGGAATTTGGCATTCTAATTGTTTATTAATTAATTATAAATTATTTATTTTATATTTAAATCAAAGTCAATCTATACTAATGCTACAATCTTGTCGTAATTATCTCTTAATGACAATCCTAAGTGATCTTTTCCTAAACCAAATGAGGCAACTTTTATTAAAATAGAGTTCATGCCTTAATCAACCATTTCTTTAAGTAACTCTTATTAGTCTCTTCCCCATAAATAAGCTAAACTAACTAGCCCTAATCTCTTGCAGCTTTATTTATAAAATTTATATGCATTTTCTTCTAAAATTTATTTTAGTATGAAATATAAATATTTTAATTATTTATTAAGATACAGTTTTGTAGTTAATTAAATAATTACACATCTTCAACTCTTAGTTTTTGATAAGTGGAGGCGATTGCACCTGAAGAAACTCCTTTAAAGTCCCACTTTTCTTTAGCTTCTTTCAAAATCTCATATAAATCTTCAACTTCATCTTAACTCTTTTCTTCATTAGTGCCTGTGTATTCCAAATCTAAGACAACAGGCTTTCCTTTAAGTTATCTATTGATATATTTATTTAAAATTACTCAAGCCTATTGAAGATAAAAAAATATACTTTCTAATAACTGGAACTCCTAAACATTCACCAATAGCATCAATCATATTTGTACCAACAGATTGATACATGTAGCTATCTTTTTCCATTCCAATTTCTTTTAATTTCAAATATTTTAAAAAATTCAATTTATGGATTTGCGCAATGTGATTGATACCTGCTGGATATAAATTTGCAATTGCAACCAAAGTGTGGCCTTATGCAACACACTTATGAATATTAAAGATGCTATCTTTTCCGCCAGAAACAAGGGCAATAAATTTCATGGGAGCAAAATCAGTCATTTCTTTTTCTTTGTACTATTAATGTTCTGCTTAAACTAAAAGTGTTACTTTTGTCTTTGGATATTGAAAAAAGATTAATTTAGTGATTTATAATTTTAATATTCTTTATTCTACTAAAGTAAAGTCATACAAAATAAATAAATAAATAAACTATGAATGAGTAGTTAAGTGAAATTTCTTATTAGTTTTATATTGATTTAGATTTAAATTAAAGTTGAAAAATAAATCTTTATTTACAATTATATACATATTTTTACAAAAAGAGTAGAATAATGATTTAATTTCAATATTTTTCAAAAAACGATATATTATCTTTCTATGTATGTTTATGAGTGCGTATTAATATTGATTACATCATTGATTTCGATATTTATAAATTATATTTTTATTTTCAGACTACTTTTAAATCTAAACTCTCGCTTTATTTATTGTTTGTTATTTTACCTTTCATTTTTTATATATTCTTTTTTAGGGAATATATTTATTTATTCATTCATTCATTAAGTTTCTCTTTCTATTTCTATATTAGTATTTTATATTCACAATAAGCTCTTTTATTTTTCCTTTAACTCTTCATCAAGCATCGTTAGATCTTTATAATAATATATTAAAAATATAATTTAGAAATATTAGAAAGAATTATTATTAAATAGATCAGAAAGAAGATTTATAAATTTTAGAAGAATTTATTATAAAGCTATCTGATATTTTTGGTTAAAAATTATATTTAAAGTGAAATAAAATAAATTACTTAATTCGATTTGTTTGAGTACTTGAAAATTATCGTTATTTTAAACACTATCTAAATTATTTAAGCTTGAATTCTTTTTCATGAACTTTCTTGCAGCGTTATTAAAAGATAATAAGCTTTGATTGTGTTGTTATTTTCTTGAGCCACAGTTAAAACTCCTATTAGCTTAATTTGTTTATTATTTAAAAGAAGAATTTCCATGCAAAAAAGAATTAGAAGATTTTCTATTATTCTAACTAAATGAGGAGTTTCTCTGAATCTTTTTGAGCAGAACCACATTTGTTTCTATCTATATTTAAATAAAAACAAAATATTGAAATTTAAATTAATCTAATAAAGAGATATTACTTTGATTTTTCCATATGATTAATTTGGATCCTCTGGATTTATTAGGTGGTACCACTATAAAACTGGCTTTTACCACAGTAATTCTTCTTAAATCGTTTCATTTTTTAATAAAAAGTTAAAACTTAAATCCAAAAAGGCATGGGCATATAACTCTTAGTTAGTGTTATACAGTCTTATTTAAATTGGCTATTCTGATAAAACTTATTTTATTATTTTATAATTAAAAGCTTAAGATAAATCCAACTGAGTAGGAATAATCCTTTTTTGGTTTTGCAATAACTTAATATCAAACTAAGCATCACCTTCTAGCGTTATAAGTTGTTAATCTATGTAAGGAATATCAACTTTACAGTTTAAAACTCCTTCGCTAGCTAAATTAGGACTAATTTTTGCATATAATAAAAAATAATTAATAAAATTTTAAAATAATTTTGAATTTAAAAAAGCTTTACAAAATATTTGTTAAGGATTTAATTTTTATCTCTAAAACACAAGAATATTCTTCTTCTGTTTGTTCATTTTGATCCTAATGCACAGTACCATTCCCTTTTGCAGAAGAAGGTTGACATTATTTGTTTGTATTTTTACCAAAAAGCCTATTTATCCTATCATTATACTCCATGTATGCAGACTTATTGTCATAAATTTATGATACATTTGAAATATTTTAATCATCTGAGTTATTAAATACACTTCTATTTTATGTTTGTTAAAATGATTTATTTTGAGATATTTAAATTTATGGTTGCAGATATCCTATCCCTCCTTTTTATGATTATGGTTAGCTCAAAAAGAATTTAGGCTTCTATGTATCAAAAATATTGTTTACTTGAATTTAAGGTGTGTTGGTATTTGATTCATTTCTATTAAATTCATCAAAAAGATTTATTTTTTCTTTATTATATTACATTAATTCAAATCTATTGCTGGAGGGCTAATAAATTTTATGTGGGATAGGAGTTAAATTACAACTAAAATTGCTGTTGCTTTTATTGGCAGAAAGCATTTGCTCTTAATTATTCACAGACTATTAGTGATTATTCCTAGAATACTATTAATCTTAGTTTCTAATAGAAAAATCTGGGCTTCTCTAACTCTATAAGCTAATTACTTATTGGTTATTGCCATTTTTTTATTAATTTTGCTATTCTTGATCTATTTTAGGATTTGGAGAGATTTAGTTGCTTTTATAGAATAAATTATTTTGACTTCTATTAGGTTCGCTCTATCTATTTATTTAGTTGCTTGAATAATTTTTCTAATTAGAATTATCAGTAGAGTTTTTTTATTGTTAAACATTCATTAATTCTTACTAATACTAAGGAGAATTGTTATATAGATGTTAATTATTTGTATTTTATTACTCAATTTTATCACCTTAATAGTATGGGTTGTATGTATCCATGTGTAATATATTATTTTTACTATTAGATTTATTATCTGAGTTTTTAAATGGTTTTAAATTTTTTTAATTACTATCAAACACTGCTTAATTTTTTTAAATACTTTTTTATTCTGAGAAATCATTATTCCACCAATTTTCATTTCTCTTTTAATCTGAATTATTTAAATACCCATTATTAGCTTAATGATTTTAATGATTGTAGTATGAATTTGGCTATTGAGTGTAAAAATTACCTTAATTTTAATTTTTTTGAGCATTGTAATTTTAATATTAATTGCCATTATTAAAAGCATCTTCTTAAATTTAAAACTATTTTTTATTAGATCCACCTTCATTTTTTATTTAGTTATTAACCTGATTTGGTTATGAATAAAATTAGTTCTTTTAATTTGTTCTTTAGGAAACAGAAAAATCAAACAAAGACATTTTGTCAGCACTTACTTTTGATTTTTAAGGACTAAACATAGGACTAGCGTTAATGTGTTGTTAGAAAAATGGGTATTTCAGTAAATTCACACAGCTAACTCTATTCTATGGATGAAATTCTAAAAGAGAAGTTAAAATTTCACTTTATTTCTATTGAACTTTATTCATTATGTGCTTTAAGATAGGTAGATCTTCATATTTTGCTTTTTCAATTAAAAGATCACACAATTATTAATGGTGATTTTCTTATATATAATATGCCTCTTCTTTTTCTGGTATTCCAAGAACCTGTCAAAAAAAAAACTCATGATTATTTTTATAAAACTTAAAAATGAAAACTTACCAAATAATATGAAAATGCTTATTATTCTAGAGAAGAGCTTGAGAATATAGGAGCCTAACAAAAAAATATTTCAGCAAATATACAACCCAAACCCCATAAATCAGTTTACATATCTAAATTAATTTAATCTTATTAATCTAATTTTTTTTAAATAGGGTTTTATGCATAAACTATTCCTTGTTTTAACTATTTTTCATACAACATTTCAAAATAAACCTCAGGAGAAATATAAAATAATAAACTGTTCCCATATTCTTTAAGGTTTTCTTAATAATTTTATTTATCTATCTTAAAAGGTCTCAAATATACTAAATAATTATCTTCGATCCAAATATTTTTAGGGCAAATTTCATAATGAGCTTCTCCTAATAGAAAAAAATATTACTATTAACATAAGATCAAGCAAAAAATAAAAAAATATTTACCTATTTAATGCAAACATTTTAAAGAAATGACTAAATTTTAAAATAGTCTTTGTTTTCTTTAGCTATCTAATTCGCCTTTTTTAATTATATCTGACAATCTCTAAAATTTACTTTAACTTTTGGTGGTTTAATTATTCTTAAACCAAGGTTCAATCACATAACTAAAATATTCTAAGAGAAAATAAATAAATTTTATTGTATGAGATATTTTATTTATTTACATTTATTTACATCTTAACCAATAAAGATATTATCCGCCAATACTACTCCTTGATTAAAAGCTTTTATTAGATTATCAAACCTTATTTTCTAGTTTAAATCATTGAAATTTAATGGCCTCTTGAAGATTTTTACTCCTTGTGTAGTATTCTTAATAAACCCTTTGTATATAATGCATCCTTTCTTCTTTTTTTCTAAATATTTGCAAAACGAATCAAGACTTATTCAAATTTTGATAATAGCATTACCTTCTTTGATATCATATTCAATAAGACAGTCTTTTAAATCAACGACGTAATCCTCAAGATTAACACTCTCAAACGAATCTCCCATCTAGTTTAATGAAGTATATACAGAATATGCTCACTATTTTATGAACCTTGATTAAATGTCGCCTTTGAAATCCTTGTATTGTTAATTCCACAAAATCCCCTTTATTTTATTATTTTATTTTGAATTCAAAAATTTGCCAAACCTACGCTTAAAAATAACAAGATATTTTTTACTTAATTATAAATTGCTTGATAATAAATTGTCAGCTTTGCTAGCAAAGTAGCTGTTTTATAATATTGATGAATGGCTTATCTCTGTTTTTATTTTAAAATTTGTAGATTCATATCTAATTTAAATTATAATTAGAAATACTTCTAATAAAATTTTTAAAAATAAATTAATAAATTTTTTATACTATTTCACTATTTATCTTTAAATAATCGCAATTTAAACAATTTAAAAAAAATAATAATTATTCATTTTTAATAATTAGTTTAATTTAAATCATAATTTTTTTGGAAGATTTTATATGAATTGTTAGAAATTCTATAAATAAAATAAAATTATTTTTTAAAATACAATCTAAATATCTAAATTTTCAATATTTTCTATATTTAAAAAAATAAATATTAATTATTAACTTAAGAGAATAAATTTAAGTTTGTTCTTATAATGCATTATTATATATGTAAAAAATTTTAATTCCTCATAATTAGTTATTTATAAAATTTTGTTTAAAAAAATTAATGTTAATTTTATTCTTTGTTATTAAATTAATTTTTTTAATTTTAATTATTTTATTCATTCAAAATATTTTAGTTTTAGAAAATTACTTATTTTAACTTTTTTAAATGATCCATCTATTTTTATACTAAAAATTTAATTTAATTTAAAAATTCAGTAGTTCATTCAAGCATTTTATTTTTAGAATTAAAAAAGTGTTTTGATATAATTTAAAAAATTAAAATATTTATTTATAACTTTTATTTATTTATTTATAAATGTAAAGAAATTTAAAAGTGAATTTAAAATATTTTTGATATTTATCTTTTTAAATGGAGTCAATAACTTTCTTTAAATTCTTAATTTTAACTTAATGCGTATTTTCACTTATATTTAAGTTGGCAGATATGTTTATCTGATTTTTTTAATTCTAAGTCTTTTTGATGAGTTTAAATTTTGAAATCAGCCAATATATTAAGTGAAAAATACCATGTATGTTAAATAACGGTTAAAAAAAGCTTATTCAACAGGTTGAATTATAATAGAAAAATTAGTTAAATATTATTTATTCACTTAGAATAATTAAAGTCAAAAATATTATTTTAGATTAATGTTTTATATATACTATAGTGATGATCTCATAACATTTCTTATAAACTTAAATCATTATTTTTTGTAGGTAATTAAAATAGAAAATTTTTAAATAAGAAATTAAAAATAATAAATTTAAATAAATAAATTTATTAAAGATACAATTAAAAAATACAAACATAAAATAGTTTTAGATTTTAATTAATGAGTTAGTTTACTCATATTGTAAAATCAGGACTCAAAAAGCTAAATGATTTTAAATAGTAAAATTACTGAACGCTTTAACTTTCTAATTTTTATTCTACTAAAGAAATAGACAAACAGACGTTATGAAATAGCATTATGAAACAATTCTTTGATTAGCTTAATAATCTTAAAAGTAGATTAAATAAATTTCATAATACTACAATCTTATGCAAATTCCTTCATAGATACTATATTACCACCTATATTCTATCACTTTATTTTAAAATAGACGACTAAGGAAGCGGATATAAATGAAGCTTATCAGATATTAACCATAAAATAGAAAAATCAAAAAATTTAGAATATAATTAATCTATTCTATTATATTTTTAAACGCCAAAATTTTATAAAGACTTTTTTTAAAAAAAGCTGTTTATGGATAAAATTTTGATAATAAAACTTCTTATTTTATATAATTTAATGTACAGCAATATCCTATTTTCGAGTTTTTTATAGTTGAGTCATTAATTTTTAGTAAATTTACTGGCAGTTTATGATAAAAAATAACAAAAGATGAATGGATTATTATTTATAAATTCTTATAAAAATTAAGGTGAGTTAGGTAAATAATAGTAATTTATATATAAACTCCTAATCCTTTTCAATGCAGTATGCTATGCAAATACAGATAGTATTTCGCTTTTGATTGAAATAAAGTAAATATAATTTCATAGAGTTGAAAAGTAAATTAATAATTTAGTTTTTTTTTTTTGATCAAAATCAGTCACAATTATTTCAATTAATCCTAATCATTGATTTCAAGCCTATTTCAAATTATCAAATAGCCAATGCTGCAAAAAATAAATTAATAATTATGTATGTGTTTTAGAGAGTAAATAAGTGAGGTAAGGTTTTTTTGAAGAATTTTGTTAAGAATAAGTTAAGATTGAGACTAGAATATATACAATGCATATTTATTTACAGGTTTATTGAATAAATTAATTTATTTGTTAATTATTTAAGGGTGTTTTGAATATTATTTGATTAAAATGTATTGAAATAGAATGTTTTTTATTTTATTGATTATTATTCACATGAAGATTCTTTATCCAATGCCTCCAAGGAAAGAGCCAAAGATGTTTCCAATCATGGGAATTGGAATGACACTCTTTCCAAAGGATTTACCGAGTTCCTTAGAAGAGTACTTAAGGAATAATTTAATAGATTTCTTGTAGTGTCCTTGAACTCCAACTTTAATAACTTTAGAGAATTTGTAGGCAATTTTAAGAGCCTTGAAAAGTTAGAAAGTGCTTGCAGAGACACAGAAATTGCTAGTGCAGTCAGCTCCAGAGATAAGAGATACCAATTGGTAGAAAATGAAGTTAATAGTTAATTCGAGGAAAGCTTCAAAGATTTCATATCCGATGGCATTAGCGAATTCAGTTTTGCTCTTGTATTAGTCAATGAAAACTGATTATTCACTTAATCCAGCGATAGCATTCTTAGAAGCAGCTTCAATGAGTTTGCTTGAAGCCTTAGAAATATTTTCAGATGAGAACAAGAATTTATCAAGAGTGGAGGTACAGAAATCAGCATCCAAGTAGTTTTCAGTGATTTCAACGATTCTGTCAATATCTACAGTCATTTTTGTGAGATTTGTATCGAAAGGAGTGGTTTGAATTGATTTCAGCCTTGCTCTTCAAAGAATGTAGCGATAGTTTGATTTGTATTCATTTACAATTTTCTTAATTAAGTATTAATTATGAAAAGGTGGGCTTATTTCGCATTTAAAGGCACGAGCTGGATTAAATTTCTTTTGACTGATTTAATTAATTAGCTATTCGAAATTTTTGAGATTTGTTAACACGATCTCTAAATACAAAAATAGTAATTAAATAATTCTCAAGGATCTATTTTAGTTTCTTTGTTCTATTTTTAATTTAGATATAGACCTTAAATCCAATCACATTATTTTATTACACACCCCTTTCTATCTTTTTTTTTTTGTATAGTGCCTTCCATCGCACGAACATCCACCCTCTTAACGAATTTCACAGATTGTTAAATTCAAAATAAATTTAAATCGCATTTTTTCATGCATCAGTTTTATGTAATTATAGAGTGATATTAGATAATATACATAATTAATGAGTTGAAAAAAAAAAGACATAATTACAATTCGATTGACAACAAAATAAATATTTTGCCTAAAATTAGCTTTCTGAATTAAATATTCTTTCACTCAAATATTATTGGCTTAACTTAATTTCGTAATTTGATTCTGAATTAAAACATTGTCACATAATTTTTATTAGGTTAGCTAATAATGAAATGCAATTAGCTATAAAGTGACATCAAATGTTTAGTACAATTAAAAATTGTTAAAATCCATTCAAATACAATCAAATATCATATTTAAATACTCTATTTTTAGTTCTTTTTTATGCAAAATAAAAAAATTAAAACAACCTAAAATTAAACGCAAATGTCATTCCATATTGTCAAAACACAATTTGCATAAGTGTTTGTGCATTAAAATAAAAAATCCTTTGATTTTCTTAATTTTCTTTTCAAACGATGTGATAAATTGGTGGAGGATCTCCACATACCCTTAAACACTTAGTGCATCATTAACATTAAATACTTTTTCATTACTTCAAATTAATTTTGTGTTTTGCTGGTGGGCGAGGTGCAAACTCTTTAAATAAAAATTTGAAGAGTAAACAAAGAAAGAATGTTTTGAAGATTAAATTAGTTTAAATATTAAATTTAAAAAAATTCAGCATTATTTTTAGTTTTTTTCAAACAGCAAGCAAGTGCCATTTAAATGATTTTGAATTTAAAGTTAAAATTAAATTTAAAATTTATTTCATATATTTATTCTTTCATATCTTTAGCTAAATAACAAACACTAAGATTTTAAGTTTAGTTAATTAGCCAAAAATATGGCAAGCAGCTTGAAGTAAAATAATCCTCTAACTCTCTCAATATTTTTATTTAAGTTATTTCATCACTTATATAGGCTTTAAATTTCGCTTTAATTTCTAGTTATTAACGAATCTGTTAGTTATTTAGTTTATTAGTTGATTCAAGTATTAAGCCTTTTCAAGCTAAATTAATCTTCAAAACAATTCAATAAAATTTGTTATTAAAAACTCCTCTCAGCGAAATAAATTATGTTTTTCTACTAACCTTCATACAAATATTTTTCCTTCTTTTTCCAATATTTTAATTTTCTTTCTTTTTGTGTTTGTCAGGTTAAAGTTACTGAGAAGAAAAAATTTAGAGGTTTTGTATGTAGCAAGTGATTTAAGGAATGACATCAAATAAAAAATTTGCCAAACAAAGCCACTCTATTATTATCTATTTAAATGAATTTGTTCTATAGTGTAGGAGATAAATTTCTTTCATGCGTCATATCATTTGTCAGATCTAATAAACTCATTTTTGTTTGGCTTTTCAAAATGGTGCTAACAAAGTTTTTAAAGAAATATGTATGTTAAAAGTAAATAGAAAACATGTATCTTAAATATTATGCATTTCTTTAACATGTAAAATCATTATATGATGGAATATTGATGAAAAGCGTTCAAAATATTTGTAATTTTCCTCTCTAAAAATTATCTCTCATGAAAAAAAAATTGTGGTAAAATAGTTAAAGATTTGGTAATAGTTTCATAGTTTATTTCACTATTTGCAATGAAGTATTTGCCATCCGATGTGGCTCTGCAGAATATGCATATATATTCAAAATAAAAACTAATATACAGAGCTGGTACATTTTATATAATAGAGGCATACTACTTACTATCAAAAAATAAAATTGTGGTGATAATTTGGCTGATCTAAAGAAAATCAAAACTTCCTCTCTGCTCAAGCTTAGCGTTTATTATAATGAGAGGAAAAATTAGATTTAGAATAGACAAATTTTTCTTGCTTTTTTAAGTAAGAAAGAGAGAAAGCAAGCATGCAAGCAAGTATGCTTACAAGCAAAAGTGCCTATTCTATTTAACAATTTAGTTATTACGAGAATAAATAATCAGTATATAATTCCATCACATATAGAATGATACATAATGAAACATATAATCTGATAATTCACTCTTTTCAAAACTAATTTTGTTCAATAATAAGCTTTTCATTCATTTAATTAATCAATCAATCACTCACTTTAGCCTCGCATCTCTATCTATATAATATGCGATTCTAATGTGTTGTTCAAAAAATTTTTTTGCTTTCTTTCGAAAGTATTATTTGATGGGGGGAAACTTCCACAAACAATCAAGATCTGAAAATATGTATGAATAACGAGCATGAAAATTAAGTTTTAAGAATGTTAAATAAATTAGAATTTGTGAAAAGAGAAAGAAAGAGACTTAGCTGCTATTGCAACTCACAAAGGGGTAAAACAACTCTGTAAGCGAATAATAGAACTAAGGGTAAGAGAGGTGAAAAATATGTTTTTTGTTTTTTATTTTTCTTTTTGTATTTATTAATGAATATATATATAGGTTATTATTATAGGTTGTTAATATAAGTTTTAATACCAATAGCAACATTAATGTTCACACATTCTTAGAGGTTCTCTTATCAGCAAAGTCGCTAGCACTTAATAAGTAGTTAGTTAGTTAGTTAGTATGTTTGTTAGTTAGTAAGTTAGTTAGTTAGATTGATAGCTTTCAGCATTAATATATATACAGAATGCAAGTCATATTTTTTTATAAAGAGAGATATTATGATAATATGAAGAATAGTACAACTTCAACACAGTCTCTTATGCATCATATTTATACAATTTACAATATGCAATTTTATTAATAATATTTATCTTCTTTTTAATTTAATTTATTTTTTCTTCTTTTCTCTTTTTTTTTTAGATTTTTAATTTTATTTTTTAATTAATTAATTATTGATTTTTCTTTTTTTCGTAGTTGAAGAAAATCTTCAAAATTTACTTTTCTTTATTAACATTTAAAACTTAATTAAATTTTCCACACCTTAATTAAATTTGTTATTTATGTATGTATCTTCCACTTCCTCCATATATTTTCATCTTCACACAACCCATATTAATTAAAATTGATAATAACTGTTTTAAACAAAAAATTAGTAAATTTTTGTGGTACTTTGATCCATTTTGATAATAAATATATAAATTTAATTTGATCATTTCAATATTAAATTATTACCAATTTTACTTCTTTGATAAAGAAGAATATTGAATGAAAATTTAAATATCAAAGCAAAATTTTTATTCTTCGACTATAACAATTCTATCATAATTTAATTAATATTTTTTAAAATGATATAAATAAAAAATAAACTTACTTCCAATAATTATTTCATTAGATTAAAAAAAATAAAAATTGTTTCCCTAAAATAAAATAAAAAGATCAAAATATTTTTTTGAATAATAAATAATAAATGAATTCGTTTATTGTTAAAAAATTATAATGCTAAAATCAAACTTTTTCAATCATAGTAAATTAAATATTTAATAAATAGTTCTTCTAATTAAAAATATATTTGAAAATATAGTATGTAAGCATAATAAACAAATTACTTTTTTACAAGCTATATTTAATTTCTAAAAAATAAAAAAATATATTTATAATAAAATGACTAAAACGTATTTTTTATAAAAATCTCCAGCTTAATAAAAATATATTTTCAAAATATTAATTAAAAAGATGTTATTTTTATTCATACTATTTTCATTTTTAAATTATTTATGTTAGATAATCTACAAATTATTAATTTTTCATTAATTTGCCATTTAAGTGAAAATCTAATAAAATATTTGATATTAAAATTAAAAATTCTATTCACCTTATTTTGATTATCAATAAAATTTGATGAGTATTTTTTTGATCTTAAATAATAATCTAAAGATATAAATATTTCTATTAAAAATTATTTAAGTATTTTAATAGTGATAGAATTAAAAAAAAATTATTGTTTATTAATTTACTAATTAGTATTTAATTTAAATAAACGATTTTTTGATGTAAAGTAGAAATTTTTACACTTCAATTTAATGATTTTTAATTTTGAAATATTTTAACTATTTCCAAGATAAAATTAAAATTCAAATTTCAAACGTCAACTTGATCATTTTTAAATTTACGTCAACTAAACATCATATATATAAATAAAAGAATAATAATAAAGGCATAAAATTCGATATCTAAATCTATAGTAGTTTATTTTTATTTAATTTTGAAGGATTTAGAAAATAATAATATCTAAAGGGTTGTATGTATATTTTAGATTTTACTTGAACTTAAATTAATTTTAAGCAAATATAAATAATAATAAATTTATGAATTTCTAGAGTATAAAAAATATTTTTAGCTTATTTTATATGAAAATAAATATTTAGTAATATGTAATCTCACTCCTATAGCTCAAAATTTATAGAGAAAATTATTTATAAAAATAAATCTTTTTTGATTAATTCTAAAATTTATAAAATTAGCTCTGGTTTTATTTAAGATATAGATTGATGGATTGTGATTAATAAAATCTACTTTCTCAATACAATATTTAATAAAGACAAAATCTAATTAAATAATTAAATTGTAATTCCTTTTAGATTACACTATTAAAAGAAATGTAAGTAAATTAATGTATTTTTTATTATTTATCAATTGTAATCTTAATCTAAATTACCAATAATCCATTTCCCTTAAATCATAGTTTCTAAATATTTTTTGGTAAAATTGATATATTAAAAATTCTATCTTAATTTAATTGCTTTATTTTTTTGTTTTTTTCCTTAATAGGAGAAATGAATTTATTAGATTTGATTAAGATTGGCTTTTCACTTAAATACTCGTACATAACTTTATTAGATCTTAATCAATCTTTCATTTAATCTATATATTGAATTTGGAACTTATTTTTATTCAATAATTAATTTTATTTTCTAGTTAAAATCTATTTTGTTTGTAAATTTGTAACACGCATTCTTTATTCTTTTTCTATTAAGACCTTACATTTTTAAAAATGTATTATCAATTTTTTTGTTTTTTTATTACAATTATTAATTAGAAAAAAATAAAAAAGAATTTTAATCAAATAAAAATAGTTACATTGTATAACTTTTTATGAATGATATTTTATGGACTATCAAATTTATTAATTTAGCTCTTTTTATTTCTTCTGAGTGTTTTTTTATGACAAATCTAACTCAATCAAATTAATGCTTATGCATTATTTATAAACTTCTTAAAATAGATTTTTTTAAAATTATTTAAATTTTTAAATAGATTTTAAATTATTCTTTAGTCTATGAAATTTGAAATTTTATCATTAATTTGAAAAAATAGAAATTTATTAGTTTTTTGTTTATAAAAATTAATCAAATTTATTGATGTGCAATGATTTGATTTGTAAGCTAATCTTCTTTTAATCTATTTTTTCCCTTCCTTTAAAAATTATATGTAAATTTAAAATTAGTTGCTATTTTGAAACAATAATAACTCATTTTTAAAATGCAGAAGACTTTTAAAACCATAAAATCATATTTTTGTAATTCATTAAAATATACTGGAGATTTTTCATTCAAAATCTGAGTGTTTTTCTAAAAGATATAATTCATATTTTCTTTTTTAAGCTAATGTAATTGAGATTAAGACGTAGATTGCAATAAAGCTTTAGGTTTTGTGGTAAAAAATTGAATTAAATTAAAGATTTTTGATTTTGATCAGGCAACTGAAGATTAAGCTTTCTTTATAATATCACTATGCTTTAGATAAAATTATTTGATCCCTAATTTCAAATCTCAATTAATAATTGATTTGATTTTATAAATCTTTTTTTGACTAAACCTAATCAAAAATAAATACAAAAGATTAATCTAGAGTTAATAAAAACTCAAACGCATAAATGAATTTGGATACATTTATTAGACAGATATGCATATTTTCTATCTTTATTTTAGCTAATCAAATATATTCTTGTAAAAAAAAAATTATTCTCACTCTTATTTAAACTATATTACTTTATAAAATGACATTTAGACCCTGTTTTGTTTATATCTGATTTACAAGATCCTGTGATGCTTTATTTTGGAAAATGGACAGTTAGCAACTACGAAGATTTATCTAATACTTTTTGGTTTTAAGTGAATGATAAATAGCACAGGTATGAACACAACTAAGTTACTACTATTTCAAAAGTTTATAAAACAGATGATCCTCATTACAAGCTAACTATCAACTTCGATATTGTCATATTTAATTTAAATAAAGAGTAAATTAATTTATTCTAACTATTTATACTAAACTTATTTTATTTTAACTTTAAGTAACACAGACTGTTCAAATTAAAATATAGGCAGCCATCTAAATAATCCTATGTGCACCGTAAGCTATGACTGGGAAAACGGAAAAGATTTTATTATTGTTTTAATTGATGGAAATCCATATAAATTTAATGATTTCAGTTAATCATAATAGTTGAATGGAAAGACAGTTTTAAATTTTAGTATCACTATTCCACATGTTAGATAAACTCTAAGTTTTGATTTTATACCCTACAATACAAAATGGAACTTATTTACAACTCTTGAAAAGTAATTGATTGATATTTATTTCTTATTCAATAAATATTTAAAATTATCAAATAATTTAAGAAATTTATTTTTATTTTCTAAAATTTTATTTCCTAGTCTTGATTTACTAAACATTTCTTAAATAAGATGTTAAAATCTTATTGAAAAATAATATTTTTCCAAACAATAATTTTATCAGAACCTAATTAAAATTTGGCTTATATTTAATAAAAAATATTTTTACGAACATTTGTGTTTACAAAAATAGAATCTTATTTATTAAAAGAGAGTTGAGTTTAAGCTTATTTTTTTTAAGGCAATTTTTCATGGAGTCTTTTTTTAAATAAATAAATAAATTATTATTATTTTTCATATCATAAATTGTTTAATATAAGCCAAATTTTCATTTGGTTACAGCAATATAGCATTAAAAAATTAATTTATTTATTTTATTTATATCATTTTAATTATTTTAAATATGGTTTTAATGTAAAATATTTAAATAAAGTCTAAATATATATTATGAAGTATGCAGTGATAATTGTTTGTGTCTTTCTTGTTCTAATTAAGGTAATTGTTTGCAGTGCTAATATACACAATATTATGACACATTAAGCTAAAAATGTATAGACTGTTAACCTAATTGCTTTTATTGCTCAGACTCTAGTACTTGCTATTCTTGCGTATAAGGATATTTTTTAAATAGTTAAAATGGAAAATGTGAAGATTAAAGTCTGCACCCAAATTCAATTGGAATTGAAGGAATATGGGTATAGTCACCTAGCTCTAATTGTGAAATATGGGATAAAACAGGAGCATGTATTGTTTAAAAGTAAACAAATGTTTGTCCAGCAGGATATTTTGGTCCTAGTTGTAATTAATAATGCGATTCTATTTTAAACTGTGAAACTTGTTCATAAAATCTATCTTGTGATACATGTAAATCAACAAATCCATTTTATTATAACCAAATATGCTCTTCTTAATGCTACTAATAAGGGTACTATGCAAAGAGCCATACTGAATGTGATCGTTGTCATTTTACTTGTTAAACATGCAATGGTCCACTTTAGAATAATTGTTTATCTTGTAGACTTTAAAATTATTATTTTATGGAAAATACAAACGAATGTGTTTTGTGCTAAGATACTTACTTTCCTAATGATGTTGATAACAGTTGTGATTTATGTGAAAACGTTTTAAATAATTGTTATAAGTGTGAAAATATTGAAAATTAACCATATTGCACATAATGTAAAGATGGTAGTTTCTTGTATATGGGTAAATGCTACCCTGATTGTGCAAATTTTTAAAACACAAAAGCATTTGGTCCTCCTTTAAATAAATGTACTGTATGCTATGAAGGATGCTTGTCTTGCAAAGAATTCATAATAGACTATGAGTGTACTGCTTGTGCCCCAAATTTCTTTAAATATTAAAATATGTGCTTACCTTCATGTGATAATGCAATAGGTACTTATCCAGATATAACTTAAATGATATGCTTAAATTGTTAAGATTATAATTGTATTGCATGTTTAGGAGCAGGGTATAATTAATGTACAAGGTGCTCATCATACACTTAATTAGTAAGTGGAACTTGCAAATTGTGTGCAAGCAACTAATTTTTCAATTAATTTTAATCAATATGCTAAGATTGCCCTTTGAATTGTGAATTTTGTTAAGAGTAAAACAAATGCTAATTATGCAAATTAGGTTACTTCTTAGATTCTTAGTAACCAGGCTCTCCGTGTGTATCATTTTGCAGTGGAATTTAATATGGAGATGTAACAACCAGAGTTTGTTTAAAATGTCCTCCAGGTACATTTAAGAATTAGATATCTGGTTAATGTGATAAATGTGAGGATGGATGTTAAATCTGTTTGAGCAATGGCAAATGCACCTAATGTTTCCCTAATTATATTCTCAATGCATGTAATTCAGGAGGTAAATAATGTACTTAGTGTCCTCACCCTAATTAATATAGCATAGGGTCTAATTCTCAGTGTTTTAATTGTGATCCTATTTGTTAAACTTGCTTCGGTTCAGGTCCTCTAAATTGCGTATAATGTTCAGATGGATATTTTAAAGCAATCAACAATCTTTGCCTTGAATGTGATCCTTCCTGCTAAGCCTGTAGTCTGGGGCCAACATTTTGTATTTCATGTAAGCCAGGATATGATTATATAAGCTACGAGTCCTCTCTTCCAAAATCAAAATATAAAACTTGCTATAAAAGTTGCCCTGCTGGTTAAAATACTGATTAATAAAATAAGATCTGCTATAGGTGTAGCTATGCCTGCAAAACATGTTCAGGACCAGGTGATAATTAATGTTTGACATGTATTGATGATATAAATGGTTTTCCTCTCTACAAAACATCTGACAATAAATGTGTAATTTAATGTCCATTGAATACATATTCTGATTTAAAAACAAAAAGCTGTCTAAACTGTGATAAATCATGCAGCCAATGTGTAGGACCAGCTCCTACAGATTGTACTGTTTGTAACAGTGGTTATATTTATAGAGCTGCATCTAAGACTTGCCTTACTGAATGCCCTATTGGTGAATATGATTAACGTACTTCAAATACATGTGAAAAATGCATGAATATATGCTATACATGCACTAATGCTAATTAATGCACATCTTGTCCCTCTCCTTTATACCTTTCTAGTGAAGCAACTTAGTGTCTTACTTAGTGTCCTTAAGATTAATATTAAAATGAAGATAATCGTGTATGCATTATTTGCCCTTCAAATTGCTTAAAATGCTAATCAGTAAAGCTATGCACATCTTGCAAAAATGGATTTTTACTATAAAATGGGTAGTGTGTAAGCTCTTGCTCTGAAGGTTTTTATCCTTCAAAGGATAACTAGTCATGCTTACCTTGCTCTACTTAGTGTGCTTCGTGCAATGAATTAATATGCTTAAAATGTGAAATAAAATCATATGTAATACTTGGAAAAGAATGTGTGTAGGAATGTCCAAAAGATTATGTACTCAGATAAGGCATTTGCATTACTACTGAAGACGAAATAAAAAGATATATGGATTGTAAATATACTTTCTTTTTTTGTTTTCTATTATAAACAATTTTTTATTTTAAATAGGTTATTCTAATTGTGATTAAGAAGTTAAGTTTGCTTAAGACTCTGATAATGCTGTAAAAACAATAGAAATTACTCAATCATCAATGAATGGATTTGCAATGTTTTTCGGAGGATTAGGTAATTATTTTTTTTACTGGTTGCAGATGTAATAAATTATGGGAAATATGATGTTTTTAAAGAATGCACGAGCTTTAGGTATTGGAAATTTACACTTAAAGACTTTGTATATGGAGAACTTATTTAATTTGATTCCTATTGTAGCACCTTAAGAAGATGTGATAAAAAATTTTGAAGGAAGAACAGATGCTATTGCACAAGGCTTATAGCCATAGAATTTGTATAACTTTTTTGTTTAGAACTGCTAGTATTCTCTTAGTGCTTTGGCATTATGTTTTTTGATCCTACCTATCCTTTACAAGGTATCAAAAGATAGTGAGTTTTTAAATTTATTATACTTATATTGCAGATGGAATGTAATAATAAGATTAATTATGATATCAAGTAATTTTCTTTTGCTTTGCACCTTCTTTAAGTTTTAGTAAGGATCTATGACTGGAAGTTTAAATATTGCTGATTTCTTTTGCATAGTGATATTCCTGGTGATTTACATAGCAGCATTTTCTTTCCTAATATACTGTAATAAAAAAATGGTGTTACCATATCCAACTCAAAGGTCAATAAATGCTTTTTATTATGATATAGAAACTTCAAGTTATTTGCAAAAAAGTTTTTGGGTATTTTTTGAAGTTAGAAAATTAATAGTTTGCTTTTTGATAGTTATTACAGAAGGAAGTGCTGCTGTACCTTGGATTTATTTAGTTTTATGTATAATATTCTTAGCATATCATTATAAATTTAATCCTTTCTTAAATGTATTATTATAAAGATATATATTTATATCTGAAATAATAAACATCCTTTGCTTAGTATTCCTCAGTCTCTCAGTAACATTTTATAATAGTACATCTTCAGTATATTTTGCTTATGTATTTGTGATATTCTTGATAATATACCAATTATGGGCTTTTGTAACATAATTGTATTAACTTGCTAAGCTTTTGATAACTCTTTTCCTTAAGTATAAGGTTCCTAGCAGCCCAAACTAAAGAAATCGCACAGTTTCTAAACAACCTTTCTTGCTCAAAGATAGTTTAGGATAAAATTAAAAATAAGAAATTATCTAATAGATTAATTAATAAATGAGTGATAATTATAATATTACTGACTTTGCTGGAAGATCACCTGTGTAGTCTCCAAGAAAAAAGAGAGAAACATAAGGATTATTTTAACTTCAAAAAAATTGATATTTACATTTTAAGTTTTGAAAGATTAATATTATTTAATTAAAATTTAAAATAAGTTTTAATTTATAAAAAGTTTAGTTTAGTTTATTTAATTTATATTTTTTTAATTTTAAAACATACCAAAAATTAAGGAGGTAAAAGTGTTTCAAATAATTAATTGTAATATTTATTTTATGGAATTGATTTTATATTATTAAGGTATTTTATTTAATTTAAAATAGCAAAGTTTTAATTTAAAAATATTTCCTCATGTTTTTTGTTCAATTAAATTATTGATTTTTATTGAAAATTTAAATTATATTAAATAAAATTGAAAAAAAATTTTTAATTAAATTTTTGATGAACTAAAGCAAATTTAAAAATTTTTTAGCAAAAAAGAAATTTTTATGAATTTATAAAATAATAAATGAATATTTAACTCTTAGAAATAAAAATATCATAAAATAAATCTTAAAAATATATATATAATTTAAACATAAATAAGCAGCATATTATGTTCAATTTTTCTTATAAAAATAATTTAACTGTGTTGATAAAGAAACATTAAATGATATATACTTAATTAATAATAAATAAAGATAAATTAGCTATTCCATATTTAAGTTGTGGATTAAGTTAGGTATATTTTATATATTAATCATTTTGATTCAAATTGAATTTGACTTTAATTTGTATAATATTAAACTACAAATTAAAGTTTTCAACTTTTTTAGACTATTTATATTTGAAAATTAAATTGTATATTTAGATAATATTCATTTTTAAAGACAGTAAGATATTTAATTACATAATTACAATTCCTTAAATTTAATCTTAAATGTATTATCTCATTTAACAATAATGCATAAAAGAATAAAATAACTTATTATTGAATATAATACTTTAAAATATTGATAAATATCAGAATTAAAACTTAAATGTTAAAATATAGAATAGATAGCTTAATAAACTTAAATTTAGAATTAATATTTAATGATTTTTTAATCAAAAAAAAATCTAAACAAATTCATAAAATGGTAATAATTTATTAACTTTTAAGTTAATTTATTAAAATTTTTTATCAAATAATTTATTTTTTTTTTTACAATTCAACTTCAACTAATTCTTTTATCTCATTTTATATAGGCTTACTAAAAGTTTCGTCTATCGGGTAATATAAAAGTAAGCTGAATAAACTTATTATCCCAATACCAAAAAGTGGATTTACTCCATATTTTATTAAAGATGAAATAAAATAGCTACAGAGAATACTTCCAAATTCACCAACAAAAGAAGCAAAACCTAATCCAACTGTTCTTACAGTAATTGGAAACATCTCTGTAAAGTAAATAAAAGCTATTCCCCATTCAAAACTCAAGAAAAATCTTGCTAGAGCCACTAAAATAGCTTACATAGTTTTTTCATAGCAAACATCTGAGCAATCTTAAGGTATTTATATAAAGTTAAAAGAAATCATAATACAGCTGAAAATTAAACCTGAAATTATGCAGCTATATTTTCTTTTAAAATAAGGGACAAAAGGAATTATAGCAATATATCCTATTGTATCAGCAATAGAGGTAGCTAAAGCATTTGATTTTATATCAAAACCAAACTACGAAAGAGTCAGATTGGAACCATAATAAGATATTTGAATGAAAAAAAGAATTAGACCTGAGAAAATAGAGTTTAATCTCAATGAAGGAAAAACAAAAAGATCTCTTATCCCATAAATTCTATTTTTATTTACTTCTATTTGTTTATCTTGTAGTTATTCTTTAGTAATAGTATCTCTTTTGTTTATTTGAGCTATGTAATTCAAAACTTCTACTGTTTTTAATTTATCTTTTTCATATAGAAATAAAGGAGGATCTTATATTTTTTACAGATATAAACAAGATATTAAGATGGGAATTCCAATAAAAAGCATCATAACTTTGTAATCTTCTGATATAAATTTAAATAAAACCAGTAAAGAACCACCTAATCCATAAAAAGGACTTATTGCTGCCATAGTGTACTGTCTAAATTTTCCTAAGGAATGATCATTAATCATGCAAAAAATTATATTAATGGTAGAATTAGCTCCAAATTATGAGAGTGCAAATCCAAAAACGCTTAGTACTATATCATCACTAAAAATGGAAGAAACAAGAGCACCAACTCCAGCTAAGATCCAAAACAATACTGTAGCAAATTTTCTACCGATATTATCTGCTATGTAAAGAGAAGCAATAAAACCTAAAGCACTACCTGCATAGTTAATAGCTATTAGTAAATCAGCAATATATTATCTGTCGCACAATAGCGGTGGATTAAATTACATAATAAAAGATTTTGGTTAAGAGGAAAAATATTAGCTTGGTTCAGGTTATTAGCATACCCAATTTTCACATTCATCACTTTTAATTTCTAGAGGGCAGTGAAAGGAAGGTTTTTCGTAAGTGAATATTGGAGACAGAATGCAAGTTGCACCAAATAATGATACAAACCCAGAAAATAAAAAAAATCTCTTTTAGTAAGTATGCTAACTACCTACTTACTCAAGAGCCTCCTAAATACTAAGCTTTTTAATCTAACATTGTTCCTCTGGAATTGTATTATCCTAATTAAAGTGTTAATACTTAAATTGTTTGCTCATTTTTCTATAGAAGAAATTAAACTCTTTTTATAAATATTACTTAAATCCCTTATCGATTTAAAATTTTTTATGAAAAAAAGTAAATATTTTTTTTTAAAAAAAGGTCTATAATTTGAGTTATTTCATCTAAAGAAAAAAAATCTACCTAAAATACTACTGTTTATAAAGAGAAAAATTTTTATGTTATCAAAAAATAATTTGAAACAAGTTATTATGCAAATATTTATTTTCATATCATGAAATAGTATTTTATTTTAACTGACTCTTTTTTAAAAAATATAAAAGTTAAAATTGTTTTACTGATTTTTCAAATAATATTTAAAGACTAAATTCTAGTCAGTCATATACGCTTACTTTACTTCTAAAACAAAATAACTAGATATAAAAATATTTTTTAAAATAATGAAATAAATTTATTTTAGAAAAAGAAAAAAATCTACCTAAAATAAATACTATTTTGTTTAAAGAAAAATTTTTATGTTATCAAAAAATACTTTGAATAAAATAAATTATGGAAATATTTTTTTTCATAAAATAAAATAACATTTTTACTTAATTGGATTTATTTTATAAATTAAATAATTTTTAAGGACTAAATTCTAATCAGTTATCTACACTTTTATTTCTACTCAATAAAGATTTCTTGATTTTATAATATTTTTTTAAAACAAACAATCAAATAAATTTGTTTAAGATTTTTTATTTTAATTAATTTTGGTTAATTTTAAATAATTTAATAAGAATTTATTTTATTTATTTTAATTCATTATTTTGATAAGGAAAACATATTAAAATAGTTGTATTTAATTGATGAGATAATTTTTTCAATGAGACTACATTTTGAAGGAGATGTATGTATGTATGTATGTATGTATGTATGTATGTATGTATGTATGTATGTATGTATGTATGTATGTATGTATGTATGTATGTATGTATGTATGTATAAACAATAAATAAAGTAAATATGATATATTTTGTGTTTAATGTTTTATTTTAGAAAAATTTTTATGTTTATTTTTAAGAAAATTGTTTTCAATTTAAAGCAGCAACTGTTGGAATCTGTGCTGAAGATAACTTATTGTTAATTTGAGAAATATTTTATAATTCCTTCTATTCATCAGAGGAGTCTTTTTTAATGTTTTCCAAATTTTTGGTGAATGTTTTTCCTTCTTCCTCTTTTTGCTTTTCTTGATTTATTCTCTCTTCTTCGACTAATTCTTTGATTTCAGCTTATTAAGGAACTCCATAGGTTTCTGTCATAGGGAAGTAAAAGACCAAACTGATAATACTTACAACACCCATACCTAGTAATGGGTTGATTCCTTAATTTATTAAATAGGTTAGGAAATAACTAGAGAAAACACTGCCTAAATATCCTACAAATGAAGCAAATCCTAATCCAATTGTTCTCACAGTGGTTGGGAATATTTCAGTAATGTAGATAAAAGCGAGTCCCCATTCAAATGTTAAGAAGAAACGGGCAATTGTTACAAGAGCAGTTTGAAGTTTCTTTTCAGAGCAGTTATCACCACAGTCATCAGGTACAGTAATTTAGTTGAAACAAATAAAGATTACACTATAAATTATACCTGGACAGAAGCTCCATCTTTTTCTTCTAATATGGGTAATAATTGGAACAATAGCTAAATATCCACAAGTATCAGCGATAGATGTTGTTAAGGCATTTAATTTAGTATCCAAACCAATTTAAGAAAGAATTAGGTTGGAACCATAGTAAGAGATTTAAACGAAGAATAAAATAAGACCTGAGCAGATAGCATTATAACGCAAAGAGCGATATTTGAAAAGATCCTTGAGTCCATAAATTCTAGAGCTTTTTATTTACACTTCCTTATCTTCAACTTCATCATATTAAACTGTAGGACGATTGTTAATTTTAGCAATTTTGTTCAAAACATCAATAGCTTATTGCTTATTTTTTTCATATAAGAAAAGAGGAGGATCATAAAAGAAGAAGAGATAAATGCAAGAAATAGTAATTGGAACAGCAATGCACAACATAATTAAGCGAAACTTTGGGGTTATTACTGCCATAAGGACTAACACACAACCGCCAACACCGTAAAAAGGATTCAAAGCTGCCATAGTGTATTCTCTAAATTTACCTAAAGAATGGTCATTCATAATACAAAATACAATATTGATAGCAGAGTTAGCACCAAATTAAGAAAGGGCAAATCCGAAAACAGAAGCACCAATGTTAAAACCAAAAATAGTGGAGATATAAGCACCTACTGCTGCTAATATCCAGAAAATAATTGTACCGATTTTACGGCCTTTATTATCAGCAATGTAAAGTGATACAATAAAACCGATAGCGCTACCAGCATAGCAAAAAGCAACAGACATATCAGCAATATATTATCTTCCACAAATCAAAGGTGGATCGAAAGCCATAACAAAAGATTCTGGATGAGTGGAGAAGTAATCACTTGGATTAGGTTAGTCACATACCCAGCTTTCACATTTATCTGAAGAAACAGTGTCAGGGCAGTTATATGCAGGTTTTTCGAAAGTGAATGTTGGAGAAAGGATACTTGTTGCACCAAAAAGCCAAACAAAACCTGAAAAGAGGAAGAACAAGATTTAATATTTATTCTTGCTGCCAACACGTTCAAGGGCATCTATAATAGTCATTTTTTTGGCTTCCTTAGCAGTAGCTTCTTCAGCTACTTACTCTTAGTTAGACTTTTCTTGATTATTTTAATCATTCTATTTCAATTAATTGTCTTCAGTTACCATTTAATTAGTATGATTTTCTTAGTGATCAAACTATGGCATTTGTCTAATTTGTTTATTACCTGCTACGTCTTCTGAATTTTCTATTTACATTTTTTGTTTAATTTTAGTAAATAATTAATTAACTCAATTCAACTTCTTTTTTTGTTTTAGTTTTGTTTTTGTTTATTAATTAATTATATTTTTCTTTTCTTTTTTAATTCTGATACTTATTAAAGAGCAAGCAAAAATATTGGTTGAACTAAATCCCTATCTAATTAATATAAAACCCTATTTACTATACTTTAAATTTAATACCAAATAGGATGCTATGTCCAATATGAAAACAAAAGCTTAATTTCGTATTTTAGGTTATATAAGATTAATTTCTCATACTTTTTTTATTAATAGAATTTTCTTTTTATTTTTGAAGATTAATTGCATCCATTGGAGCACTTTCTTGCAAAAATCTGAATAAATTTTTTCATTTAATTATTTTTTTTGTCTGATGTATTTTATTATCGATTATAGCCTTTCAAATAATAGATTTTTCTTATTATTGAATGAATCTATGTCCATTAATAATATAAAGTAATTAGTCTTACGAAATCAAGGATTTTAATGTAAAAAGAAAAATTTTTAATAATATGTTTCAAGTTAGAAATCACTTTTGAGTCATTTTGAATTTATTAAGTGTTAGAATCGTTATTGATAAATGTAAACAAAGTGAAATAAAGCACTGCTTTGAAGACTAAAATTTCAAATTGCTTTTAATTTGATATAAATTTACCTATTTGTTAATGGGAATTCAAAGTTGAATAATAAATAAAATTTATTCTTTCTCAGTTTAAAGTATCTTTTAACTTAAAAAATGAAATCAAATAATTAACCAAATAAATAAATGAATGAATATTCAAATATTTATAACCTAACCATTTTATTCTCATTTTACTATTTTTTTCATTACTTAGGTTTTTTCATAAAAATTTAAATTATTTGTTAAATTTCGTAAACGAATGAAAAATTTTAGAAAAATTTAATAACTAAGATGCAAGCTATCTATGAGCAAGGCTAATTTATAATGTTATAGCTGTGGGATGATTATAAAAGCTCAGCTGCATTAACAAGATAACTTAATTAAAAGTGTGTAATTTGGAGAATGTCCTTCTACACAGACACACAAAATCCTTAAAATACCTTTTTTAATTTTTAATAAGAAACCTTATAAAAAAATTGATAGTCATCAAAATTAATTTCGTCATCGTAAAATATCGTCAATTTAAAGGATATTTTACATTTTATTATCCATCAATAATTATATTAAAAGAAATCTAAAAAGTAATGAGCATAAATTTATATCGTCTGTGGTTTAAAATATTTAATAAATTCCTCATATAAGGGTACTTTTTTGAAATTTATTTTTATCCTTCCAAATACAAAACTAAAAATGGAATTTGTCTTTCTATGAGTTTTTATTTTTTACATTTCTTAAAGTTACATAGATTAAATTAAGTCAAACAAAATTTTGCTTATTTTTTGCTTATATGTTTAAAATTAATATTGCATGATGGCTTTACTTCAATTAAAATTAAATGGCTAATAATGTTTGCCTAATGCGCATATTGATGATTTATATATTTTTCCTAAAGATTCTAGATCTCAGAAAATGATTAGTAAAAAATTTGCACGTTTCAATTAAGTATAAATAGAATCGATTTACTATTACGTCACATTAATTAAAAGAAGATTAATTACAATTCAAAATATGCAAAATTTCTCATGCGATTAAATATAGATAGACGCACTTGAAACATTCACTTATCCTCCATTAATTTACCAAAACATTACTCCAAATTACTGTTTAATAGATATTCAAATTTATTTAACAAAGCTATTATACAAAATAGCAACAACTTATTACTTTTTAGAATAAATTTATATATGTTGTATTAAAGGTGGTTTAAAGAAAAAAGTTATTGTTTACTAAAAGTGTAAATTTAATCAGAAAAAATTTAAGAAGACCAAATTTAGATTGCATTAATTAATTATCTATCTTTATTTCTATTATTCAATATCAATGCGCTCTAAGAATAATAATAAGTAAGTTTTAATCAATAATTTGTTTTTCTGGTAATTATAAAACAAATTTATAAATTTCATCATAAGCCTATTAAATTTATTCTTTTATGATTGCATTTCATTTCATTATCACTTAATTTTTTGAGAAAAAATTTTGTTACCATTTACAATGAAGATAAATTTACAAAAAACAGAAATTTTGCTATAATTTTAATAGATATTTTTAAAGTTGATCAAAAAATATTCATTATCTATTTTATTAATTTTTGAAATTCAAATAAAGAAAAAAACTAATTCAAAAAGAATAAAATGAAAGATAATCAAAAAATAAAATTTCAAAAAAATAATTTAAAAGGTTTAAAATGAAGAAATAAATCTAGTATAAAATTGAACAAGGAGAAAGTTAAAAAATTATTGAACAAAAAGAAGTATTTATAATTTTTTAATTTTATTTATTTTAAAAATAGTGAGAAATTAAATTCGACATTAAAGATAATGGATTATTGCTTAATATTATAAATTTATTAAAAGAAAATTTCTGAAAAATAATAAATTAAAATCTTTTTATAATTTTTATCTATAAAACAAAATAAAATAGATTTTCAATAATATTTATTTTAATGATTTCAAAATATTTTATCTATTTTATACTTTGATTTATAGATTAATTGATTTTTTTTAAATTATTTCTATTCTTATTAAAATTAGAATTTTTTAGAAAATTTTTGTTTTTTTGGTTGAAGATAAAGCCTATTTTTGAGAAAACTATTTTTTTGTAAATTGGTCTTAATATTAATGAGAATATGCAAAATTAAATAATAAAATTTAAAATAAATTCAATCAATTAAATTATAATAAATATTTATTAAAAGATATTAAAAATAAAATATTGAATTTTAATATAATCTATTTCTATTTTATACTTTGATTTATAGATAAATTTATTTTTTTTAAATTATGTCTATTCTAATTAACTATGTCCATTTTTTATAGAATTTTTAAGAAAGTTTTTGTTGAAGATAAAGCCTATTTTTGAGAAAACTATTTTTTGTAAATTGATCTTAATATTAATGAGAATATGCAAAATTACAAAATAAAATTTAAAATAAATTCAATCAATTAATTTGTAATAAATATTATTAAAAGATATTAAAAATATAATAGAAGCAATTATAATGAAAAATAACTAGTGATTATTTCATTTTAAATTAAATTATAATCTTTCAATTTATTTTGTAATATTTATTAAAGGAACATTTTTAGTGAACATTATTGATTATTACTTGTAATTGTAAGCATAGTGTTTTACTTGTATTAGTGATAAAAAAAAGCATATTCTAAGTAACAAAATCTATACTATTTATTGGATTATAAATCTCTTACATCCAATTTTATTATCTTTCTCAAGTTTAAAATTCTACTACCTCTAAGTTTAATCTTCTTTAAACCAAGCCAAAATTTTTAAATTAATTTTAAAATTATTTATAAAAAGTAAATTTATTGAAATAAAGTTTTGATGTTTGAGTATAAAATATGTAAATTTAGTCAAAAAATATAATAAAAATCTTAAATAATTAAATTTCTTAAAATTGCAGAGGATCCACTAAAAGTATGAATTATGTTAAGCATGTAATTTTCAACCATAAATTCTTAAATAATTATTGTCTCTGTAATATTACTAAATTGTTAATAAAATATTTAATGTAATAAACACAATTTTTTAATTTGAAAATTGATTGAATAATCAAAAAATTAAATCCTTATAATTAACCATCAAACTATTTAATAATGATTACATAAATCTTAAAAAATTGCAAATTTGTTAAATCTAACTATTGTCATAGTAAACAAAGTTAATATTACAAACTAAAATAAAAATTGTAAATCAATATTTTTTAATACAAAATACTTTACCAAAAATGAATTAAATTTAAAATAACACAAACTATTTATTAAACTTAAAAGATTCTATTAGAATACTTTAGACTGAACCGCAATTCAGAGATGAGGAATTTCTAAAAATAGTTGAATCAGTACTAAATAAATAACCTTTTACCTCATATTTCAAAGGATTAAATAAACAACAAATAAACAATATTGCCAAAAGAATTAAAATTTTAGTGATCCCTCCCAACGCTCTTTTTATTTCTAAAGGTAAATAAATGAAGCATAATAAAATTCTAATCTTAATAATTTTTAATAAAAATAAAGGGACTTTGCTTGATCGCTTCTTTATAGTACTAGAAGGATATGTTAGTGTTAATTATGGAGTAATGGATAACCATTAATTAAAATATCTATTTATAGGCGATAGTATTGGATCCTAGTCTTTGATATATCAGCAATCAGCTAATTATTAAGCACACGCTGGTTCAGCAGGATGTGTTTTAGCCTTTTTAGAAAAATAAGACTTCAATCAGGATGTGAAGTTAGGTGAAATGATTAGAATATAAAAATATATATCTGCGATGAAGAAGATTGATTTGCTAAAACCATTTAATGAGGAGCAGATATAATAAATATTTTTTGCATCAAATCTTATCGAGGTGAATAAGAATGAGTATGTGTATAGTTTTAATTAGCCATCGAAGGGATTCTATTTTGTTATTCAAGGATCAGTCAAAGTAAAATTTCTCCTTTTCCAGAAAAGATTCAAGTATTATTTCAAATATAATTATTAGGTATTTATTAAAAACACTCCTATTAACGATTTAACAATTGGAAGTAATAGTCCTATAACTTAACCTAAAGATTCTTTTACAACAGTATTTTTATTTATTATTTTGAAATACTTCTTCAATTATAAAAAGATAAAAGAATTAGGTGAAGGGGATTATTTTGGTTACTATGAGTTAATTGAAAAATACTCTAAAAGGATATAAAATGTACTTTGCTCCTCGAATAAGACAAAGCTTATTTATTTATCTAATGGTATTTTTTGGAAATATTTTAGCCTACCTTAAAGCAAACGATAATTGGATTATCTTTCCAATTTAGCTAAAAAAGAAAAAAGCCTTTAAAAGTAATTTTTTCAATCAAAGAAATCTTAATATTTAAGCATTAATTTATTAATATAATTCACTGCCAAATAAATCCCAATCATTGATTTAATTTTATTTTACATCAATTATTCAACTTAATTTACATTTCTGCATCAAAACATTATTTATATCTATTAGAAAAAATTAAATACCAATTTACAGCTTATTTTTATTATAATGTTAAATAGAAAAATATAAAAATAATTATTTTAAAAAAAAATAATAAATACTTGAACAAATTTATCACATTTTAGATATTAATTTATTGAAAACTTTTCCTAATTATTATTATTTTTTTATTAGAAATACAAATCGCTAATATTTTTCGCAAGAAAAACCCACAAAATAAAATGAGGTTTAAGGAGTTGATTGCATAAAATCATTTAAACTCAATATTTAGCAATTAAATACTCCAAGTTTTTCAGAAAGTAGTGAAAGCTCTCTCAGATTGACTAATCGAAAATTCTTAGGTATTTAAGAAAATCTCTCCTCAATGAGTGATAGATTTAGAAATAACTAATCTCCTGTTTCTATTTTTAGGAAAATTGTTAAAAATGAGAAACTTTAAGAAAGATTATTTGATAGCCCTGATCAATAATTGATGACTTTTGGAGAGAATACTGAAGGATTAAAGAATTTAACTAAAGAAATTTGTAATTAAAAAATAAACTAATCAAATGTAAAAGATGTTTCAACAATAACTCCGTTTTCTTACTAAGATGATTATTTTTAAGAGCTATTAAAAAAAGAAAATACTTCTTAAAATAATTTAAATATTTTAGAATAGGAGACTGAAACGGCTGACATTCTTCCGTCCACTCCTTAAGCTATGAAGATTAGATAAGAAGTGCTAAAAAAATAAACAGAATAATTATGTGAAGATGAAACCAACTTGATATCAGAATTCTAAATAAACTATTTAAAAGAATCTTAAACTAAATTTAGCTAAAATTCTATATCTGAAAACAGTAACCAAAGTACTATAAATTTTAGTAGTTCAAGATTGATACAACAAATTGATTAAACTTAATTAAATACATAATTATAAAAGAATTAATAGAACGATTAGCAAAAAAGATCAGCAAGCTTAAACTCTTTCTAACAAAATATTAACAACCTTTCATCTTAACAAGAAAATAGATTTAAAGAATTATAACCAAGAATATTAAATTATAATTATAAAGTAGTTTCGTCTAACTCCCCTTTGAAAATTGTTGCCTTAACTAAAAATAACAGTTCTAAAAATGATGAAATTGAAAATAGTACAGTGGCTCTCTCTCCTTCATTGAGATTAAATGTAAGTAGAATGTCATCTATAAGGAAAGATATTTCATAAACCTAAACTTTTCTTACTGAGAAGCGTAGCACAGTAATAAAATACACTTAAATGTGCAACAATCCAAGACATAAAAAGTCTATGTCAAGTTTTTTTAAATAAAAAGGTGATTTGAGCTAAAGTTAGCAATTATAAAAAGAATTTAAATAAGAGCAAAGTTCTCTTTTAAAAAGTCCTTAAAAGTATAAAATCCAAAATATAAGCAAATTTACAGAGTTATTCAGCAAAAGTACTAAGGTATAGAAACAAAATTCTTAAATTATTGATCATAAAGAATCTTATAAGGAAGCTTAAAACTAGAATTTACTTAAGAGTTAGTAGTTGAGTAGTATATTAAATATAAGTAATATTTTACAACCAAATTCAGTAGCTCATAACCGTTTTGAATTGAATTTGTAAACTGGTTTGAAAACCAGTACTAACTTTTTAAAAAGCCCATTAAAAAATGAGACCTTCTATTTAAAAAAATGTAACGAAATATCAACATATAGAAGCATTTAAGAAAATTAAAATACTAAAAGAGATTCTTAAGAAAGAGTAAAAGAATAAGATAAAAGAATAGTAGGACAAAATATATTTAAATAAAAAATTATTTCAAAAGCTTAAGATTCTACTTAAAGTAATGGGCTTGACTCTAAAATACAAAGATCAAATAGTCATTAACTAAAGAAACAAATTAATTAAAAAATAGAAATTCTATCTTCAAATATGAATTAAATTAAATTAAAGCATCCATAATTTAATAATTTTACAGATTATATTTAATAAAGTGCTTTGATAGAAAGCTGAATAATAAATAAAAAATACTTAATTTTCAAAAATATTTATACTGCTTTGGATAACCAAATATAATACTCGATAAATCAAAAGAAAACTTAACAATTAAATATAACTAGATAATTATAGTTAAATTAATTAATAAATTATTGTTGTATTTAAAGATTTATCTTTAATTGTCTACATTTATTTTTAAAATTCTAATTAATTTTGATTTGATTTGATTTAATTTTTTTGTTTGTTTGTTTGTTTATTTATATTTATATTAATGTTTAAAGTGTTGGTTGATATTGAAAAGAAATAAGTGATAATTTATTTAAGTAAGATTTAGTTTATGCTAGAGATATTATGTATGTATGTATGAGCTAGTCAAATAAATATCTTTAAAAGGAACCTATCTATCTATATTTCAATCAATCATTCGTTGATGATTTCATTAGTTTCCTTGTTGAGCCTTTTATTTATTTTGTTCACCTAATTTTTAGACAGTTAAATTTTATCACTATTTTATCTAAACAATATGTAAAAATTATTTACGAAGCATTTTCAATCTCATCAGATAGTCATCGTTGTCATTATTTTCATCATCGTTTGAAGTCATACTTTCTTTTGACAATTACTTAGACAACTATGGCTAACTGGCTCCTGCTACTAATTTTGTTGCTGTTGTAGTTGATGTTGTAGTTGATGTTGTTGTTGATGATGATGAAGAGGGCAGTTTGTTATCGTACTATTTAAACTTTTCACTCAATTTAGCGCTTAAATCTAAAGTTGGTTTGGTTGGGTTTGTCTGAGCCTTCTATGTTAGGTTAGTTTCTTAAGTGACATTAGAACTTGATATTTTTTAATTCGAACTTTCCTCATTAGTAGCCTTTGATTAAATTTTAGATTTTATTTATTAGATAATGTCAAGTGTTTTCTTTCCATCTAATAAAGAATTTTATTCTTGAGGCTTAATTTAATCAGTTCTTTTTATTATTAGTAATTTGATGTTATTAATTAGAGTTAAATTGCTATTATTTTATAAATTATGAAACAAATCTTACTTTTAAATAAATTTTTAGTTGGGAGCAGGAGCAGCTGTTTCAATAATACTTGGATTGCCATTTATTTGATTTTCTTAATGAATATTTTTATTATCAGAAGGAAGTATTTTATTTTATACAGATGAAAAATCATTACTTTTTTCATTTAGAACTGTAGTAAATTTATCTTATTTCAAGGGAGGAGAAGGTGTAATTTTTGCAATTGATTCCATCTATTGAGTAGATGAAGTAGGAACTGAAAATTTAGACTATTTTTCTCTGCTGTTGCTCCTTGATTTTTTATAGTCTTTTTTTCTATCTTTACTGCGCTTTCTCTTACTATCCCTATCATCAGGAGAGTTATAATACTTTTTAGATTTTTTATGATGACTTCTACTACGGCTTCTACTCTTCTTTCTTTCTTTTCTGTCCTTTTCCTTTTCCCTACCTTCTCTTACATCCCTTACTGTTGATGCAGATTCACGATCTCTTTAATTCTTATCTTTTTTAGAATTTAAAGGTGAAGTTTTATCTTACTTAATATCTGGTGTTTCAGAAGTAGTTTTTATACTTGATGATGCACCATTACCGTTGGTTTTTTATTCCTCTTAAGACTTTTATTAATCGTTTTATTAACGCTCAGCACTTGTAGGCTTTTGGACTTCTTACTTTTCTTTTCTACGTTCGCGTTCACGTTCACGACTTTTACTTCTTTTTTTTTTATCTTTATGGGAATTACTTCTATCACGACGATCTCTGCTGCGACTGTGACGAGAAGAATGCTTTTTATCTTTATCCTTACGATCTCTATTACGATTACGACTTCTACTACGACTTGATCTTCTTTTATGGGATTTTTTGTGGGAATTGCTTCTGGACCTTTTACGTCTATCTCTTTCTCTTGATGCTGATCTACCAGCCGTAGAAAATTTGCTATGCTTATCATTTTTAGTACTGGTAACATCTCTTAAACTAGTAACTCCTGCAGTTTCATCTTAATTTTCTTTTTTTTCAAGCTAATCTGATGATAACAACTTGTCTGATGATGATGCTCCTGCAGCCAATCCATTTTATCCCCTTAATTTTGATTTGGCGATAGCTTCTTGGACAGCTAACATAGGATTCTAAGATGCAGAACTTTGGTTTAATCTATCTGTAAATTCATGATATTTAAGAGTGATTTTCAACTCTATTTCCTTTTGTTTTGCAAGTTTATTAAGAATTTCGAAGCAGTCCTCATATTTAGGAAGTTATTTAAATTGATTATAAATATATTAGATTTTACCCGCTCCTAGCTTAAGATTGTTCAGAGAAGTTTCCATAATTGTCCACCAAGCAATTCTTGGCATTTCAGTACCTGTCTTTCTAAAGGCTAGGTAAATGCAGCTTGCTACTATCATCTAGAAAGGGAAGAAAATACAGATGTTTGTCTTGTAACTATCATTCAAATAGTTGAATGCTGTTCTAGTCAAATTCTAAAAGGAACTCGATTAATTACTGGTATTTGGTTTAAATAAATTAATATAGAAGTACATTAATCTATGAGGTTGTTCATTCCATGTAATTTGATATAACTCAAAGCCTAATTCTTTTAAAATCTCTCTTTCCATGTCTTAAACCACTTATTTTAAATGATTAAATTTAAATGATTTATCATCTAAAATTGGAACTGGACGTTGTATACCATCTTCAATCTATTTTTTAAAATAAAAAGCATGAAATTTACTTTTTAAATTATATCGATTTGCTATCATGAATAGAGACAGTTTGTTTTTCAGTAAATTTAAAAAGGGCGCTTTTTTTAAAAATTAATTAAAAATCTTTTATTTGAAGGAAATAAATAATTTTATTTTTGTTTTTGGAAGACTTTTTTTATTCAATTATTTTCATAGCTTTTCTTGCTTCTCTAAAACTGAATTAACTTACTATTTCTGCTTAAAAATAGCATTTATTGGCCTGTGCTTTGAATAAGAGAAATTAAAAAATTCCTAACATAATTGTATTTAAAAATAAGATTAAGGATTTTAATTCATCTATTGTTATTATCACTTCAGTAAGAAGTTTTCATATAATTTTAGGAACTAGGGAATCAAACAAAATAGATTATTTCGTTGATGTTGTTGGTTGATAGTGATAATGATAATTGGTAGTGTTTGTGTATTTTGATGAACAAATTAATCTTTAATTCAATCTTATTAACTAACACCAGCCACATTTTCATTGAAAGTGTTTAGGGAAGGTGTTTAATATATTAATACTTTCAATTTAGCAAGATGATGAAGATGATGATAGATCATAAAAATAAATTTACCCTATAATTATATTATTAATTAGTTCAAATGATTAAAATAATTATTTTCATAAGATAAAGCAAATAAGCTAAGATCTAATTTTTTTCCTTCAAAGTTTTTTTAAAAAAATTATTGAAAAGTTTGATTTAGGAGGGTTGATTTGATTCTTGAAGGAATCTCCTTTGCTGATAGCAATCTAATATAAACTGATAATTTACTTTAAAAATTTGATCAAAGACATAGGCTAAATCTCTTGGCTTTTTAATTGTTTCTTAAGCCTTACCAGCTATAAAAACTGATCCCATTGCTACATCCCTGATATCATGCTTCAAGAAAGAGCACCTTTTTATAGAAAAAAAAAAAATTATTTATTATTTTTAATGTTTTGAATCAATTAAAAAATATTTCTAATGCATTCAAAATAAAATAAATTACTTGGTATAAAATCTGTGGAAAATAGTTTAGGCTGATATACAAGTTGTAATTGGAAGCTAAAGATATTAGCATGCATCAGAAATTATTGATGCGCCATAAAAATGAAGCATGTTTTATTCTTCTCTAGTGAATCCATCTAAATCGGCTTAAATCTTTGAACTAATTTCCAAGTACAAATTTGTATGAGCCTAATCTAAAAATTTCTGCAATTTATCATTCGATTCTGCGGAAGCCTTAATCAAATTCTCCCTCAATTACTAAAAGATGAATTTATTAGCAAAATTTTAATCGTTAATTCCAATTGATTATTCAAATTATTAAAACTATTCTTCTAACTCTTAAATTTTTTGAGCCATGGTGAATGAAAGGTGAATGGATGAATGGATGTCTGCTCTAAATTGAAAAATATTATTGTGTTCTAAAGTTCAATCTGTTTGTAATTTTTGTTTTGCCAATCGTACGTTTGTCAATCTATCAGTTTAAATATCGACTGTTTTATTGAATAATCCCTCTTTATTATTATGCAATTTTACTTAATTGATATGGTTATTGGCTAACTATTTAACTAACTTTCTTTTATTGCTTAATACTTGAAGTACGAATTTAGAAATTTTCTTTAATTAACAAATAATTAATTAAATCTCTAATTCTTATCTCTTTTTCTTTTTGTTATTGCTTGCTATTGCTATTCCAAGGCTAACAAATTAATTCCTAATAAAAAATGTCATTTCTTTTAATCTCTAAACATATACAATATGCTATATTAAATTCGCTAATCATTTTCGAATACATTTCTGCAATTTAATAGTGATATTAATGCAAAATAAATTAAAATATGTCTATTAAAGCTAAATTAATTAAATATTTTTTTAATAAATCGACACTTTTCTTAATTTTTTCTACTTTATTTATTAGAGATTTCTATTAATTCAATTTCAAAGAATTAAGAATCACAAATGTGGAAATAACTAAGAAGCAATAAATTTGCAGACTATATTTTTTAGTACAACATAATACAGAAAACAAGGTAAAAAAGGATAAAAAAGTAATATATTTATATAATCTAAAACGTTAAAATAAAATATGAACAATTTCACCTTTTAACTTATAAAATTTATTAAATATTAGAATAAGCATCATATAAATTTTCTGATTTTAATAAATGCTCAGTTGACAATTCTATTAAAGCTTCATGCTATTTTTATAAATAATCATAGTCAATTTCCTTTTCTTCTAAGCACTTTTCTAAATATTTTATCTTTTTTCTTAAACTTTTAAAAAATTAAAGTTAATTTATTTAAGTTTATTATAAAATATTAATTACTCTGTATTTTCATTTTAATAACTTGCATTACAAGTTTAACCCTCGATAGAAGGTATAGACTACCCTCCTTTTTGCTATTTATATATTTCAATATCTTTCTCTAAATCTTTTATTTTTATTAGGAGAGAAGAATTAACTTCCTACACTCTTGAATAATTTTTTTTAAAGTCATTTATCTGTGTTTCTTAATCCTTTATTTTTTTCTCAAGCTACTTTTCTTTCTTAACATAATCAGAAATAGATGTTTAGACTTACAGATTCCTAGCAGATTGACTGTTCTAAATTTATTGGCTACTACTATTTTGCTTTAAATGAAACAAATTATTTTAAAACTAATATTTTTTAAATTAATGTTACTGTAAGTTTCTCAATTTCCTTATTTTTCTTTAAGATCTCTAAATTAAGCTCCTTTATTTAAAGATCCTTTTATCTTATCTACTTTTCCAATTCTTTGACAGCCTTTTATGTTCCACTAAGTCTCATTTCTAGTGATTAAATTTTCTCTTTTTTCGGAGAGCTCTAAGATTATTTTCCTGTTGTTTTGGACATACTTTACTAAAGATTTTTTTAATTTTCTTCTTAAAAATCATAACTCAATCCCCCTGCTCTATTACTTATTCCCATAATATTCTCACAGTTATCAAAGTTTTTAAATTTCCCATTTAAATTCATCTCAGCAGAGGGTAATACTTATTATGTACTTCCACTTTATTCAAATCTATCTTTACTATTATTTCTTTCTGTAAAAGACACTCTAGCATTTTATGGAGTTATCGCCCTTTGCATTTACTAAGAATATTCTGTATTTATAGTAAGCCCTTTTGGAACAGATTTTGTTTTTTTCATAGATGAAATAGGAGAATATAATAAGGCAGAACCAGAATTAGGAGAATTAATCTAAATATTTTACATATTATTTTGAATTAAACTGCTAATTTTAAATTTAAATGCTTATTAAATTATTGTTTATAATAAATTACCTAGCTCTCTTTATTTTCTTAATGCTAAAATAAGCTATTTATCATTTTCATGCTATCTTATGGAATTGGTTAAGGCTATTTTCTCTAAATTTCCTCTACTAACTGCTAATTTGTAAATTTTTTATTTCTTTAATTTATGTGCTAATTGAAAAGGGTACTATTCATTTCTTCTTCATCTATTAAAAGTAAGAATAATAATGAATTTATATTCAATTAAATTATAATTTAATGGAAATACTTACCTATTGAGTCATTAAAATTTTCGCACTCACTATTAGAATATGCATACATCTCTTCCTCGTCTATTTTTTGTAAATTTTTTTATTTTGCTTCAGAAGCATTGCTTCTTTTAGACTTAGAGAGGCTCTTACTTCCCATATTTTATTTCATAATCATTTCTAATTCTTCTTCTAATATTTTGTTTTCTTTTTCTAGCTCTGCTAAAAGAGTATCTTGATCTCTAATATTCATATTCTTTGATTTAAATAACATTTATAATTATTTTATTTAATCAAATTTACACATCGCTCATTCTAATAATCTATTATGAAAATATTTTTAACTATTCAAGTTTGTTTGTTGATTCTTAGCAATTTAATATTTTTATTAAAATTTGAATTTTTACTAACTATAAATTAATTGTTAAATCTTTTTAAATTCAATAAAGACCAGTCAAATAATCATTTGAATATATTTAAAAATGAAATAAATGTTAATATCTTAAAATATATTAGCTGTAGTAAAAATGATTCAATTATCAAGATACTTTGCTCTTTTTTTAAAGTATTTTTTATGATTTTCATTTAAAGTCAAAAAATAAATAAATAATATTATTTTAATCAATAAAATTTTTTTGCAACATATCATGAACTTTCAACATGCAAATTCTGTAAAAAACCTATAGGCTTAAAATTTTATGATTTTAAATAAATGTTTTAAACGAGCATTTGCAAAAGTTAAAAAATGTATTGAAAAACTAATATTCTAAAACAACTAAATTAATAAAATTATAAACTTTTTTTAACTTAATAAAAAATAGGATGCAAAATTTTATAGCAATTTTAAATAATAAAAATAAAATAAATCAATAACTAAATATTTTAAATATTTAAAAAATTTTTTAAATAAAAAAACTCTTTAATTAATTACAATAGATTTTTTAAAAATAAGTAAATAAATTACATAAATATGAAGAGAGCAAACAAACTTTTTTCTAAAAAATACTAGCCATAGAGTAAATTAAATTAACTTAATTCCAATAAATCTACTGAAAAGTTTTGGGATATAAATTTATAACCTATTAAAATAAATTTTTTTTTAAATAATTTAATTTAAATTAAATAAATAATAAAAATTTTCTATCAAAAAACAATATCAAAATCAATAATTGATTATTTAAACTAAAAGTGGTTAGATTTTTTAGATTATTATAATCCTTTTTATATATTTACTATATAAAATAAATTAAAATTACATAGATTAGATTTGACTTAAATTAATCTTAAATATTAAATTAAATCACTGAACATAAAAATTTATCTGACTTAAATAAAATTATTATGGAAATAGCAATTTATTAGTGGTAAATATTGATTTAGTAATTTAAAACTAAGAACATTGAATTTATAGTTTTGAAAATATGAAGAAGATGAATATTATTATTAGCTTAATCGAATGAATACCTCATTAAATAAATAATTTATAAAAAGTGCTCTCTCCATGTCAAAAATAAAGGATTGTATGTAATAAAAAGAAGTTATAAAAATATTATTGATTTTTTAATACTGTTAGAATCATTTGTTTGTTTGTTTGTTTATTTATTTATTATTCGAATTGCATAAGCTTGATTTAATGATTTGATTATTGAGATAATAGCAATAAAATAAAGGAAATTAGTTAATAAACATTAGGAGAGAAGATTTTTATATCTAAAAAAATAAATAAATCCTATTATAATTATTATATTTGAGCATATTTATAAAGCGAAATGATGTATCCTAGAAAACCACCTACTAAGGATGAGCCCAAGTCTCGTAAGAACTTAACTCAATTTTAAAGGGAAGAATTAAAGAGAGCTGTAGCAGAAAGATTGTCAAAAAAATATGGTATCAATAATACAGACTTGATTTTTGGAGAGGTGGCTAATTATATGAATGAACATTAGAATATAACAGCTGAAGGTCTCAAGAATTTAGAGGAAAATATTAAAGCTTAAACCACAAATAACAAAAATGCAGCACCTATTCGTTAAGACGATGAAGAATCTGTTAAATCAGGTATTTCTAAAATGTCTGGTGCTTCTAATTTCGATGCAGTTGATAAATATACTTAGAAGAAATCTTTGACAGTAAAAAATTATTTTTAAAATATGTTGTCGTATAGAAGAATTTATATTTTTGTGAATCTTTAAATAAAGCAAGTTAATATTTAAATTTATTACAGGAAATAAATGGCGATGCAAAAAGCGAAGCAAGCAAGACTAAAAAATTATAAGGAACTTAAATTAAAAAACCAGAAAATGATTTAGGTTTTCTTGATGAAGAAAATGAATGGGCCGCTATATACAAATATAATAGATTTCTTTATGATAAAGAAGAGGAAATGAAGAAAATCAAAAAGTTAGAGCAAATTAAGCAGATTCGTAGAGATCTTGATGCATAAGTTGAAGAAAAGAAAAAGTAAATAAATAGATAAAAAAACTATTTAGTTAAAAATTAAAATATTTTTTAATCAGAATAAAGGACTATGACAAGAAAGAATCAGAAGGATATTCTAAAAATATGTAAATTCAAATGGAAAGATATGATGAGAAAGAAAAAGAAAAGGAAATGCAATTGTAACTCATTAAAGATATGGAAAAGGCTACTCGTGCTAAATAAATTAAGGACAATAAGTAAAGACGTAGATAAGAAGATAAATAGTAAAAATAACTCGATGCCTACTTGATGCAAAAAGTTAAAGAAGAACTCGAGGCTGAGTAATAATACTAAACTTTCAAAAGGGAACATCAAGCTTAAGTTATGAAAAAGCTTTTGTAAGAAAACGAAGAAAGAAAGGAAAGACTTAGAAAGGAAGCAGAATAAGAGAGACAAGAAAATATTTAATTGATGGATGCTTATTGCCGCTTAATAGCAGAGTAAGAGCAAGAAAGAGAGAAAAATATAAAGGAACGTGAACATAAGATGAAACATTATTAAAAATTAGCTCTTGAGCAGGTTGCACAAGAAAATGAAGATAAGCTAGGACAAATGGAAAGAAGAAGGGAAAGATACCACTAGCGTCATGAGAAGAAACTCGACCAAATGGAGCTTGATTAAAAGAAAAAAATAAAAGATTAAAAGCATTTTATGAAAGATTATCTCTTTAAATAAATGGCTGAAAAAGATGAACGTAAACGTAAAGAAAAAGATTAATTCAATGAACAAGCTGTGATTTGGAAGAAGGATAATGAAGAATTCATTAAATTCGAAGAAAAGAAAAAGATAGACAAGCAAGGTGTGATGAATACATATGCTTCAACACTAAAGGAGTAAATGGCTGACAATGCAGTTCTTAAAAAGACTGCATTACAGGCTATGAACGAAAACGAAACTCTTCTAAATAAGAGATTGCTCTAAGAACTTGATGATATGAGAGACTAGATTAAAAAAAAATAATAATGATTCAATTTTTTTTCATTAAGAAATATTTTATTCAAATTATTCAATATTATATAAAGTCAGCAAATTATCCATATAAAAATATTTTAATTGTTTGTTTTTAATCTTTTAACTACTTGCTCTAAACACTTAATTTTAATTCAATACAGCCCTTTAAAAATAATTTAAATTACTCTAATTTTTTAAGCTTTTAAGTATTTTATATATTAGTAAATGTTTAAATCAATATTTTATTTGTAATAATTTATTAATTTTTTTCATTTATTCATTCGATTATAATGTTACAAAAATAATTTTTTATCTTACTTTTTATGTTAAATTTATAAAAAATTTATTTATGAATTTATAACCTAAATATACATTAACTATATAGCTAATACGATTATATGAAATATTTATTTTTATGTAAAGAAAGAATTATAAAAGACAATTTGAAGAATTATATTTGTTTATATGTTACTTTTTTAGTTAATCTTGAAAAAAAAAACAATGATAAATATATGAATCTTAGATTTTATTAAAGAGTAGAAATTCAATGTAAATTATTTTATTAGATGTAATTTTATTCGAAAAATTAAGCTATAAGTATTAAAAAAATATTAACATGTATTTATTCATAACAATTTTAGCTTTGAAAATATTTTAATTACTCAGCATTTATTTTAGTTTTTAAAGGTTTACATAATTTAGATTTAAACTTATTATCATAATAAAAAAAGCATAAATTATGCTATAGTAACTATCAAAAGTGAGCTATAAATTGATATTGCATATACTGTGGCTTAAGGTAAATCACAAGTACCTAAATTAAAGTTCACTTAATCATAGAATTATGTTACATAAGGATCGTTAATCGCTAAACGGAATAGTTCAAAAGTTTAATAGTCTATTTATATAAGTTGAGAAGACATCAACCAAGTATATGTCTAAGATAGGTAGGTTATTCCTGGGTTTTCGTACACAACAAAAGTTTTGTTTTAAAAGTCATTTTGTAATGTGTTGCTTAAGTTGATAGACTACTAATCACCAATAATCTAAGGATCCATATTTTCGAAAAATTGTGAATTATTTAAGGAAGAAACATTTAAAATAGGGTCTAAGAAAATTGATAAAACTATATTATCAGTTCCAGTAAAATATAATTGCATTTCCATATCATAGTAAGTCTTATTTATTTAAAACATGGGAGTCCCTCTTATCAGAATTTGCTAAAGAGAGTATTGCTTTGGACTACCAGAATTTGAGTTAACATAAAGAGAGGCACCCTATTGAGATGTACTTATAGTATAGACACCATTTTAAGGAGTATACTTAAGATTTAAATTAATATCTTAAAATACTAACTAGTAGCTTTTAGTTGTGGCTACTGATTATTAATCTGTAGGAGTATTTACTTTTAAAATTAAATTGTTCACAGTAGTGCACTATGATTAAATGAATGAAATTTATATCAGCATAATAATCATGCTATGAAGCAAAAATATGTTTCTCATTATTTAATTGCCTTCTCTACTTTTTTAATTTTAACAATTTTTTTAGTAAATATAAAAGATATATATTAAATAATTTTGAAATTTTAATTTACAAACGAGTAATTTAAATAGTTTTGCTTATTTACTGGCAACTGAGTGCTTTAAAATATAATTCTTTATATTATTACTACAAATTATATTAATTAATTATTTATTTATTTATTTTCTATTTTGAAACATCATTTTTCTATTTTAAAAAAATCAATATATCCTCATAAAGTATAGTAAAAAGTAATTTAAAATAATTATAAAGGATAAATGGTGTATTAATGTATTTAGAAGAATATCAGATTGAAACTAATCTTAATAAATAATAACTTAAAAAAAAAATTGATTCAATTTGGAAATTTTGGCCTTTAAGTATAAAGACTGACTAATAAAAATAGAGTATGAACATAAATATTTATTTTTTAAATAATAATAAACAAAATTTTTTTCGTATATTTACTATTATTATTATGAACAAGGAAGTAAAAATAAATATTTAAAAGTTTTTTAATTTCTACTAAATTTTAAAAAAAAAAAAATTTAAATAATTTTATTAATGATTAATTTCGATTTAAACTTTATTTTTTTTTAGTATATCAAAATAATATTTGTTATTTTTGTCTTTAAATTAAAAAAAGCATATTTAGTATGAATAAAATGAATAATAGTAAATGTTGTTTATAAATGTTCTACTTTTATTATAATTTACAAATAAAAAACATTTTAATAAATTCAAAAAAATATTTGCATTTATTTTCTTTAATTACAAAATTTTTTTAATAAATGAAAATAGTTTAATAATTAATTTTTATTTAAAAATAAGATTATTTTGAACTAGTTATTAATTTAAAAAAATATAAAAATATTCTTATGATGTTAATAATTTTAAAATTATTTTTAAAATATAAATAAATACCAAAGAATTATTAATATTCTATATTAATTATATTAATAAATATGCTCATTCAAACTTTTTAAATAGCAGGGAAACATTGACACCTCCAAATCCAAATGAATTTTTAAGAGCATATTTTATATCATGAGATACAGTTTCTTTTGACAGATTAACAAATGGTTCTGAAATAGGGTTTTGTAAGTTTTTAATTAAAGGTGAAATGCCATTCTTGATTGATAAAATTGTAAATATACTTTCTATTGCTCCTGCTGCTCCAAAAGTATGTCCTATTGCTCCTTTGTTAGCAGTAACTAAACAATTTTTTATAGAATCTAGATTATTGTCGAAAAATTTATTGATGGCTACAATTTCTGCTAAATCACCTGCAGGTGTACTAGTTGCATGACAGTTTATAAGATTTATTTGATTTGAATTAATTTAAGCATGATTAATAGCGTTTTACATGGCTCTAAGCCCACCTTCACCAGTTTCAATAGGTCTAGTTAAATGATAGCCGTCTGAAGATTAGCCATAAGATACTAATTCTGCATAAATCTTAGCATTTCTTGATAAAGCATGCTAAAGTTCTTCAAGTACTAATATTCCTGCACCTTCACCTAAAACGAATCCAGATCTATCTGCATCAAATGGTCTACTAGCAAACTCTGGTTTATCATACTTTTTAGTTGTCATGGCTTACAATTTCATTGATGCATAAGCATTTGTTGGAGATAACGAATCTTCACTACCTCCTGCAATCATAATTTTAGCATCTCCAAATTAAATATTTCTAAAAGCATCGCCTATAGCACTAGCACCAGTAGCACAAGCTGTAGAAGCAGTCCCTGACGGTCCTTATATATTTTAATAATTTTATATGATTCAAGAATTTTCTTGATACAATTATGTATTTAGAAGATAAAGAAATTATTTGATTACCTTTTAATTAATACTTTAAGCTAACATTTGCAGTTGCCATATTTGTAAGAATTTAAAGTATAGTCAAGCGATTCAAATTTTAAAAACCTTTTTTCTCAGTTTCTCTAACTATTTCTGTTAGTTTGCTAATGTTAGAGCTCATAACTCCGATATTTACACCAGCTTAATTTTATAATGACTCATTATTTTAAAGCAATATTTAAATACCACTATCTTCAATAGCTTCATTAGCAGCTGCCATAGCATAAGAATTAGTATTATTAGTAGAAAAAGCTACTTTCCATTTCTTTAAATTATCAAAGCCATCTGGTACAGCTGCAACATAAGTATCTAAAGGCCAATAATCAGGATTTGCAAGTTTATTAGTAGGATCATTTTATTGAATTTTTTTAACATATTCAGAAGTAGAGATTATGCCAGATTTACCAGCTATTAAAGACTCCCATGAAGAACTAGCATTTAAACCTATGGGTGAAACAGCTCCAATCCCTGTCACAACAACTCTTTTTAACTACTTCATTTAAATTTAAAAACCAAAGTTATTAATCTTGAGTAAAAAGTTTAGAAAAAATAAAATTTTATAGTTTAAAATTGACAGATTTTATTAAAAAGATACAAATAATATAAAAAAATAGTTTTTAATATTTTCTAAGATAAGCTAACAATTAAAATAAATTCTACTTATATTGCATCAAAATAAAAAAAATCATAAATAAAAAATTATATTAAATTACTTCTAATTTACTAATTTAATTTTTTAAATATTTTGGTATTAATTAATGATAAAATTATAATTCATTTAATCTACAACATAAAAATGATACTATTATTATTATAAATTTACTCCTACTTTTCAGATAACTAACTATTTTTACCATTTATCTTTAAAATTGAAGCATTAACAAGAAGCTAAAAAGCTATTTAATAATCAGTTAAAAATAATTTTATTTTAATTTGATTTCATCTCATTTTTAAAGTGAATGAGAAAAAAGTGTTACAGGATTAAAATTAACTTGTTTCTTCTATTTACTGATTAATCTAGTTTAAGAAATATATGTTATTTGAAATATTTAATTATTATTGTTGTGCTTTATTTTAAATAGGCAAGTAAGTAATCTTTCTATTGAATCTTTGGTAGTCTTCATTTTTTTCAATAATTTTTAAATTATTTTTTTAATTTAAAATAAAAAAATTATTATTTCTAAACAACTAAAATAAAAATAATAGAGCTAATATAAACAACTTCTACTTTTAAAATGAAATATTATTGAATGTTTTCCTAATATTTAAAAAAATATTTCTGTTATTTTAGTCTTAAAAACGAAATATTAAAAATAAGAAGTAAAGTAAAAATAAAAACTATTTAGAGCTTTTTTTATAAAATGATATAAAATAATCAGTTAAAAATAATTTTATCTGAATTAAATTTTATTTCTCAAGCGAAAGAAGAAGGGAAATGTTAAAATAAACAATTACAATTTGCATCATTGTACTATTTAACTAATATTAACCTAATTTAACAAATAATTATTTGAATAATTTAACCATTATTAGTTGATATTTATTTTAAATATTTAAAAACAAAATCTTTATATTGAAGGCTAAACTTCATTTTTTCATAGCAGTTTAAGGACGATTTCTTTTCTAAACAGTTAAATCATCAGGATTTTAAGCTTCTTAATTTTAATTTTCAATTTATTAAAATTAAAATTCTTACTATCCTAAAACTTAATATTATTATAAATTAGGTGGCTGTTGTAGAGATTAAACAGTATTTTAAGATTGTTTACCACTTGAATCAGATACTATAACAGGCATTTCATACACATTTGACTGAGCCATCTGCAAATTATTAATATTTTCAGGAATAAATTATTAGTTTTATTGATACTAAAACTAACTTGAGTTTTGTATATTAAAATTTATATCAGCATTTGCGAATTATACTCCTTAAAGATTATCATTTGAAGGTTAATTGTTGCTTGAATGATTTAATTTTACTGCTACACTTTCTGCAAATGGAACATTTATATTTTGAACATTATTACTTATTTTATTTTATTGTGACAAGCGAGATGATTATGAAGAGCTCGGCTTTGCTGTACCTGGCCTTAAGAACTTTATGCTTTGATCTTTTTGCATTTCATTTAAGTCAATAGCAGCTCTACTAGTTTAATGAGAAGAAACGGAATGCAATTACTAGAAATTCTAGTAATTAATAACCTACTAAAGTTACTATGGTTGCATTTACACATTCTGTTGTGGCTAAATAAATTATCCCTGAGGTGTTTCAGGTCTATTTTATTACGAATTTTTTCCTTAAATTTATTTGGGAGCACTAAAAAAATGACTTTCAGTAAAAGGCAGAGTATTCTAAAAATATTACTGATTTGCATTACCATTTAAGTCAACCTGTTATACATAATTCATATTTGCTAGTGCCTATTTAGTCTTAAACTGTAAATCAATATACGTATCAATATTAATTGGAAGGCGAGTGCCTTGAACTTGAAGATTTTACCAATCTTTTTGTTAGCCTATTTTTTCTATTTCTTTTTATTTTTTTATTATTTCTTGACTTTTCGATTCGGCCAATACCTCTAAATGATCATAATTTCTTGTTATTTACTCCTTAATTACTTAAACTGGCCCATAACTCATCATAGCATGATGACTGGCTTTATTTTTGTTACTTGACATAGCTGTATAAGGTCTATTTTGTATGTTGAATTATTATGAAAACCAGTTAGAGTTAACTGAGGAAGATTAAGGCCTAAATAAACCATGTTATGATGTGGCACTATGAATTCTTTTAGATTACTTCATTTTACCATTTTTACTATAATTTGTTGCGTTAAATTCATTTTGCTAAGTTCTTTCAGCTACTTTTTATGATGAATTCATATCTGAATAATTACCATTTTAATTGAAGGCTTAATGATTACCATCTTGTTATAAATATTGTTAATCTCCAATTTTGTATTGATTTTAGTTTTCTAAATTAGAATAAGGAGAATTAGATGAAAGGTTGTTTGTTTAATGATTATCTGGAAATATGAATTATTAATAATTTTATTCTTAAAATTATTTCTAAAGCGATTCAAATGGTTAAATTTACAAATCTTCTTATTCTTCCTCTTCTTTTATCTCTCCATAACCTGGATTGAGTGGAACAGTAGCACTTTTAGGACTCAACAACCTATTTATAGTTGGAAGAGTTTATCCCATCTTATCAATAGTTTACTTGACTTAATCTGAATTATCTAGATCTTTTCCCCACTCTTCTACTTGAACACGTTCCTCTTCTTAGAATATTTTCATGCAATTACCTAAAATTTCAAGATCTATGCCTTTGTCATGACTTTCATCCCTTGATTCTCCTCTAAGCATCTCTATTTAGTCTCTTGAATTTGCTTTTGCCGTTGCTGCCCTTAAAATATTATTATTATTGCTTTAATTTGTTGATAATTTAGCTTTTGGTACAGAAGTCTATGGCCTAACTTATTTTTAAAAAAATTGTGCAGGACTTTATTTTTTAGGCTAACTTATTTTATTTATAATTTATGAAGCCTTTTTAATGCTGCTTTCACTTTGAGTATTAATGTTAGCAAGAGATGGAATTTAATTTTCAGAGTTTTATTCAATAATTCTCGTTTCTTAGGAATTCATTTTATTCATTTATATATTGGTCTATGAAAGTGCTCCTGCATTGAACATATAATCTACTGCACCTGCATTTGCAATTAAATAGAAGTCCATTTCATTGAAATTTGATTTAATATCTTCCAATTCACGTATTTTGAAGTCTAGTTCTTCCTTTTGCTTTTTGATCTTAAACAATGCAGAGTGGATTTAGAAAGTATTCAATTTTCTTGCAGGTTTAATCACAAATCTGTCTTCTTTCTTGATTTTTTAACCTTCAAGGAGTTTATTATATAAATCAGCAGAGTTGATCTAGTAAGAAGATTGTGAAATTGCACTTAAAGAACTTCTCTTAATAGCGTTTTGATTAAAAGATAAGCCCTAGCCTGACTAACTTCTCTTCATACCTTAAAAGCCACTTTACTATGCTATGCTATTTTATTAAATTTTGGCTGTGTTTGGACGATCATATATGAAACGCTTTTTTGTTGAGCTCATTTCCTATCCAACATTATCTATATAGTGTTTCTATTCATTAGGAAATTCATGCTTGATAATAATAGGACAAGTGGATCCTAAAGTCTTCTTATTCTTAGTAGATGCTGCTGTCATTGGCCTATTGAAATTCATGCCAACTAGCTAATCTTAAGCACTTAATACTTCCATAAAATCTTGTTATTATCTTAATTTTTCTGAATAAATATATTATCTTTGTTATTTAATTTTAAGAGAAATGAAACAAAATTTTAAATGCAAAGAGTGATTTACATATAATATATTATATGTGAAAAAAAAATTAATAAAGCTATAATGCGAAATTTATATATTGATTCAGTCAATTTTTCTTAATTTAAATTGATTAAAAAAGTTTTTTTCTTAAGACATATATTTATTATATATAATAATAGTATCTTATTGAATATCAAACATTATTTGCCAAAAAAAAAAACTATTATTATATATTTATTTAGTTTGATTAAGTGGCCATTTCAAACAAAATTGTATTTATTTTAGATTGACTCTTGACAATCTCAATAATCTGATATTAGTTTACTAAAAATCTTTCTCCTTACTGCTATGCAAATAAATCATCATCTAAATTTGAAGAAAATTTTGAAACCCAATTTCTTTTTAATTATTTCCAAATAACAAATATTATCATTAAGTTTTTTAAAAATTAAATTAATTATGAAACTTAAACTCCAGTAAAAATAATATCATATTACTAATTAAAAATACAATTTAACGCCTTTGATAAGTTAGTATTTTTTTAAATCTATTTCTCTTTTTGTCAAATAATTTTTTATTTATTAAATTATTCAATTTAAAACTTATGAAACAAACTAAATAATTCTTATTTTTTAAATTATTAACTATATCATGATTTTTTAATACTAATTTATATTTTCATGATAATAATTGAAAGATTATTTATGGATTTAAATAAACAACAAAATATTTATTAGAAGTTATTTTGTTAGGTCTTAATTCTATATTTATTAATTAAAAATTCTTAAAATATATTCTTACAATTTGAATAATTAATTTAATCATAAAAGTTTATTAAAATTCATAAGATTGCTACATAATTTAATTTATTGTTTTATTTAAATTATATTTATCATTAAATTTAAGTTTAAATATATGTTACTGAAATGAGATATATACATATGATAATTAGATAAATAGATTTATTTCTTCACTTTTAAGTTTAAATATATGTTATGAAAATGAGATGGATACATATTGATATTTAGATAAATAGATTTATTTCTTCACTTGAAAACAAACAGGCTTTCAGCTATCTTCTAATTTATAATATTATATTTTTTACTTTAAGGATGCCCAAAAATAAGTAAGCATAATTTATTATTTTATATCTAAAGAAATAATTTTTTAAATTTTAACAAGCTTTGAAATTATTTTACAATAAATTAAATCAAAATTTTTTTATTGATTGATTGATTTATTTATTTAACTAAATGAGATTTTTTAAAGGAATATTCAGTTTTCCTAAATTAAATGATTTTTGATAAGATTTAACTCAAGTTAATAACTAAGTTTTAAGATCTAAGTTAGTTAAATTTTTCATTTTTAATTCAAAAATTCACTTTTTTTTTACTTAATAACTTTCTGTGTATTTCTATGCTTGAATTTACTCTTATTTAATCCCCCCGTTTTTTATTTTCTTATATTAATTATTTTGAGAACATTTGATTTATTATTTTAAGGGAAATATATTTTATAGTCTTTTCCAATGTCATCGAGTTAACTCTCTAATTTATGAGACACATTTTATGAACCATAATTATTTTAATCTGTTGTTGCTTACTTAAAATATAGCTTTGATCCAAAACTTTAGGAATAATATTGTTGTTTTCTAGGATTCAGCTATATTAGCTATTACTATTATTACACCTACTAAGTTTGTAATGTATTTTACTACATAAATTCAATTAGTTATGTTTTTAAAGAATCAAAATGATTTGCTAACTAACTGTTTAAATTTATAAAAGAAGGGTTATTAGGATAATTTATTAGCTGATTATCTTGAATGATTTCATTTTGGATATTTGAAAAACTTTAGTTATTTAAAATTATTTCATTTTATTTTTATTTATGGGGAGATCCTAATTACAAAAATGGAAGAGATCTTCTTCTATTTGCAGACAATTTATGATCATTTTATTCTTAATTCTCTTTCTTAAATTCTATTTATTTTGGTTTTAGTTGTTGTTATTATTAAATTATTTCAGCTGTATTGCTTTTTGTGGTCTAGCCTTGTTAGTTAAAATTATATCGATCATAATTTTCATTAATTTTATCATCTAGTAGCTATGAATTATTATATTCTTGTATTTAAATTTAAGAAAAAGCTTTTTATTGAAGCTCAGAGATCGGTAAATTTTAATCTGAATGGGCTATGTTATCTTGAGATTTTGAGATGTTTCTGAAATCTTTTATTTATTCAACTTGTGGTATTTAAGAAACATTTAATTTTATCATACTTTACATTTTTTCATTTTTAATATTAGCAAAACTATTTTAATCTTTTTACTCTATAATACCAATGCTTGTTGTCTATTTTTGATCGAGAAAGGATTTTGATTAAAATTAATCTATTGCTAAGCTTAAACTCCCTCTTCTCTTTTTTGATGAAATACTAGCTATACTTTTCCTGCTTAGACTCTGAACTTCATGTAGGTCTGATTGAGATTATTTTTACTTAAAATTTAATTGTTTTATAACTTCTATTTCTTTAGAAGGTTATTAAACAAAAACTTATATAATTTATCCTTTACTAGGCGCTTGAGCTTGTTCTTTTTACTGTTAACTAATTTTTTTTTGCATTAAAGTAATGCATTCATTATTTAGGTCAGTTTGATTTTCTTCATTTAGACTATGTTGCAAATCAAATGTATTACTGCAAAAAGAATCATTTTGTAAATCGTTTTTTCCTTCTAAATTATTTATTTATTAGTTTTGCATGCCATTAACTGTATTTGATAGTGGTGTTTAACTAAAATCTTCACTGTCTTCATCCTCGTCTGTAGAATACAAAGCATTTTCTACCTAGAATAAATATAAAATAAATTTAAATTTATGAAATTTTTATTAATAAATTTTTAAAAAGTTTAAATCTTGTTAATAAATTACGCATTTCTAGTTTAAAATTGAGTTATATTTATTTAATTGTCTTTAATTGAACTTTTCTCTTTGTTATGTCATGTGTAATTATTTTACTAACTTAAAATGATTTGGCTTGTATTGAGTATAATTACAATCGTTCTCAATATGAGAAATACTGCAACAAATTCTACAGGCTGTAGATATTTGTTAATAGCTTTGATAAAATTTTACTGAGTGAGATATTTTGTAAAAAGTTTCTTTTTCTATTGGATATTTTTCTAACAAATTCATAAAATCTATCAAACTAACTTGGAAAAGTGATGACATTCCTAAACTTTTAATGGTGTAGCAAGATTGATATTCCATTTTAAAGAATTCAACTTGCCCAAAGTATTCTCCTTTTTCCTTAAGAGTTCTACAAGTTGACTCTCTAAAATTAATCTCTACTCTTCCTTAGTTAAGTATAAAAATGGAAGGATTAGCAATGTGCTTATTTTCTTCCTGAATGATTTCATCAGAGCAAAAATAAATTTGCTTAACTTTTAAAGACAGCTCCTCAATAAATTAATTACTAAAATTATTCATAAAAATGTCTATTTTTTTTAGTGCTTCTCCCTAAACTTTAATCAATATTTCTCTCTATAAATTATTTGAAAGTTAATTTATGAACTCATTAGATTAGATTTCTTAATCTCTTTTTATGTAAATATATTCCAAATATTTTCTAATCTTATTTTGTAAATCCAGTTCTATATTATTTTATCTCATATATAAGTTAACACCACCCATAGATTAAATAAGTTACTCTCTATTCTTTGTTATAGACTATAAAATAGTACCTATTTTACTTATGCTATATCCAAAAAGCACACATCCAATCAAAATAATCATTACGTCAATAACCTATATATTAATATATTTTTATTTTATTACAATCAAAAATTATAGAGCATCTCAAAGTATTTTCTAAATAAATGTTAATATAAAATTTATTTTTTTTATTAAATAATTTAAAAATCTCCACAGATCATAATGTGCATACTCACTCATAACATTTATTTTTTGCAGAAAATAGTTTCAAAAATTTTGAGCATTGAAAATAATTATTTAAGTTAATGCATTAATAACAAGAATTAGATCAATTAAGAGAGTGCATAGTATATAATAAAACTTGAGAGCTTGATTTAACTTTTTAATTTTGATAACTTGAAATAATCTAAACTTGTATAATAAACTCAAAATATTTATTGTTTTATGAGCAAATTAAGAAAATAATAATTTTAAATGATATTAGTTAAAATAATTGTGGACAAAATGTTTTTATAAATAATAAAAGAAATAAATAAATTTACTCTCTCTAAATCTGTTTTTGGTGTAAAATCTCCGTATCCTACTGTATTCATTGTAACTATACTAAAATAAAGACTTTTTATATAAACACTAATTACACTTACATTTTATAAACCAGAAAGATCTATCCAATTATCCATATTGTTTAATTTTTACCATTAACCTAGTTCTACCCATTAGCAAGCTACTATATGGCCAGCTAATATATCTAGAGTTATCAAAGTAAATAAATTAAAAAGCTCCTATTTGACAATACTAAATATATTTTCTTTAAATTTATCAATAAGTTCTAGTAGAGAATTAATTTTAAGGATTAGAAATATGTATTCCTATTATTTGAAAAAATATAAATTTGGAAAGAGGAGAATGTATAGAGCTAAAATGTCTATGAGCAATCTTTTTTTAATATAATTAAGCAAAATATCTTGATGAGTCTTTATGATCTCTCCTTCATAAAAAAACTAAGTGTTTATTTTTATAAGAATATCAGCAATAAACACTAAGTACAGTTTATCACTAAATTTATTTAAAAAAATATTTTATTTTAAGAAATAGAAATATGAGTTAATAAATACTGGATGTCCTCATGAATACTCAAATATTCAACATTAGTACGGAATGGTATGTAAAAGAATGCATAAATTAGGCAGATTAATTGGATTCGCTCCCAAAATATAATAAAGGCGCTATATGGATCCCATGGTATTATTTTTTAGTCAATATATATCATAAATCGGATAAATTTATCATTTAAAGTGGCGATGAAGGTTGCAACACAAGTGTAAATTTTATTAATAATTTTAATAAAATTAACAAACTTACACCTTTTTCTATTAATAACAGCCTTAGTACTAATTAACTATTGTTTATCTTTTTCATTGGTAATAACACTTTTATCAAAGGCTTTATCAGCAATAATATCTATCGCTAATTTATTAAACATTTATGGATTCAGTTTGCATTTTTGCAATTTAATTAGCCTAACAACGTATATTATCATATAGAATAGATTAAAAAATTATTTCCTCCAAACTTAATTTAGGTTTGGAGAAGTTGAATTTTTTTTTTAGTATTTCTAGGCAGTGTTTTTGTTTGTATCTTGCTAGTAAATAAATTAGAGAGAAGTAGACATATCGCCTCCATTTTAATTTTTTTTTTCTTATTAGCATTTCAATACAGAGGAGATATCATTTGATTCATCTTTTATCTTTTAACTCTAAACCTCAACTTTTTTTTAAGTTGGTAATCTTTCATCCTCCTCTCCTAAAATGCTTATCTTTTCAAAAGTCACATCTATAATATCTTCATTTTGTTTATTTTTAAATCTTACAGTCGAATCTCTATCTTCAAAAAGTTATCGCCTATTTGTGGCACCTGACAAATATATAGAAATGTCTTCTTCCATCTAGATAAAGCAGGTTGTTTGCTTATCTTGATATTATAGTTGGATATTTATAGTAAATTTATATATTTATCAACCAGTATGAGAAAAGGAAACAAAAATTAATTATATTTACCAAAAATTTTCAAAAAATTATAGTTAATTATTTAGTAATACTAATATAATAGCCAAAATTTTTGCTTTTATTTATTTACTTCTACTTTAGTCTATGAAATTTTTAGAATTTCATTCATTTTACATTCTTTAAGGATAACTTTAAGAGATTTTAAATGAAATTACACTTAAATATATTAGGAAAGCCTTAAAAAATTAATTAAAATTATTCTAAAATTACAGAATTAAACAACTGAAATTTTAATTTTGAATAATTTTATTTTTATTTTCATTTATATTTTAAATAAATTTAAATTAACACATAGTATTAAAAATATTTACTCATGGTTTAATATTTTATATTAAGTTATAAACTTCTTTAAATAACCATGTTAAGCTACTATAAGTTAGATTTAAATATTTAGAAACACTCATTAAATCCATTTTTATATGAATATACATGAGTAACAAACATATGAACACTTTAAAAATTTAAATTAAAAGAAATTTTAGAAAAATAGTTTAAATTATTTTAAAATTTTCTAAAATAGGAAAAAGAAATTGTTCAAAAAAAATGTATCTATTAAAACAATTTAAAAAAATTCTAGATAATACAAGTATTTTTATATTATTCCTTATTTATTTATCTTTTCTATTCAAGTAAAAGCTTCACATTTATTGTTAATTAATTTTTATTATTAAAATAAATTAAACATAAAAGGTCTTAATTAACTTTGATTTTATTTAAAATATGAGAATTTATATAAAAAAAGATGAAGATTTCAATATTATTTTAATAATGCTTGATAATCTTTAAATAATAATTAATTTAATTTAAATAGAATTGCATACAAAAATATCATTCATTATTTGTTCCTTCGTGATATAATAAATTCAATATATTCGTATTGGAAAGAAACAATTATTTATAAAGCTTATTTACTTATATTTTTTAGTCATAAATATATATTATAATGAGTTATAATTGCTTAAAACATAAAAGTAAAGCAATCCTCTTTTGTATTGACGATAAATGCTCTAAATAAAGTAGATATATCTGTAGTAAATGTGAAATTAACAACGAGCATGATAATCATTAAATAGAAATGATTGAAGAAATACCTAAAAAAGTCAATAGATGTGTTTTTTAAGATGACCCAAAAGAAAAATTAATTTCTTCAACAAAGGAACTTATCAAATAAATAAAATAGAAATTAAACAATTTACTGCAAAGATATGAAGAGTAAATATGCTTACTTGTTAAAGATGAGTGCTTAAAAGTAGAGAATTAACTTTAAAAAGGAAAGAAAATGTTATCATCTAATTTTAATGAGCTACTAATTGAGGATTAAGAGTTATTTATTGATTTAGTAAATAACAGAATTGGATTCGATTCAATAGCTTAAAATGTCAGAAACAGATAAACACAGCTAGAATAATCTATTTCGTAAATTTAGTCTACGTTATAAGAAAGATTAACCCTACAGACTTTTAAAAAAATAAAAGCTTTTGAAATATAGCTTGACACTATTTGTAATTTTATTACGCTAATTTTTTACTTACATAAAAGTCAAAATTCAAAAATTTAATCTTTTGCTACAAAAATTAACAGATAATATCCAAGAAAAGTCTTTTTGCATGTTAAATGAAGATGAGTTAGTGGTTGGGGAAGAAGATGGAAGCTTAAAACTGATAAATTTAGAATAGAATAAACAAATTGCTTCTATTGAACTTAAGCGAGTTGTATCAAGTTTTTCGTTAGAAAAAATTAGTTCTTTCTAAGTTGTAGCTTATGAAAAATAATCAGAATTTTTAGAAATAGTAGACTTTAATGCTTTACAAGGAAAAAATATAATACTATTAAAAAACAAAGTAACAACTTAAAAGTAAATAATTAAAATTAGATTGAAATATTTATAAATATTCGTTATTAGGGTTTAATTTCTTGTATCAAATCTGTCGTTTTTGGAGAGATAATTAGTATTGGTTATACAAATGGCTAGCTAAAAATATATAACTACAAAGAGAAGACTTTTGTTTCAAAAATAGATTGCAATTTTGATAATTCAAATGCTGATATGTCTATACAGTGCATTGATATTCTTAATGATCTAATTGCTGTTGGAGGTAAAAGTGGGTTTGTTATGATTTGGAATTGGAAAAGTGGTTAACTTGTTAAAATTCTAAAGAAAGCCTTTACAAATAGTGACTTATCTTCGAAAAGCAATACACACGAAGTAAATAAGGGCAGGTCCATTAAAAGAATTTTATTTGTAAATGCAAATGAAATTCTTACATAAGGAGAAGATGTTAACTCGTTTTAATTTTATTCACTTAATATTGAGAATTAGCAGTAATATCCACTAAGTTACATTAATGTGATTAGATTCTTATAACCTTAGGATTATCAATCTATAATAATCAAAAAACCATAATATGAGCTTCCTTTAGACTTTGAAACATTTTAAAATGAATATAGCAGGGATAATATTATTTTTATACAAAAAGATTTTAGAAAAAATGGACAATATTTGTAGATTTACTGCCATTCTACTAACAAAATAAAAGGTTAATACTATTTAGAAAGAAGTTCTTAAATAGTAGCTGTATATCTTACTTCTAAGCATCTCATCGTGTTTTATTAAGACGGAATCATAGAAGCATATGTATGATGAAATTGTTTTGTTGATAAATAATTTACAGTTATTAAAATATATTTCCATTTGTGAATTATTGAGTTTGATTTTAATGTATTAATAGTAATTATATATTTTCTAGCTTGATATTTCTATATTTAATCAATGTTTAAATGTTTATGTTGAGTTTTCAAATTAATTCATTTTCAAATATTAATTCAAAATGGGATTCTGCAATTAGGACAATTTTTTTCCCTCAAAGCCCTAACACATTCACTATGGAAAACATGTCTACAAGGTAGAACTAATATTCTTTCTTCTGGTAAACACTAATCTATACAGATACTGCATAATCTATGCTCATCATACCTAAAACTTACATCCTATTAAGACAAACTTTAATTAATATTAAATTAATTATTTTATTAATTCTAGTTTTATTATTAATTTTATTATTATTATTATTAAAATTGTTATTGTTATTATTATTACTATTATTATTATTATTGTTAGCTCTATTAAAGTAAGCTCACTGATAAATCGCTCTAATCTAATAATAATTATTATTATAAATTATGTATATTTTATAGATTCCTACTCTTTAATTTTTCGTAGCCAAAAATTAAATTTAAAAATAATATTAAACTTATTGCTACTTCAGATCCATATATAGCATTATTAATATCCTAATTAATATCATCGTTTATAGATTTAAAAAGTATTTTATATGAATCTATAGTGTAAAAATTACTATTAGCACAAAGAAACGCAATACCTGATGTAACTAAAAAGTAAAATATTATGTAGATTAAGAGTTTGCACTTTTAATTTTAGAATCTAATTAAGCTTATACGCCTGTTATTCATTTTATAAGTTATATTCTCAGATATGATTGAAAAAATCCAATAGCTAAGTTAAATAGAGCAAAAAACAATTCGATCCTATTAAGTAACTTCAGGACTATAGTATGAATTGCTAAATAAAATGTATTTAGTATTTAAATAAATATCTATAAAGGCGAAACCATAAAAAACTAGTCTATATATTTGTTTTAAAATTTTCTTTATCATTTTTGTTACTTCTATTTTAGGTCTATCTATATCAATCTGTCTTAAAAATTGTATTTTAAAAGATTGATTTATAATTTTTAGATATTTTTCTTAATTTATAATTTCTTTAAAAAGCAAATGAAAAAGAAAACATGATATTTTTTTATGAGAAATAATTCAAAAATGAAAAAAAAAAAATGATTTTTTACATTATTAAAAATTTAAAAGAAAATATTTTTAAATTATATTTTAATTGTATGTGTTTAACACTAAACTTTATAAAACAATATGCAGTCTCAAAGATATATTTTTTACTTTTTCTTCACCATTCTAAAAAAATTACATAACACAATAAATAAATATTGCATACTTTAATTTCTCCTATAATCCTATAAGATAGTCTTCTTAATTAAAATAAATATTAATATGATATCAATTTAAAAGAGGTTATTAACTATCTACAAGGGTTTGTAAAGACTTTAATTATCTATAGGTAAATACTAAATTTGATAGAAGAATAGCGCTTATAGAAAATTCCATAATAGTTACTACTTTTATTATTTAACCACTATTTTAATCTGCTTAGAAAGCATCATCTATGTTTATTTAATCCCCAAAATAAAGTATAGTTAAATAAAATCCTACAGCAAGAGGGATAAGGATGTAAATTATTGTAAAAACCTTAATCTTTTGTTTGTGTTATGAAAAATTGTAAGCGCTAATAACAGAATAGAATATAAAACATGATATTTACTCAGCGATTATGGTGAATATCCAAAAAGAAAATTGATAAATAGCTAATCCAACACTATTTTAAAATGTGATCTGTGAATTTATTTAGCAATTAAGCAACAAATACTTTATCGAAAAATAAAAGACAACAAAAGCGAAGCAATAAAAGAAAAGTCTGAATGTTTAGAATATTACCCTTATCATTTTTTATTGTTATTGTGTATATTTTAAATATTCTAAGGTCTTTTTATCTAATTAAAAATATTTATGATTTTTACAAAGATATGTAAGAAAGGTTCATTCAAAAAGTAATATTAAAATTTATAAATACCACATATTTAATTAAGTAAAAAAATTTTAAGTGAAAATTTTTAAAGTCAATTTTTGATTATTAATATTTTCTAAAAAGATAAAAAATTTTCATCAATTTTTGAGCAAATTAATTTACAGAATTTTGTTGAGCAATTTAATGCATACTTTAATTTAGGTAAAGATTTTATAAATAAATAAATAAATTTTTGTTATTTTAATTTTGTAAAATTAATAAAAACTAAAAATTTTTAGCATTTTTTTAATCTTGATATTTTTCAACAATTTTTTTGTGTAATTAAAAAATAAATAAGATAATCTAATTAAATTTATTTGAGAAAACAAATATAATTTTTTATTTGAAAACAACTCAAATATTATAAATATGTTCGTTTAGTTTACAATTTTTATTTTGGTTTTAGTTTAATAAAAATCAATTTTCTTTAAAAAACCTTGTAAAACTATCTTTTTCAAAGAAATTTATAATATTTCGATGTTTTTATTCAAAAATATCTAATAATAATGTTTTTTTCATATAAAAAATAAATAAACATTTAAAAAAAAAATAATTTCACTCTAAATTATTTTTAACTTAGCATTAAAATAAATAATAAATAAAAGCTTTTCATAGTAAATTATTTCTTTTTAAATAGCCATGAGTAGAATTTTAAGTGGAATAGTGAATACTCCTTTAATTCATTTTAAAAATTCAAAATACCTTTTAAGATTTAAAAAGTAAAGATTATTTTAATGTAATCAAAAAATTTAAGTATAACAAAGTTGCAAAAGAAAATATAATTCATATACAAGCTAAGTAAATGACACAGATAATAGGATGACAAATCGACATTTACAAAGAAAATTAAATTTTAAATAACTAGATCTTTACTGTTTCAGTAAAAATTAATGCATAAGAGACGTATCTAACGTAAAATCTAATGTGATGAAATACACGCAATGAGAAAAAAGAATCTTTTGATGTATTTACCTTAAAAACAAATTTTGTATATCTGTTTAATAAAAAATTTATTTTTAAAAACAAACAAACAATAAATTAAATAAAAACACAATAAAGCTTTAAATAGAAAAATTAAAAGATGCTCTCCAGAATTCTTACTAGACACTTCTCCCTTTGGGCTGGCGTTCCCAAGGCTCCCCCTGATCCAGTTTTAGGTATGCAATATGATTTATAATGAATATATTTACGCCTCTTATCTTTAACCGAAATAAGGTATTTACTTATTATTATTTTAATATAGGTGTTGCTGAAGCCTTCAAGAAAGACCCTGCTACTAATAAGGTTAACCTCTCTGTTGGTGCTTATAGAGATGATAATGGCAAGCCCGTTGTTTTAGAATGTGTTAGAAAAGTAAACATATATTTACTACTGCATTTACATTTAAAATTGCACTTTTATTTCATTAAAAAAACATTTAATGAAAATTTAAAAATCAAAACAATTAAATGTTTATAAAAATCTAAAAATTGATATAAACCTTCAGGATGACATCTTATAAAAAAGATAATTGATCATTTAATTTAAATTTATATTGCTTGTGCTAAGGATTTTATAATTAATCAACATTTTACAAAAATTAGGCTCAATAAATCGTCATTGAGAAGAATCTTGATAACGAATATTTACCTATCTAAGGTAATGATGTATTCACTCATGCTGCTTTGAAGTTAGGTTACGGTGATGCTTTTTACAGTTCTAACAAAGATAGATTAGCTGGTGTTCAAGTTCTTTCAGGAACTGGTGCTTTGAGAACAGGTTTTGATTTCTTAAAGAAGTTCTTGCCTGCTGAAACTACTGTCTACGTTCCTAATCCTACCTGGCCTAATCACAACAATATTGCTCGTGATGCTGGCTTTAAGGTTGAATTTTACACCTACTATGATCCTGCTACCAAGGTAAATAAAAATACAAAGATTTGATTGAAAATTTATAGTTAAGTGGCAAATAAAAATGAATTTTTCAATTAAAATAGTCTGTTAACTTCTCAAAGCTTTTAGATGAAGCTAAAACTTTTAAGAATGGTTCTGTTTTCATTTTACACGCTTGTGCTCACAATCCTACTGGCTGCGATCTCTCAATCAATCAATGGAAAGAACTTAGAGACGTTTTCCTCAAGAAGAACCACATTGCCTTCATGGATATGGCCTATCAAGTAAAAAATACACTTTAAGTTTTAAATTTTAGAAATAAAAATCTTAGGAAAGCACTGAATTAATTAATTAATTAAATAATCTAGATCATTCATATTAATTAGCACATTTTATTAATTAAAAATAAAATAAGAAATAGGAATTAGAAAATTTAAAACTTTTTAATTTATAAAGCCATTCAAAAAAAATAATAGTGAGAGAATGAAAGATATTTTTTAATTTAAAATATCTTTATTTGTTTAAAAGCAATAAATAATATAATTAAATCAACAATAGAATCAATCAATCAATAAATAATAATAATTCCTGTCTGACTAGCTTTATCAGAAATTAAAAAGTTTCATCCACCTAAATTATTCAAATATTTAGATTATTAATTTTTTGCAATTTTAGAGATTTATATAAATCAATCAATATTTTGTTTCCAGATTAGAGAGCTAAAAATAAAAATTTATTAAAAATTAATTAGGGTTTCACCAGTGGTGATTGTTAAAAGGATTCTGAAGCTGTTAGACTCTTTGCTGATTCTAATGTTAACATGCTTTTGGGCTAATCCTTCGCTAAGTCTATGGGTCTCTATGGATAAAGAATAGGTTCATTATCCGTTTTGACTCAAAACGCTAACGAAGCCTAAAACGTTCTTTCATAATTAAAGTAAGTCATTCGTCCTAATATTTCTTCTCCTCCTCTTCACGGTGCTAGAATTGCTGAAATTATTTTGACTAATCCTGAACTCTTACAACTTTGGTACAGAGAAGTTAAGATTATGGCCGACAGAATCGCTTAAATGAGAGTTCAATTAGTTAAGAATTTAAAGGATGTTGGTTCTCAACACGATTGGAGCCATATCACTAACCAACGTGGTATGTTTGCTTACACTGTAATTAATTAATTTAAATATACATTTTTTTAATTTGATAATATTTTTAAATAATTCTATTAAAAATAATAGATAATTATTGATATATTTATTATAAAATAATTTCATTCAAACGATTTAAATATTTTTATTGTATTAAATAAATTTAGGGTGTCAATAAATAATAAGTCGAAAGTTTAATCAACGACTACCACATCTATTTGGTTGGATCTGGTAGAATCAGTATTGCTGGTTTAAACACCAAGAACGTTGGTTATGTTGCTGAAGCCTTCCACAATGTAACTAAAAATTCTAAAGTCTGAGAAATAAAAATACTTATTTGTATATTCTTACTACTTATATTGCATAAGAGGAAATAAATAAATCATTAGACCTCTGTTAAAATATCTGTATTTTACATGCTCATTTATGTTAATATGTTAAATAATTCGTTTTTTGCAACTTTAAGTATCTCAAATTACTTTTCAAATAAGAAATTAAATAAATAAAATTATTTCAAATTATTCATCAAACTTCAAAGCATAAAATTTCATATTTTAATATTAATTATTTGTAAAAATTTTTATTTTATTTAAATAAGTATTTGAATATTGTAAATATAAGAATAATTATCCATTAAAAATTAATTTATTTATTAATAAAAGTTAAAAATTATTTTTGGTGTTTAATTTAATATTCATATTATTAGTTATGAAAAAAATAATTTGCTATTTTAAGGGTTAAAACCTTGTGATTGATAGTAGAGGTTAAAATATAAAAACTAATTAAATTTATTCTTAAATATTTTCAAAGTTTAAAAGAACTGTTTAAATTTTTTATTCAATTTTCAATGAAAAATCTAAAATATTTTTTTAAAAGTAAAAAAATTAATGAAAATAAAAAGTAAATTGAAAAAAAAAATGTAAAGAAAAAATAATAAACACATTTTACCTATATTATTTTCCCAATTATTTCATAACTTCTAATTCATCTTAATCTTAAACATTTAAATTTTTAATCAATTAATCTTATTTTATAATCTAATTAATAAAATTCACGTGAGTACCTCCATTTTATGGTAATCCATTAACAAATGAAATTATATTCTTTTATAATTACTAACCTGGAATTATAATATTATTTTTATCTTCTAGAATTATGAGTTAATAATATTAATCAACAAAATTAATAATATTTAAATTCTATTATTTATGTTCTTCATTAATAAACATATATAAATAATCTAATAAATTATTTACATTTATAATTTATCTGTCTAAAAATAATCTTGTATTATTATCCTGTTTACAATAAATTATAGTAGATGAATAAATTCCAATCATTTATGCATATAAAATTTATTTTAATAATGGTAATTAATCTTTTTCAAACTTGAAAAAATTATAATCTATTTTAAATCTTATTTACACATAATCATCCTCTTATTATTGTATTAATTATTTATTGTTAATACTTGATTGTATATTATCTTTTTTTTATTTGTTATTGTTTATTTTTACATGAGTTATTTAAGGTTCACTATGTTTAGTATTTCCTTCATAATGTAATTATTTGAAAATTAAATTATCATATTTAGTTTCTACCTCAAAATATTCAGATAATACATTTGTTAATTTTGCACCATAACCATTCTTTCCTCCAGTTAATTTTGGATCATTTAAATTTGTATTTTAATAATTTGATGAAGTTCTTTCATGTGAAAATATTAATTCTGGAATAAATATATTATCTTATTTTTCAATAGGAATACCTTTTCCAACCGTTTTCAAAACAATTTCACCTTCAATTTCATCAAAATCTAAATATATTTATATTCCTTTTTTTTATTTTCTCTATTGAAATATAACATCTCTTGCATTGGTTAAAATTTCACCTATTACAGTTAATAAACCTGGAATTATTTTAACTTTTTTATACTCTAATGTTATTTAATTCTCTTAATTTTTAGAGTAAATTGGAGTCATAATTTCTTCAGGTTGTATAGAACCTATGTACATATCAGCACATTATCTAACGTGCAATTCAAATTTCATTTATTTGTATTGATTTTGCATTTTTTTTATTTATTTATTTATTTATTTTTAAATTATTGATTTAATTATCTAATGATATATAAATTTCTATTATTTCTTATTTATTTGTTTTTCAATTTTTCATAAAAATATAATTTTTATTTTTTGTTTTGTTTTCGTTTTTATTTTTTTTTTTTTGTTGTTTTTTCTTTTTATTTTGTTTTTTTTTTTATTTTTTTAAATTAATGATAAAAAGTTATAAATTGTTAATTAAAAAGATCATATTTCCTAGCTCAGGAAAAGATCAACTTTTAGCGTAAATAATGTTTTAAAATAAAGAAAGTAATAGAAATCATTTTCTAATTTGATTATTGTAGGGTGGTAAATTTATAAATTAAGGTGAATCTAAGATATTATTGCTCATATTGATTATCTACGAATTCTACCCTTGGATATTTTAATGATATATGTTCTAGTTCTAGTTCTAGTATTGATATTGGGGAATTTAACTAAAGGGATCATTGTATTAGGGAGCTTGGCCAAATGGATCGTATTGATGATAAGCTTATTACATTGGAGCTTAATTATAGGGATTATATTACTGAGGAATTTGATATGTTGGAACTTAACTATAGAAAGCATTCTATTGAGGAATTTGTTAGATCGGAGCTTAATTATAGTTAAATTATTATTGAGGCAACATATAAGGGACATATTATTAAGCTATTCTTTTATTTATAAAATCTATAATTTCTTGTTTATTGGGTGGATTTTAAGATTTTTCCTCATACCACTACTAATACTAAAATAAAATGGAATTTTATCTGCTACATTGATCAAGATATTTAAAAACATTTTTTATTTTTTCTTATTCTAATTTAAGATGAAAACTATCATTTTATATTTCTTATTCCTCACTCATATTAATATCTGTCTTCAACAAGAAACCTAAATGCTTCTTTAATTCAACAAAGTCTTGTTATGGTATATGTTATTACATTTATAGATTCTAATCTATAATTTCATTTTTAGGTTGATTTTATACAAAATCAAACTGTTTCATCTTCTCCAAACGATAGCTTTTCCTTCTATGTTTCTATGTTTCTTTATTATCTTGTTCTTATTATTCTCTTACTTGCTTTTAATATTATTCTATATAAATATTGTATTATTTCACAATAATAATTTTTCATTTTTTTATTTTAACCATTTTTCAAAAATAAAAATATAATTTTTATTTTTTGTTTTGTTTTCGTTTTTATTTTTTTTTTTGTTGTTTTTTCTTTTTATTTTGTTTTTTTTTTTACTTTTCAAATTATATATTTCAATATTCAGTTATAAAAAAGTATTTCAGAATCCATCAATTGTTGTATTTATTATCGTCATCAAAAAAATTGGGTGGATCGAATTCGAATTAAGAGATACATAGATTATTTTATTATTATTATTATTATTATTATTATTATTATTAATATTATAAATCGTTATTATAATTATAATTATAATTTGTAGTCCTGTCTTGATACAAGGTCAATGCTTGGTTTTGATAATTATTTTCAAAATTATTGGGAGTACCGTAAATAAATTATGTATTTAAATCGGCGTTGAAGTTATAATATTAGAATTCATATTTTTCTTCTTCTTCATATTATTCTTCTTCCATTTGAAGAGCCTAATTATTGTTCTATTCGGATTATTAAATTTAGTGGAATTATATTTGTTATGGTTCCTCATGTTGGTAGTCCATTTCTTAATCTTAGAGCGCAAATCTACGGAACTTTTCCTATTACTACTACTGAAATTCGATATTTTAAGAGAAATATATCTCATAAGCCCATCTTTGTTATTCTCCATTAGGGGCAATATCTAAGGGCACATATCCACAAGTTGTATTTAATATATTTGGTGGTTGTTATTATTAATTCTGCTATTATTAATTCTACTATTAATTCTGCTATTATTATTGTGGCTCAGGGATAACATCTGCGTTAGATTAAATTTAGATTTCCTATTATTCGATATTATTATTTTAATTCATAACATTGCTCTAACTGTTGTTAACAGAATTTTTATTTTTCGTATTTGGTCTCTTGTATGATTTTTTAGCTTTCTTAATTTTTTTGTTTATGGGAATAGAATTAGAATTTTAATCTCCAGGTATTTCATCATCATCTTGGTTTTCTTAATCATTTTTAGGATTTAATTCTTCTTCTTATTAATTTTTTTTAATATATTCCTCCCTTTATTTCTTCTCTAATTCTAATCCCAAATATTATTATGGACCGTAAAATTCTATAAATTAAAAGAGCTAATAGTTTAATTAATTTAAATCGCTTGTTTGATATTTCTCGACCACAAAATTCTATATAAATAACATACTTTATGCGAACTTAATTTCATATTATTAATTTTAAATATTTATTTATATTTATATATCATTTTGAAAAACTGAATTCATTCTCCTCTAAATATTTTGAATGTGCCTAAATAAGTGTTAACAGTGCTATACGTGAGGTTGATTCTTGAATCGAGCTTGGTTTCTATTAATTATTTCATATCTTTTGAGTAGACATTTTATAATAAGAGAAAATATCTGTACATCTCCACATTTGCTTACTTTGCATTGCTAGACAAAAAACTTTGCTTTTTCATAAAGCATAATATTTTATAATTTTCTAAGTTAATTATATTATTCTTCATCTGAATCACCGCCCATATTAAGTTATTGTCGTTATTATTTATTTTTAATTGCTTTGCAGAAATTTTAAACCAAATAAATTTACGGTTCTAACACATATCCGTGTATAGTAGTCAATATATTTTTCCAAAATATATTAAAAAAGTGTCCTCCGTAGGTAAAATTTAAATTAGTAGGCAATACTAATTATTTTCCCTTTTCTATATTGTCCATAATGTCTTTAAATTTATACTAGACACCAAAAATGTTATTCCTCATATTTAATTGTTTGTTTTAAAGAACTGACTCTTCTGTGCAAATTTTTTATATCCTAATCATGTTGAATTTTTGATATTTTTCCAAATTATCTGATTTTTGATCTTAATTTATATTTTGGCTTTAATTTTATTGATTTGGTGTATAATCAAAATCTTCACCTTATTCGCCTATTCTTAAATAAGGAACCACGACGGGTAATAATTATTTTTTTCCATTTCTTCCTTTGATTATCTCAACAAAAACTCCCATTTTCATTTATTGGTTTTTAAAAAATTTTGGAAAATTAGAAGTTTTTTTACATTTTAAATTCTAAGCATCTGTTTAAAAACTATCCATAAAACCGTCTTACTCTAAATATTTCGTATTTAGATAATGGATTGTGTTTGCTAAATAGTATTGTAAGTAAATTAATTCCTATAATATAGGTTTCAACTAGAAATCTTTGTTCTCTTGTGTTCTCATCTAATTCAATCCGTCATACTATTATTAAATTAAATTTAATCCTAGCAAGTAGTAGTCTATTTGCTTTTTTATCTCAAAATTTACGTTATTTTATTGATCATCTTATCGCATTTAGTTTATATGTTGAAATAGTTATTCGTTCGCCATCATCTCATATTAGAGAATATTCTACACTCCGGTGAGATTATTTTAATTTTCATTGACGAATTTGCTCATATATTTAAAATAGCTGTGTTTCAAATCTTATTCTTATTGAGATTATTCTTATTATAATGATCCGGATCCCATTTCAGCATTCATTAGATCTTCAATTTGTTGGCGCTTTTGCGAAAATTAGAAAGCATAACCTAATAAGAACGTTATATAATATATCCACTTGTTATTGCAAAACGTCTTATCTGAAGATTCTTTCGCAAAACCAGACCAATACAATAAAATAGAATATGAATTATAAAACATATACTGAAGAAGAACTAGATCTTCTAGTTTTACTCTCTTTTACTCATTTCCGATATCCTGTAATGAATCTAATATTTTTTGTCCAATATCTACAACCTCATAGTCTAATTTCATCTCTTCTAAAAATTTTTTATTGTATTTTTCTGAAATTTTTTCAAATTCTTTCAATTATTTTCTTTTACCTCTTTTATTATTTTTTATTCCTAATTGATTCATGAAAATATTCTTTAATTCTTAAAATTCTTCTCTTTCATCCGCACTCACATTGTGAATGTTTTTGTTATTGTAGTCTAAATTTTAAATTATTCTCCCGAAAATTTTTTATTCTGTTAAATTTTCTATATCAAAATGAGATTATATTTATTTCTTTTCTTTAGCTATAGTATTCTATGGTCTTGAAATCTTAAAGCCACTCAAGAAATCTACAATTTCTTCATGATTGTAAATTTTTTTATCATTTTTTTATTTTTTATGAAACTATAGTAATAATGATTCTTATCTAAGTAAATCATATTTATTTTTCACATCTTACGACTCTTTAAAAAATTTTCCCAATTATTCTTTCACATTTTCAAATTCACCTATAACATTTTCTCCAATTTCTTATATGGAATATTGTTAAAGTTGTTCTAATGTTAAGAAACCATTTGACATATTTTGGTCTCCTTCTTTATTTAAAATCTCCATGATAATTCTATTCTGATCATAAAGAGTTTAAGATTGAGGATTATTCTAATCCATATTCATTATTATATTTCCGACTTGTTTTTCTAACCTTTTTTATATTAAAACCCTATTATATTAATTGTTTTTTCTATGTTATAATTACTGTGTTTTTTCACTATAATAATTTTTCATTTTTTTTAAATTGAATTAAAATCAATCATTCAATAATAAAAATATAATTTTTATTTTTTTTTTATTTTTGTTTTTATTTTTTTTTTTTAATGTTTGTTTTTTTTATTTGTTTTTTTTTTGTTTTTTTAAATTAAAGAAATAATCAAATTCCCATCTCAGGAAAAGATCATATTTTCATATAAAATTTTATTTTAATTTTTAAAATTTGAAATGTAAAGAAATAAGAATTGGGTGCGGATCATTATCTGTTTTGGTTGAAGATGTTGTTATTGATGCCGGATAATTGTAAATTCTATGCTTAGAAGTTCTACTAATATACGTTTTAGTAAATATAATGCGGAACATAATAATAAGCTTACTACCCTGGAGCTTAATTATATGTAATATATTACGGTTGAATTTACTATATGGCTATAGGATATTAATAATATATAATATTCTAATACGGAGCAGGCTAGAATTAAACTTGATTATATATGTTATATTGTTAAGGTGGAGGGGCGTATTGTTGAGTTTACCCATAAAGATTTTATTAGTTGAAAGTTGTACTAGAAATGAAGCTATTGTAATTAATATTATTTTAAGTTTGTATTCTATCTTAAGAAAATACATAAGATCCCATCGTATCATTTTAAATCATATTTTCTTATTGATCTTAACCTTAATATTAAATTTAATTTTAATTTTACTCTTCTTCTTCATTTTAGTTTTCTTACTCTTTTTTTTATTTCTTTTTGAGTTTTTCAGAATTCTTTTCATTCTTTGAAGCCTGATTCTTTCTCTTTTTATTCAATTCAGTCTTTTTCTGTTTTTAGCCGCTCGAACCATTGATATTAATTTTATCGGATTTATTTTCATCGAGATTATTTTCATCAAGATCAATTTAAATTTCATTTCCTAATTATTAATTTTCACTGTTTAAATTTAATAATTCATCGATAAGTTTCAGTCCTTATTAATCAAATATGTTTTATTCCTAAATCTCTTCTTCAGCTGAAAATTAAATTTATATTTAATTATTTTTGCTCATTTTTTTCAAATTGTATCTTTTTTTTTTGGAAGCCTTTCGAATTTCTACTTTTTCTTTTCCAATATTTTCTTTTCTTCCTAAATTTCTGTCATAAAACTTATAGTATTGAAATCTATCTTCTTTTGAAAATATTAATTATTCATCTTCTTAAAATTTTTCATGCGGTTCTATATTCCCTTACAAAATTAAATCAAATCTTCCAATTTATGATTTCGAACATTTATTTTCCATTTAAATTTATTTTGTCTTAATTTATAACAGATTATTTTATCTTTCTTAAAATGTGAAAATATTAATTTTAACTTAATTATTAACTCTTTGAACTTTATCTATACATTCGAACAATGATGATCTCTTGAATTTGAAATAGTTTTATTTTACTAATTTTACATCATTTTAAATTTAAATTCTATCTAAGAAGAATCTTTCTATAATGAAAGAAATAGAAATTAAAAATTCTTAGTTTATATACTTGCATTAGTAAATATAAAACTTTGCCTACTCTTGGAATAAATAATTCTGGAATAATCTTTATTGCTCAGAATTATACAAATTACCTTCTTTTATTCTTTTTTCATGATCAATTATTCTGCAGAAATAATAAGCCATTTGCAGTTACAGACTTTGTATGTTACCATATGGGTCTTATAGTACATTTTTCCAAAATGAATTATAAATTAAACCCCCTGGACAAACTTTAATTGTATATGGCATCATTAAATGACTATTTTCAAGTTTATTCTAAAGTAAAATTTTATCATCAGATATAATACCGCCTTATCTATAGATTTTCTTATCAGTAGAGCCACTAACATTAAAAGATAGAAATTAAAATATTTTATAAATAGTTTGAGAAGTATTCTAATGTTATTAATTAAATTGGTAATCGCCGAAACGTAAATATGGAACGATTACAGGATATATATATGTTTATTCATTCTGTTTGCTGAAATCGAAGAATAATCCTACTTCTCTTTAAAATTTCTAAATTAAATAAGAAACATCGCAATCTTTTACATCATGCTCTGATTCAATCAAAGGAATCATTTATTAAATCTATTCTATAATTCCATTTTATTCTAAATTTTTGAAATTTACCTTAGAAACAATATTTCCTAGTTGGACTTAGAAATTAACAATGTCTTGGAGTATCATTTTTTATAGAATATTAACTCTATTTATGCTTTCGAATTTGTTGATATTTTGTTGGATGATATTTAAACCTAGAAAATAAACTTCTGCGTAGCTAGTTATTTTCATATCATCTTTTTAATCTATTACGCTCAACAAGTATTCTTTTTTAAACATATTATATTATAATAATGTTTAAATTTTTTAATGTCTGTTTAAATTTTCGAATTCTTCCCTGCCAATGAAATGATTCAACTTCATAAAATATTCATTTTTCTATTCTTATGAAGTAATGTTTTAAGTTTTTTCTTTTCTTCCGTCCAATAAGTCCTCCATTATTTATTATTTTTGAGAAAACAGAAAAGCATAACCTAATAGAAAACATAAGAAAAAGAAATGTTTTTTTGATATTAAAGATTTTTAAGCTTCGTTATTAGATTAAGATTATAATACTTTATAAATCTATTTGAAGAAAATTTGAATAACAGCAAAATCTTCTATCTTTAATACTTTATCATTGTCTTCAGGATTTTATAGTGTTTCGATTATTCTGTCTGCAATATTTACAAATTTGTCATCCAGCTTAAATTACTATAGAAGATTATTATTATCTGAGTTCAGGAATATACTTTACGTTATTGATATTGCTTTCTTTCTTCATAAAATCTTGGATTATATCTCCGAATAATTTAACATATTAGAAATTCTCCTTGACATTAAATATTTCTTGTTTTCTAAAATCTTAGTGTATGTTTTTATTTTAATTATCATTATACTTAATAATGAAGAAAAATTCAGATTTTTTAATTATGAAGTCTATAATTTCTTGATTGCTAGGTGGATTTTAAGATCTCTCCTTATACCATTGCTAATACTCAACTAGAGATGAATCCAATCTGCTACATTAGTTGAGATAGTTGAAAACTTTTCCTATTTTTTCTTATTATAATTTTAGTTGGAAATTATTGTTTTACAATTCTTATTCCATGTTCATTTTAATATTTGTATCTAGCAAGAAACCTATATGTCCCTTATAATCAGAATTCTTATATGATTCTGGTTATTACATTTTGTATTTCTAGGTCGATTATTCTTATGCTCGAACTATATTTTTCCTTCTTTTTCTTCTTAATTCTCTGTTCTTTCTTACTACTTATTTACTTTATTTTCATATAATTATTGTATTTTTCCACATTGATAATTTTTCAATTTTTTAAATTAAATTAAAATAATTTAAAATAAAAATAAAATCAATAAAAAAAATCAATCATTCAATAATAAAAATATAAACATTATTCATCATTAATATACTATTTTATAATATTATTGTTTTAATTTTATTCATAAAATAAAACAAACTCATATTATCTAGTTTTCTCATCATAATTATAAACATATTTTATTTATTATAAATCCTAAATTTTCTCAACACAATATTCAAACTAGTTAAATTTATTTTACTGTATTTTAACTAAAATATTTTTAAATATTCTAACACAGAAACTGAAATCTTAAGATGAATATAAAAATATGAAATTTTATTTGTTATCATCTTTTTTAAAATTTGATAATTTATAATTAAATTTGCCATTATTTGAATCTTAAATTTATTACTCCTAGTAAATTATTTATACATTTAATTTTCAATGAAATCTGTCTAATATTTCTCATGCATGTAAAGCAAAGCGCTGTTTTTTATTTTTGTAAAAATACTTTACATATATAAATCAATTAAAAATTTGTTAAAAAGTTTTTAAAAAATGTAGCCCTCCAAGTGAAATGCTTGGAGGAAAAAAATTTGGTATGATAGGTCTTTGTTTCTAACCTATTAGCCTTAAAACTCTCCGATTGTAAAATTTCTCTTCATTTAAGCTTTTATCTTAGTTCCATTAATATTTAATTAGATAAATTAATTTTGTTTTAAACTACACTCATAAAAATTTAATTAAAAGTATTTTTATTCCTTTTCATGTTTTGAGTAAATATTTTGTTTATTAATGCAGATCTTAAGTTAAATCATGTTAAAATTATTTTGTAAAGCTTTTCAAGTCATCATTTTTAATTTTTTAACTATAAAATTGTTGTATTTAAAAGTAATACTAATTTAATTTTTTACAAATAATTGTCAGTTAATTAATATGAAATCATCCAATTAAAATATATTCTTTTTTATTTTATTATTTATTTTTTCTGTAATGGTTTGCTTATAAAATGTATGTTTTTACTAAAAGTTACTTATTTTTAACTTTAGATAATTAAAAGTTAATTTATTCATTATCTTATTTTTTGTTTTGAATTAGAAATCTAATCTTTATTACTCTTCGCTTTTTAAAGAAAAAACATCAATCCATTCAAAATAAAAATCAACTACTTAATTTTTTAAAAATATTTATTGAAAAATAGTTTGAAAGCAAATTAATAAAAAAGAAAAATTATGATTAGGATAAGTAAAAAACATAGTAATAAAAATTAAATTAATACTAGAATTAATTCAAAGTTATTTTAAGAATTTAATATTTTATTATAGCAATTAAATTAATCATATAAAAAATATAATCCTTTCAAAAGTATTTTTAGCATCAAAAATCAATGTAAATAGATGATGTTTTTTTTAAAGTCAAATTAATAAATAATAATTGCATGGTATTTTTTAGAAAACTTTAAAAAAATGTTTAAAACTTAGAAAATAGAACTAATTTTTGGTTAGAATAAAATCACTAAAAATATGTATAAACAAAAACACATTTATGAGAGAAAGAGTTTTAATTATAAATAATCAATAAATGATTCCTTTTTTGAATGTCAATAATTATAATTTTTTTTATTAGTTCTAAATCGAGTTTTTATTCCCCTTATCTTCAATTTTTAGATTTTGATGCTTAATTTCCAAAAAAATAACTATTTGGTTATTCTAATCATTATTTTAAGCATCATTTATGATTTTTACTAAGCAATCAAATTACTCAGTTATTGGAGTTCTTCTTACATCTTGTCTTTTTCAACAACAATCTGTTAAATATACTAGTCTTTTTCAACAAAAATTTGTTTATTTTCAGCAAGAATCTTATAATATTCAGCAAGATTCTGTAAATTCTGAGCAAGATTCCGTTTATTTTCAGCAACAATCTGTTCAATAAACTAGTCTTTTAGAGTGATAATCTAATCTTTTTGAGCAATTGAATGTTGTTTTTCAACAAGAAGCATGCTATATCCTTCAAAAGTCTTTAATAGTCTTTCGTTTTCAGCTTTAAAGTATTTTTTAAAAATATTTTTTTTAATATATTTGATCTTCTTGTTTACTTTGCATTTTTGGAAAAAATAAGTTAATATTGTTATTTTTTTATTTCAAATCAATTATATGTAAAATTTTACAGATAATTCCTTGATGATGAGCAAAATTCACTCTTATAAAGTTCTAGTTTTTTAAATTATTAAAATATTTTATGAGTCTAAACCTCATTATTAAAGTTAAATATTGAGGTTTAATAGAATCTTAAGTTGCAGAAGTCTAACCAGCTTATTAGTCTTAATTCTTATATTTAATTATTCTTTTGAGGAGAATTCACCTATAGAGACTAACACTGTTCTTCTTTACACTATCCTGAGCAAAAATATTCTAAAAAAATTTTAAATAGGGATTTTTATAATGGCAAAATTATTAATATAAAAAAAAGAAGCCTTTTAAAATAAATTTTTGTTTTCAAAAATAAATTTAAATAGATGATTTTTTAATTAAAGTATAATTCTTTTTAATTAAAATAATAATTACATGGTATTTTTTAGAAAACTTAAAAAAAAATATTTAAAATTGAAATAAAGTAGAACTAATGTTTGATTGGAATGAGATCAATAAAAATATGTAGATAAAAAAACATATTAATACATGAGCACAAAAATTTTCTTTTAATAAACAATCAATAAATGAAGCTTTGTTTTTTTAATGTCAATAATCATAATATTTTGATTAGTTCTAAGTCAAGTTTTGATATCCCTTAGCTTAAATTTTTAGATTCTGATGCTTCATTTTTAGAAAGATTAGCAACTTTGTAGTTCTAATCATTATTGGTTTTAGGTATTTTACTAAGCAATCAAATTACTCAGTGATTGGATTTCTTTTTCTTTTTCAACAACAATCTGTTAAACCTACTAATTTACAGCAACAATATCGTTTTTTTCAGCAGCCTAGTTTTTTTCAGCAAGAATCCGTTCCAGCTTGTTTTTTTCAGCAAGAATCTGTTCCAGCTTGTTTTTTCCAGCAAGAATCTGTTCAAACTACTTGTTTTATTCAGCAAGAATCTGTTCAAACTACTTGTTTTATTCAGCAAGAATCTGTTTAAACTCCTTGTTTTATTCAGCAAGAATCTGTTCAAACTACTTGTTTTCTTCAAGAATCTGTTCAATCAACTTTTTTTATTAAGCAATAGTTTCTTCGTGTTCAACAATAGTCTTGCTAAACTCGGATTATTTATTTGCTAGAGCTTGGTTTTCCTATTTCAGATACTTTATTTAAATATATTTTATATAATTTTGTTAACTTTGCATTTTTGGAAAAATTTTGTTAATATTATTATTTTTTTACATCAGATTAATTATTTATAAAATTTTACTTAAATTTCTTCTTATGAAGTTAGTGAAGTACTAGAGGAGGATTTTAACTATTTAAATTATTAAAAAATTTTAAGTGTGTAAACCTAATTATTAAAGTTACGGCTTGAGTTTAATTAGTATAAGAAGCTTCTTAAGGCTAACCACTTTATGAGCCTTAATTCCCACTACTTAATTATTCTTTTGAGGAGTTTTAACCTTCAGAGGCTGTACTACAATTGGTACTATCATTAGTCATCTGTACATTATCCATGAGCAAAAATATTCTAAGAAAATTTAAAATAAGAATTTTTATTTGATAATGATAATTTTTATTTTTGATAATTTAGGAGAGGGGGGGGGTACGAAAAAATTTTTTTTTTAATTTTAAAAATTTTAGCATATTAAAATTAACCTTGCTATGCTACCTAAAAAAAAACTTTTTTTTCGTACCCCCCCTTAATTATTTATTATAAACTTTCGATAGTGATTGATTAATTTTAAAGATAAATATTTTTGAAAAAATTCTTTCAATAAATATTATTAATCAAAATTTAAAAGACACACTAAAATGAACAAAATCCTTGTTGTATCTTTTTTAGATACAATAAGTAGAAATAAGAAAGTGTAATTAAATTTAATTGAATAAAAATATAAAAAAGAAAATGATAAAATAAGCACATGAAATAAAGGAAAAAAATGTTATCCTACCAACTTATTCCAAAGATTTTTCTAATTTTATATTAGAAGAAAGACTTTCTTATTAAAATATTTTTTTCAAATATCTATTTTTTAATCATTTTATCAAGTATACATTTATATTAATTTGTTCTATGGAAGAAATCATACTTGCTCAAATATTTTTTCCCTTAAATTTTTCAAATAATAATTTTATCTCAATACATTTTTTATTATTTTGTTATATGAAGAAAATCATTCTAGCTAAATATTTTTCACATACATGTTTTTTAAAAATTATCTATTATAAAAATTTTTTTTACATCGAAAAATTCATTCCACTAAATTTATAAAGATGACAATAAAAAATAAAAAACAATATAGTAATAAAATATTTAATAAAAATCAGATAAACTTACTTACAGTTAATATATCATATCTAAAATCATAATGAATGTGATTTAATTGTTTTATTTTCTGAAATATAAATTTTATATGTATATTACTTAATTATTTTTTATTATTTGTTAGTTAATTAATTAACACAAGTTATTCTTAAAGATTTTTACATATTTATTTTCCAAATGGAGTCTTAAATATAATAAGAGGATTAGGGGAATACTCTTTAACAACACCCATTTAGACCATAACATTAAGATATAAAATTATTTACTTTTTTGATTGATTCAGCAATTACAAATAGATACTATTTATTAATTGGCCTTTTTGCTCATTATGGAGTTGTAAGTCTCTACTTTACGCTTGCTCAGATGAAGAATGATTCAAAGTTAAATGAAAAAAATAAGAGCCACGCAAAAAAAAAATTTAAGATCACTATAATTGGATTATATTGGTGGTTTTTAGCTTCAGTAATAATAATTTTAAAAAGTTTTTATTTAATTTTCCTTTTTATTATAAAAAAGATTTTCTAGTTTGAATCATTTTTTTGGATATTATGGCTTATATTGATTGCTAAAACTTTATAGAATTATGATTATCTAATTAAGTATTTAGATATATTTAGTTGTGGAAATATAGGCTTTTTTGTGTATGCAATATAAAGTATGCTAAATATGTCTGGAATTGAAGTATAGCTATTATTGACCATTAATAGAAATTCATTTCATTTATTTTTTTTAATTTCATACAAAAAAAACTAAAACTCTAGCAATATTCAATTTACAATGTCGTCTAACTTTATATGTTATTATTATAAAAATATAGATATTTGTCCCTTCAATATGTATTCTATTTTTTTTAGGACTCTTTAAGACAATAATGTAATAAATTTTATCCGAAAAATGATTTAAAATACAATTTCGTAAAACTAGGCTAAGATTAGAGAGAACAACCTTCATAAGCAGAGTATGCTTTGGCTTCAGCGTAGGATACATAACTGCTTTAGTCTTACGTATTTTAATAGGAAAAAGACAAAAAATAAATATTTTTTTTTATAAGATAAATTATAAGGCTAATATTGGAAGGAACTAGAAGATGGTTATTTAATTTCTTTATTAGTTATTGGATTTTTAGCCCACATTGTCCTAATTAGCTATTCGAAAGAAGATGGCAAATTATAATAAGAAGAAGAAAAGAAGAACAATTGATGAATAACCTAAGAATTTAGCTAAAAATATTTAATTATTAACTATTTATAGATCATATTCTTTTATAATTAATTACAATGTAATTTTTATAAAATCAAAACCAAATTATATTGATTTCGGCGTATTTATAATACAATTCTTACTCTTATATCAAATTTTAATTTTATATTCAAAATTAATTTTTCTAATTTACTTACGAACTTTTTTTCAATCAAATCATAAAAAGTCAATAGAGAATTTCTTTTGCAAACTAAAATCATTAGCCAACTTGTTTACTCAAGATTTCTTTGTTTTTTATTTGAGAAGTGATTTTAAAAATAATATTTATTTTTTATAGATTTTGCATTTGTTTTGATTTAATAAAATTTTTTATCATTTAAATTTCTTTTAATATTAATTTATTTTTTATTTGCTAGAAAAAAAATCCTTTATTATATTTATTTTTAATAGGGAATTCAATTCATTTTTTGATTTATAATATTTATTGTTGGGTTCTTGATTTTTGTTTATAAAATTTTAGCCACCCATTATTTATTAAAAGTAAAAAATCTAGGGAGTAATGATCTGTAAAGCGAAATGCGATTACTATTTGACAGCTTCCAGAATAAATATTATTTAGTTAGTACTAATGAATTCGTAAAGACTAAAATTAATTTCTTTTGAGAAACTAATTTAGTCCATTAAAAGAGATTGATCTTGATTTTAAAACTAATATTTTTAATAAAATATCAAGAGTGCATAATGTTTTTTTAGACTATTTTAGGAAGATAGATTTTATATTACAAATAAAAAATTATTCATTTAGTAAATGAAAACTTTTAGATTTTCCAATCTAAATATGTACAATACAAACAACAAAAAATAGATTGCAGTTTGAAAAATAGCGATATTCATAAATTTGTTTTCAAATTCTCTAACAAAAAAATAATAAAGTTAGCAATTAAATGTGTCTTCAAAAAAGAAAAAAAATGATAGCTAATTCATCTATGAATGAAACCAGGATTTAATTAAACTAAGAAAAAAAATAATAATTACTGATTAATAAATAATCTCATATTATTACTTAAGCTTTTCTTCCCAAATCCTTTTATTGAATAATTCAATTACAATCAAAAATAATAATAATTTTTACATAATTAATAATCAAACAGCATAGTTAGTTAGTTAGTTGTCAAAAATTATCTATAAATATATAAATTCTTCTAAGTGCAAAGCCACAAACAAAATTTGTACAAAAATAAACTGAAACTTCTAACAACCACTTAATCAATTTACAAGCCCATCTTAAATTGGTGATTATTAATAATTGAATAAAATGAAGTAGAGTTAATATCCTAGTTAACTCTAGCAAATGAAAGTCTAGATTACTGACTTCGTTAATGAAGAGGGTACTGTTTTTTACAATATACTTGTTATAAATTAGAATACAAGTAGTTAATTAAAGATTAAAGCTCGCTACAGCTAACTTTCAGAGCTTAATGAGAGTATTTAAAAGTTCCTGAAAAAGTATAAAAGCTTAAGGGTTTAACTGCCTTCATTTCCAGCCAAAAAATGGTGGGTTGTGTAAGATGATTCATTTATCAATCATAGAAAGAGTTAATTAGAATAATATTTCTAGGAATTACTCTAACAAGAAGATTCTCTCTTAATTGATCCTTTAACTGATTTTCTTGGATACGTAGACATAGGAAATTCTAAATCACCGAAATCGCTTGATGTAATTTTACATTTATAATAAAAATCAAACTAGTTCAGAAAAATATAAATTTTAATTTGCTTGTGTTAGTTAATTTGTTTGACTAATTGGTTTACTAAATGAATTAATAAATTTTTTTACTGCCTTTGGAAAGGGATTTATTGATTTATTTATAAATTGATTATAATTAACTTAATAAAATATATTTATAATATAAAAAAATCTACACAAACAAAAAAAATTTGAATTAAATTTTGTAGCTATTTAAAAAATATGAAGGGTTAATTATTTTTATTCAACTATCTTTACAAATATCAAAATAATACTTTTTTTCTAGTAAAGTTTTGATTAGTTTGTTTGGTAGAATTTAACCTTTATTAATTTACATTTCTTCATTTCAAAAATTAATTACATGCCCCTACTAAATATTTTTAGTTAATTAATAAATTTGTTCTAAATACATAGGAAAAGCTAGAACTCTTAAGAAAAAAGCACAATGAGCATACCCAAAATCAAAAAAATTCCTCTAATTCCAGTAATACGATAAGAGCTCATTATGTACATTAACTATTTTATTAAAGCATTATGTAAATTTTCATATTAATATTTTTAATAGGAGTAAAGTGAAACTTAAGAGAAATGCTCATAAGACAACGAGATATCCTTTCCTTTAAGCTTTTGTGAAATTTCATTAGGAGCTACCAAAAATCAGCATATAAATATCGGGTCTTTTTCAGAAGAGATTCGCAGCATTAAACGTAAGTCTATTGATTAATCTGACTTTGATAATTCTTCAATAATGCTACTCTTTCCATCACCTCCTAACATGAGAGGTTCTTTCCCAATTTATAGACAATCTAATGAAAGAGGAGAAGAGAGTTTATTACGTTCATAAATTGAAGCTCAAAGAAATAATTATCAAAATCTTAACAAAGACTCTCAAAATGAATTAGATTAAAGTGACACCAATTATTAGAACGTCATTTAGCAAGCTATGAATTGTATTAATAGAAACAAAACAGT